AAAGGGCGGGGGCAAAAAAAATTTTCGGGCCCCCCCCCCCTTCCTTCCCTTTGGGCTATTGAACCAAAACTGATCGAAGTAGTATCCCCCCTTCCTTCCCTTTGGGCTATTGAACCAAAACTGATCGAAGTAGTATCGACATACTCGCGTCAAGACTCGCGGTCGGAAATCGCCGCTACGACATATCCTCCCGCACCCGAAATCAAGGACAGAAAGCGTCAGGTCTCGCTACCCACAGCCATCAGGGTAGGACTKACTTTGAGATGTACGGGAGCGTGAAGAGCCAAGTATATGTCGGGAATGAGGCTTCTAGCTCGCAGGAACATATCGTCAATGCTGGCTCAATATCAAATAATACAGAGAGCGCGGAATATGGTCAAAGTAGCGAGGGACCACATGACGGAATTAGCAAAACGGTGGAATTCAAGGTGCATGCGAGCGCCGCGTGAGCTTTGGGCTCGTGTAACAATCACTTCCAGCGTTTTTTCCATATGTTTCCATATGTCATGTGTAATATAGATATAATAGCCAAGACCAAGGCCATTCATTCGTTCTGCATAGCCTCTTTCGCCAATTCCTCCAGTCCTCGCATAGCAACCTCCTCCTTCCCTTCAGGCACAAAAACATGATCATGAAAATACCCACTGACAACATTCGCACTCACCCCCAACTCCGTAAACCTGCCCGAAATCGCAGCCGTCATCCCAACAGCCTCAAGACTCGAGTGAACTTTGAGTGTGATCTTTCTACATGGGAATGTGTATTCGAATCCGTGGGTTTCAGCGGATTCCCTGGTGGTGACTAGGGTGAGACCTTCGGCTTCGTGATAAAGGTGTACAGGTTGGAGGGTTGTGAGTGGGAGAGAGGTGAGGGGTTGCGTGGTTGTTATCCAGACGTAGGTCTCTGGGGAGAGGATGGGGGAGAGGCTGCCCAGGAGGGCGTTGAGGTTTGTTTCGCCGATTGGCATTTTAGCTGTTGTTCTTCCGATGGTATGATTGGGATATCTTAGATTAGTCGAAGAGTTTGTTCGTACTGATGGGTGAGAATGTGCGAATATATGTAGAAGAGAAAGTGACATACTTTATAATGACATAGGGCGCAAAATAGTCGGCTAAGCCAATTAAGGATGAAATGAAGCCTTAAAGCCTTAACGCAGGTAGATAAGATAAGCGATAAGATAAGTATGGAGCTATCACATGACATTCGACGATTCATTATGACAACCTGGCTTCTGAAATCAACAAACACCCCGACAAGACCCAAGACAGTCCCCCTTCAATGGGGCAATAGTCCCAATTCACCAAAATGAGTCTCATCCCACGATCAAATGTCGTCATTATCCACCCTGACCTCGGCATCGGCGGCGCCGAACGCCTAATCATCGATGTTGCGCTCGCCCTCCAAAACCGCGGCCATCAAGTAACGATATACACATCCCACCGCGATACGTCGCATTGTTTCGAAGAAGCGCGCGATGGCACACTCGACGTACGGGTTCGCGGGAACACGWTTTTCCCGCCGTTGTTTCTGGGGAGGTTTCATTTGTTGATGGCTGTGTTGCGGCAGTTACACTTGACGGTTTCAGTTCTTATGGAAATGGGGAGGACAGAAAAGAAAAATGGAGTGGGAGAATATAGAGATGATATTTTTATTATTGATCAGTTACCGGCTTGTGTTCCGATATTGAAGAGTCTTGGGGAACGATATGCGCAAACTCGTGGTGGGAGACAACGGATACTGTTTTATTGCCATTTCCCAGATCAATTGCTGGCGCGGAGGAATGAGGGGAATTTAGTTTTGCGGCTGCTTAAAGAAGCCTATCGATATCCCCTGGATTGGTTCGAGGGATGGGCGATGAGTGCCTCCGACCGGGTCGTGGCCAATTCGAACTTTACTCGTGGTGTTGTTAAGCGTGTGTTTGGGTCGGATCGGTTGGGCGATGTGAAAATTGTGTATCCATGTGTTGACACAAAGGAATCTTCTCCTGCAAAAACTGAAATCGTCGAGGGCGAATTGTGGGGGGGGAAAAAGATTCTTTTGAGCATCAACCGGTTTGAGCGGAAGAAGGGTATTGATCTAGCGATTCGGGCATATAATGGGTTATCTAAGGAACAGCGAAAAGGGACTCGATTGGTTATTGCAGGTAAGATTTTTTTCAATCTTCTCATTGGGAATTTTGACTCATCATACAGGCGGCTATGATAATCGCGTCCAAGAAAACGTCCAATACCACAAAGAACTCAACGATCTAGCTTTCGAATTAGGGTTAAAAACAGCCACCTCCAAGACCGTCATATCAGCCCTCTCAATCCCCGACTCAATAGACGTCCTATTCCTCCTCTCCGTTCCATCTGCATTCAGAGATACACTTCTTCACAACTCAAAATTACTCCTCTACACCCCCGTCAACGAACACTTCGGCATTGTCCCCGTGGAAGCAATGCATGCCGGTTTACCTGTTCTCGCATCCAATACTGGTGGTCCTTTGGAAAGTGTCCTTGAGAACGAAACCGGTTGGCTCCGTGATGCAACGCAAGTCGATGAATGGACGGCTATAATGCGAAAAGTGTTACTGGAAATGAGCGAACAAGAATTCGCCGACATGGCTGCGAATGGTAAAAGGAGAGTTGAAGATGTTTTCTCGCTGCATGCCATGGAGGATAAACTTGAAGAAGAGCTTCAAGATATGCTCAAGTCGAACAGACGGCCTTTTGTTAATTTACAATATTTGCTACTTGCTTTACTGTTTTCGGGGATTGCTTGCGCTGTCATGGTTGCTCTGATACTGCGGCGGATCTAGTAATTTTTCGCTATATGTATACTACCAGGAGTTTGACCAAACATGTAAATACTTACGAGAAAGGGTTCAAATCAAAAGATTAATTCCGGAATGACAATAACATTGCAGCAGATCGTAGTTAATTACTTACTCAAAGTGGAAAATCAGGTCACCACGATCATGTGATAACAACGCACTCCTGCCTTCGCTCCTGCCCTTGACTACTTCCCACATCCGTACGACATCGAAATGTAGATTTCTATTAACACTCTCCATGATCGGAGATGTTCCGCTTCTATCTCTCAAATTTCATTGCCGCTTTTACAATGTAAAGAGACTAAATACAGGGATCATGCATTAGTCTATGCTATGATTCGAGCAGAAGTTGACCAATCTGCGATTACAGGCTCAGCCTCAGCTCAGCCTAGTGCTCTTTTGACAAAGCACAGGACATGGAAATGGCGACGACCTGTCATCCGCCGCTGTTTTCAAAATTGAAGGCGGTTTCTATCGTCGGAACCTAACCTCTTCATGCCCACGAGTCTTTATAAGCACATAGCTCAGATGTGCGTTGATTGTAATGCGGATCTATCTGAGTGCTGAATGTGGATTTTGGTAAGAAGAAATATAAGGCTGAACGATCTTTGGCCGAAAGAATCGGAGAAAGTGCTTGCGACAAATCAACGGCGTTGTGATTCTGAATATTGGAAACTTGAGCTGGACGTTGCAGCGACGTTGACTACAATATGAAGCGGCGACGAAGAAGCCCCAAGCCAGAAGGCTTGAATAAACAGGCCGCTTCACCTGAACAACTAATGCCAACTAATAACTCCATTGAAGGCAACTTCTCAGGTCCAATGGAAATGGGCCAGGACTGGCCAGGCCTACACCCCACGCCATCGGTTCCTTTACCTGGCACCGAGGAACTGTTCGATCGACTACGGGAACCCTCGAACTCCCCGGTACTTCATTTTCCGAGTGCTCAGCAATATTATGTTGAATCTGACTTGATGCACATGGGATTGTTTGCTGCTGATATCGATGCCGATGTTAAGGAGAATAAGACAAAGTTGATGGAATGGGAGCGGTTTTCTGCTGACCACAACAAAAGAAGAGACTCTAAGAGCCATCCCCGCCGGGAATTTGAATTGGCCCACGATGGGACCAAGCTCGCACTGGGTAGAGCTGACGAAAATCACGCATCGCATGGCGACATGAAATCCTCGTTTCTGCCTTACTTCGGTGAACGGAAATCCGAGCCTTCTCTGTACAACCAAGAATCGTCAAATGCCGCCGTTCAATCGAGTGGAACTTCCAACCCTACCGCCGGCTCAGTGGCAGCAATGAGACGCGTAGTCGAACTCAGATATGAACCAAGAAGACAAAATAAGCGAAGAGTGGCTAAATGGCTCGAATTGCCTGTCAATCGGAGCATCTCTAATGGCGGCGAAAATTCAAAGGAAACATCTCGTGAGGTTAACATCTTCTCGTCTCCCTACCAGGAACCGAATCCTTTCAATGACAGGGCTGAAAGCACCATTGTATCCCTCGGCAAGAGCAACGAAAGGATAGCTCCAGGCGAAAGCTCCAATGCGGTTATGAGGCGTTTTGTGAATCATGCAAGGGAGCTTGAGTTAACTTCTTGTGCAGCAACCGATGCATCGCATAGGAGTACTTCGGATGATGATGAATATACTGTAGCGACGCTTGTTACAGCACGTAAACCACTCAGCGAAGTATCAAGTGAGGGAGAATCTCCCGCAGCTTCTCCTCTCGAGCTTTTCATCGATGCACCCACCGATGATGAACTTGATCAAAATATGTACGATGAGCCCCATGACGGATCAGATTTCGGATGGACGGGGCGTGGCCCCTTTGACCTCGATCCGGTTTCAAACCTCAATATTGACTCTGTCCGTTTGGAGGATGAAGAGCCCTACACCATCAAGTGCATTTGTGCTTTTACGGACGATGACGGGAACACTGTCTCTTGTGAGATTTGCGAAACATGGCAACACATTGAGTGTTACTACCATGGCCAGGAGGTCCCGGATGTACACTTCTGTACCGATTGTTCACCCTCACCACTGTACTTGGATGGAAAACAGGCCACTGAGTGGCAGATTCATTTACGGCAGCAAAATGATAGTGATTACCAGATGAGGGACACCGTATCTATGGGCGTCACCGTCCCTGGAGTCCATGAATTTGTTAGTAATTTCAATACAGGAATCCCATCATTGTCACAGCAACTGCGTGGAACTGGACCCGGTATGGCTCAACCTTTATACTTAATTCCCCCTCCTCCCCCTCCAATCGGTTTTCCTCTAGACCAGCTTTCAGCCGAATCGATCAGGAGGCAGAGTCTAGACGAGATCGGAGATGACACAATTGACTGGTGGCAACACAACCGACCGCTACCAGATTTAGAAAGACAATGGTACATAGATAATCACTCGTTGTCTCCGAGGAACAGCCATGATGTGCTTGATCTACTAACAGAAGCTGCTGGCCAGACAGAAGCTCTCAACCGCCAAACGCTCGACAATGAAGAATCAAATCTGCGGGACACGCCTATCAGTCAATCTGTGGATCAATATACGACATCATTGGCGAGAACAATCTCTAAAGACAGCCCGTCCGTGGAAAAAGGGGTCAACCCGAGCGTTGACAGAGACGCCCAAAGTGGTGATCATCGACATACATTGACTTTTGAAGCATACACAGATTCCGGATATGCTTCAAACACAACCAGAGCACTGAAACCATCAGAAGTGCTTGGAAAAGTCCATCAGACGGAAGAAATTTCGGTAGATCATGGCGAAATTGAATCGCGTCCCATATCTAGTCTTGATGGGAACGCCCAACTCATGGAACAAGAAGACGACGTAGCAAGCATCTATTCAGGTGCCTCGACCATCCCTACAATGACTAGGGCTCGTTATATTGATGGATTTGCCAATGATGTCGCCCAAGCAATCCAGCCTTATCATCTCAATGACGAGGTTCTTCAGCAGATCATTGAAAAACTACCCGAGCTTCTTAAAGCATTTGCTCTCACCTTTGGCCACCACGAGTCCGGAACGATGCATCGCGATGTTATGGTTTTTATTCATAAATATCGAAGGTACGTATTGAAGTAGCGACATGCCCTAAAGATAATTACATTTCCTTTATGCTCATACCCTTGGTCTATTAGACAAATCGTGAAAACGCTCAATGATCAGATTTTGATGGAAGAACCGGAGGATCAAATGAGAGACCAAGCAAATCAGATGTCGCTGAAGGAAAAAATGAATCTTTGGCTTAGAAGTGGAGAATCTACGCAAGATGTGAGACTTGATAATCACGAATATATCGTCACCAAGAACCCCGACGTCAAGGAAAAACAAGACGACGAGGAGGATGAGGAGGATCATGATTCTGATACAGACGAAACTGAATTACCTGGGCTTGCCGCCTACCGGTCTCTCATCCGAGGAGCACCCGCATATGATTGGTTCCTCAACAACATCCGGAGGGAATGTACTCTTGCTCCTCCAGTGCCGAATGTGATAGAAGAGATTCGAACCACAATCCTGGATGCGTTGCCCTCGTCGCCGAAAATCAGTCGACGAAAGCCTGCAGAAACATTCCATGTAAGTTTCATGGTCGATTGGGATCCAGTTGCGTTCCTCCGAGAGGAAGAATATACAGAAAGGCCTGAGGATGCTATCGAGCGAGCTATAACCCTGACAGGTTCCGCTGTATCGGCGCAGGCTTTGACGTGCGGTGGATACTTGCGGCAAACATGGCCATCAACGGGCGAGCAGATTCTGGATCTGATGAAGTCATTGGTATCTGGCGAAAGCAGAGCCTCAGGTGACTACTACCCCTAGTGCAATGATGGAGATTTTGTAATGCTTACTCGTCATTTGATAAAGTCACCTTGCTCAATGGTTCCAGCCTCACCGCATCGTACCACCCTTTGAAGAAACAAGTGTTGTCAACAGTTGTTTTGGTAGATGTCCATGGCACTGCCGCCTGCGTCGCAGAAATAGCTGAACAGTTTGCATGGCTCGCATCTGCCCTTCGTTCATCACCATTCCCACAGACAATAGCGTACAGCAGGCCATTCATTGACGGAATACAAGTTGGGCATGCTACATACGAAGAGACCACATATATATGCAGGATTGGAGTTGAGCTACATGAAGGAAATCCTGACTCTGAAACCACTAATGGCGATTGTTGGCATGGGCTCTTTGGCAGCCCAGTCGTTGTGGAAGGCTTCCCAATACCACGAAGATCAGACGAAGAAACTCTGGGCCTTGAGATTCCATTGAACATTATGGCGAGTCTTGCACAGGCTCGTAGAGTTGGTTCTTTCGGGGGCAAGACGCTTCTCAAGGGGGTTGCAACTGTGTTGCTCCCGATGAAGCGCACGAAAGATATAGTTACCTGGCATCTGGTTCAAGGAAAAAATGGAGATCGCATATCTTATCTTGAGACCGAGAGCTTCCAAACTGTGGATATCAAAATGCACGAATTAGAAAAGTCTCGGCATGTCCTAGGCTGGTGCCCGGAAATGAGATTATACGCAGGTGGGTCAACATTGTTCTTTTTTTTGCTTATTTATTTACTGACACTATCCTAGGAGCGGCCGATGCAAGCTACCTTATCAAAGGCTCGAGGCTACCCCGACCTTCAGGGCAGGGGGGGTTGAATGATGCATCATTATCTCTTGGTCATCTCATCACCGGAGGTGCTCCCTTTAGCGAGGGTCGCAAAGACATTCGTCTCCGCCGGAACAGTTATATCGTAAGAATGAAATGGATCTCACAAAAGTATGTGATATTATGGGATGAGGAAGACAAACGAGGMTGGCTAGTCAATGGAGCCAGCGCACTACTTCACCTTGTTCGCGCATCTCTAGCACAAGACATGTTCGATAACAAATTCGGGCCATTGTGCTTATTCTCCACGAAAGAGTTTCAAGAAGCCTCACGACTTCATCAGACAGACGCAGCTCTAGAGGTTCTCCTGAACCCGTATAACCTAAAGGCAAAAATCTATCCGGAAGAAGATGACTTTATCCGCTTCAAGGCCTATGTCGAGGACTTTTCTGATCTTCTGGAAAAGATGCTTGACTACCAGTCCAGGGTTGCGAATCAAAATATTCCAAGATCATTGTTGGAAGGTTGGGACTTTAATGATGTGGCAACTGGGCGAGACCCAATTTACCCTCGAGAGGCTTGTTTGAATCAGGAGGCCCTTTCCTGGGTTGACTTCACACGATCTTTACACGCAATCACGTTGTTTGGTCGAAGCTTCGGCGAAGTCATTCAACCGGCCAAGGCGTGCTGTTCGGCGTGGATAAAGGTGCCTTGCGGAAGATCATATCTTACAGCCAGCACTCCTGATCTATATAAGATAATGGAGTCGGATGGAGATCCGTATTCTGTTCCAATGAGGTTGACTCATGATGTACTTTGGTACACTTCCAAAGAGACGTTCACACAATGCCAGTGTAACAGCGAGATGGATGACGATAAACATTGTGATATAGCCCAGGTGCTCCTCCCCTCCAGACTACAACATGAGCTGTATGGAACGTGCTCGCAATTACCATCCAAAAGTGGTGCCATCATATTTGGCTACAACAATAACCATAGATGGTTCTGGAGCGACATAGGAGATCCGTCAAGAACGCCAAATGAGTCTGCCCGTATATCACCGTTCACCAAAGGGATACAGGGTTCCCGCTTTTCTGACAGCGGAATTGGAAAGAGTCTCAGCTCGTCAGTTTCCATCACAGGCTCAACGTCTAATCGACTTGAAGAATATAGGGAGTATACACAGGCGGTGAATAGTGAGTCAGAGGACCATCAAACATCCTCATCAACATATAACAAAATATATAATCATCCTGAAAGCGGCATCGCATCATCACCGCTTGCTACGCATTACAAAGTAGGCATAGTGTGTGCTATACACATCGAGCTCATGGCAGTACGAGCGTCATTTGACAAGATATACGAGAAAGTGGCCATTGCTAGAGAAGATCCCAACTACTATGCACTTGGTAGTATCGAGGGACACGATGTGGTTGCTGTCTGCCTCCCACATGGGGTATACGGCACAAATGCAGCAGCCGACGTGACTTCCAATATGAAGCGCAGCTTTCCGGAACTAAAATTTTGTCTGCTAGTAGGGATTGGAGCAGGAGTGCCTTCTCAAAGAAATGATATACGCCTCGGCGATGTTGTCATTAGCACACCGAAGGGCCGTTATTCAGGGGTACTGCCATATGACATGATTAAGAGTACTGACTCTGGAGCTTTCGAGCTGAATGGATATTTGAGCCCCCCGCCCGCACATTTGATGTGTGCCATCAGTGAACTCGAATCGGATCCGTCGCTATCATCTACACCGCTGCATAAGTATCTGCAGCAGATTGAGCAATGTAAAAAGCAATATACACACCCAGGGGTGGCCCATGACCGATTATTTGACTCAAATTACGCCCACATCGGTGATTATAACACAAGCGATAACTGCGAGCAGTGCAACGTTGCTTATGAAAAAAGAAGACCTCCCCGATCATCTATCCACCCTGAAATTCACTACGGACTCATCGCTTCGGGAAATCAAGTCATGAAGTCCGCCGAAACGAGAGACAAGCTAGGCCGCGAGCACAACGTGTTATGCTTTGAGATGGAAGGCGCTGGAATCATGAACAACTTTCCGTGTCTGATCATCCGTGGAATCTGCGATTATGCTGACTCACACAAGAATAAGCGCTGGCAGAATTATGCGGCTGCCACGGCGGCTGCGTATGCGAAATTGCTTCTTTCTCGATTAAGAACTACGGACGGTTTTGAGTCAGAACCAGCTGAACATCTCTCGCGAAAAGGAACTGCAACAACTGAATGGGGTGAAGATATGCCAGCCACCAAAAGAAGGAGGAGTTAATTATGGTTGAAATCGTGTTTCAGTGATATCCAAATGGCCTAAGGGCTACTGTTTTTCTATTCAACTTGACTCTATCCTTCTCTTTAAGTCATCTATCCTTTGATAGAATTGTAATGTTTTAAATAGTATCGAGAATAAACCGAACCTGCTCGTTGAATTAGGGCTGAATACCAGCCCTAACCCTGACGAGGACTTAAGTCACATGATCACGCATCGCGGCGGCGCCTGCCGTCGCGTCCAACTTTGACGACTTATCGAATGGTCATGTTGCTTAATCCAGCAAATATAGGTTGTCGGGTACATTTTGGGGGGAAGGCATTTTTGGTATACATCGCTATACAAAATGCCAGAGGTCATTGACCTAATCGACTCCTCGCCGCCACCGCAGCCTTCACATCTTCAACCTCCCCCTTCAACGCAAGCGCGTCATTCATCCATACGATTCTCCTCTCCATTCCACCCGGCTGTGGCAGCAGCTACGACAACGAAAATCCCAGCTAGTTCACCGAATTATCTATCCTCTGATTTCGACTCATCTCTATTTACTTTTGAGACTCCCGGACGTTCGGCGAAGAAGCGGAAGTTGACTCCGCAGCGTGAACGATCAGTAGGGGCAACATTACCGCCGCCAACATTACCACTGGCAGAAACTCAACCACGGATTTTCACCAAGTCGTCGGCGCAGACTGTCATTCATAGTGATTACTCGCTTTTTACATTTTCGGACGAAATTGAACCGCCGACTTTGCCTACGGTAAGTAGAGCCGATGCGGATACCTCTACTTCTACAACGGACAAGAGTACGTTCAGTACTACTGCTGCATACGCGGGTCTTTCAACTACAAAAACGAAAACGTACAAATGGGATGGAGAACAATCAGATCCGATTGTCTTCACGTCGTCTGCGCCGGAGCCCACGGCGGCAAAGGGAAGACAGCAATCCAGACTAAATAATCCATCGGTTATCACTATAGATGATGATTTTGATGGCATTCAAGACTGGAGCGACCCATTCAAGGGATCGCCGGAAGACCCGTTGGATAAACTTTTGGACGAACCGCGGCCATCGTTGAAACCGGCTTATTCTGGTCGTACCGCGGCTTTGTTGGCCAGTCTTCACACGGACGATAGTACAGAAAAAAATACAACTACCGCCTCGAGGCCGAAGAAGTCTATGGACTACAAAAATTTAGAATCCGATTTCGGTGAAGAATCACTCTCAGATGTGCCCACGCGGCCTACAGAGACCTCAAAAACGAAGAGGAAGCCCAAGGTCGATCCAGAGGAGAAAGCGGCCAAGGCACGGGAGCGAGAGGCAACCAGAGAAAAGCGTAAGCAAGAAAAAGTGGCCGAGAAAGAACGAAAGCGGTTAGAGAAAGAGGTGAAAGCGAAAGAGAAGCAGCTGGCTGCAGATATTGCTGAGGTGAATAAATCAAAGACTCACAAAAAGGAGTCTATGCCAGAAATGATTGTCGATATGGCAAGTACTTTTGAAGGAACCAGCGTTGGAAACCAAGTGGTAGAATATTTGAAGGCTTTAGGCGCTGAGCACACTTTTTTTGACAGCTTGATGCCTAACATTGTTAAGTGGCGTCGGAAAAAGAAATCTGAATATAACGAGGATGCAGCACGATGGGAGCCGTGTCAGCCTTATATTGCGACTGAGGACCATGTGCTGTGTATGCTTCCTGCGCAGGATTTTGTCGACATGGTCATTTGTGAGGATGATACGCAGACACTTGACGGCCATGTACAACGGCTAAAAAATTCATACCGAAACTGCAAACCGATATACCTGATTGACGGTCTTATGAACTGGATGCGCAGGAATCAAAATTCCCGCAACAGAGCATACCAAGCGGAAGTTCTCGCCCAGGTCAACGCTGTCAATGATTCGATCGAGGATACTAGCACTCAAAGCAGGCGCAAGCGAGCAACTAAAAAATCCAAAAAGCCCGAGGACACACCTCCCGTAGCCGATGACACAATCGAAGACGCTCTCCTCGAGCTACAGGTCACCCACAATTGTCTAATCTACCACACAAACGCCGCCAGCGAAACAGCCGAATGGATCAAAAACTTCAGCGAACACATCTCTACAATTCCCTACCGACACGTACAAATGGGCAACTACGACGGCGCCGCATTCTGCATGGAAAATGGACAAGTGAAAACAGGCGAAGATAAAGTAGACACTTTCGTCAAAATGCTCCAGGAAATCAACCGCGTCACTGCACCCATGGCGTATGGGATAACATCTCAGTATCCGAGTGCAGTTGACCTGCTACATGCAATGAGGAAACATGGTCCGACGTTGTTGGAAAATGTGAGAAAGTCGGCTAATAAGAATGGAGCACTGACGGATTCCAGGATAGGGCCGGCGGTGAGTAAGAGGTTGTACAAGGTTTTTATGGGGCTGGATGAGACTTCTGCCGATATTTGATTTCATGTCCGTTGAAGAATTGCGGTAATGTATATCATAGTGTGCTTTGACACATCATCGTAGATATGTTGCTTTCTTGACTATCAATGACGATGTATGCATGGTATAAATGACAGGCCCCAATATAACGCCAATATGCTGAAAAGTATCTTGTCAACCAAACTTCAGTCCCAAAGAGCTATACAACAACCCCTCTTCTCTTCCATCCCCTCCACGCAATCAACCAAACAACAATGGCCATCCAAACACTAACCATACAACCTGCCGCCCAAAACCCAAAACATCTCCATCCAAAACACTGCCCTTGCCTTATACCATCATCTATAGGTACAAGAGCATCTTGATATGCTTTTGAGTATACAAAGCCCCAAAACGCAGCACCCGCGGCGGGGACCATGGCTACTATACCCCAGTTTGTGCCGAAGTTCTCGACGCCCCAGACCACGGAGATTATGATGGGCATGAGTGCGAAGGAGGCGCCGTAGCCGAAGCCGACAAAGGCGGTTGTCAGATGGAATAGGCCTGGATGAGGGAGGATCAGGGGTGACGCAAGGATTAAGAAGCCCAAAGATAAGACCAAGGCGCTCGGGAGGAGGAAGGTGAGCCGCGAGACTGTAATGCCTTTGTAACCTCGGTCTGTCGGATGGGGGATTGGTTGGCGGTTTGGGTTGTCGAGGCTGTAGATGAATTGGTGTGTTGCGGGTGGTGCGAAGAGGTCTGTGATGGAGCCGACTAGGAGACGGGCGATTGTTGAAGTGATTGCGATTGTGCTGACGTGGGTTGAGGCTGAACCTGCCGGTGGTGGAGATCGAAGAGGATATGAGATGGGCGTCAAGGAGTGGATGATTGTACCCAGCTATACTCAGATTAGCAATTGTAAACCTAAACATGGAAGAAGCACCCACGTTGTTGATATATGCTTCTCCAGGCCCCGTCACAAAAAAGAACCCCAGAGCGAGCCACCACATGGTATGGTCCTTGAAGAACAGCCTGGTCTCGTGATTCAAGAGCCAGTTCTTCTTCTGACGCTCTTCCTCCTCTCGCTCTTTCTGACGACGTAATTCGGCACGCTCTTCCTCCGAGAGCGTCAGTGACCGGGCATCCGCAAGATCTTCCGAATCACTGCCCTCATTCTGAAATGTGCCATACGCAGCTCTAACCTCCTCACGCGGGCGGAAAAACCCATCTTCACCCAGTATCCCACTCCGCTCCAGCTCCGAAACAGCTTCATCGATATACTTCTCCTGTTCCTCATCATCGACAATCCGCAATACCGCCGTTCCACCAACCCCGATAGCGAACAGGAGAATTGCCAAAAAGATGAAATACCGGAACACATCTACCGCCTCACTGCAGGAACCATCCGCCAGTCTTTCGCATAGTACATGACTACCAATCTGGCTCTGCCACATACCGCTCAACCCAAATGCGGCAATGGGCACTGCCAACATAATCCCTTTGTACTTTCCTCGCCCGAAGTTCTTTGCGCATGTTGTGACTGCTGCGCCGTAGAGACAACATGTTCCCATACCAATCAACACAAATGCCACGACCATGACCCAATAAGGCCAACCCGACCCCCCAACGTCAACCGGTGGACCACTCTTATACGATAGTGCTGCAAGTAGGTATCCCGCCCCGAAGAATATGCCTGCAAGTAACGACACGGGAGAGGGCGAGTATCGGTCGCATAAATACCCAAATATCGACACGGGAAGGTACATAGCTACCTCCGCAGCAACCGCGATACCATTGACGCGGTCTTGCGAGTATTGTAGGCGCGTAAGTAGCAGGGGTCCATAGAGGGAGAATGCCGTGATACTTCCAGCGCCGAGGCTGCAGCACCACCAACAGCTGTCAGTCCGTGTTGGCCTTGAAAATGAGAAATGAAATGACACATACCAGCTCAAAACACTCCACACAAAACTCGTTATACGTATTACCTCCCGCTTCATCTTTGCCCGATCCCGCTCCACGATGTTTTCGACTACTTCGCTCAGTAGCCCTTCACCGGGTCGGTCGGAGCCATCGCTGTCTGCGGAGAGTCTGGAAATGCGCGGTTCGTCTAACGCGCCGGATTCATTGTCTAAGCTTGCATGGTCGAGGAGGGGTCGGTTGGCGTCGAAGTCACGCTTGTCGATCTTTATTTGTTTGTTCATGGAGGCTGCCTAGGTACCTCTATTTGTTTCTATCACCAGAAGACCAGAATCCAATTCCGTCATAATGGGAGCATCTCCGCCTTTGTTGGAGTTGATTCTGAGCTAGCACTAACTCGGTAAAGCGTCCATTCTATGAGGGCTAAGGTTAATGCTAGCTACCCCAATCCTTTTATACCTTTGCTCAAGTTTAGGAGTGAGAAATCAAGCTACCATTATAAATGTACGCTCGAGGAAGCCCTAGTGCAATAGCGCCATTCTAAAAGGGTAATCGCATATTACCAGGAAATTCTATGAAGCTACCTAGGTCTGGACCGTCTGCTAGCATACTGTCTCGATTTATTAATGCACGACTTCTAAAATACAACGGTCTGGCAGCCTCTCCTATTTATACACAAAATCTCACACAGGCAATATCAAGGAAAGCGTTGTACGGTCGAATGTTCTTGATATAGAGCTGTAGTGTTGATTCCAATCATCAAACTGTAGTCAATAAGCGTGAAGCCATTTCTGGAATCTTGAGATCTGAAGATTTTGAAATAGCCTTGGAGTTGATGCTGATCCCTAGGTCACTTCTCAGTTAGGATCAGTTCACATGGATTCCAACGCACACTGGATGCAATTTCAACCATAAAGCTTCGAATTGACCTTAAACCTAAAGATCAAAAGCAACACCAACGAACCCCCAATAATGCACAAAATATACGCATTACTCATCGACCTTACCACAGTATGAACCACCTGACTCTGCTCACTCTGCGGCAAATCCCTCAGTAGCGGACTGCTCGGGTCCGAGATGATGGTACTAATATTCGTCGTCGACATAGTCGGCAACAATTCTTTGAGACCGATATGCGCCTTGTTGAGAAACACGCTATTCGCGATACTAATTGCGATTGTTGGCCCGCCCAATTGCGCAAACGCGATCCAGCCGGTGCTGTGCGGTATATCGATGGGATCGACCATAATAGAAGCAACAGCGAAATTTAGCTGAGTGCTTGCGCCGGATCCCAAGCCGATGAGGATTTCGTAGCCGTACACATTGGCCAGTGGCGTGTTCTGGTTGACGGTATACAGCAAAGCAGCGCCTGGGAGGCAGGTTATGCCCGCAAGGATGTACCAGGGGACATAGTAACCGGTTTTACCAGCCAGCCAGCCCGTCAATATTGCAATAGCGGTTTGGAAGGCGACGAAGGGTAGCATTCGGACTCCGGCAAGAATCGCAGAGTCGTCGCGGACGAATTGAAAGTATAGGGGTAAGAAGTAGACGGGTACAAAGACGCAGGTTGCCGCGCAGGCGATCTCTAAAAAGAGAACGATCATGGCCGTGGATTTGAAGAAATGGAGTGGAAAGATGCGGTGCGTAGGCTCTGTCCCAATTGCAAAAATCTGTTGGACAAAGAAAGCACAGAAAAGCACGAAAGAGACGACGAAGAGAGCAATGACCTGTCCGGAGTTCCACGCATATTCTACTCCGCCGAAGGAAATGGCCATGACGATAGACACAATTAGACCGCAAAGCAAGATGACGCCGATGTAGTCGATTTCTCGTGCTCGTCCCATGATGGTTTGTCCGGGTCGGGGGTTAAGGACCGGAAGGAGGAAGAGGTAGACTGGTGCACAAACACTGCCGACGACTAGGTTGCTACATTCCTTTAGGTCAGCTCCAGGTCATGCATAGAGAACAAATGAAGGCAAACAAGTAGAATCCCCAGCGCCAAGTAGCACTGCTCACGGCAAACGCGCCCCCAATGATGGGGCCCAATACCGTTCCGCCGCCAAAGGTGATGCCAACGAGGTTCAAGTATAGCGGCCGCTCTCGTTCCGAGGTCATTTGCGTTAGAAGGGCCATCGAGCCAAAGTACCTATTCAGAAATTTGAGCATCTCAAAGACAGCTGTAGGGGGCCTACCAAACTTACATTCCGGCACCTCCTAGTCCACAGATTGCTCGTCCCACGATCAGAGCATCCATTGATGGTGCAGCTCCGCATACAGCAGATCCCACAGCGAAGATGATGAAGCTCGAACAAAAGGTCCATTTACTGCTGAATCGTGCATAGACACCGCCCCTGCAATTTTCAAATCAATACTGACATACTAGATACTTTCACTGGATAAAGATGTCTCTTTATCATACCATAGTAAGTTTGTCCCCCAAGATGACGCCAGAAATGCCACAGGAAGCCAAGCAAGCTTGTCGAGAGATTGAAAGTCATTGACCACAGCTGGCTGAATGTTCGCTGCAATGGTGTTGTCCGTCGCAAATAGGAAATTGGCCATGAGGATACTGGCGACAACTAGTGCCCAGGCAAAGCCGTGGACATTTCGTGGTGATGGCTTTGCTGAAGCATCGTTGTTCGACTCATCGCTGGGAGCTGCCACCTGCTTTTCATTGTCGACGTCATCTGTGACTTGAGCGCCTTCGTTGAGAGAGGTTGATATGGTGTGAGAGCTGGAGTCCAGCACCGAATTGGAATGAGCGTCCATCATGCTTTCTTTGGCGGTGTCTGTCATGGCGATGATCTCAATGACGGGAGAGATGGATCTGAACCGCTAGTGATGAGTTTGAACCAAAGAGAAAAGTGAAAATAGACCCAACAGCGAATTATTATACTGAATCACGAGCAAGTGCTGATTAATTCAGAGGTAAGAACTGGACTTTTGAGAGCACCTTCTCTGATTTGTGGTTGGCCGTCAATGTGAAGGCCGAGTTTACCCAAAAGGGGGTGTTGTTTTGCGCATTTTTCGAACGCAGATTTATTGATTACAAATGATCACAGGTAAAAAGCGTCTTTTTTGAGAATAACTGATCGTCTAGTGCAGTGGGATTCGAAATCTGATGTTTTCTAAGCTGCAATTAGGGCATAATATACCGCGCTAGTCCCGAAGCGGAAAGACCGATGAAATTCGTCGGCCGACAATTATCGGTCGTAGTCGGCCATGAAACATCTACTCCTTGTTGTTCAATTTGCAGGGGGAAAAAGAGCAGCATGAAAGATGATGTCAGCATTACAGCTGTGTCTGTCCATGATACCTCCAATCAATTCTGGCACAGCTACTTGCGGATTTTAATAGGAAGTCAGTATCGTCATCCAGAGAGGTTATGTTGCAAGCAGGCTTCAAAAGGACCTCTAGGGCACCATGCACCATATTTATATTCATATGCCTATATATCTATATCCTCAATATTGGTGTACGTATAGCTTTGCTCTACAGTACTATGAGAAGAGTGACTGGTGTTGACTGTACAGTCTACTAATCTAGGTAGACCTCAAGAAGGCCCAGAGCGCCCTTCTCGTGGACTTTGCGAATCACATATCTAGAATCCGCCTCTGTCAAGAGAGCCTCGAATTCCTTGACAGTACGCTGCTTTGCCCCATAGCACACCAACATCACCATATCAGCCTGCCGTCTTTCGCGCTCCCAGATGCGAGATACCTTTGATACCGGCTCCGGGAGAATCATACAATTTATCAGCAAAGGGGTCCCTGGAGCCGAGCCCTCTAACCCAGGTACCACGGCTTTTAGTATGGTAACAAAGTCGTGATCAGCCCAGTTGTGCGTGCATTGGCGAATAAAGTACGCGGAGGCACCCATGTATTTCTGGGGCTCGAAGAAATTTGCCTGAGTAAAAGAGATGCGATCACAGATATCCTCGTCGAGGAGCCAGTTCTGGACAGCAGACAGTCTGATCTAGTATGTAAACTCTTGACCGACAAGATCCTCGCTTAGTTTCCAGCACTTTTCCACGTGTTCAGGGTCATATGCATGCGTGATAAGAGGTTGCACGACCTGGGCGTTTTGCAGGTAGGCTGGAGCCTACACAGCAAGATTAGGATCAAGTGCAGCAATGAGAGGCGTAGCGCCAATCTGCTCGTACGTCTTGAACCTGGGTTCATCTCCAACAACAAAAACAAAATCTTTGCCAGTATTGCGCTTAGTTATTGGAATGATGTCGGCATAGTCATCCATGACTAGATGAGAACCAAGCTTAGTATCGAGGTTGGATCCGGGGTGGCAAGCAAATGAGATGACGCCTCGCTGCTTGAGTCGATTGGTTAGGCCGTGTGTGAATGATATCTGAGCGGTCTTAGCCTGACCATAGCCACTCCATGGATCATAGTTCTTGCCGCCGGAAAAGGCGCAATCATCAAAACGAACAGGCGATATTTGGTAGCCTGCACTAGTGATATTGACCACCCGGCCCCCATTCTCGAGAGCAGGCATTAGTAAATTAGTTAACAGGAAGTGTCCGACGTGATTGACAGACAGCTGCATCTCGATGCCATGTTTGTCTACCGTATAGTCCTTTAAGGCCATATTTCCGGCACTATTGATGACGACATCGATCTTAGACCCAAGCGCCTCCATAATCTTGGTGGCAGCATGCCGTACTGAGTCGTGGTCGGATAAGTCTATCGGAACAAACGTAGCCCTAATTGATGAATCTATCCCGCGGATGGCTGAAAGGACCGGTACAACGTTGGCAGCGGTTCTTGATGCGATGAGGATGTGTGCCGGTGAGGCCCTGGCGAGCTCCGTAGCAATGGAGCTTCAATACTAGGCTGGCCGGCGCCAGTGATAACAAAGACCCGGCCTTTGACTTGAGATTCAAAGGCTGCAACAACATGCTCACTCGATACAGCGGCGTGGAAGACTGGCATGATGACGAAGTCTGGGGTCCGGAGTGCGAACTTGTTGGGTGCCTAATTCCAGCGGCATTGCCCGTGATAAGTGAGTGCTATCATATATGTTAGTCTGCATACACATGCTCGGTTGCTATCAGTGAAGCCGCGAGAATGCGGCCGAATAGTGACGATCACCGATGTCAAGAAGCGGAGTACAGAAGAGGAGAATCCCATTGCTATCTCGAAGCGTTGGCTTGAGACAGTTGTTGGTCAGATGCATATATTGTGCATAGATCACTCAGCCGGTATAAGTGTAGTTTGATTCTAACACGAATTTTCTGTTCGCACGGCCGCGGACATGGGGGCGGAAAACCCTAAGGCAGGTGGTTCGTACGAGGTCATACTTTAGCTTAACACGGAAATGTGCATGTAAAGGTTCAGGATCCTGACTCGTCAAATGCTTTCTCTGTGAGCTCGACTTCAATATATACGAGGAGACGTATTTGAGCCTGTTCGATAGCCAGATAGCTCTATTTCGGATTCCTTGTGAAGTGCAACCAGCACATAACAATCAAGCTTGGCTTAGGGCATAATGTCAGTCGGATAGTAGAAACCGGCAATAACATTTGACCGGATATAGAGCGAGTCTCTAATCAAGTGACTAACGAAGAACGCTCTGTACGCGTAAAGTAATTCGCCTAAAATACCACTTGACGTTATAGCCAATCTGATTTATGCCGATATAGAATGTCTTGCTAAGTTAACTAGCTAGGTAGTTTCAAGCAAATTAGGAGACCAACACTTAGTTGCAGATCTTGCTGTTGGATCATATAATCTAGCAAGCACTTCTAGTTAGTCGAAGCGGAAAAAGATTAAGAGCCAATCGGAGCGACGTGACAATAGCCAATTGATCTATCTGATCATTCTGATAGCGAAGATGGCTAGGTCAGCTTAGCTAATCCAACATCATGCTTTGTATTTATAATATCATCCCGGTCCAGGACGCTATTCATGAGGAGCAAGCGGTAAAGCTTCTAGAACAACAATGCAGTCGTCCAGCAGGCGGAAACGCGAGGTGTATTCTTGTCTCCCTTGTTACACAAGAAAGCAAAGAGTACGACCTTTTCGAGAAAATGATGCTCTTTACAAACACTCTTTGCTAACAGGTCGTACCTGAGTAGTGCAATCGCCAATATCCTTGCGACAGGTGCGCTCGCCGTAAACAGCCAGAGTATTGTGTCTACAATTCCTCGCCGCCCGCACCGACTCCGAAGAAACGCGACGAGGACATGCAGATTCCTTCCCCGACTGTAGTTACGACCGCGAGTAGCAGAACAGAGAGGACCGAGTCTTCATTAGCGGAAGCTTATGGCTACTATGGACGTAGCGAATATAATACCATGGCCCTCGTGCGAAAGGTATTTTGACGATGAAATCGTCACAACTCTAGGAATGGCTCGATAACCTCTTTTGGTGCACAGTTAGTACACGAAGATGATGTCCCTAATGCTCAAGACACACCTATATCAAATGAGATTGCGGCCGAGGTCCGCAAGACGCTGGACAAGATGTTGAATCGTCCCATACTCGATTTCTTGGTCCGATATTTCGTGACCAAAGTCAACTGGTACGCTTGCTCGCCATAAAGATGAACTTTTTGTCTGGGTGTTACTGACAGTCATCTTCTAGGATCGAGCAACTTATATATGCACCTTGGTTCCTCACGCAATACCAAAGATGGTGGAGTCTTGACAGATTATCATCTGTTGCCGACATCGAATTCACCATTCTCTTCCTGAGAATTTGTTGCTACGCTTCCCAATATCTTCCTTCCCCAACCTATACCATTGATAGCATCAAAGGGGTAGCTTTAGTAGATATCCGTAAGTCTTGCGAAGAAGTCATCAACGCACTTGGTCCAATATGTGTCCGTCTGGATCCACCAGGCTCCCTGGTACGCGTACTACACATCCTCTTTGCTGGATTGGGGTCTCTATGTGTAAGCCGAATGAATGCGTTTTGGGAAGCGCTTAGCTATGGCACACGCGTGGCACAGCAAATAGGCCTACGTCGAGATACTATTAAGTGGTCCAGCAACGTAGATGAGCTCGAGAAGGAGATGACACGGCGAGCAATTTGCAATCTCTACATATGGGATAGGTACCTCCTCCCCTGACGGTTTCGTTGTTTTTTTTTTCTCGATGGCATTCCAACCTTCAATCTATAGCTGTTTATCAAAACGCCTCGACCGTATACCTTTTTTGCCGGATACTTTAAGCGAGGACTTCATGCCACGAATGCGTCTCCTACCCGATACTGAAATTGGAACCGATGTGCCGGACGTCTTCACAGAGCGCGTTCTGCGAGCACAACTCGCCCAGTTCTGGCGTAACCACGGCTCAGCCAGGGACTCGGAATACGATGCAATAGCAGCAGAAGAGAGATACGAGACGTTTTGTGCTGACTTTCTGCAAAAGATGCCTCCGGCTTTTGCTCTGCAGCCGGATAAGCAATGGGACGCGCGCTTGTCCACGCTCCCCATGCAACGGCAATTACTACATAATGCCATCTTTGAGCATCTGTGTTGGAACTTTCGGCCCGTGCTCTTTCAGCGATCGGACCAGGTTCGGCATCTTCCGGGATATAAGCAGATCCTGGTAACACACAATAAACAGGCGCTGGCTGCAGCGTCACTTGCGCTTCTGGAGGGTGTTTCGAACTTACATAGTCTGATGGGTGGCTCTCATACGAAATTCTCAGGCATTATTGTGCCAACCTTTGAAGCTGCGGTACCGCTGCTTTGTCTGTACGCGGATAAGAACTTCCCTGAAGAGATTACACCAGAGAGTCCATCTCACATAATATTAAAGTCAGACCCCATAGGCCACGGAATACGCCATCTGACGCGCGCAAAATGCAGACAGGCAGCTCAGCATGCTCTGGATTGTCTACAGAACCTTGCAGAGGTCAGTAATCTGGCTGAAACAGGGGCGCGTACTCTCGCTCGCCTCATCCACGGTATTGAGAGCTCGCCACCGTACACTGAAAGCTATGGAGATTCCTCAAATATAGCAGTTGACTTGGTAATGCAGACTTCTGAAGCTTGGAGTTATGGTCAGGTGCAGGAATCTGCGTTGGGGGATTCGCAGGCGCTTTTCCATTACGATGATGGTCAGTGTCGTGAGATTGGTCCCAGTTGGGAAGAGATGTTACAGGATCTCAATGGTAGCTTTCTGCCCGGAGAGTTTGGATCTCTCTGAACGCAGACCATACCCCTATACAATGTCCATCAATGGTCTTAGAATAGAGGCTCGCCCTTGTATTCCATCGTTATGTTTACAGTATGTATTCTCAAACCATTTCCTTCGCCTTTGGATCTTCTGTACTGCCAGGTAAGACTATCCATTACATGGTAGCTTTGCAACAGACCACCAACCGGTTGACTACCGGAACTCCCCAGAAATTGGCACTTGAATCAGAGAGATGCTTCCCCAATAAGATCGACACCCTAACTAAACTTAGCGTGGGGCATATATCAGGCTTTCATATCGATATGGTGTGCACGATCGTTCTTCGTATCAGTGATATTGCAGTTTGCCTTCGGCTGACCAGGATATCTAAAAACATGATGACCCAGCATGCATCAACTAGAGTCATCCGTTGGAAGTGCTAGATTAATATCCTCCCGTGATCAATGCCTTATCTATTAATATAGGCTGACCATGCGAGTATAAAAGTACCCCGCGTGTGTCATACAACGTGCAGGCTGTCGGCCGACATTGTTCGGTCGTCGCAAATGAATCGGTTGCCCCATTATTGATCGTTCCTTCACAATTCTAGTAAGACGATTCGACCAGACTGTTTGTAGTGCAGACGGAACCGTATATTCTCGGTGCTGGGGTGCGGAGAGCGAAATTTCGCAAAACTGGATGGCACATACAATCAATTGATCGATGATGGAGCATTTTAAAGTGTCTAAATAGCGACGTATCAGATGAGTTGTATTGATATATTGAAGCAACCGCGTATGACGAATCTGCTTGAGATACCCTTCCATAAACAATATGGGGCTTCTGGGAACAATCACTGCGTACAGCAACAAAGCCTTACCGGCCATGACAGCCATCGTCGCCGTCTCGCTTGTAGCCATCGCTCTCCGCTTGTTGTATCAGTGGCTCCTCCCCAAACCCCTTCCAGGCATCGCGCACAACGTCGAAGCCACGAAGTCCCTATGGGGCGACGAGCCAGCATTGTCGCGCTACCTCTCCAGCAACGGTGAATTCAGTTCATGGCTCGGCGAGCAATGCCTTAAACTTGGCTCCCCAGTCGTTCAAGTCTTCATCCAGCCATTCAAGTTGCCGTGGATATTAGTAGCAGACTTCCACGAAGCGCAAGATATTCTCATGCGACGAACGGAGTTTGACAAGCCCCAGTTCTTGATTGACGGTCTTCAGGCCCTGGGTGATTTCCACGCCAGGTACAGAACAGGCGATGAAAGGTTCAGGGTTCGCCGACAACTGAGACAGGATCTGATGGCTCCCAAGTATCTTAATAATTACGTTGGTCCGTTTTCTTATGAAAAGGGACTTGAGCTCGTCAGGTTGTTTGAGGCCAAGACAAAGCTTGCAGGTGGGAGACCGTTTCGTGTTCGGGAGGATTATGCGCGTGCTGTTCTGGATGTCATGCTTCACCACGCATTCGGGGAGAATTATGATGAATCAGCAATGAAGCCTCAGCTAGAGCTTCTTTCCAAGATGGAGCCTTCGTCGATCCTGCAAGAAGGAATTGATGAGCCGGTGGCCTTTGCGGAGGCGCCGAGAAGCTTCTTTCTCGAATTGCTTCATGAGACGGCTGAGATTATGGAAAGGACCACTATTTCCGCCACGCCACAGCTCAGCTTTTGGTGGTGGTCGCAGCAAAAGTGGTATAAGAAAATTGTTGCGGAGAGATACCAAGTAATGATGCAGCAGCTTCAAAAGGCGGCTAGTAGTTTGCAAACGGGCAAGGTAGCCTCTGCGCTTGAGCACATGATGATGCGAGAGGAAGCTTTAGCAAAGAAGCAAGGTCGAGAGCCTCGATTAATTACTCAAAACATGGCCGATGAGGTAGGCTTTTCGTTGATTTTGCAGCCAATAAAGCTAATCGGACCTAGATCTTTGCTGACCCCATGACTGGTCACCATACCACCAGCGCCGCAATAACCTGGGTAACCAAATACCTCACAGGGTATCCCCAAACCCAAAGAAAGCTCCGAGAAGAACTGTACTCTGCATTTCCTGCGGCAGTCGCAGAGCATCGACCACCAACATTCGATGAACTGAAGAGCGCCAAACTCCCATACCTCGAGGCCGTCATTGAGGAAGCACGGCGTCTAACGCCATTCGTCATTGTGCGAGAAACAACTCAAGACACCGAAATCCTTGGGCGGAAAGTGCCCAAAGGCGCACAATGTTTGATGGTCAGCGCTGGGCCGGGTATCACATTACCTTCTGTCCCCGTGGATGAAAATACGCGCAGTGTATCATCAAAGGCAGCAAAGCCATGGGGCAAATGGGACGAGTCGCGAGACTTGAAACTCTTTGAACCGGAACGCTGGCTTGTAACCAAGGAAGACGGCAGTGTTGATTTTGACGCTACTTCGGGTCCTCAGCTTGGGTTTGGGATGGGGACCAGGCAATGCTGGGGCAGGCGGCTGGCGCAGTTGGTGATAAGGACCATCGTTGCATTGGTGATTTGGGAATTTGAGATGCTAGATATACCGGATGAGCTTGGAGGGTACGCTGGACTTGATGGGATTTCTCGTGAGCCCGTGAGGGCCTTTGTCAGGTTGAGGAAGATAACCAATCATAGAGTATAACTCAGCTTTCTCTGTCTCTCAGGTGCATGTAATCAGAAACAAATTCATTCTAGTCTATATTCAGAATAAAATGTATACAGACTTATCTCGGATTACATTGCTACCCATAGTCTCCCTCCCTAATCTAAAGTCGAAAACGAAGAACAAACGCCTTTCAGTCCATGACCAATGCCAAACTCACGAAGCAAAAACAGAAAAACCGAGGCAACGATGAAAAGAATCGATATATGTATAGGAAGCTCCAATCCTTACGCCCGTTGCGCATGCCACATGAATACGTCATCAGTCATGATGTAAGAAAAAATGAAATGAAAAGAAGAGATGGCTGACATAGCCATCGAACAGGAATATTAGAAACCAGAAAACAAAGTGAACCACGCATCGGGTATCATATATCACAATACATTCAAGAAAGAAAAAGGGGTTTTCCAAAAAGCTGATTAAAAGCTGACTTCGCCTGGGTCGCTCTCGACGACACCTTCTACCCAAAATCCATCTGCCGGGTTCTCTCGGCTGGCAATTCGGTGGCCTGGAGCAAGATCTTCCCCTTCGCCTCGCTCGACAACGTCTTCTTGCCCGACCTCTTTTAGTATTCGTTGAAAGTACATCCGCAGTGTGCGGAGACCTCGGAGGTAACCACGGTCTATATCGCCGGGATGATGAGGCGGGCAAGAAACATCAGCAGGAAGCTCATCTTCTCCTGTAACGCAATTGGCAAAATCCACGATCTTCAACTTCACATCCTGGTCGTTGTGCCAATCTTCGGACTCTCGCCGGGTCATACGAGGTTTCTCGGTAGATAGCGAATCCTTGGAATCACCGCCACCCTGTCCTTTGCCGGCTGCGTCACCATCATACAAAATCAAGAGACTGCTGGCGTAGAAGCGATATCTATGAAGTTTCCGAATCATACTTTCGAGTGTGCTCAATTGCTGCAGAATGCTTGGGATCTTCTTGACGACACTTCTGTAACTGACGCCATCGTAGAGGAACCGCGTCAAAGCATCTTGGAATTCGCGGCCTGAGGAAAGATCTCGTCCGTAATATTTATCCTCGAACAAATACTCCTGCTTCTTGACGTTCCAAGTTTGCATGCCGCACAACCGTACTCCTAACTGCTGCGATGTTGTCGTTTGACATTTTCGTCGCTGGGATTTCTTCTTCTTCTCGTCCGCATACAGTCCGTACTGCCGTGTGCCCATCTTCAAGTCAAGAACACATGGTTTATTCATGCCAGCTGTCAAATCCTCCAAGAGAATAAAGAACTGAACACGCTCGTCTTGTTTTGTTTGGGCTTCTTTAGGGTTGGTCGGTACATGGATCGGTTCGGGCTCATCAGACGGGCGACTTGCGACTTGGAGCGGAGAACCAAGCTTGACAGTGTGTGGATTTGGAGATCGGGGCGCACTTGGATGAGTACGAAGTGGAACTGGTGCGGCAGGAGAGGGCTCAGACACGTCACCCTCCATGGCAAAGATTGCGTCCTCGTGGTCGCCTCCATAGCCATCGTCTTCAAAGAACATGAGGTCACCATCGCCGCTTGTGATACTTGTTCGTCTAAGTAATCCGCTACCTGAATGTCGTCGCCTGACACGTCGGTCGCTGCTTAAAGAGCTCGCCCGAGGAGGCGTTTCTGATCTTCTCAACTTGTCCAATGGGTTGGAATGCCTTTCTATTGCACTTGAGACGGATGAAGCAAGGTTAGGCCCATCCGGGACCCCACCCTTCGCAATATCAATTGCGAGACTCCTCGCAGGCGATTTTCCGCCACTTCCAGTTCCGCTGGATGCGTGATCCTCTACGCCATCGCCATTGATTCGGCCAGTTTCCGAACGATATCGAGGCAATCCAGGGTGGTTGCGTACTGATCGTCGATTATGATGATGAATTGGCGGCGGACTGAAGACTTCGCGGAGAACCTGCTCCTTTAGCTTTCTGTTTACAGTGGTAGCACCCCAGATTTTGGGTTTCCCAATTTGTGGTATTATTCGCCGATCGATATCCTCCGCCAAAGAATTTCTGGGCGTGTCGTCTGCTGATTTTGATAATTCATCGGAGGAGAAATAATCCAGGTGTTTTGTCTCGGCTCCGTTCCGTGGCGGAGAGGATAGGAAAAGGTCGGAGGGAATAATATGTCTGTTATTTTCAATAGTAACTTTGGGGATTATGCCAGTGGTTTGTTGCTGGCTGAAGATTCTTGGCTGGTCTGCAGCTTTGGGAAGACTGCCGGCTGTTTCCTTCTTGAAGCTATGTGCAGCAGGTTGTCCTTCCGCAGCAACCTCACTAGCTTTTTTGATAGCGCCGTTGCTGCGTTTCTTTGAGTGTTTAGGCTTCTTTGAGAAAGTCACGTTCAAAACACCAATATACCTGAGAACAAAGATTAGGTGAAATTTCATATTAATACGAGAATGGAAATTACCTGGGTAAAAAGACCAGCATTTCAGGGTGCCGCCTTTCTATACGTTCGTAGAACTCGTTCTCGCGGTTATTGAGTTGCTTGCAAACCGCTCGCCGAGAAAACCGAAAAACGGTGGTATGTCCGCCCACTTGATGCCGATAAGGTTTCAATTCCACTGCGCCAACGAGTCCACCTTTAGTATGCTTACGGCGATGGCGGTATTGCCTTTGTGCCTGAGTAGGCGTCAGCGCTAGATGTTCCGCATCGTCTGTCAGACTCGAAATCTCATCTAGGGTAGACAATGTGCTTTCAGCCTCCGATTCTGATGCCGTTTCCTGGCTGTACTCTGAAACGGTTGCAAAAGCCCTCTCTTCCGCATCGCTAAGTGGTTGATAATCCCCATGAAGGACACTATCATCAGTTTTTGAATGTAGAGATATGTCAACATGGCCAGTTGGTTCTGTTTCTAGCTGATCACGGACAGCCGGTCTTAGGCGATCATATTCTTCTTCCTCATGTCGGTATGCCGAAAACGGCTCTTCTTCCTCTACAGGTGCGACCTCATGAGGGAAGTACAACGCAGACGAAATATGCTCGTCTTCCTCATCCTCCTGGGCGATATCCGGGGTCCGGGTATCGCGAATCGGCGTCCTATCTTCTTCGACGGACGATGAAGGCTGAAATTTGTCACGAGCTTCGTTTCGAAGCTTTTCTGCGTATAGAGTGGGGATGCTTGGAGAGAAGGAGCTGCCACGTGTACCGCCAGATGTCAGGTGGAAGTTACGTATTTCTTCTGACAAACTTCGCGGGATGGTTCGAATAGCATGAGGTGACAACTCCACATCGACGTTCACTACTCGTTCCACCGGTGCGGATAGTGGGGTAGACTCGTCTTCATAGGATTCAGCGCGCTCGGTTTCGTATTCCGTCCGCTGCTGTGGCCCGTGTAGAACTGCATGACTTGGTCGGGGTGTAGATGGGGAGGCCTGCTCCTCTCCAGCTACATCTTCTTTGAGATCCTCAACAATTGCCGTATGTTCCGTAGGCCGATCTCTGCCCTCGCGTCTCTTGCGATCCGGCGAGGTGGTGTTCTCTTTGAATAAACCTAAATAATGGCTAGACTTGCGGCTTCGCACGTTAGCGGCAGGCTCAGCATTCGTCAAGTTAGCTTCGATTGATTCCTCCACCCGGGCGCTACGGCCGCGGCTAGAACTCTGACTGGCATCTCCATCCCAAGTGACATCCACCGTCCCATCTCTATTCCTTAAATGTCGCGCGTTCTGCCACGAATCCGCCAGTGCAATGTCGTGATTGGTTAGAGGAGGGTGCAACATGGGAGGGTCGTTGATATGAGAGCGAGACTCGCCAGAAGTGGAGGAGGTAAGGAAAGGATGATCGTGATCAGGCGAGATAGGACTCTCGATATCGTGGCCGTCCGATACAATCTTCCTTAAGGGATGAAAGGTTTCTCGGATGGCAATGCGATGAGTACCGGCGACCTTTGAACTTTCGACAGTCTCTTGCTGTTTTACCCAGCCAACATGTGAGCCAGTCAATGGCACAGAAGGAGACTGGAGCAGTAGATCAGAAGCACGGCGAAAGACAGTTGGACGTGACATATATTTTCTAGGTGACGAGGCGTCGTCCTTTTTGAGTGTGCGAGGCGGCGGATCGTTGTTGGTAGATCCAGAACCGCCAACGGCAGACCGCCCTTCGAATGGATTCGACAAAACAGATATAGGCACTGTCGCGGACGAAGGGGCGTCACCAGACTTCGTTAGTCCTATCGAGCCCTGGTCAACATGGCGATGTTCTTGGACAGAAAGCGATGAGGGAGGAGATGAAGTGACGGCATCGTTGGTATCGGACGGGAGATAATGAGTTGCGAAGATGCTGTCCCTCTCGGAGAGTTGGGGAGTCTGCGAGCGAGAGTCCGAACGTGTCGAAGAGAAAGCGCGAGAAGATCCCAACTGCTCAGCAGGTGTAGTGCTAGATCTTCTCAGTGCAACATCTGATGGAGGTGGAGGTAAGGTTTTTGTGCTACCGCGTCCGGGAGGGAATGCGGTCGGCGCAGGATGAGGGTTGGCAGGGCCATGATTGGAATGGACAAGAGAATTAGTATGCGACGTGTTCCTGTCCATTGGGATTCGCTGGTGGCGCTCGTGCTCAAACTCGGGCCGGGGATGGACGAGGTGCGCAAAGCTAGGGCTGGGGCCACGGTCATCGGGGCTTTCCCTGTTCGAGAAAACATCCTGGGCAGACGAAATCGACGTCGCAGACGTTATCGGCAGGSCAGGCGGGGCATGACCTGTCGCGGAACCCGGTCTGGACATGGGGGAAACATTGATTAGACCAGCTCGTGGGGGTTTTTAGGGTGTGAGTAGGCGGAGGATGAGAGGATGCGAGGAGGGCGAGACAGTGAGGCGAGGCGAAACGTGGGCGAGGATGAAAGTGTCAGTAGTTGGAGGTAAGTTTTAGCTTAAGCTTGGATCGAGCGGGCGATGGCGACAACGATGTGCGCCGTCCGTGATTGTATGTACGGTATGACAGGCCAGGTAGATTGATGAGAACTTGGAAAGAATTAACGGGGCGCAATAATCTTGGTTAAGAAGGAGAAAAATGATGGTGGTGGTAGTGGTGCTGGTGGTGGAAAGTTGTGAAGAAGCGGAAAAAGCGAGGCCGGAGATTGGACGATCACAGTTTTCCTGGGCTTTCCGCCGGCCCCAAAGGGGGAAAGAGTCTGGAACGGAAACCTGACTCAATATGGACTAAGCATGCTGAAGCCGTGCGCAAATTCAATTCAAGATGTTTATTTACTAGAATTATAACTGACTATGTAATATAATTGCAAGTAGATTTGCATCTGAAGGATCTGGTTATCTTTGCCCGGCAAACCGCTTACTCGGGCTGCTTCACGTGCTCGGGATGCCTATTAGTACTCTTTGTACGTATTCCTCCGTATTCCACAACAGTGAGAAAGAACGAGTACGGGTAATAGCGAACGTACGTACTCCGTAGACAGCTCAATTTAAGTAACTACTACTATGTATGTATGTAAAAAGTCCTTGGCCAGTTACTTAAGTACGAACGTATTGGCGATACAGAGAGCGACATATGACGCGGGTGGCCCGTTACCAGCGACACGGATCATGTACCGAGCGTGTTTGTCGACGCTAGCAAGCCTTACGGTATGTATCAATACAGACCAATCCTTTGTCTTTTACCTACTCCGTAAAGTACTGGAAAGTATACACAATAAGTATTACTACAGCAGGTTTTGATATGTGCTGTTGAGAAGATATCGTACATAACGCCAGACGATACTACCCTCAGGCAAAACAATTCCCCTCAAACCAATCTTTATGAGTTATGTATCATATCAAGCTCACTGCGTCATCTGTAACTATCGACTACTACTGCATACTATGTATTAACTATTCGGAGGACCTCCGTATCCACCCGCTAGCCTACTATTCGGCACATCCTCTAGATTCTCTACAAACCAAGCCTACTTGGGCGTGGCTCCGCTCCACTCGACTTCAGCCTGAACTTATGTAATGTACTGTATCGTATAGTTCGTTACGTATTTGACTATTACTACGTATGTAGATAACTTACCTCACCGTCTAGAAGGATGGAAGTACAGAAGGAGCGGTGGACCGATCGACACCTGCGATACTTCGGCACGTTGGTCGGGCATCGTTTCTCACTGATCGATCCCACGGAGCATATTCATTACTATCCAGTATTCCCCTATCCAGATACGTAAGCCAGAATTTCATGGATACGATACACACCCTCCACTCACAGCCGATGTTTCAACCACATGCAATCACCGCCAAAAACGCTGTTAACTAAGTTCTAAGTGATGAAATAATCGATGATACATAGTTATGATTCTGTCTAATATTGACTCCAGCTTCATTAATTCTTTCCTCCCTTGCGTCCTCCTTTCGACGTTAGTTGTAAAATTGTTGAGCATCAAATGCCGCAACGAGACGGCCAATCGTTCGGCAACGTGCTCTATGCACCGACCAATCATGACTCGCATTCTATATCCTCTCCATTATGCGATATAAACAAACAAATTTTCCCATATATGACTCGGTGGTAATGCAGAGATGTGTCCGTTTTCGTGCTCCTACATATTGTCGTAGTATATACTTTATCGTGTGTCTGGGGTATGCTGATCTTTTCCAACCCTTGATAATCCCTAAGTTGCCCAAGTTGTTGGATGCAACCCGCGTCAGTGGATGACAGTGGACACCCTTTCAAGGACTAAGGCATGTCATACATATATCTCATATCCTTGTCGACACAATTGGGTTTGTTGCATCTGCATTTCCGAGGTTTCGAAGGTCTTTCCGAGCTGGAAGTGAGAGATTTTAATCCATGTCTTGGTGTTCAGTGTGCATGTGCTGGCACGTAGGGTGCAAGCAAAGAACACAAGGAATCATGACCTAATGATGTTTCACAATCGTAGCTTGAAAGTAATCAGGCCAGTAATCTGATATGGAATAATCATGGCGGCTATGACATGTCAAACGGCTTCGTGAAATTTTAGGGCTAGGATTTACTTTCCAGCGTGCGGGATTTTTGTTTCAACGAAACGCAACTCTAATCTCTGTATCATTCATTTTGTGTTTATCCTTGCCATGAAAAACCATCTAGACGCCACTATAGGCGATTTTTGATATCTCCATCTTAGAGCGTGGATAACCGCATCCGTTCCCCCCTTCCCAGAATGAACAGCACCCTCCATATACCCTCCCCTTCCTTTCATACGTAGTCTCCGTCCCAAGGAGAGATCTCCGTTGAATTCCTTAGAGGATTATCAAGAATTATCCTGGTGCGTTGGGTTGCTTCCGCTGAGGGGGATCGTTTGCTATACTGATTTATCTCTTTGTAGAGTCAAGCCGGTTGCTGCATTGCATCATGAGACTACTCTCCACTAGTGCCTAAGTATTGGGCATACTTCTACGTATTCTGGCTCATTGTGTTCTCCATGATTCATGATGACCTATGCTATAGCTCAGTGATGTCGAGTCGGGTTTCTCGGGATGGCCTACCAGTATAGAGCTATTAGGGCTAATGTCCCGAAATGGAAAACAGTCTGCTATCTGAGGATTGGTCATAGAAGTTTATGTTTACATACCTACCAGCGACAATTACTGTATTTGATTACTCCTAGATTCAATCACTGTTGCCTGCTGATGAAAATCTCCTTCTTATCCACGACAATATATTCAGCATGTCGTCAGCAACCTATTAATAACCTACCAATAACAGATTCGTAAACAACTCAAACACGGCCAATAACCCTTGATGGAAGATTGGAAACCACATACGGAGTAGGTAGCCTTGCACTTGATACTCTCTGCAATGCTGAGGAGCCTTATCGTTGTCTCCATCTTTTAGCATTGGTAGTGGGCTCTAGTTGCTGATAACAGCGGGTCATGGAGTCCTCCTATCGCTGACACCTGCACACATGTGATAGAAGCACTAATTGATACTGGTATAGCTGAAGTTGTAATCATCTTTAAGAATAGACTGCACTTATTGGCCATCGAACCGTTGTATTTGTCACATTCATACATCTTCGATGTCAAACTGTGCTGTAACCGTAATGCAGAAGCAACATCAACATGTCGGATAAAAAGAGAATCCTCCTTATTGGCAGCGGCGGCGTCGGCACAATGGCCGCGTTCAGCCTCGAAGCTAGCGGCCTCGCAAGTGTGACTGCAGTCTTGCGCTCCAACTACGAAGCAGTGTCTAAGAATGGATTCAATATTGAATCTGTCGACTACGGCACTCACAAAGGCTGGAAACCGACAGAAGGTAAATCACACCATTCATTTCCTAGGTAGTTGACGAAAATGCTGATTGTATCAGTAATCAACAGTGTCCCCAATGTGTTTGATGAAGGCGTTGAACCCTTTGACTACATCGTCGTGACTACGAAGAACTGTCCCGACATAAAGCCCACAGTCTCAGAAATTATTGCGCCAGCTGTGACGGCGGGTCACACAGCCATTGTCCTTATTCAAAACGGACTCAATATCGAGAAGCCATTGATCAAGAGCTTCCCAAGAAACATTATCATATCCGGCGTGTCTCTCGGTGGCACCGAGGAAAATGGGCATGGCAATATCATCCATAACGATCACGACGTCTTGATCGTCGGACCTTTCCAGAATTCCAACATCTCATCTAACGCTGCCCTTGCAGCCGCTAAAGAATTTTCTGAAATCTATAAGAAATCCGGTAACGTCATCTGTGAACTGAATGAGGACGTCGGGTTTGTCAGATGGAGAAAACTCGTGTATAACGCCTGCTTCAACCCCGTCGCTGCAATCACCCGCATGGACACTTCGCGCATGAGACTTGCAAGGACGCCAATCGACGATCTGATCAGGCCAGCCATGTGGGAAGTCTGGAATGCAGCAAAGGCGGCCGGCCATGAGCTCCCTGCAGAGCATGTTGAGAAGACGATCGAAGCTGATCCATTCGACGTATGGTGCAAGCCGAGTATGCTGCAGGATGTCTTGAAGGTAATGCCTCATATGTTCCTGTGGCAGTATTATCCTCCGTTTGTATGTTGACAACTCCAGGGCAACTTTATCGAGCACATAAACCTGGTCTGGGAACCTATCCAGGAAGCAGAGAAATTAGGTGTCCCGACACCTACGTTGAAGATCATCTTTGCATTTTGTCAAACACTTCAATGGCAGGCTAAAGAAGCAAAGGGTTTGGTGACTCTACCAGCGGGCGCTCTTCCCGCCTTGGGTTTAGAAAGTACAAGTTCAGGCTAGGATGATGTTTGTTGTCACTCAAATAAACTCAATTTTCCCCAAGCGTGCCTTTGTCAGAGCGATAAAGCTAAATATAGTCAAACGGGTTGACGAGAATGAATAAAAAAACCCAAAGAGTCAAAGTACCACGCCAATAAATGCATGCTTCTAACGTATCAAATAGTACACGCGCCGAACCATCCCGTAGCACTCACTCTCTGCCTGAACCCGCAAGCCCAAAAATGCATGGAACAAAACCTCCTTCCTCCAAACCATTACTGGCATAACGCATTGCTGGGAGCCTTCTTGGTAAAAACACCTAATTGCTCCAACTTACTCCACAATCTATCGACTTCTGCCTTGTCATGTTCCAAAATAGGTCTGATCTCCAATCCGTCCAGCACTCTGATTGAACCACCAGTTCCGGCGTACAACATGACTTCTAAGGTCATACGTTTCGACTTGGTAGATCCGTCCAGTGTTGATCGGTACTTATGGTCCGCCTCTGCGTCTGCTGGGGGGAGTGTATATGGATCGTCGATTTCCACATCCGTGACCTCCTTGATGGCCATCTGACCTTTGAATCCAACCACTGCGTTTTGTTCTGTTTCATCAAATACCGCCGGGAGCAAGTCGGCACCTGTTTCAATGTTTTTCTGGCACCTTTGTGTTTTGTGAAGCTTATCTTCCAGCATTTTGATATGCGTATCAGCTCGGCCACTACCCGAAACGGGGGGAGGGTAGAAGCCAACAGTCAGAGGGTTGCTTCGGAGATCAAGTGTCTTCAAAGAACTATGATCATGTTGACTTGATCGGCCAATTCTTGCCACGACCTGACAAAGCATGCGTAATCTGCTGATTCGATTGCCTGCCGCTGTCAAACGACTTAGGCCTCGCATATCGGCAATACTTCCAAGGTCGCTAACGGAATTAAAATTGAGATTGAGAACACGTAGGTTGGGGAAACTCTTGCCAAAATGTCCGGGAAGGACACGAATACCGCAGGATGCAATGTCAAGAAGCTGCAATGCCAACATGGGAGCTGAAGGCGACAGAGTTCGATCAGAGAGTCTATTCGATGACAAAAAGATCTTGCGAGTGTCACTAAGTGGACTGAGATCGATATCCAGAGACGCTCCCAGCTCTGGAGATTGTCCAGAAAATTGCTCTCGCACCGAGAAGACTTCCATTCCGCCACACCCAGCTAGGCCAGACACTGTCGTCAAGTAATTATTGTCGAGGTATAACAACCGAAGCCTGGGATAATATGAAACATCAAAAGTAGAAAGACGGTTGCTCGATATTTTCAAATTGCGCAGACTTCGTATTGGCACAGGCAGCTGTAGTTCTCGGATCTGATTCTCGCTTATATCCAATGTCTCTATCGATGGAAGGTATTCCAGATGCTGAACGGTGGAGATTCGGTTGTTGCTCAGGTCAAGTTCACTTAAACGGACACTATTGTCAAGAATGGTCAGCTATGGACTAACTATGCTGAAGTTGGTGAGCACTTACAATTCCGAGCCTTCAAAATCAACCGTAGTCAGGTTATTGTTCTTCAGCTCTAAGCGCAACAGCCCATTCAGACCAAAAACCCCCTTGATATTGCGTATTCTGTTATTGTTGGCACGAAGCTCTCGGAGATGGAACAACGTCGAAAAGCCGTCCAAAGTTTCGAGTTGATTGCCAGAGACATCCAGGTATTGAAGATTGATGAGGTGGCCCCACGAGGTCAAACTCGTAAGACAATTGTGCTGCACCCGCAAATCACGCAAAGTTGAAGGAGTACCGTCAAGTTGGGCCAGTTCATTCTCGGAGACGTCCAACTCTTCCAGCAAGGGGCAAAATTCATCCAACTGATGAAGAGTCACGATACCCTTATCTCGCAGGGATAATCGACGTAACTGCTCCCAGAATGGCTCCGTGGGCTCCACATCAGTGATGTGTCTGATGAGGTCTTCTGTAGCCAAAGCAAAAGTTCCATGTATCTGACGCAAAGAAGAGGGATGAGTACGAGGAGCAACATAGCTGGTATTAGCATGCATGGGATCGTCCGTCTGATGAACGGTGAATTCGGCAAGCGAGCTCATATGGAAGCTGTAGTTATCATGTCGCGCAGACGACGGAAGTATCATGGATCTTTCTACTGGTGTAGGCGTAGACCCTGTCGAGTTTCGACGAACTAAGCTCATTTCCGCATAGCTATCCTCGGTCCGCTCATCAATACGAGATATCGGACGGCCAACGAATGGTTTGCCATCTAATGATGTACGGCGTGATGGAGCGACAGTTGAAGCTCTGTCGTCAGCCTGTCGCTCATCATGTTGTTCTTTTGACGTCTTTTCATCCTCGCCATCGTCAACGTAGGAGATGTGTGATACCAGAGGCGAGGAGAAGCTGATAGTAGCGGCTCTCTTTGAATTGGATCCTATAGACTGCTTGGGCTGCTTGAGCTGCTTGAGCGAGCTTTCCTGCACTGCTGTAGATTCACCCTCGATTTTGTTTGAACCTGAATTTACAAATCTGCCCAGGTTGACAGTCAAATCCTCGGTTCCCCATGACGTGGCTCGAGTTTCGGGTTGTGGGCCACTCGAGGTAAATCGCGTGGTCTTTGATTGTACAGAGCTAGAATCAGGAATGAAAGGATTACCTTCTCGAGTCACTGGTCGTTCAGTACTATGAGAGACGCTTTTTCCGTCGTGATTTGCCCTTAATGTTTGCTCGGTATCTGCGGTCTGCTCCTCTTTGCGAGGAGAAGTGAACTGCTCGGCTCTCTTGACTTCCTCGAGCTCATCGTAACTTAGATCCGGTATGCTGCCGAATGGATCGTCCTCACTGTCTTCCCCTCGTACATTCCCACCGGCACGATCCACTCTCTGTTTGACCCAAGATTTTGTAATTCGATCGTAATTCATACCATTGACCTGTTCTGGTATCAAGTGCGAAACCATATTAGAGGCAATCACACCCTTTGTATTTGAGCCACTGGATGAAATCGTAGGTATTGAATGCGATGGAGCATCGTCGTCGGAAAACTTGCGCTTCCGCTGAGGCAAGATTCGCACATCCTGCGGACTATTCGTGTTATCCATGTTCGTCTGCTTTTCTTTATACAGGTCCGACATGACCGATGCCATGAACTGTTCCGTATCTTCTTTATCGGCGAACTTCTTGAGATGACTGACGACGCGTGGGTGCATTGGTCGGGGCTCCCTGAACTTTCGCATGTCCACACCTTCACGACTGGGAGGTCGTGAAAGGTTCTCTCGGCTTGATTCGTCTTCGTCTTCATCTTGCCCTGTAATTTCTGATTCCTCCACACTTGCTAGCTCGCTCGTGTATTTGTTCTTTGAGCGGATGATACTCATTACTTTTGTAGCCTCATCGAGGAAATCCTGTGTAGTAAGAGAACGCTTGTGATCGTCTTGACTTGATGCGCCTTCAATAGAATCATCAGCTCTATAGAAAGAGCCTCCCGATATGCCTGTGGCCCATGGATCTCCAGCCTGCTCAGAATTTGGCGAGCTCGAATTTATCATATGAACCTGGGATCGATGCCACAGCTTTTTGTCTTCGAGACTCATGTTGAGTGCGGCTTCAATCAACTCGGTGGCATCCAAAGACTGTTCTTCGGTCTGTTGTAGAGTCCGACGCCTTTTTGGAGCTGTGGTTCTGCTTGACATGTTACTTATGCGCCTTACGTTCGGATTCGACTGGTATATGCCCTGACTGGATTGGCGATCATTAGGGTGGCGCGAAAGTCTGCTCTGTAAAGCTCTGGTTGATGTTCCATTTTCAGGCAGATTTTCCAGACTTCGAGTTTTCCTTAGAGCTTCGTTCACAGTATTCTGAGAAGATGACCTTTGCCGGAGCTGACGTTCGCGAACATATGATTTTTGAAATGAAAGACTGGCTTCTCGGTTGACAGGTTCAAAATTGAAGCGTCCCTGTCCAAAACTGTTCATGCGAGGGTTCGCTGCATCTTGAGTAGAAGGACGGTTATCACTCCTCTGGGGATGAGTATGTCCACGTCTGAGAACTGGCAGATTGCGCTTTGAGGTGCGTGTCCTTCTCGCAATCAAGGAAGGTGATGCTGGTTCTTCGTCGTCCGATACGTCTTGATAGGTCTCTTCGAATTGACTCATGCGCCGCAGGAGTTTGTTGTTCGTAAAAGTATCATGGTTTGCGAACAATTTCAACGGGCTACTCATGTTGGCAGTTTGCGGCCTTTCAGAATCCGGTTCTCCCTCTGGGGAAAAACTAATTGTAGGAACTGCATTTCTGTTGTGATGATGTACGGTCGGTGGAGAACTACGAATCTTCGAGTTGGTGAGGACGGAAGACTGCAGATTTGACGGAAAGGACGACGAGCTTAGCTGCCCCATGTGGAAAGAACTGTCCGAGTACCCTCCTCGCTCCATAGTCACGAACATCTGAGTCCGCAATGCCTCTTGTGTGCCTGTGGAAAGATCCTCTGGAAAAAAGGGACTACTGACACCGAGAAGTTCGTTGGGTTGGAAAGTAGCTGCCTCGCCATTTTCTTTATCTTCATTGAGAGCATCGGCTTGACGCTGCTTCGAATCGTCTGACATGCCACCAAGCTGTTTCAGCGCAGACTGTAGAACACCAGATCCGGTCCGACGATCGACGGTACCGTTAGAAGATAGGAATATAGGTGTCAAATCCTCGTTGCGAAGTTCCTCCTCTCCGCTGGCCGAACGCAACCGACTATCTGCGTCTGACACGCCGTCCAGTCCGTATTTACCGCGTCTAGAAGAAGTCGTGCGGACTTTGAGATGGACTGATTCCTCGTCAAAGTATTCTTTCTCAGGATTGTTTTTAAACGACACCCTACGTCGGGCGCCTTTGTCTGCTGTTGAGCTAGCAACCTGCGATTGAGAACCACTCTCGGTATGACTGAAAATTGCGAACGATGACAGAACTTCAGAGCCTGCAGCGGTCGCTGGTTGCCTGAAGATATTCTCCAGCCCCATAGGACCAAATAAGTCACATTGTTCATCAGCAGATATTTCCCCTCGCACAATTCGCCGTTTCCATTCCGGTGTCCCCTTTGTATCCTCTTTACCAGCTCGCACTTGAATTGTTCCTAGTTCGCTCGTACGGTCTGAAACCACGGAGCTCGATCGGGCCGACATCACATTTTTAAGAGGTGTAGATGATGGCTTTTTGCGCGCAGGTGTTGGCTGCTTGGCACTTGTTTTAGGCGATATTTTTGCGGGAGTGTTTGTTGACGTTCGTGACGCTCGTGGGGAGGGACTCGCACGCGGCGAGGGCGATGCTCGTGCACTCGTAGGCGTCGTGCTGCCACCGCGTCTCACTTGGGCTTGTTTCGCGCCTCTAGGTGTAATAATTCCTCTGACTCTAGGTGATGGGGGCTCCGGTTTAGGTATGCGGCTTCGGATTTCGCAACTAATGCATTTGCGCGCTGTGGAATGTTTATGGCCGCTGCTGTCAGGCAGGGTTGGCGAGTGAGGTAACGAGCACGGCGACGATAGCTGTGATGGCCAGTCTTCATCAAGCCCAGCTAGCCATGGCTCCTTGGTCATGTTGGCGGGTTTGGAGTTGGTTGTTTTCGCCATCGAGAACATCGCGTTGTTCCATGGAACGGAGCTCTGTTAGTAGTGGGTCATTTTGTGTTTCGCATTTGATGGACGAGGATTGGCTGGCGACAGGCAGGGGACAGGTGATAGGAAATGTCATGTAACCATACACAGTAAGAGAGGAAGAAGTAAATAGAGCCTTAGAATATTCCGAGTCCAATTGTTTGTGAGATAGTGGGTGATAGTCAGTTTGCAACAAAGGCAAAAGGCGGGTGAATTGAATTGGCTCGGGACTCACCGCTCGGGCGCCTTCCCTTGGCTAAGTTTATTTTGACAGACAACATCATGCCGAATCAGGAAGGCGGCCCTTAGCATGCACAACACTTGGCGCCAAGACAGATACAGCCGCCCAATCACGTGAAAGGCGGTGGAGGGCGCCTCCCAGGGCCAATTGGAGCGCGGACTTGTAGACGCGTTGCTGGGGCACGACATCGCCAAAGCTCAATCGGGATAAATGGAAATCTCACGTGGTCTGCGATGCTCACACTACTCAGGCAACTGCAGCTTGTCTGCGTCTTTCATGATTCCTGCTCGTCAACGAAGCAGGCTGGTCTGCTTGATCTCGACAACTCTTATAAAAACCTTGACTGTCTTAGTCGTTTCCTTTCTGTCCCCTTTTTCTTTGCTTTTGTCGAACATGTATGTCGTCGTCACCGGGCCTAGTATTGTTTCCGCTGTCATCGGCAGAGAGCACCTTGCAATCTGCCCCTCATGCCCACTCGCCGACAGATCCCCCGACTCAATCTAGAAGAGACGACAACGATCGATCACGATGACAGCTGGCTCCTGGGCTCCGATGACGAATTGGACGAGGCGACAAGAGCGGCGAAAAGGAGGAGAATCGAGACTCTCGGCGAAGCTTACTTACAGGGCAAACCGCTATTTATTGCCTCTGCCTCTCTGCGCGGACCTTTTGATAAAGGCTGGGTGAACCCATGGAGGAAACATCGGGCACAACACGTCTCTGGTAGAACACGCGGGGCGACTGTCGGACCAGTAGATGAAGCGACAGACTTTGCTGTACCTGATACGAACGATAGCAGAAACTATAAAGGCGGAACTCTGTCAAGAGCCAAAAGCATCAGGTCCGATGTCAGGGGGTGCTCGTCGTCGCCAAGGACTACTCCTCATCGAGACAGCGGACAATCGAAATCATTGTGGAAACGGGAGCCGTCGACCTCACATATAGGGCGAGGACCATCTGCCGAGCTTCAGCCCGCTCAAGCTTGGCTCAAGAGAGATAAAAAGTTTATTGATATTCAGAATTATGACCCTCCAAAATCGCCGACAAGCCGCTATGCGAGCTCCGGAACAGATGGTTCAATCAGGTTGCCAAAAAATACTGGTAATAAGACTGAAGCTGGCTTAGCTCGTGCCATGAAGTCGCACCAAACGGATTTGCGGAATGTCAGACGAAATAAGCTTGTCTCGGGTGATTATCAGGAAAAGCATGTACAGGCGTTTCCAGACAACACTTCATCAACCTTGCCTGAGAACGAGAACTTTCATAGGTCTGTTTCAGATACGAAACAAAAAGAAACATCACTGTTGTCAAAGAACGCAGAAGTCGAAAAGCCATCCAACGGACTACACGCAAACGAAGATGATATCTCGTTGAGAGATGACCCCACGCATCAGAGAGCAGATATGCCTCCTAGCGCATCCTCTTTTCACATAGTACCACCGTCTTCGCGCCTTCCGGAATTTGAATATCGACTGGCAAAAGTTCGGTCTAGAGAAGAAACTGATATTCAAGCGGAGCATGCCCCTTCGAGGACAGTAAATGTTCTCCCTCCAGTCGACACAAATCGTGACAAGGAAGCATTTCCGTTCAAAGCACCACCCCCAAGATCGCAACAAGATCAAGCTTCTTTACCGGCACAGAGTACGGCCACTCTGACTTGTTCTGAAAAACCCAACGACAGCCTGACTGAAAGTGAAAAGCTACCATCAGCTCAGATCGTACCGAAACCACCAGGAACCTCGAATTATTTTATTTCGCTTCATTCTGCCGAATACCGTGCTTCGGGTGCTGCCGAAACTGGCGCGACAAGCGTTGATGAAGAACTCTCCACTCAAGCGGCCTTTGAATTGGCACAAAAATCATTCCAGAATGATCTAGTTACTCCACAAAGGAATTCTCAAAGTCCATCAAAGACAAGAAAGAGCGTCAAATCAGCTATAAGAAGAATCACCCCTTTCGCCAATGTAAACGACAGATCGACTTTTGATATCAGGATTGGATTTAAAAATACTCCAGGAACAAATCACAATATGAATACACAGGCCATGATTGACGCTTTTACTCCTTTCCACGATACAGTTACAGTTGAAGCTGGAAAGGATACCGGGGTAAGGTCCGGCCTCCATCTAGATGTCTTGAGAGCCCAAACACCGAGAGAGAGCGATTTAGAAGCGTCGCCGCATTCACCTCCACAATCGAAGTCTCCCCATCACAGTCCGTCACTTCGTGCAGACCAAGACCCCGAGCAAGATTCTTTACCTCCTCTACCATTGACCCTGTCAGGAGCAACTCCAGCAACCACCCTGCAAGATGGTCAAGGATGTTTCTTCAGTCAGGACGCATTCGACGTCAGTCAAGTTATAAAAGATGCTGGAAGTTGGCTTCAGCGAAGCTTTGATATAAACGAAGATCTGAAAGAATTCACGAAGCAGTCTTCACCACCCAGTTCACGGCCCGAGGTCACCTTGTAGTCGTTTGGATGGGGTTGGCGATAATCCATTTTCGGTGTAAATAGTCATATCTTGAATGCTTTCCATACATTGCGCGACCTTCACAGCTCACTCTCCTTAGCCAAGTTTACATATGAGAATGCATTCCAAAGATTCCTGTCATTCATAACGATAAGCAGAAGTATTAATTGATCCCTCTTCAGGCATGTCGATTTAGGTATGACGTCCCTAGAGACTGAGTGGAGCCGATGGTCCGATGTTACCTAGCGTGAATGCTTCGAAGCTAAAGCGCTCCGCCCAGAAGCTTCAACCCGCAACAACCCAGTACATTCATCATCGCCTGATGGCGTGGGTTCAAGGGAAATGGCTCTGACTTCGGTATGTCTCACATTCTCCGTATCCTGAATGCTAACTAAATAGTGCCTCAGAAAAAAGCGTTCAATTTCTTTGAGGTTTCTCAAGTTCTGATTCCGGAAGATAGCTCCTCCGTCATTAACGTGAGATTCCCCGCCCGCCGTCAAAAGCTTCCAGGCACATGCTGACCCCCTCGATACATTATAGGACGAAGTCGCTTGTATATGTACTGGATCCGACAACTTGTTTATAGGAAGCGACGATGGAAGAGTACACATATTGTCATCTGCGTTTAAAATCATTCGGTCCTTCAACGCGCACGATGCCGGAGTCATTCGACACATGAGACAAATCGAAGGCACTTCGCTGTTGGTTACTATCGCAGAAGATTTACCGAATGAGCCAGTGCTGAAAGTATGGGCGCTTGATAAGATTGAGAAAAGAACTGGTGCCCCGCGCTGTTTGTCTACGGTATCTGTTCAGAATGGGCGACGACCTTTCCCAGTTAGTATTATTGCGCGTCAGGCATCGAATAGGCGCTGACTCGCACACAGGTTTCAACTTTTGTCTGCCTTGAAGATTTGTCCCAGGTTGCCGTCGGCTTCGCGAACGGTTCGGTTGCTATCATTCGGGGCGATCTTATCAATGATCGAGGGGCTAGACAGCGTATTGTCTTTGAGTCGCAGGAGCCTATCACCGGACTGGAAGTCCAACATGGTCATACCATTACCACACTCTTTATCGCCACGACGAACCGGATCCTCACGCTTACAATTGCTGGTCGAGGCCAAGGTCAGCCTGCGCGCGTATTGGAAGATGCAGGCTGTGCAGTCCACTGCATGGCCCTTGATAAGGAAACAGGCGACATCCTGATCGCACGGGAAGACGCCATACATACATATGGTCTACGAGGACGTGGGCCTAGCTTTGCGTATGATAGCCCTAAGAACTCTTTGAATCTTTTCAAGGGCTATGTCGCTCTAGTATGCCCGCCAAAAACCACAGCGTCAAAATCAGATACACTGCGCAGATTTAGTGTCGGTCAGACAGACGATATCTTCAACACCACCACATTCACCTTTCTTGACACGGACTTGAATTTCATTGCACACTCAGAGGCGCTCATTTCTTTGCCCCGAAATGTGTTTTCAATCTGGGGCGATCTGTTTTTGATAGACTCAGGTGGAAAGGTAGGAAACCATTTGACGAATTGGTGAAAGGATATACTAATGTGGGCTTTCAGATTACTCGGTATCATGAGAAAAACCTGCAACAAAAGCTTGAGATTCTGTACCAGAGAAATCTTTACATCTTGGCAATCAACCTTGCGCAAAAAGCAGGCATTGATACACTTCAACAAAATGTTATATTCCGCAAATATGGAGATTTTCTCTATCAGAAAGGCGACTACGACACAGCCATGCAACAATATCTGAGAGCCATAGACAACACAGAACCCTCCCAAGTCATTCGCAAAGTAAGTTTAAATGATCTTTTTGCCTTGTATGACTGCAAGGTCTGACTTGAGACAGTTCCTTGATACACGGCGAATTCACAACCTCATTGAATATCTGGAAGAACTCCACGATCATGATAGAGCAACAGCAGACCACACGACATTACTCCTCAACTGCTATGCCAAACTCAAAGACACATCCAAATTAGATTCATTCATCAAAGCTCCTGGTGAACTGAAGTTTGATCTCGAAACAGCAATTGCCATGTGCCGTCAGGGAGGTTACTTTGAACAAGCCGCTTATTTAGCTACCAAGCACGGCGAAAATGATATGGTTGTCAGCATTCTTGTCGAAGACTCTCAGAAATATGCTGAAGCTCTTGAATTCATTTCACGACTTGAACCCGATGCGGTATGTCTCCCTTGAAAATAAAAGAATCATTGACTGACCAGTACAGGCCTATCCAAACCTCATGAAGTATGCTCGCGTACTGTTGGGACACTGTCCACAAGACACAACCCAGCTTTTCATCACTTTCTATACAGGCAAATACCGCCCGAAGAAAGATATCGAGCCTCCCTCAGAGTCGCAGACTCCCCAACATAGTGCAGTCCGCAATTTGGCTGCTTTCATCCCTCTACCTTACGTTGGTGCCAGCTCTACCACGAAGTCACAACCGTCTGAGCCTCAACTATCTTCGGATGTTGACGATACCAATGATTTGTCTTTCTATGACATTCCGAAACCCCGAAGTGCTTTTTCAGCTTTTGTCGATCATCCAGCCGAGTTCATCGTCTTCCTTGAGTCTTTGATATCAGAAAAGTCTTGGAGTGAGCAAGATAGAATTGACTTGTATACTACATTGTTTGAGATGTATCTCGATAATGCAAAGAAGGCCAGAGATCCAAGCGTCAAAAGTGATTGGGAGACGAAAGCTAAGAGCTTGATTGAGGGCAAAGATGTAAGTAACTACAACTTTAGCAGTTGATGTCTCACGACTAACTGGCATAGATACCTATATCAACGTCAAACGTCTTGCTTCTGTCGGACTTGTCAAATTTCGAAGAAGGCACGACATTGGTCAAGGAACAAGCAGGGCTAAGATCAGACATCTTTCGCTCATATACCGCCGCCAAGGACACTTCAGGTGTGATTAGGGCATTACGAAAATACGGGCCACAAGAGCCTCAACTATACGTGGACGCTCTAGCCTACTTCGCGTCCAGCCCGAAGATATTAGCTGAAGTTGGCGATGAGCTCAATGTTGTGCTTAAGAAAATCGATCAGGAGGGATTGATGGCCCCATTGCAAGTCATCCAGGCATTGAGCACTAACGCGGTTGTAACAATGGGCATGGTCAAGAAATATCTTAGTCAGAATATTGAGCGGGAACGAAAGGAGATATCAACGGTAAGCCGGATTGTACGAATCATTTTGACGCATGCTAATACCTCACCAGAACCGTCGATTAATATCAAGTTACACAAGCGAAACAGAGGCCAAACGCAAGGAAATTGAGCAACTCAACTCACAACCGGCTGTATTTCAAGCTCGTCGCTGCCAGTCGTGCGGCGGAGGCCTTGAACTGCCTACCGTCCACTTCCTCTGCAAACACTCATTCCATCAACGTTGCCTCAACAAGGCAGGCGAAGATGCCGAATGTCCCATATGCGCACCTCAAAACGCGACTATAAAGGCTATTCGTCGACGTCAAGTTGAGTCCGCTGATCAGCATGGTCTATTCACTGAAGAGTTGAAGCGTAGCAAGGATAGATTTGGGACTGTGAGCGAGTTTTTTGGCCGGGGTGTTATGGGACCGCATTTTTCTGATTGATTGGAGGATTCGTAAACCTTTTATATGCGTGTAGATAGTGATCAATGTAAGAATACCCAATTTGCATGTTTAATCTTGTCGAGTCAAACGTCGAAAATGATAGAGAGCACCATCTTACGGTATCTTATCAGCACGTGCACGCGCGTGTTTAGCGGCACGCGTCCGATAGGGAAGGTGCGATGCTACATGTAAATTATCCCACCTCATCAGCTTCTTTTCCACACTTTGAACGAAATCATGTCCTCTCAGCGCATCATACAAGACTCCGATGACGAGGACGGTGACATCCTGTCTGATGTCGCATCCTCCTGCGATCCTCTCCAGGACTCATCCTACGCGCCAAAGGAAACGGGCATTATCGAGCGCGTGCAAGGCAATCACCCAGCACAACCACAATTTTCGGCGAGTGAATTGCCGCAAGTCGATTTTGATAGGTTCTTGAGGTCTGAGTCGTCTATTATGGCCGGTGATTATGAGGATGAAAGATGGGTGTCGACCGCGCATTCGAATCCGGGGAATGGTACGTAGTGAATTGTCTACATATATGATGGAGATACCTGAGGTTAAAGAATGTATAGTCAAACCATTCGGAAACTTCCACACAGAGCAGATGAATCTTCAGGACAACAGCTTCCGTTACACCGTGAATGCGACTCATAACGCTATATGTTCACTTCCACCAACTTCCAACACAGTCTACGACCATAGCGCAGTGATCGCGACCGAGCTCGATCATCCTTCCAAACGACGCAAAATCTCAAATTCGAACACGCAAGACACGTTGCTGAAAGACCCTGAAGAGAGTGGTTCGTCTTACAATTTCTTCGCATCGATTGATCCGAATGGACCGCCTCAGACGGCGGCTTCGCTTCCGCCTGTACCTTTTATGGGGGATAGGGATGGTATGCCACAGGATGTTGAGACTGATCCGCTGCCGATGGGGACCCCGCCGCCTACGATACCGTTCTCGGAAGATCCTGTGCCGCTGGAGCAGGAAGTAGCTGTAGCAGAGGCCACAGCAATTGATTATGAGGTTCAAGAAACGATTATCCAGCAGCCGCCATCGGAGACGGATAATGAAGTATTCAGTACCAAGAAGAAGAGAGGGCGTCCCAAGAAGCAGGATACCAGCGAGATTGCGGATAGTGAGCCCAATATTATCATCGAAAATGTCCCTGAGATCACGGAGCAACAATCGACCAAGAAAAAGCCGGGCAGACCGAAGAAGCAGGAGATGGACACTACAGCCGATCAGCTACCGATGATTGAACGGAAAGAAGCCATGGATGAAGCGGATTCGACTACAACTGCTGCAAAACCATCAAAGAAGAAGGTCAAACGCAGCAAGACGACGTCCGATATACCCAATACCAAGTCTGCGGAATTTAAAGCCGAGCAGGACGTGGTCTGGATCGAGACGAATCCAATTGACCCTGCAACTACGGATGAAAAAACAAATACCACGGAACAATTTACTCCTGCTGAAGACGTGAAAATCCCCAAAAAGCGTGGCCGGAAGAAGAAAGAAGTCATCGAAGAMCCTGCCGCTAGCGAAAACGAGACTGTTCTCCAAGACATTTCAAATATACAGCAGGCTCCTCGACAGGAAAAACAAAAGGACTTCGAGATCGAGATTAACGTGGCGGAACAGAGAGTACCATTAGATGGAATAGACACTTTTAACGCGACGAATTTACCCAAGACACCGACTGTCGAAATCCAAAGCAAGGAAAGCAACCCAACAGGAGGAGGGGTTGCAACTCCTACACCACAAGAGAGAATCAAATCCGCCAAGCAGACTCCCATTTCAAGCGCCGGCAAGGTTCCGTTTAGGGTTGGTTTGAGTCGTAGAGCACGGATTGCGCCGTTGCTGAAGGTTGTGCGGAAGTAATTGAGGCACGGCGAAAATGTGTTAGATGATTCGTTGCTATTAGATGATATGTTCTGACATCTATGTATATATATTATGGGTATGATTACTTAAATGTTGGCGACGATAATCAAGTGCAATGACTTCCAGGTCGTGTTGATGTTTGAGCATGTTGATTCGTAGCATACTACAACATACATGTCTGACTAATGGATAAAAACATCACTCAGTCACTGCAGAGTATGAACCAGACAGGAAAACATAACTATACAACAGCTGGTTATAGGCATACCGACATAATCGCCGATGCAAGGAGGTAATACATACAAGAAGTACGCTGGTTGGCTTCCACAGAAAGGGTAAAAAGGGGGAAGGAAAGGGTTAAGAAGATCTGTAGTCCCAGCGATACCAGTTATCACGAGGATCCTCCAGACACTCCCCGACAGTGACTGCTCGGTAGCCGGCATCGTTGATACGCTGTAGAATGTGTTCGGTCAGGTTATAGACTGTCTGAGCATGAATGTCATGTCCAATAGCAAGGTAGGGACGACCATCGAGGTTTGGACCAGTCAATTTTTCGTCGACGATGTCCTTGGATAGTTGAATCTTGTCGGGGTCGTCATTGAGATAGTCGGCTGTATCCATGTTAAAGGAAATCACATGGTACCCAAGCTGCTCCATATCCCTCAGACAATCCTCGTCACATTTGGAATAAGGAGGTCGCATGTATGTTGGAAATCCGCCCATGATATTTCTAAGAGCAGCCTCGTTATGCAGGATCTGCTTCTTGCGTTGCTTACGTGAATCCGTTAGATCTTGATGAGACCATGTATGACTGGCGATCTGATGACCACTGTAATGCATACGTTGGATCAATGCACCCCATGGGCGGGTGAAGTCGTCTATCTGTCCCTTTCCGTTGTTCACACCGGTAATGAAAAATGTGGCCTTAGCCTGGTATTTGTCAAGGATGTCCAGGAGGTCACGGGTGAACTCGCTGGGACCATCATCGTACGTCATAGCAAATGTAAAAGGTGCCTTGCAAGTCACAATGACTTCGCCGTAGGGGACCCCTCCTATGTGTGGGCGTGGAATTCTCTTGGTAGACTTGCCCTCAGGGACTCTATCAGCGTCACATGTGCCATAGCCAAGTTGACAATCCGGAGACATGCAGTGGGCGGCCGTCATGCCACAGAAACCTGAAAAGTTTTGATAAGAACTGTGAATCGATATGTGAGATCCGGCGCCAACGTACCAGCTAAAGAGCAGCACAGGTATGACTCGCATTTCTTCTTACCAGGGCCACATCGTTCACCAAGGCGTGCCTTGCTAACGGCGTCATGCTGACCAAGATGGATATCTGTGGGTTGATCATCCACTATGGCCACCCTGTTGGAATGAATCTCTTCACTGCTGTCTCGCACAGGGAGGACCGAGTCACGACGATGACTGGCGAAGGGGATATGGTACTGGAGGGAAACGGAGGCGTATAGCAAGAAGAGTAAGCCGATCAGAATCATGCTGGGCTGTGATAATGAGTACTCAAAACTACTTTATACGCAAGGATGTCCGGAGTACAAAAGTACGTTGATGGTAGAGATGAGGAATGTAGAGAAACGAGTAAATGAAAGAGGTGAAATTTGGGGAACTACCACCAGGAGAAGATTATCTACTTTCTGTGCGGATGGTACAATAGGAAGGAGCCATGCCAGACAGCCGCTTTTGGAAGGCACGACCTCTCCGCCTCTCTTTCTCCTCAGACACTACACTATCGATTGCTCCTGCACCACAAACGACTTCCAGCTTGAACAGACCTCGTTGATCCAGTCCTCGTGTGGTAGCACCTGCCGCGGTAGTTAGTCAAGCTTTGTGACAAAATTGGTCAGGACACTTATAAAAAATAAAGTGGCCGTTCTCCGAAAAGAACGGCGGTTCTCTACTCCAGCCCTTTCTGTCTCGGTCTGAAATATTTCACTCTCGAAACTGGTATCTCTTCACCTCATGGAGGACAGCATCAACGAGTTCAAAACACCGCTGAACAGGTCCACTCGGCGCATGCACCATTCAACCAAACTTTTCACCTGAACACGCGAAAATGATAATCGAAGAAAACAGACAAAATCGACCGATTCAGACAAGCCAAAGCTTTGATCCTCACTCGAGAGAGGTCCCTCCACGGTGATTCGCCAGTTTCCAACAAAAGTCACAATCGAGATCCAAAATGAAAGCCATTGATGACAGCACGTTTGCCCAATCTGTGGTAGATATCCCAGAACTCGAGAAGCCAAAAACAACAGTAACGAGAGCAGTTACAGGGAAGAAGGAAGAGAACGGACTGCTCGAGTCTCACGACGGCATCCAAGGCAAATAGCATTTCCAAGATCGCCGTTCTCTTGATCATATTGTGAGTCGTATTCAAAGCGCGACATTCGCTATCTTCGGAGTCTCACGGGCAGCTCATCGGCGAAACTTGCGCAGTCTAATAATCTTGTCCTTATATCCCGTAAAACAGAATATCTCTCTCTTGTGTGTGATACGGCATCCTCGGAGACTAGTCTTTGTTTCCTCTCCTAGACTCAAATGTCGTTGGAGGGCAGTAAAGCGAACAAAGGACATCCTCAAAAATCGCTGGTTGAAGGGGTTGAACAAATTATGAAAACTTGTCACCATTGTCGGCGTCCATCAATCGATTCCAAGGTTGACCCTCAAAAGAGATGGTTAACACGGCGGATCGGAATCTTCTATGAAGCTTCATCGTTGGCGGATGCCGTGATCAAAGGTCAAACAATAGGTTAATCCAAAAGTCCACCAAGGAGTCGGGTTGGAGATAAGGGGCAGGAATTTCCAAAATTCCTGGAATGGGAACACCTGCATGAAGACAAAATGCGGTGAAGACAAGACAACAACGACCGGAACGGACAACGTGCCAAATGCTGATGTTGTATATCAGATATGCAAACACTCGCAAGGACCCTAGAACTTTCTTTGAAATGCCAAACCTCGCTACGAGGGCGTACACACGAACAAGCTGGAATTGTACGATGTACAAACTCGATTCCGACGAGTGAATTCAGAAAGACAAAGACAGCACTTAGGTGTGTGTAGGCGATATTATTAAAACCGTTGTGCTCAACGAAGTTGAATTGGTACTTCGACGCCTTCTTAGAAATAGCAAGTGCCAATTCTGGTGTTCCACCAAATCTCTCCCGATTGATCCATTGGTTTCCCCATATATTCGACAATCCATTGTGATCCGGGTGACCAGCATAGGAAGACCGACACGCGCCCCTTTTGGGATCTTAGTACGTATGGAACAACCTAACACTCTGGATGATCTCAAATCTCTTTGACCCATTCGACGCCAGGAGGGCAGAATCGGCTAATCGAAATTTCGATAACCAAAGACCGTGAGACTGAGAACCGACTGAATACTTAGGGTTAAGTTCCAATTGTTTTGCATCCACCCTGAGTTGTATTGATTCGTACTGCAGGCAGAAAGCTTAGTATGAATCGGGCCTCGTCAAGGGGCTTATAGAAGCTAAATGCAAAGATTGGGAAACTATGCGGAGGATGGGCGCGTATAAAGTGCCATTGAAGGCAAGAGAGCGGAGGACGAGACCAAGAGAGAAGAGCAGGTTGCCGGCTGTTCGAGAGCTGTAAGCGAGGGATCTCAGAGCCGATAGAAAAGTCACTAGCAATGAATAGTTATCGAACGAACAAAATTCATTCAAGGCCGTAATATTGTGATGCTGTAGCTTTGGACGAGCCTGTGAAAGCAACGAGAGTTGAGAGTGAGAAGAGGAGTCGGAAGCTGATGATGAGTTCAAGCCGCTTTATCAGACGCGTTCAGTGACGCGAGATCACGTGATGAGGATTGGCAAATTAAGTCACTTTCCCGCCTTGTGGAGGCAACTTCTACAATATAATTTCTTTTGTTCTTTCTTTCTTTCAAAGGTGTATAGAGATTATTTCATTTACGCTGTGGCACAGTATGCGAAAGATTCGAGATGACGGACATTCTGACAGTCAAGACAGCATTTGATGCAGCCGATCAATTTTTACATCCGATCTTAGATCGAGGCAGGCAAATGAATATTCTTTGTAGGCGCTAGAGTGAAGCTGACCTTGCATAAGATGAAATTCGCAAGAGGCCTGGAAACTCGCTCATTGAAATCCTGAGTCGTGATTCCACAATATCGGGCACAGACGATGATGCACAGGCTCGGCTCTCGGTCATAGAAGAAGCCCTCCGACGGCTCGAGAGCATTCATAATGCCCTTGTGTCCGCAGTAAGTTCCGGAGATGAGGTTCAGCAGCAACCAGAAGATGCTCGTGAAGACGCCAAGAGACGTCGGGTTATCTATACGTTGCTGGACTTGATTTCTATTGAGGGCGTATACCCATGCCTGTCTACAGGTGTTGGGATACCGTTGGAAAGGAGAGTAATTTCCAACCTTCCACAAGGTGTTGTTGCTAGACAGGCACCTGATATGACCAGCGACAAGCCACGGAATGAGGTGCTTCTTTATCGTATCTTACTAGCCTTAACTAGTATCTTGCTAGACGAGTCTCATGGAGGGACTCGGTCATTGCTTCGAGGGCGAGTCTTGAGTGATGTCATCAGCGCCGCTGCTGATCTTGCATTCAACTCGCGCCAGATATCTGAAGAAGAGAGGCTTAACGCACGAAATTTATTTGATAGAGTCATTGCTGAGTACATCACCTCGCCACATATGTTTGGAATTGTGCACGTTGTTAATAAAAGCTATAGGACGCCAACTTCCCCCTTATTACCAGCGCTCTCTTCTTTTCTACAGCCAAATGCAGCACCATGGTTCAAGGCTCTGATCTCCAGTCGTATGTCGAAAATCGCGTTACGGGAAGACGGAGTCATACATATTGTATGGTTTCTCACCTCTCAATTCGCCCCTGCTCTCGGAGAGGGTGTAGGTATCTCGGAGCCATCACCCGACGGACCCCCTATCACTGTCCAGGCCATAATGCAAATTTCGAAGCTGTTATCATCTGTCCCGCAAGATACAAATCCTACCCATTACTTTGAAACCATCGCCCCACAGCTTCTGGCCCTGATTGATAGCGAGGATCCCGACCTGAGACGGACTGCAGCATATGTGGTGGGTAACGGGATCTTGGGAAAGAAGACATATGGTGCACCGGGCGCTATAGGCCATTCTATCTTCATTGATCCTCTCTTCAAGGCAATCACCGCAACAATAGACACAAATGCCATCAGATGGCTGAGATTTTTCGGTCCTCAAGGTGAGGCTGTAGTCCAGCCACACACAGCTCCCACGGAAATCCTAGTGGGGGAGTTGACGCTATCCTTGGCGTTGGATAGATTAAGTATCATGGCTTTACAGCATCCTAATCCTGGCCTAGTCAAACGACTAGTTCAGCCGATTTTACTGCCCTTATGGGGACTGACATGTTTCACCCAGTCCAAGAAGAATAAGAAAGTCCTATACGACAAAAGTTGGGCACTGTTACAGACCTTTTTCACTCTGTCGCCAGGATTTCCTTCCTATATAAAGTTGACCGATAACCTCCTCTGGGATGGAGGCATCAACTGGACGTATAAAGACGGTATTGGCGGCGGCGTAACTTTGATCAAACGCGAAGGATCCGAATTTGATATTATCGGATTGCTGAATGAACTCGACCTGCATGCAGATAATTTCTCAAAACTACTTGGCTGCGACCCGCGAAGTGAGGATCGCACAAGCGATGTCTTCCTCCATGTCAGCGAGCGATGGCTCATCGACTCGTCGAAACAAGCAGTAGACGCCCCCAATCTTCTGGACAATCTACAATTAGACCCTAGGACGGAGTCAAACGCCATAGTGGCAAAGTTGGTCAGCGCTAAAATAGCAGAAAAGCTCCTCAACGATTTCAAGGATACTTTATCCAGAAGACCATTGAAGATTCTTGAGCTCGCACAACAAATCATAGAAAGCGAGTTGAGAGCAATGCATGACAGGGATCGAAGACGAAGAATACGTGAAAGTGGAAAAGCATCTCTCGAGTCTCTAGCCAATATAGCAACAAGGCCTGCTGATGTACAAGCGGTTGAAAATGAAGATGAAGACCAGAATACTTCGGAGACTTTGTCCGCTACCTTCAGCCTTTTGTCTAGCATTCTGTCGTCTCCTGAATTCTTAATGTCACGATCGATCCTTCCCCTGCTATCAGAAATCAAGTCGCAATTAGATGAATTGCGCCCGAGTCTTACACCTGCTCTATCAAAAGCAGGCTTCACCGCTTCCATGCTCCTCGAAATTCAAATACAGTCCCCTGACGGTACACAACAAACGAGCGAGTCTACTCCACAACAAAATCCAGACCTTGACACGCACCGTCAAGCCTTGAAAGATATCACATCTCCCCTCCCACCAGTACAAGCAGAAGGTCTTTCCCTGCTATCTAAACTCATCTCCAAATCCTCCCCCATCCTCGACATACCTTCGACAATGACTCTCCTACTATCAATCATAGCTGGTCAAAGTTCCGAGGCTGCTGCAAGTGAAGAGTTCATTTATCTAAATGCAATCAAACTCATCGGCCAACTAGCAGCCAATCATCCACGCACCGTCATTAAGACTCTCGTGGACCAATACGCCGATAGAAACGAGGAAAGGACCCTAGACCAACGCCTTAAAATCGGAGAATCCCTTCTCCGCACAGTTGAGGATCTAGGCGAGGCTCTGAGTGGCGAAGCCGCACTCACAATAGGCGAAGGTATGATCTCCGTCGCCGGCCGACGCGGGTCCAAACCCCAAGCCCAAAGGGCTCGAAAGCAACAACTCGAAAAAGAGAAACGCGAAAAGGAGCGCAAAGAGCGAGAAAACAACCTCAATCTGCCGGCTGGTTGGAAAGTGTCCTCGCCAGCATTACATGAGACGCCCGATATCGAGACCCTGCTTCCAGACAACGAAGACTCCGATACTGAAACACCCGAGCAAGTAGCGCACTCAGCAAACATAATATCCGCCTGGGCCGCCGGTGCAGCCTCCGACATCGAACCAGACGATATCCGCGTGCGCGCATCCGCAGTCTCCATCCTCGCAAGCGCAATACAAACGAATCTAGCCGGTCTCGGCCCAAGTCTCGCATCTTCAGCCGTCGACCTCGCGTTGTCAACAATGAAACTCGAAATGGGTCCCGAGAGCGCCATATTACGACGTGCCAGTGCCGTCTTGCTACTTGATCTAATCAAAGCGATGGATACAGATCTACAAAGTGGATCGAAAAAACTCGGATTCGGATTTTCATTTGACGCAGCGGAGTCTTTTGTGAACGGGCCGGCAGCTTCCTCGCGCGGTCCAGCTACGATTGGGAATATACAGGCTATTTTGAATACGTTGACGTATGTAGAAAGTCAAGAGACTGATGCCATTGTTCGGGGTCATATACGGGTGTTAGTGGGGAATCTGGAGACGTGGATGGAGAAGAGTTTGCTAAGGGGTATCAATGCGCAGTCTGCTATGAGAGGGGATGGTGAACAGAGTCTTAACCTGGGTGATAGGATTGCTGGACTGGCTATCAATCCGTTAGCTACACGAAATTCTACGCAACGGCCTAGGATTGAGGAAATTGAGTAGGTATAATTATCATATTCCGAAATTTGTCTTCAATTTGTACGCTACAGAGAACCATATCATAACATCAGTCTCATGCTCCGTCGTAAGGAATCAACCTATTGTACATTATTTGAAACAATCCGAATCCCTCTCCACCAAATTCACTGTCTGAAGTGTCTGAAACTCGAATACTCGATGTGGCTGCGAAAGTTGTAAGTTCAGGCCTCATCGCTTAGACGCAGGGTGGCAGCTTCAACGACGCCCACCTCGGCCTCGTCCACCGCGGCCACCACGACCACCGCGACCACCTCTACCCCGACCGTTGTCCCGCCCACGGTGCTGTCCATGACGTCCATGCCCAAACCCTTCACGGCTGGGACGAGGCCCATCGATCATGCGCTGTTCGCGTTCCAATGGGGTCAAGTAAAATTTGTTCTCGATACCGAGCAACTCGCAGAAGGCAGCAGTCTGTGGATTATTGTACTCAGGTGGTATTTCCTTGGTTTGGAGAGGAACCTCAGGATCGTAAACAGGTGCGGTAATCTCGAAGTTCTGGGGGATGATCAACTTTCCCTGATCAACAATGTGTTCCTGAACCCAGGCCATTTCCTTTTCGATTTGATCTTTGTAGTTCTCGTCACCCAAGTCAGCCGGTACCTGGCCTTTGGGATTTCCAAGTTCGAGCTGATTGGCGAATGCACGGGTTATCGCAAGCCATTCCGGGTCGTATTGAAGACAGAAGGGCGGCTGCGCTTCGCCCTTGTCTGAAACGGGAAACACCTCCATGAGTTCGAGATATTCATGGCATGCACGCCGCTCTTCGCACTTGCCCAGGGCCAAAAATTCTGTATGTTTATTGAAAATCTGATCGGGAAGAGGTCCATACCGGGGTGGCTCTGTTGTCTGGCGCTGGAACCCCTCAGGCAGTTGCTGGCGTATATCCTCGGATACGTCCTCTGCTTTACCCAAGTCTGTGGACATTTGCACTGCTTGAGTTTGTTCGGGAGTAGGTTGAGCAGTCTGAACAACATCCGCGATCTCCATTTCCGCTTTAGAATCAACGTCCATATGTACAGCCTCGTTGCCACCAACACCTGCACCACTCTCGTTCTCAGAATCAAGATCCAAGTCAATTTCATCGCTGTTCTTAACGACAACTTTCTCTTGTACTGCGGGAACCTCGTGCACCGTAACTATCTTCCTGCCAGTGCCATCTTGCGAAATCTGCTTGAAGGTCGAACCGATAGAATGTATGTCAAGCGATCGTTCTTCACCCGGCTGGGATTGTTCCTGAAAGAATTTCTCTCGATCTGCAGCATCTTGTGTAGCTGCGACTGCTGAGAAGTTGTTCCAAGAAGAGATGGCACCGGTAGGAGTGCTGGGTTGTGGTGTGGGGGCTTCTATGGGAGTCGTTGAGGTGGGAGCTTGAACTCTATCAGATGGTTTGTCGACGGCATGGGGAACGGGCTGATTCTGCCTAGATGCGAGGTATTGCTTTCTAGGGTGCTCATAGTCACCGTGGGCAACAACAGCTGGATACCTTACATGAAGGTGAGCCGAAAACCAGTGGGGCGGGCGCAGTCTATCCAACACGTATTTTGCCGCGAGGCTTCCCAACTTGCCAGTATCTGAATCCTCCTTGAAGAACGGTTTCGTCTTGAAGAGATGATTGTAATTGCCGCATAGCTCAATACCTCTAGGCCAGTCATGAGACAAGCCCACGTCAACCTGGGTGCGAATCTGCATGAGTTTGCGGACATCGAGCTCCCGAACATGATAGATTGTCTTGATATCATCCTCGTTGTATGGCAGTCGCTCAAAGTGAGGTCGATTGTAATCGTAGCCTTTCCAGATGCCCGAAAGACCTGCAATGCGTAGTTGTCCCAAGCGAAGAACATTAGCGGCACCGATGTAGTAAATGTTGGGCGCTACCCAGCCACCATAATAGAGTTCGAAGAGGTAGTTTCCAGCCTCGTGGTTACCTCCAACGAAGATAGTGGGATAGGGTGCGATGGCTTTCCCACTGTAGTATTCATGAAAGTCGCCAATCTCACGATACTTGGCGGGTACTGACATCCCATTGAGGTCATTCGCATTGCGTACGGACTGATATGTTATTAGTATGAGAGGACAGCAAGCGAAGTCGAACAGAAGCATACCTGGAAATCACCCCCAATGATCACCAGATCAACACCATCCCAGCCCTTGACCTTTGCGCTCTCTGTAACTTTAGCATATATATCGTGCAGCTTGCCATGACCCTGTTGACGTATTAGTAAGTTGATACACTAGTGAAGACTTTTTTAAACTTACACAGCCCTCGAGGGCAATTCGCGCCCCACGCGGATAAGTCATATTCGACACGCAGCTGAAGTCACGGTCGAGTGAATTCTTTCTGAAAACTTGAGAGGACTGTAAGATGTGAATTAAGCAATAGCTGGGTGTTGATAGTCGGTGAATGCGATTGAATGAATTGGATGTGAAAAGGTGTGAAGAGATGTAAAAAGGAGTGAGAAGTAAAGAGGAAGATTTTTTCAGGTTGTCAGTGAGTCATTCATAGGAAAAGAATTTATTGTGGAGGGTGAGGAGGCTAGTTATAGAAGATGATGTCGTTGTGGTGGTGGTTGAGAAGACAAGTGCCCGGCAAACAATTTCCATCTGGACTTATGTTGTACCTACTTTCCGCACCTCCCTTACAATAGCCCTCACTGCCTACTCACTTGGACATTTCTTTGTACGGCCTTGTTCCTTTGATTTTATCCTCAATAATGACTTCATATGAATCGAGTCTGCGGCTCCAGTTTCTGCAAAATGCTGCGAGTTTGCTTTGTACTGGCAGTATCTCCACTGCTTCTCATCTGATGATGCAGCACAACGGCATCCTCCATGAAGATTCCAAGCCAATAAAACTCCGACAGCATGAATCTTGGTGCAATGCATGTGGCGCCCCCAGGCAGCCTCGTTATACTAAAATTTTGAAACCTAAATACAGGACTAGCAAAGGCAAAACCCGGCCGGCGTCGATTGCCTCGCATGAAGCTATTGTGTACAGATGTCTCCGTTGCTCTAGCCGGACTGTCCAACATCGGCCGGGTCAACCCCGACCATTGCAGAAAGCAGTCGGTACTTCGGCTACAAGTACACAAGCTGCTGCAAGCAGCGGGATGCCTTCTGCCAGCCGATCTACTGTGAATCTTACGAGCAGACCTGCTGCCGAGAGCTCTGTCAAGACCACGTCGGAGAACGCAAGTAGCAAAAAGAGAGCCAAGGCGAGGAAACAGGGCGGCCTTCAAGCTCTTTTAGCTTCCAAGCGCTCAGGAGAGTCTACACCATCGTCTTCATCGCTGGATCTGTTTGATTTTCTACAACAATGAGCTGTCTGACTGCCAACAACCTGATATGGAAAATTTCTTTGATGCCTTACTGCCTGACGCCTCCCGGATTAATCGGCGACATTGTTCCGATGCGACCAAGCCAAATGGGGACAAGCGCGGGGTTACTTACTGATGTTTGACGTGAGGTAACTTTGGCAAGAAAAGCCCAGCTGTACCCCGCCAAGCATGGAAACCGCAGCGAACCAGAACGAATCTTCGGGGAGCCGCTAGAGATTTTTTTTATATTTGCGCCGCGCAACACCATAAATCTCCCTACGTCTCTTCTCTCTGGCTTGCATTTTCGAATAACCTTACATCCACTTGAACATTGCTATCCACTGTTTTTGAAGAAGTTCATTTCACAATGTCGGAGGCAGCAGATTCAACTGCGCAGATGGATCACATGCTGGATTCAATGACCCAGAAGCAACCTGAAAATGAGTCTCAGTTCCAGAAGCTCGGGGAGGTTGTTGAAAATGATGACGACAATGGTGTGGTTGAAATCGAAAGTCTTTGTATGAACTGTCATGACAACGTATGATTCATCTCCCCCCCATTTGGTGATCGATACTAAATTTTGCAGGGAACCACTCGACTCCTACTCCTCCGCGTTCCGTACTTCCGTGACATCATCCTCGAGTCCTTCGAGTGCCCGCATTGCTATTTCAAGGATAACTCTGTGAAGTCGGCGTCTCAAATTCAAGTGCTCGGTTCCAAGTACACTCTGGTGGTAGAAAATGAAGAAGATCTTCAGCGACAAGTCATCAAGAGTGATATCGCTATCTTCAAGCTAGAGACTTTGGAGATTGAGATGCCCAAAGGAGAGTCTCAGCTGACCAATGTTGAAGGCGTGCTTCAGAAGATTCACTCTACACTCGAGAGCGAGCAGGAATTGAGAAAGGACCAAGCCCCAGAACTATATAAAGCCTTAGAACCCATCATCGAGAAACTCGCCAAGATGTTGAATAGGGAAGCTTTCCCCTTTACGATCTCTCTCGACGATCCTACCGGTAATTCATGGATTGCGCCCACCGCACACGATTCAGGCAACAAATACAAGCGTCGCGACTACCCCCGAACCCATGAACAAAATGAGGAATTGGGTATCGCAGCAGACCCAGACGCGCAGAATGCCGAGGCCAACATGGTGCAGACTGCTGGCGATCCTGAAGATCTCGACATTATCGATGGACAAGTCTACACTCTGCCTGCAGAATGTCCTGGATGCGCCAAACAATGTGTCGTGAACATGCAAAAAGTCAGCATTCCTTACTTCAAGGAAGTCTTCGTATGGAGCACTGTCTGCGATCATTGTGGATACAGAACAAACGAAGTCAAGACTGGTGGTTCCATACCGGACAAGGGCAAACGCATCACTCTGACAGTGGAATCCATTGAGGACTTGTCTCGTGATATCTTGAAGTCGGACACTTGTGCGTTGTACAGCCACGAGCTTGAGATGTCCGTACAGCCTGGGACACTCGGTGGTCGATTCACCACTGTCGAGGGTCTTTTGACTGAGGTTCGCGATCAATTGCACGGACAAATCTTTGATGTTGGAGACTCCGGCGCTGGAGACTCGTTGTCATCTGGCGACAAACAAACCTGGACTCGTTTCTTCGACCGACTCGACTCTGCTATCAAGGGCGAGTTGAAATTCATCATTACATTGGAGGACCCTCTCGCCAATAGTTACGTGCAGAACTTGCACTTGCCCGACCCTGATCCTCAACTATCCGAGGAGGAGTATACCCGTACTGAGGAGGAAGAGGACGAACTTGGTTTGAAGGACATGAAGACCGAGGGATACGAAAACGATGCCGAGCATGAAAAGGAGGGCGAGGTCGAAGAATCCAAGGTATAAATTTCACGAAAATACCCTACGAGGCGCGAGACGGAGTCTGTAAATAGCGATTATCCGCTTGACTGTAGCATGGGAACTGGCGTGTTTGTTTCTTTCGCAATGTTTTAGATGGTCATGATGCATTATGATATTCATAGTCTATATACATGTAGTCATTATTCAATCAATATTCACCTTCTGCTTCATGTTTTATTTCGGGTCCAGCGTGTATATACACGGCTAGAAACTTATCATTCTAACCTTGAAAAAGCCATAAATGGCTGTAGTGTGTCGAGGATGCGGGCGTAGTGTGTAATATGGTCATCGGACACACCAATCCGACCAGTTCGACGTCCAAGCACGTATCGATGATTCCTAATAGAGAGTCGTGTAGCAAGGCGCCACTCAGTTTCACTGGGATATCTTCCAAGGGATCCCCCCTACGGAAGTAGAGGGCGAGAATTCTTCTTCACCCAATGTGGACTTTTTCACTTCGCAAATGGATTGGCATGTATCGTCACCGACTTGATCTTCAAAGCCTCCCATTCCCCTTCAATCTCCTGCCCTTCCTTCGGCTGCACCACACGACCTTTCTTATCCACTTTGATATTCGCCCGCTCCAATCGTCCCAGCACATCACCACCTTCATCCTGAGCCGTCAGATTGAGCACTCTGCCAAAAACGGTACTCTCGCCATCGAGATGCGTCGCCGGCGCGAAAGTTATAAAGAATTGACTCCCGTTCACCGTCGTTCCAGAGGCGTTTTGCATACCCGGCGCGGTACGATCTTTCACCGGTCTCGAGGCCATGGACAGCACGCCGCGCGCATTGTGCCTCAGGGCAGGGACGTGGATCTCTTGGTTGAGTGCGGAAGGATGGTTTATGGATGTACCGCCTTTGGGGATGTCGTCGAAGGGGAGAATGTGTCGCTCGGAGGAAGTTGCGGCGGGACTGAGGGAGATGTCGCCGCCCTGAATCATGAAGCCGGGCATGAAGCGATGGAAGGGAGTGTTGTCGTATGCACCGCATGCGCAGAGTGCTAGGAAGTTCTAGCAGTTATTAGAATATAATATCCGACAGGTACAGATTGAAAGTATTAAACAGAGTGTGCTCACCTCTGCTGTCTGGGGAACGGTTTCGCAAAAGATCTCGACCTTGAGGTCTCCATGGGTGGTGTGTAGCTATGACAGTCAGCAGTGACATCTGTGTAAACCAATATAAGCGGAATTTGTCCTTACCGTGACCGACATTGTGCCTGCTATGTTAGATGGAATAACCAGGTGAGGTTATCCAAGCATAAAAATGCGCGATGTTCAAGTATGGATCCCTCCGCATGCTCCACTCTTGCCTGATTGGTTCGATGCGTTTGGAGACCAGATGGATGACGAGCCTGAGGCCATTGCTTTGTTTACTCCGGAACATCGCTCTCCATTGTCCATTGTCTCCTTGTCATCATTTTACTACTGTTGCTGTTACTTTTTCTGCTCGCTTACTTCACCATCAGCTTTCATTAATMCCMCCAGCCTAAGCAGCCTGCCACAAGCACAACACACGAGTCAGTCTTCAGCTGGCGCACTTAGACTGGCTAGCGGCCACTCTAAAGGTTCGCAGGCGGCTAAAAGACTCCACACATCTCCTCGCAAGCCTAACTTCATCAGCGCAGTCAGCTACCATCCCAGACCCAGACTCGCGAGTTTTGCGAAGTCAAATACTACACGCACAAGGAGCAATCCCAGCACTAGCCGCGGCGGTGCTCTCGATAATCTTGTCCACAAGGGATGCACAAGAATATCGATCTCGGATTCTTGCATAACATCTGACTCGCACCTAACCGCCCGCCCTGCCCGCCGTCCATCGCTCCACTCACCTCAACAAGCTGCGCACTGGCGTACTGCATTATATCCATAATTTCCACATAAGAAGAGAACAGCTACTCCGAGATTTACCGTCTTGGTCTTGCCTTTCGACTGATGTAATCATTGTCCGCATGCGACTTGCATTTCCTCGGTTGCTGGATATACTGTCGTACTTGTGCGTACTTGAGCTGGCGATTGCCCATGGTGGGCCACCCTGCGCTTTTTGAAGATGGCCGCATTCGTGCGAGTGTCCGGACCACCGAATGGTAATTTCCTGATTGGTTATCCTGGGATATCCGCGACGCTGGTAAGTGATTCGCATTATCCTTCGCACGATGCCGTTGTGACGAATAGCGCTGACGTTATACAGCCGCGTGTGGAAGGTAGAGTCGAGATTCGTCCAAGTGTCGGCATCACAGCGCCTGTAAACATTTCACTAGTCACAGTATGCCTCCAACGCAAAGAAACAATTCATCCCTCCGCGGACTCGGTTACGAAGAAACACCTTGCGCCCCCCCGAAAAGAAGTTACAGAGCTGGTCGGAAAGGAGATGCTATTATTTCGATGTCCAGCGGGTCGAGAATATGAAGAGGTCATGTCAATGGACCTTCCTTTCGTCCTGTTTATACCTTATGGACGAGGAGGCCAGGAGGTATCCCGGCGAATCCCTGCAGCCAGTTTACAACTACCCAGTCGGACGGCGGAGACATTTTACGAGATTGTTGTGACGGTACAACAGGGCCAGTCAGATCAGCGAAAGTACGGCTTTCCCGTTCCCATCTGTCGATACGATACTTTGTCCACATTCGGAATGTATAACAGACCAGAAACGGCAGAGAAAGTCACGGACCATTTGGTGACATTGGGCATATCACTTCCCCGGGGTTCGTATGGTCCACTGGATCCTGTCAGCGTATACGTTAGACTGTCACCCAATCCGGACTGGCTAGCGAAAGCTAGGAAAGTCACAATCAACAAAATCACGATTGGAATTGATGAAGAGATTATATATAATCACGAAGGAGACGAGCCACAACGAAAAGTGAAGACGATCATAAAACGAACTGAGAGTGTCGGTACCAAGCTGTCAGATATCGGCTGGGCAGCGAATTTGGGKTTAGTGTTTCCAGCAAAAGATACCCGCGACGCAGACGGGATTCTACCGCGAGGAAAGGCTGCTTTTCCATCGTATGCGGTCACTGGATTTACGACTACTGCTAGTCTTTACAAGATTGAGTACTATCTCACTGTAAAGGTACGATAAGTTAACTGCTGAGATATTCCGTGCTAACATGATAACAGGCGCACTTAATATCTGCAAGAGACATCGTAATACGACAGCCCATCGTCGTCTGTCCAATCGATCATGCGGGATGTAAAGAAGAGATGGAAGCAATAGAGCAATCTGCCCGCGATGCTGCCATGATTAACCCTGAGAACCCAGCTTTACCGCATCCGACGATTGTTCGATACCACGATTATAACGCACTTTCCGTTCTGGGGGTGGCTGTTGTTGGAAATCAGAAGCGGCCATTGATCGATTGAGTCGATATGAGCTCTCAACAATTGAACGAACCCCATTATTCACAGCGCCGACGCTAGAGAAAGGTTGACGTGGCGTACAAACTTTGAGTGATTGACGTTGAATTATAATATCGAAGGCGACCTTATAAGAGTCGTCCGCCACCCTAGCATGACCAGAGTGTACAGCATAGAGTGCGCCAAAGGGCGGAAGACAAAAGAAGCTTCACTGGATTACATGGCACGAGAGCCACGCAATGATCCTATGGACACAAACCAGGTCATGACTCTGAACATAAGATAGTATTCAAGATGGTGATAGAACGCCGTCATCTTCCTTCATCTAATGGAGTTTTAGCGGAGGTACATATGCATGGGCAGGAGTTGAGGTATCGTGGTTTCTCAGGCGTTCATATTCTTCGCCTACACTGGTGGGATCAACATTTGCCCTTATGTTGTCACGCTTGGATGGACACAAACCGTTCACAGCATGACCAGTTGATGATATGTATTTAGGTATATGACAGTAACAAATCCAAACATGTCCTCATAAACCATATACTTGCTCCCTCCTCACTGCCCCAACTTCAGGAACTCCATCGCCTGACTCAGCATATCAGGATCTACCGATGCAGACTTGACTGGTTGCGCATCATGCTGCTCTATGCGCCGAAGAAGGTCCTTGAGCGTTTGCAACACCGCCTGATATTGATGCGACGATGCGCCCCATGTGTTCAAGGTATTATTGAGATTGGTTGATACCTGCTTTATCAGTTTGGTTTCGCGCGACTGTTGACATTATGTACTTACTTGAAGGAGGAGATCATTATAATTCTGATCAGTAGGCATTTTGGACCAAAAGTATCATTTATGTTGGTTGATGCCTGATTTCCCTGTCCTCGCTGACTCGATGCGGGCCCGCTTATCGAAAAGTCAGTCCGCGATAAGACTCGGATAAAGAAAGCAGCAAAGCTATGAATTTATTTCGACTACACTCTACAACGCTACGCCCCTGACCACGACTTGCGCCTTCAAAGCTCACGGTTCCGCAACTCCAAGTCGCGCCTTACAGTTTATATCAATGGCAGACCTCGACGAAGATGTCATCCACCACCCTCCGTCCAGCGACTCCGCGCCGCAGGCCGAAATCGATCTCTCGGACGAAATGCAAGACTTCCGCTTTTTGAACAGTCTCAGTCTGTACGTCACTATTCAGTATTTCGCCTTCTCCTAGAAAGCATTGCTAATATATCTATAGAGTCGACACCTCACAATCCTCCCTCCCCCGCCGCGGCGAAAAAGACTTTGAGCCCAATCCGACAATGCTACAATCCGATATTCTCGCTGCGTCGCGGCAGGCAATGTACACTGCCATTTCGCATCCGCGATTACATGCTGAGAAATCTCTTTGTGTGGGGATATATGCGCCGGAGGGACCTACACTGTTACCTACCGAAGCGAACAATCAAGAAGACGCTCAGGCGAGCGTAGGAGACAAATGCGCAACGAAACGTACAATCAAAGATCCCATGGCCGGCATTCCATCCGATGCATGCGTCTGCGTGCCCCAGCCCAGAGGCCCGTTCTTCAAAACAATGGGTAGAGCAGATCGGTGGAATAGAGTGTGGCTATTGCCCGAAGAAGCGATCTATCTCGTTGAAAGAGGGTCGTTGTACCTAAAATGGCCAAGCACAATTACAGCGCCTGTCCGGGTTGACATTGAGGAAGAAATGGATGTTCCGATGAGTCTGGAGGCGGCGTATGCGTGTATGATGGGACATGCGGGATTGACGTTGGATCGATATGTGGTTTATAGTGGGTTGAAGAGGAATGGGTATACGGTTGTAAGGGCCCCATCATGGTACGGTACGGTGGAGGAGCCGGAGCATGGGATTAATGATGATATTGCTTCTGCTGGTTCATATCTCAAGGGTGTATCTGCTTGCTGGAGCAGGTTTTATGAATCTATTGCTGGCATGCTGGAAAAGGACAATTCGGCGCAGGGTCCTTTGATTGGTGTTTCGACACCGAGAAACTATAGTAAGTAACTAACTGACTTTTCGTCCCTACAACCAGACTGACAGAGATAAAGATGCTCTCTATCGAAAACTGGCTTTGATCCCCGCCCACAATGCAGCAGTCCCCAAGCCCGAACGAAAATCAACAGAAGCCCCCTTCCAATTCACATACTACATCTACAAACCCTCCACTCCCTATAAAATATCCGCCCCTCAAGCCCCCGACTTCCGCATCGCAGTTGTTGATGCACGCAGCCACACTTCAATCCCGACAATGCGCCAACTAAGCGCCCTCATCGAATCAAGTCCCTACGAACCCCCTCGCGGCGAAAAGATGGAGCGGAATCTCTACAGTCGTCTACGGCAGGGGTATCGTAGCGCTATTATGGCGATTGTGGATCAGGGGGTTGTTAGTTATTTGCGGTTTGCGGATGCGGGATTTTCGAGAGAAAAAATTTATGAGAGTCAGGGGCCGCCTCGGGGGGGTAAGATCGGTGGTTATCGTGGAAAGAATGGTGGGAAGGGAAGGGGGAGGTAGTCTTGTCTGTATGTCAGTCAACAGTACAATACGTTCGCTCCATGAGCCGACTTCCCAGCACTGCGCTCATGAAGCGATTTGGTTTGTTTCCCCAGGAATAAGACCTGCAGTCCATTCCATCGAACTGAGGCTGAATAGAAGGGAACCTTCATATCCCTCTGCCACCATCTTTAGGTCGTTTATCCATGGGATGTATGGGACAGACGACGATGCTCCGGTGGTTCAAAACGCGACAAAAATGGACAGCATGAAACAGCAATTGAATCTGCAATGCGACAGTCACATTCTATTCATATCCTGGTTCCTCTCAGACTCCAAGAAAACAAGCGCGGAGATTGATCAAACGATCAACTACAGACACAAACAACGAAAAGAGTACCTATATTCAAGATCACTCCGTATTTCATAATCCATAAAAAGATAGCCTACCCAACCCCTCGCTGTGCAAAAAGAAAACAGTCTCAAGAAATCGTAACCCGCTGCGAAACTTGGATCAAGTATCCAAATAATCCGCAGCCATCAATAACTCCAGACACAGTTCCGGCGGAATATCCATATCCGCGACGTTGGCCTGCTCTTTCATTTTTTCGTTGTAGCAAAAGTATTCGCAGACTTTTTCGAGGACGACCCCACTGTTTTATCCCAGGACTTGTCAGACTTTCAAATATTGTTGTTGATGATTAAAAGTGAGGGGAGAAGTGACAAACGTGATGTTTTCGAGAACACAGGTACCCGTTAACGCTTCTGAGAATTTACCTATTATTGAGATTAGTCGGATTGTTTCAAAAAGATGAGGATGGAAGAACGTACTGCTGGGATCGAGCATGCGGCGTATTGTGCCTGAGACACAGGCTGTGCTGCGAGGAAGAACGAATTCAAAGCCATCGCTTGATATTAAAGTAACGTAGTCTGTCGTTGCCATTTTGCAGATAGTAGTGTCTGCAATTTTCCGAATGAAACGAGTATGTTAAAGTGACGTTGAGAAAAGATCGGACGAGTGATAAAGAAAGAAGATGATCTTATCAGCGCGGCGTGGCGCGTTAAGTAGATTTGGTGTGGTCCGTGCTTAAGCTGTGGAGCTTAGCTTCGACGTCTTCGTTCTTTATTTCTTTTTGTACAATAATATATACAACACTACAGTGTTTAAAGACCGAAGATGAACAGGATATACAGCTCAGGAATAACCCACTGTCTCGACATCAGACATGTCCCAGCCCAGAGGCATTCAATATTCCATATTGACATCCGTCCTCAACTCATCACGGTTCCCGGAAGCAGAACGCAAAGAGCATATTCATCACCATCATACAAAAGAAACAATCGCCTCCATGGCCGCACAGCGCTGATAACAGGCGGCTCCACAGGCATCGGCTACGCCATCGCCGAACGCTTCCTTGCCGAAGGAGCCAGCAAAGTAATCCTCATCGGGCGCCGGCACGAAAAGTTAAAGGATGCTTCGAGGCGGTTGACTGAATCAATACTTAAACCTATCAATCAAACCGGGTATGTTGCGACGCGAACTCCGGAGGAAGATGTCGGCGAAAAGATGACATCGCCAGATTCGAAAATAGAGGTTTTGGTCGGCGATATCGCTGCTGCGAGTGATTGGATGGATGAGCTTGAAAAGGCTATGGTACCTCTCCCACTCCTCTTGAGTGCTTCATACTGAGTGATCATAGACAAACGTTGATATCCTCATAAACGCAGCCGGAATGTCAAACTCGAACATCCTGCCCCGAACATCCCCAGAACACATCTCAGCAACACTAAGAACAAACCTCGAAGGCGCGATCTATACTTCTCGCGCCATGCTCAAGGCGTGTATACGTGCACGCTCAAAAGCAAAGAGCAATAAAGACCATCCCGAGAGAGAAGAGATATCCAAATGCATTATAAACATTTCCTCTTTGCTAGCACTGAAAGGAGTAACGGGAACAGTCACGTATGCCGCTTCTAAAGCAGGGTTGATCGGATTAACGAGATCCATGGCTGTGGAAGCAGCTGATATATTGCGCGGTGGTAATTTGGTGCTAAGGTGTAATGCTATATTACCTGGCTATATCGATACGCCTATGATTCAAGGTTTGTCTCTCACAATATCTAAACTTATAGTCTGAGATGGGGTCTGACGACGTCTAGATTTCAGCGACGCCAAGGTCAACGAGTTACGAGCTCAAATACCTCTAAACAGGTTCGGGGATCCAAGAGAAGTAGCTGATGCAGCTGTTTTTCTAGCTACTAACGAGTACGCTAATAATTGCGTTCTAAACCTCGATGGCGGACTGGGCGCGGTGTGAGACACATATTCAGAATGCGATGTATTGGTGCGACGAGTCTCGATCATATACTATCTATTCTCTGCCATCGTCGGCCAAGGTCTATCTGTCTATCTAATCAAGTCCTTCCTCCGAATCAATAAACCACGCAGCGCCATGACCGTCCATTCCTTTCATGCGCACATGTCAAATCCTTGGGGTGTATCAAGCCCAAATACAACCAAAACTCCATAATGATCAAAGCAAATGGGAAATCTTTTATACAGGGAGAAAGAAAGTAAAGAGAACACAAATCTCGGCCGTGGAATGTCGTGTGGGAATCGTCTAGTCGTCGTCAATCAGAATCGCGCCAGTGTCAGGATCATCAAGCACGATAGGCTCGTTGCCAGTGCCATTGGTAGCTGCAAGACGTTTTGCGTCAGGTTCGCCGTTGAGAGCGGTCTCGTCTGCTGCACGCTTTCTCTTGCCAATGACTCCGTTCGTGACTGTAGTACCGTCGATGGCAGGTTCCTCAATGGGCGCTTGCTTGGGCTTCTTTGGAATCTCGATATCTCTAGCAAGAGTGATTGCTTTGCCATCACCTGTTTTTGCACTGAAATGCTATGAGCATAATGGATCGATAAAATGGATTGAGGATTTACTCACCTTCCCACGACCAGTTCTAGGTTGACGAAAGGACTGTCATCTTCCTCGTCAATGATGGTCAGCAAAGTCTCTGCCTGTACGCCCAGATCAACAAGCTTCTTAGGCAGATTGTCGTCCAAGTCCGGGTCGTAGATCATGCCAGCATCTGTATTGATCGAGAATTCTTCAGAGTACCCCAGCTTGCCGCGGACGATATCCTCAACCAAGTCGTTCAATGTTGCACGTTCTAGATCTACTACAATTTTCCCTTGCGCCACAGAACAGACGGCACAGAACGGATTAGGTGGTCGTAAACTATCGGAGTTGATGGCTCGGACGCCAGAGCGCTCCAGGAAGACCATCTTGGCATGATCGTAGTCATCCTTCAGGACTTTGAACGCTTGCAAAACACAAAGACCAGCGGTCATGGCATTCGTTGTGGCGATTGCGGGGATGATGTTTCCAGCCATTTCTGCTTCTGTTAGTCATACTCCTGGTATTATAGATGAATGAAGGCGTACGCTTGATATCAAACTTGGACTTGGACTCGATGCCAAAAATCACAGACCGCAGGTTGGCGCTAGCCGCGACGAAATCAAGAGTATCGACATCGTCTTTGTCGAAAGTTATTATTGGCTCGATGTTGCCAGACTTGTTTGCTTGGAGCTCCTTTAGTCGACTGCTCAAGCGATCCAGACTATGGTTATGTTAGTCTATTCATCATCAACGTCATCGAAATAGTGCTTCTACCTATCCTTGAAGACTACAAAGTCCTCTTCTGGCGCCCAAACTTTTTGGTCGTTCTGAGCAATAGTGGCCTCGACTGAGCTGGCTTTTTCTGATATCGAATCATAATTGAGGGCAGTCGGGGGTTTGCGTGTCTTCCACATATCTTCCATAGCACGTAGGCGTTCAATATCGTTCTTAAAGACCTTATCAAATACTTTCCGTGCAAATCCTTCTGAGCCCATGGATTCTCGAATTGCTTTCAGCGCCTTTGCTTCGCGGCGTAAATTCTCAATCTCCTCCGCTAAAACTGGTTAGTAGATGCTTTAATCCGAGACACTGATCCAACGTACCATTCTCTGCATCCTCGCTATGATCGAAACCGTCTTCATCGCCGTCGGTTTCACTAGTACCGAAAAGCTCACTGCCGAGCTTAGCACAGTAAACTCCAATGTCATTACAGCGAGTACTTACGGTAAAAGATAGCTCTTTGCCCAAACGATGCAGTGTATGGGCTGGCTTGGTGTGCTTCGAATTGTGCAGACAGGGAATGATTTTGGGACCTCTTTTGGGTTGCAATCATAACACTCGGTACGAGACTATTCCTTCGTCAGCAGCCCGTATACCCAAATAGAATAATAAAACACGATTCATCGCACCTTCTTGATGACTTGAACTTGTCCATTAAACCCTGTTGTTCCACTTTCTACCAAAGGTACGTTCGCGGCGAGGCACATCCGATTCACATGGCGACGAGCGTCCAAATTATCAAGAGCGTTGAAGACGACATTAAATGTAGCAAACCAGTCGACATTGAACTGGGCGTCCTTGATGTTGGCATGATACGCCTCCAGCTTTGAATCGGGGCGGAACTTTTGGGCGACGTCTTTGGCTACCTGTAGGCAATGTGAGCGAGACGTGCACGCGATGTGATGTGCTTCACGATCGACAAGCTTACCAACGCCTTTGACTTTTTGATATGTTCGTGGCGAAATAGAAACTGGCGATTGAGGTTGCTTAGATCAATGGTATCGAGGTCAACGATGTGGATTTCACCGAAACCAGTGAGTAGTAGGTTTTTGAGGAGCTCGCAACCGATCCCGCCAGCGCCGACGAGCAACACGCGAGACTATGAGTCAAATGGATCAGAATAAGAGAGCTTAAGCAAGATCTTTTTAAGACTGTTTGCAGGGAATCAATTGCTGTGTAGGAACTCACCTCGCGAATGCGACGAGACAACGTCCCTAGGGAACGCTTGAGATAAGCGTCTCGCGACGGTAGCCGACCATTTGTATTGGACTCCATAGCTAGATAAGGTGGACGACGAATACTGTCATCCTAGAAGAGAAATTTCCAAGCGATCGTAGAAGAGATGGAACAGTCCAGCGACAGAAACTGAGACAGACGAAGGCGTAGAGAAAAAGTAGCGAACTGAGTGACGGCAGAGCTTCTCCACACCTGCGATACGAAGCTTAGATGAGTGTAAACGGATGCAGCCGTGGGAAGGATAAATTGAGGGCCGTCGACTGGTGGCGCGTAAATTGAGAGATGAGAATGAAGAAGAAAAATTAGAAGTACCGGCAGGAAAGAAAGGGATGTGAAGTGAGGCAAGAAAAGATGAAGTTCGTTCGCAGCGACAGATGATCTAATCATTAAACCCGATTGGGACGAAAGACTGCCTCACATCTTCTCTCTCTCAACATCCAATGCTTCTATCATTTGGCAGATTTGCTTCGCTCTACAACGGAATCTTATATTTCTTTTACCATAGACTGGGCTACTTCAATGAATGGATACCTTCTTCGTATTTCTCTATCTCTAAGAAGGAAGGATAATCAAAATGAAGAACAGAAAGAAGGGGGGGGACGAAAAAAATTGAAACGAACAGAAGCTATATGCCCTCTCGGAGAATCGAACTCCGATCTGAGGATGACTCTAGAAGTATGACATCTAGTCATATCACGTGATATGAGACCTCCGTACTGAACCGTTATACTAAGAAGGCTTGTTGGAGTGGTTGAATTAATAAATACGCTCTATCTGTAAGAAGGAAAGATAATAAGAACGAAGAACAGAAAAAAGGTGTAAGGCGGTGGAATGAATGGAGCTGCAGATGTGTTCCCGTATCCGGAGCACATAACACACGTGACCTCGGTTCGGCTTAGTCATGTGTTAGTCAGCCGGCAAACTTCGTAGCGAGGCCGTAAAGGGGCCATAATTCCTAGAGAGCAACAAATAGTTGCGAATGATATCTACACCTACGCTTCTTGCTCTAATATCTGACACCCGTACTACTACGCCCTTGTAAACCCTCTTACAGACGGGGGAGGAATGATTAAAAATCGAAACGAATCAGACAAAAAGCTATGCCCTCTCGGAGAATCGAACTCCGATCTGAGGATGACTCCAGAAGTGCTACTTCTAGTCATATCACGTGATATGAGACCTCCGTACTAACCGTTATACTAAGAAGGCTTGTTATATTGCTGGGAAAATAGAGCAATCTAAACCAATATTATGCCGTTCAGCCGTGGACAGCAATAGCCTCAGTATCAACCAACAGCACTACTCTATGTTAGCAGGTTAGATACTGGCCAGAGAAAGTAAAAATAATAAAAGATTTTTAATAAAGAAGAAGAGGAATAAGTATGAAATTGTTGTTGTAATTGTTGCATTGCTTATCATACAAATTTGTATGGACAGTGGTGTTTCTAGGGTAAGGGTTAGGGTAGGGGTTAGGGCCATACATCCAACACTTAACACTACAAATGCCAAATCACTACGCAGTCTCATGAATACTTGACAACCTTTCTGTAGCCTACAATGCAAGAGCCTGGTGGACCTCCGCATATCGCCACTATTTGTGTAGGTCTGCTCAATACACAGCTTGATCCCGTCAATGATCAGGACATACTGCCTGCCACTACCTGGGACAACCAGGTGTATAAGCCTAGCCGACAATTGCAGTTTTGATGGCGAGCTAGCCAGTTGATATGTCAATACTACAGCGTCCATGTCAAACCAATTTGATTCGACTCATATTAGACTCGTTTGCTTTGGAGTATTGAGGTAGCCTTGAAATGATATATTTCTGCAATGTTTCCTGGAGGAACACTAAAGACACCAGTCATAACTGAAATGGATTGTTTGACTGTAACGGTCCAGATCAGCCATGGTATTCATCGTAGGTTTATCACACAGACTCGTATTTGCCCTAGACCCAGTCTCTACCCAGCAAGCAAGATATAGATCAATCCAATGATATCTGCAGGGGAGAATAGAATGACCCAATCAAAATGCATAGCCATGCTTATGTAATAATTCAAAATAATTTTATTTTCTGGCAGGCACACGACAATCTAACATCAACCAATTTTGGGGTACAAGAGATATTACTTCTTCACATCCTCGTAATCTAAGCAAATTACTTGAACTGTCGCCTTTGAACAACAATCATGGATGTGTCTTGTTGCTAGTGGCCTCTGACCCGGAAGATGGCTGCTTGACTCATCCTTTCAACCTTGTCGATATCAATATCCATCAAAGACTTTGTGGCGACAATCGAAACCAGCATTGAGCAGCAACCACAAATAACATAAGAAAAAAGCACCAGAAGTAGAGCACAAAGTACAGTGAAATGTCAGACAACGAAGCTGACCCCGAGCTCGTAGAGCTCCTCCGCCAACACCTCGGCTTAGGCAAAAAGAAAGGCAACGAAGCCCCTGACACAAAAGTCCTCCAAAATGCTCGATGGATATTTGACAACTCCATTGACGTAGCTCTGGATCCGCGGCAAACAAAAGCCGCTGCGGAGACCATATGGCAACAAATACAGCAGAAGCAGTACTCTACATCGACATGGTCTGAGCATGAGTTACATCCTAAGGCCAAGGATGAGAGCACGGTGGATTTTATCTTCACGATGGATCTGTTGAATTTTAGTTTTTGGTCGGAGGAGAAGGAGGAGAGTAAGAGATTTGGGATTGATTACCATGGTCGCAAGTGGACGGGGTATTGGAGTTTGGTGGCTGCGTTGCAGAGAGCTTTGGATGATGGAATCCCGATTACGAGCCCAGAGTTCTGGCTTAATGAGGATGAGTTTACAGAAGACTTGCTGCAGCACGTCTTTCGCTCTACATCGGATGAGGAGATTCCGTTGCTCAAAGAGCGATTCGACTGTATGCGAGAAGCAGCTCAGATTCTTGATGAGAAATTCGATGGCAGTTTCATCAACTGCATCTACGATGCCAATCAGTCTGCTGCAGCGCTCGTGAATATCCTAGCAGATGAGTTCCCATGCTTTCGAGACGAAGGAGTCTTTGATGGCCGCACAGTTCGGTTCTACAAACGTGCACAGATCCTTGTGGCTGATCTATGGGCTTGCTTTGATGGCGAGTCGTATGGAGAATTCAATGACATAGACAAAATCACCATGTTCGCCGGTATGCTTCTTTCCTTTAATCCTCGACAGTTCTTTTTCAAAACTAATGTTCCTAGACTACCGAATCCCACAAATGCTCCATCAACTAGGATGCCTTCTATACTCTCCGCCCTTGGAAAGCCACATCCGGCGTCGACAACTCATCAAATCAGGCTCAAAATGGGAAATGGAGCTTCGCGGCACTTCGATTTGGTGCGTGGAATTGATAAGGCAGGAGATTGAACGTACGCATCCGGAAACGAAGATGGTGTATTCTACTGGAAACTCGTCGACGTTTGAAGTAAATATCGACGAGAAGGAAGCTAAAGACGTTACGGAAGTAATAACCGTAACTAAAGAACAGGAAGAGGAAGAGGAGACTACAGAAGACGCAATCCAAGAGTTACAGGCGATTGGAGAGGGAGAAGAAATCACAGAAAAAGTGGCCCAAGAGCCACAAGAAACTTCTAAGACAGAGGAGCCGAAGACCACCGCAACATCAAAATCAAGTACACCAAGACTGAAAACAATCAGCATAAACGCTATCTTGATCGACTTTTTCTTATACGATACGATGAAAGAGTTGGAGAACGGCGGACAGGAGACTATTCCCCACCACCGGACGAGGAGTATTTGGTATTAGAGAAATACAGATACAGATATACACGGACTGTGCATGTTAGACAAGAGTCAATATATTCTGTGGGTGGTAGTGCTTGCTTCATTTGGTTTATGGTTTGTATTGGGTTTGATTCACGCTGGCGTTTGGTCATGAACAGAGTAACAATGTACAGTCATAGATGAATATCTATAAAAATCAGATTTCAATTAGACAACTATTCTCTTCCCTGTCTTCATCATCTTGCCAATCCTCTCCAATATATCCGCCTTCCAGTCTAGAAAATCCTCCTTTCGATCCTCACTCAAATAATCAACTCGATCCTGCATCATTGTCCCAAGACCCGGTAACAACAACCCCTCTTCATCCTTTCCAGCATGCAAAAATATATTTGTCTTTCGGCGCTTTCCGCCTTGAGCTTTACTACCATCATGCCCATCTCCGTCAACCTCATCGTCATCATCATTAAGCCCATTTCCAAGCTCATCCTCCCTCTCCCCAGCCAACGGGATGTTATCAAACCATTCCTGCCCCTTTGCCCATTTCAGAGTCTGAATCACCTCAATCCATGCATCCACGTCTTCGCCATGTCTTTTCTCGGCCGCCGGCAACCCCAGACTCGATAAAGCTGTTTGCCGCATTTCAGAAAAAGTCTTTTTGTCCATTTTGCGCGATTCGGTGGCGGGGGACATTGGTGGATGTGGATTTTCGGAGGCTGTAGCTGTAAGTGCTTTGCTGTTTGCTGGTGTGTTGGTAGGGAGACTGCGTCGGCGAGCGAGAACTAGAAAGTAGACGGCTACTATTAGGGCCAGCACTACTTCTTTGTAGTCGTCGCTCTCCCCTTCCTCGGGATTGCGTATAATGTTGGCGAACTCTGAAGCATCTTCATCCAGTTCGTCGAATTCCTTATCGGTCATCTTCGAGATGAAATGAAGAATGGAAGAGACACCTGCAAACATATGTGGAGGCAATGTCCGTGAAATAGGCGGTCTTGACCATAGACTCATTCGAGGCGCAGGCGTTGACAAGATTTTGCACACCGTCCTAATAGAAGGCATGACGAATTGTGGCGCATCTCTGATATTCTCTAGTAACTGCAGTGGTTCTTTAGTAAATCGTGCACGTTTTACCGAGGCCATTCGTGACGGTGTTTTGTTTGTGTCATTGTCGAGGGTTCTCTTTCCTAGAGGCGTGCTTTTGGACGGCGTATTAAGCTGCTTCGACGGTGTCCGGGAAGCCGTAGCACCATTTCCACCAGCTTTTTTGGGCGTTGAAGAAGGTTTGTTAGGTGTCGGAGGGGCGGGTTTATTCTTCGATGTTGTACTTCCCACTGATTTTTCGAGGAATGTGTATAGCTTCTTGTATACTCGCGGGGGACATGGAGGATGGCCGAGCAGAGGTGGGAGTTTCAACGTCCGTGCTAATCTGTAGTTATCTCAGTCAGCATTATTGATGATGAATCGGATCAGAATATTGCATACCTTCGACAAGCTATCTCGGCGCAAGCATGAGGTCTTGCAATCTCCTCCTCCGGCTTCAAGCTCGACGAGAAGCTGCGAGACTGCGCAAATAGAGACTGCGCAAGGCCGAGCAGCTCAGGGGGCATTTCATTTTCGTGAGTGGGCAACAGCGTAGCGAGAGCCCGCTCAACGGGTCGTAAATTGTTCATTCTGCCTAGCGAGAACGTAATTGAGATTGAAGTAGTTGTCCATACTAGGTTCCGCCGATGTCGATTAGAGATTCCGAGCCGTACCCAAAAGAGTTATATTGACTTTGGCGCGAACGCGTCCGACACGCTAACTCGTTGTGGACCAGCCCACCGGTTGCCTGCGCAACGAATGACATCGCCTTTTCAACCTCAACCTCATCTCGGACCACTCCATTGACGAACATCGTTCCCTACCTAAGTCTTGCCGACATCTAATTCTATCACAACAGCAGATAAAATGCCTCCCCGCCGCTCAACTGGACGGACTGCTCCCAGCCAGCAGTCCAAGCTCTCCTTTGGTACACAATCCCGAGTCACCAAGCCCTCAACCACCTTACCAGGCAAACAAATCAAGAATATCGACTCCGTGGTCCAGGAACTCGCAGCCAAGAGAACATCGCCTGCATCTGCTTCCCCAGCACCTGAGCCCGATACTGCGTTACCAGAACAAGTACCCGTTACGTCATCAGCAGAATCGTCGAAGCCGCATGTCGCAGAACTAGCGATTCGAGAACAAGTAAGAGAGGAGCTAAGTCAGCCTCAGACGGATGAAGATAAGAAGGCGTTGAAGATTAGTGAGGTACAGATTAGGCGGTACTGGAGTGAAGAGGAGAAGAGCAGGAAGGCGCCAAGAGGTAAATCCCTACCAAGCAGTCAAGAGTACAGCATAGTTTACTGATCAATGTAGTGCATCAAAACGGTCTTGACACTGACGAGAAGATTCTACGACATTTTGACTTGTCAAGTCAATACGGCGTAAGTGATCTCTCTGCCCAACTTGCGGCTTGTAATGGATGCTAACGTCAAGTACCAGCCCTGCATCGGAATCTCCCGCATCAAGCGCTGGCGGCGAGCACATATGCTCGACCTCGAGCCGCCAATTGAGGTTCTTGCCGTTCTACTGAAGGACCGCAAAGCCCCTGTTGCTGAGCGCGCATATGTCGACGAATTGCTTTCATGATGATGCAAATGCAACTTGTGAACGTTTGTCTCTTTTATTGATGTATTTCAATCGGCGTTTTAGGTTTATTCATACCCTTCCTTTTCTCTTCACCGGTGAGGCGGTCTGGTATTGAGTTTTAATGTAATCATGACAACAATGCCGTTTCCAATCTAGAAATTTATCTTGAAGCATTCATACAATCATAGTCTTTGTCTGGGGCTGAGTCACACTTTGAGCCTTATTTGCCACGTTAAGCCTAGCAATATTTGTGCACTTGCGGTGAAATTGATGGTTTAGTCCAGGTAATTGGGCAACCTGAGAGCATCTATTGGCTGCAGGACCGAAGAGTCTACGGTTTTTACCGACCAACTAGATGGTGCGCGAGCTCCGAAGCCCCTCATATTTCTACATAAATGCATCACTCTAGCCAAATTTCCATTTCACCAACTCCAGGCATCATTAAAAGCTGGCTACGCTCTATACAACTCTTATTTGAAGCTGTCTGCGCAACATACGGAGATGGAACCATCAGTTGAGCGTTCATATCACCTCTTCAGTCATCTCTGGCTAGAAGTAATCTTACGACTGAAGATTTGAAGACACTTAGGCAGCTTGAGGAACTGATTATCGAGCTAGAGAGTTAAGATGTCTCTAGTAAGGATCATTTTCTAGTTCATCCTCCTATTCGATGGCTAATTTGGAAAACTCCTACAGTCACCAATTTCAAGATCGTCGATGACCGCGAGCAAGCAGTATTGGGGGTGTCTCTGGACCGATTCATGCCCCGATAGCATGTCATCTCAATAACCCACCTTTCGACACCAGCGACCCTTCTGGTCAAAAGGTGTACGATTTCTCAAATCTTTCGATATGTCAAATCAGCAAAGCTGGATTCTCGTTAGAGAATTCGTTTATCTTTGATCACATTGCGCGCCGTGATTTGTCAGAGGATGTTCGGCTATTTTATTTTGGAACAACCAACTAGGCCGAAAAGCAGCACTCATACTAGATGATCTAGTATGGTATGATATAGTAAGCGAGTATGATCATGATGGATGCCGTGAGCTTGTCTCGACATTTTATCATGATGATAATCTCACTGTTCACGATGATTTCTTGCTTTCTATGAGGAGAGCTATGGCTGCAAAGATAGAGGTGTGTTGGGGCAAAGAAGTGTGCATCAGGATGAAGAAGCTTTTGAAGCTTGCAGCACAGAGAGTTTGGGGAGAATATACAGATACGGAGCTTTGGCGGGAGCTTGACAAGGACAGTGTGATCCGTATTATTATATTCGTCAACCATCCTTAGTACTTCATGTACTCTAGTGGAGCCCAGTTCAGACAGACCAAGGGACGAAAGCAAGGTGTTTGTTTATCGGTGGCGGCCAAGATGGCCAATCTCGCAATCTCGCAATCTCGCAAAAGTTTTACGAATTTCACCACGAACCATCAATCTGTGTGAGGTTGAGGAAACACCAAGGGGAGCTAGTCAGAAATCTAGAAGCAGAAGCACAGGCTCAACTCAAAGCAGCCTTTCCAGGGAAATACGGCGAGATTCGCCTTATTGCAGCAGATGCGCGGAAGCGCAAGAAAAAAGGTCACTCAAGAAAGATGCACTATAGGCTAAAACCCGAGAAACACATGGGATCCGTCAACCATGTCACAAGCAATTAGACGTGTCTCGATATGAAGTTGGCGGATTTGACGTTTTCGATGTATATTTCGGTCTATTTAATCCCTCAATTGATGCCAGATAGTGAATGATCAACCTACAAATGGCATTCGCTACTATCAGTGGGAGACACACTGGTCATGTTATACTACAAGGAACCGATACAAATATAGACACTGATATTAGCACGATGACTGTCCCATGCCTACAATCAAAGTATGACCCAATTGTCTCATGCATTCCCAGAGATCGACCTACAGACAATGGTCTGGATTCCCAGAAGGATTTCCCCACCAGGTCGGAAAGGGGACCTCGTTACCGCTCGCACCAAAGACTGCAAACGACAGTATAAAAATAATAAGCTGAGAACCACCATCCAACGCAGCTCCAATAAGATAATTGTACTTGTTATAAATCCGAGGCAGACGACGCCGAAGCCAGACCTGAGAGAAGATGCCAACCACAATCGACGACCAGATCCATGATGTGTTGCCGTAGTAGATCAAACCAGCATAAGTCAATATCACGGCTGTGTTGATTTCCCATTTGGCGACTCGTGGGAATACCTTGATCACTCCCCAATGCAAAGCGGGAAAAGCGAGACCGATGACTAGACCCAAGGGAACGATGAGGTATTGTCCGTGGATTCCATACATTTCCTTAGCTAGTGCCCATGTGATTGCGTTAGAGTTTAGACTCTGCACATATGAGCCGCTCCAGATGTTGTTTCCGATGGGATCGAGGAGGATTTCTCGTTGATTGCTGACGATTGTCGTCATGACGGCATAGTTCAAGCCTGCTCCTAGCAGGGTGCCATATACCTGAGTGATAAACATGACCCGAGGAGGAATCTTAGTATATTGGCCTACTTTGAGCCAGTTGGCCAGGTTGACAGCCAATAGAATGACTTGATGGGACTGGAATATGTTAGTAGGGCGCTATATCACAAGTATACTGAGAGTTGATAACTTACCCAGCTTGCAAAGTAAAGGTTGGCGAGAGGACGTCCAGGGTGCAACGCGCCTGCAATCATTTTGGAAATGAGATTCGTGCCTACACCAGTTCCGTACAGCCCATAGAGAATACAGGAGAAAGGGGCAATGAATGCACCTAGGATGAGAGCCACGATATACTCCCACACCGGTTGCGTAGTCTGACCTTTGATGTTGACGATCAACCCGGCAAAGAACGCCAAAACAAAAAGTCCATAATACCACCACATGGGAACTTCTTTGTACTTGAGCATTCCTTGATAGTGCGGGTCTGGTTGGGTCCTGGTACGTGCCTGTTTCCAGGCCAGCCACATGTCCTTACTGTAGAAAATGAGGACATGAGAGATCAGTGCACCGATGGCCAAGCTCTGAGTCAAGAAACCCCAGACAGTGGTGGCAGTCATGTATGGCAACCCCACCTCGTCGACCTTGTCAAAATCGATTGTACCTTGACTGTTCATTATAGAGTCGGTATCGTATTGCGTACCGTTTGCCAGAAACAGAGAAGTAGACATGAACGGGAAACTCAGGGCATCCCAGGCATTTCCGTAGTAGAGGGCGAGCATGGCGATATAAAATATAATGTAGCCGATCCACGAATTAAACTGTTGCTTCAAGGGCAATGACAGGTAGGTGCTCTGAATGTATTGCCAATCGAGACTAAAATTCAGGATGCCCAAGCCTTCGTTAGAGGAAGCCCCTCCAAAGACTTTGGAGAAGATGGTCCGGGTATGCGTCGGGGCATGCATGGAGGCCAGACAGAAGATCGAGATACCCGAAAACCAGGTCACGATGTATGAAGGAAAAAACTCCCAGATCGCGGAAGCCGCAAGAGCCCAGCCAAACTTGACCAACCGACCCCTATTCGCGCGGACATCGAAGTGCAAATTCTGAAAAAGCACCACTTGAGGCAAAGTCGACCAGTATACCATCTCGGCCGGATAAACGATCAGGGGGCGCAGCACACCAGCCAATACGAATCCTACCAGTGAGATGGAGAAAGTACCCAAGACAGCAGTGGTCGCCGTCACGCCCGTGTTATAGAACAGTCTCTCAACAGCATAGACCTCCACTCCGGCGAGACCGTTATTACCAGACGAGGCGATCAAGGCGGAGACCACATGTTCTTTGATCCCAAACGTCTGTCCAAAATTGAGGAAGCGAAGCGTGGCCTGTAGCCATTTCCACTTGAATCTTTCCGGGCGAGGAGTGAAGAGTGCCCATGCCTGGCCAAATATGAAGACGAGGACTGTAAGATTAGCAGTTGAATGAATAGGAGACTCTGATTGACTCACGTTGAAGAAAAGTAAAAGAAACCTGCGCTTGGTAAGGTTTGAAAACGTAGAGCATTGTGATAACACTTGAAAGCGCAGTGAAGGCGGAGCCTAGCACAAAGGACCGGAATGTAAACGCAGGATCCCCATCGTCGCGCAGTGACACGATGTATTTGGAGACATCAAGGCCTGCAATAGCCCGGCGTTAGCTGGAATAAAAGAATATGCATGTAGAGGTGGAATGTACCATTGCGAATAACCGGATGCCCTTTAACGTATTCGGTATCCTCGTCTTGAGGGGATTCTACCGACACCTCGCCGGTCTTTTCGTTGATGCTTTTGACTTTGTCGCTAGCAGAGTCAAATATGGCCTCCGTGACTTCTGATTTACCATGTTGAGAGACATCAGGACTCTCCTGCTCAATTTCTGGCGCGACTTCTTTGATGGCCATTTTGTCGTAAGGATAGAAAAGAGGGGAGGGATATCTTCCCGATCAAGCCTATCTTATCTGTCAAAAGAAACGGAGGCAGAAAATACAGCAGGTGTCTCTTCCCCTTATATAGAGAGCCTAGTCAATATCTTCACATTGTCAATTTCCCTCTTTTCCTTCCTTTCCTCCCCTCCACGTGGAGCCATACAGATGTCGCCATTTTCGCCTTAGATGATAGGACTGAAGACACCTTCCATTTGGTAGTATTTACCAACGAGGTTGCATCCTGATTGGGCTCGGCTAGTCGACGATCCATTCCTTTGCTAGGGTTAATTAAGGTCGCTCTTAATCTGGCTGTTGGTTGGTTGTCCGAACTTGTTGTGGTGGGCATTCTTCCTTAGTGAGAATTTAGTCCATGTCTTAGTCAATATAGTGCAGCCAGACAACGCTTCTTAGTAGTTCTTACGAGAGAAAAATATCGCAAGAAATTTTGGAAAGAGGTCGAAGTTAATGTTGTGGAAAGACGCTAAAAACACTCTATTTGTGTTTGGCGAAGCCACCCGGCGGCACTTTCCGACGCACTCGGCACTCGCTTCGTTGGAGTCTACTGTTCTTTCAAGATGAAGAAGTAATTATAACATGAACAACCTCGTCCCATGAATAACTAGTTTTTTCGTGCAGTATTATACGAGAAATTAGCCGGAAGCTCAAAAGGAGTGCACTAAGCAGCTTCCTCTACGGACATAGCCTGAAGAATAGTCCACTAGTCCTGAATAGGATTAGCTGTCTTACCCCAGATCCTTATCTTTTCCATCCTCACAAGCATGTTGCACACTATACACAAGCGATACATACACACTCAATGGTGAGTGTACTTAGGTATATACAATCAAGGCAACCCCGCCGAAATCTTCTCATACCGCTTCCCAAACCCTGCATCCCACTCGTCAACAATTTCCCGCGCCATCCCCGGCGCAATCACACTATCCCCTCGTTCCAACCCTTTCGATACAAACTCCATAAACTCGTCAATCGACAATGAATTCGGATTCTTGTGTTTTTTATTATCGTCCGGATCTTCTCGCTCGCGATGAAGATCCGTCTCGACTGCTGGGGGCACGATTTCGATTACTCTGATACTCTCGTATCCGCCGCGCCGAAGCTGGGTGCGCAGGGTGACGGACCATGAATGCAGCCAGGCTTTTGTGCCGTTGTAGACTGGGTTGATGACGGAAAAGGGCACAAATCCGAGGACTGAAGAGACGTTGATGATCGTCGCGCCACTACCGTCTTTCTTGGTCTTGAAATGATCAAGTAATGCCAGAGTTAGATGCATAGGTCCCCGGATGTTAATATCGATCTCCTGGTCGGCCTTTTGAAGAAATTCCGACGGATCGTCCTTGAGCACTTGCAAGGGCCGCTGAACGCCAGCATTGTTAATCAGACAGTCTAGCTCTGGATGTTTCTGCAGTAATGTATTCACGAATGACGGGATCTTGTCGACTTCGCCCGTGTCAAGAACGTAGTAGTCTGTAGCGCCGATTTCGTGTGCTGTCGTACGTAACTTGCTTTCGGTGCGACCGGCAAGAATCACCTTGACGTTTTTGCTAAGTAGGTATGTTGCGATGGCCTTTCCAAGGCCGCCAGCGCCGCCGGTAACGAGAGCGTAGGAAAATGGAAGCGACATCATTAAATTTGCAAAAGGATTGGATATTGAAGAGGATTGCACGTTTGGTGGTTGGCGGAGCGGGGAGATTTGATATAGAGGGCGGCCGTGACGTCAGTTACATATATGTTGATTGCCCAAGCTTAGCCCTAATGCAGAGTCTGACTATCATCATACTACCTTTGGGAAACACTTTAATGGTTTAATTTGACAGTCTTTCACTACATTCAAGTACTGTAAAAAATGGAATGTCGACCATAACCGTAAAGTGGCTGAGATGATCACCGATGCACTCTCTCCTCGTACATCGCCGAATTCAGGTCACACAAACAACCTAATGAGGTACTAACTCGCACATCGCAAGTCTACTCGTGTAGCGAGGTAATGATATTGGATAGCCTGTCTGAGCGTATGCGCCAACAAAAAGAAATGCCACCTCTTTCACCACTCACATTCTCTGACCGTCGCCAATCGTAGCACCAAGACGAGCAAAGTCAAGTTTTCCAAGGTTGACGGGACGCAGTAACCCTCGATTCGTCTCTTCGCGCAACATTCTATTCGCCCAAACGCACTTGCGCAGCTTGTTACGTAGATTCTCAGCGGCATTTTGTCGTGATGTGGCCGGCTTGTACAAGCAGATCGTGTAACGTGAAATTTCTTTCCTTTAAGAGTATGGAGGGTCTGGTGTGAGTCAAACATATAAGGCTGGTCGCACTTCCGTCTCTGTGCTTGATCGAGCTCAGCCCTGCTTTCCCCAGATACTCACTCAATCACCTCATTCTCGAATCAAGCACGAACCTCCAAGACCGAAACGTGGAACCATCAGAATGCAGTTCACATACATTCTCACGATAGTATCAACCCTCGGCCTCGCTCAAGCGCAGCTTCCTAACCTCCCTGACTGCTCCGTCCGTCTCCCCTTTCCATCCCATCTTGAGTTCCCAATATGTGGAAAATACTGACCTAAAACCGATAGTTGGGCTGCTTCCTTTCCGCCCTTGAGAACGACGGCTGCTCCGGCCTTACAAACTTCMCCTGCCACTGCGCCGTCCCAACTCTGGTCAGCGCAATCACGCCCTGCGTACAGAGCGCATGCAATCTCGCAGATCAGTCCTCTGTCTCAAATGCGGTGACATCGGTGTGTTCGTCGGTTAGTGTGCCTATTAGTATTCCGCCTGTCACTGCTACGACTACCACCACAACTACGACCACGGGCTCTGCCGCTGCGACGACGAGTAGTGGTAGTGGTTCGACGACGCCGTCGAGGACGTCTTGTTCTGGTAAATCGACTTCTGCTTCGTCCTCTGGAATAGGTGGTGCGTCGTCTACTTCCGGCTCCTCGAGTTCGTCTGGTGCATCTGCGTCTGCCTCAAGCTCGACCTCGACCTCGACTGGCACCGAAACGACTAGTACGCACACGACTACACGCAGTACGACGACGAGTGTCCCTCAAGCTTCCGGTGCTGCGGACTCAATTTCTGCGCCGTTCGTTGGGACGGGTCTGTTTGCTATGGGTGTCGCGGCTTTATTTGCGCTGTGAGTTGTTTATCAAGGGCCGATAACTTTGAGTTTGATGCTAGGGAGGAAATCATATCGTAGGGAGATCTAATGTCATTGAGGCACGTTATGGTAATTCATTGTCATGTGAAATTACATATCCAAAATGGCTGTTTCATTATCAATCGTAGTTCATTAATATTCGCTGCCTTGTATGGTCCAGCCACGACTGCAGACTCAAGCTCGGCTCATTGCCAGCCTTAACTAAGTACACAAATAACACCCATACACAATATCTTACACTCAAAGCTCCACCGGAACAAATGATCATACTACAAACTCAACAGTCTCACACGTCTGCCCATATTCACTAATCTTATCATGTATCCGATCGATCATCCAATTGGATTTCACGCCCTCGGCCGCTGTTCCTCTTTTGACGGCTGAAGAAACGAAACAGCTCTTCTCATCTTCTTTATACCGGTAAGAAAGACAGCTCGCGTCATCTGCACATTTCGTGCTGCAGTCGTCGAATGTAAGTTCGAGGGCGGATCCGTCTTCTTTGGTGATGGCGTTGTCGGCGGCGTTGTCCCACCCATCGCGCGGTGAGAGGATGTCTGGAAGAATAAGGCGATGGAATACATCGCTGTATAAGAGTGGTTTTGCGGTGGAATTACCCTGAGTATGCGGTTAGTTTTCGAACAAGGAAAAAGAATGAGTAAGTCTTACAGAGTCAAACCACTCCCTATCGAACTCATACAAAGTCTGAATATCATCAGGCTGCATATGATGATATGACACAACTGGAAAACACCACGCACGTTTATCGCCCACAGTCGCGAAATAGTCCACCTCCCACGGCTTGTTGTCCTGCAACATGGGCCAAGACCAATTCAGGCCCACGCCGGCATCACCAAACACTTTGCCTAGCACACAGTCGCCTGCCCATTGCGTAGCGGTGTAATCATCGATCTCTGTTTGGGGCCTTTCGTCTAAATACTGCACAATTTTGCGCATGACCGGGTTAGAAATGACAAACCCGGAACCACCGTATGCAAAAATCGTGTCGCCGATCTGCATGGGATAGCCAAGATACCAATCCTGTTCATGATCCAACTGCGACAACCACAGCACAAGATTCGGCCAGAGGAAATATGAGTCGGCCTCCATAAACACAAACCATTTCGCATCCGGTTTGTGCTCTAATGCCGCGGGGATCATGGGCAGAAACTTCCACTTGTCCAATCTCCACCCAGGGTTGTTTTGACGCCCAAAGGGGCCATTAGAGTCATCGCCATAATCGGCGGGKGTCAATGCCTCGCGACCATGGTCACGAATGCGATTGTACAATTCGAATTCTGGAATGTTGCGTTTGACGGTCTCGTTGAGTCGGCGCAGGACGTCGTGCGTCTGTACGCCGGCTATTTCCTCTTCGAAGTCTGAGAAGACGACAAAGTGTGGCACGGAGGCGAGGGTTGTTTCGAGATGAATGGGTACTTTGGTCAGTGATTCTGTCACGCCGGTTTTGAGGATGATGAGGATATCGTCCATTCCTGGAATGGGTTCTGGCTTGACATCATAATTGGTCTTGTCGTCGCCACTTATTACTAGAGGGAGTTCGTTCTGCGATTCGTCCGTGACGAAGAACTGGTCAAGTAAAAGCGAGTGTGGCCTTCGAAGCCATGTGTAGAGCAAGACTAGACTGAGTATGGGCGCAAAGACGAGAATCCAGATACGCGATCGACTATTGTGTAGCCGATGTAAGGACTGTGTTTGCATAATGCTATATATCCGGATCACCAGGATCCTCTCAACACGCAGTTGTTCATATAGACGACGTCGAAGTCAGATCGCAAATAAATCTGAAGAACAAATTCAACCAGCGAAGGACGACAGATATAGATTACGAATATCAAATCAATCACCAACCAGTCCACCACAGTGACCACACCAGTGGTTGACGGATAACCGCCCACGAATCGACGTAAGCATCAAACGTCAATCATTCCACAACTCCATAATAAAAAGTGGGCTGGCCAGTCTCATCCTTCAGATCGACTGTTCATCCCGACTAATGTTTCTAGCGAATGCACGCACTGGCCAGGTCCGAGAAAGCTTGAGAAAGGAATGCTAGACGCCCATCTGGCGGTTAGCCGCTATTATTGGATGACGCCGGATGAGAGACGCTCGACTAATCATCGTCCGTGGTTCGGATGGCGTTGACACGTCTGGCGGTTAGTCGTGTCTGGAAATTAACATGAAACGAACCTCGTCGTGGATAATTTTCAAGATGAATATGTTAAAGGCAGAGAGGTTACCCTGGTTGCCTATCACCAAATCGGATAACCATGATTCATCAGCTCCGGATCTGTGCCAGCCGCGCAATCCGGATATTCGTTTCAGTCAAGGTAAACATTTCTATAATTCTATCCACCTTACTAGTGGTCTCGATACTACTCAAAGTCTTGGTCATCGTCATTTCTTCTAAATAAAGCTATCAATCAAATCCATTCATGAACCATGCCATGCCCGTGAAATTATTACAAACACCAAGTACATCGCAGAAAAAATATATCAAAACTCTTAATTAACCGTTTTATAATTAAGCACCGAATTCCTTAATATCAGTCTTCTTGCCACTCAAGGCAAGAGGAACAATACCACTGACGTGCATGTCAGGACCGTAAACGTGCATATCAAGTCCCAATTCCTCACCAACAGCCTTAATATTCTTAAGACCTTCCTGGTAGTTAGGACCAGCACGACGAACCCAAATCTGGACCTTGTGCTCGTTGAGGGTCGAAGCGACCTCCCGGAGGGCGCGAATGACACCCTTGAATGTGGAAGCAACGTTGGTGAAGTTGGCAATACCACCACCGATGAAGAGAACCTTTCCTTCGGGGCGTTGGGGAGCTCGGAGCATCAAGTCCAAGACTGTGCGGGCGTAGTTGAAAGTCTGAGTCTCGGTGGGAGCACCAGAGTATTCACCATAGTTGGCCAACTCGCTAACGAAACCAGCAGATGCAATAGCGTCGGCGTAGACGACAGAGGCACCACCACCAGCAACCAAAGTCCAGATACGGCCGTTGGCGTTGAGGACGGTCAACTTCAAGGAAGCACCGGTCTTGGCGTCCATATCAGAAATGAACTTCTCCTCCTTGCTGAGTTCACGACCGAAAGGAGCGGGGAACTCCATTGGGGGACCAGCGTCGACGTTGACCTTGCCGTCACTCTTGGAAGCAGGCAAACCAAGAGCAGCAGGGCTGCGAGCAATAGCCCATTTAGTACCGCATTCAAATTCAGCAGTCTGGTCGAGCTTGGCAGCCAAGTCGAGGAAGTGAACCTCAGCGGAGGTGGCATCAGCGTTGGGGATAACGACGAGAGGGTTGATCTCGAGGTAGGTGAACTGGCAATCGACGTAGACAGCGTACAGGCGGGAAATGAAGTCAACCAAGACGTTGTGAACGCCGGAAGGCACCTTCTTCAACAAAGTGGCTGCAAGCTCCTCGTTGGAGGGGAAGTTTTTGAGGTTAACGGGGATCAAGATCTTCTCGGCCTTGGCATCAACATCACCGACGTCGACACCACCTTCGTGAGTAAAGAGAATCCAGTCGCCCTGTGTCCGTTAGCTTCTAGGTTCATGATATTTGCTCTTTGGCTTGCAGGCTTGTCAAAGAAGTCAAACATACCTCTCGCACAGAGTTAATGTTAATGTAGTATTCAGTGTTCTGGGGATGAGGAACAAATGGCTCAACCAAGAATTGGCGGAGGTAGCCCTTGATGTGCTCAACCTGTTGCTCCTTGCCAGCGCGTTCTGCGATCCAAGCACGAGCTTCGGCCCAGGTCTTGTTGAGAGCGAGGAGACCACTCTTGCCTCGACGCTTGATCAGTTGATCTGGCTTGGCGACGAATTTGGCGTCTTTGGCGAGCAACCAGGGGTATGTGGCCTCGGCCTGGTCGAGGATCCCATTGACGTCGGCGTCCTCAGGGAAGTAGAGGGAAGCGAGCTTAGCGGGAGGGTTGTGAGTAGCAGCGCGAGGAAGCGGGGTGGGCTTGATGACGGGAGCGCGAGTGAGGTGGTAATTGAGGATGGCCTTTCCATCGGCCTCGAGAATCGATTTGGCGGACATTGTGTTGAAGATGTGTTTGCGTGAGGCGTCAAAAGATCTCAATCAATTGATTGGGAGGAATGAGAACAAGTATGTGACGGCTGAAAACGCAGACACAGAATGAGAATCAGTTAGTTGCGGTGTAAAATATATGCGCAACAACAAATCCGCAACAATAAGAAGGGTATAGATTGAATTGAGAAGTGACAATTGAGGGATTGAGGAGGGAAGCAAGTCAAGATGGATGGATAGAAGTGGTGGTGAGCGAGCCAGCAACAACAGTGTCAGTGCAGGTGAGGGCCCCAAAAATTATTGTCTGTCCGTGAGATGATACATCGGGACCGGAAGGCACTAGGCCCGGACTGGCACTGGGCAGGAGCTAGTGGCCCAGCTCTTTCCCTCAAACTTTTTTTTTGGGTCTGTACGGTATGTGTATTGTCAGTGTTTTGGTTTTGGCGTTACTGATCTGGCCAGCTGCGTTACGGTAATAAACAAAGAATCTGCCGAAAAGAAGCCTGTATTCCTTACATGGGACGTATGATACCGACGGACAGCTTTCGTTGAGCGAGGAAGGAAGGGGCGGTGGAGCATCGCAGCTTAGACCGGGATCCACACGTCCCCAACCCCGGCCGGCTTAGCGTCTCCCTCCTGGCAAATAGTATATATACTCCTTCACCGTACGTACTCAATGCTACCGAGTAATCATCAGTATGGGCCCCAGGCCACTGTATTTTTTTCTTCCTCGTTACGAATTATATTCGTGACCAAAATTTCCCGATTATAGTATGGGGTCTACAATGCAAATATGAGAACGCAAGTTGCGAGTCTTGCGAGGCCATATTGGACTGAACAGTAAAGACTTGTTCGGAGTCCGCACCCGATCCCCAGCTTAGCTCGGCCCCCTCGGACTCGACTTAATTATCACTTCCACACGAAGCAAACGACATCTTTTGGAAACTCCAATGGCGACGGACTGTCAATACGGAGTCAGCCGGACACAAATAAATACTATGCAGGTATTGTTGTCTACTAAGATCGAATAGACGAGCACTATCTGCATTATCAATATCTCCGATAAGACGGAATGTTAGAATGCGGCGCCCAACGGGCCGATGCATTCGGCACGTAGTTCTAGTTTCAAGGTACAGTCTTCCTTGCAGGCGGGTGATTCTCTGCAATCAACAGTACGTAGCTATCAATAGCCAATTTACCATCATCCAAGAAACATAACCAGGAGGGGCGGAGAACGGAGTATTTGATATGCTACAATAACTTTTCGGGGTCGGAAAGGCAGCGGAAAGTTCTAAATGATAGACAAGATTCGCATGGAATCACTGGAATGTAGAGTTGAAACTGCATCACAAGAGGTAGTACTCCGTCTCCGTACGCGGCTTAGCACGTACGTACGTAGCAGTATTAGCGATAAGATGGTGGGTTGATCTGAGTCGAGACACTGATAAGCGTGGCTATCGATAAGAAAGTGGCATTAGTAGATTCCCAATTGGCGGGATATTCACAATGCTGCTGTGAGCAGCTCATATTCCTTGTCGGTCACCGATAGACAGGATCGAAGATACTTGTACTTGAGCCAGATCAAGAGAGAGATCTTATGTCTATAGACTCTATACCGTCAAAGGAGGGAAAACTCCGAGCTGGGCGGAGTTTATGTAAGACCCCGCGCTAGGCCCGTTTCGAGTAGGGTTCCAGAATGCCTTCCATGGTTGGGGCCATATTTGGACATTGCTTCTTTGGGATGCTAGCTTATATCTTTACTATATTAAAATAGTTTTCACTTGGAAGAGGAATTTACTTTCAGTGTATGGATCAGATGATTGTGTCGTCCCTGTCAAAAGTAGAACCTCCCCGGGATGCTGATATCTACTCCGTACGTTCAAGCCTGTAGATAGCACATCTGTCGTTACATACACTAGTCGGATGATCTCCGTGCTGGCCAGGCACCAACAAAAGTCAACAATTACAAACTTACTACAACCACGTCTCCAGACCGAAAGAAGACCCAGACATCGTCCCACCGGAACCAAGGCATGTTCGGGTGATGTGTACTCAATGAGTCTCAATGAAAGTTTGTTGTTGTGGGGATAAAATGTTGAGCCAGTACGGGAGACGGACTGCGTTCTCCGGCCCCATCGTCAACCTTGTCCAGCTGCAGATAAATTACGGACCTTATTCTACCGTGTATTCGCAATCACAGGCGGTAATTTATCGCCGCCAAAATTACGGCGATGCAGACCTCGGAATCCCTAATTCGGGCATTTGTTTGTGAAGTCAAGTCCAAGTTATGATAATTGTACAGGTACCCAGTTGTACATGGTTCGATGGTGGACCGTTCTTTTACTTGTCAGATGTGCCGGAGACATATGGAATAGTACAAATACATGTGTTCGATCAATACAGATCTGATCTCCTTGCGTATTGCGTATTGTCGGCGTTCCGACTAGACGGTGACAGTGCTCACTCCTGGGTAACCTTAGTMCCCGCCGTACCGCCCTAGCTGTCCACGCTTGCCCTACTCCGTCCGTCATTTATTTTTTTTGTCCAGCTCAGGCTGGCTAGCTCTCCTTCCTCAATTACCCACCCTCGATCGTTGACCATCATCACTTCAATTGCCTTCTCCGACCAGACTTCCTTACCTGCTGGTCATTCTACATTTCTCACCTCTTGTGACCCTTGTGAGCTGTTTTTGTTGTTACTTGTACATTCTTGTTTTCTCTTCTTCTCATCCTACATCTTCCGTCCATCTATCTGTACCGATCCACGAGACCAAGAAGTGACGGAGTTGTTTTGACAAGTAAGTTGACATCTATCCTCTGCTCCAGCGGCGCAATGGAGCTCCTTTTGTTACAACTACTAACGCTGTGTAGCACAACATACACAAGATGCCTTCTATCGCTTCTTCCAACGGCGTTCAGTCTGCCAACGACAACATCACCCGCTTCAACCCTCCTTCCCGCCTCCTCACCCCCCTCGAACAACACACTCTCTTCCACCCCAAGACACGATGCTTTGTCTAGTGAGTAATCCCTTTCAATCTCTCGCTGCAAGAACGTCAATTGACCAGAAACAGCGGTATGCAACCCCGCGCCGTGCAGGGTATGCTCGACTTCGACTTCATCTGCAAGCGTAGCACTCCCTCCGTTGCCGGTATCATCTACACCTTCGGTGGTCAGTTCGTCAGCAAAATGTGAGCGCATATGATCTCTTGTTTAGTCGTGTTGAGTTCTAACTGTTGTAAAGGTACTGGGGAACCAGCGAGACCCTGCTCCCTGTCTACCAGGATGTCGAAAAGGCTTTCGCCAAGCACAGCGATGTCGACACAGTCGTCAACTTCGCTTCCTCCCGATCCGTCTACAGCTCTACCATGGAACTGATGGAGCTTCCTCAAGTCAGAACCATTGCCATCATTGCTGAGGGTGTCCCTGAGCGAGTACGTTTCTTCGAGACATAATGCATTGCAAAGAACTAACCTTGTACAGAGAGCACGTGAGATCTTGGTCGTCGCCAAGGAGAAGGGTATCACTATTATTGGACCTGCCACCGTGGGTGGTATCAAGCCCGGTGCGTTCAAGATCGGTAACACTGGTGGTATGATGGACAACATCGTTGCCTCCAAACTTTACCGCAAGGGTTCCGTCGGTTACGTTTCCAAGTCTGGTGGTATGTCCAACGAGTTGAACAACATTGTCTGCCAAAACGCCGACGGTGTTCACGAGGGTGTTGCCATTGGTGGTGACCGTTACCCCGGTACCACCTTCATTGACCACCTTCTCCGTTACCAGGCCGACCCCGAGTGCAAGATTTTGTTGTTGCTTGGTGAAGTCGGTGGTGTTGAGGAGTACCGTGTGATTGAGGCTGTCAAGAACGGCACCATCACCAAGCCTATTGTCGCTTGGGCCATCGGTACTTGCGCCAGCATGTTCAAGACCGAGGTCCAATTCGGTCACGCCGGTGCCTCTGCCAACTCCCAGCTCGAGACCGCTGTTGAGAAGAACAAGCACATGAAGGCTGCTGGCTTCTACGTTCCCGATACATTCGAAGAGCTTCCCCAAGTCTTGAACAGCGTCTACAACAAGCTCGTTGCTGACGGCACCATCGCCACCTTTAAAGAGCCCGTCATTCCCAAGATCCCCATGGACTACTCTTGGGCCCAGGAGTTGGGTCTTATCCGTAAGCCCGCTGCTTTCATTTCCACCATCTCCGATGACCGTGGTCAGGAGCTTTTGTACGCCGGTCTCCCCATCTCTGATGTCTTCCGTGAGGACATTGGTATCGGTGGTGTCATGTCTCTCCTCTGGTTCCGTCGCCGCTTGCCTCCTTATGCCAGCAAGTTCTTGGAGATGGTTCTCATGTTGACTGCTGACCACGGTCCTGCCGTCTCTGGTGCCATGAACACCATCATCACTACCCGTGCTGGTAAGGATTTGATCAGTGCTTTGGTCTCTGGTCTTCTCACCATCGGTTCTCGTTTCGGTGGTGCTCTTGACGGTGCTGCCGAGGAATTCACCAAGGCTTTCGACAAGGGCATGAGCCCCCGTGAGTTCGTCGACACCATGCGCAAGGAGAACAAGCTCAGTAAGTTAATCTGCCGCTATGCAACGTAACAAAATCTAATTTTCCTTTTTCTAGTTCCCGGTATTGGTCACAAGGTCAAGTCCCGCAACAACCCCGATCTCCGTGTCGAGTTGGTCAAGGAGTACGTTACCAAGCACTTCCCCACCCACAAGCTCCTCGACTACGCCATTGCTGTCGAGACCGTCACAACCTCCAAGAAGGACAACCTTATTCTCAACGTTGACGGATGTGTTGCTGTTTGCTTCGTCGACTTGCTCCGCAACTCTGGTGCTTTCTCCACCGAAGAGGCCGAGGACTACCTCCGCATGGGTGTCTTGAACGGTCTCTTCGTCCTCGGACGTAGCATTGGTCTTATTGCTCACTACCTCGACCAGAAGAGACTGCGCACTGGCTTGTACCGTCACCCCTGGGACGATATTACCTACCTCCTCCCCAACGTCTCGAAGGGCGCTCCAGGTGCTGAAGGTCGTGTCGAGGTCAGCCTCTAAGCGTTTATGTTTTTCCTTTTCTTTTTCGTTTTCAGCACCTGTTTTGATATCGGCACGGGTCTCTTTTAGCATATAATGCCTTTTGATGTTTTCCATTTTGTCAAAAATCTGTTGATTGTCTTGTGACCATATGATGTGGTTGGTACGTGGCATGACAGGCGACGGCACGAGGTGCGCATGTACGGCGTAGATTTAATACTGGGTAGAATGGTTATTGACGTATTTGATGATTATGTTGATTTCTTGTGGTTTCGTAGTTTAAATTTAAATGTGATCATAAGTAGGTAGTTCGATCCATGCGATTGAGTTTCCGAGCTGGGTGATTGGCTACAGAAGCTTGGGCGTCTTCCGGCCGCTAATATCGAATCTCCGAAAAAAGTTGTACAACTTCAACATCATCTATCAAGAGCAACTAAATAACAGAATGCGAACAAAATGGTCCGCATAAAACATCGCTACCTCTTAATCGACATCCTGCATCCCGAGCCCTCCCAAATCCACAACAAATCGGGAGCGTCATCGATACCGGCACATCTCTACTTCCATCCGCCGACGCCAGATATATTGACCTCCAGCGTGCTGGCACGATTACTTCGCGACACTATATCGGAGTTATTTGGTGATTATGGAATGGGGAAGCTGGGTGGTGCATCGAGTGGGAATTTAATCAGTACGTTCTTCTCCCCAAACCCGTCTCGGGATCTAAATTGCGATTTATTTTTTTTGCTCATGGCGATGGGTCTGTAGTCAAATATTTGTCGCCCGCGACGTCGACGGCGATTATTCGGTGTCCCCGCGCAGCGTATAGATTGGTTTGGGCGGCGCTTACGTATCTCAATGCGATCCCTGCGCCGGCGACAGGTGCATCGGCGAAGAAGTCGGAAATGACAATGAGGAATGCTGTGTTTAGGGTTGTCAGGGTCTCTGGGACGATGCGCAAGGCGGAGGAAGAGGCAATCAGACGAGCGAGGAGGGAGATTGGGAGGGCGAGGAAAGAGAATGATGGGGTGTTCGAGGGGTTGTTCGGGGGCAGGGATGGTGGTGCTGCTGCTGTTGTGGGGGACGACGAGGCTGTTTTTGGGATGGATATTGATGATGATGACGACGAGGAAAGTGATGATGAGGATTGATTTGCTGATTGCTAGTTGTTTACGTTTGATATTATGATACCCCTGTTTGAATGCATGAATGATATTATATACATGGAATTAATTATAAAACCTTTCCAGTTGTCACGACTTGGACTTTCGAATAACCTTCGTGCCACTATCAGGCATCCTCTGGAAGTCAAGCATCTCATCATCCAAACCATCCTGACCATGATGCGCTTTCGCTTCATTCGCCTTCGCCTCCTCTTCTAAATTCTTCCTCTCATGCTCATCATATTCATCCTTCGCATCCAGCCATCTCTCCTGCACATCCGAAATATTCAAATCCCCCCATCCTTCTCTAACAGCAACCTGCCATATCGAATCATTCGCACCTTCAGCAGGTCCAAATGCATATCCGCTCGCGCGATCAATGACCTGCAGCAAATGCATCATACTCTTCTTGTCCTCCACTGCCAGCGTTTCGAAGGCTACGAGAGCAAACTCCTGCACCAGATCGATAATCGCCTGATTCAGCGCGCCAAATTTCTGATGCGATAATCGCGACGTTTCGGCCTCGAGGTGCGGGAGGAGGTAATTGAGATCTTGTACTTCGGTGTAGAAATCGAGATTGAATGGGAGAGGTGAGTAGTTTGAGAGATTGTCGATTTTGGTGAGGACGTTGATGTGTGGGAGGTCCATTTGGAGCATAGAGCGGAGGGAGAGCAGTAGAGCGGAGATGTACATGGAGGGTAGGGTGAGGCTGTATGAGTCGACGAGGTGGATTACTATTAACTGTTGCGCGTTAGCGCTTTCAAAATACCGAATATTGAATGACGTACTCTGTATCCAAGCTTTGATATTCGGAAAAAGATATTTCGTAGCGATGAGTGGTGTGTGAAAAGCTCGACCTGACCGGGGCAATCAAAGAGAACGTAATCATCTATCACGAAAGTCGTTAGACAGCATGAACAACAGTATAGACGAGCTTCGGAGTCATACCTTCAAGCTCTTTCAACCCCCTCTCTAACCATTCAAAATTATTCTCAAGCTCCTCCAGCGCGTACAAGACCCCGCCATTCGGCCCTAGAGTATCTTCGGTCATTATCTCCTCCAGCGTCACTAAGTCGCGCACGTCCAGCGCACACGGATAAGAGGTTTGATCATTTGCCGGGTCTAAATTCACGATGGAGCATCTCCTTCCTATAGCTCCCATGAACTGATGCATGCCATTGCAGTATGTCGATTTCCCCGCTCCCGGAGGTCCGATGACGAGTTGCGCAAAGGGCATGCTGTACTGTACTGTGCTGTCCGATTGGTAGTGTAAAGAGTATTGACTTCTAAAGTTCTCAGATCAAGCAAAGTGTAAAATATGAGCAAGCTGATCGTGAATGGCTATCATGAGAGAAGAGATAACTGCCAGAGGCAATAACTATATTAGGCGGCATCGAATGGCAGAAAAGTGTCCCGCAAAACGGAAGCTTCGATTGGCGCAAATTGCTCGCCGCGGACAGCTTCAACTTTCAGACCTCACTACACGACGTTACGACTTTAAATACATTTGCGCCATGTCATCTAGTATGTTTCCTCGCACGAGCTATACTCACCTCTGAAGGAACTTAAGACAACTGACTACTATCTAATTTAGATCAATTCACCGTCGCATCGCCTCCGACAGATGCCATCTCCGCACTCAAGTTCTCTACCGAACCAGATTCCACCAGAATAGTCGTATCTTCATGGGATAAGAACGTTTATTTGTATGACCTGCGCGACGAAAATGGGGATGTTGGCACGGGGAAACTGCTACAAAAATTCGAACATAGAGCGCCCGTACTAGATGTTTGTTTTGGTGCCAACGAGGATGAGATCATTACAGCTGGACTGGACTGGGATGTCAGGAAGTAAGCTCCTATACCCCCCGGAAAACCGATATGAACTATGGCGACTGACTATACAAAGGATTGATGTAAACMCCTCCACCCAAACCGTCCTCTCTAGCCACGAAGCCGGCGTCAAATCAGTGGTATACAGCAAAGAACACTCCATCGTAATCAGCGCATCATGGGACTCAACCCTGCACGTCCACCGCCTCAACTCCGATTCTACACCAGCGGTGATTCCCCTGCCATCCAAACCATTCTCACTTTCGCTCAGCCCCACAAAGCTCGTAGTGGCCATGGCCTCCCGCGCGCTACACATCTACGACCTCAGATCCCTAGCCCTCATAACCGATCAAGCCGACTCCCAACCTCCGGCGGTTAACAAAGTCGAAATTGAGCCGTGGCAGAGACGAGAAAGTAGTCTGAAATTTATGACGAGGGCTGTTGCATGCATGCCTGACGATGCTGGGTATGCGTCGTCGAGTATCGAGGGCCGAGTAGCGGTCGAATGGTTCGATCCATCCACAGAATCACAAGCACGCAAATACGCCTTCAAGTGCCATCGACAAACTGTTGAAGATGTTGATGTTGTCTATCCCGTTAACGCGCTCTCATTCCATCCCGTTCATGGCACATTTGCTTCCGGCGGAGGTGACGGCGTAGTTGCGCTATGGGACGGAATTGCGAAAAGGAGAATTCGTCAGTATCAGAAATACCCGGCGAGTGTCGCCGCGCTCAGTTTTAGTTCGAGTGGGAAGTATCTTGCGATTGCCGTTAGTCCTGGGTTTGAGGACGGGAAGGATGATATTGAGCCTGGATCGGTTCAGATATTCATCCGTGAGCTTGGTGAGACTGAAGCCAAGGGCAAGGGGGCTAAATAGTCAAACCCCAATAATAATAAAGGAATTTATCAATGTGTATTGTGGGCCGGCGAATTTCCTATCAATAGATGGTTTCTTCAAAAGTATGGCGTCTGGCATTGTGTATGTATAGATCGTATATTCATTGACTACTCTATATGATCATGAAAACAGGTCATGTTGTTTAGAACCTAGTTAACCTCTATAACAATTGTCTCTTCTTTTAACATGATGAGATGGTAAGAAACGGGTATTGACAAGAAGACAAAGAATTCAACTGTAAAGACCTAATCGGCAGCCTTCCGGACAGCAACCGAGCCATCCGGCATACCGAAATATGCAGCAACAGGCTTCTGCCCACCAATAGATCCTGAAGCCTGGGCCTGAGGACCAGTCACTCCACAGAAAATGCCCACTTCCAAAACACCCGGGATCGCCTTGATCTTCGTCGCAAGAGTCTCAACTTCCCAGATACCGCCATTACCACTGCCGTCCTTGCCGGCCTTGACGTCCGATGGTGTTAGGAGAGGGAGGAAGGGGGCGTCGACGATGAAGAAGCCCTGATCTGTCTTGAGGGGGCCTTCTTTGGCGACAGTATTGAGACGAATGACGGGTTTGATGCTGCCCATTTCGGTCAATTTGCGCACAACCCGGTTTGCGGCTATAGGTGCGACTTCGATGGGGATGTATTTCCAGTTGCTCAGGAGGCGCTTTTGGAGTTTACGGGAGTCTGTCGAATTATGAGCATGCGAAATGATATCGTCCGCGCAGTGGAATACATACCAGCGACACAAATGAATTCCTTTGCTTGAAGCGCAACAATCTTCTCCTGGAAAAGACAAGCACCACCACCCTTGATACAATTCAAATCATCATCGACCTCATCCGCGCCATCGAATGCGACGTCGAGCACAGTCCCCTCTGGAATAGCATCAAACTCTACAGCCGTCAATCCAGCCTTTGTGATGAGTTGTTTCGATTGATAGCCCGTAGGCACAAATCTGGTCAAAGTGGTGTCAATCCCCAATTCTTTGATGGCTTCCACAACGTAGACGATGGTTGTGCCGCTACCGATTCCGACCCATTTTGCGTTGAGAGGGTAGTGGTTCTTGACTGCGACTTGGGCGGCGGCCCGCTTGGAGGCTTCGACGCTGGCCATGGTGTGTGAGTGGGAGTTTTGAAATGCGAAGGGCGATCTGCAATTTGGAACGAATGCGCTTGGGTGCGGTTTTGGGACGCAGGTAGTTCGGCGAAGTCTAATTGATCCGTTAGTTGTATACCGAAGCATTGGCATATCAACCGGCCGAAAGAGCAGATTATCGCAAACTTTATGTAGGTGAAAGAGGTGTACTCACGTTGAGAATTGTCTTGCGGTGGAAAGAAGCCGAACGAACGGTTTCATAAATGGCTGCGAATTGTGAGACTTGGTTCGATGTAGAAAACAACAGGCACCGTGAGGTATATATACTCAATTCGGCGGATAGTACTCCGGTCAAGAAACTAGATCCCCGCGGAGAATGGTGAGTGCTGACAGTGGTGTTAATAATATAGAGTCGTGAGTAGTTACTTAATGGCGGGGGACACCGGAGAAAATCGTGCATGGATGATTGGCGTCATAGCCTAGAATTGCCTCGATTGACCGCGCCCTTTTACTATGTAGGCAAGGCCTGCCGCCTGGGGTGCCTTGGGGCCTTGAAGCCTTCGAGCCTTGGAGGGGCAGCCCGGCAGCTACGCCGCACTGGGTTAGTGTCGTCCTACATGTATCTATGCTTCCTTCCCTAGCTTACATCTGCCTATCAACTATCAACAACATCTAGCATCGACAAGCTGACAAACACAGCTACCCCAGACTGTGTATTGGCGCAATCAGATGTTTATCATTTACTTGCACTCCCTTACTTAATTATCCTTCAAATAAGAATAAACCGACATGACAGACGCGTTCCCCATCGCTCTAGTGGGGCCTTCCTCGAAGGAGAGAAAGTATGACCGACAGCTGCGTTTATGGGCAGCCAGTGGGCAGCAAGCACTCGAGCAGTCGCGCGTTTTACTAGTAAACTCCGATGGTCCCATCGACAGCGATAATACATCAATCGGGGGTGTTGCTGGCGTCGAAACTCTCAAAAATCTAGTACTGCCTGGAGTAGGAGGCTTTACTATCGTTGATCCCGCAATTGTCACAGAGACCGACCTCGGCGTGAATTTCTTCCTTGAAGAGAGCAGTCTGGGCAAATCTAGAGCTCAGGAGACATGCGCATATCTGAAGGAACTGAACCCTGATGTGGACGGAGACTACAAAGCAGAGGTGCGTCCCCTTCTTAAAGCCTCTACTTAAAGCCTCTACTCCTTACGAATCGAGATACTAACTTGATGTAGCCAATCTCAGAACTCTTAGAACAACCCGAATTCCTCTCCGCCTATAAACTCATAGTGGTCTCAGGCCCGATAAAACGATCCTCACTCGATGCGCTCTCCCTCTCCGCCGACCAACTTGGCGTTCCTTTAATGTACACACGCTCTGTCGGCTTCTACTCCTCCTTCTCACTACAGCTGCCCTCCGAATTTCCCATTGTCGAAACACACCCAGACCCCGAGTCTACACAAGATTTACGGCTACTCGATCCCTGGCCTGAGCTGCAGGCGGCAGGCTCCGCAATTACAGACCCTGATGCGCTCGACGACCACGATCATGGTCACGTGCCATATATTCTTATATTACTACATTACCTAGAGAAATGGAAAGCTGAACATGACGGCAAGGCGCCAGAAAATTACAAAGACAAGACGGCTTTCAGAGAATTCGTGAGAGCTGGGGCAAGGACCAACACTGCAGAAGGCGGAGAAGAGAACTTTGATGAAGCCGTAGGAGCTGTTCTCAAGAGTGTCAATCCTTGGTCATTGCGCAGCAATATTCGCGAGATATTTGATATGAAACAGTGCAAGAATCTGCAGCCAGATTCAGACAATTTCTGGATCATCGTTGCTGCCTTGAAAGAATTCTATGCAAAACATGCTGTTCTCCCACTTCCTGGATCGGTGCCTGATATGAAAGCCAAGTCGGCAGATTATATCTCCTTACAGAATATTTACAAAAGCAAAGCAAGTCGCGATTTCAAAGAAGTACTTGAAACTGTCCGCACTCTAGAAGCGCAGCTAGGTTCACGGACTGTACCAATTGCAGAGAAAGAAGTCGAGGTCTTTTGCAAGAATGCATCCCATGTGAAAGTTATTCACGGACGCCGAATACCGCACATCACCATCGACGCCAGCCAAACTCTCAAAGCCATCCGATTTGGTTTCGGGAACCCGGAATCCGTCATTCCCGTTTACATCGCTTTCGAAGCCCTAGACGCTATTGTTGATGGTATTCAAAGCGGACGCTTACCCGAAATAGCGCTAGACGATGACGCGACATGGGACGCAACTCTCAACCGCTTAATAACCACCATAGCGGAGGACGACAAGAGTTTCCTTGAAGACGAATCGGTCCGCGGAAGTGTGGCGAACGCAGCCAAAGAGCTCCGTCGTACCGAAGGTGGTGAATTACACAATATCTCCTCTCTTACTGGTGGATTGGTCTCGCAGGAGGCGCTGAAGGTGTTGACGAGACAGTATGTCCCACTGGATAATACTTGTATCTTTGATGGAATCGGTAGTCGAAGTGAGATGTTTCGCTTGTAGGCTGGGATCGAGCAGAGACTAGATACTACAATTAGATAAAGTGAATGAATGAAACACGATCTTATGATACACACCTCGTACTTTACTACGGGTTAGTCTCCATCGTCATATCAATTGTTACTCGTTCAAAAGATGAAATGAAGGGTTAGATCGAACAATACTACCTATCGAGCTATTTCTCTCGCAGAGCTCGCAGACGCGCCATTTCTCTTGGTTCATGTGTCATCTAGAACCTCCATTGAGCATGTTAGAATGGCGCAATTTCAACTGCTCCCAATTCACGTCGAAACCTGTTCCCATTACTTGTTTTTACTTTCGGGGGAACTGAAAGAAAGAACAGATTCAAACGGTGTAAATGATGCACACGAATACAACCACAGCCACGACCATCACGATGATTATGACGCGCATTTTCATGGCACAAAGGCTGTCTGCTCCCCCCTCTCCCGCACAATCCTTCTGATCTCGGTAACTTCTAGCGACATGTGACAAACAACACTTTCACCGTCCTCTCGCCGTACCATGCACCATCCAAATTCAACGACCCTGCAGGCAAAATGCTCGGTCTTATCAACGGCAATATACAAATGCTAACAAAAATCCCCAACGGGGTTTCTGGCGACGAGACTCGTCTGGCGCTCCTATTCAGCTAGTCCGAAGCCTGTCCCCCCATCGAAGAGGCCAAGATGTTGCTTACCCCGTTTGTGCAGATGACCTCCAGCAATGCCGCGAAGCCTTATGGTCTACCGAGCAAGAGGGGGAACATCGTACCAGGGTTTGGTGCTGATTTGATAATCTGGTATCCGGGGCAAAGAGGCGCTCGGACTGATAGCCAGATTATGTTGCATCACGGTGTTAGACTACACCCCATTCGAGGGCATCGAAGTACGAAACTGGCCAAGATATACTATACTTAGAGCAAGCGTGGTATGGAATGCTGAAAAAGGGGTTGCTGTAGGCGAGAAAGGTTCTGGAGAGTTTCCGAAACGCGGAAGAGGCGGTGTTTTGACTGGGAAGTTGAGTAACGGCGTTAGAAGAATAGTAGCAGGAGAACGGAGGTTCTGGAGAGCATAGGTACACAGCAATAGATTTCCACAATGTCTGATTCGACATGGCTTCATTTGATCTTCATGAGACAATTGAAACATCCGTTGGCTTTTGATGAGTTATATTTGATGTTTGGGTGCCCTAGAATATGTGTACTTGACATGTATAATTTGACGGCAAAAACAGATTCAATTCAAGCTCCCCTATATGCAAAAACAGAGCTATTTCCAAAGACATTCAAAAGGTTGTTTAAGACATGTACAGAAGAAAAAAAATAAGAAAGTCTGGCGCCTGTCCGTGCTCCTGTAACCCGGATACATAGCCAGTGAAGTAGTCGAGAATAAGCAAGAAGAGATGAAGTGTACAATGTAAAAAAGTATAATGTCGTAGCAAAGTCCTGGGGGAAGTGGTTGAAAGTGGTTGAAGGTGAATATGAGCAGCAAACCGTCATAGATGAAAGTTAGCGAGAAAGGATGTGTCATGAGGCGAACATGAGCATGCTTATGTGTCGAAAGATGTGTCCCAAAGGTATGAATGGAAAAAGCTGAGATTGAGGTGAAAGGAAGAGCCTTTATGATGCATATGATGATGTTGATGAAATTTTATCCGGCCATTGGTCTTCCAACTCGGTCGAGCCAATAGCATAATTCTCCAGTGCTAGACGCGCGCTATATCGAATATTTTCGGTAAACGCAACCTCAACAGGAGGAGCGAGATGTTCCGAAATATCGCTGTGGTAGGCGGATGGACCAACGGGTCGATGGTGGTTGAAAATACCAGGTTCAACAGATAGACATACAGCGCCCTTGGGCCTGTCGTTGACACCCTCGCAAATGTCTCGAAGCATAATGTCGTAGGGATCACTGAACTTCTTCACGCCCATTTCGTAGAGAATTCGGCGAGCACCGCGCTGCGAGACGGCATAGACTAAAGAACAAATCTGGCCCATGACGTGGTGAGTTGTCCGGGTATGGTCGGGGAAAATCTCGCGTGGGTCGCGCTCCTGCTCCATTACATGCAGGTGATGATTCTGAGGGACAGTCTCATCGTTGTAATAAACGACCCGCCCCCGAGGAATACTTTGAGACTTCTTCGCCTTCTCTTCGTCCTGAAGGTTGATATTTGGAGCTTCGGTACCGCAGTGCCCGATCCAGAGCACGTCCCAGTCGTCGCCGTATGGCGATATTTGCGGTTTCACGGTTTTCGGAAGCTGGCCAAAGACGAGTTCCTCTGGTTGTCCGCCTTTCAATGGGTCGTAGTATGAGGGGTCTGCATAATTGTTCGTCGTGCCCGCAAGTGGCATTGTCAAAGCTCGTACCCCCTCAGCAAAGTCGTACATTTGATCGTGGATGCGAACATCCCAGTCCGCGTCGTCTTCGAGGATGAGTGCCGAATCTAAATTGTTCTCGACTATTCTGCAATATTCATAGCTGTCTTAGTACCCTTCGTTACATAGCAGAAATGGAACAGCGGATGGAGCTTACGCTCTAATGGCATTCAAATGACTCCTCCAACTGCCGATATTGCCAGATCTCTGGCTTGTATGACTGGCCGGCGGCGGAAGAGCCCTATCCATGACATCACTGCCGAGTACACCTTCAATATAATCCAACTTCAAGTCCGTCATGGACGACATGAGTGCGAGCGCATCACGACGGTCTGTTCGCGGGGGAAGGTTGATAACGAATATGGCGCCGAACTATATGATTGTCAAGAAATTGGAGTCAGCCAGTTGTAATCACAGCGCACTCTGGATTGCTTACCCCTAAGGTGGAATTCCTAGCATCGCTCGCCAGATCCGAACCGGACGACCTGCGCGATGACTTGGCAGCAGATTGTGCATCTGAAGGCTGATAAAGGAAATATATAAGAGCAAGCAGTAAACAGCCGACTAAGATAGTCTGGCTCAAGATTCGGCTCGGCATGGCCGTCGAATGCGACAACGGTCGCTGTGAATTTCGTCGAGGTAAAAAGAAGTGACCGCCCGTTAACGCAAACTGCAAAGTGTCAAAAACGAATCCACCTGCCCAAAATGCAAATGCGCCTTTATGTATGGTGTGATGCAGGAAGTATCAGCATGGCCAGAAATAAGCGCTCCAGTCTAGCAGAACGTTGTAGGAAGATAAATCAAGAGAAGAAACGTGGATTCCCAAGAATAATAGTTTAAGTTGAAGGTCTAGAATAGGGATGGAGAACCTGAGGCAGGCCTTCCCCAAGGTTAACCAGCTTATTGGTGGGGGGGCAGCCCCGAAGCCGCATTCGTCATTGGCCGGCTTCAGGAGCGGTCACGTTTTAGTCACGTTTTGGCCGATCTGCTGGTTCTGATTGGGCCGGACGTTGGTCTGCAGCCGTTCTGGCCCAGGGAAAGCCCCTGGAATGCTGCTCCTGGTCACGTGCCACTACATGTGATGCTCCTTCCTCTTTCGGCAACACAGCCCTAAGTCGACTGGGAAGGAGCCATGTCGTCGTGCCTGCCTTCTGCGACCGTCTCCCCTTGATCGCGTAACTCAAGAATCTCAACTCTTGATTTCTCTTTTCTGTCATCCACAATGTGACACCTCATTTCCGGTCTAGTCAATGGCCCCATCATTGGATTTCTCCCTCCGTTGCAACTCTCTAACGTGCCGAAAAGTCCTGACTGACCGAGCTGTCGTGACGACTTGTTCGTTCGTAGTCATTTTCCTGCAGCATGATGAGAAACACTAATAAACATATCCACCAGGCACATCTTTTGTCTACCTTGCGCGCAAAATCTGAGTCTCACACGGCAAACACAACAGAGTCGCACCTGTCCTGCATGTCAAGCAAACCTGCCCAACCCTGACGATGTTGTGTCGACTCTCCTAAATCCGACAGAAGATTACAAAACTAGCGTGCTGAGCGGTTTGGATCCGACAACGATCATCGAGTGTGCTGGGAGAGCGCTTTCATTCTGGGCTTATCAGACCACGCAAGAAATGTACTCCTCTTTGATTCTCGCTGCAATATATATGAAGTTAACAATCTTACTATTAGATGCTACCAGGAATACCTTAGCAAAGAGCTCACGGAAAAATACAAAAATTTGAACACCGACAAAGAAAAGTTGATCAACAGCGCCAATGCAGAGATATTGAGTCTGCAAAGCAAGCTTGCTGGTGAGTCCTTTTGATATTTAAACATACAAGTCAACTTTAACTTCAATAATCTAGACATGCAATTGGCCCAAGACCAACTACAAAAGAAAAACGACGAGCTCATCACTCTATATCAAGAGAAATGCAAGAAACACACCCAAATGACGAACCTCTACAACCTCCTCAAAAGCCGAGCAATGCGTTCTCAGATACAGACCGCTGCCTCGGACTCGGTGTCTTATACACTAAATTCTTTACCTCATGCAACAGCCAATACTCGACTGAATGAATCAGTGTCACCTCAAAAAGCGATGACTGCATCTCGACATTTCGATGCTCTACCTTCAACAGAGAAGCGTACCAATAAAAGCAGCACGGAGAGGCTGTTTCGTCATCAGAGAAGTGGTAGTGCAAGCTCGAAAAGTAGGGAGGACCGCTTCATGACTGATGCGGGAGTAATGCCTCCTCCTCAGCTACCTTTTTCTGGTACATTACCTCGCTTCATGTGCAAACTCTTCGAACTAACTTGTCTAACTGTAGTTACCCGAAATCCCGTTCCCACGCCATCGCATCATCGGACCCGTCTTCCTGCACAACCAGAGTCAGCAATCCTACGAGAAAGTAGGGAACAGATGGAAGAGCCAAAGTATTTCGCAAATCGTGAAAGCTTCAGAGATTTTAGCTATAATCCTGGCTGAAACGATGGTCTGACTCAGCTCTGCTGATGTATAACATCTCACAGTCTTGCCATCATAGTCAAATAGGTATATACATTGATAAAATGTCTGTGATACAAGAAGAAGAGAAATTGTTAATCCAGGTCCGAGGTCTATCTAAAAGTAGGAAGCATACAATAAGACAATGCAATAATTACGTTACAAGGAGCTACCATCAGAAGTCGGAAAGGTAGCAAATCGAAGACTCAATATACAGAAATAAAAAGAATTGGAATCAAGGCACCCACAACCGAACAAATCCAGCAACTTCCTGACGACAAGTAACGCAACTGCCGAAGTTGTTCATGGCTAGACTGACTCTGCAATCTTCGCAGACACAGAGACATCGACATGGCCAGGCTATGATTGAGCGTGGGCTTGTCTGACAAATCACGCATTGAGGGCCGTCGTCTCCGAGGCCTGCCGCACCTGTTTCCCATGAATCTTTGGGGCCTTCTTGTACGCGTGCGGCTGCGTCTTGGCGGCGAGTCAGGATGAGTTTCTCAAGGATGTCGGCTTCTTCTTCAGCTGTGGGACGTGACTTCTCGTTGCTGTTACTGCTGCTGTCTCTGGACCTGGCATGATAGCGCACTGGCATCAGCACGCGTGCTCGTTCGCGCTCGTCCTGGCGTCGGAAGCGGCTGCGGGTCATAATCCGACCCTCTTGCTCGGCAAGGAGATGCGCGGCGAGAATACGGGCTTCGTTTTTGCTTTCTTGGTCGCGAGGGTCGAGTAGACGGGCGAGTGATGAAGTATCCAATAGAGTCTCCATTAGCGGCGTGCTTTCGCGGGTAAATGTGCGAGGGTAGGGCTCTCGCTGCGTAGGCGTCCGACGGCCATCGGAGTCCTCATCATCTTCCCATTCATCGTCATTGTTAGTCTGCATAGAGATCACGCTGGTGTTATCATCAAGGCTGTTCTCCGAAGGTGCGTAATCGCCACTCTCGTCCTGGTTGCCCCAGGATCCTCCAGCTGACCACCAACTGTAGAGCTTATTATCCAATTGAGTCTCGTCTGTATCTTCCCACGTTGATTGATGCATAATCTCTCTCTTTCGCATTTCTTTCTCAACGTCGAACTCGTCATCCTCCGGAAGTTCGAGCTCCCCATCTTCCGTCAAAATCCAAAAGTCCAACAAAGCCTGCTGCTCCCTCAGGCTTGCCTTCTTTCGCTTCTTGTTGGATCCGATTAGCCGAACCATCCACTGTGGTCGAGATGTGATGCCCATTCGTTCCAGAATCTTGTTCAGGCCTAGAGTAATCCACCTAGAAATCAAATAAAAGATACCCCTGAAAAATGCATACCCATGATAAACCCTGCTTGCGCCATGAAATGCACCAACGCCCCCAAGATTATTTTGTGAATGAGACCGATATATATTCTTCAATTTTTCAATTTTCTGTTCCTTGCCGTATCCGCTTTCCCAAGTTTCTGCTTGTGGTAGAGGAATATCAAAGCTGATACCGCCTGTGTTGTCCCATCGAGTAGCTGAAGTGTTACCCGATGCCCTAGGCCTTGCCCTCCGACGAGCAGTCTCAATTTCAGTAAGCCTATCTTCCTCCAACCAGGTCCTGCGGCGAGCTACAACATTGCGCCCCTCATTCAAAAAGACTGCTTCACTCGCAGCAGTCAAGGCGGCGTATCCGATGCGAAGTAGGGAGGTATAGAAATCTTCGTGCATATTGAGGCGCACATTGCGAATCTGAGTGGAACCCTGCATGTTGTCATTTGCTAAAGTGAATCGCTCCCAGATAGATGACGGTTCAGGCAGTCCCGCAGGGAGATTGAACGCGCTAATGAGAACGGCTAGTCCATAGATGCCCAAGCAGACAATGATTCCAACCAGTATGAGTAGATGGGGAACGAATCCCACTATGCAGACAGTAGGAAATTTGAGGAAGCCGCTATCGCCGCTGACGGGTGAGTTATCAAGGAAACCCCATGCCATAGCACCCATGTAACAGAGTCCCCACAGGGTTGTATTTATTAGTCGGTACCTGCTTTGCTTCCCGAAAACATCGAGAGCGTTAGAGCATAGACTATTACAGCACGAGATGAGGACGATAAACAGTAATTCAGGCGTTACGTTCATTTTCTCGAGCACCTGTGTGCGAGTGAGTATATGCAGGGTTGAATTTTCGTCCCCTGTCAAAGGCAAGTCATCTCGTGTTGAGCTATGCTTCGTCAATCCAAAAATTCCTAGACCGATGGACTGGCTGACCATGGTTTCCGCCTCCGCGAACGCAAGAGAATGCTCGAAGATTGACATTCCAGCCTCCGTGACGACAGGTCGACCTTGCAAAGCACATAATAGCGTCTCCACAAAATGGCTTATGCAAAGAGTGATGAAGACTGGCCAAAGGAGATTGAACGATCCACGAGGAATTTCGGTCCCACTCGATTGCCTGCTCATAGCCACCGCACTACAAGAATCTGAATATGACTCCCAAGGCAGAAGTGTGGAACTCATGGAATATAAAAAGCCACCGCCGGCAGCGTGATCAAAGGAGAAACGCTTATCTGGATGGCCATATCGGATTGAGGGGTATTCAGGAGACGTTTGACATCGAATTGCGCGTAGTAAATTCACGATCTGCGCCAGGAATAGAGTAATTGGTATGATGCGAAGAACAAGGCGCTTCTTCCACGGAATGCTGATGTGTCGCCTTGATGATGCATATATTGTCACACGATTAAGTATCAAAGCGACTGAGAAGCAAGCTAATGACCATCGACTGGTCATGTAACTGAAGAAGCCGCTGAATCTCCTCATTGTATGAAAGAAATCTGTCATGTTGAAAGCAGCGTCGGCACCCGCGTTTTCTGCGATTCCTTCAGCTATGTTTGCTCCAGTGGCTGCAGCCGCAGCTGCCAGCTCACCCTCCCCTCCGCCCCCATTACCGAAGAGGACATCTAGACCAGTAAAACGCGCGACATTGTGTGGGAGAGTGACAAACGTAAAGGTTTCGAACTGTTGAATTGCTTGCCAAGGAGCTTTCAGCATAAGAAGAGGATATGATATGTTGTTTGATATTGTGTTGTTGAGCGTCTGCGCGGAGGCTGAGGGGATGGTGTCGCCGGAAGTCGACATTCTTCACGAATATGCGAATGGACAGTGCGATCGAAAAGTGAGGTCAGAATGATTTGAATATACAATCGTGGGTGGGTGGGTGAACGCGAGTATTCTGTCGGATTAGCAATGGCCCATCAGTGTTCTACTGAATCGGGCAGGACTTGGGGTCCGACACCTGAGAGGCGTCTTCCCTCGGTCATAACTCTATGAAGGCGACAGCAGTAGCGTGCACAGGGTGTGCAGAGGGCTTATTACCACAAAGTACAAGAAGCGTGAACGACGGAAAATCTGGATGGGTTGATGTAAAGAAGGGAGAAGTCGTCCCGAAGTCCGGGTATTTGTAGAAGCTCAGGGAGATGATGATGGCGGCCGTTGCACTTGCCAAGGTTATCCCCGCGCCTCCGCCCGATCGCCCAAACGGGGAATCCGTCACGACCGGGGTGTAGAACGCGATTCGGCCTTCAATGTTGTATACAATGTACAGTCAAGTCGATAGTCTGGGGGCATATTTATTTTACTTCGTTACATCCATGAACATATCGGAAGTTACAAACCGTTCGCACAATGATCTAAGGAGTAGAAGTGAGTTCGGAGAGCTCGCCGAACTGATGTATAGCTGCATCCAAGGTTGTACGTATATACCTCTTGATTTTGTTGGCAAATTCAATTCTATATTCACATTACCATATTGACCAATCAACACCGAATCCCTCATAACACATCAGAAGAAGAATGCGTTGCCCTGGGCATCTCTCCTCGTTGACTTCATCTTCTCGAGAAACTCCTCACCCGGCTCGTACTCGCGCCATAGACTGGCCGGAAATATGTGCTTATTCTTCTCGTACCACCGCCGATCCACCACCTTCGTCAGTGTTGGATCTGTGTTGGCGCCCTCGAGCTCTTCATCATTAGGCTGCGAGACAGGGCCGTCCTCTTGCGCGGGAGGTACACTGGCCGAGAAATCGAATAATAAACCCTTGGTCTTGCCAAAACTAGGTACTTTATTCGCTATAAAGTAGTAGAATTCATAATGCTGCCGCGAAGTTAGTGTTGATTCCAGATTGCTTCCGGTGGAAAAACTCACATGAGGAACAATAATATCCCCTCGCACGAGCATGAGATCGTCCACACCAACTCTAGCCCATTCTCGACGGTTATCGCGTTTCGCGCGACTACTCTTCTGAGCTCCTGCTGCTCCAAGCTCGGCGCCAACTTTACGACACCGGTCAAGGAATAACCAGACGTGATCTCCTTTCTTGACTTTGACCTGTCCGGCGGGGATGTTTGTGCCGTCATAGAAAACAAAAGGTATTATAATCTCCGTAGCTTTGATCTTTTCTTGCATACCCAAGAACTCTTTTCGTAATGCATCTCGCGCCTGCGCCTCAGCCTCAAGTGCCGCTTTGGTGAGTGTCTTTGGCGGGGGAGGAGCATTGGGGTTTGCGGTGATCTTGCGCGGTTGTATAGCAGGACTTCCTTCTAGCTGTTTCTTGGAATTTGGTTGTGGCGTCGCTGCACCAGAGTCTTCTCCAGTATCGTTTGTATCGTCATCGTCTCCGAAAGATAATTTACTCTTTGCAAGTGCCTTTTTTCTCTTTTTTGGTCGACCTTCCGAGGATACAGAGCCGGGTGTCAGCGCACTGTTCTTGGCCCATTAGCGGTATTCCTCGATCCTTCAATTGTACATTTGAACTTACCCGCCAGGCGCATCGTTTTGTGATGGTGATCCTGTCCTCGTGCCCGATGTGAACCGTCCCAACGATTTATCATGCGCCTCGCGCTCTTTCTGTTCAAGAACTTCTGCTCGCCGTTTGCGAAACTCCGAAAGATGGACTAGACCGACTGTTTGTGATTTTAGCAAGTCTTCAGCTGAGGTTGCTGAGTTTGTGAACGATCGAGGAGTCGACGTGCGACTTGGTGGTTCGGTTGACATGATCTTGAATTGTCGACAAATATTTGAAGGCAAACAGTCACAGTGACAAGAATGTCAGATGTATGCGCTCTGCGACGCCAAGGACTCTCTGGTAACACGTGACTTCAGAGGAATAGAAGATACCTGGGAGACCCAAGTAGCGTCGCGGTGATATTCAATTTTGCTATTCCCAACAATAATCCATCAAATTCTTGTCTTTGAAGTGGTTGAAGCTTATCGGCGCTAAGATCTGGGGCAAAATCAAGTGCTCAAAGCTTCCGCTTCCGCTAGCTCGTTTGATCAAATTGCTCCGACAACAACATTTTCAAATCACAATCACCACAGATATCCAACATGGAGGAAGACGATGATGATCTTTACGACCCTGCTGACTCCTTTCCGCCTCAGCAGGAGCACAGTAACTATAACCAGACCTCTGAAGACACAAAACCTGCGGACTCTTACGATTTTGAAGAAGAGGAAGAGGACGACGATGTAAATTGCTTCTCTGCAGGAAGAATTTGCATATCAATATAGCTTACACGCATATAGGATGATTTCAATATTATCACAGAAGCTCCTGCAGATGCAGGCCAAAGCCTGTAAGTTCAGGATTTCCTACAATACCTTGACGATTACTGATTCGATTCTCGAAAAGTGCACATCCCCGACATGCAGCATTAGCCGGTGAGGGTCAACGATCAGTATCGGTCGATATGAAACCGTCAACACCGACACTTGCGATCAAAGCCGAGAGCGCTACGCCCGCACCTATACAAGGCAGACCGGTAGCAACCTTGAAACCCGGTACAGACTATCCAGCCATACACACATCGACAATCGACGTGAACGGAAACCCAATACATCCCGTCACAGGCAAACCCATTACTTCAACAGATCTAGATACCGACTTCCCATCGGAAGATGAGAAGCCATGGAGACGTCCCGGAACAGATATTACGGATTTCTTCAACTACGGATTCGACGAGTTTACGTGGGCGAGCTACTGCCTCAAGCAACAACAACTGCGCAACGAGGTATCAGATCAGAAAAAACAATTGGATGAGATGCAGGCGTTCATGTCGATGGGAGCAATGCCCGGAATGCCAGGCGCGCCCACCCCAACACCAGCACCGCCCACTCAAGCCGCTCCTGCTGCTGCAGGTATGGCGGGTATGCCTGCAATGCCYGGGATGCCGGATATGTCGCCAGATATGATGCAGGGAATGCTTGCGAATATGATGTCTCAGGGTCTCGATCCCTCGGCAATGGATCCGATAAATTTTATGCAGCATATGCAGGCCATGATGGGTGGTGGACAGCCGGGCGGCGGGCAACAGAACCAGGGATATCCCGCGCAGGGCAATCAGCAGCAGATGGGTTATGGAGGTTATAATCAGCAGGGAGGCTATGGTGGAGGACGCGGACGGGGAGGAGGTCGAAGGTGGTGAGTGATGTATCTACACGAATATTTCACCCTTGGTCGGACGGTTTGGCGTTCTGAATTATTTAATATGTCGATTCGTACAAATGAAATATACCCGGTCCTGCATCAACTCATGCTAGACTGTAACCCTAAATTCAACGTTGTACCCGTGCCATCTCACCTATCCTACCCCCATCCTGGTGTAGGTGAGCGATGGCACGGGTAAATATAAAGTGAAGTAAACGGACTTACCAACCAATTCACGGCTGTGTATGTCAGTGGTAGACGGTCACCCTCCTATATGTTCGGTTCAGGTGAAGGCCCAGGGTTCCCTGCATGGTCGTATTTTTTTTGGAACACCTAAAGGTTCAACGAGTCCAATCCCCCAACCTCTGGGTAGGCACAACCTGGATAGCGGCCCTTAGTCAGCGGCTAGGTTTAGCAGGTAGTTATCATATACTACTACTACTACTACTACTACTACTACTACTACTTGTATCCTCGGCATTGGATTCCGGGGGGCGGGATGGATGCCTTGTCGCCTTACCGTCTGGCCGGATAGAAGAAAGTCTTGGCATTCTGGAAATTTCTCGCTCGAATTGATCCAGCCAGAGCGTCGTTTCTTTTGATCTCCCCCGGTACCTTCGATTCATCTCTGTTCGCGAGTTCACGCCTCTATCTTGCATTCACTAGCTCATTATTCATTAGTATCTTATAATACATCACAATGGTATGTTAGCTCTATTCTCCAACAATTCCAGCAGCGATAAGCTCCGCGCAAAGCTCTTCTTCCCCGGATCGAAGTTTTGTCTACATTCAACCCATCCGTCCATCCGTCCATACGACCACGCATCACTTTACTTCCTTCATACTGACATAAAATCTATCAGGCTCTCCGCAACATCAAGAACCTCGTTCCCCTCCTGGACCGCGTCCTCGTTCAGCGCATCAAGCCCGAAACCAAGACCGCCAGCGGCATCTTCCTTCCCGAAAGCACCGTCAAGGAGATCAATCAGGCCACCGTATTGGCCGTTGGTCCTGGCGCCACTGACCGAAATGGAAATAAGATCCCCATGAGCGTTGCTAGCGGTGATAAGGTTTTGATTCCTCAGGTATATTTCCTCCGATTGAGAATACAGCAATGTTGTGAAAGGGTTGGAGCTGATTGAATACGTATAGTTTGGTGGTAGCCCCGTTAAGGTTGGTGAGGAGGAGTTCACTCTTTTCCGGGACTCTGAGTAAGTCTTGAAACATCAAGCTGGGTATTCGGGTAACTAACAACATGTTCAGGATCCTTGCCAAGATCAGAGAGTAAAGAAATCAATTTCTCGACATAATAAAACCTCTTCCTTTCTCACAATGTACTATATCGAACTTGTATTATCACGCCTGAAGAAACTGAAAGTCGAGGGAACGGCGTTCGTTTCGGACAAGGAAAAAAGAGACATAAGTTTTTAATGCACCATTTACACTGGGAAAGGATTATTCTGACCATGTGGTATGCGTGACGTGTTGTCGTTGTTGTTCCAGCGGATTTTTTGCATATTTGCCCTTTTTTGTCTCGATTGATCTAATCAATACATGTCCTCCATCTCATAACCCCCGGAAGGTGCCGTGATAGGCTTTGCTTCATTAAACTTAGAATCTCCTCTCTGAATACATACTATAGCTATCTTCATTTGTGCAGCATTTGAACTCTCAATCTCGTTCACATCAAATCAACCGCCCAGTCGATCTGCCAGTCCATATCAAGCGCCTTGTTGACCCTTGAGATGACTCTTTGCCCTACAAGGTTCTGGAACATTTCCATCCGGGTTCGGCAGGGCATCTCGACAAATCTGGAAAGGGGACTTATTTGATCGACGTCTTCATAAAGTTCGAATTGCGCCGAACTTGTCTTAAGAACAGCGAGGATGCTCTCAGCAGCGAAAGGATTAAGTCCTGCGCTTCGAAGGAATACCTCCCACTGTGTATGATCATCATGGAAATGCGGAGCAGTTGTCCTGCTTTCTGTTGCGTTCAAAGGAGGTATGAGATCAGGGTTCATGGTATGTTTTGCGGCTATGGACAGGATCCAATCGAGGACATCATCTGTAGCAATGAGCAGCACCTTGATATTGCATACACGATTGAGTGACATGCAATAGGTTGTTAGATCTCTTACTGACGAGAGAATATACATGGTTGTTTCCAGAGGCGATCGAACCAGCACGTAAAGCATCTCATACCTAGGTGTAGCCTGGACAATTCTCGCATGCAACGGCGAGTCTATATCCGGAGGTCCCTGTCCAGGAAGATACTTTTGCGTTGTTTCATGAGAGCTCGCAAGAATGACGCCAGTGATAGGAGATACTATCAAATCCGCTTCGTCGATCACAAGTGGTTGACTGGGGCTTGCTCCTTGATAGTCACGAAAGATGAGTCGAAGCGATCGAGAAGACGATATATCTTCCAACGAGCGAATAAGGGTGCTGTCGGACCGCAGTAAATGTGTTGACATAATCAGCAAGAGCGGTTTATCAGACTCGTTCGAATGGTATTTGGGATATAGACTGAGGTTCTGAATATTATGCCCAATGACGGGAGAGGATAGCAGTATGGTAGATGCGGTTGGTTTTTCAAGAGTATCGGTTTTGACTGAACCAGTCATTGTACTACTCTTCGGCGTGCTACTAAAGTACCGACTTTCGACGTCAAGTTTTCGACGTTTATTCTTGTGGCATCTCGTTTGCATGAATGCTGACAGCGTACTGAGTGACTCGGGAGGATTTGTCACTGGCAAGAGCGCTGTCTTTGATTTAGGCAAGTTCTCTGGTTCGTGAGTAGACAGTGGAGATGCTGCTCGTTTATGAGTGACTGCGTCTACGACTCGCGGGTCGTGTTCCTCAACCGGTTCAGGGGTAACAGCGTATTCAACCAACGCTGCATGGAGGTTAGTGTCAGTGTCTCTATGGTGAGAGTCTAGAATAGTATCGTGCTCATGCTGCTCTTCTTTGTCAGTATATAGAGCGTCTCCGACAAGCTGTTCGTTTTCCTCAGGCAAGCCAGGGGTAAAGACTTCTTCAGTAACCACTTCGTTGGCGAGGTGGGTATTCGTGTCACTACTACGAAACTCCTGTATGATGTTACGTTCATGTTGGTCCTCACTTTCGATATAGAAGTAAGCGTTTTCGTATTTGTCTTCTTCGAGTAGACCAGGGGTAGCAACTTCTTCAACAGACGCTTCGTTGTCATAGCCTGTATCCGTGTCAATACTGTGACGAGACTCCGGTTCCACATGGTGAACACGCTGCTCTTTACTTTCGATGTAAAGTGGAGGTATAGCCAGGTGTGAAGGAGATGCCTAAAACACGAGATCAGAATTGTCCACATCTGCAGTGTTTAGGGAACATCACTGACTATGTTCAAGATAGAGCTATTAACAACTTCCTCTATCTCCTTCCTCTGTCTCTTTTCATCAAGATACGTTAGAGCTTGGCGCAGAATCCGCCCAGTGCCTTCAGGAGCCTCAAGTTTCCCCGTGCTGGGACCTCTGTCCAAAATACTCGGCAGTTCCCAAAAGTAATCCGGAAATTCGAGTCCTTCATCAATGCCAGCTCTTTCGCGATCTGCCAGACCTGGTACTATCTCGTTCAATAACTCGACAGGATCGGCTCTCTTGCTCAGTGTCTTCAACGTATTCTGCTTTTCTGCCGAGAGCAGTGGGACGTCTATCTTAAGATCATCCCCGGGCTTGTAGTTGAGTTTCAGAGAAATTGTATCTTCCACTCTGTGATCTGGTTTGGGCTGTAGTGACGTTACTTCTTGTAAGACAGAGGCCAGGAACTTAACACCGTCCTTGTCAAGAATCAGTTTCTCATTTCTCGAAGCGATAGCCAATGTCAGATCTTGTAATTCCGAAGTCTCACAATCGAAGAGCTGCGATGTCGAATCCGTCGAAGAGAGAGACTGTGCATTCTCAGAATCGCGAATCCGGGCGAGGAGATCCAGTGGATTGAGCTGTTGAGGGTTTCTGGAAGTGCCTCGAGATCTGGCGTATTCGAGCACGGAGGGCTCGTCGAAGTCATCCATTGCGAGACTTCAGCGAATACTAGCAGAATACTCTGGAGTGAACGAGGAGTGGACCAAAAGTGTGCTTCGTGAGGAAAGGAAGTCAAGAGGTTGGATGACAACGTAGCAAGAGCGCAAGACGGTGACGTACTACTCATTGAGAAGCTGCCAGCCAACACCAAAGGTATTGATAGATAGAATAGTAAAATACTTATTCGGGGCAGTAGCCAGTTCATACGTATCAAGATTTATTTCATCACATAATGTACAGTCATTAATTTTTTCAACTATCCAAGTCGACCCATTCCAAGAGTCGGCGGCCCAAGAACCAGTTCCTGTACTTCCTCCTTCACACCACCCAGCCGGCTCGCGACCCCCAGAATACCAGCTTCAACATCTCCCAGGGCAGCTGCAAGATCTGCCAGTTGATTTCTGGCACCGCCAGCACCTGTAGTACCATCGTCACGATTGCGAGAAGAAAGAAATTCATTGATCTGTCGGTTGAGTGAGCCTTCTACACCGTGCAGGTGATCTTCAATTTCTTTCAAGTTCTTCCTGTAGCCATCAAGGACGGTGGACATTTCATCCGATCGGTGAGAGAAGTATTCAACGAGGTTTGTCGGTATGCCGTTGATTGAACCAGACGTAGATGGATCGCCTTCAACACCGTCAGGTAACGCAAGAGTGCTCTTCCGGTTCTTGATGGACGACCGTAGTGTCTGGCGCTCAGATAGCTGTTGCTCAGAAACAGACCACCAGCCTCCGCCTGTCGATTGGTATTGCAAGGGCAGTTTCAGATTGTCAATTGCGCGGAACCCGACTTGAGCCTCTGCTGCATTTCGTGCCACCATATTGCGAACAGCGTCGATTTCGCGAGCATCGTTCTCCAGAGCTAGTTGAATAGTTTCAAGCTTGCCTTCAACAAACTCAACGTCGTTCGGGATTGTAGAACCTTGAGATATGACTGTAGGTATAATTCCGGCGACATCGTTACACATGCTGATTTGATTCAAAATATATGTATCGATCAGTTCTATCGTACGTTTAATCTCGTCTGCGCAGCTCTCGAATTTCGTAGTTGGCAGAAGATTACTAGCATCTACCCTGACACCTTGCACGACAGTACCTTGGGATGCTGCTGCTGCTTGTGGCTGTTGGGTGGTGGTATTTTGAGATCCGAAAACGGATAGTGTAGGTTTTTGCTGTTGCTGTTGCTGTTGCTGCTGCGCTACATTTTGAGTGCTGCCACTGAGAGAAGTCAGCGTACCACAGATCATGAATAGTTTGAGAAAAGTGATGCTTACAAAAGACTCGTTCCTGTGGCAGTACTTGGGGCCGCGCCAAAAAGTGATTTTGTCTGCGTTTGAGTCGTAGCTGCCTGGTTTCCTCCGAAAAGATTGCTTCCGCCAGTCGTATTCTGTTGCTGAGTGTTGGAAGCACCGAATAGACCTCCACCGGTAGTCCCTGTCTGCTGCGTGCTTGTGTTTCCGAATAATCCACCACCAGGTGTTGCAGGCTTTGCTGTGCTTCCGAATAAACCTCCACTGGCCGGTTGCGACGTGGCCGTCGAGCTGCCAAACAAGCCTCCACTTGCCATGCCACCTTGTTGTGTAGTATTCGACGTGTTTGCGCCTTGTCCGCCAAATAATCCTCCGCCGCTTGTCTGTGTGTTTCCTGATGTCGGGTTTCCAAAAAGGCTTCCGGCAGGTTTCTGTTGATTTCCAAACAAACCCGCTGTAGCAGGTTGTGTTGCAGAGGAGGCAGCTGTGTTAGAGCTATCAGATGTTAGCGACGGAGTGTCAATCGACTTGTGCAATGTTTATGTTATTCGCGAAGCTACCAGCCTTGGGATAACAGCGACGGCAGCAACACGAAACAGCAAAAGCGCATGAAATAAATGTCGAAGAAACATCAAAAAATAAATTGATGGTGAAGAAGATGCAGAGGACCCCAGCACTCACAATAAAGAATTAGCGGTGGATGTGTTGATAGATAGCCCACCGACGGCTGGCGCAGAAGGTTTTGTTGAAAACATTGAGAAACCGCAGGCAACGGGGGTATCGTGATCTAACAAAGAGATATGGCAGCACGCGCTGCAGACTTTAGGCTTGCCCCTTGCTTTCGATGCTGATAGAACCAGCTCAGGCTTTTGTTGTCGCGAGTCGGGCGGAAGAAACAAGCTCACAAGTAATCCGGCATGCTAGTAGAAACTATCCCTAATCAGGATTAGTGTATTTCGTGCCTAGATATTGCTCTTTAACGATGCATGACTTTCGTTTCTATTGATCTTTTGCACACAGCCATTTTTGAAGCCTTTGGCTTTAATATGGAGGACTTGTCGATATATTGCCCGAGTCTACTACTTCACACACAGGAATCATTTTCAAAATATCGCCCCGGCGGGTATCATCCCGTCAACCTTGGGGATGCCTTCAAGAACAATCGCTATGAAGTACATCACAAGCTAGGATGGGGAGTATTCTCTACTGTATGGCTTGCATTTGACAGAGAGTAAGCTAACGAACTCATTGTGCTATCTTACTTACTAACTCTCGCTAAGGAAAGACATATGGGTGGCACTCAAAATCAAGACGGCAGACAGCTCATTAGAATCTCGAGAACATGATTGTATGCAATCTCTGCAAAAGCATTGCGAAGGGACTTTATCCTTTAAATATATCGTGCGGTTACTTGACTGTTTTCTCCACCATGGTCCCAACGGAGTCCATCAATGCCTTGTATTCGAACTACTTGGCCCCACTGTGAATAAAGTCCTTATGAATTACACCGAGTCTGAAGAACGGCTGGAGACTGAAGTTGTCCTACGAATGTCGAGACAGCTTCTTGAGGGCATTGACTTTATTCACAGTGCTGGTATTGGGCATGGAGGTAAGTTGTTAATACTGTTGTCATGCCTAGTAGTATGTCTTGACTGACCTTGTAATAGACATAAGCAGTAGAAATATGGCGTTCAGCTGTAAGAATCTGTCAACTACCACAAAGGAAGATCTTTTTCATGTTCTTGGTGCTCCAGAATCCGAGCAGTTGACTCGTCTCGATGGCGACCAGCTCTCCGACAGCTTACCAAAAATCCTGGTGAAAGCAGCTGAGTGGGCTGAGTGGGTAGATGAAGATGAAGAAATTCGGATTTTTGACTTCGGAAGAAGTTTTCCTAAAGGAGAGGAGCCTGTCAAACTTGCTCAACCAAGTCCATTACGTGCGCCAGAGACAATTTTTGAAAAATCCTTTGACTATAAGATTGACCTATGGCATGCAGGCTGTACGGTAAGCTTCCTTGACTACAAGCCCCAGGGGTATACTAAACAAGCTGTTCATAGATATATTCTTTCATATTCGGAATGATCCCGTTTCATTACCTGGGTGACGACTACTTGGTGAAACAGATGATAGACTTGCTAGGCGAATTGCCACAGGAATGGCAAACGCAGTGGGAATGTATGAAGAAAGAGTCTAATAGCGCCTTGGCTTTGAATGGAGGTAATTTTTCTGACTGTGTTGCTTGAAACCATTACTAAATTTTAGGAAAGATTGTCAGCCGACGAAGTTAACGCGGAAATTTGACGACGAAGTGTACGATCTGCGACTTAGGGTCCTATGTTTAGTTACAGAACAGCTGATGAGATTTTTGCCATCTGAACGTACTCCAGCGTCTGCGATTTTGAGCTTGATGAGCTCCAACGTCGAGGGTAGTCCTGAGTCTGAAAGTGGTTTTGACTTGACATGTATGGCTATATACAACGCCTTGGAAATATCTAAAACTCCGTCTGTGAAAAGTGGTTCAGGGAAAGGTTCATTTTCAACAGACTCCAATTTCTTCAAAGGCGCAGAATGGTGAGTAGTCCTGTACTAACTACGGAGAATGTTTAGCGCTGACAGAAGTTCTAGGACCCCGGATGGGACATCAGTAATAACCACGTCTGCGAATAATAGTATCAGAACATTCATCCTGTATGATCATTCGCGGCGTCTATTTTGAACAGTCACTAACACATAACAGACCGCCAGACCTTCTTGAAAAGAGAGAATCCCCTCTGGATTTGCAGCCGTATTCAACATTTCCTTCCAAAGAGCCAGTATATGCCACTGCAATATATCCGTTCTTTAATCTCCAGGACCCCTCGACTACGTTGATTTTATCCTCAGTTCGGGATCATCCTATCAGACTCTCATCAGCATTGTCACCTCAAAATTTGGGTACATACTCTCTAATAAATCCGTCAACTGAAGCCTTTATCGCACCTCATTCGATTCTGTATCCCTCGCATCTCGGCGGCTCTCAATTCATTACAGGCTCTGATTCTTTGATCTGCATTTTCGATGTTTCTCGCACCGGAAACGAAGGACCTGTCAGCCGTTTACCTACCATTCCAAGCAAACGAAAGCAAATCGTTGGCGGTGGTGTCGGAATGAAGGGGATTGTATCTGCGCTTGCCATGAACCCTGCCCAGGATGGAATACTGGCTGCCGGCACCTTCACGAGAAACATTGCTCTGTACGGTGCCAGAGGCAGTGGCGAGCTCATTGGGACATTCAGCATCGCCAAAACGGAAGCTGACAGCCATATCGGAGGTACAGGGATCACACAGTTGTTGTGGAGTCCTTGTGGAAGATATTTGTATGTGGTCGAGCGTAAGAGTCGAGGCATGCTAGTCTACGACATTCGAGTGACCGGACAGCTACTAGGATGGCTCGAGGGACGAGAGGCGACGAGCAACCAGCGGATGAAAACAGACGTGATTGCCGTAGGTGATGATGGTTCACATGAAGTGTGGGCAGGTGGAACAGATGGGATGGTGAGGATGTGGAAGAATCCTCATACCACGATCGGTGCGCGCCAACCCGATTATTCATACAAGATTCATGATGGTGAGTTTGGAACATCACAGCTAATAAATCCGCAAAATAATGATACCAAAGTGTAGACCCCATCACTAGCTCAGTGTTTCATCCAGGCGGCAGCGTATTAGCAACCTGCTCTGGACAAAGGCGATTCCCAGACTATGATTCTAATGACGTCGGGGAAGTTCAACAAAAGTCTCAAATAACGGGCGATGATAGCTTGAAAATTTGGGCACTTTGACCGGAATTCTATGCTGGGAGCGTGTATTCTTCGATGAGGCACGATTGATAATCAAATGATTATGACTTCGGGTAAGCACCATGCTAAAATCTCACTCTTTCAGGACACTAATAAGAAGAAGTTGAAATTATTGGCTGGCTATTTAACCTAGAAAATCGTAGTCTGCGCTCAAAATTCCTACGGCTTACGAATATTCACAATTCCGCTGCGGAATTAGGGCTCTTTCAATAATCAACTCCATTCCTATTTCCAAGCTAACAGTTGTCCGTTGGTTAAAAAAATGTAGATGTTTATAAAGTTGACAGCTATATACACTACTTTGTTCAGATGTAAGATCACAAGTTCTTTTGCACCAGCAATTCAATGTTGACACTGACCATATTCACGATGCAGCTCTTCTCATCAACCAGCACTCTCGCCCTCATATCAGCTCTTGCTTTCACACCAAATATTCAAGGGCGACTAGTCCAAGCTCCAGCGCGCTCGGACAGTCCCTCAGCTAGGACTATCTGGCAAGCTTCCTCGACCCCGACCTGGATTGAGAATCTCGCCTTTCGACCATCCAATGGAGACATACTGTTCGGTCTTGTCACCGAGCCGAGCCTCTACCAACTCAAGGATCCATTGAATCAAGCTACTGCTAAATTACTCTATGAGTTTCCAGACGTGACTTCAGTTCTTGGAATGTCAGAGATCGCAGATGATATCTTTGCTGTAGTAGTTGGCAATTTCACCACCACTACCGTAACAGCTACCGAAGGATCATTTTCGTTGTGGAAAGTGGACTTCGCGAATGGAAATTGCGGAGACGGGGAAAGGCCTGAAATATCCAAAATCACCAATATACCTGAAGCAATGTTTCTCAATGGCTTGACGAAGGCTGAATCCCACCGTCATCTTAAGCACGAGGGGCAACTCGCCACAGTCCTGATTGCCGATTCAGTTCTGGGAGCAGTGTGGAAGGTCAACACAAGCACAGGAGACTATGAAATGGGGATTTCGCTACCTGAAATGTTACCTCCCACAAATGCCAGTCTTGACATAGGCATCAATGGAATTGCGATTTACGATAGCTCTCTATATTGGACAAACACGGCATCTGAGAGCATTTACGCCGTACCCATCGATTCTTCGACATGCTCTATTTTGCCGAACACAACTGTTCGTACGGTTGCAGAAGATATAGGTATCGCAGTCGATGATCTCACCTTTGACTTCAATAACAATCTTTATGTAGCAGGTGGAGACACGGTGGTTGTGTTTTCGGATGCTGATGATCACTCCAAAAGTAAACTGAAACCGAGAACTGTCGTTGGAAGCACGAAAACAATGACAGTGGCTGGTAGCACATCTGTGAGATTCGGAGGCGATGTGTTGTATGTCACTACAGATGGCGGAATGGCAGCACCTGTTAATGGGACTATTGTCGAGGCAGGCAAAATTGTTGCTCTCCAGTACTTGGATGTTTGATAGACTCAGGATAGACGGCGATCGGATTTACATGTGAAAGATACTTCATTAAGATATACTTGTTCCTGATCAGCTCTATCGAAGACTATCGAAGGGGACTTGGTGGACATGGTCTTTGCCCAGCACCGGTGATTGGGGGGTCGGCGGAGCAATTGACGGAGCAATCGACGGAGTAATCAGCGGTACAAAATTAGCAGACGGAGTACAAATCACTATGAAGAGGAAATAACGTACTACCATCATCCCATTGGTCATAATCATAAATTCATCTTCAATGGTGCAACGTCTGTCGGTGCAATTCAACAGAGTATACGGTTAGGGCGGCTTTATGAAGTATCATCTCGAGCCACGGCGGAACACTTTAGGATTATCTTCATGACCTGGCAAAACATCCAATGGCTGGGATAACAAAGGCTACGAGGAGATTGTGATTCTGATTGAAGTAAAATACTTTGGCTATTTAAAGCACTCCTCACGAGCAGCAATGGTCAGTCATTTTTCAAGAACCCGCACAAAAGCACCCCAGCAGAATGGCCATCCGACATAGAGCATTATACAGGTAACATCGATTTCTCTGAGGGGCAGCAAGACCCTCCCACCAACAATGTGCCTACCGATCCGGGTTTTGTGGACTGGGATGGTCCTGATGACCCTGCAAATCCGCGAAATTGGTCCAGAAAGCGCAAAATGCTGAACACCGCACTGGTCAGCCTTTCAGTATTATACTTGTACGTTTCTCGACTACCAATGGAGAAACCCCCGCCGACTATATACCATTTGCTGATATGGTAAAATAACAGGAATATAGCAACAACCATGTACGCCCCGGCTTCTCTACAACTAGCTGCCGACTTTGGTATCAATGATGACAGCGTCATCATCACATTGAGCATCACTATTACTTCGTTGGGAGCATCAATGGGACCTCTACTATTTGCTCCTTTGTCAGAGGCTTATGGACGTGTTCCTGTACACTGGGCTAGCGCATGGTTGTTCATATGCTGCACGATTGGCTGCTCGCGAAGTATAAATGTAGCCATGTTTCTCATTTTCCGGTTCCTAAGCGGCGCCTGCACTGCGTCTTTCATGACTTGTGGCGGAGGTACTATTGCCGATTTGCTGCCAAAAGAAGAGCGTGGAACCGCGATGGCGCTTTTCACTGCTGGACCACTCCTTGGTCCTGTTATTGGGCCTATTATTGGGGGATTCGTGACTCAGTCCTTGAGTTGGCGTTGGACGTTCTACTTGGTTTTAATGTTGGTAGGTGATTGCCGTGAGAGATTTTTCTGATGTCGTGAATATTTTCTAATCACTCCATCTAGGCCGGTGTGGTCACAATTATTGCCATGGTTACAATGAGCGAAACGAATGCTGGTACCATTCTAAGCAGAAAAGCTGCACGGCTGCGCAAGGAAACCGGCAATCTTCAGCTTCATACCGCACAGAGCTTGCAGCCCAGTCTTCGACCGCGTGAATTCGTTGAGTGCATCATTCTCCGTCCCGTTCGAGTCCTTCTTTTTTCGCCTATCGTTATGTTGATGGGGGTATATATGGCGTTTATCTTCGGCTTAACATTTCTCCTCTTTGCCACTTTCCCGTCTGTTTTCGAGGAGACATACGAATGGAAGGTGGGCTTCACTGGCCTGGCATATCTAGAGCTTGGTATTGGTTGCGTCATAGTTCTGATAACATTATCTTTACTAAGTGATAAGCTGATAGGCAGAGATGGTGCACCGGAGCGGCGCTTGATTCTCATGATGGCATTTACTTTCTGTATACCAGGTGGCATGTTTTGGTACAGCTGGGCTGCTGATCGTTCTGCGCAATGGGTCGTTCCTATCATTGGAACGGTCTTCATTGGAATGGGAATACTTATCCTTTCCTCTTCGGCCCAGCTTTATATAATGGATATGTTTGGCCCGCAAGCTGCAGCCTCTTCGCTGGCAGCTCTTACACTTGTGAGGAATGCTTCGGGGGCATTCCTTCCATTGGCCGCAAATCCACTCTACAGAAGACTTGGCCTGGGATGGGGGAATAGTGTGTTGGCTTTTATCACTCTCGCTTTTACACCGGTTCCCTTTGTCTTCTACAAATATGGTGGGTGGCTGCGAGAAAAATTTCCCTTGAAGCTGTGATACTATAAGTGGCAAAGCAGGGATAAATATATCTTCAGATGGGCTGCTAATGGTATTAGCATTATTTATCGTGAGTCTTTATTAATATCACTAGTAGAAGGATAAATTTTAACAATAATCAGCCGCCACTGGAGGCAGTACCACTGAAACACGCATCTCATTGAGGGGGTCCTGTAGAACCCCCTGCCCTTACATCCATGTATAGTCAGCCAACAGGAGGGTTATCGTAAATTGAGCATGTAGGGTTAGACCCCCTTCCATGTTGGATTATCCTAGTCTACTGATTCGTATTCTAGAACACATATTAAGTCTAACCTGCTTGCTGTGTCACATGAATATACCGGTAAATGAAGAGTCCCCCGAAACACTCCGAATACGATTTGATCTAGCGAGCTCCGAAACACTGCGACTTGATTTTGGTGGATTACATTGATCCTTAGCACCAGGTGATGGAAAGTACTTACTGGCGAGAATGCCCACTATAGTCTACTATTAAAGATTATTCAAGCATCCGTCTTCAGTCAGTAATAGCAGTTCCTCTGTAGGCCATCATGACGAATACAAGCACCGTCTCCGACGTTTCAATCGCATCATCCACAGCAGCTCATCCGGTTAAATCAGCACCTTTAATCCTCAATTCAAGCAACCTGTTCCCCAAATAGAGTGCTCAGCTGGACCCCGACAGCTGGAACCAATGGCAGTTTCAAGCCGTCTCGGCGGATGGAAGTATAGCTCTCTGCGTTGTCTTCTTCCGTCACACTGCCAATGCCCCTGCGAGGTTCCGTGTCGCTATAAACGCTAGTTGGGCTGGATCCAGCGAATATGGCAACGAAGAGAACGAAGCGACATGGTGTAGTCCTGTGATGCTTTCACGTTCTGTTGTCACTTCCGATGAAGTGCACACCGGGGTCTAGAGGACTGAGGACAACGACGATGACAAGCCGCATTTTAGTGTATAGATAACATAACAACTCAGGATGTGTTTCACAACTCATCAGGACTTAGAATCAGGTTGGTGCCTGCCGCAATAGCAACACGGGACTCACCATTCCGAAGGGCTTGAACAGCCTGATGGACACATACCATCGATGAGGAACAAGCAGTATCAATGGCCATACTTGGACCATGCCTGTCAAAGAAATAGAATATCAGATTTGAAATTATACAACAACTGGTGCCGGCAGCTGCTTATGTGTGTACAACCTCCCAATCGCTACCAGATAAATGAGATCAGTCATCACACATCTGGCCGACATAAACTGCAGTAGCTGAAACTTGAAGGCTTTCTATGGTCTGGCCACTAGCAACTCTGTAGAATCATAACTTAGCATGCGACATAGTATGAGGGGAGGATATCCACCGATAGTTACAAGGAATTGTAGACAGTTTTTATCAGCAGACGCTGCTGAGGGTCGGTCGCTTCAATCTCGGCCGGCTAGGTATTGAAGTACGCGCTATCGAATTTCCAGGTATTTTCCTCGAGGAAATACTACTCCTGACAATTGCTAGTGCCATAGTGGATTGAGTTAGGATGGTAAAATGCGGTCGAATTGAAGCGGTCAGCGGGAGTATGCTTGAGGAGGTCGTAGACTTTGCAGTCGATGAAATTCTTCACCAACCCTGTCTTAATCCGCTCGGTCATTTTCATAAAACATCCTGAATAAATCTTAATTTCCCCAAGTTTCTCCAGGATCCTTGCCATGACCCCGGTTTGCCAACTCCACACGCAGCTGACCATATGATAGAGTGAAGTGACCATAACTGAATACAGTCTGCATCTATTCTCTAGAAATAAACATTGAAGACTGTACAAAAGGGCCACAATTGTCTGAGGTGATCAATTCCAACACAGTAAGCCACTTAACTCTTTTTGAGCTTGACAAAATCTCTAGCACTAGCGTAAGCTGTATTTGGCGTTGAAAAACTTCCTGAAACTGAATTTGGGGGTAAAGTGACTCTACTCTGGGTGAGAACTACAGAAAACAATTCTAAAACGCAGAACAGCTTAGGACTGTAATTAATAGGTTAATGGTGAGATGGCTAGAAACCACGAGATGAATATTATGGTTTAGAGTAAAAGTTACCACCTAATGTTCAATGTGGCTGGTTTTCCATGATCCAATCCGTTGGAAACATATCTCCAGATGATAATCCAGGTATATCCCACACCGCATTGTTGGAGTCGAATATTTGATACACGTTGGGTGTACCTAGAAAGTTAACAGTTAGCTGAGAATATAATCTTGAATCAAACCAAAGATCTAGCCACCTTGAAAGATGTCCCAGGAAACTTGGCTATCGGGTGCGGCGGTCGCAGCAATCGGTGTCGTACTTGCGAATGATTTATTGTTGTCATCTTGAGGGGGAACTTCTAGCACAAGACGTAAGTGCTCAACCGCTTTTCTGGCGTCTTGTGACACCGTGCTCAAGTGTATCCATATGGGATATATACTTCGCAACAAGTCAAGGATCTTCTCACGGTCAGGTAAAGCGTCTGCTGTGCTTCTCGTGAGTTGCATGTAATAACACAAAACACTCACGCCGAGTAAAAAGACAGATTGCAATAGTGATGATCGTAGGTGGCGCATAGGAAATAACAATCCGTCAGGCTTTGTTACGTCATACATCATTTGCTGAAACTCGAGAATCTTGATCGCAGCTTCCACGCAAGTCTTTCGAGAATACTCGTAGCTCTCATTCGGCCCTTTATGGGGTGAAAAATATCTCCGATGAAGTGATATTAGGAGCCTTTGAATAGAAAGCTGTAGAACGATACGATGTAATACAATAGGTGGAGGAGTTATGAGTGACTGGCTCAGCGGTTGCCATTGGAAAATCTGAGGTAGTGACATCTCTGCCTTATGTAATTGCTTATCAAGAGACATGATCTCCGGAAGTGGGTGGTCATTAACATCAGCGATGAGGTCACTAATGAGTGCACCGATGCTGTCGATCCGAGCTTTAGCCAATCCATAAAGTACAGGCGTCACTTCACTCTCCGGCCGTGATGGGGGGAGCTCAACACTCTCTTCGTTAAAGTCAGAGTCTAAAAGGTTGCGAGGTTCCAAAGTGTCATATTGCTGTGACTTCAGAAGGCGTGGGAGGCCCATCTGGCTTGAAAGACGCAAGTCCAGTTGTACTATTGCCGCCCACACGCGGCGCCGCATCTCGCCAGCAAAGACTGGCAGGTTGGAGAAGTTCCCAGGGTCTCGATGATAGCCCTGGCTGGGCGCGAGTTGAACTAGCATGCCTAGCAGAAACCAATGGCCAACATCAGCATCTTTGCACATTAAAATTTCACTGGTGCAATGAATATGCAGAGTTTCGAGGACATACGGGCCTCCCTTGGTGAAATGGCTGAGGACTAGACAGTGTACAGTTCTCTCGTGAAACAACTGAATGCGTATCGAAGGATCCGGTTCCGTTGGGCCCTGGGCGAGTTGATGATATTGTGTGGAAAGACATATGATGCTGAATAAAGGCCAATCCACGCAAAGGGGGTCCCACTTGGATTTCGCCAAAAGTTCTCATACTAAATGCGGAACGAGCTTTAGCCTTAGCAGTTGAAATGAATATAATTGCGAAAAATTTTTACGCACCTCTCGAAGGAATTGGTTGCTAGAGATAACAGCTGTCAAACAGTCAGAGCTAGGGTGCACATTGAATTAAATAGAGACCAATATTATCCAATAATCTACCTGGCGCAATACCCTGGGTGTTGAAATATCGTGCAATCATACGGTCTACAGCAGCCCGGGGTGGGAGGGAAGAAATAATCTCATCTTTGGTAGCTTGAATGGGTTCATAAAAAAGACGAGGACCGGGTATGGGCTGTGATCGATTGGTATTATCATGATAAGTTTCTATTGCCGCTTCCCTCTCCGTCTCGTAGGTGTCATTGAGGTCAGAGATACTATCAAGTACTGCAGCCCAATGCACATTACTGACATAGTTTGGACCGTGTGAGTGTAGACGCAAGTTTTCATGTTCCAATGACCTTGAAGAGGCGCGAGCAGCACCATCAGGGATGTTCAGTTTTTGTTGCTCTTCCTGCTGCATTAATGAACGAACCAAGTTTTCGAGCTGCTGAATGCGTTCGCCCACACTGACGGTGGTGATCTTGCGCTGAGGATGCGGCGCATATGTACAAGAGAGAGCATTACCCTTAGTCAGGTAAGTTTGGCATGGGAGCTGGCGATCACACCGGATTCTGTGGATTTCCATCAGTTGGAATCATGTCCTTTTTTGCAAGGTGCATTTGTGACTCGAATACTTGCGGCTCCTACAAAAATTGCATGACAGCTGCTGTTTCTCTCTTCTGCGATCTCGCCTCTGGCTAGATTCTGTTGCATTTTCAGTCGAGCGAGATGACGACGATACTGTAGAAGTAGGGAGGTAGTCCATAGCGCTTTTGTCTGATGAAGTTGCAATGATATGAATATGCTCTCAGTGAGGGATAGATGTTTGCCCCGCTTTGGTCGGATTTATTTGACAGGACACGGACCACTGAGATGCATGTAAGTACTTACACAGAACCTTTCCAAATGTGTCATTCCGTTCTCGACCTTTCGTTTATTCTTTGTTAAAAAAAAGGAAACCAATATGATACACAGTGTCTATCCTCTGGCCCGATTTGGGGTCTACATCAATACCGGCCGAGCCTACCGAGGCATCTCTCCCTGAGAAGGGACACCACGATAGATCAGGGGTAGGAGCCATCCATGCTTATTCGGACGGCGAGCCCGGCCAAGCTATATGCATACGTAATCGCATGCACTATAAAGACAACATTAGAGTATGGTTATGGGTAAATTGGCAAGGCGACTGGACGCGGCGCGCCTGCTGTTAGGCCCTTTGTAACTTTGGAGGCTGGTTGCGATGTAACGCTCACCAAACCCTGCGGTAGTATTTTTCCAGTCATCAGCAACATTATCATTAGGAGTACGAATACACGATTACAAAAAATTTATAAATAACTGCAGTGTTTATAAGATCGGTCGATAGCCACAAAGTCACATCAATTGATATTCACGGAGCCCGTAAGAACCTTATCCTGTCAGACTGGAGATCGACCAGACATGCTGTTCTCGAAACCGGTGAACCGCCTGAATGGCGTGCTCACATTTATCCTCTCAATCAAAAGCACACTCGCCGGACCTTGTGACATCTATTCTTCAGGCGGAACTCCATGCGTCGCTGCACACAGCACCACTCGCGCCCTTTACGACGCATACACCGGGGCCCTCTATCAAGTATCCCGTGGCTCTGATGGCGCGACAACCGACATCTCACCCCTATCCACCGGCGGTGTCGCTAATGCCGCTGCGCAAGATACATTCTGCGCCAGTACAACGTGCCTGATCACAATTATCTACGACCAGTCCGGTAGCGGTAATCATCTTACCCAGGCACCCCCTGGAGGCGCAGCCACTGGTCCAGAAGCCAATGGCTATGACTATCTGGCTAGCGCCATTGGTGCGCCGGTGATGCTGAATGGTGAAAAGGCGTATGGAGTTTTTATTTCACCCAAAACCGGTTATCGTAACGATGCTACTAGTGGTATAGCCACCGGTGACGAGCCTGAAGGCTTGTACGCCGTATTGGATGGCACTCATTACAATACCGTTTGCTGTTTTGACTATGGCAACGCCGAAGTGAGTAACACCGATACAGGAAATGGCCATATGGAGGCTATCTACTTTGGAGCAGATACCAAAAGTGGCAGCGGCGGCGGCACCGGTCCCTGGATTATGGCTGATCTCGAAAATGGTCTCTTTTCTGGTTACGCAGCTGGTAACAACGATGCTGATGTGACAATGTCTTCCCGATTTGTTACAGCAACGCTCAAAGGCGAGCCAGACCAGTGGGAAATGCGTGGTGGAGATGCTACATCTGGGTCATTGACAACTTTGTACAGCGGCATACGTCCGACTGGTGGGTATAACCCGATGAGTAAAGAGGGWGCCCTTATTCTCGGGATTGGCGGTGATAACAGCAATGCCGCTCAGGGCACGTTTTATGAAGGTGTCATGACGAGTGGATATCCATCTAATGCCACTGAGGATTCTGTAMAAGCCAATATCGTTGCCGCGGGCTATGCGGTCACCTCCTTGGTTAGTGGTCCAGGGTTGACTGTTGGTTCCTCGATCTCGCTTAGAGCAACAACTGCATGCTGTACGACAAAGTATATTACCCATTCCGGTTCGACTGTAGAACTCCAAGTTGTGAATTCGTCTAGTTCTACTGCTCTTCAACAGCAAGCTAGTTGGACTGTTCGCATCGGTCTTGGTAACAGTGGCTGTTACTCCTTCGAGTCCGTCGATACTCCTGGCAGCTATATCCGCCACTCCAGCAATCAACTCCTTCTCAATGCCAATGATGGCACCAAACTGTTCAGTGAGGATGCCACATTCTGTCCCATGGCTGGTCTCAACGGCCAGGGCAATTCTATACGATCATGGAGCTATCCAGCTCGCTTTTGGCGCCATTACAGTGGAATCCTCTATATTGCGGCCAACGGCGGCCCCAATACTTTTGACAGTACCACGTTATACAATGATGATGTGAGCTTTGTGATTAGCGCTGGATTTGCTTAATCGATTTTGGGGCATGTGGGTTGCAATACAATCGTTCGATGGTTATGCCCTGGTACGGGCAATTATACATAGATTCACTATATCAGTATATAATCAATTAGCTCTTCCACTTTCCAATTCCTTATCCGACTCGACTACAGGTAAAGCGTCTGTACTGTGGTCTAGTGTTCTAACAAGTGTAGGCAAGTGTGTTGACGCACTGAGTCATCCTTTCTTTCTCCTCTCTTGTCTATCATTGTCTTTGTTGATCTGAGAGATCATTTCTATCTGTATATATGTGCAGATTCTAGAGCTTTTAAAGATATTTGGTGTACATAAGAAAGTAACCAAATAATACCTCCCACGTATCCAGCATTACCATTATGATGGAATGACAATGCCATACTGCTCATACGGAAAGTTTTCCAGCGTAGAAAATAGCCGACCATACCCATCATTCAACTTTCCAGGCTTTCCAGACCCATCAGTCTTTGCCAATCGCTCCTTTTGCAGGTCATCCGCTTCCTTTTCAGCATCCGTCTTTTCTTCCTCCTTGTGTTCCCCGGTCAGACCTGCAAGAACCTCCTCCTCTCGCCCCTTGTACACATCTAGTATTTGTGGCTGAGGGCACCAGATAACCTGCATACCCGCACGACGACCAGCTTCAACACCGGGGACGGCATCTTCAAAGACGAGACATTCCTCTGGCTTGATAAGCTCTTCTCCCTTCTCGCGGAGTTCCTGGTTAATGGTCTCGAGGGCAAGCAAGTAAATATCCGGCAGTGGCTTTCCGCGCCCTTTGCCAATACGCGGATCGTCGCCCAGAACCTGTCTGTTCTTCGGGAATAGAGCAAAAAGATCCTGCACATGACCGGTCTTGAGCTCATAGTTGCGTTTGTGGGATGAGGTTGCCAAGGCAATGTAAACCGGCTGAGAGGTGTTGGTAGTGGCATGAAGATCATTAAGCAACTTGACAACACCAGGCAAGGGAGCTGCTTCAGGGAATAACTTTTGTTGCTTGACAGCTATTTTGGCAGCGTACTCATCTTGTGAGATGGGTAGATCTGCCCAGTCATGGAAGATTTTGACGGCCTGTATGTCTGTCTGTGAGTGAGTTTGTACCGCCTTGATTGAGATAATTCTTACTTCAGGAGCAGGTCGGCCTTGGATCTGGGCTTTGAGTGACCAGGGCATGTTAGGCTTGCCATATTCTTGGAGAACAGAGTTTGTGATGGTCGTGTAAATGTCTTCTGTGTTGAGCAGAAGACCGTCCATGTCAAAAAGACAGGCCCTAATGCGAGGTAATCTATAGACTGCAGTTAGAGTTAGGCTACATAGATGGGAAAGGTTTTGAATACGCACTCGGTTGACGACATTGGAGGCGAAGAAGGCAAAAATGCGTGCCGTACTGCGGGGATGTCAAGATTTTAAATGTGAGAGAGATGATGGATGCTGATGCGAGAAGCAAGTAAACGAGGGAGTTATTTCTCCTATTTATACCCGAGTACGTCCTCGAATGTATCGCAATGACAAAAATATGATAAAAAGCTCCTGCGGATGTAGACAAAGATTCTTTCAACACTTGAAAGTTGAGGTATCACGGTATTCTATACAGTGGCGGTTTACACTGGGGTTGATGACACAAGTCTCTGTTTTTGTTACATTATTTACTTATGCATACGGGAGATTTCTCAATACATGCACGTGGGAGTCTGATTGGCTAAAACATGTGTATATTCGGCCGCTCACTTTGCCTATTTGGAGACCATGGCCGGTTGTCTGCTTCTGTTTGATAATGATATTTTAGCTATATTGTCCTTATTATGCCTCAAAGCTTCCTCGTCCTCAAGCATTCGTACGTAAGTCGATAGGGCACGGCACGTACATGGGATTTGTGCTACTTGAATGCCCAATCAAGCAATTCTTCTACCAGTGGATCTGCGTACCTGAATTCTAGAGCGTCAATGGCCTTTGCTGGGACTTTCTATTACTTTTTGCGGTGTAAATATATATCAAACACTATAGACAAATCTACTCAGATGCTTCTATAGATCTGTTTGATGTGGATATAATAGACTGGCCGTGCATGAAACTATTACTAGCGCAATACGAACCTACAATACAGTCAGTACGACTTTGTTGTTCAACCATGGCAAACGCCGACATATTCTACACGATACGAAACCTTGAGTGACATTTTTCTGAGTCAGTCTCCCTCTCCCCGATGACTCACGCATCACTCGAACATTCGTATCCCTTGAAGAATCATACAATTGGCGGAATATCAGCGTGACGACCTATACGATAGAAGTACGAAATTTCGTCATTCCCCGCGGTTAGAAGACTTGCCGGTCGTCCTCAACAGTCGATGACTTACACTTGCCCCAAGACAGGGCGGCGATTTTGAATATTTCAAAGATAGACTCATCAATGGCGCAATCAGCTTCCGAAATATCAGAGCCCAAAACTGCGCCGAATGAGACAAACGATGCGGAGTCGGACGACGAGTTCCACGATGCCCATTTCCCCGCAGACGAAGAAGCTGTACGTGCGGCCCGTCTCAACACACAACAGAGCTAATAATGCGAACAGAAATTATTAAAAGAATCGAACAATTGCAAAGCCGAAGCAAACAAACAGTTCGCCGCCGCCGCCTACTCAGATGCCATTTCCACGTACGATCGCGCACTGGCCTCCTGTCCCAATTACTTAGATTACGAGATTGCGGTGTTGAAGAGCAACATTTCGGCATGTTACTTGAAGCTGGAGGACTGGAAAGCGGCCGTTGACGCGGCGACAGCGAGCATCGATAATCTTGATGGATGTCTCCCAAAATCCAAACAGGCCGACAAAGACGATAGTACCAAACTTTTGGAGGAAGAAGCAGACGCTATCGTGGAGCTTCCGGACGACGATGAAGACGAGGCAAGGCAGTTAGAACGTCTACAGCAAGATGACAAACGTCGAGATGATGTCAAGAGAATTCGAGCCAAGGCATTGATGAGGCGGGCTCGTGCAAGAACAGAGTTGGATGGTTGGGCTAATTTGCAAGGTGCGGAGGAGGATTACAAGGAACTGGCGAGCATGGACAATCTGCCGCCGCAAGATCAAAAAGTTGTGCAACGAGGGTTACGAGAGTTACCACCTAGGATTCAGGCTGCGAGGGAAAATGAAATGGGAGAGATGATGGGGAAGTTGAAAGATGTGAGTTTCATTTGTTGGATTGACTGAATCGATGCTGATAATCCCGTAGCTTGGGAACGGCCTTCTGAAACCCTTTGGGCTGTCGACGGACAATTTCAAATTCATCAAAGATGAGAATACGGGAGGATATAGCATGCAATTTCAGCAAGGAGGTCAATGAGACTCTTAATCAATGAACCGGCTAGGTTCTTGTTCACAAGGATCTTGATATACCCCCTAAGGTTCTGGACTCGGGGAGCAAGACACTTAGAAGCGCCACTTGCAGCATAACGCGAGTAGTAACGTGTGCGCCGGAATCCCGGAGTGTGTCCCTTCTCTCATAAATGTTTGCCGGTCATTGGCAATGGTTGTACCTCAAGGGTGGGGGTTTGTTATCAAGTGGAGGGAGCTAATTGCAAGGCCGGATATAGACTACAACTAAATACATGAACATAATTCCCCAATCAAATACCTTTGTCAGAATAAATCATGGGTGGTAGAACTTTAGATCCCGGCTTGTACGAAATGCGGAGAACCCCCGTCCCCCGCTCGGGTTTTCCGACTCGAGAGTCTTTATCCGAAAACCTTTGAGCAAAGAAGGAAATGCTTCTCATTCTACCATGCTGTCACTTTGACTGAGAATTTTCATCTTATTGAATACGAATAGGACAGCAGAAATAGTCAGCAACATGAGTGCGCTCTTACAAACCACATATCTCGGCCAAGTCCAAGGCAAGAACATCGACGGCGTAACGCACTATCGCGGAATCAAATATGCTTCTCTGAGGAATAGGCTCGCAGATGCAGAGCTGATTACTTCTAGATCCTCCGATGAAGGAGCTTTGGACGCTACAAAGGACGGGTAAGTGGTTCTTTATTTCCGATATTTGACTGAGAAACTATGAACGGCTGATGTGCGTGGTAGACCTACGGCCGCTTCTCTCGTCAATGGGTGCGATTTTGAACAGAGCGCCATTCAGCAAAAACTACCCAAGAAGCAGCTTCCGCAATCTGATACGGAATGCCTGAACTTAAACATCGCTGTGCCAGAGGGAACGACCTCTGCCTCAAAACTTCCAGTTTTGCTATTCATACATGGCGGAGGTCTCAACATTGGTGCCAACTCGTGGCCACAATTCGACTGGACTCGATTAATCAAGTTGTCTGTTGAGAAGGGCGTCCCTATTTTGGCTGTTGGACCCAAGTACGTTGCTACCCTTAGATCATGGGTCTCATTTGAAAGGCTGACGTGACATAGCTATCGCCTCGGCGCCTTCGGATTTCTGACATCGGAAGAGCTTCGTGCTGCAGGGTATAAAGCCAACAATGGTTTCCGTGATCAGCGAACTGCTATAGAATGGGTGCATAGACATATCCGTGACTTTGGCGGTGATCCAGATAACATTACACTTGCAGGAATGAGTGCTGGTGGAGGTAGTATAACTCTGATGGTCCTCGCACGAGTAGAAACTGATATTTTCTGCAGGCTCGGCCACCCAGCACCTTCACTCTACGATCCCTCTCTGCAAACGTGTACTATCGATGAGTGGACAGAACATTCTCCTGACCCCTCTGCCGTACGCGGTGCATGAGGAGGGTTACGAAACGGCCATCAAGGCCTGGGGCTTCGACAAGCTATCACCTGAAGAGCGCATCAAGGCAATAATCGAATCGCCAGCCGCAGAGCTCGTGGCAAAGATACCTCCCAATGTTGCCCCCAACTTTGCTATTGACGGCGATTTGATCCCCAATCCACCAACTTTTGCTCAGATTTCAGACAAGTCTACGACTAGCTATCCTGCGGGAAAGAGCTGGTGCAAGGAGATACTCATTGGCGATGCTCAGCATGATGTTTGTTGAAATTGTCATCCAACTTCTGAAGAGTTTGCTGACAACTCGCATAGACTAGTATATTCGGCATCCGTCTTGGATTTCAGGCCAAGAATGCAGCACCACGATTCATATCCACCCTTGGAAAAGCCCTCTCGGCATACCCATCCGAAATTTCCTCCGAATTACTATCGTCATACAACATCTCTTCTACGACCCCGGATAAAGAAGCGTTTGACCATATCCTCGAGTTCACGAATGATGTTCTATTCTACGCACCGGTTCTAGCATACGCATCCGGGTGGCCTGAAGACGGCAATGCATATGTCTACTACTTCAATGAGCAGAATCCATGGGAAGGCCCCTTCAAGGGCCAATCCACACACATTTTGGATTTGGCTTATTTCTATCAGAATTTCAATGATTACCTGACACCCGAGCAGCAGGAGGTTGCACGAGCTTTTGCTGAGGATCTCCTCAAGTTTGTTACTGGCAAAGCGCCATGGGAGCCTTGCAAGGGAACGGGTGAGGATTTTAGAGCGAGAATTTTTGGACCAAGTGGAAAGCAGCAGGTGAGACGACTTGTGAAGGATGCTTATGGGGGTGAGACGCAGAGAAGAGGTGTGATTCCGAAGCTTGCGAGCGAGAAGGGTGTGAAGCTGGATGATTTGACTGGGGTGTTCTTTGCATTTTTGGGCACCTTCTCTCCATAGGTAGATAGTTAGATATCTTGATAAGTGAAATTAGCAATGAACAAAGAGTGAATGAAATGACTTGCCGGATCGGGTAAGACTTACTCCAGGGGGATTCCCGAGGTGTGGGGTAATACCACTTCTCCACATGCCACCAAGGAGTTAGGGCTACTTTCAACAAACTCAAGATACGAATTGGCAAGACTTGCCTGAATCCAGCCAATTGCGGTTCACTGACCCCTCTCTGGACTATTGCACGGTTCTCGCTTTAGCTTTTGTCTCTCTGTCAGATTTCTTGTGTCCTTCCCAGGTTGGCGCCCATCAACTAGCTACTCTACAAGAGTAGCAAAAATAGTCAACATGGTCAACACGATTGTCCATCACCATCAATTGAACGCCACATTCAACGGCACGACAGTAGACTACGCAGGCTTCAAGATCAAGAAATTCAAAGGGATCAAATACGCTCATATCCCTGCTCGATTCGAGAAGGCGCAACCCGTCGCACCTAAAGAACTGAGTGGGAAGACGATTGATGCTACTCAATATGGGTATGTCCCTAGCACTCTTTGCTCGTGAAATCGCTACTTATAAGGGGTTATAATAGTCCCAAATGCCCACAGGTTGACGTCGACGTCCGTCATTTACTACGAATTCCCGAAGATTTTGAGATCAAGGAGGAAGCTGAAGATGAGTTTGAGTGCTTGAACCTAGATGTCACTGTGCCGGCGAATGTGCCGAGTGGTCAGAAACTGCCGGTTCTGGTTTGGATATACGGTTAGTTTTGCACATTTAGACCCCTTTTAGGCTGAAATTCATTCTGTGATTAGGTGGTTCTCAAGCAGTTACATTCTGCTCTGCTGCGTCTGGTATCTGCGGTAAATAATTGTCATCCTGAAGCTCCATAATAAAAGCTCATACATTCGATAGATACTACAAGAATTGTCGGGGACTCAGTCAAGGCCGGAAAGCCAATTATAATAGTTGCAATGAATTATCGACTGAACCTCTTTGGGTTCGGAGACGGTAAAGGGACCGCAGAAGTCAATCTCTCGCTCAAAGATCAAGCGTTGGCAATCGACTGGGTTAGAAGATACATCGAGGGCTTCGGTGGTGATTCTGTGAGTACTGCACCTTTCTGCTGGACTATGGTCATATTGATGAACAATCTCCTAGGAAAGTATCACCCTCTGCGGCGAAAGTGCCGGCGCAGTCTATGTTCACGCTCACCTCATAACCGGTCCACCAGTGAAACGCGCAGTTCTCATGTCCGGATCTCTGCACTTGTCGCCGCCAATGCCACATCAACTCGGGAAAGGTGTCTTGGAGGTCTGCGAAGCTCGCGCGCAGGAATTAGAGGGCAAATCGTTACGTGATTGTAGCCAGAAAGTCTTCAAGCAGATCCTGACAGAAAATAATTTGTCTCGTTGTTGGATGCAAGAGGAAGACATTTTGGCAAACTGGGAAAATAAGCAGGAACAGGTTGATGAGCTGATGATTGGCGAGACTGAATTTGAGGTACCCCCCTCCTCCCACTACCCGTGTGATTTGATGTAAGGCTAATTCATCGAATAGTCAGTAATCTGGCGCAGAGGCATCGAGACCCTCTCCCCCACAGACATAATATCCACTTTCACAGCCTCCGATCCTGAACTAGGCGACAAGCTGCGCAAAGCATATCACATATCCGCCGATAGGCCAACATCAAGTACCCTAGGTGTCCTAGATCTTCTGCACGACTCTAAATTCGCTCTCCCTACCGAACTCGTCGCGGAAAAACTCATCGCAAACCAGAAGAAGGTATACCGATACCTTTTTGATGAAGTCAATCCATGGCAGGCTTCTTCTCGCGCGCATCATGCTGTGGACCTTTTATTCATATTTGGAACAATGGACTATTCACATAATCCACCCGCTGAAGCCGTAGGCGAAGACATGCGGAGTAGATGGATTGATTTCGTGAATGGCAGAGAGCCATGGTCCGAATTATCGACTACGCAGAAAAGATTCGCCTTTGGGCCTTACGGAGATTGTAAGGAAATTGATCAGCGACAGTTTGCAGGAAGGAGGAGGGCACATGTTTTCGGGTTGTTGAGAGAGGTTGGACCGCAGATTTCTAATGGAATAGCGAATAAGCTGGCTGCTGGGAAGATTAGTTTGCTTAATTAGAGCATGGATTAATTCGATAGAACATATATTCTGTGCTTCTTGTCTTTTATACGTTTACGGGAAGGGGGCTTGGGAGACTAGTCAAATCTCGTTCAAAGAAGGCAGTCATAAAGAAGATGATACTTGGATATCAAACTGCTATTCACAATGACGATATACAAAACCCACAAACTCATAAATACATCGACTATTTTCATTCATTCGTACCAAACCCAACTAAGAAGTACCATTGACCTTCAGCTTGTCCACACCCTTGGCCAAAATCTCCTCAACCTCCTTTAAATGGCTCGAGAAGTTGTCCACCAAATTATCCCACATCTTAGGCTCATGTTCGTGCTTCTTACTCGAGTTCCATGCATAGTCAGTAATTGTGAAGGGTCGGGAAGACTCGAACATGAATGCGATAGAGGCGGGCGAGATTTGCATTACGGGTGGTGTGGATTCGGTGGCTTCTTTGAACTGTTCATAGGCGACACCGTGGGGGACCACTGTTCACAAGTTAGATACTGGGTAAAGATTTCTCTGGAAGAGATTACTTACTGCCACACTCGAAAGAGATACTGCCTGGCATGAATTCGTCGGATCGACCACCGTAATCTCCGTAAACGAGACCCATGAGTTCCGAGGCCGCGTTACGGTGGTAGTATGGTGGGCGATAAGTGTCTAATAATCAGTTAGTCGGTTTGCATACATATCTAAAAGAGTCCTTTAGAGATAGACATACGAGAAGCAACATCCCATCGAGGAGAAAAGATCAAGAAATCGGCAAGAGGACTTGTGATGTCACGGGACTTGGCAGTCAAGACACAGAAAATGGAGGGATCAATGTGATCAACGGAGATGGAGCCGACATTGACGAATTTGGTCATGTCATACTTGTAGGGAACCTGTAATATAATATAAGTATCTTGCAAGCAGAATCAGGAACGAGTCGAACATACGTAGTTTCCGTGCCATGCAACGACATCGAATGGCGAGTGATTCTGCGTGCTCTTGAAGTACTTTCCGCCAAGCTTGTATACAATCTCCCATGGCTCTTGGACAACCTCATACTGAGCGGTAGGAGTAAGGAAGTCACGCGAGTTGGCGAGTCCGTTGGCACCCAAGGGACCCAACTCCGGAAGCTCAAAGGAAGAACCCCAAATCTCAAGAATGTAACCTCGAGAAGGACCATCAGGCAACTCAACACGGAATCTGATTCCACGCTGGATGACAACTAATTCTCCGGGCTGCACAAACAATGGACCGAACTCAGTCTGGATGTTAAGAGCGCCTTTCTCCGGGACAATGAGGAATTCGCCGTCGGAGTTGACAAAGGCCTTTTTAGTCATGCTCTTGTTGGCGACGTATACGTGGGTGGCTAGGCCCTCGCGAAGGGTTGGGTCACCAGAGCCAGCAAAAGTTCGGAGACCAGTGACAAAGTCGGTTTCTTCCTCGGGAATATCTGTGGGCAACCAGGCGAGTTGAGTGGGCGAAACGTGAATCTTGGGGTTTAAGGGAAGGAAGCAGCACTCGGTGTCTTTGTTATCTGGAAGTTCAGTCTGGTTGAATCTTAGTTAGCGCAAATTGTGCAACGCAACATGAGGAACATACGAATCCCTGATGGGCCACGGCAGGGCGCACGCGATAAAGCCAGGCCTTCTTGTTTGCATGTCGCGGTGCAATGAATGCAGTAGCGGTTATTTGCTCCGCATAGAGGCCGAAGCGGACATTGCGTGGAGAGTTTTGACCATGAGGAATGGTTCCTGGAATTGCCTCTGAGGAGAAGCTGTTTTAGTTAGTATGTCGATGCTCTCCCAAGTTCAACGTACGGCCACATACTGGTTCCCGAATCCTTCTTGGTACTGTTAACGGTTAGCATCATCTTTAGTTTTGATTGATTCGTAGTATCTAGTAAACACACCTTGTAGGGATCATTCTTCCGTGTGTTGAAAGAAGGAATCGTGGCATCTTTTTGAGTCTCAGCCCAATGGAATATCTTCTGATACTCCTTGGGATCTTGGAGATCAGCTGTGGAAGGCATAGTGACTGCGTATCAATGTTGAGACGTATGAAATACACTACCAGATGACTGAAAGAAGAAGCTTTTGCTAGGTTTGTCTTCGAAAATGTCTCCGACCAGTGTAGACGTCCCAACGGCCCTTATAAATTGCACCGTCATCGACTAGCCTGCCTCGGTCAAGGCAATAATGCGTACTTCCTGGCACTTCCGGTGGCTCCAAATACGCCTGGCCACTAAGAAGGTCAGGTCATACGACATTTCCATCCTTAGTCAAGAACAGTTCCTCGTGGTGTGAGCTCAGGCTTCGCCGGGGAGAAATTATCGCTGAATAGCTTCATGTGGGGTATTGCCGTATCAGGAGAGCAGAGGGCAACTCCGTAACTCCGTTATAAGCTGATTTGGCCAGGAATGATGAGTGAGCATGACCTAAGATTGCTGGTTGGGAAAGGATGGTAACGCACGTCCTCCATTTGCCGGAGGATGCCACATGAAGATACGTAAGGTGGGGAGAATCTACCCCGACCTTAGAGCGGGATGGCCGGGAAAAGGCTGAGACCGTCTCCACATGGTATTTTGGACAGGCCACGGCAGTTGACCAGGGTGAGATATCCCGATGGTTTTGATGGTTACTAGTCACATGAACTATTTGATAAGGTCTGAACAAATTTGAATAAAACTTAAGTGAATATTCGTTAACGCACTCATAAAACCAGAAAAATCAGTTATTCGGTGATAAATCGCAATACAAATAAAAGGAGATCCTTAAACACCTTTCCCGGGTATCTATATCGTGTCATCGGCGAGGCATATGTATGAATGATACATCATATAATCGTAGAGGCATCGTTCCAATCATTCTTGTGGATAGAGTCATTATATCCACATTTCAGCATAGGCCACTGTTTGAGACGAGACTCATGTTGCGTAATGGGAGTCTAAAGCTGAATCTTACTATTGCATTATACAGAACCAGCGTCTCCATCTTTCTCGTAGACGACAGCCAATTTTTGGAGCACGTTGCTCATTCGGCAGGTAACTAGTCGTGTCAGTAGCCATAATTATCATTTCGCGGGATTTCCACACACCGTTCCAGGTCCAGCTAGCATTAATGTACTCAGCGAATAGCTTAGCTAAACCGGCAGCCATAGACTGATTTTCTCCCCAACGCTTGTCAACCTCGTTCAGTACCTCCGATAACTTCTCCAAATTCTGCCTTTCTTTGTTGTCGGGCTGGACATAAGGTTGCGTCTCCATTGTGTGCACCCATTTGGTATAGAAAAGGGCTAGTTGAAGTTAGACGCCAGAGTTTTAATGTGATTATTTCACCAACTTACCAGTATCCCACATGGCCAAAGCGTGTTCAACACTTCGTCCCAAAGTAGTTTCCTTCTCGGAGAGCTTGTGTATCATCTGCAGCGGAGATAAAAGCCCATCGAGAGCCTGTGCAACGGCTCCTGCGAGAAAAGGCGTCCGAACTTGATCGCTATTAATGTAATTTCTAGCGGCTGTATATGCTGCTTGTTCATCGTCTTTGAAGAGCAAAGCGCGATCGAAACTTCCACTACCAGTGAAAGCACGCAGATAGATACTACGGAGCACCGCCATACCATTGAAAAGTAAAGGACCATCGACATCGTCCCAAGAATTTTCTCCCTCGGCCGAGCGTCGGTGTGCGAGAATCATGTAACATCGGGATAACGCCGCTTCGGTTTGACTGGTGCATAAAGCCTTCATTTGCTCTTCTTCTTTCGCATCAGCTGAGAAGCTAATGAATGATTGAGTGGACTGTGTTATATGCCACATATGCACGTTCACTGCATGCATCAGAACAGTCACTGCATAAGCAGACCACTGGCTTTCTGAATCGAGATCAAAGTCTTTGCCAAACAAGACTTTTGTCAATGCCGTATATACATCCGTGTTGGGTGATTCTCTAGCTGCCATTGCTCTCTTCCATTGATCCTCATCCGTCGCTATCCAGACATGTTCATCCGCAGGCAACTCGATTTTGAGCTCCTCAGTCGTAGAGATGCAGGGCGAAATATTATAAGTGAGCGTCAAGAGACTACTTATCACAAACATACCGAAAAGTAGGCGCTTAGACGACTCCCTGGAAATCCAACCAGACCAGCTGTTGGGCTCTGGATTGGAAGTGGCCAACAGTGCTGCTTTGCGTGATGAAAACTCCCGCTGGATGAAGCCGACATTCTCAAGTGCCCAGTTCACTGCATCAAGGTCACCACCGAAGGCCGCCTGAACGATAAGAAGTAATTTGCATTGAACCTCCCATAGAGGACGATTATAACCGGACCCAGCATTTTGGAGGGCTTGCTTTGCTAGTCTTGATAGGGTGCTGAAAACCTCCTTTTCAGCTCCAAACAGTGCGCCAACGGAACACATAGCTAATAATAACGGGGCAGGAGTGGCCGAAATGTTGAATGACGGAAGATGAAATAACGGTAGACGAGTGTTGAAAGACTCGAAGAATTGTTTCATATAGCTTTGAATGTCTTGCGAATCTGCCATCTGTGAGTCTTCAACCTGGATGTTGTAGTGCTCTTTGAGATCTGTAAAAAAAGCGGCTCGATCTTGCTCTGTAAATGCCATGTGAGAGTTGTCGCTATTTGACACCTTCGTATTGCAAAATGGCCGCCCTCGACGGCGAGATTCGAGCGAAGACGGGTCTGCAGATGATGCATCGGACACATTGGTAAGTAATTCCAGAGTGGATTTATTGCTGAAAGATTCGTCAAGGTATTTGGTTAGTGCTTGCTGATCGAGACTCTGACAGGGAAATAAAGCAAGTATATTCACATTTTCGGTATCAGGAAATGAATTGTCTGATGAGTTTGGCACATTGTTGATCTGTTGAGCACCTGCTGTGAGGTTAGGGTCAATTGGGAAGCCCTGATATTGATTGAATTGCTCTAGGATATATGACTGCATGTGACCGTCATATACAGCATGATGCTGGTCTGTCGGATACGCAGGGATGTATTGATACGGCACGTTTTCATTGCACCCACCCGCGTTCATATATGTGCCACTGAGTAGATTGGGATCCATAGGAAACTCGACTTCCATCCCTTCCGAAGTACCAGTGACTAGCTCCGGGTCGCTGATTTCGGACGAAGATGATACACGAGGCGACGGAAGAAAGCTTTCATATTGTATAACGGTTTCGTCATTTATGCGCATCCCGGCATGTAGGTCCTCTTTGTACTGCGGCTCTATTTGGGGGAGTACTTGCGGGAGTGGGTGGACCTGGCTCCAACTATTCCGACTCTGACGACGTCGAGCTGGACGTGCAGAGGCATCTGGGGGTGCGTTTGCTTGGGCATTGGCCCATTCATCGGCATGGAGTGTGCGCTCATGTCGAACAAGCAGGTCTCTGAATGAAAGAACACGATGTTTAGCAACGATATAAAAAGAAAGATTACCGGGGGAACCTACTTCCTGCCATATGACTTCTGGCAGAATCGGCAGGTAAACGGACGCTCCCGGAAATCTGGCATTCCTCAATCAGTCAAATTGAATCAGTATGACAGACCGATATAATCTATCGACTTACGTGCGCGCTCGTGTCGGATGCAATGCTCAGTTCTCTTGAAAGTCCGGCCACAAATAGTGCAGGCGCGCACTCTCTTGCCTTTCTCAATCCTCTCTAGAGGCATACCGTTATCTATGGCGGGAGAGGKTATCGGAAGGGCGATAAGCGAGATGACATCAACGACAATTGGAGTGATGAATATAAAATTTTAAAGACAGAAGCAATCGGACGCATTGATGAAGTCTTGGAGGACGAGACAAACCGAGGTGGCTGTAGTCGCAGAGGGAAGGATGACTCTGGAATCCAGGATTGGCTAAGCAGGGCGTGCGGGGGAAGTTCTGATGGAGCATAAGAAAGAGGGCCTGGTGGGGCTCTGGATCCGGTTAGCGCGGAATGACAATGGGTTGTCGTTGTGGCCGTGCTTAGTCATTCGCATGACTTGCATGATGATTCGACATCACGTGTGGCCTACGTTGGCACGTGCCTAAGGGCTAACCATTTGTGCACTAATGTGTCCCTAGCTTCTCTCTGCCCCTGTATGACAGTCCATGGGATATGGCATATTTCTCTTGCAATATTTACGTTCATGTCAGCATTTAGAATTGGAGTTACGGTATGCAACAAGTCTATAAAATTCGAGAACATGATTTTTCCACAATGGAAACAAGCTTACATTCGATCTCCCATTAGGTCTAAGCATTAGAGTAATAGACACCTCTCCTTCATGAGAAGAATCGGAACATAAATGTGTGGCTATGTATGCAAGGGAATCGCCACGTCCTTCGAATTTGGTATCAACGATAATCGTGTATCCAGGACACGCGTACACATGTGTCAGTAATTAGAATTCTGTTTTCTCTTCTATGACGCCAATTCCAGAAAAACCGACCCTCTTCCTTCCCATGCCAAGTGACTTGCATCGATTCGTGATGTAGGACAAAGGCGAATTAAGACCAAGTGACGTCGGGTATAAGACCAATGTGATTCATCATTCTTTTCAAAAAAGTGAAGTTCGATCGTCGCTTAGAGGAAGTAGTCGGGGGTCCGTCTTGAAACCATCGGCTCTCCAGCGCGAGGACATGGGTCGAATTGCAAGCTGTCGTCATTAGTATTTTACTTTGTTACCAGACAAGTCAAGACTGAGAACATACAATGTGTATTTCAAATGCTCGTCAATCTCCATGATAGCAGCTTGGTTACCACAACGGTAACAATAGTTTGGAGCTGTAGATGTCAGTTAGTAACTTGTTAATTAGGTTCATTCCGGCTGACCGGACCATACCTGAAAAGATTGTGACGACGTTTCGGTCCTGGGACCAGTTGTATCCCTCCATAACCAATTGATGAGCACGCGCGACGAGAGTCAATCCGTTGTTATGGTTGAATGCCTCTGAAATATCCTGTCCGAATGTATAACCAGCACCACGGGGAGATATTCCCCAGCCGCAGCGATCATCAGGGTCACTCCAGAGTAAATCGCACATGGGCCCTTCATGAGGAACTTCTTGAATACGATCCAGAGATCGGATATTGTCGAGAGTATCGATCGAGGGACTGAGACCTCCGTGAAGGCAGAAAATCTGGTTCTCAATCAAAGCGGTAAGAGGGAGATAGTCGAAAAGGTCGGTAAAGTACTTCCACACATTCGCATTTCCGTATTTGCGAAGGCATTCGTCGTAAAATCCGTAGACTTGTGTGATCTGTCGAGATTCGTGGTTTCCACGAAGGATTGTGATGCGTTGAGGGTAACGGATTTTCAAAGCAACAAGGAGTGTGACGGTCTCAACAGAGTAGTATCCACGGTCAACATAGTCACCTGGTTTCAGTCAGCCTTGCCCACGGAGAAGATTTGATGGCTCAATCTAGGAACACTACTGACCCATGAATAGGTAGTTAGTGTCTGGGTTGGGTCCTCCAATACGGAATAATTCCATCAAATCATGAAATTGTCCATGAATATCTCCGCAAACCGTAACGGGGCATTTCTATTGTTTTCACGAATTGTTTGTCAAAATATGCCCCTTGCTCGTGACTGTTAATCGAAAATACGTACCACTGGCTGCACGTTCGACTCTTCCTGAAGTACTTCCCTGGCCTTATACGCAGAAAAATCGATTAGCTACACATGCTGAAAGGCCCTGTCGTGGGTAGGCTTACCCGATCACACAATCGCTGCACGTCATTCTCTGCCAACTGCTTGCAACTCATCAAACTCTCAATCCATCCATCAAGCGTGGGAATGGATCCAGGATCTGAAATGGGAGAGAGATTATGAGGCTCGGGAGAGCGCGCTGTGTCGATTTCCATATTGTTCTCCATCTTATCTTTTGTGTGAGGGAGGTCGACGTAGCAAGACCTGAAGGAGGGGCGGACGAAACGAGGGTCTCGTGAGGTTAGGCCAGTGTCAACAGCAACGACTCGCTAGCGACAGCAAATGAAGGGAGACAGAAAAGAAAGCAATAATTACAAGAGTGTTGAGATTGTTTATTGTGTAATAAGGTGATTGATGTTTGTCACGGTGGTGGGGATACGTAGATGAGCGGGTTTTTGGCTTTGTTCTTTGCGAGGTTGCGTTTGGACAACCAAGGCTAACTCCCGAATAGACGCGGAGGTTGCGCCACGCCAATAATGTGCCACACTAATGTTACGCTACGCCAGAAAACAAACAACCTCTTCCCGCCGCGAGGACCATCCTACAATTTTCTCTTATGTTGTTCTGCTCGAATAATCGCAGAAAATTCTCATTTCATTATTCAATAATACATTGTGCGAATCAAATCATTATTTTAGTCGTGAAAATATCTCATCAACCCAATTCAATGGATTAATTCCCATTGTTAAATGATGTCACCACCGCCGAATCCTCCACCGAACCCTCCAGATCCAAACCCACGTCCTCCAGGGCCAGATCCTCGACCATGTGGCGGTGCATCCCACGGACCTACAGGGTCATACCTCGCTCCTGGCGGCGCTCGAGGATCGTAACCGCCGTGTTGTCCTCCAAACCCTCCAAACATCGGATCATCGGGCGTCGGATGCATCCCACCACCTCCCGAACCAGGTCCAAATGTGCCTCTTAAAGGGTCGCGAGGGCCTAGGCCTTGAGGATAGAGATCTCTATCACCGCTGCGTGGATAGTTTCCATCGCCGTAGGGCAGCGCGCGGCCCTGCGACTGTCGGCTCAGCTCATACTCGTCTTCAAAGCCAGGGGGGGCAAAATCGCCAGTAGGCGCTGGTCGCCGTGGTGCTGCAGCTAATGGATCATCGAATGGGTATGGGCGAGCAGGCGGAGGAGCTATGTCCTCTCGTAACGGGTCATGCTGTGGAGGCCCTTCCGGCTGCTGTTGTCGTTGCTGATCACGAGCTTCATCGGCGGCCTGTTTTGTTGAGCTTGGTATGACGAATTTCTGGATGACGTGAATCTTGAAAAGACTGATCAAATCGTCGAAACGATTAGGTGACACAAATATTGACCTCAAATTGTCTGGCTGATCTGATTGTATCTGGAAAGGAAATGCAGATGACGAAATGAACTCGGTCACCGGTACATCAAATGATGTTGCCTTGTCTTCCCCAGCCAGTCCCATAATGACTGCATTGTTGCCGAGTCGACTGACTTTGAGTAAATATTCAGTCGATGACTGTTGCCGAACATATCGGAAAGAGTAAGTATTGTTGTGAGCATTCCAATCCTTTGGCAGAATTGTGGCGTCTGTATTATCCTCTACTAAACCGTCAGTAATCATCAGCTCTTCCCAAAGATCAAGTCTTACATACCAATATTATGTTCTTCACCTAATCCAATGAGACGAAACTGTGTGGCGACCATAGATGCGTGGCCAACAAGTGCTATTGCTTCGTAGGCATTCTTGATTGATGGTCCTGTTTGTCCGTCGCCCCGCAGCGATGCCAGCACCACTCCCAGTATACGGGAAGGGTCCAACGTGGTGTCTTCTGGGCCAGCCATGGTGTTTGTTCTCGTATCAGTGAGTGTTGAATAAGGGATGTTTTGCTTTAGTCTGTGAGTTATTTGCAAAATAGATATTTATCCATGGGAGTCGTTACATCAAGACAGGCTGATGATGCCTGATGTCCGTCGGAACTATGACGGGCCGAAATAGACAAACAGTGCAAACATAGCCCTAAGCCTCCAGCACCTGCCTATCTCACAGCTCTTCTTCTTATGTCTGTCACCAGACAACATTTCATTGTCAACTGTCTGGATATCATTTCGAGGCAAGCCAGTCGTAGCTTACTACTGCTTGCTTTCACACTCATTCCATGTGACTGGTCAGCAAGCTTGCCTTGACTGGACTCGATGATAGACCTGCTTTGATGAGTCCTTTGAGCTGTTGCCCTTGCAGAAGCAGCTAGTCTTGGACAGCATGTAATGCTAGCAGTTGTTTTACATGATGATTGCTCGACAATTTAGCTTCAAGCTCTAGGCTGTCTTTCATGGATGTTTGTGGCAATAGTACCGACAATCATAAATGTCACGCACCTTGTCGTCCATATCGAGAGGGTGACTCAATATCTTGACTATAGCAATGTACAAACAGAATCTATTAAGCTAAAAGGAATGTCTTGAATAGTCTGAAAAATAATACGAGCTTGGTCACTCAAATTCCTATCAAAATGTGCCAAGCGAAAAGCGAGAGGCTGGCGAGCTGGTGGACACTGGACAATGCACATTCGTTGCGATTATTGTGTGGCTCTTACCTCCACGCCGCGCCCCTGATTCGCCGGTCCCGACGAGCAGAAACGGTAGAGCTAACCATCACTTGCACTGAACTTTCACGGTTTGATCTTCTCTCTTTCGATCTCCAACGTCTCTTCGTTATCGATCTCGTCCACTTTTACGGTCAGCTCCTCGTTTTCATCTGAAATCGCCCCTCAGCATACAGCATTGTTGCAACCTTCTGCAACTTCTGTCCCAGCGACCCTTCCCCCGGCCTGTATTTTTTGTTTGTGCCGTGTGCGGAATCATCATTCTCTTTTTTTCCCAGCGCCATCTTTGTTGCCACGAGGAATCGCGTATCTTGGTATAGACACATCTCAATACCAGCCTTGAGAGGTCATCCTTCTATAAGCTAACAATTCTTCTGCAGCAACAATGCCATTACCATTACCTTCGAGCTTTGCCTCAGCCGCTGCTGGCATTAATCAAGATTCAAAGAAAGACGGTGCTATGAGCGGAGAATGGTGCGTCGCAACCCTGTGCTTCTGGAGATTCCCTTAACATAAGATTTGTTTGTCGGGGTTCACCGTACTAAGCCACCATCGTCATTCAGGACGCGGTCTCGTACAAACGGAGCAACACAAACGTTTCGTCGCCCTTCTGTCGCGACAAATTTATCGCACAACCGTGATAGTAGCAGTCAACCTACATCTACTCCCACTTCTGCAGCATACATTCCTCCTCATATGACCTCCAACTATCAATCTCGCAACGGTTCGACAGTTGACAGCCGATACTCCAAGGAAGACCTTCTGAGCATCTTTAAGGGTCAACGAGATTCAGGAGCGTTGGGAAAGAATATGGGGGACCATTTCTTAGCCTCGTGGAACCCGCTTGATGATACAGCAGCTACGAATGGTGCGTGGGCAAAGAAAGAGGACCAAAAAGATTCTCCACCCGGCCCTGAGGTTTGTTGGGACCATTTGGGACATTATGAACCACTTGGTTTAATAGATATGACGGAGGAGGAACGTGAGGTATGTCATTCATATTTCCTATCACATTCATTTCTCGTGCTAAATGTTCGTTTAGCTCTTCTCGACTACTGTCAACTCTCCATTGAAACCTCCACCATCAAGCGCCACTAAAGACAATACTCCTGGTGTCGTTGGACGCAAAGCCTCCGTCTCTCACTCTACTTCGTTCAACACCTCATCACCTAGCTCTGGACGACCGGGTACGCGACGCCGAGAGACTCAAGATTCAACAGGCAATCCCATGTCTCCGACCGCCGGTTCTCGTTTCTTCCGAGAAGAGCCAAACACAACCACCCCTCCTCCTTCTCTCCTCCGCCGTAAGACCGACCTTCGGGATGCAGGATCGACTGCCAAACAGTTAGAAGAGAAGGATAAACCCAAGGATTTACCGGACATTTCATCACCTTTTGGATCTTTGAAGCGGAGTGCTACGAATCCAGTTGTCAGTGGCTTAGCTGGCACTTCTTCGCCTTGGACGTCGGCTTCCCAGACTGCCAATATGTCACCGATGGGCGCATTTGGAAGCTTTTCACTGGCTACTTCTAGCCCGCAAGCCCCGACATCTGCTGTTGAGAAAAGACCTGGCTTCGGTAGTGTCCGTGGTGAAAGCAGATTCAAGGGGTTGCTCTCGAAAGATAGCTCGGAAGATGTTGGAATGCTCGCTAAGGACAAGGATTTGGCAAAAGAGATAGAGCGTCTTGCCGAAACTGAGGGAACAAGTCGTTCGCAATCGCCATGGAACGAAATTGTCAAGACTCGCGCAACCCGAAGCGAAACGAATCCATTTGATGAGCCCCGTAGTGGAAGCGCTGCTTTGGGCGGTTCTGAGGAAGTTGGTTCGACACTAGACGAGCTCGGGTTTGCCGCTTTTGGCATGACGGCAGGCGTTCCTGGTCTTCGAGATCTGCTCGGTCGTGGCGACGGTGCCCATGGTTCTCCAAGTCACCTCCAGGGTCTTGAACCAACCAGTCCGACAAATACTAACCCCTATCAAAGCCCGCGAGGTGAAAAGGTTGATGACGATGTCGACACTGATGGCTCTGATGTGCAGAGAAGCCAGCATCCAGGCATCAGTGGCTTGCGTGATGACGCTGCTGCCGCTCCCTTTGGCTCTATCCGTCGAGGTGGTTCTGCTCTGGATATGTCCACTGGTGACCGCAGTCAAACTTCTAGCGTAGGCCCTGGCAGGGGCTTCTCTAGTCTTGGCGGGTTGGCTGGTCTTCCTGCTATCGGTGGGTCAGGGGCATGGCCGTCTGCCGGGGCAATTGGCACGCCAACACGTGAACGAGCTGCTTTTACCGGATTTGGTGATCCTATCTTTGGGTCTATGGCCGAAGTCCAGTCTCCGGGTCTTTCTACGCTTGGTGCAGGTGGTTTCTTCGGCTCTCACGGGGGACTTAGTGGAACGGGAAGCATCGGCCGGGCGAGCAAGATGGGCTCTCTTTTCCCGCCTTCTATGCAAGACAATGCCACGGGTGATATTGGACGTCAGGAAGACGGAAGTAGGTCTCAAGGTAAGCCATATCAGTGAACGGATACTACAGGGGAATACTGGACGACTAATTCTATGACAGATCTTAAACCTTCTACATCAACGCCCTTGCAACTTCCAACCACATCTGCCGGTAGTGCTTTGGCGACTCCACTGGCTTCCACTGAAGTCTCACAGAATCAACAAGGATTGTCTACTGGTGGCTCCAATGCTTTGCCTACGGCTCAGCAACGAACTATGGTTATGCCGGATCGCATGAGATGGATCTATCGTGATCCTCAGGGAAACATTCAGGGACCTTGGTCAGGACTAGAAATGCACGATTGGTTCAAGGCGGGATTCTTCACTGCTGAGCTTCAAGTCAAGAAGTTGGAGGATCCTGAATTCGAGCCTCTGGCTCAACTTGTACGTCGAATTGGAAACTCACGCGAGCCATTCCTTGTACCTCAGATAGGCATACCTCATGGTCCTGAGCCCAACCAAGCTGCAACATGGGGTGCTTCAACACAGCCCGGCGCTGCTCAACCTCCGTTCGCAAACAGTTTCCCGACCTTCGGAACCACACTCACTGCGGAGCAGCAGAACGCATTGGAACGGAGAAAGCAGGAGGAACAGTATCTCATGGCTAGGCAGAAAGAGCATCTTGCTCAACAACAAGCTATGATGAAGCAAATTCAATTGCAGGGCGGACCGCATACAGCACAGCCTCAGCTACAACATCATTCCAGTGCTCATAGCCTTCAAAGTCAGCCAAGTTTTGGAAGCATCACTTCTCCCACAGGAGGCTATCAGCAATCTCCTATCCAGGGACCTATTCAGCCTCCACAGCCGATGCCAGGTTACTTCGATGGTCCCTTCAGACAAAATACCCTCCCTTTCGGGTCACAAATGCTCGGGACTGACTTTGGGTCGCACGAAGAACTTCCTGGCTTTCTTGATCGCTTGAGTTTGAATCGGCCCGGTCCCTTTCCTGTAAACTCTCAAGGCTCATTTAGCGGTCGTCAGCAAGAAGCCGGCATACACCCGCAACAGGTCAATTCAATCTTGCAGGAACGCGCACGCCTTCAACAAGAGCAGGACCAATACGATAAAACCCATTCAGACAATATTTTCGAACAACAAGCGCGAGAAGAGCGTTTACGCCAATTTCATGCTCTCCGCTCAGATGAAGAGGAGAACCTGTTGAGAAGCAGCGAAGGCTTATCGTCAATTCCAGCCTCCGCCACGGGACAGCAAGCTGAATCTGCTCAGGAGCTACATGAAGAAGAATCTTTTTTGCAAGACCAGGAGACGTCCATCAATGAACCACTCTCTCTTTCCCAGCAGGTGCAGAAGGCAGCTACGGCACAAAGACAACAACAGCAACAGCAAAAGCAAGCTCAAGCTGAGGCTGCATGGGTAGCCAAGGGGGATCCCGGCATTCCCCATCCTTTCCCACCTCCGCCATCTCAATCTCCTCTTCCAGCACCGGCTGCTCAGCGGAATCGTCAGCACGTCGCTGATGCTCTTGCTGCAACTTCTCGCTCTCAGAACCAGACACCTGTTGAAACTCCGTACGCTTCCGTTGCTCCTTGGGCGAAGGACAACATTGAAGCACCCAAGGGTCCGTCTCTGAAGGAGATTCAGGAGGCAGAGGCACGCAGTGCAGCTCAGCGCGAAGAACTAGCAGCACAAGCTCGTCGTGCTCAGCTTCTAGCTGAACAGGAGCGTCTCTCGCAGGTACAACAAGCAGCAGCACCCGGGTTGCCATCAACAGCCAACTGGGCCAGCAGTGTGTCTCCTGTCACCCCCAGCACTGCCAGTACAGCTTGGTCCAAGCCAGCTGCAAAGGCTACTGGCACACCCGCCAAGACTCTTGCTCAGATTCAAAAGGAAGAGGAGGCACGCAAGCAAAAATTGGCCCAAGTCAGTGCTGTTCAGACAGCCGTCACCACCGCCGCTTCTCCGGTATCTGGAAAGCGGTACGCTGATCTCGCCAGTAAAGTGGCTGCCTCGCCAACCACTGCGGCTGCTTCTGGTGCATGGACTACGGTTGGTGCCGGCGGCAAAGCTAAAGCACCACTAGCTGCTCCAGTTGGCCCTCGCTCCACTAGCGCTACACTTGCTACTCCTCAAGTTGCCAAGCCACGACCTGTAGCTCCAGTCAAAACTACGACCATTGCCACCACCCCAGTCTCGAATGCAAACCGCGCAAACGAAGAGTTCACAAAGTGGGCTAAGATAACCCTGGGCAAGGGTCTCAACAATGGAATCAATGGTATGTATTTGGCTTTACATTTTTTGAACAAATGCTGATTGTCATATAGTCGACGACTTTGTACAACAACTACTCTTCTTACCTGCCGAAGCGGAAATCATTTCCGACTCTGTCTATGCCAACTCTCAGACATTGGATGGTCGCCGTTTCGCTGAAGAATTTATTCGCCGTCGCAAGCTTGCCGATAAGGGAATCGTTGACCCTGTCAGCAGCAGCGCATTCACTGATCAGAAGGCGGCTTCTGGCGGCTGGAGCGAGGTTGCAAAGAAATCTTCAAGCCAGCCTAAGCAGGAGGATGAGAGCGCTGCTACGTTCAAGGTTGTCGCTGGCAAGAAGAAGGGCAAGCGGTAAATGTTAGGTGACCTTAGAAGAGCGTCTGACTGCCGTGCATAATCGTGTCTTCGCGTGGGTTTTGGGTTTTCGAGCTGGACGAGGCATAAACATGGCGAAAGTAGCTACATTCACCATGTTAGCTTACAGTCTGTATTGTAGTATTCGGTGCGGGTGACGGACTTGCTCCTTTTCTCCTCAACTGTCATCATGTACAATAGCCTAGCTCAATCAAATAGGATTAGTGGTAAAGCATGCACACTTTTTCTTCTGGGTTTTTTCCATCGATGATCATGTTCGTATCACATCATAGCTAACTAATACTCATTGCCGGCTAGGCATGCAATTGCACATGTGGTATACTAGGCATAGACATGATCGGCTCTCTACTTCGCTAGTAAGTATGTAAACTCAATACTACAAAGGCCCACAAGCCAGAGAGGAATGATATCTACATCGTGGTTCGACTTGAGTGCTTTTGCAATTCATACCTTTGCATAAAAACTAAGTACATCATTCTTGGGTATCAAACATTCTGGGAACCGTAAACCAAAAGAGAAAAAAACTGTCTACTATTCAAAGCATGGCATCTTTCAGATCAAAGGAAGATCTTACACTACCTCTCGAAGCTCCTCTGTGGAACGTTTCCTCTTGGATGGAATCGAAGTCTCCGGAACATTGGAGGAGGCCTGTGGATCAGGCACTCCGGAAGAGAAGGAGGTATTGGAGGTTCCGCGGGAATCGGTAGACTTGGAAGCGTCATCAGAGCTGAAGGTATGAGTGGAGCTAGAGGATCGAGACTGTGAAACATTGGAGCCATCAGCGGCTTCACAAACAATAGGCCGATTTGGAGCAACGGTCTCAGCAGGGATATTGGAGGAGCCGAAGTCATTTGTGCCATTAATAGTGGGGACATCCTGATCAGGGTCACTGATGACGTTAGTAGCGATAGGGGAATGGGAAATAGCAAAATCCTTGGAAGCGATGAGATCGTTGGACGGGTTGGAAGAATTGGAAGCAATGGGGTCATTGCAAGTAGCTGCTTCAACGGAGGCGCTGGATTCCTTGGCTGCCATAATTGCCCTGGGAATCTGAGGGTCGGTAGGGTTCACATCAAAGATCCTAGTTGACCCCTCCAGTGAGCAAGTCAAATACTGAAGGAAAAAGTTCAGGTTTTGTGTGCATTTTTCTTCCGTGGTAAACTCATAGAGTTTACTCTTTCGAATAACAAGCCCTGTCTCATTGTAATAAGCTTGCAGAATTCTGCCATGTAGATCGTCCGAAAAGGTGAACATCATCATCTAGACGAAATCGGCAATGAGTCAGTCAGCATTCTAACAGTGCTAATAGAAGAAGCCCATCCATCGTCTCACTTACAGGAACGATATTATGTTCAGGGTATATCTTTTCGCTCACGAGTCGATTCCACATGACCGCTACAAAGGCTTGGATCTCAGCAACCAAAATCCTTTCCTCGCTTGGAATGCTGCTGCACATCGTCATCATCACATGAGGCAAGCTTAGGGCAACCCAGGCATCATCTGGATTGCAACGGCTGAAATCGTAAAGAACCGAAAAGAAGGGTTCGATTTTGCGTTTTCTTCTGTCATTGCGCTCCAATAATTTCACGAAGTGCGTCGTACTATATTACACGCAGATGAGTCAGCAGCTAGCATTTGTGGGAGGAGGAGATATTATCTCATATGATTGTCACGTACGGCATCAGGTCTTGTTTCAAAAGACTCAAGTCACTTAGAGATATGGACTTCTCCTCTCCCGGTCCCTTCCGAAGCACAAATTGAAACCAATCTTTGAGCCAGTGGGAAAGATCGCTAGCATCGATCGGTCTTTTGAAGAGTTGAGGGCTATCATCTGTCCATTCTTTATGAAACCACTCCAACTTGAGCTTTGTGTCTCGATCGTCATGGTCGGGAGAGAACTCTCCAAGATATTCTTTTTTGCTCGGTTGGAAAAAGTTGGGATTCGGGGTTGTCTCGTACAGACCATTATCTCCATTGAAATTCAGATCCTCGTATTCGATATTCAAGTCTTTCAGAGAGGCTGGGTCAATGTAAGAATTGTCTTCGAACTTCACAAGTACATTCCATAGACGGAAGAGATTGCTCGAAATCTTTATTCGAGCTCGAAGCGCTTCCTCATCAACGCGCTGTTTCTCCTGTTTCTCCTTCCGCTTACGGTAGGGAGGGAAGAGTTCCAAAAGGTTCTTCATTGAGGCGAGTCTTGGTCGTGACGTGACAGAGAAGAAGGAAAAAAAGACTGCGTGTCAGGAGCGAGCTGGCTGCTGTATGAATGATCTGAGAATGAGGTGTTGACGGGTTGAAGAGAGAGAAAGGTAGGGAAGTTGATGTTCAGAGAATATATGACTACGCCTCCTTATATCACATGACCCACTCAGGCGTAGAAGGTAGAAGCCGAACAAAGAAAAGGCTTCTTCAGGCAAGTGCCGGGCGTTTGCCCTCTTTGTCAGGACAAAAGTGTGTTAAAGTCATCGGATCTACCTCAATAACATCTAACATCTTGTACCAAAGAGAGCTTCCGGCCACCAAATATCAAATATCCAACAAGCTAGTGTATAAGATTGATCTCCATGCACACAAACTTCAGATATCGAATTTCTTCAGGAATAATGATCGGGATCTCGCTTCTATAGTACATGTATGTGACACGCCCTCTACGTTGATCAATGCATTTTGCTCTTGAAATAGAGCGTGATTGCCGTCATGAAAATGGCAAACTCCCTCATGTCTTCAGACCTTTCCACGTTCAATGGGCCAAATGTTTGCAAATATAGGACTGAATCATTCGTAAGCTGACTTTCTCCTCCAGCGTCTTCCAAGTAATCCAGGTAATTCTTGTGCACCTCTGCCACTGTGACGAAGAGGCAATGCCCGTATTGTGATATGAGTAGACGGCTGAAAATCTGTTAACATGGGCCTGATCAACTGTCTGCACCGATAACTTACTATTTCACAAGTTTCTGCAGGCTTGGGTTTTTTTTCCGCTCACTCAATATCCAACTCGCCATTTCCACCCCTTCCTGCATCCGTACGGCTTCGGGATTATTCTCTCGCATTTCTCTCTTCACTTCGACAATACTCAGAACACTTTCGTCCTTTGTGGAACGCAATGCACCGTCAGTATAAACATTGAACTGTCCCAAACGAAATTTTGGGCGGAAGTGTGTGGGATCTAACGTCCACTCCATGGGAACCCCAAGAACGAGGTCACATGTGGCTTGCAGCAGAAGGATAAGAGCTGAATTGGGTGTGGTCTCCTTGACTGCCACGAGATACTCGCTCGGATCAACGTATGTCTTATCTGAATCATCCGAGGCCTCATCGCTATCGTCGGAATCGAAATTTGTTTCACTCGGCTGTATTTCAGGTGGCTTTTTGGCGGGTGTCCGTTGCATAAAGTCTGGAATTGCTGATTGACGACCGCTATTGGCGGCTTGAATGGCTTCCGTTGGTCGTGATCCGGATCGCAGTTCCCTCAAGGGTGCTTCCGAATGAGTAGTTTCCTGGTTCTTTTTTCTCAGGATCTGCTCGTGAAATACTTTCACGGGCTTCAAAGACCCTGGCCAGTCCGACGAGCGTTTCTCAACGGTCCTTACGGGCGTGCAAGTAGAGATAAGTCTGAGGTATGCTTGAAACTCTGGGCATTCGTCGACTAGTCTTGTAGCCTCAATAGATAACCTATCAAGATCCCAGTCCCTCCAGTACGCCAAAAATTTGATCTCTTTAAATTTCTCTTGCACAGAGATGATCCTGAGCGCCACAAATTGCTTTTGAGTAACGTCACTGCCAGATCCAAGGCAGTTCTGTGGCAAGTTGTTGATAGTTGTAATACCAGCGGCTTTGCTAAGCCGATTCAGAGTGAGAATTTTTGAGGGTATCTCGAATCCTGGGACTTTGGTATGCAATTGAGTGGAGAGCTTCTTAGGCTTGGTTTCTGATTTCGATGAGAGCTCTTTTTTAGACTTGGTAGCTGATTTTGGGGTGGCTGTCGCTTGCGACAAGCGCTTTCTCTTGTGTTCTCCTCTGCCAGCCATTTTAGATTTTGTGATGTCTAGCATATTCGCAACCAACAGAGTTGGTGGTGCTAGGGTATGATTTTATATCTGAGGTCTATCTGGTGTACAATCTAGCTCTTTAAAGAATATTACTCTTTCGTATCTGATTCTTACTACAAGCATTGATGGCTTTTTGTTGGATCATGTCTTCTAGGGTTCTCTCATCCATCCTCCTCTGTGTGAAGGTCACAACCTAGATCCAAATAATGCTCTTGTATATCTTAGACCGATGCTCACCAGAAGCATCGGTGGCTCTTTGTTAGTACCCTATGACTCTTGAACGTCAAATACATGTACACAAACTACAGTAACCGGTCCTAAGGTGCAGCCTTTGATACAGTTCTTGTGAGGCACTAATGCAGACTTATCAATCACCTTATTCGATTAGGGTTTGCAGAAGATTTACACAAGACAGTAACAAGAACAAACATTGATGTGAGAGTGGTTCGTTCCTAGCCCCTATAAGTCAACCATTGTCTCCCCATTCACTTGCATGTGGATTGACTATCTAATATTTGTATTTACAAATAGAGCACTTCTATATGTCAGACCAAGACATCAATAGCCAGTCGAGTGGGCAATATCCTTCATCTGCAACAAATTCTCCTGCATCGATTCGCATTTGACCCGGAAACGCTCATAGCAGTCCTTGCCAAGCGGCACTCGCAAAAGCCCTTCTTTTCCAGCAGCCATGCCGGTATTCGTGACAACGTCGAGGATCCTTTGTGCTGCTTTGGCAGGATCACCTTGTTGTTTTCCATCTTTTGACTTGAACGCTTGGAGAAATGTTTCGAGAGGGGTTCCGGTATACCCTTCGTTCATGCCAGCGGCCGGCTCGACGTATGCAGACAGAAACTTTGTGCGGAATTCGCCTGGCTCGATCAATAGCACTCGGATACCGAAGGGAGATAGCTCTCTCGACAGACTTTCGGACATACCTGGACAATGATGAGCCTACTATCTCATGGATTAATCATGCTTGGTAGAATACTCACCTTCCAGCGCAAACTTTGAGCCCGCATACATCGCACAAGTAGGCAACCCATCCAATCCCGCAGAACTGCTGATATTGATCACCGTCCCGGACTTCCTCTTCCTCATAAACGGCAAAGCACCCTTGAGCACTCTCACCGCACCAAACACATTCGTGCTGAACTGTGTTTGGATCTCTGCCTCGCTCATATCCTCAATACTACCGAGCAGCGAGTATCCAGCATTGTTGATGACCACATCGATCACACCGCCAGCCTGGTTGATCGCTTCTTCCACTTTCTTAGTGGTCTCAACCTGGGTTACGTCCAGCTCAATCCAGGTTCCGCCCAGCTTTGAGATTTGGGGGTTCTCCGCAGCGGCCTTTGTTGGGTTGCGGGCGGTTGCGAGTACTTTGTGGCCGGCTTGGAGTGCTGCTTCGGCGATTGCGGCGCCGAGGCCAGAGGAGGCGCCGGTGATCAGCCATGTTTTTGACGCCATGGTGAGTCTCTCTTAGTATCAAATACCTCTTCTGTCTGTTGGCTGAAGGGGTTCTTGAGGAGTGTCTGCAACAGTTGTCATTCCAGAAGGAAGTATACATCAATCTCTACAATCTACACCTTTATACGAATCCGCAATTTTCCAAAATCGGATTTTCACGGCGTTATTATGACTAACGCCTAGTCTATCAACATAAAAGCCAACGAGTATGCTAGTTAGATATATGATTTGTTTGCGATATCAGCTAAATCGGATATTACGGAATTATCGGCTAATCTCCGCTACCGCTGATACTATTCAGATTCTGAAAACTTTGGCCAATACGCATGGGGACGGATGACGACGGAGGCTCAAAACATGAGCGGGGCGGCTGGTGATTATGCTTCTACTATGTACACGATTTATAGGGCATAAAGAGAAAGCGAGGGCAGTTCCAACTACAAAGTTCAATGGAAATGGATCCTCGTAGCCAAAAGAAATTCGTTCATTGTCCTGGCCTGTCTATGCAAATAATAAACATGGTATTCGTTATTGACACATGATGCCGTAAAGAAAGTCCAAGTCTGTACAAGTCGGCGTATAGCCTCGCTATACATTTATACATTCAACTGCCACCAAAATGACTTCTCAGCCAGCCGGTAACTCCACCACCACTAGACTGCGGCTGGTTTTCAGGTTCGTCCCCACTGGACTGTTCTCGTCGCTCTTCTGGAGGAGCCGAAGCTGCGTGATGCGAGGATCGATGATTATGGTGGAATGAAGAACCACTGCTTGTTCGATGGCGATGAGCGCGGTAAGGGCTGCCGCTGTAGTCGCGATTTGATTCGTAAGCAAATGCAGAAGACCGACGTCGCGGAGGAGATTGAGGAGGGCTGCTTGGTATGACTACGGGATTATTCATAGTTCCCGGGGCATTCTCACTTGAAGATATTATTAGCAAATGTATATACGTAGATTGCAAAACTTACCCCTGGTCGATAGGCCTCCTACAGTGAGGGCAGGTGTTATGCTGTTTGAGCCACATTTCAATACAATCTCCGTGAAACCAATGCTTACAAGGAAGCTCTGTAACTTCACTTCCAAGCTCGGCCGGATCCATGCAGATAGAGCACTCGGCCCTCCCTTCTTCTCCTAGCATCTCTTTATCGACTATTTTCTTAGGCAAAGATTGAATCGCAGTTTCAGCCGCTGGTGGCGCTCCTTGGTTCATGTTTTGATCCACCAGCTGTGATATGACGCGATCAAGCTCTTCTTGGGAGTACACAGCATCTCCAATCCGGCCTCCACCAAGCATGGTAGCAAGTAAAGAAAGAGGGTGCATTGGGTTCATCCCTGTGGCGCCCATGATATGAATACCTCCTCGTGGTCGATCGAATCCATCTCCTGCTGCATCTGTTCGTAGTAAATCAAAGATACTAATTTCATATAAGCTCATATCATAAGAGGAAAGATGTGCAGTGTATCTGCCTGAGAATAAATGAGCGCACACGTACTCGTTCAAACTAGTTAGAGGCACAGCTGGTGGCTCCGGGGTGTCTGTATTCCTTGGCCATAATCCCCCATGGAGAGTGGCACCTCGAGTTGCTCCAGGAGTCTCCCATGGATCTTCTCGGTCCGGAGGTGGGACATTTCGATTTTGTGTGTTGTAGGCGCCAGCTAATTCTTGGAAGATAGACCCAACTGTCCGTAACAGCGGTTCGCCTCCATATGGATCAGGAGACGCGGGACTTCTAACACGCCCACCCATGCCAGTTGTAAAAGTTGTGCTTGTGAACGTGATTCGGCCATCTGGAGACCGATATGAATGACGACTGACTCTAGGAGGGCTGCCAAATCTCTGTGGTTCATCGTCGTTGGTTTCGGCCCACGGATTATGGTTGAAGAATGGATTTTCTGCGTCATATCGCGTTGACCGGGGAGACTGAGGAGATTGAGGCGGCCTTGGAGATGACGAAGAAGGAAATGGCGGGCTTGCAGAACGAGAATTGTATTCTTCAGCCGGTTGGTGTTCCTCGGCGCTTCCTTCGATCTACATGGGATGAGAACGTATGCTCTAGGATCTTGCGGCGCAAATACTTACAATTTCGGTAAAGTCGGAGCCACATCGTGGACACATCAACCCGAATGTATCTTTGGGAAACACATTGTTACAATGATAGCACAGAACGTCCTCTCCGCGCTCCGGCATATTGAGGGGAAACTAAGAACGAGAACCCCCAACGTCTATCTGGGTGATGAAGGGATCGAGATATGTGAGATGAAAATGAAGCCAGGCTTCAATATTTATGATAATGACTTGTAGTAGTCGTGGAAGCAGAAAGACCGTTTCTGCCAGCGCAATGTTTCGAATGTGACAACAAGTGACGGGTCTAGTTGAGTCAAAGAGGCCGCCAAAGAGGCTCGTATACAAAMCCTTTGGGCATCAGAACGCAAGCAAAACCACTCATTCCTTTGTCTCTGTACAGATGCAATAAAAATGGCTTGTCGTCAATGTCAACATCAAAATCAGCCTAGGATGCCCGGGGATGGAGAGAAAATGGGGATGGAAGAGGAAAGAACTGCCTCGTGATGGATGGCGGCTGCGGGATCTGATGACGTTAGCAGCCGATCTCCGCCTGATTTCGAAGGTATCCACGGCATCAGCCCCTCGCCACAATATCCATATTGCACAACGTCTGTCTGTGGCTCAGTGAAGCGATTGCTAGTTTGTAATGATTGGTGGAGATGTTTGTCAGTTATTATGCAAGGTTGAATCGGACTGGGGCTATTAAGCAATCTAGACGGACAACATTGCGCAGAAAACGCGGTATTCATAAAGTTTCTGATACCTACTAGAACAGAATAGATGTTACAGGATGAACATAGTTCAAAAATAGAGAACGCGAGAGAAACGCCCGCCCATGCCGTGGTCAATTAGCTACCAATCAAACAAATATGTACTGAGTAAAGATTCTTCGTATATCGGCCGTGTTGGATCATCCATCAACGTCTGCGCGAACCTCTGACGAGAAGACCTCCGATCACTCCAGCAGCAAGTGCCACGCCGCCCACAATAGCAACTCCCATCAGACCCTCTTTGGCGACTTTGTCATCGATCAGTTGTTGTAGGCTAATAGCCTGGAGATTCTCCGGCTCGTGCTCGAGCAACAAGTCGTTATATCTGCGTGCCTCTGCATAGTTGCCTAGCTTGAAATTTCCGAGAGCGATGTAGTAGAGACATTCCCGGCGACGGTCTAGAGCGGTGCGAAAGATCTGGGAGAGCAACTGAACGCCCTCTTGTTGCTCGTTTCGTTTGTCTGATTTTATGAGTCCCTAGAATCCGGTAAGTCACACAGAATATGAAACACCATCACAGACGATGATCCCCCGACATACCCAGGCGTAGTTGAATTTGGTCTGCACTCCGACGAATTCACCCTCCTTCTCATACTGTGCGCGCAACACCTGGAGTTCCTCTGGTCTCAGAGGACTGTTCAAAGTTAGTTTTGAAGTAACACGGGATAGAGTCGTCCTTGCCTCTCGGCATCTGCAGCGTCTAATAGTCATCAATAACGTTAGTTATGTTCATTCTGTGAACAATAAATGACCGAGGGCGCAGTACGTACAAGGCAGATTGGTAACCATATTGAGTTATCAGTGTCGGAAGATATCAACAGAAATATTCGGTGTAACAAAGAACAAGTCGAGTGTGTAGAAAGAGATGTTTTGGTGCTTGTGATCTGGTCTCGAAAATAATTGATCATTGGATCAAGCGGAACAACAGGACTCAACATGTGGCGGTGCAGAATCTAGTGACGCAATGGCCTCGGCTTTTTGTGGCTGTTGCTCCCGCAACGCTGTGGCGCGCTCACGCGTATTCTTAGTTTACTTTATCCTCTTTACCCTCACCTCCAGCAGCACTGTCATTCAGACATATCACGAAAAAAATAGCCAAAATGCTGCTCGACGAAGACCCCGCTACTGTGCGTTGACCATAAATTCACGCCAACACAAAGGTTTCAAAACTAACCAACAACCAATTTCTGCTAGCTCATCCAACACACGATCGGAAACTTCAACATCAACCCTGACAAACTCGCCGTAACCCGAATCAATGAATCCTTGACAGCACTACAACAATCGCGTGACCTGCGCATCCGCGAAGCAGAGACTGCTCTCCGGAAACTATCGCGCAACCTGAAATCCCTTGAAACGAACTATGAGGAGACCGTGGCGGCACATGATCCGGCTCGTCACGCGCAGGAGATTCTCGAACTCGATGCACAAAAGTTTCGAATTGCAAAAGCTGCATCCGACTTAGAGATTGAGTCGGAGCGTTTAGAGGCTGATTTGGAGGTATTGAAGGAGCGATTGGCGGAGCTCGAGGCACAGGGTCTGGAGGGCGATGAGATTGTGCGCCGCGAGAGGGAGGCTGATGATGCTACAATGTACGTGTTTGTGACCTATAGCGTTAAGTCTAGGCTAATTGTACCAGATTACGACTCAAAGTCTATCGCTCCCTCGGAATCGATGTCGAAGCAGACGATGCTGGCAATTACAACAAGGCTATTATCCGTAACAGTCGCAAGGGCGATGTTCATGTAGTCAACATCGATCCGAAGTTCTCCCGATTTTTCTACGCAAACTACTTTTGGCAAACTATGCAGGGTTGACTTGTCTGGCACTTTATGTGAATTTACGACGGCAACGATTGGCGTTGATGGAGGTGCAACTAGCGTGTGATTATTTATATACCCTGAATACATTGAGCAATATTTTAAGACAACACGTTTGTCGACATGACCATCCCCCGTGCTTTGAAAATTTCATGATTTAAATTTATCATTAAGCAGCTGTAGTATCTGCGCTTTCCTTGCATCGAAGTCTTCGACGACTCCGCCATGGAGAATTTCCCGCGCCATTTCAGGATACGAGTTTTCCAGAATTGTGAGCAGCTCATACTTCTGTGCCTCGGGCAAGTCCTGATACCCCCAAGCAGACAGCCAGTCGGCTTCCTTCTGCGATATGCTATTCTCAACACAGTCCATATCTGGAATATCGTCTCCATCCCACGTCAAAAGTACATCCGGACGCGGTGGATCACCAGAAGCACTTTCAGCGTCTTGGGAATACCTCGTCTCAACGCCCAAGGGCGCCAACCCCAATTCCTCCACCTTTGAATTCCACAGAACCTGCTTCAACGCCCCATCGCCCTCCATCATCATCCAAAAGAGCGGATAAGAGCTTCGCGTCAACGTATCCCTCACGCCTTTCGTGGCTTCCCTCGGACTAACCAGTACAGCAACCTTGTCGTTCGTCCGCCATCCCACAGGTGAATGCCGAAAAGCGCCTTCTAGCTCCCTAACGAGATTAGGACCAAGTTTCGTCTTTAGGGCTTTGCACTGGACGATGACTCGGAACGGTGCGAGGTCTCTGCCTGGAACGTGCCATGTGCCAACGAGGTCTATGCCGGCATCATCCCGACCACCGATTCGTTCCAGATCAAACGCGAACCGGCGCAGAGTAGATTTTACGGTGTATTCATATTTTGTGCCAACGTAGGTTGTAGTCCGTTCCGGTAGCGACGTCTGTTTTGCATAAGCATAAAATGAAGGTAGATCGTGGTGGTTTTGCGATGGTGCTGGCGGAGCTTTGGGGATGTTGAAGAGATGACGAGTGAATGGGCTGATGTCGCGGGAAATGCGACTAGATGAAAATAAACGAATCGATTGTTGTAATGAGAGACTCCATGATGCTGTTCGTAGCACCATTCTCCCCTGTGGTCACATCTAGTCAAATGGTTGAGTTGCTGATCGACAGCGGGCGAAGTAAACTTAGTAAAAGGCACGTACTAAAATAAGCTTGGAGGTTCCCCAGTCTCCGCTCCGTCGTTTGTCTTGCCTTACCGCAAGCTTACACTATATTAATTTCAACTTTGAGCTCAATTTATCGCATACATCAAATCAAGCTCATCATGGCCGACATATTAACCCAACTCCAAACATGCCTCGACCAGGTTAGTCCCCTCAGTACAACCTTCTGTCACCACTCTAATCCAAATGATACGATACAGCTCGCAACCCAATTCTACGCAACCCTCTGCTACCTCAGCACCTACCACGACCATGTCCCCGCCACAGTCCCCCCAGCTTCATCCGGCATCACAGACTCCATGCCCGCTCTGGCCAAAATCCCCCGTAACCAACCCTCTGCAGCACCCATGCCTGCAGGCGCAGCCGCAAAACAAACCGCCGAACAACAAGGTCAAGCCTCACCATCCTTAGGCGTGTCAGGCGGAGCTGCGGCGGGAGGAGGAGGAGAGACGTCGACGCTCCCTCCAGGCGCGAACGGACTGGGGATGACGTCCCTGACACCCGGGCAAGGAGATCCGAATCAGCCTCCAGTACCGGATTCGCCTCAGTTGTTTCTGTATCGTCAAAGGGAGTTAGCGCGTGATTTGATTATAAAGGAGCAACAGATTGAGTACTTGATTGGAAGGTTACCGGGCATCGGCTCATCGGAGGCAGAGCAAGAAGCGCGAATTCGAGAGTTGGAGAGCGAATTGAGACAGGTTGAGCTTGCGAGGGAGAAGAAGGCGAGAGAATTGAAAAAGTTGGGGAAACGGCTGGAATTGGTCTTGGGAACTGTTGAGAGAGGGATTTATTCGAAGCAGCAGAGGGGTGTTCAGGAGTGATCTATTACTGGTGATACTTACGTCTTGGATGCCCTTCCATCTTGATTTACGCGATGATACCCATGATACAATCTACCTTTCCATTTGAAATATCACGATAAAAGCAGTCTCGTATTAGTACTATGCTAAGAAACAACATATCCAGGACTTGCGTCCATGTCTTGTATATCGAGATAGAAGGAATACCATAAAATCACCGTCTCTAACCACTGTAGTTGCTGACCTTGAAAAGCATCTTCTAGAAACATGATTCAACCAGCATCGTGGTCGTGAATGAGAATGAGAAGATCGATCTATCAGCCTGAAGCTTCTCCCCTGTCTTGATGATGAAAAGAGAAAACATGCATGTATCGCAGAGCTTGAAAAAGGATATAAAAGTGTCCGTCCATATATCATCGTTTAGAAGTCACCAGGGTATCGATAAGAAACCGGAGCGCCGCGCATGACACCGAAAGAATTTGCAAGCAGGAAAAACTAACTGAATAAGATGAGCATAAATATGGATAAAATGAAAAATGATCAAGCGGTATATGGCTAGATAGATGGACTATTAGCGGAACAGGCTTCTGTAAGCTTGCATGCGTGCCTCTTGGACTTCACGCTTATCGAGCTTGCCACGAGCCATGCTGTCTTCCGCTAACTGTTGCTTCTTTTTAGCCATTTCGAAGATCTTCTCCTCGATACTGGCCTTCATGATAAACTGCACGGTAGTCACCTCACGAGTTTGACCCAATCGGTGGACACGGTCCACTGCTTGAGCTACCGCAGCAGGATTGTACTGAGGCTCCATAATGTAAACGCGAGATGCGCTCGTCAAATTGAGGCCAACACCTCCTGCTCCAATGGTAGCGAGCAGAATAGTAATATTGTTGTCTTCAGCAAAATTGTTGAGTGCAGTTTTGCGGGCTGCGAGCGTCATTGTCCCGTCGATACGAGTAAATCCCTCCAAACCGTTGTCCTTTAGAGCGATCTCAATGAGATCGAGATGAGAAGTCCAAGCCGAAAACACCACGCTCTTGATAGGAGGCCCATCCTTGATACTTGCACTTTCCTCAGCCGAGCTCTGCAGATGTTCCAACAGAGCTAGGGTCTTGGTGTGGGGTCCCTCATACTCTCCTAGAAGTTTCGCTCGTTTCCGATTTGTCTTGGCCTCCGCTTGACTCTCTGTGTACTGTTGGAGTCCAGCTGGTGTAATGGCAGAGTAAGTCATAGTGATCCAACCTTCGCACTTCACGCATCGTGTCTGTTCTGAAGATGTCTCTGGCTGCATTACAAATCCTTTCTTCATCGGACCGAAGCAATCAAGGCACAAAACGTCAAAGCATGGTAGCATCACAGCCATAGGAAGCTTTGGATCCGGCGAACCAGACTCTGTATTATTATTTTCAGTCAGCGGTTTGTTGCACATGGCGCACACTGCGGCAGAAGACTCTTCCATCAAAGTAAACATTTCATAGGCCTTTCTGTCAATCGCCCAAGCTTGATCTTCCTTTTCACCTTCCTCCAGGTCTATAGCATCTTGAACGCTCAGGCCTTTCATCCTCTCACGATCTTCCTTGTCGAGCAGTTCTTTGCCGTGTGCGCTAATCTGGCGAAGAATCATCATAGCCTTGAGCACATGGTGATACATTCGACCGCCCATGGTGCTCTTGCTCTCATTCGCAATAACCTTCATCATCGAGTCTGACTCTCGGCGGAAGAATTCGTGCAATTTGGCTTCTTTCTCAGAGAAGTCCAACATGATTATCTTGTCTTCCCGAGGTGGCAGATTGATCTTATCTTTGACACGGCGGAGGGTGAACGAGTCCACAAGGACACGGAGGCTGGCAAAGACGGTAGAGTCACCTATCTTAAATCGACTGAGAATGTGTGCGTTAAACTTGGCTTTGTCGTCATACGGATACAGCCGAAGAAACTTTGTTACTGATGCGAGATCTTCCAAACGATTCTGCACTGGGGTTCCTGTGACAGACCAGCGACGTTGACCGTTTAAGCGGAAAATAGCCTGACTTTGTTGTGCAGACTGCTCGCGGATAACGTGGGCCTCATCAAGGACAATTCTGAACATGTTCATCTTCAGCAATGGGCTGTTGACCGGCTTGGTACCACGTCCGCGGAGTTCACTTGAAATTGTGCTGTAAGTCGTAATAATCAGATCAAATTGAGACAGCTCTTCGACTATCTTCGTTCGGGACGGCCCATGGAACACGTAGTAAGAAATGGCTTCATCACTTAGATGCTCCTTGATCTGAGCGACCCAATTGTGAACTGCACTCAGAGGTGAAACCAGCAATGTTGTCTTCGTATTACGAATACCAGGAATACCACGGACAAGAGAATTGTGGGGTGGCTGCTGTTCCCAGATTCGTGACTGTGGTAGTGTTGCAACAACAAGGGACAGGATACTCAAAGTTTTACCGAGACCCATCATATCAGCTAACAAGCCTCCGTAGACCTGGGCAGGTTCTTCGTTGACGGTAACACCACTGATGATCTCGCGGTACCGTTTGATTCCGTTGGCCGTGTAGACCTCACGCCACAGTGAGTTGTTTTCCTCCTCCTTCGATCCATACTTGCGGTCTTGCTCTTTTTCCATCATGAACCATAGAGCTTGCTTCTGGTGATGAAGAAGAGGTGTAAGAATCAAAGGAGACGGCTCCATCTCAGGAATATTCTCGGTACTTTTGAGCTGATCAAACATCTTCATTACAGCATCGTTGACCTCTTCTGCAGTTCGAACCTCGTAAGTTGCCATGTCTCGCGAACGAGTACCAGCGATAGATCCATGATTCTGCTGGGCGAGTCTTAGTTTGGCATGCGGATTGTAAACGGCCATACCCCTATCTACCATGGAAGGAGTGTCCAACCAGACATTTGCATGACCAAGAGTTTTCCCAACCATGTCTGCGAACTTTCTTGGTCCAATCAGATTGATGGCGGCGCGATACTGGGCGGAGCAGGGCTGCCAGACTTCTTCATCTGGTTGTCTCCTCCGTAGTTCGAGGCGTGCCGTCATGGAAATATTCATGCCCGGGGTATCTAGTAAAGGGCAAATGGCCGCGGCTGTTCTAGCGTCGACTGCCCCGAAGACATGACTAAAAGGATCGCTGACATCGATTCTGTTGACTGGACCACGGCGGGTGGTCAATTTAATAGGAGGCCAATCGCGCGAGTAGTCGTCAAAGAAATTGTTCGCAGTTGGCTTGGGAACTTGATGCGCTTGGATAAATGCGTTTTGAATCTTGCCATAGCACACGATCTGTTCGCTCAAATCAACGGACCCGGTGACTTCTATTTCATCATCGGTTGAAGTCGTCTTGGTCGGGACTTCTATAGCCAAGTGTCAGCTCTATATTTGCAAGTATAGAGGTAGAATACGAACCGCTGGTAAGATCCACAACCGGAGTGGCGGTTTCGGGAGGGTGTCTGCCTTCCTTCATGTATTCACCGAGACCGCTGTTCCCAGACATTTTGAATTGCGACTTGCTCTTAGCCATAGTATCCTCGGTATCGGCTGTCTTGATGCGCTTTTTGGGCTGATCTTCGCGGCGCTCCACATTGTATATATCCTCGATCAGAGACTTGTGCTCGTTGGTCAAGTCTTTGCTCTCCCGATTGCGCTTTCGGTCGATGCTCCCTTCCTCTTCGCTAGAGATATCCTCGCTACTAACAAACTGGAACTGTATCTCGTTCTTGGTGTTCGGAGCTGGTTTCGGCTCTGCTTGAACATCGATGCGACGAGGAGACATCGTATCGGAGTTGGGCTGCGTAGAGGGGGTCTGTAAACGCGGAGTCAAGGCAGGATTGCCCATCTTTGAGTCTTTGATGTGAGCCGCCGAGGTAGAAGCGCCTGACTTGGGTTTGTCGTGCTGTTGGGGGCCTTTCAAGTGTAAGCAAGAGTCGCCGACAACATGCGGGGTTGACGGAAGAGAAGAAGAGAATGTGGCAAGTGAAGAGAAGAAGTAGATCAGTATGCACAAGGGGGAGAGGAATATGAAGACGTTTGAGTGAGGTTGAAAGAGAAGAAAGAAGACTCACCACTAGAAACCATTTGCTTTCTGTAAGACCTCGGGTCCAGGAGCATGGCCGCTCGGGAAGCCATGGTGCGAAGAACGAGCGGGTTGAAAGAGAAAGATAAATAAAGAGACGATGCTACCGATATATCAAAGATCAAAAGTCGAAGCCGAATAGTGTCAGATTATGAAAGAGGAGTGAGATCGGTCAGACTGAAGTATATAGAAGCCGTAGAGGTTGAGGCATTTGAGGCCCCAGTGAGGTTTTCCTCGAAGAACGCGAGCCTCGGCGCAAACGCTGTTGCTTGCATTCGAGAGAAATTTGGAAGTGGAATTTATATACTTAGGTGGTCGAAAGGCTTCGTAGAACCCTCACATCCGCGTGTGGATGTGAGGCGACGGCGAAGATGGGAGGATGGTGTTGATGCGGGACCTGCGGCAGGCAAGAGTTCTTAGATTATGTACATGACGCACTGGAGATCGCCAAGGGATGATAAGATAGCACTAATGCCACGGCTTACGGCTATGTGCACGTCCTCTTTAGTTTCGCGATACGACTCAAAGGTGTAGAGATCACGAGATACTTAAGAAAAATAACTTTGCTTATATGCATGGTATACGTACCCCGATAAGAAAGATCTTCATATATCCCGGATGGAGGTTACAGTGTACGGTGGCAATACCTAGCCCTAATCGAGCGTCCTTATCTACTGATCTGATGTTTAGCTTACTACCTACATGAAGAAACTCCAGACATTAGACGAACTGCATAAAATAGTCGATCTACGCCCTATGAGCTGTGGTTCACATCTTAATTCTGCTGACTCGTCTACCCCTCTCGATTCGACAACTACGGATGCTCGTGCTCGTATATTGGTTGGTTATTTATAGAGCGTCTGAGCTCCGCGCTTACGGCGCTTTTGACAACGAACATTTATTTCACACAAGTCTAGGTGGAAATGGTTTTTTTTACGTACCTAGGTGTTTGTGAGTTTCGGCGAATTCTATCATAAGCAAGTTACAGTATGAACGAAACCCATACAGTGCCCAACGACCTGTGCGATGCATGCAAAACGATCCCCTCTCTCCGTGAGCTGAGCAACAGTTACTATCGTCTCCACGACACCTTTCAAGAATTCCAATCATGTCGCTGCCCTTTCTGTCGCTGGTTATACACATATGTAGAATCTAAATCGCAGTATCGAAACGATATCAAGAAGATCGCTGAGGACAATGGTGCGGTGGAGCTGTTTGGGAATATGGCTTTTCCTAAGGGGACTAATGACTTACAGTCACTTACGTTGGATTCTGGGTCGGAGGCAACTTTATTTATGTTGTATCTGTTTGCGCGTCATGGTGAGCTGGAATATACCTAATATATCACTTGTATAGCTCCTGCTAACAGGAACAGATAACCCAGCTGCGGATTATATATGGGGCCGGCTTGTGGACAACGACACTTCTTCTGACGATGCGGTCTCCCTTGTTAGATCCTGGCTATCAACATGCGAGAGTAATCATCCAAAATGCAGTGTATCAGGGGACGATTTCTCTTTGCCTACCTACCTGATTGACCTGGGTGAAACCCACCCGGATCAGGAACACACAGCGAAAATACGTCTAATTCAGACAAGCCCAACCCAGCAAGACCGACGATACATCGCTCTGAGCTACGTCTGGGGTGTAGCAACGCAGCCAATCATGCTGACAAAAGCCACAATATCAACCTTGATGAACGACATCCCTGAGACGAACCTACCTCAAACCCACCGTGACGCTATCCGCGTAGCCCGTTGGCTGAACGTGCGATACATCTGGATCGACGCGCTATGCATCATACAAGATGACGATAAAGAGAACAAAATGAAAGAAATCGGACGCATGCATCATACGTTCGGTAACTCCTTTCTCACCGTACAGGCTAGTCGCGCCGCTTCTGTGCATGACGGATTTCTGGGCCCTCGAGTCGAGATCGAAGAAGTGCCTGAGCTTCCGTACCCATCAGGCAAAGCAGGCGACAAAAGCCAAATCTTTGTGCGCACAAAAGTGTCCTTCCACTCCGACGGTCCCACGGGTGCCAGAGCATGGTGTTACGAGGAAAGCATCCTGCCCCTACGCGTTCTGAGTTATACCAAAGAACGAATCGTATTCAGATGCATGCAACATACGTGCGACGACTACGGACGAGTCTCAAAGGCACGCGTGAAAAGTCCCCATGTGTTTCTGAATCCTTCACCGTGGTATCAAAACACACGTGCACCAAAGTCTGCCTGGCGTTCGGATCCGACTCTTGATTTGTTGAAGGTCTGGTACTGGATTCTGGATATTTATTATACGCCTCGCCTCCTCACGAAACCAGGTGATAGACTTGTCGCTATTGGCGGTCTTGTGCGAAAGTTCAGAGAGCGTATGCCCGGTGCGTACATCGCGGGTTTGTGGCAGATAGATCTACCCTGGGGTCTGTTGTGGGAATGTCGACGCGGCAAAGCGAGCGCGTTTTTGGGTGCAGAGATCATGAGTGCATCGGGGCAAACGAATTCCTTCAGGCTTTCCATGACGCGGCCAGAGCATCATCAGAAGAGGGCACCGTCGTGGTCTTGGGCGGCGCTGAATGGGCCTACTTCTCATCCCGACGTGGGATTTAGGTTTTATTACAAGGGAGAGCTCATTGGGATGAAGAGGCGGATCTTATCTAGGATCGAAGAAGTCCCGCATCCACTAGCTGATAGTAGCCCCGGGAGAAGTGGACTAGGAGAGTTTGAAGGGAACGGGGCTTTATACATCACTGCTCCGCTCTTTCTGATGGATGTGGTATACAAAAGCGACGAACCCGAGCGATGGAACAGCCTATATGAGCAAGCTCTAGCCGTATACAAAAGAAACGACGTGGCAGTTGGAAGGCGACCTTTGACAATTTTGCGATCTCCGCGAGTAGCTGATGACGAGCAGATGTGGGACGACCTACCAGCAGGACATTTGCAACTCGATCTCGATGAAGTTGACTACAAGCCCAGTAAAGTATGGTGTTTGTTACTCGTCGATGGACTAGGACTCGTTTTGGATGCTGTCGACGAAGAGAAGAATGTCTTCGTTCGTACGGGGACGTTTCATACTACGACGGGTGTTTGGCTGGAGTCGCTGAATGATGTTACTCCGACAACCATCTGTATTCTTTGAACATGATGAGAATATTGCAACTTCGTGGAGGTATCGATAGAGCGTAAATGAGTAACCCTAAGGCCGCTATTTTTCATGCCTGAAGATCAGGGTATGTGGACAACAGCCAATAGAAAGTACTCCAAATAAGCCCACTTTGATTGGTTAGAGACAGCTTATTGTATACCCAGGTATTTTGAAAACGTGAACACATTGAAGGTCAGTGGAAAAACTCTATATTCTTCTCAAGTAATAATCACGTCTCTACGAGTCATCAATATTATGTTACAGTGTAGTTCGCCCACCACCAGATAAAGCGCAGCCACCATCAATCAGCGTCTATATGTACAACAGTCATGTCTTTTCCCAGTCCCCAATTCACTCTTGGTCTCATTGACCAGTTTGTAATGTCGTTAGTTTGAATAGTATAAGAAGAAAGCCTCGCTCAGCTGAATGTGAAAAAAAAAAAAGAAATGATGCGAGACGCAAGAAAACAGATTGATGAGAAGAAAAAAAGGACGGGAGAGATGCAAATTAGCACCATGTGAAGATAGGGTTCTTGCTCTTGACCGCTTCGAGACGTTCGACAATAACTTTGCGTTCGTGGCCCTCCATTTCTTCGGCGGCCGCATAACCTAGATCGCCTTCAAGATCGTCTCCGGCAAAGGACCATGCATTGCTGCCTCGTCGCTGTGTCAAGGAGCCATGCCGTGCATGTCTGGCGGAGCGTTCCGCACGTCCATTAGACGTAAAGTCTTTATAATCGTGTGGTCGGCTAGGTTGAGCCCCCCAACTCTTCGCTAAGTCTCTGCCTTCATCGGCTATGTTATGTCGATCAAAGCCAATGTCATCCGATCCCTCTCCAATGCTGCCGAGTTCAGCAGAGCTCCGACCACGGGCCAAGTCAAATCGGTTAGGGTTGGGAAGTTCACCGGTTGGCGAACCGAGGCCTAACAAATCACGATCCTGCTCTGCAGCACCAGAAACGGCGGCACTGATGTCCATTTCCTGGTCATCTTCGTCTCGCATAGAACGCATACGTTGTCTCTGGGCTTCGGTAGATGGACCTCTCATGGGAATAGCGACGGGTATGTCCACAAGATCATCCCATACGCAAACTCTGGTTCGGCGCGTAAGTTCCAAAGGTCCGTGATCAGGTTGTTTCAGGGTTTCGACAACGTTCCAAGCCTGTCCTTTCATGACAGCCATTTGTCGGGCAAACATGCTTTCTTTGAAGTCGGAATCTTCAATGAATACTCTTCGCAGGGCAGCCTGAGTGCCGCTCCACCAAGCAGTCGATGTAAGTAGTGGAAGAAAGTGGTCTCGTGTCTTTTGTGAAAACGGTTGTCCGATGAGCGAAACGGGCAGGAAAAGCCAGCCAAAGGGGAAGCTGCGCCACTGTGACATGTTAGATGAGAACGAGGCAATCTAAGGAAAGACTTACAGCATCAGGATGTTTCCACGGCCATGACAGACTATTATCAATAGCGCCGACTCTGATGGTGGCTTGTTTCTCTGACGCATGGGAAGGCGTACCGGCTCGGCTTGACGCAACCATAGCTTCGTGTCGTCGATAGGGCAATGGAACACTTTGGCTCGAGTTTTGTCGATCCAAAGGAACAGTACGGGCAGGCATGGCCGGGTCGGAATCGTCATCGTGAGTGGTACCATTGGGCTTTGGAGGTTCGGCGACGATAGAAACTTCTTCCGACTTCCAATCGACTCTGATCATCCAATTGTCCAACCCACGGTCAGTGTTTCGCATGATATAATCTAGAATGACCAATTTCTCCAACTCCTCTCTGAAATTCTGTTTGAGATTCTCGCTCCAGTAAAACCGTTCTTCCTGTTCGGCGCTTGGGGGAGACGGGATACGCGCACGTCGTTCATCGTAGTCTTCATCTTCATCATCAGAGTGTATACCAGATGGACGGCACGCTTCGTTCCAAGGTCGTTTCTTTCGTTTGGGAGCATCGTCGGTGTTGAATCCCGTGTTGGTCTGATCCGGCCAAGGATGCTCTCGTAAGAATAAAGTAGCATCCTTGTAGCCCTTCAAGAAGACTTGAAAACTTCCAGGCTTTGGGGGCAGAGGCCTGCGACCGCTCCAAGCTTTTCTTCGCTCCCAGAAATCATAGTGAAAAGATTTCGATGATAGCCAAACCACGTCTGTGTAGGGAACGATACCGGTGCGCAATCGTGCATCCAAGACAGATGCCGCGGCTTCTGAAACGTAGGATAAATTAGGAATCAAACAAGCTCTGCCAAAGCAGCAAGGGAAAAGATTTCGATGCAACCACTTTGTCCACTTTGGATTTCTCGACGCATAAGGCTCTTCGTCCTTGGGCTTGAAGACGCCTACCACTTTCCCTTCGGCATTACGCGCAAAATAACTGCCGGAGCTTCCTTGGGTAATCAACTTGGGGTGTACGCCGAGCTCAATTGCTGTGCGAACACTGTCGACAATAACCTCGAACTCGGCACGGTTCTGTTTCTGTTCTGCCTCGTACTCCTCCGTGTCTAGCTCCTCGGCTGTGTAAGGTGTGACGCCATTTGGAGGTCGAAAAACGGTGTGGTGTATTTCCAGTTTCTCATCTTGGGCCGACTTGCCGGGTCCCCTGCTGATCTTGAAGCGGGAGGCTATTTCTTCCGCCCATCTTTCCAGCCGAGCGTTGATCGCCTTGATGTCTACTCCGGACGAGTTACTACGTTTTCGACGTCGTACATGACCGCTGTTCCGTCGTCGATATTCCGGTGGAGTCGACGTGCCGGACAATTGCATCTGGGCGCGCGAGTTGATGGGGGCAAATTGGGTCGGCGATGATATCGTCCGCGGCGGGCGACCGCTGTATGGATCGCGTTCTTCTTCCGATTCATCGTAGTAGTCTCTGTCATCGTCTTCAGCCTGGGCAAGTCGGGCATAGCCCGACGTGGCTGGTCGCTTTGGCATGGTGGTGGGTTTTGAAATGAGTGAAAAGCGAGGTATTCAAGATTAGAAATGAGGTATGAGGAAATGTGGTCGTAAGGAAGACGGGAACGAGAAAATCAATATCGCGGAAGATTGAATGAGCGAACTATATGGAAACATTAAAACGCGATATGCAATTATTAAAATAGTAGTGTATGAAAGGCAAATCTCGTCAACATCATCGATAACAGATGGAACGCGAAAAAGTTGAAGAAAGGAGGTCATCGCTAGAGACCGTGAGGTAGTAGCCCCCTTGCGAGGTCGAACGTCAAGAGGCTAGGGGCGCGCTGCCAATCAGAGATCGGCCGGAGCGGACATTAAATACGTTAAATTACACGGTCATGCTGCGTGGTATTCCGTCTCGTTCTCCTGGGAACATTACATATGCATATCTTCAAAGCAGAGGAGTTCAAGAAAGATACTTTTATTGACCATGAACAACTACTTAGGAAGAAAGACACGGAACAGACTTTCTGCGTACGCGTTCTGTACTCCGTCGTCGACAGCTCACTAAACTATCGCCGATAACCATAAAAAGGAGCAATCTTATCGGATACCGCGTATCGACTAGTAATCACACCTCCTGCATGCCGGCCTATCCGCCTTTCCGTTGCGGTATTGTGCTATTTGATTGGCGGGCTGCTGTCTGTAACGTAACGCCGATACAGCACAGCATCCTGAAATACGACTCCGTAGTCATGCTCCATAATGTTTTCTCCTTCCTCCTCGTTCGCATGCAACAGGATAACCTTCTGTTCTACTCATCACGATCACTTTCCGCCGTGGATAACTTTTATCCAGTCACTCTTTTCAACAGTCTCAGTCTTTCGTTAATGACATAGTCTCAACAGGCCATCGCCATTCGTTCTCTGTTTCTTCAGAATATTTTACTTATCGTTACTCTTTGTGTCCCACGGTTCCTCTCGTTATCCGACGACTTATTCGTGACGAACCCGACATTTGGAATTTTCATCTATTTGGCCAGCATTTACTTCATTCTTGAATTCTTCTTCTGAATTCTGCTGGATAATTTGCTCTCCTGCCCGCCCATTCCTCTCGAGCATCGGTCAGTAAGTAGACTTCGCCGGGTCTACTCCGTTACTTGACGACAGTCCGCCCTCCGTGATACCTTACGAGACCTTTGTGGTCTCGACAGTCCGTCCAAAACGGCTTCCACGGTGGCTCCCATACTTTTCAGGGCATCGCCCATTGACCCGGCGCTTCGCTCCCCAGCATCACCGGATTCCTCGTCCCGCGATCTCGCCAGCTATAGCACGTCTTTGCCCGCGGACGGTCGCAAGACTCCCCAGCTTCCTTCGGCGTCTGAGCTAGCTCACTCCTTTGGAAACTCGGATTCTACGCCGTCGACAACGTTACCACCACTCGACTCGAGACAGGACAACCTTGGTCTGCCTCGCAGCACGACTTCGCTGCCCGGGCTGTCAGCATTGGCATCGGTTGCAATTGCGCCGACGTCAGATCTCAGGTATGTGAGAATCCTCGGCCAGGAATGCAGCGACTTCACTTCGTATCCATTTCACCGCGTCCCCTGGTGGTGGCTGCCGTGCAATCACTCACTGCAACGTGCAACGTCTGTGTTTGTGTTGCTGCCTGATTCCCCAGGCACCGACGCCGGACAGCAGCCACGCCGTCCCGTCCAATTAATCTCTCACTAATCTTATCTCTCTCTCTCTCTTCCTTTTCCCTATCGCTGCAGATCCTCCATCAATCACCATCTTCCTCCTCATCATCGTCATCATCATCATAGTAACCACCATGTTGTCAGTCTGAGCATGTCGTMCGCCMCGTCTYCSCCAGCCGCTACCACCGGAGGCCAGGGCAACACTCCGGTAAGTCTTTTTTTTAACCCAAATCTACAGCTAATTCTGCGCTCTGCATATTTGACGCGTGGGGTTGGTGCATTCTCTTTTTTTCTGTTWTCAGCTGAGGGCCAGGCTTGGCGCTGGGCTGCCCGGTTTTTTTCGCAGCGGCTTTTTTTTTCCCTTATCGCTCCCGCCCGTAAATCTTGCGGATCTTATCTTCTGCCAGCGCACTTGCTCTATCTCCCCTATCTTCCTATCTTCCTATCTCTCTATCTCTATCTCGATCTCTATCTTCTATCACTATCAGTCTACACACTCCTCTGCGATCATCCCTCCCACTACACCCCAACCCCAATACTATTCTACTCGTCTCAAGAATCGTTTCTTATGTTTTCCCAAATGGCCTCGACGTTTACTGACCAAAAGCGTCCTCAATTGCAGCCCGTGTGCCAGAATTGCGGGACGTCAACCACGCCCCTCTGGCGCCGAGATGAGCTGGGCTCCGTTCTCTGCAACGCATGCGGTCTGTTTCTGAAATTACACGGTCGCCCACGGCCGATCAGTCTCAAGACCGATGTTATTAAAAGTCGCAATCGTGTAAAGACTGCTGGGCAGGCCCCGAAACGCAAGGTATGTCACACTGCGAAGAATTTTCGCCCGACTGATGAGGGAAACGATCCTTGCGACATTGGCTAACGCGCGTCGCATTATAGTCTGGAGGGGGATTGGAACCGAATGGCTTATCGTCGTCGAGATCAGAGGCCGGCACGCCGCCTCTGGGAGCGCAGGGCTATCGTCGCGCGTCGCGAAAGATGTCCCCGGGGCATTCGGATCGCTCGAACTCGCCTGTATCACGTACAGATACACCGGGAATGTCATCCCTTCATCAACACAATTCTAATATCGCACCGCAGCACCTGTTTGATAGTGTAACCCTCGGCGACTCAAGCTTCAATCCGGCCAATACACTCCCGGCACTGCAGCTTCGTCAACCGTCGCCTGGATCCACATCGTCCATGGCGGTGGACCGACATCTTGAAGTACCTCAGACATATGAAGGGCTACTTGCCGCGAACACGTCTCTCAAGACTCGCGTGAGTGAACTCGAAGTCATTAACGAACTCTTCCGTGGTCGCGTCGCGGAACTTGAACAGAGCGATGCCACCGCGCGTCGCTCCGAGATGATTGCGCGTGATTCAGAGGCGAGACTACGTCGGTCGCTAGAGGATTCTCAGCGTCGCGAAGAGGACATGAAGCGCCGTGTCAATGAATTAGAGCAGCAGCTCTCAGACCACTCCGGCTCTGGTCCATTTCAAGGCAATGGGTCAGAACCAGCCATGAAGAAGATTCGCTTATCGGATGTAGTTGACTACGAGGCAGTAAACGCCGCAAAGTCTCCTAAATCTACATGAGGGAATCACTATTAGCTTCGCCTGTACGAGATTTGCACCAATAAACCTTACGTCTTTCTACCTTTGAAATTACTTTTTATATCTTTGATACCCCATTATGAGTTTCGCCTCACAGGCGAAGACTGAAAAAACAAGGAATTCTGCTACTGTTTCATTTCATAATTCTTCTACTTTTGTTTGACCTTGTCGGCTTTCGTCCATCCTCAGATGACAGCGCACTTTCTCCCTGCTTTCAATGGAATTCAAGTGTCATCCGACGAGCGAGGGAAGAAAGGGAAACTTTTCTTGCAGGAATCAGAAGACAAGGAAAAAAACATGTGCGAATAGGAGCGGGGGAAGGAAAAGCTTACATCATTTTTTATTTTCATACCTCGAGGCAACTCGCTTCTAATATCTCTCTACTATACAGTTTCTTTTTTTTTCACCTCTTTTGTATCGGCTATGTCTTTTTTGCTATTACTATTATTATGAATATAGATCGGTACGGGCGGTTAGGGATTAGGGATTAGCGATGGGCTCTGCATCTCTTCTCTGTGTGGTTTTCCTGTTGGTGTATTGATTCGCCTTTTTTTGATCTACGCTTTGAGTCCGTTGTGGACCTGAGTGTATATATTGTTTTAATCATGTGCTTTTTTTTTTTGGCTGACTGGGTTTGATCGCCCTGGATACTTCTTTTATGACCTGCTACTACATCTTCCTGCTGGCTTTCCGTCGTTGATGGATAGTGTCTGTTATTGCCAGGGCTCGTACAACAGAAAAGTTTTATAATGTGATTCGTCTCGTCTCTAGGCACGCTTCTTTTTGTCTTTGTCACATGCAGTTCGTTGGTTGCCTGGGTATACTCTACCTGTAGTTATGTAGTAGAATACTATCCAGTCTTTGATGCCTTTCTCTGTAGCATCTCAAGTCACAAGAAGCAACATTGAATTATTCGGTCATTGCAAGGTTGGAGGTAAACGTTGATGGATGCAATGAAACGTATGTATATGGAAAGCAAATCGCCCGAAATCGAACACCAAAACACATCTATGCCAATTGACCCAACCAAATGCGAACGACATATAAAAACCTCTACCCTACCTAGCATCAAGCATTCAAATCGCCTGGGCTGGATTCTTTCTACTAGTAAATCAATCAACCGAGCATCCAGCTCAAGCCAGTCTATCATGACTATCTCCTTTGCGACCTCGCGGGCCATGAATCTGTCTCTCTTGCCAGATACAATACAGCGAGACCACCATGCCACCGAGACCACTGAAAAACGTCAGCCAATACGCAGCCTGATAACACTGTAGTCCCTCAGTACAATCTCGCTGCCCCTGCGGCCCGACGATACTGTGGTGATCGAAAATCGTGCCATAAAGCAAATTAAACACGTTTCCGCTGAGTACAGGCGCAAGGCTAATTACGCCCCAGTTCTGGCTCAGGCCGGGAATGCCGAATGTGTGCGCTACTACGGACGGGAAGACGCCGAAAAGGAAGCCGTAGGCTAGACCTGTAAATGATGAAAGTAGGTAGAGGTGGTTTGGGTTGTTGATAGATGTGCCGGCGATTTGGGTCAGGGTGAAGACGACTGAGGATAGGAAGATACACCAGAATCGAGACATGTAGAGTTTATGAACCAGAAAGTCGGAGCCAACACCTAATCGGATCCGTGAGTAAGCGCAAATCAGAGTTCGGGGGAGCGTCTTACCACTCAGTAATCTGCCGAGGAAGCTGCAAAACGACAGGATCGAGACGTGCATCACTTGACGGTGCTGGATGAAATTGGAGTCTGCACTATCGTCGTAGTACCTCCATAGCGCTTTGGTCTGTTGAAAGTCAAATTAGCATTTACCACTTCACACTTCAGGAGGTAGATCTACATCATTGCCAATATTGCTTATATATGTTAGCTTACTGCGCTAAATTACAGGACCCTCGGAACTTACTTGATTGTCATCAATCCAATACCCGACAACAGCGCCATCAAAGTGAATTGCTGCCAAAACTCGCGTTTGCTGAACAGAGCCAATCCTCGGATATCTGAATAGTGTGAGCCGTCTTCGTCATCTTCACCACTTCGATGCGACCGTATGCCATATTCGTCAATGTTCGGGGAATCTTGTAGGGACTCTGGCTTGGAAAGCAGAGACGAGACTTCGGCATCTCTTGTTTCTTCAAGCGCTGGCTTGACTGCACCACTGGAATTTGACTGCGCAGCGTCGGCTGCGTCGTGCAGATGGGGCTGTGTTGATGATGAAGGTAGAAGTGAGGAGGATGCGGAATTTGTTCTTTGCCTACCTGTTTCTGCAGGTCGATCATATGTGAAGTGATGACGCGCATCGTCATCACGTTCTGGTACAGCGGTATAGGACTGGTCAGGAGGTAGAATTCGAAGAAAGACTCCAAAAACCACCACCATCAGCGACGTTCCCACGGCCAACATCAGAAGAAATGGTTGAACTTGGCCGTGGTAGAAGATTGCAGCCATGCTCGAAAAGAAGAAGGCACTCAGTCCGAATGCGGCAAGCGGGAAAGCTGTAGCTGTGCCGCTTTTCTCGGGGAAGTTGCTCGCCGCTAGAGGGCCATCAGAATCCGATATTACGAGATAGATAATATAGTACATMCCCGCCTTGATAGCCGCAGAGTTGGCAGCCGATCCTCCTAAGCCCGTCACCCACGAAAAGAAACATAACGAACTAAATGATAGGAAGCCTTGTCCATGCTTGTATGCTAGAACCCATTAGCTTGATCCACAGAAAAGTGTTAGTGATTCTACCAAGGTATAGAGGGTAATATCCCCAAAAGAGCGCCAAAGCACCCAGTAACAAAGCAGGCCCAGGACCTCTGGTGTCAGTCAGATATCCTGTAAAGAAACCCGAGCAATATAACCCAATGTTTCCCGCCATGCCCTTTGACCGTTAGTTGGTATGTTCTCGTCGGCACAATTCAAGAACACATACAATCATATTAATCTGCTTCGAGGACAGCACCATCCGCTCGGCGAATTGGGGTGCCCATGCCGAGTAAGCATACTGTACTGTATCAGATTGAGCATCCAATTGCAAGTCTTCGAAACACCCACATTTGTCCCACTTGCGAGCGATATTAGAGTTGCAGCAACAGCTGCTATGACCCTCTGGGTGTGCAACGATCCGATTACCATGGTGTCATGAAGGAACGAAAGACGACCGTGTCCACGTCTGCAATGTATGCGGTATATATGCTTATGCGATCATATGGGGTGTGTTTCAAGGATTCTATAGTATTGTGGTCCTGGTCACTGATAAGGACGGAGATGTGGCCGACGCGGCTCGTTCGTAGAAAGAAAGGATATCAACGAAAGACGAAAAAAAGACAGTAGCAATTAATTAAAAGGAAAGACAGTCTTAGCGCATGGATTAAATCACGAATAAGTACAGATCTTCTAGCTGCACCCACATTTGATTGCGAGCTGCGCCGTTAAGACGGATTGGCTCCGATGTTCCTGATAACTAAGCTGGCCTCTGGATGGCGTACGTAAGCAGTCACGTGAGCCAGTGACGCAGCCGGCGGAATTGGCTCGTGCCTACCGCAGACGGAGGCGACAGCAAGACGATGCTTCTTCAGCGCAAGAATCATATTAAAGACCTTGTTCACAACACTATACGAAACTCCGCTATACCCCTGGAATAGTAAGACACCATGGGTGCGCTTCTTTCCATCCCGATGCTGGTCGTGCCCAGCGCCGGCACTGTACGTTCTACTCTCGCCTGATGTTCCGGTACAGCACTGACTCGTCCTAGATGTTCTCTGTCGCAGCTTCTTGCTGCGGTGCAGCGACATGTTCTGCTGTGTGTAGCGCATGTGGCAAGTTCCAAAGCAGGTACGTATAGACACATGCGCAAGCTTCGATAGATTGCTAATCTGCACTCGTGTATAGCATCGCAACGAGAATCGCATACGCCTTTATTCTACTCATCAACTCGATCATTTCGTGGATTATGCTCACGCCATGGGCACTCGAAAAGCTAGAACATCTCACAATGGATTACATGAAGATTCGATGCGATGGAAAGGAATGTCATGGCTGGGTCGCAGTCCACCGTATCAACTTTGGTCTCGGCCTTTTCCACTTACTCCTCTCTCTTCTACTTCTCGGCGTGAGATCATCGAAAGATGGCAGAGCCATGCTGCAGAATGGTTTCTGGGGGCCGAAGGTTCTTGTCTGGATTGGCTTTGTCGTAATGTCATTCTTCATTCCAGAATCCTTCTTCTTCGTCTACGGTCATTACATCGCCTTCATCGCTGCTATGCTCTTCCTTCTCCTCGGCCTCATCCTGCTGGTCGACCTTGCCCACTCTTGGGCTGAGCTTTGTTTGGAGAAAATTGAAGATAGTGACTCTCGCCTCTGGCGTGGACTGTTGATCGGTTCAACAGTGGGAATGTACCTCGCATCGTTTGTCATGACGATACTAATGTACATCTTCTTCGCCAAGAGCGGATGCTCGATGAATCAAGCCGCAATCAGCATTAATCTTGTTGTGTTCTTGATCATCTCCGTCGTTTCGGTTCAGCCTGCAATTCAAGAATACAATTCTCGGGCTGGTTTGGCGCAGGCCGCCATGGTCACTGTCTACTGCACGTATTTGACAATGTCTGCCGTATCTATGGAACCTGACGACCGTCAATGCAACCCGCTTCTTCGCGCACGGAATACTAGAACAGCCAGCGTTGTCCTTGGCGCTATTGTCACAATGGCTACCATCGCCTATACTACAACTCGCGCTGCTACACAGGGTATTGCTTTGGGATCCAAAGGTGGACACAACTACTCTGCAATAAGCACAGAGGCAAACGAGCACGGACTTGTCACCCAGCAGCCCTCGACTCGACGTGAGATGAGGGCCGAGGCTCTCCGTGCTGCCGTCGAAAGTGGTAGTCTTCCCGCCAGTGCTCTGGATGAGAGTGACGATGAAGATGATGAATACGACACCAAGGATGATGAGCGCGGCTCAACCCAATACAACTACTCTCTGTTCCATATCATCTTCTTCTTGGCTACAACATGGGTGGCCACACTACTCACTCAACAATTGGATCCTGAGACTGAAGGTAATTTTGCATCAGTTGGCCGGACCTACTGGGCTAGCTGGGTCAAGATTATTAGTGCCTGGGTCTGCTATGCTATATATTTGTGGACACTCGTAGCTCCGACGATGATGCCCGAGCGATTTGATTATTAGCTTGAACATTAATCATTGATTCATGAAGGCCGGTGTTTGGGTACATGTTTTTCGATTGCGTCTGTCGTTTGAATTTACACATTGTTATACTAGGTGAACTATAGCATTGAATCTAGTCTGATTGCTTATCCCATTGCCAACGCATCTCGTAAAATGCATCTGACTGATTGTAACATGCACGAAATGGCCATCTGATAACCGATAAGAATTTCGATAAGAACGCGGCATCCCGCGTCATCGCGTGTTAACTAATTTGGACCATGCAACAACATCGAGAATGGAACGACGATGGCCACGATAAAACCTATCGAGGGTCGCTCGGTATGACTATTTGATCTGAGAGGATGTAGAAATGATGCTGATTTGAAACAGGTCCATCAAATCCAGTCCGGACAAGTCATTGTTGACCTTTGCTCGGTGGTAAAGGAGCTGGTGGAAAATAGCTTGGACGCCGGAGCTACTTCGATCGGTACGCACTTGTTTCTTTCTTATCTGTCCTGTTGGTCTGATTAGTAGTTTACAGAGGTGCGGTTCAAAAATGATGGACTGGATTCGATCGAGGTGCAGGACAATGGAAGTGGCATCGACCCTCAAAATTATGAGAGCATCGGTATGACTACGGAGAAAGTATCTCATGTCGAATACAATCTAATTTATGTTTACAACAGCTCTCAAACACTACACGTCGAAACTAGCCTCCTACGATGATCTTACGTCCCTGACAACTTTCGGATTCCGCGGCGAAGCGCTCTCTTCACTATGTGCTGTATCCAACTTCCACATAATCACCGCTCAGGCGCACCAAGCGCCAAAAGCAAATAAATTGGAATTCGAGCATTCGGGGAGGCTCAAGGGGACACAGATAGTTGCTGGACGAAAGGGAACCACAGTATCTATCTCGAATCTGTTTTCCAGACTGCCAGTGCGCCGGAAAGAGTTGGAGAAGAATATCAAACGCGAATTGGGCAAGGTTGTCAACCTACTCAACGAGTATGCTTGTATCAGCACTGGAGTGAGATTTAGTGTCAAAAATACCGACTCGAAGAAAAGGCAGCTCGTGCTGTTGACGACCAAACCGAATGCTTCGATAAGGGATAACATCGCGAATGTATATGGAGCCAAGACACTGTCGACGTTGATCCCTCTTGAATTAGAGCTCGAGTTCGAACCATCGGCGACCGGGAAGAGACTCAATAGGGATCTGAATAAGATTCATGTCCGTGGTTATGTCTCACGACCTGTGGTGGGAGAAGGCAGAGGAACACGCGATCGGCAAATGTACTATGTCAACTCCCGACCATGCGGTATTCCGCAAGTCGCAAAAGCTTTCAATGAAGTATACAAGACCTACAACATCTCCCAGGCGCCATTCGTGCTCGCCGACTTTCAGATGGATACGAATGCATACGATGTGAATGTTTCGCCGGACAAGCGCACTATTCTTTTGCATGATTCTGCTGCGCTTATTGAATCATTGAAAGAGGCGTTGGATCAGATGTTTCAGGAAGCTGAGCAGACAGTGCCACAGTCTCAGTTCACGAGCAATAAGCAGCAAACCGATATTCAGCAACGGTTGAAATCGTCTCCCATGAGGGCACCGCCTGAAAGGACAAGAGCTGAACAAGCTACCCCTGGTGAAGAAAGCCGAACAGATATATCTGAGCACGTTCAAGTAACATCTCAACATGCTCAAGAAGACAAAGCTGCGGAGGGGACAGATATTGAAAGTGTGATGCAGGGCGTTACCAACAGTCAAGTTACGATTGTCGATACGGCTGCGGATGCTGGAGAGTCTGATCACGGCGAAGATGTCGATGAGGCAGTCAAGAGAATAAGGGCACGGGCTGCTGAAGTGTCTCCGCAACTGGATGAGCGGCGAATCTTGACATTCCAGTCCCAATCTCCGCCGAAGCAAAGCAGCGTAATTCAAAACGCCTTTGATCGGATGCGACCAAGACGGCCACCCGCTGAAGTCGCCACAATCACTATAGGCGACAAAGTGACAACATCGATTGTTGGCCATGGCGCGTTACGGAAGAGAGATTCTTTCACTGCAGGCCATACGGAGAGCAAACGGCAGTCGAAACGCAGAATTCATACTCCGTCCAAGCCGAACATATTTGGTCAGAATCTTAGATCCTTTATCGCTCCTGGCGCGCAGACTCAAGCTCAAGAAGAAGAAGATGAGGAGGAGATCGATGAGATCGATGATAGTAGTGATGAGGAGGTGTTAGAAGACACGCAGTTGTCAGCGGGATCCGTAGAGTCACCGGATGAGACAGAGCCAGCTGATGAGCCTGTTGACGAAAGAGCCGACGAACAGGCTAAAGATTTACAACCAGATGCCACTTCCACGGAGTCTGACAAGGATGTTATGGATGAACAGGAAAATAAAGCTCGCGAAGACACTAAAGTCCAAGATCTTATCCGAAAAGCAGAGGAAAAGGGCGCAACCCATAGCGAAAATCACATCAAACGTGGGAACTATATTGAAAAGGAGCGACAAACTAATAAACATTCAACGGCCCGACTTGTTGGAACACTTGAAAGCTCCTTTGCTAAAATACAAGCTCAAATCGAGACTCTTCAGAGGCAATTAGGATCATACAAAAGACTTGACGAGGCCAAAGAGGACGAAGAACTATTTGTCCAGCAGCAAAAGACCGGCGAAGAACGTCTCTCATTAACCGTATCTAAAGATGACTTTGCCAAAATGCGGATTGTAGGACAATTCAATCTGGGGTTTATACTCGCGACACGATCACATGGAGCCGATGAACCAACGGCTCCTGCAGAAGATGAACTCTTCATTATCGATCAGCATGCCTCAGACGAGAAGTATAATTTCGAGCGCCTTCAAGCTGAAACGGTTGTGCAGAACCAGCGTCTTGTACATCCGAAGACACTAGATCTGACAGCCGTTGAGGAAGAGATCATCAGAGAGAACAAGGAAGCTCTCGAGAAGAACGGCTTTGTCATCGAAGTAGACGATAGTGGCAACGAGCCCGTCGGTCGACGATGCAAACTTATATCACTCCCACTAAGCAAAGAAGTCGTGTTTGACATCCGTGATCTCGAAGAGCTTATTGTCCTGCTTTCCGAAGCCCCAACTGGCGCCATGAGAAATGTGGCCGCATCGGATTCATACGTACCTCGACCTAGCAAGGTTCGCAAGATGTTTGCTATGCGTGCCTGCCGATCAAGTATTATGATCGGGAAGACTCTGACCGTCAAACAAATGGTGAAGGCGGTGCGGAATATGGGTACAATCGACAAACCTTGGAACTGCCCTCATGGACGGCCAACGATGCGCCATTTGATGACTTTAGGGTCTTGGGATGAATACGATGAATATAGTCTGAGCAATGAGCGACATATAGTTATGGAAGATTCGAGCAGTCCTTGGCGAAGATTTTGTGATTTGCAGAATCAAGAAGAGGAGTATGAGGAGGGAGAAGCAGGTGAAGAATGATAAATAACGAATCATAGATGATTGGCAATCTTGGATTAGAAACATTATAATCACTCATAAGCAAAAAACATAACATGTCATCACTGTCATAAATCATCAGACATCAAAGCTCGTTTAGGTCGAACAATTTACCACCACCATCTCCACCATCCACCTGCATTCTTCTTACCATCATCCTCGATTAGCTTGGCCTGCTGCCGTTCACCACCCTGGTCCGGCGGGCTGCTCTTCCCAGACGATTCGGACATTGTACCTGACGTCGCCGACGTACCAGTAATACCAGATGCCGAAGACGAAACATCATCCAGAATATCGACCGGCTCTTGAGCAACCTTGTTCCGATCTTCGTCCTCTCTCTCCGTCAGACTTCCATCCTCCTCCTCCACTTCGCCACGTAAGCGATCCTCACGATCCTCTCCGTCTTCCCTTTCCTCGTCATCACCAAAAGCATGCCCTTCAACCTGCCTCAACACCTCCTCCACAACCAACAAATCCCTCTCAATCATCTCCGCCCAATTCTGCACGTCGCCAATCTCCTTGAGTCCCTGCCGCGCACCATCCACTACTTTGTCCCACTGATCATTCTGCCTCGAGAGCTCAGCTGTATGTCTCGCTAATTCTTGCTCTTGCTTCTGGATCGCGGCTGCGTTGTCGTGAAGATCTGTGGCGCGGGCGCGCAGGTCGGCTGAGACTGTTTCGCCAACGGAGTGCAGTGAGGCAGTGAATGCGGTGCGGGCTTCGAGGGTGCGTCGGACTGCTTCTGGGTCTTGGGGTTGGTTTGCCGGGGAAGATAGAATAGATGAGGACGATGGTTGGTAGGTGGTTGTTGTTGTTGATGCCGAGATTACTGGTGGTGAGGTTACGGGTGTTGATGTATGTGTTGGGGGAGACTGGGTGGATCTTTCTTTTCCAGGTTGTTGGGCGGACATTATTTTTGAGTATGACAAACGAAGTTCAATTTATAATATTGTTCTAGATTGAAGATGTTTGTCTAAACAGTGAGTGGACATGAATGTTAAGCTTAATGCCCTTCCCCGCTCTTCAAATCTTTTGCTTATCATTTGCTGATAAGACAGATCATCGTCAACGCGGGTCGAGAACCTCTAATTAAGATACGACTGCTTGTGAAACCGCATATTAATTCCACCCTCTATGCAATGAAAATTTAGCATGATACAAGTATCAACAGTCATACATTAGACGCCCAAAATAAATGAAAGGCACATCAAAACAAGGAAAAGATGCGTGGATAAGGCACCAGCAAGCCATGATTAGATCCATACAGAGTGGCTATGTAGTATGTCGAAGGGCAAACAAACAGATCAACGCCGTGCTTTTGCTCCCAGCCTCAAATATCAGCCCGCTCAGAAATCCTTATAAAACAATAGGAGGAAATATAAATGACGAAAGGATCGATGCCCAGATCTACATCACATGTTGGCGAGTTCTTGGTCAATTTGAGAATCAACAAAAGTGCGTCGGTCGCCAGTCAATTCGGTCTGGAGTCGTTGTTCGACAAGAGCTCTCACTATAAATCAAGAAGTTAGTATGTTATCTCTTTCCAGGACTGAAATCTACGTACCTTGCTTCTTGGTGACGTTGTCAAGATCGACCTCACCCAAAACCTGGCGGATAGCCTCCACAATCGTATGATCATCAGGTCCATGACCAGGTCCAGTTCGGAAGTCCATCACGGTGCTTACGGGCCGAGAGCCGTAGCCACCGCCTAGAGGGCTTCGCTGTCGACCTGGTACACCCAAGAGATTATCGGAGCTTTGCATCATAGGCATGCTTAATCTACTTGCATTCATCGCGTTATCCTGGTAGCTGCTCAGATTACCCATAGACATATGACGTTGGGCGTGACCACCGAGTTGAGGGGCGTCAGTGTATCGTGTGAAAGACGACATTCGCGAGTTGCGGTTGTTATTTCCACCAAACGGAGCAGGAGACTGGGGAGGCATGTACGGGCCACGGCCACCAGGGAAGCCTGTCAAGATAGTGGATGCTGGCTTTACAGACGAATATGTCGAGCGGAAATCGTCCATCTCCATGGCGGCTTCATCAGTGTAGTGCATAGGCTGCTTCTCTTCACCATATTCGGGGTTACCACGTCGACCAGGTAGGTTATTTGCCAAGGCGTAGTCATCCCATCTTTGGAGAGGAATGCTTCTGGGGTCAAATGGTTCGTCTTCCACAGCCACAACACGTTGATCGCCTTTTTCTCCGATGACAACACGCGTGTTTCCCCACGTGAAGTCGTCTTGTTTCCAGAACGAGTAAAGAGGCAGTACAACAGAGTAAATTGGGAAAGCACACAAGTATATGATCATCCAACCAATATGCTGCCACTGACGCTTAAGAATAAAGAGGACAGCCTGAAGACCGTAGACGGCAGCCAACAAGACGATGGAGATGATACCAAAGTCACCTTTATGGCTAGCAACCAGATAGATAAGGTAAATCAAGTACGCGCAGGTGGCAGGAAGGATAATTGTACCCAAGAGATCGATCAAGACGATGAAACGCATGCTAAAACAGCAGAACCCGCACAGATCCTTGAGAGCAGCCAACTCTACCAGGTTGTGTATAGTGGAGTTGATCCAGCGACGCCTTTGAGACAAAAGCACACTCCATGTTTCAGGCGCAGCAGTGCTGGCATAGGCATCGGCAATGAACTTGTAGGACATGGTAGGGAAGTGTTTTGCCATAAGCGTTGTAAGGAATCGATCCTCTCCTAAGGCCAGAAGATTCTTCTTATGCAAGGTATCAAGATCACCATCAGAGTACTCCTTGATGACCTTATCAGAGATGATTAATGGTCGACCTTTATCAGCTGTCCTCAGACGGTACATGCAGAAACTGCATCACACAAATTAGTTCATACTCTTAACTTTAGAAAAGATGCAACTCACCATCCAGGAAGACAAGTGACACTGCCGAATAAGGATTCAAAAGCTTTGGAGAGATGATGGGAAATATAGTATTCGTAAACCTGAATCATCGTCCACCAACTTCTTTCTTCGTTCTGTAGACTAGTTTCACCACAAATACCCGCAATTCTGGCATCGTTGGCGCAAGCGGCCACAAGTCGGTTGAGCGAATCCTCTTTGACACTAGTATCGGCATCGACCATGAAAAGGAACTCGTAAAGCTCGGGGTCGACACCAATCACGTTGTTAATTTGATGGAAAATTTCCAATTCCAGCGGCGACATCGGTGCCCTATGGTGCACGCGGTTGAGGAAGTTGAGCAAAAGAACCTGGGAATCACGCTTTCCACGATTTCCTGGCTTGGACTTTGACTGCTCTGATTCCTTTCCGACTTTAACGATGACAATGTACGGAACAACGTTGCCTTCGAATTCATACAAACCAGAATAGACTTTACCGTAGTTCAATTGGTCACTTCCTTCGCCAACGGATCTGAATGGCAGAGCTGGTGGATCGACCTTCGGGTCTACGCCGAGGATGTCAAGCACGATCTTTGGAGTCGGTCGATCATTTCCACCTCCAACAATCATTCCGTCACAGACAACGCAAATGAGCTTTCTCTTGTTATCATACTGAAGAGCTGTAAGCGAGTCCAGACCTTTTCGCAATGAGTCTTCGCCTTCCGTATATGCTGGAACCTGGCAGATGACAAATTTGTCCTGAGGAGCCGGACGAGGCTTTGAGCCAAACTGAAGTGCAGCCAAAAATTTTACAAGAATGACGGAGCAAACAACGATCGTGAAAGCAAGCAGAATCCAGTTGTTGACTGTACATCTTGCAGACTGTCTGAAATCCACCTTTCCGACATAGAAAACATTCTTCATGCAAGTAAGAGCATTCTGAAACTGGACAGAGTTCTGCCACTTGTCGGTAATATCTGAGCCCACGTTTTGTTTGATTAGAGTCGTCACGGCGCTTGGTAGAAAATCGTACGTGTCTAGATCATTCATCAAAGAAGCGGTGTAAAAGTAGTCGGTCAAATCGTATACTCCATCGTTGATAATTACCCAGTATCTGGCGTCATTATTTGCCTGATTAGTGATCGTGTCTCTCGTCCACACGATATCTCCTTTGTAGTACTGGGCCATAAAGGGAAGAAACCTATCAGCATACCACGTGATGTTGTGTAGTGCAGAGTCGGTAACGGTTTGCAGAGGTCCGCTGGTGTGAACAGCTGTCACCTCAGGGGTGGCATCAGTGTTGTTGTGTGATAAAGTGATAGAAGTGTCCGATACAAATGCCGCGCAGCCTTGAGTCAGAGGTACGGGAAAGTAAGGATCCAAGATCTCTCCTGCAGCCCACTGCATATTTGTTGCACTAGTCGTTGTGGTTGTGTCACTATGTTGGGTCCGCCAGAATTTGCTGATATCATAGACCGTGCCGCGAACGCCGACGTAGAAATCATTGTCACCCTGATTGTAGCTGAGTTCTTGCTCGTTCCAGACTTTATTTTTGTTGGGACAAAGAAGGGTTCCAAACTCGATAATCCAGAAAACCATAACCCCATTGAAGAAAAGAATGAGGGCTACCAGTACGACTTTCTCTCGCCAAGCCATGCGAATATCTGGTCTCTTCATTCGCCCAATGTATCGCAGAGCGAATGAAGGAATCCAAAAAGTCAATGCCCACACTAATGCGGTCCAGAGACGTCGGCCCAAAGTGATTTTCTTTTTTTCAATATGTTTGGGCTGACCAAATTCAGGATCCCCGGCGAGACGATTCAACTCGGCCTCATAATAGGCATCGTCGCCTTTGTAATCATCGCCCTTGGAGCCTAGCCCATAGTCACCACCGCCCATTGAGCGTAGTGTCTGATTATTAGTTGGGGCGATTGAACGAGCCATGCCTGGAGACATTGTGCTTTGCCTGTTGACGTTGAGGAGATTGTCACGGCTGGCTATGAAGCTGCTACTATCCGCGATGGGCATCGCTGGGAAAAAGCCTGATCCATTGGGGTTCGGAGGTGTCGCGGAATAACCGCTCTCGAAAGGGTTAATTGGCATATCGCCGGGAGGTTTGAGATCGAGCATTGACTCGGCTTCCCACCAAGCGCCTTCTCGCATCCAGATCCGTTCCTTCCCAACAACTACGTCTCCATTGCTCCATCCTCTCTCGAGTATCCAGCTTTCGACGCCATCCTTTCCCTCCTTGCAACCCAGAGGCGCATATCTGGTCACAAATTCGTCCACATCAAAGTCGGCAGTGAAATCAAGATGTTTATGTCGTCTATTGGCCCATTCAGGGAGTCGCCAATCTCGCAGTTGACGGGAAACCGCTCCAGCGGACCATGGAGATGTGCTAGGTGATGCTGCGAAACTCTCAGGTGTATCATCTGTAGGATGAACAGCAAGATGATACCACACTCTGCTACTACCCAAGGTAGCTGCAAGGTCAAAACGACCACGCTTCCCAAGGGTTATACCTTCGTTTGGGTCAGGGAATAGAATGTCCCTGAGAAAACCACCAATCTCCACCTCGACTCCAACTTTCTCTAGCACGCCCTGTCTCTTATCATTAAGATGTTCGCGTTCACGGAAGGCAACGCTATCTGTTATCCCAAGATCAGCCTCGACTTCGGCGACAGCGTTTTTCATCTCATTTATGACTGATTGGCCGGGGCTGACGATCTCCACGCCATCCTCCTTCATTTCAGCATTGATACCTTGTTCATCATTGAACACACCCTGGAGAGCGGCAGCCTTGCCAAGAGGCGGGCTTGGGATGTCAACAACAGTGAGCGTCACAGTATCTGAAGCGTCTTCGGTGTGCCATGGAGCACCCGAGCCGTCGCTGGATTCGTTTTCCTGGTCAGCTTTGATCTGCGTGGCAATCGCTTCATTGGCCTTGTTTATAACCCAATCGACCAAGGCCTCATAAATGCCTGTAACGAGCACCGTGCGGTCATCAGTAGAACAGCCGTGAAGTAAAGCTTCGGGATCCACGCCTAGAAGTTCGGCCGCTTCTTCACAAACATGTTCGAGGTCTTCTTCATCAACCAGAAATCCGAGAGTGTTTCCTAACTTGAGAATACCGGCCAAGATCGACAAGAGGCCTCTTTGTGCGGCCCCTCTTATTCCAATGGCTTTGAGAGCCGAACGAAAGTCTTCGGCCGCGGCAGCATCGTCTGCGGTCGGTAAAAATGAGGGGGGTTCGTAAGTCCCAGATTTGTTCAAGATCGAGTAGGTAGAAGGCTCTTTAAGATCGAGATACTCTTTCTCTGCCTGGCTAGACTCGGCATTTATCAGATAATAAAAGACGTCGAAGGCGCGATAGCCAGGCTCGGCAGGTACATCCAGCAAGCCCCTCGTAAGATTGAGCCCCGACTTAGATAATGCGAGTGTCAAGCCGGTGACATTGCCAGCAAGCGTAAATGTGTAGGACACCGCCAAGGATGAGTAAAGAGAGTATGACGGGTTGAAAGGCGTGACTGCGGTAACAAACGGGCGAATAGCATTGAGAGAGGCGTATAGTATTTCGGGTGTCGATAGCGGTAAGACAGAGAGGAACGATGGCAGCAAGGTAGGACAGGATCGATGAAGGGCACTGTAGAAAAAGTTAGCAACCTAGTTATGTCACTATACCCATCCGGTTTAAGGTATATACCTTAGCACAATACAACCATCCTCTGCTCTGCGTCGCGCGTGTTCCCACGCTCTCTGGCCTAGCTGGGGATCAACGATACCACCCGGCGTGCCATCCGGATTCAAATGAGATACTGTTAGCCATGTGTTCACGACCAGACTTGTCCCAGCTTCAAGCGGATATGGTTGAGCTGTCGAATATGAATTGTGGAGTGAATTGAGCAAGGTAGTTGTGGAAATCTGAGAAGCAGACTTTGGAAGACCAGGATTCGAGGTAGTGGAAAAGATCGAGAATCGATTCGACATTGTTGTGGTTGTTGCTGTTGAAAACCAACGAATGAAGCAAATGTGCTGCTGTCTCTTAGGACATGAGCCAATCTCAACGACGAGCGAGTGCAGTCGTCGTCCTGATGTTTTTTAATAGACCAGAAATGTGGTGTGCAAGAGGAGAATGATAATGCAGTCAAGTCCTCTTGATCGAGATGGCAAGCACTCGAGTCAGTGAAACGTTAAACACCCCTGTTTCTAGTAGCGAACGAATAGACCGTCTCTAGCGAAAGTCGTCAGTGATATGCCGAAAGACAAAATGTATCACCGAAATGAGGATAAAGAGATGTCCACAGAACGAAAAAATAAAGAAAAGCGATGGTATGAATAGCGGCTGGAATGAGACACGGAGAGGAAAGGTTCTGAGCGAACATGCCTCTTTGCTCCTTCCTCTGTTTGCAAAGTTGCTGTTGGCGGTCCGGGGTGTATTGTAAGTTACATGTAATGTATACGTACTGTGACAGCTCGGGGAAGTAATTCTTTTTTGGCCGCAATGACCACGGTATCATACTTACAGGCCGAGAAAAAGCTGATATGTATTAGACATATGCAATAGACAGCCTATCAACTACAATAACTTTACTTTAAACTTCGTCATATGCCAGGAGAACACCGTCCATCGTGTTTTTGGTTTGGGTACCATATTGACGAGTGCACGTATCACATAACCGAGGAAAAAGAAAAATTGAAAAGTAAACAGACCGTAAGTTACTCCGTTGATCCTCGACGACGGGGGCTTGTGGCGATGGAAGTGAGACAGATGTGATAATTTATGCCCCCCCTTGTTTTGTATGAAACAATGCAACGGCTGTTTCCGTACTGTACCGTGGTGTAAGATTAAGTGGACCTATTTCCGAAACAAGAATGACATACCACATCATAAACAAAGCATACTATGTACTACGTAGTAAGCTGGCTATGTGTTACGCCCTGACAGATCTTCAATTTGCTTGAAGACTTTCCTACGGCTAGTAGCTGAGGACGCCCAGCATTGATGAATATGCTTTAGCATACGTGCTGTATTCATGACTTACAGACTTTTTCATGAGATTCTAGCGTAACTAGCCGACGGAGACGATAGATGACTAAGAACCATAGCACGGATTGTGAGTGGCTGGATGGCGAGGCTCGTCGATTAGCTTTCGGCCCATCTCCACCCAGGCCCAGCCAAAAGTCTAGATGTTTCTGCCAGTGTTTCACGCAAGTCCCTTTGATTTGAGCAAGGTAGAAGACACCAGAAGATGGAAACTGTGGCGGCCAGAGTCTATGACTTCATTCATGGAAAAGATCGCCACGAGAATATCAGTGTAGAGCAAGGCTGGCTTGTTTACATGGACCGGTGTTGTTGTTTACCACATTCCAAAGGGGGAAAGTATAAATAAGCAGGGAAAGCCGCAGCGGAGCGCTCTGATTGGCCGCACCAGGCACTGCAAAATGGATTCTCAGTCTGCCAGCACGTCCACATTACAACGAGATAGATATCTTGAGGTTTTTGATCTGGAATACTTACTACTGTCGCCTGACACATGTACATTTGCAGCTGACACAGTACGTCAGACTGTGTGAAGACAGTCAAAGCCTACACACTAATGCCTATTTATAACACACAAGAGCTGGTATGTCTTAGACAATCGACAATACTTCAGCACGCTAGCTGGATTGGGAGTAGCTGAAAGCCGCCGCACTGCCGGATTGGACGGGTCTCAGTGTGGGCAGACCGATCAGCCTCTAGTCACTGTAGCGCCGTAACTGTACGTACCTAGGTTTCTCGGCCCATACAAAGAGTCGCCTGTGTTTTGTGATTGGTTTTTATTCAGCGTAATCCGGTGTTCCGGAACGCTACCCGTACTAAATACGGTAAACAATAGCGTAACATTATTCGATACCAATAGCTGGCAACAAAAAAGGAGAAAGAGCCAGGTCTTGTTGCTCATGCAAAAATACAATACGCCTGCCCCTCTTGTGGAATGACACAAAATCATATGATGGTCTTTTTGTAACGGCTCACCSGCGTACTGACTGTCCTGTACGGTACTGTCAATACCATACCAATGGAGAATCGCAAGTGACGCCCCGACTACCTTCCTCCCATCCAGATCGAGAGTTAGATTTCTCTGCTGTCCATCTCAACACTTCTCAATCTCCCTGCATTCTCCATTAGACCTTCACACATTCGTTACAAAGTACTGTTTTCGCTCCATATTCTTTCTTCTTGTCCAGACCGCGTACATTGGTTCGTTGCCTCGCGTCAGACTTTTGCTGTGGTGTGTTTGGTGTGTTCATCTACAGATAATTTAATTTTCTTCAACAGCACGACTTTACTTTCGTTCCACTTACGACCCTTTTTCGAGAAGCGCTCTGTTTTCGGAAGCCCTCGAGTATAATCTCGTGGCCAGATTATCAGGCCTTCATAACAATGTGCTTCATGTCTCTCGCTTTGTAAGGAAAATCGACAACGCTTGCAATTGTTCCAGGGGTGGCATTTTGACCGCAGCCGACTCTTCTGTGATACTTTGGAGTGGATATTCTACAGCAGACTAGTTTAATACTCTCGACCTGAATCATACTGAGTTTTTGAGCGAGCGGTCGACCGGCCAGCCATCATGGCTCTCCACTCATTCCCCGGGAGCACACCCTCTCATGCACAGTCTTCACTACCGTCACTGCCCTCGCATTTACAATCTGATACACATCTAACGGCCCATTTGGCGAGCAGGTGAGTCTATCATGTGGCCAGGCATATTCATCATAACTAATCCGGTGATTTTGGTACAGATTTCATGTCTCCTTGCCCACAGCTCGTCTTTCATCGCAGGCTTTGATTTGTCTGAATACCTATACCTCCTCGACCAAAGGTCCCGATGGCGGAAAAGAGGGTAGCGCCATGGGCGAAGCTGAGGATTTGGCCAAACGAGCTTTTACCCGGCTGGGAGCCCGTGGTGAAAACCAGGCGGTCGTATTCTTGTAAGTCTATCAAACCGAAGCCTCTCCCGGGTATATGCTGCATTCGCCTCTAGCTTCATGTCTGACAGTATCTTATTTCAGGGGCGAAACTGGTTCCGGCAAAACTACAGTGCGATCTCACGTCCTGTCATCCCTTCTTTCGTTCTCTGCAACCCCTCTATCAACCAAGTTGTCATTAGCAGCCTTCGTTTTCGATACCCTCACTACCACCAAATCCGTGACCACGCCGACAGCGTCAAAAGCCGGATTATTCTTTGAACTCCAATACGACTCGTCGTCGAACAACCCTTTACTGATTGGAGGTAAAATCCTCGATCATCGCTTGGAAAGGAACCGCATCACCTCAGTTCCGACAGGTGAACGCAGCCTTCATGTGTTATATTACCTACTAGCGGGCACAAGCGCGGCAGAAAAGGCTCACTTGGGGCTCGAGTCATCTGGCTTACATGCTGGCCCGGGTAGCAATCAGAAGCGATGGCGTTATCTTGGTCATCCGACTCAGCTAAAGGTCGGTGTCAATGACGCCGAAGGCTTTCAGCATTTCAAGACGGCTTTGCGGAAATTGGAGTTTCCTCGCAGCGAAATTGCAGAAATTTGTCAGGTCCTAGCTACCATTCTTCACATTGGTCAACTTGAATTCGTGACTGGTCAAAGCACTACAACTGGAGCTGAAGAAAGCGGTGGGTACTCTCATGAAGGCGGCGAAAGTGTGACAATGGTCAAGAATAAGGAAGTTTTGGACTGTATCGCCGCTTTCCTGGGACTCAGTACGGAAGACCTAGCTGTCAGCTTGCGTCACAAGACTAAAACTATTCACCGCGAACGTGTAACGGTTATGCTCGATCCTCGTGGTGCTCGACAAAACGCAGATGAGCTTGCTCGAACACTCTATTCCCTTCTAGTCGCCTACGTGATTGAGAGCATTAACCAGAGAGTGTGTGCTGCCGAGGACAGCGTTGGCAATACCATATCTGTTATTGATTTTCCTGGCTTTGCTCAGTCCGCCAACTCATCGACCCTTGATCAGCTTCTCAACAACGCAGCTGTAGAATCGCTATACAGCTTTGCTCTACAGAGCTTCTTTTCGAACAAGGCAGACCGCTTGGAAAGTGAGGAGGTTAGCGTTCCAGCAACAAGCTACTTCGACAATTCAGATGCCGTTCGAGGTCTTTTGAAGACCGGGAATGGCTTACTCGCAATCATCGATGACCAGACAAGGCGAGGGAAAACTGACATGCAAATGCTTGAAAGCCTCAAGAAAAGATTCGAGAATAAGAACCCCGCCATCACGGTAGGAGACAGTGAGACCAAGCTTCCTGGAAGTAACTTCGTGACGCCCAGCACGCAGGCCACGTTCACCGTTAGACACTTCGCTGGTGAAATCGATTATCCGGTTAATGGCTTGATTGAAGAGAACGGAGAGACCATATCGGGGGATCTGATAAACCTGATTAGCTCCACACGCAGTGACTTCGTGCGAGAGCTTTTCGGACAGGATGCCTTACAGAAAGTCACCCATCCCAAGGAGCGAAGTGCTGTGGTTCAAGCTCAAGTCAGCTCCAAGCCCATGCGGATGCCCAGTATGGCTCGTCGCAAAACCAGTCCGGCTTCCAAATTGAATCCGTTCAGTAATCGAGCTGGCAGGGATGACGATGATAGTGATAGTAACAATGGCAGCACCAAAACCGGTCACACGTCGCGTAAAAAGACCAACGGCACCGGCGCAGATCAGGGGGCTGCTGGTCAATTCTTGGCATCACTGGAAGTGATCAAACAGTGTCTAAACGCACCCAACCTGAATCCCTATTTCGTTTTCTGTCTCAAGCCCAACGACCGACGCATCGCAAATCAGTTCGACAGCAAATGTGTGCGCATGCAGGTGCAGACTTTCGGAATTGCTGAGATCAGCCAAAGACTGCGCAACGCGGACTTCAGCGTTTTTCTTCCCTTTGCCGAATTTTTGGGCCTAGCTGAAGCTGAGAGCATTGTGGTTGGCAGTGATCGTGAGAAGGCTGAGCTTGTCCTCGACGAACGAAAATGGCCTGGTAACGAAGCACGTGTCGGTAGCACGGGCGTTTTTCTTAGCGAACGATGCTGGGCCGACATTGCAAAACTCGGCGAACGAGTCCTTCCAACGTATCAGGCTGATTCACTCAACGATGGAGATGGAATGCTTCATCCTGGATCCTATAGTGACCACAGAGTCCGACTTCTCAGCTCTGGTGAAAACAGTCCGAGCGGTGCTTTTATTTACGGAGACGAGTCTAAACAAGGTGGCTATTTTGGCAGTCGCGATATCGATGGTCGATCAGATGCTGGCGCTTCAGCCTTCAATTCTGGCGATATGTTCAAAAATTTGGAGACTCGAGAGCAGATGGCGGAAAAAAGTAAAGAACGCAAAATGGAAGAAGTGGACATTCTACCAGTTTCTGGTAGTCGGAAGCGATGGCTCTTTATTGTGTACCTTCTCACCTTCTGGGTGCCTGATTTCATGATCAGGTTTCTGGGAAGAATGAAGCGAAAAGATATTCGAATGGCGTGGCGCGAAAAGCTGGCTATTAACCTGATCATCTGGCTATCCTGCCTCATTGCAGCTTTTATTGTTGTCGCCTTCCCCCTTCTAATCTGCCCTCGACAGAACGTATATTCGGCAGAAGAACTATCATCTCATAACGGGAAAGACGGCGCATCATCGTATGTCTCCATCCGAGGCGTAGTGTTTGACCTCGACTCGTTCGTTCCCTCTCACTATCCGAAAAACCTGATCCCTTCATCCGCGTTCGATAACTATGCTGGCGTCGATGCCACAGCTCTTTTCCCAGTCCAAGTGTCCGCTCTCTGTCAGGGCGTTAATGGTTCCGTTGACCCAAGTGTACTCCTTGATTTTACTCCCGTCAACATCACTGGCTCCGCCACCACAATAAGCTCCGCAGACGCAAACTCCAAGTATCATGATTTCCGCTACTTTACCAACGATTATCGTGCGGATTGGTTCGCCGAACAGATGATGATGCTCAAGGGCTCTTATAAGAAAGGCTATATTGGATACAGCTCACAGTACTTACAGACCCTGGCAAACACAAACGGCCGTTCTGTAGCCAGTCTTAACGGTAAAGTTTATGATTTCACCGACTACGTTGCTGGAGGTCGCCGAACTCTTGGTCCAAACAACACTACTGGGCCAGCCGGTGTGAGCGTCGATTTCATGGATCCTGTTGTGGTCAATTTGTTCTCAGAAAGGTCTGGACAAGACGTTACCCAACGCTTCAACCAGCTCGACATGGACCCTGAATTACGACAACGTATGCAGTTGTGTATGGACAACCTATTTTTCGTCGGCAAAGTGGACACTCGAAACTCTGTGCAATGCAAATTCTCTGAGTATTTCATCCTTGCCATCACAGCCCTGTTGGCTTCGGTCATCATTGCCAGGTTCTTGGCTGCCCTTCAGTTCGGTAAGAAGAACATGCCAGAGAATTTAGATAAGTTCATCATCTGCCAGGTTCCCGTCTATACGGAAGATGAGGATTCCCTCCGCCGTGCTATCGACTCAATGGCTCGCATGAAGTACGATGACAAGCGTAAATTGCTCGTTGTCATTTGTGATGGAATGATCATCGGTCAGGGCAATGACCGCCCTACCCCAAGAATAGTTCTGGACATTCTCGGTGTCCCTGACACTGTTGACCCTGAACCTTTGAGTTTCGAAAGTTTAGGCGAGGGCATGAGACAACATAACATGGGCAAGATCTATTCCGGTCTTTACGAAGTTCAGGGTCACATTGTGCCTTTCATGGTTGTTGTCAAAGTTGGAAAACCGTCTGAAGTATCTCGACCAGGTAACCGTGGCAAACGAGACTCGCAGATGATCCTCATGCGCTTCATGAACCGCATCCACTACAATCTTCCTATGAGCCCGATGGAACTAGAGATGTACCACCAGATTCGCAATATTATTGGCGTCAACCCTACATTTTATGAATTCATCTTGCAAGTCGACGCCGATACAGTCGTTGCTCCGGATTCTGCCACACGAATGGTATCATCGTTCCTTGCGGATACTCGTATCATTGGACTTTGTGGAGAGACCGCCTTGAGCAACTCGCGAAAGTCTATAATTACAATGATTCAAGTCTATGAATACTACATCTCTCACAACCTGACAAAAGCATTTGAGAGTCTGTTCGGGTCCATTACTTGTTTACCTGGTTGTTTCACCATGTATCGCATCAGATCCGCAGATACTGGTAAGCCACTGTTTGTGAGCAAGGAAGTAGTGGAGGCATACGCGGAAATTCGAGTCGATACACTCCATATGAAGAATTTGCTTCATCTTGGTGAAGATCGTTACCTCACTACGCTTCTTATCAAGCATCATCCGAATTACAAGACAAAATACAGCTTCCGTGCTCACGCATGGACTATTGCACCCGAGAATTGGAGTGTTTTCCTTTCTCAGCGTCGAAGATGGATTAATTCTACCGTGCATAACTTGGTTGAGCTGGTTCCCATGCAGCAGCTTTGCGGTTTTTGTTGCTTCAGTATGCGCTTCGTGGTCCTTATTGATTTGATGAGTACGGTCATCCAACCAGTGACTGTAGCGTACATCGTTTACCTTATTGTATGGCTTATCCTCGATACATCCCAGATTCCTATCACGGCTTTCATTCTGCTTGGAGCTATTTACGGTTTGCAAGCGATAATCTTTATTCTTCGACGCAAGTGGGAAATGGTCGGTTGGATGATCATCTATATTCTTGCGACCCCCATCTTCTCGCTCGGTCTGCCTTTATACTCCTTCTGGCACATGGATGACTTTTCCTGGGGTAACACTCGTGTGGTCACTGGTGAAAAGGGCAAAAAGATTGTCATTTCCGACGAGGGCAAATTCGATCCTGCTTCAATTCCGAAGAAGAGATGGGAAGAATACCAAGTGGAGTTGTGGGAAGCACAATCTCGAGTTGATGACGCTCGCTCAGAGGTATCTGGGTACTCGTATGCCACCAAGTCATACCATCCAGCAGCAACTGAGTACGGATACCCGGCATCTCGACCAATGTCGCAGCTTGATTTGACATCCCGGCTTGGCTCCCGCATGTCACTAGCTCCATCTGAGATGTTGGGTGGTGCTGCCAACTACGAATTGACCGATCTCACTGGCCTGCCTTCTGACGATGCTATTCTCGCCGAAATCCGAGAGATCTTGCGCACAGCTGATTTGATGACGATTACGAAGAAGGCTGTCAAGTTAGAACTTGAGAAGCGCTTTGGTGTCAATCTGGATGCCAAGCGTCCATACATCAATTCTGGTAAGTTAACATGTCTGATTCATAAACACCCATCTTGATGCACAGATTTACTAACAGGAATTTGCCTCTAGCCACCGAAGCAGTCCTCTCTGGTCAACTATAAACAGACTGAACAGCCCAATTGTTCTCCCAGTGAGCTCATCTCATCTCATATCTCACAGCGCATCAGAAGATAACGAAGTATATCTCTCCCACTTTCCCTCTCAATCATAAGTACGGAGTTTTTTTCTGCCAAAATCATTTCAAAATCAGGGGTCCTTCATGTTCTCATCTTAATCATCCAAACTGTTTAGTTCTCATCTTTCGTTCTACTTGCGGATTTCTTTACCCTTTTTACTGTCTCTTTGTGATGATGTAGCACATACATAAAGTCTTGTTGTTTGTTTGCGACCTTTTTCGTGTCTTGTATGACTAAATTATAGCGGAAGTATTTGCCTACTTAGGTTTTAATAAGACATGAATGATCTCTAATATATTTGATGATATTGGTCGAATATTCCTGGCTAATGGAAATTTAGGCCAACTAAGTCTATTCACAGGTGTGGCATGGTAAAAGTAATATGGACGGAAATTCTACTTCAAATCGAGGACTCGACTGAGACAAACCAGGCCGAAAATGTGTTCTCATTTCTAAACTTGAATTCCTTCATGACTGTTCTTCTCTCATGCTCATACTCGTTTTCTTTCTCTGTATTTTGATCCCCCTAATTCTTTCATTTCACATCAAATTTTGAGGTTTGAAACATGAATTTCTTCCAGCCTAATCACTCCTATAGCTTGCCCGATCCTTCCCATGAAATCCATCCATCCATTCATACTGATAAGAACAAAACCTTTTTTGCTTTAGTGGTATCAAAAGGAGATAATAACAGGCACATGAAAAAACAAACATCAAAACGCAACAGCACATGACAGACACGGCTGGAAACTCAAAAATCAGGAAAACAAAAGCGTGGCATAGCGTAGCGTGTCGGGGTATATTGCTGCAAATTGGTATCTTGGCATGGATATAATCTCTCTTTGTGTTTTTGTTTTTCCTTCAACGTGTATTATGCTTTCAACGAGGTGGCCCAATTGGAGCCGGGTATCCAGAAGTAGAATTGGAAGTACTAGGACGACCAGAATCAAAAGAAGCGCGCAGGTCATGTTTGGGGGTAATATCACCAGGGGCGGTACCAAAGGGGAATTTCATGTCAAAGCGAGATGGCCAGCCATTGCTGCTGCTACTATTGTGACTGTGGGAACTACCCACATGATGGAGATCTTCCTCGGGCAGGTTGACCCCCGAGTCATTCCATGGGTTGCGGTAACCGCTATCGCGAGATTCCATAGAGATCAAAGACGCCTTTGACGCGTTACTAGACGCGTGCTTGAAGAAGGACGCCGGCGAGGCAGAATGGTTCTTGCGGCCGATGAAGGATGAGAACGAAGAAATACTTCCAGGCTTGCGCAGTCTCTCAAAGATTGATCCACGTTCGCTGACATCGTCGCCGAAACTAGGGCGAGTCGGTGAATCTGTAACGAGAGGTGCCGGGGCATGCTGCAACAACTTGGAGTCGAAGAAAGGAAGCGAATCTTCAAAAGAGTCGGACTTCGGACGTGGAATAGCACCTTTGACTGTTGTAGCATCAAGACCGTGCGCGACAAGTCGGGAAATCAAAAAGTCAATTGCGTCCTTGAGACCTCCGGCATTGTTTCGAGTGTATCCCAACACAACCCGGTCTTCTGAAGGGGTGGGGGACGATGTGCCATTCTCGGTTCCAGGCTGGGTAAGTTCCGCAGCCATATCGATAGTAGCATCAACTTCGTATTGGTCTTTGAGCTTGCTACGAACGTCCTCTGCGAAATCGACAGACTTGAAGAAGTCTCTCAATTCTGCGGAGCTTTGAAAGGATAATTCGTGGTTTTCAGGGACCATACCCTAGAAGAAAGTCAGCTCTAGTTCTATTGATTTGAGGTTGAACTAATCTTACCAAGAAAGCGTCCACCGCTTGTGGGACCTGATATTCAGGTCCCGAAATTGTCACGACGTCGCTTGCAAGCTCAGTGCTTGGGAACTCAATCTTGCAGTTCCATTTCTTTTCAAGCTCTTCGATTTCACGAATGCGAGCCAATAGTTCACGGTGGTAGAGACGATTGATCAGAACAGTTTCAGAAACATATTCAGCATCCTATTACACTGTTAATATTTCAGTGACATTACACTTCGGACACAGAGACTTACCACTTTCTCAACCATGTCCATAATCTCCTGCTTCACGAGATCTAAGCTCTGCGCATTCCTTGCTGGGGTTCGACAGATGACATTGTCAACCTTGACGTCGTCGTCTTCTTTACCAATGCCGCCACGGTCCATTGCGTTGGAAAACTTGACAAAGACGGAGTATTTCTTCATGATGCGTTGAATATGCTGGCCGCCAATACCGATGATACGCTTGTGGTACTGGTCTGGCACATGGAAGGAGATAGATGCCGGCATCTCTTGCTCTACCAGATCCAGACCATTCTTAGTAGCGTCGTATTGAGTACCGCAGACATCGATGTAGAAATTGTACTCATTGAATCCGTCAAAGATAATCTGGACATTGCTCTGACCCATGATCTTGTTGATTTTGCCATTCTTTTTGCCGCTGACAAATTCTTTGTGCTCATTGGCGAGTTCGATCTTGACACGGATCTGGTAGGGACAACGCTTGACGAACGGGATCTGGTAGATCACGTTCATGGCTGCCTTGACGGCATCGTCTGATCCGTTGATTGAAAATGTCATATTCTCGAAACTAACGTCGGCATCCGAATTGATGCAAATGTCGGATAACATGGGGCGAACCTCGTGAGGAGAAGGAGATCGAATACCGCCTTGGTTGGGATCAGACATGATAATCCACCAGGAGGCACTGTAGAATTGACCGGCCAGTGCCATTATCTCCCGCACAGTTCGTTCGACATGAAGAACTTCAGTTCCTTGAATACGAACAAGGCCACGTTGGCTACCAAGCTGTGGGAAAAGGACATATGATCCATTGGCTTCCATAACCTTCCGAACTTTGTCCAATCGGTCTAGCAGGATGTTGTCAATTTTGCTAGCGGACAGAACGACGTCTTTAACGTAGATCTTGACGCCCAATACCAATTCACGAAGCTTTTGCTTGGCCCTTGCAATGTTCTCCATATTTTCACCAGTAATGTAAACTTCATCCTCGCTTCGTCGGTGAGCGCCAGGCGGAGTATAGCCGAAAATACGGGGAAATGGCGGTGGGAAGTAGATTGCAGTGTCAGTAACAGCTTCAATCAACTTGATGTTCTTACGAGTGCGGCCACAGACGAGAGTATGCATCGTCAATTCGAGTTTCATGGCGTCGACATGTCGTTTGAGCTTTAAAAGTTAGCATATAGAGGATACTTTGAAGGATATTTAGACTTACAATCTGGTCGATCATGATGAGCAATCTCGTTTTGGCATGCTCCACGCTCTCCATGTCTCCGTAAATAGCGACTCGAAAGCGATTTTCCAAGCCATTATCGGCCCCGTACGAGGAAACCACGGCACTGTCGGCATCAACCATTTTCGGGCTGAGCAGGAAGATGTCGGCACCAGTGTACTGAGCCAAGGTATCCAAATGCTCAAGCACGTTGACGCGAATTCCTTTGGTTGACGCGTCCATGATCAGATGCATATCCACGTCGACATTTGCACATCGCTAGCCGCCGTCAGTATTCGAAATACAGGAGATCAACAGGGTAAAAGAGAGAAAGTGCTGAGATGTCGGGTGACTCACCAGTGAAATAGGAGTCTCATTCAAGATCTTGGCTCTCATCTTTCGGACGGTCTCACCGTCACCGGAAAGACAGACATTGGTGACGAGACCGGGCTGACGACGTTGCACCGAAGTCAAAGACTTGGGTTCCGAGGTTGTCACAGTGGCCTCGAGGCGACCTCCGCTCGTCTCACTGACGGTCCGACACAGTTTCCGCAAGGCCTCAACGTGGTTGACGTGAACGGGCAAGTTATGGATAGGAGTGCCTTCCGGGATGCCTTCGGGAAAGGACCAGCGTTGCAAGGCTCCCGGACTGGCGTGGAGCACATCCTCGACATCGGGACCGGCGAGATAGGACGAGAATGGGACATTGAAGGAGAGATTGACGGTAGGGTCGGCGGCAGTCGGAGGGTTTAGGGCCGGAGTACCATGCGGACGTCGTAGGGGTTGCGAAGCTGCATGGATATCAGAGTGAGGGCGAGACATCCCAAAGGCGGGAGTCATCCTTTCCCAGCCATGACGAGCTTGACCGGTGAAGTTGGAAATCTTGTGCATGCTGCCAGAGCGGAAGGGCGGAAGAGGTCTTGCTTCTTCTAAATTCCCAGGTGTAAGACACAAATGGGAATAAGAAGAAGAAAGAAGAGAAGCGAAAAGATGATGAACTTTTGAATGCCGGCGAGTCGAAGGAACAGGTCGACGGTTGACGGACGGAGAAGAGAGAGCGAGGGAGGGGACGGAATGACGAAAGAGGAATAGAAGAGAAGAGCACGGGAAGAATAGAAAATAATGTAAAGTGGAGGGGGGGAGAGAAGGTAGGCGACAGGCGAAGAGCAAAGGAGAGAACTATGGCAAAGGAAAAGGGTATCAAAAGAATAATAGTATTGTGGTGGTTGTCGAGGTGGTGAGAAAGAGAGGTGGAGGTCTGGAGAAGGAAGAAGAAGAGAAGAGTGAGTGAGTGAGTGCCAGAGGGAAAGAGCCAGCCGGGCACACTAGGTAAGGTTAGCCCAGTCCAGGCCGCCGGAGAGTGGGCTCAGTGCTGAGTGGAGTGCTCAAGGGCCGGCATTCGCTTACACCATACTCCAGTACGTATTAACTCACTAACTTGTGTATTAGGTAGCTTACGCTTGTCGAGTGTGCTCTTAGAAAGATCTTAATGGCTCTTTACTATGATTTGACGATCGATTGTCCTTCCAGTCCGACTCCCGCGAAGATACATCGACTGAGGCCACGGCGGTTAGGATCAGCCTGGCTGCACGTTTACTTTTACTATGTAAGCACCTGCTCATCAATCGTTTCGGTGAATGATTCTTCGATGCAGTCTACGATATAGTCTCAGGACTTGACAAAATACATACTATGTAGTATATGAGGAGCTGAACACTATCCTCATTACATTCACAGCAGCGTTAGTTCACGTACGTAATTACCGGGATCTTTCAATCCCCATACTTCTGCTCCTACGATGCCAACTTTATCTCTATGCTTCAGTATTCCTCACAGGCAAAGGTAATCCGTGTCTTACAGAACCTGTAAGTGTGCGGATGGGAACGATGTCCGGGTCCGCCGGGTCAATTGGAAGGTGAGAGTTGAAGTCGGAATGTGGAATGGATCAACAGCAGCTGAAGACCTAGTTGCCTATGTATATTTACGGCCAGGTACTACATATTGATCAGTATACTCTACATACAGAGTCACATACAGTCAATAAATATCGTCCAATCTGCCCTCCAAGCAGACGGCACCAAAAGACCCTTGTCAAAATCTAAACGCAAATGTTGACGCACAAAGAAAAAGCAATGAAAAAAATACTGGAATAAAAACGTTGAACCACAATTCTGGCAGCAGCCTTGAACCTGGATAACTCCATAATCCAAGACCCCGGAGGTGGGTCGCTCTAGGTACGTCAAGTATGTGCCAACTCCAGCGAAGCAAAGAATGTGATGCCCTTTACATGGCATCTGCCATCGTGTCAAGGGCGAGGAATGAAGGACAAACTTACTTACACTGAACTCCAAAGTCTACTGTCTAGCCACAATTGTCAAGGAGAGAGTGATGAGGACCAGACTCGAAAATTACGCTGCGTAATACGATACGGAGTACGTCGGCATATTGTATGCACCGTACGGTAACTTACCAGCGTTGAGGTAATTGTTTCCGATGTATCACGTGACTCGATCTGCGCTCAATTGTCGTCGAAGCTAGAACCACAAAAGCAAGAAAAAAACTGGATAGGTGTTGTTGTCTAGTTAATCATCATGATGATAACTGCCGAATATCAAGCGGTTACATGTTCAACATGGTGACTTGCTGTTCGGAAGCTATTTCCATCCATCCTTCCCCAACCGTTTTTATGTTCCCGGCGTATCCGGACCGGCTAGACCCTGGCTGACGACGACTACGTACCTCAGGAATATAACACGAATGAGTTACAAAGAACCTCAAAATTTGTACACAGGTTATTTACATGAAATCTCCAAACCATACTCGAGTCTGCTAGTATCGAGGAGCCACTCGATGTACAACATCTCCTGCACCGTTGATAGCCACTCGCGTCCCGTCTTCCTCTGTGATGTATCTACTTGCTCGCTCAGGCCGAACAGCTACTCCTGCATATCCCGGTCGTTCACTATATTCACGCGCCACGTGGTGGCCGTCTTCATCCATGTACACGCTCACCTCTTGTCCAACGGGCCTGACGCTAGGTACGCGATGCGAACTCTCGTGGTGCTGCGACTCGTAGCGGCTAGATGGTGGGCGAACGCTGGACGTCCGTATCAGTCTATCCCGTGGGATTTCTTCTTCAATATAAGTAGTAGTAGTAGCCTGTCGGGGTGCTGGTGCGTAGTCGACAGCTACACTCCCACTTCGAAAGACACTCTCCCGATCTACGACTGCCCGTGCTGGATATAGCCGTTGAGTTTCACTGACATTCCGGCTGTGGTCAGCCAGTCGTCGGTAAGTCCCTGAAGGCGGTGCCATCTCATGAATGTATTGACGGCCGCCGTATCCATCATCAATAATTGATGGGGCGCGAACACTGGCACTACGAATATAGGCACGTTCGGCGTAATCATCAGGCCGCACAACTCGAGTGGGTATTGGTTCCCGTCGTATTTTAGGAGCTGGAACCATCTCATAATACTGATTGCCATACTCATCCACCACAATCCGTCGCGGTGGTGCCCGTTCTATAAGCCGGGGTGCTGCACCATCGTCCACATAATATTCACGATACCTCGAGGGAGGCGGATAGTCGTCCTCGTACTGTGAATACCGTCTAGAGTACGTAGGAATGACTTCCTCGTAATATGCTGGCTTCTCAACTGCCTGGCGCTCGACGACATTAAAGGGCGATGCTCGTGCTGCTGATTGGGGGCGAAGCACCGGTTCAATAATCTCGTGGGGAGCATTGTCCGGATGTCGCGCATTGTGTAGGCTAGCAACCCTCCGTAGGTCCTGATTGTCGCGTACCGGTCTCCGGGTGCTCAGACGAGACACTGCTCGGACGCTGGCTTCAGCCGGAGTAACATATCCACGACCACTACTTTCATATCGAGGATCCAGTTCATGGAAAGGTTCCCTAGAAACATACTCTCGACGGTCCACTGACGGTGCATATTGCGGTGAAGAGATGTCAATGTACACGGGGTGTTCCGAAGCACGGTAAGCTCTTGAAGGTGGTGTGTTATGGAATGGCGGCGGTGACACTGGTTCCAGCTTGACACGTGTCTCGGCTATGTCTGCAGAATGTACTTCAAGTCTATCTCGTGGTTCTTGTACGCGCCGTCGCTTGCGAGGAAGCAAGTGTTGCTGGGCCGGACCCTCAGGGCTCGTTTGCCTCAAGTATGAATCTGACGCATCCCCATCAATGTAATCGCGTTCTCTAGGCCTAGCCGATAAGATGCGGTGAACTGACGGAGCCTTAGCAGTCGCCAATGGTGATACCCTAGATGGCTGTGGAGCAGCAGGGGAAGTGATGTGATTCCTCACGACTCTCGGATTGGAGGAAACAGTACATGGCTGTTGTTCAAAAGTTGTTTGACGCGTAGAATCAAGCACCTCGGGAGGTTGGTACTCATCGTCAGCCCCAACTTCTACCACAGGCACAGTAGGCTCAGGCGGGGAATATTCCGGTTCGTCAAGGACCATCTCCTCTTGTTTCTGGCTGGGCTTTGTCGGTACGACTTGATTACGACCCTGAGGTAGAATAGCTTTGTCAGTAGTACCTTGCAAGACTCGAGAACCAGTATCAATGACTTTTCTTCCGTCGACCTGAGGGGCTTTGCCCTTAATTTGACCAAGTGTCTGGTGGTCTAGTTCTGATGGAGCTTGTTTCTCGTAATCCCAGGTCAGTGGGGAATCAGGGGCTCTACTGGAATACAAAGAGTTCTCGTCGACAGAATCACTAGGAATCGCGACATCATGTATCACTGGCTCGGCCGGTGAAGGGAGAGGCTTGACGATCCCCMAGGCCTTATTCAGAATATCGGTAACGTCCAAATCTAACCTTGCTTCAAGGGCAGTCTTTTGCTTTGCCTCATTTTTGCTTCGCTCGAATTGTTCCTTTAGCGTGTTTTCTATCCTTCGCCTCTGCAATTGGATTTCCGCGCGTACAAGATCATCCGACTTTGTTAAAAAGATTGGGTCGAGGCCGGGCGCAGGCTTTGGGACTACGGACGACGGGGTTCTTGCGGGGGACACAACAGACGAATTAGTCTGTGGCTGTGGTGGCCGTGACTCTGCCACGGATGGCGTGGCCGGTGCGATTTTGGTTTTTAGGTCGTGGGAGGTCTCAGTCACTGCTGGCGCAATTGACGACTGTTGCGGACGCGAAGGGGGTTTGCGTACAAACTGCTCGGGGACCTTTAGTCTGGGGTGAGTTCCTGCAAAGATTTCCTCGCTGATTCGGAGGATTTTCTCATATTCTTTGATTTCGTCAACCGAGCGTGGTGTAGACTGCACGTCAGTGACTACAACAGAAGGGCCTGCTTCTGCCATGAGTATATGGTATGTAAAGCTTGCGGACAGCTCTCTACTGTTGCCGCTCTGTTTCAGTACTTAAAAGAAATGAAGTACTAGCATTCTTTGCTTAGCAAGTAACAGTAAGCAATGAAAGCATGTAGAATATGACGGGAACCCTTGAGCTCAAAGCAAGGCGTGAGTGTTGATGAAGGTGTTGTGTGTAGTAGCTAGCTTCCAAGGTAGGACGTAAAATAAAAAAGCACGACCAGCGGCAATAGACTAAGCTTGCGAAAAGGTAAAAGGGTGGATCATGTGGATGCCTTAGCAGTAAGGCGCCATAGCCAACCATTCCGCCACTTGACTTGGATTGAGGAATATGACTCCCACTTGCTTGCTGCCTCTGCTAGCATTCATTTACTACTGAATATTTGCATATCTGTGTTTGCTTCTCTCATTTACATACTATCACTGCGATAGTACACATTCTTTTTCCTAATTTTGCCTTCCTGTCTAGAAGGTTGTAGCATATTTCTTCCAATCGCCGATATACAATACACTATGGCAAACGGCCAAGGGCAGGATGCCCGACCAATCTTTTTCTTTGACATTGACAACTGTGTTAGTATATGTCCCTCCAATGACATAGACTACAAAAGCACACTGACTTTTGGGTTCTTTATAGCTTTACTCTAGAGGTGGGTGATATCAGAATATCTATCCTTGGCGCATTCTAACATCCAAGGATAGGCTCTCAGATCCACGATAAGATGCAAGAATTGATTGGTAAAATGAATGCCCACGGCTCTTCATGTAAGCCCAATCCAACTGACACATTGCCAGACGTCTTTTTTATCAAGTACTTGTCACTCGACCCCGAGGACGCAACTATGCTCCACCAAAAGTACTACAAGGAGTATGGTCTCGCTATCGAAGGCCTGACCCGCCACCACAAGATCGATCCTCTAGTTTTCAATCGCGAGGTTGATGATGCATTACCGCTGGATGAAATCCTGAAGCCCGATCCCAGACTGAGAGAGTTCCTTCAGGATCTTGACACGACCAAGGTCAAGCCTTGGTTGCTCACCAACGCCTATGTTACGCACGGCAAGAGAGTAGTTAAACTTCTGGGCGTGGATGACCTCTTTGAGGGCATCACCTACTGCGATTATGGACAAGAGAGACTCATTTGCAAACCCGCCGATGAGATGTGGGAAAAGGCAGAAAAGGAGGCAGGCGCAAAGGCAATTGATGAGTGCTATTTTGTTGGTAGGATATTGCAATGATTCATCACTCAAAGTCAACGAACACTGATAGGAATGATACAGATGACTCCGCACTGAACTGTAAATACGCAGAGAAACGGGGTTGGAAGACCGCACATTTGGTCGAACCGATGCTACAGATGCCAGCGACCCCAGCGGCTAAAATCACAATTCGCCGCCTGGAAGAACTCCGAGAGCTGTTCCCACAGTTCTTCAAGAGCAAACAAGAGAAGACCAAAGCAGAAACGACATGATACAGCAGCACGCACGGCCTATAGAGCTTAGAAAGAGGATACATAGTCAACTAGAGTCACTGTTAATGCTTAATACTAGAAATTACAACTCGTAGCTGATTGGCCAGTGAGATACAAATCAAGGCTTATCATTGGTCACTGATCCTAGAGTGGACCTGCGCGGTCGTCGCGTTGTCCGTCTTGGCTTCAGGGGAGCCCAACATCGACCAGAGCAGTAGCTTGTTTACTCCACGACGTGTCTTCGATTCCATTCCGGCATTGGAGCGCAACGTTTGGCCACCATGGTTGATGTATCAGCAGGCCAGGTCATCAGCCTCCTGGATGGCCGGCAAGCCACCGTACGATTCGTTGGGGCAACACACTTCGCCAGCGGAGATTGGATTGGAGTCGAGCTCGACGATGCGACCGGAAAGAACGATGGATCTGTCCAAGGCGAGCGCTATTTCGACTGTGAACATGGCTATGGCATGTTTATTAGACCGTCGGCGGTTGCGTCTATATTAGCTCCTGCGCCTGCTCCTAAACGTGAAAGTAAAGTAGCAGCTGCACCGACAAAGGCAGCCGCCGTTGGCAAAGTCCCGACATCTGGAGCGGCCGCTTTGAAGCGGACAGGCAGTGCTGCCACAGCAGCCTCAAAACGACAAAGCGCTACAGCAAGTCCCTCACCCGCCCCGAGGGAAATAGCGGCTCGGAGTTTGAGGGTAAAACCACCACTTCGAATGCGCTCATTGACTTACTTGCTAACTAGCTATAGTCACCAACCAAGTCTCCCGTCAAGCAACTCGGCACTACCTCCCGACCCTCTTCGACACTTTCAAGAACAGCTCCTACGGTAAAGCCTAGGGCAAGTATTAGCGGACGAACGTCAATGGGACCGCCTGCCCCCGGATCAGTCGCAGCAAAACCCCGACAGTCTTTGATGAGCAGTCAGAACAAGTTGACACGACCGGGTGTTCCTTCGAGTGCCTCAACATCTACTTCTTCCGTCAAACGTCTTTCAGTACGTCCCATTATAGCTAAGAAGGCCACGGATGAAAGCTCAAGTCGGGCAAGTGCTGCATCAGAACCAAGCGCAGATGCCTCAGAGGTAGACCAGGAAGCCGAGAGCGAAGATGTCTCGCCTATCACTTCCAGACCGGAGCCGCTAGGAGCGAGAGCTTCTACAACATCACGTGGCGCACCTCAGAGCTCAGCCATTGCCAGGGAACTAGAAGATTTGAAAACGAAGCTCAAGGTCATGGAAAAGAAACGAGCAGAGGATAGAGAGAGACTCAAGAGTCTTGAACGGCTGCAGGCTGAAAGAGACAAATATGAGGGTATTATTCAAAAGCTGCAAGCAAAATACCAACCGCAACAGGTTGAGTTGACAGACCTGAAGAAGAAAATCCGCGAGACGGAAGCGAAACTTGAGCAAGCGGAAAGAATTCAAGCCGAACATGAGTCTATTCTGGAAGTAGCTGCGCTCGACCGCGAAATGGCAGAGGAAACTGCCGAAGCGTTCAAAGCCGAGTGTCAGGATTACAAGATTAGATTGGAGGAGTTACAACTGGAGCTTGAAGTTTTACGGGATGAGAACGAGGAACTGAGCAATGTTATGAGTCCAGAAGACAAGTCCAGTCAGGGCTGGTTACAGATGGAAAAGACCAACGAGCGACTTCGTGAGGCGTTGATTAGGCTTCGTGATATGACACAGCAAACCGAAGCAGAGCTTCGCGACCAAATAAAGGAACTACAAGATGACCTTGAGGAATACACGACTGTAAAAGCTGAGTATGAATCAATCAAAGAGAAATTGCTGGCTTCCGAAACCAACGTGGATGAGCTCAAACAACAGCTAGAGACAGCGCTGGGTGCCGAGGAAATGATCGAGGAGCTAGCTGACAAGAATATGCGATACCAAGAGGAGATCAACGAACTTAAAGCGGCTATTGAAGATCTTGAAAGTTTGAAGGAAATCAGCGATGAGCTAGAGCTCAATCATGTTGAGACGGAGAAACAGCTGCAAGAAGAAATCGACTACCGGGAATCGATTTTCAACGAGCAATCCCGCAAGGTCGCTCAGCAAGACGAAGTTATTGAGGATTTGGAGTATACGTTGGCGCGATTCCGCGAGCTTGTTACTAACCTACAGAGTGACCTTGAGGACATGCGTGCATCTCAGCAGTTGACTGAAACCGAGGCAAATGAACTCACTACACGATCTAGGGCAATGATGGATCTGAACTTAAAACTGCAAGCCTCCGTTGAAAAGGCTCAGAGTAAGACAATAGACATTGAGATGGGCCGCATGGAGGCGGAAGAATCCTCAGAGCACCTTGCAATTGTTCAGTACTACTTGCCAGACTACTATGATACCGAAAAGGATTCAGTGCGAGCCTTTTTGCGTGCGAAGAGGGTGGCGTCCAAGGCCTCGTTGATACAGAACACCGTCCGTGAACACCTTGTTGAGCAATCTCAATCCTCGAGCCCACGTGAGAACATCTTTGCATCATACGAGGTTATCGAAAATGCATTGTGGATATCCCGTGTGTGTGAACGATTCGTCAAGCATGTTACAACATGTTCACCCGAACAATTCGGTCAATTCGGTGTCGCTTTGTTTGAATTGGAACCAGTTGAACGTACAGTCAACAATTGGATCGAATCATTGAGAAAGAATGAGCTCGACGAGAAAAAATGTGCCTTGGAGTTGCAAAGATCTATTGCTCTCTTGACTCATCTTGCAGAAACCTTGATTCCAACAGAGCTAGCAACATACGCAGATGAAACCTTGACACGTGCTATCATGATTCAAACCTACCTCGAACATGTTGCTTCAGCCTTGACCCAGCTGAGAAATCTTCTGCATAGCAAACTTTCTACTTCTGAGGAAGAAGACGACCCAGAAAAACTATTCTTCTTCAATAAGACCGATGCACTGGTTGGCCAGGCACGCGGCTTGAAAATGGTCATCACGAAAGTCATACGTTCTTTGGAGGAGCTCAACTCTAGGTCGCTTGCCCTATCGGACGGAGCTGCCGAGCCATTCGACTCTGCAGAGGCCATAGCCAAAAAATTAGCCGAATTGGTACGACAACTTGGAGAGGATGTCCTAATTCTGCTTGGCGAAGAAGGTCGAACGGAGCCGTTCACTTATGAGGAAGTTTCTGCCAAAATGCTACAGACTGCAACAGCCATAGCCCAAGGTCTTGCATCAGAGGATGATTGCAGTGATGCCCTCTCCTTACTGACCTCAGGACTGAAGACCTTGACTGGCCAACTTGAGGAGTTGAGTAATCATGCCTCTGATTTGACGCACACGGCCGAGTTTGAGAGAGGAAAGCATCCTTGGATCGCTCGCGCGAAAGAGCTCAAATCCCACAAAGCATCATCGCCCGATGCCGAGGAAGAGATTCGTCGCCTGAAGAACGAACTCAGCGAGACATCTACTGCACTTGGTGTTAAAGATAAGACAATCGAGGAGCAAGCGATGAAAGTGGAGTTGCTCGAATCTAGAATGCGTGAAGCGACCAAGAAGGCTTCCGTTGTTAAGGAGTTCGAGGTCAAGATTGAATCCATGCAAGAAAAAGAAAGTCAATTACAAGCAACGGTGGAAAACCTGAGCAAGGATCTGCAATCTATGCAATCTGAGCGCGATGACTACAAGCAACGATTTGAGCGGGTGAAACGGGCTTCCGGCAATGTTGGTGCCACCATTACTGCCGGAGGTGTCGTTGTCGACTCAGAAGCTACCCTGGCAGCTATGCGCGAAAACGAAGCACTCCGCTCAGAGGTCAGCAGTCTCCAAGCTGCCGTTCGCTTCCTGCGCGAAGATAACCGTCGTGCTAATCTACTTGATCCTTACTCCGTCCAACGAACGACAAATATGTATTCCTGGCTCGATGCACCGCTTACACAGCCCAAACCTTCCGCTCAAAAGGAAGCACAATACGCCCGTGCCGCAGAAAGTCGCGATATCCTCAACCACCTCCTCAAACTTACCAAGGAGACACCAATCACTGATCTCGCCTCGACTATACCGTCAGACCAGAAACGCTCTGCATGGCGCCCCACAAAATCAACATACCGCTACAGAGCACTCCAAAACCGAGAAAATTATGAACAATGGAGCGAATGGAAGAGCGAAGTCGCGATGCGTGAAAAGGAAGAAGAGAGGATAGTAGCGGCAAAAGCGGAACGAATTCTGCGTGAGCAGCAGCAGGCAAAGCGTCGTGCAGCAGGGCATCGTGGGCATGCGAAAACGCCGTCGGCAGGGTTTGGAATGATGGGTAGAGCGTGGACGATATTAGGGATGCAGAATGATAATGATGGGAAGGAGGGTGGTAGGGTTGAAATTGTGTCTGATGTTTGATTGGTGAATATAGACCTGAATATGGAGTATGAACTGTTTCGAGAGCAATATAGCGCTTATTGTATATTAGACGAGGCTGTATATGTAGTACTTCAGTTTTAACCTTTTGTTTTCGGTTTGCGATGATACTCAACTAGCATTGTTTTCGAACTCTAAGCTTCCAAGTTGTATTTTTCTATTTCTTTATATTTAGGAGCATGGTAGTCACAGACCACAGTTCACTGGACAGAAAAATCAAAAAGCATAATCACAATTATATAGTATTAATACGATAGTCTAGTGCTAGATATAAAGAAAACCAGATACTTTCAAAATCCTATTCCATCAAACACCACCACAAAAAACAGGGTATCACAAGATAAGAAAAATTAGAAAAAATGATTTTCAGAGTCGTACCCATCAAAAGGCAACTCCAACCGGACTCAGAGGAAATCTCTGATCATACTCATATCCTCTGTTAGAAAGAGCATGCTGCTGCTCATCAACCACATGAGGCTCTTCCATAACGACGCTGTTCTTGACACTGGCTGGGATCATGGGGAGAGCGGTGGTGTACGGAGCATCGAGTTCCTTGTCTGATGGGAAGATGGTCGTAGCGGCTGTGATAGCGCTTGAAAGTGAAGGAGTGCGGGAGGAAGAAGTTGAGTTGCTGGTTGTGCGCATGCGGCTGTGGCTTTGGAATGTTGATGAGGATTTTGAGCTGTGATGGTTTGCAGTAATAGGGGTAGTGTTGCGTGAAGCAGAGGAAGGAGTGCTTTGGCCTGGTTGTCTTTTGCCAGTGATGTATGAGGTTGCTCGTTGGTGGTCGAGAGAGCCTCGGGTCATTGTGGGCGCTACTGACTTGCGAGATGAGGAGGGTCTATCAGCGAGTGTGACGTTCTCAGTGGGCAAATGTTTGTTATTCTGAGATGAAGAAGAAAGAGCCGTGATCATTGAGAAATGAGGGATCAGTGGGCTGGTCAGATTTGTATCCATGCTTTGTCTTGGTTGCCTTTGAACCTGTGCTAGTTGTAGTTGCAGGTCGACAGTCGCCAATGAACTTCTTCGAGACGGGGCAGATCCGACAGGCTTGCGAGAGAGTTGGAATGGACCTGAGTCTCTGCGCAGGTGTCCCGAGCCATCGAACGGCGACATGAGTGCTTTTGCAGGTGGTGAGGGTTGACCGGGTGTATCTAGATCGAAAAGATTGAATTCCGGGAGATCAGATAGCCTGTTTCCAGGTAGATAGATACTGAGTTCCAAAGGTCGGAAGGACCGGCGACGAGAAATAGGTTCGACTCGGCGAAAGTCTGTTGGCGCACCGATGACTGGCCGGGATTGTGTCCTCTTTCGTGTGAGGAGGACACTCGCTCGTTGTGATGCTCTGCTGGCTAGACTCCTGGTTTCTTGAACCCAGGGGGGTAGTGACGGTAGTGACGACCGTGATTGATCGTGACCTCCAGGACTGGGGAGGTCACCATAGAAGACCAGCTTCATGGGTGGAACGAGATGTGGTTGACTATGACATATTTCCATTTCTCGCTCTACTCCTGCCCGGATTAGCATGATCGTTTAGGGCATGGGAAACAGAAAGACACAACGAACCTATTTGCTGTCGTGGCTGAGGCCTCCTGCTCTCTTGGTCCGCCTGGGACCAGAGGCATGAGACACACGACGTTATCCAGGCCCTGAACATGAGCACTGCTTGTTCAAATGCCTAAGCCTAGCTGTCAAGTGCCTGCATGGCAGCTCTCTGTAAGAGAAGGAAGGAAATGAGGGTAAAAGATAAGAGAGTATTCAACTCATCGACACCTCCACACACGCACGAAGAGGAAGAAGGCGAGAGAGTAAAAGAAGCATCCCCGCCTGACTCAACGAGGGGACGGGCGTGACTACCTGATATAGGCACGCTTCAGATCACACAGAGTGGATCATGCAGCTTGGGAAGAACAACAGCATGCTGCTAACCTATTTCATACTTGAGAAGGCCACCACGAGCCAGCTGCATCTGCAAGCGCTCTGTAGCCATTCGAAGCTAGCCACGCTGGCTGTTCATTGTGTCGATGATCAATGGACCGGAGCCTTTCATTCGCCAGCAGCATCGGATGCACTCATTTAAGTAGGGGCACGCCAGCCGAGATTCTGCATGGAACTTCATCCCAATAAAGTCGCTGATAGGCTCGTATCGCCCGCAGCCTCAGACAGGTTTGGGCTTATTTTCTAAACTTGCGTGCTTTAGTCTGGGCAGGGATTGTCTTGGGCCGGCGATGTGGGCGCGTAAGCATTGGGCGCTGTTTGTCGGCTGCTCTTGAGGATGAGTCGTGCCTCCGCCAATCAGAGCATAAAACTGGCATATACTAGAGCGTCTGGACTCTGGAATACTCGGACGTTAATCGACAGCTAAAAATGCCGACGATAAGTTATTATTGTATTATCTATCTATTCACAATTGCCGGACCTCATTGGACGGCAAAGGAAATTGCACTGGTTTGAGAATCTATAAATGTTTGGTTTCGGAATCTCGTCTTCCACGCACTGAAACACCAAAAGCTCTGAGGGTTTTATCTACGTCGCATGATACTGACGATAGCTGACTCCTCTTCCGAGGCTCTTGAGCATAGTAAATTACTTTGAAACTCCAAGCTTGAAGATACTGCACAGTTCCATCACATGTATGCTGATTAGAACGAAGCTCCTAGACTAGTTACCCCAGATATTTCGGTCTTCCCCTAGATCGCTGTAATCAGGATTCAGCGGCGTACTCTCATTGGTATGCTCGTCAATATTGTCGCCATGATCTTCGCCAACACTAAAGTTGGCTGGTGATGCAGGCGAAACAGTGCCATCTGTTGTTTGCGGGCGCACTACTCCCACTGGCTCACCAGTAGGTCTCCTGCGAGATGTGTTAGCACGAAACCATCCAAGTGAGACCACCAGAAACATACTGTAAATGAATAGCATCTCGTTCGGGCCAATCAGACCCCGTTTCCCGCCGGGCTTGGTCTTGCTCTCGGTGCTCAGCTTCGGTATTCTCGACCACCAAGTCAACCAACTGGCTACGACGAGAGTTAGCTGTCGAAGAACTGGACTGACGTGGAAGATCGCTCGGTCGCGGCGGACGTCGGGTTTTCGAGCTCGTCTGTCTGCTTTCGCGGCTTGACTCAGAGACATGGCTGTTCCTGTGCCTTCGCGCCTTTCTCACCACGTGACCGTGGCCCGAAGTCTGGCTTTGGTAGCTAACAGTCCGAGGTAGAACTTGGTCGCGAGGAATAATGTTGGCTGTAATGACTGGATACTGTTTCATTTTGTCAGCTCGTGTTTTTCAATTGGAAAGTGGTGTCAAACTCACATTCCAGTCGCCAAATTCTAATGCTCGTGCGTTGTTGAAGAGGCGCTCGTCGTCCTCGTTGATAGTGGTCTCTTCGAGTTCACCATATGACCGATACTGATCAATGGTGCTGTTTCGTTTGGGTCCATCTGAAAGACTACGCTCTCCATGGGCGATACTTCCAGCTAGTAGAGGCGTGCGGCTATTGGCTTCCCCAGGTTTTGGTATCCAGTATTTACCCTTTCCTCCTCGCTCGTACCTCATTCCTTCCATTACTCGTTTCACACGTGAGCTTGACTCCTCATGGGCAATGATGTTATCTCCTGAATCGAATAGGCGGTATTCATAGTCATTTCCTCGGAAGGTCTGCTTGGTGTCTTCGATGAGGTCCCGGACACCGAAAGAGTCCCTTAGCGCATGCTTGACTGGCATACGAGCCGATGATACCCTATTGTCCGCATAATCGTGCCAAGAGAAAGCATACCAGTGGGCGATTGCAAAAGCAGGCATCTCTAGACAGATCAAAGTGTCCTGAATAGCCGCAGCAAGGTTATCCGGCGTGTAGCCCGCCACGCCATTCGGAATAGCGCCAAGCCACTGAAGGATTGACAAGAAAAAACMTTGCCAGTACGAGGCGAAGATGATGAGCTTGACACAGAGAAATTTCGGGACCGGGCGGAATGGTTTCATGTCATCATGCATGCAAATCCAGAATAGCGCCAAAGAGTACAAGCTGACACTGACGCTGACGTTGTAGATGATACCAGTCCAGAGATAACCAGAGGAGGCTCCGATGTATCCTTCTTGATAAGTGTCCGTTGCCTTCATGATGATAGACGCCAATGCAAGAATAGGTTTCAGCCAGGCATATTGCAAGATGCCTCTTTTGATTGCGAGAAATGTATGCGGGTCCGAAATATCTACTTTGGAAAGAAATGTATTCAGCGGCCACATATGTGAAACTGGTGGTCGTCCATGTGTCATTATAATCAGTGCTCGCTCGCCGCCAAGGAAGTTAATCAATAACTGGAAAAAGGTATAAATCGTAAATGCCTAGAGACGGTTAGAGCTTATAGTTAATTCAGAAGCCGCTTCCTGATCGGCCGTACCTCGTATATATCGCGAACAGGATCGAGAAACATAGCAGCTTTAAGAGAGATAATGCTAGTCCATGACGAAGCAGCATAGATCGGGATCCTGTCGCGCCAGTGAGATATTGATATGGACAACTCAAAGCCAAGCCACTCACATCAAAAGTATTCGTACAACATAGCGCTGGAGCAAAGGCTTCCGATAATTTTTCCTACACCAATCGCATGCTGTTAGATTGGGTCCATAATATTCAGGGATTGCGCACGAACGTTTGTAGCCATATCGACCTGGCAGATAAGGATGTCGTCAGTATCATGAATAAAATAGAGGGGCTTGGTCACGTACACAATAGACAGTAATGTAGCCACTAGAGACGCTACACCCGATATAATAATAAGCACCCTCGTGAGTCTTGAGCCAGTGCCCCCAGAAGAGGCTATATTCCACTCCATCTCGTTTGATATCAGAGTAGCAGTAGATGAAAGCGCGATTCGATGTCGGAGCTCGATTACATGTCGTGACTATCGAGATCTGGCACAATTACTCGCATTTCATCGTGATCGCCGTCCAAATAAACCGAGCAGATACCACGACAGCCGGACAGTTATGGGTGAATAAGACGTAGAGATGGCCAGGCAGGAGGATTCTTTTGGACGGTCCAGGAGCTTCTCCGCAGACCCACCCAGAATGACGCGTGATTATTAGCCCGAGCCCACTTGCCGTATAGTCACTCTCGGCAGCTTCTTTCCCTGACTACATTTTTATTTGTACTTCGACACACGAACAGAAAAGAGATTATACGATGAAATTAGACATGAGAGAGCCTCTTCAGCACGAAAATTACGACTTATAGGAAGCGCCATCGATTTCAGTACCAGACAGGACACAGTCGCAGCTGAATCCACAGAAATAATGCATACTCCGCATCGGCATCGTCGTTGAAGCTGCCGGTATGGCTTCGTCTGCCATTTCTCTGCAGCCTCTCACCTCAGGTCCCCAGTTCAATTGGTAGGTCAGCCAGATAGTCTCCGTATTCGATCAGTCACTGACTAAGTCGCCGTTCTAGGTTCTTTCTGCTGGAGCTTCTTGTTTGCGGGATCCTGTAAGATCGGCATGTGATGGTATAAATCTGAACCACAGCTGACGCACGTGCTCTACAGGACACTGTTCTTCCTTTTCTACTTCAATCGTCTCCTCGCGACTTTAGTTTCCTACGGCATACGAGCTTATACATGGCATTACTATCGGGCATATGTCGACATCCAGGCTCTTCAAGTATCTTTACTGGGCGGAAGAATATTCTTCAAGGGACTACGATACCATGGAGTCAATGAGACCATTCTCGTTCAGCGAGGCCATATAACATGGAACTACTGGATGCGGAATGTGCGAAGGCTGGACTTGACACGAAAGCACACAACCCTTGAAACAAAGAGCCAGTCGTTCGTGGGTAATGATGGAGGCTCGGCATTGGCAAGTGCTAACGGTCAAGCGGACGGAACAGCAGAAAGCGGAGGTTTAAAACCTGAAACGCAGCTTCCTTGCCGGATCGTGATCAACCTATCTGGATTGGAGTGGTTCGTGTACAATCGAACTCCTGCCTACGACGACATACTCTCAAATTTCAATCCTTCGACACTTGAAACCCGGGGATCACAAGACGAGAATCGTACCAGTACCTCAGGAGCAAGTACCGGCCGACAAGCATCTGAGAGCGATCTCTCTCCGCGCTTCAAAACTACAATATCAGGAGAGTCAGCAAAAAGTAATGCGCCACCGGTCAGACCTCAAAAACGTCGCATAAATACGGCATTTTCGTCTATTCAAGATATTTCCGCCCAAAAAGACGAGGCCTTGGAGGCCGCTTGGACGTTTCTACAGTTGCTGCCAATCCAAGTGGACTGTACAAAGGGTGCCATTGTGGCGGGAAAWGAAACTACCCATTCTCTGCTGACTATAACATTTGACAAAGGAGTCGGGTCCGTCGACGCCTCAGATTCCGGCCCGCTTGACATATATCGCCAGCTGATAAAATTTGATATTTCGCACCCTGTAGTTCAGATGCGACCCAACCCTGATTTCAAGCAGGAACAGTTGGCGACGGCACGCGGTATCAATCCTTTTTACCAGGACGAGGTGGAACGCAAGTCGAAGAGAAGCTACCGTTTGGCATATCGGCGCAGGAAGCATGAAGTCTGGCACTCACTTCGTACTTTGATTCCTTACTTCCAAAGATCGGTGGAATCTTTCCATGAGAAAGGAACAAACACCACATCAACTAGTCATACAGGATTCCCTTTCAATGATCAGTGGCTCSGTCTCACTCGCTACATGGAGGAGACAGCCGAGAACCACGAGGGATGGAATGCCGTGGAATACGCGAGATACTCGACCATTCTAGATTGTCCTTTCCTTAGCTTTATATACTTTTGGGACATACCAGGAAAGGTGCTGTCAGAACACTACGCATCGAATTCGTCAGTTCGAAAGGCATCCTTCGATATCAATGGGGATGCTCCTCCGGAATGGGGTATGGAAATGAAGGTAAAAAGTGGCACTATAAATTATGGTCCCTGGGCGGACCGCGAACGTGTTAAGTTACAAAATGTTTTCTTTCCAAGCAACTTTCGAAGTGCTGAGGCAGAAGTAGCCTTGAAACCTGGAAGCGTTAGACGAAGCACAAAATTCAAATTTGTCTTGGAGATAACAGATGAGACTACTCTGAGGATTCCTACCCGAGAAGAATCTAAGGACTGGCAATGGAAAGGCCGAGCTGATGCTATTAGCAGTGCATCAAAGCTCAAGAAGCAGAAATCGAAACGACAATCAAGAGGGAAGGATAACGAAAAAGCAAACGTTAGCCCAGAGATTCGCCCCTTCGGCTGGCTTACATTTCGCATTTCTGAAGATTCGACAGTTACCTATGACATGGACATGGTGGCTTCGGATAACGGGTTCTCCAATCAACTTCGTCTTGACTTGAGAGATTGCAAACTGTCTTCGAGTGTGAATCACGGATTACTTTGGCAAAGCTCACGACAGGTAATCACTTGCGATCTTTCAAACCCCCTTATTTGGAACGCTCTTCATACATGGTCCTTCGACATAATTAGCCATGATTTGCAGCTTTTCTTACTACGAGATCATATATTTCTGATAACAGATCTCGTTAGCGACTGGACGTCAAACTCGACCTCTGAATATTACACTTTTGTACCATTTGTGTATAGCATTCAGCTTTCCTTTGTCGACCTACGCCTGTATTTGAACGTCAACGAGTCCAATATTATCAACAGCCCTTCGGATCTCGATGATAACACTTTTATTCTGCTCAAGGTGCCCAATCTGATGTCTAATGTCAGTATCCCGTCTAACACATTCCAAGCTGAGCAAAGTAACTTTGCCTTTGACGTGAATACGCAAGAGTGCATCGTCGATCTTGTAACTCCTCTATGGCATACATTACATACGTTTGTCAAAGACAATTCGCTTGGTCGCTTTTCAACTCTGTCACTAGACGGTACATACACTCTCAATGCTGGGGCATCGCCTCTGTTGGATACTCTAGCCATGAACATCATTGCGGATGACCCCAGATGCTACCTTTACGGATTCTTGATTCGCTACTTCATGAAGATCAGGGAAAACTATTTTGGAGAGGATATGCATTTCAAAACCTTGGAAGAGTTTCAAGAAGCTGTCAATGCTACCGCTGAGAACAGAATGGTTCAAATTACGTCTAATCCCGCCAAGAAACATAGCGAGTTGGATGTTATACTTAACCTGATCATTAGAAACCCATGCGCATTGTTACCAACTAATATTTACGACCGTTCCCAATGTCTTCGCTTGAACGCTGCGTCTCTTGACCTTGACCTGCGGTTTACTAGCTACTACATGGATTTGCAAGTGGACTTGACCCCTACGGAAATATCACTAGAGTCCACTCAGCCAGATGGTGAACCTAGTATTTCGAATACTCAACTGTTTATCGATGGAATCGCAGTCTATGGCCATCGTTTGTTTGGCTTGCCGCCGACCGAACCTACATATGTTTGCAATTGGGATTTCGAAGTAGGGAACATTGTGGGCGAATGTAGTACGCAGTTCTTACGCTCTGCAGGTGCTGCTATTCGCAATTTGGATTTCACCATGGACGACGAGGAGAACGCATTCCCACCATTGCACCCATTCGTATTACACGATGTTACGTTCTTACGTGCCAAGATTGCTTCTGTCCATCTCTCTGTTCTGGTAGATCGGACTGCACTCGTGCTGGCTGCCGGGCTAATCCAGTTCAAGCTTAACGATTGGTCTCGATCCCGATTCTCCAAACGCTTGTCTGTAAACGTTCCAGATGTCATGATATCAGCAATTGACAGGGAATCCGCTACAAGACAAAGCGAAAAATCATCATCAGTGACGACCTACGCTCTAATCCGAACAAATATCAATGTGTCAATGCTGTTCCGCAAATTCAATATTTCCGAGGATCGCAAACATCAACAAAGCCATATCAAAGAAAGTGATCAGAGATCGCATCGTACACCGTGGTTGTTACTTGATCCGAACGATGCACTCACCTTTTCTGATATGAACAATTCCAAAGTCCAGCCTCCTACTATGGCCCTACCCTCAATGCCCGAACCTGTAGGCGAAATCGTGGATACAATCGAACAGTTCAGCTTTCAATCCAGTGACCGCCGACTATTGAGTCATAAGAGCTCATTCATATCGTTTAGTGGCTCAAGCTCGAGACAAATTAAGCGAAATGGCACACCTCAACTTTCAGTAAATGCATTCGACCGAGATTTGAGTGTCCAACAAGGCATTGACCCTACCACTTACCTGCATGAGACAAAAGCATACCACCATCCTATCCCAATTTCACCGGAGGCAGGACAAATATATGACCGTCAATCGACTGTTCGATCAAATGATATACCACGTTCTATGCTTGGGCCGTCTAGCTCCTGGGCTATGCCGCACTTCCATTACTACAAGATAAGACCAGACTCAAGCTATCTGCCACCCATTCCTAGATCTGAAGAAGGAAAAGAAAGTGTCCACGAAGAAGAAAATATCATGGCAAATTTCGGTGACAATGAAACGGCTCACTCGGATCTCTTCTGTGAGATGAAGCCAGGGCTACAAGGTTACTGTACACCCATGTTCTTCCAAGTAGTCTCTTCTTTACTCGATGGCATGCAGACAAACGATCCAGTTGATTTGATCGATTCGCTACAAACTGGTGTGATTTCTGATATTGTGAAACATCAGAAGAACAAGAAAAAGCAACCAAAGACCGCATCGAGCTTCTCCATCAGAGTACCATCTGCGAATTTTACCATCTTGAATAAATTGGATGGGTTGGAAGATACTTCAGGATTTGCCTTGCAAGACCAATACCAGATTTCGTGTACACAATTCAAGCTCACGATGCAGAATAAGGTAGAAAAAGCGGAACATGATCTGATCCGTGATAGCCGAAAAGAAATGACTCTTCACTCCACGGTGGAACGTATTTCAATCAGTGCCACAGGTGGGCAGACTAAAATGTGTCCAGATAGAGCAGAGCTTGGGCTGTTGCTGGAAGATATCATGTTTTGGGTCGTCATCTCCTCGAAGACCAACTCTCACCTTCAAATGCGTACTGTCGAGGCACTTAACGCCACGAAATCAGCGACGCCGCTCGCGAGTCTCATACAACGCACAAAAACCCTAGTGGATTCTGCTGCGTCTTCCTTCCAATCATTGCCTTCTTCAGATGATCGCTTGCGTTATCTAGTCTGGTCTATAACAGACTCTGCTATCGGTATGCCGGACCCATTGTTTGTGACACGCCCAGCGTATGTGTTACGTGGATTGCAGTCCCATCTTCGACTTCACGATTCTTGGAAGATCGTATCACGTTTGCGCAACATGTATCGAAACCTGCCCCAAGACAAACAAAAGGAGATACGAACCAATTGCTTCGAACTTGGTCATCGCTGCCCACGAAATGCTATGGAGGAAGTTTTCCGCAATTTCAACAACTGGCGACCCTGGGACCTTGCACATGTAGAAAAAAGCCATGCGATGAGAGTCATCTGGGGAGAAAGCCTTGAATCTCCCAAATCTCCTACAAAGCCGGCCAATATCTCATGCAACCTGAAGACTATAAGGATTATCATTGAACCGGGTCCGAGACAGTGTGATATCAATGTAGTTGACATGTCTGTTGCGGTCTCTTTTGCTTCCGCTGCAACAGACATATCCAGTACTGTCAATGCAACAGCGCCATTCAAGAAAACAATGTTCATTCGCTCCCATTGCTCGAGTTCGGCATTGCGTCTACGATGGGAGATTCTTGAGCTTGTAGAAGGGATTACCGAGGGAATGTCCAAGACTCAGCCCACTTTGACTGAAGTTCTACCCTCAATGACAGATCATGAAAAGCCAGCAGAAGCCACCGATATTCATGTCTTCGTTGGTACGGACGAAGGATCGATCGGCTTGGATGGAATCAATATAGCTCTGTTTCTGCATGGATATGGCCTGAATAGCTCTTTCGTCCTAAGTCCGAGTGATGAGAATCAACCGGAACAGGCGACAATCCTTATGAATGGGCAGGGATGTTTAACGAGAATTTCAAGCCATTCTAAGCCTTTGATGACGTGGGAGGTTTTGCAACCGCACTTCTATGGCTCCCATTCATCTCTTCCAACCCGAAGCAGAATCAATGATGATTGGAAGCTGGCTGGTTCTTGTCGCAGTCTGATCTATAATCTACAAGAAGATCCACTCAACTTTATACATGTTGCTAGCAGAGTCGTGGAAGATGAAGTTCAATATGTGAGCGCTCTCATTCGGCGCCTTGATACATCTCCAAAAACGAAACCGTCGCCAAAGCTTGTCAATGGGGCAAATGAATTGGTGCGCTACCACCACTTTCATGTTGCTCTATTCTTGGAAGATTATGAGCTCAATTTCCGCCTACTGCCGTCTCTGACATACTCGATTGACGGAAAAGTAGCTCGCATGTCCGTTTTGTCAGATATTGCGAATGAAATAGAGATTGACTTTGACGTTAAAAGAAACCATCATATCTTCCACACCATGGAAAAAGAAAAGTCTCGGTCCGTGTCTGAGATTGATATTCCACCAATCAACGGCAGAATCTCAGCCAGATTGTCAGCTGAGATAATGTCACTGAAAGCAGATATTACCGTCGAGCGGGTGAAGCTGGAAGCAAGCGCATTGCGTAGTTTGCTTGATGTGGCTAGGCGGCCGGAAATCTCTCATTATATCTCGGACTGCTCTAGCAGTGCCAGTGAGCTTCAAGCACATCTGAGTGAAATACTGGCCAGTATAGAGCCTACGCCACAGTCTCCAGTCGGCTCTGTCAAAAGAGAGATATCTTACAATGTCCGCCTCACAATGGCGGGKTGGCTAATCCACGCTCGTGCTCCAGGCTTGAAGAATAAGGATTATTCGGCCGACATGAACTTCATTCTTGGTTCAACACAGGTGCATGTCGACGCATCAGAACCAAATGCCAAATTCGATTCACCAAATATACACGTGAACGTATCCCAAGTCGGCCTGGAATTGATCAAAAATGAGCGTTCGCGAGCTCTATCATATGGTAGCCTTGGATTTGATATCGGTTTCCGTGCAACATCGCGTTTCAACGAGTGTGGTCAAGCAGTTCGTGCATACGATCTGAGTAGTAAAGGGTTCAATGTTGATTTATATGCCGAGACAGCATCTTTGGTGATCGATATCGCAGCACATTTGCAGAATCGCATCAAAAGCCTGGACCTGACTGACGACATGAGAAGATTAAAACATCTAGGACGACTTGCACGAGCCCGCAGTCGTGGTCCATCAAGCCCGCTACCTAACCTCAATATTGCTGAATTCGAGGAATCCCATACATTGGCATTTTTGCAGGCAATTTATTCAGTTGAGCTATCAAACATCCAAGTTCGTTGGGTTATGGATGATAAACACCATCTGAAAGCTGGAGTCGAGCCTGAAGACTTGATTTTCTCGATACGACAGGTCTCGCTTTCAACATATGGAGACAATTCCGCCAAACTTCGCATCCAAGACACCCAGCTTCAAATTGCGCCGAGACTCCAAGAGAGGGGGAAACGTTCCTTGAACTCTGCCTTGATGCCCGAAGTTGTATTCAACGTGGCATATTTATTTACCAAAGACGAGTTACGGCTTGCTTTTCAAGCAGCAGGAAAGGCTCTCGATATACGCTCTACAACCGGGTTTATACTCCCAGCGAATCTGTTACAGAAGTCAATTGCCTCGGCGGCGGAGAGATTGCGCGAGGCAAAAGCAATATGGTCTACGTCTCCGTCACAGTCTCCTAGCGGTAACGCCTTACTCGGTAATAGACGGCTGTCATCTTTACTTGTTGATGTGGATTTTGCGGGCGCCGTTCTTGGTCTTAAGGGTCGCCAACTCGGTGACCAACAGACTCGCCTGGTAGCAACCGCTACAGGGAAACGCCTATCGGAAGGCAGATATGGTCAATACGTGCAAGACGACCCTACAACAACCGCGTCTTTGACCAGCCCTGGTGTGGCCCTAAAAGTGCAATACGGCGACAACGGGGCAGACGATCCAACATTAAATGCAGAGCTAAGAGTGAGCCCATCGAGCAACACGCTCTATCCAACAGTGGTTCCGCTCATCAAACAAATTTCGTCTTCGATCAAAGAGGTTGTCGGTGATCAAAGTGATACAAATATGTCCTCATCTTCCCTACTACAGACACCGAAGATGCTAGAAGACCGCTCAATTGATGCGACCAATCCCGAAAGTATACTTGGTCGGTGTAAGCTTAATATAGGCCTGCGGATCTGCAAGCAAGAGTTCAGTCTGAGTTGTCAACCAATAGCAAGGGTGTCAGCTACCGCACAATTTGAGGACATCTTCGTGACCGTCAACACAGTGCAGTCTCAAGAACAACGCCGTTTCTTTGCAGTATTGATTGCATGTAATAATTTACAGGCATCAGTCAAACATGTATACTCGAACGAGTCAACTGCCAGCTTCGAAGTGGAATCGGTCGTAATGTCGCTGATGAACAGCAAACACGTGAGCACAACGAGTGGGATCTCAGCAATATTGAAGGTTAGCCCAATGAAAACTATAATCAATGCCAAGCAGGTCCAGGACTTCCTCCTATTCCGCGAAATCTGGGTTCCTTCTGACGATGAGGATTCATCGAATCCCGCTCCAACGCCCACTCCAATGCCCACTCCAACGCCCGCCGACTCGCAGGCTCTGATGGTCCAGCGTTATCAGCAGGTTGCATCGGCGGATTCTTTTCCATGGAATGCAGTGCTATCAATCGATGAGCTGCAAATTCAGCTGGACCTTGGACAGACGCTTGGAAAAGCCGATTTCGTGATTAAGAACTTTTGGGTATCCTCCAAAAAGACATCAAATCTGGAGCAAAACTTGTGCGGTGGCTTTGAAGTCATGGCCATTGAGAGCAAAGGTAGAATGAGTGGCTCCGTTACACTGGAGAAGATGAGGGTGCGAACCTCTATACAATGGCCCGATGACTCTTCGGAATTGGGTCAAACACCACTCATTCAAGCATCTATTGGATTTGGCCAGTTACAAGCCAACACATCATTCGAATATCAACCATTCCTAGTGGCGGATATTGTGGCATTTGATTTCTTGATGTATAATGTCCGCCAACCCATCCAAGATCGGTTGGTCAGCATTCTAGAAGGCGAGAAAGTCCAAGTTTTCTGCACGACATTGACGGCATCACAATCTCTGGCCCTTTATCAAACATGGCAACGCTTAGTACAGGATAAACACGCGGCATACGAGGCTTCCCTCAAGGAGATGGAACGATATTTCCGTCGCAAGTCTACGATGACAACGTCCTCTATCAGCAGCCCACCATTACTGCAAATAACGCGAGAAGATGATGCGGAAAAGTCACCGGTCACACTTCATACTGATGTTGTGGTGACGTTGAAAGCTGTCAATGTTGGTGCTTTCCCCAGCACTTTTTTCGATAATCAAATCTTCAAGATGGAAGCACTCGATACACAGGCGCGTTTTGCGGTGTCTTTGGTGGACGACAGAATCCACAGCTCGTTGGGTCTAACATTAGGTCAGCTCCGTGTAGCTCTATCCGGTGTTAATCGGCCAACTGCGGTTGAAATGAAGGAACTCTCGGTGGCCGAAGTTGCAGCACGCGCAACGGGTTCTCGCGGCGGTACCATCTTGAAGGTTCCTCGGGTGCTTGCCAGCATGCAAACGTGGCAGAGTTTGGCTTCCAATGAGATCGACTACATCTTTAAGAGTGCATTTGAAGGAAAGGTCGACGTGGGCTGGAACTACTCACGAATCAGCTTCATCCGAGGCATGTGGTCCGCTCATTCTCGGGCACTGGCAGATCGACTTGGGAAGCCGTTACCTCCATCTGCAGTGCGTATCACCGGAGGACCGAAACCAGGGGTGCCCGAGGAAGGTGTCAATGGTGAAGACGAGGCCGGGGAAGAGGAGCAACAGAATAAAGACGAAAAGATCACTGCGGTCGTGGATGTGCCTCAATCCAAATACGTGTACCATGCCCTGGAGCCTCCGTTGATTGAGACTCCGCAATTACGAGACATGGGAGAGGCTMCCCCGCCACTTGAGTGGATTGGGTTGAATCGTGAGCGACTGCCCAATATCACGCATCAAATTATTATTGTGACTCTGTTGGAGATTGCTAAAGAAGTCTCGGATGCCTATGGCAAAATTCTAGGATGAGTCTTTATCCCATTATTTTCACTATTTAATATCTGACCTCATTATTGTACTGTATTTGCATTAGTCTGGCGTTCTTTGCCTACAGAGATATCAAGTTGATCTGATTGCTTCAGCAACATATACACAACTCTAGGAGGATATTGTTCGGCGTTAAACTTTAACGCCGGGCGGCGAGCGGTGGCAGCTATGCCGCGTATGCTGATTGGCTGGCTGTAGCTCCGATGTTTGTCTGTAGAATACGTAGTATACGTAGTACACATCAGGTCTCGAGAAAATAAGTACGTATACTACGGATACGCGCATTAAAGAAAACAAAAGCAGCGATCGATGCTTATTGTGAGTAGTCTTGAGATGTAATGATGCCAGGACGAGGACAGCTTGGCTGTGTCAGGTGTGCACTTTCTGCTACGACGTCGACATGCCCCACCACGCGAACAAGAAGCTTAGCTCGCTAAGATAACGATGAGTAGAGCGAAGGCTAATGTTCTGATAGAACTAAGGTAGTATCATTCTGTACGACTCTTCATGACTGTACAGATACATAGTAAATCATCAGAAGAAAATAGGCTGCGAGTAGTGAAAAGATGTACTGTACAGTATGTCATTCTGGCAGGCAGCTAGCGGGGATGCGGCACGCTTGGGCTGCGATTGGCGCACCGTGGAGGGGCCGATGTAATAAACGAGGGGCAAAATTTTTTTCTTTGAGAGTGCTTGTTTGCTGATTATTAATGCGCACAAATAACTAGCTCCTAACTATGTAGGGGTTGAATACTAGGGAAGTTAACTACGTACTGAGTATACATGTCATCACCTCCAGCTCTGTGTCTTGCTGCCACACCCTCTCGGTAAGTTCTGGATGCATACACTGAAGCAATAGCAGCTTTAAGTAGATCAGTAGACATCAAAAAGAATACTCCTCAAGAAATAATAAAGATAACTGATGCATTGACTAGCTGGAGCCTGCAAGTAGTAAGCGGACTGCTGAGATCAGAGGGCATTCACAGACAGACAGTGGACGCCCGCCGGTCCTTCCCCACTTAACCCATGGTTCCTCCCCTCTCTGCCTGCCTCGCTTTTTTCTCTATTATTTTTTCTCTCCTTCCTCTTTCTCTCCTCTTCCTCTTCTCCTTCCCCATCCCTTCCAGCTCTCTTCACCACCCGTAGGAGTAGCGCAGACAGGTTCTCTCTCTCCGTCTAGAGCAGTCAGGTCGAGCAAGCCCTCGGTCCTGATATACCTGTGTGTTCTTTTTGTCTCCCACATTTTCCAATCCCACAMCCCCGCCTCTATAGGCCGTTGAGAAGAAAAAAGTCGCCAAAATGGTTCAGTAAGTCACCCATCAATACGTTGCTGATTCCATCAAGACTTGCCTTTCTTGATGAAATGCAACGTAATCTCTGATTCCTTGCCATGGCCTTGATACTAATGCGTCGCGTCTAGCTTCACCATCGAAGAGGTTCGTCAACAGTCCTGCGGATACACAGGCTTAGTATCCGGCTACTCACAAATGCTGACCACACATACCTACAGATCCGGGCCTTGATGGACCGCCCGGCCAACATCCGTAACATGTCCGTCATTGCTCACGGTATGTCGTGAATTCTGTATCTCAATGACATTAGAACATAGGGCTAATGACATCTCTATTAGTCGATCACGGAAAGTCCACCTTGACCGACTCCCTTGTCCAGCGTGCTGGTATCATTTCTGCCGCCAAGGCCGGTGAAGCCCGGTTTACGGATACGCGTGCAGACGAACAGGAGCGTGGTATCACCATCAAGTCCACTGCCATCTCCCTTTATGCCCATCTCCCCGATGAGGAGGATCTCAAGGATATCCCCCAGAAGGTCGACGGTAACGAGTTCTTGATCAACTTGATCGACTCGCCTGGTCACGTCGATTTCTCTTCTGAGGTCACTGCTGCTCTCCGTGTCACTGACGGTGCTTTGGTCGTCGTCGACACCGTCGAGGGTGTTTGCGTGCAGACCGAGACTGTCCTTCGTCAGGCTCTCGGTGAGCGTATCAAGCCCGTCGTCATCATCAACAAGGTCGACCGTGCTCTTCTCGAACTCCAGGTCTCCAAGGAAGATCTCTACCAGTCTTTCTCTCGTACCATCGAGTCCGTCAACGTCGTCATCGCTACCTACTTCGACAAGGCTCTCGGTGATGTTCAGGTCTACCCTGACCGCGGAACCATTGCTTTCGGTTCCGGTCTTCACGGATGGGCTTTCACCGTCCGTCAGTTCGCTGTCAAGTACGCCAAGAAATTCGGTGTCGACCGCAAGAAGATGATGGAGCGTCTCTGGGTAATTATCCCGATCATCTCATGAAACAGTAGCATGGTCACTAATATATTATAGGGCGACAACTTCTTCAACCCCAAGACCAAGAAGTGGACCAAGTCCGATACATACGAGGGCAAGCAGCTCGAGCGTGCTTTCAACCAGTTTATCTTGGATCCCATCTTCAAGATCTTCGCCGCCGTTACCCACAACAAGAAGGATGAAATCTTCACCCTTATTGATAAGCTCGACATCAAGCTTGCTGCTGACGAGAAGGACCTCGAGGGCAAGGCTCTCTTGAAGGTTGTCATGCGCAAGTTCTTGCCTGCTGCTGACGCTCTCATGGAGATGATGGTTCTCCACCTTCCTTCCCCCGTCACTGCTCAGAAGTACCGTGCCGAGACCTTGTACGAGGGTCCTACCGATGACGAGGCTTGCATTTCCATCCGTGACTGTAACTCCAAGGGACCTCTCATGCTTTACGTCTCCAAGATGGTGCCCACTTCCGATAAGGGCCGTTTCTTCGCTTTCGGTCGTGTCTTCTCTGGTACCGTCAAGTCCGGTCTTAAGGTCCGTATCCAGGGCCCCAACTATACTCCTGGTAAGAAGGAGGACTTGTCCATCAAGGCTATTCAGCGTACCATTCTCATGATGGGTCGTTTCGTTGAGCCCATTGAGGATGTCCCCGCCGGTAACATCGTCGGTCTCGTCGGTGTTGACCAGTTCTTGCTCAAGTCTGGTACCCTTACCACCTCTGAGACTGCCCACAACTTGAAGGTCATGAAGTTCTCTGTCTCTCCTGTCGTGCGTCGTTCCGTCGAGGTCAAGAACGCCAACGATTTGCCCAAGCTCGTCGAAGGTCTTAAGCGTCTCTCCAAGTCCGATCCTTGTGTCCAGGTCTCCATTAGCGAGTCTGGTGAACACGTCGTTGCCGGTGCCGGTGAACTTCACTTGGAAATTTGCTTGAAGGATCTTGAGGAAGACCACGCCGGTGTTCCCCTCCGTATCTCTGATCCTGTCACCCAATACCGTGAGACTGTCGGTGCCAAGTCCAGCATGACTGCCTTGTCCAAGTCCCCCAACAAGCACAACCGTCTCTACGTTGAGGCTGAACCCCTTAGCGAGGAGGTCTCCCTGGCTATTGAGGGCGGCAAGATCACTCCTCGTGACGATTTCAAGGCCCGTGCTCGTGTCCTCGCTGATGACTACGGTTGGGATGTTACCGATGCTCGTAAGATCTGGGCTTTCGGTCCCGACACCACCGGTGCCAACTTGCTCGTTGACCAGACCAAGGCTGTTCAGTACTTGAACGAAATCAAGGATTCCGTCGTTTCCGGTTTCCAGTGGGCTACTCGTGAAGGTCCTATTGCTGAAGAGCCCATGCGCGGTATCCGCTTCAACGTCATGGATGTGACCCTCCACGCTGACGCTATTCACCGTGGTGGTGGTCAGATTATTCCTACTGCTCGTCGTGTGCTGTACGCCGCTACCCTTCTTGCCGAGCCCGGTCTCCAGGAGCCTATCTTCAACGTCGAGATCCAGGTTCCTGAGGGAGCTATGGGTGGTATCTACGGTGTTCTCACTCGTCGTCGTGGTCACGTCTACGCCGAGGAGCAGCGTCCCGGTACTCCTCTCTTCACCGTCAAGGCTTACATGCCCGTCAACGAGTCTTTCGGTTTCAACGGAGATCTCCGTGCCGCCACTGGTGGACAGGCCTTCCCTCAATCTGTCTTCGATCACTGGGCTCTTCTCCCCGGCGGTGATCCTCTCGATCCCACCACCAAGCCTGGTCAGATCATTGCTGAGACTCGTAAGCGCAAGGGTCTTAAGGAACAAGTTCCTGGATATGACAACGTGAGTTATATTATTCTTAACTTTGTAACTACTGGTGCTAACCATCTCTCTAGTACTATGACAAGCTGTAAAACATTATACAGGTCGTTAGTCGGACTAATCTCGCCTTGATGACAACTGGGCGCCAATTGTTACGAGTATGACGAATCCAGATGCCTGAAGGGATATAGGCGAGACATGATATGATACCAATGTTAACCTTATGAATTAACCCTCGCCTCCTGTATGATGCAGTTCGGTCATTGGGAATGGGATTTCAATCAGTAGAATACAAGCCGGAGGGTCGTGGTTTGCTATTTTCCTTTGTTATGTGATGAGTGTGAATTTTGAAAATTTGTTTTGTTTGATCAAAAAAAGCAGAGATGAGAAGATGGAACAACATAAATATGCATGCACTCTTACGATATTCAATGTAGCTGCAACAATACTCTAGCTATGTAACTAGTAATGTGTAGCTGATGTTCGACTCAAGCTTCTCGATTATCCGCTTCTAAGAAATCACGTGACATTAATTATGATTTTCGCAACCGCGTGAAGTTTGGTGCTCAACAGTCAAGCTTCCACCAGTTCCTTCTCGAATCGATGTTCCAATAAAAAGAGCTTATTTACTATTTGGTATCGTCGAATAATGTGTACATGATTGATTTCTTTTATACACCGCCCACCGACCATCTATCTCAACTCCGATCGCCGCATAGCAAGCTTACTCGATCACGGTATCGAGCGAGGGTTTCCTCACTTGTACAAGTGACTATCACTGCCCATAACGTCTAGGGTCACAAACGCTGCGAAGCGACCAGCTAGCCATGCATTTCACCGAGGAAGAAGCTGCGAACGTAAAGACTTGGGTGATCAAGCGATTGGAGGATATGTATGTACTCGCCTCTGCGCGCGTCTATCAATACGTGCGAAGCCGCATTCTTATATGAAAGCTTACATTGACGACCTAGCTCCGATGCTGATTCCGACGTCTTGGCCGATTATGTTCTTGCACTTATCCGATCAGATGCGCCAGACGAGGAAATTCGTCAAGCGTCTATTGAGAACTTGGAGGACTTTTTGAAAGAGAGTCAGTATGCCATTATCAAGCTTTGGGAAGCACTTGTTGACCAAAATCATATTTTTTAGATACTGTCCAATTCGTCGACGAGATCTTTGCTAAATACGGACCCAAGACTCAACCTCCTGCACCCGCTGCCGCTGCCGCCCAACTAGCTCCAGCTCAGCCTACAACTCCTACTGCCCCCTTTCAACAATCTACAGCTTACAACCCTACAGCCCAGGCTTTTGTACCACAGGCGGCTCCGGCTCCGGCTCAAGATGCTTGGGGCAATGCTCAAAACTCGCGCAAACGCACTTTTAACGAAGGCTTTCAGCAAGATAATCAACAGGGCGACTCGCAACGAGGCGGAAGGTCTTTCAAAGCTCCTCGGACGCGCCGTGGAGGTGTCGGACGCGGCGACCGTATGAACGGCCGAGGAAGGGACGTTGCTCCTCTTCCTAACCAATTTCAACAAGGCATGCCCGGATTTCCACCAATGCCACCAGGTTTCCCTGGATTTGATCAGAATGACCCCATGGCTGCGATGATGGCTTTGCAAAGTATGGGATTCCCTCAGATGCCGGGTATGCCCCCGATGCCAGTACCTGGTCAACCGGGCGCCGATCAAGCAAAATCGAACGAGCCTTGTCCGTTTTATGAGACGAATGGTATTTGCTATATGGGAGCAGCGTGTCCATATAAACATGGGCAAGGTCCTGTTACTGTTCCTTCTGGTAATGATGGTAAGTTGAAATGGTCTCTACTGAGATGTTTTTATGCTGATAGTAAACAGAATATGATCCTTCGAATGCTACCATCTTCGATGTACAAGGCAAGGATGGCGCGAGGGGATCAGACCGAGGACGTGGTCGGGGACGAGGTCGCGGTGATCGTGGTGGTTTCTCATCAAGAGGGCGAGGTGGACGTCCAGAGTTTGCGCATGTCGGACCCAGCGATGACAAAACAAACACCACGGTTGTTGTCGAAAACATCCCCGAAGATAAATATCAAGAGCAAGTCATTCGCGACTACTTCTCCGAGTTTGGCAATATTTCCGAAGTCAATATGCAAGGGTTTAAGAAGAGTCTGGCAGTTATCAAGTTCGAGGATCACGAGGCCGCTCGTCGCGCTTGGTCAAGCCCCAAGGCTATCTTTGATAATCGTTTCGTAAAGGTATACTGGCATAAGTCCCATCACAAGCCTGATTCAAACGGTCAAGCAGCCGGAGGAGATCAAGACACGCCCATGTTTGACAGAGAAGAGTTCGAGAAGCAACAAGCCGAGGCGCAGAAATTGCACGAGGAGAGAATGAAGAAACGCAAGGAGGCAGAAGAAGCTCGACTTGCGCTTGAAAAGCAACGTGAGGAACTCATGAAAAAACAACAAGAAGAAAAGGCCAAGTTGCTGAAACGGCTGGGAGAAGGCTCGGGGACATCGAAGGAAGCTGAAGAGAATGGCTCCGCGGCAGCTGGTGATGAGAGCGCTAGTGAACAGACCAAAGCCTTGCGTGCACAACTTGCAGCCTTGGAAGCTGAGGCTAAGACTCTGGGTATTGACCCGGAGAGTGGCGCTCAATCTTTCCGGGGACGTGGACGAGGACTTGGTGGTTATCGTGGACGAGGACGTGGCTTTGATCCTTCATTCCGTGGTTCACATAGAGGTTCTTTCCGTGGCCGTGGCGCTCCTCGTGGTGCTGGACGCGGTGGCGTCTTGCGACTAGACAACCGACCCAAGCGAGTTGCCATTTCAGGCGTTGACTTGAACTCTGAAAAGGATGAAGCTCTACGACAGTATCTCATTGTAAGTTTGTTCCCACCTGACTCATAAACATCGTGCTAACATTTTCCAGGGCGTTGGTGAATATGAATCTATTGAACCCAGCCCTGAGCAACCCAACTCTCTTGTCGTCACGTTCAAAGAGCGGTACCTCGCAGAAAAGCTCATGTTCGGCCCATCCGAAATCCCATCCGTAGGCAAAGTCGAGCTTTCATGGGTCCCTAACCCTCCGATCTCCACCCCTGCCAGCAGCGGCGCGTTTACTCCTGTCGGAAATAAGGGCGAAGATACCGCGATGGAAAATTCTGGTGAAGTCGACTATGATGTTGCAGATGATGAGGATAGTTGGGGAATTGGATTGTAATGAATTGGACCGTTCACGAGTTCTGCATTTATTTCTCATGGTGCATCATGGAGTTATCTACTTGTGTATTATAGTACAAATCTAGTCTATATCTCTCTAATTCATCTTAGGCGTACATGGACCTCACACGCTAACTTGGGATCGTTTGATGCGGCGAAACACCTTCTTGGTACTTTGATTCTTTGTTGAAAATTTTAACTTCATACTTAACAGACAAGGCCTTTTGATGATCATATTCCATTGATTGTTTAATGGCATCCCCTGGAATACATCAGAGATGGCTGTCCTCCCCGGGCTTGGGGATACCCCGCGTGGAGAGACACAGCAATTGCGGGGGGGATATTTTCCTTTTCGGCTTGGAAATTCAATCTGCCTAGGTACTGTGGAGATGCAAGAATTAGATTGGTTTAAATGTAGCGGACTTGCTGTTTCGCGGGTGGTCGGGTCGACATCTGGATATATCTGTTGTTCAATATTCAGTTTTGGTGGTGTAAATATATCATATTGCAGTCTCTCTAGACACTCGATGTTTTATGCTCGGACAGTGCATTTCATCATTTCAAGATCTCATATGCAACATTAATTCGAGTTCTTACAATTATCAATACTTGGTTACAAAATGACGCCAGCGCCAAACTCCTTTCCCTCTCCCCTTCCTCCTCTCCCCGTGGGCAGACACCTCCCAGGCGGCCATGGCTTCGACCCAGCCGTGCCCCCCAACACAACACAGGGCTTTCACCTGAACCACCTCATGCTCCGGATCCGTGACCCCAGCGAATCCCTACACTTCTACATCGACCTCATGGGCCTCCGCACCGTATTCGCCATGAATACGGGCCCTTGCTCAATATATTACCTGGGTCATCCGCAAACCGACGCCGAGCGCGCAGACCCAAAACTTTATGCCCAAAACACTGTTCCTAACGACGTCCTCACCACGACAAAAGGGCTGATTGAGTTGGTGCACATCCACGGAACCGAGAAACTGTCCAAGGAGGAATATAGATTGCACAGCGGGAATGTTGCGCCGTTTTTGGGGTTTGGGCATGTCGGTTTTACGGTGCCGGATGTTCCTGTCGCATTGCAGAGGTTGAGGGAGAGTGGAGTCAAGATATTGAAAGATGTGGGTGTTGCGGAGAGGGGGAATGTGCCGATTACGGAGTGGGAGAGTGAGAAGTTTGGTGTTGGGATTGGGGAGTTGCATGAGGGTTATAAGCATGTGCTTTCGCAGATTGGGTTTGTGGAAGATCCGGTGAGTTGATCTGTTTTTCTCGTTAGTATCTGGACATGGCTGACATCTGATATCAAAGAATGGATACTGGATAGAGCTGGTACCGCAGAACATGAAGTGATTGGCGCGGTCACGAAGAGGCAGGATCCGAATACTCGTAGTAGAGATGAAGGACGTTTATCTAGAGTATCTGAAAGTATAGAAGAGAAGTAGCTGGCATTGCTGCGATTCGATACCAAGGTATAAATTCGACCAATGTATGCATACCTTCCTGTAGCATGTATATGTCGTAAAATCCTGTGCCTTGTTTGGTCAATTCCCTAGAGTGCCTGAATATGATACAGCGGAGACTTGCTATCGTACCGTAGAATCTACAGCTCAGAGGAACTCGAACAGACAGTCAGCACTGGGTATTAATTGAATTATCGGGTGCTGAAAGCTGACAGATTCGACCTGTTGTATTGACCAGTTACTTCATATAAGCCCAGAGCAAACGAGAAAATGAATCTGATTTATAAGCAACTCGTTTGTCGAGTAATTGCTGTCAAGTTCTGCAGATAGGATGACTTGGAATCGGAATCTTGAGAAAGATAAAAGTCCTTATGATTACGGCAATGCTGCTCAAAAGCGGTCGTAAAGAGCGGCTTTAAAGAGATCATACATGCTCTTATATCCGTATATGACAAATAGATACCAAGCGTTTAGTCTTACTGTGCATTGTGACCAATGAGATAGTGCTCCATTTCCTGAAGATAAGAACAAAGAAGAGAAAGATAGAAAGATGACGCCAATAACAAACAGATATAGGTTTGACGTAATTCTTTCTTGTTTCGTTTGATAGATGAAACCGTGCGAGTCATGCACTGAACTCTGTTCACCAGAGAACCAGGACTGAGTGGATCATTTCCTTTCATGGTAAGTCGGTGACAATCCGTTTGTGTATGTCACTTGCCATGGGAACGCCCGTTGGAATATGACAGCTGCAGGTGCCAGAACGTACGTGCCCTTGTTGGTGGAGACCTCATTCCAAAATCTGGGGAATTTGATAGGGCAAGACCGCATATATTCTCCGATGGGCAAGAATCTGCTTGCCACTACAGTGACCTGCTGTTTGTCCAATAGAATGCCAACCTGAACACACGAGGACGAGTCCTGACAGATACTGTTGGCAGACAAAGGGAGTCGTGTTGAAGTATTTTCCGTTTTGGGAAGTATTCTTCAACAACCAGCAAGAAAATGTTGGCGGCTCTGGTGCAATTTCTGGACCCACTTTTCCCCCGCGGCACCATTTCCCCGTTCCGGAGTTAGGGCTAAATGTCAACAACATCAATAACACACCGCACCTCGAGTTCTCGAGTTCTCGAGTCATGCTGATTTATTTATTAGCACTTTTTCTGATAAAACCGTCGTCAGATACATACATGCGTAGATGCGAATTTGGTGTCCCATCCGTCGACCCTCGATCATCTTACTGCGGATTGATCTCACTGATGTTCCCATCTGTATGCCGTTTAACCTTGTGTATCAAACTGTCCGGAAACATGAGATTACATTCAATATTCAGCTTCAAGAGAAACGCAACATCATGTAGCTTGTATATCAACGTGAAATTCGGGCAGTGATTGCCCTGATAGGCTTCTGTAGGAACTATTATGAAAGCTCGATAAGCACGCCAGCCACATGGCTGGAAATTCCTGCCCTGAATCACGATACGCCAATAGGAGTCGCTCAATGCTCATATGTCGTGCGTTAGCGTCATCAAGTCCCACTTTTGCTGCCAAAGTCAAAGGATAGACCCTGAAGATCTCGTGAGCTAACAAATTTACATGACAGTGTGACGTTCTGCAAATAAGGCGCAGGGCTCCGCAATCTCGTTGACCGGGGTAAACCTCTTTTTGCCGGAGAATGGAGATAAGGAAAGCCGAAATTATGGCTTTATTTGCAGCGCGTTTGATGGAAGACTTGACAAGCCTCAAGTCATGATCGTTTTTTTGAGGGATAACGGATTTTTGAGGGGCTTCACCCGTAAAGATGCGGATTTGAAATTGAAGAACGCTGGGCAGACCGATTGTCGACCTCGAGGCTTGAAGAGGAAGCTGTCGGGGGACAATATCATTCTTACAGTCAGCGAGTAGAACCAAGAAGTAGAAGAGTTCGAAACATGGCAAATATCTAGCTTTATGAAGGATGTCTCCAGAGGATTTTGATATCAACAACCAACATTGAAGATTACCTGTTTAGAAGCATGTCAATAGGATGCCTGAAAAACAGCAATACAAAGAGACCAAGAAGTCTGGTTAAAAGCAAAGCACATGTTTATAATCTGGCTCATGATGAAGCTTTCACCTGTGCTGGACATGCCAACTGTACACACAATCTCCATTCTCAACAGAGTGAGCAAAAGTTTCTAGACATTGATAAGAACCTGTATTCCAAGGAGCTCATAAGAGCATTGAGTATGTCTAGTACAGCCAAGTCCAGAACATTTTTGAACAAAGAGTAGTCTCTGTCCGCCTATCAGAGGCATTGAGCACTTTTTGCAAAAAGTTGTGAAATGTCATTTCCCTTTTCAGCAGCGTCCACCCGGTAATTTAAGGGAAATTTGAGGGTTAGTTTCCCTGTCCCTCTATTTCTCTCCTCCTTTCCCACCAAAACACATATTCTACACCTAGTGTTCCACTCCTCATATTTCGTATCTATATTCCATCTTCCTCATCACAAAGCTCAGGATATTTGGAATCACTTTCTTCTTGAAGCCACATAATAACGCACCTTTCAAATCACGAACGGATCTTTTAGGCCCAGAATATTCTCTCAATTCCGCCGCTCCTCAAAAGTCGTCAGTCTCAACATGTCAAATTACCCGGAGGAGTTCAACGATCTCCATAAACTCATCTTTGGGAATAACGATCCCGTCGTTGACGATTTGACAATGATAGGCTCATGGGAGCGCGACCCATATAGCTTCTTTAGTGACTTTGTGGATGAGCAGCTTGGCAGTCAGGTTGTGACTACCAGGGGCGAGTTGGGTGCCCCTCAACCAAATCATCTTCAACAATTGGCAATGGAGAATCCATATCAAATTGGAGATCAGAGTACGACTCCAAACCTGTACCACACTGAATACCAGTTTGAGAGGACAAGACCTCTCCCCGAGCCGATGGGCTACTACGCTGACAACTCAATGCCCGAAAGTGAGGCGAGCGTGAACAGTAGGAGTCTCATTGTCGTTTTTTCTATCATTAAGTTGCTAATATGTTTTATGCGATAGCAAGTTTCCGTCTCAGCGATATCAACGAGACCATGCCCAAAAGGGAGGCGAGCGCAACTAGTAGGGTTCTCATTGTCGATTTTTAGATCATCAGATTGCTAACATGTTTTGTGCAATGATAGTAAGTCGCCGCCTCAGCGATATTACTGAGGAAGATGATTTGACCGCACAAGTGTTCGCGACGAAGCGCAAACGTAGTCAAGAGGACGAGGGGACCGAACCAGAAGGCAACCGACCAAAGTACGCGCGGAAGATAAATAATGAGAACGCAAAATACCGTTACCAGCTGATGCGTTCAAGGCCAGAACCATCGCGTCCTCAGGGGGTCGAGAGACTATTCGGTAATTTGAAAAGCGATATTATCCCGAAGAGAGCCTACTATCGCAAGAAGGGGGCCACCGCCACAGCATCTGACCCACCCGTCCCTCAGTCGGCAAGCACGGCTGTCCCAGGAACTGGAGGAGAGGCTTCTTCCAGTACTTTGAACACAAGAAGTCGGCAGGCCAATCATCGCAGACACATCCCGGTGGAGACCGTGCGCCAAACTGCCCCGGAGGGATGGGATCGTTTTGATAATGAGTATTACTCCGGAGACGACAACGTTTCTGACGGCGAGATCGAAATACGAGGCAAGGCAAGCGATTGGAAGCCTCCTCGCATGGCGTGTCGACGCTGTAACAAGCTGAAGCAGCCTTGTGACCACGCATACCCGGCGTGTTCTCTTTGCGCAAAGTACGGATTACGTTGCCGCTATCGTGATGATCTAACTGGCCGGCAAATTAAGCCCGGCCAGTTGGAAGAGGTGGAGGTCGCACTCCACGACGCTCAGAGCGAGATCAAGCGCCTGCGAGACGAATTGAGAAAGTTGAAAGAAGGACAGAGTACTCGTGATGACGCTCAACACTAGCTTTTCTGTAGCGCACTTTGATTCTCGAGCATCGTGGCAGGAAGCTTTGCCTTGACTGTGTGCAATGGCAGTTCTTCGAATATTGGCTGATAATACACTCTTGACTGTCATCATTTTGGGATTTGGCTGGTCCTTTCCCTTCTTGTTTCTCTTCAAAGATTGCCTGTTTTTTGCATACCTCTTACCATGCTCGAGGCGTTTTTTGAACCAGATTGTATCCAGCTTTGTATCTTTTGTGACTTTAGCACCCAGAATGACAAGTGAGCTTTAAAGTTAAGGTCTGCACCCCAGATCATCGACCGTGAAGTATTTCAGCATACATGAATCGAAACACCGGATACCCTGCCATAATGGCTGTCCAAGACTGAAATTCTTCAAATCCAATATCATTGCCTTGGACCTGACATCGACTGAGGATTGTTTGAGCATGACAAAGCGTCACCGTGCGATATCTCAATTGTAACAGACCTTCATCTGTTGGCACCACCGAAGTCGTAGGACCCAGATTGGCCAGCGACGCCAAGATCAAAATCATAAGACATCAATTGCGACTCAGCCTCACTGCCTTTGTCGACTTCCATTTGGTCTAAGAGTCGGTCAATCTCATCACCTGCCTGTGCCTCCAAGCCAACAAAATGATTGCTAGCTGTGAGACCAGCTGTGGGCACGGAAGCTGCGGTCCGCATTACGTCGCTATCAAGAAAGTTGAAGGTTGCCATTTGTCTAGCCGTCGAGGTATGGCTTCCTTGTGACGAGTTTTGCGTGCCGGCCGCCATCTGCGCTTCAATGCTGACACTCATACTGTACTTTCTTGCTCGGGAGCTGGAATGGTAACCAGAGTTTTCCGGACTCGACATGAATAGAAGCGTTTCAATGGCATCCTTCTCCATGAGTGCGTTCTGAGAGGGTGTCCTCCGCTTTGCAGGTGATTCATTACTTGACATCAAAGGCGTTGGAGCTCGGCCATTGGCTTTGAGACGCAATGGAGTTGCATCAGGTGCTCCGAACGATCTAGATCCAGCAGGCAGGACAGTCTTTGCTTCTTGTTCCGAATGATATCGGCGATGTCGTGGCGTTGAAGTTTGAGAAACCAAACCATCTGCTTCATTAGGGTTAGGCCGTCGCCGCGCGATCTTCAACCTATTCCCTGTGACAATATCGACTGGCGGCGCAAGCCTAGGAGCCTGCGACAAGGATGAAGATTGTATTGTTGCGTTTGCGCCGACTTGTCCTATGGACCCATTCACATTCGAGTTGGCCACATGATGCTGTGACATCCGTGAAGACCCATTATCTAGTTGACGGAGTTCTTGTATCGGTTGTGTCGTGTTCTGCACACCGGATATGCTTCCCTGCGAAGGAGGGGTCTCTCCAAGCCGCCGTAATTGCCGACTCTGTTCTACCTTGGCAGCCGCATACGATAAACGAGCTCGGAGTTGGGCCGACAACTATAATTTGCTCTAGTCAGTAAATTTGGTTACTTCTTTGCATGGCTGAAATCAAATCGATTGCTGACCTCGGCAATTTTGTTCCCCGTGGAGTCTACGCTTGTTGTTCTTGAATGACCGTTTGTTCCGTTGGACGGCCGTGTGAGATTGTGATTCTCATACACTGCCGGTTTTATCTCGCCAGTTGCGCTTCTCTTGTGTCCTCGACTGGGTGGTGGTCGTGTGTCAATTCGAGACTTGGACGGACTCGCCGCCGGGCCTCTCACGTGGCCATTGCTAAGCGGTTCTGTATTTGCTGGCTGCGGCCATGGCTCTCTCTGAATCTTTGCACTCGCTACAAGCCCAGAGTGACCGGATGAAGAAGGTATTAGGCGTTGTTGGTGGCTCGGGAGGGCATTTGTTGACAGGGCAGCTGCTGCCTTTGAGCCGAGAATGCTCGCATCCATCGCAATGAAAAAACGCGGGACGCGGTACGGAGCCAGCACTGCTGGCCGGTATACCTGATCTGCTCGATAATCGTGGACAGACCCAATGGTCCCAGAAGACGATGATTCCGGGGACTATCTCATGCAGAGAACGATGGAGTTTGAAGATCAGGACGTTTGAAGGATCGTGAGTTGTCTACTACTGCACTGGCATAGCAGGCAGTTACGACCCGCCCCAATTGCACGCGATGGCCACTCACGCTCGCCCAAACCTAAACTATCCACAAACAGTCGCTGTGCACGATCTAGGCAGCACTACGGACTTCTTCAAACAGGGATAATGCAGTATCAGGGATTGTGTTGGGAATTTCTCTGTGCGAAAAAAAATCTCAAGATACTTCATCCGTAGGCATGTGAACAGACATGTCTGCTATTTATACTCTACGCAACTACACCACGTACGCCACAAAATATCCACCATATCCGCCATCTACTCTTGAATTACTATCGCACAAAGGCTGAATACTACCCGATAGGATCTGTTGAGTGATGAAGGCAATGTCCGCCATCCCTCATCGCAAGAAAAGACATATCTACGACTCGAGAAAAAGCGAATAAAGTACCGCAACGCAGATACGGACGGGAAAACTCGCCAAACTTGTACAGCTTTTGTACAAGAACAGGAGGCATAATTTGAGGGAGTCTCATGTTTTTGCGCGCTGGTAACATGCGCGCTGTTCGTCGTCAAGTTGCCGAGGAGGGACCCATTCCCAATGCATAAAACGAGTTACGTATAGGTAATCAAGGAGGGGTTGTGATTCGACTCTGGTGGGACAAAATCCGGGGTATTTAGGGCTTGTGCTTTGTTGGGGGAAATATTAAAAGAAAATAACGAACGATTCGTATTCGTGACGTGTCTTTAAAAGAAAAGAAAGATTGGCGATAAATCTTCAGATGGCCGGGGAGACGCGTCCGTGTCGCGGGTCACGTGTCGCGTCGATGCCCTACATTTCAGGCACTAGTAATGGAGGCCAAGTTCTACTTACAATAGAGGAAGTAAATCGGGACAGATAACGATGTCTATATTTATATACACAAGAATAGGTGGTATATTGCAAACTTTTGAGTCGTACAAAGATAACCAAAGCTTCACTTGAACGCCCAAAATGCATCAAGAAGTAATATGTATGGCAACGCTTACTTGCGTTTCTTACCACGGCCTGAATCTCCGTCGGTGTTCTTTCTTTTCTTGCCTTCCTGTCTCCAATATTCGCTCTTCTCGCGTTTCTCGCGCTCGGCTTTCTTTGCCAGGTTCTCAGCCACCTTGGCACGGTATCCCTTTCGGCGCTCCTCCTGGGCCGCGGCGCGTTTGGCTCTCTTTTCATTGTTCATGGTGGTGAGCTTCTGCATGAGATCGCGCGCTTTCTTCTCTTCTCCGCCTAGAACGACAGCTCGCTTCTGCATGTATGTCTGCTCTTTGCGGGGTCGCATCTGAGTAATTTGGGATTTGAATGGAAGGTCCTTGGCAAGCTGTCGAGGAACACGAAGGGGATTGAAATGACGTGTCGGACGTTCGACTGGTTTGTATTTCGAATCTTTTTCAAGCGGCGTAGCAATTCCTTCGGCTCTGCGGACCTCGCCAGTCAAGCGCATACCCTGCCAACCGTTTTCTTCAGGAGCAGTCTCATCAATGTCTAACAAGTTTGTGACGGGATTATAGAATCGGTGAGGCTTGATCGGGTACCAGGCACGGAGGAAGACGATATCGCTCATCAAAATCTTGTCTTCAAAAGTTGCTCGGAAATGACCTTCAGGTTTGCTGAGGGCTCGCTTGATTTGACCACGAATACCTGACACTGTACGAATGGCCGCACCTTCAAACTTGGCGATTTCCAAAGAAGAGTTGAACATATCACGAATGAAGGCAGTATTGCGGAAAATCTTGTATGGATGACCGGTAAGTTTGAGTTTCTTCACGATTTCCGTACTCTCGTCCACATTGAGAACAACACCAGTCGCGGCGATTCGGAAGCCCGGAATCTTGTTCGAAAATGAGTTCACGCAGCAAAAACCGGTATTGGGAGCAACTAGAGGCCCATAAAAGGTTCCAAAACAGTGCATGTGCTCTGGTGTATACTTCAACATGCGATTGCGTGTACGCGAGTCGGAGATACTGTAGATGGGTAGACTTTGAAAGCGACGCCAACCAAGAGAAAAGATAAGTGGATCGTTGGTCTTGAGAATCTTTTTGTGCCATCGGTGGCGTTTGATGCGCACTTGTACGTAGCCGAAACGTTCTTCGGTTGGTGCTAATCCACCGACAAGAACTGGATATCGAGGATTGAACTTGGTTGAGAATTCACACGGCACCTTCTCCAAAACAATTCGCGCATAGGTACCAGCTCGGAAACCTTCAGCACGGGCACGAGAGATAGCGTCAAGCGTCTGGAATTCAGCACGGTTGATGTCTAGTTGTTTTTGCAATTGAGCCTTCTGAGCGTCATACCAGTCATCTTCTCCAAACTCATTATCGTCTTTGCCTTCGTTTCGATCACCATTCCTGGCATTAGCGAAGCCCTCCCGGTCCTCTTCCTCAAATCGCAACTTGAGCTCTTCTTTCCTCTTAGCGTTACGCTCTCGCTCGGCTTCAAGGTCCACCTCACCCACAGCTTCCTCCTCGGCTTCAATCTCCTCATCGCCTGAGCCTTCATCAAACCCATTAAAGACTTCACCGGTCTCAAGATCTTCAAAAGCACCGTCGCCCTCGTCGGATAGTCCGTCATCCGAACCGTCTTCTTCATCATCGTTATCGCTGCCAGCACCACCCAATCTGGCCGAAGCAAAGCGACGTCGTAAGGTCTCGACGGCATCCTGATCTGACCATTTCTTCTCCAGCTCATCGTAATCATAGGTGGGAATTGTCCTATCTTCCCATTCTTCTTCTTTTTCAGCGTTGGTCTTTTTGAAAAAATCTTCTTCATCCTCATCTATATCCTCCGAGTCCTGGTTATCATCGCCCTTCCATCTGGCTATTACCTCGGCAGGTGAGATAGATTCGTCATAGAGCATGCGAGTAAGGTCAATGACGCGGTATGCAGGCTTTTTTCCATGAAGAGCCTTGGCATTGTCCAGCATATTGCTCTTCCATCGTAAGGCACCGTCTTCATCATCATCATCTGACGCGTCCTCATCTTCATCAGGATCGTCAAACTCTTGATCTTCGACGGACGAGATAGATCCAAGATCTGAATCACTATCTGCAAAAGCAAAATCACCTTCTTTTCCTTTATTATCACCATTCTGCTTCTCACGGATTTTGCGGGTCAAGTCCGATGGTGCTTCAAATTCACCTTCGTTGTCGTCAGACTCCGCCTCCTCGTCAAGATCCTCGTCGGCTAATTCTCCTTCCACATCATCTTCGTCGTCTTCTGCATCTCCACTTTCGAATCCTTCATCTTCTTGTTCAGAAACATAACCAGTATCATCCATTGTCCGAACATTGCGCCTTTCTTTTCGGCCAGTGTCTACTTCACCCTCCACTTTAGAAATTGCGTTGCCTCCCTTGAATAGCTGAAGGCTATCGCTAGCCTCTCCAAGCAATTTGCGTTCGTTTTGTAGGCCCAAGACAAGCTGTTCTCCCAGGCCCCTATCCTCGTCGTCTGAGTCGTCCTCCCGGTTAAAGGTCGCGGATTTGACATCGATATAAACGGCATCCTTATCGATCAAGACACCACCCACATCCGACATAGGAGCAAATAACAATTTCTGCTTTTCGCCCAATCTCTTCCTTCCACCCTTACCTGTCGCCTTCGCTATTTGCTGGTCCATGTAAGGAGTAGGACAGGGGTCAGGTAAGGATTCGATGGCCGACACTGTGAGATCACCGACGCCAGGAACATGAACGCGGGCACCTTGAGCAGGGAAGTTCGTTCCACGTAGATAACCATACAACGCTATTGTGCGGTCACATTTTTCATCCTTTTCGATCTCCGTAGGCGGTGTGATGTCAAGGAATCGATCGGCGAGGGCGTAAGGATGTGAATTGCGCCATATAAGAGGTCGAGGGTTCTTCATAACGGAGAGGAATCGAGATAGGTTGTGGATTTCGCGGTCCGGGTACCGGCCATTGACAACACCAGATAGATAGAACAATTTTGCGCCTTGATATAGTTCACTCCAGAAACGATGCTTCAGTCGTTTCTTCGCGGCCTGCAATGTGCTCTGTTTCCTGAACAAGTCAAGGTGCGTCAGAATTCCAAAGACGTTGCCAGGCATACCACTGGAAGCCAGGACGTTTAAAAATTCCATAGTCTCCATCTCGAAACCGTAGTTGCCGTCGATCATCAGCAACACTATATCTGCGATTTTGGCAACATCAATCATGCTAGCTAACGAATCTGAAGGACATTCTAGAAACGTCAAGCGTCGACGCTTGGATGTAACAACCGTAAGAGGACCTGTCGGGGAGCTGAGCGTTTGCTTCGAGTACCGTCTGATCAACGATTTGATCAGTGTAGTCTTGCCAACTCCAGGCGGCCCAACAATCGTGACGATAATTGGCGGCGCCTCCTCGGGGACGCGGTCGACGAGAGGCACATGGAGGCGTTTTTCCTTGAGTTCGTGGGACCTCGCAGCCTGTCTCTGTCCTTTTCCAGGGTTTGAGAAGGCAAAAGCTTTCGGATTTTGACCTACAGCGAGAAGAAAGTGTTAGCTAATCGATTCTTTTCGTTCAAGTTGAAGAAGATAGGTAAAATAAGAAGTTTCTTCAAATCGCATACCTTCATATTTTTTTTTCTCCTTCGTCTTGTGATGAGCCCGATTCTTCTGATCATCCATCTTGAGAGTATTGTAGGACAACAAATGCCGTCCAAATTCTCTCCTGGGCCGCAGCAAATGTATATGCAGTGGATTGTGCCGTAACAAGCAGCTGCAAAATCATCCGGCCATGCAACTTATCTCAAAATAATTTCTTCATATCCGCTTTTATCGGTCGGAACAACTTTCTTCCAGCCCGCGGAAGGCAAAGCTTAGATACAGCATAACGCTAGTACGTACCGGGAAAGTGGCTCCTGCCGTCTGCCAATAAGCTTTGATTGACTGTTTACTCCTCTACTATGTACTAATTACTAATACTAAGCCCATTATCGACTTGATCAATTCTTCTTCTTCGTATTGCATGCTTTGCTGCAGACGTCTTTGCCTCAAGTAACAGACATAAACCAGATATAGCAACTCTGCATCTATGACGACACAATGACTTCCCGGTCTTCACGACAGCCGCCTCCAGCGTATGTCGCGCCTTCCTCGTCTACCGTCCACGCATCTTCGCCCGTCTACCGGAAGATTGCAGCCTCGGCAGCAGAAGAATCTGCTCGCAGGCTAGAGAATACGTTCACGATTAGTCCGTGCTCTGGACAGGCATGGATAGTTCGCGCAGGTCAGGTGTGCAGAATATCAACTCCAGAAGGCCCACAGGTGGGAGATCTCAATATCTGGAATGCACATAATCCTCGAGAACGTATGTGGGCGGCGCGAACTCGTCAAATTCACAGCTCGCATGTCTCTGTTGGGGACCGTCTATGGTCCAATCTTCCATATCTACGGCCATTGGTGACTATAACTGGAGATTCTCTAGCAGGTGGCCAGATGCATACGATTTTGGATACGGAGGGTAATATGATCGAGGGAAAAGGGTTTGGAACAACTCAATGGGGAGGCCGGGTACACGATTTGTTAGGAACACGGTGTGATCCATATGTGAACTTGCTCATGGGTGGAGAAACGTTTGATTTTCACTGTCATTCGAATTTGACTCGCGCGGTGGTTCCATTTGGCTTGACGGAGCTTGATGTACATGACGTCCTGAATGTATTTCAGGTCACGGGTTTGAATGAGCAAGGGAAATACTTTATGGAGGCATCGCCCGCGCGGCCTGAGGAATATTTCGAATTCTTCGCGGAGATTGACGTACTCTGCGCGCTTTCAGCGTGCCCGGGAGGTAAGTTCAGGTTACCGGGTGAGTCACTGATGCTGATTTGTGCTAGGCGATCTTTCGCAGTGGGGCTGGGAAGAAAAGGAAGGAGGTGACATGGCGGCCACTTGCCGTCCACTAGGGGTGGAAGTCTACAGTCTGGTAGATACTAAAATACTCAAAGACTGGAAGCAGCCGGAAAGCCCTAATTACACGGGGATGCACGGTTTGAAGATGCCGTCAAGAAATGACCGCAAGGAAGGCCATGCTGGTGTGTAAGGCCGACTGTTCAGGAGCTTCAAAACAACCTGGTGCCCTTAGAGTAAGTAAATAAACCGTGTGGTGGGTGTAGAAGGGATATGGACATTTTAGTGCCAAGTCGTTCCAATTGAGCGCATTTTCAGCTGTTAGTCAGAGAGCGGCAGGCATGAGTCAAGACCATGTCTTACTATACGATGTACGTACTATGTAGTACACAGTTGATGGTAGAAATGACTTGCATGTCGGATAGTCGGATAAGCGAGCAGGAAAGAGCAAGGAAAGCGGGGCCTGGGGCATCAAGGCCACGTGATAACCCCGCGACCGGCGCCAAGAAGTGCGTCATCGCGAAGGTCTGTCCTGCAGGTCATTCTGGCGGAAAATCACTCCATCTGCTCGACATGCGATGGTGATATCGGGCAATGTATGGCGACTATGTCTTCAAGAGTTTTTTTCCAAGCTGTATCTGCCTGCGCACTGTTCGGGCTATCTAGTAGCATCGTTGAGTCGACTTAAACCCGTGACATCAGCAAGTGACAGCCTCCGGCTAAGCAGATAAGATAGCGACCAGGCATCCCGCTTTTTCTGTCTCTAGATTTATCGAGTCGCAGATGGAGCCAAATAGCATGAAACGCAATGTCTTATCTCGTGTTAGCTGAGCGTTTCTTTGTGTGGGTGGTAGCAACGACGTAGACGACGTAGCACGTACACTTCCAAGGTTCGCCCAGTCATCGCCCTCAAATCAGCGTCGTGATTTGCGGCTGCCTTGTCCCCTCCCCCTTTCCCTCCCATTGTAAATACTTAGGTCCTAAACGGCAAAATTACTTGGCTGTGCCGTGACACCTTATATCTACCATCTTCTGCTCTCTTCTCTCCTTCTCTCTTCTTCTCCCACTCCCCAACAAACTTCATACCACTGCTCTTTCGACTTGCTGCATCTACCTTTCGATCTCTTCAAGTATCTCGTTGCGAAATACACACAAACACATACTCGCCATGACTCTCTACAACGTAAGTCATTTGTTCTTCTAGGCATTTGCTGAAACAAGGCTCACCCAACACTTGCTAGGTCACCCTCAAGGAGACTGCTTCACCCGAGGAGCTTGAAAAGTACTTATCCTTCCACTGCATCCCTCTACAATATTGGATAAGTCACTGATTATAATCGTACAACAGGGCCAAGGAGAAGGTCCGCTCCGAAGGAGGCACCATCAAGCATGAATACACCTTGATCAAGGGATTTACGTGAGTGTGCTTACTCCGCATAGATCAATAAACTGCCGTATACTGACACTTCTGTTATAGGGTCGAATACCCCGACGACCACGTGAACGTTCTCGAGAGCAACGAACACCTCCACGTCGAGCAAGACGGAAACGTATCTACCCAGTAGGCTATAGCTGCTATGGTTCTTGCCCAAGGACAGTCTAGAGAAATCAGAGTCGCAAACAACAACCATGCCATAGCTGATTTTAGACCTATCGGATAAAAAGGATCTAGCTCTTGCACGACTTGAGTCTACTTGCACTGCATTATTGGAAATCTATTCGAAAACAATGGTTAGACTGGGTGTTCTCGATTCTCTTTTTCTCTTTCCTGTCATCGGCGAAGCACAAGACCCCGCCCATTTCATGATGATTACGAAAATTCATACTTTGATTATACCAGTACTGTACGCATAATACAAGCCAGTTCTTCAGTTCTTTCTACAGTAGTAATTGGGTCTAGTCCAACATAGTAGATCTCATATAGCCTCACTTGCAGGGTTTATGTCTATGACCTTGTCGTATGATTATCGTAAGCACGTACGCCCGTTGAATTGGCAACATATAAATGCTAGCCGCGATAAGCTTGGAGCCTGCATTACGGTCATGCAACGCAACACTGAAACGCAGATACGTACTATGACTAGTCAAACTAGAACAAGTTTTTGCTCCAAGCTATGCCTTTGAATAATATTTCCTATTCTATTGAATAATAATCACCATGACTACTGGGATCCTTCTGACTGATAGTAAAATAGTACACTCTGATTGGCCAGGATACGGATGAGTCACATGACCATGACGCACGGCAGCGCGGCAACCGACGGGGTTTGCCTGAGGCTATCCGCGGAGTTCTTCATTCTGATTGCGGACACCGACTTCTCAACGCTCATCTGATCATAGTATATATTCTACGCATATATTACGCAGTGATAATGGCAAGCTGAAAGCCATGGAAAATAAACTCCCTCGTCTCGTACGGACGTTCCCACGCTCAAGATGCAGGATTACACGATCTATCCAACTGCGGCACAACTCCACTTGGACACCGACATCAACCTCGGAAAGCTGGGAAAAACCTCCATCGTGGATCAATGTGGCAGAAGATGAGATTGCCAGATTGGCCGCTCTAAGACGTCGGCCATTGACTCTGGCAGACCTTCTCAAGTGAGTTGACTCCGGAAGATAGTACGTAATTGAGGGGCTGACGATTTATAGACATGGCCAACCTCCGTTATCCAAGCAGGCTCTTCTCGACTCGGCCAATTTCACACTTTCCCTTCTTCCGGCCCGTCTGGCTTATCGTATACAATGTCTAAGAAATCTACCGTTCATCGTGGTATCCAACCCGCACGTTTCGCAAATATATAACAATTACTTGCATTCGTTATCTACATTACTCCCTTACCAACAACGCCGAATCACCACCCTCGAAGAAGAGAAGCAATTCGCCGAAGTGATGGCAGATCTTGTCCAGACTCACACCAATACCATACCTATTTTAGCGCGAGGATTTCTGGAATGTAGAAAGTACATTGAATCAGACGAAGTCACTCGCTTCCTGGATTCACACTTGCGAGCCCGAATCGGGACACGGTTGATTGCCGAGCAACATCTCGCTCTTCATTTTGCGTCGCAGCCGATTAGTGACGAGAATCCGAACCCGCCACTCTCAGAACGAGAACATGGACCCCCGAATTATATTGGTGTCATTGACACTGCACTAAAACCTGCACAGATCGTTCGATCATGCGAGCATTTCGTGAGCGAGATCTGCGAGCTAAAGTATGGAGTCCGGCCGACTCTCGAAATCAACGGAGAACCCGACGCAAGCTTTGCCTACATCCCCGTACACGTGGAATATATAATCACAGAACTACTCAAAAACGCATTCCGTGCAGTTGTCGAGTCTGGACACGAGAAAGAACCCATAGAAGTCACCATAGCAGCTGCGCCAGATATTCCGGGAAATCATCTCAACCACATCAATTATATACCACATCATGCGCGAGACGGCGATGTGGACATATCGGCCGAAGAAGAGATCTTAGTCGCGAATGAAAACATTCGTCGTACCAACACTTCCTCTCAGAGTATAACGATTCGCATCCGGGACCGTGGCGGCGGTATTCGACCCGAGATTCTGTCTCAGGTCTGGTCGTACAGCTTTACGACGTTCTCGGAGGCCAATGCCTCGGGTGAATATAACGGCAACATCGATGCCCTGAACACGATTTCGGGTGCTGGTGGAAATACTAGTACTATTGCTGGGCTGGGCTATGGCTTGCCGTTGAGTAGAGCTTATGCAGAATACTTTGGGGGAAGTATTGCGATTCAGAGTCTGTGGGGATGGGGAACTGATGTATATTTGACTCTGTCTGGCGTCGGTCGGATAGGGGAGTAGTCTATMCCTTCGTATAAAAGTGCTGGACATGCCGTATTATAGACCCGAAATGACAACGACGGAATGAAATATAAATATATCCTATTGCATTATGACAAGTTAGTTTATGTGTCTCTGGCGTAGTACGATTACAGAATACGACATCGTTAGAGTGGAATTGGCCTTGCATTCTGAGTTAACTAAAGTAGCACCTGGCAGGATTGCAAGGGCGTTTGAAGAGTGGAAATATGTGAAGAGACGAAGGAGTGGCATCACATGCTCAAAAAAGAAGCAAAAACAAGGAAGGAAATAAAAGAAAATTGGATGAAAAATAGAGTCGGCCAATAATCCACCGTTTTGAAGAGGTCCCATCGAGACGTCGCGTGTCGTGATTCAATGTCGACATCCGAACTCGTCAAAGCATCACTTCCCATCTCCGCTCACATCGTGAACTGGCTAGGACAAGCCTTTGCCATCGCCACGAAACGCGCGGGAAGATCAGAGACATCTGGATCAACTACTGTCTCCCAATTTGGAGACTGGTTGCCCTCAATACGATTGTAGCGGAAATTCGCCCCCTTTTTCACATGGTAGGTCGAATAATCGCCGAACAAGACTACCTTTAGAGATGGGATACCGTTCCAACCAAAGGCCCAGCGGACGAAGTGATCAATAGCGCGGCGAAGGCTTGTGAGCGCGTTCATGTGAAATGCTGATTTGCGGAAATGGATGACGCGAAGATGGGGTTGATCTGAGAGAGGGCGGAGGAGTCCTACCTATATTGTTGTTGTTAGTCTCTGGTAGGATGCTGGCTTGAAGAAGCCAATGTTTCAAAAGTGAGGTACTAACCAGCATGTCTGTGGGGAAGCAGCAAATCCCGAGAAACTCGAGCTTGGAATCGGTAAACGGATTCGCTTCAGGCGAACTGATGCACTCCGAGATCTGTTTCAAAAACTCCTCACCAACATCGACTCCACGCTGAGGATCGCCGGTAGGAGTCAACCAATCCGCCTTTTCAAAATGGTCGGCCTGATGATGAACAAAACGGCGAAGACTGGGACGCTCGCGACAAACCGACTTCCAGGTCTGCACTGCGACCAGGGGAAGTTCCTCATCTGCGTCGCAGATAGCGACATCCTCAATATTAGCGCAGCGGTTGAGAAGGTTGATCATGTCGGATGAAGCGAGTGTTCCCTCAAAATATTCCAATTCGAGTTTGCGGAGACTCATCGGCCGTGTCCCCTGGGCCATGAGAAGCAGAAATTCATCCCAGCCCTGGCAATGACGGAGCGTTAGGGAGGTCATGGACGCCACGTCGATAGTCTGTACAAGTCTATCCGCGCAGCCCTGCAAATTGACCATCTCGAGATGCAGAACGCGGAGATTGGGGAATAGGAAACCATCATCCGTGACCTGCTGAACCGGGAAGAAATCGTCGCTATCTAAGGTGGGCAAGGCATTTCGAAGTCGAACTGACATCCCCCTTGGTTTGGAGGAAGAGCCAGTGATAGGAACTGGCCAGAATTGTTTCCCATCCAATGCGTCCATGTACGGAGCCTCGTCTATATTCGGGACAGCGGCGAGTTCAAACTCTCTAAGCGAAGAGCATGAGCATATGAGCATAGCCTCTAGGCCAGGGTAGAAAGACGCGCTCGTTGGTTGGCGCCGAAGACCTCGCACAGAGAGGTATTTGAGCTTTCTGAACGAGCCCAGGTACAGATTCTTTTGTTCGTCGGGGCACTTGGCACTCAACACGAGCTTCAGTTCCTCAAGGTCTCGCTGTGTCGAGGTCAGACACCCCCATGGAGCAATCAAGGTATCCGCCATGCATGTGGCTGTGGTCCAACTGAAGAAACTGTTAGTATGAACGAAACCCGAAGACAGTCTCTAGCAGAACTGTGACTTACCTGAAGTGGTTTAGGCTATTAGGCTTCAAATGACGCAAGAACATGCCAATGTCTCTGCTCTGGTTTTGAAAAAATCTCCCATAAATGCTATTGCGATGAATGCACCAATTCAGAGGTGGGCAGGTTCCTTTCACGACAATGCTCTTAACGAACTCAAGACGATCAAGACCTGGGGAACGTGCCTTGAGTAGATGTGCGAGGTCCGTTGGCATCGAATTTGAGTATCTGTCGTTACGAAGCTTAATGGTCAGATGCTTCCACCAGATAGGGATGATGACGTTGTAGAGCCTAGGCGCTGCTTGAAGCAGGGCATAGAGATCTGCTTTGTCTTCCATCTACCAGTCATAAAATCAGTTTTGGTCGGTGAACATGCTTATTCTCGAGCAAAGGAAAGCTTACCTGGTGTAGGATGTTTGTCATGACCTCCAAAGGCAACTCCAGAAGGCGACAGGGACCCTCTGTCAACACCAACGGTTCTGGAATATTCACCAGACGTTCTGGAAGATCTAGCAGCTGTTCTGAATCTATCAACTGTTCTGGAAGATCCCACCATTGCAAGTCAGCGCCAGCACTCTCCTTACGAGGAACGATGGAGAAAAGACGCATGGTCCCGTCTGGATTGGGAGGCAGACACCAAGTCACCGGCTCGTACGGCATAGCTGCAGACAAGGAGGGAGCAAGGTGAGAAAGGGTAGAGGATGAGGATGGCACAATGATGACAGCAGAAGAGCTGGATGCAACGACAAAGAAAAGAAGAAGAGGATAGAGGAAGAAAAAGTACAAGGGTAGATTCTCGAGAGAATGAAGAGAAGAGAAGAAGGAGAAGAAGACTCAGTTGGGAAGATGACGAGAAGGAAATGCAGACAAACGCCCGGTGCCGAGGGTGGAAGAGTAGGGGTACTAGTGGATTACTAGGTATGGGCTACGATATAGCATCAATTACGAAAATTACGCATAATTTCTGTCAGGGTGGCTGCGCAGATGTGCATCAAATTGTGAATGGTTGATGATATTCTCATGGGCTGAACCATCGGCAAAGAGTGTGAACCAACCGGATCATATATAAAGAGCATCTACATATTGTAGGCATTGAAGGCCATCTCCGGACAGACTTGATAGTACTGTCATATCTACCTGGAGCTGTATAATCAAGATGATTTGTGTATCTGAGCCAAGTTAGCAACCACCAGACCCCAGAATCTAGGGATAAATAGAATCTCACAAAGACAGCCCTATACAGAGCTTATATAGAAGGCACAAAAGTGAAGCCAATCTTATACTGCCGAATTCCTTCGTCTCAACATTCTAAATCCCTACATAAGACGGATAGACAACAGTTCATACAGGAAAAGGTCACGTGCCTTGTTGTGCCCTGGCCTCTTGCCTATCTAGGCAGGCGGGCATGACTAGACACAGCCGCGTAATTTTGGACCAGAATCTGTGAACTGACTGGCTCAACAGAAGAAGCACAAAGAAACAAAGTTACAGTACCACATGAAACTGTTTGTGCGGCAAATACTAGGCACAGTCATTTGTCAGGATTGGTAGACAAGACAGGTCTAGTCTGAAGCAAACAGACTGTTGGTGAGAACTTTTTCACTTGTTATGGATCTGACGAGTATGAGAATTTATAATATCAGACCTATCATTATTGAGAGAGATCCTTGGAGAGTTTCGTAGATAGTCAGAAACAAAGAAAAATAACGGCTTAAGAGTCTCCAAAAATATCTCTTCGATTTGCTTTTCTGCTACTTGTAAGGATGAGTAGTATACACGCTGAAGTACTCGAACATTCCGCAAAAATAAAAGTGACAACTCCAAATATCAAAAGGGCAAGATTTTTCCATTCACTCTTCGTCGAACATTTCGTTCCGCTTCAGCGGCTTAATAAAAGGAGAACAAAGTCATCTATTCCATACTCTCCACCACATTAATCGTCGTATAGCACGCTTGCATAAAATCATCAATCAAACGATCCAACTCCGCTGTAACGACATCATCTGACGCGTTCTCCATCATGGACTCTGCGCTTGGGAATTGGACTTCAGGGAACTGCAAGGTCTGGCTCGTAGGACGGCTCAAGTCACGAGAAGACGAAGAAGTGGCTCTTTGGCGCTGCTGCGAGAGTTCCATTTGGGCAGTCATTGAAGTACTGGCGGTAGCGTTGGGGGTGAGCTCGGGCACATCTTCTTGGTCGGGGCCTGGGCCATCTTCTTCGATGATTATATCATCTTCATGATCAGGACCGGGACCTTCGTCGAGGCTGGAAATGCTGAGTAGAGAAGGCGCCTTTGAGGCCATGCGGTGGTGGTTGCGTTGAGAGATATCGGGGCTCCGGTCGAACCGGAATGGGTCGTAGTCACTGATTGTGGATGTTGCTGTTGAAGGGCGAGAAATAGCTGCGACGTCGATTCCGTCAACGCTGAGGTTGTTGTTGACGTGGCCAATGCTGAGGTCGAGGGCTGATTGTTGAGATTGATGTGAAAGTTGAGACTGGTGCGTCTGGATTTGCGCAGGACGAATAGTATGAGCTGGGGTCTCGTCATATGTGTACATATTGTCCTTTTCTAGAGTGGGCATCTCATCGTTCACCGTATCAGTCATGACAGGAAACTTCCAATCGCGAGTAGCTCGCTTCTCCTCAGCAGGAGAAATAAAAGGTTCATCCGCAACGGGTGCTGGTAAGGATTCTGGCTCGTTATCTTCAGGGACGATCATGGTAGGGAATTTCCAATCCATAGTAGGTGGACGTGGTGCATTTGGTTGAAAAGAATCATTTTCGCTGTCAACGTCACTGTAGCGATTACGTGTCTGATCGCCATCCGAATTGCGTCCAGAACGTAGACTCGAGCGGTTAGCACGTATCGTATCGGCATCTGCGAGCTGGAACTGTGAGGCTGTTCCAGCAGCATAGTGAGCAGAATCGAACGAGCCTAGGTTGATATCAATAAATGTCGACGTGACGGACGAACGATCTGTCGTAGTACGAAGAGGCAGGTCGGACGGTGCTTGCTTTTCCTCGATCGGAACAAAATCATTCTTTGTTTCGTATTTGTATGTAGGTTTCTCCTCGTCAAACAGACCTTCCATAGCCGCAGCACCTCGCTTCACACGCTCGTCAAAGTTCGCCTTTTCTATCGGTGTCATTTCAGTAATGGCAATGTCATCCATAGAAGGCTCAGGGTTTTGCGGGAATGAGGGCTCATGGCCAGCCAACTCGGCAAGAGAAGCAGAGAGTTGGTCCAAATCCAACACAGAGTACCGTCGCTCGAAGCCATCGGTGGTACTAAAGTTCCAGTCCTCTTCAAGCTGTGGATTGTCGGGGAACTCGGCCGCTGCAGCGCCACCAGGATGGAAAAGAGACATGCGCTGGCCGCCGCGTTGAGACCACTGGTAGTAGTTTCGTACCAATTCGCTCAGTGACTTGGTTGGATAATCGGCCTCAGAGCTGGCGATGTAAGGGTGTTCGAGAATCGTAGCCATGGTTGGACGTGTGAGTGGATCTGAGTTCAAGCTGAAAGCGACAATGTTTTTGAGTTCCTGGCTGTACTGATCGCCTTCGAGTTTAGGAGTGTTGCGTCCTAGTGAGCGACCAATTTGCATCCGTTCTCGAAGTCCAGCATTGGGTGGATTTCCAGTTGCAAATTCATATAGAGTACAGCCGTATGCCCAGACGTCAAGTTCACTGCCATATTGATGAGCTTCGCCACCACGAGTCGAAAACATTTCAGGAGGCATCCAGTGAGGAGTGCCAATCCAGGTGGATCGTTTGTCGACTTTGGATTGTAGGATACCAGCGACACCAAAATCGCAAATTTGTAGGCGCCCTTCTTCGTGGATGAGAACATTCCCCGCCTTTACATCTCGATGGATGATTCCTGCGTCATGGATTGCGCGGAGGCCACTGGCGAGTTCGCGGGCAATGGGGATGATGAATTTCTCTTCGAGCTTGTCTCCTGTGGCACGCATCTGACAAGGTTAGCATCGCAAGTAACAACCCCCACGAGTCTTGACGAGAACTTACCAATGTCTTCACGCTACCACCTGGGCAGTACTCGCAAACAACCCACAGCTGAGAATGGATGGAAATAGCTTCAATCAGCATGTTTATATTTTTCGCCCCGGCTTCTTTAGCCTGGTTCATCGCCTTGATCTCGTGAATAAAATCCTTGATCGATTCATCCTTCATATCACGATGCATCTTGTAGTCCAAAGTATCAATATCCATGACCTTGATAGCCACCACATCTCGCGACGGTAATTGACGACCTTTGTAGACGCGTCCATATGCGCCTTTCCCAATGAGTTCTTCAAATTCGTAAGGAGGCACTTCGGATTTTGCGCGCCGACACATTTCCTGTACGGCTGCAGCTTGCTCTCTGGCGAGTTTGATGGACTCTGCTTTTTGCTTGGTGAGCGTCGCCATGGCGGAGGACGGGTCCAGGAACTGCGATGCTCGTGAAACCTCCATTTTCGCTGCTCGACGATTGCGCGAATATGCTGATGGGCGATCAGAATCAGTCTTGGGAGGTAGCAGCTCGAAGCGGAGTTTTGACGGAGGAAGTTTGCTGGGCGACCCTTTGGATTGAGTGCAGATGGGTGTTAACTCTTTGAGAGACTTTTGCTCATGAATCGCCTAGAATGGGTTAGTATATAACAGAAAGTAATAGCACAATGACTAAGTTTTTTTAAATTCATGTGAAAGCTTTTGTAGCTCAAGTAAAAAAGAACAAAGGATGGGTATTACCTTGTCAACACGCGCTGCACTAGAGATCAAGCTGTCCCTCTCAATCTCGTTAGGGCCAATGGAAGGAAATTCGGTAGGAAAATAACAGTCCTCTGGCAAAGAAAATATCCTCTTTGAAAGAAATCCAGGGTCTGATGTAGAACTCCCTTTCTGTATAAGAATTTGGGAGGCGCTCTGATCTTCAATGACAGGTGGAAGTAGAGGCGTTGGAGGGCGTTTCCGGATAAGGTCGTCAAAGCAGGGAGATCTAATACGAGGTTAGTATCCCAATACCGATACGATATATAACTCAAAGACATACTGAGGACCCGACGAAGTATCCTGGAATCTCACTCGCAAAGGCAAAAGAGGATTTGGGGAAGGCTCAAAATGCAAATTCCGGTCTTGTGGGCTTGAATTCGAACGGGCTATCAAATGGTCCTGTGAAGGCCCCTGAGCGGGAATCTGGAAAAACGAATCTGGAGAAAATGATATGGGGGTGCTCGGCAATTGCTGATCGAATGGGTCGACAAATGGGTCGAACAAGGGCGACGGCCGAACGAATGTAAAGAGATCTGAAGAATCCTGGCGCACGAGGGAGATCTTGGGTCGTTTACCGTGCTTTTTCCTCTGCTTTTTGCTATCAAGAAGCAAGATATGTCAGTATTGGAGATGTAAATGGATATTGGGAACGCACCTCAGAGCTCGAAAAGCTCTCTCTATCCAAGTTGACTTTCGATTTCCTGCCTTGGGAGTTAGAAAACGCCTTTTTGAAGGCCTGCAGAGGCAAGGCATGGTGATAGAGATGTTGAGAGAGAGAGATGAGATGGAAACATGAATAATTGAGATATATGAGGGAGGCATATCAAGGCGTAATATTGAAAATGATAGAGAAGAGAACGAGTGGGGAAATATTGACTACTTACAGTGAAATCTGTCGAAGCTATTAGGGTTACTCCCCTAATTGAAGGGTCAACAAAGACACTGTTCCGATATCTTGTTACTCGATATATAGAAGAGACATGAGCTTGACGCCATAGAGCAGGATCAAGCCATATCTGGAGTCTAAGTGGGATAACCTAGAAAGATTAGTTGATGTTAGCGAGCTCTACATAGCCCCACTTTTGCTCAAGATGAGATGCAACCATGAAGTATGAAAGCTTCAGATTCATAGTTTTTCTGGATTCAGGACAGTGCTGGGAGAAGTACCTATAAAACTTCACAGAAAGCAACCAATTAAGCGAGAAGGTGTGCACGCACTGAATCTGCACCAGATTTGAGGGCTTATTGATTGCAACCCCAACCTCAAACAAGTATTGAAGTTATGTGAATGTGCTGGCCGGTAGAACGGTCTAGACAATTGATGGCCAATCTGCTTTGTATATCTGCCACAACAAGTAACAAAATAGACAAGTCTTGAAAGTATACCAAGGGGTTTAAAACAATCTATACGCAAGTTAGCACAAAGAAGGTGAAAGGGAACATCAGGCATCGATGGTTGAGGTCATGTGATGTAGTAAGGGGCAAGGGGCAATTGGGACAGCGCCTGAACAAACCCATCAGTGAGTCCATCTCATGATGAGGCATCCAAGTTGGGATAGTTATATGTGTAGAGCAAGAACTTCGATGTATATCGATCCATGGAACATAGAGTCAACAAACCTACCAAGATCTAGACTCTGGGGAACCCCGAACCTTGAACGAAGGGATGTACAAAGTAATCGAATGGGCTACCACAAACAGCAAGACAATCAGAGCTATGCGATGAAGGGTATTGAAAATGATCAACAAAGATAATAGAAACAAAAGCAACAAAGAATGGAGAATGAGAGTGAAGTAGATTGAAGATAGAAAGCATAAAGTATAGAGAGAGATGTCGGATTAACGTTTTTCTTGTTGGCTTCTGCAGATCTTCCGCCACTTTGCCTGTCTGGAACAAGGCTTGGCGCTTATGTAACCATTCTATACAGTACGTATTCAAGACAAATATTTATATGCTACTCCTCATTGAGATGGTTTTATTAATCAAAAATCACGTGTAGACCTTCTTCTCTATCTATTGAATACTAGAAAACGGCATTGGACCAATCAAAGAGCCATCAAAACATCCCTCAATTTGGGATAATTAGGCGTTCCTAGACCCGAAGCTGGATCCCATCCAGGCACAGCCGAGAATCCAGCAGTATTACATCCCGAGTTCGTGCCATTCGTGATATCATTGAATGCGTCAGGGTTCGCGTAGAACACAGGGTTCAAGAATCCCACTGGACCAGGTTTTCCAGCTGCGATACGCTCGTCGATGATACGGTTGATGATGGATGCGACGATGGGGGCAGCGGCGGAAGTGCCACCTTCAATGACGGAGTCACCCCCGATCCAGATGGGGATGGTGTCGCCGACGGCAGAAACGTCGGGGTAGCCGCGGCCGGAGCTGTTGAAGAGACCGCCGTTTTCGCCGAGGACGGTGCTGTTGTAGGATGGGTAGGGGGGAGGGTAGTTGGCGAAGTAGCTGGAGCATGTTAGTAGGAGACAATCAATATCTGGCAAGCGACAAGAATACTGACCTGGCGACGGCATCTGCTTGGTAGTCGGGAATGGGGAAGAGATTGCTGAAACCACCACCGCTAGCATAAGCTGAGGAAAATGGATGACCAGCTGGGTCGTTGGCAACAACCTCACCGCCACTGACAGATCCTCCGGCAGGGATCTTGGTGGCACCGACGGCGGTGACATACGGGCAGCTGAAGGCTGTCAGTATTCGAAAAATGAGATGGACAGAAAACAATCATACCTAGCAGGCCAATCGGGGTTGAAAATGGTAGAACTATTTCCTAAACAACCCGAGCGGGAAGCGACACCAGAGTCTCCCGAAGCAAAGAGGACCGAGACACCGCGAAGACCAAGCTTCATGAATCTGCTCACGTCAGCTTGATTCATATACTAGGGATCAATGGGACGAACTCGTTGCATTGACGCTCATAGTACGATTGGGGAATGTAGTCCTCCGCGGCACCATAAGAGATGGAAATGACATTAGTGGGTTTATAAGTACCGCACATGAGTTGGCCCTTGTATCCGCCATGAGTGTCGGGGTAGACAGGGTCGATGTCAGCATTGCCACATTCGCCCGCATAGCAAGATGTGCAGTAGGACTTTCAGTTTAAGTTAGCTGATGCCCATCGTTGATGAGATAGAAGAAAACGTACACCGTCAATAGCATCAAGGAAAGTATTGAACAATCCTTTACCGGAAAGAGACCAGTATTGATCGTCGGTCTGGAACAAAGTAATATTCTGCGGGTAGACGATGGGGAAAGCAAGCGAGAAGTCCAAGTTCGATTCACCTTCAACTATAGAGCCAGGAGCTGTTCCACCATCGATGGACTCTAAGATGGGTGATGTCCCGTTTGGTATGCCGTAGGAAGGGTAAGCGGCCCAGTAAGAGTTTAGATCAGCCTGGCTGTACTGGTCGCCCTCTTCGAAGATGCCGAGAGAGTTGCTGGGAGAAGGGGGTATAGTGACTGGAGGAATCTGGTATAATTGAGMAATGCAGTCCGGGGTAATAGCGTCAGCACAGTCAGCCGCGCTAGCCGCCAGCTTCGCTTGGACATGAGGAGGAGTAGGAATTCGTAGAGGATCCTTGAGAGCATTGCGCTTTTGCAGGAATGGGAAACGGATACCAGGGGTGATGTAGTCGATGTGCTCTTTGATGTGCTTAGGGACGTGGTATCTCTCAGTGCTGACAGCGGTGTTGCCAGTCTCTGAGTCCTCGTACTGGTAGAAATCTGCGTGCAACAAACTTTCGAGCTCCTCGCCGGTCGCAACAAAAGCGAGCCAACCTTTGTTGTCCGAGTGGGTGATGCGGACATCGCGAATACCAGATTCAGTGAGCCACGCCTTGACGACGTTGACAGATTCGTCGGACGGAGCAAACATCTCAGTCACTTCCTCTTCTGTCCAGAACTTGCCATAGTTTTTTGAGTCAGGGTGCGAACTGTATCAGCGTGTCAGTATGTCAATTAACCGTAGCACGATAGATTGACTAACACATCCATCAAGTATTCATGACCACGGTGGAGGTTGTTCTGCTTCAAACCAACTCTCACGTGAATGTCAGATTCCGATCTGACGCGCAATGGGTTGGTCCAGCGATGGTGAAGTCCGTAACGCTTCTCGTGGACAGTATGAGTGCTGGGAGCAGGACGAGCTGCAACAACAGCAGCAAGAGCTGCCACGATGGCCGTCAGAGATACAATGCGAGTCATGTTAATTGTACCTTAGCGACAACGTTGCGTGAGAAAAGAGCGACTGAAAGGTGCAGAGGGACGGATGACTCTTATAAGTTGTGACTCGTGCTGTTGTACCTTATCCTACGCCAAGAGACAGAGAGGACTACGATGGAGTCATTTTATCTGATTCCTCAACAAGCCGAGTCAAGAAATTGCGACTAGGTATGGCCGCAGTAGCGGAGCACACTTGAACAGGGGTAACCCAAATCATTGTTATCTCTCAGGGCAGTCTAAACCTGACCATCCACGATTCGCTGCCGGGCACCCGAGACATCGCGAGTTGTTTGACAGCGTTTGTACGTCCTTGTGCACTTGTGGAGCACTCCAGTGGTTGCATAATTTCCAGGCAAGCAGCGATCATGATTTCGGAGGTTTAGCCGCAACGTGAAACAAATTTGCTGGACAATGAAGAGCGAATCAGTGATGGAGTCAGCAGGCCCCTGAATATTTGGCTCATGGCCAAGTTCCACCGTTGCGGGTCTCACAGCCTCATTGAACGTCCACAGTGACGACCGAAGAGGAAGGTTGTGTCGTGTTCCTGGAACAAAGCTGATCTTATTTAGTACCTACTCCGTAGTGGAGGATGCGCTGGTCGACTTGGCGTCTGGGCCAGCCAACAACGTCCCCCGGAGCATGGTCGATCACTGATCTCCATCAAACCCAAAACAGATGATAAGGATGTGCATAATGTCTCAGACACAACTAACAAACAAGATAGCAGACTCAACATTGGAGAGAGAGCGTGGGACAGGCGGCGGGGAAATGTTCTAAAAACAAGATGCTCGGCTTGGCCATGTCAGAAATAGATTATTATTTCATGATGCATCTAGTAAATGATTCTTCGGATGGTATCCATCGTTATCTCCCGACTTCAATGTTGTAAGAAAACATTGTAAGAAATTGTTAATTGGCAGGGTTTACTTACATACCCGGGTACAGTGCGTACGATTGCAGATCTAGACATCATCTCAGACAATTGTCGACGTCAAACTATATATATATAGATTGTTATCCACAACAATATAGTATAAATTAGACTATATACAGGTACCACTATTTACTGCGCCAACCCAAACTCCACTCTCAATGCATCGCCAAACCTCTTAATAGCTTCCTGCATCTTATCCGCCGGCGCCGCCGCAAACGTTGCTCGGAAAAACATCTTGTCCTCCGCCATGTTTTTATTGGAGCGGAACCAGCTTCCACGCGACAACAATGCACCACGGTCAACGGAAGCCAAGAAGATTGCTTCTTCGATTTCGGCATGTGATTTTCCTTGCGAGTAGCCGGGGTGTTGTTTCCAGGGGACTTCGATCCATTGCTGTGGTCGTTAGACTGAGAAAAAGATTACGAGGAGAGAGAGAGAAATCATCGAGAGATAGAAGACAACTTACAAACATGCCAGCAGATGGCGGAACCCAGCTAGTGACTTCTTGAGGGAGATATTTCTCGCAAGCATCAAGCAACGCGTCCCGACGACGGGTGTACTCCAAGCGCAAATGCATCAACCAATCCAAGTAACCCGAATGACCCCATTCTTCATCGAGAAGCTTGAACAAAGCGAGCTGCGCGAATCCACTAGGATTCTGGTTTGACGACTCAAAATGACGCGCGAAACGTTCGACGATCTGCTCCGAGCCAACGATCCAACCAATACGAGATCCAGGGGACAGAACCTTGGAGAATGACTCGAGACGAAGGACGCGGCCATCAACATCGATCTTGAGGAAAGATGGCAACAGGACTTTCAAAAACTCCTCGCGGGAAGATGGAGGCGGCACATCAGCCTTGTAAGGCTGCATTTGGAGGAAATAGTACGGCTCGTCCTCGACAATATAGACATCGTGCTTCTGGCAGACTTTGTACACTTCTGCTCGTCGTTGAGCGCTCTGAGTGGCTCCCGTCGGGTTCTGACCCGATGGAACGGTGTATAGAAGATGTGGCTTTGCGGCGCCACGGGCCTTTTCGTCCCAGTTGGTGAGGAGTTCATCCATATCTTCGGGAAGAAGACCTTGTTCGTCCATTTTCACTGCCGCGATATGAATTCCGAGAGGAGCGGCGGTTTCCAAAGCACTAGCAAATGCGTATTCTTCGGTAAGGATATAGTCGCCTCGCTCGCACAGGACTCTGAGAGTCGCGTCCCATGCCATTGTGTTTCCGACAGTCATACAGCATTGCCAGTCCGAATATGGGGGGTCGTGAATTATCTGAAATGTCAATTGAGATTGAACTTGTTGGTAGAAGAGGAGGGAGAAAATACCTCTGTATGTTCCGTGACAAATCGAAGCATCTGCGCAAAGCCTACTGACTGTCCATAGTTGAGCGCAACCTCCAAATCTGCACAGATCAGCTGCTTATTTACCCTGATTGATAGTTTACGATCATACCGAACAAGCTCTTTCCATCCTTGATATCATGCTTCCCCGCCGTTATAGTCGTACCCGACACACGCGTCTCCTCCTCCGAGAAACCCGGCGCCTTGGGCACCTTCAAACTCATCTCCTGAAACGGAAAATTCTCACTCGATGGCAACCCACCACCCAGCGAAATCATACCGGGCCTTGACAAATACTTCGCCGCACCCTTGAGAGAAGACGGTTTTCGCGCTTTCGCCTCAGTAGAGATGTAATGATCCCATCGCTTGGCTTTGGGTCGATTGAAGCTGGCGGCACTCTTAAACATGTCGCTGTTGGAGAATGCGGCGGTGCCCGTGGGCACGCTCCCGGTCTTGCGCCATGCAGCGAGGGCGTTGGGGTCGAGCGGATTGGGGACGAGGACGGCGGTGGTGTCGGTTTCGGCTTGGACGTTGATGTCGACTGCGGAGGGGCTCATTTTGGCGGTTGTTTGTTGTGTAGCGATGCGATGTAGTTGCAATTCGGTCTGACAGAGTACGAGAGTATATACATATACACGGCATCGAATTGCCGAGATAAACGACGTGCATGAGTCACTAAATAATCACAGGGCGTGGAGCTTCTGGTGAGGCTTGTACCAGAAAGGAAGGAAAAAAAGATGGTGGATCGCCGCTATCGCTGCTTGTCGAGATAAGGGCGTGTGTGACGCGTAATTCCGACGTATTGCCTGCCAGAGACGTGGTATTTACGTACCGCTCTAGCTGTATCCAGGCAAAAAGAACAGTAAATTACGCTAGCTGTACATTGTTGTTGGCGATGGTCCCATAGTTCGACATTTCGACGTCTTTACTATGTATTTATAGCAGTAGATTGATCATTCTAGTATACATTGACTCTGTATCCTGGTCGATCGTAATGCAGTTCTGTGTTGTTTGTTACGCAGACTTCACATTTGAACAATCGGAGACATTCCGACGTCGGACAGCAGCACGTCTTTCAGACCGCAAGACTGCCAACGCAACAGCCATTCGCAACACTTGCGCAGGTCATTGGCAAAGATCTTGACTAATTTGCGTACCACGAGCGGTGTCGATGGTATTAATTAGGTAATTTGCTACATTACTTGCTTGGGATACCAGTTCTATTACGTTTGTCGCTTATCGGAGGCTACTCTCGGCTCATCGCGGGAGGGGTATCCTTATCGATAAGAACAATGGTACAATTGTATACGTGGAGAACACGAGCTTGAGTATAATGAATGGTATTCATGCTGATAATGCTACTTATGCAGGCTAGCAATCTACTTCTCCACATACTTTCCAACCGTCCCATCCAATTGCGCCTCCAGAACAGCCGACTTGCCTTCCAACACACTCTTGATAGCCTGCGGAAGCTTTTCCGCAAGTTCCCCAACCGTACTCGCGCGACCAGCCCACAACTCTCCTCCTGCAGCCGCTTTGGCAATTCCCGCATAGTCTGGCGTTGGATCGAATGAGATATTCAGCTCTTCATTGCTGACTTTTGAGCCCTCGCCGTCCGGATGGACAAGCAACAGACTTCGGCGAGGTGCGTTCCAGCCCTTGTTGTTGAGGACAATGGTCAATACGGGGATGTTGTAGCGACGAGAAATCCAGTAGACCGATCCCGGAATAGTAAATAGGTACGTGCCGTCCCCAACAATCTGGCAGACGAACTTGCCCTTGTTTTTACCGCCATGTTGGTCGTCGCTGGCGAGCTTGATGCCGAGGGCACCGCCGCCAGACCAACCCAATCCTCCTCCGCCACAGTTAATCCAAGACTTTGGTAGTGTACATTGGAGATGGTCTGCCGCTTGTAGTGTCAGAGTAACTGCTTCAATCGCCCAGATGGTATCCTGAGGTGCCGCCTTTTTGAGTTGACCCATGAGATAGTTGGCGTTCAGATAAGCACCTGGTCCACCGTCAGGAGTCGCTGCAGAATCCGCAATATCTTGAAGCCGTTTTCGGTATGATTCTTCAACTCGTTTCTGTCGCTCATTCACTTCTTGGCTATTCAACGTCTGAGCTAGTGACGAATTCGAAGCAATGTACTCATTAATCTGTTTGAATGCGGTCGTAGAGTCGACCTTAAAAGTAGCGATAGACGGCAAGTAGAACATCGGAATCTGCTGCTTCAATGGGTCAACATCCAAATGAACCACTTTTGCCGACTCCTTCGGTTTGCAGACAGTAGGAATCCAGGGCGTGTCGCTATCAACAACCAAGATAAAATCCGCCGTCTTGACCGCGTCATGTCGTCCGAAATGTAAACTCAGCCAACCAGGGTGGTCTGCTGGGAAGCTCATATCCGATCCAGCGCAGTCGACCACGCGAAGACCCTTGATTGAGTTGGCTAGCTTGACCAATTCCTCGACAGAGCTGGCTTTGCGACCGTTGTACCCAACAATAGCCAGAGGCTCTTTTGCATTCGCCAGCTCAGTCGCAATCATTTCGACTGCACTCGATGGTAGCGCGGATCCCGTAACCGGCACCCACTGTTCCTGCTTCAAAGAATATGGCTCGATTTCCTCTTCCATAATCTCTCTAGCACAGACCAGATATGCCGGTCCCTGAGGATCACTAGTAGCCCATTGTAATGCGCGATTCACGATCTGCTTGACGTTTTTACCCGTCTTGATTTCGCCTGTATACCGGCAATATTGCGATATGATCTGTTTCTGGTCGGGTACATCCTGTATCCAGTGGATATACTCCGTCCTTGAGCCCCGCAATTCTCCTTCAAGCGTGAATGGTGATAGACCCGCGAAGATGAGCACGGGTGCTCGGCCGCATGAGGCGTTGTGGACGGCAGCAGCGAGACCTTGCGTGCCGACGTCGACGTGGACAATGACACATTGTGGCTTTCCCGTGAGACGAGCGTACCCATCGGCCATTGAGAGGGCGACCATCTATGTTCGATTTAGTATCTTCGTATTCTTTGTATTGGAGCCGATGCTACCCGCATACTGCTGACGTACCTCGTTGGGACAGGTGATTGCCTTGGGCCATTGATCTCTGCGCTCTCTTTGGCCTTTGACTAGTGCTTCGATAATAGCGGGATGGTCGGTTCCCAGGTTGACAAAGACATATTGAACGCCGGCCTGGGCAGTTAGTACGATGTTCAGACAGAAGGTAGACGGAACGTACCTCCCAAAGAGCTTCAAAAAAGGCGAATGCAGTTGTGTATCCCCTAGCCTTTATTAACAGCAATTCGTTCAGATAGAGTCTCAGACTTACATGATGAATAATAGCGAACTCGTTGCTCTAGCAAGTTGGTAGACATATACTAGCGGAAAGCTGTCATTTTATAGATTTAACGCGATAACAACCACTCGGGGAATCAGCAGTATCAGCACCGGAATCGAGCAACCGGCGGAATGCGAAATAGGAAGTAGTAAGGCACAAAGACAGATTCCGATTTGTCCATTGACTCGTCTCGAAGGCCGAAGCAGCAGGTTGAGTGGGTGCGCGGGGGTGAGATAAGAAGGGTCTGGATGAGGGGAAGGATGAGATGTGTGGAGTTGTCAGTCTTGTTCTGTAAGGCTACGTATGGGGAATGACTACGTTGTCCACGAGTAGAGTATTTCTAGGCCAATAGCTTTGACTGACTTGATCCCTGCCCTGCATATCTGTGGAGTAATAGAATCATGAACTGACATCCTCGCAACGTTGTCCGATGCCCCCCACGTTTTCATATCACCAATAGGTACTAACAGTCTACAACCTCAATAAATGCCATGCTTACAAACGTGCAACATCCTTCAAAGCATCCTCACATAGATAAGAATACCACTCGGTACCCTTGTGCCCACGCTGCGCATTCCGTAAACCCACGGTATTGAACCCATCCTTCCTCAATCTCTCAATTCTCGCGGCTTTGCCCTCGTTGAGAATTGTTCCTGGCGCAGCCCACCCTAGATTGAACTTCATATCCTTTGTACCGCGATTGGGATGTTGATTACCACCGAAACCGTCGTTGCTATTCTCGTCGGTAACGTCTTTTGACAAGGCTGGAAAGCTCCAGTATGATTTGGAGGGAGGCATTTTTTGGGTCTGGAGGTGTAGTGTACGATAGTGGTTGATGTCGGTGGCTAGCTGGTGTAGATCGGAGATGTTGTGATGTAGAGAGTAGACCAGAGAAGCGAGCTGGTGATCGAAGCGGGCGATCCGTGCTTCGAGGAGATTGTCGTCGCTGGCGAATGTATCGAGATGATACGATTCACAGAGCTGTGGCCATGTCCGCTTCACCAGAGACAGGGAGTGACAGTCAGAGTCTGCCATGTACCACCGGCCGAAAGACGCCACCTCCCAAGCACGCTGCAGACGAGACAGTGAAGCCTTGTCCGAGTCCGACACTCTCATGATCTGCTTTGGCTTGAGACATAATGGCAGCGGCTTTGCACTGGACGAATGCGGGATGGGCCTCAGGCAGGAAGGCGTAATGTTCTCGGCTCCTTCCTTTCCCAAACAATCGCGGATCATGTCGCTGACTGAGCGAGGCAGTTCTCTTTTTGTTTTTGGAGGGGAAGCAAGACTTGATGAGTTCACAAGGATCGGCTCATCTATCTGAGGCATTCTCTCTGCGACTCGTCTGTCGATCTCGGCCCTCAATGCTTCCTTTTTTTCTTCAATTCTTGCTTCGTAGATTGCCTGAGAGGTAAAACCATTCCGGTCATCGACTGAGAATGAGTTTGTTGATGTTACTGGGTATTGTTGGAAGCTGAGATCGTGACCACTGCTCATTGTACTGTAGTTCCACGTCTCGGGTGTCCAGCCATAATCACTCATATCCTCCATGATACTCGCCAACGACCGAAGCCCACCCCCATACCGTTGTATTGGTGTATTCATCATAGTCTCATCCCATTGATCTGTTTCTGCCGAAACAAAGCTCATGGAACTGAGTGAGGGTGACATTACATTGACATGCAGCGGGATACCCTTGCGAATACGTAGCGGAGGGGGCGTCAGTTGTTGCTGAGTGTACGACAAAGACCTTCTCTGAAGGGCGGGATTGTTTAACGTAAAAGGGTCGGTTTCGTCGCAATACCAACTATTTGGGCCCCCGTCAACTAGTCGGCTGATTTTTTTTGTCAGGCGCTCGATTCTCTCTGTAGAATGAAGGATTAGTCTGAACTTTCGATGAAGTTACTAACAAGGGCAGTTTAAATACCTTTCTTTTGAACCAGGGGCGAGTTATCAGAGCCATAGAATGGAGACCCCATTTCTAAGAGGGGAACTCGTGGTGTTGAGACGACATCCTCGATATCGCTGTCACTGGGCAGTTCGATAGCATTCGTCAAGATAATCTTGCACCTCTCGAACCAAATCGCAGCATCGTCGATCTTTTTTGTTTTTGCTGCTGAGTACTGATGCATATTCCTCGCATACATCTCAACACAGCAACCGATCAGAAACAGCAAGTATGCATAAGTAAAGGGCGAATCCTGTGAATCCATAGCTCATCAGCATCTCATCTTACCTCATACTAAACGGTTATGTTGGAATACGGACCTTGCAATACCCAACCAAACGAAGACATTTACTTTCACATTCTCTCCATCTTCCCTCAAGGTATATCATCTTGAGGTCGTTGAGAGCTGTACGCCATGCCGCGTCCGTGGGCGGAATCGAGATGACCTGTGTGGATTTGAGGCCCCGAAAGACTCGATACAGCGGGGTTGAAGCCGTGGATGACACTGGGGAAGAGAGATCTGTTGCATTTTGTTGATAGAGACTCATTTGAGAGATAGGTTATGAGTTGTCTGTATGCAAAAAACTATCAGGCAGAGTGTAACTCTGCTGTCTTGAACCAGGGGAATGGTAGAAACTAAATGTGAGGAGAAGAAAAAAGAATAAGGGACAGAATAACAAAACAGGGCAATCAGAATGTGACAGCGTCAAAAGGACCCAGGCGTGTGAATAAAAGCACCTAAAGCTGGAAATGCCCGGGTGAATGGCCTAGATTAAAAAAGAAGCACATTCAACTCCTATCAGAACACAAGTGAGATATTCCAATGAGCAATGAGCTATCATTTCAGTTCTACTACATGTAACAAGTTTCTGAATGCTTAAAGCATTGATTATTAGTATTTAAACCCAACATTAATACCCATCAACCGACCCTGATATCTCTCAATCACTTCTCCCAACTTGACCAAAATACCAGCTGCAAGCATTCGCGTCTGCTCTGTCTCGTCCATCTTCTCTGCAGATTGTACACTCTTAGTTGAAGTAGCCGGCATTTTCTCGAAAACATCATTGCACCAATCGCGAAGTTCGATTACTTGGACCCCATGGTCGGTGACGAGTCGTTCTTCTGCCGTTGAGCCGGCTGCGACGTTCAGGTCGATGACTGCTAGGAAGAGGGAGAGTAGGGCTGGTAGGACGACTGGTTCTGTTGAAACGGCGCTGCCGTGGAGGGCGAAGATAAGGGAGAGTGTTTCTTGGCTGATCGTTGGGAGTGCTGGTGTGTTAGGGCCTAACGTTGAGATTATGAGAGTTACTGTCTGGAGGAATAGTCGCAGAATGTTCGCTGAGTAAAACGGGTTGTGGCCTGATGAAGATACACTTGGTGGAATAGTCAGTTCCTATACTCTTACCTAGAGCGGAAAACTTACGATCGTGATTGCAGCATGACCGCAAATCTACCAACCAAAGGATAGAAGAATCCCTCGGTCAAGTCTTTGTGCAAATCCTTCGAAATTGTTTTCTTCTTCCTCTGAGCTTCGCGTAGCTGACGCTGACGCTCGACTTCCATGCGCGATGAAAAAGTTCTAACTTTCAGTGCATTAGGCCCTGACGCTGCGTCCGCTGCATCAAGTGCCAATGGCTGGAGTGATGTTCGAGACAATCGCTCCGTAAGCGTAGCAATGGGCGAGACCTCTTTCTGTGTGTCATAGAATTGCTGAATATGACTAGGCAGTTTCTTAGACGGGAAGTCGGCCTGCGCAGAAGCCGAGGGTAGTCCCAGAGCCTTGGCATCCTCTTCGCCATGACCAGCAACTTCTCTGGCACCTAGACCCATGGCTGTCAGAATAGCCGATCTTTGAGTTTGTGATAAGTCTCCGTCGAAAAACGTCGCCGTGAAGTATCGACCCATGCGGATTGGCTGCGCGGCAAGTAAAGCAATCATAGCTTTAAGACGGTGTTCGTGGAAGTTTGGCATGGAATAGCTATCTTGAAGACTGATAATCACTAATGCAAGTCCATCAATATTCTCAACTAGCTCAGTTCCAAATCCAGCTTTTCGGCGAATTAACGAGGCCGCATTGGTTATGCCCAGGTGATACCGATCCACATTCTCAGAGTCCTTCAAGTAGGCAACCAGATCTCGTATGTAGCTATAACACGTTAGTCGATATCTATCATCACCGATGTAATCTTGAACTTACACAGGGGCCGTAACTTTGCCTCTCTGCACGAGAGTTGGGTCATCCTCCGAGTCAGAGGCGTCGCTGTCTGGTTTGGCATAAGGCATAAACCCCTCTTCTTCGTCCTCGGCATCATCATCATCATCAATGATTTCTTCAATGGCGACTATTTTCGAACTCTCCCTCTGAACAGAGGACGGTGCCCAGGCAACCTTAGCTTCGGACGTCTTTTTGGGCTGGCTGATTTTCTCTCTTCCAAAGTCCAGTTGGTGTAAGTCCTGAATAGAGCTTATCTTATCGTCAACCCTGGTCAAACCAAGGTACCATTGAACATCGCCGCTGTCAAATCCTTCGAGATCAAATTTCATCATTTTTCCTGGTGGTTCGACTAGTTCAGAGATAGCCATACCGACAATCATACCTAGAAAGCGAGATTTTGTCGAGGAGGCGGCTAATCGATTCGACACAGCATTAAGATATAGTGATGACCGCCCGATAGCATGTAACTCTGCAGGTTGGAGTCTTTGCAGGTACCCGGCAGTCAACAGGAGTATTTGTGCATTTGCTGTTTGTATTTTAGTTTACCGTAAGGAGTTTGGTTTTGGAAAAGACTGAATTACCTTCTTGAGTGGGCATCAAGCTGTGCTTGATACTGAAGCTATCCCCAAAGTCGCGGAAAGTCTGCTCCAGTAGTTGCCGTAGAGAGTCTATAAGGCGTCAAAGATAGATCTTGCAAGATGAGAAAAGACTTACCTGGATCTTTTGCCACTAGTAGAACAAGAGCACGACGTAAGCCGAAAGTGGTGACCACATTGGTACTTGCATTTGACAGCCAGGATCGAAGCGTCTCTTGAGGACTGGCGATGTCCTTGAGAATTTCAATGAGAAGGGCAGCGATTCCGCCCACGGTTGAGCCGGCTGTTGAAATGCTCTTCTCATCTATAGCAAAGTACCGTTTTTGAATATCTTTCAGAATGCTTTGCAGGATTGCGCTTCGCTCATGATGCCGAAGATGTCGGAAACAAAGGCCCCAAGAAGGAGAATTTCCACCGTCCACAATTACCCCGCTATATACTTCGTGAACAATTTTATCGGTATAGCCTAGCCCTGTCGACCGACCGAACATGAGAGCTGCAAATTTCCAGAGATCATCGTCGTCATGGGCACCTTGCACCATCATGTAGCTCACATTCTTACCAAGCCACTCAGCAAAGGCATGCCCTTCACTGATCCATGATTTGATATGGCCTTCTTCGTTGTCCTTGATAATAGTCAAGGCCTCAGCAGCTGTGGATAGAATTTTTCCTCCCGATAGAAGGGAGCAAAGTTCTGACCAAGCCACACGTCGTTTAGTGTCTGAATCATATATAATCGTGTTGTCATGATAGACTCGCGAAACAAAGTCCCTGGGCTTCAATAATGTGGAAGTGAATGACATGACATCTCTTAGGGCCAGAACCTTCCCTGACTCCCTATCTTTGGCTGATTTGGACCGTATGGCGTTATTAGATATCTGAATATATCCCACCAGAGCCCGTAGCCCTACGACACTAGAGAAACATCGCAAAAGTGCCCCTCGGAGTTTTAGATTGCTCTTTTCGACATTGCTCCAATGATCGGGGATAGTTTTGTTAACTAGAATATGCAGGATTTGTCCATGAAGTGGGCCGGGAAGTCGTATGTCAAAAAGCGCGCTGTCGTTTCCAGCTCGCGACGGATCCAACGCCTTCAAAATCTGATAAAGCCCCTGCTCGGTTGGTTGCTCCTGAAGACGCTGCAAGAGAGCCTCTGGTGTGTTGGTCTCATTGGTGAAATTTCTGGTGGACGGAGCTTCTGGATCTAAAGCGTCAACACTTCGCACCGCCGTTTCTGATAACACTTCGATGCGCTTTGTCTGAACAGCAGTCAACAAGCCATCCATTGTCGTTTATGTTGTAATTTCAAAAGTCTCATCATGACTTTTGAGAAAAGAAGCTCATTCTTGGTCGATGCAACGAGTCAGATAGTTCTTTCCTCGAACACGGAGCCGCGGGTTATTATAACGCCGCCCCGCCAATCATCTCATGCTCCACTCAACAACAACTATCAAGTTGAGGTAACACCACCACATTCGACAGATTATAAGAGAAACACAAGAAATTATACAGTCCACTATAGAGCCATACTGTCATACACTGTACTCTATTCGAGCTGTTTGGTTGATGATTCACAACACAATCTGAACAAGGATCATTGCCCCGCGAACTCGCCAGGCAGGCAAACATCAACCTTACATACCTTATATCGATTCATCTCTCACCATGCCTTCCCTTGAAATAACTACAGACTCTTCGAGTGCACGATGGTAATATCTCTTACTGTATGAAGAAAAAGAGATGACTGAACGTTCACTTTGTAGGAAACATCTGTACAAGGTTTTGAGCAAACCAGGCCCCTTCAGTGATGAAGATTGGGTACCCGGATCGGAGACCATCGATGCGCTGGAGACGTCTAAAGTTCTGTAAGCACTCCTAATGATCATGAGTGAACAGTAACTGATTATCATAGTGTTATGTGAGTCTTTTTTCTGGGCCAATGCTATCTACGCCGCATCTAATAGTGCTCAGCGGAGCTGGAGGGCTAGGATGTGAGATATTGAAGAATCTTGCGCTTTCTGGCTTCAAAGATATTCATGTCATTGACATGGGTATGTTACATTAACAATCAACTTTTCTTCAGCTAACATTTTTCAGATACAATCGACATCTCCAACCTCAACCGCCAATTCTTATTCCGTCAATCTGATGTAGGAAAGCCCAAAGCCGAGGTTGCAGCAGCATTTGTCCAGAAACGTGTCAAGGGAGTCAAAATCACGCCATATGTCGGAAAGATCCAAGACAAAGACGAAGACTACTACATGCAGTTCAAGATCATTGTCTGCGGATTGGATAGTATTGAAGCACGCCGATGGATTAACTCGACCCTTGTTGGCATGGTAGATGCCGAGAATCCAGAGAGTTTGAAACCTTTGATTGATGGGGGTACAGAGGGTATGTTGATTGTGCGCATAATTCAGTTGCTGCTCTCTACTAACGATGAACAGGTTTCAAAGGACAAGCTCGCGTCATTCTTCCATCACTCACATCGTGCATTGAATGCCAACTCGATATGCACGCCCCCAGAGCTGCTGTTCCACTATGCACAATCGCCACCATTCCCCGACAACCGCAGCACTGTATCGAATGGGCCCATCAAATTGCTTGGCAGGAAAAGCGGAAAGACGAACCATTCGACAGCGACGACCTCGACCACATCTCCTGGATCTATCAACACGCCTTGGAGCGCGCGAAGCAATTCTCTATTCCCGGAGTTACCTTTCAACTGACGCAGGGTGTCGTGAAGAACATCATCCCCGCCATCGCGTCGACTAATGCTGTTATTGCTGCATCTACAACATCCGAGGCTTTGAAGATTGCTACTTCATGCAACCCGTACTTGGACAACTACATGATGTATGCTGGCGAGGAAGGTGTATACACCTATACATTTACCGCAGAACAGAAACCAGACTGTCCCGTTTGCGGTAACCTCGCACGCACGATCCATGTTAACCCTGAAATCACTCTGGAAGAATTTATAGAAAATCTGGGCGAGCGAGCAGAGGCACAACTCAAGAAGCCTAGTTTGCGATCCGAGGAGAAAACACTATACCAACGGTTCCCGCCTCAGTTAGAAGAACAGACGCGGGTTAATCTACGGTTGAAGCTGAAGGACCTGGTGTCTGATGGGCAGGAAATCGCAGTCAGTGACCCTGCGTTCACCATTGATTTCCGGTACAAGCTCGTTTTTTCGTGATACCTTGATCACGAGGAAACGCATTGCTTGAGTGCTATACGTAGACGAGTTGACGAAACAATATCATGAAACACCTTCTAGACACATCAAAGAGGACTTTTTTGACCCGTAGAATGATTGACATCTATATCCACACAAATAGACAACACAAAACTCCAGTAAATGCAACCGCAAAGAGGCAAACAAAATCCAAAAAAAAATAAAGTGACAAGATGGGAAAGCGAAAAAGTGAGAGACGTTATTGCACCAGCTTGTTCAAGTCTCGTTTCAGCCGTACGCATTTGAGCTTCAACACCTTAACGCTTTCCAGGAAAAGAGTGTCACTAGGAAACTGGCCGGTACTCTCAATATTGAAAATAAAGTGATCCCGCACACGACCCAGTTTGACTTTATCCTTGAACTCATCGTGTCGTAGACATTCTCTGCTGACGGTATCTTTGAAGGGGTCGACCACCACAGCTTTGTCTTCGCCCGCATGACCTTCGTATCCACTACCCTTCTTCGCAGCTTCGGCAGATGTGATTTTCTCGAATCCGATGACACCCTTGGGGAAACACTTAGCGAACTTCTTTGCGTCTTCGCCAATGATAGGGCGCATGATTCGAATTTCGGGGAGGAGACGGTATGTTGCCGTTGCGACGGGAGAGAATTTGGCGTGGTCGGCACCGATACCCTTGATACAATGCATCTCGAGCTCGATAACCTGTCCTGGTCTAAGCTTAGCGATAAGAATGTCGGGATTGACCGGTCTGATTTCTCCTTCGCCGCTGAAATAGTTCACTTGACGACCCTTTGGATCAAATGTGATGTCGCTTGCATAGACGTGCGCGTTATGGTAGCGAAGGCGGGGGTCTTCTTCGCCCGGTAGAGCTCTTTCGTTGACGCTGCATTCAACGTGGAGATTTAAAACGACGGTGTTGAAGTCGCTAGGGTCGCTGCTCTCGGGGTCTTCCTCGGTGGCCTTTTTGAACCATTGCATCCAGTTGAGACCTTCTATCGAGCCTTTGAGCGGGATGAGACCGAGACGGGAGGCGAGCACTTCGTCTTGAATGACGGATGTATTATTGAGGATGTAGACAAATTCAATGGCGAGAGTGGGTACTTCGGCGATTAGGATACGGCGAAAAGCGTTTGCGACGGAGGCGTCGAGACCGACGAGGGAGAAGGAGGCATCGTAAGTCTCGTTTTTGTGAAAGTCGACTCGAAAGTTCTGACTGGGTCAATTTTGAAATGGTTAGACGAGGTAAGATTCAAGGACGTACATCTTGAAATTTCTCTATGGACCACTCATGTGATTCTCCAGGCCAATGCCCAGGGAAGTCTGTGGAGGGTATGTTGGTGATGGTTTCGGCATTGATATTGATAATCTAACACGTTAGACGGGCCGAAAGAAATCAAGACACTTTGAGCGCTTACTCTTCGCCGCGAAGGCTCCTCTGTAGTAGCTGCGACCGGTGCCATTGCTGCTGAATATGCGCATTCGCTCTGTTTGAAACTGTGAAGAAGCTGTACGAACTTTTTTTTCTTTAGGTCCTTGGGAGTCTTTTCTGCTCCGCAGACACTAGGCTGTTTCTGGTAAAGTGAGGGACGCTTATCTAATATGAGCCAATCATGCATCATTGAATCCCGATTACTGAAGAAAAGCTCGTCGATTGTTGCTTATAATCAACTTTTTAGAGCTGTTTTCTGAGTAAAATGTATAAGAATTGTCATAAAAGGCACTACAGCAATGTCAGAGTCCTTTTTTGTCATGCACTAGAGTCGTAGGTTGGGTTTTTTTTACTAATTTGTAGATGTATCACGTGACACACACCATAGACACCTCAGGCTGCGAACAATTCCTGCCGGAACTTGAAGGCGGAAGGACCACACTGAGCAACCTCAGATTCCCGACGTCCACACCTCAACTCGCAGCCATCCCAGCGTCGCCCGCCGCATCCCCCCGATGGCTTCTTCTCTTTCTCGCGTCGTTGGCCGTGTGCCAATGACGCTAGGTCGTCATCAATCGCTGTTCAAAGCTTCTGCCTCGTGCTCGCGGCATATGAGCACAACTCCCTCTCGACGAGCTGCCGAACCTCAACCCTACCAAGCCACCAGACTCATTCCTACAGATCCCTCGTTCGCTCACCTTGCGAACAAGGCAGGTCCTGAGCCCATCGGAGAAGGCGCTGCCTTAGAGTCGACCACCGACACCGGCAATCGCAAGATCCGACACTACACCGTCAACTTCGGTCCCCAACATCCAGCTGCGCACGGTGTGTTGCGTTTAATTCTCGAGCTCAATGGTGAAGAAATTGTTCGCGCCGACCCTCACGTCGGTCTTTTGCACCGTGGAACGGAGAAATTGATTGAATACAAGACATATATGCAGGCTCTGCCGTACTTTGACCGTTTAGATTACGTTTCGATGATGACCAACGAGCAATGTTTCTCGTTGGCTGTTGAAAAACTACTCAACATTGACATCCCTGAGCGCGCCAAATGGATCCGAACCTTGTTTGGAGAGATCACTCGTATTTTGAACCATCTTATGTCTGTCTTGTCCCACGCTATGGACGTTGGTGCTCTTACACCTTTCTTGTGGGGCTTTGAAGAACGTGAAAAGCTTATGGTTAGTAGAGTCTCTGTCAATGGTTGGACCATTCTAATTGTGGATGAATAGGAATTCTACGAGCGTGTCTCTGGTGCTCGACTGCACGCTGCCTACGTCCGACCCGGTGGTGTTTCCCAGGATCTTCCTCTCGGCTTGCTCGACGATATCTACCAATGGGCTACTCAATTCGGTGACCGCATTGACGAAACTGAAGAACTCTTAACCGACAACCGTATCTGGAAGGCCCGAACACAGGGTGTCGGTGTCGTCAGCGCTGCAGATGCCCTCAACATGAGTTTCACTGGTGTCATGCTTCGTGGTTCCGGTGTGCCATGGGATGTTCGCAAGTCGCAGCCATATGATGCCTACGGCCAGGTCGACTTCGATGTCCCCGTCGGTATGAATGGTGACTGCTACGATCGATACCTTTGCCGTATGGAGGAGTTCCGTCAGTCCCTCCGCATTATTCACCAGTGCTTGAACAAGATGCCCGCTGGTCCAGTCAAGGTTGAGGACTACAAGATCAGCCCTCCTCCTCGTGCTGCCATGAAGGAGAACATGGAGGCTCTGATTCACCACTTCTTGCTCTTCACCAAAGGTTACGCCGTGCCTCCTGGTGAGACCTACTCCGCCATCGAGGCCCCCAAGGGCGAGATGGGTGTCTTCGTCGTCAGTGACGGTAGCGAACGCCCATACCGCTGCAAGATCCGTGCTCCTGGCTTTGCCCATCTCGGTGGTTTCGATCAAGTCTCCCGCGGTCACTTGCTCGCCGACGCCGTCGCCATCATTGGTACTATGGATTTGGTGTTTGGAGAAGTCGACCGATAGGCCTTTTTCATGTTACAATAAGAACCTCGAGCAAAAGAAATCATACAGCTACCCTAAGAAGTAGCACTGTACTACTGGCGTTTTATTCATCGATCGGCTTGTTCATCAAATCATCCGAGATTTGACATGTTTTACTTTTTCTGAACCTCAATTTCCTTTGTGACGGCTGCCCTGCTAGTCCTCTTTCGTATTTGTATGTACAGCTAGTGTCAATAGAAAGATATGGATGGTCAATTAGTCCGTAACAATGATACATAGTTCTTGTATCGTTCCATTTGTAGAGTATATTACGATAAATCCCGGGCTTTCCTAAGACATTTTCTATCGTCAAAATGTCATTATTATCAATAGCTTCGTAAAGAATACCGATTTCGATGTATTAAACATTATCATCATGATAGTAAAAATTGACGTCCCGCGGCCTCCTCTTGTTCCCTTTCACGAACTCGGTGTCATCGGGCGGACGTTCGTTCTTGGTGTTGGCGGTCAACATGCTTTGTAAACTCATGCAGACGCTTTCGACAGTTTGGACGGGCGACCAGCCGGCTGAGGAGAGCAGGTCCAGACAGATGAAACCGTTAGAGTAGATGTGTGGATGGATCGGAATGGCGCGGGGTGTGTCTGTGGGTTGGGAGATTTTGACAAATACGACTTCTGGTGGTTCTGCGATACGTATGTCAATTTATTTTCCAAATCAGTGCTTTGAGGTGATTCGACTATACCAATAGGGTATTTTGAGCTGAACATCAGCTTGAGTCGGAAGGTCTGGTCTTGGTAGAGGGGATTCGAGTCGAGAACGCGGATGTCCATGAGCCATTGCTCGAAATTTTCGGCTTGCACTATCTCGATACCAGGAGGTAGATGGGTTTGCATCTGTCGAGTTATACTGGGTGAGCCATGAATCAGACATGCGGCGGTGGGTTATTTGATGCGGGGAAGCTCTTGACGGTACCAGGACTGTGACAAGGGGAAGAGAACGATTCTTTCGCGTACTAACCTTAGCAAGCTCCTATATCGTGAACTCAATTAGCAGCTGAGCTGAGAGTTTTGTGAATGAGAGGAGCTCTCATGACTTACCTTTCCTAACCGCTTGGAGGCGAACATCTCGCCGACTCACTTCCTCTTCTGATCGAATCTTTCAATTTAGAAATTGTATGATAGCAAGTATTTCAGCAGTCCGCCACGCTCCAAGATAGCAAGTTTGTGCGTCTTTGTGGCTGAAGCTCGTTCTTCAGCTCACTTCAATCGCAAATCCGATAGACGGTCGTCTTCGTGCAGTCCGGCAGCTTCGTGGATGTTGGTTGTAGCAGACTCGGCGACTGGCTCAGGTGTAATGCATGTTAGATTGAGTCGGCGATGAGCAGGCCAGCGCTCACACAATCGTATTTGATGATAAAAAGTGTCTCATGGAAGAGCTTTTACTGTCGTGAGTTACCTGACATGTCATGAACCCCAGGAGTCACGAGCCGCTAAACATGTCGGAGTGCCCCACCACCTTCTATCTCAGCCTTCTCTTTCAACAACTTTTCCTTAATTCATTCGTTCAACGGTTTCGATACGCTGCGAGGATCTTTCCTCCGAGGTTTCAGATTCGATTTGTTGTAGGGCCCTGTTCACTCCCCTGGTCGTAGCGCTTTGATCTTCATTAAAAGGCTGTAACAGAAGCACGCAGCTGGGTGTATATACCCGACTTCTTGCACCTCCCCGGGTTGCCAATCTTCGCATTGAGGAGCTGCTGTATCCAGTTCCTGTACTTCGGTACTCTCCGAGTTCTTTCTGGATGGAGATAGTCGACTTTGGGTTCTCATGAGTTTGTAATGATTACCGCTCAAGCACTCAGATTCTGGGAACGACACATATCTTTGACTAGATTCTGATCTACCAGAACATCAGCTTTTCCGAGACTCAGGACATGAGAAGAGCTCATCTTMAAGCCGTACCAAGCACTGATCATGTCTGTTCAAGATCTCAACATGATATTGTAAATCGGCAAATCTCCATTTCTCCGATCCCCAATGCTACTACTAGTCTATCCGTTCGCCCGCAATCTTCATAAACTTTAGAGACAAGTCCTTCACTACGAGTTAGTACAAAAGGGAAGTAGTGAGGTTACATGGCATCACTAATCCCTCTACAAAGTCAAGACTTTGAGGCGATCAAAATCATCATTATGGGGACCCCGCAGCTAAGAAGCAGGTATGACGTGCACATTGCCGGATAATTGTACGGCTCSTCCGGKGATGTCTTTACTGTATTTKGAGGCTACTCATCCTGAAGCCCTCCGTAGTGGGATGTGCCTTCGGGATATCGGGAAAAGTCTGTTTATATTAGCCTGTACGATGCGTGCAAGCATTGTATTTTCCGCCAACTGATGTCAATGTGTCAACTGCAGAACAAGCTACCCCGGTTATAACCCTGTCTGGCACGCTGCAGATCCCTAGACATGGCTCTCCTCAAGCCCAATCATGGGCGTAAAGCTGCATAGCAACTGTCTATACTACCGCATATTGCACAAAGCACGCACACACTAATCCTGCTCGGAGATCTTGACTTACATGTGTATATGATGCTTATTGCTGGCAGCAGGATTTGAGAAGATGTCTTTATCACCCCGCATCGATCGACGACTTAATAGGCGATTCAAGCCATTGTTTCGTTTCTTTTCTTATCAGTCTTAGTAGTTGTAAGTTTCAGGCACAAAATGTTCTCTTCCATGAAATACGTCTACATATCAGTGTTGCTGAGCCAGCTCACAATCGCTACCTCACCAACTCTCTCAAGTCGTGGTGAGAGCAGCTCCAAATGGAAGCTGAAAAAGTTCAAGAGCTTGGTCACCTTTGGAGATAGCTACACTGATGAAAGTCGGTTTGGCTATTTTGCCAGTCACAATGGTTCTGCGCCACCGGTTGGCTGGGTCGATCCAGTGGTAAGTTGTTTCATTGTACGTTCTATGAGTGTAAAAGTCTAATTGCTTTAAGAGTAACAATACTTCATCCGGTGGCTACATTTGGGCTCGATATGTCGCCTTTAATGCCAAAGTCAATCTCTACGACTACGCTGTCAGTGGTGCCGTCTGTTCCAACGAGATCACACCTCGTTGGGTTTCTGCCCTCAATGGCGACTACCCATCTGTTCTCGAATATGAGGTACCAGCCTACATCGGTGATAGTAAACTCACCACAAACGGAACTTCGTTTTTGGATATCCCCCCTTCGGAGACCGTCTATTCAATGTGGATCGGTACGAATGACCTGGGCGCGGATGCGTTCCTAACCGACTCTCAAGTACCCGGCAAGACTATTCCGGACTATACGGAGTGTGTATTCTCAGCGCTAGACAAGATTTATGCCAATGGTGCTCGGTTCTTTGTCCTCCAGAATGTGATTCCGTTGCAGCTTGTCCCTCTCTATGCGACGCCGGAAAATGGTGGAGTATATCCCAATCCAGATGGGACTACCAATGTCACCGAAGTCTCATATAGGATGTGGGAGAGTGTCAAGACCGTCAACGACATCTACAAGTATCAGCTCCCGTACGAGTTGTTAATTCAGAACAGATATCCTGGTGCTCAATTCGCTCTTATGGATATGTATAGCATTGTATGTAGCTCCTATCCGACCAAGGTCGAAAAGAAACAAGACAAATGCTGATTGTGAACTTACAGATTGCCGACATATACTATAACCCGGATCAGTATCTCGCTTCACCAGCTAATGTCACGGGATACATTGAGCAGTGCGATGCGAGTGGGGTGTGCTCTCTTGCAGCGAATCAAGAATCATTCCTGTGGTTTAATAATCTTCACCCTTCCTGGAAGACCGATTCTATCATTGCACAACGATTTGTTGAGGTCGTCAAAGGTCAGAGCAAGTACGCCACGTACTGGGGCGGAAGGTAGCAACGTGTGACGAGTGTACTGGTGTAAGGAAGTTGAAAGCAAAGAAACCTTGCCGTTGATTTGATGATTTCGTGTAACACGAGTGATAAGAAGAGACTCATATCGGCCCCCTCACCCATCAAGTCACACAAAGACGTACGGAGCAAGACATCAAGGCACAATATAATCGAATACAAAGCGTCATATGCATTCTCATAAGATTMCCCCTGCCAAGCCTGCAAGGAACGATGCTATTGATCTGATTGATTCTTAATTCTTATACGGGTTTTAATAACGGCGACCCCCTTGCGTCGGCACAACCACAACCTCCGGTTCGTTAAGCCCTAAAGCGGCCTATGGCGCTTGTAATCCATGACACTTTGTGATTGTAGTCGGTTTTTCATAGAGTAGCGCTCGGTCTTCATTTGAAGGAAGTACCCATCTGAATCCCTATACTCTATGTGTGCTGGCGCCCATATACCGAAAAAACATTCGGTAGAAGGCTTTGGAAATCAGGCAAGAGTCGCAATATACTTCCGTGGTGCTTATTCTAGTCATGATATGTCAGGGTTGCAAATCTTGCTACCACAATGGGCAAATGGCAAGGTCATGTTGATCAGTCTACTCGATATGGCTGTATGTTATATGTCATGCTTGCTCCCTAAATTATATTCAATTTACCTAGGGCTAAGCTAGGAGGACGCAGTATCCAGTGACCGTCATCCAGAAATGTTCTTCTTCTTTCAGGTCATTGCCGATATTCGTGTAACAGTCTAATCCCTGTGATAGCTCTACACTGATGCAAGAAGTGTAGTGGATCATCTACATACAGAGATTAATCACTGACCATAGAGTGGAGATTTTTCAAGCAACCTAGTTGTATGTGAGTTATCAAATGGTATAAGAGCCGTTAGACGTGTTTGCTGCATCTTCTTGATTGGGATTGCTGCGATATCAAAATATCCCTTGCTTTTTCTCAATATGAGAATAACTCACACTGGAGCTTAAGGTCAAATCAAAAGGAGAACGAGCTTGGGCCAGACGAAGAGATATAAAATCAGTCAAGCCCTCTCGTAATTCAAATCCATCTTTGCATCATCAACCATCAAACAACATCCAGAGCAACCTTCTTTACAGAACATCCTTCCTAAATCCCCAGCTCAAGGTACATATTTCAATCTCCATGCTCTATAAGATCATTTGATAACACTTTTTCATAGTCATCTCGATCTTTCTCACTATCAATCAAAATGCAGTTCTTCACCAGCCTCACTGCCCTCTTCCTCGCCACCATGGCCTTCGGCGCTGTCATCGACACCCGTACCGACAGCAGTGATCTCAGCCTCGACAAGACAGTCGAGAGTGCTACCTGTAGCCCCAAAGGAGGTGACTGTGTCGAAGGCGCCCTCGCCTGCTGTGAAGGCTTGCAATGCTTCATCCCTCCCACGAGCGGCTGGGAGCCCAAGGAAGTTCCGACTGGACAGGGTGCTTGCATCTAAGCTCGTTGACCAATTCTTCACAATCAAAGCGTCAGTATCTTCCTCATCAAGTTTATCGTTTTACGATTACTAACTTGATACAGATATCGAGACTCAAGTCAACAGTCATTACCGAATCCCAGATAAGAAGGAATGAAGAGTTTGAAAGTGCGCAAGAGAATACTTGAAGAATAGAATGGGCCCTTTATACTGTATGTACTTAATAGATTGTGCAATATGTACCTCAAGAATAAATACAACTTTTCTCCCAGAGAAACTTTCATCCTAGATCACCATCCAGTTCCTATCCACTATGTACATTGATTCATATGCCCAATCCACGTACTGGTTCCGAAAATTTTTACTTGTAAGTAACAACAACCTGGTTACCAGAGGCGCTGGCAGTGGTGACGACGTTGCCGCTGGAATCGACCAAGTCAATCAGATCAGCACCAGAGGTGTCGACGTCACCAGAACCGCTGGTGGCACTGGCATCAGTGAAGGTGACAGTGTCAAAGGCAGGGAAAGGAGCGAGAGACTGGGATCCGCCGCTAATGATGGTGAAGTCCTCGACGATCCACTCAGCGTTGGTCTGGCAGAGAGTGCTCTGAACCTCGCTGGAGGTGAACGTGTGAGAAACGGATTGACCGTTGGACTGATTGGTGATGGTGGCGACACCGCTGGTGGTGCTGGTGGCCTCGACACTCATCTCGATAGTGTCGCCGGCAGAGATGTCGATGCCGGAGAAGTCGTAGGCGTTATCGGGAATCCACTCGTACCAGGAGTCGTAGGAGACGGAGCCACCCTGGATACAGAAGTCGAAACCGGTCTGCAAGAGAGCGCTTTGGCAGGTGTCACCGTCGATACCGACCCAGGCACTGGCGCAGTACTGGGTGCTGTCGTCACCACCGCTGGGGATGGAAGGAGTGGGAGCAACGACGCTTCCGGAGACCTTGGTGAATCCGTTGCTGACCAAGACAGCACCTGACCAGTTGGTGCTCTGGTCATCGTTCTTCTGGGCCAAACGAGTACCAGTCAAACGGGCGTTGGGACGGCTGATACCATGTCTGTTGCGGCGAGCAACGCGCTGTGAAAGAGGGGAGGCAACGGCAGAGCCGGCAAGGAGAAGGGCAGCGGCAGTGGTAGCGAACTTCATTTTGGATGATTCTCTAGAATGAAAGAGGAGAAAGTAATAGAAGGTATATGATTTTCTGTTGTGGACTGGATGTCTGCCAGAGAAGGTCTGGACAAAGGGGGGTGGAGGTCCTACTTATACTTGAAATTCAATCATGGATTATGTATATCCACGGACGACTCTTCACTCCGGGACAAGCTCAGGGCCGTATGAAAGAAATAATATTATCTTGACGATACTTACTGTATCCGGTAGGTAGAAATATGGAGAAAATTGTTTAGTTTCATCTGACCAGGCATCCGGCATCTGTTAATCTAATTTAGTCACTTAGGGCGCAGTGGATGTCGAAATGGTCATGCATTATCAAGGATAGTTACAGTGCATCGGAATACTAGGAATACTAGTGCTCTGGGGTAGTGTGCGGCGTTTCATTAGTATCTTGGTACGCGGTCTGCCCGTTTACGTGGATTCACGGATCAGATTCGTAGCCCATATTACGCGGCTCCGCGTGTCATTGGCAGCCACGAAGCATTGCCTCTTTGAATACAGTATCAAGTACACATACTCAGCAAGACCGCTCTCAAGTGATATTTCTTATTTTAGAGCGCAGGGGAGTCCATGGGAATCAGTCTCAGGAACGGGGGTCTGGAATTCCCAACTCCCGACTTCCGGATGGGGCTGAGGACTAACCAAGGCAACTTGGTGATATCCAATGGCACTGAAGCTGCCCCCATTGTCCCCTTTCGTAGTGCCGACGATCATCGAGTCTTAGCTTTGCCAGCAATCAGCCACGATGCGACACCATAGCGAGCCATGCTCGTATCGGTATCTGAACGTGCGCCCATTCTTTTTCACTGTTGTGGATCCCGGGAAAGTTGCTAAGCCTTGGGGCCCATAAATGAGGGGATTAATTGTGGAGAAATGCTGACAGGAGCCCTCTCACACGCCACTGATGAGGGCTTGCATCTGGCGTCTGCGGAAGGAAGATGATGTAGGAATCAGCCTCAGCTCAGTGATATTACCTATATGACTACCTGATAATACCTGCAATAGAGAACGCTGTTAAGAGACTGTACAGTGAGCAATATCTCTCTTCCAGCAAAGTTTCGGGTTTTGCGACGACGTGGCACGGAGCACCGCAGATTGCAACCTGAAAGAAGGATCATCGGGACTTAGGGTTACCGTCCGTTTCAGTCTCCACAATATAGCCCAGATTGCCCAATTAGGAAACCCCGTATCATTTTGTTCCAAACACGCAGACGAAGATGCTGTTTCGTTATTCGCTCACCACAAAATTAGGGACAGTGGTTACAACAAATTTTTACCAATCAACGCATGTGAAATTTTTAGACCTCTGCCGTGGGTCCTTTTTGTTTGCTGTTTACTTTAATTTTGGGCGTTCCTGTACCAGGGGTTTGCCTGTTCGGATCCATTGGGATCACACAATATGGCTTGATATCAGTTTTAAAGAGAAATTACAGATTTCGGCAATATTGATCGGACTTGTTTCCGGCATAATAATTGTCAGGCATGAATCCTACCTTTGATTGCCTAGCAGGATAGCGTACTTCGTATGTGACAATCAATCTTGCCTGAGACAATAAGGTTATTCCTGAGAATGAAGTAACTTCACGCGGGGATCTGCATTGATTCTAGATAAGGCAGTGGCTTTACAATAAGACTATTTAAAGGTCAGTGATACATCTGCACGAGAAAAATAGATGCATGACCCGTCTATAGATACTGGAATGCCTACTATTGGAGCCGCCTATATTGTCTTCATATTTATCCTGATTAATGTTGCATTATTAAAAAAACCTGACCCACACTTGGATCTCCAACTTTTGAGGCTGTTCTGCGGTGACCTCCGATACCAGTCAATACTCTATGATGATTTTGTTATCTTCAAGGGAATATGAAATTGGGTTGTGTACTCTATACTCCATTTGGCAGCTAGGCTGCTTATGTTACACCGAATCTTCGTCTATTTTCTTGAGGGCCATGGCTGCGTACGGAACATCCATTTGATATAGAAATATACATTCTTGATTAGGGCATTGTCTTGCCTACGGTTACATGTGTTGAAAAACTCAGCAGTTCTCGAGTAAGAGTCCTGACGTATGTGGATATTTTAGTACTTTTAGGAGAAAGTTATTTAAATCATGAGCTATTTGGACATGCCTTGGCTTTCAACTCATCAGAGCCCTGGAAAAGATAGAAAAGTGTACCATGTCTCTGGAGTACTAGCAAATAGTAGAATGAGGTATGATATCGAATCACCATGTATTTCAATGCTGATGTGTCGGATCCTTTGTATATTTGTTTCATTACATCACATGTGATAGAAAGCCATCAGAAGCCTCAGGATTAGGCAAGTTAGACACCATATCAATAGCTTGAATTGCCAGCAATGTCAACCCTTTGACAGGTGTATTATTGTACCAGAATTTCAAAATGTTACTTGCTTCCGCCCGTTGGGCTTGACTCGGGGTCATCTGACAGACCAGCTGCAGGGGCAGTACCATCCGTGAATAGGCGCAGCCTATCATGAACCGAGAAAGGTACTGTGAGGCCGAAATGATCCGTTTGCAAGCCTCCTTAATTTCAGCGATGAGACTTTCGTCGTGCCAGTCTTCGATTGGAAAAAAGCATGGCCAGCGAGGAGAGGATGAAGTTGTCGAAGATAAGATGCCAAGGATAATGATTCTGGCGCAGGCGTGCATCGCAACTATTCTGGCGTGTATTGGACTGGTAAAATTATATAAATAATGGTGATCCGAACTGCTATCGTTTGTCGAGGACGGATTACTAGAAGGTATCGGTTGCAAGAACTGAAAAATATGGCTCTCCAGTTCGTCTAGGTCTTTCTTCATGAGGTTAATTTTCTGCTTTAAATCTTGCCACGCACTGTCTTCTTCCGACATATCGACAGCGTGGGATAGATCATGCTGCAATTCGGACAAGTATTTGGGTATCAAAAGCAGGGTATCATTAATTAACTCAAACTTTGATCGCGTTTGTTGGAGAAACGGTTTTAGTAACCATTCTTCGTTAGCAAGACATGTTGATCTACCTGTCATCAGAGATACGTGAATCTGTATGATGTTTAGCACCTAGGTAAATGCGGATTGCATGAATGTTTTGAGTTTGAGCCTTTTGGGTTTGACGTACCGCGTGCCCTCTGATTGCCAGAAATAGATCATGGAATTCCGGTCTTGCAAACAGCTCAGGCCCCTTGGCTTGCAGTAGAGCTACAGCACCTATGACATGTTGCTCATATCCACCAACGACAGTAGTGTGAAGTGTCTCATAGATGGACATGAATAGTGCCGCACAGATCAAGAAGCTATCTTCCACTTCATCCAGCACATTATCGTTGAGATGTCTTAATCTCGTTCGTATGTAGCTAAGCCCTCGATCGTACCACTTCAAAGCCTCCTTCATCAGACCAGGCTGTTTGGATTGATGAGCTATCAGTACCAGCGAAGGAGCAAGTAAAGGTGCACGCATCCTGATTGATAGATTTTGCCGTAATAGGCTAGGCAACCTCATGAGCCATGATTGCTTATCTCGACTGCTGGATATTGGTCTTCGTCCTGAAAGCGTGTAGTATTGTACTAGGTTGGATATAATCTGTATGTCATGCAATGGAACACTATGAAACTCTTTCCAAAGTCCAGACCTGAATTTGGAGCATTAGATAATAAGATTGTATGTATAAGCAAAGAAAGCAAAGTTCACGCACAGTGTACATAACTCGACTGATCGCTTGCCCACCAAGGTGGAACCTTCTTCGCGCTGATGTCTAAGGCTATGATCCACAGGACCCGTTTTTCTATCAGAGTTTAATTGAGTCTGAGCATTATTATTCGCCGCATATTTTGCGGCGCCATGATGTATGTTAGAAGCGTCCGTATTCAGAAAGACATTCCCTTGAACGGGACCAGGGCATGGCCTATTGGCGGCCACACAGAGGCCACATTGCGGATAAACCTCATCGCACTGTGATTATATGAGTGTATTAGTATTTGTAGCCTGTTGATTTTTTCTGTAAATCACCTGCATGTGTGATTTACCCTGAATAATGGCATGTCTTTGGATTCACTGACCTTCTTTTTGGCTCGTCGACAAGACGCGCATGCTTTGCTTCGTCCGCCTTGCCTGACCATCGTATTCTTTCCGCCTGCTTTTAGGCTTTTGTTCTTTTCTGGACAGTAAGTTCAGCGGTGTGAATATGAGGTCGAGGAAGAAGTCAAAGAGATAAGTTGGTAAGTTGTAATCAGGCGTTGGATTGGCCAATATCATCACGCTTAACCATATCGGGAAATTATCGCGGTGTGGGTCCAAAGTCAAGCTCATATTTGTTTCATCCAATCAGCGCGCTTGAAACGTTCGAAATATATTGAGGCCCTCAGGTGTTTTATTGATATACGTTTGTCTACCATATATCCGGATGCTCAAACGGATATTGGGGAGATATTACAAACTCCGAATTACCACAGAGAGTTAAGGAATATAAAATGGAGATGACGTTCGTCCTGGCGGGATGAATTCATTCTTCACTTCCTATTACAATCAACTCACTTGAATTTCCCAGATATTTTCTAACGGTCTCTTTACTCATCTACAACTTATTTGTATTTAAAGTATAATGGCGTCGACACACTCCAAAGCATGCTGTGAGACCCCGGTCCCGGCCAACGTTGTGGTTTACCAAGCCCAAGGAGAATACCTTGACATACTTGGGGAGAAAGTTTGTAAGTTTCTCTCTTTCTCTTCTTAAAGCCATTATATGATACACAGCTCATTGAAATAAAACAGATGTTGTCGGTGACAAGAACGCTGCCCGGGTCATTGTTTGGGTCTTTGACATTTTCGGATACTCACCACAAACACTACGAGGCGCAGATATCGTTGCTGCCAGTCTCTCAAGTTCATCAAAGGGACCTGTAGCAGTCCTTATTCCGGACTGGTTCGATGGCACCGTGGCCGACAAAGCCTGGGTACCCCCCGTCACAGACGAGCAGACAGCGAAATTAGGAAACTTCATCAAGACAAAAGCCGCCCCTGAGCTTGTTGTTCCCCGGGTGCTCAAGTTCACTGAGGCATTAAAGCAAAATCAACAACAGCCTGTACTTCCTAACCTACAGAGTTTTGGCATATTCGGATTCTGCTGGGGAGGCAAGTTGGCATCAATAGCCTGCCAGAGGTCTTCGGATAGTATCTTCTCGGTGGCTGTTCAGACATCTCCTTCAAGGGCGGATCCTGAAGAGGCAGCGAATATTTCAGTGCCGATGGCATTGCTCCTTTCAAAAGATGAGGATTTACCAACAATGCAAAAGTTCTACGACAACCTTCCTACGTCGGATAAATTCATGGAGAGATTCGATAGCCAGATACATGGCTGGATGAGTGGACGGTAAGCATTTCTCTCTTCAATTCGAATATTTGAATGTCAGATAAATCTAATTCGATCGTTAGAGGAGACCTTTCCGACCCAAGTGTCAGAGTGGAGGTCGAAAGGGGATATAAACTGGCGGTGGAATTTTTTGACAAATATCTTTAGTTGATTACTATAAGACTCAGTTGGGAGGTGAAAATGACATTTAGTCCATGTCAACGTGTGCTATCTTCCCATCAGCCATAGAAACACTGAGAAGCTCTCTCTTTTGAAAACAATTTACATCATAGCATGTCCTACAATCTCCCCTCCTTGACTAGCTTCCTAATAACATCCACCGTCCCCTCGACCGAATGCTGAGCAATACCCTTTTCCTTAGCGTAGAAAGCATTAAGCTCCTCTTGCGACGCTCCCGGATGATGCCACTCAAAGACATAAGTCATATACATCTCTCCACTGGCGCCCTCGCTAATAATGTTTCCAACAAAAGATCCATCGGGTTGCACAAAGTCGACTCTAGCGTCTTTGTATGCCGTGACTGTCTCTTTGACTCTTTTCTGATTTTCCCGGAACAGGACTTCGCGGACAGTGATAATGTTGCCTGTTGATGCGTCCGTGTTCTCGGATATGACAGTGGTCGTCTCGATCGCGTTGGGAATGAAGGTTTCTGCAGAGCGGGTTTTGAGTAAAAGCCCGGCCCAGACTTGCTCCTTTGAGAGGACTGGAGTTGCCCCCGGAGGATTTATTGGGGCAGTAAAAGCGATGTTGTTAACTGAAGGCATCTTTCAGGAAAACAAAGCTACAATGAGGGGTAAGTTTGTTCCACAGAACGGTGTAGAAACCGAATGTAATTATATTATATGTGGCCAAGATGGCAAGTTGGCAAGATGGAGAATTAGTACGGAATGTGCCACTACAGTTCCAACGAGAAATATTGCTGAGATAATGAGCTGTAAATATCCTGATAGTTTGTTTCTCAAGGCGTTACACGCGGTTTTGGGCGGAATTCCCAAATGACGTACACGATGTAGACGAGTGGAGCACCGTGAGCATATCAGAGTTCAGGCAGGGTTAGGGTTCTCGATTCTGGTTGAGGTGAGTGGCTTGGGAATGTCACGAACAATCGTGGCATGATGCACTGACAAAGCCGTGTTGATCGGAGCGTTCTTGCTGTTGGATTGTCTGGTGGAATGATTTTTTAATTATATAAATATATTTTTTGGGGAAAGTAACTACGTATTTCGAAATCTAAATGTTAATATGATACGGTAATACTTGATTTATCTAGTGCTACATGTCACGATCTTTAGGATCGCGAGTATTATGGTAATACAAGTGTATTGCTATTATTCATAACTTGTTGACATTGCTTTGGACTTTCTAAATATAGGCTTTGCATTCTGGACAAAAACAAGCATATTGAGTGTATTTTTGTAATACAACTATCTATCAATCTTACTACTCAAAGTTTTAGTCGAAAACCATACACGAAAGCTCCATATATGTATGTCTGTCTCGCTGAAATCAGATTACTCCACGTAAGCACTGTCACAAAACTGACCAAAACACTCCTCGGGTCACCATCAAAGGTCAAGGACGCCGGAAAGGCAAACAAAGTGATGAACCACACGCATTTATTCACTCAGCTCTTTCAAAGACCTTAACTCAATGGCACACGAGCGTGCTCCTTCGAATATTTAATTCTGAAGCCAGTGATCAAATATATAAGTACGACGCAGTACTCCATCAACAAGGCCATTACAATGAACGGCGCAACTGGGCCGGTCAATGAGTTCCACGTCTGACCTTGGCGGTATATTGAAAGAAAAGCGTAGGTCAGGCGCACGATAAAGAATGGCATGGCCAAGGACGCGCTACGGAGTACCTGGATATCAAAAAGTCATGAATATGTGTTTTTGAGGCTCCCCAGAGTGATTAAAATTCTCACCTTACAGCTTGTATGGCTGAGCTTGCTCTTCCTTAACCAGAAGAATATCTGAAATGAAAGAAGGCAAGCGACAAATACCGTCACGAGACAGTAACCAATCCGTACAAGTTTCGTGCCAGTTTCCAGGTCACCCGAGCTATCACTGCCTTGGAGACAACCGCCAGTAATGAGCACAGCGACACCCGCGAGAAAGAGTAGCCGAGAACAAACAATAGTCTTCGCGAGGATTTTGTTTTCGCGAAAATCTATGAATGTGCTGCAATTTGTCACAGATGTCAGAGGATCAGCCTTAATGAATTGAGTAGAAGAACTTACATGATATTGACCAGACCAATCGTAGCGGCGATACAAGGAAACACCCCGACATTCAATAGGATCAGTGCAGCAATAAGGAGCCCACTGCTTGAAGGCTGATTTTCATGAAGGATGACAACTATGCCTCCAGCAATACGAACTAACCAAGAGAGAGAATGTGTTAATATATCGATTTGGACCCCATAATCATGGCGAGGAAATGATGGCATACCGAGAGTGAAGATCAAAAGAACAACCCATGGAAACCGAGGAAGCTCTCGAATTGGACGTCGGAAGAATAGTAGCCCAGCAGCAGCCACCGCGGCTGGCACGTAGAATACTATCTGCGCAATGCTGACTTTTGTGTGTTCGTTAAGCATTTTGATTCGATGTAAGCCGAGGTGATCGGATTGATATGGGACAAGGTAACAATTAAGGAGATTTGGTCACCATGGGGCAGTTATGGCTTTATATAGCCGCAAGAAAACATCGCTAAGAAGCCTTCCAAGTATAAAGCTCATATATTCGTCCTTCGAGAACAACATATCGCTCAAGCGCTAGTATGCCCTTTTCATGTTCAAACCCTTCGATTTCGCATGTTGCGTCCTAATTAGGGATAGCTCATCTCCTAGTGATTGCGCGAGATTCAAAGTGGAGCCTGAGCGTAACCCTAAAATATTAGGCAGTCTGAGCTAGACCGTTTTGGGATGCAACATGCGAACGCGAGATTTTCCATGAGGCTGAGCCACCAAAAAGAAACGATAAATCTGCTGACAATGTGTGGCTGGTTCAAGAATCAACTCTGGGCTGATTCAACGTCGTGGTGTACTTGAGAATCCGTAATCCACGCCCTTGAAGTTTTCGTAGTGCTGCTTCCATCCATTGCACCTCCCTTTCTAGTCCTGGATAGTACTTGACCGTCTCATACACCAGCGTTAGAGGTGTCCCGGCCGACCACGTCCCCCATACAGCTATTTCAGATTCGAGGCAATATTCGATAGATTGACAGACGTCATCGATCAGACTCTTGAAGTTTATCCTGTGGCCCAACGAAGTAAAATGAGATATGTCGTAGCTGTATGAACCTGATGGCTGGAGGCGTAGGTACCTACAGTGGCACATGTTGTCTTGGAATGCTTCACAGTCGGGAAAGTTGGAGCAATATGCATCACTGGCGTCAAACTCCAGACTGGCTATACCCATATAGAGAAGAGACAAGCCATTCCATGTCAGAAGTGAGACTGCCCAGTACATCATAAGCGAGCGCGCCACTGTCATGCTGCAAAACCTGTAAGCGACAGGAAACACTTTCCCACGGACAGGATCATCGGCTGAATTGGGCTCTTTCGACAAGACCGACCAATACATGGGCTGGGCGAAGTCTTTTTCGTATTCTTTGTAGACATTTTGAAGCACTGCATCCATTTTCCAGCACTTTGCAAGACTTTCTAGCCAGGATTCAAGCTTCTCAACCGGTCCCAAATGCTGTATACGGTCATTTTCTCGAAATATAGATGACGCTTCGCACAAGCAGTCCACTAATCGATCCATAGCGCGTTTTGGGCGCAGCTTCCACGGCGTAGTCATCCATAGATGGCTTGATAAGAAGCTTGGAACATGATTCGCCATGCTAAGCAAAGCCTGTATAATTAACTTAGATTTAGCTAATAATATCCCACCAGATTCGGACTTACCCCTTGAGCTCGAATGCCTAGAAATAGCTCATGCGCCACACCCGACATATGCCGGTCAGCACCACGAGCCTCAACAAGCCTCATACAAGCCTTGCAGTGATTATAGTATCCCTGTTGAGCATCTCCAGGACACTCCATAGCCTCGTATAAACCAAGACATAGGCATACAGCAATTATTTCGTCATTGTACATCACATCCGGATTCCACAGCGATTTCTGAAGCTCCCGAAGCCCGCTGGTGTAGAATCTAAGGCTCTCATTAACAAAGTCTCGGTCGTCGTGCTGTCTACCGAGGATAGAAGCCGCAATAGCTGACATAGCTGCTTGTAGAGCAGGTGTTTGCATGAAAAGCTGGGGTAGTTGTAGCATCCAAGGCCCACCTCGACCTTTGGAAGGGTCTATTACACCACCTGCGCCTATTGGAATACATGTGGTAATAAAAGCGCTTAGTAACTGTTCACGGTTCGCTAGTCCGTAAAGAACATCGGAAGCTGGAATCGCGAAAAATTGGTGACGCCTTGTACTCAAAGAGGTTGTCGCTCCATTTGTCGACTTCGATCCGTTTTGTAAAGCTTGGAAACTTTCATGGCCTTCCGATGAAGTCTGGCTGACTGTCTCAAACGAGCTCGTGACTACAAGCTTCTCGCCCGTTGCACTTGCCCGAACAGGTATGAACCGTACATCTTTATCATACCCCAGACATGTCCTTTTGGATTTGATACAATTCGCACATACTGGTCGCTGTAGGTCGCACTTTATGCGGACACAGAAGCCTCATATGTCAATGATAGAACGTAAAGTGGACGAGAAGGCGAAGGGGTAACGTACAGCTATCTTGCGCTTGCGACACGTTTTGCACCCTTTCGACTTCCCAGGTACTCCAACCATGGGTATCTTGTTGTTTTAGTCAAGGATATTTCTTAATGGATATTTCTCTCTCTCACTTGATTACATATCAATGGAGTTGAATAGTTGGGTGGTTGAAGGATGTTGGTCGATATCTTACCCTATTTTATATTGGTGGGGCTATACGAAAGTATCAGCCAATCAAATAGTGGCATATCGTGCTTTTGTTTAACAATGACAAAACAGAATGTGATTGGCTGGGCTACGTACAGTGGATCGAAATATCAAGAACATTAACTTCCTAATTTCGACCCCGACTTTCAACGACATTATCTTTTAAAGTGGACTCTGGGCGCCCTGTTCAATTTCTTATCTCCGAAAAGTTTTCAACTGGTACTCCGCTCATTATATAAAAGCTTGTCACCGAAGAAGAGACACGTTGCGACCGCTCCTTCCACTTTTTGAAATACAAATTCCGCGATTATCTACAACCAAAACAGGCAGTATTTTCATAAGCCTGCCTCGATTACGCGATGCTGCAATAGAGGATATCTCTTCCTACTGAGAATCTATAGATCCATCTTTATACATTTACATCTCCTCAGAGACGCAGGCAATGGCAACCATCAGAGATAGAACTACAGCCTTCCAAAATGGGACAGTCGATGAGACAACCCCTCTCATTGCTTCTGAGAGTGCCTTAGAAGCAGGTCAAAATGGAAATGGGGAGGCTGATGGACAGGATCCCGACTCCAAGGATTCCGAGAAGTTGCCTGTCGTTCAGATTATGTTACTCTGCTTTGCTCGCATTGCTGAGCCAATCGCCTTTTTCTCCATTTTCGCATTTATCGGTGAGATGATTGAAGATGCAGCTGGGGTTACTGAGTCTGAAGTTGGTTTTTATAGTGGTCTCATCGTATGTACCTCTTCTTCAAGATACCATTCGCGACGACTGACGACATGACAGGAGTCGATATTCTCTTTTGTTCAAATGCTCCTCATGATTCCTTGGGGTCGAGCTGCCGACAAATTTGGAAGAAAACCAGTCCTTGTGATTTCCATGGCTGGGATGTCCGCTGCAAGTGCATTATTTGGAACCAGTCACACCATTTGGGAGATGATCATGTATCGATCTATTGCGGGAATGTTCTCGGGCACTATTGTGTTAGTCTCATCGTTCATCATGCAGCAATCCATGACGCGATCTATTTCTTGACAACAAACTAACTATAAATAGTGCTGTGCGTGCATCAATTTCAGAGAACAGTACACCGAAAACACAAGCCCGAGCATTCAGCTACTTTGCATTTTCGAACAATCTAGGCATCGTTCTAGCTTCTTTTATGGGTATGTCATCAAAATAAAGATAGAGGACCAGCAACTAATCAACCTAGGCGGTGTTCTTTCTCGACCTGCGGATAAATATCCTTCTGTGTTTGGCGGAGTCCAATTTTTCAAGGACAATCCTTATGCCCTTGCCACATTCACGACCGGGGCTATCGGCGGAATTGCGTGTATAGTATCTGCGCTGTTTATCAAAGAGGTTAGTAATGTTACTCATCATTTGCTAAATACTATACGGGTCAAGGAAAACTAATCATGATTCCTTTGTAGACACTAAGAAAGACACCTCAAGGAGACGCGAACGGATCGGCACCTAAGACAATGACTACAACTGATATTATGAAGGCACCTGGTGTGTCACAAGTCTTGTTTGTGTATGCATTTACTATGCTTCTCGCCTTGGCATACACAGCCAGTAAGTTTGCCCTTTCCAGAAACTTCCAACCTCCCACAAACATTTCCCTCGTATATGGCCACGGAACTCTACTGATTCAGTCTCTGCTACAAGTCGTGCCGATTTTCTATTACACCAGTGTCGACCTGGGAGGCTACGGCCTCAGTGATTCACAGATCGCAATGTTCCTCGGAATCGCTGGACTTTCTCAGGCGGTATGGCTCCTTTTCGTTTTCCCACGGCTGCACTGGCGCATTGGAACCGGCGGCGTTCTACGGCTTTGTGCCTCAGCGTGGCCAGTGTGGTTCGTCGCAACGCCAGCCGCCAATTATCTGCTGCGACTTGGTTTGGAAACGACATTCTGGACTATTGCGCCATTTCTGCTGGTGGTAGGAAGTGGTGTCGCCATGGCTTTCAGTATGTCTTTCCCATCAACCATTTTTAGCTCAAGGCTATGTCATGAAACGATAGAAAGCTAAACTTGGTGACTTTTTGCGTCAATAGCTGCTTGCCAACTTGCCATAAATGACATTTCACCTTCTCCGGAGACTCTAGGTACCGTGAACGCAATCAGTTTGACACTTAACAGTGGCCTCCGAGCGGTTGCGCCTGCACTTTTTTCCATTCTATTTGCTACCGGTGTCAAGGAACAAATCTTCAAGGGTTACTTGGCATGGTTAATACTGGTTATCTTGGCTATCGGTTATAGAGGAATTTTACTTTGGTTGCCTGCCAGAGCAGAGGGTAAGATAAATAGCGTCGAGGTGGATGACACGGATGAATAAACAGGACTACTAGATTATCCTCACCAACAGCTATCAAACGAAATGAATACATTTTATAAGTTTTCTGACCAAAAAAAGCTGATATGATTGTTCGACAACAAGGTTTCTCTAGAAATATAGATGTTGCTTTAAATATACTGAATCTTACTTAGCACGCTCTACGGAGTAGATTTGGAGTCATCCCACGCCATAGCTATGCCCAAACCCAAGATATCCAGGGTCATGAATATGCTGGATACTTAAATTGTCTAAGATATAATGATATTCAAGTTCAGTAGATAAGTGTCCCATTATATTCCATAACATCCACTATCTAGAAACTTTATAGATATGTATGTATACCTCTCCGATTGATTCAGGCAGTCTTCGATTCCGCCTGTTCTTCATACGTAACCTGTTCCTTCTTTTCCTGGATCTTTTGCACCATCTCCAGCTTACTATCCTCGCCCTCAAAGAGATACGTCAACTCTTCCAAAGTAGGACCAGCCGTCTCGACGTAGAAAAAGTACACGACGAGGAAAATTATCAACACCCAAATGTCATAGTAAATGTAAAATTTCCAGCCGATATTTTTCAGTCCAATGGGGTTAACATAACTGCCAAAGATGGAGGAAACCTGGATCGTGAGAAGAACGAAAGCCCATGTTTTGGCGCGCATCTGTAGAGTTACGACTTCGAGCGGGTAGGTAACGATCAAATTTGTCCAAGCGAATGTGTAGAAAGCCTGGAAGATGAAGATGCAAGCAATGACTAATCTGCCTGCAGCGAGAGAGTTGTGCTCGAGGTACTGCTGAGCGGCGATTGTCCAGACGATGAAGGTGACTAGAACGCCGCCAGATCCGGTGAGGAAGAAGAAACGGCGACGGAAGCGATCGATGATGAGCGTGACGAAGATGGCCACAATGTACTGCCAAAGTGTAACCATGCCGTTGACGAGTGTGATTTCGTACTCGGTCTTGAGTCCCGTGTCTTTCAGGATTTGTGTCAGGTAGTTGGATACTAGCAAGTTACCGGAACTCTGACTGAAGACTGCAGTGGCAAAGCAAAGGAAGATACGCTTCAAGTTCGCCCGTGACGAGAAAAAGTCCTTCCATGTCATATTGTTCTCGGCTTCCTTGCTGATTGCCTGCTGGATCTCGGCGCATTCGACCTCCACCAGCTCGGAGTTGGTGTTGCATTCGCCGTGATATTTGACCAAGATGTCTCGAGCTTCTTGGACACGGCCTTTGGACATCAACCAACGTGGTGATTCAGGACAGAACCAGATGAGAGAGAACTGATAAGCTGAGGGGACGATTTGGATGAGAGTGGGAAGTCTCCACGACCACTGGCTGTTGATACGATAACAGCCAAAGGTTGCCCAGGCACCGATCACATAACCCAAGACGATAGACGTGTTATAGAAGGTCGTGACTTGCACACGCTCCTTTGGATGAGACAGCTCAGTGACGAGGACCGGGGCACCCATCTGAATCAAAGASGAGCCGATGCCCAGCACAATCTTGCCGCCAATGTACATATTCAATGAAGTAGCAAAGAATTCGACCAGAACTCCAGCAATGATAACCACTGAGCCCAGAGCAGTCGGAAGACGACGACCCCATTTATCGGCGATCCAGCTGAAGAAGATGAATGGAATTACACCGCCAATGGCGTTGGAGGCTCCAAAGAATCCAAGCGTGCTGCCTTCGGGATGCCCAAATCGATCTTGCCATGAGTTCAAGACCTGCATTCCGTTCGTCATAGACTAGTCGAAAAATTCGTTGTTAGATGAAATGCATTCGGATTGGGAGGTGCAAAGCGTGAGAAATTTTGACTTACCCCGTCAATACCGAGCGCGGCACTAGCAAGTAAAGAGGAAGTGAGAAGGAAGTAGAGCAAGATGCCATTCTTGCGTCGCCAAAAGGGTGGAATAGAGTCCATATCGATGGGTGATATGATACCCTCGACTGCGTGAGCAGCAGCAGGAGCCATGCTTGCGGTGTGGTCTTGACGAATTGATCTTTAGTCAGGAGAGATTGGCAGACAAAACCTTGAGAGGACCTGCAGCTGGATTAATTCACTGCATGAGGCATTTCCAACGTGGGCAACATAGGTCCTTATATAGAAAAGTGCCCTATCAAGTTGTCAGGAACTAGAACTTGCAGTGCGTGGAGTAAATCCCGGAGAGAAAATTCATGATTTGGTTGGTGGGGATATCGTCCCAGTAAACCAGTCAAGGTAGAGTGCTTTGATTTTCTCCAGGAATAATAAAAATTTAAACATTTTGCGGGGACGGGGAAATTTAAACGGCGAAATTCAAACGGCGAAACGCATATTCGGTAAAATAGGTACACGCTGAGTAAATCTCCGTCAAGCACGGAATGGATTGTAAGTTTTCGAGATCTACTTCTATATCCACTTTTATACAACGCCACGAAGCCACCAGAGATCCAACCGTTATAAGGAAACTTGGGCTTCTGCCTTTGTCGCATGTGGTCGAAGAAAAAAAATTTTTTGCCAAAAATATCTTGCTGTGAAGAAAGTATCAATTCCAGCAAGAATGGGTTCTACATCTCCTGCCCCAGCTTCATTGCCTCCCGACTTCCAATGGGGATTTGCGACAGCGTCCTACCAGATCGAAGGAGCTGTCAATGAAGATGGTCGCGGAAAGTCAATCTGGGATACTTTCTGTCACTTGAAGCCAACAAGAACAAAGGGCGCAAATGGTGATGTTGCATGCGACCATTATCATCGCTACGAGGAAGATTTTGATCTTTTAACCAAATACGGCGCAAAAGCATATCGTTTCTCAATCTCTTGGTCGCGAATTATCCCTGACGGTGGAAGAGGAGATGACGTGAACGAGCAGGGAATTGCGTTCTATAACCGGCTTATTGACTCTCTACTTTCCAGAGGTATCGTACCTTGGGTGACTTTGTACCACTGGGACCTGCCTCAAACTCTTCACGATAGATACGGCGGCTGGCTGAATGTAGAGGAGTCACAATTAGATTTTGAGCGATACGCCCGGATCTGCTATGAGCGCTTTGGAGATCGAGTCAAGAACTGGATTACACTGAATGAGCCGTGGATCGTTTCAATCTTTGTAAGTATTTTATTTGACTTTGCTTTTTTGTCCTATTGAAGTAGAAGTTGGGGCTGACATTTTATAGGGATATTCGACAGGTGGAAACGCCCCAGGAAGAAGCAGCGTCAATCCTCAATCTTCTGAGGGCAACTCTGCGACGGAGCCTTGGATCGTCGGAAAAGCTCTCATCCTAAGCCACGCGCGTGCAGTCGCCCTTTACAACAAAGAATTTCGGTCAATACAGAATGGAAGAATTGGGATATCTTTGAATGGCGATTTCTTTGAGCCTTGGGATGCCCAAGACGAGCGTGATCGCGAGGCTGCTGAGAGACGAATGGAGTTTCATATTGGTTGGTTCGCCAATCCAGTGTGGTGAGTATTATTTTCATCTATCTGAGATAGTCAAAAGCTGACCCTTATTTCGTCTATGGAAAAAGTCTCGCACAGGACTATCCCAAGTGTATGAGAGAGCAGTTGGGTGACCGTCTACCTAAGTTCACAGACTCCGAGTTTACTCTGCTCCGCGAAGCCAATATGGACTTCTACGGAATGAATTATTACACATCTCAGTTCGCACGCCATCGCGACGAGTCACCCTCTATAAATGACTATTTGGGAAATCTAGAAGAACTCCAGGAGAACAAGGAGGGCGTGTCAGTTGGTGAACCATCTGGCGTCCATTGGCTTCGGTCGACCCCAAAGCTGTTTAGAAAGCACTTGACTCGAGTTTACCGCAAATATGGGAAACCCATCTACGTTACTGAGAATGGCTGTCCTTGTCCAGGAGAAGAGAAGATGACTGTAACCGAGGCAGTGAACGATACATATCGAGTTCGGTATTTTGAAGACCACATCGAGGCTGTTGCGCTGGCGCGCAGCGAAGATGGTTCTGACATTAAGGGTTACTTTGCCTGGTCATTGATGGATAATCTAGGTATGTTCTCAGGGTTCTCCGTTCCGAGCCAAGCAACAACTGACATCCTCTTAGAATGGTCTGATGGGTACGGAGTTCGGTTTGGTGCAACTTTCACTAACTACGATACCCTTGAAAGAACCCCGAAACAGTCTGCATTGCTTCTAAAAGGGATGTTCGAGAAATACACAGAGCCGAGGAAGTACTTGTAGCTTAGATAGCAGGGGTCTGAGTACCCAGGTACCATATTGTAGAGTCAAATGCCACGTGGCGCCCCAACACTGCTTTTCTACCTAGTACACCTAGAATATACCGTTCTGTATACCGGGGATCTAGCTCCAGTCTTCTAGATCTTTGAAAAGCGCGAAAAGAGTCAAAATGTCACCAGCTACTCCACAAAGGCGGGATGAGCAAATAGCGCTATATTTTACTTCGAGATCCACTTTCCAAGTTTTGTTTCAGCTGGTCAATTGATTTGATTACTCAATTTCTTCAATTTTTTGCTAGTAAGGTGGAGCTCAACAGTTTTTCTCCGTCGGGGAAACTTACCCCACGCAATCCTCTGGTCTTTTTATTCAACGATCCCCCAGACCACACAAATTCTCCGCTGCCCCCTGACTCAAAACGCCGAAAATGTGATGATGGGTTATGGCAGCTGCTATGCATGAAAATACTCCGCGTCCATCTAGTCGGGCATGCGATCGATGTCGACGGCGAAAAATAAAGGTACACGATCCCGGTCTACCGGAAAGGAATGCGATCTGACACAGCGTGCTAAACCATTCTTGCTTTTCTAGTGTGATAGCTCAGATCTGTCCCCAGTTTGTATCAGCTGCCGCTCAGTTGGTGAGCAATGCACCTTCAAGCTGCCGGTTTCTAGACGCGGTCCAAAGACAAAACGACGCCTTCTGGCTTCAGAAGCTCAAAGCGACTCTTTCCAGAGTCTAGTTCCCAGCACGCCGTCTCTGCAGGATACTTCGAGACACCGCCCTTCATTGCGGGGCTTATATCAAGATGACGCGAGATCAGAGAACCTAGGTCTATGGGCTTCTGAAGTTGTTACTTCTGCGCTCTCACCAGTGACAGTTCAAACCGTTGCAACGCCGCTATCCCATGCAGCATCAACTGGAAGTACTATATCCAGTTTACAGCGATGGGGAGCTCTTGCCCGAGAATTGCACGTTCGCCAGCCGACAGTGATTCTGGAGGATCTGATCAATCGTTGTTTCAGACTGTTTTTTGATTATCTTTTCCCTCTTATCCCGCTTGTTCATGAACCGAGTCTACGAAATGGCTTGGAGTTTTTCGCCGCTCGAGACGATTCAAGGAACGTTACAGGAGCGCGACGAGACAGCAGATACGATGAGCTATTAAGCTATTCTGGACTATGGCCAGATGCCACTTTTACGCTCATTACCGCCGTGTGCGCGGAGACCGCATTTCTTCTTCCAAAAGACATTTTTCCAGAAGGAGAGACGATCGCAGAACTTTTTCTTGAAGCTTCACGAAGTTGTCTTTTCACTTATCTCGAGGCCGATCTCGAGCATCCGAATGCAAACTCCGTCGCTATTCGCTACTTTCACTCGAATTGTATGCATGCGGCTGGGAAGCCGAGATTCTCGTGGCATATATTCGGCGAAGCGACCCGGCTGGCCCAGGCGCTGCAGATGCATGATGAAGAATCCATTCAAAGACTCGATCCCCTCGAAGCTGAATTTCGCAGGCGGGTGTTCTGGATTATCTATGTCGGAGACAAATCAGCGGCCATACTGAACAGCCGACCAATTACGATTCATAAATTCTCTTTCGAGGCTGGGATTACTATAGGGTACCCTACTGGGTTTGAGAGTGATGAGAATCACCTGGCACCATCGGCAAACACCAGTGCGAATGAAAGATACACCTACAATAGCTTTCTAACGGGTTTCAATGCGAATTTGCGTCTCTGGCAGACTGCGTCAGAGTTGCTATTAGAAACGCGTCTAGTCAACAGTCGAAAGAGTGCGATATCTCCAATGGATACTCACCCTTCCTTGACAGCAGAGGAAAGACTGCGGTTGGATCATCTTTACGTGCTTTTTGTGACTTCACTAGATGATCTTCCACCTTTTCTTCACGACGATCAATTGAGAACCCAGACTCAATCTAACAGGGATGAAATGAGTAATCTATCGAGGACGTATACCATTCAAGCAGCTAACCTTCATATATCATTGCACTGTTTGAAAATGGTCATAACACAAAAATTTGAGGAAATCAACTATTTTCCTATGGGAGATAATGAAATGCTGCTTTTGAGGAAGACAGAAATTGCTCGGAATATGCTGAGCATTGTGCGTGAAGCTCCTTTCTGGGCATTACAAGTCAACGGAGAACCTTGTGTGAGTGGTTATCATAAACATGTCTTCTTGAATTATGGCTGCAATTGCTAATTTTCCGTGCAACAGGTTGAGAAAATCCGTCTCATAGGTGCCAGACTTTTGGAAATCATCGACCAACATGAAACATCGCCTCTATCAGCACGTGCACGATCTGACCTGTCGGTGCTTCTTGATATTTTGACACGGTTGGACTCAAAGGCTTCAGATACCTTGCGTGGGTCTCTATAATTTTAAAATCAAATAAATACAGTAACATGATATCCATAAACCGCCATTGGCAAAACCGTGAATCTCCGCGAATAAGCGTACGTGATCTCTATTTAAACAAGGAACTTAAACATCTCCAGGAAGTCGGGGTAATTGGGGTAAAATTTACTAAGCACGATAGTAGCATTTCGCTATTTCGCCGTTCGCCTGTCGTCGAGTTTGGGCACGGGCTCGTCTGGCCCTGATTTGCCGCGCGGCGAAATTTCAGATGGTCCCTCAATTACCCCGAAATATGAGAGCTAGCGGAGATTCTCCTGACATCGATTTTGAAGATCATGCGGGGAGGAGGCAACTTCCCCATATCGTTTGGTTTGATTATTTGTGGAGGTTTTGATTTCACGTAATTTACCCAATATGATTATCATGGACTTCGGCCATATAACCAGCTACAGTATAAATCTGAACTGCTTCCCTGGCTAATTCAAAGTCATTGACTCTATACCAGACACATTGATCGAATCTGTGCGATACGTTCCTTTTCAATCTTTGATATTTTCCAATCATGCGTTTGACTCAGGCATCATTGGGCCTGGCATGTGCCACTCTTGCTACGGCCTTGCCCGCGGCTTCAAACCCGTCTTGTCGATTTGCACAGCAATATACCCAGAAGGAGATTCTGGAAAATCCTTCTAACTTCATCAATGATATGTTGTTTTGGGAGGGCAAATTCCATCAAAATAACGTCTCTTACAACTCCGGCAATGGTATGTCTTATGACGGTACCAATATTGACTGGGTCACTGGCGAGAGGACCGTCAAGCATCCATTCAGCGCCGCGAGTAAAGAAGTAAGTTTATTTTTGTCCTCCTCCAACATTTCAAACGGCTTGTTTAATCTCATTCTTCACAAATAGTCACTTCAAGTGATGCTTTATGCTCATGCTATCGCGGGCTCTGCAAATGCTGCTCGTTTCCTCTCTCCAAACAATCCGTCTGCAGCGCCCAGCATTGCGGCATCCATCATGGATACCAAATTACAGACTTACTTGAGATTCAATGAAACATACCCAGGTTTCGGAGGATTTTTGCCTTGGTTTACCTCCAGCTCTCAGGATCTGACTCCTACCTGGGACTGGAACAACCGTGTGCCAGGTCTTGACAACGGGTAAGTCAGGCATAATCACTCCTATTTTCCGCAAGTCATCGCAGCTGATGTAAATACAAATTCACAGTGAACTTTTGTGGGCTGTATACGCTTTCATTCAGGCTGCCGAGAACACATCAAATAAATCCTACATTGATCTTGCCAATAAGTGGCAGACTTGGATGGACTATACAAAGACCACCGCAGCTCACGTGTGTAATTATCTGATAATCCCATTAACATTTGTATCCTTGCTAATTCCAGTGGCTGTTACTTATAGATTTTCTATCGAGGCGATGGTAAAGTTTGTGCCGTCACGGACATCAAGAACCAGTCACTTCCTGTCTACCACCCTGAGCAGACTTATGTCTGCGAAGGTACCGGCTATCTTAATGATCCCTATGAGGGAGAGCTCTTTACCTGGTGGCTCCAATTCTTTGGCGGTCTTTCTGATGCCGATGTTGAAGCCCTTTGGGAATATAAGAGACCCCAGTTGGTGAGCGTTGACTATCACATTGGCAATGTTGGACCGATCACCGTCCAGAAAGGTAAATATATAGCCTTACCCCCATTGAAACGGTAACGGGACTGAGATTGACTATTTATAATATAGGGTATTGGTTCTCCAGCCATGAGACCTGGAAGGTTTTGGAGATGCCTTATTACGACATCGACATCATTCGGTGAGTTAGGATTACACGTCTACCTTGTTCCAGTCTTCAGCAAGCACTGACAGGACATTTTAAAGCCGCGTCTACCAAAATGCTGAGCGTGTTCGCACTTGCAACTCGGTTGTGACCCATAACTCAGGCATGTTTGCTTCCATCAACAATGTCACGGATCCAGCAACTGGCGATGTGGTCGGATACATTTCCAATGCCGGCATTCCCTCCATAGCAAACCAAACGGTTCAGGAACTCGACGTGATCACTCCTTACAGTGTCTTTCCTACCGTGTTGTTTGATAAGGGTGTCGGAATGGCTTGGTGGAGAAATATGGCGATTGCTAAGAAGATGCAAAGTAAGTATTGTCTTGTTTAGAAGCGTAGAAATCCCCTTCCAATCATGGCTTTGCTAATTCTATCAAACAGACATTTACGGAAGCACCGAATCTACCCGTCGTGATGGAACCGGAGTTTCTGCTCTACTTACCTGGGATAGCAAGGTCAGCACAGTTAATGCTATTCTCGGCGGTGTTTCCGACCTGGTCAGTCAGAAAATGAAGGCTGAAAATATCTACGACACCTTTGTTGAGAGAATCACGGTATGATTTCAACCGAACTTTTAAATTGCTTGCTCAGCGAAAACAAACTGACAACTGTCTTAACAGGCTGAGTACTCGCGTGTCTTCAAGAACTTGAAGGGAGAAAACATTCCGTTCTGCCTACCTCATGAGACTGTTCCTGATACTGGACTCGTTGATTTTACTACCTGTAACTAATAAGTTCTGCCTTGAGCGGCGTATCAGGTGGTCAAACTATATGGTATGGAGGTTGTTTGTCTAGATAGTGTACATAGTCTTATTTCTATTTGGAAGTGTACAAATTGCTATGAGAATACCTACATATATACTGTTCAAACAAGTCCCGAGTACAAGAGGACTTATAAGCGGATGTCTCGATTGGCAGCCAAATAGAAATGTCTAAGAGTATACTCCTCCATCATGTATTTGTATGTGTCTGTTATTGGACATATCATAAATCAAACAGATTCAAATTGGTACAGAAGGAAGTGAGAACTACGTTAGCTTCATGGATGCACCCACATCTACTTCGGTGGTAATAGGACTTGAAACAGTAATTTTTTGTTGGTAGCCTACCAGAGCAGAGGGTAAAGTAAACGGTATCTGGAAACAAGACTTTTCTTTAAAGATTATAGATACAGGTGAAAAACGAATGGTGCAACGAATCGTTCACTCCTGAAATTGCTCGGAACTGGTCCGCATTTGGAGTTGCCAAGAAATAGTTCCACCAGGGATTCAGCCCCGGCAACCGGCCATTTCACTTCAACCTCACTCTACATGCACATACACGCCAACCTACAATGGGCAACATAGCAGGCCGTTCGAAGGGCTGCGACAACTGTCGGCGACGCCGTATAAAATGTGGTAAGAATTGACCGCCTATTTCTCTTCCGACAAGCCCCGAGAGATAACCCGAGTCATACAGATCTTAGTCAACCAGCCTGCCGCCGATGCAATAAGGCTGGTATCAAGTGTGGCGGCAGCCGTGATATTACATTCGTACACTATGGAGCTCAGCAATCCACCACAGTTGTCATGTCTCAGAAATCAAGCTCAACGATGCCGCCAACCCCCGAGGTGATCTCTGCAAGAATGGCATATCTCCCTCAGTCACTTTTAGGTGCCGACGTATGCATATCGCACGATGATCTCTTTGTGAATTACACACGCGCCAATTTGCTGCATAACATTGAGTCAGATACCCTCGGTGCTTTGGAGACTGACTGCAAACTCAGCGACACCTCCCTTCTGGCACTTGCTACGATATTTTTTGGTACCGAGCACAGAGATAGCGCGGTGATCCAACGTGGTCTGCAACGATACAACTCGACTATAGAAGAAATAAACACAGCTCTTGGCGACTCGAGCTATCTCTATTCACCAGACTTATTTAATGCCATACTAACAATGTGTCTGCTAGAAGTAAATATGTCCGTCCTAAATCTACGCGGGAAGGGTCCTAGTTAACAAAAGAACAGTTCCATATTTCAGAACGAGATCGTGGATGGCTCAATCATGCAAAAGGACTAGAGCGTCTCATGGAACTTCGAGGACCGCACAGCTTCACGTCATTTTCAGACTTGGTCCTTCTGGAACAAGCTCGTCCAATAGTCGTGTTTGCTGCACTGACCTTTCGCAAGCCGACTATTCTTTCAAGCTCAGAGTGGAAGACCGTTCCTTGGTCGTTGCTCCCAGAGAGGAAAGGATATATGCAAATGTTGTTGGACATCCTTGCTGATTGCGCCGAGCTTTTTGCTGCCAAAACCGACCTTGATTCAGATCCATTCGAAAACTTGAATATGGAAAAGAGTCAGGAACTAACCATTCTGTCTGAAGCAGTATTGAGCAGGCTAGACAGAATAGAAGCGGCTTGGATTTCTGCTAACTCAAGTTGTGTCTGGGAAGGAGAAGCTCCAGGCCTGACTCCTCCAATACCTTATTCAGAAACAGATCAAGCCCCCATGTGGACGACAGTCTTGCGATATCAGTCTCTAGGACACGCTGATCTAGCCACGATGGTCAGCGCAGTGCGCATATTGGCATTACTTATTTACCGAGATCTACCTGGATACACCACGGGCATATCGGCACAACAATATTCAAATCAAGTATTCAATGCTATTATCACTATATGCCGAAGCTTGGATTATCAGTTTCAGGAAACAAACAAAGGAGCGAGTAGCCACGCTATGTTTTATCCGATCAAAGTAGCATATAAGGCCTCTATGTATGATTACCCAATAGTTGGAAACTGGTTGAAGACAATTTTGGATCGCCTCTCAGACGGATTTGCAGCAAAGTGGACTATGGCCACTCAAATTATCCGTTGATTCCGGGCTTCCAGATCGTGCTATGGCATATAATATGCCATTTATAGATCCTTTGTTGGGTTGATCTTCTGTAGGTGCTTCAGATAGACCTCAGAAATGTTTCTTGGTCAATTTCAAGGCTAGTCGCGAATGACAAGAAGCTAAAACACCATGCTCCACCGCAACATCAGCGAGACCTAGGTTGACCCTAGAATTCTCAATATCTTCGCTCACGTTTGTATGAAACCTCACAGACTACCATTATACCCGGTATTGCCTCAGACTCTCGATGACGATATAGTCCATTTTCTTCACTTTCTTGATGTCTTTTCGCTCCTCCTCTCTCAACTCTTCACCAGTCGTTTCCCCCTGAGCCGACTTTCTCTGCCGCTTCAAAGCGTCTTTCTTCTCTTTGGCTATCGTGTGTGCTACAACTTTTGCACCGAGTTTATCAAGCATTTTCTCTTGCGGCGCTGGGGCTGGTACATTGAGGGTTAGCGGAGCGATGTACGGAGCCAAGGTCTGCATGCGACGATCCCGCATAGAAACGAAATTCGTTTGTGTGTCCACAGGACTGGTTCAGAAAGCTGTTAGCTCCCACTAGATCCAATGGTAATAATCAAAATACTCACGCAAGCTCAGACCAACCGAGAGGATATCCGACTAGAACTGATACGTCGTCATTCTTATACAAAGACGCTTTCAGTCCTCTTGGTTCGAAATAGTCGCGATTGACGGCCTCCAGGTATCGCTTTGTGCGTGTCCTGATGGTCAACTTGGATCCAGCAATAGCAGCCGCATTCATGGATAGTCCAGCCGCTAATGCCCAATGCCACGGTCTAGTGTAAAGGTATAAGGTCAGCATTGCAAACGGGGTGCCAAACAGCGCAGCATACTTACACGAATCCGATCCCTGTTCCAACTAAGTTCAGTGCTTGTAGCGGTACAGGTTCAGTCTGTACGATAGTGAGATGGTCGATAAACGCCATGAAATCTTCAATGTTCACATTGAATTGCGCCAACGCCGGACTGTATGCTCTAAGGAACGGTAATGGAGACGACATCATGCCGTGGACTGCAAGTCTCGGGATGACGACTGGCTTCTATTGGACCGATCATATTATTAACATCTAAGAAAACAAAATATATTCACAGCTTCATATCATTAAGTGCCCATACCTCTAGTCTTGTGGTTCTCGGCACGCTACGCATGCGAGGACTTTTGTGGATCCATTCAGTTCTTTGTTGAATGAACCTATTTTCTTCATGCTGATCTTGGAGTTGGGTGTGACTCCCGCCATGCAACTCGCTGTATGGTGGTGGTGGTGGTGGTTGCGATTCTTGATGATAATAAGACATGTTCTAGTATGAGAAGGTCGTGGAAATCGTCCTGATATGTGTATTTATATGGGAGGAAGAAAAGACTTGCGTTGGCCGGGCAATTTTCAACTGCTTTATTTTCTGTGAAGGATACTGCTTGGCTTCGAAAAATGATCTATTGAACAGAATATTCTGAAAGGAAGTTATGACCATTTATATCCTCGATCATAACTCAACGGATGCTTAGGTGCCAGGTTATATACGTGGCTAGTCCCAATACAGAAAATTGCACGAAGTGTCATGCTGACTACCATGTCACATCTCTCGTATCCAGCAGCGGCGGTCGATCTCTACCACTTTGTACGAATTCAGGAAGAAGCTTTTCAGCCTCATTTTATACGGGTCCACGCTATTCTCGATACAGAAAATTGCGCGAACTTGTGGAGATTAGCCGCTAGTCCCAATTAAGTACATTACACGAAGTTCTCCATAAAATGTCTTGAGAACGTCTATTTCTACTCTGTACCCAGCTGCGCAATGAAAAAACATAGGCTCAATACGTACGTAAGAGAGGTCGCAAACAACGGAACAGGTGTTCAGCTGACGTGCCACTGAAAGTGACCCCCAAAATGGTTGACTGTATGTTAGACCACAACGATTTCTATTAGGCCACCATGAATCATCCACGGTATACAGCTATATAAACTTGGAAATTGCCGGGTCACTTTGGATGTAGAGATATTCAATCTTAATCTCGTCTAGAAGTTTCAACGCCATAGTTAAGAAAATCATGAAGGCACAATTGTTCTATACAGTCTCGCTTTTGGGCCATATCTGCTCTTCCTTGGTGAGTTATCACATGGCAGCAATGATAATCGATGTAGAATTACTAACATTCATGGATCTTTTTGTAGGGCTCACCCTTATTTTCTGCATCCAGACGACTATCCAGCGATCCGAACAATGGAACAGCTACGGATCCCATGTACCAATTGAGCACAGATCCCGATTTCCACTTTGAGATCCTTCGGGTTCTTGGGTTTGCTCCATTTGAAGGTTCAGATATTGGAGAAGTTCTCATTGCGGCAAACAAGATAAGATATGGGGACATGGAAAGCTTTCACGACGCTTTCAATACTATCGCCACTCAAGTCCAGAACTTGTCGACCTCAATAGACGCCACAAAGAACCCCATATCTGCGAGAAATGCATTTTTTCGTGCCTCCAGCTATTTTCGCTCGGCGGACTTTTACCTTCATGGAAACTGGAGCGACCCGCGCATCTATACCCTATGGGATGAACAACTAGCGGCTTTCAATTCGGCCATTGCTCTCCTTCCTGTTCCTGTCCAACGTATTGTTTTAAATGAATCCGGATTTGAGATTCCCACTATTTTTTACGGCACTGGGATTCCCGGTCCACGTCCTACGATCATCATGTGCAATGGCTACGACGGTTCACAAGAAGAGATGTATCATTATATAGGCAAAGCGGTCCTCGATCGTGGGTGGAACGTCATCACGTACGAGGGCCCTGGGCAGCCAACTGTAAGACGTGATCAAAACCTCGGATTCATCCCTGAATGGGAACGAGTTCTCACCCCAGTCGTCGATTACGCTTTGACGCGACCGGAGGTCAACCCTTCTGCCATCGGGTCGTTGGGACTTTCATTCGGAGGATGGCTCGCTCCGCGTGCAGCAGCATTTGAGCCCAGGATTGCTGCGACTATGGCTATTGATGGGCTTTATGACTTTGGTCCGTTTATTCTTAGTCAATTCGGGCCTGAGATTGAGGCTCTCTTCAATGCGGGGAATGCGACTGCTTTGAATTCTATTGTTAACGGTGTTCTTGAAGATCCTAGCACAAAGACCAATCTTCGCTGGGGTATACAGCAGGGACTCTGGTCTTTCAACTGCAAGACTCCCTTCGAGTGGCTAAGGGCTATTCAATCGTACACTCTTGAAGGTTTGACTCAAAACATCACTACGCCTGTCTTCATCGGTGACTCCCAGAATGATTTATTCTTCCCCGGTCAGGCCAAGCAACTTGCGGATCATCTCGGGGACTTGGCTACATATCGCATGTTTACAAATGCAGAAGGTGCGGGCGAACACTGTGGTACTGGAGCTGGTGTTTTACAGAGTCAGATTGTCCTCGATTGGTTTCAAGACGTTATTGACAGCGCGTGAGAGAATTGACAAATAGCCTTGATTGTGCATATTCTAGTATTTTTGTGATTCTTACTACTTTTGGTTATTCCTCGTTGCTGTCTGAATTATCCCAAATGTATCCTACTCTTATATCTATCTTTATTATCTTTGCATAATTGAATATCGAAATGATACGTGGTCCGACTTTTCAAAGCCAACTCTGTTCAATTACGGACCTTCTGTACTTTTCGGATTTAATGTGCAATTTTGTATCTTATCCAAAAAATGCATGTATAGTAAATTATAATCCTAGGCAGTGCTAGACATCTTATTCGTGCAAGATAATCAATCAACCCAGACTGAAGAATGTGTATCACTATCAGTAGTAAGCCTCATCGACAGACTTGAATCGGTTATCAAAAAGGTTCTGCACGTAAATTACGCTTCAAGATCTACAGGGCGGTGTGATAAATGGTTTCAGCTCGAGATAGCGAGTCGTTTAATATATTCATGTTTTGGAGGTACCAGATTTGGCTACAAATATGCGGGCGGCAACTGTTTTGAACTTACAAAAGTCTTTGAGTATCATGCGCGACTGGATGAGAATGGGAACTTAGGTAACGCCAATCTAGAAAGATATTCGAACTATGTTATCGAACTACCTATATGCCTCACAAACTATTCCTGCGGTCCTATCAGTCTGGACGATGTGATCTCTGCCAACCCCCATTCTTCAACCGGTGGCGATAATATTCAATCGACTGCCTTAGCGGCTAATTCGAGTTTACCGCAGACGATGAAGCAGCTGGTTCCATAAATTAGTTGCATGATATATTCGCATGGGGCTAAGTTATCTATAGTGGGAGCAGTCAAACCTGTTGACCATTGGAGAGATCAGTTGTTGTATGCCCAAACGGGGCACATGTCATAGCCACCAGGTCGCTGTCAATGTACAGCTTTCTTTGAGCCTCTGTGGTCGGGAGATCTTGCGGTCTGTAGTTATATCCTGACTTTTCTGTACCATTCGGGAATCTGGTGGACTCAGCCGTTCCACTGTTAGTAGAGTAATGGCCAGGTAAGCCAGAGCGCAAGGCTGAATTACTGCCAGCATAAACCGATCTTTGTGCACATGTATACTTATATACCATGAACGAAATGATAAAATTCCACATCAGCTTGATAGTATATAAGGTATTGTGGGAGGAGAAAAAGAAGGACAATGGTGATGTTCATCTTGTACAACCCAACATTACCTATTTGCAGTCTTGTCTATGTTGCGTAGGCTCGCCGTGGTTACTCGGTTTTAATAATGTCATTTTTATACTTCAGTGATAGAAGTATCCTCCAAGTACTTTACGGTAAATCTAACGTCCATCATGTATTTCTAGAGCTTATTTTAGAAAGGAATTAACTATAGAATCTTTTATCGTATGTGTATTTTAAATAAGATTTTGTATCAAGAGATACAGTATTATTCCTAGATTGGGATAAATCTTATACTATTTGTTTAAAATTAAAGTATCTTCTTCGCACTATTTCAGAGGAAACAGAAGAGAGTATAAGTTGTTACACTGAACCTATAAACTACTGTCTATGTCTGGCAACCATTCAACTGTATTTCTTTCACGCATTCCAGTACTCTAATCACATCGGCTTTTCTCCAGGTGTCAAGCATAGGTTCATGTCACTCTTAGCTGCCGTGCATGGAATCTCTAGTGGAAGGATTTGAGAAACGGCACTATGGCTATTTACTAATAACCAGTGGTTCTGGTAAATTCACTAGGGTAAGATTACTGCTTTCAGTAAGTTGAAGCTAAAATTATGGGCTTGCGGAGTGCCCGAAACTCGTGGCTTACAGGCTCTGGGGCTAGGATTACTCATTCGTGACTCGGCAAGGCAGACATCGGCTACTTATCCTGCATCTTTTGTACGACTCAATATATGAGCGCTTGTCGCGGTTTGCCTAGCCTATGGTGCCACTGAAGGATTCGAAGGCGCGACGAAGACCCATAAATCGTGTTTTCAGTTTTACGACATTGAGAGCAGAGTTAAGATGTTACAAAGATACAATTATAGAACACGGTAAATGGGTGTTAGTTCGTCACTAGGCTACAACTGGTAAACAGTAATAAGGATTGTCGACCTTCGTTTTGTCAATGGCGAACGCGCTGTGCATTAACAAGTTATGTGTGATTACGAACTGATAATAGAAAGCATCCGCGAAATACAAGGTCAGGCTCGAGAGTTTCGAGTGTCCATCAGGATTCCTTCCTATCACCCATCATTCGTATCGTTATCGCAGACTGACTGAACATACGTTGTGCACACCTGGCAGGCCATGGATGCTACGTAGTCAGGTTACTATGATGGCGTGGGACTTCCGAGCCAGGTTACCACGCCCTAATCTACCTAGGTTTGTATCAGATCTTCGATCAATTTCTAACCTACGTAGTACCTCATGGGACTTTCCCTGCTAGTCTGAACGTGATTGCACAGACCCCAATTCAGACATCACAATGCTCCACTCCCAAATCTCATGTACACATTATACATCTGTATGATCTCCACAATATATCGGCAGAGATATTATTATCGAATGCAAAATTTTCATCAGTCAGCCACAAAGAAGACCCAGATCAAGGAATCTCCGAGATGCATCATGCAAGTAGGTTACATACCTCTATATGATGCATTGCCGTGACTAAATTACATTATCTACTACACTTGCTGTGGTTCAGAGATCGTACACTACAAATCCTGGCGGAATGCCCACAATAACTTACGTGCAGTGATGCAAGTGAATTATAATTTAGCTATGCTATTTTTCTCATAATAATTATTATCGGTTGCTATAGAAATTATGTCAGAGGCGCCTCGAAAACCTTTTCACCGCTGTTGCATCTGTCCGGTCATGATCATCGTTTTCGTAGCATCAAGAAAGATTATGGTACAAGACTTGTTCATACGTTTCATTACTAGTGATACATCGCTATTCTCGGCCAATCGATGGGGCATGGCATTCACGCTCCCGATCAACGTCAACTATAGCTGTAATTGGTAGTTCTGTGCCAGTGTGGCAGGTGTGATCATTGCATTCTCCGTCAGCTTGCCGTAGACAGCATGATACTGCTCAGTGACCTCGTTGAGCCATGGATGTTCGGCATGATACGCTTCGACTTGGGAATAGATGAAATCAGGATGCATAGAATCGCTTGTAAAATCCTCGATACACTCGACGTGACCAGCCGGAGAGAATGGTGGTGGTGTCAAAGGATGAGGTGGATTTCCTCCTCTAAATTGCTGAAAGCGGGACATGGTCTTAGATGTGTCGTTACTTGGAAGTGTGACCTGGTCAGTCATGTGAAACTGTTGGCTTGAAGTGATAGTTTCACAGGTTTGTTGTGGTATACCAGAATGCGCATGTGGCATCTGGGATAAAGCATCATTGTTATGGGAAAGCATGTCTCTGACATGGTATCCATCGTGTACTCTGTAGGCAATTCCTTGGGGAACGTTCCGCATCCTGTAGATAGAGCTCAACTCGGTCGTTTGTGCGGATACAGAATTATAGCTAGAAGCTGGAAAATACAATTCCTGTAGCGCACTGGTTGGATAAGTATAATGAGCCTGTTGAGTTCGGTACTGAACAGGTGTAGATTGGACTTGTTGAAGAGATGTTGTTATATCTTTCATGTAGTCTGTGAATACATCCGATGAATGAGCCGCAGATGTGACCGAGGTCGTGGGTAAAACAGTCTCGTCTATAATATTAGGACTAGAGGCCGAGGAGAATGGTGAGTCTAGTGGAGGTGTAGCTGGCGAAGGTTGGCTCCCTCGAGGTCGCACAGATTTTCCAGGTTGTCGATTATGATTATAATGTGGAGATCCAGCGTGTGAATTTTGAGAGCGACTTTTTCTGCTGCCGTAGTCCAGAGATTGGCTTCTCAATAGAAGTAGCTGGGATGACGCACATGTGGTATGGCTGCTGCTTGGGATTTTGGTTTCTTGAACAAAGTGACCGTCGCCCTGGTCTTGTCTTTGTTGCTTCAATTTGTTGGTAGGCCTTCCAAGGCGGCAGGGTGGGCTAAACACACACTTCTCACCCGCTTCTTCGCATCTCCGACATGGGTCGTCTTCGTTTCCTGTTGAGGATCGCAAACAACGCTGCTTGCGCTTGTGGCAGCGATCGCAGGCTCTTCGTAGAAAAGGGGCTTCTTTCAACATGATCTCTTTTGTCTTGTCTTCAAATCTATCGCTTTTCGGAAATATTATTGCCGGTAACTGAGAACTGTTCGGAAGACAAACAGATCAAATGCTGTGCATTCAAGTAGTAGTAGAAGCAATTCTCAAACATGAGGACAAACTAGTGGAGAATGAGGAATAAGAGGGGAACTCAAGCTCTAAGTTCTAAAGGCAAGAAATCTAGAGAAACCTGATTGGCATTAGGTCTGGCCAATGATATTACTTAATCTCGATTTGTATGACCGTGAAGGAAGAGAAGGGACAACACAGCGCACCCAATGTCCATCAGATATAATTCAACGCCTACCAATAGTGCCGGTGTAATTTCTCCAGGAAAGCTGATCTCTAACAAATAGCCTTTCTTTGGTGTCAATTCTCTGTCATGAAAAGTGTCCAAAATACTGCCTTGTGCTTCTACGAGGCAACTCTATTGTGTTAGAATCCTTTTAGACCGGTTTTCACTGATCTAGCTCTAAACTCTACGAACCATTTCACGCTACTCCGTACTTGCTACGGGGAAGCGGGACCATGTTCGAATTGAGACGGAACTCAATTGTAGCCCGAAAGACCCAGGCCCATGATGATGGCTGATAGTGAGAGTTACAGAATCCTTTTATTCACCCTTCTTCTCGACAAACATGGAAAATGAATCCACGATAGAGATTTGCAAAATCCAAGACAGAAAATCCAAATCGTATGTCAATACGCTTCGCCTAGCATGATTAAATCAATCCGCTATGGTACGCTGTCATAATATTCCCTCCATAGGCCCATAGTGCAGATACTAGCTTTGACGTACAGACTCCGTCCTTCGTTGTGACCTCAAGGCAGGCCGCCGTTTACCCTTTTAGTCGCACTAAGAGAGAAGGGAATCTGCCACTATAGGCTGGATTTGTCTTCTAGAATGGCACGAGAAGATCTATGCACATGCTAACAATAGCACCGGTTTAGTGTAAACTAATGGTGCGGATTTTTCCGCCTAAGAGAAGAACTAACCACATATTGCCTGGTCAAATAGCAGGCCAATACACTAAGACTCTGAGTCTGAAGTCGAAGTGAAGCGGCAAGGGTATGAAACGGGAAAAAAAAGCCAAATGCTATCTAGTAGTGAGTGGTAAAGTAAGGAAATGCAAATTGAAAAAGCAAGTCCGTCGGGGGCTAGATGAAACGTATTGGCTTTTGCTTTTTGTGCAGATACGAGATGGAAAGAGCGCCGGTGCTTTCAGTGTTAAAACTTGGAGGTCAAAAAGTGTAGTACATGGTCGCTGCCCCCCATGAGGTGAACGACTTTGGGTTTTCCAAACGACAGGCGGCAAAAGTGTTTGCAATCTATCTTGATGTTCTCTGCAGGTGATCATTCTATAAATACGGAGTAATTTACTGTACACAATCTATTTCCATAGCCAAGTGGGCTTACGACGTGTACATTGCATGTACGGACTGCATGTATGTAGTCGTGGTATCAGGCACGTTTCAACTTACCACCTACTTCGTATCGATACTTCTATTTTCGAGTCAAATGATAGCAGCCAATAAAATAAAGCTAGCAAATTTTGTACACCAAGCTCTGTACAGGGAGATTGGAGTCGGGAATGTGGCTGAATTGATCTCATCAAATTTAGTGGCTTTCCAGATAACGGTCAAAATTGCCCACGTTAGTTAACTATACGAACCATTATGAGCCAGCAGCTCTTAACGAGATACATCCTATTGGTCTATTCAATTACGAACGTCGCGTACTATTGGATACTGAAACCTAATTATCTGGATCCACCATCAGATAGAAAACAAATGCAGATTTGCGAATGCGAAAAGGGGCCAAAAATGGGCCGCTAGTCCTTTCCTCCCGGTATAGTCGAAGTTTAGAGACTTCTCTTACCTTAACTAGCTACTATTGAATATTGTTCACACGGTAAATCTGGGCGAGCCGGGAAAAGTAAAGATCATACTCTCTTTATCGGCCTACCGTATCTATCTTGTGACTGGATAGGGCTTGGAAGCTACGAATTAAGTTGAAATCAAAGGATAGGGAAGTAGTGGGTTAGCGTTTTCGGCTCGCATACACACACGTGGCTGGCAAAATCCTAACTCTTCGGATTTGACTGACTCGTGTTTGACACGAAATCAATCTTGACTGATTCGCGACGTCACATCCTACGCATTCTAAACTATGAGTTGCTGTAGATTAGACCTAATCTGAAGTCATTTGGCGGGCGTGCGCAATTGATGATCAAAATGACAAGACGGTATGGATAGCTGATCAAATTTTTGACCAAACAATCAGCTGTAGCCTGCAAATCCTCAAAACGCCTCGTAAGATTCCTTGTAGTGAGAATCCCATATTCCATATCACAAGGTTGGCATGTAACATCAAGTAAGGAGTATGATTGTACGTGCGTAGAAGTTCATCGTTCCACGATCTCGAAAACTGGAGCAGCGAGTCCCCAGGTCGCTGCTTGGGCGTAACGCCCGTTACACGTGTATCCTTTTCGAGTTTAGTATAATATTACATCAACAGCTTTACCAATAGTCAAATAACATGCAACTCGGCGAGAGAAGGCGGCTCAAAAGTGTGAAAGGTCCAAGACACCTTCCTAGAGCCTTGGCTGGTTTGTAGAATGCAGATCAATATACCCCGTGGATATTAAGGCCGAATGAGGTAAAACTCGGCTTTCAGAGATTTCGTACACGGCTTACAGCGCACTACGTGCTTATCTAGTTGCGTATCACATTCGCCAAGCCATATAATCTGTGTGGTATGATCACGCTTCATTCTGCAGAGGAAACTTGAGTTACAGCCAATTATTTTACATTGCGGAGTGGAGAGAAGGTTACGGTAGCACAGTGGGTGGATATACGGCCTGTATAACTGACAGCTAGAGAACCTTTTGCTGATCAATACTGGCTTCCAAGTTCCGCGAAAGTCTATGAGTCTATGCCTTCTACGAGTCATGTATAATTACTATGAATCTATATTATCGCAAGCCCATAAGCTGAAGCAAACGCTTGGATCTTTAGAAACTTGGATACCAGCATGTGGCTGACGAAGACCGCTCATTGGAACCGGGTCCCAGGCCGTCTTGTATCCTTACTCAAGGCAGTATGGAACATATACTGCGTACGTATCCACTTCAGTCCTGATTCGTACGTGGTGCTTAATCTAGTGCAAACGAGTCATGAAGCCATTTCCGGAAGATCACTTACATGTCGGGAACAACACAAGGTAGGTACGCAGTACGTACCTTTCCACTTCGTAGTACAATAGTTTCCTTTTCCTCAAACGCAACATTTGTTCTAGGGTGGCATGTAGTCTGGATTTTCTTTTTTTTTTTTTTTTTTTTTTTTTTTTTTATCACTATTTGTTAACTGTCCTAGTTAGTCATCTGGATGTTTGTCTCCTCAAATGATCAACGTCGTTGCAGAAAGTTACTATGTACGGCTGTAAATTAGTTGTGCACTCATTACTATAGAAGCCACTGACGTACTAGTATGCCTACCATTTGAATCAGGTGTATGTGTGACATCTGAAATCCGGCAAAAGGTAACTAAACCATACTACGCTCCTAATACGTATGTAGCCACTAAATACATTCTGTGCCTCCAAGATAGTCGGATACTCGAGGAAAGCCTCCAGCATCCAAGCTACATTTATGGATGTTAGGAATGAGAAAAGCCATGAATGTCTTGCCGTCTGTTGTGCAGCCGCTGCAGCGTAAGCCCAGAGTCTCAGAACTGAAAACTGTCAGTTATTATTAGACCATTTGGATTTTGGGATCTATACTAACCGAGACCGGCTGATTCAAGTCGTATTCGCCACCAACAGATAGTTGCGGGATTTGAGAATAGTGTTGTTGAATGAGATATCTTGTGTTTGCTAAAACCTGTTCAAGAAAGTAAGTAAACACACCACGATCAACGGTAATTGAGACATGTGAGTATATTTTACTGAAAATGCCAAGTTTAAATTGAGTTAGTTGACTTACATCGAGATAGGATTGTTGTGGATTTTCTCTCATCACATTCATGAAAGCCCAAGACATGGCGCCAGTTGCACGTCCTCGTATACTTGTATCTGCAGAAGTCTGATCGTCCGCGCAACCGCTGAACATCCAAGCATCTTTAGCCTCAGTGCGCCAACCTTCATGAAACCCTTCATCAACAAGACCCTGCTCGTCTGCCTGTGGCTGATGATGCAAGCTATGAAAGAATGTCGAGGCTTCGGCTACAAAGGAACGCGCATCGTCGAGTCTGTCCATGCTAAAACCTCCTTGAAGTAAATTGGACGCCTGCATAGCAAGATTTACGCCCTCTTTGAGATTATTGACCATATTGATGTTACCATCTGCATCCGGACGATATGTGTATGGAAGCTCAACGGCAGAGCCGGAGTGGCAACAATCAAAGAGAATTGTCAGCCGTGCATACGGGTTCATTGGAGAGATGATGAGTTGATGCAGCTGTATACCAGATGAGCACAATCTTACTTTCCGCAGCGTATAGATATTGGGTCATGGCCTGCCGCTTTGCATTCCTACGAGTCACGCACGCCGGGTTTACTTACTGTACTGCTGGTGATTTGCCCGTTTCTCTCAAAGTCGACGGGACAGATAGTATCATTGAATCTTCATAGATTAGCTTAGACTTAATCCTGCTGGACACCTGAAAGCATTTTCATACCCGGACTCTCTGTCTCCATACTCGTCTGCTACCTGACCTGTTTACGACAAACAGTCAATCCCAGTGTAATACATTGTTCCTCGGATCCGTACGTACCACCATGACCTGAGTACGACAACCACACGGAATCTCCTGGGTTGTTGTATGATACCAGCCATTTGAAAGCAGAAATCAGATTTTGACCGGTGGGATAGAATGGAGTTCCTTCATGTTTGGGCTCGTCTGTCAGCATGACCATGTCACGCTGGTCAGATGAAAACCCGCGTTCTTCGACCAGAAACTGGCGCACGTTGTACGCATCATTGATGCAACCTTTCAATGCGTGTTCSGAGCCATAATAGTTGATCCCGATAATAAGTGCTTTTCGGCGGGGCATGTTTGTTTATGGTTTGATTGTCCTTTTCCGCTATGAACAGTTTTTAACGCTCGCTCTTCCGTAGGATTGTCCGCAGACAATATAATTTATAGAGTGTATCGGCGCCAAGTTCGAAGCTTTTGTACTCCTTAATCATCTCTTAAAATCGTTCAGTTGAAACTCAAAATGGACAGAAAAAAGCAGTATCAACACAGCTGCGGGGTTGGATCGGTAAACATTTTGCGGAACAGTCCGATTGGTCGTTCTTGTCTCAGGTACATGATATCCGCTCGGTCTCTTATTATTACGACTTATATCCCATCGGTATATCGTAGATACAAAAGAGTTTCTCTAAATTTACAGCTAGATGGCATGATCAATTACCAAGCTCAGGGCGCTATGAAGGAATATCGTGAGATCGAGTTAGCATCAACCACCTCAAAGTACTCCATAGGCTAAACAAAGACTTGGCTAGACCTGTACTACATTGCTATGGCTAAAAAGTTACAGAGAAATAAAATGGGATGTATTTTACTTCCCAATTTCGGCCTTGCTACAGAATGTGGAAGGGGCAGAACGCCAAACGAAGAACTAGATAGTGTACTGCAGATTTCTGAAGCTGTGACAAAATCTTTAGTTAGTCTTTAGGATGGATGGCCTAGACAGTAATAGGAAGGGGAAACGCGTACGGACAATTATTTTTCTTCCAAGGGGCGTAGTTGAAGTTTGCTGTTATCGGTCAAATGCGAGATCCCAATGACTTTTTTGGCCCATTATTTGCTGTCTAATTAAGCCACTTGCTTCGTATTTCATTCCTACATATGAATTCTGCGCCGTGGGATCCGGGATGTAGCCGGACCAATGCATACACAGTCATTAGACATGAATCATTATTGTTTAGTACATTTTTCATCATTGTATATACAAGTGACTGCACAAAGTCACACTCATAGACATGTAAGAGAGCCTTGGAAGTCTTCGCGTAATGTAGCCAAAATTTCGTCCATCAGAAACACCAATTCCGTTGACCGAGAGGATCTCGGGAGACAACATCAAAATGTAATAAATAATAGCAAAGTGTAATAGCAAAGTTCAGAGATCGACATGCTCTAATCTAGATCTTGAACTCGAACTCGAGAGGTCACGCAATTCGCCAGTCTCTAAATCAGCACTTTGGACCAGCCCTGCAGGTGTTGTGGCGAAGGTGAGACGGGCGTCGGCACTATTAAATGAATTAAAAGAATGTTTGTCGTTTTCGTCGGTCTTGGGACTTTGCCTTCTCTTTTCGGAGTGAGGAGAAGACGCAGTGCCTTTGGAGCTTGATCCTCTGGAGGAATTGGTTCGAGATCGTATCCAGCTCATCACAGTTGTACCGTGGTGCTCGAGGAAGGCTGGGAAAGTAAGAAGACAGCAACAGATAAAACCGAAGCTGAGTTCGAGGAAGCTATTATGCCGTATTAGTACCATGCATACATCATTGCATTTTTCTCATTGTCTTTTTCTGGTGGGACACGTTATGAAAACTTACGAGTAAATAGCAAATTTGGACAAATCCCATGATGGATCGGTGGATTTGAAAACAACTGGAGTCTTGGCAAGACGAGTAATGCTCAGGGAAACCACACTATGATAACCGTTAGTTAGACTGTACGGCCACTTCGACCTGAAGGTAGGCTCCTTTGATGAATGGGAATAATCACTCACATAATACCCAAGCCAAAAACAGCAGACACTCGTAATTTCTTGACCGTGCTCATGTTCATCGACCAAACGGTTGGCATTGGAACAACGAGCACAAACAAATCTGTGGCAACGTTGAATGCTCCGGATGAATATGCGAGGACTCCTGAGGGTAAGCATTGTCCGTGCACGGTCGGGTCCCAGTGTCGATGAATAGGTTGACAATCGAGAATCGACATCATCAGCAGGACGACGTAGATTAAGGAAACAAGCACCACGCCGGTCCACATGACCGGGGTGACCCTTTGAAATGGACCGAAGATCCGGATATAGAGGAGCAGATAGGATAGTTTCACAGTGCCGGAAACTACCAGGTAGCACCATTCGGCCCATACCTCGAGCTATTGATTATATGTTAGCCATATGCGTTCTGGTCTTTTGAGGTATAAAAATGGATTMCCTTCGAGCCATGAATTAACATAGGAAGAGTGATATCCCAAATATGGCGTCCTGCGTAATAATTGCCGCCTGTATTGGGAAACTGTGTCAGCCGCGACGCTGAAGCTTTTTGTGTAGGGGGGTTAACATACAATCCAGCATGAGTCCTGAATATGTGACGAGGAAAGCCTAGTTATATTCGATCAGTGTCAAAGTTTCAAGTTATGTTCCCCAGTGCTTCAAATTGCACCAGACGTAAAACTTACAAATCCAGCAATGGCAAAGGCTGTTGAACACGGGCAAAGAGTTAGCGAAATTCGGGTGACTATCAGAATTTTCGGGTATATGAAGTGAGGTTCTTACCATCATCGAATCCAAACGAACGATTGATCGTTGTTCGTGTATATATGCGGACTGCTAAGCACAAAGCGCAAGCGACCAACATGATGGTGTACATGGCGATATTTGCAGCAGTCTGAGTCTGTGGGTCAACGAAGTTGACTGTTTGACCTGCCGGAGCAGGCTCAACGCCGACTTGTGTCGGCATGATTTCGGTTATGGTATGATTAAACCGTCGAGAGCAATATCAAACGTTCCATAAAAATACTATCAGAGTATGATAGCAGAAGAGAGATGGAAAATGGTCACAGTTGAAAAGATCAAACAAAGAAGTTGAGATCAAAGTACAGTGGTCAAAATTGAATTGCGAGTAAGTCCGAGGGCACAATTGTCTTAGAATAAGCGCTGAGTGCTGGTATGTAGTGAGAATAATCTATGGATGATAGATGGATGATAGATGGATGCAGAACCTCGAAAGTCGTAGTACCGATGGTTTGGTTTGTGCACGGCTGCTAATCGTGAAGATACGGGGGTTCGTTCTGCCACTTCTTCACACACACACTTTCATATCAGTCCGTCGACTGTGAAAATCTCAGCTCAACCGGTCCACAGCTGACATACATGTAGTCAATTATAACTACTCTGTGCTGGGGTGTTGCGTATCACCACGTACTCCGTACAATCGAAGGAGAGGAAAAGGAAAGATGATCGTTGGAAAGTTGACAGTGACGTTTGTGGGAGAGTATTAGTTCCTCACTAACTCACCCTAGGGACGCCATGTACTGACAGTGGTCATCTTTGGTATCCACATCAACGAGGTCCTGCCGTTTGGTTCAATGGCATACAGCGAGTTCAACAAGGTACCTCGATCACCAGAAGATCAATGCGTTAGGTCATTGGCTGGTTTGACGGTCAGGAACGAATAAGAAATCTGATTCGAGGCACATACCTCGAACATCTAGCTACATTTGGCTGAAGAAATCTGTACTCCGTACTTTATGGGCCGTGCAGCAAAGACGGAGCTATCCTAGCCTATTCGAGGATCTGACCTAGCCTGTCTTATGGTGATTTGCTTGACTGCATCCGTGTCTCTCTCCAAATGCCACACTTTGGCCCCCAAATAACTGGGATGCTGGCCGTGCTTACCAAAGTTACGGTACGAGGTATGGAACGTGTATCGTGGCATTKGGGGGATGGGGGCCAAGCCATAAGCAGATCTGCAGCTTATAGAACTGAGCCAATTGTAACATGTTCTTTATCCGCCGGAGCAATCTATCCCTGCTCAAACGGGCATGTCGTGCAGTGGGAGATTGGCAGCACACACAACGAGGTTACACTTCCCCTCCACTTTAGTCAATGACCGTGTGGGCCCAAGAAGCTTAAAGTATATTTAGTCATTTAAGGAAATGCTCTGGATCCCGGCCGCTTCATTTTACAAAAAAAGCTTTGATTTCTTACGTTTCTGGGTTTAGGGGCACGGCAAGTACCAAGTCTACGATTCAACCTATGAGACGCTACCGTTGATTTTTCGTCCGGACCAAATAGAGCCACTCTCTTATCTATGCCGTTATGCCGTGCCGCTGATTGGTGATCACACCCACTGAACCCAGCTGCAACGTGTGAGGCTGGCCTTTTAACAATTACCATACATACGTAGACGTAGCTGAGTTGAAACCTGCACTTCGTGCAGTAGTTTGTAGTTCATTCCCCGAGCCGCGGTAAAATACAGCCATAAAATCCGAGTATGCCCGGAAAATAAGAAAGAAGCGCGAGCTGATGCTGTGCAGTGTGTACGTGTACATATTCACTCTGCTATACTCCATGGCGAAGAAAGTGATACACAACATGCCGATCACACTTGTAGATATTATTAGAATTATTGAAGGTGGTCAGGTGGCTCTACGGCAAACAATGCTTCCGCGCATAACATTCCGCCAGCGTTTCAAGAGATGGTGACAGGTGTAGCGTTTCCGATACTCGAATTATCCCTGTTCTCCACGTTTGAAACATGGCTTCATGAATGCCGGAGTGGGCCAGTCCAGATAAGAACGCCTCCATCATACACTTCCTAGTAGAGTAGTACTATTACTACATACGTAATATTATGAAAGCGAGAGAAGTGCAGGGTGCTTTGTCGAACGAGCTCGTAGAGGTATTGATTGCCGAGCCTTGTCTGGCATTTGACCCGGCTGATGTCAAATGGCCATTGCAAGATAGAGATAAAAAATAAACCACGAACTTGTGTATCTACTATCACATAGACGACTAGTTTGCCTCAAGTGCATACTGCTTAGTAAGGATTGTGCACTGCACAGGTGGCCAATGTCACGCACATATGCATATGTACGCGCTGTACTACCCGTGGACAAGGATCAGTCATAAGCATAATTGCACTTTTCTAAAAGGGACGTGTTTGCTGATGTTGAGCATTGATAGCTTCACAATGTTTAGACGTTGTAATTAACAATAATACGGCGGTTCTAGCTCCTTTGTATCGGTCTTCACTTTCCACGAAACAAATCCGCAATCCTTCGACTAAGCTTGGATCCTACATGTTTTCAGGTGAAATCGGCGCTTTGTCTTTGAAATTCACGGTCTATGTTGCAAGTGCGACGTCTGAAATATAAGAGGATATGAAATAAGTTTGAGTCAACGGATCTATGCTCTTCAATAATGCCTTCCATAACGACAAATCAATAAACACATAAATCTAACGCAGCTGTTCGCCGCCAACTGCGACGTTCAACAAATCTGAGTTCTGCCGCACGTGGAATGAAGAGGGGCTGCTTGAGTCAGTCGATGGATACTTGTTGCTGTTATGGCTGTAGCTCTCAAGCTTCGCGTGTTTGTCAGTCTGTGGTTTATGATCATGACCTGACTGAGTCGGCAGTGGCTGCTGTGTGAGATTATTTTCCTGGCCTAGGCTCTCATCGCGAATATAATTTGAGAGGAAGATTTCGTTTCGCTCCACTTCTGCTGGATGATAGCGTGGACAGTATATACTCCAGACAAGGTTTCCACTGACACTATACGTGATAGCATCGGTGTATTGCCTCAAGTCTAGTGACAGATCGGTTCGTGCCTTGGTTTCTTCGGCAATTTTGACAGCGCGGGAGACAGACTCTTTAATTTTTTGTCGACAGAGATCCTTAGCTTCGGGTTCCGAGATTGAGTATTCTTGCATCAAAACCCAGATTGCATTGACGACGAGCGTTTCTCCGGCCTTAGCCGCATCGTCCCTCTCCTTTTCCCACGAGTAGAGATCGTTGGTCAGTGCTAGAGCTTCCCAGGCAGGTCGATCTAGCTTCTTGCAAAGACTCATCTCATGCTCCGGAATTGTCAGACCCATCCCAAATGTGATCAAACCAAACCAAAATCTTTTCAGTCCGAGGAATCAGTTCAAAGTTTGCCTTGATATAATATATCCAGAACCTGTCCAAGGAATTAATTAACTTACAGCTCTCCTGCATCGCTTATTCGATATGGTAAATATTCATCTAGTCCGGAAAACGGCTCTGAACGCTTCCGGCTACTCTGGACTTGGACGAATTTCTGCCAATTTTTCATTGTAGTGATCGCTCGTTCCTTGTCGATAGCAATCATTTCTTCGAAAATCTGCCCTTGAATTTGCTTGACACCCTCTCGCCGAAGTGCAACATCTTGTTGGTGGCGATCAGCTATGTCCTTTTGCTGTTGCAGCGTAAAGCTACTCGATCCAAACTCATCGAGAATCTCACGGCGATTAATCGATTCCTGATAAATGTATAGCTTTAGCAATGCCCGGTTTCAATCTTGCAGCCTAGGTTCGCTTCTGATTGGAAGCCCTACCAGTTTCTGGTCAATGTCCTCGGTGATTGCGTCTGGAGGGAACAACATCAGCTCAATGATCTTGTCGTACAGGGTAGAGAGAATTACCGTCATATATGAACGCAAATTCGTTGGCATATGATAAAATCTCAAGTCTTTCGGGGAGCGTCTCTGGAATAGTCACTCGAACAAAGCTGTAAGGATCGCCCAGTGTGCCCCAGAACGGTTGATTCACCGGTGCCACCAGTTTTGCCCAGTCCCGTTGGCATCGCAAAGCACCCTTGATCTCCCCATGAGGATCTTTATGTATGCGTAGCTCAATGCCATCGCAGAGACCATGAGTCTCGTACGTCTTTGGATCAACATGTTCTGAGTAACGAAAATCCATCATGCCAATAATAAGCTAATCTTGGCAAACCTAGGACAGTCTCCACTAGTGTGTTCTGGATGATTTTCGTTTGAACTTTCGCTTCTCTTCTAATGTTGCCTGATGCTCTAAGTTCCTATGATGATATAAATCAATGATGATAAGCGGGCAGATCTAATGTCTATCGAGGTAGTTAACAAAAGTCTTTCAGCCTTGATATCCATCTGTACCCTGCAATCTTGGGCCAACGCTATCTTTTCTCGGTACCTCCCTCTACTACGAATCTAAAGCGGCACAGACGCTCAGACCAAAAACTGGATAGCGTGGGCTAGTATCCGGATTCTAGAGCTCAGAATCCGAGAATCAAGAGCTATTACTTAGGCTAATTTGTTTTGATCGCTACGGATACTCATTGCGGCGTAATTCAGGCGCCACGCCTCCTTGCAATCGAAATCGTATCAGCATAGCGAACACCGGAAAGTTTAATTTAATCCTTATTTTGATAATTGAGACATAAGCTGATTCGGAATGAACTCGGCTGACAGACGGTATGGTATTCTATTAAAAACATCAGCGAATTCATGGCGCGGAAGTGTATCTTAAGGTAGTAAGAAGGGGCATTGGCGGGTCGATCTGATCCCGTTGATTATTGTGTTTAACATAGAAAGGCGCGTTATGTAAAGTGTGACGGAGACTAGTACAAAGTCTTCTGAACGTGCTCTTAGTTTATTTTGCTCAATAATCTTTGGAAGCTTATCGCTACGTCAGCGTCAAGTGAAAAGCTAGTGCTCAAGGCGTGCCCCTCCGTGGCGGCGCTTAAGGTGGACGATGGACATAAAACGGAGGAGTTATTGCTTCGACATATTTTCTACGTTTATGATTGGCAGTGATTATCCCTCTAGGTGCTTTGGATTGTGAATTACGTAGGTTGCATACGTGCGGTGTCTGCGCCGTATTTCAAAGTCTCACGCTCACTGCTCAGAGATCATGAAATTTTGGCCCCCAATTTGAGATTCGACATGTTGCTCCACCAACCCGCAGAGCTAAATTCGGGCCTAAGTTCATTGTAAGTCTAGCACGTTCCTTGCCACTATGGATCATAGGTAGCGTAGTACTCAGCTGTCTATCCCCACGGCCAAAATGGACGGAACAGGAAATTTAGGGCATACCCATAAGCAGCCAAGCCCTTATCCACCCAATCCGATGTATCAACAGACCCATATCAGCAACTAAGACGCTGGTCACAGTAAGCCTAGATCCACAAAAACGAACACGATTCACCCTTCAGGGCCGTGCCTTCTCGCTGTCGCCGATGCATGCTGCAGCTTAAAGTCTTAAAATGTGATGTATGAAATCGACCTGGATCAAAACGAATCCATAATCAGGAGCAACAAGCATTACCATGCCCCTGGGGCCTGCACGCAAGGCACGTGTCAGTGAAATGCCGGAAGATGAGTGATTGCTGATTCATGATCAGCATCAGCTATCACAGCCCTGTCCCTGTGCCTGATGTGACGGTCAAGGTTATGATGTGCGGCTGTTAATTTATTTCTATGGCATTATTCCGCACTGCTCCGGGGTTTGCGAATCCACCTACCTCCTCTGGACTGCACCATCCATGTCTCATCGTCATTCAAAGTACGGAGTACTTGAGATACGAATTCTCGTTTAGTAGCCGTCCCGTGCTCTGCACTAGCATCGGATTATGGGTGTCCAGTTTCCGCTACATCCCGCTGTGCTGCTTGGGTAACTGGGCTCCACTACAATTTAGACTACAGTTTAGGACAATCATAACTTGCATGCTTTCGAGGGCGAACTCGAGCCCATGGAAACGAACAAGGCTGAGAGAATGAATGTTTGGAACTGCAGATAAGTATGCAGCTGTTATTTAGTATTCAGATAAGGATTACGTATGTAGCAAACAGGTCAATCACGGAATAGGAGATAGATAAGTTACTGTGCCGCAAATTGTAGGTATGTAACCTAGCACTCCGTACATGTATGTACTATCGTAGCGGCGTTTAGTCGTTTGCACAATGCTAATTAAGCTACTATTGATTTTCAGGCGCCACTTACTTTTGATTAGCTAGGGAGACCACAGTCATTTTAGCCTTGCGCACATGGCTCTCCCTATGGCAGGCGATTTAGACACCATAAAATAATTAAAAAAACTTTGGTAAAAAGTTCCCATGAAACAAACAAGGAAATGGATTACTGTACTGCTACTAAAAATAAAAAGTAACGGTACGAAATTAATTAGATTGTTCCATACAGTTTGAACTCGATCTGCAACACCATTTTCTGATTACGTGCTATACTGTTTCGCTTCCCTTCTTCTGATTTTATCGTCGCCATACATTTGCCCTATTTGAGAGCCCTGTGGTGGTCCACCAAATTCTGTTGTCCATGAAGGTAGTCTTGTCAGGATAACATCAACATCATGGATTCTCTCACGTCCTMCCTCCCGCCATTTGTACAGGCGCACCCCGCCGCTAGTCTGGCAATTGTAGGAGCTGTATCATACATTATACATGGAATTGGGTTGGTGATCTACCGACTCTATTTCTCGCCTTTGGCGGGCTTCCCGGGCCCGAAGATCGCGGCCGCTACGCATTGGTATGAGTTTTATTACAACTTTTGGTTGCAAGGAAAATATATTTATCAGATCGAGAAGATGCATCAGAAATATGGTACGTGCATGCAGTCCATGACTTTGAACTGATAGTGTGCAAGCAAGCGAACGAAGGAGCTTCTATCCTCTGAGTCAAGCAGTATACTGACATTGAGCGTAGGACCTATTGTCCGAATCAATCCTGGCATACTGTGCATCAATGATCCTGATGCATACGACGAGATTTACGTATCCGAAGCCAAACGTAAGACTAATAACTACCAACCCTTCAGCCAGGGCTTGGGCTTCGATGGTAAGTGCTCCTATTTGAATAGTGCCATTCAAAAAAAAGCTAATAATTATGCAGGATCTCATTTCTTGACTGAAGAACATGATTTGCATCGCCGAAGGAGAAAGCCATTGGAGCCATTCTTTTCTCGTTCAGGTATTCTCCGTCTCCAGCCCCTTTTGGCCGAGACAATCGAGAAACTTGACTCGCGATTCGCTCAAGCCAAAGGCACTGGATCTGTGATCCGTCTAGATCATGCCTTCTTTGCCATGTCTGGTGACGTGGTTGGAAAGTTGTGCTGGGCCGAAAAGGAGGACTTTTTGGACGAGCCTAACTTTTCTCCTGGATGGTAAGTTTCAAACCATCAGAAAAGTCCAAACAGCCATTAATTCGACATTTCAAAACAGGTACAACCTTGTTCATGGAATAATCAAGTCTATCTACCTCTTTCAAATGTTTCCATGGATTGCACAAGCTGCCAACAGTCTGCCCAAATTTCTCCTTGCCCGATTACTACCCCAGGCTTTGGTCTTTGACGATTTTGACAAGGTACAGTTTTCTCCTTGTTACCGTGAACATACTTAGCTAAATCGAAGAAAAGATGACATTGCGTAACGTATCAATTGCCAAACAAGCCAAGCTGGACAAGTCTGAGCGCGACCCTTTCAGACGAAAGTACCCATCACTCTTTCACTGGATTGTCAACAGTGAGATGCCCGAGTCTGAGTTGGACGACCAGCGTCTCGCCAACGAGGCTCAGGTTATCATGTCAGCCGGTAGTACCAGTACTGCTCGCACTTTGAGCCATATTACCTGTCACATTTTGTCTCGACCGGATATTCGGGCGCGACTAAATGAAGAACTCGCTCCAGTTATGGCGGAATGGCCGGCGAAAATACCTACTTGGGTTGAGCTGGAGGAATTACCATATTTGCAGGCTTGTATTAAAGAGGGGCTTCGGTAAGCATTTTCCATCTTCTCCATGTGAAAGCAAGTTCAATTAACAGCTCTCCGATATACAGACATAGTTATGCTGTGATGCACCCTCTACCACGGGTTTCACCAGACGTTCCTATTGAATACAAGCAATGGACCATTCCTGCTGGGGTAAGAATCTCTATATAAACAGTATTACCGGACACTTGCTGATTGGTACAGGTTGCTGTTGCCATGTCACCGTACTTGATGCACACCGACACATCAGTATACTCGAAGCCCTTCGAATTTATCCCCGAACGCTGGCTAGATGAAAACTTCAACCAGAACATGATGCGCAACTTTGTTCCATTCGCAAGAGGTATGTCTTAAACTATTCAACGCTACAAGAACCCGAGTCAACTAATCGGTTTTCCATAGGTTCCCGCAGATGTCTCGGTCAAAATCTCGCAATGGCAGAACTCAGCCTTGCTCTCGCCGTGTTCTTTAGACCAGGCGGCCCTCGTCTAGAGCTTTTTGAGTCTGATACTTCAGACACAAATCATGTTCATGATTATGTGGTGCCGTTACCGAGGTTGAATACAAAGGGTATTCGTGTCACTGTGAATTAGGTTCCTATGCTTGGATGTCGGTGCCAATCATGAAGCGTATGTAGCGAATCGTGTCTGAATTATGTTGATTGGTTTTTTGGGTTGGGTATTGTCAGCAAGTCTTTGTATTTTGTTTGATGCTCGGTTGGCAGTCGTTCTGTTTTGTTATATAAATTATCACCACACCTGAAAACTGTCCCCAAATGTTTAATTGTAGTGTAATGTAGGCTGAAATACTCAATTGAACCCACCAAAGTTTCACTGAAGGGGAATTCCCTGAGCTAGCGGATACAGTTGAGATCAATCAGCACGATGCTTCAATTTAACAAACAATGGTGGCTTGTGCCAAAGCGCAAACTCCTTGGGATCGTCCATCCAGCCTCCACTCTCTGCATCCAATTCAATCTCAAAATGCCACATCATACGGGCCAAAATGGACCGAAGCTCGAAATACGCCAGTCTTTGCAAAGTATGACAAGTCAGTTATGGGGTTCAATTAAAAAGTGGCGAGAACTTGCTCACCCCTTGCCTATACACTGACGAGGCCCGGTTGTGAAAGGTTGGAGCACAGCCTTGTCGTCCCCTTGGTATTTTGCGGGGCTGTCAGGAAGCCATCGATCTGGATCGAACGTGTCTGGAGAAGCAAAGTTGGTGCTGCTGCGGTATGCCGACCACTGGTGCACGCCAACGGCGATCTGTTACAAGAAGAAGGACTTCGGTTAATACTCCTTTTTACGCAAAGTTTCTAGGAGTAATTGACAGAGAGGAGTTAGATCATACCCCTGGTGGAACATATTTTCCCTCTATAAGAGCACCCCCAGATCCTGTGATTCGTGGTAAAGTAGATGGAACTGGTGGATAACAGCGGAAAGATTCCTGTAAAACTGCTTCCATGTATGGTAGTTTGCCGGACGATGTGACGGATCGCATTGTAATATCTTCTGCGTTTGGGAATGCTTCTCTGACTTCGTGCTTCAATTTATCCATGCAGCTGGGATTTTGCAGCAGGTAAAAGATTGCTCCAGAAAGCAAGGTCGCTGTTGTTTCGGAGCCAGCGACCAGAAAGACTCTGCAAGTACCGAGTAATTCCTCGTAGGACATACCCCGGTCGTCATTATGGCGGAGGATCTGAAAACCGTTGTTAGTCTCAGGGACACCTCTCTCTCCAAATTACTTGCCTGAGTCATGAAGTCGCTTCTATCGGTTTCTCGAGCGAGACGAGCATCAATCATCTTCTTTGTGTACTCTAGATGAGTGGCCCTTTTAGCAGCAAATGAGGGAATCAACTTTTGCAGTGAGAAAAGAAGAAGCCCAATAATGGGATATGTCTCGGCAAATCGAATGACTCCGAGAAATTTGATTGCTGAGAAGACATTGCTAGAATCGTTTGTAAGTTGGTTACTTTTGAATCAAAAAGAAAGGGAGTCGAACCTCATCCATGGAGTATAATCGCCTTGTACAAGGGCGCCAAATGGTTCACCTAGAGTCATATCTCTAAAAAAAAAGTATTGTCAGATTAGCCATATGATTTGAATCAGGCCGTCACAACAAACCCGATGATGTCAAAGGTGATAAAGTTGAACCAGCCAACTATATTCACTCGGCCTTTTTCAGGTCCATCGATCTGCTGTTTCAGTCTTTCTACCAATAGGTCAAAGTACTTGGTCAATATCGAACTCTGCTCAAGGAGAGCTGTGTCAGAAAATGCATGAGCGATCAGCTTGCGCATACGAGTGTGGTCGGCTTGATCAACCACTATGAATTGGGTCAGATGTCTGTCCTGATCTTATTTATCTCAAGGCAATGAACTAAAATTTACCCAGAAGGTTCCGAGAAGCTCTCTTGTAGTAAGCAGGGTGCTTATCTAGCTCTGACCGATCCGGCTTGAGACCATAGATGTCTACGGTGTACGGTTCGTTTAGCAAGTACATGCCAAAATTAGAGTCAGTTGCAGACCTTTCCAAGCTTGAGAAGAATTGTAAGATAGCGTWTTTGGCGCCAGTCTGACTMCSGAGCCATATCTATCGTGTAATGCTTTAGTGTCCTTGTATGCGGTACCTCTTAGTAAGGACATCATGTCTGGTAGTTGAAAAGCAGCTCTTAGAAGCGGACCTTGTGTTCAATATTAGCATAGTGCAAACTCATATACCCTATTGACACGACTTTTGAAAACGTAGCACTGGTCTATGGATCCAGGTTGGTAGAGGGTCGTACCGGGATATTTTCTAAGAGGATGCAAAAACACATTATACAGCGCGTTGAATATTATGGTGACAAAGTACTACAACCAGTTATCAGTGAGACCCTCGAGATTATTTTTTACGAGACAATTTTACCAAAGGAATAAAGCCGATGAGTAGGGACTTCGCCAGTAGCCACAGATTAGGCACGGCGAGCCATTCTGTGACGGCCATGGTCGGAAAACAAAGCTATTGACCGTAGCAGGATATTATTTTCGATGCGCACTGGATAGACATGGACTTTATATCAAAACAACACTCAACGGTTCTAAGCAATGCAAAGGTAGAGTAGGTAGAGTCTATTTAATAGACTGTGCTCGAAGAAGGTGATGGTGGTAGATCGCCGCCCGAGTGGAGATAGCGAACAAAGAAGGCTGGATTAATAGTACCATACGCCACCGATACGCTCTTAAAACGAAAGGATCCCTGTGAACAGACGCCAGATCATCACGTTGAAGGCTATAAGCTAGTCTAGCCGTATTATTACAAGGCCGTACACCATATTAATTACAGCACTTGAACTGACTGCGTCTCACCCTCTTTCCACCTTTTCCCTCTGATGCCTGGAATTTGGGGGCGATGCACCTCGCAGATAGACCTACTTTAGAGGTTGATTTTGACTTTGAGACTTGAAGCTTGTATGGTTGGTTGGTTGGTTGTATTGATGCATTTGGGCTTCGCGCATGTCACTTCCAGTCTGTGTTCCCCTGTCGACAGTGGCTTCTGTTAATTCGCAGCCACGGTGGAGAATGTAAGCACAATCAACGCGCTATTTTAGTAACTTGACCGCTATTGCCTACATTCGGATACTATACGTACCCCTACGTATGTATGTATCGCCTGGAAATTTTAACAATTAACATTGTTACACAGACTAAGGAGTAGCGTGAATTCTGGGTGGGTGGACACTTGAACAAGCACCTCGTTTCGGTAGCTAAAGCTCCTGGCCGATAAGTTTATCAATCCTTCGACGTGTTTGAGAATTTGAGTCGGCAACAGCGACAATTATCGAATCATCACAATTTCATCAATAATCAGAAAATTTGATTATTCTTTGCGGGTATCTCGGTGCCATAGACACCAACAACAAAAACACGGCCAGTTGAGAGCCGGGTCGGACGCATCACATTGTCAATTTAATCCCACCTTAACGTCATTTCAACACAATCTCACCATCACGATGGGTGCTACGTGGTCTCAGTTTTTCCCACCTCAGCCAACCTTGACAGAGGCCAATCTTCCCAGTCAAAAGGGTAAGGTCTTCATAGTCACCGGCGGGTACTCTGGCGTTGGCTATGAACTCGTCACGATGCTTTACCAAGCCGGAGGCAAAGTATACCTTGCAGGCCGCTCGGAAGAAAAAGCAAATGCTGCGATAGCTGAAATCAAGGCTTTACCGACCAAAGATGCATCGGAAGTCGGCGAAATTGTTTTTCTACATCTTTTGCTAGACGACTTGACTACAATCAAGCCTGCCGTGGAAAAGTTCACCTCAGCCGAAACAAGACTAGATGTCTTGTTCAACAATGCAGGTGTTTCTAACCCGCCCAAGGGTTCTATTTCTGTACAGGGCCATGAGCTGCAACTGGCGACCAACGTTCTTGGACCGCATTTGCTCACCCAGTTGCTGCTGCCAACCCTGCGAAACACATCTAAATCGCTTCCTCCAGGCAACGTACGTGTTATTTTTACCAGCTCCATTGCCGACCAATTACAGGCACCCAAACATGGAATCGAGCTATCAGAACTCGAAAAGCCCAACCCTGACCCTCAACACAACTACACTATCTCCAAATTGGGTAATTGGTATTTGGCTGATGCGCTCGCTAAGCAAGCAGGCAGCGATGGAATATTGACTGTGACTCAAAATCCGGGCAATCTGAAGAGTAATCTAACCCGCCATCTTCCATCCTATGTGTCGATACTTGCTAGTCCATTGCTGTACCACGCCAGGAACGGTGCCTACACCGAGCTTTGGGCGGGATTGTCACCTGAGCTGAAGATTGAAGATAATGGCAAATATGTTGTGCCCTGGGGTCGTGTTCACCCAAATCCAAGACAGGATCTCTTGTCTACCATGAAGAGCAAGGAAGACGGTGGCAACGGAGTCGCTGCAGCCTTTGTCGAATTTGCAGACAAATCAATTGCCGAATTCAAGTAGTTCTGTCGCTTGGGGTGTTTCTCTTTTGTCTGCTTTCGCGCCTGGATACCAATTTCTGTTCCATGTTTTCAATATTTAAAGCTATTGAAATTGTCGCATACGGCTTTTACCCTGATGTGTAATAGCCATTGATGATTATCAGAGTCAAAAATAATACTTGTTGTTCATGGTATTGAATTTCTTGTAGTGTTAGTACTTCTCTCACCCTGCCATGACCTTCAACATCAATCAACTGGCAATTATGTGCAAGCACTCGCTGTAGACTCTTTACACATTTGCACCAATGTTGGTCTTAAAGCGTAGAACAATACTACATCAATATTACTCTGTATGGAAGACGTCTAGCTTACACTCAAAATTTGAATACCTATTGAACCTGTTAAGTAACTGACCGCGATTTCAAACTCCCATATACATCGTCAAGGCTTAATCATTCAATGAATTTTCGGCCTCGAGTAGTTTCAATGGCGGAATTTTACAGAAAGCAAGATATTGTGCCTGACTACCGCTCTGTATAGACTCATAATACTTAGGCCTAGTATCTATTGTCTATTCACATGGAATGGCTGCCTTTTAGTAAAGAATCTCATTATGAGATTTGATCATTCACAGTCATATATCATTCTGGCATCTTCTATTGACCCTATTCACACCCATAGCTATTGTCATTGTCATGTTATCAAATGGAACTGCGCGTAACTCAACCTTGTCGAGCCCCAACGATCTCCTTGTACTGACGACTAAGCAATACACTTATACGCACAAAAGCCACAATGCGATTTCACAACTCCCTGGTGGGCAGTGAGAAAATTCTATGAATTCTCCTCCTTTTTATCTTCCTCCTTGACTTTCTCTCCTCGATCACTAACCTCCTCTACACTCGTTTCTGAATTCGAGTTCATCATCTTCATTCTCTCGTTTCCGTCGGCTTTCTAAGTGTCGCGAGAACGTCCTTTGGTCCATCAATATTTCTTTCAAGAACCACTTTCCTCTCCTTTGACTCACCTGGTGTTCTGTCTCGTCAGACAGACCTGTCATCTTGATTACCCCTCAACCACCTTCGACTAAAGTCAAGGACAGGAACTCGTCATGGACGGTTACTCCTCCTGGCCAAACTATAAGTTCGGTGTTGAATTGGAGATGTTTTTAGTCTTCAAACATCTAAATGCAGATATTGAAAACGGACGAACTATCAGGGGCAAGCTGGAAAGAGCAGCGGACCACATCATACAGCGCTACTCCGAGGCTATCCGCGGAAGCGATGTCATATATCATGGAATGGAAAGTCTGAATTGGAGGCATCGCCTCAGGCACTCTGTTTTGTGGGGAACTAAGAACTCTTGGGAAGTTCATAACGACCCTAGTCTTTACCCGTTCGGGATCGCACAGTGTAACGGTTGTACGTGATACTTATTCGAAGTCTTACATTTTTGATGCAGCTTATTGACTCACTATAACTCGTCTAGGGCCTCTTGAGTTCGCCTCCCCGATCTTTGATTACTCGGTCATGATGGTTCCTGATTACGCTGTTCGTGGCAGCCGCCGCATCTCTCCTTGGTTACCATCCATAATCAAGTTGTTCCATGTCCTTGAAGATGAGACCATTATCCTTGTAGATGATGAGAGGGCCGCGTTGCAAGTTAGCGTGTCGACAAATGACCACTACGGATGGGACAATCTGGACCAGGTGAAGTCACTCGCAAAGAGCATTCTCTACTTTGAGAGCGCTATTCGAACTTTTCTACCCCAGCCACGCCGTGACAATAATTACGCCAAGTGGAACGGTTCCCCTACCCAGATGAGCAGCACAACCAGCTACATGAATCCTCGATTTCAGGATACTTCGGGCGGCGTCGGATCGCGCATTGCCTTGGTCGATGCATGCGCCACGTTGGAAGACTTAGTCAAGCTCATGAACAATGGCGGTCCGTGCTGGAGTTGGAATTTCATGGATCTCAAAGCAGATCTGACATCCAACTTGATCCACGGCCGCGTTGAGTTCCGGAGCCCCCCTGGTGTGGACAATTGGCGTGAATGTGCTGCGTGGATCCACTTTACTATGGAATTTGTGCATGCCGCCGTTTCCACTCAAACCACAATTCACCGTCTGGTGCAGTTTGAGGATGACTGGGATGGGTTGATGAAGTTCTTGGACTCGGTTTATCCACTGATATCCAAGGATTCCAAGCTTAAGTACCGTCGTGAGCTTGGAATACCTGATCATTGATGAGGAAGTCGGATCATCGAAATAAAGGATGGGAGGCTGGTTTGACACAATCATTTTCAAAGGAGCATAAGGATACTCGGAACACGGAGCAATGGCGGAATGCATTGTGGCTTTCAGAATTTGCTTATGTGTTATGACATTATGACAACAAAACTGAGAAAAGAAGACAGAAAACGATTAAGAAGTGTTTTTAGCTAGATACGAAGTTTGCGGATAGTATTAAATTCAGAATGAGAGTTCCTTGACTATATTCAGTATCTAATTTAATCGAAGTAATAGGACAAGCACTTTACACCTAGCCACTTCAAAGTTATTCTCCAGTTCACCTCAATTGTACCATTCTCCATCGAGCTCAAGCTCGCCACCATTCTCCACAGTCTTTAAAAGATCCTCAAAGTTCCAAGGCTCGTAGACATGTCCTCGTGGAATATTCGTGTTTTGAAACGAACCCCCATTCTTCAGTGCAGATAGTACCTCGTGGTATTTCTCTGCAGCGTACTGCTCGGGATCGTGTTTCACTACCCATGGAGCCATAAGTGCCTTTACGTACTTCGGAATCGGTGTAAACTCTCCACTGGTCTGGTTGTCGTTGCCTTTTTGCCCGTATCCAGTGGCTTGGTTGAGGATTCCTACTTTTTGGAGGCAGGATACACGTTCGAATCTATGCCCAACCCGTCAATCTCGCTTTTCAAATATTGGTTGGGTAGAAATAACAATAGGTACTCACCGAAGCTTGTTGTGCACTTTGGTTGCTTCTCCAATATTGTCTCTGCCAGCAATCGCAAGACATTTAGCAAGTGAAATTGCGTCTTCCATGGCCTGATTTGCCCCGTTTCCAGACGAAGGAAGGAAGGTATGAGCAGCATCACCAATTTGGACTATATGTCCGCTCTTCGATGTCCAGATAGGCTGGGGATCTCGCCAGACAAGCTCGTAGTTCAGAAGTTTGTCTTGAGGGGTCATCAAAATCAGCCGATTTGCGTACTCTGGCCAGTCTTCGATTTTTGAGGTGGTTTCATCGATCACTTGTTGGGGTGGGATGTACTTTGACCATGATTCCGCGGATGTCTGGGATGCCTGTATCCGTTTAGTGCTAGAAGAGCAACAGTCAGGAATGTTTCGCACCTTGTGTCTAAGACTCCACCCCATTTCAGTCTGAGTCCGTCCAAACGTGGCAGCGATGCCGTCCCTAAACAACGATTAGGCCTTTAAGAAAGAGTGGATTCAATATGAAGAAAATGCAGACTTACCCAATCCACAGTTCTGCAACGGGACTACCATCTGGAAGCAACTTGAATCTATCCGCCAATTCAGGATCGGACAAGACAATTTCGATAGGGAATGCAGCTCTATATATGGCATGTCCAGTTGAACGAGCAGGTACTTCATGACCCAACGTGGCCATTGTGGAACGACCGCCGATTCCATCCGCGGCGATAACTACATCTGCTTCCATAATCTCTCCAATGTCAAGTTCCACAGCCGCCTTTGTGTCTTGTTTGGGATCCGCATCGATATAGCGTATAGCGCGCTTGCCATATTGCACTTTTATACCGACCATCTCCAGTTGCGTTTCTAGCATGAGATGGAAATCGGGACGTGAATGACGATACAGTTGCTTGGATGGGCGCTCAACTTCTTCCGTGTTAAGGTCTTTACTGTCGTCGATCTCCAACTTGACTGGATCAGTGACTCGTTCCCCTTTGTTATTGTGCCACGCGAGGTATGGATGGAAAGCGATCTCTTCGTTTTTCTGACTCATGTAAGGCCAGTTACGGAACGAACGGATGATATTGTATGAAATACTAAACCCATCCCCTTGGGGCTTGTTAGCTGTGAGGTATATCGCCAAGAGTGAATATACATACCTGAAGTGTTTCGAGAAGGAGATCGTTCGATAATCTGAACGTCAATACCGTGACGCCATAGCTCAAGAGCGCACAGAAGCCCTGCAACGCCTCCGCCTACAACAAGTGCAGATATACCAAGGAAAGTACCTCGTGTAGGTAAGGACGAGGTTTCGATAGAGCCCATAATTTCGGCAAACTTGAATCCTGGAACGTATTTCGAACTTTGAATACAGTCAATCTGTGCGGTTGGAGAGAAAGAAGAAAGAGGAGCAGAAGAACAGTGTGACTTTAATATCTCAAGAATATGTTTACCCCCTTCTTTCACCAACGGTCAGCTCCAACTTTTATAGACGAATCAAGCAACCATTCTCAAAATGGAAATGCGAATGCGAGCTCAAAAAAGGCATAGCGTCGTGGACAATGAGCTCCTGAACCAATCAAAACGCTTCGATTCTTACACATTCCCTTTTTGGAAGTCATTCCTTTCGGAATTGAGAGATTCGATTAGGGCTTTTTATACGAAAGACAGGCATAAGCGCTAGATATTGATTGGAAGGACTTTAGGATCAAGCCGCGACTTGATCGCAATCTGGCCGTCTGATCGTGCAGGAAGTGGTCGGGAATAACATTCTGAATGAAACTAGAAATCAACCGGTCCTACCTAGGCAGTCCATCAAGCATTACTCAAAACACGTGCCAATACAGAGGTTTTTTTTTGCTTTTATTGCAAGCATATGAGGCGGAAAGTCACACTACATGTGGTCCTTGTGCTACGTTCCCCTACGATCCCACGCTCCTGGATCTCCTTCGGGGCTCCAACCGAATTGAGAAATTTCAGGTTGCAGTCATACATACTACAGTACCACAGTAATACATAAGTGCTAGACAGAGCTCGAAACTTATCCTGACTCGGTCATTTCTGAATTAGATAGGCCAAGCTGAAGACCTTGCATATGTACTAAGGCGGAAGTCGGCCCGCCAATTTCTCAATAACTGAGACAATTCTGATATATTCTTAGTCCTGGCCTGTAAGTCTCGGATCATGGGTAGGAGCGAATTCGCCAAGTCTCTCCCAGAACCCGGTTTCAAAATCAAATGGCTACAGGGTAGAGTTTCTGGGCCACGTGTCCGCTAGATCACAAGTCGTTATTCCCGGCACGGATTGCATATCTGAGTCTGAAAAGCATTGAACTCTCTGCATAACCTTGCTATAATTCAAAGCTCAGATCTTTTCGTCTGATCAGCAACCCAGCTTGGAGCTTTGTGGCGAGAATTTTCAGATGTTGAACTATGTTTGGTCGTGTAACGCGAGGTGTGTCCGCAGCACCGCACTCGTTGAGCAGAGCCATGACGAGGATTCCCTCTACCGCTGCAATAGAGGTGGCGTTTTTGGTACTGTGCAACCCTCGAGATCCTATCTGAACAGAGGAACATCCGTATCCTAGAACTCTGGAGAGTACCACTTTGAGAAAAGAATTAAAGTCCAAGGGATAGCATTGGATTCTGATGGTTTGCGTACGGATACTCTAGACAAGTTACTATCAGCTTGGGATATCACTCAGTCCTCAAAACCGCATGTGCTTTACACAATTCCGACTGCTCATAATTCGACAGGGTGCACTCAATCTTTGGATAGATGCAAGGTCATGTATGAAGTCGCCGAAAACATGATCTTACATCATTGAAGACGACCCATATTACTTCCTCCAAAGGCCTCTTTACCAACATCATGGGCGGAACCAGTTCTATCAATGATTCGGCTTCAGAGGATGAAACATATGTCGAACAATTTCACTCCCAGTATTTCCCATCCTTTCTCGCTCTGTATACATCCGGTCGAGTCGTGTGTGTTGATTTAGCGGCCAAGATCCTTGTTCCCGATTTGCCAGCCGCTTGGGCTGCTAGATCCTACCGAATCATCGACAATTCCTTGCTTACCAAGAGCTAAGTACAATATCTATTAGTGGTCCGTTCCAGCTCGTGCAGTCATATTTGCTAGATGAATCCTGGGGTCATAGCAGATTTCTATCATGGCTCATGTACCTCTTGCAAGAGGATTGATGGTGTCGCCACATACTTCTTGACGCCTGCACCTCCCAAAAAGATTACTCAGTGAGTTCCACCGGCATCTGGCATATTTTTATGGGTCGGACTGGACTGGAGGCAACAACCTCAGCAGGCATGCCTTAATGCATTACCAGAAAACCGATGTGCGAATACTCAAAAGTTGAGTTGCAACTATTGAATAAGTCCCTAGAAAAGAACGTACTTGTTATGAAGAGGTTCGCCTTTCTTCTCTGACCACAAATTGAATGGTCAGCTGCATTTCACACTAACCTTTGCAGCTGCATATCGAAAGGTCTCGCGGAGGGTGTACGATTATTTGCAGAGGTCTTGACGGGAATTCTTTGAGCTTGAGTAAGCTTTGGAATATAAGTTGACTTCTTTTCCGTTTCCCACTTTCTCATGTCTTTACATTTTATTCAAACGGTAGAAATCATACTTAGTAGTCAAGAACCTGTATCCAACAGTGTTACTATGATGGAGTAGTGAATCTTATAAGCCATACAAGAGGTATTGCTCATTGAATTAGTGTGCGCCAGCTATTGTTCGAACGATACCTAGCTAGGTAAATACCAATGCTCTGAGTAATAACAATAATGCGGCAAGCTTCAATATGACTACGGGCCCTGTGTCACGTTCCACATTTGACCCAGCAAGCCTGAAAAGTTACTATTTCTCCAATCAGACCAGTCATGATTCAGCAATCCCCATGTTTCATCGTAGTCAACATTGCCGTCACGGATATAGTAGCTCCCTTGAACGGCCCATACTATCCATTCCGCATCGTTTGACTCCATATATGAAACCAAACATTGAAGGTAATTGTAGTCCTTGTCGGAAAGTCCATAGTTTGAACCACCAGTCTGACCAACACCGAATTCAGAAAGTATCAAAGGGGCCGTATATGACTCGTTTTGAGTAAGTAAGAACCCATCGAAAAATCCGTATTCCGCATCGGCTACCGTGCAATCGGTGTTACCAGGAAAGGTAACTGTGAAGGAATAGGCGTGAAATTCCCAAACATGCTTGCCCGCCCATTGAGAGAAGTCAAGGTTTGAGGCCTTGATAAAGGAAAGGTCAGTAGCAGACTGCGACCCACCAATAATGACAAGAACGTCCGGATTGGCATTGTGCACTGCAAGTGCCCCCTGAGAAACATAATTGTACCAATCGGTATGTGTGAGGTCTTGAAGTATAGGGAATGGGCGAAGCTCATTTCGAAGTGACATTCCCACAACACCCGGATGATCTAGTGCAAACGTTGCCATTGCATCGAGACCCGAAAGCCACTCAGTTGTGTTGAAGTATCTACTATTCGACGCGATGTATCCAGTTGCGGTATCCCACCATCCATTGCCATCGGTGAGATTACAGCACCAACTAGCTCTAGATACATGGTTGTCCAGGATTGTCATGACACCTTTGCTATCAAGGCTGTCAATTACATGAGCAAACACATCTAGTGTAGTTGCATCGGCTAAGAAAGGATTCTGCGTGACTGCTGCATTATATGCATCGGCTATTTCGGACTCGACATTCCATGCTTTACCGGCCGCGGTAAACGAAGCAGAAACACTCTGTGTAGGGTCGAGAGCCATGTCAATCGAATAAGTGAGCCGAACACAATTGAAGCCATTATCGGCGATCCAGCTAGTAATTGTATCAATAGGCTGCTTATTCAGTCCTTCCGGAATTCTGAGGTCAATATGTCCAGCCCAGTTGATGCAGCGCAGTTTGACGCGGTCGTTGTTAGTATCTAGAATCCATCGTGATGATGTATGTAGCTGCGCTAGAGACTGGAGGGGCAGTAGTAGCAGCCCCGCGACGAGACTTTTCTGGCCGAACATCTCAATAGATCTTGCCGGCAATCTATGAGACTAAAATCAATATCATAAACTCAGTCAAATGTTTGTGCTTGGTAGAAACCGTGAAAATATTGTAACCTACCCAGAGTACACTTCTTTATCTACTGAAATGCCTCTACTGAATTCTCCTTGGACCCTTGTTGAAGGAATCGAAAGAGGCTCGGAGCCCGGTCCCTTCGTCGATCACTTGATCCTTCTCCCCGCCAGAGTGCAACATAGCATTTCTGTCACAAGCTATTAGTGTCTCCAGCCACCTATGAAGGCTTCAGGATATATTGGACAGCAGCGTTCCTCTTCACACTTTGCTTGGGTGACATCGCATAGTGAAATATTTTGCGACGATATTGCTCATCTACTACTGTTTTGCATGATAGCCCGGATCTGTCAGCCTCAAATCCAGTTGCTGAAGTAGATGTACTGTAACCTTGCAACAGGGAAAAGAGGCTAGGCCTCGGGGCCTACTGGTGTAATTCAAGCTGTAGGTAGAGAGTAGTCTCAATGAGAACGAAATGACCAATTACTTACTACAGACATAGAGAGAACATTTAGCCCTAAATGGAGAAGTACTGCAATTTCCGACCATCACATTGGAGATTGCACCTTGTAAAAGACGGTACTTAGTATACCAAATGCTGCCATGAGTAACAATCTCTCTTCTTCATAAATCTTACTCCAGAAATCAAATTAGGCAGCAATACTCGATAACCCTAATTAAAACCCTAGTATCAGTGAGTCAGACGGGACGTGACTCACCATTTTCAACGCGTCCTTTTTTTGGTCCGATAGTGTTACACTTAGGTATTTTTATTTGTTTCAACTTTATGTGTCGAAGGGCGTGTACACGTGTAATCGGATATTGAATATAGTTTATTGGACACCGGGCAGCATCTGACACGAACCATCTTGAGCCATCATGTCGAAAATTTTCTCACCACCGCCATCGTTCAGTATCCCAACAGAACGCTTACATATCTCATACTTCCAGCCTGGAAACCCGGATCACACCGCTTTCACATTTCGCCTATGGAGCACCGACGAAGTTACAAAATATATCGGGAATAGAGGCATTGTCTCCCTGGAAACGGCAGACGCATTCATTAGAAATCTGGTCCAGGCAGACTACAACCGGACCGGATATGGTCGATTTCTAGTCTCACTGAAACCACATGCCCAAGCCTCACTTGCCGAAAGTAAACTGATCGGAGTGGTGTCCCTGCTTTTGAGAGATCCGCCTTATGGCTTCTCATGCCCAGATATTGGATATTCATTTTTGCCAGAGGAATGGGGGAAAGGCTATGCGCCGGAGGCTGCCATCGCATTAATCGAGTATGCTCGTCGCGAGTGGAATATTAAAGATTTCTTCGGCTTTTGTGAACCGCACAACAAGCCTAGTCGTCGTGTTATGGAAAAGATAGGGTTTGAATTCAGAGGCGAAAAAAATCTACAAGTTTTCGGAGGTAGACGCAACGCAGTATACGCACTTCCAGAAATGGAATCAGACCTGAGTGTATATGGAATGGAAGATTAGGCTCATATTTACGGGTGATATGCCTCGGGATGATGGGTTTTGGTTAGTATCTACACAAGATTCCACCAGTACCGCATTCGTTAAGTGCATTCATTCATGGACAAGGGACAAAGAGATGTGGGTTGTTTTGGCGCCATAAGAATGGTCTATAATTATTATTATCATTTGAAATAGTTGTCTGAACGAATTAAATGAGCCGTGAAAGGCAATTACAGTCGTTTGACGATCAATGAATAAGGTATACAGATGTGATTTTTCCCGTCACCTTGTGTTGACAAATCATTATTTTTGAATATCTTCGGTGACGCAATTCCTTCAAGCATTAACATTCAACATTTTCTATGGAGATCTAAGACCCTATTAGATTGGATCTAGTGCCAAAAATGAGTCGTAAACACCCATCACTTGAACTAGCCCCTCCAAACTACTTTAAGCTCCACCATATCACTCCATCAACCTCGGCAGACCGGACATCATGTGCTTGAAAATCGAATCATAACCACGTACAACATTAGCGTCTAAAGTAAGATCGTATGAACTCATAGATCCAGCTCCACTATCTTTGCTTTGGCTAACTCTTTTTTTATCAGATCTCAGCAAATTATATCGCCCACTCAATATTATGAGGATCGCAAAGTGGATTTTGTTGGGACTTGGGGAACAGGAGATACCTCGGACTCTGTCAATCATGAGGCCAACAATGCAAAGCTCTCAGTTTGGTGAGCGGCACGAACCGTCGATACTACAAATTAATACGTTTGATCTGCATTTAGCTGCTTTCACGAGGAATTTCTTCACTCATTTCACACAATTTGTTGGGCGACCTCGGTCAACACTAGACCTGCTCATCATATAAGAAAAATTGATGTCTATGTAAATGCTAAAGGAAAGTCTGAATTAGGCAACAATAGTTTTTTTTTTCTATAAAAGAAGACGAATAACGAGAGAAGTGACAAACTGAAGGACATCTGAAGACCGAGAGACAGTCGCATCGATATACCTAGGTATGGACCACAAAATGAGCACCCAGCAACCCGTCTCCAAGGACTCAATGAAGTCTACTTGGCGTCAGGGCAGTCGAGACCAATGGACCGTGACACACTGGCTGATAGAATTGCTAAATGTCCACCATGTCGCCCTTGAACTAGATGTCCCTGTGCACTCCAAGGAGGAAAAAGTGCCGTATCTGCCGCCATGGTCATTACACATCTGGATTTTGTTTCATGCATTGATACCACTCGTCATACACCAAGCCTGGGTAACCTTTGTCAACCCGAACGGGCTTGGAAAATTCGCTGCGTTCAATCTCTACTTCTTCGCCTTCAACGCCATCATAGTCCGCCAAACGCACATCCTACGACGCCTAGCGCATAAGTACGGATTCCTGGATGGAGATAAACACGAACGAGATGGTGTGCCAGATGTGGGAGTGCAGCGGGTCGCAGCATCGCTCTATAAAACGACAGGCTCTCGTCTAGTCATGGCTGTATTCTTGACGTACAACAAGTCTCAGCAACCTCTAACCTCGTGGAATGATTGGATATGGTGGCTTCCCCTAGAAGTTGGTCTTTACGGTATTGTGCTTGACTTTTGGTTCTATTGGTACCATCGCGCCATGCACGATATCAACCCGCTTTGGAAGTTCCATCGCACCCACCACTTGACCAAGCACCCCAATCCTATGCTAGCAGCCTACGCTGACCACGAACAAGAGTTCTTCGACATGGCGGTCATTCCGTTTCTCACATATGTCAGTCTAAAAGCGATGGGTCTGCCTATGGGTTTCTATGACTGGTGGATTTGTCACCAATACATCGCGTTCACAGAAGTGTTTGGCCACAGTGGGCTCCGCATTCATGCAACTGCCGCATCAACAATGAGTTGGCTGTTGTCCATCCTTGGTGCCGATATTGTAATAGAAGACCATGATCTGCATCATCGCAAGGGATGGCGAAAGAGCCACAACTACGGCAAGCAGACACGTCTCTGGGATCGGATATTTGGCACTTGCCATGAACGGATAGAGTCTGCGGAAAGTAACATTGACTATGTAAATACTGCTTATATGCCTGTGTTCTGATATCGCATCGAACGGTTGGCTGGCGTCTCAATCCGTCGACAGAGACCTAGTTGAATGGTCTGATAGCACGTCTTGCAAGCATCTGATGATTTATGAAATGATGAAGCCTTAGGTAGACAACTCTGAATTCCTGTTAAAATGTATGTAGTGAGTTACAATATTATGCCATATGTAAACCAGGACCATAAATTTGAAACATTTTTCTTACCAGATAGATTCGTAAATCGAGTGTATGAACTGGGCACACATAGTCTCATTACATTGAGTGCAAGGAACACAAGAAAAAAATCGAATACGGAAAGGACAAATCCAAAAGGAAGTCGAATGGGAAAGCTGATCGCGTGCCCAGGTCACCTGCCTCCCATTTGCCCTAAATATAGGCCTAATTGGGAAGGTGCGAATTGATTACTAAATTGTGCTAAATACGATGGAAACCCATGTTCAAGGGGTCCAATAGAAGCAGAGATGTCTAGTAATAGATAAGAATTGGTACGTAGATAGTTAAATGAGAGTTGGGAGCCTTCGTTTTCCCGGACAACATTTGGGACTTCCCAGAAAACCTAGTCCCTTGTATATAGCCTACTCCAAACCATGATGTGATGCTGTTTTCTTTATCAGTTCTCCATGTAAAGCGCTTCGTAAAGTTACCTTGACTGGAAAGGGTTCTGTAACGCTCCACGGATTTAATTTCCTGCTATCATACGGTCCATTCTCGTAATCGTTAGTGAGTATGGAAAAATGGGGAGAAAACAACACTCACCGGTACAAAGTCAAAGCAAAATATCAATTGAGATATGGCCAAAAAAAGAATCTGCTGGGCTATTTTGTAGCCCACACAGATCCGTCGACCAGCACCAAACCCCCAAAAGTCGTGTAGGATGTTCATCTCGTTTCGCGATTCATCCATCCATCGCTCGGGCATGAAGCGCTCTGGGTCTATGCACTCCTGCGAAACCGCAACCGTGTTGATGAGGAAGTTGGTTCCCTTTGGGAACACATAACCATCGTATTCAAGCTGCTTATCTGTCAGCTCGTGGGGTGGCACCAGCGGCACAGTTGGTCTCCAGCGCAACGTTTCTTTGACCAAAGCAGCCATATATGGCATGGATTCCATATCGGCTACCACGGGTAATCTCATGCTAACGCCACTACATATAGAATCCAGCTCATTACGTGCTCGGTGGACAATTTCTGGCTGGGAAATAGCTGCCATGATGAACACATTCAAGGTCATTCTCGTGTTGTCTCCGCCGGCAGCCATAACCGATGTTGCTAGATACATAGCATCTTCATCGGTCCCTTTATAGCCCGTGTTGGGCCCCAGAAGTACATCTCGGACAAATGATGCATGGGCAGTTCCATCCACAACAGCCTTCTGGACCGGTTTCCACCAAGCTTCAAAAACCTTGGTGTGTGAATCTCCCATTTCTTTCCAAGATTTGCGCCACCACTGCAGAGCGCGAGGTATAAAAATTGTACTACCCAGTTTCGGAAAGAAATCTATCGGGCTCCGAAACAGGCTGAAAAGAAACTCATTAGTGATTCGTTGATACTCGTCTAGTTGCGTTTGAGTTTTGTTCAATCGGTCCCCCATGACTATTCGATGCATAATGGCTGTCGAGAATCGAAAATGGTGCGAGTACCATTTCTCCGGTTGACGGAGATAGTCAAGAAGCATTTGACAGCTTTCTTGTTCTTCCAACTCGGCGTATTTCCGCAATGCCGTTCCGCTGAGAAGGTGGTGCATCAGCCGTCTACCTTCATTCCAAGCAGACGTACTCTTCCGAAGTACTGCTCGTTTTCCCTTGCTCACAAGACCAGATGCTATTGGCATGTCTGGTCTCTCCCCTGTCGCTTTGGAGCGCTTGACCTGGATATCTGAGATGGCTCGCTGGCTGTTTAGAACGACCCACAATTGAGAGCCCATGTGCAGAGTGGTCATGTCGCCATAAGATCCTAGTGAAAGGAGCTATAAATTTTGATAGGTTAGGAACTAGAAAAACAGTAGAGTCGTAGGGGTATAACCATGAACCTACGTATGGAACAAGCTTTCCGCTATCTCTCGCTCCAAACAGCTGTGGCATATTCCCAACAATAGGAAATCCGCGTGGACCAGGAGGCAGTCTCCATCTCCTTCTTGGATAAAATTGCCATTTTTTGTCAACAGGTTTGAGCCACTCGAGTATGATACCCAACACCAAGGCCACGATAGGAAGGATATAAAGTGCCATCTGGACCGTAATAGTTTGACCACTTAGCCGAACAACTTCTAATCACCAACACGACTAATCTAAACTTCGGCTGTTGAAAAGTCAATTTGTGTATGGGCGAGACCTTTTTTAAGGCTGCTCTGGAATTGAGCTGGCTGTACATTAGTCATATTAAGATTTTAGGTCCGATCCACTGTCTGAACCTTGGAAAACCTCGAATCACATCTTGTTAGGCGCCCAAACCTATGCAACTTCGTGATCGGAGGTAACTCCCGCGTTCAGCTGATATCAGCGACAACATAGATCATCATAAATTCAACAATACTCCACTAATACTAGTATCTATATGGTTTAGTCCATGTATAGTACTATATCGCCTATGCAAACTTCTCGAAAAGAAGACCGTGATCTCTCGGTAGGTGATAACTAAGTTGGTTGATACGGCTTGTCCACATTTAAGTGGAAGACGCCCCTCCAGTTGACGCCGGGGTTATATTGCCAATTCATATCTTATTACCTCTCGAGTCCCCTATGCTCTTGACATACAGAAGGCAGCTCTCTATGTCCTAAGCAGCATTTCAAAGATTGATACAATTAGCACTATTTTTTCTTCACGACAGGACGACCCTCACTACACGAACATAAATACATCAATCGTCAACATGACAGTACAATCCCGTCCGTCAGGAAAAGGATACACGCCACCTGCGACTGGTCTTTTGAGCCTGTTACCTTCATCATGGGTGCCTTTTGCCGAGCTGATGCGGTTGGACCGGCCTCAGGGCTACTACGCCTTTTACTGGCATTATCTCATTGGATTAAGCTTTGCAGCCTGTGATGTCTCCGATTCGTGCACTCCATTTGAGTTATTAGTCCTTGCCGCCTACCTAGGGCTCTGGGTTGTTGTCCTCCGCGGTAGCGTCTGCACTGTGAACGACATTTGCGACCAAGACTTTGACCGGCAGGTTGCTCGCACTCGATTTCGTCCACTTGCACGCAGGGCAGTCTCCACGACACAAGCCACAGTGTTCACGATTGCTCAGCTGTTCGTGTTAGCCTTGCTTACGCTTCCGTTACCTACTAGCTCCTATATTTTCGCGGCGGCAACAACCTTGGCTCTCAGTGTGTACCCTCTGGGCAAACGTATCACACATTTCCCACAGGTCATACTCGGATTGGCATTCGCAATCCCCATTTTCATGTGCTGTGCAATATTAAACAGGCCTACTGATACTGATGATCATTCTTCCCGTGCTGTTTCCGCCCTGTACTGGGTCAGCACTATTTGGACGGTCATTAGCGACACGATCTATGCCCATCAGGACACGGATGATGATGCTAAAGCTGGAGTCAAGTCGCTAGCAGTGTTGCTTGGCCAGCAAACAAAATTGTGGCTATCCGTATTGGCTATCATTCAAGTTGCGTTACTTGTTTTCATTGGTGCAGAGTGCGACTTTTCTTTCCTATATTACACCCTATGCTGCGGTGGCGCCGCGCTTTCTCTGGGTGTGATGCTCATCAAAGTCGATCTTCGAAACCCGGCCAGTTGCGCATGGTGGTTTGGGCCTGGAGCACGATTTATGGGATGCAGTTTGGTTGGTGGCTTTTTGGCCGAGTATACATACAGACGTACAGGTCTACAGTATTAGATTGTGAATGGCTTGGTGAGATAAACCCTTGTTGCTAGCGTACTACACTGTGTACTCGGATTCACTTACGTAGGTGGAGATCTGCATTAATAAACTGGCTTAATTGGCTCGATACGTGTCATGAACATGCAGGGTAAAGCCACGATTCGGCGACTATGGCTTKTTWGGCATAGGCAGGGGGCCATAAATGTTGGTTTTCGTGATAGTATGTAAGTGACATGCGCAAGCGCAACTCCACGCAGTCATATAACTGGATGATAATACGAAAAGTAATCTTGATGTTTGCATGTCTCTCTGCGACTAGAGAGTTTAGGCGTCCAACAATGGGTCGTTCCGGTTGACTCGTGTAAGTCGATTCGAGTTCATATTAGCAGTCGTGAAGTTTTCAATGCTCATCTTCGCAGTCAGCACGATGACTTCTAGGAGTGGTAGCTGCAGTAGCATTTTGCAGATCTCTAATTCCAAGTGATTGACGCCTGGCAAGTTGAAAACCAACATTTGACTAGTACATTATTGGTACATATCTGGAATAGTTTACGCTACATATGCATGAGTGACCGGGCTCGGGGCCGTCGGCCGAAGTTGATCTATCGAAGCAGTAGGGTGGCGCGTATCCTCGTCAACATAGCCAGCAAAAGGTGTTGGTGATCCTGCAGGGGTGGTACTTTTTGGGAGGGGCATCAATTTGACACTGGTGTTATTACCCTCGGGTAAATTGATGTAACCATCTAGCGCAACCGTCCTGTAATTTGTTTTTCCTGTCTCGGACAACTGGAAGCTTTTGTCTTTGCTTTTGCCTTTGGAAAAACATTGATCATAGATCGGTTTGAGGGTTGGGATGCAACCTGTCACGATGATGACGAAAATTTCTGAGACTCCCCACACAGTAAGGCCATATTCACCCCCTAATTTGCTCGGTCGGTCAGTAGTGTACATTAAAAATAGCCTGAACTCAAGAAAAGTTTGAACAGTACGCACATGTAAAGTCGTCACTAACTCCGCTAAGGGAATTGAGCTGGGTCATCTTGACGATGCCACAAACGGATGCCCTATAAAAACGGGAGTGTTAGAGAATAGAAAGAATTTAAATGTGAGAAGAGAGGTAAACGTACATCGAACCTAATCCCAGTAAAATAGATAACGAAATTCGTCGTCGTATATTGGATCTCAGTCTAGATAGGAAGGTGGCTGGGATTATAGCCAGGATTACGTCGGCGACGACGTTCTCGGCTGATTAAATAGCCACGATTAATTAAGCTCGCTAACAACTCCCCATGCACATACCTGACATGAAATATGCAAAATCAAGCTGTGCCTTCGCTGGCCAACACTTGAATGACCCCGATCGGTCCCAGTTCGCGCTTACTGGACGGCACTGAACAAAATTGAAAATAGTATTCAGAACATTGAGCAATGCAGTCAAGATAATGACTACCCATACTACAATCCTTTGCCATCTGTTCTGATGCCCGATGATGCGGAGGATGAGGGCCCCAATAGAGGCTTTCCCTGTAGCATAAGCTAAGATATCGACACCTCTCAAGATGAAATTTATTTTGAGGGCATAGATAGCGTTTTCTGTAGACAAGAACTGCTCGTGGCGATAACCGCCCACGCTGGCCTGGACAGTCACCAAGCCTGTACACGATACGAACAAAGCCTGAATCGCTAGGTCAGTCTACCAAAATCTGCGCCGTTCGACAGAATAAAGGGATCAAAAACGGCAGGATTATTAGCAAGAAGAGCTGAACAATGAACGTACTGTTGTCAAGAACATTAGCCAATCGTCCCAGCCAATTTTGCGAATCATCCCCCGGGCATAGAATCGTAAAGCCGTAATGATCAGTGAAATGGCGGATTCGGTCCATAAGATTCCCATAATGGCAGGCCCTCTGTCTGCACTCTTTGCAGCGATCGAGGTTGCCATGACTGTAATAATCTCATACGTTCACGATGTATGTTTTTAGATTCATTGAAGCAAATATTGCCCTGGAGACCCTCGATCTCTTATAGTTAAGCAATACTTGTTTGAAGAAACATGAAGGGGTCCAATGCGATGCTTGGCCTGCCTGAAGAAAAGAGTGCCGTTTGTTGGCCCCAGCTCTACTACGTAGTAAGCTATTGCCTATGCATGTATGGAATGAAATGACCGAATGGGTCCTTGCAGAGTGCTATCCTAGGCTAGCATAGGGGCCAGGGGCCTACGGTTGTGTTGGTTGGCTTGTCTAACTGAGGCGAAACGATGACATGGGTAATTATTGTTGGTAATGTAATATAATGCACCTACCTACGTATACCTATAATAAAGCGTATTCCATCCCACATGTTAAAGAGTCATCGCCGGGAGTACCACTACTTTTGCCCAAGTACTTATATACTGTACATTAGATATCTCTTTCCCTACAAAAGTCAATCGACCAACATAATTTCGCTCTGACCCCGGATTTTTATCGTAGAATTCTCTTAAAATGCCTAACAGCCGCACCGAAGCTGCAAAAATTGAGCTCTTGCCTACTATCATCGACCAACTCGCGCGCGATGAGCCAGACACTCTGTGGGGAGAATATCCCACATCGACCGGGACGCTTGACGAGGGCTATAAACATCTTTCATACAAACAATTCGCAAACGCCGTTAATGGCGTGGCTCATCACATTGAGACAACTCTTGGTAAAAGAGACTCCGAAGAGCCATTGGCTTTTCTAGCTGCCAATGACCCGCGATGTGCCATTGCGCTCGTTGCGGCAATGAAAGCTGGTTTCCATGCAAGTCAAATTAGAAATAATCATGGCAAATCGATACTTTTGTGCTAATTACAGTATTGCCCTTTCAAGATTTTCCTTATTTCCGAAAGGAACAGTGTTGCTGCCAATATACAGCTACTTAACGATCTCAATTGCTCCGTACTTATGGCTACAGACACGCAATTCGCCCCTGTCCGCGAGCTTCTGTCGGAAATTAAATCTTTAACAGTGATCGAGCTTAAGCCGTTGGACGAGCTGTTAAATGAACCCCAACCGGAGTACAGTTTTGATAAGAAACTTAAAGGGATGGAGAGTCAAACTGCCTTCGCAGTTCACACATCTGGATCAACAGGTCAGTAACTGGCCAGGCCAGATGAAACGTACCACGAAAAGACTTGACTAATCTAATTTGGTCCAATAGGTTTCCCTAAACCCATGCGCATTAGCCATGAATACATTTCCCGGGCTGCGCAAAATATCGGCTTGGCCCCCCCGGACGGATTCGAGATGCTGAATTCCCTAACGGGGAATAACAGGAATGTCCTTCTACTTCCCTTGGGACATGTAAGTGATAGAATCCTATTCAACGTTCAAGTCCTCCTGTACAAAGGAAATAATCCAACGCTCTCCGCAGCCAGCAGGTGTACACTTTGGAGTTTTCAATCCCTTCTTTAACAACACCACCGTTATTTTACCTTTACCGGGTATCCCACCTACTGGAGAAGCTCTGTTAGAAATCCTTAAGCACACCACGGCAGATTGGGCGACCATGGCTCCACTAACCCTCGAGGGCATTTCTAAAGACGAGAGATTGTTGGATGAGATTTCGCAACGTTTGAGTATGCTTCTCTTCTCAGGGGGTAGCCTCCCAAAGGTTTTCGGAGACGTAATCGCTACCAAGATCAAGTTAACTTCTCTTCTTGGGTCTTCCGAATCTGGACCAATACCGACCATGTATCCCTTAGGGTACAACTTTGAAAGAGATTGGAACTTTATCCAGATTCATCCTGCGCTAGGCGCGAAGTTCGATGATTCGGCGGCAGGTGTTGCGGAACTCGTTTGGGAGCGTTCTCCAAAGACGGAGCCCTACCAAACGGTGTTCACGATATACCCAGATTTACAGGTTTTCCGCACTAAAGACTTGTTCACTCCGCACTCGGAGCTTCCCAACACCTGGACACATGCTTCCCGCTCAGACGACGTTATTGTGTTTCTCCATGGCGAGAAAATCAATCCGATTGCGTTTGAAAGCAATATCAGTAAACACCCAGATGTATCCGCGGCATTGATGTTTGGACATCAGAGATTCGAGCCGGGGTTGTTGATCGAACCAGTGGAATCAAAACGTCCTATGACAACGGTTGAAAAGGCACAATTTATCCAGCGTATATGGCCGAGCGTTGAGCACGCCAATAGCCTCTCACCGGGATACGCACAGGTATCACAATCTCATATTTTGTTCACAGATAGTGATATGCCGATTCCTAGAACACTCAAAGGCTCCATCAGACGTGCAGAGGCATGGAAGCAGTATGCCACCAAAATTGCCAGTGTTTACGATGATGTAGACTCCATGTGGACTCCCGTTGCGAACAAATCGGCAGCAATGGGAACAATCGAAGGAATAGAGAATCTCATTCGGAGTTCGATTGTTGACGTGGCGAAATGGGCTGGAGATGAAATTGACTCGGATACCAACTTTTTCAACCACGGCATGGACTCTCTTCAAGTTCTGAGGCTTGTCCGGCTTCTTCGTTCCAGATCCGCTCTTCGCTCAATACAGCCAAGCACAATTTACCTTCACCCAACAGTTGCTCTTCTGGCAACTGAACTTAAAGAGTTAGCCAGTGATGTTGAGACATCAACCAAAGCCAAAAAGCCAGTACAGCTGCGTAGCCGACAGGAAACGTTAGACCGATTCACTAGAGAAATCGATGCCATTCAGCCGGGAGTCAAAATATCTCCCTCGGAGAAAGGTGACAAGGCTACCGTCGTTTTGACTGGATCGACTGGTTCCATTGGCTCTTATATACTTCGAGCCTTAATTGAAGATCCTCGTGTCCAACATATCTACTGTCTCAACCGTTCCTTGGAGTCGAAAGACTTGCAACACCAACGCAACAAATCATTGGATCCTACTTTGCCCACTACATTTCCAGAGGATATGGTGACGTTTTTAAAGTCCGATCTGTCAGACTCAAAAACACTTGGCCTATCGGAAGACATGTATACCGTCATTCGGGAGCGAGCCACCCTTATAATCCACAATGCATGGAGGGTAGACTTCAACGTTCCGCTTCAATCTTTTAACGACCAAATCGCTGGAGTTGTGAACTTGTCTTCCTTATGTGTGAAATCTAGCCATCAAGCGGCCTTCGTTTTTCTATCATCCATCAGTGCTGTGATGGACTTTGATAGTACCCAACATGGAGAGCAGGAGCCGTCTTCCCACAACGTCATTTCTGAAACCATAATCACCGACATTAATGCTGCAGCCCCAGCTGGGTATGCTGAAAGTAAGTACGTTGCCGAGCGACTCCTTGCACACGCAGCGGAAAAACTAGGTCTTCCGGACGTGTCAATCCTACGTCTAGGCCAAATTGCAGGCCCTGCTAGAAGTAATGGCCATTGGAATGTTACTGACTGGGTACCTTCTCTGGTCCTGGGCTCGAGGGCTTTGGGAGTCATTCCCAGCTCCTTGCAGAATGATGGGAATAAGGATGAAGACGCGTCGATTGACTGGTTGACTATCGATACTGTCGCGGAAGTCATTTCCGAGATTGGCTTGAACGCTGCTACAAACTCTAGTAGACAAGGTCTCAACGTTTACAATGTTTTGAACCCTCAAAAGACATCGTGGAAGTCATTGTTGCCATCCATCACGACTGCTTTAGAACAGGAAGCCAACACGACCGTTCAAATAGTTTCCCCCACAGAATGGATAGAAAAACTCAGAGCCAGCGCTTCAGAGATCCTGAAATCTGCGTCTCCAACGTCAGACCAGCAAACAGACGCCTTGCTTCGCGCCAATCCTGCGTTGAAGCTCATTGATTTCTTTGATGGGCTTTTTGGCTCCGTTGACAAGGGAGGATACAACATCAACAAGAAGACGGCTGCTTGGGAGACAAGCAATGCCAAAAGAGCCAGTAGCAAGCTGAGAGATGCAGAGGCTATCGAGGGTGTGATGATGGAAAGGTGGACCAAGCAGTGGTGTGCTTTATAATTAGGGCTTGTATGGGTTAGGTTTAGGTTCTTTTAAGCTTAGAATGGATACTGTGTAGGACTTCCAGCCTCTGCTCCGGGTTTCCACATTCAAAAGACGAAACGAAGCCGGTGCGACTGGTGAAAGTATAGAGGAAATGAAAGAAATGGGGACGGTCAGCACTCGTTGCAGCAATTTTATCTCCATCAACATTGGAGATCCCGCTATGTCTCATCGGAACATTGAAGAAGGTCAAGATCGGGACAAGCAAGCGTATCAAATCCTGTGCTATTTCTGTCATCGACACACTGTGTCCATAAATCAATACTTGGCGTAGTCAATATATTCACTTCATTATCTATAGTACCCGATATATCAGATATATCCTCCACTACTTGCGTATTATGCTTTGGTGTAGAATAAGCGCACTCCACTCCCTTTTTGAAGCAGGTCTGGCACGGTCGAGCGATGTTACACGCTTTCTTTTGACGCACACAGTGATCAAGGCATGTCTTTTTGTTGGTACAAAAGCGTTGCCAGTAACAACACGCTCGCATGTTTGAAGGTGCCGACCTAGCACATCAGAGCGGTGGAAGGACCTCGGACAGGCGGGGACATCGATGAGGGKGATCATCGGAGCCGGTGTTACGATGGCTTTGGAGATGCTTGCGACGCTTGCAGGATTTAAAGAAAACGGGATATTGATGCGACGACGTTGCTAAGCTTATACGAGTTGTTGATGACTCCATACTGGATCCATTCGCTTCCTGTTTGATAGTTGAAGAAGAGAAAGACGGAAAGAAGATCCGAGAATATTTTGCGGGGGAAGTGCCCTATCAGATACATAATCCTAGCTCACCGTCTCAGGTACATGTAGCGTACGCATCAAACAGAATAGAGAAGCCACAGGCAAAGTTGTAGGACTTAGTTACGTGATTGGATCACGGGATTTAATTCTCTTTGATCTCTTGACACTACCAACAACTTGGAGTGACAGGAATCCCGTACGTAGTGGCTGAAGGCAAAATCGGCTGGCGTTCAATTCCACGGTTGATTGCTCATTGAAGCCATTCACATTTTGAAAAGCTCTATTCCATGCTATATATTTTAAACGGATAAGATCTTAAAGCCCCTCTGTTCTGTGCTCTATTGGCCATGAATACCTATACCGACGAATCCATAACTGGAGCGGCCCACCCTAGGTATACGAAAAGTCTATCAGACGAGGGGCTTGACTTTCAACGACACCTAAGCCGTATGTACCGTATAGTAAAAGATTATTATTAGATAATACCAGGCAAACACACAGGTTGGAGAAATCAACCAAGCATTCTCATAATCGGCACTGTCAAATCGCTCAAGGGCCACCTCACTAGAAATCAACCACCTACGAATTTGTTGATTGTATACAAGCTGACACCATTCAAATTTCGTTTGTTTTGTTAAAAACATCGAAGCAAACGAGTCCATCACTTGGCCAGGCAAATACAATTCATCGTGAGCTTCATCTTAGCCCGATCCGGAACCTACCGGTAGGCTGTGGATCAACCCTATTACAGGCCAGCCAATCGACCAGCAGGGCGACGTCTCTCAAACAAGCCACACGCACACCGCCACGGATTCAGGGGAATGGACTCACGGCCTTGCAAAATATTCTGTCTGGGTGTTGTGGACCACATGCCACTTCTTCTGTCAGTTTAAATTGTAATTGTTGGACATCATGAGGGAGCTTTAGAATATAGTCTCGGTTTCAATTCTACGACCAAACCCAGCAAAGGCCTCAAGAAGAGAGAACAGACTAGTACTCTCAGGTCAATACTGGCAGCGAGAATAATTCATTAATCGCTGGATCATTGCCCCGCAATGCCATCAAAACACGAGTATGACATACGGGAACTGCCACCAGATGATCGAATTCGCTATAGTTTGAAATACCGAAAAGCGCTTTATTTCACATCCCAAGCAGCCATCTGGACCTTCCATCTGTACTTTCTTGTGCGCCTGCTATTAGTGCTCACTGCACCGCAGCAGACATGGCAAATATGGCTCATGCTTCTCGTCGAGTATATTTTCGCTCGTAAGTCAAGAACGAGTTCAGAGCATACGTGAACTTTAACATATGTTGGAAACTGACTCCCTACAAGGTACACCCCGTAATGACCAGGTCCTCACCTTATCGGCAAGCAAGTCAGGTCAGAATCGTCCTAGGGACAGACTTCGACTTCTTGGTAATGATAGTTTGCCTCGAGTCAATGTTCTGGTCCCCTGTTGTGGAGAGCCAACGGACGTGGTTCTCGACACTGTCCGCGCGGCTTGCTCTATGGACTATCCTCCCATCCAATTTCGAGTGCTCTTACTAGACGATGGGGCCTCAAATGCACTGCGTGATGCTATTGCAAGTCTACGCTCCGAATGGCCTCATCTGTCTTATCATACGCGGGGGCAACAGTCCGGTCGTGTCTTTGCGAAAGCTGGAAACCTCAACTACGCTCTCTTCGAGTTGCGGAATGAGTTCCAACCGGAGTTTTATGCGGTTCTAGATGCCGACTGCATGCCCAAACCTGATTTTCTAAGAGCGACGCTGCCTCATCTACTTAGAGACCCCCAAGCCGCTTTACTCACAACACGACAGTACTACTACAACTTGCCGGATGGGGACCCGTTGCAACAATCCCGCACTCACTTCTACACTTGCCATAATTCTGAGCTTGATCGGATGTCCTCCGCTATTGATGCAGGGTCTGGTGCTGTTTTTCGTCGTCAAGCCATCGTTGATGTTGGCGGATATCCGACTTTTTCGTTCTCTGAGGATTGGCAACTTTCTTTGATACTGCAAGGGCTCGGATACCGGACACTTCAGGTCCTAGAACCGTTGCAATTCGGATTGGTGCCGACGTCATTGGATGGTCATATTGCCCAAAGGAACAGATGGCAGCTTGGACATTCACAACAGCCGTCTGTATTGTTCTCTGATGTAAACCAATCTATTCCGCGCTATCTGAAATGGAGTATAACCTTTAATGGAGTGTTTATTGTCCTCGGTCTGGTCGGTTACATGCTCGGATTCGCAGCCGTTCCCGTGCTTCTTGCTTCGGGTAATCTGATTCCGACCACATCACCGCCGATAGTACAGATTCAAGTTATTTTGGCTGTACTGTTTGTCGCCTTGACTTGGATACATGGATTGATACAGGCCGCCCATACAGGGTTCCGCATCGCGCCCTTTGCTCATCTGGAGAATAGTTGGTTGGCAGGCAGTAAGTTTTCAGCATGGATCTTATGGAAATATTGTAGAAAATTTGAGCTGAAGAACTATATAGCCCATATCCTTGCGGTTTTACGATTTCACTGCGTCTCCAAGAAACCGAAGGGTTCTTTTGTCACCGGCAGCAGCGCTAACTCATGGAACCGCATGATGGAACTTCCAAAATACAAAAAGCTACGCAAAGACTTGTTAGACAACGGACTTCTCTACAGCCTGTTCCTTTTTCTCGCGACCCTAGGCGCATTTATGATCTCTTTCCATGGAGCATTTATCCATACCTCTACTGCAGCTCAACCACTACTCGTGAGATTACTGACGACTTTAGCGTGGCCGCCTATGCTCCATATCGCCTACTTGACTCTTAGCAATCTATGGATTCCAATTGCATATCTCCTACAGCGTCCAGAGCATCCAGAGCGAAGGTCGAAGATGGCTGCTCACGCAAATGGCATCTTCTTGCCGCGAGATGATGTGCAAAAGAAGCTTCTTCAACACAGCGTTTTACCGCTTGGCTACTTGAACCACTATGTCTTGGTACCCGTTGTTTTGGTTGCAGTTTTGATCATGGCAGTAGCTCTGTGAAAAGCCTTGAACGGAGTTGGAATGTACCACCACTTTCTCACCCATTAAGAACGATTTATTGACTAAAATGCAAAGGGTGGATGGGACAGAAACATCTAGTTGTGACATCCACAGATGTAGCCAGTAGTCATGTCAACACTGAATTTCAAATTACCTTTAGATGTCATTATTTTTACCAATCGATATCCCGCCTCCATCAATCCATATTCTCTTTTCACATGAATGCTTTTCCCTACTTGTATGTGATACCTCAAGTCTTCCGAACCCCGGCCAGCTGCCCTCTTGGTAATCTGGAAACCCCTAACTCAAGGAGTTCATGCCATCGGTTCGCTATGAGTGAGGATTTGAAAAAGTAGCTCTCGGAGCTCCTTGGAGGCCCTAAATGTGGATCAATGAACCTTCGTCTATATGTGCAAGTCCGAGGTAACTTTGTCGTTTGTAGTCCCACATCAGTAAGTATATCTCGCAATGGTCGAGTAGGGCTTAGGGCTGAGGGCTGTGATATGGTTCAAGCTAAGACCAAATAGGAAGCTTCCTGTTTTAGGGTTAGGGTTCTTGATCTATCTCCGTTTGACCTTTTTGCCTTCAATTCTCCTTATCGTCCATTCTTTCTTGGTAAAGATTACGCACGACCATTTGCAGTATTTGATGGGCTAGACTATGCATCGCTGGCTATCTTTGAGGCTGTGCCGGAGGGCTCCGGATAGAAAGTCGGCGCGGTCGGTATTCGTTACGGCCGACATGCGATGAGTCGTCTCTTTCAATTTGGAGGTGATAGGTGAAAGAATTTTCAGAGCTATTCCCTAATGGTGAGGGTAGGTTCGACAGAAAATAGTTATGAATTATATTATGCTTGTCTCGGCATTTTTATTCCATATAGCCAGATCGCGATGCTTCAGGTCCCCCAATGCAGACATTGCACTGATTGCACCGGTATGCTATTATGACGGCGGATGATGTCGTTTACCTCGTATTCTGGAGTGCATAATAACGTTTCTATAGACATAAGCAAGTAAATAGGAAGTAACAAGTAGGAAGCATTCCTTAGCAGCAAGACATGATGTCATGTGCACAGACGATGATCATGATGGCATGCCGGCTTGGCGCTGGCCGCGCGGATCTACATAGTAACGAGCCGACGGACTACTTTTTCATCAGACCACGACAAACCACCATCATACAAATATCGAACTACTAAACCTACAGGGCGATACTAATTGACCTAACTCTCATTGCTTTTCGTCGATTCTGCAGCATATTATTCACAAACCGTTTACCAACTTGTCACCATGAACGCCGGCCGGCAGACTGTTTCCACCTAATAAGCCCAATCCAGCAAAAGAGTCAAAACTGGTCTCAATCCATCGATATCAGCCTCGTACAATCAGTTCGATCAATCGTCGCAGATGGCCGACCCCGTCGATACCACCGTCGAGACCACCGTCGATACCACCGTCGAGACCACCGTCGAGACTACCGACGGCCCTCCGCCGCTCCCATACTCTCTGCGCCAGCGAAAACGCTCCATTGCGTTCTTCTGGACGCTGTTTGTTATCGACACTCTCGCACAACCACTCATCCTCTACTTTGCGCTTCGATATGGGACCAGTCTGTCGCTGAACTTGGTTTTCTCTATTAGCACAGCGGCATTGGGGGGTGTGTCTGTTTTTGAATACTTTTATCGATTGTATAATTTGGTGAGAAGCACATCACGAGCAAGACCGCTGAATGCACGAAAGTCATGGGTAAGTGTTTCGATTTACCTACAAGTAGTTTCTGCTAATTGAAGAACAGCTTGACTTTTTTCAAATTAACTTCACCATCGTGTGGTTGATGCTAGCGGTGGAACTGATTGTGTAAGTCCATACCGAACACTCAACACCATGACTTGTAATCTAACGGATTTTGAATCACAGTGGAACCGTCCATCCAGTCCCATACAGTACGTTCATCTACCAGCTTGCATCTTGCCTTATACTGACTCCTATTTCAGTCCGTCTTCTCGCCATGCCTCTTCCCACCGTCATGTTCTACTTTGGCGGCGTCCACCTCACCCTCGACATCCTACGCATGTCCGGCCACAAAGCTCCATTCCGCATCTCCTCCACTCCGCAAGGCTCCGTTATGCCTACCGCTCTATACGTGCTTGTTGAAGATATCGTTGCCGTGGACGGAGGCGGCGGCCAGAGTTTTCGTTATGCTCTTCGAAAACGGTACTTGTCGAGTCCGTATTTCCGACGCATGCTTTTCGAGATGAACTGTTTCTGGGCGGGCGGATCTTTGATTGCGGCTGCAGCTATTACGGCTATTATTTTTACTACTCCGATCAACGTCGCCTATACAGTATGACAATCCTACCCCATCCTATGTTGAATTGGCTCACTAATGGACAACAGCTCGGCTGGTCACTCCCCTTCGCTTGGGCCGGAATCTGGACTCTCATCACCTTCCCCTGGGTACGCGCTGAACTCCGCCGCGAAAAAGAAACCTGGGGCATGGTGCAACGAAACCATGGCGGCGAGCCCTTCACCGACGACATCACCGCCAACCCTCGCACTCGCATGAACTCATTCCAAGCGCGCATCTTGCCTTTTACCACCCGCGAAAAACAGACTTCGCCGGAAAGAAGCTCATCCACGATCGAGGGGCCGGGCACCGTCCACGACAACGTTGGTAACAACGTCGTCGCAGACCACAGCACCCGCGCTGCAGGCGATGAGGAGAATTTCGTCGCTGCCGTGACGGCGGAAGAAGGCACCATCGGCGCCGGCGGTCTTGAACGAAGCGCTTCTCGGCATGATCACGAAACCACCTCCCCGACCAACATCCATAATGATAATCACAATATCGACCCAAATCGAGACGTCGAGAAACAATAAATATTTGATACTATAAACCATATATCTATACCCTCAACATACCTAATCCTTCTCACCACTTTGTCCATTTACACACATACTTTTTTGGCACATTGATTCATACGACGGGAGAATCATACACGCGGAGTTTTTTTTTTTCGACAGACTGGGATTTTTACTCATTCATGTTTCTGATTTCTGGATATCATGCAGCGTTCACATTATTCCCCTTGTCCTTTCCCGAGTTCGGCATATCACGACTGAGAAATTGAAGAATGATTTAGTTTTTTTTTCTCAATTCTTTCCATCTGTGTATGATTATGATATAAATGCTTTTGGTGAACGTTGGAAAATTTGGAGGGGTGTCGTTTCTGTATATGTATCTCGATAAATGACATTTCTTACCCCTTTACACCTTAAGTCTTACTACACATGGTGCAATTAAGCCAAATCGATATGAAGGGAGGTGGAAGGAAAGAAGTACCAATGAAAACAAAACCTATCTATATATATACCCATTCCATCTACCTGTCAAACCAGATCCATTGCTAATTAAAAGACCCCAATGCAGCACAAGCAACACAATAATAGTAGAATGGCAATAGCATCCAAAAAAAAAAGGTATCCAAAATCAGAAAGAGAACAGAAACGATGATGAAAATAGGCCGTCACGTCACGCATGCCGTATTCATGTACAATTGATAAATTGAATAAATGTATAAAGAAGAAATGAGGAGAGAACGCCAAGAGTGCATGCAATGATTAGGAGAAAGGAAGTAAACGAATATGCATATACATATGCATAAAGAGTGGCGGTGTGTCTGTATGTCGTGATTTTTATTGAGCCATAGGCAGAAAGGATCAGTCGTTGACGGTGTGGCGATGAAGGAGTTTGCGACCGAGACTTCGGATACTTCTCCTCGAACTATATCACAAATTAGTAGTAATTCTCACAACGATATAGCAGTAAACATACCTTTCATCTTGCGAAAAGCCTCCAATGCTATGCGACGTCATCGGACGACGCTCTTCTCTCGAGTTTCGGTTGGATGACAGAGCAATTGAATTATCGTCCCTTGTAACTGGGGAATCGTTGATCATGATACTCGGTTCTCGGGAACTCAAATTGCTGGACGAGGAGTACGAGACGGATTTCGTAAGTGGATATGTCCCCGCGCCGGAGCTGACGGATTGCGCTAGTGAGGAGGGACCGTGGATGTGAGCGGAAGAGGAAGAGGCGGAGGTTGATACAAGAGGGTTACGGTGGCTGCTGGCTGAGTCGCGGCTACTCAGGCTCTGCGTCGCAGAGGCCAGGTTGATGGTGCTGTTGAGAGCAGTGTCGGAGGCAGGTAGCATTTGTGACGAGGACGCTAGCTCTCGGAGTCTTTGTTGCTGCTGCTTACTGGGACGCGGGTGGGAGAATTTATTACCCAGAATGGCAGGAGCGTGCGAGATCAATGCTTTGATGACATCCTTCTTCAGACGCAGGGCAAGTTCGAGATTGGACCATGTCTTGTTGTGGTATTCGAGAACTGGTAGACGGAATACGAAATCGTGTACGTCTTCAATGTTGCGATCTCCTTTACCTTTGTAACTCAGGCAAAGCACAACATCGTTGATCTTGACATGTGCAAGAATCATGTAGTTCGAGGCGCGCGACATCATTTGAGTGAGGTCATCAGTCTGTTCTTTTTTCGATCCCTTGACTAACGAGAACTTCTTGCTCTCACCCGTGCTACCAGATGCATTAGACGCTGCTCCAATTGACTTCTCGGTGTACGTTCGCGTCAGTGCACGCAGACTCTCAGTAGACTTCTTCTTGCTGATACCACTCTGAGTGGACGGACGAAGACCAAGCCCCGGTCTGTCCGTCTTGTCTTTATGGATTCTCGTCAAGGGTGGCACCTTGAGTCGGTTTGAGCGGGTCGGTTGAGCTGCTTTGTGACTGTTGTCCGGAAGTGTCATTGTAGGCTGCAGTCTCAGTTCAATGGACCCAGCACCTGTAAGATCCTGTGGGTCTTCTCCTGTTGAGGTACTGCCTTGACTGCGCGGTGTAGACACAAAATCAGGCGTTCCAACGCCGCTCGCCTCAGCTTCCTCTTCCTCTTCGTCCTCGTTCATGGGCTTGATATGCTTGACCATGAACGGGGAGAAGCCGCCATTCTCAAACGCGTTAGAGCCGACACCAGGGAATATGTACTCGAACAACTTTTTGCCTAGCTCTCGCTCTAATTGAACCTTGAGCGGGAAGAGATTCACCTCAAACTGGTCTAACACCGGTATACCCGCGACAGCTTCCAACATGTACCATTGGACACGAAGCATCATATCGCCACTCATTTCAGTACGACTCTTGTGATCCATATAAGGAACAATCATTTGCGGATAGATGGCGTTCTCCAACAAATTCAGCGCGTACAAACGTTGAACCTCGATCAAATTATGGTTCGATCCGTCTGTGTTATCTGTTCGCTCATATGAAGCATTGCGTAACTGGAACTCCACCAACGGCTCGTTCTTATCTCTCATCAAGTGCCAGACGATATCGGAAGCCGACAGACAATACCGCATGGAAGCACTAGACTGAGATAAAGTCCGCTCGTCAGTCCTTCTCTGCGATGTGGTTATGGCTTTCATGATAAAGAACAACTCTTCCTCGCAGTTGGCCAGATCCCTTTCAAGTGTGATCCTATCCTGCCAGCCCTGAGTGTCGAGGCGATGTGCTTGAACTTGGAAGTATTCTTTTATCTCTTCAAGCTGGCGAATACGTTCCTGCAGTCTGAAAACAGTCTCCGGTGCGCCGCGCAAGTCGCTGAAATCCGAAGCAAACATGATCTTTTCCAACTTCTCACTTCTGACCTTTTCCAATGGCTCATTGTATAGCAACAGATCCAATACAATGATGTATATCGAATAGTATTCGGTAGAGTCACAAATAGCTCTAACGTCTGGAAAGTTCACCCAGACTTGGTCGACACGTCCATGGGCAGCGTCATGATAATGCGCGGCATCACCGTCATTTTGAGAAACTTCGTCATTATATTTGAGGCGAAGATTGTTGTACTTGTCATATCGAAGGCTTGCCGAAGTCCGCTGAATAATCCTTGAAAAACCAAACGGAAGAAGTTCAAAGTCAAACATAGCTTCCAAAGTGAGCCAAGGCGGCCAGGCGGATCCAGGTGCATTGCCATATTTGTTGCCTGCATAGAATTGCAAATGGGCTTTGAGATTCTTCTGTGTCGCCACAAAAAACTGAGCGCCGTCCATGTTTAGCGAAAATCGGCGCTGGACTAATCCACTAACATCGTCACTGACTCGACGCTTGTCCATGATAGACAGCACTTTAAGAGTCATGCCTTTCGCCGTCACCAGTGTCACAGAGCGCGGATTCTTGTCACTCTGCAGTTGAATCTGAGGCGCAATAAGACGGAGGTGGTAGCTGTGCTGCGGAGTAAACTCTGACGATATGTGCTCAGTAAAATCAGCCGAGCGTGGACGGGAACGCTCAGCTGATGTTGACGCCGATGCAGCTGAAGGATCATCCGCGCTCACGAATCGCTTAGCATCATGCAGCAACTGTTCGATACGGTCCTGCACGCTATCATCGTCATCCTTTTCTCCTTTCTCCTCGCGGACCGGTGACTCATCAAACAGTCCTTTATGTCGGCGACTGTTCTTATTCTGTTCGGCAACAATATCCGAAATGAATTTGACCGCTTGTTGCGACATGTAGTAGACAAACCCCCGCCTTTGACTTACTTGATGGCCATACCTAACCATAATATCTCGCAGAGAATTGTTCCATTTGACTTGGGGGTTATGGATTGTGAAGCGGTTGTTGAAGTCATTGGCCGAATCAATGTCTGGGGCTTCGTAATTTGTTTCTAACTGAGGAGCATCTTTATCGCTGTCCGATTCGTTATCGCTCCTGGAAGAAGATTCACTACCTTGGTCGTCATCGCTTCTGTCGTCAGTCGGAGAGTCTTGTTCAAGAACGAGCCTCTCGAGACGTCGTAGCCCTGCATTCAGAAACTTGCGCCGTCTGACTAAAGCCTCAGCTTGACGAACCAACAGTTCGTGTTTCACTTTCAACTCGTGATTCTCTTCCCCTGCGTTAACAAGTTGGAGCTCATGCTCACTGAGCTGCAACTCATGGTTCGTCGCTTGTACATCAAGATTGGCCAGACGGTCCTTGATAAGGTCCATTTGCACCTGCCACGGGCCATTACCCTGAGACATGACACATTCGTGGGTAGGTTCATCACCGAATTGATTGACTCCATTTTCAGTGACCGGCGAATCGCCATGATCAGTTTGTCTGAAGTATGTGAAGCGAGGGGTATATGCAAGAGGAAGGATCTTAGTCTTGGGATTAGACTCTTGAGGGAGTATCCAGTCCAGCTCAACGAAATCGTCCATATCAATCCATGTATAATCCTGATCTGGAATGTTGAAGCGAGACACATCAACCGCAGGCAGTGGTTGCTGAAACGACTCGACAATGTTTCCGTGATCTTCCAAAATGTCGTCCAGAGTGGTCCCTTCAATACTGGCAGAGACAGCCCTAAAGTCAGCTGCCTCAAAGTCCAATTCGGCTTGATTGATACGCATAGCACTGGACTTCATCTGCTTGAGACGACCCTTGATCGGAGTTTGTACGCGCTCACGCCGTTGATGGAGATCAAATTTGAAGTTAGCAAGGCGAACTTTGATGCCAGTGGCAGTAACCACGTCCTCTCCATAGTCTTCCGGGTCTTTGTGCTTATAGATATGTGAAGCAAAAAGTGGCGAGAGCAGTAACTTGTACTTGACGGTTGCCAAATGACGGCCAAACTTCTTACTCGTTTTAGTAATCCCAGGCCAAAGAGGGCCTTGCCGGACAGGAAGAGACATGACTCCAGAGAATAGAGACCACCAGTTGAAAAAATGAGTAAAGAGACGAGGGGTAAGATGAACGGTGTTGTAGTTTGGTCTGGTCTGGTCCACGCTGTTTGGAGCCAGGATTGCAACGGAGAGGTGAATATGATTGCTTCGAAAGCCACGGTAGGCGTCGTAGTCCTATCAACTAATTAGTCAATCATCAAGCAGCCGAACATCAAGAATATACCTTTCTCTGTGACTCTTCAATGTAATGGGGATTCCGTAGAACGACATCGTAATGAGACTTGAAATCAAAAGACCGACCAGTATCGGCATTACGCTCAAAAACCAGCCCTGCGAGCCACTTGACACTACCTGACAACTTCATCATCACTTTCTTAAAATGTGCAGCATTCTTCGCTTGTCCACTAGGAGGTAGACTCCTGGTGTTTTCCAGAGCGTATTCATACGAATAGCATGCCTCATGACTATAATCCGGCACGGCAAGCACGTATTCTCCACTTGTAACGGTCATGAACTCTTTAGGGTCATCGTTCGGATGAATGTTCCATTGTACGTCTTTTCGCCAACACATCACGAAGCCAGCCCCAAATCCTGTAATGATGTACGGATCACGGGATCCTTTCAAGCGTAGATGCACATCGCCGTCACCTTTCCATCGCACTTTCATACGAGAGTGGAAGCTCAGCCTGATCTTATCCCAGAATCCCACACGTTCTGATGGATCAACTTCAGGCTTTGTAAATCCTTCGATGATCTTCATCATATCTTGTATGACCGGCTGGTACGACATACACCAAGTGATGCTTGTTGGTAAGCTTGTATTGATATCTATAGTTGGCTCTGAGTACGTCTTGACTGGAGCTATGGTTCGCCGGACAGTGACATAGAAGCCATCTGTCATTTGGCCGTCAGCAAGTTTACTCGGAGGGACGACACAGACCTGAACGTCTCGTGTCGATTCGCGATTGCGGTATTCTTCTGCAATGACAAAGTCTGTCTGCAGAGACCAACTCGGTACTCGCGGAGACTGGCCAGGACGTAGCGCAGGAATATGAAGCAAGTCTAGAGGGTAATCACGTAGTGTAACTCTTGCCTCACCCATGTCGAGATGAATACTCATAGGTATGAGTAGGGAAAACTTCATATCGATAGGCATGCCTTTTCCGATTCGGTGCAGGAACCGCGAGTATTCCTGCACCGGAAAAGACGGTTTATCAATTATCAGATGTACATCACTGATCAGAGCAGCCATGAGTGCAGGACGATTAGGAATTGCGAGAATCGGCTCGTCATCTTCAACATCCTCTGGCGGTTGATCGGCACCAGCAAAAATATTCCGTAATTCACTGATAGCCTTTGACTGGAATTGGATTGCGGCATCGATTTTTGACTTCCATGTTCGGGCATTGTATTCCTGCAGGCGAGCCCAAGCTTCCTTGTCCGACACTTTCGCGGAAGATGAAATATTTGCAGCCCCATCCGTCCTGTAGCGAGCACATCCATATTTATCGGGTTCATCGTCAAACGATTGCCTAGATTCCCGCGGGCCTATACTTGCACTTCGTCTCCGATCCTCACTCCTTCGTCCTAGACGAGATTCTGGGTGTGCAGAATGTGCACGAAAGCGTGACGAAGCTCGCCTATTCTCGGCATCGCGAATCTTCTGGGTCTTCAGTCTAAAGGCCTCCTCTCGGGCGATACGATGGCGCTGCTCCACAAGTCCCGCGCGGTAAATGCAGCCGAGTTTCCACTCAAACGCATCGTCTTCTAGCTGGAAGGCCAGTGTTCGACTGCGTAACGAAATCCGCGGTACTATCTTGGGGCCTTCTGGTTCTTTTTCCAAAATGTCAATGTCCGAGTTTGTTTTGAACCGTTGATACAAAGTCTTTAGCGCCTTGAAAGTGACAGTAAAGTTGTCAAACACCTGATGCATTATCAAGTGGTGCGGAACACCAATTCGGATCCAGTCTGCCGAGACATCAATAGATCGTTCGTCTCGCAGTTCGTCGCCATGCCGACGTTTAGACTCTCGCAAATCAACTCTAACGGTATTCATTGACAGTATTCGAGCCCACACATTCTGAACCTTCGGTGCAGCGACATGTAAGCGGGCAAGCTGGCATCTAAAGAATGGAGCCGACCAACGGTGGCTGCCGGCTGCCACACCATATAGTTGCAACATTAGACGTGGATTATTGGGCATAATGCCCTTGACCCGTATAAGTCCCACGCGAACATCAACTGTAGTAAGTTCTGCGCGTTGTGCCAGTGATCGTGGAGGCGGAGGTAATGAAGCCGAGGAGTCCGTAGAGGGAGATGTATATCGTTTCGTAGCAGAAGATCGCATAAAAGTTTCTGCTAGTACGTTCACTGCTATTCCTAAGGAGTAAGTGCGATACAGCGAGAATTCAAGGAAAAGAGCCTTGATCGCAGAGTTGATATGAAAGATAGGACCTTGAAGGTCACTGTGCGTACTTAACGCGACTTCGCACCGCGGTAGCGATAGAAAAGACTCGGGCTCCATGTAGTCCTCGGATTCAATCACAAAACCTTCTAGTCCTCTAATGTGCACAGCCAGTCTTCTTCCGTCGGCATGGCCATTGCCGGTTCTTCGAGGTGGGGAAGTAGGAGGGAAACGGAAAGGAGAGTCATCTCCTATATTAGAATAGGAATTGCTGGATGTTCGTCTTCGTGTAGACGATCTGGTCGGCTCAAGCTTTTGGGCTCGGTAGTCGGCGGTCCAAGAATCGAGGTGAAGGGCGACACCGCGATTTGTCTCTGATGATCCAGGGGGTGGCCCAGCAACCTCGAAAGTCAATTCATTGGCCTCGAATTGAACTCGCATCAACCAGGGAGGAAGACGGCGTAGGAAGCTAGACTTTTGCTCCGTGTTTGTAGTTGGCATGCGGTTTCTAGGCTTCATTTGAGCACGGATTTGTTCAATGACCTGTTTGATGCCCCGGTTGACGTGCGGGTTCACCATATGGACCGAGAATGAGTTGAGACTTCCCGACACGAATACGCAGACTTCGGGTGTTGCGTTCAAGTGAACGCGCACTTCCATGTCCTGTGTTTGGAGAAGATTATGTTTGAGACCGGCGGGKGTCTGATAGTAGAGCTGGTGGGAGGTAACACGGTAGGTTGATGAGAGGGAATAATGGAAGCCAGCTTCGGCTGAGTGAAAGGATTCAATGTCCAGTGATACGGATGAGATAGAGGATATAAGAAGGTTGTAGTCTCCACCATCGACTGGAGCTTCTTTGGGTATGGGTAGCACGAAACGTACAACTGGTTCCTGGATGGAAAAGTTGATCCTGGCTTTGGGCAGCAGGCGTGAAATGATCCGGTGATTGTCTCGCTTTTTACGCCGAGGAGGCGATTTCTTCGCTTCTGCTAGTCGAAGGACTTGTGAAACATGGCGAGGCTCCATGTCTAGAGAGGGGGAGGTTATGACAATGTTGGCGAACAAGACATTGCTGTTGCGCTCTGATGCATCGTGCTTGTCGGAGAAGCTCACTGTCTTTGAGGGCAGGGTAGTTTTAATGGTTGTTGTAGCCATAGGTATGTAGAGAAGCCTGTCGGTTACCCCAGAACCGTCTTCCATGCTCACGGATAGCGATATGGCGGCTAATAAAGCTTGATGGGCAACATCACGCTTCTGAAAGTACATGCGATGAGCTGGCGAGTTCGGGTCCATACGATGGAGGTCGATTCCGATCTCGTGAGTGACCAGGTTTAATTGCATCTCTTTCTGCTCTTTCAAGGAGGGTTGGAACGACCTTGAAATACGGAAGAAGCTCAATGCAACCTGGATCTCTTCGATACCCCGCAGTATCGAACTGACGAACTCCTTTGAATCGGCGACCGTTTGCACAATAGCTTCCTCTCTAGATCCAGGCTTGTCCAATTCTTCCACAAAATCAGCGAACGATATTTCATCTTCGGTCTCGCTGAATGTGTCTTGTCTGTGATGTGTTTTTCGACTTCTTGAAATTTGCTGGCTAAGAGTCATCAAATCGTCATAGGGAAAGTGCAGTCGACCAATTTTGACAGCGACGGATGTATCTCTAAGTCCCTCCAGATCGCGATAGAGGTGGCCATGGATATTGACCTGAAGATTGTCCAGCAACTCCATTGGCTCCCGTCCATCCACCGCAAGCAATATGTTCCTAACATTCATAATCCATTCCGCAGGCCGTGGTTCCTGCATCTGCTGCTTTTTATGGCGAAATAATCGACCGCGCTCCACCATATTCCTCCGTGTATCAACCGCCAGCGTCAACGACCCAACTTGTATACTTCCAGCATCGACAAAGGATAGCATGGTGTTCGAGGCATGCACATCCACCATGGCCAACCAGTGTATATAGCTATGCAACCGTTTAATCTGCTCCTTCAACCGTGTTAGCCGTTTCCAAGTCTCGCTCCGTTTCGAGCTTTTCGGTGCACCACCAAAAGTAGCATGTTGCTGGATCTCCGGCGAATTATTTTTCGATGCCGCGGCGGACGAAGACGAAGAATTGGTTGCGTGTGTGCCTCCGTTCCCATTCTTGAGCTGTTTCGGATCGATGGTGACTTTGAGATCGGTCAGACGTAGCCGAACCCACGTCGGCTTGGAGAACGAGGGACGATGTAACGAGAGGCCCAAGCCTCTGATATCGATCTGGACTCCGTCTCGGGGTGCGTACGAAATGCGGCGGAGCGAAAAATAGCCGATTCGTTGAATGGATATTCCGGTCGCAACGCGTACGAAGGCGAAGAGGATAAAGGAGGAGATGTACAGTAGTAGCAATGCCACCAGGATAGTGGTGGGGTTGAACAACAACATGACGGATCGGACACACGACACCTCCTTGGTCCTTTGAACAAGCTGTCAAGGGGTGTGAGTGCTACTGCAACTGCCACTGCCTCTCGCGCGCGACTGTATTTATGGTTTTTGTATCCATTCAGATTGCAAGATCGCCCCTGTTCAGGTCGCATCCATCAACGAGTGTGGTCCGTTTCCCGCGACTCAAGCTCATCATTCGGTTGCGGCGTGCACGGAAGAGGGGATTATCGATTTAGCTGATTTTGACAAGTGAATATTTGCGACCGTCAAGCGTGGACGAGGTGTATTGACTGTGTGTCAGATGTCAAGGGGTCAATCAGAACTATGGGTATGGGGAAACGCGCATCGTCCGATGATTCGCTGGGTCGAGCAGGATTTCCTAAACGGTGGATAGCTAGCCCAACGTTGGGATTGATGTTGATGACCAAATAATAACTGGTTGTCTTTCCACTCGGTTTATATCGATGATTCCGAGTTGTCCAAGAGTAACTGTTATCGCACAATCCCCAGGATATTAGTTGGTAAAATGTCAAAGAGGGGACGTACGGTGGGAGTGTAACGTCTAGATTCTGTCGAGTAGGAGTAGTTCGCGAGTCCGGGAAGTCGCAACCGGMCCAGCCAATAACCTTAGCACCGCCAAATCTTGGTAAGCTCCATATTGATCTTCGGGAGGCCGGACGAACTATGTCATCGTCCGTCGGTCTCTTGGCCATAACTATGCCCTAGGATAATTATGCCTTGTACTAATATATACTAATCACTGGCAATTATATGACTTGGCTGGGGCTATGAATATATCATGCTCTAAATTTACGCCCCTGACTAATAAGTTTGTTGATGTGTTCAGTCTGGTTGAATGCTGTACACGTCTTGTCCTACACTGCAGTACTGTGCGAACACGGAGTAGACACCTCACATATCACATTAGGCATGTTCAACAATAGCATTATATATCATGATTATACTGTGCTCTTTGCTTAAAGTTAATGAAATGTAATTAATTCATAGCTAGGGTACAAGTATTGTATCCAGTCCATCACAATGCCGTCTATATATGCAATGCACTGTAAACCCAAATAAACACGCTAATCCCACCCAAATGCAAATAGAAAGAGAAAATTGTACACTGTGCAGTGTGTTATATGAGATGATGAAAAATAACAGAAAGGTTATAGCCTCGGGTTGAAGCGACTCAAGGCACGGAGCTTGGCTCCATAGAAGAAGAACAAAATCGGAACGGGAATCATAGCAGCAGTCAAGAATCCCAAAAGACTGGTTGCCCATGGAACGCCAAGGGTCTTGTACATTTGCGTAGCGAAGAGTGGGAAGCCACCACCGAGAGCACTTCGGAATAGAGTGTTGGCGGCAATAGCGGAGTTGGCAAACATCAAGTACACGTCAATCATGTAGTTCAATCCTTGCATGAAGATGATAAGAATACCGGCTCCGATGGGAATCCCAGCAATCACTTGAGGTACCCAGCTGACATCCTTGTTGGATGTCCAGCCAAACCAGAAGAGACCAATAGGCAGAAGAACGGAGCCAAGGAACATGGGTACTAGACGTTCTTCAGGAACGACACGTCCGTGCTTCTTCATCTTGCGGGCAAATCTAGTCTTGGTCAGGAAGATGATGAAAGCACATCCAAGCAAGACTCCAATCAAGATACCCAAGAATGGCAAGGCAGCCACACCGGCACTCTTCCAGCCACGAATTTCCTGGAAGGAGTATGGATAGGCCTCAAAAAGCAGATACAAAATACCATAGATGAGAGCGAGGTAAATGGTGACGCAGAGTAGAATAGGCTCGAGGAAGAGCATCTGGAAAGGGCGCGAGACATATCGGGTAAGAATATCGCCGGCCTTGGGAGGGTTCTCGTCCAACTTGCTGTGAAATGCCCAGTTCTTAGTCTCGACTCGTAGACGAGCTGCGCGTTTTTGAAGGAGGACAGGAGGGTATGTCTCGGGGACAACAAAGAAAGCGATGACCATGAAGAAACCAGCGGCAATCAAGGTAATCCAAGCAGTCCACCTCCAGCCAAGATGAGATTGAACGATGAAGCCACCACTATCAACATTAGATAAGTCTCAGATTGAGTAGGGGACGGCAACTTACAGAATAGGACCCAAAGTAGGACCGCCAAAAGTACCACCAGCAAACGAGGCCATGGCTACTCCTCGGTCGACAGGGTCCCAGATATCAGCTAGAGCTCCTCCAACAATAGCCAAAGGAGCACAGCCAAAGAAACCAATAAAGAAACGAGAAAGCATAATGGTCTCAAGATTCTGAGCAACGGCGACGGGGATTTGGAAGATGACAAAGACCAAGAATCCAAAGAACAATGGCCTTTTTCGGCCGAGCAGTTCAGAGATGGGACCCCATAACAACGGACCAAGTGCGAAGCCCTATAGATAATTAGCGCGGGGTTGACATCAGCGAGGCCTGGAAACATACAAAAAGTGGTAGACTGGTTGCCAGGATCATGACCTCATCTGATACACCAAACTCGGCGGCAGTGACCTGGGTAGCCTGACTAAACACACTAGTCGAAAAGGTGACCCATATCGTAAGAGAAGAAAGACACATGGTGATGGCCCATTTTCGGGCAGGCGAGAAATTCTGGGGATTCTCAGGGTCATCGGGACCATCCCATTCGACTAAATTAGGATCTTTTTCCGGGGCAGCATCTTTGGACGAAGCGGGGGCTGCGAATCCGGCCTCCTTTTCTAAATCTTCTTCTGCTTTCGTATCCGAACTTCGTCGAGAGCGACTCGGGCTGGAATCAACCGGGTTGTGTCTTTCGCCATGGCTATCTTGGAAGACACTTGGTATCGTTTCTAAGCGCTTAATATGCTCGTCCTGATCATGGGAGTGATCAAAGCTCAACCTCGTCGGGGTTGTGGATTGGGAGTCGAAGAACGACATTTCTTCTAAATCAAAGAACGCCATGACGGTCAGTCTGAGTACAATGTACAGATGAGGTTGTTGATGGTTAGACGAACTTATCGGTTAGATTATTGCGGGAGAGATGATCTCATTAATACCCGTACCTGGTAGGTGGGTAAGTACGCAGCGAGGCAGGAGCTACTATGTACTGGCAAGCGCAGGGAAGGCACGACAAAGAACGATCAAAGAAATTGACTTCAGACGTGAGCCAGTCCGCTTTTGTTTCTGATGTTCTGGAAGTTCTTTATTCCTGCATTGGGTCCCCTCCCCTTTTATGTACTGTGCTTCAAGTTGACCCATTTGTAATTGCTCGCTCTTTTTTTAGAGCTAAACGGACATAAGCTTCTGAATCGTGTTCTTGGTAAGCGGACAAAGTTGATCGGTAGGAGGAGACATATCCGTTTTTCATGATTGTTGGTTAAGACCACCAATCAACGAAAGCATCGGAGATAACTTGAAGCCCCACCATAAATTATTTTTTTTCCCGTCGGTACGTAATGCGAGCGACGTACCGAGTACGCAGTGCGTACTTACTCTGTAGTAGTATGCAGCTAACTTAGATGTAGTGTGGTTTCTAATCCATCTATTACAAATCGGCAGGGATTCGGATCGAAACTAATAGGTACCCTGTATGAAGTAGTGTGTCTACATAGTAAGATCGCAGGCAATGGCGCTTGTGATCACGATGACGCCATAGCCACCTGTCAGTAATCATTAATTGCCGTGCAGATATCAGTCATACTGTCACAGATCATAGTACGTACAATATCCAAACTGCTGAAGTGATCGGTCATCTGAATCCCTTGCGATTACGCGTACTTGTCACAGTGTGAAGATTGTACACTGTTCTCTCTTGGCATTCGAGCTGCCTGATTTTCAGAGCAAAGCGTGGCCAGGTGGTGGGCTGGTGGGCTGGTGGGCTGGTGGGTCCTTGGCTTAATATGAGCGCCCAATAAGAGCCCTGCCAGACGTGCCGATAGCCGACCCGGCACGTTTTGTAGGTCTCGGCATCGGTGGTTGAGCTACCGAATCCCTGCAGACGGATATAACAGACACGCGCCTACCGATCTCATCGCCGGATACACTGCACGGTACTATGTAGTCTTATCTCCATGTTGGTGTGTTGACAGCATGGATTCATCGTAGATCGATACATCCGTCTCTTTTTTTTTGGTAGTTGTCTCCATCGCGGTCGAGCCTTGCGACTAGAATAAGATTATTCTGCCGCGGCACTGAACAAAGACAAGGGACGAACAAAGAAGCTTGAGACTGGACCGAGTATATGCAATACTCTTGTCTCTATTGTGTTGAAACAGCCACGCGGGGTATATCTACACGGTTTCATCCTTTGTCACTCCATACTTGTTCCCGCTTCATTTACAGAGCATGCATACTCTCTTTGATTTAAAGATGCGTGAATGTTAACTCTTCAAATCCTGCAGTCGACATTGACAATGTGTTTCATGCTTTCTTTTGTTTTGCTTTTTCCAGACTGCGATCATACGGCTCGAAGCGTCTTCTGACCTCAGTCGGCATGGTAACACGACTCTGTTGGCGGGCGATATCTGCACCATGGTCATACTGTAGCACCGAACATTCAAATGGCTACCAGAGTGAGTATACAAAGTGGCTGACCAGGATGGACTTATAGGGTGAGGCTAGATCTGTTCCTCGCACACTAACCAATATAGGTTAGATTTTTGTCTAGACCCTGGGACCGAGGCCCAAAGCGGGCAAGCGCGGAAGATATGCAAGAAAGCAACGGCCAGGAATGCTTGCATGCTATTCCCGGCAGCACATCATTCCCCAGAGGCGACTGACTCTCTTCAATGCTACTAGTACCACTCGCCTCTTCCTTTTTTCTTTCTTTATATCATACGTCTTCTTTGTCTCTCGTTTAAACTTCCACCATCTCTCGCCTTGACTCCTAGATCGACTCATCACTAACTCGCCTTCCTATTGACTCATCCATATTGAGGAGACAGAGAGAGCTTTGACCTCCGCCGTGGCTTGTGGCTGCAAGCAAGAGATGTGATTGCCACGATCAATCATTGAAATTTGGAGTTGCAGATCATGACTTCTTCTTCTCTGGCTACTTCTCCTGCTTCATCGCCGGATGAGGCCCACTCCACTCTGGAGAGCGGTACCGTGACCGACGGTTTCAAGTCTGTTGATATTGCAGACCATGATGGGGATGAAAATCATATCGACCTTCCCGCGCACATACATGCGGCGTCTAGGTGAGTTTCCAATTTGACTGGATGTCAAAAAGTTACGTACGTACACGTACGTGGTATATGCGGAGATTTGGATTCTTACTAGCTATCAGGGCAATTCATCACACGTTACACCACGCCGTAGTCGGCCGTCTGCCCCTCGCACTACCACCCAAAACCAGCTCCCCGCATCTGTACGCCCTGGGAATATCACGCTTCTCCCGCATTTATCTCGCATTTGAAGCTGCATGGCGCGATTACCTCCACACATCTCCTACCAATCATGACCCCAACAACGACCAAGTCAGGTATCACACCTTACTGTCCGAAGCCTACATCCCAGCCATAAACCGCAGCGCGCGCCTTACCTCGGACATATCTAATTTGCAACGCGAATGGGGAGACGAGATTGTATCCGTCGCGCAACCGGCCGCACACGACGCCGCCCTGACAGACGCGGTCGCACACATCACCGAAACCGCGCAGAAGAAACCATACACCCTTCTCGCGTATTCGTGGATTATGTACATGGCCCTATTCAACGGCGGAAGGTGGATACGCGATCAACTCGCCAACGCGGGTCCTGAGTTTTGGTTTCGAGAACCACCACATACCGAAAAAGCTGCCTCTACTATTGGATCGAACTTCTTATCGTTCTGGTCCTTTGATGGTGACGAGGATGGCGAAGATATCAAACGCGCTTTTCGTGCCGCGTTTGTAGACGCATCGCGCAAATACCTGACTGAGGCTGAACGAGAGGATGTCATCCATGAAGCGAAAGTGTTATTTCAGCATTGCATCAACATTGTTTCGGAGGTTGACGTCGTGGTTGCGCTGGAGCGGAAGAGGCAGGACGAGGAGTTGCACGGACATCATCAACAATCTCGAGAGTTGGGAACGGCTGAACGGCAGTCTTTATTCATTATCATTACTCTGGGCGTTGGGTTGGCTTTGGCGATTAGTTATTATACACGATTGATGACATATCTGGGATATTAGCTGGACGAATAGACGATTATGACTTATATTTTTACCATGAAACAAATGTGTTTGTTAATGTGCATCAATTCGTGTACTATGAAACGTTAACAATTCAGGCGAAACGCCAAACCTCATTTTCCAAACCAAACCCCTATAATACAAGCTCCTACCATGCATGAATACTCATAACTCGTACAACGTCATACAAAACAACAAAACAACAATCAAGAATTAATCAACCCCCTCACCCTTTCCACCCTCGCAATGGCCTTCTCTAACCGATCCAGCCTCTTCCTCTTCTCCCCATCCCGCTTCTCGAGCAACGCCACCCTCTCCTCCAGCTTTGCGCGCGCCTTGCGTTCCTGCGCAACCATTTCGTTCGCCTGGCTAAATAGTTGGGCGGTGAGTTCTTCGAGTTCCGAGTGGGCTTGCGACAGTTGCGATTCGGCGGCTTTGCGGAGTCCCTGTTCGCGGTTCAGCGCTGTTTGAAGGGCGAGCGCGTTGCTTGTTGTTATTGTTGTTGGGTCGGACGAGGAGGCGGTATCGTGCGAGTGGAAACTGGTGTTGGCGCTGGGGCTGGTGTGACCTCCTCCTCCGCCAGGGCTGCTGTTGGTGTAGTTTGAGTAGGAGGTTTGTGGTGGTGTGCTGGAGTCTTTTGACCCGGCTCGCGAGCCCGTGCGACGGTAGGGAAAGTAGGATGCGAAGTTCGCAAAGCGGCCTTGTTGTTGTTGCTGCTGTGCATTGGCATCGGGTGTTTTGGGAGGGTAATCCGTGGCTGCGGCTGTAGTTGCGGTAGATTCGTGGTTATTATTCCAGGCTTGTGCTTGTTGTCGCAAGCTGTGGATTTCGTTCTCGTAGTCTGCTAATCTGACCGCTTTTATCACTTTAGTATGCTTGCTTGCCGTTTGAACGATCTAGGAAGCCATGTTGAACATACCAGTTTCCGACGCTTTTTCGCTGTAGATCAGCAGTTGAGCTTCCAACTCCTCTATTCGTTGCTGCGCGGCTGTCGCATCGTGTGAAACAGAGTCGCTGCCGCAATGCGGACATGGTGTGCCCGACACTGACTCCTTCATCGGGCCGTATTCTTCTCCTAATAACGTAGTTTTCGCTTTCGACGTGACTGTATAGACAGACGTAGCTGTTTGCATTGCTATCCCTAGATTCTATCCCGCTTGCGTTGTTTTTGATTTTGCTCTGACGATTGAGCTGGATTTAGTGAGTTGAATACTGCAGAACTCTGAAACCCGAGTTAGTCAGTCAAAGCCTTTCAAGGCAAAGGTGAGGACAAAGGTCAGGTGAACAAACCTTATGTCATGGAGCGCATCGTAACGGGCAGCTGACACAATTCAAGAGGCCAAATCACAAGGACCGAGGATGCGAAACACGAGGTCGTCAGGTACCGTTACAGATACCACTTGGGGATATAGCACTCGGCCAACTGAGTCGCGTTAGTCGACGATTGATGACATGTATGGACGTAACCAACGTTATAATTGTGTTAAGTTACATACGGAGTAATTAAAATAGGTTCTTGGGGTTCTGTTGATCGGACGTTAACTTTTTGAGTGATCGATCAGTAAGGGATTGCCCCATAATTAGCTCCTTGATGACGATGGGTCCTTCCCCGTATTTAAGGTGTCATTACCTCCGCGTTACCAAACTGCACTCTCGGCCTATACCGCTCGCCCTTTGTGCCCTAATCTGCTTCAAACTGCTGGTGTGGTACTCTTCATTCTGCATTGCTCGTTTATATACAGCTAACCAAATCTCTGAGGCGGAACGACAGAAGCGTTCCCCAAGACCTCATCAATTTTCTTCAACTCCTCTTCTCCCAGCCTCTTTGCAATCTCCAACGCCCTGACATTCTCTCTAACTTGTTCCACCCTCGACGCACCCAAAATGACCGAGCTAACGTTCTCATTCTTCAGCGTCCAAGCTAGGGCCAACAAAGCCAAACTCTCAGCCTTAAATTCCTCCACCAGTGGCTTTAACTTCTCGACGAGTGCTAGATTCTTCTGCCATTTTTCATTGCCCCAAGTCTCACGGAAGGCCACGGTGGGCTTATCCTTTGCTTCTGCCAACCGTGATCCTGGAGGTGGCGCATCAACACCATTGTACTTACCAGTCAAGACTCCTTGATACAAGGGACTCCATATCGTCAAGCCCGTGCCGTACTTTGGATACAAATAGCGAAATTCATCTTCAACCTTGGACCGGTGAAGAAGATTGTACTGCGGCTGCTCAACTACAGGTCCAATCAACCCTAATCTATCGGCTACAGCCCACGCATCTGCAATTTCGGTGGCGGTCCACTCGGATGTACCCCAGTAGAACACCTTGCCCGTTTCAATCAAGTGGTTGAAAGCGCGCACAGTCTCCTCCACTGGCGTCTGTCGGTCAGGTCGATGGGCAAACACGATATCGACATATGGAAGTTGTAATCGCGCAAGTGAAAAGTCAATGCCCTCCAGAATATGCTTTCGCGACAGACCAACATTATTCAGAGGACGCGATGGGTCGGCAGCATTGTTTTGGCCGAAATATAGCTTTGTGGAGATCACGAGATCGTTTTGTTTCCATCCGTATTTCTTGATGGCCTTGCCAAGAGTCACCTCTGCGGCGCCGGCCGAGTAGTTTTCAGACGTGTCAAAGTAGTTGATTCCAGCATCGTGGGCGGCTTTGATACACTCAAATGCTCGTTCGTCATCGACGTGGCCACCGTATGTTATCCAGGACCCGAGAGACAGCACGGAGACCTTGAGGCCAGTTCGGCCGAGGAAACGGTATTCCATTTCAGACATTGCAAGCCCAATATAGACAGTAAGGTGTGATAAAAGCCAAAAGAGGGATGAGGATGAGGGCGACCTTCTCGCACAGAGAATGAAGTGGAAGGCTTCGAAGTATGATGGATCAGCTGAGTTAGGGCTCGCTTTTCTCGCCGTGACCGGACTCTACCTAAGCCAGCACGCCATAATAGGGCGATTGCCAACATCCTTAGTACCTTGAATGCTACATAGCAAGCAGCATACCATAAAAGTATTCTACTCTGCGCCAAAAAACTAGTTTGTGATCGTCGAGTTGCGACATTGCGGGATGCAATGATGCCTTTTCGAAAACGCATATAAGAAAGTAATCGGCTATGCGAATATCCGTAGAGCATGCGCCTAAGATATATAGTGTCTTTGACGACATACACACTATTATGTTGAAAATAAAAATATTTCCTAGTTTGGAAAAAACGTCCGGTTCCCATTCCGACTTCCTCCTTGCCCTTTCTAACTACGTTATGGAGACTTTCGATTTCTCATCACAGCTACCACTCAGAATCAAGATATTGCTGACACGTTACTGGCAGGGATCTTCACCGTCGGCGTCGTCTCCCTACCGGATGTCTCTCCGGATTGTTCTTCAAAGTCAATGCCATCTTGCTGGCGCTCCGATCCCAAACCTTTACTTTCTTGATGGCGCATGTATGCCAGGATCAACGCAAAAATGGCGATTGCGAAATTAAATCCAGCCGCTGTGTAGTTACCGGAGACGACTGCCGGTTGATCGACGGTTTGAAAGACGGCAAGAGGGCTGCGAGGATGGTCAGTACGGTGGGAGCCTGTAAGTGCGCTAGTTGCGTAGACTGGACTTACACGGTGGCAATAAACACCCACGCCCAGACGTTGAGTCCAGCTGATGCAAATGCGCGAGTTCCTGGATCTCCGATTCTAGGGATATCTTATTAAGACACCCTCATCAAAGGGGGGAATGCGATAGCTTACAAGATCTCCTGTGTCCATGCCCAAAACATGCTATTACTTGCCTGGCCCCAGCCTGTTTGGTAGTATAAGAACCACCGAAATGCCTTGTTCTTGGGGAAGACAGGGGTCGCTCCGAGCAATATGCAAACGATGCCGTTGACAACACCTCCAAGCACAAGCATGGGCCAACGACGCCCTTTGAGCCATGTATCACCTACAAGTATATCGCCTTAACATGTTGATTCGATGATAACAGGGGAAACGGAGAGAACTAACTTGACCATGCCATGCCGATCGTGATGACCACAGTAATCGCTTGAATAGGGGTGGGATAATTATTGATTTGAGCGACGGTATACGAGCCAGGTTTGATCGTATTCCACGCCTTGAACCAGAACGCCATAGAATTTGAAGGATAGTTTCCTATAGAATTTCCGATTGAAATTCCCCAAAGCAGCCATATACTTGGCGTGAAGATCCAACGTTTCATTTGCTTCAGAGTAAATCGTCCTTGTTTAATTCGCCCTTCCCTGGGATTCCTGTCGCGAGCGAGTTCGATATCCTGTGCACTGAAGATCCAGTCAGGCTTTTGGCGAGCTGGGACGTCTGGGAAGAGGAAGAATTGCGGTATGAGAATACCGAGGGATATTATGCCGTCGATTATGAAAAGCTGACTCTCCTGATTAGCTGAGATTCCAACCTTTTGAAATACTCAAGCATACCCATTGCCAGCCTGCCATCCCATGAACACCGTTCAGTCCATCGTATGCCGCTGCCTGTAGGTAGCCACTGAACATAGGTCCAATGGCAGTCGCACAATTGATGATGGCTAGACGTTTGGACAATTCGCCTTTCTGATACCAGGCACCGCAGATATACACAATTGCAGAGTAGTGACCTGTCTCAAATAGGCCGACGATAGTTCGAATCACATACATCTGAAGCGGTGTTTTCATCGCAGCTTGCGTGAATGTTCTTGACAGATTCGTTAGTGTTGGTTTAAAGTTCATCATACTGAGTCAATTACTCACGCAATTGTCCACCCCAGCTCGATGAGCCTAACGATTCATGTCAGGATAATAATCAAGATAAATAAAAGCTCAGGAAGCACTCACGGGATGAAATATCTCGGATTGGTTCGAGTTAGAGCAAGGTTAGAGGGCCAAAGACCTATGATCTATGCAGTAAAGTTAACATGCTGCGCCCGAAAACATACAGTAAAAGATTGCACCTACGTTGGCAACGCTATAGCAGGTTACGGCATAATTGAGTTGCTGTAAATCAAAGTCAGCGATGAAATGAGTCGCCAGCCACCAAGAAAACGCACATTCCCATAGAGCTTAAGGTCCTGTTCCATGCCCGAAACGTAAGCCGATTGAAGATTCGATTTGTCAATATACTTGATAAAGGTGCCCAGGCATCCAAAAGTAATCAAGAGTGCATCAAGCTTGAACAGAAGATGTCTTTCCTAGATAAATCAACTGAGGTTAACCAGCTATTTCTGAGCATGAATTCTTTGGCCTTACTTCAGGGGACCGGTCAAAGGAATCCCAAACGTAGCGCTTCCAGGTCCCTCCTTCAGCAGAAATATCCACATCTCCATTGAGTGCCGAGGGCTTCGTATGGTCGATTTCGTTAGGGTCAACCCGGTCTCCTAGCTGGGTAATGGCGACAGACATGGCTACATGTGTATACCTAGTTACTTCACACGGAATGATTTTCAATGAGACGCTTCTTATACACCTTATATAGTTTCCAAATCTGTGCTCCATTATAGTCTAACCGATAATTTACACGAATATTCGACTATCCAAGTTTGTACTTCTTGTCGGAACCTCCCCGACTCATTAGGGCACGATGAGCACGTCAACGCTCCATCCGAAGGCGAATCTATAGTCTGCAACACACTTCCAAGATATAGCCTTACAACTACCGAGTCATTATGCGAACTAGCACGAATCGTAGCGCCTGGCGATATCGGATGCCGGCGAGCAGTCCGTGATTCAAGTTATTATCCCTGTTGTTGACACTGGAGAAAGCCCGGACATAAAGTGTTGCGCACGACACGCTTGGACGCTAGATTTTCTTGACAGACAAATGGTACCTTCCAAGTTCAAGGTAGACAATGGCGATTTCACCAAGCAATTCTGAAGCCCTACTGCTCGGAGGCAAGATCGAGACATTTGCTGTCCCAGGCAGTCGAACCGTCCATGGCAAGACCTTTCCACTAGGCATCAGGCCGAAAGATGACCAACAATTCCAGACTGTAGAGTCTGCGGTTGAATATGTAAAAGAGCTAGCTAAAACTGGAGTTTTTGACCAGCTGCTTTCCCAGCGTAAGTGAATACTCATCAATATAAACCCATCGGCGTCACACTCAGTCATCCTACCTAGACGGTACAATTCTCTTTCGCCATTTCCCGATCCGCAACGCGAAAGATTTCTCCTCCTTCGTCCGAGCCTTCAACTTGCCCCAGCCTCACAAAGAGATCGGTCTCGCTGGGATCAGGACCCTTGTGACAACGGATGTCAAAACGGCGAACGAAGAGCCGCCAGATGTCAAGTTTTACTACCACTCGGAATACGGTCGCAGTGCACATTTTCCGGCAGTTTTGTTTTTCTATTCTGAGATTGTGCCTCATACGGGTCAGAACAAAGCCCATAGGCAATGTCAAGTTGATATAGGCTGACTATATCCGCGTCTAGGCGGCCAAACCCCGATACTATCGTCAGTTGAGCTCTATGACCGCCTGAAGGAGGAATTGCCAGAGTTTGTGAAAGATTTAAGCGATAAAGGTAATTTCTACTTACAGGCATGTCATTTTCGAGAACTTACATTGAGATCACTAGGAATTATTGGTCTACAGTACTTTCCAGCCAAGGACGACCCGGAAGCAGAACACATTGGCTGGAACTGGAAGGCAAGCAGACGACATTGACCCTCAGTTACAAGATAAAAGATCTAATTCTATCAAACATAGGACTCCTATGGCTTTGACATACAACCCGATGACTCACTAGAAGTCCAGCACGCCAAAGTCGAAGCTGTCCTGCAAAATGATCTAAAGGCCGAGGCAGTATGGCAACCAAACGGGGCACTACACGTTTTGCAACGTCTTCCAGCAATTCGCAGAATCGCCTCTACCGGCAAACCCACATTTTTCAATGGCTTCGCCGGAGTGTATGGTCGAGCAAAGGACAACGCGGCACTAGCACCTCCATACCGTGGCTTGGATAATAAATATCATCTTCCCACTACCTATGGTGACGGATCACCTATCCCGAATGAATATCTTGATCGTCTGCTAGACCTTTCGGATGAGATTGGGTTTCTTGTGCCATGGCAAGAAGGTGATGTTGCTTTTATTGATAATTATACCGTCCAGGTAAGATTTTTCTCTTCTTGAAACCATGTCTCATGTCAATGCTGACGGTATTGACTTGTTTAGCATGCCCGTTCACCTTGGGAAGGAAAACGATCTCTGCTTGTTAGCCTCTGGGATGGCAATGAGAAATTCGTACCCTTGTAACAGATAGTCCAGTCATTATATTCGGGTCAGGCTGACGTGCATGAGGCGAAGGTACTTGATTTACAGATATTTGACCAAGCTCTAGACCAACCTTAGAGCTTGGAAGGATATAACCTAGTAGTTTCTACAATATACAGCTAGCACCATTTTTCAACCAGTGGCTGTTTTTGAAACCTCGGAAGCCAATTGGTCGTGTTTGTATCATCTATCATTAATATCAATAATTCATCTCGTTGCACCACAACCCATTACTCCGTCCACACACAAACCCTGACATCATCCAGCCTCTCATACATGCAGCGCCAACCTCTTGATCAACCTTGCTCAAGCCTAAAACATTTCACGAATTTTGTCGCTCGTCAAAGCCAACATCAACGCAGTCGAGCCACTCACCACCGCCATGACAATGTTCATGACTCCCCACCCAGCTGTCTGGGCGAGGGTTCCCGCAATTATAGGTCCCAGTAACTGTCCAGAGGCCCAGGCCATACCATGAAGAGCATATGCCTGAGCATTGGCACCTTTCGCGCCAAAGATTCCTGGAGATTCTTTCTCTTTGCGTTCGATTGGCTCGCTGATCTCTACTATGAGTGGGAGCAGTATTGCGGAGAAGGAGAAACCAGCTCCGATAAGTAATGCTATGAATAAGATGCGTGATTGACGTGAATCGTCGGTGACGAATTGGAAAAGGATGAAAATCGGGACGAGGGAGCTGAATGAGGTGACGGATACGATGCGGGGGCCGTAACGGTCGATGATTGATCCTATTGAGCATAAGTTTATGAGATTCCAGAAAGCGATGTTCAAATATACCGATGATTGGAGAAATGACACTAGGCAATGTCAAGACCAAGAAACACATGCCGATCTCGAAAGACTCCCATTTGAAGTTTTGGATCACAAATACTGGGACGGTCTAAATAACAATGAGTTTCGTTCAACAAGACTGATCAAGATGGAAATACCGTTTCAAAAGTGGTCCAAATTGCCGCATCAACAATACTTGCAATCAGTAGTACCAAGAGCTGGCCGGACATCGCTAGACGGACGATAGGCGGGATGCAACTCGGTGTATGAGGGCGTAGAGAGCCTTCTACATCGAGGTGTGACTGATTCAGACTACGAGTCTGGTAGTCTATAGGAGGATCATCCCTCAGTAAGGGCTCCGTTTCGCCCTCAAGGCTTTTGCCTTGTGGTTTGGTCGTTGGTTCGATCATGAGTAACCGAAGCACGACGTCGACACCGATTAGGGCTAATGCGACCATGAATACTGAATCATAGCCTGCTCGGTCCAACCTTTGCGCACGAATCAGTATATATAGTCAACATGTTATAGGTGAATTGAGCATCAAGTGGCAACGTACAGAATCCCACCCAAAGCTGGTCCCGCCATGGTCCCAATGTTCATCGACATGGAGACATACCCCATCGCAACACCCAGCTGATCCTTTCTCATCGTATCAACCACGAGGGCATTTCCGATAGTCCACATGGCAGCTTCAGCCAGTCCCTGCAAGCTACGTGCGATGATCATCGTCGCGGGAGACCTAGCAAGCCAGAACATTATCGTCGCGCCGGCGACTGCAATCAGCCCGACTAGAAATGGGAGTTTGCGTGAAGAGCCTTTGTCGGCGAAATATCCAACAACAGCTATATCATGAATCAGCATACTAAAGAAGTCATCATGAGATGTATGACTTACGGGAACTAATTAGCAGTGCGCCGCCGAATGTTGCGAGCAAGATCGCCATCCATGTTTGCACTAGTCGACGTTAAAATATGGCTCTATCCTCGATGATTTGAACTCACATTGATCATCAGGTAAGTGAAGTCGGTCCCTCAGAATAGCTGGGATTAAAGGTATTACCTAGCCAGAGTCAGTCCGAGGTCCAGAATAGCTTCACGCACAGCAAGAAAGATTACCATTCCATATATAAAGACATCCTGTCCACTGTCAGTCACAAACGATACCTAGCAATGAAATCCCAGACATACCGCAAAAATCGCAACAGAAACTACGATAATTATAAAAGTTTTCGAAGACCGGAAAGCAGTCCATTGCTCTTTTGCGCCGTTTTCAACAGTCTCAACACTCGCACTCGGCATTTTAGATGTTATAATAGAAGCCATTATGTTGAAAATGACCTTGCACAAGGATAATATATGCGCGAACAGGGATGTAAAAGCTAAAAAGCTTTTCCTTCAGGTCGAACCCCTCACATTGATAAGCGGTCTGGCGTTATCTGTTCTCTTTGGTGGCGGCTAGATGGATTCTAGCTGCATGGAGGGGTTCGTACACTAGCCAGAAACTCAACTTAAGATATGCGACTACAGGATGATCAACTTTTGTTCTAGACTTTGAGTCTTGATTAGTGGGGACGATGCTGTATCACATTTTACTGTATGGTCACTAGTTCACGCACGATCTGATAGCTTACTAGGTGCGTATACCTCCACCTTTATGCCCGATATACATCGGGTCCATGTTGACGATCATCTCATATCATTCAACAAGACCTCGATATTTGACATGCGATCCATGGACGAATGGAAGAGCTAATATCCTAGCTAGCGACGAGGCTCAGCATGCGTCCTCAGAGCCGATCCGATTTCGCCATCGCCATCATTTGCGCCCTTCCCCTCGAGGCCGACGCTGTCGAGGCTCTCTTTGACGAGACATACGACCGACTAGGCAAATTCTATGATAAACAACCCGGAGATGCAAACGCATACATAAACGGCAGAATCGGGAACCATGACATTGTCCTCTGCTACATGCCCCGGATGGGAAAAGGGAGCGCAGCAAGCGTGGCTTCAAGTCTGAGGGTTAGCTACCCTATGGTCCAGATTGCGTTGGTTGTTGGGATTTGTGGCGGTGTACCATATCTATCAGATGGCAGGGACGCAGAAATATACCTTGGAGATGTCATTATCAGCGATGCTGTGGCTGAATATGATTTTGGGAGACAGTATCCAGGTGGATTTCAACCAAAGTCCGATGGCCATAAGGATATGTTGGGAGGACCCAATCGAGAGATCCGGACTCTTCTTGCTGCTTTGAAAGCAACTAAAACCCGGATCGAATTTCAGGATCAGATGTTACAACATCTTCATAATATCCAACACTTAGATGCAAGATGGCGGCATCCAGACGGGTTGAATGATATTCTTTTTGAGGCTAGATATCGCCACAAGCATTACATTCAATATTCATCTGCTGTCTGCCAATGTTTTAATGGTGACATGCAAGATGAAATATGTGAAGAGGCACTGGAAAACAGCTGCGACAACCTTGGATGCGACAGGGACCGAATTCGTCGTCGTCGAGACAGTGCCAACAGGACCAAACTATCTGTGCATATAGGAAAGATAGCTTCGGCCGACACAGTAATGAAATCCGGAGAACATCGTGACGAAATTGCCGGAAAAGAGAATGTTATAGGATTTGAGATGGAAGGAGCTGGAGTATGGGACAATATTCCATGCATCATCATCAAGGGGGTATGTGACTACGCTGATAGCCATAAGAATAAGAAATGGCAAGAGTACGCTGCTGCAACGGCAGCTTGTGGACTCAAAGCCTTTCTGGGGTACTACAAAACAGGTCAGCATTCCCTTGGAAAGTTGTCTATGTTATCAACTGATTCTTAGCAGAGAAAAACACTCGAATCGTTGAGCATGACCTTCAAATCTCCATCAATCATCTAAACGAACAGTCTCGCGCAGCTGCTATATTCATATTGTACAACCCCTGAAGTCAAAGAGTAGCTATAGTACGTTAATATTTTTATAGCTTTGCCTTTCTCTATTTCCGTGGAATACTCCTCACAGTCCACACCCGGTTGACACGACTCATCACGCCCTGGTCAGAACTACCGGCAGTTCTTGAAGATGCACATTTAAGACGCTTTACGATCCCTCTTGATACCATCAACACATGGGAGGTGTGAGCATGTTTCATCATTCACCCTTCGTTCCTCCAGCCTCTAGGGCTAGGCTGATAAGAAAGTCTGTAGATCTTTGACTTCATACTCGAACAACATTTCGCCGATATGCCGGGGTTTCAACAAGTGAAAAAAGGAAGCTATGTTCTCGAAGATTCACTTTCTCGCAGACAAGTCCGACACACTGACGCATTCAAAGCGTGCTTCAGACCTGGGCGACGGGTTTTTATGAGTATGCTTTTTCATTTGAAGCAACATGAAGAATCTACTTGTCCCAGTTGTCATGCAATTAATCTAGGTTCGGGGCAATCTGATATTTGTTGGTATATTTCGTGAACCGTCTTTTCTTTGGAGTCTGTCTAATATGTGGGTAGCTCGTTTTGCGGAATGCAATATCGTAGAATAACGGAAGTGATTGAAGACGACAACAAAATTGAGAGACCTTCAAGTCAACCCGGTAGTGCGAATGCGAAGACAGCCAAGGCAAACCCTGACCGCGTCCATGTGTTTATCGGGCCCAAGACMCCCGCCGAAGCCGATACGACAGGCGACGATGTTACTCAATTCAAACGAGTTCATATAATCGCTGGACCTGATACCAGACGCCCTGCTGCTGGGACTCTACAGCCTTTGGCTAGCACCGATTTAAACTTTGACATGAATACTTATCGTCGACCGACGCTACCGGCCCCTACAGAATTATTCAATAGTGGCACCGTTTTAGGAACTGACGCATACTCACTCCTAGAGGACAGCTCACCTATCACCGTCAGCACTCGTCGTGTCTTTGCATACGAAAGTGATGACGGGAATGAAGTCACTATGAGCGTTGCTACCGCAGAAGAAGCCGAAAAGGACCTTCTGCATATACGACGACGCGGATTTGACAGTCTTTCTAGTTCAGCAGAAATCTCATTGATGCCGTCGCTGCATGAGGACGAAGAGCCTGTTAGTGTCGCGTAGACAGAGCCAATATATTAATCAGAGGAGGCAATTTTCTGGAATGCTTCTTATTTCTTTTCCTATCTTTTTTAATTTCCATTCTTCTCCACGGCTCCCACCAGGCGCTCTCACTCACATATAAATGACGAGAATAAGGCTCCATAGAATATAAGGAAGGATGGTCTGAGAGTATCATATCGTATCGTATCGAATACAATAAGAAGCAAGCAAGCAATCAAATAGGAAAGATAAAAGAGAACTTTTTAATGAAATTGCGCTTTCGGGAGAGAGTAAGTAAGGAAGAGAGGGGAATTTAGAAAGAAAGAGCAAAGGAAATGAAATGGTCACCACAGAATCAGCCCAAACAATAGAAAGAAAGAAGAAAGAAACACCGTGATACCTGGACATTAGTCGAGGGACAAAGGAAGAACGAAACAAACAAACAAATCTAAAGGAGGAAAATTCATATGTGCGACCCGCCAACAAACCAAAACAGCCTTCAAGTTGGTGTCAAGATCGAGAGCTGCTGTTTCATGAGAAGAAGCATGTAGGAAGAGAGAGTAAGGAAAGGTGAAAGAAAAAAAGAGTCGGTTGCATTATGTGTAAATGTCATTTTGCGTAACTCGTTGCTCATATTCCAGTCGTTCGAAGATAATCCGACAGTCGTGAGGAAAAGGTAGGCACGGAGGAGACATCGAATCGAATTCTTGAATCATGACACAAACGCGAACATTTCAAGACATGGACTAGGTCTAATAACCCCGGCCACGTCCCTTGTTGCGCTTGCCGGTGGAAACGGTGCTCCAGCCCTCCTCGTCGGCTGCAGCCGGGGCAGGCTCAGCCTTTCTCCAGCTGCCGTTCGTCTTGCTCTCGGTGACTTCCTTGGGTTGCTCCTTGGTTGCGGTCAATTCCTCCTTGGTTTCCTCTGTTTCGCCTTCGACAGCCTCATCATCCCCGCGTCTCAGAACTTCAAAGGTTGATTTCTTTGGCGCTTCAGAGTCAGTCTCCTTGGTACCATTCTCGCCGGTTGCAGCCTTCTCTGCCTTGGCCTTCTCCTTGGTTTGGCGTTGTTTCTCTGCCTTTTCAGCCTTGGACTTGTCTTCGGCATCTTTGCGAGCACGTTCGCGCTTAGCAACAACTTCTTGTTCCCGAGCAGCAGTGTCGGTAGGTCGAGCTGCACCAAAGGGGCTTGCTTTTGAGTCACCAGTAGCGCTAGGAGGCGGGCTTTGAACGTTCTCGGACACAGTCCTCTTCTGCAAGTTCAATTTTGGTCGCGTTGCTGGAGCGGCCGAAGCAGCAGGAGTAGCGGCGGTGGCAACAGGTGAAGAAGGAGCGCTAGGTTCCTTGGGGGCGGGGTCAGGACGCATTCGTGCGCGCCATTGGTTGTCCATTTCAGCTGCGGTAGGGGTGCGCTCTGGTCGTTCAGGTCGCTCTTGGAATTCACGACGAGGTGGGCGAGAGCCGTCTTGGGAACGGCCTTCTCCCCAGGCGGGAGAGTTTTTGCGGAAGTTGGAGCCCTCGTTGCTCCGTGGACGACCGCCTTCGCGTCCGGCAACAGCAGCGACGGGCGAGAGAGGACCCTTGCGCTCCCAATTACCAAAGTCACGGGCTTTACCATCGCCCTCGAATTGGCGTCTGCTGCCACGAGCACTTCCAGTTTCGGAAACGTTGTCAGGGAAATCACGGTTGAAGCCACCGCGGTCGTTGCCACGGCGAGGCAGGTCTGGAAGAGGGCCTTTGCGAGACCAGTCGCTAAAGTCCCGAGAGGAAGCAGAATCTTTGGCTATTCGCTGTTAGGACGAATCACTTTGGAATTTCGCAGAGATACGTACGAGGCTCTGCAATGCTAACACGGATACCACGTCCCTGAAGAGTCGTGCCAGAGAAAGTAAGCGCCTTCTTGAGTCCTTCAACAGAGGCAAATTCGACGTAGCCGAAGCCTTTGGGGCTACGGTTCAGCTTATCTTCAACGATGCGGACGTTGGTGACTTCGCAATCGGCGAACAACTCGGAGACGTCGCTGGAAGTGGCATCGAAGGAAAGGTTGCCGATATGAGCGGTAAAGGGAGGCTCGGTAGGAAGAGGTAGATCGGGACGAGAGAATGCAGGGCGCTCACGGTCTGTAAAGTTAGTCATTTGTTTCTGAATGTAATGTACACGTGTAGAATGTACCATTGAAGCCGTTTCCGAATCCCGCAGTCGAGCTGACAGCACGACGTTCTCCGCCATAGAGGGAGCGAGGCTCTGGGGCAGCTGGAAGATGTTAGATATCGCTTATATTCATACTTTTATAATCGCTGGGTCGTAATCGACACAATCCGTGACAGATAATGGGGCAGCATACCAGCTACAGTCGATTCAGTTAGCGATCAGGCTTATTACAACTTTGAAAACCATGTGCTTACCAGGCAAGGGCATATCCTCCATTTCATCGGCCCATGATCCGAGACCTAATGATAAGCCCTGTCAGCCATTTCAACTCCACTTGTCCATTTTCGCGAGACCACTCACTCTCATCAGCCAAGAAGTTCCCGAGGGACATCTTCTGGGCTTTCTGTTTGGGCGCTACACATAAAATCAGCCATGACTGTCTTCACGATACCAGACCCTTTCCACGGCAACCGGTATAACATATAACACAGATTTCGAGGACGAACCCATGATTGCAGATGGTGGGGGTGCCGTAGGAAAAGCGCGCAGGTTAGTTGTGCGCGACTCTTCCCTCTTTTTCAGATCCCACTTGACTCGCTAGACGAGGACTGGCCGAGCGACTCGAGATATTTCTTTCCGGCGGTGGAAAGATGTGCGTAGTGGCGAATAAAGTAGGCCGAGTAATTACCCTGAGCCCGACGGAGAGATGAGTGATGGGTGGATGCGAGGCTTGTTGGGACGCCGCATATAATCAAATGCAACAGAGGGGAAATTCGTTAATGCCGCCGTGAAGATAAATTTTAGTGTTGGTGGTAATTTGGTATTGGTAATCTGGTATCGGCCCTGAAAGTTGCCTGTGTCTGCTTGTGTGAGCCAATGAGATGTGCTTATTTGCGTAAAATACCTGCATGAATACGCATAATACACTATCCCACCTTCGCTTGGTATGTCTCCTTCATATGCCAGAATATATCTAGACGTCTATTATAGAATCTTTGTATCGTTACATGTATAACGACTATACAGTTTCCCTTGCACGGGATAAAAACCGAGTCCATCGAAGACTCAATACTGTATCACCGAACTATGTAGCCATATCAAGTCTGCGCTTGTTGACAGATCCCTTGCCATAACAATAAAAAGATGAAAAGACAAGTAAAATCATGATTATTACTAAATCTTCAACAACTGTCAATGACCGTTCGAAAGAATCTATCCTCTCCGTGCACAGTAGTCGTCCTCGTTTTGATATAGCCCACGTGACAAAACAAACAGTGCAAACATACATCTTTTCCAGTCAACTTATTTGGCTAGCAATATCAGCGTCACTCACGAATGTCACGAATACAATAACTCATATCCTCGCATAATGTGAATGATTACAGGCAGATATAAGCTATAAACATGGACGCCGAAACTGTCATATCTTCCATCAAGTTCGGTGGTCTAAGTGGTAAACACACCCTTCGAACCCCCGAATATCAATCACACTCGAACTTACAAGCCAACAGGATGTACCGGACTACTTTATGGCGGTGCGTCAGGCATTTTGCGCGCATCCAAACATCCAGTTGTGCATACACTTGCGCACGGAATCCATTTCAGTATATGGGGGACTTCATTCTGGTGTACGTCCTGATCCCCTACATCAATTTTGGAGGAAAGCTGAACAACCTTGAACAGTCATAAGAAGCAACATCCTGCATTTTCACTATCAAAACGAAGCCACGCAACAACAACGAAAATACGTTAGCGCCATATCTGGCGGTCTCTCCGGTGGTGCTATCACCAGACTGATGGGTACATCCCTCTCCCATACATCATGAGTGAATGTCAACTAATATGCAGAGATAAAGGCGCAAAATTCACCCCAGGCTTCATCGTCTTCTCTCTAGTAGGCTATCTGGGTCAAACAGGCTTCAACATCGCCGATTCATGGCACCAAGAAGACGCCGGCAAGGAAGCCGCAAAACCAAAGTCTATTCTGGAGCGAATGGCAGCGTCAAAATGGATTCCGTTGAAGGCGCTTTCGGATGATGATTTTAAGGATATACTCAAGGAGAAAGTGTTGAGTATTGAGGTTGAAATTGCGTTGTTGGATGATAAGATTCGGAGTTTGGAGGAGGAGCGTGCTGCTTCGGTTCAGAAGGGGGACGAAGATGGGACGAAGAGCTAATTCTTGTGTTTATGTCTTGTTCGAGGGGCTCAACCCTCCTTTCGATGTATATATTTGACCTGTACAATATCAAGATTTATAGACTACTGCCGAACTTTAACCATCCGAATAAACAGCAGCTATTAAAGTCGTGTTATCATTATAAAGTATGAACAGTGACTATTGTAACTTTCCCAGAGGGTATCTAACGAGCTGCCAACCTTATACACCAAACCAGTGTCCCATATCAAGTATGTAACCACAAATATGGCTGCCATAAAACGCCGTGGCCATGCATAAACATCGTAAAAGTCATGTATTTAACCCATTCACACCTCTACTAGTACATTCCCGGACTCCACCTTTTCATCGGTAGTTGATGGCTGGTTTCGGACCAAGTCAACTGCCTCTTTGACAGCCTTGCGGGCGCTATCCCTGAGCTCTCGCAGCTGGTCCTCTGACAGCTCTACCCCTTCACCGACATGGTCGTATAATTTGCGAGAGATTGTACGGTTGATATTTGTATAATCATCTTTCGTGATGAGTTTGCGGCGATAGTATGGTTTGAGCTCTGAGCCAACCAGTTTCTGTATACTTGTTTTGGCGGAGAGTGAAAGACTAAAACGAGAAGGAGAGACTTCGGTAGATCTCATGCCTTCAGCTCGACGATGTCGGTGATAGTCGTGATGGCGATGGTCAGGTCGGCGTCGTAATTCAGAGGTATCTGTCTGACTTTGAGCGGGAGACACCGTAGGAGAGAAGTCAGGAGAAGGAGAAGACGGCGAGTCAATGCTATGCGACAACTGTATTGGTGATACAGCACGTCTCCGCGAATGAGGAGGGGGGCTTCTTGAGGATAGCCGAGGGGACGATCGGTTTGATGACGCAGGAGATAATGACGGTGATGACGGTCCAGAGGTGCTATGGAACTCGTTAGGTGTATTCACGTATGTCGGAGGTCCATTCGTGTCGGTTCGGGGTGAGTTGGAAGCATCTTCGACTTCTTTAAGTAACGACTGAAGAAAACTAGGCCCTCCAGCGGATTCGGTGTTTAGTCGAGCAGCTGATCGCGATGCTTCACCATTGTTGTTTTGTGTTGCCAAGGCGGCCAGCTCTTCTGTCCGTCTAGTACGTGGTCGCTTCAGTTTCCTTTCGGGTTCAGTCGGTTCGGGAGACGGCGAGAGGGTCGGTTCCTTCCTCTTTCGCGCTGCACTTGGATCATTTTCAAGTTCCCTAGCTCGTTCGAAAGCATTCCACGCTCTCATCTCCTCTAGTGACTCAGGCTGTGGAGTCGGGGCGCGCGGCACACGAGGACGGGACGGGCGAGGCACGTATTCGTCTATTATAGCACTCGGTTCCCTAAAGACACGACCGCCACCTTGCCGTTCCGCTATCTCCAGCCGGCGTTGCCATGCAAGATGAGAGCCTCTGCGAGCTCTTCGAGGGGTGGTCCGTCCCTGAAGGCGGCTGAGTTGCTGTTCGTCATCGAACGGAAAGTCAAGATCAAAGTTTAGCCGATCGTAAACAGACTGCCACACGGCTGCCCACTGCAAAGAGTTGGCTTGGTTGTGACTCCGAAGCATACGTTGTTGTGCGCGAGTCCGGCGTTCTGGGCGGCGACTGCGAGGAGGTCTGCTTGGAGCGTCAGACACAGCGCTAATGGCTCGCTGAGTTTCACACGCATCACAGTACCATGAGCCAGAAGGCACCGCGTCCAACCCCAGACAGTAGGTATGTGACGGGACATCACATCCGTCACATAGCAACAAGACTTCTTCGTTGTCATTATCGCCACAGTAGGGACAGGGCTGGGTATCGGAGTCATCCGTGACCTCTTCCTCGAAGATCATGAAGGGGTCTATCTCGGCAACCTGTACTTTATCTTGGACGGTGTAGGTAGAGACGGGTGTTCCTATAGACATGAGCATTAATGATATAACAAATAGATTAAAGGTAACGTACCATCAACACTATCGAGCAGCTCGACGACATTAAAACTGGCTCTGCAGACGGGGCAGCTGTTGGCCCTTTCTACCCATGGCTTGAGACAGTCGTTGTGAAACATGTGCAGACACGGCACCAGACGGGCTAACTGTTGCGTCAAGCCATCTGCCTCTGCGTCTGCCTTTTCGATACTCTGTTCTGGCAGAGTGGTGTTGGCGCCGGCGTCATCATCATTATCATCATTATCAGGTCTTGGCGGAGATTCGGCGGCGACGGGAGAAGACACGGCGTCTCCGCCAAGGTCGTTTAGACAGACAATACAGGTGTCGGCCATCGGACGAGGGATGGGAGCCCAGAACGTGAGATGAACGGCCGAGAGAAGGCATGAAGAGCAATTAACGAGGTGACTGTAGTGAGAGAGAGAGAGAGAAAGAAAGAGAGAGGAGAGAGAGCAATGAGGGTTGGCTGAGCGGGTTCGCCTTTTTGAAGCTTGGCGCTAGGTCGGATCGGGACTGGCATGGGCAACGTGACCCTTTCTCGTGAGCCAGTCAGACTGCCCGTTGCTGGAATGCTCTTTTGGTTGCCGGCGGTTTTATGATTTCATCTAGTATGTTCGTATATATGTACTATTATATAGTCCGATTGATAACTTTATGCGAGTTGGGATGGCTCACTCATTAGACTGTATGGAGAATTCCAAAATGCCACACAGGCAGAACGATAAGCTCAGCCTACATTGGACTAAAGCCACACGTAAACACCACAGTCATCGCCGGAAGAAACTCCACGACGATCAGGAATGATTTACATACGTACTATAGACTATTGACTCGTAAATCGCCCTGTTCTCCGAATGTGTGCATTGCGTGGGCCCTCAAGGTTCCTCCGGTACCGCTGTTGGCTACTACTGCATGGGTACGAGGTATTACGCTCGGTGAGGTATTTCCTGAGTATAAAGCTGCCTGCCCCTCTTCCTTCCTTTCCTCTCCCCTTCTCTCCTTCTCATCACCACCACCGTTCACACAACACAGTCTACAAGTCGTATGTATCAAACAAACCTTTGACTTGCAGTGGTTCATCCCAAGTAGACGATCATCCGCTAACCATCACACATGCTAGAACCCACACTCGGTACGACCCCGCGAAGGGTACGAGTTACGCAATGTCCAAACGGTCTTCATCCAAGATGGATGCTATCACTACTAGTCAAGGTATTTTCAATAGTATAATTCATTGCACCGCATGACAGGTGTTCAATTGGTCTGTAATGCTTTGACCGTCAAAGTGTTACAGGCTGATTGTTCTGAGATTATACTGTCAAAACTTGATCTAGATAATACTAGCGAAAGGACATGCGTGGCTTTGATACCTGACCTCCTGGCTGTTCCCTGTCGGGGGAGCAGCTGACATGGAGTCTGCGTTGGCTGACTGTCTATAGTGATATCATACCATCAATTTTGTCAAAATGTCGACCGATAAGATCACCTTTTTGACCAACTGGTATGACTAGGCTTAGACTCTCAGTTTGAGAGACTTCGCAGAACACTGCTAATATCTACAAGGCACGCTACCCCGTACCATGCACCTCTCTACCTTGCTCAAAGCAAGGGCTACTTCAAGGACGAAGGACTCAAAGTTGCCTTGCTCGAACCCAATGACCCCTCGGACGTGACCGAGATCATTGGCAGCGGCAAGGTTGATATGGGTTTCAAAGCCATGATCCACACTTTGGCTGTATGTCTTCGAACGAGCTCCGTCAGTCCTGAACTAAACATCAACAGGCCAAAGCCCGTAACTTCCCGGTTACCTCATTTGGATCTCTCTTGGATGAGCCGTTCACCGGAGTTGTCTATCTCAAGGATAGCGGTATCACCACCGACTTCAAGACTCTCAAGGGGAAACGTATTGGCTATGTTGGAGAGTTTGGCAAGGTGAGTTACACGGCAACCTTGTTTATATTTGCATAACTGACATGCGCAGATTCAAATCGATGAGCTTACCAAGTACTACGGGATGACTCCCGATGACTACACTGCCGTGCGCTGTGGCATGAACGTCACCAAAGCCATCATAGACGGCACAATCGACGCCGGTATTGGTCTCGAGAACGTCCAGATGGTCGAGCTCGAGGAATGGCTGGCAGCTCAAGGCCGTCCCCGTGACGATGTTCAGATGCTCCGTATTGATCAGCTCGCCGAACTCGGCTGCTGTTGCTTCTGCTCGATTCTTTATATTGCCAATGATAGCTTCCTTGCGGCCAATACCGACAAAGTCACGAAGTTCTTGCGCGCTGTCAAGCGGGCTACTGACTTTGTCATTGCCGAACCGAAGAAGGCTTACGAGGAGTATGTTGACTTCAAACCTATCATGGGCACCGAAGTCAACCGCAAGATCTTCGAGCGCTCCTATGCTTACTTCAGCCGTGACTTGAAGAATGTTCCTCGCGACTGGCAGAAGGTCACCAACTATGGAAAGCGGTTGGGTATCTTGGATGCATCCTTCCAGCCCAATTACACTAATGACTTGCTCTCCTGGGGTCTCGATGCGGATTCCATCGATCCTATCGGTGACCAGAAGCGCATGGCTGAACTGCAAAAGAAGGTTGCTTCCGAAGGTGGTTTCCAGCGTCTCGAAGTTGCTGCTTAGCTCGGTGATCTCCAGATAGGATGATTGCGCTTACCTACTGACCAAAGTCGCTCATTTGTGGTCTATGAAACCAATGTAGTTTACTTGAGGGAGACTACCCAATTAAATTATATCACTACATTATTTAACACTATTTTGATCCTCGAATTGTAGACAGTGTATTGTGGCTGCGGGCAGATAAGTGCCCGGGTAACCATGTTTGGGGCTAACTGAGGGGTGTGGAGTATCTACGTAGCTTGCCAGGCACATCTATCTGACTTCCGACAACTTCAACGTTGCACTACTCGACAATAAATTCCAAAACTGCAAAGACAACAAAATGCAGTCCGGTATATCAGGTATGTTTCCACCAATTGACTAGAATATTGCTTTCTGTTTCTTCGAGCATAAGCTCCTACCATACCCCGCAATACCTATCTCAGAACCCTCAACTGACCGCTATTCTTTATGATAATACAGTCTCATCAGAGCTCCAAAATGCCTTCCAAGCATTCACCTCCGACGAATCTCAATTTGCACTCCCTATAACCATCGACTCCGAAAGCCTCAAACCCCGACCCTCAATCCCCTTTTCGGAGTCATCCTTCTACTCCTCCTTACCACAACTCCAATCCGTCCTCGAGCCTCGAACACCACTTTTCCTCGTCCTTCGTCACCATTCATCCTCCGTCGGGGGACTGGTGGCCTTGACATACATCCCCTCCAACGCCGGTGTTCGCGCAAAGACATTATTTGCCTCGACCCGCACCACATTGACTCGCGAACTAGGCAGCGAGAAGTTCGTAACCACGATTTTCGCGACGGAGGAGGAAGAAGTGTATGGCGAAGCAGCATGGAAGGAGCGCGATCTCGAGGGTAATGGGACTTCTACGTCGTCGTTCAAGAGAGAGGAGTTGATGGATGAGAAGGAGAGGGAATTGGAGCTTGTTAGGCGCGCCGAGGAGGAGGCTAGACATGGTACGGCTGGAAGGGATGTTGGGACGGGTGGGAGTTTGGGTCGAGTTAGTGGGATCGCGACGGGGGGTGGGATGGGGGTGAATATGCCTGTGGATGAAGATGCAAAGTCGGCATTGAAAAACATTCAAGAAGGGGGGTTGGTTCAACTGGTAAGTTTTGAGAATCTTCTGTGCTATTCACGTACTAATCTATTGTCTAGTCCATCGATGTCAAATCCGAAACCATCAAACTCAACGCTACCGAGTCCAATATCTCGCCGAACGAGGTGGCCTCGCATATATCGGACTCTTCGCCGCGATATACCTTCTATCACTATCCTGGGTCGAGCCTTGTCATCTTTATTTACACGTGTCCCTCAGGGTCGTCCATCAAAGAAAAGATGCTGTATGCAAGCACGCGTCGAGTGGCGATTCAGTTGGGTGAGGCGGAGGGTATCCGGGCTGAGAAGAAGGTAAAGAACCCTTCCTATTCTTGTTGAGTGATTGAATACGTGACTGACTGACTATGATCAGATCGAAGGATCGTCGCCGGACGAGATCACTGCTGCACGACTGCAGGAAGAGGTCGCTCCACGACAGGACGAAGGACCAAAACGGGGATTCGCCAGACCCAAGCGTCCTGGCCGATAGATGGCCGTAGAGTCCGATCAAGCGGCGTAGATGCATGCATATAGTATTTCATATGCCGTAACAGCGAGGAAAAAGCTAGTACTGATTCCGAAAATTCTTCTTCTGATAAAACAAATCGGTCCTCGAACTACCCAGGTTGATAATCTTGGGGCACCCATCGCGATCCTTCTCCAGACGCGTACACTCAAAGCAGTAAAAGGCGTCACTGATCCCCTCCCCACCACACACGATGCATTTGTTCTGGTAGTTGCCGAACGAGCATTCGTCGCACACGCGTACGAGGGTGGTTGGGCGAACGTAGGAGTCGCAGACGGGGCATTTGCCATCGCATTTGTCGCAGAGACGGCCGATGGAGATGCCGGGTTGTTTGCGGCACATGACGAGATCGGGGTGATGGCGAGACATTTTGCTTGTCGATTTCTGGTCAGATGTGAGAAAAGAGAGTAAAAGGCTGGGTTATGTACAAGTGTTGAGGAGTAGAAAAGCTTAGAAGCGTTTTTGATGTCGAGGTTCCACAGTTGGTCCGAGCGCCACTCTAGAATCTAAGATCAATCCGACTGTTCAGAAGACTAACAGTTACCCTTGCCACCGCATTCGACGTTTCTTTAGTATTCATTACCTCTTGGTGTCGTGACTATACTGCGCTCGCTTACAAAACAGTCGTTCGCCACCAACATGGCAGAAGAGTAAGTCTGCTTACACATCCTATCTAGCGCATTCTTTCCATGTCCTCCGACTCGACTGAGCTTACTGACGACACATTACAGAACTCTAGCTTCAGCAGTCTCCGTCCCTCAAACCCAAGACCTAGAACCGCTCCCTATATCTCCAGATGCAGGTCAAAAAAGACGCCAATCTTCAGTCTCTGAATACGGAGCCAAGCGGCGGCGCATAAGTCATGAAGGTGGTCGCTCACCGAACAACCACAACAATAATAACGACACTCGCCAATCACCCTCGCCAACGACAAAGCCTACCGGAAGAAAAGTCGCCGCAGCAGCCGAAGAGCGCAAACGTGGGCAAAGACTGTTTGGTGGCCTACTAGGCGCATTATCTCAATCATCGGCAACGAGCGCTCAAAAACGGAGGGCGGATATAGAGCAGAGACAGCAGGCGAAACTCAAGTTGCAGGATGAGCAGCATAGTGAGACCAAAAGGCGGAAGAAGGAGGAGCTTGTGGATGAGCGGAGGAGGCAGCAGAAGGAGTTGGAAAGGGCGTCGGTATGTTTTCCTCATCAAATGGTGTTTGGTGATGATATGCTTATGTGTTTGGTTCAGTTGACTTTAAGGCATCGAAATATGCTACAAGCGGCTGCATTTCTACGAACAAGGGTGGAACCTGTTTTGGTAAGTCGTCTATAGTGGAGACCGAGCATGTGGGAAATTTCTTTTTGAGCTGACGAGTTTGCAGTTATGGCGGCCTTTTGAGTTACGAGAGGAAGATGAAGACAAAATTTCCAGACAACGCCAAGATGCTCAAGAAACAATCTCCAAGGAAGAGTCCGAGTTCGAGGAACGCTGGCATAAACGAGAGCAGGAAGATGACAATATAGGACGCGAAAACGGGAAAGCTTCGGAGGATTCAAAAGAGCCGTCCGATAAACAAGCCGATACCTCTCAAGATATCAACAATGCTGCACACAGACAGTCGGAAGATGAAAATAAAGAAGCTGAAAACAGTGCACCATCGCCGGAGAAGAACGACCAAAACACAGACGCCGCGCATAATCTGTCGCGCGATGACGAAGGAGAGGAAGTCATGGAAGAAGATAAAGAGGACATGGTCCTCTACTAGCAGTTTACACTCACTGCGTGTATGAATATATACTATGCCATTTCGTTCTAGCTGTTGTACAATATCAGCACGATGACTGATTTCTCCATATTATCCCTTATCTTGTCAGAGTATACATGTAGGACGATATCCCCATCAACCGCATTATAAATTTAAAAACCGGGAATCTGAATACATCTAGCAAGTAAATACATTCAATATTCAATGTGTCATGACCAAAATGTATAACCGATGATCCTGCTGCAATACGACGCAACCTCGGCTTACTCCACTTTACTTTCTTACTTAGGGGTCAACGACAGCATCAGAGTCGAACATTGAACCTGACAACATACCAAACATACGAAAGAAGGAAAAATGGCTTCGAAAGTTGATAAATCTAACGTAGACAAGATCAGTTTTGATGGAGATTCACGAGTTCAGTGGCGAAAGGCGAATCTTAATGGACGCAAATACGGTATATACAACCCGGCTTATCTACATCTACTAGGCTAACTGTGTGTGTTCTCGAAGCATACATATACGGTGAACCGGCGTCTGGAAAATGGAATGCTACTGTCTTTTTGGTATGTTTCCTGTGTCTAAAAATGTTTTAAGGATGAAACTGACATGAGAATAGCTACATGGCTTCCCAGATCTGGCCGTCGGATGGCGATATCAGATTCCCCATCTGCTGAACCTTGGCTTCAGAATCGTTGCTCCTGATCAGCTTGGTTACGGACGAAGTGTACGCCCCCTTCCTAACAGACAGCACATTGAAAATATGCTAATGATGTTAAGGACGCTCCCGACGACTTTGAAGAATACGCCTTCAAGAAAATAGCTGCTGATTTCGCGTTGCTTGCTCAGCAGCTTGGGGAATCTCGCATTGTGCTTTGTGGTCATGACTGGTAGTCCTCTTTCCTTCAAAGAGATTTGACGTACAGCTGACAAAAACAGGGGCGCAGCACTAGCATACAAAATTTACCACCACCAACGCGCCTTAATCTCACACATCATAACCGTCTGTGTCCCTTACTCTGCTCCACGTGCAAACTACATTTCGCTCGATGAGCTGGTAGCTAAATTCCTGCCGAACTTTGGATATCAACTACAGTTCCAGTCCGGAGAAGTCGAAAAGGTCATTCGCACCAGGGATGATGTGCAGCAGTTTCTGCTTAGTTTGTACGGTGGCAGAACCGCCAAGGGTGAAGTTGGATGGACTGCAGAGAACGGAATCAAGTTGAATAAAGTGGGCAGTTTGCGGCCTTCGCCGTTGCTAAAGGGCGAGGTACGTATCTCTTCTCTTCTTTGCAAATCGGCACCTGACACATGAGAAAGGACCTGGAATTCTACACTACTGAATACTCTCGCCACGGTGTCCATGGACCCTTGAACTGGTACAGATTAACCGAAGTCAACTTCAATGATGAACAACAATACGCTTCAACACCCAAAATCGAGGTACCCTTACTCTTCATCCAGGCTCTGAGGGATCTGGCTCTGCCGCCTGAAAGTATGAGCAAGTCGATGGGAAAGACGATTCCGAATTTGACGGTCGAGCAGCTGAATACGTCGCATTGGGCGTTGACGGAGGATCCAAAGGGGGTCAATGAAGCTATTAGTCGTTTTCTTGGGAGATACTTTCCCATAAAGAGTAGTCTGTGATATCTATGCTTTTGATTATGTCGTATACAGTTGAAAGTATGAACTGCTAATCCAAGATCTTTGCTTCGAAATTGAATCCCCCCCTCTCTAGCTCCTCGACATATGCCTGCCCCAACGTCGCCGGCGTCACAAATCCAGCCGAGATATCCTTAATTTCCTTTTCGCGTTCGAGAACTATCTTCGCAGCAGCAGCAGACGTAATCCCCGTCAACCCATATAGATCGCCTCTATGCGAAATACTTCCCAGCACCTTTTTCACCTTCCCAGTTGTGGCATCTGTTTGGTTACTAGAGACCAATACGCGAAACTCGGAGTAATCGTTCACAGCCTCCTCTCTCGTCGGCCCGTTTCCAGGCGCAGGCACGAGTCTGCGCGCAATCCACCTGAATGGCGCGAACACGAGTAGAGCGACGCCAATCGTTAGCGCGTAGTGGAATGCTGCACCCAGCAACACATTGCGCACGCGGAGGTATTCGCGGTATGTGAAATGGGGACCGTAGAGGGATGACATGAGGGTACTACTGCGGATAACGGTTGTTTCGTCGACCATGCCTGAGGGGGATGATGTAAGTGTTCCCAGATCAGAGACTGCGCGGACGCCGAAGATTGCTTCGATGAGAGATTTGGGTGGTTTGGTGCGTGTGGTTGGGTACGGTGTGGCGGCGATGCAGTAGCTGTCCATGGATTTGATGAGGTCGGACGTGTTGGCGCTTTCGAGCGTGCTGATGACGGTGTAGGATGTGCCGCCACTTGCGCCGGAGGCTCTGTGACAGGTCAGGTTGACAGATCCCCCATCTGTACAGAAAGGCTTCAATGCTTACTTGATGTCGTATATACAGCCTACGGCTTCTGTAGGTTCGGCAGAGAGCTTTGTGCGAAGGTAATTCACGGTGTACCAGGCCACGATGTCCGGCGGTACGCTCTCAAAGCCACATGACGGAATGATCTAACATCTACGTTAGTAAGGTAAGCAAAAGTATGGAGGAAAAAAACGTACAATAGCTCCATTCTTTTTGGCAGTTTCGTGGTATTGATGTAACACTTTTCTCACCCACGGCGTCTCGCCCGTGCTGTATCTTTGTTAGCTATTGTCGCTTGAAACCATAAAATAAAGGGGAGGACAGACACGTCAACATAATGCGTGCCATTCTCAGCACACGCCTCGACAACAGGCGTGGAATACAAATGGTACGGACCAACGCAATTGACAATCAGACGCGTCCGTTTCGCCAGTGCGTGGAGATCATCCAAGTTCATTTGTACGATCAAGATTTCTACGAACATCATGTCAGTAACGACACACGATTAGATATACGCTGCAGGAAGCAGTAAATACCAGGATCAGGCCTATCAAAACCCAATTGTCGCCATTTCTGTACGAGACTCTCGATTTTGGAGTGCGAGCGACCTGCAACGGCCCATTTGAGAGTGTTCGGGAAGCTTTTGTATATATTTTCTGATGTGTACTGGCCTGTATAGCCTGTTGGGCCTAGCAGGACTAGATCGAATTCTCTAGACATTTTGTAAACAATAAATATAATTCGATATAAGTAAAGATATACAAGGATTATGTAGGACAAATATATATCTTGGAGTCTAGGGATAGCAGGGAAATAATGTACAGGTCGCGCCACCAAAGCTTAAGCTCCTCCGCAGATCTCATGTGAAGAATGTGCCTCGGCCACATCAAAACAATTCTACCCAAAACAACTTGATAACCGTTAAAAGTCTACATTGATAATTAGAGATGGGAAACACTTCTCTACAAGCCATCGCAAGGACGACCAGTAATGAAATGAAGACAATTCCCAAGCGAGAACAACACAGTCGAAACAAGCGACTGGTAAACATCTCTCCCCATGCTAGTAAACCAGCAGAGTGAAAATTTCAGTATGATCAAAAATTCCCAACTGACCCGCAGGCCGGTTGAAGTGGTCAAACTAGGTAGTTTTCAACTAGCAAAATCGATACCTCGGATGAAATCCTCACTGGTAATCGAACTGCCCGAGCACTAGGATAGGGAGAGAAAGGAAGAAGAAAAAATTGAGAAAGGACAACGGGAAGAGCTGTTTATATAGGCTGGAAAAATACAATAGCGCTAGTACTTTTGGGGGAGTTTGCACTGTTTGACGGCAAATTCTGCTAGGCAGCAGTGTCTAACCGGATCTGGCTTGGTGTGCACATCGAAATTCTTTGTTTGCCTTAGATTACAGGTATCAATATTTACTCCTCGTACTTGCCTCCTACTATCGACCACCGACTGTTCTCCAGTCGTCCCCTCAGATACTCATACACCGTAAATGTCACCGCCTGTCCCGGCGCGACACGCATCACTCGCGGCGTGATGCCCTTGTAGAACGCTTTCGCACCCTCCTGCTTGAACATCTCCCCAGCGATCAACGTAATCCGACCGAGCGCCGTCTGTCCCGGTTCGGCAGGTGTCCGCTGCAGACGAGTCTTGATGGTATCGATCGGCGCATTTGAGAACGGTCCCACGGCTCCCGATATCAGTCCAATGATAGTGGTCTGCCACGACGGAAGCTCGTGGGCATACTCCGGCTGCCACCTTTGCAGGGCCGATTTCAGCTCGGTGTAAGCCGTGAAGTTGGCGGCTTGGTTTGTGCCTTGTCGCAATGCTGTGAGTGAAACACCGCGATACAATGCGCCGAACCCTTCTTCGCGGACGACGGTGAATAGAGCGTGGGGCGCGCTGCGGTATTTGGGTGTGTCGAGGGGGTCGGCGAGGGAGTGGTGTTGGGCTTGGAGGCGGATTTTGATGACTTCCATGGGGTTGACGACCGCCACAGCTTCAGTTACACCTGCGGCAAGACCGGCTGTTACGTGTTAGTACGGTATGTATGAATTGAGCACCAGAATGACCTACCCAAGAATGTCGCTCTACGGGTGACATTGCCATTCTCATCGGTCATGAGTCCCTTATACCATTCGTATGAGGTAAATCGAATGGCCATCTTGGGGATGATACCACCCAACACTGCCCCGAGACCTTTATACAGACCCAACGCAGTTTCTCGCCTGACGATCTCGGCTCCGGTAGTGATGAATCCGCGCGGTTTGGCCTAAGCTGTTAGTTGCCATACCATAACTTGGGTTTATGGCATACATACACCAGGTGCCCTTGCTCTTCGTGACAATTGCATTCGGACTTTGATTGTGTCTGCGATTGTCAGTAAGACGACTTCACGGGTTGGCATTTGTCATACCTAATGGATGGCAAACGAGAGCTTCCATCATACCCGCACCACCACCGGCTAGAAGATTTAGCATATTTGCATCAACATGAGAAGTATAAACATAAGCATACCAATGAGGTTGGTGGCAGGCGACGCCGGCTTTTTGCCATTGCCGTTCGATGCCTTGGTCGACATCGTGTCTATATGCTAGATTTGAAATTGTCGGTCCGCGTACTCCACGAAGTGATACAGTTCTACTGATTTAAGTCTATCGTGTTCGCTCCTCGTGTCACCGGTTTTGCTGCATCACAGAATATCTTCTAAAGCTTGCTAGGTGTAGTACCAAGCGAGAAACAGACTCAAATGAATGATCTAGTATATGCAAGCAAAAGACCGAGAATAGTATGTCCACACACAGGTGACAATTCCAACTCCGCGAGTCTGGTCGGAAATATGGGGGTGGCGCGTAGAGCAGTCTGGAGTCTGGACGAGCGGAAGTTGTACCAGATAAACTCAACTCACAGCGGTTCAAAGGAAGTGGAAAAGACAAACAAGTTAAGAAACTAGGTATCAGCCAGAGAGCTAAGGGACTATTATATTCGGGTTGGATTCAATGGATTGACTCATTCTTCGGCTAATCGAAGTCATGGATTGATTGCCCATGGCCTGCCCGTTCTGTATACTCCATATTTCCGTGTTTGGGCGGCTGGATTCCGAGGCTATGGTTGATGTCATTTAACCAGTCATGTCTATCGGCTATGGCTAACGAAGCTACGGAGTACATCATTCGATTAAACCCTTTCTAGGTTTACAGAACGAATTGAATAATGTGGTAAAATGTTAGCCAGCCAGAGCACGCAACCAGATACTGCTTACTGCTCTATCATGTGAAAGACATACATTATGATCCCTCAGAGCAATCACGCTGACGTAGCTCTGAGCAGTAAAGCCAATCATTTGCGCGCATTGCAGTGTTACCAAATATCTTTACCTTATTTTGTAATTGATTGAGGTGTTTGATTTCGGTAGTCTGTCTTCTGACCTCCCAGTGTCTGGAATTGGTTGCGGGTGATTTCGGGCGAGCGCTTCAGGGAGTTTTGAGCGATTTGGAACCGAGGTTGTTTGCCAGTGTCTGGGGAGCTGGGATATCCGAACTTCGGACCGGGCAGCGAGTGAGTCAATGATGTTGCGTGTCCTTGATTGTGTAGAGAATATAATCGGAGTTGAAAAGGATAGAGAGCCACTGCTGGTGATTTGGCCATATTCGCTGATCTCTTGATGTAGTTGACGAGTTGTACAGTAGCTGGTTAAGTAATAAGCAGGGTGAATCCTAATCCTTATCGTTTTTGCGGGGAAGCAAGCATAGCTGCTTATCTGCACGTGCCCTCGATTCTTGCCCGTCTAAATTCTACAAACACCAACATACGTACATTTATTTAGAAGTCGTTTCTCGTATCAATGCAAATCACTCAAAAACACCCTCCACACTCTCAGGATCACGCTTCTCCGCCCTCTCCAACCGCCCTTTCCACCACCGCAGAATATACACCATAAAATGCGCCACGAAGATCTGCTCAGTCGTGTACAGCAGCACCGGGATCGAAGTTTTGGACTTTGTATAGAGATCCATCGAGTCGTACATCGCGTATAACAGTGGGATACCGAGTGCAGTCGTCTTGGCCGGCCCACAGAAACACACCGCAATCGCTTCTTCGGGAGGCATGGGACGAAAAACGCGTTTTCCCCAAGCCGTTCTTGTTAAGAGCCGAGGAGGTCGGGCTAACGTGAAGCAAACCACCGTCAGAAACAGATACAACGCCACATTGAACAGCACGGTGAATATGACAGTCTGCGTCGTAAGCGCCTCCAGGGAATCCGTCGCGAACGCAGATGAAAAAGTCGTCCAAACCAAAAGAATCATACACGCCGTACTAAACTTTGCGACGTAGAACTTCTGCAATACATAGACAGTCTGCTTTTCCCACGTCCATCGGACCAACTGCCCAACGACCAAGGGTAACAACGCGCTCAGGCCAAGCTGCTTGAATACATCGCGATACATCTGGCTCATATCACTACTCCCGCTCCTCCAGGGCTCAAACTCAGCCGTCTTCGGCATGAGCGTCACCGTCCACCCAGCCGTCATAAACGGGCCTAGAAAGTTCGCAATAAGCACTTCGACTAGAGCAGCCGCATCATCGCCGCCGGCGGATCGCGTCATGACCACATTCGACGCAATAGTCGTTGGAATCGCAGAGGTGAGAATGTAACCCGCCAACACAGCAGGATCAATCAATCTCGCTGGATCAGTGGCAATAATCAGATGCACAACCGCCAGTACCACGGCGGGCACAAGCAGGAACGAAGTAACCTGCACCAATGCATGAAGTCGCCAGTTGAACATATGCGTGTATAGCTTTGAGCGTGGGATACTTAGCCCAGAGATCAGAAACACCAATCCAACAGCGCCGTAGAGAATGCTGTCTTGCGATTTGATGGTGCCGCCGTGTTTGCCGACATTGGGAAATAGGTAAGCCAACAAGCAAGCGATGCCCATGCCGATGATGAGCCATTGGCTTAGGATTAGGAGGAGAATTTTCTTGAGGATTCTCCATGCCCGATTTGGTGGTTTGATGATCTCCGAGCCATGGCCTTGTGTTTCTGGATTGTCAGAGACGATTTGTGCCTCTGTTTCTGTCCCCATCCCGTCCACACAATTAAGGTTCGTCAATTTAACAGGGTCGATATATTATACTTCTCGCCATAAACCACATTATGACAATCATATACACCCAATAGCCACAAGAAAATCAAAAACAGATGTTTTGTAGTAGATAATTGACGATCAAGATTAGATCTTGTTCTTAGTTCTTTTTACTCCTCCACCATCGGCCAAAAGACCGATCTTGACCGACGCTTGATTTTTTAACCGGCTGCATGGCCGCCTCTGCATTAGGGCTAACTAGCGCTGTAGGATCAAAATGCATGCATTATGTATTGCTGAAAGTTCCTATGTTGATTCGATGTTTTTCATTTTACTTCATTTTTTCAAAGAGAGACTCGGATAGAATGTGGGCGGATTGGCTTCTACAGGGAGGAGGTTCAAAATTGTACAGACAACATTTGAAGAGTCATTTTCGATATATATACATGTGAAAGCTTCCGAAATGTACCAGAAACATGTCTGTTCCTCATATGTAGCTGACCTTCATACCCATTCCAACCGTCCCTCTGATCTTTTGCCAGCTCGAATTGGTCAATCGTTGTATCCTAGCGCGAACATCCTGTCTGCTCAGCGCCAGAACAAAGCCAATTGTGAAAAGCAACGTGCGAATAGTTGCCATTGGATTTCCGGCAACGGAATTCTGCACATGCTGCAAGATATTCCGAATAACATTGTAGAAAACACGTATACGTCGCGACAATGAGGCTGCGGGCTTTTCTCGTTCTCCGACATTTTTCGACGTTGACGACGATGACGACGGTGTTAAAGCTGTTCGCCTTGTAGTCGCAGACTTGGATTTCTTATTATCGTTGCTTGGGCCTGGTTTATCCGCTCCTTTGACAGCAGATCTGCCTTTGGCAGCACCATTAGGATGACTCTTATCAATCCCATAGTCTACTTCACTGTTTGCCCTCCTGTGACCCGCGGAAGCCTTTTGCGCTTTCTCTGCTGCGGCTGCGGCTGCGGCTTTTCGTCTTTCTTCTTCCTCTTCCTGTGCTTGTCGCTCTAATTCCGCTTCCTTCTCACGTTGTAGCTCTGCCGCTCGTTGATTGCCACGCTCCTTCTCCTCTTTGAGTTCGTCCAAAGTCTGAAGGAACACCTCTTTTCGTTCCTCGTCAAGGACTTCGCTGAGGCGGATAAACTCTGCGGCGTAATCCCATTCTGCGTTTTGGGGCAGAACGTGTAATGTAAATAGTTCGATGATTTTCACTCGTGCGGCCAGATCTTTCGGAGTGTCCGTTCCTCCGTTTCGGGTCAGTCGTCGAGAGCCTGACGCTGAATTCTCCATGTATGCGGCTACGTCCAGGTCTGGTTGATGGTATGCAGACAGATAGCTTTCGAGACGCTGTTGGTTGAGCGTTTGTGACGGTGAGTGCGTGAGTAGTAATGTACCTCTGTAGCCAATGGTTAGCTGTGATCTTTGCGTACAATGTACGAGTCCAATACTCACAAATTGTTGATTACATCCGCATCAACGGAGCCTTCCAGGCCTTGATAACCGGTCTGCACAATTTCCTCCCAAACTGACCCGTCGCGCACCTTGGCTACCAAAGCTTTCCATTCTTTCTGTCCAAACTCCTTCTTGCCTTCTTCTGGTCCGAGATCAATGATATTGCTGAGCAATGTTATATACAGGTTCCAAACTTTTATCCTCACATTGCTTGATGCATATGCGATCGGTGCCAGTGTCGACGTGTTGGCGTCGCCATTCGTGATCTGAACGTCATCGGAGGTGGTTGGCGCTGTGATAATTGGAACGAGAGTGCTGTAGGATTCTTGGAGACGGCGCGTCAGAAACAGTTGCGACGCCGATTTGTATGTTTGAGAGCATATTTTTGAGCTGGGGAGGGATGCAGTTGAATTGTAGAGAGTCTGCGACGAGGACATGTGGGAATCGTCTTGCTCGGCCATGATGGCTGGGTCCACAGCTCGATCGGACTGACAGAGTGCGTGCTGAGTGCTGAATAAACAGAATGAGTTCTGTGCAAAGGAATTGAGAAATCGACTGACAAGCGAGTTGATTCTGCAGTGTGATAGTATGAACAAGAAAGAAAATCACTCAGAGAGAGTGAGCACGAAGCTCTGGTGACTGTTATCCTCGGCTCGGCGCTGAGTGGGTAGCTCCTGCTAGCGGCGTCCGGGGTCTAACTCCGACTCTCCAAGACTGTCATTCGTTGGACACTTTGTCTATACAATCACGAATTGCTTCAACATACTTCTAGTGACTTATGAGCTTGCATATAACTAATCATCTATTGGATGGATGAGGAAATATACAATGGTCGCTCCATGCTAGGTAACCTTGTGGAAGTTTCATACACATCTCACTTTTGAAACATATCGACACAATATTCCACACCAAGCTATAGCTGAGCAGAGCGAGGCCTGACAGCTCAACTTTGAAGTTCTGAAACTTGTTGAAGCTATCAAACGGTCACTTTTGGTACTGAATATGGACTTTCCAACGTGGGATACGGTCACAGGCCAAACCTGGACTCACCACTTCCCACATATCCTTCAGGACATCAGCGAGTGTGCATTCGTCGCCCTTGATTTCGAATTCTCTGGTATCCCCACATATCAAGGTTCTCGTCGACAGACTCTCCAGCAAAGATATGCAGAAGTGAAAGAGGCAGCACGGACTTATCAGATCCTCCAGGTAGGGCTGACGATTGTGAAGGAAGATGCTGTCGTAGGTGAGATTAGCTAACACATTTCTCTTATGATCACAACAAGCTCACACGAGAAAGGAACATACACTGTCAAGCCATACAACATTCATCTAAGCCCTTTGATCGATTCCACCCTGCGTATTGATCGAACATTCGGCTTTTCAAGCGGTGGTATGTGTATTCGCCGCCTCGACACACGTCTGTATTAACCTTGATGCCGTAGCCATTCAATTCCTACTGAAATCTGGGTTTGACCTGAATGCGCCATTTCATGAAGGTGTGGCGTATCTTTCAACGAAAGAAGAGGAGCAAGTACTGGAGGACGCACATCAACATAACAGCAGCCGCTTAGGGACGGGAACGGTCGCTCAGATAGTGTTGTCCAAGGGAGATGCAGAATCCGTGGCTTTTCTTGCTGATGTGCGAAAGGACATTGAAGAATGGCTCAGCGTGGGTGAAGTAAGTCACTTGAGGCAAATTGTGAATCACTAGCGAAAGATTGAAAGCTTACACCTATTAGGGCAGACAAGACTATCTAAATGTCCCATCACGGAATGCCGCACCGAGAAATGGTAAACCTGCTGTGACGAGCTTGAATCGCTTCCAGAAAAGACTGGTGCATCAGCTTGTCGAGACCGAATTTCCTTCACTTACATCAATAGGGTGTCCTGACTTTATAAAGATTGTCAAATATGACAAGGAAAGGGAAGATAGAATACGCCGAGATAAAATCAACCGTGTCGAAAAGCGTCTACTAGAACTTCGTGGCTTCAGATGGCTTATCGAAGCGTTGACAGGGGGCGACCTTTCTCAACTGACACCTCAGGTCTTTCAACCTTTAGTTGGGGTCGTTGAAGAACAAGAGAATGCCCTTGCTGTCTATAAAAGGACTGTTAATGGATTGAAAAGCAAGAATGGCCGAATTCCGCTTGTTGGACACAATCTGTTCATGGATGTGGTTTACTTGTGGCAATGCTTTTACGGTGGTCTACCAGACAAAGTCGAGGAATTTGCGGTCCTACTTCATGAGAAGTTTCCTTTGTTGATTGATACAAAATACATCTTCACCCATGATTGTGGCGATATGAATCCGGTGGCCTCCTTGGATGATATCGCCAAAGCATACGAGAACGTCACTAAACCTGAAATTAGTAAGTTCTGTCGATGTATAAGCCGAATGTTGCTGACTGCCCTAGTAATGGACGCAAAGCACATACGATATCAGAACGCCGCATGTCCGCACGAAGCCGGATACGACAGTCTTTTGACAGCCCAAAACTTTCTCAAGCAAGCTGTGCAGTTGCCTGGTGCCCGCCCGAGAGCGTCATCCATACAGTCGCAGCACACCGAGTCTGTTTCGGTCCAGCACACAGGAGGCATTGTGAAAGCTGCTTCCAAGATGACCTTGACGAAGCACAACGGCAGTGAGACCATCAATTCTCGCACCAAATTTGCTGGCAAGAATGTTTATGAGACATTGGAAAGCATTGACTCTGAAGCGAGCATCGACGCACCGACTGGGGCCGTCTCTGGTCCTGAACTCATCCCATCCTTCTCGGCGCCAGTATGGAAAGTCTACGGAAACAAGCTCCGCGTCTTTGGGACGCAAGAGAGGGTCTTTAAATTGGATACCGTAGGTCGATGATGAGAGCGAGCTATCGGTTTATTCTTAAATTCATACCATCAACTAACGAATCTAAGGGTTACATCAACCCAATTATAAAGGAGAAAAGATGTAGGCAGCGTCTATCTAACTGTACACCTTGTAATGAGAAGGTACCGCTAGCGAAAAATGGCTGCAACGCTCATCTGAGCACCGTTAAATGGTCAACTAGCCGTGTAAGAAATGGCAGCTAGGTGAAGATAAGGTAGGTGCTCGGGTTGTAGAAGAGAGAAAAAGGAGGAAAATGAGCCGGTGTGGATTTTTCTTTTGTAGTGGTCGACGGGTCACGCGGCGCCTAACCAACTCGGGGTTAGTGTGGATTTCGGAAGACCAGACGGAGCTGTGAACTTTTCTTGAGTATCAAGACGACTCCTGTGTTTCTGCGACGATAGAACCCACGGTCGAAAGAAAAGAATGGCGACAGGGTCACAGGGAACGAGGAGAATGGCTTCTGCCATTTGTATGTTTTTACTTTTGGATTTCCAATGATCATTGGCTAGTTGCAACATACTAACAAAACTTTTCTATACAGTGCGGCCATCATCCAATTCCACCGTCTGCAGAAGCTGTCAAGAAACACTCACCATCMCCCGCCGCAACTACGCCTCCGCAGCATCGACAGTCGTCAGCGGCTCAGACACCTCCAAAACAGAGATCCCACTCGCCTCCAGCTCCGAAGCCGCCGGTTCACCAGCATTCGACATCAAAGCCGGCGTTGTCCTCTCTCGCCCTCCGCAAATCACCCGCGACCTGACCCCCTTTGAAAAATCATTCTTCTTCTACCAAAAACGACTCAACGAGCGACTCGTGCTGCCCTTTACGCGCTACTTTTACTTCAAGCGCGGTACACCGGCCGACGAGGACTGGAAACGGAAATACAAAGACCGTCTCACCCCTTCTCGCGACATTGGTAAATACAACGCCTATGCACCTGAGGCATGGAACGATGAGTTGCTCGTGGGCTCTGCAGAGGCGGAGCCGGAACATCAGGTAGAAATGCTGCTGCGGGATGCAGAGCTTGTGACTACCGCATCGTCGGAAGGCGCAACTACGAAAAAAGTCGACATTGAGCGTCCAGCCGCTCGGGTGACGGAGGCGGACAAACAGAATGATCAGAAGAGTTTGGATAGGTTGTTGCAGAGGACGTTGTATTTGCTGGTCAAGACGAAGCAGGGATATTGGAAGTTTCCCAGTTCGTCGGTGGGATTAGAGGAGAATCTGCGTTCGGTATGGTCTTTTTCTTTCTCTTTTTACGCGAATTTACGTACAACGGCGTACTGACTTCTAATAGGCAGCGGAGCGCACCCTCTCTCAATCCGCAGGTATCAACATGAACACCTGGTTCGTCGGCTTCCACCCTATCGGTCACTACTCGTATAAATTCAAGGCCCCCAAACCCGACCCAGCCTCCAAGGAGCTCATCGCAGGCGAAAAGACATTCTTCCTAAAGAGTCGCATTATGGCTGGCCAGGCCGATTTGCAGGCCAATACGCAGGAGCTCGCGGACTACAAGTGGCTCSCGAAGGAGGAGATTCAGAAGTTTGTGTTGCCGCAGTATTATAGCAGTATCAAGAATATGCTTGCGGATCGGTGATCTCTTCGTCTCGCGTGCATTTTTCTTTTTCGTCATTTCCTTTCATGTAGTATAGCAGGAAGAAGGTTGGGTTGATTTTGTATGTAAATTAGAATTAGGTATATCCAACACATCAGATGACTGATACTACTCGCGCCCTGCATTTGATTCCTAGCTACCTAGGTAGACTATGTAAGTATCTCGCCTCCATATACCGTTTTGATCACGAGTAGCCAAGCTTTTCAAACCCTTGGCCTAAACTCTTACTCATTCGGGTCAGTACCGCCAACTTTTCCGGCGAGGGCTGACGAATATCGCCTTCCGCTAGATTGCGCATTGCGTACACAGTTTGGCGGTCAGGATTGAAATCTCGTGCATCCCAAACACACCTTGTGTGCCATGCTGAAAACCTAGCCACATAGAGCTATACTAGGGACTCGTCATGTACGCTGACCATCTTTCATGACTGAACTAGTGGACTGCACTGTGCAGGTGATGGTCTGTTCATCTTGTGTGCCATTACATGAGTAGGAAGAAGTAGACTACGTAGCCCGTAAAAATGCATCAAAGCACTCGGTGGGAGTTCCCTGAAACAGTAAGCCAAAGCAGTAAGCCAAGAAGGGAATGGCAAAATCCCGAGTTCCCCAGATGATCACCAGTCATAATGCAGCATGACATCAAAATGCAAAGCTATTTTGAGCAACCTGTAAGAAACTTAAGAAAGTGTACGAGATGAGGCTGGCGAGATGATAAGCGCCTCTTTCACCGGCATCTTGAATCCTATCATCTTGTACGTACAGATTTCCGAGGCGATCCACTTGTCGCGCTTATGGAGCCCTAAGAGATTCCCACATCGATTTGTTTGTTGTCGGTTCGGTATGATTGGCTGCGCTATGCCACCTTCAAAATCAACAAACATCACCCAGCGGCCCCCAATTGATCAATCACTGTTGAAGAACCGGATCACGCGCAAGTATTTGCGGCAGTCCAAGGCCAGCCTTCTTGACGTGGGGTGTGCCGGTGTACATCGTCTTTCCAAAATTGTCGCCTTCGTTCGCGGAACAACGCCAATCAGGTTGGGCAACAACTGCACAGCGCCATTCCTCAGCTGGCGGCGAAAACCAAAGAGAGTTCAATATGGGCCAGAGTTGCATAGCATAACGCATGAGTAGCTCGATTAATTTGAGTTAGACTTTCGCACAACTCAGCGGCGCACATTTCGGCATCGGGTCTTCATGTACTATATAGTATGTGGGTTTTTGCATGCAACACCTGCAGCAGGCAAATCGCAAGCCATGCTATGGTCGCCGTAACCGGGCTTCCGGGACAGACTAGAGCGAAGACATCGGTCCCACCGAAAACCAGGAAGGAAACATCTAATTAGTACGGAGCCGCTGCGGCAAACAGAATTTGTTTGCCATCAGAATGCCGTACTAATATAGAGAGAGATGTAGAGTGAGACGCGGGTTGGCTGCATTCCGGCGACTCCGTTGGTACATGGCATGGCAGAAGAGGGTCGGTTTGTGAGTTCGATCCGTCTGCTGGACGGGAAGAAATGGATAGATGATAACTAACGGCCGAATGATGCGATCTCGAATCTCAAATTGGGCCAAGGGATAGATACCACACGTTCGGTTGTGGTGAGTAACACCAGTAGGCTGGCTTTCAGCTCGTGACCGGAGACGAGCAACCAGCAGAGCCACCAGGCCGGTAGATATAGACAACGGAATTGGAGCCCGGAAAAAGGATGGCAGCCTTATGAAGTAGATGGCAGGTAGCGATATTAATTGCAGTAGAGTACTATGTAGGTCTGCGAGTAACGTAACTGCTTCGGGAAGTAGAAGAAGCAGTGGCCGGCCCACTCGCAGGGAGGCAGGGCTGGTTCCTGGCGGGAAGGTGATTGCTCCGTAGTTAGCTCTTTCCCTGTGGCGATCCATCCATGTCTTTCTCCTCTTACTACGTACATAGTAACTACTAACTACTGCCAACTAGTGCAACTACTCCATCTCGAATATCGTCTGTTTGTTGTCTTTTCAGCTGGCTTCAGACACCGCTAAGCCCTATTTGCATCTGCTCCCCAGTCCAAACCAACCATCCGCTTTTGTCTTCTCGTCCATGTCCGCTTTCAGTCGTCTGTCTGTTTTATGTTACCGTGCGCCACCATGGATGGATCCTTAAGTAACCCATAATAGCCCACACACGCGCCCAGATGGCTGAACTTTGCTTTTGCCGCTCGACAAGATTCTCACCTGCAGAAGACCAATGCTCTATTTCGCCAGATCTACTTTATACACAGTATATCTTCTTGACGACTACATCATCATCAGCATCTAATTATTGACGTGGTTGATTCCAGACACCGACGGTCGGCTTCTTCACAGCTTACATACAACTTGGTCAGAAACCAGTCAGCAGCCTCAAAAGCAAGGCAACCATTGGACTCTCGCCCTGCTATCCGACCTCGCGAGTCACGAAACTTGCCCTTGGCTGAACCCTGTTCGAGTTCGCTGACACACTGCTCAGACCTCCTGCAGCATATTGGCAACAGGCAATTGCCCGTCACCCACGCAGTAGGGTAACCTGGCTGTAAAACATAAAACTAAGGTACGGTATGCTACAATCTTCCTGCAAGCCTGGTCATATCAGCATTTGTTAGTATATCGTGTTTGTGGTTTCTCGTCGTTGTATTCTTCTCCGTCAGCTCCGGTATCTATATCATCATGGACCACTTCTCGGCCAACTGATATCGCCCTGCTCTCGTCAGTCCTACCGGTACACTGTGCATATCAACTATACCGTGCTTGGATCATCTGGACTATCAAGTTCGTATCGCCTTGTATCTGTTTAGTGATCCGGCCGCATTGGGTTAAACGCTAAGCCCCATCAGCGCTTCCGTTTTCGAGTCATTTCGTTTTGTTTAGACTCATTTGAGCTCCGCTTCGGGCCCTTCCAACGGTCTCTTACATCAACGCTAAATCGCCTATTTCCCACTGCTGTTTGATGTTGATTGATTGCTTCTTTTCTTTTCTTTTTTCGCGTCATTGTTCTGACCTTCCCAAGTGCTCAACAGGCCCGGCGGTTATCTGTGCGGAGAAACCCTTAGTCCAACTGTAACGGATGCGAAAAAAGCAATCACGTTCTTCCCTGTCTCCTTAGTGCTATCAGCAGCCTCACTTTTGTAAAGCGAATCACCTAGCTGTTTACCCCGTGTGGGTTATTGTCGCGATCGCCTCGACCTCTTACCATCAGCCCTGGTTCTATGATACGCGTGCATCGGGTATCATCCATTTGGCATTTGGTTTGTCATTCTCAGGAGTCTCGATATCTTGACCTTCGGATCTCGGAGCGGAGGTTCACGAGCCACTGCTCACGCAGATCTCCCAGCGCCCACGCTCTCTAGTGGTATTCGAGTCATTCCGCGCCGCCTAGGAGCTCTATTGCGACAGATTGCAATTGCGAGGCGCTCAATTATTGGTTGCATTAGGAGTTGATTGGTCCTAGTTGAGCATTGGCCGGTTTTTCTCTCCCATCCTTACCTGTTCACTCTCTTTCTCTGGAAATCATTTCAACAGAAGGCCCTTCATTTCATAATCTGAATATCAGACGAACAAATCACAATGCCTCCGGATCGCTCCTCATTCACGGCTTTGAATTTGCCTTCGAGTTTCTCGCTACCGGTATGTATGGATTACTTCACTCTTTCCGCCGGCCCGAACACAGACCTCTGGAGAAAACCGCCCAATGGAGACACTTCGACAGCCCCAATGGTCTTTACCTCCTTGCGACGACCCTTTGTCGTAGCCGAAGTCACCATCAGCGCCGACTGGGAGATGGAATGGGATCAAGGCGGCCTTGTTATCTTTGCCGGAGATTCTCCTAGCGAGTCACTACCGACCGAGTCCCTGCGATCGTCATCGGAAACCGATGTGCGTAGCTTCAACACGATGCGATCGCATTCACGTGGACATTCTTGCAAATGGGTAAAAGCAGGCATGGAATTTTCCTCGGGCACAGTCAACGCAGCATCGGTTAGCGCGACATCGGACGGAGCAGACTGGTGTTTGTCGCCGCTGGCCATGCCCAATATACCGACAAACATTACGTCGCTGCGCATCAAGCTCGAGAGAGTCGGATATTCGCTCTGGATCTGGTATCAGATTCCGTCCCTGTCGCCGTATGCCGCCACGCCGGGAGCCGTGGGAAGTACATGGAAGAAGCTTCGCGAAGTCACTTGGTTTTTCTACGGAGTCGAGGACAAGTGTGTGCATGTCGGGGTATATGCCAGTCGGCCAACCAGCATACAGCGAGGAGGCACAATGTGGGAAGCAATGAATGGTATGCGAATAGATGATTCGAGTATGGGCGGTGGAGGAGACCGATTGGTTGTTGAATTTGAGGATCTCGAGATATTCTGATTGGATTGCTCCGGGTTATGACTTTGTGACGACATTGACGACTTTCTCTTTTCTTTCTCTTTTCGCTTCATGTACAAATCAACCGAGCGTCGGCTTGGGATTCTCCATTGTTGTTTCCATGTTTTTTCCTAATTGGCTTTTTTTTTCGGGACTTTAATTTTCTGCTGTGTGAATTGAAGGTGTTTGATGGTTCATATTTGTCCCTACATGGTCGAATGTAGTTGGTGTCATGAGATTGTGCGAATTCCTGTGTTTTTGTTTTGTTTTTTCCTTCTTCTTCCTTCTATCAGGTCCCTGCTTCTTTTCTTTCTTCTCCTTTCTTCTTTCGCGTATCAGACGACTCGATCCAATGAACAAAAGCAGCCCGATGCCATTTTCTCGACGAACGGTTATGTATCTAGCAAGGAGTAAGGAAGCGATCAATGGTTGAGATCTCGAATGTTGCGTCATGGCGGATCGAGGCTCGAATTTTCAMCCCCYCMCCCCSCMCCCGCCACGACGATCATCACCACGCTACCATAGTATAAATCTTGACCAGCATCGATGATATTGAACGTACTCATTGCAGTGAAGATTTGTGGATGTCGCCAATCCACGCTGGTCCAACGTTTTGACCGGACATTGTAGAAGACGATTGCTGTGTGACTGGGCTGGTTACTCTCGAGACTTGTCGCAACATTCACGACTGTCTAGCTTCTACGAAGCTGGAAGTCTGAGAGGAAACCAGTATACCCCGGCTACCTAGGCAGCTATATTGTATGTACTTGCACGTACCTAGGTGATCTTGAGACCGACATCGAGGTTAAGACTACGTATGTACGAAGTAACGAAAAGTTTTCAAGATGTCTTTAAATCAGCGGTCGATTCTCACCTGTCGTGCATACGTATATCTAAATCACTAGAATAGCCAATGTAGCTTAATCGATTGCGTGTATAAATGTTGTGCATGTCTCATGGATCCGTGTGGACGAATCAATGCTTGAGACGGTGCGTATTATGTCTGCCTGGCTATAGTTACATAGTATACGTCGTGGACAGGGCGAGTACTAAGTAGTAACTTACTACGTAAGTCTATAGACGTGCACGAGGACGTGGATTGTAACGATTGGCTCGGTGTGTTGTATCGACTAAGAACTCATTTCGCACTACATAGTCATGCTATGTACTCCCTTGTGGCAACATCTACTTCCTGCCCAGTGGCCATGGTTTACAGGATTGATGATCGAAAGCGATGACTTGTCATTCCTCATTTCATGGGCAGTGATTTGAGTGTGTGCCTAATCACGCAATGGTCGTCGAGATCATCGAATGTGTCGATGCTGATACTTCTCTTCAGACAGGAATTGGTGCATGGCGGATGAAGATCATATGCGAACCATGTGCGTTTACTGCGGTCCTCTGTACGAGTATCAAAGCTCMCCCCGCCACACTAGACTTTTTAAAGTACACATGCTCATAAATCATAAATAATTATCATCTGATAATCATGCTCTTGGCCAAAGATGAGAGAGATGTCTGGCGGTGACAATGCAGCGGCAAGATGGGCAAGATGCAAGATGGCGGTGAGAGCACCATAACAGCCTGAGCTTTTAGGCTTCTGTGTCTAGCCTCGTCTGGTATAGCGCCCTCCACCCGCCCGCTTTTTTTTTTCTTTTTCCCTCGGCCGCTCAATTGTTTGGTTTTTTCCTAATTGGTTAGTTCATCCTGCTGCTCTGGAGTTGTACAACTCATCGCATGCTCCAATGCCATGTCACCATGGTGTGAATTCACAACTAGTATGCTCTTGAGAATGCTCTTGCATCACCGTTTATTTTCTACATGAGTGAATATCAATTCAGACCGAAACCGAACTCTTATCATGCCCCAAAACCAAAAACTCAACGTCGGCGCTAAAAGAGCTCATGTGGGCGCATCACCTCACTCCCACTCTCAGTCACTCTGTGGAAGTTGCATCAATCAATTATGGAGCCAAAGCTCCGTCAATCAGTCCGTGTGCTGCAGTAAATCCCTCGCATAGGAATCTGCACCTAAAAATCTTGAAACCCTGCATAAACCGCGCCGGTTCTCCAATCATTACTGATTGGTATCAGGTGACCGTTCTCGCGGTCTCACTTGATTGCGCCGTTTTTTTGGTTATTTGCTGTCAATTGACCAGCGATGAATGATAAATTCAACTACCTCCTCTCAAGTGTTTCATCAATTTTTTTCTTACTCTCCCTATCCGGGTGAGTCACTACCGGCTTCTACGGCTCTACCTAATCCCGTCGGCTTCGCCATCTGCCCAAAGCTTCTGGCGCTAGCAACATGGATACGTAGTATGGTCACTGTGACAACGAAGAATAAGCCCGGGTGTCCCAAGAGCCAGAGGATACGCAAAGAAGAGGGCAGAAAGAACTTTGCCCCTCTGTTCTTTACTGTTTCGGGAGCTAGTGGCTTTTTGTTAGTGCTGTGTTAGCTGCGAACTAGTTTTTATTCCATCACTCCATCCGAGAATGGGCTGCTCTCGGAGATGGGTAAGATATCATATGCACTTCAGAGTTTGCTTTGGAATCTTCGTTTTGATTTCTCGATTATCGTCTAGGGGCTGTACTGTCTCGAATACGTTGTAGAAAATGAGCTGCGTAGTGTATATAATTCAAATCATGTAGAATGATTAGCAGTAAGTAGTAAAAGCTCACGAGGGCAGTTCCGTCCGCAAGGTGGTAGCAACAGAGTTAGGTGCCTAATTAAGTCATAGCTTCGGCTGTTATGGTGGAGAGTTACTTTAGGCCGGTAGTAGGTCGATACCTATGTAGTCTTATATATTGATACTTTTTTGCCTGAGGATCGAAGAAATTTTCTTTCTTTTCCTCCTTCCTCTTTCCGTTTCCCACGCTTTCCCGCTACACCTACATCCGCCGTACCTATTGGTAATCCCCGTTACGAGTGTTATGATAATTGAAGACGAACGTTGATACCCAGTTCTTGTCGTTGTCCATTCTGTATTTCTGTTCTGCTTATCAATTCCCCGTTTCGTTTTTTCGTTGGAACTTGAAGCTCAGGAGCTGCTTGCTGTATTTGTACGCGCGTTTCTCTGTGCTTCTCCCAAACTGCTCCCATCCTACTCGATTTCACACGTTATATCGTTGAGTCGAGCTTTTTGCCCTTAATTTTCTCTATTCCCCGCTATTTACGAACTTTACGACCCTTACGAACTGCGGAATTATGGCCGAAGTCGGAGAACCCGTTGTTCTTTCTACTCCTGCTGAATCTGGTGAGTTTTTTCGTCTATCCTTCATTGTGTTTGTGTTTATGTTTTTGAACTTTGCTGTTGTAAGCAAACCGAGAGAGAGTACGACTGACCCTGAATTTACCATAGTGACAGACGAAATCAAGAACGGACTCACCGTTGCTGCTCTCCCCGCGGAAGTCGAGGATGCGCTTGCTGCACTGTCCACAAAGGAGGAAGACCCCGTAAAAGATATCAAGGAACCGGCCAAGTTTGAAGTCAAGGGCGAGTCGTCCGCAAAACATACCGACCAAAAATCATCCGACGATGCGCCAACAACCACCGCAGACGATGTCGTTGTTCAGGCCGATGAGCCAACCACAGAAGAAGCTCCCTCCACTGAGGACACCAAAGACAAAGCTGTAGAGGAACCTACAACAATTTCTAAGGATGCCCCAGAGGAGACAAAGACGGAGGAGGTAGCTGGCGAGACCACTGCTGATGCTACGTCCGAGGAGCCTGAAGACAAAGCAGTTGAGGCAGGCCAAGAACCCGCTGCGGATGCTGATGTGAAGACCGACGAACCAGCAGAGGCAGAGCCTCAAGCAACTCCGGAAGTTGCAGCGGTGGCCGAGGAGGCCGCAGAGACTCCTTCCAAGGACACAGAAGAAGCCGCACCGGTTGTGGCCGAAGAGAAGACTGAAACTGAAGAAAAGCCTGCCGAGATTGAGCTCAAGCTTGTTGAAGAAACGCCAGTGACTCATGAAGAAAAGGCATCTGTCGAAGAGGAGAAGGTTGTTGAACCACCTGCAGTTAAGGATACCGCTGAGACTGAGGCAGCTGTTGTGGAAGCCACTGAGCCTGCGGTGGAAGAGCCTATAAAGGAAATCGTTGATGCGGAAGTGCCCGAACCAACAGCCACAACTACCGCAGCTTCCGAGGAAGTTACCGAACCCCAGGCAGAGACGACTGGCACCGAGATTCCCATTGCCTCAGAAACTATTGCAGATGATGTTCCGGAATCGGAGGCTCAAGTAGAGGAAGAGGCCGTCAAGGACATTGCACAAACTGAGACAGTTTCCGAACCAATTGCAACAATCGAGGAAGCCTCGGAGCCTGTTGCAGAGCTGAAGGCCGAATCGACAGATGCTGAAGTTCCTGCTGAAACATCTCAGACAACACATCCCGAACCAGAACCTTTAGTCAAGGATGAGGTCGTTGAGGACTCCACCGAAGCTGAGAAAGAGGTTGAAGCTCCCACCACCCATGAAACAGTCGACACCCCTCAGGAAGACGCAACCGAGAGCGCAGTTGTAGGGAAACCAGTTGAACCCGAGGTTTCTGACATTGCGGAGCCAGTGAAGGAATCTCCCGTTGACGAAAATTCCGAGGAGGCTGTGCCTGAAAAGACTGAGTCTGAACCGACAGTGACTACTTCTGACGAACCTGCTCCCACTGAAACTGTGGAGTCTCCTGCTCTTGATCAGCCCCAGGAAGCCGAAGCTGAAGCAGTGGAAGAGCCAGCCTCTGTTCCTGCTGAGGTTCCAGAAGCGCTCGTTGCTGAAACTGCGGAGGCCACCGAGGAGAGTGCTCCAGAGCCTGCGAAGGTCGAAGAAGAATCAGCCACGGAGCCTGCAGCCGAAGTTGTAGAAGTCGCTGAAGAGAAGGAACCAGCTCCAGAACCTGTTGAGACGCCCTCGGAATCCGTGCCTGCTGCGACCGATGACACAGTAGTGGAGGCTACCAAAGACGAGCCTAAGGAAATCGACGCCCACGAAGAMCCCGCCGCTGCCGAGCCTGAACCGGTGGCTACATCTCCAGAGATATCTGAAGAACAAACGGTTGAGTCTGCGGAAAAGCCCACTGACGAGCCGGTTGAGGCATTGGCTGAGCAGACGGAAGAGTCGCATCAGGCGGCAGATGTTTCTGAGGCTGCGGCCATCGCTGAGCCAGAGCAAGTAGCGGTAGAGGAATTGACTCCGGAGACAGCGCAAGTCGCTGAAGAGAAGGCCGAGGAATCTACTCAAGCTTTTGACGTCCCCGTCGATACAGCGACAGAGACTGCCGCTGTCGCTGAAGAGCCGGCTGCTGCTATTGAATCTGTCGATGTTGTCGGAAAGACCGAAGAACCAATCGACACGGAAGTGGCCGCGCCCGTTGCGGCCACTGAGGAACTAGTTCCTGAATCAACCACTGAATCAGCCGAGCCGACCGAAGCAACCAAGGAGCCTGCTGCTGAACCGACTGCTGCCACCGAAGAGTCTGTTAGTGCTACTGAAAATGAAGCTGTCAAAGCAACTCCGGTTGAAGCAGTATCTGCTGTTCTAAGCACCGAATCGGAGAAGACGCCTGAACCTACCGCCGAGCCTGTCTCCGAGCCGATTGTCGAGCCTGCCGCTGAGGCTATTGAGAAACCTGTGTCTGAGCCTACCGAGACTGTCGAAGAAGCGGCTGTTGAGCATACTGAAACTGTCACTGAATCTGCAGAAGAACCGGCTGTTGAGGCCGCCGACGAAGCTGCAGCAGAATCTACTGCAGAGGCCGTTACTGAATCCTTTACCGAGCCTGTTTCTGAACATGCCGAAACCGTCGCCGAACCAATTGTAGAGGCCGCCGATGAAGCTGCTGCCGAGACCACCACTGAGCCTGTTTCTGAATCGATTCCTGAACCAATTGCTGAAACCACTGCAGAGGTTGTCTCAGAGCCTACAGAATCTGCTGTCGAGCCTATTTCAGAACCAGCCACTGAGCCCACTGAATCTGCTGATAAGTCTGTCACCGAACCAGTCACTGAAGCTGTTGCAGAACCTGTTGCAGAGACAGTTGTTGAACATACAGAACCTGTCTCAGAGCCTGTTGCTGAGTCTGCTGAGCCTGCCGCTGAACCTATCGCCGAAGCTATTGCTGAACCTATCGCTGAACCAATTGCCGAAGCCGTTCCAGAACCTGCTGAGCCTACTGCTGAGCCCACTACTGAGCCGGATACCCTTCCTAGTGAGGAAGTGCCCGCTTCTGAGCCCGTAGAGGAATCTATCAACGAGCCTTCTGCTATCAAACCCGCTGAAGCTTCTTCTCAATCCACCGCAGAGGCAGAGCCAGTTCAGGAAACAGCTGTGAGCGAGGAAGTCGCAGAGCCTGCGATTGCCGAAGATGCTGCTGCTCCCGTCAATGAACCAGAGCCAGCTGCAGAGTCTGCGGAAGTTGAATCAAGCGAAAAGGTTGCTCCAAGTGATGTCAGGGAAGAACTTCCAGAAGAACCTGCCACGGACGCAGAGCCCGAAGCTGCTACCACCGAAACCATAGCCGAGCACGCGGTTGCAACCGAAGCCGAACCTATTGCTGAGGAGCCTGCCGCTGACAGCGCTCGGGAGGCTTTTGGAACAACTACAGAACCTGTCGTTGATGCTTCTGAAGAAAGCAAGGAAGGGACTACAGCAGAGGAAAAAAGTACTGATGCTGTCGAAGCCACCGTTGCTGACAAGGCGGCAGAAGAGCAGTCCCGCGAGGCCAATGAACAGTTGACCAATGAAGAGCCTGTTGCTCTCTCTGACGAAGCCACACCGTCGGCTCCCGCCGCATCAGCAGACTTTGGCGAGATTCTTGAAGAAACAACAGCCGAGGCTCCTGTAGAGGATTCTGAAGAACTCGTCCAAGCCATTGACGAAACTCCTGTTGAGGCTGCCACTGAGACTCCGGTAGATTCTGTTGAAAAACAMCCCGCCGAGATCGCTGAAGAGCCTACCGAAAAACAGGTCACCGAACCGGTTGAGGAAGTCCCAGTCGAAGCAATCCCTACAGAAGCTACTACAGAGGAGCCTGTTGAGACTGTTGCCGAAACTGCTGCGGAGCCCGCCTTTGAGGAAGTTACCGAACTAGCTGAGGAGACCCCGACTGAAGCACCCTTCGCAGAGACTGTTACAGATGAGCCTGCCCAGACTGTTGAAGGTACTCCTGTCGAGAGTGTTACCGAGACTGCCGCAGAGGCCCCCGAGCCGGTGGAGGAAACTCCAGTTGAGGAGTCTCCTGAAGAAACTGCTGCAGAACCTGCTGTTGAGGAGGTTGTCGAACCAGTTGAGGAAACCCCGGCTGAAGTCGCTGCTACAGCGCCTACCGAAGAAGAACCTGCTCAAGTTGTGAAGGAAACTCCTATTGAGGCTGTAGCCGAGCCGGCTGTTGAACCCGCTGAGGAACAACCTGCTGAAATTACCGAAGAGACTGCTGGGGAACCTTCCGCGGAGGCTACCGTTGCAGAGGTCGAAGAAGCCCCGGTTGAAGCGACCGCAGAACCTGCCGTCGAAAAGGTTCTGGAAGAGGTTGCCGAAACCCCAGTTGAGGCTATCCAAGACACCCCTGTAGAGTCTGTTGAAGAAGATGTTACAAAGACTGTCGACGAATCCCCTGTGGAGGCAGTAGCTGAAACCTCTGCCGAGCCGGCTGAAGAGGAGACTCCCGTCGTGGCTGAAGCTGAAGCCCCCGTTGAGTCCGCCCAGATCGAGGCGGAAATACCTGTTGAGACTGTTGAGACGTCTGCAGCGCCTGCAGAAGAAGATGTTGCCGAGACTGTAGAAGAGACTCCCGCAGAGCCTGCAGCAGCAGCAGAAGAAGAAGAAGCTGCCGAGGTCGTTAAAGAAACCGTGGTTGAGCCTGGTGAAGAAAAGCCTGCAGAGCCTGTTGCGGAAGAGACCGTCAAGGAAGTGGAAGAAGCTCCAGAAGCAGAAATAGTTGAAATCACGGAGCCTACGGAGAATGTGGTGGAGGCTGCTCAGGGGTCAGCTGCTGAAGTTCCGTATGTCTTAGAAGAGCAACCCGCTCAGTCTACTGATGCGCCAGTAGAGGCAACTCAAAAGACCGAGTCGCCCGCTGTCGCAGACCAACAGTCAGTGGCCGAAGAGGTTCCAGCTCCAGTAGCTGCTGAAGTTACTGAGCCAGTCAATGCATCTGAGGCGGTCGTTGCTGAGGTCGAGAAGCCAGAGGAGGAAGTCACTCCGAGCGCAGAACCGGGTGAGGAGCTTTTGGCTAAGTCAATCGAGGAGGTTCCGGCTCATGCAGAAGAAACTGCTGTTGAAGCTCAACCCGAGACTACGGAAGACTCACACGACACCGCAGCGATTCCCGCTGCTACTGAAGAGAAGGAAGATGATCACACAGTCACTGAGGAGGCTGCTGTTGCCGCCGGTGCGGCAGCAGCAGTTGGACTTGGGGCTGTTGCAGCAGCAGCAGGTACTTCCGAAGAGACTTCAGAAGAGCAACCCGCGGAAGCCAAAGATATCTTTAAGGACGCTGCCAAAGAGATTACTCCTGTTGAAGAAACTTCATTACCCGAAGTTGTTGAAAGTGCGGAAGCTGAGCCCTCAAGCCTGCCAGAAGATCACACCGAGTCAACGGTAAAGGATCTTGCTGTCAATGGAATTCACTCAAGCGATGAACACCCCATCGAAGTATCGACCACCAAAGAGATCGAGACTGAAACAACTCCTGTTGAAGCGCCCATTGAAGCCTCTGCCGTCAAGGATGTCCATATCGAAGCAATTCCAGATAAAGAGCATCCCACCGAGGCTTCTACCGCCGAAGAGGTGCAGACAGAAGCACCTTTAGTCGAAGATGCTGCTCCAACTTCCGAAAAAGTGTCCGAAACTGACCCCATAGCCAAGGGTGCAGGTATTGGTGCTGGGGAAATTGCCGGCATTGTTGGTGGCGCTGGCGTTGTAGCGGCTGCGGCAGTGGCTGCTGGTCATTCGTTGACTTCGACGCCAAAGGAATCACTGACAAAAGAGATTCATGTCCAGGCAGACAAAGAGCATCAATCACCAGCTGTTCATATCATCGAGCCTTCAGCAAGTGACTCGAAGCCTGCAGAGGTGCCGCACGATATTCGTTCGCCACCTACTCCGGAGCCCGAGGCAGATGCGGCACTTCAATTGCTGGCCAAGGACCGAGAAACGCTTCTAAACCAGCTTGGCGGCTCGGTCTCTGCAGTCAATCTTCTCAGCAGCGACAAGAAGTCTTCTGATCTAGGGGCTCGGGTTGAATCATTCTGCGAAGAAGACGAACATCTCACAGCTGCTAATAGGTCCGCGCCAAATGCAGATGCTGCTGCTGAAGACCACGAAGTCTCACAAATCATATCTGAAGAGACCGCCGATACCGAACCAACTGCCACCAAACCAGACGAAGAAACCAGATCTACAGGTGCTCGATCGGCAACAGCTCTGTCCTTGAAGTCTGGCAATTGGTTCACAGCTTTATTCCGTACCATTTGGGCGTCGATCTTTGGCGGACTTTTCGCTGGAATCCGCCGAAAGAAGGATTCCAACTGAACAGGAAACTCTCTATCCCCAAAGACGAGAGAAGCATTCGACACCCATACGCGCATGAGCTACATTAATGAACGAATGCAAGACATTCGCAATTGTTAGCCATGACGTACTAAGGGTGGCCATGTTTGCACCAAGATTGTATATTTTGATACCCTAGCCAGGCATGACCTCGTCCAGTGTCCGCTATTAGTGGATATACCCCGAGTCTGTTTATCGATATATGGACATGTGGACTTTGGGCCTATGTCAGCCTGCGCCTATATTTGAAAGATGGGACAAGGGTGAATCACCTATTGTCTCTTTTGATGTTTTTCTTATCTTTGTTATTACGAGTTTCTTCTGTGTTTTATGATTATATGCCATGATACAGCTTGAGTGTATGTACTCGAAAGCCATCTGGCCTTGAATGTGTAATGATCGAATGATATTTATGAATATACTCTACTCTAAAATTTTCGTTGCACGTAAAATCTTCATTATATTCTATACGCCGTTTGAATTTGGCCTTTTTTACTTCACTTCCTGGTTCAGACAACTATCCAGAAGCAATCAACTTCTCAATCCCCAACGCCGCCTCCCTCACGTCGGGACAATAATGAATCCTCAACAACTCCCCTTCCCAAACCGTGCCCGCAAAGACATTACTCTTCTCAACATCAGCCGACACAGGATTGAACACACCATCGCCCTTCCGCTCTTCCGTATTCCACAACGGCGCAATCTTGCGTGCATGTTGTTTCGCCACCTTTGTGAGTAAGGTTAACATTGCGATGGAGGACTTTTCGGGCAGTTGGAGGGAGGTCGTCATTAGCCGCTTTGTGAAGCCTGCGAGACGGATGGGCGGTGCGATGCCGTGGGTGCGGGCGAGGAGGGTGGATTGCAGGCAACGGAGGAGGAGGACCATGGGGGTTTGGAAGTTGATTTTTGTTCGTCGTTGTTTCTTTTGGTCGTTGGTGGTTTCGTTGGCGTTGTTGTAGGCGCCGGGATCGGGGAGCCGGAGGGATTTTTCGGGGTTGTATTCGATATCTGTGTTGAGGGCGAGGGGGTACAGAGCGCGGTAAAGGTGGGTGATGAAGAACCCTAGATCGAGATGGAGGGATGAAGCGGATTTGCTAACGTCTTGACCTTCGAGAAGCGCAAAGGCAGTGATTGTGCAGAGCAGGACTTGTCGGGTGGATTGTCTGAGAGTAATCGTTCCTTCTTCTTCATCGTCATCCTCGTCATCATTGTCATCATTTTCATCGTTCGCATTCCCATCCCTTCCTGCGCTTCCATCTTCAGCAGCGAGCTGCTCAATAAGCTCTTTCAAAGCTTCAAGGACATCCCCGAAAAAGTCCTGATTGATCAAATGTGCGTACTTGGCCAATCCCTCGAGCACAGCACCCATGAGTTTCGTTTCAGTGCGCAACTTGAGAATGCGAAAGTATGTGCCAAAAACCAACTTCAGCGTCTCGGCCTGATTCTTCTCACGCGCTTCATGGCTCACCAACGCATCGGCTTCGCGCATATCCTTCTCAACAGCCTTGCGATCTTTAAGAACCTTACGTTCCTTTTTGGTGCGAAATTCCTTTTTATTTTTCTTCTTTCCTTGCAACACGCCTTCATCCTCGTCGTCGTTCCGATCAACCCGGTCTCGTGAACCCTTGGATGAGAACTCGGCTAACAAACGGAGGTGTAGAAATGTGTTGAGGACTGATTCGTGGACGTGAAAGTCCTTTGCTCTCATCATCTTGGATAACAAGCCAACTGCCTCAAGGGAGACGACCCCATCGTCATCCTTGGCGAAGATGTCTTCCATTGTCTCACGACTTTTGATGAAGTTTGCATCAATCCGGCGTTTGGACAGCCGATTGACAAGAATCTTCAATAGCTCAGCCCGGTAGTTAAAATGGGGCACGGAAAGAAGCATGTTGCAAACGCAGTTGATCGCGACAGTCCGGATACTGTTAGCCTCTTCACTGGCCCTGCTGCCGCCTTTCGAGAGATTGGTAAGTTGTTGGACGTAATGCTTATAAGACGACAGCAATGACTGTTCGTAGCCGCGCAACTTTCGGACTTCCTTGGACAGCTTTTCGTTTTTGTTGACCTCTTCCCCTAATGGACGAATTCGGTAGCCAGGAATAACATCTCTAAATATCGCAGCTTGTGTGGCAAGAGCAAGCTTTTTGATAGCAACATGTGACTTGCTCTTATCTACAAAGTCTGCTAATTTCTTGAACAATCCAATATGCTCCTCGGGATCTTCGTTGATCAAAGTCGCGATTTTGGCCATTTCTTCCTTTGCTTGAACAATCTGAAGTTTCAAGGGTATTTTGGGAGCCGGCTCTTCATCCTCTTCAGCTTCTGCTCCCTCATTTCCCTCCTTGCCATCTTCACCGTCCGAATCCGAGTCGAGAAAACTATCCGCATCACTCGCTGCAGCTTCCTCCGGTTCGTCGACATGGACAAGACCCTCGGCAGTCTTGATAGGCAAACGTGTCTTTTCCTTCTCCTTCTTCTTGCTGCCTTTTCGTGGTCGACGCTCGTACTCCTGTTCTAGATCCCATTCAGCGGCCCGACTGTAGAATGCGTTTTGTATGTTAGACGATCCGTTGGATTTGGATTTTGGTGCATTTGACAAATTGTCGTCGTCAGAAGGCGACAGACGCCTTCTTTTTGTTTCTCGTGCGACGCCCATATTGGAAAACGAGAATACTGCAGAATCGAATTAGTTTGTCGACTCAAGGAAGCCGAATATTTTTTTGGATTTTTTGTTAGCAGCGCCAAGCCTCCGCATCAGCCCCACTTTTAACTTTTCTGTCCGCGGAGCTTCATTTTTTTTTGTCACACTTACAATTGTCTATCAGCATTCATTCGACCTACAATAAAGTACAAAATTCAATATGAGGGCTCTTACGGAAGACGAAACCAAAACTCTCTTTCAGAAACTCGCCAACTACACCGGTCGATCTCTCAACCAGCTCATCCAGCCTACCGAAGATAACGAGCGCTATGTGTTCCGAATTCAGGGTTCTCGAGTATACTATGTGAAGCAATCGATTGCGAACCTTGCAACTAGTGTTGCGCGCGATAACTTGCTGAGCCTGGGCGTTTGTGTTGGAAAGTTCACCAAGACTATGAAGTTCAGATTGCACATTACAGCGTAAGTTTTGCGCTCTCGCATAATGTTGGACTCGAGAGAGGACATGTCACTGACTCAAAATCGTACGAGGCAGACTTGACCTTATTGCTCCCTATGCTCGTTATAAGGTGACCATTAAGCAGAATGGAGAGATGCCCTTTTTATACGGTGGAAACGTCGTGAAGGCCCATGTTTTGCGATGGTCTGAGGATTGCCCCGAGCACAGTGGATGCGTTGTGTTCTCGCAAGACGATACTCCTCTGGTATTTGAATCGCCCTGAAGAAGATCATATTGAATTGAGACTAACATAGCGTCTAGGGTTTCGGGGTCACTGCACGGTCAACCGCAGAAGCAAGGAAACTCGAGCCTACTGCTGTAGTGCTCTTCCGCCAGGGTGACGTTGGAGAGTATCTTAGAGAGGTTAGTACCAAACACAGGAAACTTGAAAAAGGTGTGAATTCGATATCTGACAATCGTACAGGAAGATTCTCTGTTCACGACATAGTCATGCGACTCGCTCTCCATTTATGTCTCGCATTTATCGGCGTTTAGGGATTATACCTGGTGTCAGGCCAGGAAAAGTGATGCTAGATCTTTTAGTTGATATACCAGCAATTCAGTTCAGTTCATCTCGATTTGATAGTATATTAGAACGTAGTAGACCTTGGGAAAGAACTTATATCTAAGGAAAGAGGGAGGTGGATCTCAGTACTCCTTCTGGTCCAATCAGATGGCGGCATCACTATTATCGCCAAACCGCCGCCTAAACAACTTCCTCCGACTATCATTCCTCCTTGGGTTCCCTTCAATTATATTTGTTGACGCTGTGCGTTACTTTCTGTAGCGTGTATTCCAGAGGGCTTATTTATGCTACCCGACTGAATCACGCCCACTCCCGCACGTCCTTTACTTCGTTTTCGTCCCTCGTGCTACCCCGCGTGCGTCATCTTTAAGAGGGAGACGCAGAAGCAAACATGCCGCCATACACAGGAACCCAGAGACATTACATATCGCAGTTTGTGGGCTTTACGCAGGCCAAAGATGCCGTAGCTGCCAAAGTTGGTGTCTTTCGACTCGGCGCGTTGTCGCAAGTGACTAACAGAAATCTATAGTTCTTGCGCGCAAATGGGTGGAATGTTGAGCAAGCCGTTGATGCGTATGTGACCTTCCTTTAGAGTTCTCTACAAAGCTAACCATATGTCCTCGGTATAGATACTTCTCCTCCTCGCAAGCACCTGCCGCATCATCGTCAACGCCAGCACTAAATAAGATCTTTGACGAATATCGAGGTCCGACCTGCTTTCCTCCGTCGGTATATGGCTATTCTAATTACTGTATAGATGACCCCAAAGAAAATCCAGACACGATTGGCATCGAAGGAGCGATGAAGTTCCTCGAGACCATCGAAATACGACTCGATGAAGTTGCGTGTTTAGGAATAGCGGAGCTGCTCAAGTCACCTAGTATGGGCGAGTTCACACGTACAGGTTTCGTCGATGGCTGGAAGAGCGTCGGGTGCGTCGTTCACACGGCTTTTAAAAACTGTGATATGTATACTAACAAAAGGAAGTGTCGAATCAATCCCGCAAATGATATCCCACGGCGCCTCTCTTCGAAATCGAATATCCTCTCAACCAGACACATTCCGCAAAGTATACCGCTACGCATTCCCTCTCTGTCGCATGCAAGGCCAGCGCAACCTTCCATTCGAAATCGCCGCTGAACAATGGCAACTATTCTTCACGAGCGAAAATGGCGGAGTCGATTGGCAAACACCTTCCACCCCATGGCTAGATTGGTACCTTGATTACCTCAAATCGAAAGGTCAGCGGCCAGTGAATAAGGATCTGTGGGAACAGACGGAAGTATTCATGCGCAAGACTCTGGAGGATGAGAATTTTGGGTGGTGGGATGCTGATGGCGCGTGGCCGGGGACGTTGGATGAGTTTGTGGAGTTTGTGAAGCAGGATAAGCGTGGTGGGAAGCCTGCGGAGGCGATGAATACTGAATGATTGTTCAGTAGGTAGCTACAGATAAATATGGATATCCTACTAGTAATAAGCCATCATCTTACTCCTCGAGCTCCCAGCCCTTTCAGTCGTAGGTATAAGAAGTTGAATAAAATCTCATGAAGCATACAAAGGAAACATTACATACATGACAAGAAAAGGAACAAACAGAAGGGAGCCTCTAAAACAACTATCGACCTTTCCAAGCCAGTTCGTTCAAAAACAATATACGGGCCAAGAAATCTGTTGTATATGTATCGAAATGGACGCCGTTCCAAAAAGCATTTAACAATTACGTAGTACCTCGGAAAAAATCACATTCCAAAGCACGCATTGTCCCCACCCTTGCTTCCTCCACCCTTGCTTCCTCCACCCTTGCTTCCTCCACCCTTGGTATCATTTACAGGCAGAATTGAGAGCCATCCGGTTATTTTAGTCACGACGGCTGTATTCACTACCAGGAGGAGGGTAAGGACCGGGAGGACCACCTCGTCGCTGGTCGTATTGTCGTCGCAAAGCTTCGAGGCGCTTCTTCTTGGTATGAGTGTTGACATATGTACCAATAATGAATCCAACAATGTTGAAGAAAGGCACCCAGGTGTGTTCGGGGAGGAAGTACTGGGCAAAGGCCAGCGCGATGGGGGATGTGATCCAGCTGACTTTCATGACGGGCATGAAACCGGCGCGCACGGTGGCGCGCACTTGGTGGAAAGTGCGAGCTCCGGCGATGATGGCCATGGAGACCAGGTAGACGGAATTTTGGATGGGGGCAATCTATTTCAATCAGCATACTATTCGCAACCGCATGCATGGGGGAGACGTACAATCAAGTTGCTAACCAAGATCTGCAAAATCTTGGCCTTCAAACTCGTCCGGCCAGAAAAAATCTTTTGCAGAATTCCAATGAGAACGTGGCCCATGGGCGCACTGATGAACATTCCGTAGAGCGCCATCTTCGGCACGCGGGAGCTGAAGTAATGGCCGTGCTTGCTGACATCATGAGCAAGCCACGAGGCGACGAATTCTTGAAGAGCCGAGAGAACACCGGACGTGAGCATCTTTGTGCGAAGAGGGTTTGTCTGGAGCTGCTTCAAGTAGGCCTGTTGTTATGTCTCGTTAGCATTGCTGCGATCGTAGTGAGGCGACTCGACATACAGCGAGATAACCGGTGTGGGTGTCACCGCCAGTCAAACGCTCGCCGACCTTGTGCGCCAGGTCTTTTGGCGTCAAGTCCTCGGGCTTGACGCCAGTGGTGCGAATAGTCTCTTGTTGGAATTTGACAGACATCTTGTCCTTCGATTATCGCTCAATTATAGACTAGAGGGGAGTATCTGGAGCGCGTCCGATATCGCGAGCAGGGAAGCAAGAGTCGAGATAGTGTATGGCGGTATGCAGTCAATGCTAGAAGCTCAAATCACATTCCAATAAACGAGAATCACCACGCGACAAGAAAGCAAATCTGAAGCAGCGGTGGATTTGTGGGGAAGGAGTGGAAGAGGTTTAAGGGAGGCTGGTCGCTGGGTGTTGTTGTTTACGGAACAGCGCCAAGCAACGCGGATGGCTCCGACCGGACAAGGCTTTGTTCATTATTACGGTGGGCTACAGATGCGTACTCGTAACTGCTGTTTCCACGGCATATCTTATGTACACTACCTTTACTGCTCTGGATTTCATTGGGTTCTTAGACGTGGATATAGCGTGTTTTTGTGGACAAAGGCAAAAACATGTACGAAACCAGGTCTGTCCCTAGTTACGCTCTAGTCCGCCGTAATCGTGTACTCTACCGTTTTACTATACACACAGTATACCGAGTATCACCTACTCAGTCACCCCAATACCAGGTAAAACATCTCATATTCTACCTGTCTACCTGTCAATCTGTCCAACTCTGCCTGTCGCCGTGTGCGTTGGCGTCGGGTCGCGCTGCATATCATCAAACAATGAGACCAGTCAGCCTCGGCCAATTCCGCAATCGCTCCACAACGTATCTTATCTTGCTTTAAAGAAGAAAAACTATTAAAAATGTGGACCTAGAACGAAGTCGATTGCAATTGCGTGTCTCTACTTATTCAGAGTACGCCATGAAGCAAGAAGTACATAGAGCGGCCTTGTACAACACGGCAGACCTGATCCGCGATCATTTGCCGGGGTTAAGCACGAAACACCACGGCAACGGTAAACATAATCCTGTCAGATGCTTGAGCTTCAGACTGCTCAGTAACCGGACGAGCAACGTGAACAAAAGCACCTTATAGAACTCACTAGCCACAGTGGCTACGCAGTGTACTTACTACTCACTGCTCAGAGTACCCGTCGGAATGCGGACGGAACACCGATTGGACCTCGGCTGACGGCTCGGAACAGTCACAGTCTACTCCGTCGCATCTTCCTTAATAAACATCATCTCCCTGGAATCTCAGTTACCGAATTTCTGTCAGGCACAGAATCTCATATCAGTTGACAGGGCAGATATGTCAGATCAATCAGAATCATCAGAAAAGCCGGAGGGCACGTTCCGGGGGAATGCGCCAAAGATAGTCCCCCGCCAAAAGCCCGTCTCGGACGTGGTTGTATCTGCCGTGCTCAAAACAGACGAGACTGTTCTGAGGTTGAATAGGTGAGTTATCAGTATTTTGAGAGGCACTACGAACATATCTAATTTATCACAGATTGCTATCCACGAAAGCTGGTCTGGATATAGTACTCGCCAACCTCAATTATACCTCTCATTCATTGCATTACCTTTTAGCCTCCACTCCGTTAGCAAAACTTCGCCTTGCTATACGACTATGGCTCTTGCGCAGACTTGGCCAAGACATTCCTACAGTCAAAATACCAGCATCGACTAATGTCTCATCCGTGCGACCGCCGTTGCTAGCATTCTCCGATCTCATGTCCAAAACCCGCTTTACGCTTCGTCTCTTGGGGCTGGTCTCCATGTGGGCGTGGGGCTCGTCAACCTATAAATCGCCCCCCAAGGATCCCGTGCTGCGCGCCGTTGCGTATTTGGAGGTGCTCTCGATGGTGGTTTATCAGTTCCTCGAGAATGTTACGTATCTCGCATCGAACGGGATTGCAGGCGACTCTTTGATTAAGCGGACAGGTGGCATGGGTAAATGGAGCATTTGGAGTATACGCGCTTGGTTTGCATATGTTCTGCTTCAATTTGTAAAACTGTCCCGCGAGTCGGTTCTGTTCAGCCAAAAAGAACAAGAAGAGCAGAGACAGGTGTCGACTGGTGAAAAGTCAATTGCCGTAGCGGATGCAGAGCTGGAGGCCGCACGACAGGCTGAGATCCGCAGCTGGAGAAAGAGACTGATTAATAACCTGGCTTGGGCTCCGCTATGCGCGCACTGGAGTTTTGAGAAGGGTCTTGGTGTGCCGCCGAGTACGACTGGGTTTATTAGTTGGTTGGCTGGTGTATGGGGGACTTATGATGCTTGGCAAGCTACTGCTTTGCCTTGAATCTCTGCATTCGTTCATAGCTTTACTTGTATATCATATATCATACCTGCTTGGAAGTGTCAACACATTTTAAGACCTCCGGAAGTTCTTATTTTGAGTCAAAACAGGATATTTCCACCACTAACCAATGACCGACCGGCTTTGACCTCTCTCAATATCCCCACTTGAACAAGCTCATTAATCAACTGAAAAAGCATCCCATCACAACCCCTAGCAGCCACCAAATCCACACTGACCGGCGACATCTCCTCAAGACCAGTCACTTGACTAACATATGTCTTCTCTCCTATCGGTACCACCATATCCGGCACCCCAGCATAGACACTAATCATATTCGCGCCGGATCCAAAAGGGATGGTGGGTTCGTCGCGGTAATAGTCACGATATAACGGCGCTCGAGAAGCGGGTTCAACATAAACCAAAAGGCTGTCTGAACATGATCGGTTGTCTGATTTGAGTAAGTTGCTGGCGATCCAGGATTGGAATGCGGTTCTGTTTGTGAGTGCTTCTTCCAGTGTACCGTTTGGTAGAGAATCGCCGTATCCCCACCGGATTCGGGGTGCAGGATTTACGAATGGAAGTCGACCCGAGTGTTGCGCTTTGTAGTCAGCATAGAACGGGTCGCGGACGAGTCGTGCTTGCTCAATGCCGATGACGGTTGGGTAGATTTTTTCAATTGCTTCCACCAGATCTGAGGACATGTTCGAGGGGTGGGTTTCTGTCCATAATGAAGGAATGTCGAGATTGATCAGGGAGGCTGATAGATGCTGCGCCAACTTGTGTAGAAACGCCTCTACCATGGCATCAACTTGGTCAGAGGCGTCCAACGGGGCATTGAAAACTGTTTGAATCCTTCGCGGATAATCAGACCAGTTGAATTCTGTATCTGAGTAGATGATTTGACTAGCAGTCTCCCAAACACCTGGATCCCTCGCAATAAGACCTGCGGTATCAAATTGAGGAGCTAGTGGAACAACCTTCTCCAAATTGGCAGATCCATGAGACGCCCGAATCCCAAAAACACCATTGGCCTGTGAGGGAAAACGGATTGATCCCCCTGTATCCGTTCCAAGTGCAATATCTAACCAGTCATACGAAGCGATACCAACACCGGCACCGGTGGACGACGAGAACGGTTGCTGATACCCGTCTCCGCGCGGATTGAAAGGAGAGTGGTAGTCTACCCAGTCTGCAGTGGCTAGTTGTCCGTTGGCGAATTGAGATGTTTTCACTTTTCCGACGATGACGGCACCAGCGTCAATGAGAGCGGTTACAACGGGGCTTGTAGCGTTTGCAGGAGGGTGAAAATGATACCAAGCTCGGCTTCCAGCTGAAGTGTGGATGCCCTCAATATCGAAAATGTCCTTGACGGCAAGTCGTACACCTGCCAATGGCTGAGAGGAATTTTTTGTGAAATAGAGCCGTGAGGGCACAGCAACAGCCGAGTCAACGCCTGGCAAAGCAGCTAACAAGGGCGAATATGAACCATCTGCTGTGTTGACTATAAGACTTTGTGAAAAGGCATCTTGGGTATCGGCGAATAGTTTCAAAGCTTGGTATACGTGACCCTCAGATGAGAGGAAGTAGGGTCCTGGAGGAAGGGTAGCGGATCCCATGAGGACTGTTTTGGTGCCGTAGCTTGTTAGGTCTGAGGGAGATATGATAGAATCCGTTTCCTCATTCAAGCGTACGTATATGACTGTCAAAATGAACATTAGAACCAAATTCTCTCAATTGAAAAGGGCCAGAAATACCTTGCAAGAACGAAGGGGTAAAAACATCATCTTCACGCAAATAACCCTCAACAGCAGCCTCCAGCTGTGGCTCGCCGAAAGGTAGAGCAGTCGGTCTGAAAACTGTCAATGCATTAAGGCCAGGACTTAGCTGTGCATATGTCGTTAGGTTTATCGAAGTCACCGGCTCAGGTGGGACGTAATATAGTATTCCATTGAGTGTAACAGTTTGTCCCTTCGAGATTACAGTTTGAGGTGAGTCATCGTGAAAAGAATTTTGAGCACCTAGAATGATTTGTTTGGCCGGAATGACAGCAGCAATGGTTATTTGCAAGTATATTAATGAGCACCAGAGAATGTGCTGAAGTTTAGATTTGAAGACCATTCTGTCCCAGTGGCGGGTGGAAAAACTTAGCCCTAAAAACCCGCGAGAGACGGAGGAAAGTACTCTTATAACTAATTCAATATCATATTAGATCTACCACCAAGGGCTAACTTGGTTTATCAACATAAGTGGGGCTTTGTTGTACCCTTTTCGTTTTTGTTTTTCTCTCTACTTTTATGCGATGTAACTTTGTCCTACGAATTATTTAGGAAAGGCGGTCATCGCTTTTACTACATTTACCAGGTAACCTCGTTTTTACGCATTTTCAATTCATATAAACAGAAAAAAATCGTAAGTGACGCCTGAGATCGATCAAAAAAACACAATTCCGTATCCCACTCGATCAATGTAATGCCAATGCCTCAATCCATTGCACGGGTTTGATATTTATATCAATACAACTCTCCAAAACCATGAGTCCATCACATGGCAGACTCGAATTTAACGCTCTTGTGCAAAATGGCCAATTGGGCCAATTTGTCCAGAGCATCTTCAGAGAGCTCTCCAGCTCTATTGTTGGTCTGATCATCATTCGCAACTAATTCGTTGGCACATTCTTCCTTCTGCACTGGCACCTCTCTAATTATCAGATGCTGATTGTAACCATGCTCAAACTCGACATTCGTCTTCTCCCACTGAAACAGCACCGACTTCTCACGAAAATAGTACGGCTGATCATCCTTGTGAACGAGAGTGTAGTTGCAATCCTGTCGATGCTGGGATTTGTGTGCAGTAACGAATGTGCCGTCTTTGGTCACGGATACGGTGCTGTGCCAGGGACTCATGGAGAATGAATTCGGTTGCGGAATCAATGGACACGAAAGCTTGGTTTGACCGGATGAAGGGTGGATGGAGAGACGGAGGCTGTCGGGGTAGATTTGGCGGACTAGTTCGGCGAATTCCTGTACAGAACGGATAAGTCAATCACATCTATTAATAAATATACTGAAGTGAGTACGTACCACCCCTCGCACGATCATTGACTTTGCAACAAGCTTGACCTTTTTCTTGTATTGCTTCGGCCCTGGGCAGTTCTTTGTCACTGGGCTGAAGCGGAGATCGACCTTCATGAATTTGTCATATCCTGATACAGTTAGTCATACTCGATATCGATGACGGTACTGAGGGATTGATTGTAAACGTACCGTTATACGTCCTCAAATAATCCTCGTCACTTTTCAAGAACTTGTCGACATCAAATCCCGGACGACCATAGCGACGGTGAAGTTCAGACCGAGCTTTATCGCAGAGCTGGGTGTACTCTTCCTTGGAAATTTCGGCGCCGTTGTAGATTCCTAACAAGTTCATGATACGGTTGAATCGAATACAGGCATATCCCCTCTCTTTAGCAATTTGTCGTAACCGATGTCCGTATTCCCATACTTCTCCATCGGAGATTCCAACAAGGTCTATTCACTCTTCCGTCAGCTAAGAACAACTAGACAGAAAGAAAGGATAAACTACCATTATAGCATAGACCATCCGTAACGATCACGACTAAGGCTCCTGGGGGGTAGATAGCTTTGATATCAGAGCAAAGATTATTCAATCGAGCCAGGCCAAGCTCCTCTCCAAGATCAGGCAGTGCACCCAGCACCTTATCCATACGGTTGTTGCTCTTCATGGGAAAAGCTGGTAACACCATAGGAATAATTTCATTGGCAACGATATGTTTCTGTACTCGTGGTGTGAAAGAAGCTCTTCCTAACCAGCCTTCTCCAGTAGGGCCTTTTTTCTCATGGTATCCATAGCCCTCAACAATGCTCATGACCTCCTCGGCTTTGAGGCGAGCTGTATAGGGGCATATCACTTGCTGAGGCTGCTTTTGTGTCCGTAACTGTAGCAGTTGAGGTAGCAGTTGCACCTGTTTCTCCTCGAATTTCTCATTCTGCTCTTCTGTGTGTACATGTTCAACCGGAACTGGGGTTGGGCGTGGCCAAGGAAGGAAAAATATCTGCTGTTTGTTGGTGAAAATGTTCCCGTTGTTATGTCCCTTGTAATCGGAAGGTAGATGATTTGGCTGAAGTTGGACGATCTCTGTGGCGAGCATGGTGTTTGTAGTGTAGGTGTGTCAATATGCGTGTGTTGAGTGAGTTTGCCCTAATGTGCTCAAATGTGCTCAACGTTGCCTCTCGTAATTACCGGCAGCGGGAAAGCGGATGTATGGATGGGCTTCGGGAACAGATATAAGAAGTTGCGAAACCCTAGACTATTTTCTTCAAAGATAGATTGATGTATCTAGCACTGTCGAGTTTCAAAAATCTTCTCAGAATAAAGCGATGTCTATAACCTCTAAGTCATCGATCTCAAAACGTGTAAGGGGCACTCCCTACACTCACGCACAAGGACCAATCAATCAGCGTCTGAGGAACGATCACGTCGAGTCTACGAGTTCTCACTCTATGGCAAGGACGCTCACTTAGTGGCTCACCCTTCGCAACCCATCATGATCTCTGAATCATCCAGTGCGTCACTGCCTTGCCACCATTGCTAGGAGAGCTCGATTCGGCAAGACGAGCTCGATACCTTCGGGCCAACGATCGACGAACAAATTGAGACATGTCATTACGCGTACTACGTACGAAGTAAGCATGTATCTAACAGCGGGGGTTGCAGCAAGCCAGCGAAAATCACGCATTCGCAGCAGCAAATCAGCCGATGCCTGAATATGATTCGTCTATAATGGTTGTGTTCTTGTGATCTATTTATTGTGGAGAGACTGATTCATCATCTATTTTAGTGGCTGATTCTAAACGGAGCAATGCCTGCATTATGCTCCGTGTGTTCGTACGAAATGCATACCGTATCTCACTACTGTACACCAATACATCGGATCACGCCGCTCGATGTGACAGGACTATCAGGCCTCAATCTTGTTCCCAGCGGTATTCTAATCGCTCAGCGGTCTGTTGAGCCACCCCTAACCCTCCATAATGCACCTTTACAAACTCCAGCAAAAGATCCAGCCCGGCTGTAACGCCAGCTGACGACCAGACCTCGACGCCAGGACGCAAGCCATCATGGGTCTTGGTTGTAGTATCCAGCTGAGCCGAGGTGTTACCCGTGGATGCATCGGGGACGCTAGTTCTAACCCATCGCCTATTTTCTTGCCACTTTACTTTTCGACTATGCGGATGATTTGCTGTGGAAACATCCTTGAAGCGGGCCGAATTCGTAGTGGCGTCGAGGTTATTGAGCAGACCAGTCTGAGCCAGAACATGGCTGCCTGTGCATATTGTGATGACGCTGTGTCGGACATGTGATGCGACCGCCTTAATGAAATCTTGCGCTTCTTGCGTATTTGAAATATTTGCTTCTGCCGGATCGGAGTGGACACGATCCAACCGCGTGCCAGGGCCACCGGGAATCAATAGAACGTCAATAGGTTTGAGGGATCCATCCGCGCCATTGTCTGAAATATTGCCACTGGATAATGCCGAGAGGTAGTCTTGGAAAGTCACATCGGGTACGACTCTTGGATTGAAACTTGTGTTGGTCCCAGGAGGAAGATTGAAGTTCCACCTGGCGCTTGGTGGGGCGACAGGTTTGGTTGAGACTGGCTCAAGCGTCGACGAAAGCAAGGKCAACGTGAGTCCAGATGTTTCTGGGTACTGAGATCGCAGACTAAGGACATCCAATGGTCCTGCGAAGTCTAGCAATTGCACGCCAGGAAACAGAGGGACATGAAAATGAAGCGGCTTGATCCGATTTGCATTTATCGCAGGATCGGTAGACAATGAGCGATAGTGCACGGTGGAGGTCGTGCTATTGATGCAACTAGATTCACAGCTCGTGTTTGACCGGAATGTGTAAATGCCTTTTCGGGAGACGAATGCCAATGGGCGAGCGATGACCGCTGGTCGAATTCGAGTGGCCATCGTGATTCAAGGATCGTGTTGGTCTGTGCTGTGCTGCAGAGCGGAGTGATATAAGCTCAAAACAATGGGATTTGTTCGGCAGGAAGACCAGAAAGCGACGAAAGCAAGTCAAGGGTAAAAAATATTCGGCAGAGTCAAAGACTGCAACTTAAGACGATACGATACGGAGTACGTAATCTAGGTACGAACCATGTATGTACCGAGTACGTACGCACGCACTACCTAGTACAAGCGTATCGAGTCCACTCTAAGCCAGATCTCCTCAAGCGTGGTACACGATTGTTCCTTCAAGCGTGTGTCAAGTTGATACCTCCAGCCACCGCGTCGGCTACAGTCAAGCTTGGTGGAATAGTTCATGAGATGTCAACGATCGGCGAGCAGCTACATGGATACGAGAGCCAACCAAACGTTAGTTATGTCTCATTGACATCTGATTCATGTAAGGATGGATAGGTTCGTTCTAGATCGACGCTAAGCGTGGACAGATGCAGCCTCAGCCAGCCTGGCCGAAATACTCCGTATCGGGTGACAATATCAAATTTTCCGAGTCTGCAAGTCCCAGATAGGTAGTCCTCTGGACTCCATACTATGACTATTGGTGTTGGCGGAGCCCGGTGAAAAAGAAATGTCATGGAGAGATGCTTCGGGGATTGATGTTCGGCACGAAGGTTTCGGGGCGCTGAGCCAGATCTCAGTATGTGGGGGTGTGGGTCCCGTGCGGTACCAACCTAACCCGTACTATGTAGTGCGTTCGTACCAAACTTCAGACCTCGCTTGTCCGCAATGGGCAATGAGCATCGCTGGCATGTCGTAAAGCAGGTTTACTAGTGCAAAATACTAGCGGGTCTCTAGTCTGCTTACGATGTACTCCGTAGATGCGCATCTGATTTTCCGTGGACTCTAGGCCATCTTTGGCTTAGACCCATGAAGCTTACTTCTCTCGTTTTGCCTTTTCGGGAAATTCATCAACACGGGGCAATAGGTTTCCCCCAGTCGCCTGGCTTTGACAGTCATGGTTCCTATACCGAGATGTTGCGATTGCAATTTATTCTTCACTGTAGGAGATTTTTGATATATTGAGTTCTTTCCCTAGTCTTCCAACTACCTTCTCGTATGTCATACAAAAAGCAATATGCCGCGCTACATCTAGTTCAGCTTCCGAGTGTCCGCCCATTGGGCCCCAACCAAAAATAATGCTCCAATAATGATACAGAGCCCGCCAAAGACCTGTGCGTACAGGTAGTCTCCGCCATTCAAGGCAATGAGCTTCCCTGCAATGTACGGTCCAGTCAAAAGCGGTATGCTGTTAATAGTCGTGATAGTCCCGACTCGAGTTCCGGATTTTTCGGGATTCTTGGCTCCAAAGTACGCATTGGACGCTGGTACTTGACTTAGCGCACAATTAGCAAAAATTCCATAGACTGTAGCCCAAATCAGCATGCTTTGGTGTGAGTCGACGGCAATCCAGCAGAGGAGCATTGCTCCACAGGGAATGGAGACCAGGATGCAAGTCCTTACTGCTCCTAGGTAGCGGTCTGCTATGTAGGCGACCACGACACGGCTCGGGAGTCCCACGCCATTCATTAAGAAAAGCAGGAAAAGAGACTCCTGAAGGGAAAAGCCAGTCTTTGATTGGGCGAATTGCCTCACCTATGATCCGTCAGTCCGGGCCATCACGATCAACTAAAAGAGAAAAAATGAATGAGAACTGACGTATATGTATGCAAAGTAAATCCCCTCGAAGATAAAGAATGACCCAATCGAGAACATGGTGTAAGAAAGTTCTTTGAATGCGGTAAAGTCGAACCAAGGGCTAGACTTGCGTGACACGATCCTCGCTCTAGTCACTGCAGACACCACGAGCCCATTCATAGCAATGATCAATGCCATCAATCGCACAGTCCATGCAAATCCCAGTCTGTCAAACAGATAATATCCAATGGCAGGAAAGACCATCCCACCAGTAGCAGCCCCACAGGATGCCAGTGAGACGGCCATGACTCGCTTAGTAGTAAACCAAGTCGAGTATAGCGAGATCATTGGGCTGAAAACAAGGCCATGGCCAATCCCGCTGCAGATTCCCTGTGCAAGCCAAAAATGCCATAGCTCAGTGCCAAAGGATGTAGCGAATGCTCCTAGTGCTTGCAACAGGCAACCTGTTGCGATGCAGGTTCGGAGGTATCCGGCATCCATTGCACGGCCAGAGAAAGTGCCGAGCAAATGGACCATGAACATTTGCACTGCTCCAATCGAGGACGCATCGGCTGGACTGATATGTAGATTTTTGACATAGTATTCTTGGAAGAATCCATATCTTTGACTTGTCAAACAAAAGCAACCGTGAAGTGAGACAGGAAAAACTTACGAGGTGATATAACCCCAAACATTAAACACCACAAGATGTCCGGCTAGGACTTGTAGCCAGGCCCATGCACCCCCATTGGGAATTACAGACTCTGTGGCTTTGGAAGACTCAACCGCACCCGGCGAGCGAGGAAGTAAAGGTGATCTTTCATCATATATTGTTTGGGTCATTTTGTATGATCAAATACAAGATAAGGATCCTCTTTTTTTTTTTGAAAATAGAGCTTTCCAAATTCAAGCCTATAAAAGAAATTTTCGCTGGAAGCTCTGATATGACTTTGGTATATCGGTTGGTAAAACCGGCAAAGTGAGGTAAGAGGGATGGATTCGCAATCTCAAGTCTGGGTTGAAATCACATTTTCATAGCACGATTGCCTGCTTGGGTGGATATGTCGGATGTGCCAATTCAATAATCGTAGGCACTCAAGCTAGTCACTTCGGATGGCTGATCTGAGTGCGGCATTATCATTCTTGAGTTTTTCTGAAGCTAGGCCGAATCAGAACAACACATCCCAGGTATCTTTCGAACTCCGTGGGTCGGTCTGCATTGAACCACCTCGCATATGCAGTGGTGTACACTAGATTATACTCAGCTAGACATGTTTCAGGAATACGTATTGGATCTACCAATCTAAGTCTACCGAATCGTAAGACGGCAAAAATCTCGCGCTGCTAAGTCCCTACTGTATAGTACTGACCGTACAACCAATGGGATCTACATAACCTTATTTTCCGGATTTCCAAAATACATCAATTTAGATCGACAGCACTTACTGCTTAATACGTACTACGTAGTACGAAATCAGTGATGAAATGAAAACCTTGACTTCGATTTTCAATCTGTACAATTGTGTTCAGATCATGCCACTTGACCCTCTGGTACCGCGAATCCTTCTACATGCACAGTATAATCCTTGTGAGATACAATGCAACGTGCAAGTTTTAAGCGGTCATCGGCCTGCAGAGTCTGTTCACCATATCCCGGATTCTTAAAGAGCAAGCTCTTGTACGAATGTTGAATATCAACCGGCACCGACCAGTCGTACAACGTGTTTCGCTCGCGGAAGTAGTAAGGTTTGCCATTTTTCATGATGATGTCGTACTGTTCACGGAAATCCTTTGCATCTCCTGTTTTGATGTCTCCATTGGAGAGAACAACCAGGCTTGCATGCCAAGGCATATCACCGAATTTTCCTGCATGGGGGAGAAGAGGGATCGATATCTTGTTCTTTCCTATGGAAGGATGAATTGAGAGGCGAATGTGACTACCTAGAGTCACGTTTATCAACTTCTCGTACGCCTATGTCATGTCACAGAGAAAATCAGCATGTCATGAAATCTCGAAGAAGCTGCAATGATTACTCACAATAAGACGCTGTATCATGGCTTTGACCACTCTTGCAACCTCCGCGTCATATGCAGTCTGATCAGCGACAACAGCCGCATCGAGTCCCTTGCCCCATTTCAAATCTTCCGAAATACGACTGAAGAATCCATCAAACGTAGCTTTGGTATCCGGGTTGGTCTCAAGTTCAGTCTCAATGTTGAAGGTCTGATCAAAGTACTCGCTCGACATCAATCTTTGTCTAATAACGGGGACAAGCTCCAAATAGTCTGGCTTGGAAATCTTTTCCCCGTCTCCCAATCCCATTAGATCCATCAGTCGGACGAATTGTATTGAGGAGAATTTCTTCTCTTGAGCTAGCTCCCGGAGACGTCGACCGTAGTCATACGCTTCTTCGTCGGGAATCCCAACCAAGTCTAACACGGCATACTTAGAAACTGAGATCCATGTTTAATAGAGAATACAAACCGTTGTACACAGGCACATCACATATTAGCATAAGTCGTGCACCATAGGGATAGAACTTCGAAATTTCTTGGCATATATCATTCAACCTCGACAGTCCAAGTTCCTCACCCAAATCCGGATCAGCCCCCAAGACTTTATCGAGATTAGGGTTCTTCCAGGGAAATGCCGGTAAGACCATAGTAATTGGTGCATTTTCGGAAATGTACTCTTTCACTCGGCCCTGGATGGCATCGAACACTTTCTCAAAGTCTTCTTCTGAGCCGGGTTTGCGTATGTGTTGAGAGAATGATCGTAGGACTTCTATCACTTTGGGAGCTATTTCTGTGGGGTCGTACTCAAAGGCCATTGTTGATGGTGATATGCTACCTCTGCTTGAGTGCTACCTACGGAATAGTTTGAAATGGCACTTTCTCGTTCAGCGCTTTATGTCTCAAGCCTGGAATCACTGATATGGAACAGTTGACCCGTCTGTCATGAAAGTCTAGCCATCATGCCGCTGATCCAAAGCAGCCCAATCGTCACAGTCTGATAGTCAAGCTGTTCTTTCCAATCGATATTCAAGGATACGCGCTGTGAGACAGGTCTTAGCGTAGACTCGATCGATGCAAACCTGTGGAGATTTTGGTCGTCGAAGCAAGTCCTCCGTTCTCCATGTTTCAGTCAGCCACCGATCACACTTGAGTAGCTAGTGTGGAAATCTTTTGGGATGTATCCATATTTTTTTGCAATACGTATCGGTAATATCAATACTGTGACAGGTGTCGTACCGTATTTACGTATCGTCTGGCGGAACACGGGCCGGCTAGCACAGGTCCCCACTGGATCCACCATGTCCCACTTTTATTTCTTTTTATCTGATCCAATCGCGTCTGGAATATTTCGTGTACACCGTAGCGACTTGATGGACGGCTTACGCCGTCCTTTGCAGAAGTCGCATCGATCGACTGCGTGCGCATTGTGTACAGGCATTGTAAACTATGATTTAGCATAGATTCGGCGCTAGCCAGCTCTAGTTGCTGAATATGGAGGACACAATTAGACAAGCCGGACGAATTTCCTGTAGCATGTACAATTTGGTCACTGTGGGTGCATTGTCGAATCATGGCCCATCAGATTTTTCTTGAATTAGTAGACTGAATGCAGTATGATCTGAGTATGCATACTCTCCCATAAAATCGAGGCTTTGTGTCTGTTGTTGATTAGTTAGAAGCAACTCGACAATTGAGCTTCCAAGAGAGGGAACATCATGCCTCTTACCCAGGAATCTCTCGATGATGACAGTAGCTCGACAACATTGAACGAGAATCCGACGACTCCCTTGATCAATTTGGTCGTAGGCGATCCCGAGATTGGCGCTACTGCTCACAATGACTCACGAACCGACACGATGTCAGAATTATTGCAACCGCAAACTGGCCTCCAGAAATTTTCTGCCATTATCAGTGTCGGTGGTATGAGCTGCGCAGCATGCGCCAACTCAATTACGAACGGCGTTCGTGAAAGCCTCGAGTTCGTCGACGACATCTCCGTCAACAACCTTACTCATAGCGCGGCGGTGCGCTGGACCGGATCTCGATCCGATGTCGACAAGATCATTGAGCAAATAGAAGATATGGGATTTGAAGCAATTCTTGACCATGTGAACAGCAAGGCTGTCTCAGCCCGAAGTAACCAGAATGTGTATGTCGTCGATTTGGCCATAAGCGGCTTGACTTGCGGATCTTGTGTGGAGAGCATTACAAGAGGATTGCAAAGTTTGCCGTTCATCACAAACGTGGTCATCAACTTTCTTTCCCACAGTGGGAAAATCGAGTTTGAAGGCAGGGAGAATGCCGACGAGATTATTGCGAAAATTGAGGATCTGGGTTACAATGCTTCAGTTCATAGCATATCTCCCGTCAACTCCGATGTTGATATACTCGCACCGACCGGAGCAAGGACTATATCCATCCGCGTCAATGGCATGTTCAATGACCATTGCGCCGACATGGTCCTAGAATCTTTGAATGGCATCTCAGGACTAAAAGTCGAGGAACAGCCATACCTCGACAATCCAATTGTCACCATCACATACTTTCCACAACCTCCCTCTCTTACTATCAGATCTATCCTCAACACTATTGACTCCATCGACAAGTCTTTCCATGCAGAAGTCTACCGTCCACCCAGCAACGAGGAACGATCTCGAATGATGCAAAAAAGAGCTCGACTTCAATTGCTCCGTCGACTATCTTTCGTCTTTGTCATCTCCATCCCCACGTTTCTGATTGGAATGGTGTTTATGAGCTTTGTTCCACCAGAGAACAAAATTCGAAAATATCTGGAGACACCCCAATGGCTCCAAATCACCCGTATGGACTGGGCGTTGTTAGTCCTGACTACCCCAGTCATGTTCTATGGTGCAGACTTGTTTCACAAGCGAGCTTTCAAGGAAATCTATGCGCTCTGGCGGCCTGGAAGTCCTACACCTCTAGCACAAAGATTCTTCCGCTTTGGTAGCATGAATCTTTTGATTTCTGCTGGTACTGCAGTGGCATATGTGGCATCTCTGGTATCCCTGGTTTTCGATGCGGTCTACGGCACAGCACCTGACGCACACCGCTCGACTTGCTTTGACTCTGTGGTGTTTTTGACTCTTTTTATCCTAGCAGGGCGCTGTCTGGAAACATACAGCAAAGAACGAACAGACGATGCTGTTGCTTCCTTGGGCCAATTGCTCCCTACCGAAGCTATTCTCGTGGAAAATTCGGGAGCATCTGGCTCAGAACGATTCCAGAATATCAGCACTCATCTGCTAGAAATTGGTGATACTGTTAGCGTTCCTCATGGCGCATCACCACCTGCAGATGGAATCATTCTCGGCTCTGGATCCTATCACTTCGACGAAAGTTCTCTGACTGGCGAATCCACTTCGGTCAAGAAAAGCGCTGGCGATCAAGTTTTCGCTGGAGCAATCAATGTTGGTTCGCCTGTCCAGGTGCGGCTCACCGGCGTGGGTGGCATGTCAATGCTCGACCAAATCATAACCGTTGTCCGTGAAGGCCAAAGTAAGAGAGCATCGATCGAGAGAGCTGTGGATACCCTTACAGCTCATTTTGTCCCCGTCATCACCTTGATCGCAATCATTACGTTCATTACCTGGGTAAGCTTGGCATCAGCAGGCATTTTGCCGCGAGATTATCTAGATTCGTCTCACATGGGTTGGACTTTTTGGAGCTTAGAGTTCGCCATTGCGGTGTTTGTAGTTGCTTGTCCCTGTGGATTGGCACTTGCTGCTCCCACGGCTCTATTTGTTGGTGGAGGCGTCGCAGCTCGACATGGAATCCTTGTTAAAGGTGGTGGCGAAGCATTTCAAGAAGCTAGTCGTCTGAATGCTGTCGTCTTCGATAAAACTGGTACACTTACAGACAGTGGAAGTCTCCACATCAGCGATTATGAGGTGCTCACAGGTAACTTGGAGCAATTATCCGTCGCATGGAACATTGCCCAGAGCTTAGAGGAACAGAGCAAGCATCCGATCGCCACAGCCATCCGCCAATTTTGTCAAGAGAAAGAAGCACCTTCTGTTCACATTGTTGATTCTGATATCACTGAAATTGCCGGTCATGGAATGCAGGGTACATTCACTCTCAGCCTCGGCAACGAGAGATCAGATATTTCTTCGACAACGAATGTCCAATATGAAGCGGCTATTGGCAATGAACGCCTGCTAAAACGACTCTCCCCTCCGAGTACAGATACCTATTATCTGTCCTCGCTTCTCTCGAAATATCAAACGACGGGCAAGTCGGTGGTGATACTTTCACTTCGTCGAAGCGATGCACCGGAAGCTTCAGAGCGGAGTCCCTTCACTCCAGTGATCGTTTTTGCAGTTTCTGAGACTATTCGCCCTGAGGCCGCACGCGTCGTCGCCAAGCTTCAAAGTAGTCAAGTCGATGTCTTCATGTGTACGGGCGACAATCAAACAACCGCGCATGCGGTTGCAGACTCCTTGGGTATTCCTCGTACACATGTCATGGCAGGAGTTTTACCAACTGAAAAGGCAACTTTCGTTAGCCAGGTGCAGCATGGTAGTCAGGAGTTTCAAGCGATTCCAACAAAAGCCAAGAAGAGTACATCTAGAAACAGCACTCGATCAATTGTTGCTTTCGTCGGCGATGGTGTCAACGATGCCCCAGCCCTTGCAGCCGCAGATGTCAGCGTTGCCATGGCTTCTGGCTCTGATGTGGCAATCAGTTCTGCAAGCTTCATACTTCTCAATTCTGATATCGGCAACATCCTAGAGCTCGTCCTCTTGAGCCGTCGAGTGTTCCGCCGTGTCCGACTCAATTTCCTCTGGGCGCTCGTGTATAATGTGTGTCTGATTCCCATTGCAGCGGGTGTGCTCTATCCGATCGTTATCGGCCAGGCAGAGCAGGTGGTTGATGGTAGGGTGGTGCTTGTCAATAAGCATTTTCGATTGAGTCCTGTCTGGGCGGCTCTGGCCATGGCGCTTAGCAGTATCTCGGTTGTATGCAGCAGCCTTGCCTTGGGGGTTGAGAAGCGACATTTCACGCAAATATTTAAAAGAAAGGCTGGACGTTAGGAAATTGTTTGGGATGGAAAGTAGGATGTGAGATTAGAAAAGTGTGTAGTTTATATATCAATGTTAATGTAATGCCTGAGTTCCTAGGTCTCAAAGCGAAACCCAGGTTCACCTCCATCTACGTTGCAAGAGTTGTACTAAGATCGAATAGAACAAGTTTCTTAGCAGGGAATTCAGATTAATAAGATATCTCTATCGCTAGTCGTCATGATTGACAGCTGCAGACTGCGACGAGGCAATGCTAATAGAACAAAGTCCTCCTTAATGAAAGTCCCATAATTCTCACAACCCCTAGAACGTGAGCTCTGATCGCATTATTGAATGACGGAAGCGCTGTGATTTGACGATTGCACGTTCTTATGGGTGTGACTCATAGTCATTTATTTCTGAAACAGGCGGTCGAATTAGTTTCGGTGTCTTTGATACAAGAATAAGTGTACGTACAGGGCACTGGCAAGCACCGGAGGGGCACTGGCAGGAGGAGCCGCAGCTGCAGGTGTGGTCGGAACCTATCAAGCCATGTTAATTAGTATCAGATCTGTGGCTGCTTGAGAGGTTGAGGCTAGTGATGGCTATTTGTAGAGTAAAGTTGTGGATGATGGACCGGGAAGACAGCAGAATGCTAAGCCAACGTACCCATTTTGAATGATGTAGTTGGTAAAAATTTAAAAGTCTTTGGTAATAGCAAGTTGGTTGTTTGTGGATAAGAAACTACCTGAGATAAGTTGAGGGTGAGGTGATTGTTCTTATACTCCGGAGGATCGGCTGGGAGGGGKTTTATCTTTATTATCTTACCCCTCACAAATCACCTGATTTGTATCCTTTTTTTTTGAACTCTGACAAAACGACGTCCACGACGTCAACGTAACTCACAACCCGCTCGAGCCGTGCCAAGTGGTTTCATTGTTTGTCTGGTCCGAGGGAATTTGTCTCATGCATACTCGTCGCACGACTGTGGTCCGCCCAGAGTCGTATGTATGTATCCATGCAGCCATCCATGATGCACATGTACGAATCCATGTAGCTCGCAACCTAGACATCCACAGGATTATAGACTAGAAGCTCTGGAGGGAGTCTGGATTTCCTAATCCTTTTGAAAAATATGTATTGGCTTATGCGAAATTGGCTTTCAACCCCCATCAGCAGACGATGCCGGAGTCAACCCCACACATACGGAAACGCAGCATTCAAAGCTTTACTATGTAGTATATTTGGTACATGTTGCTTCAGAATTCAAACACGAGATGCGAGAGATGAGTGGCTCTCAAAGATGGTCCATCCCGGTCATTAGTTCCACAATGATGATCCTTGTAGACACCACAAGCTAGAAATCGCCCTGCTGACTGGATAAACGACGCACTGACTGAAATTATAGTACAGGCGTCGCTCGTGTCTTGACCACTCCAGGCTGCATTAGTGAATCTTGATAGATATCTGATCCTCGGCCGATCTCGTAAATCTTTGGTCGTGGCTGTCTGAGTATCTACCCTCCAGTCCAGGTGGAGCTGGCAGTTTTCTTCATCCACAATCGATGCAACGTCATTAGTGTCACTACCAGTATGATTAGCATGAATGTCATGATAGCGATGTATCTGATATTCAAAGAATATGACTCGCAGCGGGCCGTCCCTAGGCTCGTTGCCAGGTGCGAAAGCACCAATGTGGCTTCAGTCCTGAATCTGTCAGCCATGTGGTGGATGCAAGCTCAGGAAGAGGCATTGTCTCTGGTCAGGACAATGCCGTGGTTGTAAATAATGGGGCAGTCTGATGGGGTCGGAGAGCAATACGGATAGCCCGAAATTGAGATATATGGGAGTCGCCCACGTCGGCCTGCATGTACACTTATCTCAATCCTGCTTGATCAACCCGTAGGCGCGATCAGTGTTGCATGCCTCGGGCGAGTCGGCAGATCTTGATCACTGAAGCAACAGAAAGAATGGAAAGGACGGACAATGGGAAAATACAAGCCCGGCATCATGTGACTTGTTCTTTCCTTGAGAGGGGACGCGCCTTCCTTCCTTGACAGTAACCAGCCAGCTTATCTGAACGACCGTGGTTATAAAAATGGTAGGACATCGAATGTCCATGCTGTTTTGATTGTGACCTCATCTGCGAATCTCAGTCGACTAGGTGCAAATCATGAAGAATTTACGTATGGATAACGATGGGGGATACGAGAACGCCGATTTACAAGCCACCAGGCATCCCTCAACCGCTTTGAAAATGCAGCAGGCAGCACACATGCTAGTTTGAACGACGTTCCGATGACTAAAACCTATTTACACCGAGCCTTTCGAGCATGCCGAGTCGACGATGGGGACAAACTTGAAGTACGGCGAAGAATAGATGGTTGCAGGGTGAGAAGGGAATGATTCGTCTACAGATTCTGTAGGGAACTTAGTTTGGGTAGCGAATGGTGCATCTCTTCGATTCAGATAGTCGATGGTCCCGCGGGTGTCTGAGTATATCGACCGCTTTGAGCACTGAGACGTCAGCAATGTCAACAAGACAAAGCCATTGACGGGCTGTCAACATTGGGTCGCCAATAAGGATTTGTCAGGTGACTCTCGGTGCGATAATACTGGGAGGCAAAGGCAACTAGTTAAGGGAGCACCAGCAAGTCCATTGAGAAATACTGATAATCGTAGCTATCTTTTGTAGAAGGAGTGTAGGGTGTAGGTAAGCAGAGACCGGTCGAGGCGATTCCATGCCCTTCTCCAAGGCGGTGAGCATGGTGGCGACGGCATTGGCTGGAAGCTCTCCAGGAACAAAGCCGACAAACAGAAGGTAGTTAATAGACGACAGGCAGCTTTAGTAATCCCAGAAGAAGACACCTAAGGGACACAGAAGGACTGCTCGATTTTGCCTCCTTCGGAAATCTGCTAATATATTCTTTTTGTCTGGAATCTGCTAGCAAGTGCGTGCGGAGTGAGTATATACACGGCTTGCTGTCACCTAACTTACAGTTACGCAGCTTACTAACAAATCATCGTTGGCGCTAGTTCGATATCGTCACTCACCTCTTCCTCTGGAGCTGCCGTCCTCCTCACCCATCCATCCATCTACCACATTACCGCCTCATCTATCTTCCCATCCCCCCAGCACTTATCTCCTCCCTTTTCTCCATAATATATTACTGCTCTCATCTTGGAGTCATCTTCTTTCCTTATTTTTATTCGCTTTCCCCTCACAGCGAGTGAGTTGTTGTTCTTAAGCCAGGTGACGTCTTGAACCACCACCTCTAGCTCCAGCTTAGCGACCAACTTGCCACATCTTCCCATCTTCCATCGAAAATGTCTTCAGAGCCTGATCACGTTCATTCTAAGCAGAGGGTCAATCTCAAGTAAGCTAACTATCCTCTACCCGATTCTTTGGATGATTGGACTGTGCTGATAACCGATGTACAGTGATCCCTCGGGCGCCGAGAAGAAAGAGGTAGGTTTACACCTCACGTTGTCGAGATGAAAATATTTTAACACGTTTATCATAGGAGATGGATACAGCTACAGCTATCCTGAAGAAGAAGAAGAAGCCCAACTCGTTGATGTAAGTTCTCTCAGTAGCAGTCAAGGGAGATAAGCGAAACATCCCGCTAATCACGAGCTCTAGTGTCACCGATGCCGTTAACGACGACAACTCGATTATTGCTTTGTCCAACAACACCATGGAGACCTTGCAGCTCTTCCGTGGAGACACAGTCTTGGTTAAGGGAAAGAAGCGAAAGGACACCGTCTTGATCGTCCTTGCCGATGATGACCTCGATGATGGCAGTGCTCGTATCAACCGTGTGGTCCGACACAACCTCCGTGTGAAGCATGGCGATATCATCACTGTTCACCCTTGCCCAGATATCAAATATGTAAGTTTGGAAAGCTAACAAGTTCCTTCCTGTTGCAGATGCTAACATATTTCCTTACTTTAGGCCAAGCGAATTGCCGTTCTGCCCATTGCTGACACTGTCGAGGGTCTCACCGGTTCCCTGTTCGATGTCTTTCTTGCACCTTACTTCCGCGAGGCTTATCGCCCCGTACGACAGGGCGATTTGTTCACAGTCCGTGGTGGTATGCGACAAGTAGAGTTCAAGGTGGTGGAGGTCGACCCTCCCGAATACGGTATCGTTGCTCAGGACACAATTATTCATTGCGAAGGCGAGCCTATTCAGCGCGAAGACGAGGAAGGAAACCTTAATGAAGTTGGCTATGACGATATTGGTGGCTGCCGGAAACAAATGGCACAGGTCCGAGAGCTTGTGGAGTTGCCTCTTCGTCACCCTCAGCTATTCAAATCTATCGGTATCAAGCCACCTCGCGGTATCCTCATGTACGGTCCTCCTGGTACTGGTAAGACCTTGATGGCTCGTGCCGTCGCCAACGAGACCGGTGCTTTCTTTTTCTTGATCAACGGTCCTGAAATTATGTCCAAGATGGCTGGTGAGTCTGAATCGAATTTGCGAAAGGCTTTCGAAGAGGCCGAGAAGAACTCTCCCGCCATCATCTTCATTGATGAAATCGATTCTATCGCCCCCAAGCGTGAGAAGACCAACGGAGAGGTTGAGCGTCGTGTTGTTTCCCAGCTTTTGACTCTCATGGACGGTATGAAGGCTCGCTCAAACATCGTCGTTATGGCAGCTACCAACCGTCCCAACTCGATTGACCCTGCCTTGCGTCGTTTCGGCCGTTTCGATCGTGAAGTCGACATTGGTATTCCCGACCCCACAGGTCGTCTCGAGATCCTTCAGATTCACACCAAGAACATGAAGCTTGCCGAAGATGTCGATCTCGAGGCTATTGCTGCCGAGACTCACGGTTATGTTGGTTCCGATATTGCCTCTCTCTGCTCAGAGGCTGCCATGCAGCAAATTCGTGAGAAGATGGACCTCATCGACCTCGACGAGGACACTATTGATGCCGAAGTCCTCGACTCTCTCGGTGTTACCATGGAGAACTTCCGATTTGCTCTCGGTGTTTCCAACCCATCCGCTCTTCGCGAAGTCGCTGTTGTGGAAGTGCCCAACGTTCGCTGGGAAGATATCGGTGGTTTGGAGGAAGTCAAGAAGGAGCTTATCGAGAGCGTCCAATACCCTGTCGAACACCCCGAAAAGTTCCTCAAGTTCGGTCTCTCCCCCTCACGTGGTGTCCTCTTCTATGGTCCTCCCGGTACCGGTAAAACTATGCTTGCCAAGGCCGTTGCCAACGAGTGTTCTGCCAACTTTATTTCCGTGAAGGGTCCTGAATTGCTTAGTATGTGGTTCGGTGAATCTGAGAGCAACATTCGTGATATCTTCGACAAGGCTCGCGCGGCTGCTCCTTGCGTTGTCTTCTTGGATGAGCTGGATTCCATTGCTAAGGCACGTGGTGGTTCTGTTGGAGATGCTGGCGGTGCATCCGACCGTGTGGTCAACCAGCTTTTGACTGGTAAGTAATCTCTGGGTTATCTATAATGTTGGCGTAAAACTAACGGAAAGTAGAAATGGACGGTATGACCTCGAAGAAGAATGTTTTCGTCATTGGCGCAACCAATCGACCCGAACAACTCGACCCTGCACTTTGCCGACCTGGTCGTCTTGACACTCTCGTCTACGTCCCCCTTCCAGACCAAGCTTCTCGTGAAGGTATCCTCAGGGCTCAGCTTCGTAAGACTCCTGTCGCTCCTGACGTGGATCTTGCTTTCATTGCCAGCAAGACGCATGGCTTCTCCGGTGCCGATCTTGGTTTCGTGACCCAGCGTGCCGTCAAGCTTGCCATCAAGCAGTCTATTGCCCTGGATATTGAGCGCCAGCGGGAGCGTGAAGCTGCCGGTGAAGATATTGAAATGGAGGAAGTTGAGGGCGAGGACCCAGTCCCCGAACTTACTCGTGCTCACTTCGAAGAGGCCATGGCATCTGCTCGCAAATCTGTTAGCGATGTTGAGATTCGCCGATATGAGGCATTTGCTCAGAGCATGAAGAACTCGGGTGGCAGTGCTTTCTTCCGCTTCCCCTCGGCTGAGGAGGTTTCAGGTGGTGATGCTGCACAGAATGGATTCGGCGATGCAGGCAATGACGACAGTCTGTATGATTAAGAGTTTGGCTGCTAAATACTTCACGGCTCTTATGGTGACGAATCTTATTCTTACGTACTGCGAATTACCCCTTCTGTTTTCTCAAGTTGACTAGTTCGTGTTGAGGCTTGATTGTCATCTCTCGGGAAGCATTGGTGTGCTCTCTACTTCTCCTCGAGATAATCTAATGAAAGACAAGGACCAAGCAGACTAGAATTGACCAAATGTGAGGAGACATTGTTATCTATTTCCGATCCTGTCTCCTATGTACTTGCTCTGCTTTTTTTGTATCTTATACATCTTAGGGTGCTTGAAATAGAGATGCTTTCACAATCAATTCATAGAATGTCGATTCCTAGTAGATTGTATGCATGTTATAGTACAAGTTCAGCTCTAACGCCTTCCAACAGCTAAAAGTCAAGATTAACTGAACAGTCTGAAAACAGACACCATGAAGTTTCTAACGCGCTAATCCATGAGATATTCAAAGACACAAACTCCGCCATCAATGAATGCCTTGTAAACTCCTGTAGATGAAACGTCAAAATAAGCCCATCGCCCTTCTATTCGTCTCTCATTTGGCATCTTTCCCAGATTTAGATTTCTTATCCTTGCCTCCAGCCGCATTCTTCGTCGGGCTCGGATTACCATTGCCGGTCGAGTCTTTATTGCTGCTCGATTTATTCTTCTTCTCGGACTTTGAAGCCTTGCCATTCGTAAGCTCTTTTTCGTCGTGCGGTTCGGGCCCGTCGTCATCATCATCCTCAATCGTAGCAAATGATCTTAACGAGTCCTTCAGCGATCTGACCCCCTGTTCCACAATCTCCTTCGGTATCCGCACATCAATGTCCCTAAAAAACGACTCCGAGTTCGTCGCATTACCAGCGCCATTCACGGCGGTGCCTTTATCATGACCATTTGTACTGCTGTTGGCCTCCGGTACAACGGGGTGCGTCTGACCAGTAGCAAGCGTAACAACAACGTCGACCATGTCATCGAAATGTGTACAGCGACCTGCGCGCAAAAGCTCTAGGGATAAGGATTGGACGCGCTCGGCCCAGCCGGCGCGTTGGAGGGAGAAGAGAAGATTGGCGTGGAGGTCGTCGAGGGTTGTAGAGGAGTCGGAGAGGAGGTTGTCATAAATTTCGGACTCGACGGTGTCGAGGGTGGTTTCGCTCGGCATGATTTTGGTAGTATTATTTCAAGGTTGTCCCCCCGGAAAGATTTCTGCTTTGTGTAGTATTGTATACCCCGTATGCAAAAGACCGCAAAGAAACGACGAAGCGCGGGGAGAGAGGCCCGTTGCGATGGCTCGCGATGCGGAATCGGACCCGACCGAGGTGAAGCTAGGCGATCCGGTGGCGATAGCAGACCTTTTCCTTTCTTTCCTTTCTATATGATCAAAACAAATGTGCTCCCGCAATATTGCTGCATCGTTTCCAACTCGGTGCTTTCGATTTCAACGGTGGAGGTTGTCTGAAGTGGTACACCGGAGAAGTTTGAGGGTTCCGCTCGGCGGCTAGTCAGCGTCACTTAAGGTACGCCTCGTCTAAAAGAGAACTACAAGCTGCTTTTCAGTCTAAATAATTTGATACGGATTGACCTTTGAGCTAGCTTTACTAGCATTATCTCCACTGTCTCCCACCGTCATCCCATTATGCGTCCGAACTGTTGTTGTATATGCGGAACACTATTCCTACTGCCCTTGTTTTGTAGTAGGTAGGGCTCAAAGCAATGGCGTTATTTTTCTTTACTATTGGCAATTGCGAGACTCGAGAACAACTAGCTTACTAAATAAATACGTAACGTAGCTAGAGGGTAGGAAAGCAAGTTGGAAGCATAGCTCTTAGTTAAGTCTTATCTATGTAGCCTGGCGTGGTCCTAGCGCTGCCAGCCTGCCAACCCGCGCTGTCCCACTCGCTCCTCACTCAGACCTGTCACAGCTATCAGTAGAGCTCCTGCAAGTGCCCAGGCCATTCCTTGTACGTATAGATTTACTTACAAGTCATTGTGCTTTGCGTACTCATCTACTCTCAATCTTACAGAACCCGCCCGGGCGATCACATTGCGCGTTACGATCGATCAGTCGCGAGCTGCGACGGAATCCCGCCTCCACCGGTGACGCAGGCAGACTCTCTGATCAACAATCAAGAATACCCCAGCACAGCACTCAACCCCAGCCAACATGTCTCTGTTTGGCACGTCGCCCGATGAGGCTCCCACAGAAGTCAATCCCTCGCGATTATCTAAATCGTCTCTGTTCGACGACGAGCCACACAGCCAGTCCGGATCAGCTCTCTTTGCCGACGATAGCCATAGCAGCGACTCGCCATGGAATATGCCCACACCGAAACGAGGCGGGCGCCAGAACTACGTCAAAACCCTTCTTCCTGCGTCTGATGTACCCGATAGTTATACAGATGCCTTTGAATTGGTTCTGGATGCAAGCGGTCGAAGTGGCGCCGGCGTCGGGCTTACTACGATTCGACAGATCCTGGCGAGCAGTGGATTGACCGCGGCTGACCAGGCTAAGATTCTTAATCTGGTGCTTCCTGGGGGTCAGGAAACGTCATCTGATGGACTGGGGCGGAATGAATTCAATGTCCTTATAGCTTTGATAGGTTTGGCTCAGGAAGGCGAGGACATTACATTTGATGCCGTGGATGAACGACGGAATAGTACGTTTCGTTCCAGGCTAATATATGCGTGTGTGTTTAGGCTGGCTAATTGGGATTAGAACTACCTCAACCGAAAATATCGTATCTAGAAGGCCTTCGCCATTCTGAAGAGCCTCCCCCCGCCGCGCCCCAGACACAGCAGCCAGAAGAGACACCACGGCCAGAATCACAACAGCCCGTTAACGCACGGCCACGACAGACCTCCTTTAGCGCAGCAGAAGCAGATCCTTGGGGTAGTCCGGATCTTCATCGCGGCCATCAACATACCTCCAATCCTTCCAATGAGCCCGCACTTAATAGATTCGGCGGTGTCCGTTCAGCTACCAATGGCTGGGTTGCTGCTGGTTCTACCGCAGTCGCAAGCGAGTCGCAGAATACATCACAATCGAATGGACAGGGTCCCCCTAGTAGCTCAGGGTCAGGTTGGGGTGACTACAACAATACGTCTCAAACAGCTCCCCCGTTCGGCGCGGCCGCTCAACCAGGATTCGAAGCTTTTCCAAAGCCAGGTAATGGACAAGATAGTCTTGACCCGCAAAGCCGGTCTCTGGGGGGTGGTCGGGTGACTGGTCCTGGAGCTGAGGAGATCGTAACCGTTACACTATTACCCGAAAAAGAAGGCTTGTTCATGTTTCAACATCGCAATTACGAAGTCAAGTCCCCTCGTCGGGGAAGCTCGGTAGTAAGACGTTACAGCGACTTTGTCTGGTTACTTGACTGTCTACAAAAACGATACCCATTTCGGCAATTGCCACTTCTTCCTCCCAAGAGAGTTGCAGGTACGTCCAGAAATCTTGTAACCATAACCTAAAATTCAGCTCACCGTTCGTTTTTCTGATCAAAGTCAATGGTACTCATCTTTCAGCGGACTCAAACTCGTTTCTTGAAAAGCGTCGTCGTGGGCTTGTTCGGTTTACGAATGCGCTTGTGCGACACCCTGTCTTAAATCAGGAGCAACTGGTTGTTATGTTTTTGACTGTTCCTACGGTGAGCTAGTGTCGAATACATGCACCAATACGTCTTGCTAATTTTGTTTCAGGAACTATCGGTATGGCGCAAGCAGGCGACAATCTCTGTCCAGGAAGAGTTCGCAGGCAAAGCTCTGCCTCCTGACCTTGAAGACTCATTACCAACAACATTAAACGAGACATTTGATACTGTGCGTTCGGGCGTCAAGCGCTCGGCTGAAATATTTATCAATCTTTGTGCATTACTCGAACGATTGGCAAAACGTAACGAGGGATTAGCTGCAGACCATCTTCGATTCTCTTTGGCCCTACAATCTCTGACCGAAGCAACCAGAAGTACCTATGCTGTGGACACAAACGATGTGCCACTACTGAACGAGGGAATTAACGCAACCGCAAGACATCTTTCCGCAAGTCAAAGTCTGCTAGAAGACGAAGCACGAGCCTGGACTGATGGCGTACTGGAAGATCTCAAACAGCAACGGGACTGCGTCGTTAGCATGCGGGATATGTTCGATAGGAGAGATCGCTTCGCCAAGGATAACATTCCTCAACTCGAGAAACGMATCGAGGCCAATGAGAAGAAATTACAGGATATGAGGAGTCGTCCGCAGGGGACGGTCAAGCCGGGCGATATTGAGAAGATTGAAGAGTCTATATTCAAGGTGTGCAATAATCTTTCTGTTCCTGTTGGAAATTGATAAAGCTAATTTTGCGGAATAGGACAAGGAGTCTATTGTACAGCAACATGCTCGCGGCGTCTTCATCAAAGAATGCATTCGTGACGAGCTTCTCTACTTCCAACACAGCCAATACCACATCAGCCGCCTGCATCAAGACTGGAGTCAAGAGCGAGTCAAATATGCAGAACTCCAGGCCGACAATTGGCGAGGATTGAGTGAAGAGGTGGAAGGAATGCCCAATGGAGAGTAGTTACTACCTGACAATTGAGTTCGGGCTAATATCGAGGACTGATAATAACATGATGTGTGGAAAGGGCCATACTGCTGCTTGATGCATATATACATACATATACCACGCTTCACATTGGTCTTTTTTTGGTTCTCCTGTTGCTTTCTTTCACAATGCAGGCTTGTTTTTGTTTCATAATTGCTATTGCTTGTTTGATTGCCATTGGATACATATTTGCTTTTTCGCTCGCTGTCATTATTCCCTGCTCATTGTTCTCATACCAGGCCAGACGTCAATTGTCATTGGAATCAAAGCGTCCTACTTTTTTCTTTGTTATCGAGGTATAACTATTACAACGCTACTGAAGTCGTTGAGGATTTTACGCTTCCTCTCTTTGGATGAGAAAAACAGTCTCATATCCTCGTGCATGGAGCAGTTGTGATTGAAATACGTGTGTTTGGACCTAAGTGGTTCGTCACATTCTCGCAGACTCGGTCCAGATCATCATACCCTATCCTGCTGTAGCCCTAATGACCGTACTGAGGAGTAGTCTACACAGGGCTATTTCTCAGATGGGAAAACAATAAATCAAACGTGCAAGTAATGAAAATAGCAGCTGTCATTGTTCCCGAAAGTTCTACCTAGGTACCTAGCTACATATCATGAAAAGAAACAGTAGACTGCTTTCCGTACTAAACCACGCCACGGCTAAATCGAAGTGTACCATAGGATGCTGAATCGTCCAGATTATTCGTAGCGTCATTAGCTTCAATTGGATTCGCTTCTATAACTTGCTTAGTGTAAGGCATACTCAGCCCTTCTACCTGCGCAAAGTAGGCATATGCAATCTCGTAAATGGGCCGCCATTGACCACGATCTGTTGCAGAAATAACGCTCCAGGGGCCACCGACAAGATCTGCGCCGCAGCTATTTGCAGTGGTCAGATTAGACAACCCCTTGTCTTCAGGAGAAGGGCAAAGGAAACATACCGATAAAAGCTTGGATCGTAGTCTACCGTGTTGCCCAGATTATACGAAGCGGTGTACTCATATCCAACCATGAGCCGCGAATCGAGCAGATCCCAATAGTTCTCGCCCTGGTTGTAGGCCGTTTGGCATAACTCGGCCATGTTGCCTAGACCGAGCTGGGTGTGTGCCTGGTCGCGACCTGATTCGGAGTTTTGCCCATTCGCATTGATAGTGTTGTTGAGATCTGCGCAAGCGAAGGTTTGATATAGGTCAAGTCCTTGATTGTACATTGTTGCGTTGTCTAGGAATACGCCAAAGGCGACGATGGCTTTTTCTCCGCTTGTTCCCCAATTGGCGAGACTAGAATACACATCTTGTCAGCTCCGTCATATATTTTTTGTACTCAAGGGTCGGTATCATCACTAACAAAGGATACTCCTGTGTCGCAGATGCCGTGGTCTGAGAAGCAGGAGGGTAGAAGACTTTGAGGATCATCTCTTTGAACGTCGAGATGTCCTCATCTGCCCAATCCGAATACGTGTAGCGCATTATTTCAGCTGCATTGACCAGCTGTGCACCCAGCAAACTTGCGGCGAGCTGGGCGTCAGTGCCGTTTATCAGAGTCAAGGTGCCCCCCCAAGCATTCAGGATCTCCACCGATTTTTCGGCATAAGCTGTCTCACCTGTGATGTACCACCTGTCGGAATGTCAGCTATTGGTCTAATGTTTTCAACTCTCTATTGATAGACCTTACATGAGAGCATTCAGAAGCGAGGCAACAGAATCATTAGCTAGCTGTGCTTTTCCAGGTGAGCTTCCGGTAGCATTTCGGGTCACATATGTCATTGGCCCCTTTAGTGTATACGACGAAGACGCCAACGGGTCGCCGGACATGTTTTGATATGCTGTGTACCATGGCTCAGTCTTGTTGCCAACGCCATATTTCATGCGGTTCAGATCGTCGAGAGTGTGCAAGATTCTGACCAATATTAGTCTTGGTGATATGCTTCAATTTGTTCTATTCTACAAACCCGGGATGAGTGAAGGTCACGCGGCGGCCTGGGGTTTGTACATGCGGCTCATGCTCACATAAGGGGGACGCTAGAATTGACAAAGCGAGACTTAAAAGGATAAGAATCTGCATTGTGGAGTTTGATATTGCTTTAATGATCGACTGCAGCACTAAACACTTTTCGAAATCGATAGGAGTCAACTGGTTCATGCTTTATATAGTTATATCGATGCTTCAAATGTCTAGACCGGGGATGAGAAGACATACGTCAATATAACATCGAACATATCCGTCCCTGCTTCTTGTTAGGCCAATTTTTTGCTGTACTGGAATGTCAGCATAATCAGGGAAGAATCATTGTGCCAATTTGGTTCCTGAACAATCTAATTCCCGGGGATAGAAATGCCGGCATATCGCCCGCATCTCTATTTGATATAACCTTAGAAGCAACTGACCCCACAACGCCTCCCCCGAGGTTTCATTTTCGCTCGTCGGAGAAGTTCTCGGACAGCTTGAAGAAGAATCTTACTATTCATGGTGCGGAATGTCATCGAGGGTCTGATGATGATGATTGACTCATGCTATGGCTATGATATAGAAATTAAAGAGTACCAAGGTTATATCGATCATTGCGCATTGGGAAGGCCTTCGCCGTGAAACGGAGTGGACGTTGCTCACTTGATGCATTTCATGTTGATTTGCGAAAATAAGAGTAGGTCTTAAGGAAAAGCCCTCAGAGGTATCCATGGATACAGGTTTATACAATATAGTCATATGCTATATACCTAGGTAGTCTCACTCTTTTTACACATGTGGTCATCATCAAACATCTGCGCGGGAGATGAAGCATAGAAAGCCCCGGGTTGACCAATGTCTGCAAGAGCGCTAGCTGCCCATGGGGTCCCCGCACGAAGAGTCAATTGATGGAATTATTCCGTCTCTACAACCGGATTATTCTTTGATCGCCATGTTATTTTCCAATCTTACTCTTCCGGAACAATCCTCGGGCCTTCAACCGGACAATATTACCAAGAGTAATTGCTTATAACTGTAGGTAAAATTGTCACGAACAGGGTGGGAGGTTTCAAGCAACTCATCAGCGAGCCCGAGCTAAGCTAGGAATTGTCAGGAGTAGGATGAAGAGGCAGCAAAAAAGGGTAATACTAATATATTCCCTCGCGTGATCTCATATCAGAGATCGTCATCTACCCTTTGGAAATTGAAAAGATATCACTACGATCACTGTGACTGTCTGTGGAAACGTAAACATTTTCCCGAGCAGAGTGAAGCCACACGCTTATCTTATCCTTTGACTATGTATCACCTAGCGGCCGAGAAGAGAAGCACCACCGGCAATGCTCTGAGCTTGAGGTCAATTGCCAGCCAACTGGACTTCCTGGAAAATATCTCCTATACAAATTGCAAGCATTAATGTTGAACTTGTGGTACGAACTGGATTTCGGTTGATTTTGTGCCTAAAATATCCACATTCGTTGCGCTTCGGCCGCGCGCGTTTTTTTGCCCTGTAGATCACTATCGAACAAGCTTTGTTGATATTGTCTACCTTGCTTATCTGTTTACTGAATAGATAGGGTACGGGCTAAGTACGAGAAGCCACAATGGCAGCATTTGTGTCGTTGGTCATTTTCATAATACTAGCGAGTCTAGACTAGGCTTGGGTTGGGATGTCGTCGATCTGCGGAGTAGGGGATACTGTGCTCCTAGGGCACGCCCCGGGATGCCACAACAACAACACGGTCTTATGGACCGGCCAGACGTCAAATTTGCAGGGCACGAGACACCCGACCACAAGGATATACCAATCAAAAGTGCAGCAGCGATTCGGCATGTTAACGAGAGACAGAATTTGCAACAGGGGTTGTTCTTGCAGCACGTAATATGCAGGTAAGCAGCCCCAAGATCATATAGACATAGCCGCTGTAGCCGCAATGATATTTTCGAAGTACCTCGATTTCGAAATTGTTCTGCTAAAACTGACATATCGATTCCCTTTTTTGGATACGTACGTTGTTGGCCTTTGTTTCTAGTCCTGATTAGAAAGTCGGAAGACGGTGAAGATAAGTTCGTTCTTTAATTGGGGCGATGCAGGCGATACATCGAATAGTGGATCAGTCGAATGTCGACTGAAAAACATCACAACCCCTTCTACGAAATTCACTTAATTAATTGATCAGGCTGTAGATTGATCCATGCTAAGCTCTTGGACAGAACAGACATGTATCACAGCGGCTCTTATGGAAATTTCTAGCGCGTGGCGGCCATGCTAAAACCCCGGAATGCCCGAATATGGTGTAACCACCAAGCCAGCAAGTCTGGGCCATGGATTTGTTTCAATCGGCGCATGGCTCATGGCCATGCAAGGGCATTCGCTGGAACTTAGGCATTAGCTGGGGCGTAGGCGTGGTTCTAGCCAGTATATACAAGCGACGTCGTACAAACTCTGCGTTGTAGTCTGGGCACGAATGGGTTTCGGTTCTATCTGGTCTGTGCAGTCATGTGTACATAGTATGTGCTCGGGAATTTTGAGACTCGATTGTTGGCAATGTCTGGGCGTTGATTTCTTTCCTATTCTGTTGTGAATGACTGAATGTAGCCAATGGAGGAGAATAGGAGAATGTTTTTGTTTTGAAAGCTCCGCTCTTGGCGTCCGAGTGCGGGCTAGCCCCAGCCTCCGCCCGCTTGCAGTGAATGCCATGCTCCGTACAGTCCGGAGTACTGTACATACATATCTGTAGACTGTGCACAGTCTAGACTGCTGGCGGTGTGTGCAGAAAAAGAAAAGAAACAGGCCGCTTTCGCTGCCAGACACAACTACTCCAGTATGAGAATATAAATATAAATATAAATATAAATATAAATAAACAGCCTGCCTGAGCATAGTCAAGATATCAAGCGTGTTTAATATTATCGGGTGGCGCATCCAAAGACCCGCCAAGGCTTGGCTGCACGGAAGTTTTCTTGTCGGATCGTCATTGTCTTCTTCTTTCTGCCTTCTTTCCTTCCATGCCGGTACATCTTCTTACACTCTGGATACAACTTCCTTACGCACTCGAGATTCTGTTATACTCTCTACGACTATAGTGCACACGAACAATTGCCCGTCCGCGGTATCATGCATCGTGCTGCTCGTGATTTTTCGTAATCAGCTACGTATGATTATCTCTGGGCCCATCACTCACACGCCCCACTTCGACTGAGACCAAGAACTCCAAGAACTCCAAGACTCCAGGATTCCAACTTCCACGCCATAAATCGCCTGAGAAAAGTCTTCACTCGTTGATGCAAGCATTGGCATTTGCGTGGTAAACTGTCAAATCCGGTAGGCTTTCCCCTTCCAAACCCTTATCTTCCCGAGGCCCCAGCGCGTCATTGCTCTTAATCCCGCACCATCTGCAGTGTCCTCTCTTCTTCGGGTCGTTTCTTTTGCTAATTCCTGTCGTGTGAGTAGCACATGTCAATATTCTTCGTCGTAATCGTGGCCGTGAGCTACAGATATGAACAAGAGATCCAACGGGAAACGGAGGTCACGCCGAAACTTGGAGCTCGTCACTGTCAAGCCTGATAAATCCGCATACAAGTGATTCGAAGGACTCGAAATTTAGTTGGGCGGTCGACAGAGGTCCTCCAACGGGTATTCGGAATATCCGCGCTATTATCGTCTTCTGAATTCTAGGTGGATCAGATAGACAATATGGCGTGGGATCAACTGTCGGTAGACAAGCCCCATTGGGCATACATCATCTTGGGAGGCTTCACCAGTCTTTTTATGCTGTGTTCGCTTTTCGTGAAGGAGAAGCTCTACATTGGTGAAGCTACAGTCGCTACCCTCTGCGGTATCATATTCGGCCCGTATGCCGCCAACTTGTTTAACCCGGACTCTTGGGGAAATGTCGACAAGATAACCCTCGAATGTTCGCGCATCGTCTTGGTCGTGCAATGTTTTGCCGTGGGAGTCGAATTGCCCAAGTCTTACATGGAGAGGCACTGGCGCTCCGTTTTTTTACTCCTTGTCCCGGTCATGACGTGGGGTTTCTTTGCAACTAGTCTTTTTATCTGGTGGCTGATTCCCCCTCTATCCTGGCTTGAAAGCCTGGCATGCGCAGCATGTGTCACTGCTACCGATCCTGTTTTGGCATCTTCGGTTGTCGGTAAAGGCAAATTTGCCAAACGAGTGCCCAAACATTTACGAGATTTACTTTCCGCCGAGTCTGGATGTAACGATGGAATGGCTTTTCCTTTCATTTACATTGCTTTGAGCATTATCAAATACGGAAACAACGCCAACGAAGTTGCCCTACATTGGATTTGCAATACCATTCTTTACGAATGTATCGCAGGCGCTGTGTATGGTTTCCTTGTTGGCTACATTGCTCGTCATCTGATCAAATACGCAGAAAAGAAAAATTTGATTGACCGAGAGAGTTTCTTGGTGTTCTACTTCGTTCTTGCACTCTTTTGTGCCGGCTCAGGCAGCACCCTCGGTATGGATGACCTTTTGATTGGTTTCGCCGCTGGAGTCGGATTCAGTAACGACGGTTGGTTTACCGCCAAAACCGAAGAATCGCACGTTTCCAACGTTATCGACTTGCTTCTCAACTTGGCATATTTTGTCTATTTCGGTTCTATTATTCCCTGGAGTTCTTATAACATGCCTGAGCTTGGTATGGTTCCTTGGAGACTGGTGGTCATTGCGATACTCGTCATCTTTTTCCGACGTATCCCAATTATGATGCTCTTGAAACCGATCATACCGGACGTAAAAACCTGGCGAGAAGCCCTATTCGCTGGCCATTTTGGACCGATAGGTGTCGGTGCAATATTTGCTGCCATTCTAGCACGAGCAGAACTCGAAAATGACAGCACGGAACCTGAAGCGCAGGCTGATATGCCTGGCCCCGGTCAAAAGAACTATCTACTTGTGCAGCTGATTTGGCCAATCACCACTTTCCTTGTCATTGCATCTATTGTTGTGCATGGATCTTCTATTGCTGTGTTTACTCTTGGTAAACGCATCAATACCTTGACCATTACACTGTCGTATACCACGGCAAACGACGAGGGCCCTTCCTGGATGAATCGTTTGCCTCGAGTTCAGTCCATGTCAAGAAGCTCTTTATCGTTACGAAAGGCAGACTCCGAAGCTTCAAACGAACCGGCTGCAGAATATCCTCCGGGAATGTTGCCACCCATCGGTGTACCTGGAAATTTCCTTCGTCGTGTACAGGAAGGAGATGAGGAAGGTCGACGGTCACAGAGTCTACGACCAAAGAGGCGACGCAAGCGAGTGACTAATGCTGGAGGCCCTATCAGTCAGTCAGCCATTATGCCCGCAAGGCGTCCAGAAGCCACATCTCCTGCCGAAGAGAAAGGTACGCCTCCCGAAGAACTATCGCCGGCCACTGAAGACGAGCGTCAAGAGCGGGATCGGATTGAACGAGAAGGCTCGCCGCCACGAGCAGAGCGTGATAGATACGGTCGGGAACCAGATATTGAGGTCTACCAAGAAGGTAACAAGATCATTATTGAGGACGAGGAAGGAAATGTCTTACGAACTGAAGACATCACGCACGAGTCTGCAGATGAACAGCGACGACATATCTTGGAGGAACACAAGAAGCTTCAAGCCGACAAGTCTGGCGAGTACGCCAAATCCAGGACTCGACCGCACGAGAAGACTGAAGGGGAGGAAATTGAAGCTAAAGTCGAAGAGACGGTTGGCCACCCATACCGCGCCTTTCGACAACGCTTCGGTAACTGGGCCGGCCGGGGAAAACAGTCGTCTGCGGAAGAAGGGCCATCTACTGCCAAACATGCAAAGCCGCCTCGCCAATCTGCGCATGCCTATCAGTTTGGCGATACCATCATTGTTGAAGACGAAGATGGTGAAGTAATCAAGAAGTACACTATTCCTTCTGCCGGCAAAACTGAAGACGCTGTGGCAGCCCAAGCTGCCGAGTCCCAGGTACGACGAGGTCTTACCAGAATGGGTACTTGGGTTGGAAAGAAAGAAGGGGAGTCATCCAAGGCTGGTGCCCAGAAAGCTGGGCGTAAAGATGACTTTGATGCTGATGACGGTTTGCGATTCACTGTTGCTCATGATCCCGCTCTCGAGACCCAGGGAGTGGGCGTAAAGGGAAGGCGGATGAGCAAGCATGACTTTATCAAGGAAATCAGCAAACTAGATCCAAAGGCACGCCGTAACTTGGTTGAGAAGTCCGATGCACCACAGGTTGTCAAGGAAGTTGCTCGTCAGGAGGCTGCTCTACAGGATAAAATCGAAGAGAAGGCCATGCAGGAATCCGAAACCCAAACATATCCAACAACCATGCTTGGAGACCCTGTGTCTGATGATGATTCTGAGGTGGAAAGCGGTAGCGATTCTGATTCAGTCCGTGGTATTCCAACACATGATGTTGCAGGCGCATTAGCACAGTTTTCAGGAAACGCCCAAGAACGACGTCGTCGACTTGCGGCAGAAGACGAGCCTGCACGGCCGATTGAAGAAGAGGAAGGTGATTCCGAAGATGACGGCACAGAACGTATCCCACCATCTGTCCGGAAAGCCGCCTCTGGTATTGCCGCGCGTATTCCACAACGCGATCCCGACGACACAGGCGAAACACCTGCAGAACGAAAACGGCGTCTCGCCGCTCTTGGCGAAATCGAAGATCTAGACGATGAGAACGATGACGAAGAAGCTGAACTCGCCGGTCTACCGCGTAAACCGAGAGCTGCCGTCGTTCGGGAGCCTTCAGTCAATGAAGAGGAGGATAACGATGTTGATGAGTCACGCAATGTACGAAGCTCGATTCAATTTGCGGATGGTACTCGCCCGTCTCGCGTGACCAGCGGGACGTCGGAGTCTAGTAACGGGAATGGTAGGAGCCCATACGGGCATGGCAATCGGCATAGAATTTCTTGGGGCGGAGAACGTGGAAGACATTGAGTGATCAACTGCTTTGAATGATGCCCAGTGACCATTTTTTCTTCTTAAACCTTACTTGTTGCATTCTATACATATGATTTGCTTCCGTGGTACATACATATTGTTCAAACACTACATCTTATACATAGTTTTGCATGCTGCTTTCTGGACAGTTCGATTATCAGTTGAGAATTAGCGTCTGTTCGATTTCTTGCACTGATTTTGTTCACTTCTGTGTTTTTGTTTTGGAGAGTTTCATAAATGATTTGCTTTAGAATTGTTGATATAGCTACTTGACAATTTGGAATTCCCTTCAAATGTTGATATATAGCAATTCAGTTCCTTTAGCTAAGAGATTCTTCTTGTTACATAGAACTCTTGCCGATGGCAAAGGATATGTCATAGATATCACTCAAGTAAATGCAAATGTGGATTGAATGATAAATAATAGATAGACAGTCAGACGTCACACAAAAGGTATATTCTACACTTCATCATCACATCTACCCAAAGAAAAGAAGAAAAGCAACATCAAGACTCTCACAAAACACCACCAGGCACCGTACTCTTATTCTTCCCATCAAATACAGCGCTATTCGGTGCCGAACCCACGGATCCAGGATACGACGGTGTCGAGCCATCAGTTGGCGCAGACTTGCGAAGCATAAACATCGGTTTCCGTCCTTCTCTGTCTAATTGTTTGAAAAGGATCAGAGGTTTTTCGTCCAGCGCCAAACACCTCTCTTGGTCGCCATATACGATATATAGAGCATATTGTCGCCAATCAGCGTTGATATTGTATTTCTTCAGAGCAGCGGGTAGCACTTTGTGGCATGGGTCGTCCATTGAGACCCTAAACGACTTGAAAATTTCGACACTCGGGGCAGTGGAGTCTGTGTTTCTTGATTCGGATCGTGAGCTTGCGCTGGGTGTTGGTGTTGGTACCGGTGTCGGGTTCGGTTGAGGTGCTTCTTCATGCTCGTAACCCTGTCGGATTGAGGCTGCGGAGCTCTTGTTGTTATCTCTAACGTACGAGCGAGGGCCAAGGGTCTGTTGTTGCTGTCCGAATTGTCCGGGTGATGTTGGCGATGGTATGCCGGGCGAGGTCTGAGCGCCACCGTTCATCGATGCCGTCAGATGTGTAGACGCCGCCATAGCTGCCGCAGAAGGATCGATGTTAGTACCGTCGTTGTAAGGGCGGCCTTCATGGATCGATGGTGGTATATGTGTGGGAGAATTGCTGCTTTTGGGGGTTGTGCCTCCGTTGTAGACTCTTCTGGAAAGCGACCTACCCAGTGCCGAAGGCTCATTGCGAAGATTGCCTGGCGATATAATGGATGATGTGTCGTGATATATCTCTGGGCTCGACGTCGACGCAGACTGAACGGGAGGAGGTTGGTAGGGCAACGGTTGTGAGCGATCTTTAGCTAATTTGAAGATAGGAAGAAGTTCTTCTCGCAATCTACGGTAATCCTCTGATACTCGTCTCAATTCCGCCTCGACAACGCTGAGCCTTTCGTCTCGTGCCCGTATCGTTTGCGCCAAACGCGTGATATCTCCGTATGTAGCCGATTCATGTAAATTGTGGTCGGCGGCTATAGCTCGTCAGTTGGACCTCCATTGATTATTTCGAAACAGTTGCCACTCACATGGCGCAACATAGTGATCTGGATCGATAGCAACTCCCTGTTTCACTTTTGTCTCGTAGACGCTCTTCAGTATTGTTAATCTGTGCCCAGCACTAGAAATACCCATTTCTTTCAATTCCTCATGCTTGAGAGCTATCAGGGCTTCGCCAACTATTTCGTTCTCTACGCGGCATCTTGTCAGCTAAGAAAGAAGTATCAAGTCTGATACAAAGTCACAAACCTATGAAAGCCGTCCGATACTGCCGTAAACCTAGCCCGACCACGAAATCTGCACATTCCTCTGCCGTCCAATCGCTTATTGTTGATCGTACGGAGCCACGCTCATCACCCATATTTCCGTATGTTGTAGGTGTATGTTCAGTAGATATAGAGTCTGAATCGGTGGGTGATATCTCGGAGTCCGTGGGTAGTACTGGAGATGCCAGGCTGCGCTCGTACTCGTCGTCAGCATCCGAATCATCGTGGAAACGAGTTTTCATTAACGACATTTTTGTGAACGATCGGCGATCCGGTGTATCACTGTATCGCTTCGCATGTAGAATATCTGAACTGGAATGATGTCGAGCCGCGAGCGCGGCGTTCCTAATGGTTCCACGATTCACAACAAGAATGATATGGCGCAAACCCAAGAGGTAGACCGGCAAGTATTGGAACCCAAATAAGCTTCAACGAAGACAGAAGTAGATTCTAACAAGTCGTCGTGGTTGCTAATCCGCCAAAGGTGCCGATGAAACTAGTCAGAAAGCGATGCGTAATGTGAAACAAGCGATAGTGTGGCAGTCGATGCCGGCCGCTCTTTGGATTTGGAACGCGCACGTGTAATCAAAACCGGAAGTAAGGGATGACTGCAAGTAGATATGAATCGTTCAAATGCGCGAAGATGTCTGGATAGAGAACGTCTTTCGTAATGTTGGTCGGGGTAAGCGGACAGTGCTTGGGCTCAGTTTTGGATTGCGTAGTACCTATATAAAGTAAAATCCCGGAGAACGTCAAAGTCGAGTATGAAGCACCGCTAAGTCAAGCGCCAGACATGTCCCTGCGATTATTGATGAAGCACAACAGTCAAGACAAAGCGCAGCCTTGGTCATTGAACGGGGGGAAACTGCAGCAACAACAGAGGGCTCCACGTGACGAATGCCCAATGCTCGAAGGACGAGCAAATCAGGGCAGCTAGGTCATGTGATTTCATTCTTCGTTACGATCCAGAACGCTATAATACATAGTAAATTACCAAAGTAACCGGACTGAGGCAGTGCCGCGGTACTAGCGAAAGATTGAAATTACACTTTGCCTCGGATAGGATTAGTCGGTATCCACTACGGACCGAGACTTGTCAATCTGCTAGCGCCTTGGCGTTCCTGGCGCCTTGACGAGGTCTGTCATTCGCGGCCTGGACTTGCGTTACATCCTGCCCAAGCAAATGGCAGCGACAGAAGATGCAAGATCAGACACTCAGTGAAAGGCTTTATTGATCATCTATTCTATGCTCCTAGCTGATGAAAACACTATAAGCATCCGATAAGTCTGTGTTCTGTCTTTTTCGTTCTTTAAAGTCTATTTTACTGTTAAACTGGTGAGATAGAGGTTCAGAAATCATTTCATTGTGCCAACGTAGATATTGCAGACATATATATATGCTTATATTTCAAATGCAATTCAGCGGAGTTTCCTAGTCTTCCCTCATTCCGGCTGTAATTCCATTGGCCTGTTCTCGCCCTCGTCATCCGTGTTCTGGGAGCTCTCCGAGTTCGTGTGGGTGATCTCTCCACTGGACAGGGCTGGAAAGTTGTTGAGATGACCTATTTGAGCAAGTGCGTCTTCCCAAGCCTTACAACCAGTCGCCATGATCCGCTTAGGGTTAACTTCGATTGGAAACCATCTCTCTCTGCGAGTCTGCGATTTGCTTCCTCCCTCAAGCGCGGCTCGACTAGCTCTCGTGGTCCGCGCCTTTCTTTTTGTTGACCCTTGTGACGAAACTCCACTCAGTTCATCCCGATAGCGCTCAAGTCGTGAATCATATGCCGCAATAGACCGAATGTATGGAGCTATGTCTGCGGCTACCACAGACACTCTCTCGAACGATGGGGCTAGACGACCAGCCGCTTGTGGAACTAGATCAGAGGCTCGCATAATAGGTTCAAATGCGTAAAAGTAGGCTGCAGGCGAGAATGAGGCAGATCTGCTTTCGGATTGTTTAGCTAGAACACGATCATTCGTCAAAGAGTCGTCTTGCAATGAATTTGCATTTATTGCTATGCGTCGCATCAACGCATATGCTGTCGATCCAATATCAGAAGAAAGACCGGTATAGTCGGGCTTGCGGTTCGCAACTAATATTGGGTAGTCTTCCTGATAGTTGGCCTTTTCTTTTTCGGAGATTTTGTAAATAGTGGTATCGAGATTATCCTGAAAATGTTAGCGCACAACTGTTGTCAGGATTCGGGCTTAGTATTTACCTTTTTCTGGTCTAATGACCAATCGCAGGAAAGTACATCAAAGACACTATGACTTTCGGCCATCGCCATCACGTCGTGTAATGAGTCAATGCGCCTTTGATACTCGCGAGGGTGAGAAAGATAATCAGACCATCCCCCATCTTCATTATCCATATCGAAATCAAGTTGCCACCAATTCAAGCCTTCAAGCAATAGTTCAGAGTCCTTGGTCAGGCTCCTATCGACTAGGCCCATGTCCCGATTAAACCAGCCCATATAGCATTGATACGTATGTAGGCTAATCACTTTGAGTTTGTTGCCATGAGCATCAACATCAGATCCCGATGGCCATCGGTCCAGGATCCAATCGATTCCAGATTTTTGGCTGCCAACGGCCATTTGACACCAGAAATCGAGTTGCACTATAGACTTCCGAAAGTCTTGCTGCGAGGCTGAGTAGAGACTACTCACAGCTTGGCGGCTCAGCATATGGCCCTCGTTTGCAGCGAGAAGTAACAGGTAGTCGATGGCAAGACTTGGAGGTGGCGCGTGAAATCGAAGAATGGCATGCAAAGAGAGGTCTTGGAGCGGAACAAGACTTTCATCAGTGCATGTCATGATCACAGGACGCTTAGACTGTTCAATGAGTGCCAAAATTCCAGCCCAGAATTGTTTATCTTCTTCAAACAAGACATCAACTTCTTCAAAGAGTATCAACGATTGTTTTTGCGATCGAGAAGACTTAGTTGGAGCTTCCCGACAAATGTTTTTGTTGATATAACCTTTTGAATTGCTTCGATTGTCCTTTGCTTTATTTGGAGCAGCTGGTTTGAAGAACATGTTGACTGTATTTTGTTTCGCATCGGGCAATTCAAGGCCGTAAGGGTGATCGTTGGTGTCAGAATCATCGCCCTTTCCATCCAATTGAACCAGATGGTTCTGCGTCATATCACCTACACGCTCTAGAATATCCTTAGCACTACGGCGAGTACCGCTGTTAATTTCGAAGACCTCGAAATCTAGTTCCTTAGCAACAGCATAGACCGACGCTGACTTGCCACAGCCGTTCGGACCGCTGATTAGGACGGCATTAGTCAAACGTCCTTTCTCTCCCTTTTTGAAGTTGCCTATGGAATCGCCGACTCGGATGACAGTACGCTTCGAAGAAACAGTCACGCCACCAGCCAGCTCATCTTCTGAGTCTTGAAGCTCATCCATTTCGGATGCTTCTTCCTCACTAGATACAATGAAACCATCAAGCTTGTCAGCCACCTTGCGTCTTTTGGACTTATGACCTGCCGAAAATTTCTTCTTGTTCTGGTAGGTAGGCATGTTCCCAGTTCCCACCGAAGACACTGTAAGCTCCCTGAGCCAGTCACGTAACATTCGAGCTTCGGGGCCGGATTGAAGGACATCTTCAGCACATTTAGGGCTATACTTTTGTGTCCATTGCACGGTGTCGCAAATCCCATTATCAAACGATGTCGTCGATGTTGCGATAGAAGCGTAAAGCTTGGCGATACATGGATGAGCTCGCCCCTCTTCACCTTGGTAGCCAGACCCGTGTGTAGTAGAGTCAATGCCGTGTAAAACTTTGCTCTTCATACTCTTTCGCAATGTTTGTCCACTAATGGTAGATCGAAGTGGAACACGAAGAAATGGTTCTTTTGAATCTGATACTTGGAATTGCATCTGGTTCCCTGCCTTTTCTGAAATATCAAGTAGAATATTTTCAGCATCATCTATATGCACAGCGCGTTGCTTGCTTTTTTTCTGATGAAGGTTTATTGCTTCGAACTTGTCGCTGAATTGATGTACTACCCCTCGTACGTGGACAAGGTCCCTGGGAGGCCATATAGGCGGAGCTGGCTCGGGAAGTTTGGCGAAAAGTGATTGAGAAAGCATGCTCTTCGTAGAAGATTGAATATTAGAATCACTTTTCGCAGAGTCCTGCTGGCCCAGTGGATCGGTACCTGCTAGGAAGGTCTCTGGTGGAGCTTTGACTGCCGGTTTTTTCGACATGAAAAATGGATGAGTGGCTTTTGGGGGTTTCGTATCCTTCTTGATTGCAGCAGGAACTTTTGCAACGGACTTCTGAGGAGCAGTATACCGTTCTTTTCCGCTGATGATGTCGTTGATTCTCTGACCAGTCGTTCCTCTATTTTCATATTTGATGACAACCCTCTTAGTATCATTCACTTTACGAGTTGGATTTCGCCGATGTCGAACAATTTTGTTGGCGTCTTTTTCAAGGGTTTGAGCAGGTGGAGAGCTCAGCAATTTACCATTGGTGTTCAGTTTTAACAACTTTCTCGGCGGTGTTGACTCTTTGTTTGCAAACGGTCCATCAGCCGGAGGCATCGACGTACTCTCTCGCTGAACTCGAGTTGGTTCTTCAACCTCGACATTATTGGATGCCGCTTCTGGTGTAGATGTCTTCACCCGTTTCCGCCGTTCTGCATTTGGATCCTCCTCAAGAGTGGTATCCTGACTATCTGGTCCATTGTGTAGCTGCTGGGCGTTCGAGCTAGGAGCCTGCGTGGAAGCTGCCAATTGATCGGTCGTGGTCTCGTGCACTGGAGGTAAATAGCCTATATCTTGCGTTTTTGGTTTTTTGATGACTAAGGAATCACGGTGTTAGAGAACAAAAGATGTCAGTTGGATAGAAATCTATTCTCACAGCTGCCGAAGAAAGGGTGGACTTTCTGCTGTTCTCCTTGGTCCATGACCCTATGCGCAACAGTAGAAGACATTGGCCTTGTACATGCTGAGATATAGCCAAGGCTGACTGAGAGTCAAGTATCACGAAGAGTAGGTATTATAGAGACAACTTGGACTTCTTTCATATAGGAGGCTGGCGGTCTCAAATGGCCATTTGGATGGGTGAATACTGAAGAAGTTCGATTGACAAACGCGAAAACACATAAATTAAGCGGAAGGCGCGTCACCGCGACGGAGGTGGAGCTGGGAAGGTGCTCTTCGCATTATAACTAATTAGGTTAGTGCAAATTAAGTGGGTCTGGTGGCCGGCGTAACTCAAAATCCGTGAATTTTTATTTTTTCGGACAAAGAAAAGAGCATCTCCAACGCAACAGGAAGGAGACAGCAGCGGGGTTCAACTTACCTCTTCATCTGTTACAAATGACAATCATGGATCTTCCGCCGCCTTCAATCTTGACCCAATTGCCTCGGCCGCTCCAATCTTCCACTGGGAAAACCAACGTCGGTGAAGTCTATAGGTTGTCCGAGTCAAAAAAGAGAAAGAGATATGAAATTGCTGTTGCCGTCGACGGCGAAGGCCTCAACATCTACAATGTGAGGGACTATCTCTCTGGCAAAATGTGTTTTGTCTGCTAATTCGAAACAGGTGCAATATCCTAAACTTGTCACGTCGTATGCCGTTCCCCCKCAATCCGAGTTTTCCTGTTGCCCAATTTCTATCCGTTTGAGAGACAAGGAATCCTCGGCGGTAAAAAGATATAGCTACTGTGCTGTTGGGCGGCCACAGAATCAAGTCAAAGGCTTTTTCGAAGAAGTTGTCTCAGGATCAACCGCCGCGCCAGTTATCAAATCTGCCTCATACGCTTTAAAGGGTTCAAAGAGCCCTGCCATCTTTGTTGGCATTGTTCCCGGATCTTCAAGCGACAGCAGCTCTTCGAACGATACTTTTGATGTACTCGTAGTACACAGAGATGGAACAGTACGAATACTTACATCTGATCTGGAAACTGAGAAATGGAGTCTGCAACTGTCAGGATTTGATTATGGAGTCGCCGCTGCTTTTCTTGTCGACCACGATGATGCTAGGAGGACATTATTCAGAAGGCGACCCGATCTTGCTGCTTTAGCTGTCGGAGATGTTTCGATCTCTGTCAACAGTACTCCACCAGTACTTTTGCTCGTCTCCCAGCCTCCCAATGATTCGGAGGCTGCCAAAGTTCACATGTTCTTGGTGACTACTGGAACTGCGATTGGATATTCAAATCAGTTGCAACAAGTTGAAGCTGTACAACTGCCCAAACTCGATGGACCTCAACCTGACGTCAAGCAGCTACAGTGGACATTTCACTCCGGGTCCGCAGGACTCGGTTTGTCGTTCCGGCAAGGATACGTCAATTATGATCTGTCGCAATATCCGCCATCGTGCACTTCGAGCCTGGTCCTTGCTGATGAAGAATTCTCCTCTATCATGCGCATCTCAGCAAACTCTGTGATTGGTGCCGGAAAGTCACTCGTCGCTTTGTACGACACGCACTACTCGTCCATCCAGCGCAGTATTACCTTACGTGAACTGTCAACTAACAAGTCGCTCGGAAAGTACGATTCGAAGAGTGTCACGAAATTTGTAGGATATTTCGCCAAGTTAGGAATTGCATTGGCGATCAAGGAGAATACACTCCAAGCCTTTGATCTGTCATCGACGCATTCAATAAGAGGAACATCTATTAAGCGTCAACGCGACGGATTATTAATTGATGCCATTGGACGCGGCGTTAACTCGTCAGCTACAGGCGTCAGTGCTTCGACTGTCTCTTTTGGTCTCAAATCAACACAAGAAATTCAGAAGTGGAACGCTTTCAAGAACGAATTGGAGAAGGCATCCAAGACAAAGGATGCAACCTCTTTCGACATGGCTGTTGGGGGTTATTTCGGACCTTCAGTGGAGAATCAATCTTTAACAACTATTCACCCTGAACAAGTCTCATTCATTCTTTCCCAAATTTTCACGGTGCGACAGCATCATTCTGGGGACTTGAGGAATGCTTCGAGTCTGGAGATTGCCGTGTGGCCTGAAACGACCTGCAAATGGCTAGTTAAAATGGGACAATTATCAGTGACTCACATTATTACCGCAGTTCGTCGAGCCAACAGACCTCAGGTGCTTCCGCCATTTGAGCCCGGTACGTTGGTACGCGCTCTGGCGGAGTTTGACAAGTCACTAAAAACTCTCACTCTCATTTTGACTGGACCGATCACGCTTGATCGAGAGGAACTCGCGCAGGCTTTGAAGATTTTCCTCGACGAGGCTAGGGCACGTTCAATGGCACTAGATCAATCTGCAACAATGACTATTACGGGAATCCCGGGCGGCGAGATGGATATAGACGAAACTTCGCAGAAAGTCACTCCTCCATCTTCCACCGAGGCTTCATTAGAGGATGCATTCATAGGACTTAATCTAACACTGTCCCGATTACACGACTACCCAACAAATCAGATAGTCTCATGCTTGCGCTCCACGCTCTCCAACACAGACACACTCGCAATCGTGCACCATCTCCGCGTATCTCTCGCCACTGGCGGATACACAGCCCGCTTCACCGAAGAACCACCTATCCCGCTAGAAGCCATTAAAGCCGCTCCCCCGCTATCCCTGGAAGCCATTATTGACCTCATGAACGCCAGCGTGGACGCCATCGGTCCCTCGGGCTGGATCTCCGCCGTGGAATTTGCAGGCGCCGCCGTCAACGAAGCCGAAATGATTTCACATATGCGATCCGAAATCTCAGCTGCACTGGCCGGTATCGAGGAAGCAGCGTACATGAAAGGTATAGTCGGAGAATTCATTCGCTACGGCACTCGAGTCTCCAACTCCACCTCCMCCCCAGCCACTACAGCAACCATAACCATGGGCGCTACAGAAATCAACGGCGAATACACCGAAATCACCAACAATGGTACCCGCGCGCGCATCAATCGCGAATACGACGCGTACGGTAAACTCTGGGAAACATACACGTTCCCAAAAGCAGGCGAAGAAGATGGGAAAATGCTACCCTTGTCCCTCAATACGCCGGATTCGGAGGTTAGTAGGACCAAGATCCAGAAGTCGACGGGTGAGGTTAAGCAGAGGACAAAAAGAGAGATTGCGTATTTGCAGAGACAGGCTGTGCCGGATTATTCTGTTATTAGAATTCATTTCTAAATTTTGGGCTGGTGTTGCCGTGTATATAGTTGTATTGGATAGGGTGTTAGGTGATGAAAGATGTCAATGTTACAATTAATGTCGTTTCTGAGCTGTAAGGTCTGCTTTCACAATCCCGACATGGGTCTACTGAAGTTAATAGCACTGAAAGCAAATTGTTATTTGTAGCAGAGATATAAAAATATACCGTAGATAAGTACACCATAAATGCGACCAAATGGAGTAGAGATCCACCTTCCATGCCTCGTATTTAAAACATCTCAAAGTGCAGGTCCAATCTGTACATCGTACTAAAATGAAACGGTTCAAGACAAGCGACACAGAGAATGAGAAGATAGAAGCAAGAAGATTTTCAAGAATGGAAATATGTGCACATCGAACAAAAACCAAAACCAACCAAAAGTGAAGTCCAAGGTATGTGATGCTGGATAACAACCGATTTTTGCGTAGCCAATAATGTATCTTGGTGTCGTGTCAGCATCATTCGTCTATGGGTATCGTATCAATCAAGAATTCGAGACAGGGGCCATTTCATGTTGCATGCATCATAAGCGAGAACAAGAAAAACGAGTAAGTTGTGTATGTATGAAGTAGTCGTAATGGTATTGAACGGTCATAAAATGCAAGGAAGAAAATCAGTTTTCAATTGTGACAGAGTTATCTGCGCGCTCTTTCATACGTGAGGCTTGGGTTTCCAAGGATCGAGCCATGAGTTTTGTAACTATTGATATTTGTTAGCAAACGGTAATCCAGCATTGACTTCATATCACATACTCGGCCAAACTGCAGCTCTGTCAAGCAGGTAGGCTGTAGTCATCAAGATCTTGGTACCGTAACCCCCTTCAATTGCACTGGGAAAACGTTGTAGCACGTTGTATGCTGGAGTAGTGCCGGTAGTCTGTGCCTCCCGCTGCAACTTTGCCTCACTGCTTCCCAGAATCTCTTTGATCTTATCAATCAGTTTGCAATCCTCTTCTTCCAACAGCATGATTCCTGGAACCTGACTGAAGTCAACCTCATCGCGCCCAAGAACGCCTAGATACGGTCCAACACGCTCCTGAACGGTCGTGATCCACTCAGCAAGGACTTGAGCGCAATCGAATGAACACATGGCACATTGCAAGGGCAGCTCGCGTGAAGTCCATTCGGCAAACGTATTTCCCAAGCGATCCGACATACATATTGAGTCGGCTGCATAGAATGCAGCTTTCCGCAAGTGTCGTTCCCGCTTTGATTGAGTTGGTCTAGCATATAGCTGTGACATGTGCGAAGAGGATTGTTCTGAATTTGGCTGAGCAGATAAATGTAGCTCCCCAACGCCAAGATCAGCTATCGAGTCTCTTCGCATTATATCGATGTTCCCTGAGCTGTATGTGTCGATTCCACCATCGTCGGCATGTTGAATGATCTCCGCACCACGGGCAAGCTCCTCAGACATTGCATTCCAGTCGCGTTCCCAGAATGCTTCCTTTGAGCGTCCCAAATTGACAAACAATCTCACGTAGGCTAGATCAAGCAGTGGGATACTGTCGGCGGATAGCGGTCCAGCGCCGTATGGATTTGGTCGTTCCAGGCTGTGTAGCGGATTGCTAGCCCAAGCAGCTTGCCAGGACCGTAAGGCCGGCTCGATGTGTGCTTGCATGGCGTCGGTCTCTTGAGATGTCCACTGGCGGCCCATGTGCCTCTGACGTGTTTCCCATATATAATTATGTAATGCGTGAATGAGAACTAAACAACCAAAGGTACTGGGCTTCAAATCACTCTGAGGTAAGTCCTCCACTCGAAGAGTGGACCCAAAGGCTTGAGTTGGCTGGTTCACGAACTTGGCTCGCTGACTTGCAGTGAGAAGTAGAGTCAAGGCCGAAGAGAATGAAATTCCCTTCTTTGAAGCTGTCGCACCACCCATTTTCCTCCAAGCTTGAGGAGATTCTGCAGCCCAAAGGTCTTCTTCGCAGGGGAGATCAAGGCGAATCTCAGAATTCGTCAGTGTGGGCGCATGGTTGTAAGCAGAGACAAGCAGACTAGATAATGTAAAGATGGCAAAAAGTGTTCGCTTTCGCTCCTCCACGATCTTCCAGTCTAGCCAGTCCTTGCGTTCTTTGGGCGGAGTCTGGGTTTGCGAGTTCTGATCAAATGTACCACCATCAGGGCTTTCATTGCTCTGTTTGCTGTTGTTGAGGTAGTCCTGGGGAAGTTGTTCTGCATTGACATGGTGTGTCAATTCAGCTGCGCGTGCAAGGCTTACCAAAGCAGCACAATGTGTACTAGCAATATCAGCGGAGGTCTTGTCGCCACAGGTATGTCCGTAGATAACATTCAACAGCATGGCCTGGAMAAGCCATAATGGCGTGTTATGAACGGGATTGTCACGGCTCGCAGTAGTCCGGCTTAGAGCGGCTGACATGTCAGCCTTGCGTCTCTCTTCCAAATAGAGTTGGATCATCTTTTTGGCTGATTCGAACAGGTCCTTAGAAACGGCAGTATCATATTCATACAGCGCTCCCATAGCCGCCATGGACAGAATAAGACAACCGCCACCCCTGGCGACTCCTGTAGAACTGAGATTGAGATGGCCACTCGCGGTACGTAGATTGTTGGTGAGGTCGGAGTTTTGAAAGTCAAGTGTGGGAATGTGTAGGAATGGGAGATGTGGATGAAAGTAGTTGATGTAGGACTGAATATAACGCTGCAGTTCGAATGAATTTGGCAAGAAGTAGGAAGGTGTTTGGATGCTAGCACATGGTCGAGGAGCAGCATCACGATTGTAAGACGTTCCGTTGCTCAGCTGAGAAGATTTGTGATGTAACGTTCCATTCGGTTGCGGCATGCCGGTTAGTAATGCCTGCCTATTTGGTGTGTCTGGAAATGTGTCTGGAAATGTGTCTGGCGATGTTGTGGGAATGGAATTTCGTAAGGGACTACTGGCGAAAGGCACGTTGAAAGGATTAGGAGATTCACGGTCGGCTACCATGGAAGATGAGAACATACTCTGCGAATGGTTTCCCAACATCGATTGGCTCATTGGAGTCAAGGGTTGGTTAGGCGCAAAAGGATCTGTGAATTGGACTGGGGTCATCAAGGACTTGGGAGAGATGGTGTCCACGGTTGCAGGGAAGCCCAGCTCTTGGAACGGAGAAGAAAAGTCCATTGTGAATGGAGCGGACTGTGAGGTAGAGAATTGAGTCTGCCAGCCGTTGGGAGAAGCAATCTGCGCTGAGGCTTCCAGCATCGGGTCGCTGGTTCGACTCTGGGATTCCGTGCTCATTGCAGATGGAGATGATTCCTCGATGGCCGAATCGCTCACAGGACCTAACGGAAGCGTGGTGTCGAAACCGTTGACCCAGTCGAAATTGTTCTCTTCATCTAACATGGTATCCGGGACTGAAGCTAGCGGGTGAAAGTTCTGATGAAAAGGAGACGGTGGGATATCATGACCAAATTGCGGCGAGTTACCGAAATGAAGCTGGGCCGGATTGATAGTGCTTCCTCCTCCGAAGAAGTTATCACCAAGGTTGAGATCAAAACTACCGTAAACGGGTGCCGTTCTTAGTCCGCCAGCAAGATCCACAGGGATTCCACTAGTCTCCAACTTCGGCAGGCCGTTTGCAGGAGGATGCACAGAGCTGTATCCACGGGTCTCGAAATTGGGGATGCCCGGTGCTGAGTTAAGACCAGGATGGAATGAGTGGTTCGTTTGAGATGGTAGTCGTGCAACGTTTGCACTGGCAGCGTTGATCACATTCAGAGCTCCATTATCGATATGACTGATAGTGTTCGCCCTCGGTCGCATGCTATTTGATGTGCCGCCAGCAACAGAATTCTTCCGGACGCGATTCGTTCCAGATCCTGCAGCGCCAGTACTCTCGCGGCGCGCATTTCGTGGGCGAGAAGGTGCAGCAGACATGTGTAGTTTTTGTTGATGTCGTAGCAACAAATCGCGGCGTGCAAAACAACGAGCGCATTCGGGGCACTCAAATGGCTTTTCCTTGGTATGAGATCGTTCATGGCGCTTGAGATGTTCTAGACGAGCAAATGAGCGACCACATGTAGTGCACCCGTGTGGCCGAGGTTTGTCGGTTTTTGGTTGTGCTCCATTAGAAGAGGCGCCGTTCGTCTTGGAATCGGCTTTCTTCGAGTTTTCTACTGGCATAAGTTAGGTAAGAGGAACAAGAGCTTAATAGCAGAATGAAGACGAGTTCTGCACACGCTGACATAGTCAACTTACCAGTCGTTTCACCGGGCATTTCGCGAATGGAAAGGAGATCGTCGCCATGCGCGATTGCTGTTGGGTCCTGTGCGACCAAGACTTCCCCCAACATTTTGCAGTCGCGGAAGTCGGCGGTGCTTCAGTTAAAAAAAGCCTGGATGCTTTTTTAATCTGAATACTTGTTGACAAAAGATTCGTGCAGTTATGGTGTGTCTTCGTGTCAATCTGATAGAAGCGAGTTAACAATTGAAAATGCCGTAGGAATAAACGCCAGCATTGAAAACAGGTACGGTAGACAGTTATTGGCTTCTCCTCTTTGCCGTCGCTTCGTCCGACAAGAGGTGGCAAGACCAGGGAGTGAAACAAGCTATAAGGGTGGTACAACTAACACTCTTTCTCCGCGCATCAACTCGAATGGTGGGTCGTTTTGAGAGATGGCTTTTCTAGTATAGTATTGGTAAGGATGATGATAGCAGTGTAAACTAAGCCAGGAGGTACACTGCTGGACAGAAAATTGGCAATTCAAATGAAGAGGAAGGCGAGTGTGGTGGTGGTGAGGTATGCTCCCGTTGTTGCCTTGATTGAACCACTGCAAGCAGAGAGCGAAAGGCAGCACGAACAGCCGAGCACAGTCAAAGGATTGGGGACTCAGTTGGTCTCGAAATGTTGCTCGGGCTGGTGCTTCGTTGCTGTGACCAGGAATTTGGGATGGTTAGAAAAGCGCACGTATTGTTCGACGACTACCGGGCTTGTCGTACTCATTCGTCCTTCTTTTGCCGCAGCACACGGAGGTTTGAAGTAGATATGGTCTTGGTATAAGGAGCTCTACAAGCTCTCGCAATCAGCGTGCGACCAAGCTTTTCCTTCCAATAAACCTTGAGCAAGCTGTGTAAATTTCTTGCAAAAGAACAATCTCTCGACACAGCGCTCGCGATGTCGATAATCGGTGATAATGATGGAGGAAGATGGATGGGCACGGCAAGTTGCACCAAAGACTTCCCGATCCTAATTAGTCAGGGAGACTGGTAAATTACGGTAATGGCAGGCTAACTACGCAACGGTCTAACCTGAATCAGCAGTTGGCCTACAACGTGTATGGCAACTCGTACTGAAATCCAGTGCAAAGGGTTCAATCAGATCCACCGAGTAGACGCCGCAGTCCAATAGCATCTAGCGAGCCATCCGAGACAGCCACTACTGCCGCAGAACGCTCTGAGCAGCGGCTACGTGGGTGAGAAGCATTGTGAATGGCCCAAAGCCATGCTCGCCCTGCCCCGTGGCCCACAACACTGGGGGAAGCCCATGGACACTAGGCCTAAATAGAGCAAAGGCGTCCCACTCGATCCTGCAAGTCAATGATTTAGTGTTTGTGAACTGTATGGGTGGTACGCACTAGCGGTAATTTAGGAGCATTGTATCCGTACTCCTTGTAAGCGAATATGCTTCTGTATTGGCTGGGCAAAACACCGAGCCTAAACAGGCATAGCATCCACTCAGATAATCAGACCATCGGTCGGCTCCACCCCGGTGAACGTGCCAGGGAACGGCGTACCTGCTGCTGTATGTTCGCGAGTATGAGGTCAGGAATGTTTACTACGTAGTACATTCGATGCATTGAATACTTGAAAGGGGTGGGATCCGACAACTGTAGGTGAATTCCAGGTACATAACGGCATTTCAGGTCAACATAAACACCGTCTTCCAAGCACGTACACACCGTGCTCCATACGCTGTACTAGTTGTATTGGTATCTGATTTACCACTGGAGCCGACTACCTACCCACGGCCAATCGCCGTGGAGCTCATCTAGAGTCGGCTCGAATGGCGATCAATACCGCCGACCTTGACCACGCCGAGCAAACCGCATAAACAGTGTAGCTATAGCTAGGGATGGCATAGCCTTCACTAGGCTTACTGCAGCGATGACTCCTGCTAGCGAAAAGTGAGCAATCAACGTGGACTGTCTCGACTGATAAGATACCTTCTGTCCTTCATTGTTCAAAGCAAGCAACTACTTTGCTTTTGTATCGAATACGAACTGCCCACGCTAGCCAATAATAAGGTATTAGTATACCCAAGTAGGACTAATCAATACTAGCACGGTACTCCGTGCAGAACGGCGTAAGTATCACCAGTCTCCTTGACAAAATTATTTTCGAGACCAAATTATCAGAAATTAGTTGGATATCAGCATTCAACTATAGACCATTACTACTAGATGGACTAGGTAGACGCTTGCTAAGTTTCACAAACTTACTTTGTAGAATCTAGTATCCAGGTCGACATATGGTAATATGTGAGCCGTTGAGCTGGGTGGAAATCATGTCGGAAAGCTGAAGAAAATCATATGAAGTGAGTACCTACTTCATAACAGTCGAACTATTGAGCACTGATGGACAGTGATCGTATGAATACAGTACGGGGTGACCAGCATTGCGCTAGACCAGATCCAGCAGTAGCGTAGTCAGTGGCTCCATCCGTGGCGCGCTTGGACGTGTGCAACCCCAATCAAAAGATCCGTTCTTCTCCAGGTCTCGGCGTTACTGGGGCATTCCCCAGAATCTCAAATTCTAGAAACCGAGGATCAAGTCCTTTCCTCGGGCTTATTTACCATCTTACTCCGTACGTACTACGTAGCACTTTTCACAATGCATACAAACTAAGCGACTACCCTGTATACATACTAGATGTTCCATAACATTCACCTGGTCAGGTGCCAGTTACAACAATCTGCCCGGATGGCAAAGCCTCTACTATGTATAGCAAGGTCGCTCTTAAGTCCGTCGTTTTCCGCGGTACGGATTTCCAGGTGACCACGGCGAAATTACTTCTTCCGTCGACTGGTGTTCCCACTTCCCCTGACGTATTCCACCAACGAGGTACCAAAGTTACCCTGGAGATTCTGAATTTTCGGTTGATCGTGTTGGTGTTCGTCTACGGAGTCTATAGACGATGGTTCCGATAGATTATCGAGAACGATTTACCACGTGATCGGGCCAGTTTCCAGATTCATGTGATTGGCAAAAAGAAAATTAAAAATGACTCGTCACAACTTTTTTTTCTTCGGTAGCTCTGACCGCACAAAATCCTCGGAGCATGGTTGTTTGCTAAGCGGCCGAATCGCAGATGAAGATCTACAGATAGATCAAGTTCCCGTAGCGTAGCGTGGACTGGCCTAATTTGAAACAGCTAATCAGTGAACAACGGCAAAAGCCAACGTTGGTAGGCCTAAGCCCTCCGTGACGACGAGGAATCGCATGGTAAGCACTAAGCATGAGGACCATCTGTATCTGACTCTCTGCACGGAGTAAAATCCGGGGTTGCGGGAAATTGCACGGAGACGATACTGATAGAGACGGCTAGAACGTGGTGGTCATGGGACTCTTGTGACCTGTTCGAAGACCTTTCAGCCGCTTACTCGGTTTCCGTATTACACCTCCGTACTGTACATACTGTATGTGCGATTTGTGCAGGACTGCACGTCAATATGATCTAGCCGCCTGGTCACGTATTGTTTCGGTACGGAGTATTTTCGATTCCAGTGAAACCAGCCCATGATAATTATAACTTAAGACGTTGGCATTAATCTGAGACCTGAGGCTGCCTAGATCCGTCTCTTTATTAATCCGTATACGTAGTACGCATCAAGTCCGTCAGTCACCTATGACTTGTGAACGGACAGCCGTGTATTTATTATTGCTGACACGAAATAGTGTTATGTTCGCAGCATGAATCTACATACCTTTCCTAATACCGAGGTTTAAGACATGGTCCTATCTAAGGCGCACATAATAGACCATGGTATATGGCAGAAAATTGACCTTTCGGGTCATGTCACTGTGGCTTGGTATCGTCCTCGAGAGTCGAGGGAGCACGGTGTTCTGGCCGGTGTGGGTAACAGCTGCGTCAGGCTACTTGAGTAGTCCACGGTATGAGGCATATACGTACATACACACTTTGAACTTGCTTAGTGCTTTAGTGCGCGCTAGGAGAAATAATTGATTAATATATCTACGGAGTAGGCTGGAATCACTAGTGCTTTGTAGTAAGGCCGAGTAATCACGACTCTGATTCGTCGGCACGGAAGTACGGCCCTCGTGGGAGAGAGTTTCTTGACTCATACAGAGGCAAGGATGAAACTTGACAGGCGTAAGCCCGTTCAGGATAAACAACAACAACACCCCCCAGCCATTCAGATCATGCAGTCGAAAACGTTGTCATCGTACTGTACCGGCGTAGCAATTTATTTCCAGACGACTGATTGAGTAGACACGAGGCCGGTCCATCGGTCGGGAGAAAATCCCCCGGATCAACCGCACGGGCCTGCCACAGGGCCCAAGCTTTCAACACGAAGAATGTATGGTTGTGCATATGTGACTGTTCCTTGTCGACCTGCAGGGCCTGTGTCTCGGCTAATGGCGATATATGTCAGTAGCCCTGTCAGCGTCACTTATCAATCCAATTTTCTAGTAAAAGGTAATGTCATAATGATTGAAACAGCAACAAGATCGTATGGACATTCCTAAATTGACAAGCACAAGTACCAAGCTAGCGATAAGTGTAGAGTGTGTACTCTGTAGTAACTTATGTACTAACTTTACAGGGGTATTTACAGAGCCACATCTTAAAACGAAAGTGCCATCATTGGTCCGAGCTTAATTAGCGCTTGAAGCTTGCATGTTGAGCTGGCTGTGGCGCTCTGATTAGATCTCTGATTGGACAATCTGTGCAGGAGCCACAGATCCATCAAGTCAATCAATGCATTAACTTGTCCCTGATTGGCTGCGGTGGAGGCTAATCTACTAGTAAAGGTCACAAGGTCAGGTAGTGGGCGTATCGTATTGTATTGTCAGGTATTCTGTGTAATTACATGACCTCGAGCAGCTATGACATTTTATGCACTCTGCACTCTGCACTCTGCACTGCACGCTCCCGCTGAATAGCTTTTGATCAATTCCATTTGATCTTGGACCTCTGCATGCTGCATCTTCCTCTATGAGTCTATAGAGACCAATGGGCCTTTTTTTTCGTAGCTAGGGACCCAAGGTTGCAATCTGGACGAATTATGAAGCTACCTAGCTAGGTAACGTATCTCCACCATACATGTAAGCAATCTATTTATGAATTGGCAGCGCCGTTAGATGTGCTGCAATGTGACTAGTATGGGAGCTGTTGCAGCCAGCAGCTCTGATTCGTATGATCTTGTAGAGATTCAATGTATATCGTATATTTCTGCATGCGAATGGTGACCGTTGTACGGCCGCAGCGCTATAACGCGCTGCTAGTTTAGAGCAACACTTATTGATTTGAGTGCCTATTTTCAAGGTTAATACTGTGCTTGCAGCCACTTACCATTCAATTCTAGCCAATCAAGTCAATTTCTCATAGATTGACTTCTAAACTACCTGCCATCTACACCAGCTTGATGAAGTCGACAAGCCATGTACGCACTGACCGAGACAACCCAGCTTAGTGTGGCAAAGATGATCGAAGCTGACTCTTGACAACTCTATATTAACTTAACTACATCTAGTGAGTACTACCTGTCGACGGTCGATTTAGTCCTGGAGATCAATGCGCCACTTCGCCTCAAGGTCTTTTCTAATGCCATCCTTTGCACGATATGTCCTAATGATGAACGAGGCGTAAAGATCTTCCAACTCAGGGATCTTGCTCTGAGCCACTTTCTGCGAGTGATTCTTGTTTGTGTGCATCATGCCCAGATATCAAGAACTAGGTAGATTAGTTAGTGCATGTCGATCTGCAAAGTGCCTCTAGCTACCGCATTGACATGATCAACGCTTGGTGTTGGTATTTAACCGAGTGTTGCCACAGAGGTTATGTAGGTGGCTTTTAATTACAATGCAGTTGGTCGTATTGGTATGGGTAGGTACGTGAGCTAAATGGGTGTGGACTGTATCGCTGAAGACTGGAAGAATATCCTCCGGTTAGTAGACAGAAGTGAATTGGTCGAAAGTTGTAGTGGTAGCTCTGTTGTAGGTCTACATGGAGGTGACTGGTAGGGTCGATATCGAGTTAAGGGTTATTGCCTGTGATGCCCAAGAAGAGGACTAGGAAAGTCTTTGTTAGGTAAATTCAACCATGAACAGTATGAACAAAATCAAGGAAACAGTCATAGTTCGCCGGATTCATCATCATAATCGTAGGCTAGAATATTTCTCGTTTATTTTTGTGGCCCAAGGTGATATAAGAATATTATAAACATTCCATTCGTTCGTCATATGTGCATTAATATCTACATAAATTTTTGACCATAATGCCACTGACACTATTTATGCAATGGCATGCCAATCTGACCTTTTTGCAATTTTGTCGCGAGGTCATTTATACTAAACGCTGATGGTCTTGAAAACACTATCAGAAAAAAACAGTCAGTCACTAATCCAAAAGCACAAGCTCAAAGAATGTAAAGCTTACCCAAAACCACTGGCTCCCGTAGCCATCACTGTTCCAGGCATCTGGGCTTGCCAATGCAGCTCCTTGACAGAATCCATATAGTGCACAAAAAGTAATTGAGGTGGAATATCGCTCATTCCGGCATCGCGACTCTCCTCGACATCGAGCTCGACAGCCAAGTCCCATAGGGTAAGTGTGCTGTCTGCCGAAGCCACAGCGACAACACTATCGTCAGTCGGGTGCCATTCTATGCTCGTGATCGGTTCTCTGTGGAAGTCGAACGAAGCAACTGGCGATGGTCTGGATTGGGAAGAACCAGGTTTCCATTGTCGAAGATCCCAGACGCCCCATTGACCGGCATCATCACCCGTTGCTAGTAAATGGAAAGTCTGATTTGACCAGCTCATGACATTGACATCCGTGTTGGAGATTTTGACGTCTACAGCTGGCTTGCGAGACTTTGATCGCACATCCCAAACCTTCACCGAACCGTCACTGCTGGCAGATGCAAACACGTTCTTTTCGTTGGGTGACCATTGTAACTCCTCGACGGAGGAAGTGTGTCCTAGAAATGGCCTGGAATCTGTAACCCACCCGCCTCCTTCCGTTCTCGTCGTGACATAGATAAGTCCATCGTTATCACCCGTAAGTAATTTTCCCAGTGGTTGTAAAGGCGACCAGTCCAACGCATATCCCTCTGATTTGTGCATGCGCAGAGTCGAGATAGGCTTCGACGCCGAAGGAGGAAGAATAGTACCCGGAACGTCGAAGCTTGCCAAATGCTGCGTAACATCATGTATCACCACCTGAGAGTTTTCCAGCATTGTCGCAGTGATTGTCTGTGGAGGTCTCGTATAATCACCCGAAGTATTAGGAGTCTGATGTGCTCGAATTCGATTTGTTGTTGATCCTAGGGGTATCGCCTTAGACTCAAGTATTGGATCTGACGATCCCTCATCGTCTGAATCTGAATCACTTTCCGAGTCGGTTTCGTTCTCTCGTTCCATACGACCGAGTGATGACAGCTTGAGCACCATAAGCTCATTATCCTTTGCACGAGGTGTTTCGGCTTGGGTGCCAGCGACAGCATAGACGGTCGCCGGGAACGTCTTTCGGTTATCTCCTAGATTATCACGAACAATATCGAACGACAGGCACGGCCACGGTGTACTGAGGGTGTGCAGCATATCATATGTCGAAGGATCCGGTGCTAATGTTTCGCCTGGTGCTAGTTTCGTCCTGCCAGGTATAAAAGTCTCTTTATCGACGTCCATCGCATCTGAGTATATTCAGTTAAAAATTGTATATGCAGAGAATTTTGCGATCCTTTGCCAGTTTCATGATTTTGACGTACCTCTCTCCTCAGCCTCCCTCTCCTCATCTGGTCGACCATCCACTCCCGCCTCTAGTATCTCGTCTTCACTCTCAAATTCATCCTCAAATTCGTCTTCGAACTCTCCGACTTCGTCAGGTGGGGCATCTGACAGAGGTCGCTGTCCAGCTTTTAGAGCGGAGGATTGATCTTCCTCGAGATCTGCTGTGCGTTTAGACATGGTAGAGGTTATAAGAATGCACGCTCAAAAGAAAAAAAAGTAATACTGGCTCAGCCAGTCGTGGGAATCAGTAAGTGAGAAAAAATCCCAACGTTGTCTATGTGAAGAAATCTTTTAGGGCTGCTCGAACTTTTTTTCTTTTGGGAACAGCGAGGGGCACTAGGTCCATTTTTGGTTTAGTGCCAGATGATCCGCCCGCATCGATTGATTTGATTGATTTGCTCATTTGCTGCCCGCCGAAGCGCCTCATCATCGACGGACAACAACAGGCGGTGCATGTCCGCACAAGTCAACCGTCCCTCCCAAGCTCTGATCCTCCAACGGCACAACGTTTGAATTGTCTGCAATTACTGCAATTTTTTTTCCAACCAGCAACCCATCACCTTTTCGCGGACTTGGTGGAGTTTCGAGGTTCCCAGTCTCTCTTCCTTTCGGGGGAAACCTTCTTCAGCTCTGTCCTTATTTGATACCGTCGTCCCATCAATCACAACCGAGTAAATATCGAGAAGCACGTTTCGATCATCCGATGGAACGATAATAGAGCATTTCATGCCTTTGGAAACTCAACATTCTAATTTTGCTGCGGATCTCCTTGCGCCAGTCGACGAAACTCATCAAAACAACATCACCATGGACGCCGATCCGAACTCCGAGGTTGCTCCTTCGACCTCTTTGGAGCCAGAACGCGAAATAAATGAGACCACTGGTCAGCCTTTTATGAACAATCAGGATATCCCAGAAACTACAGAGACTACAGAAGTTACAGAGTCAACTGTTGTCGACGGCACACGCGATGCTGGCTACAACCACGAGGAAGCAGCTCACCAAAACACGTACCCTACCGAATTCACGTCATCGCAACAAAACTATTTCCCCGCGGAAGATGAGCAAAATTCATCTCGATTTAGCTCCCCGACCATGTCATATCAGCAGAATCCTCAGCAATCGGCCTCACGACCTGGTTCTGGGTTGTCAAGTGGGGGAGAACGATATGGCTATCCCAGCTCACAAGCTGAACAAGCCCAGAAGCAAGCTGCCGTGCCGTCAAAAAACAGTGTTGTTATCAAGGTTGGAATGGTAGGAGATGCTCAAATAGGTAAAACCAGTTTGATGGTCAAATATGTTGAAGGTAGCTGGGACGAGGACTATATTCAGACATTAGGTGAGTGCGACATTATATTTTCGCAAGTCCATGCCAGAATATTTGCTAACTGGAAGGATTATAGGTGTCAACTTCATGGAGAAGACTATTTCGATTCGGAATACAGAAATTACGTTCTCGATTTGGGATCTGGGCGGACAACGCGAGTTCGTTAATATGCTTCCTCTGGTCTGTAACGATGCAGTTGCCATTCTGTTCATGTTCGACCTCACACGCAAGAGCACCCTCAATTCTATCAAGGAATGGTATCGCCAGGGTCGCGGCTTCAATAAAACTGCCATCCCTTTCCTCATCGGCACGAAATATGATCATTTTGTGAACTTTCCCCGCGAGGACCAAGAGGAGATATCTTTACAGGTATGTCTATCCGAGCAGGGACCATTTCAACTCCATCAGCGTATAAGAAACTAAGAGACTATCCATATAGGCCAAGCGATATGCCAAAGCCATGAGAGCCAGTTTGATTTTCAGCAGTACTAGCCACAGTATCAATGTCCAAAAGGTTTGAACCTCCTTCAAGTGTCATTTTACTTAGCTTACTAACTTGGCTAGATTTTCAAAATCGTACTCAGCAAAGCCTTTGACCTCAAATGCACTATTCCCGAGATCGAAAATATCGGCGAGCCCCTATTACTATACAAATCTGTATAGTCGACCCATCGGTGGTAGCCACCCGTATCGGAACGGCTTAATGATGTACGTTGAACGGTGTCATGCTTTGATGATCAATCCTTCTACCACCACATCGCCATCTCTCCATAAAAGATCTTTCATAATACCCGTGCTCCATGCACCGAAACAACCCTACAAGCGACATAACAAAGCTGAAGCTCCTGCCTTGGCCATCGAGCACAAAATCCTACACCAACCTTGCAGCATCGTACTACTTGAAGGCGTCGGATGGAAGGTCTTTTACATTCTTTTCTCCAGTGTCTTCACTAATTGTCTATTTTCCACCTTTCGGTAGGGGTGAACAGGAGTCATCTCTCACACATAAGCTTTTTTCTACATTTTTCATGACTGTATCATTGGCGCGATATGGAGTGCGCAAGCTTTGTACATTGTATACAGACCGAGATTTCCTACTATCAAATTTTCAACAGCAGTTTCAAAGAACGCTAGCTCGTAGCGAACGAGGTAATCCACAAACATGTCGTAGATTACATGAGGCTCAGCGGTTAGAGTGTTAAAAATAAACAGCCCAACGTATGCAATCTAATTAAAATGAATGTACTACGTACGCGTAGCTAAGCCTCGCTGCCTTGGTAATATGGTGGGGGCGCTTCTGGGCTTCCCAGTTCCCGCCGTCCAAGTTAGCTGCAAGGATGACCCTGATTGCAACTCTTGAGTCTTGACTGTAGCACATCACTCGCTGGGGAAGGGGGCTATTGCTCATACCATGTCCAATGGATGGCTATGGATTTTGTTCATCCTTATCTCAAATATAAAATAATTACTGACCCAACTCCACAAGAATCGTTTAGACAGCTTTCGGATCTACAGCCTTGCCGTCACGCCAGATGCGACGATTCAGCCACTCTTTTCGTTTCAGATGAAACTACAACACTGATCAGTGCATCTATATATACAGACAATTACCATCTCGATTCTCTCGCTTGAGACTCGGTGATTCGCGATCGTTCATCATTTACAATCTTTTCTTATCCAGACAGTCGTACCTCATTGTTTATCCCTGGCGGACTCAACAATGGCCGAAGAACCAAGAGCCCAGACGATCCAAGAGCGCATAGCTGCACTCAACCAGTCGCAAGTCGGTCGTCTACCAGAAACGTCTGCCGCGCGACCTTATGCTTCGAGAAACAAAACCGTGAACAATCCTCCGCACGAACTGAACGGTTCCGTGGTTGACATCAAGGTCATTGGCAACAAACCTGCTCCGGTCCGTCAAAATGGGTTCCTTCCGCCTCCAACAGCAGTCTTAGAAGCACAAAAGAATTCGCCGAAAAATGATTGCAAGTTGCCTCCTCCACTCCCAGCTCGTAAGAGCCCCCAACCTACACCGGCTCTACCACCCCGCCGCCCGTCTGCGCAGACGGAACGGAGAGTGTCCTCTGAGTCTACAAGGTCGAATGCGTCTTACAGTACGATTTCTACAACGAGCACGGTGGATAGCAAGAGTCGGGTACTTGTAGCTCCAGGATGGATGGAAGCAGAGCTGCCTCCGCTTCCGGTGCGCGAGAAGGGTCGACCGGGCCTTTCCAAGCGTACATCGTCAACACTTTCAGAGGCAGAAAAGGCGAAGAGAGCAATTAAAGCACCCTTGAAACCACCGCCACTGCCTTCACGGACCTCGTCTACAGAAGCCAGTGGAGACCAAGCTACAAGAGTATCGTTACCCGTCCGAAGTCTGTCTTCTGAAGCGAGGAAAATACCATCGCTGTCAATAAATGCAGTGAAGAACGAATCTGCCACTGTAGCACCAGCGCCAGCGCCAGCGCCACGCAAAATTCCTCCAGTCCCCACGGCCGAAGCTCTTCATAAAATACAGCAGAAATCGTTTGCGACTTTGAGTAAACATGTTGAAGAGGATGAGCTGGATCAGAGTGCACCGCCCGCTATACCTTTTGCTTCGCGACCAAATCTAGCAGCAATCCAGGCAACGAAACCTAAATTCGCCGCCAACGGACATGCTCATGTTAGTGCTAGTACCGTCTGCATGATATGCAGAGACTTCTCCGGTCCAGATAATCATGCAGCTCAATTTCCCCGACAATCTCTTCCTACCAATGATCTAGCATGGCTAGCCACACAGCTTACCGCACCATTCCCATCTCTTACTGACAAGGCGAGGGCTTTGTTTACTTGGCTTCATTACAACATCAAGTATGATGTTGACGCCTTTTTCAATAACAACGTGCAGCCGTCAACMCCCGCCAAGACACTTTCCACTGGTCTTGCAGTTTGTGAGGGATATGCCGGGCTGTTTGCTACTCTGGCAACACACGCGGGCCTTGAAGCTCTTGTTATAGGCGGCCACGGCAAGGGGTTTGGCCATTCGCAACTAGCTCCTGGCTCCACTATACCACCATTCGAAGCTGGCCACGCTTGGAACGCGGTGAGAATCGACGGGGGCATATGGAAACTTGTCGATCCGTGCTGGGGAGCTGGAGCTGTAGCGGGCAAAGGACAGCCATATATTCAACGATTTGATCCAACTCATTTTACCAAGCCCAATAACGAGTTTCTTCTTTCACACTACCCGCAGAACAAGGACCAGTTCTTTACAGATAATGGCGGTCCTGGCATGAGTTGGGAGGCGTACGTTCTTCAAGACCACAATAAGCCTTTCGGTCTCGAGCAGCCTGTCATTTTTACGGATGCTTACCAGGAGGGAATTGGAGAACGATCCTTCCGTCCAGCCTGCGCAAAAATATCCATTCACCAGTCAGGGCCTATAAGGTTTCAATTTGGCTTGAAATGTGAACATTGGACACTTACTCATCATAGCAAGAAAACTGCACCCTTTCTCTTCCTATTAGATACCCACGGCATAGATGGCCAGAAAGATGAGAAAATACCGTTTACTTACGTTCGCGGTACCGGGCCGAATGGCGGAGGGGACCTATGGTATGTGGATATCGATGATCCAAGGGTACTGGGCGCACCTGGTCAAAAGCTTGGAATTGCCAACATTACAAGCTTTGCTTCCCAGAAAGATGCTCGTGGTCTATCATTACAAGAATATAAAGCCCAAGCCGGACGTGTTGGCATGGGTTGGTCTTATATAGCGCAGTGGGAGCTGACTGTCTAAAACGACTTAATGAAACAACGATACCCTATTTTACGCTTGATGCTCATTAGGCATGCGGAGCAGAATATTATTTTTCTCACATTTCTCTATACCTATTATACATATGATTTTCTTGACGGGGAGGAGTAAACCTGAATCCCCTTTCAAGTTAGAGACATAATATCTCTTTAATAGTTTCCTCTAGCGCACCACGCACGTCGGCTGGTAGTCTTCTCTGCCTCCAAGCAATAAATCTATCTGGTCTGATCAGTATCGCTCCATTGGACGAAATACCTGCTGTAATCTCCCATTCCTTGCTTTGTTTCGGAACAATATCGGCATTGGGCCCAACACAATGTCCGGCAAGATCCAGACCCTTGAACTTGAGTTTCACTTGGTCAACTGCATTTGTCCAAGCATCATGCCCTTCGCGTCCAATCAGCAGTACAAATCCTTTTCCCACAACATCAAGGGTAGAAATCGGCTTCCCATCCTTCTCAGCCCAAACGTGCGGTGCACGAGAACCGGGTCTCCCGTCCAATGAATGAATAAGAGACGGCACATTCCACGCCTTCCAAGTGGCACCTCCCAGCGGCCAATTGTTTTCTCCAATTACCGCAGAGCTTTCACTAGAGTACACATACCCAAATCCACTTGCCAGCGGTACAATCTTTGACCATCCCCGCAGAATCTTCCAGTCAAGTTTGAATGGAGAGATCAAACCACGGTCATCAGCAGGACCTGTTGACGCCTCTGCTGCAGCCTTTCCTACCGGCAATCGCTCTGTGTCGTACGTTTGCAGTAACCTGGGACTAGCCACGTCTTTCAGGACAAGGGCAAGCTTCCATGCTAGGTTGTATGCGTCAGAGATGCCTGTATTGGCCCCCTGACCACCATACGGTGGCATTTGATGTGCCGCATCGCCAGCGAGAAAGATTCGACCATGTTGAAGTTTCGTCACGACTCGGACGGCGGGTTGCCAGGGCAATATTGATATTATTTTGATTTTAATGTCCGATATACCTAGCGCAACTCGTAATAGCTCTTGACACCTCTCTGGTGGAAAGTCCTCCGGCTTCTCGTTTTTGGAAGGATCATAACTCAAGTGAAAAACCCAACGTTCTCTGTTATTGATGGATGTTAGTATTCCTGTAACCTCCGCACGGTCAATGACGCAGAGACTGAATTCACGTCTATCGACGAGATCCTTGAGATCAGCTTGAAATAAGATGTTGAGGAGGTGTCCCATCGTCCCACGTCCAGTCATAGAAACATTTAATTGAGATCGGATGCGCGAATTTGCTCCGTCAGCTGCTATCAGATAATCCGCAATGACTGTAGCTGTTTCACCCGTCTCCCGATTCCGAATGCTGGCAGTCACTTTCTCTTCATCTTGTTTGATCTCTACACATTCTGTATAGAACCGGAGATCTCCTCTTCTTTCCTCTGCGGCCTTTACTAGGACTGGTTCAAGCATATCCTGTGTCACAAAAGTGCCATCCTCAGGTCCTATCTGTGCCCATTTGACCAACCACCCTCTTGAATCTGTGGACGGATCTTCCTTTCTTCTGGGTCTGGTCTTTATAAAAGATTTCAGAGAGTCGTTAGAATGGTAAATACCTTTACTAGGTGCCAACGAGGCGCCTGCTTGACGAACAATTTCGGAAAGTCCAATGCTGCGAAAGATTTCCATCGTACGCGCGTTGACGCTTCGAGCTCGTGGGTGAATTGATGTGCTCGAATGCCGTTCTACGAGTGCGGAGTGAATGTTGTGGTGAGAGAGGAATAGGGATGCGCTGAGACCAACAATGCCGCCTCCGACGATAAGGACGGGGGTATGGATTGTGCCTGCAGCCATGTCTCGATCTTGATAGTTTAAGTGACAATTTGAGAAAAATATGCTTCCTAAGAACAAGGACAATATATCAATAGAATCTAGAAAGAGAAATGATGGCTTGATCCTCTATCAGAGGCGGAGTATATAAAGCGGCTTTTGTCGAGTTTTCCATGTAGGGTTAAAAGCCGCTCAAAATCCGGTACCCCCAAAGTGACGTCCCGGAAAGCCCTAATCGCAAAGCCCTAACCTACAAACCCTAAATACTGCTTTTAGATGATTTGTGTTGACCATGAACGGTAACTACGAGGATACAGTCAAAGAAAGTAATAGTCGACTACTAGACTGAGAATTCCGACAATAGATCTTCCGCTAAGCTTGACTCGCATACAGAGTCACTGTATTTCCTTCTATGGTAATACTTCTCTCTTCTCTTCCCTCGAATCCCGGAGGAAGGCCGATGTCATATCGCTGTCGCATTAAGCTACTATGAGGCTTTTTTCAGGCGGAGACAAGGTTTTACTAGTTCAGAAATACACAGAGACCAATACATCAATACATGTCAAAAGATTTCACTATTTGTGACTCATACCCATGAAGTTAACGTCGCTGATAGACGGTCGGGAATTTGTCTGTCAAATATTCTATGGTCGCACGCGCGCTCCGAGTAATCTATGATCTCGTGACACTAAATGTATTAAACACAGGCACTAAACAAGTCTGTTTATGGGGTCACCGAATAAGAGCTGAGCCCTAAGAGGCTAAAACGTAGATCCTGAGGTAGCATCCCCAAATCTCGTGTTCTTTTCCGAGAGGCCAGATACCTACTACGTACGGTATTCAAACCTTTCATTCGCTCAATCAACAAAGTAAGTAAGCTACATTTACTAGCACAACTTAGGAAGCTGTATTTCGCTCTTGTCAGTTGCACGAGAGTGTATGCAAGTCATTGCACATGGCCTTCACCGCCTGATTCATACTGATTACCCCAATTTTCCAATTTTCGAACTAGTAATTCCCCGGCTGATCCTGACGTAGGCCGTGACGCTTCTTTGTCTCGGTGTCTTGTAGTTGCGATGTCTCCTGACCCGAGCGTAGTGATCGGTGCCTTCGAGTCTCAAGTACCTAGATATCGAGATACTGCAATGTGACGAGATTCATGTGGCATCCCGGCGTCCGCGTGTTATGATCAGGGGTCGACTCCATTGATGAATATCAGCCACATTTAAGGAAGATAAACGTCCATGTCCTCGGTCAGGACTTGCGATTCGCAGCGCAGAAAACAAAGAACCCAAGCCGAAGACCCGATCGAAGCAAGATTTCATCAGATGTCATGTCAGGGGTGAGGGTCAAAGCCGGGGGATTATCCGGATTAAGGGATGGTGCGGGGTGACAACTGCTAGTAAGAGTAGGTAGTACTTTGTACCTGTTTAGCGATTCATGTACGCACTATATGGATTACTACAAGCAGTAAGCACAAAACTTGTAGCCAATGTAGCATAAATAAGTTTAACTATTGACTAGTCGACTCTCCGTAGTAAGGGTCACATTCTTGCACCTCGGCGGCATCTTTATCCTAGATTCGTTATGTTGATCGTCACGCGATCGTCCAACCAGAGCACTTGCTCCCCTCTTACGCGCCAAAGGAGAAGGTACAGGGACCCTGACAACAATGACCACTGACCAGTCCTTTGGACTCGAAAATCAAGTTAAAATATTTTGGCAGAGACTAGGCCGTAGGTAATATGTGCGACGTTCTGACTGGATCGAGTCATGGTTTTAATTTACCTTTCCCCCGGTCACGATGCAGGGGAGATGAAATATTCGGAGGAATGACAATTGCTATAAAGCACTCCTCATCCGCTCCTTTCGGCTCTACTTTGGACATGGAGATCTTCGAGATTCCTCAATCGTGGTCGGCTGGTCGTCTCTTCAATTCTTTCCTTCCTTTGATTCCTTTCAAGGATATTCTTTCCTTTACTGGTGACTTCTCTCGCACAGTCCCTCCTTATGTTGTGGTTTAGAACAACCGGTATGCCGTACAGCGCATCAACCGTAGGGGGTTTGGCCATCCTCTTGGCTAGCTCCTTCTTTGATGTCGCTAAATGCAGTAATACACGTAAGCTTTTTTTTTTTTTTTTTTTAAGATTTTGATGTTATAAAATACCATCAATTGCAGATTTGTGCTGATCCGTCAACCTCGGCACAGTACTTCCCCTAGTTTTTGAGCCTCTGCCGTTGGGCTCAGTTTCGGCCGAAGGCTGGTTACAAGATCAATTGCAATTGATGAGTGACGGTCTTGCTGGTCACGAACATGATTTTTATCTATTTGTCAGTAACAGTTCATGGCTCGGAGGATCATCGGAGTACAGCGACCTCAACGAAGGCTTCCCGTACTGGTTTAACGGTCTTGTACCCCTGGCGTATACTTTGAACGACGAGCGATTGAAAAGCCAGGTCTTGGATTCTGTGAACTACGTTCTTTCTCATCAGCAGGCGGATGGGTGGCTTGGTCCGGAAACCGATGTCAACACACGCAATCTTTGGGGTCGATTTCCCTTCTTCTTAGGGTTGACGCAGTTAGCTGAGGCCGAGAATGGAACTGACGTTGCCACAAGCGTATTGGATGGCATGCATAAATTCGTCGAATTGATGAATTCCATGCTCGAAGATAATTTCCTTGGCTATGTTGCATCGGCTACTTCACCGATCGACGACCAATGGGGCCGCTCGCGTGCGGCCGATATGATTCTGGGGTTACAATGGCTGGTTGAGCATGATCCAAGAAATGACACAGACATCATCTTCAATTCAATGAATCTCCTATTCGAAAAGTCAAACAACTGGGCCGATTGGTACGTTGACGGCGTTTATATCAAACAGGACCTTGATACGGTTTCCGTTGACATCACTAATGCCGAATATGCGTTTGAGCATGGGGTCAATATTGGACAAGGCTACAAATTCGGTGCTGTTATCCGACGCTTCAACGGCGACGATAGTCTTGGAGATTCTTCGCGCACTGCAGTCAATTGGACATTGACATATCACGGTCAGCCCTCGGGAGTCATGATTGCAGATGAGCGTCTGTCTGGCCTGAGCCCTGTTCGCGGTGTGGAGCTGTGTGCTGTGGTAGAATCCATCTACTCTCTAAATTATCTGTATCAGGCATTGGGCGATGCCTCTTTCGCAGACAATGCCGAGATGGCAGCTTACAATGCTCTCCCTGTCATGCTCACACCAGATTGGTGGGCGCATCAGTACGTTTCTCAGACCAACCAGCCAATATCGCATACTTTTGATGCTTCCCCCTTCTATAATGTGGACACCGAGGGTCAACATTATGGGCTGGCGCCAAACTATCCTTGCTGCACAGTCAATCACCCGCAAGGTTATCCCAAGTATGTTTCGAACTCCTATGTCCGGTATGGCGACAATGGAATTGCGCATGCATTGCTGGGCCCAACTTCAGTCAACACCACTACCAACTCTGGCACTTCCGTCAGTGTGTCGGTCGATACTCTCTATCCATTTGTATATGAGTTGACATATACCGTAGAGGCCAGTGACGACTTTGACTTTTATGTGCGAGTGCCTACCTGGGCCACGGGAAGCAGCTTCTTCTCCATCAATAGCGGGTCTCACGAAGATGTACTAGCAGATTCCAATACTGCCATGCATCATCTTCCACTCCAAAGAGGCCGAACCACCATATTTTACTCCTTGGCGGGCGATATCCGAGTGGCTGATCGCGCAAATGACACTGTAGCTATATACCACGGACCAATTCTTTATACCATTGCACCCGGAGAGAACTACACCTCATACAGCTCAGGCTATGCTGGTGCACCCTCGCAAGCCTTGGAATATGACATTTACCCGACCACGGAATGGGCCCTCGCCATTGATCCATCGACTCTGAGGTACAACGCACCAGGGCCGGGTGCCTCCTTGCCCAACCCTATCTGGACTCTTAACGCGCCACCAGGATCTATCAGTGCGACTGTATGCGAGATCAAATGGAGTTTAACCGAGGGTTACGCGCCAAACCCACCGCTGCTAGCAGACAGAAACTGCACAGGAGACCCGTTCCAAGTCAGTCTAGTGCCATATGGCAGTGCTAGACTGCATATAGCTGAGATTCCGACGATCAGTCTGTCGTGAGATGAGAATTCGTTTGTTTTCTGTTGATACATATTTAAATATAGCTGAATATACCTATTATCATTTTTAACGTCAGTGTTGGCTGTAGATTAGCGCTAGGTGTGCATAAAATCTACCGCCAAGGCTCAGTGAAGCCTTATGAAGGCTTGGTGACTAAGGCTATGCATTCTGGCCAATAAACATCTCCGGACATAGGGAACTAAGCCTTTTCGGGACAAGCGGGAGTATAACCCCTGGAGCGTGCACAAGTGGAAGTCAAACCCGGGGCTGTAGAACCGCAATCCTTTTTTTTCTTTCCTCTCGTTTCTTCGATTGCAGTCAATTCATCCAACGTCGCACGCTATATTCTCCTCTGCTATCAAAGTCGCTTGTGAACCGGCAAAGAAATCAATTTGTATCTACCAGCATCTGTTTTGCGGCAGCTCATACAATCGTGAAGGGAAAAAGATCATTGCGACCGTATCGTATCGAAGTCGCCTCCGCTGTCTTCTTGAAAAACATTGGAGGAATCGATTGGTACCCTGGTTGGACAAGACTTGGTCATTTTACGTTTCGGAGGGGCTGCGTAATCACTGTTTTAACTGGCGAGCGGCCTCCCAAAGTATTTTTCATTGATTGCGGCAAACTTACATCGTTACAATGCCTACCACTCGGAGGAAGTCGAGTCTGGGTTCAGACATCAGAGGCGATACCAGTGCTCCAGCAATGTCAACAATGGATATCAACAAAAGTGCTCCCCTCTCAGATATTTCGGAGCAACCCCAGGTTTGTTCTACCTTACCGCTCACTGCCAAACTCGACTTCCGAACTGACAGTCGCACTCTCATAGGGAGCTGTTTCTACAAAATCCGGAAAATCTCATCATAAACGTCGAAAGTCTCGGTCTTTGCTTAGTCGGTTCAAAGATGTAGCCCTCAGGCACACTTGGTTTATACCTTTGATTATCCTGGTAGTCCTCCTCTCCGCATACGCGATAAATCCCACCGAAACCAATCCATTGCACTCCGCGCTTTTCTTGTCCTACCCCCGCGAACCGGAATATCCTGGCGAACGTGTGATGTACGGCAAAGGAAAGAAGGATTTTGCGTTTGTCGCTTTTTACACCGTGGTTCTCTCATTCACCCGTGAATTTTTGATGCAACGAGTGATCCGACCATGGGCGCTTTACTGTAACATCCGAGGAAAGGGAAAGATTGCACGTTACATGGAGCAGGTGTATACTGCCATGTATTTTGCCGTCTTTGGTCCTTTCGGTCTTTGGGTCATGAGCCGAACTAACATCTGGTATTTTAATACCACCGCAATGTTCGAGGGCTTTCCCCATCGTGAGCATACGGCGGAATTCAAGGCATACTATCTCCTGCAAGCAGCTTACTGGTTCCAACAAGCCATTGTGCTGTTGCTGCAATTGGAGAAGCCTCGCAAAGACTTCAAGGAACTTGTTGGCCACCACATTATCACACTGGCTCTGATCTTCCTCAGCTATCGTTTCCATTTTACCTACATGGGTATTGCTGTGTACATCACACACGATATTTCCGACTTTTTCCTCGCAGTATGCTAGTTCGTCTCCTTTTTGATATCTGTGTCAATACTAATTTCTTGGTGTAGACCTCCAAGACTTTGAATTACCTCGACTCACCTATCATCGGTCCTTACTTCGGCCTTTTTGTTACAGTCTGGGTTTACTTACGGCATTTTATCAACTTGAAGATCCTCTGGGCCGTTCTGACCGAATTCAGAACCGTCGGTCCATTTGAGCTGAACTGGGAGACTCAACAATACAAATGCTGGATCAGTCAGTACATCACCTTTGCTCTTCTTGCCAGTCTTCAGGCCGTGAATCTCTTCTGGCTTTATTTGATCATGCGCATCTTGAAGAAGTATATCCTGGACGATGTTGCCCAAGATGAAAGAAGTGAGGACGAGGAAGAGGAAGAAGAACAAGCGAGCACCTCCAAGGCTGCTGCCGGTGGCATCAATGGAGCGGAGGGTGTCTCTTCTCAGGTCTCCGTCAACGGCGCATTGACTGACGGTCGCAAACGCAAGTAAGGACGTGCATGATTTATGACATTTACACATACAACGGCCGTTTCGACTTGCTCGATTTGCCTTTGATTACTAATTATGTGCGGAATCTCAAGCCACGGTATTCATGACATACTGACTTGCTATACTCGCGCTATTCTCTTCATGGCTGTGTGATTTATGGACGACTTTTATACATACATTCAAACTTGCATTAATATTTTCTTCACTATACAAAATGGGTGGGAGTCCAGAAACATAATTTTCTTCTTGTGCTTGTCAAAGTTGGACGCTTTGTTTACAAGCCTATGTTATTATTCATTTCACGAATGGGAAGCTTGAATGAGGATATTGCTTTTGGGGTGCATGTGATTCTTTGAAACGTCGATGATGATCCGATGCAACATTCTGTACGACTCGTGGTGTGGTGGTTGCAGGATCGGGTTTATGAAAACACAGATCGGATGGGTGCCTGAGATCTTGTAAATATCAATTTAATTACTAATAATGTGACAATTGACACAAATCACTACCACATCGAAGCGCCGGTCTACTACATTACCTTACATTTTACATTTCCTTTCAACAACCACTTTGAAAGTTTATGACTTTCCCTTTCCTCGGTCAAGCGACACTGTCCCTTTCAACTTGGCTGTCTCGGTCACGCCCTCGGGTTTCTCGCTCTTGCCCGAAGCATAGAGCTCCGGATGCATAGTATCGTCGTTGGAAACGCCTTGCTGTTTGGCTGTTTGCGTGCCTGATTTTTTGCCAATGTTTTCTATGGGTTTGATTGCGTGGGCCTGTTCATTTACCAGTGTTTCTTCAGTATAGAACAACCAGCAATGGCATGCTCATGCACTTACCGGATCACGCTCTGACTGTTTCTCGCCTGACACTTTTGCTCCTTCCTCGCGGCCCTTGACAAGCGAACGCTTGGGCCCAGCGCCATGTGCAGTTTCCTGGGATCTTGAATTATATAGATAATATGCTACTGGGACTGTTAAAGCGACTGAGAGAAATAGCCTATTTGCATGGTCAGCACTTAACCTTCTCTGGACTGAAACGAGGCGTGGAAGTCGACATACCATGGAACATTCCCTTTCTTCCGCTCATGGTAATGAGCCTCTGCATAGGATCGACGGGTGATCACTCGTTGACTATTTCGGATGCTGGCGGCGGCAAAGCCGGTCTGCGCGGTAATAGCAGTTCGATGAAGTGTATGTGGGAGTCGGGAGGACATCATGATTGCTTCCCGCCGGTCAATTGGAGATTTGCACGTTTCCTGAGCTCAAGCGCAGATGTAACAATCAATATATAGTTGTTCAAAAAGCACAAGAGCCAGACCTGAGAAGCAAGATAAAAGCAAGCTTCAAGGCATGACGAATTATGGAGTATGAATACTTCGTAATTTATAGCTTAGATCTATGTAATTTATCGGTAGATCTAAGCTGCAATGACGGTACTAATACTGAATTAAGCTGCGATCGCCGAGTACCGACAGCTTGGTCAGAAGCAAAGCCTGTATGCACTAGTAACATTCCCTTCTCATCATGGCTCCACTTGTATATCGACTTCATTCCTATGTCATTGACACTGTCATGTGATCGCAGAGCAAGATTGATAATGGTATGGTTAGAAGGTAAGTGAGAATATTTACCGGGTTAATAGCGTAATAGATATTGTTCTGCCAGGCAGCAGAGCTTATAGATAGAAACTATGACACTGATTTGACGGGATTTCCAGATCTGATAAGTGAAGGACAATGCCAAAATGGTGATTTTAGCTGGATTGCCTGGATCCGCATATATTTTTGTACAAGGGGAAAGCCATCCAAGCTACAATCTCGCTTCAGCCCAGCAATAATGGGGAAATTCAACATTTGAAGTTATCCAAGTTAACGATGACAATAGTAAAATCAGCTGGGCGTTATCGGTTGGTCGTTGATAGAAGGAGCCCCACCTGCGTCAATACTTACCCTCACTCACAACAGAGGCAGCCATCTCGACCTTCATCTAGTACTTACAACCCTGCTTTTCACCTGAACACCTCTACTTCTCTAGAGCCCATCAATCCTCAATCCTATCTTGTTTTTACGCTTTTAACAATCCATATTCTTGCCTCTGTCMCCCTCTTGCTCAGCCCGCCAGTACTGCGGGGAAAGCAAGCTCCAAACAACAAACAACAAAATGGTCGACCGACAGTCGACTGTCCACAGCCTACACAGCTTGTTGGGGAAACTCGATGATCCCGATCCAGATATTCGTTACATGTCCTTGAATGATGTCTTTGGCATCCTCAGTTCGCCAAATTCTCTCTTTTTGCTCAACGACAATGTGACATCTGCGAGCCTGGTTGATGGCCTATTGAAAGCTTTGGAGGATCAGCATGGCGAGGTACAAAATCAAGCTTTGAAATGGTACTATCGCCCCATGTTTTGACTATGATACCTCATTACTGACATCGACAGTTTTGGCCCTTTAGCTGGACGACTTCCAACGGACAGCCTGACGCCGCTCCTCGAACAAATTGCCGACCTAACCAAATCGCCCACCATCGATAGCTCCATTCCAAATACCGCCCTGAGAACTATCGTATCATCTCTTCCTTCCCCCAGATCAGCAGGCCCAGCTAGTACAGATGCAACCGCAACGTTTGCAGCAGTCTCGAAAGTCCTCCTCCCCCGACTCACTGGCGAGAAACCGAAGACCCGTAGAGGCTCTGTCGTGCAAGGAATGCTCGAAAAGGATGCAACAAAAGGATACAGTAGCGATGCTATCGACGTTGTCATTGAGTTGGTCAATTGTTTTGGCTCGCTACTCAAAGAAGCCGAAATTACATCTCTACAGAAAGCAGTCATGGCTATAATTGAGAATGATACAGCTGGAACTGTGGTGACGAAACGAGCTCTTACTGCAACTGCAGCTCTTGTTGTTCATTTCTCTGATGCACACTTGAGTTCTTTTGTGTCGGAGTTGATTGAGAGTTTCCGTTCGGCACATCTGACGATAACGAGACGCCGTCACCTTATTGCAACGGTTGGGAGTCTCTCGCGTGCGGCTCCATCAAAGTTTGGACCTTATCTCAAGACACTGGCCCCATTTGTCCTCGCAGCAGTGAGTGAGCAAGAAATGGACGATATGCAACAAGACGATTCAGATGATGGAGAGCACGACCCGCAAGCAGATGAACTTCGTGAGACAGCATTGATTACATTGGAAGGATTGCTGTCTTCATGCTCCCAAGAAATGCAACCGTACCTCACTGATTCTTTGAACGCCGCACTGAGATACGTGAAGTACGATCCCAACGTAGCATTTGACGAAGACGAAGAAATGGGTGGTACGCAGGACGAAGGCAGTGAAGACGGCGCAACTGAGGAACCAGACGAAGCCGATGATGAATTGGAAGACTTTGAGGATGAAGGTGGCTATAGTGACGTTGATGATGTGAGTTGGAAGGTTCGACGCTGTGCAGCAAAGACTCTACATACAATAGTTTCTTCCTATGGTACTGGTCGGTTGTTGGAGGACGGTACACTCTATCAACAAGTTGCGCCTATTCTCATATCACGAATTGCCCGAGAAAGGGAAGAAAGCGTGAAATTGGAGGTTGTCATCACATTCACAGCACTGATTAAAAAGTCAAGTGAGAGTTTGACAGTGACCGCCCTCAACGGCTATAGGGAATCCGTTGGAGGATCCAAGAATTCAAGGAAACGAAGACGTCAGGACAGCTTTGCTGGAATCATCGATTTTGAGCCTAGTATGGGAACTTCTTCCGCAATTGATACCCCTGTAGCCACTCCTAGTACTCCAGAATCTGGGCCTCAGGCTGAGTTGATGCTTTTACTCCCTGGCCTAATTCAAAACCTGGTCAAAATGTGGAAATTGGCTACCGTGGCTTTGAAACAGGCAGCCATTGTGCTATTCAAGAGCTTAGCACTAGCACGTTATAGCATTCTAACCGAGTACCTCCAAAAGATTGAGGATCCGATTGCTGATGCGCTCAAGGCGAGCACAATGGGCGGTGCCGTTGCATCTGGTACGGCTGTCAGCGTCGCCACTCTGCAAATCGAAGCGCTGTCTCTAGTGGGTGCAATTGCTGAGACACACGCCTCGCATACACTTCTGCCATTCCTCATCGCGTTGATACCAGGCGTTATTACAGCTGTTAGTGATAGAAACTACAAAGTCGCCAGCGAAGCCCTTGGAGCTATCGAATGCATCATTAAGGCTCTCACTCCGCCGCGTGTGTCTGGTAGCGATGCCGATAACCTACGCCCACAGCTACAGAAGCTTTATGATGTCGTCGTTTCACGTATAACTGACACTAGTGCAGATCTCGAAGTCCGCCAAAGGGCTATCCATGTATTTGGAGTCCTGGTAGCCCGTACATCTGGCGACGTGGGTCGCAAATTTGTTTCTGAGACTCTTCGTTTCCAAGGATTGGATATTTTAGGAGATCGACTCAAAAATGAGACCACTCGATTGGCTACCGCACGCGCTATCGATGATATTGCAGTTCTAGCTACCAGCGAGAAAGATGTAAATTCTGTGTGGATCACACAGGTTACTAGCGAGCTAGGTGCTCAGCTTCGAAAGTCTGATCGAACGCTTAGAAGTGCCTGTCTTGAAGCTCTCAGGAGCCTGGCAATGAACTCAAATACAAGGGCCCATTATGATGAGAGCACAATGCTGGAAGTCGAGAAATCTTTGCTGCCATTGATAGCTCCTGACGACTTCCACCTTCTGGCTCCTGCCCTTATCATATTAGCCAAGCTCATACCGCTCCATGCAAAGACTTTGGTCACAAATGATTTGATATCCGCTTTGTGTGCTATTGTTGCCGTTCCTTTGATAGGAACTGTACTCAAAGCATTGCTCCTGCTCGTCAAGGTTATTGGAGAACAAGATGCTGGTGCTGATCTCATGAAACGTCTTTTGCGTGATGTCGGGATTAATGGCGATCCCTCAGTTGTCGGGCGAGCGATCGGTACCTTGCTCGTACATGGAGGGTCGAACCTGGGAGTGAAGATGGAAGATTTCCTGTCCGAGTTACAGACTGCGCAAGATGATCAGCGCAAATGTCTGGCGCTGGCTATATTAGGTGAGGTATCCCTCCGCATGGGAGCGTCTTGCCCTATCAAACCGGATCTTTTCATTTCGAACTTTGATGCCAAATCGGACAAGGTCCGCTTGGCCGCTGCTGTTGCGCTTGGCAATGCTGCGGCTAGTAACATCAAAACATACATGCCGATCATATTCGAGGATTTGAATAAACCAAAGACATCAACCTATTTGCTACTGCACTCAATCAAGGAGATTCTCCACCACCCTGAGCATGTCCGTGATGATATTGCACCGTTCGCCACGCAGCTTTGGCAGATCCTGTTGGCGGCCTCTGAAAATGAGGATAATCGCGTCGTTGGGTCGGAATGTCTTGGTCGGCTCGCCCTGCTAGATCCGGTATCTTACGTCCCTCATCTACAAGAATATCTGTCAAATCAAAATCCCACCATTCGCGGCACGATCATTTCGGCTTTCCGCTACACTTTATCCGATTCCAGTGCTGCCTTTAATGAAGTCTTACGGCCCTTGATTGTACCTCTTCTGGTGAGCATGTTGAGCGATCAGGATCTTGGGAACCATCGTCTCGCTTTGACTACATTGAACTCTGCCATACATAACAAGATGGATATCATTTACCCACATCTTGGCGAATTAATGCCGGCAGTCATTGGCGACACCCATGTCAAGCCTGAACTTATTCGTGAAGTGCAGATGGGCCCGTTCAAGCACAAGGTTGACGACGGTCTTGATCTTCGTAAAGTAAGTTTCTGCCCTCACCATTTTCTGTATATGACTAACATTTTGCCTTTCAGACCGCCTATGAAACTTTGTATGCTTCTTTGGACGCAGCTCTTAATCGGATCAACTTGCCAGAGCTTTTTGAGCGAATCCTTGCAGGTCTTGATGATGAACAGGACATTCGAACGTTGTGCAATCTCATGACGGCTAAACTCATTACCCTAACACCTGAAGAAGTGAAGCGGCAGCTTGATGCATTGTCAGAGCGCTATACAGCGGTGCTCACGTTCAAGCCGAAGGAAAACGCCGTAAAGCAGGAAATCGAGAAGGCGCAGGAAGCATCATTGGGTATCCTGAAGATAAGTCGCGACCTTGACAAGACATTTCCTGCGGCTGAAATTGGTGGTGAGCATCTCAAGTGGAAATCGTATGTGGATTGGATTCGAAAGAGTTTTCAACCGCAGCTTCGCAACCTGGATGCTGAAACGTGAAAAGTACTTGATTATGTGCATTAGCTATTGCTACATGTTTTATCGAAACGAAATTCATGAGATAAATTCATCTTAATCAAGAATCTGTAGTGGCCTAGGTAATAATATATTTAAGTAAGGTGGTACATGCTTGCATGTGGCGGTGATGGCATGTACCTTGTGCATATCAATAGCGCTAAGGAACTGGTTCTATAGGCAGGKGGGATATTGCACCTTTATTAACTTATCAACTATATCCGTCCAATATGTATACATACGTATCAATTGAGCTTTGAGTCAAGTGAGAATCTGCATTATGCGTTAATATTAACGCTCTTGCCAAAAGGGTTGAGATGGTGATGGACACCTGAGGCAGACGCGCTTGAATTGAGTTAGAGTTTGTCCAGAACACTTTATTTTGACTACACAGCCTGCGAAACACGAAATAGTACCTGCATGCTTGAAATACACTACAACTCCGGATAACAGTCGCTCCTTGATGCTCAACGTTTACATGCATTCAAGTGCAATCCGTATTCACGAAAAGGATTTGATTTTCTGAACATTGAAGTTGTGGTGAAATTCATCGGCGACTAACCCGCAGCTATGCAACACGAGCAAGCTAGGTTTACGACCGCCCACAACGCCCGTAGACTAGAGGTGCTTAGCGTCTAGTGATTCACGCGTCGTCTTGATTGAGTTACAGAATGCTCGCTTCGGTCGGTGCTGACTGGTCGAGAAATGTGATAGGTGATAGCACTAGGGTTTACGGGCTTGCTCTAGTGCGTGATAGCCCGCGCCTTGACGCCTTGACTCTCCTTCGGTTCTCGGCAGCAAACAGGGGTCATGATTCGAACGGAGCTTGATCTGCCCCCATCTCGGGATCCGCAGCTGATTGAACCATTTGCTGCATGGTTACAACGGGAAAGGGTGCTTATGTATGTTAATTTGCGGCACAGTCAAAATGAGTTTCGCGGATACGTAGCTGAAATTCGCATTTACGCTGATTCGCTGTTGATTGTTCCTCAACTCCTCATGTCATGCGCCCTGCTTTGACTGTGCCACATTTTATTTGCCATACAGTCTGGTCCCCAAAGTTCTCTCTTTTGTCTGATGATCTTCTTTCTCTCAGAAACTGTCTCTTCGTAGCTCTATCAATGAAGCTGCATCACTCGAGTTTCTCGTCTCTTGTCATAGCAAGGAGTGTTTGATATCTTTGCATACGTGATAATACATCAATTACCTATTTTTCATGAGATACACGATTTTAATTGCTCACTGGAGTCAATCATGAGTCGCCAACCCAGATTGAACACTTCACTGCGCCAGCAGGTATACTCTTACGTTGAGACTCCAATCGAAATGAGTCCGCCTGGTTTTCCTTCGCATTCCACAGACATCACCACAGACCAGACTACTGCCTATAACGATCAGATTCCAATCACTAATACAAATCAGCAAGAGAGCCTCCAAACACATCCAGACCACATAAATGTTGCGTCGCAGGAACTTGAGCGGGCGCGACAAAAGCGCCTACAAGAGAGACAAGCTCTTGCTTTGAGTACGACCAGTCTCACAGAACACCCGGCGCTATCAGCACCATATGCGGAGGAAACTACTTTGCCACAAAGCCCGCCGGCGCACTCATCTTCTCAATATCAGTCACCGCCATACTCACCTGGTCCTTTGCCGGAGAAAAGACCCCCTGATTGCGAATATACATCCCCTCAAAAGATATCCATCACCCCAGATACCAATCCTCTACAATCTCCGCGTTCGCCAGCTCTTCATCGAATGGGCACGTTCCCATCTATCAATCAAGAATCACAACCCGTGCATGAATCGCACCCTAATCATCAGCCCGGTCAGATCGCTCACCCAAACCAGATAGTGATCGGTGGTCATTGGAGTACAGGACTCTGCGAGTGCACCGACGTCGGGACTTGTTGCCTGGGTCTTTCTTGTCCATGCATTCTCTACGGCCGAACGCAATACCGACTGCTACGCAAATCCCGGGGAGAAGACCCTACCAATCTGCTGGGATACGACTCGTGTAACGGGTCTTGTACATCAATGGCAGTCTTTTGTGGCTGTCAATGGCTACTAGCGACAATACAGCATACGCGCACCAGAAAGGCTTATGACATCGAGGGAAATGTTTGTTCTGACTGTGTCAGAGCTAGCTGTTGTACGTGCTGTACCTTCATCCGCAATGAGAGGGAGATCAAAAGACGAGAAGAGAACAGGGCATATTCAGCACAACTTACAGGGTCAGCTTTTGTGACACCATATATTCCGCCCGGTCAAATGCATTATGGACCTCACAGAGGTTGATTTTCCCTTTCTTTTCATATTCTTGTTTCGGCCTGAAATCTTGGATATAGTTACCAAGCCCGGCCTGGTGATGTATCTCTTTCTCATAAAGCCCACACCCCTGTACATTCAGATAGGCCTCTTATGTATATATGTCACTTATGACGTTCCTTTTTCCGCTCTTTTTGAATGAGAAGAAGCATAATATAAGACTTTATAAGTTAACACGTGATCTCTGTTATTGGATTGGCTGCTGTTCAGGTGAACCGGCGGGCTCGGCGGGCAAAACGAAACTCCGACATCCTTATTCCCCAGTCTATCCTACATGATCTTTCCACATACACAGATATCCTCTCATTTCTCTCTCATTTGAATCAATCTCCCTTTATAATTACAGTAGTATATCTCAACATTTTCGCATAATATCATTGCATTTATCTGACCACTTCGACTACATTTCGACCCTCATCTGTACGACTGAAGTCTGCCGCGCTACTTCCCCTCGAAAGCTCCACACACTTCTTGATCTCTTCATCGCTTCCTTTGCAAACGATAATAAATTACGGTTCACGCGGTCAATATTTGGAGATTGAACTCCAAGCTGTTTTTTTCCAGATGCAGTCCAGTGGCAACTGCGAGGCGACCCTCGCGTTGTTGGAAATAACTGTCGTCCTACGCTGAGAACATGGATATCGAACGCCGTCAAATCTGGGCACAGCCCACCACGACCACTTCTGCGCGCCCGTCATGCACACCATTTCTACTACCAAGCAATGGTGTCCTCACGATCAACAGCACTTTCTCGGTGACAATGACCGAAGACGCTTACTACCAACCTGTTTGCACGGGCACAGCAAACGATGGAGTTCTTCCCTCGGCTAGCATTAACAACCAAGATCCTTTCTATGCCTCCGTCGGTCCACAACTTTATGCGATTGGCTGCATGACGGTGGTCAGCTATCTATTAGTTATCATCCTCCTCATCACTCCTCGAAAGTTCTATGTTGGGGGTCCTGGAGGTGACGGAAATATATTGGGACGACATGGAATTATAAGTGGCTCTTACAGTGGACAATCGTCTGTCACCGGTGTTGGCGGCCGTCCCTGGTTGCAAAAAGTGGCAGCATTGTCAGTCGCAATCTCTTTGACCATCGCGACGGTTGACTCATTTCGAGTGGCCGAGAGACAATACGACATGGGTTATACGGACGCTACAGCTTTGACGGAGGAAGTCATTGATGGTACTGAAATCAGAATCGTGCATGTCGTGTCCAGTACTTTTCTATGGCTCGCCCMGGTTCAGACACTTATTCGATTGTTTCCACGGCACAAGGAAAAGGTCATGATCAAATGGGCCGGTTTCGCCTTGATCGTGCTTGATACGATTTTTGCCATCTTGGATAATTTTGTTTCGCACGGCTCAGAGACACGACCACGGCTTTTCGATGATGCGATACCTGCGCTTTCCTATCTGTTTGAATTGGCACTCAACTTGCTTTACGCGGCTTGGGTGATATTTTATTCATTGTCAAAACACAGGTTCGCCTTTTTTCATCCGAAAATGCGGAACATATGTCTAGTGGCTATATTTTCCCTGAGCGCAGTTCTAATCCCCGTCGTATTTTTCATTATGGATATTTCTTCGCCGGATGTCGCCGGGTGGGGTGAATATATCAGATGGGTCGGGTCTGCGGCTGCTAGTGTCGTGGTCTGGGAATGGGTCGAAAGGATAGAAGCTCTTGAACGTGACGAACGCAAAGGTGGGATTCTAGGACGAGAAATATTCGATGGTGATGAAATGCTAGAGGTCACACCTTCACAAGAGGTCGATTGGCCTAGGTCATCGAATGCGCCCGGGAATAAAGGTGGCCGCGCCACTGGGGCTGCTTGGAGAGGCAGTACCGTCCTGAATAATAGACCTATTCGCAGAAGCAACCTTGTTTTTCAACTTGGAACCCGCAACCGGAATGACGAAACTAATGAGAGTCCAAATCAACGCGCCGCATTAGATCAGAACACATCTGCTCCTCCCCTGCCTCCACCAGCTGCAGTAACTCCGATCAGCCGAGCTGATACAACAAGTGCTGCCTCGACTGTTTATTATGTCCGCTATCATACAGTTGCTAGCCCAACTCCTCCTTTATCTGCCGCGCCAATTGAACCTCCTGAACAGTCCGGCCTCCAATACAAAGGAGAGAATATTCATAGCGGTGCGGTGGTATCTAATGAAGCACATCCTACAGCACAATATACAGCGCCGTGTAATGAATTTCTTTCGACAGCAACGTCAGGGTGGAGACGCTGGCTCCCAGCAGCTGGTTTATTTGGAGCGAGACGATCATCACCGCCACAAGAGATAGCCACTGCTCAAGAAGAAGAGGAAAATTCACGAGACAAGTACAGCGACAGTGGTTATGACAACTTCACAGAAAAGGATGTGGTACCTACGAACACGTCTTCAAGGTTCCAACATGCCTTGTCTTCACTCCGATTTGGCGAATTGCAGCACAGATTTGGTGCACGATCCCCTAGGCCCTTGACAGTAACTGTGATTCCGTCCCGCGATCTCGCTCAGCAACCGTGGTCACCTCAACCAAACGAGGCTGAGTCGTCCAACCCTCAGACAGGTTCGCATGGTCTCCCAACTACCGTAATTCCAGCACAAGGACAACGCACACCAGCATGGCCCTCGCCTTCAGATGCTTTAAATGGACTAGGAGATAACGGTCGGCTCGAGTATGACCCGGAGACGGCTGCTCTAGTAGGCGTCGACTCGAATGATATCACGCAATCAACGACGTCTGAGTCCACGGAGTCCTCGGCAAGTGATGCATCAGATCCGCCTGACCAAAGGACAAATCACCCCGTGCAAGAGCGTCAGCAGCTGCACAGATCACCTTTTGAAAGTCATGCAATACCCGGAGGACAGCATATGTCTCAACAGACGGCGCAACATGACTATGACGATGGCGATGTAGAAGCCGGACGTGGTCGCCGGCGCCGATGATTCCTCGTTTCTCTCGTTCCGCTCTTTCTTAAATTTGTTCTGTTTATTATGATTTTTTATATACCTATCAATTTGTATCAGCGAGGCGTTCAACTGGTCGGCTCAGTCAGGGTAGTTCATCGGGCTCCTATGATATATGGTAGAATTCTGCCGAAACATTTACTTCTGCTCCATAAATAATGAACACTGCTTCAACCATGGATAATGCTTCTCATCGAACATAAACAAAGTACAACAAGGTGACAACATCATAGTAGGTTAATTAAGGGGGAAAATCCATACCTAGGTGACTATATAAGATTCAGTTTTAACAGCCAACATGCTGTAAATTGAAAAGTTATAGAAAATTTTAGAGACATTGAGAACATCCAAAGACCTTGGTTCGCTTGTTCTCGGTCTTGTACGACTTTTTTCCAGTACAAGTGAAAGTGGACATCATAAGCCATAGTCGTGGAATACATGCGATTATTGAACACAATAAATTAGATTCTCTAAGTACTGACCTAGAATAGCACGTATTAAACATCAATGAGATATTGAAGATTGACTGTCATATTTAGAACACTTGAAATGAGACTAATAAGTCTTTCGTTTGGTGTTTCGAGGTCATTCAACATTTGAACTGTAATGGCACATAACGGTCTGGAGAGTATCGTCAACTTCGCAAGCTATACTGGCGATAGGAACTCCCAGTTTCTACTAGAGATGCTACTTTGGTAGCTTGCGCTTAGCTAGTCAGTCGGATAAGATCTTCTAACTAGATTGGACGCGGTTTTCTTTTCAGTTTGTTAAAGTATCGCCCATGCAAGGCCATCTGGAGTCAGAGATAGCCTTCCTTCCTTGGTGGCTGTGTTCTACCCAGTCCTTACAAAGTCTCAAAGCACGTCGGGCTAACTGCCGGACACTCTCCGGCCGAAAATCCCGGGCTGTCCTTGAAGTTGGCCGTTAAGGCCTGAACTCAAAGAGAGTTTCCTACTAAAAGTGAAGTCAGAGGCATGACTCTGCTCAAGGTCGCGGGGCTCTCAACGAGGCAGGCCTCTTCGCCGAACGCTAGGGTTGACATCTGTCTTTCCCTCCAAGCGAAGGGCGTGAATCAACTACTTTTCATCAACTTTGGAAAGTCGCTACTGTGGGTTGTTCTTTTTTTCAAGCACGTAAAGTGCTGCACTGCGTATACGTCTGCAAAGAATTTTTGGTATCGGCCGTGATTGTGGAGTTATCGCTGTTGCCAATTATGGCAGCAGGACCCTGAATCGCATACGATGATGAAGCGCTGCTGTCTGCCTGTAGATTTTGGTATGCTGTGGACCACGGTTCATCTCCTGTTAGGTCATGAAATAAATATAGTCAGCCAAAAATGAGTAGATTATGCGACACAGAGATACTTAGGCATGCCACTACTTTTTTCAAGCTAAAGGGAAAGGCAACTGCCTACCTGACAACGCATGTTGTCGAAAGGTATCGATTTGGCTTGTATACATCAAGCCTGGATGAGCGAATCCATTTGCCCCTAGTGCCAAGGAGAGGGTCATAAGGATCACTGGCATTTAAACAGGTCTTGACATGGCGACTAGGACTTTAGACTTCTCGGAAAGCATCTGATATTTTGATACTACTACGAAAGCGTTCGTTCTATTGTGAAGAGGTTGACTAGAAGGGAGATCATCTCGAGATATTTAAACCCGTACCCTTTAACTTGCTACGTTGAATCAGACACATTATATAATGGGCTAACTGGAGACTGACCTTCCGTCCTATAAACAAGTGCGGTTAAGAACGAAAGAGAATGATGCGTTTATCCAGACTTTCGAAATACCGGTGCTTCATCCGAGACTAAATCTTAACACTTCCTCTCACTAAACCAGAGCCTAGACAGCAAGATCAACCAACCTTTTCTTGGCTATCCAACGGCGACCCGGGGCCCGGGACTTGGGCCGAGTGGCTGGKGATGTAAAGTCTTGTATGGGTCTCCTTAGGCTGGCCAAAACCCCGGCCCGCCACATACCCCATGACCTGAGATCAAGCTTCTACTTGCTGTGAAAGGCACGCTGTTGCATACCAGGTATATGCTGATAGCTATTACTGGGCCTTATGCCGACAGCATGCTCTATCAGTAGATCAGCCAACCATAATGCTATATGAACTGGCTGGTCGCTGCCTGTCTGCCTCGTAGCGACTTCTCAGTTCAATCCCTCAACTCACATGCTGAGCCTCGAACATGGTCAACCTTCTTCGATACTTGGTTGTCGTGGCAGCTTGCTGTCCCGCGGGAGTGTGGACTCTGAAGAACCCCATAATCAGCGGATGGAACCCTGACCCGGCCGTCATTCGGGTGGGCAGCGAATATTTCATTGCAACATCTTCCATGGAGTATTTCCCTGGAATCCCGATTTACAAGTCCAAGAATCTAGCTGACTGGGAGCTATACTCCCATGCGTTGACGAGAACCTCCCAAGTGCAGCTATGGGGAGTCCCAACCGGCGCCGGTGCGTGGGCGCCGTCGATCTCTTACATCAACGGCCGTTTCTATCTTGCCACGATGACTCGCTGGACCTACGATCCTGTCGCCCGCGTTTGGCCTCGCGTCATGTGGATCAGTTCTCCCGACTTGACGGAGTGGAGTGATCCAACCTGGGGCGATCCGTGGGGCATTGATCCTTCTCTATTCCAAGACCCCTTGACCAACAAGACCTATCTCAACCTGATGTCGCCTAACAACAACGGTGATCGTCTGTGGGGAATTTACCAGTGTGAGGTAGACCTGCAAACTGGCCGTTGTATTGGACCGTACCTGGGCCTCTGGAACGGAACCCTCCCTCACAACTCCACGGCCCGTCCGGAGGGACCGAAGATATTTCATCGCAACGGTTACTACTATCTCCTCATCGCGGAAGGTGGCACGGACGATCTGCATCGATCAAGCATTGCACGATCAGCATCACCGTCCGGCCCATTCACCCCGGGTCCGAACAACCCGGTGTTGTTTAACGGGGCCTGGGGTTACGACAATTTGACCGTTCAGTCGACAGGTCATGCCACTATGTTCACCACGGAGTCTGGAGACTGGTACGCTGCCTTCCTTGCTCGCCGTAAGATCAATGGGACCTCGGTGCTTGGCCGAGAAACATTTATGACCACCGTGACGTGGGATTCAGACTGGCCCGTTTTCAACAATGGAAAACCAATTCTGTTGAGCGAGAACATTGGGAATCTACCAGACGCCAAGAAGACGAAATCTTTTGTCGACAAGTTCGACAGATCATTGTTGGACCCGTCATGGTACCAGCTCCGTGATAAGTACACTCAGAACTACCATCTTGACGATGACGGACTTGTGCTCCATCCCAACGTGTTCGGACTGAGTGATCGAGACAGCCCGGCCGCTCTGCTGCGGAAACAGAAATCTCTCAACATGACATTTTCGGCACGTCTTCGTGACTTCGAGCCATCCCTGGGTCCTCTACAAAGCGTCGGGGTGAGCGTGTACCTGAGCGAATTTGAGCACCAAGATCTGGTGGTGCGAGGCTGTGTCAACACCACCGGCAACTGCCTGTATACAACCATCATCACAAACACAACCTCCACGGTAATGTCCCCCTATCCTATATTATAGCGTTGCTATTCGCTTTCATAATGCTAATACAGAGATTCGCGAGCGCTATAGATAACTGCCTTCCCGCTCAATTCTACCTTACCGGGAGATATCACAATGCATATTCGGGCGTCGCCGCTCAAGTATGAGCTGGGCTACAGCACCGTTTCCTACCCGGAGCCGACGTGGCTCGCATCAGTTGCTTCATCATGGCTAGGCTTTGCACCTGCAAACTATTTTGTGTTTTCTGGACCATCGTTCGCACTGTTTGCCAGCGGTGGTGGAAATCCTTGGCCGTTCGACGCGCCGGATGTGGGCTTTTCCGAGGTTAGGGAAGAGTTCTATGAGGAGAACATCCCAGATTATGATGTGTGGTAGATGCACAGAGTTTTCATGTGAAGACCCATCTAATGAGGTGGAAATTTTTAGAAATACTTAATTTTGGTCACAACGAAATGCTATTCACGCATCTGGGAATGATAGTTTGGTAATCTTAAACACTATCGGGATCGTGGCACCTTCTACGTAGGCCCGCCGCGCAGACATCTATTCTTCGATGTGATAGATACTACGTAAATAGGCTCCCCATCCATCGTAGAGGTATCAAAATTAATATTTAGTCAAGGAGTTGTGTCCGTGCTCATTATCAATGTCCAGAGAGGAGATGAAGTCCTTGTTACCACAGCGAGAGTTATCTTTTTCTAGTCCCATCAGCTGACCAAATATGAATGCTACAAGTTTCTTCTCAGAAGTAAAGCACTAGCAGACCCGTCGCTTTCTGTCCTGTAAAGTCTGAATCACTTGCATTCTAATCGATTGAAAGATCTAAATTTAAGCTCTTACTGGACCATACATATGCTACGTGTTCATTAGACTCCAATCTATTCAAAATGCAAAGATCTCCCTCTCAAGCAGCGTTGGAACTCCTACGTTGAGTCGCAAATGGCCCGCTAGGCATTCTCGTAATCTTGTAGGCTATCTTCCACAAGGCGTTGTACAACGTACAAATTGTATTCCTTTTTTGTGGGATTACTATTACTTAGGAAAACAATATCCATAGCGTACATATAAGTGATAGTATGCCATTCTCATCTGATATAGACTCTATAGTGACACAAGCTGCGACGGTGCCAATAGTCACTGCTATATCTGGGTATACAAGGGCTCTGTTCAACACAGATACAACTGAGGTACTACTCTGTACACTGTGGATGTAGAATATCATTCGAATCTGTATTTTGCATGCCCAATACTATCTAGAATCACCTGATGAATTTCGTTACTCCCTGGACCTGTGAGGATATACAATCTCGGACTAATGGAACTGACATGGTGATAGAGAATACCAGACTTAAAGAGCCATCTTTCAGCAATGGTGAGCTCGTGTCAAGATCAACTCTGACTACATACCTAGGTACTTAGCTATCTTCAGAGTTCCTCTGCATAATATCAAATTCAGAAACACAGCAACTGACAGAATAATCGAGTTTATTGCTTATCTTGAGTATAACTCACAATGGCCCGAGTCTCTATTATCTCTTTCATTGTCTGTGGTGAGTTGTATATCCGGAAATGCGGGAATGAGATATACGACTAACGTTGTGATAGTCATTCTCCTGGTTCTCCATGGACAGGTAAAGGCTAGCCCATTTAATGGGTCAATGCTCAAAAATTATACAGATGGTGGTCTTCGGGTTGATGTAAGTAGCAACAGATACAGCATCAAGGCTTATGCTGACGAGAAAAATGCAGATTTGGGAACGTTGGGACCAGTCGAAATGTGCAAGTCTATCTTGTCCAGGCAAACATGTTTACCATCTACCTATACAGAATAGGCCCAGACAGTTACTGACACATGTGTGAAAGTCTGAGTCCGATTTCGATTGCTGTAACCCTCAATGTGTCAACCCAGAGTCACATACAAATTCCGGTTTCGATTGCTGTGATGACCAATGTGTTGACCTACAATCAGACCCGGACAATTGTGGTGCATGTTTTGTAAAGGTATGTGATATACGGTCCCGATCTCATGGCCTATACATATGGATCGATTTAACTTGGTTCTCGTACTCAGTGTTGTGATCCCACGCCATTCTGTATAGATGGAGAGTGCTCGTCCTGCCCAACCCAATGTCCATTGCCAACCAGCACAATTACCACTACAACGACCACCACCTCGTTAAGCACTACGACCACCACCTTACTAACCACTACAACAACAACATCACTGAGCACTACGACTACCACCTCACGAACCACTACAACAACAACTTCATTGAGCACTACAACTACGACCTCGGAGACCACTACAACCACCACCTCACCAACCACCACAACAACAACCACTACCTCGCCAACCACGACGACAACCACATCAGAAACCACTACAACAACAACCTCATTAAGCACGACAACAACAACCACCATCTCCCCAACCACTGAGACAAGTACAACAACCACTACAACCACCTCACCAACGACAACGACAACGACAACCACCGTAACCTGCAGCCCCTCGGTCTCCTATTCCTCCACTACCACGCCGAACCCCTGCGCTCCCACAGTTACCTCTACTCCTGATAGTCTTCCTTACGTCGTCTACTTCTCGGGTCAGGGTGTAGAGGAAAATACAAACAACCCGGGCAACAACAACCCCAGCACTCCACCGATCATCAGCTCATTGTCTAATGCTGAGAATGATCCGTGCGGCGCTATTCAAGCATGTGCCAACCTGGCTGCAGCTGCTGCACCTTATCCAGATGCCTATTGGTCCTTCGACGTCCATTTCCTACAATCGATCTGTCAGTGGCAATGCGTGCAGTACTGGGAATTTAATTTTGATCCCTCCTATTTCAACGTCCTTAATCCGGATGTTAGCCAGGTGTATGGCTATTACTTTCTTCCATAGTTTGTTTGCTGTTCCATTTCTTTTCTTTCATGCTCACATCTTTGTACATTCAAAGACTCATTATTTGGCTTTCTTTGGTTTTACACGGTCCCCGAACACGAAGCAGAGATTGGTGTAAGGCTGATCAAATATAAACCTACAAGGTTTGAGCTGATCAATATGGTAAAATAACTTCAGATTGATAACTGATTCTCAAGACGATCTAACAGGGAAGACATGCCATACTTATAACCACGTAAAGTGTAAAGATTCGATTCCGTGAAGGAGCCGAGAGGGTAAGATCAATAGATCGGATGTGGGATTTTGTTACAGAACGCTTGTAGTAACGACTTCTTCATGGGGTCTGGGACAGTACTTGAATCGATGTTGTCCATTCATAAGATGAAGGTGAAGTTGATGCAGTGATATTGTTGTTCGAGCTAGTCCTAAATTGGTCTAACGCACGCGGCAAGTGCCGGAGAAGAAGAGGCTGAACAGCCACCAAATTAAGGCATCCCGAATGAACAATTTCGAAAACGATCGACCAACGTTCACACGCCAACCTCCCGCTCTCCCTCCGATATACGAGTCAATGTCCGTGGTATCGCCTTATATGCACAGCCCATCATGGCGGCTGTCAACAGCAATATGTTTGAAATCAGCGTGCGTCCAGACCAACAGAATGGAGCAGGCGGCGCGCAAATCATAACCTTACCGCTGAACCTGATTGCGCATATAGTTTCATGGGTATGTGTTGTTCCAGTGAGCTTCGGTGACTGATCTAGTCCGGACGGTCTCACATGGTAAATAGATTGAGGATCCAGGCGATCTTGCCCGCATGTGTCGCACCTGCCGCCTGCTGCACTACATGGCCATCCCGCATCTCTATCGCAACATCTCCCTTACATCGTACGACCGTATTCGATATCGCGACGAGCTGCCGGAGGGGTGGGGCAATGCAAGTCCATTCTCCATGGGACTCAACACGTTGGTTACTAGAGCTCATGCATCGCTCGTGCAATCCATGACTTTGCGCGGCGAGTGGAACGAGCCGGAATTAGAAGAACTCTCCAGAGTTGGCCGCGTGCCGGACTCTTCAATGATGTTAAATATATCGGTGAGGGCGGCGCTTGATCGCACCAAGAATATCGAGAGCTTCAGGTAAGTCGGTCCCGATTGATGGGGATAGGGTTCTACTTAGCTAACCACCATTTCCTTCAGCTGGGAACTCAATACGAAGTTAATGGAGACGGTATATCTGGGCCTCCCTAAGCTACCAAAACTCACGTCCTTGTCCATACGATTTCCATCAAGCAGACATCCGCGTCCGATATGTGTGGTTCCCGCTATGCCTCATTTGCGCAAACTCAAAGTGACGGACATAGATCCTCTGTGCTATCCCGACGATATCTCAACTTTGCTATATAAAAGTCCCCATCTTGAGGATTTGAAAATGCATTGGTCGCCCCGCATGCGTGAGAGTCAAGAACCCAGCGTTGTCGTTCACGATTACTTCCGTCATTGCATTAGAAATAAAGCTCCACTGAAGCTGAAAAAAATTGCATTTCACAATTTATTCTCACGGCATACGAACGAATGGCAGGAAGCGTCTGACGACTCCGTACTCGAAGAAATGACTTTCCTAAACGGTTATAGCGAGGATTCGCCATCTCATCACACATTTGTCGACAAGACGTGGACAACAGCCCGTATGGAAATTTCGAAAATGTTGAAACTGAAGCTTATCAGGCACGATGTCGTCTCAAAAGAGCTTTGCGAGTATCTAAATTGTTTTAGGGGTTTAGAGAAGTTATACTGCGTCAATGCTACTCGCTCCATAGGATCGAGGCCAAGTATGCGGCCGTTGGGAAACAATTCCAATACGCACTCATACCTTGTCGGTACCGGAATTGGTGCCAATGGTACCTTCCCTTCTATTTCCGGAAATGGCTCCATAACTTCTCCGTCTTCMCCTCGATCTCCCGCCTCTAATGCGGCCCAGCACTTACAGCTCCGGGATTTCTACTTGAACTCCGTCATGACAAATCATGGTGCCACCTTGCGACATCTTATCCTACCTTCGCGCTGGCCGCTGTCAAGCAACACCCTTGCGCGGCTGGTTCATGTCTGCCCCAACTTGGAGCAGGTCGCATTTGCCCTAGAAGTCTCAACAATGGATGCGTTCGGTTTACTCATTCCATTTCTCCGGAAACTGCAAGCAATGCGAATACTGATTCCATCCACCGAAAAGTTCGGACAGGAACAGGCTAATACACAAACCAATTCGGATTCTCCTATTCCAACATTTTCTAGTATGTACGAAATGGTTGGCCTAGACGATGATATTCACACCGAGAAGATTAGCGCAGTGACAGCGGACAGAGAACGGGCTCGTTCACTCAAGGTCATTGGAATGGGCTGGAAGGCATGGGAACTTGGCGATTTCTATTATATTTCCGCCTCTGGCGATACACCGACTGCATCTGAGACGGAATATCATTATCCAGTAGACGAAGCGGGACCTGTGATCAATATTCCGAGCGGTCGAGGGTCTCCAGCTTCAGGTCTCCCCATCACCGAATCAGCCAGAAATAGTCAGCCAAACCATGCTACTACACGTACATCTACTCCATACGTGACGAAAACACCAAAGTCGTCACTAGGTAAACACGCCCGTGACGAGGCGTCTCCCCCATTAGGCTCTTCGACCAAACCTTCACTGGTTGTGGACTCGGACAACTGGTACGATACTCTTCCTACGGGAGAAAAGATTATCTGGAGACGTCGTGTGCGTCCAGTTGGCTGGGAAGTTCTCAAAAACTGGGAGATATGGGCTCTAGATTCACAAGACGTCTGAGAGTAATGGTTTCGCCACGCAGCTACATACTACTGTACGGTAGATGAAGCTGTTTGATATGATAGCTACGAAAAGACAGTGGCTCGACCATCAAGGACACTCGAATTCGCCACACTCCAGTTGGTTGTATCATAACCACGAAGTCGCGTATGGCCCCGCCCGCCGGCGAAGGAAGATGTGACAGTGAAACTCATCGGCCTGAGTACAAGTATTATTATGGAGGAGAGTTCGATAATCCTTGAGTCACTGTCATATATACCGGCAGCATGCAGATCAATAAGAGGTGGGATATTCAGGCTCATTATATTACTGATGGAAAGAATCTTCTTCTTGAATTTTCCATTTTCTAGCACCACCTTGATGTCAGCAACTGCATCGTCAGTAACTGGGGATCCAAACAAGAGCCAAGGTTTATATTCCTTTTATAGGTATCTGAATAAAAGGCTCTCGGCGCCAGTGCCTCAAAGAGAGTCAGGCAGAAAACTTCGCGACTCTAGAAGGGTACCCTCGAATCCGCCGATACTCCATGCCACTTTTACAAGAAGTGAATAGCACCCGATAACACATTGGACATATAATACCATTTTTTGGACATCATTTTGTATCATATACTCACATTTGAAGATCTTCATTTATATACCATAGAAACGGTGAGATATAGAATGGCCAGGGGGCAGATTTTTGCGCGTGCTACCAATTGTAAGACGAATACGGATTTTACATTAGCTTGTCATTTGATTTCGAGACGGGCTCGAAGATAAATTGAACGGCATGGCCAATCAAGCGGTCATATCATGTTTAGGATGACACATGATAGGAACTTGAAGACAAATTTGAGGCTCGATATTCGAGATTTAAGCATTGAACGCAATGGGAACCCTTTTGTAGTTGGAAAATCCATAAGTTATTTGTTTAGTGTGCAACGAACGCCTGGATATATAAAACAACGGGAATTTTGAGAACCAGTAAGCACGCCATAAGCTCATGAAATCGTAGTAAGGTAGCATTTGAATATGTACTTCAATCCATCACTCTTCAATATGAACATGATAACTTAGAAATTTCGCATCACATGAATGGATGATGCTGATGCTGATTCCTCGGTGCCGGGGTGGCATCGATACTGTCCACGCCATTGCCCGCAGAAGGACCGGTAACATTACCGTCCTTGTCAAGTTGTTCGTTGAGAAGGACTTCTAGCATGTCGAATTCCCCAAGCATGGGACCAGTACCTCCTAGACCTTGATCGACACCGGTAGCAGAGCTATTGAAGAATTGATCCAAAGGTAACGCAAACCAATCTGGAAGACCGCCTTCGTGGACAGATTGGGCAATCGAGTTGGAGTCGTCGAGCTTTGGAGGGGAAGGGCCATTGGCACCGTAGTAGTTATAGTATACTGAGGGAGGAGGGGGCATGAATGATACGCCGATATTGGATGAATTAATAGGCTGAGCTGGAATGCCGGCCAAGGGATCATGATGGCTTCCGATGGGTTGCTGCGGCTGTGATTCACCTGTATGTTGACTGAATTGATACCCAATTTTATGATTATTATGGGTAGGTGTCGGGATCTGATGTTGCCAGTGTGCACCCGAGTCTCTGCGTGAAGAGTTATTGTCCTTTGCCGGTCGAGGCGAAGCTACCCGTGAGCTTGGCTGAGAGCTCCGTTCGTGGCTTTCGCTATCAGCACCTCGATCCGTTGGCGCAAATCTTAGGAATCTTGTACGAATATTTKCTGTCAAAAGCTCTAATAATCGTGATATGGTGTTGCTGAGGTGAACGTCATCAACCACGCAGGTCCGGAGGGCTTCTATTGTTCGATCTTGCAGGTCTAATGATACACGGACGTCATCTTCCGTGGCACCAAGTGTGAAGGTCTGCATACATGTATTCGTCAGTAAAGCTTTTTTTATAAAATGCCTATGCAATACATACCTTGAGGATAAAAATCATTGCCGAAAGTATCCTAAAAAATGTCCGTACGGGGCAATGCTTTAATTGATCGTCTGGGACGAGACAGTCCAAGACAATGTGGAGTATCTTTCGCGAAGCATCGACTACCTCCTGGATGTATTTTTCATTGACTCGATAGATCTCCATGAGCACGCGAAGAGAGCTCGCCGCTGATGATTTACTGGAAGGTTCATTGTTGATGGTAGTCCATCGTTCCACCACTGCTTGCAATGCGAGACAATTGACGTAGATGCCTAAACCATCATTAGGTTCGACGAATTTGAGAGACAGCCTGAAATATAGAGACTCACGAGTATATTCATATTCAATGGTAAGAATATTCTGCATTTGAGGAGACACTGCTCTTCGTTAGTTTTGACTGTAATCGATTACTTGGTCTTTACTCACAAGCAACGCTATCATAATAAGCCCTGAATTTTTGGAGATGCGGGAGAAATTCGGCAATTTGTTGCTTGTAACGCCCAGTTTTGATGAGTTCCGATGTGTATTCCTTGGACGGGAAAAGATCCGTATTGCTCAACGACATGATTTTGGATATTTGCACCCAGAGATCTTGCATTCGGTCAATTGTAACCTCTGCCTCCGAAGCATCAGCAGGCGTAGTGGGTTCAATATCATCACTCCACCTATCAAGCGGCAACATTGATGGTATACCAAGTCTCCCGCTTCCTTGTGTGATGTACACAATGATGAGCCGTCGAACCCGTCGCTTGCGCACTTGTTCAGCAACAGACTCTAGAGCACTAGGTGCTTTTTGATCAAAGACACCAAGTTCGAATGCCAGGGCTTGTGCAGTACTCAGTAACATCCACGACATACGATCTGATCGCCATGTAGGTTCTAGCCATTTCTGAAAAGCAAAACGTCCTTCGACACCACTGCCATTCAGACCTCGGCTGTCAGTATCCCCGTCATTGCGAGAAGGTAAGAGCGCATCTGCATCTAGCAAAGTGTTCTCATCGTCACCTGGAGGGAAGTGTAGATTACGTGGATGCCATTCTGTTAAAATCAAAAGTGCCTCTACGGTGCCCAAAGATCGAAGATGTCCACGCAGCGATGCTTGACCTTGGGCCGGTAGCGGAATGTCGAGAGATCGCGGTGTGCCCATCCCAACTGAGTTTCCAGTGAACTTCTCTTGGCCCCAGAAAAGACGCTCGATCATACCGCGAAGGTAAGCCCAGAGCCTGTCATGTATGTAGTAGCCTCGAGTGTGAGCCCCGTCACCTTTTGGCTTCATATGGCGTGAGGCTGTCGTCAGCATTGTCACTGCTAATACAGGCTCATCTGTGAGCAATGTACGGTGAGTAGAAGGAGGAGAAAAATCCGGAATGACAATTGGACTTAGTGGCGCGAGATGCTTATAGTAGCTGCGAAATTGTTAGCAACTTAATACAATGATGCAAAGATGAACACACTAGGCAATATAAGCCATGGCCTCTTCGACGCTGAGCCATCCGGCCCGAACGAATCGAAGACGCGACCAAGCCTTGACGGCATCCAGATAGCCAGGGTCGTTGTATGTCTCAAAGTTCTGCTTCCGATAGTCAGCGCTGGTGTCGCTATACCCATCTGCTGACATTTGATTTGACCGTTTCGGGTACGGGTGGTGTGGGTTTCTAGGCATCGTGGAAGAGGCTGCCGACATATGAGCGGCGTAGGAGCCTCCCGACTGTCGTGCTTTATTCTCGAGCCTTTGGCGGTTGAGATCTTCTGTCCGCCCAGCAGCTTCTGACAGTAGATGAAGCGCATCGTGGCTGTTACTTATGGTCGGAAACAGTAAATCTGCAGCGGTCTTATTCATGACATGTTGTCTTATTTCCGATCCTGGTAGTCCTCGGCTGTGTTGTGACGGATACGCACTGGATTGTATGCTCCTTCCGTCATGATAGTGGTTTGCCGAGACAGGACTAGGCTGGTGGTGATCTTTCTGGACGACAGGCGATGCTTGTGGAACGGTGTGAGGCGAGTTCTCTGGCCAAGTATATTTGTGTAGATTCCCATTGTCAAAAGGTGCCGGTGCCGGCGGGCCGAACGAGGGTTCTCTCTTGCCGTTGCTGCCTACACTTGATGATGACTCGCCATATAGCACTTCCCCTACCATCATACGTTTGTCGCGTCGCAAGGGGGGTTCTTGCTCCGGTTCGGCGGCATCTGAGGTCTTGCGCTTTCTCCTGGTCGCGGAGAATTCGCAGCGCTTACTTTCACGGCGGCATCTTACACATGGCGGCGGTCGGGGGTTATCGACACCTGGTGAATTGAGCAACCATTAGAATTATCCAACAGTACTAAGAACCAATGATATAACAAGGGCTTAGACGCACTTCCTAAGTCGCACTTGACTTTTCGTTTGCGACACGGATCGCAAGCCTGATATCCCCGACGGTGTTGGGTCGGAGGGGTTTCGGAGCGCAATTCTCGATTACTGTCATCATAGGACCCATTATTCAGTGACACCGCATCCTGAGTCATACTGCCATCGTGAGTGGATTCCATTATAGCAGCAGCTGTAGTGACTCGTTAGTGGTAGTGGTGAGGGTCGCCTTCTTTCGGGAAGTGGGCGTGGGCGAGCAGGACATCCCGATGCAAAGCGAGCCTGACTAAGCAGGTGCCTCGCAGCGGGGCAGTCCACGTGCTCTGTGGGTCTTCTTTACTATGTACGTACAATAAAGAAAGAATTGTGAAGCTAGTATCTCATTTTATGCATTTATATACAGCTATGGCGAGTCTTCCAATGACTAGACAGCATTTCTCACATCCTTATTTCCAGGGTCGACTTGTTTCAGAAGAGCCTGCTTCGAGTACAATGCTTGACTCTTATTGACATTGTTGTTCGGTAGCGTCGTTCGAGGTTGCAGTTCCGAAGGCATTCGAGCTTCGCTACTAGCAAAACTATCCTGACTATTTTGCCTAGACATCACCGGTGTGCCGCGGCCAAGAAGAAGACCTCGAACACCTCCTGCTTTCCGGGCAGGCAGCTCGTTCGTTCGAGCCGTCAAGACGTAGAGGAGGTATTTGAGATTCGGTAGTGTATGCCGAATATCGAGGACCCGGAGACCAAAGCGGTTCATCAGGACCTCAATATCCTTATTCAACAAAAACACGCCATACTCAAACCGATACTGAACATTGACCGGGTACAACGGAAATGTACGGCGTGAAAGTCCTGAGGATACTGGGTCCTGGATAAAGGTGCTCGACATGTAGGGCTTGATAGGATAAGGTAGAGGAACTGAAAGGTAAAATGAGAGTAGATAAACGAGATGACCGGTATAGCCGAGAGCTGCTGCTACCAGCTCCCTGTCAATATCATCAAATTTAGAGTTGGGTAGATGTATTCCAGCAATAGTAAAGGCCAACGCTTTGTCGGAGAGGGGCTCAATGGGATATATTGCCAGCAGGTCCTCGCATATACGCCGAATCTGGCCCTTGGTATCTTCTTGATTATGCTCCAGCAAAGCCGTGCTTGTTGTCAATTTCAGCTGAGCATCCGACAAGTGAGTCCGCGTCTTGTTCTGATGTTCACGGGCCGAGATCATAGATTCCCTTCGTGCGTTGATGCTAGCGATCAGCTCGTCCTTTCGTTTGGCACTCAAGCGAACTTGCTTTTTCTCATTGGCAATGCTTCTCTTAATCAAGGCCGCCTTTTCTTTAGCCTGGGATACCTGGTTGAGTGACTCAAGGCTTTTCTCGTGTTTCTTCAGTAGAACATTAATCTGAGATTCAAGCTTTTCCCTTGTTGCCAATGCATCCTGTATGCAGTCGTCTAGATTCGCCAATCGCATTAATGCATCGTACGAAGAGGTGCTTTGAGGCGCAATTTGAGTGGCCTCATTTGCGACAGTTGTAAGGCTAGTCTGAGTTGGCGGCAAGTCGGTGAGATTTGTGAATATGCCGTCCGCGAAATGGAACAAAACGCAATTCGGAGGAAGTGGCTGATGAAAAGTCTCTAATGATTTACCAACGAATTGTAGAGACCTAAAACTCAAACGAAGCTCGAGAAGTAGTGTGTACTCATCCATGCTTTCTGATTTGACCCATAATTTGACGGTCAATTTATCCAATCTAGAGACATGAGGCCCACACACGTTGAGGTCAAGCACGCGAAAGTCCGGGTTTGTCGTTCTCTCGACGACTTCACTAATGTAGACAGGGCCGTCAATTCCATCGCAGTGAATGGAAAACCAGACATCCGCCATCCTACTGCGTGCGATGCTCTCTAATTTTGTTTGTCGACTTTCCAGGTTCCCTCCACTCCATGGCAGAGTGCTCCGTCGGCGAATACGTCCCGATTCTTGTATTTGTTTATTACGTTGGTCCTGGTCACGGTCCAAGGGCTGCACCCTAGGAGTTATTGATTTGAGATCCGTGTATGAGCGAGACTGGGTCACGGTTCGATTTTGCGCCTGACTGGCAAGCTTGACCGGTGTTTTCAGAGTGTAGGGGATATCATCGTCATCGATCGTCTTACCGCGAGCTCGGGTGGGAGGACTGATGGATAGATTCCGAATTGATAAACCTTGTAGATGGCGTAATTTCCGGTTCTTCGTAATAGAGTGAGGCGTAAGCTATAGTCTTCTGCGTATATTTGTCCATTGTTAATAGCTTACCACGGAGAAGAGCAACGGTCGCTCGCGACGACTGTTGTCATTAGAGTCGGACATGGCCGCCTGTAGGTGCTTGATACGGTGTAATCCAGCGCATTGGTCATCGTCTTTTCAATAACGTATTCGTGTTCATGGTTGATCGAAAGTTGCCTTGATTGTATAAGAATGTTGATACCTGGAGGTTGACGGTGCGGAGAGTGACGCACGGTAAATGGCTGGTGGATACCTAAGCTCCCGAACCCCGTGCCTGCCCTCTACCATTAACGTCAACTTGTCCTTGAACACTCGACTTTGGCTCATCATTCGATGATCATCAGAATGGAAATGACCTCCGACAGTACAATCACGATGATATTCATGACTGTTTCGTCGTTTTGTCCTTCTTTGCCCGCGCATATAAACTTGAGAACTCAGTAGAGTTTTAGGCAAATGAACCACAGGCACATTCATTGCTGAACAACTTTCCAATTGAGAAAATCTACAAAGTGCGGCAGCCTTCAGTATGAGAGTAGCAAAGGCTTGTAGCAATTGCAGAGCTGCAAAGCGAAGATGCACAACAGCCGAGGTAGATAGCCGACAATGTCTCCAGTGTCTCCAGCGAAACCAGTCATGTTCGTTAGCAGCAATAAAGAATCCCAAGAAGGATGACAAGCCCATATCAATTGTGCCTCATACTTCTGCTTCTTTCGGTAAGGGGCTACTCGAGTTTCCTTTGGTCGATATGCAAACTCGCGAACACCTTGTGGATTTGTATCTACAGCTTATCCATGACAAGCCGCATACACTATTTCMCCCGCCTACACTGAGGGCACAGGTACGCGAAGACACAGTTCCCAAAGTTATATTGTTCGGTATTATGTCACTAGCTGCACGGTATGCCTCTAATAATGCCAAGTCATTATTAAAGCTAATATGAATCCAGATTTTCAGATGATTCATCCACAAAACAGAGAGCAAAAGAGTTTTTTAGCATTGCGAAGGATTCATTCAAGATGGACCTTTTCAATCTGAGTTTAGAAAACGTCCAGGCCGCTGTGCTAGTAGGCAATCTTTCCGGAGTGGAAGGGGAGCCAGAGCTAGAATCGTTATTCTTCGGTAACCGGGACCTAAGTAGAGACGGGACTACTTGCGCCATGCTAACATAAGATTGTACTTAGGAATTGCATTCCGACTCGCTCAGATTGTTCGCCTCCCTACGCCAGATCCAAATGATGGGGCTGTCTCAAGGGAAGTGAAGCTTCGTACATGGTGGACGCTCTACATGATCGACCGATGGTCCTCTGCTGGACTAGCAGTGCCTCAGCAATTGCCTGATGATGATCATTTCCATCACCTACCCATGTCAGAAGTCAAGTTCTGGCACTTAAAGCCAGACGACCCAGAAAGCGAGGAGAATTATTTAAGTGAAAGCCATGGTCTTTGGGGTTATATGGTCCTGCTGGCTAGGATATTCGGCCACATTCAAAACCTACATAAAAACTTGGCTGATGGAGCACTCAATGACATGGAAGCAGAGCAGAGAACGCGGTATCTTGCTCATGAATTAGAGAGATTCATTGACCTCTTGCCTTTGGACATCCATTTTTCTGTGGAAAACCTCAGGAACCATGCAGCTCTCGGCCTAGGACGTGCTTTTGTCGCTCTTCACTTGGGCTACCACCACTACGCAACTCTATTGTATTTTCCGTATCTCGATCACCAACAAAGAGAGACGCCGAACCGAGCAATGTATTCAAGTCGCTGCAAACATCATGCCGTACAGTTTAGTGATATACTCCGACTGTCTCATGAGATCAAAGAGTGCGAAGCCTTATACTTTATTGTTGGACATATGACAGTTGTCTCATCTGCGGCATTGATTCACACCCTACTATTTGGCCAACAGGAGGAGTTGCCGCAAACACGATCAAGATTGTGCGACAACTTTACCATTCTTTTGAAATTGAGAGAATATTGGCCGGCTGTTGAGTTGATGGTCAGTATCTTTTCAACATCTATTCCGAAGGGTTATTGCTGATAGAAATATCTTAGATTGAGAGGCTCTTCATTTTTCAAAAAGTCTGTCTGTGGTCTACGGAGAAGATTTACACAGTGGACAAATGGGTTGTCAAATTTCTACTTCAGCACGCCCTTCCCATAGAAGAGTTTTCCGCCATGCCTCCTCTCTCGGAACGAGGCAAGTTTGCCAACGATACACTATCCATTCTTCGAAGACCAAGTATGTTCTCATAATGGTCAATCTGTGGTAATCTTTCCCATGTGATTTAGTTCCTGGTCCTTCTTGTTGGAGAACTCCAGATCAGTATCACGGGCAGCATGACCATCAAATAGTGCTGCAATCTCCTCTAGAGTAGGGCCCTTCGTTTCCACAAACAAGAACCAGACACAGAAGCATTCAACAACGAGAATAGCGATATATATAAAATAGTATTTCCATTGCAAGTGCGCCAGGCCAATTGGGTTGACATACTGATTGAATACTGAAGAGGTTGCCGTCAGAGCGAAGCAGATAGCTAGTCCTTTTGCTCGAATCCTGAAGGGGAGTATTTCGGCGCAGTACGCGACGGTTAGACCTGGCCATGCGAAGCCAGCTACACCGTAAAAGAGGAAGATCATTGCAATGACAGCGCTGCCGGCAGCAGAATTTCCAGTTTGTGCGTAAACGGCGGAACAACTGTATATGTCAGACCCTTCCTGATATGAGTTAAAGAGAAGTTTGTCTTACCCAGTCCAGATACTAAAAGTGACCAACATGCCCACGGCAGCGATCATGAACAGCGTTCGTCGACCCAAAAAGTCAACCAAGAATGACGAAAACCCAATAGCAACAAGGAAAGACCAGATCTGGAGACCGCCATTGATCAATGACTGGTCGTAGGACGACGTGATTCCGACAGAGTTCAGGATATCATGAAGATAGTACGACACGAGTCCGTTTCCGGAGCATTGAGAGAAGAATGAAACCAATGCAATGAGAAGCAATCTCTTGCGATTACCTCTGGTCTGAAATAAAACTTGCCATCCATCGGATGAGCTTTCTTTTTCCTGTCTGATGGTCTCCTGGATCTCGTGGAATTCCCATTCAATGAAGGAGTCCGCCACGGGGCCATTGCCATGATACTAAGCTCGTTAGTTTCTTTCAAGACTTACAATATATCGGAAAATCATTTACCTTTTGCAAAATTTTCAATGCCTCGTCACCACGATCCTTGGCACAAAGCCAACGAGGACTTTCAGGCAGCAGCCATATACCGACAAATTGCATGAATGGCATGACAGCTTGCACACCAACGGGGATCCTCCACGAGGCATCTGATGTGTAATTAAGTGTCCCAAAGACCGTCCATGCCGCAACAATCGACCCCAGATACCATAGAGTATTGTACATGGTCGTTAGTGTACCTCGGTGTTGGGGGTAGGCCAGTTCAGTGATCAAAAGGGGCGCGGAGCCTTGTGCGATATTCGACCTAATGATTGCTCCATTAGCATACGGTGGTTCATGAACAACCAGTGCGTCGAAGATACGAACCCGAGACCAACCAAAAATCTACCGGCGATGAACATTGACGAGTTCACAGAGGGCACGACCTGTATGATAGTCCCAACGAATAAAATCACGAGACCGATTGTAACACCCATTCGACGTCCAAGCATATCAGCGGCATAAGATGCTGGCATGAAAAATGATTAGCTCTTCTCAAGATGGTATAATCTCCAGGCGTATCATGATCAAATACTCACAGAAAAGAAGAGCACAGATGCCACCTATATTCTGAATTGCCGTAAAAAGGCCGAGTCTTCCACTTGTGGGATTATCAAAATCTGTTTAATCGGAAATGTGATAAGCATTTAGAGATTTTCCATCATCATATGCTGCAAACACTCACAATCCTGCCAAGGAGTCATCGTTTGCAAGCCGTTGAGGAGGGAACCATCGTATCCATTGATTGTTGCGCCTATATGGAGTTCGTTAGTCTTTGTACATAAATGTGACGCATGCAAAGGCCAGGAGATCTAACCGAGGAATAGGATAGGCATCATAGCATACAGCTTCCGCAGCCCTTGATGCCTGTACCAAACGACGTGGGGGATCACTGGTGCAGCAGAGGTCTCCTGAGGTGGGTGTTCATTATGATATGACTCGGCTTTGATAGCCATAGCATCTTTTGCGATATCCATTGAGATTGAAAAGTATCAGGCGAAGAGAAGACGAAGGTGTTTGGTGAATATGCAATGAGTTACATCTCTTCTCGTCACAAAATCTGGACATCGAGGCTCTTTTTATATACTGTCACCATGGTATACACAATGCATGAAGTCGGTGATGCGAACTGTTGACTGAACTCTATAGCCAAAGCTTCCTTCCTGGATTCGTTATTTTATTTTCAGTCATGAGAACTTTTCCAAGGATGGAGCAGCACTTAGGGCTCACCGGGTTATCTGCCAATCACAATGTGTTAAAGCCGTGGCCGAGCCCTGACAATGCACCCCGCGTAAGTTTCCCCGTACATTTCTCTCCACAGATTGTATCGGCATCGGTTAAATTAATTTGAAATACGTAAGTAGGTACATTCGTCCTGATTAGCAGTAGAGGAATCGTTTTCGGGATATTACCCAACCATGTCTTGTCATTGCCGGATGTTTGGTACCCTTCATAATAGACACGCATAAACTGCACTCTTAATCTCCGCGGCTGTGGGCAGATTCAAGTCCCGGGGAAAAACCCAATAAGATTTTGTCAATGCCGGGTTCTCTCGTCTTCTGACATTCTTATCGACATGCATGCGATTCTCCACATGTTGAAAAGTAATCAAACGAGGCGAAAGAGAAGCGATATAAGACCGAAACCACCTCGCCATGGCCGATTCCCGTGAAAACAAAACTCCCAATACTGCTGAAAATAGCGTGCACCATGTCTGGCTCAACCAAATACCCCCATTTCCGCGAAACAGTGACGGGGAAACAACTCATTGTCAATGGCAGACCATTCCTGATTTTGGGCGGAGAGCTTCAAAACTCATCGCTCACATCAGCCGATTATATGGCTACAGTCTGGCAGAAAATGAAGGATACAAATTACAACACCCTTCTCGGGTGTGTATGTTGGGAAATTATTGAACCCGTGGAAGGACAATTCAATTTTGATGAGCTTGATAAGGTCATTCTTGGAGCTAGGCAACACGGTTTGCATTTGATTCTTTTATGGTTTGGCTCTTTTAAGAATGGTGAGATCTCCCCTTAAACAATGTATAATCCAGGATCTAACTGAGCGAAGGTATTTCGACGTACACTCCGGCATGGGTCAAGACCGATGTGAAACGTTTCCCTCGAGCCAAATTACGCAAAGCAGGTGGCATCCTAGAAACAAGTGAAGCGCTTTCGATATTCCACGACGAGGCACCCAAAGCCGATGCCAAAGCATTTGCGGCATTGATGAAGCATCTCCGAGAAGTTGATGGCGAGCATTCTACTGTGATCATGGTGCAGGTTGAGAATGAGACTGGCTTGCTGGGGGACTCTCGAGATGGCTCAAAAGCGGCCTCGAAAAGATTCGCAGAGCCAGTGCCACAGGATCTTATCAGCTTCCTTGCGAGTGACTGGGAAAATCTCCACGCTGACTTCAAAACGAACTTGGAGTCCTTCAAAACTGCCCAAGACTCATCTGCTAAAGAAGGCTCATGGGAAGAAGTCTTTGGAAAAGACGCACGTACTGACGAGCTTTTCATGGCCTACCACTACGCTCGTTATCTTGACCGCGTAGCCGAGGCAGGCAAGAAAGAATACCCAATCCCACTGTACACCAACGTCTGGCAAAATTACGTTGGAGATGACCGCGATGAGTCCTTCCCAGTTGTCGTCGGCGGTGGAGGTCACCCCGGTGATTACCCTTCTGGTGGAGGCACGAGTAACGTACTTGATGTCTGGCAAAAATTTGCGCCGTCTCTCGACCTGATAGCGCCAGATGTCTACTTGAACGAGTACACCAGCTCATGCAAAAAGTATCGTCACCGCAACCAACCACTCTTCATTCCTGAGCAACGTCGGGATGACTACGGAGCTCGACGTATCTGGGCGGCGTTTGGTTCATACCAGTCCCTTGGCACTTCGCCGTTTGGCGTTGATACCTTGGAGCCAGAGGAGTGTGCATTTACAAAGCACTACAGGCTACTCGACTCGGTATCCCAGATTGTCCTCGAGGCACAGCGGACTTCCCTCACTGCATCGGTCGGGTTCTTCTTCGACGAGCTGCCTGCCACCGGAGAAGATCCAGCCAGACCTATCGTTGTGAGTCACTGGCCTGGCTTCGAAATCACCATCGAGCCCTGCTTTGTGTTTGGTAAACGTAGCCCTGCCGCTGGAATGGTAATTCATCGCGGTGGCGCCAAGTTTTTGCTCATCGGATGGGGATTCCAGGTCCGCGCACGCAGTCTTTCTGCGAATAGCACATTCACCGGCATTCTTCGCTTCGAGGAAAAATACGTGGTCAACAAGGAGACTGGTCAACTTGCAACGTTAAGGGCCCTGAATGGTGATGAGACCAGAAGTGGGAAGTTTGCTATGATGCCGAGTGAGGATCCAGATTATGGTGGATTTCCTATCTGTGTGACCATTCCTGCGAGAACGATGATTGCGGAGGTTGAATTTTATGATGTAGCTGACGATGGTTGATTGATATGAGATCCTGTTGTAGAATAGCTAGCTAGTCAGATTACTGCGTGGAGCTTGGCACAGGAAGACCATCGCAATGTCAATGCAACTGAAATATATGAGTTGATGGTACTACTCGTTTTATTCAACCGGGTTTAAATGCATAGATTAGTAGGGTACCGCGTGGTAGGCGTTGCTCCATTGCATAGTGTTGGGTACCTCGCAGGTTCGGAAGACTAAAAATCTCATTCGAAGCATACTCTTATTGGCTGTAAAATAAGTCGAGACGAAGCAGATGAAGGATAGGATGCAGCAGGAGTTGGTTAGAGGGCACGGTTAGTTTAGATTTTGGTGTTCTCGGAAAGGTGCTCCGAACCTCCGGGCAACTTTCCTATCCGAAACCTTTCGACCAATGCGGACTCAACCACTGCATAGCCCAATCAGTTCAACGACACTCGACAATCCACGCAATCCGATATATTATGCAATGAAAGTAGACTCATAAACACCAGAGGACCAATTGACACACTCCCCTTGATCAGGGGTCAACACAATGGGCTCCCAACTGCCTCAAAAGCGGATCGCGAAATTTTTCGACGAGCTCACCAAACGCCACAAACTCGACAAATACAAACTCGACGACAAGGCCCTTGACCCAACCAAGATCACAACATGGGAACTGGTACGGCGTCCACCGGTGCCCACGGAGACGGTCATCCAGGGCAAACCTCGTAATCCGTTGTCAAAGGCCTACCGGGAGTTTCAGAGGCAGGAAGGTGCTAGGTTACGGAAGGCGCTGAATCGGATCACGCATGGGAAGAATATCTTTGTGTATAACAATATACGAACGAATCAGGTTGTGTATTCGTTGACGCGGTATTTGGAGGTGCGTTGATCCTCCCTTAGGCTTTGCACTGGCATGTACTAATACCACCTCATCACGACAGGAAAAAAGCGTTCTATCGCAACTAGTCTACCACGGCAAAAAAACTGYCCCCGCCAGTCTCCGAAAAGACATGTGGACACCCTACTACTCCGTACACTTTGACGACGCCAAAGTCGGCCTACGAGCATACCACCTCCTTCGCGAATTCTCACTCCAACGCCAACTCGCGCCCCCCAGGGAAATGGTCACCATGGACCAGAAATGGCTCGATCAAAAGCGGCCGCGCGATAGGATAGAAGCTGAGAAATTTGACGAAGAGCATGAAAAGATGGTCGGAAGACTTTTGCCGAAGAAGGAACGGGCGCGAATTTTGATGGATCAAAAGGCTACGAGTGTGGCGGATATTGCGGCTGTTCTGGCTATTCAGGAGGATGAGATTAAGAATGGGTTTGGCGCAGAGCATCGCAAGGAGCTTGGTCGTAGGGCCTTGCAGCGTATCCGCATGACCCGAAAGGCGGAGCGAACGACTGCGTTTGAAGCGGCGCAGCGAGTCGAAGGGTTTGAGGGTCAGGTTCAAGCTCAGGCTTCGCTCGAGATCGAGGACGAGTTTGACGAGCCGCCTAGCAATACTGAATATGCCGTGAAGCCGGAGCAGGTCAAGATTTTGTGGAATGATATTCATGACGCGCATTATGCGAGCTCGTGGCCTGATCGGGTTCATCATGGTCATTTGGAGCGAGCCGCGGACCATGTCATGCCTGGTCAGAAACGGATCTTGAGTGAGGAGGATGACATCCTTGCTGATGACGATTTTACTGAAGCCGCCGAATCTCCTTCGGTGTTGAAGCAGTAATTGGTTGGTTTATATCGTTGGGGTTCCTGTTACAATTATTATTACATATGTACTATACTTTTCTTCCAATTTACTCCTTTACTTGAACGTCTTTTTTCAGTCTAATAGTTGGCAGATCAATCGTAAAGTCCTGGTCTTTCAATTTGTTAAGGTAGCGCTGCATAGTCCAAGACTTCTATGTAGCATAATCATCCATTTAAAGTACATACATGCAATGTGTAAAAGATAAAAGGTAGTAGGAAGTAGAAGGTGAAGCCTGGGGATACACTCATAACACCGAGACAACCGACAGCATCCAGCACGTCTAATTATGATCCAAGGCACGTCACATAATCAACCGACATTTTTTGCTCCAGGTCATGCAATGAAGAACGAGTAGACAGCAAGTTGTCGCGTGTAGAGAAGTATTCGCAGGATGATGAAAGTCTAACTGCATTGTCGGCCGTTTTTATACGTGGTCGCACATCATCAAATTGGTCATTGTTTCAACGACGTCCCACTGCCTTTATCGATAACTTCCTCGAGTTTCGTCAAAGTCCCGGCCACCGGACTCGATGCTTTGGTTCCTTGTGATTCGTCCGCCAACTTCGTAGTAGAACCAGCATCAACAGGACTAGGTTCTGCATTCTCGAGTCTCTTTTTGGCACCTTCCACTATCTTGTCAGCTTCACTTATGCCGCCTTTGACCTGAGACAAAGGATCTCCTTCAACTCCAATCGGTTCTGAGCGTCGCTCAACGACATCGCGAATCAAGTTTGCGTCAAATCGGACCACCATGCAGGTCAGGTTATCAGTACTGAATCGTGACAAGGCGTGATCAACGAGCATTCTCGAGCCTTCTTGGGCATCTTTTACATTGCGTATCAAGTCGACCGCTTCTTGGTCGGTACACACGTCCCATAACTAGAAAAATTAGCAATCGTAAATCAATATTCGAAAAGTATAGGTTTTTAACTCACTCCATCGCATGCTAAAATTAGAAACTCGTCTTGATCAGGCTGTACGACAGTTTCGGTAGTGTATGGGTGGCCAGTAACAAGATCCTTCAGGTACGTATCGCCCAGAGCTCTCGTCACGGCGAGCACGCCATTGACCCTATTGTTGAGAATGAGACCACCAACACTGGCAATACGCTTTCCTTCATTCTCATCACTACCTTTGTGATCATACGAAAGACGAAGAGCTTTCCCATTTCGACATAGGACAATTCGGGCGTCACCGACATTGGCTGTGTACAAGACCCGCTGGCGGGACACATTCTCTTGGGACTTGACCAAAAGCGAATCTGTGGATAATGATTGCTTCCCCTGGGCTGGTTTGTGCGTGGAGTCGGCGCCGTCGGACTCGGATTCGGGGGCATTGGCGGATGCAGCGGCTGGCGCGAGGGGCGCGGAACCCGTTGCAGAATGCGAGCTGGGAATACGATCTTCCCATCGCAACACGGCCGCTACCGCTGTACATCCGCTGTTCTTCAGAGGCAATTTCTCCAATTGCTGGTCAACACTGGTGAAAGCTTGGTCTAGTAGTTCGGGGACCGGAGCGTTGGGATTGCGTCGCATGACGTCTTCAAGGATGAGATGTAATTTCTTTCCGCACCATTCGGCAGCAAAGGTTCCTGCGTGACCATCAAAGATAGCAAAGTAACCATTGTCAGTTTCTACTACATGAGTAGTTTCCTCCGACTCGGTCGTAGACTCAATTGATTCACGCGTCTCATTTCCATTGACCGCAGCGCTTCCAGTTACAGGAGCGGGCGTTCCTAAGAAGTTGTATAGATATGCATGCGTATCTTCCATCGTTCTCCGGCATTTGCGATTTCGATCTTCTGTGACGCCGACACGAAATGAGGAACGCGTAGTAGGCACTGATTCTCCAGCCGAATTGTTCAGGGAGCCCTGAGGCACAGTCAGAGCAGGATCCATCTTTCCAAGTTTCTGAAATGGGGTCTGCGCAATGTAAGTAGTGGTTGAGGACGAATCGCGACTTGATAGATGCAACGAATTCTTTGCGCTAGAAAAGAAGGACGCTGCCTTGTTCACCGAGCTGCTGCGACGCTTTTTGTCGTTCGGATCTTCGGTCTGTTTCTTGGCAGACGCTCCAGAAGGTGAGGTACGCTTGTCACGTCCAAATCCGGGCTCGTTAGGGCTGATGGTTGGAGATGTTGGGCTTGTTCCCGTAGAAATCAAGTCGCTTTTCTCTTTGGGTGGGCTCGTGGAGCCACCGAACATTCGGTTCAGCAACCCACCCTGAGTAGAGAAGCTTCGACGCTTGCTACCTGCCAGCTTGATAAACTTTGCTTGTCTGGTCTGGTAGACACAGGATTATTGAACGAGAGATCGTCGAGGAGATAATGAAGTCGTGAAAGGCTACTCGGCGTAAGCGAGTATATTGATCAAAATGCGTCGAGACAAGCTCCGTTCGTGATGTAATCGTGCAGGCAGTGGGGAGGTATCACGGTTAGGCTTTGTCTATGCAACACACGAATCAGCAATGGCATTCTGGTGATAAATAGCCTTCTAGAATCGCGCGATAGGTTTGAACTGAAGAGGTACTAATTCATGGCATACCTGATGATTGGGATGGAGATGGACTGAATCTCAGTGCTAATGTGTTTTCGTTTGCAAGGATTGACTGGTGAATGCTAACTCTGAATTCACGATTGATGGTGGGTTTCACTCTCGATTGATGAAGAAATTAAAGAGTTATTAGGTCATAGAAGAAGAGCACCCTGTAAGAGTAGGTAATCCGACAAGAGCCGGGGTGTGGATGTCGTAGAAACCAAATCCGATGGGATCGAGCGGTTAACCACCAAAAAGTGTCGGCGCGATCAGACTATAAGTGGATGATGGCAGATGGGTCCTTGTCAGGATTGAAGCCTAATCCAGGCAGGGGTGCACTGATAAAGAAACGATTCCCACGATGGAAGAATCGAGTTGTCGGAGTTTAGCAGCTCGAGCGAGGCGCAGCATCGGTAATAAGCAGAGAATCGCGAGTTCAGCCAGTCAGTAAGCCCGCAAGCGTCAGGCTTMCCCCGCCACGGACGAACTGTACGATCCATACCATAAATACGCGTTTATTACGGGATAATACATATACTACGCAGCAGTAAATACTTATAGTACAAGTACACTCTAGAGGCTCTTCTTTCACAAAGAACCTCTCTTATCAGATTGATACATTGCGGCTGATTATGCGCTTCCCAGCTGATGACTCGTTGATCTTTCTAGTGCTGTATGTGATGATTCATGTAGCATTGAACGACTCGCTGCAAATCCGGCTGGATGTATTCACAATAATCAGTAGAGAACACCCAACTCCTTGACGCCAGCTAAAACTGAAGAATATCTCCATTGAAAACAATCATCTCCGAAGGCTGTCCAAGCGCGCTTGCAAGTCGTTGTCATCGCTGGGGCCACCGATTGCCTGGGCTACTCTAGCCTCGCCTGCTCCTTCTTTGGCGATCCCTTCTGGTGTCTCACCAAACTGTTGGTAGGTCAGTACACTGTCTGTTGTTCCAAGAAGTATGAATGAGGATTACCGCTTGGCCCAGATCCACTCCAATCTCATCAAGCACCTCCTTCACTATGTCTTCGCTCTCTTCCTCGTCTTCCAAGCCGGTCGCCTCATCAATCGCATCGTCCATCATCTCCTGACGCTCGTCCATGATTTCGTTCTCGCGCTCAAACTCCATGACTATTCGTTGTAGGGCGGGGAGGTTCATCTGTCGGTTCATGCTACCCAGAAGCATGGTAGCGCCTTTCATTGACTGCATCATTTGTTCGTTGCTTCGGACGGTCTGTAAAGTGTCCATTGTTAGGTCACTGTTTGCACCACTCTTGTCGGAATCGAAAGTACCTGGATTCGGAGTGAAATAGCTTGTAACTGCGTCCGCATCGAGTAGAATTTCTGAATATATCTGCAATCCGCACTTTAGACACACATTACATCCAATGATATACTCCATCATGATAACATACTTTCTTGTCCGCACCAGGTCTTTGGCCTGGATCTTGCACGCGCCAATCTGCCCGTTTTTGGCGCTCTTCTTGATATCTTGGACTAGCTTCTTCTCTTGGTTCTCTAGTTTGACTCGTTCTCGGTCAAGTTCTCGTTGTGTTCGTTCCAAGGCACGCTGGTGCTTGCGCAGACGCTCCGCCGGCGTCATGCGCTTTCCAAAAGCCCATTCCACGATCTATCAGTGAGTGCGATTAGCGGGGAGATAGAACGAGCTAGAGGTTGGATTCATAGGAGTAGACTCACATTCATGGTGAATTATAATACACAGAATCACACAGCAAAGACAGGTATGAGGGCAGAAGAAGAGAATACGAATTGAGCTCGCTGTAAAGCAAGGTCAGAAATACGAGGGATGATATGATACTGCCTGAAGCGGCGGCCTGGACGGAGCTTAATTAATCCGGCCGCCAGCCGCGGGATCCATGGACGACTGCCTGTTTTGTTGACTTTCGCCCTAACAGTCCCTAGGTAAGAGATCAAATGTCACCAAAGCCTTCAAATGTTGCTCTGGGGACGATATATTACTCCAAATACTAGGCTAGGAGAAATGTACACAGCTTGTCCGGACCTCCTCGAGGATAGCTGGACGACTCGCGTTGCCCAAAACAGTGACGTCAGAGCCCAAGTACCCATTGCTAGAAATATATAGTGGATATACATTCTGCTCACGCCAACTAGTCTATCACCAGATTTCAACTTGTATTGTACCAAAAGTAGGACCATCAATTGTATTAGTTGGCTATATATCTAAATTCAGGAGGCCAACTGGATTTCCTAATATAGCTGATCAAATTTGTACTTGAATCAGACTGTCATATGTTGATTTCTGTAGTCAGTGGCAAGTATGTCACGTGGAGTGCGTGACGGCAAAGCGGATAATTAATTACTAAGTCAATTCTCCAACCACGCAAATATTGTTCTAAATATCATACTCCATCGACAACGTTTGAATACATGGATATTCTCATCTCACCGCCGAGATAGCGCAATTAACTCATCAGGCATCATGAGCCAAGAGTATTTTCCTGTCGCCGGCAGCTCGTCTGCCGACAAAGATGCGTCCCCGAATTACCCTGAACACGACGAGTCAATCCCGAAGCCGTGGACAGCGCCGCAGTACATGACCGTTGGCAATGGATCAACATCAGCAGCAGCCGAAGCACTCATTGCATCTTTGAATCATGATTCCGGCTACGGTGGAAGCATTGCTGGAGATAGCGCGCTCGATGGCGATTTGACCGATTGGCAAGCCGGGATGCTTGAAGACCGACCGACACCTGCGCATACGCCTCGCGAGGCAGGTTTAGAGGGTATGTCCTAGTGATGAGCTTTCAAACAAATGGATAACTGATTGCTTGTGTTATGTAGGCAACGGCGGAACTCAAATGCTTGCGAGTCACGTCCATCAACTTCAATAGTACGCTTCCAAAATCCATGCATCCGGCTAAAATTTCTAACAACTGTCTTTCAGTAACGCGAATCGACACAAACTAGGCAGAGCGATCACCCAGGCAATCGAGATTCTAGAAGGTCTACGGGACATGAACGGACGATGGCCACTTCATTATCCATCCTACCAACCCTCGGAGCGACCGTCGTTACAGCAAACACAGTCGCAAGCCGACCTGGCAACATTGGAAAGCCAAGAATCCTCTCCGTCGCGTCCACCCCCAATCAGGCGTGCAGCTACATCTCTGGATACTGCCGACATTGCCGAGTCTAGTGCAGTTGCTGAGCGCCGTGAATTACCAGAACCTCGTCTGATGAGTCGTGAGATGGCCGAAAAATTTATGGTATTGAAAATTGAACTTAAGCTCGGTGGTGCCTCCCAAACAGAACTTGTTCACTCACTGGAGAAGAAATCGATTGCCTCGTTGCTGAACGGGAAGATAAACCAGAGCGTCAAACATCTGCTGGCGTTAAGAGATCGCATCAACGATACGTCTAGCAAAGTGTTGATCACTGGAGATCTGAATGCTGGAAAATCGACCTTCTGCAACGCATTGTTACGTCGCAAAATTTTGCCGGAGGACCAACAACCGTGTACCAGTATATTTTGCGAGGTGCTCGATGCAAGGGAAAATGGCGGAGTTGAAGAAGTTCACGCTATTCCAAAGGAACGAATTTATAATCGCCACGACGAGAGCACTTACGACGTCTTTTCGCTATCGGATTTGGAGGAAATAGTGACTGACAATTCAAAGTACACACAGTGCAAAGTCTACGTGAAAGACGTGAGGACAATCGACCAATCTCTTTTGAACAATGGAGTCGTTGACATTGCTCTGATCGACGCTCCTGGTTTAAATTCAGACTCTATCAAGACCACCGCCGTATTTGCCCGTCAGGAAGAGATTGATGTTGTCGTTTTTGTCGTATCTGCGGCTAATCACTTTACGCTATCTGCGAAGGACTTCATCATGAGTGCGGCACATGAAAAGGCTTATATGTTTATGGTTGTCAATGGATTCGACAACATACGAGACAAGGGAAGATGTCAACGTATGATTTTGGATCAAATTGCCAAATTGAGTCCTCATACATACAAGGATGCCGAGGAGCTAGTCCATTTTGTTTCAAGTAATGCCATACCCGTCCAACCTGCAGTTAGTTCAGGCTCTGGTTCTGGTGGTGGTGATGATCCATCGGACCATGACAGCGACCATGAAGACGGCGATGGCGGAAAGGGCAAAGGCAAAGGCAAGGAGAAGGAGAAGATTCAGGATTTTGAAAAGCTGGAAGGAGCCTTGCGCCGTTTCGTTCTTGAGAGGCGCGCCCGATCGAAGTTGGCACCCGCACGAACATACATTCTCAATGTTTTGTCTGACATCAATACCTTGGCATCCGTGAATCGGGACGTCGCTCAATCTGAACTAGATCGCGTCAGCTCAGAGCTTGAAGAGATCGTGCCTGCGTTTGAGGATGGAAAGAAGAAGAAGACTGAAATTGCTGATCAGGTTGAGAATACCATAGAGAAGTCTTGTGAGGATGTTTATAACTACACGCGCCAGAACCTCAACAATACCATAGACAAGGTTGCCTATACTGACCTTGGCGTGGAATACCCGGGACTACTTTCCGCTTTCCAGTATGCTGAAGACCTGAAGGTTGCTATGCTTGATCAGGTTTCAGCAGCAGTGCTGGAGTGCGAGAACTATGCCCGCGTGAAGACGACGCATGGAGTCTCTTACATTCAACAACTTGGCTTGTTGCACGTTGGGGAAGACAAATTCCCACCTATGAGTTTCCGACCTGAGAATATGTTCCAAAAACGACGACATGCTTTGGCCAGACAAATCGATACGCAGGTAGAGCTGTGGGACTTTTTTGATATCCCTGGACTCTGGGAGAGACAAGAAAAGGTTGCTGGAACTGGTGTTGCCATGACGGCTGTGACAGTCCTTGGTGGACGCGCCATTGCAGGAGTTGGGTGGATAGATGGAGTTTTCGGTGCCGCGAAGGTGCTTGGATCGAACAATATACGACGGATGATTGTCCCTGGAGTGGTTGCAGCTGGTATGTCCCATTATTCAGATTTTAGTGGTCTAAATTCACTGACATATTATCTCTTTACAGCAATTCTGACAACAGCCTATGTCCTTTCAATTATCCCTCAGACACTTCCTCCCCGCCTTTCACGCAAATTGGCCGCTTCTCTTGCTGAAGTAGACTACGTCCATTCCAACGCTTCACGCATCTCGACTCAAGTGCGTCGTGTATTGGGCATACCAGGTGCCAACTTACATTCTCAACTCGCTCAAAGTGTTGAAGATCTAGCGCGTCGCAGGGAAGAAGTGACTAAGATCAAGGGAGAAAGCGAAGTTGCGAAAAAGTATTTCGCTAATCTGTTCCGAGAAACTCAAGAAAGCCGACGAACTGTCGACCAAATTGACCTTGAAGGTCCTCTACCGGGAGCCTTGGGTCACCACTAAAAATCGCCAATCTCCATTTCACCCCATCTGGTTGTTTAACAGCTATACACGAACACCCCACGCCTATCATGCCTTTTCTTTATTCATATCTGTAGTATCATATCATCATCACCTTTATCATGTTCAATACCCCCTTTTTATCTTTCTTCCAAAATCTTTCTCAACTTTTTCCTTTGTCTCCTTCATCTTGACCTTCCACCAAAGAATGTTATCATTATCCATGTTGAGTGGCGTACATCGGTGTATTGAAGGGCGAGGCTGCATTGATATGTCTGTATATAATCTCTTCTCCTGAGAAGATTGTACTAAATGAACGCGTATCGTTTGACTTGATAGAGAGAGCAATTTCCGAACATCAGTCGTTGTGATCAGAGCCCCGAGATTATCTGGCGGAAATCGAGCCAACCGCACTGATAACGCAGCTGGACCATTTCCTATACGGTGATTGTGTTTATTCGATGATTCATTTTTCATCAATGATAGAGGCGAGATAAGGGCTGGTTTAGCGGCGGAAGCAGAGGAGCCGCCTCGATATCTTATCAAGTCCCACTCGAAACGAACTCACAGTGCTACGTCTTTCCACATACGAAGTCTATACCTACCTAGGTAGGCTTAGGTACTACAGCCATGTTTGACTATATATCCATGGCTTCACGGCAGTCATGGTCAGTCGAGATGTATCTCAACCGTACCAAGTGTCACGGCTCAGCCGTTACCTAGTACAAAATGGCCTTCGGCATCCAGGAGCCCACTGATGGCTTCCAGCCAACCTCAACAAACAGAATCCAAACCATTGACAATAATGCCGGAGAGCGTGTCCTCGTTCCCCAGCCCTCGGTATCACCTCGAGACCCTCTCAACTGGTCCCGGGTCAAGAAAGAGCTCTGCTTTCTGACAATCCTCCTGGGCTCCTTTGCCACTGGCTCCCTGGGACCACTGTTTGTGCCGGGATTTGCTGTACTGGTTGCTCAATTCGATGTTCCCCTCACTAGTATTACGCTCTTGAATGGTAGTCTTGTGATGGCTCTTGGAGTGAGCGCTTATCTGTGTGCATGTTTTGCCGCTGTGTTGGGAAAGAGGATTGTGTACTTGATCACCACGGCGATATTGGTTGTTACCTGCTGCTGGGCTGCGGCCTCCAAATCATACACATCGCTGCTAGTGTCTCGTGTTTTTCAAGGTGATTAGCCCATCCATCTTCCTCTTTACACTGTGACAGTGAAGCTAATGATGCAACCTACAACAGGCTTGGGAATGGGAGGCTTCTTCGCCCTTGCCGGCACAGCCTCATTAAATGATCTCTTCTTTGTCCACGAGCGCGGTTTCCGTGTCGGTCTCTGGAACTTTGGCGTCATTGCGTCCGTCAACCTAACACCCGTGATCAGTGGATACGTCATTTCGAACCTCTCCTGGCGCTGGAGTCTATGGCTCGAAGTTCTGTTTTTCGGCGTTGTTTTTGCTGCGGTTGTCTGCTTCTTCCCAGAGACATCGTTCCATCGTGAGCACTGGGGTACACCCATGATGAGAGTAGAGCCCAAGTCCGATCATCCGAGCGAACACGTCGTAGAAACAGACAATCCGTCTCGTGATTTATGGCAAATATTCATCAGTGACTTTATTGGCTGGGACCCAGAGAAACTTCCGCCTCATCGACCAAACCTTCTCACGGCATGCACGAAGCCCTGGGCAATTATTCTCCATCCGGTCGTGATCTGGGAGTGCGCTATGTGGGCCGTGGTGTTCACCTGGACCATCCTCCTCGGCGCCGTGGCTTCTCAAATTTTTACTGCGCCGCCGTTCAACATGAGCACCGTCGCCGTTGGAAATCTTACCGGTATCGCCCCGTTTATTGGATCTGCGCTCGGAACGGCTCTGGGGGGTTGGCTCTGCGACTTTAGCGGTAAAGCCATGTCCCGACATAATGGTGGTATATACGAGCCCGAGTTCCGTCTTGTCGCCATGCCTATAGCCATTGTGGCTATGGCTGCGGGCTCGTTCGGTCTGGGCATTGCTGTTGAGCATGCCGTCTCACCTATAGCATGCGGAGTGCTTTTAGCTATCATAAATTTTGCGGTGGGTGTGGGCTGTACTACTATCGTCGTTTATACGAATGATGTCTGCGCTGAAAGGGCAGGTGATGCTTTTGGACTTTCGATGGTGAGTTAAACCTACGTTCTAGCTGCAGGCCTTCAGCTCAAGAAAAGGAACTAATTTCTGCGTGGCTTACAGGTCATCAAAAGTGTATTTGCATTTGGCTTGAGTTTCGTCTTCAACACGTACCTTGCTACTAGCGGTCCACTGGTGTATTTCTCGACTTTTGGTGCTGTGACGGTTAGTGTGATGTTGACGACTGTTCCAATGTATTTCTTTGGAAAGAAGATTCGTGCTTGGTCGGAGAAGCATAACCTTCTTCGTCGAGCTTAATCGGGAGTGATATGAAATAAGAGATACCTGATAGATATGCGAATTGATTCACGGAGTTATAACACTACTCGCATCAGAGATAAGTCGTAGCCTCTCCCAGACGGATCATTCGTACGCTAGGTAGTAGGTAGCCGTTGAAAGATGCGACAATAGTCTAGGGCAAGTGATACGGTACAAGTCTAAAGTGCGAGTGAATCACCACAGTGTAGTTTGATATGATTCAGAAATTGATACATATGGTTTAAGCATAAGACAACGGCTACCCTGCCTTCTCCTTTGCTTCATTCTCCGACTTCTCAGTCTGTTTGGAAGGCCCCAAATTCAACGCCGCCGCCTGATGATCCCTCGCATGCGACTTGGCCGTAGAATCAACCCCCAACCAAAGCAAATCAGGCCTACTATAATGCCCACAAACATCCAGGAATGCCCTAGACTTAAGTATATCGTCCAGATTTATATTAGCGTAAACGATTCCTTCCTCTGTACTCGGGATGGGTTCCGAGAGTCGGCGGCCATCAGGACCAAAGATCGCTGAAAAGCCACCGCCGGGCGAATTCATGATTAAGCCGGTGCTTGTTTCCATTTTGTCAATTGCGGACTGTGTTAGCACGGCGGTGGTGTGGAGCACGAAGGACTGGGATTCCATGGCGTATGTGCTTGCGAGAGCGTCGGTGCCTGGAAACTCTAGTCAGCTTGAACCTGTTCAAATGAGTATATAAGTAGCTGTGGGCGTCCGACATACCCTCACGAGACATGGAGAACAAAGATTCGTCATCTTTGCTCGTTTCAAAAAGCGGTGGCCATGCGGCAACATGAATCTGCTCGCGCTGCAGATAGGTGTGATACTTGAGCAGCGGTTGAGCATGCTCCCAGCACGACAAAGCACCGAGTCGACCAATAGGTGTATCAACCACACTGTTGAGACACTCATTTAGCGCATCGCCAAAGATGGTTCGTTCCATATGGGTTGCCTTAATCTTCTTTCGTAGCATCAGGATCTTGCCATCAGATCCGATGGTAGCCTGTGAGATGTATAGGGAATAATGAGTATTTTCAGAGAATCCGATAGACACGATGATATTGTTCGCCGCGGCACATTCCCGAATGCGAAGCATCTGGGGGGAATCGACCTTCAAGGAGTTTTGCATGTACATGGTCACGAGGCGCATATCGACTGGGCGCGACCTATCGTCCGTGAACAGCTTCGATTAGCCTTTTGTCTGCAAGGCCAAAATATGAATATACAGAATGTCTTTTAACTCATACCATATCCAAGCTGGGTACCCCGGGATCCAGCATTCGGGGAAAGTCACCAGTTGAGCGCCATTCGCAGCGGCGGCTTTGATCAAAGCACATGTTTTCTCGACAGTGGCATCTAGATCGAGCCAGACAGGCTCGGCCTGAGTGACAGCCACTCGGACATGGGATGCGGGTGAGTTGTGCATGGTGGTTTTGGAGATTGCGAGATGGGTGGTCGACGATAGGCAGCACTTTGATGAGAAATCTTTTTACACGAGCGCATACTTTTTTATACGAATTTATGTAGTTCTCAAAGTAAGCATAAGTGGTCCGATTTGATTATTGTATGACAGAATGACAATCAGCACCAATTAACAGGGGCTTTAGGGCTAAATGCTTATCATGGCGGCAACGGCTTTCCGCCGCTAAAATGCTGCCACTTGAGACTACGCTGCATTTCCCGGCAAACTTTCCAAGATTACAACTTCAGTTGTTTTCTCTTCGTAGATCGGAAGAGCCGTGGTTGTGTCGCGCCATCTAGTGGATCGGTTCATTTGATTTGTGATTTTTTGATTACTCTTTTGGCGTTTCTTGCTGGGCATTGAATCATGCCAATGATTGAGCTGACTGATTATCGTATCGTTCAATTTTCACTAAACATAAGGCCCAGATCCCAGGCACCAGCTCCCATAGGATCAAATTCCGCAATATTCGCCACGTAAGATGAAAATTCGGTTGGGTCTACATCAGCCCAGGTCGAAACGTCGAATGAATTGTCAAGTGAGTGAAGTGGGCCAATTGTCTCAATATGTGATGGCATTGAAATCTGAGGCGCAGTTGATCTCACGTTACGAGGATCAGGAAACCCATTCTGAAGAGGTAGGGCTAACATGACCCCCCATCGATGAGCTAAACCTCGCAGAAGCGAGATCGATCTATCTGCTTTGGTCCATCTTGTTCGCATGGCGAAAAGACAGTTGAAACATACCCGGAAGCGGCTTATAGATCGGGTTCTGATGGATGAATCCTCGGAGGTCGCGAGAAGAAGATGGGTGATGGCTGCTGTCATAACACTGTGTGACACAAAGTACGGAGCCTTGTCAAATTGGGCAATTCGCTCGTACTCGCGGATGAGTTTGACCATATTATTTGCTGCCGTCGACATTGACCGGACGGACAAACGGTACACACTGCTGTCCGGAGCCTCCCTGAGATAAGGCCGGTGGATCAGCATCTGGGACATATTGTACGACATGTGAAGAATAATGAGAGTGGGCGATGTTCGTTCACGACGAAATTGGACTCGAACGTCCATGCTGAGGTGAAATGAAAATAGGCGTTCTCGCGCTTCAAGGAGAAGATGGTGCTGTTGACTTTTTCCTAGCGTATCAAATTCGAACGAATAACTATGTCTACATTAGTCGAACGAATCGTTTCGCCTTCGGTTGGTGATTCTTACATAGGTTCCATACATTGGTCATGGATAAACCACAGTCGACAGTGATGATCAAACACCAACTCATCCAAAGTCGGAGAAGGTCCCACCGTGTCGAGGAAAGAGTTGGCTCGTACCCTTCTCCAAGGTACCATAGTGTTTCGACCCGTTAAGGAAGTCGCGATTCTATCTAGATCAGCTTTGAACAATTCCTACACATGCTAAGAAGACATGAATGGACGCGAAGAGCGTAATTTACCTATCCATCAGCACCGCGGACCAAAAAGCTTTTAGTCGGACATCACTTGGATCCAAGTTCGTCAGATCGTCGTCTGTAATGGCTTTAGATTCCTCCAGAGCAAGTAGAGAGCTAACGTGGAGCCCCAAATGTAGCATCATACTGGCACACATTGCTATAAAAAGTCAGTAATGCAATGTTCAAATCAAGATAGTACGGGAAAATGACAAAAACGTACAATTATACATCCAAGCCATTCTGTGTTGTTCAAGCCCCAATTCTCGCCAGCACATTATTGAGAAAGCCTGAACCACCGAGACATTTGCATTGTCCCTACAGACGGTCAGAGCGGTAGCATCAAACGCCGCGGCCATCGCATTTCCATAGTCCTTGCTTTTAGTGTCATCTGAGAGCAGTGATGCAGCGGCTAAAATTGCATACTTTATGAGAGCAAGCGGTAGGCTCAGACTTTGTTGCTGAATTGTTACTAGAGTTTTGTTGTCGAGGAAGAAGTGAATGGGATTAATGAAGTTGCTGAAGAGATAGATTAAGTGGTTGGTGACGTGAGCATCCTCCACTGGATTGTAAGGAGTTTCATGTGACTGGATCTGATGATCGTTGTGTAGCTCACCAGGCCTTCGATTGTCCCGAAAATTTTCGTATGCTTCAGGATGAGTAGAGGGAAAACAGAAATTTCCGGAGGGACCGATAAATGTTGATTCGCCAGTCTCATCGATGTTCATGCGCCACATCATAGCACTCACATCACTGATAGCAGGCGACATGTCTCTTGGTATCGGCGCAACTTGTGCCTTGTCCCCTTCACTTCTGAATTGCTCGTCGTCGCCGTTCAGGATGTTTGAATCATCTCCCGAGACGTTGAGGTCTGGTATCAGAGCGCGAAGCCGAGCCACTTCTTCTCTCAAGAGCTCAACCTGGTCTTCCAGTCCTTTGGCATAATCCAGATCATGCTTTCGTCTAGCTAGCATTGGCATTTAGACCCAGAGATTGAGAGAAAAACAAACATACTTCGAGGGCTTGTTCATCATATAGTGACACTCAATGTTTCTTGTGAGACACCAGGTGCAGGTGGGCTGCAACCCATCGCACTAGAATGTGTTCATGGATGATTAGATTATTGTCTTTCAGCGAACTCAAGCTCATTTTTGATCGTGATACCTTGCGTTTCCGCTTCCGACAGTTCTCACAAGCTACACGCACTCTATTGTTCGAATCCGGGTCATCCATATCTTCAAATGATAATGGCGAAGCCAGTGGTTAGTGAGCATTCAGTCAACGCCCAGCAACCTGAGGAATTAGAAGTCAGTTGCTGGCCAATCACGTGATACCACAAGCAAGGCGTAAAGGCGGCGACGATTTCGACTTGAGAGGAAGCATGGTACATATTCCAAGTTGTTGACTGATGCAGTTCAATTGAATTAGTTCTTTAAAGACTGTGGATTCATTCGCATCATTCCTGTCAATATTCCATAGACGTAGGGTAGTGACATTCGGACTATGTACAAGGTTAACATGAAGAAAGCAATCATGTCTAGGGCAGTGCGCCACATTGGCAGTACAGCAGAGAATATACCTCATGCTTCGAGACGCTGCATGTATTGATTCATAAAAAGTCATCCTCCTGTTGCTTGCCAGCAGATCTTCGCGTCCGTCTAGCCATCATACGCCCTCCTTGTTTGTTAACAAGTTGAGGAAATTCATCTGTAACCGCCTGAGGCTGAATGGCTTCTTTTTGCTCTAATATTCCAATAACATGCGCCTCGTCGACGTTTCCTCTGCGAGCAAGCCTCATTATCTCTTCTCGTGCGGCCATTGCACTAGGGTCTTCGTAGTTGAGTTGAGTCATCGCAGGGGTCCCATTCTCGTCGTCTAAGAGTCCATCATTCTCGGGTATTGGGGAGTCAATATATTTGGTGAATCTACTGCTGCTCAACAGGGAAGACAAGCTCTGACCGGTGGAAATTCGAGATAGCTTGGCCGTGAGCGGATTATTCCCATCGGTGTCAGCACTCACTGCACTGCCGTATCCGTCTTCGTTCATGGTATCGATAGAACTGACACTGACTCGAGAGTCTGTTCTTTTGAACTCATTTTTAGATGACGATGAGTTCGTTCTTCCCAAGTTTGGCCGGCGCCGTCGGGTTCCATTTTCCCCACCAAGAATGCTCCTTGGACGCGTGAGTTCCCTCGCCTTCATGAGAAATCTGTTCATTGAGGATTCTAAGTTTTCAGAAGGTCTATGAAAATGGGCGGAAGTGTCACCGTCCTCTGGAGGGGTCTTCCTGGTTCTTTGATTGTCCTTATTATCGCTGTCTCCTTTAGGTGGTTGAGGAACAGATGGCAGAGAGTCCTTCTGACCGTCATTCACGGATTGTTTCGCTGATCGATGTGCTTCACCTACCAGATCACCCATTTCAGAAGCGGCAACCGATGTCTGCCGAGTACGAGAATCGGCATCTGCTTCCGACTGCGACAAAGATGACTTATGTGTGATGTCGGAGCTATTATGTGCGCTTTTCGACTGCTCATGACTCGCTTCTCTCTTCAGACCTGATTTGAGCAATGCGTACGGTTCGAAGACTTTTCTCTTCCCCGATTGTACGGAGATCCAGAGCCAGTCAGCAGACACGACAGGTATTGCCCATTCTAACGCGTGTCTGATCTTTTCAGTATTTGTAGTTTGTGAGTCATTGCTTATGAGAACTGAAACATTGGGTGTGAGGTACTCCTCATACTTAGCACCTTGATAGTGTCAGAGCAGTGCGCATATAAGTAGATATCAAAGGGAAACGAACCCATCACAGTTACCATCTTAGATATATGCAGGAGATCAATACCAGCAAAGCCCGTGGAGCAAATTTTCAGTCCCTGGAAGCCTTCGTTTGTCAATATACAAGATCGGTTGTAATATAAAGATGCAACTCACCTTGTAATGGCATATGTGGAAATGGAGTACTGGTAACGTGTGTCTCTGGCGAAACAAAAGCGTTTGCATCCAGGCAACGTTCCAGCCACATGTCGGTGACTAGTTCGCAGCTGAAACCCTTGTCATCCGTGGAAGGAACCTCAGATCGGGGTGTTTTATATGATGAGATTATGTATAAACCATTTCCGTTCTTAGGTATGTTCGAGCTCGAAAAGTCATTGAGATGTTGGACAATGTTTGCTCCATTCATCCCCAGATGATGTCGAAGTACGTCCACCTACATATGTCAGCTATCCAAGGAGAAGATGGACAGAAGAAACAAATTGTACGTACTTGTTTAGATGAGAATCCATGGATATAAAAGTAACAGTTCTGTAGGAAGCCTTTTTGTTCCGAAGATGTGTGTTCCTCGGCATCGTCTGGACTCGGGAGACCTGCAAGCAGCTCATTGTTCAATGGAGCAACCGAGGCATTTTTCGTCTCTGAGTTCGATGAGGCGTCTTTATCGAGCGAGACAGAATTGACTTTTTCAGAGGAACTAAATCCACTGCCTATTATATCACCCCATATCCCTTCATTTTGATCGCCGAGTTTGCTACTCGTTACTCTCCGCAATTTACGCGATCGAGTGTTGGAAGATTCTGTCGTCGTCTTTCTCTTGACAGGCACTTGCATTTGGCCACGATTCCAAGCTCCGACGCCCTGTTCTTGAGGCGGAAGTAGTGGATCATAGCGGGTCTCATCTAGAATCATCCCTCGCTCCAGGCTGTCGCTAAACCATTTCGCGCTGACAACTTTTATCGACCATTGCGTTGCAAACTTATACTTCGCACCGCTAGCATGTTGAGCAATAAGATGTGTGACAGTTTTGGTGAGGTCTTTGCGGAAATCGGCGCCATTTGCTATGGCTGTTTCTTGTAGATAGTTGCGATATGATGCTTGAACTCGACTTAGAAAGCTTCTGGTCCGCCAATCATGGTATTATTACTTACGGTCTTCAAACCCCGTAACGCATATGGACAGCCCATGAAATGTAGGTAATCTGTATTTCTGCTCCAAGGCGTGCAAGTCCGTATCACCTCCATCCATCCACGATTGTCTGACAGCTTCAATCCATTCCGGTACCAATACCAACACATCAGTGCGTTCGCGGGCCACGAATTTATATTTCTCGGTATTTGTTTCGCCGACTAGAAGATGGGTCACGTCTGAGGTCAAGTCATATTTGTGAACAGCTCCCATCTGACCAGCAATTTCGGCGAGCTTTGACTATGTTTAACGGAAAGCGGTTAGTAAGACGGATCTAGCTTTGCCAGTGTTCAATGCTTACCCTCTGTTCAGGAAGGATGGATGTGAAGCAAAGAATCACCCCGGCAAGTGGGTGTTCTTTGTCTGGATAGCATCTTGTTAGCAAGCCGAGTATCGGGACAGATTGGTGTCGAAACTAGATATGAGCAGACTTACTCTTCACAATCTCGCCTTCCATTGCTCATGGCGATAATCTCGATATCGTTGTCAAGGAAATTGTAGAGCCCTGACAGTCTGGTGCATCCTTCTTCTCAAAAATGATCCCGCGCAAATGATTCGCTCTGACGACGCGATGGAAAACACGAAATCACGTGCTCTTATCGTCGAAAGATAACAGAACATCACGTGATTCAATATAGCCCAATGATCGCCGAGAAATGGCAGGCGCGTTATCGCGAAACGCGAGATAATTTCGGATGGCCTCCTCGAAGTTTCCATGAACTGTCCAGACCATCAATACCACACCGGGGACCCGGGTGTTAGACCATTATAATACAGCCAAATTCACCACTTTCATTCAATTTCCTTTCTTCTTCTAATCGAACAGCAGTTTTATGTACAGCGCTACCGTATACGGGTTAGGCAGCGTGGTCTTGATCAGGCATTCTAAATTGATTGTGCCAACTGTCCTGCGTCGTTCGACAATCAGCCCGAGGAAGATATCGACCGGGGCAATGTTCCATAAAGCAGTGAAGGATCACTCCAGCAAAGGCTTCGCATCTGCCAAACCGCTTCACCCGAACAATCACAAATTGAATGCGAGTTCTTTTTCAACCATCAAATCGCCTTCGTCTCTTGCCGGAGCTAAACGCAAGATTGATATGGCTAGCGCAGGACAATCTGCCTTAGGATCTCTCCATGACGCCGTCTACTTTGATGAAAATGATTTCGACGACGATGACGACCTAGACTTTGAGATTTTAAAGCCGGGACCACTGAGTCAAGATGTCGTACCTACGTCGAGCGAGACACCATGTTTACCATCGCAATCAAACTATAGAGCAGATGACTCAACATACACTGCTAGGTCGAGTACCACAGGATATAGCCAAAGCATGAGGACGCAGAATGTAATTCAATCCGATATCAAATACCCCGAGCTCCCACAGGTGGACGACAAGCCTCAGGAACAAATTCCGCCAAGCAGTATGCCGATTCCGTGGTCATCGTCACCCCCCTCCCATCACCAACCACCTCAACAAAAGCGTCGCAAACTACCCTGGGGTCAGGAAGACAAAGGTAGCACTTACAGCAACCCGATAACTCCGGCGCCGACGAGAAAACCATCCACAAAAGCCGAGATGCCTTGGAATAAGACTGCAAGTACTGTGAAGGACGAACAAAAGGAGTTGAGGAGGATAAATAAAAAGAGGTCGACCGCCGCCGACTACAATTTAAGTAAGCCTCAAGCGAGGGTTGCCTCTCTATTCCTGAGCGAGGAACAGAAAGCAGTTCTCGATGCCGTTGTCGATCGACAAAAGAGCATATTTTTCACAGGTTCGGCCGGAACTGGAAAGTCTGTTCTCATGCGAGAGATTATCAAGAAACTGCGGGACAAGTACAGAAAAGAGCCCGATCGTGTTGCTGTGACTGCATCAACTGGCCTTGCTGCTTGCCATATTGAAGGCGTCACCTTGCATAGCTTTGCTGGAATCGGTTTAGGTAAAGAGCCAGCAAAGGAACTGGTGAAAAAGGTACCGTTTATCCTTCGACACATTGGGCCAAGAGATTTTTCTTACTTTAATTAGGTGAGGAAAAACCAGAAAGCCAGGAATCGTTGGTTGCGGACCAAGGTTTTGATCGTCGATGAAGTATCAATGGTGGATGGCGATCTTTTCGACAAACTGGAAGAAATTGCCAGGAGTATCCGAAACAATGGAAGACCTTTCGGTGGAATTCAGCTGGTCGTCACTGGCGACTTCTTTCAGCTGCCCCCAGTGCCAGAGTCCTCGGCTCGAGATGCCAAATTTGCATTTGACGCCGCTACCTGGAATACTTCCATCCAACATACAATCCTGTTGACTCATGTCTTTCGACAAAAGGACCCGGTGTTTGCAGAGATGTTGAACCAAATGAGACTAGGAAAGATCACACCGCAGACGACAGAGGCGTTCAAGAAATTATCACGCCCTCTAGACTTCCATGACGATTTGGATGCTACTGAATTGTGAGTTTCCAGCACCCTTGCAATGAATCTATAGACAACAACTAATATGGATAGATTCCCTACACGCGCGGAGGTAGAAAATGCCAATGGAGTGCGAATGAGCAGACTATCAGGTGAGGTGATGGTATTCAATGCTCAAGACTCTGGGTCTATTCAAGATGTACAGATGCGAGACAGATTACTCGCCAATTGTATGGCGCCACCGGTCATTCACCTGAAGAAGGGAGCTCAGGTTATGCTAATCAAGAATATGGAGGACAACCTGGTCAATGGTTCCCTGGGCAAAATAGTTGCCTTTATGGATGAGGCCACATTTGACTACTACCGAAACAACGAGGACGAGTTTACTGGGGATAATAAAGACGGAGACGATGAGGATGACGCAGCTGCCCGCAACCGCAAGAAGTTGCGGGCATTAGCACACAAAGAAGGGGGCATAAGCACGAGTCGCAAATGGCCTTTAGTCTGTTTTACTCAGCCAGATGGCACCGAAAGACATCTTCTATGCCAGCCAGAGACCTGGAAAATTGAATTGCCCAACGGTGAAATCCAGGCACAGCGTTCACAGGTGCCATTGATCTTGGCATGGGCCCTTTCAATTCACAAGGCCCAGGGTCAGACTCTTCCGCGAGTCAAGGTGGATCTAGGTCGAGTATTCGAAAAGGGACAGGCATATGTTGCGCTCAGTCGAGCAACATCTCAAGCAGGTCTTCAGGTTACGGGATTCGAGCCGCGCAAAGTTATGGTGCACCCAAAGGTCATTGAGTTCTATTCGAAGCTCACTGACATCAATACGGTGGTCAAGCCCGCCAGAAAAGAATCGAATGACAGCAGAACAGGCAAGGTGTATGATGAGTTCGATGAGCTGCACAATGAATACATAGCCGGCCTGCCATAGTCTGTTCATATCCATATCCAGAAGTATTTCACTGTATATGTATTTATATATCTTATGGGGTGTGAGAAGACAAATATGTTCCAGATGCCGCAATGTAGCGAGCCTTCATCAATTAGTGATGATACCAACTGAATACCAATTGAATTCAGGAGAACCTATATATCCACTCTGCGGGGAGCTTCATTATCGATAAGAGTCATGTGACGTATGTAGCCTTATCGGCTGCCGCCTAAACAATTTAATTTGGGAAGCTCCACAGCTACACCCGGCCACCTCGAATCTTCAATTTTCTACTTTCAATCACTCTCAGGTTGTTTTAACCATATCTTTCTCTCACAGACCTGGATTTGATTGGATTTCTAGTGAGATCTTGCAACTAGCTCTTCAAAATTTCTTTCCCCTCATGATGGCATCCGACTTTGTCGGCTACACAGTCCTCGTGACCCTCAGTTCACCTCCTAACTCGCAAATTCACGGCACAGTCGCAAACATTGTAGGCCAGCGCCTCACTTTACATGATGGTGAGCGAAAATGAGATATTGCAATCTTAACAAGTTGTTAATCAGTGCGGCAGTGACGCTCCTGTGGAATGGCCAACGTTTCCCATCATATACCATTGATGCTGCTGGAATAGCAGATCTCGAAGTGTCTAGTTCACAGGCTCAAGCTCCATTCCACTCTACGAACCCCGTATATTCTCATGCTACTTCCGCGACAAACATTCCACAAAGCGCTAGCACTCAATTGAGATACCCACAGCCACCACCAGTACCTCAACAACAGCCTTTTGTCGACCCAGCGATAGTGAGCTTCTCGGCAGCACCTAGCAAACCAGTACTTAACCAGACACCTGTGGCGGCTCTGCTATCAAGAACCGACTCTTTCTTGGGTTCAGCCTCGAGTGCGCTCTCGGTCGAGACGGCGCATCCCCCGCAGACAGTCGAGAGGCACGACTCCGCGGTGACTGCGATTTTGACCGAACCATTCAGTAGCATCACTCTTGATAAAACTGTTGATATCGTGGAAGAAGCAGCCAAAAATGGAAAGGGCTCTACAAAAAGAGGCAAACGAGGGGGGCGCAATAAAGGGCAAGATCATAGTGGAAATGGATGGCGGCAGACGGCATTTGTTGAACCAGCGAGGCCGAGGCTTCACACAGGTTATCCTGCAGATGACGATGTTCTCCAAGCGCATGGAAAGCAGCTAAGAAACAAAAATCGCAAAGCTTATGCGGAGAATTCGAATGGGTGGGCAACGGAAGATGCCACAGACATACAAGAGCTCGGCGACTTTGATTTCCAGGGAAATTTGTCGAAGTTTGATAAGAGGCGCGTTTTTGACGAAATCCGAAACGACGACACCACCGCCGACGAAGATCGCTTGGTAAGCTTCAACAAGAGACCAAAACCCGGTACCAACGGCGGAAAAAACCTCCACTGGTCCGAGAATGTGCTAGACAGCACACCTGCTCAGTGGAATAGCGAAGCGGGCGAAACCGAAACTGAGACCAGTGATGATAAATTTAGCAGCGGAAACTACTCCAATCGCGACAGATCTAAACCACCCGGAAAAGCCCAGGTCACAAAAAAGAGCAGCCTCATTCTGGGACAAGCTGCGATGTCAGCTTCTTTCGGATCGGTCGGTCGTAGCTCGATTCCATCCCCGCGAAATATCAGCCCGATGCCTAACAGACAATCTGGAAGGGTGTCTCCACTCAATGGAGCTAACGGATCTTCAACTGGTAGTTTGCGCCTGACAACCACTAACAGGTTATGCCCAACCGTCAGCCCACTTCAAATGCTTGAAGTTGAACAATTAGCTGTGACTGAACTTGGCTTGACTGAAGATATTATCGTTGAGAATGCCGGTCGCGGAATCGCCGAAGCTGCTGTGGGTCGACTTGGTAGCGATGCAGCTGCTCCAGCTGTTCTTGTCCTCACCGGTAATCACCGAACAGGCGGACGAGCGATAGCTGCTGCACGGCATTTGAAAAATCGAGGGCATAGAGTTACACTGTGCCTGCTAGGCTTAGAGCATGAAACAGAACTATTGGAGAATTGCCGCAAGCAATTAGAGATATTCAAAAAGATTGGCGGCAGAGTGCTACGGTGGGAGGAGCTCTCGGCTCGTCTCTTGACGCCTGACTTCAGCGTCGATTTAGTCATCGATGCATTGTTCGGTATGCACATTGCCTTTGAGGATTTGAGAAGCGACGACCAAGCCACAGCTTGTGAGATGATTGCATGGGTCAATCGGAGCAACTTAACAGTCATATCTGTAGACATACCTTCTGGTATCTCTGCTGCAACTGGTAAGATGCCCTCTTGCTCTATTGTACTTTCTGACTATAGGAAACATACTGATTGAAATGAAATCACCAGGTGATGTAGGTATTGTTCAAGGTTCACGATTATCAATAGTATCAGACTTCGTCGTCTGCTTGGGAGCGCCTAAGACCGGGGTCATGCAAGCCCTACAATCTGGAGAAGGCAGCTCATGGGAAATCACAGTTGCAGACATTGGTATTAGCCATGTGGTCTGGAGGAAGTACGGCACACGTCGGCGGCACGGTGTCGACTTTGGCAATCGCTGGGTTGTAAATTTGAAGTACCAGCCTGCGGCGGCATGATTGGCCTTCCATCCAGAAAGGGAGACTCTTTATTGATGACTTGTATTTCTAGACGACCAAAAGGGAAAGCCGAGCTTTCGATGATATAATTGATGATACAGATGATACGTAGAATTAGCCCATAGCATATCCAACGATTGTTCACATTAGATCAAGCGAATCAAGCTTTACACAATAGTTCCTAGAAAATCTTCTGCACCGTAGGGCTCACTCAAAACTTTTAGCCTGATATTGGAAAGGCCCGAAGCGATTAGCGCAATTGGGGCGAGCAGATGCCAAGCCCTGACACGGCCCACTTGATCGCCTTTCCAAATTTCTATGAAGCTAGAACTGACCTCGTCTTAGCATTTAAGTCGCCTTGAGTATTCTTTTTCTCATCTTCTAACAGTCAAAGTTAAGAAAGATGGGTAAAGGTATGTTTCACATGATTATTTACTTGAATGACTCTTTCTAACTTGTCAACTAGGAACGGATAAGCTATATGTACGTTTGCGAGCTAATTTTCGACTGCTTGATTAAACGCCGACATGCTAACACGATTTGACTCCAGATTACTCACTCGGAATGGGCATCGGAGGACGCATACTCCGCCAGCGCTGGCGCTGGATTAGCCGGTGGTCGAAACACTACAGTCCACGCATCCTTCAAGCGTCTACCGTTCAACTTCTGCTCTCTTTCGCTTCAACCCTTCAAACACCCGGTCTGCACAGCCCAAGGAACCATTTTCGATCTTACAAATATCCTACCATGGCTGAAGAAACACGGTACCAACCCCGTTGACGGAAGTCCCCTGAAGAGCTCCGATCTGATCAAGTTGAACTTTGCGAAGAATGAGGCGGGCGAATATGTCGATCCGGTTACGTTCAAAGTTTTCACTGATAACACGCATATCGTCGCATTGCGCCCCTCGGGAAACGTGTTTGCATGGGATACGGTGGAGAGGCTGAACGTCAAAGCTAAGATGTGGCGCGATCTGGTCACGGATGAGGAGTTTGGCCGCAAGGATATTATTACATTGCAAGATCCGCAGAACATTGAAGCGCGCAACCTCAGTTCTTTCAAGTATCTCAAGGACGGGGAAACTGCGTTGACCGAGGAGCAACTCCGAGAGCGAAACGATCCTATCAACAATGTCAACTTGAATGCGATGGGTAGTTCTGCGAAAATTCTCAAAGCCAAGGAGGCGGTTGCGCGGGCTCGTGCTGAACGCGGCGCGCAACAAGCAAAAGCTTCTGCTGACAAGAGCGGTGTTTCAGTCAGGTCAAAAGCCACCACTGTGTCACATCAACCAACTAAATCCGTCCCATTCAATGCTGCTCGACATACAACTGGTCTTGCTGCAGCGTCTTTCACAAGCACTGGGTTGACACCTCACACTGAAGCTGATCTAGCCACTTTGTCAGATGAACAGTATATGTTGAAGCGCGGTAGAGTGAAAGAAAAGGGTTACGCTCGTATTTCGACAACAATGGGTGATTTGAACCTGGAATTGCATACCGAATATGCGCCCAAGGCTGTCTGGAACTTTATACACCTAGCCAAGAAGGGATACTATAAGGATGTTGTATTTCACCGCAACATCAAGGGCTTTATGATACAGGGAGGTGATCCTACTGGAACGGGGCGTGGTGGCGAAAGTATCTGGGGAAAGAACTTTGATGATGAATTCGACGGACCTCTCAAACACGATGCCCGAGGTACCCTCAGCATGGCAAATAAGGGTAAAAACACTAATAGCAGTCAATTGTACGTCCTTTTTTCTCAATTTCCTTTCCTTTTATGAACGCAATCTGACGGTACACAGTTTCATTGCATATCGTGCCTTACCTCATCTGAATAACAAGCATACCGTCTTTGGTCGTATCATTGACGATCCATCACCCTCGTCAACAACCTTGAATGCAATGGAAGTGGCGCCGGTTGACTCCACCACCAACCGACCAACTACCGACATACGAATCAAAGATGTAACTATATACTTCGACCCGTTTGAGGAATTCATGAACAAGCAAACTACCCAGAATGCCAGGGAAGGGGCGCATGCTCAGAAGAAAAAGGATGAGAAAGCAGCGGATAACGTCGATGATGATTTAGTCACATGGACTGGCAAACGTGTTCGCGGTCTAGACGGATCCGGAGCATCGGGCACCAATGAAGGCGCTGGAGTAGGAAAATACCTGAGAGCCGCGCTAGCTGAGCAAAAAACGCGAAAGCAGGCCGATGAGGATGAGATTATTGAATATATGGATGATCCGGAACATGAGCTACCAGAGCCAACACGCAAGAAGTTCAAATCATCGGGTGGGTTTGGAAATTTTGAGGGGTGGTAGTTTTCAAAAACATTCAACAGACAGTGATAATTAAGCGGCGACTTCCTCGACCTACGCCATATGAGCGTTTCAAAGGGTTGATATTCTCTAGGAGGTGAATCGTTGTGGACATTTCGAGGTGCTGAATAGTAAATATGATATCCGCAAGCACGTTACCGACTTCCATTAGAGTCTTCTGTGACCGCATCGATATTGCTTTATCCTATTATTTCGGCAACGCTTGCAGACCCTACTTAGAGACAAATACGACGCTAAAAGATGAGATTGGGCATTTCAGCGCGACACCTCTCGCATTGCATGATCCTCTGTTGCCGCCTCGCCCATCGCATGGCTTCATGAACCTGCAACCCCACCTTCCCCCAAGTGCCTGATTGAACACACCTCGCCTAATTGCTGACTCTGCAGTACCTTGAACCGCATCATTGGCGGCCTAGTTGACCCTGGCGAAGAGACGGCGCTCGCGCCAGAGTGGACAGCTGCATATTTTCCACTTCTTGCCACACTCATAGCAAAATTCTTTGCCACAGCTAGAGTATTGAACAGTAAGCTCAAGGGAGTCAAACACTTATTTCCAAAGGCGAATGATTAAGCAACTCACCGACAAGTTATGTGGTTACATCCATGGTTTAGCTCTACTATAGCACGACAGCTGTAACAGCGCTGCCATTTCTGAGCATTAGCCATGGATAAAACGTTTTGCAACGAGCTATCTAGAGGACAGTCCACTTCAGAATGGGCGAGAGCGCCACATGGTAGATGGGTCACCTTTTGACACTCTGGGCATGTGCCGACATCACTCTGGATCGCGGACTGCGGAATAAATGACGAACACCCCGGGTCAGCGCAATACACGCGACGTTCTGCCGTGTACTCTGTTGCCTTTTGATTGAAATTATCGAGTTCGTTGTTGCCCAAAACTTGGCTTGCGGTCTCGGCGGGGAATGGTTCAGCACAGCAGCGAGGAGGATACAACTCTTCATCTCTGATTGCACCGAGAAACAACTCACGAATGCATGTGTGGCAATAATTGTGGTTGCAGGATTTAATCAAAAAAATTTGTCGTTGTTCTAGACAAGAATCGCAGTTTGACGTGGGCTTTGTAGGTGCTATCTCTAGTTCTTGAGACGCGTCTGGCATATCTTGCTGTTCGGTTAGATCTACAAGGTCTGATATGGTGCTGTCGCTGTCGCTGTCGCTGTCCGTCTCATCGTGCGCTACTGTGCCGACACGAGCGGCTAGCATCCGATCTTGAAGCAAGAGTCGAGCCGCATGAATCTCGTTTTTCATTGCCTCGAATGCCACTTCTTTGTCTGTTGACTCGCCCGCTCGTTGTTTCCCCTTTTGTTGGCCTTCGAGCTCCGCAAGGTCCTCAAGCATAAGCTGCAAGGCCATGTCTTGATCGCGCAAAGTATCCATATTGACTGTGTGATGGAAAGCGTCGACAGTTGAAGGAATTTGCCTAGCTTTGAGGTTCAAGCAAGAGATGGGACTAAGGGATTGCCTGATGCATATGAAATGAAGGGAAATAGTTCAGCATAAATGGTCAGTGGCAGCCTAGGTCGACCTCACTGTTTTGTTGAGCTCATGATACTTGTTGTTTTTCCATCCCATCTAAATACATTACGATAGGGATTGGCTGGTACGATGGTCATTTCGGATTTTGCCTATGGATTTGACATGGACTGTAAAAGAAACCGGCCACTGTGAATCCCTCCCGGATATTTTATTCCTACCCATATATATGAAAATTTTATACACATTCGTTACTATAAAGATTACACAGCTTCTCTATATGTATCAACTACGGGAAGCCTTTAGATTGAATTTCCATGTAACCACTGCAATAATATTCCTAAGATGGGGCATAGTAAACCCGCGTAGTGACCCCTTATAACGAGCCATAGTCAGCTCCCGTGATGTGCTGTAAGAGAGGATAATGGTTGGAGAACTCTATTTGTGAGTTATTATTGGGATGTTGGGGGGCTTACTATCGCTTGTTAGTACGGTATGAAAATTCGGCGCATAGCCTTGTTAAAGCCAGATGCATAGAGAAGCAGCAAAATTAATGTGGTAACGGATGTTTAAATTTTTTTTTGATACGCCATTATTACATTACCACTCAGGTTTGCAGCATCTTTTTGATATACGTACTAAAGTTTTTACGTAGTATGTTTACAGGACTAGGGCTAAACTTGCCACCAATAGGAGCGCCAAAAAGGGCTGAAGAGTGAAGACCCCCGTTTCGTGGCTTTCGGCCCGTTCAATTTTCTTCCTTTTCTTTTTTCCAAGGTTGCTTTAGACTCTAGCCACATCGCCATCAAAGTCAATTACTTGACTGGCTGTCTTCAATATGCACGTCATGCGAATATCTTCATGTTCGTGCAGGTATGTATGGAATAGCTGTAACTCGTTGTCCTCTAGAGTTTCTTAGCTATACCTGGTTAATGCTCGTAACCTCGGACCTTGTACGCACTGATATACGTAGCTGTCGATCAAGTCCCTGGCGTCTTAAGATTACTTCTCGTAGTTAACGTTAGAACTTAGTGCCACTTAGTCCTACTATGTAGTATGTTGCTAAATCCTTCGATGATACGTACGTCAGCCAGAGTTGCTGCCCTTATCGCCCAGCCCTAATCCCAATTCGGTAAGTAGGCCAGTGACCTCCATTTTTTTCTCTGTCGCGACTCCAGATTGCTTATTCCTTGTTTCTCTTCTGCCACTCTCAGATTCACTCATGCTCCCTTTCTCTCATGTTGCTTACCAGTCATTCTGTCAATTGATATCCTCATGATTCCTGCTGTCTCGTCTCGTCTGATTCTATGAGTCTTGAACTAAAGCACATTTTCATCTTCCGCGAGCGCCCTCCCTAGCACCACCATACATTCCAACTTTCTGTATTTTTGACCTTGTGTATGTTCTGGCCGTCCGGCCAGACCTCTGATTTTCCACTTGTAACAAAGTAACCCAAAATGAACACCGACGACGACCCTGAGTATCTACCAGGCACATCGCGCCTCCTCGACCGGGGCGAGATCATCCTCTCCCCACCGCCCACCAAATCAGTCAATGACCCATTGAACTGGTCTATTGCGCGCAAGTACTGGCATGCTTTACTGGTATGTTTTATTGCTGGACTCACAGCCGCTACATCGAACGATGCTGGCAGCGCGCAGTTTGGCGAAAATGAGGACTTGGGTATTTCTTATGAGGCGATGAACACCGGTGCCGGTGTGTTGTTCATCGGTATCGGCTACGGAACTCTTTTCTTGTCACCAGCCGCATGGCTTTGGGGTCGACGATGCACGTACCTCTTTTGTATCCTCATGGGGTTGCTCGGTGCTATCTGGTTGGCGAGGACGCAATCGACTTCCGACTCTATCTGGAATCAACTGTTTGTCGGTATCTCGGAGTCTTGTGCAGAAGCCAATGTACAATTGTCGCTATCTGATTTGTTCTTTGAGCATCAACGTGGAACTTTTCTCGGGGTCTACGTTCTCGCAACCAGTGTGGGCACTTATCTCGGTCCTTTGATTGCTGGATATGTTGCCGATAGCAATCTAGAATGGCGCTGGATTGGTTGGATGGCTGTTATTATCTCGGGTGCTACCATCGCCGTTCTCTACTTTACCCTCGAGGAAACGCTATTTGACCGACCTGCATATCAAGTTGGCGAGCTGGTTACATCTCGGGAGAACCCTGCAGAGCCAGAATCCGGTTTGCAAGGATTGCAAGAAAAGAAAGCTGGCTTGTCGGACGCCATAACTACTCCTGTCGAAGCGACGGATGAAAAGCCAAAGTCGTACTGGCAAAGAATCGCTCTGATCACTCCAGCCGCTAACCTGGAGGGTTTCGGATTTAAACAGTACTGCGTTCGGCTGATGCATACTATGCGTGTATTTTCATTCCCTGCAGTCATCTATTCCGGTATTCAATGGGGAGCCCAGGATGCTTGGCTCACGTTCTATCTCACCGTCGAAGACGACTACTGGAGTGATGCGCCCTGGTACTATGGAGATGTTGGGGTCGGTTTGATGAATCTCCCCTGTCTTATTGGCGCCGTGCTCGGCTGTATCTATGGCGGATACTTTTCTGATATGTTCATGATCTGGATGGCGAAGCGGAACGGTGGAGTCCGCGAAGCAGAGCACAGACTGTGGTTCTTGTTCCCTTTGGCCATCATTTCGCCATTGGGCATGTTGCTGTTTGGCATTGGTACCGGACAATCATGGGCCTGGCCTGGTCCCTACATCGGGTTGGGTCTGATTGGATTCGGATGGGGTTGCACTGGTGATTTGAGCATGGCATATCTGATGGATGCATACCCCGAGATGGTACTAGAAGGCATGGTGGGAGTCGCAGTCATCAACAACTCCATCGCATGCATTCTGACATTTACGGCTAGTCTGTGGCTTGACAGCCAGGGCGTACAGAATACTTTCATTGTGATTGCGGCTCTTGACTGTTTCTTTGTGTTGACTACTATCCCGATGATGTATTGGGGGAGAACTTGCCGGCAGTGGACCAAGACGCGCTATCTTGATTTTGTGCGTATTCGCGATTCTCTTTGATCAAGTCAGTCAATGTGATGGAATGGTGGGCGATGGAAGTTACTGATTGGGGGAATCTGTTTGGAGGGTAGACTTTTTGGTGGCAACTTCTTGATTATCAATGTTCCCAAGGTTTGTATGGGAAAAGGGGCTGTGCAGAGATACGTGATATTTTTTTTAATACTGTCGATGGTGTTGTTACATACAATGACTACCTGTTTAGGTAGTTTAGGTTGAATAGATATTGAAATCTTACCCGGGTGCTAGAGTGATATTGGGCTTGCATTAGTAGACGCATTTGGATCGATGCGTTGGCATATTCTATAATGTGGTATAGATAATTTGACAAGGCTCACGAATGATTAAAGAGAAACAGTATGCCGTGGGACTTCAAGAGCCTCAATCCAATCCCAGAGTTCAATAAATGGTGCAGCCTGGGAGATCAGGATGCATCCCCGCTATCCCGGTGTCACGGAAAGAGCGGACAGATGCACAAAAATACATTATCCCGACCTCCAACCAATCCGTTTGCAAGGGGATTCAGATATCACAAGGCTGTGTGTAGCGTGACGCACGAATAGCACTGCAATCTTGTAGTCCGTTCCCACAAGAAATTGACTTTGCTCCCGAGTGGACAGACAGTCGATGTGACCGGTTTCCAACGCGATCCCTGATACGTCAATGACCACAGTCACCATTGAACCTCATATCCATCAACTCCACTTCATCTTATCGGGTGGCTATGGCATTGAGTTAATATGAGACTACTGCAGTGACTAAGTCTCGGCTACCTTCAGATTGGTCGCGATGACTCCCCAGTTGAGTCATGGGGGTGACTCAATTGGCTGCTCGACTTGACGTGCAGATACACTATAAAAACCGGTGAGAGCCTCGTTTGCAGGGATTCTCATTTCGATTCTTTCGATGCCTGCGGGTTTCCCGCATGGCACAACCCATCGAGTCAAATCAAAGGACTTTGTATGGGCATATGGACGGCTTTAGCATGGAGCCATGAAGAGTTTCTATTTCTCAGCCCCTGTGTTACAAACACTTACCACCTTTGGAACCTCTTTCGATCAGTTGAAGAGATCATCGTGTCACTGAATCTTGTGATCTCGAAAGCCTATCCCACAAGGCTGAGAGTCTAACGAAGTAGACATCTCGGTGAACTCGTCCAGAAACTGGAGTCACGTATGACCATTCCAGACCATCCGAGTGCGATTGTTTTGACTTCCGTTCAGTTGCTCCATCGGTATCCTAAGCCTAGCCTAAGCCACATACATCGTTTCCACACACACACCCTCCTCATATCGCAATTTGCACGATTCGATCCTAACTATGCAGCGATCCGATTGTCCTACAACAGTCATCCACGGCCTGAGGCTCAGCCTATTCGCCGTGAAACAAAACTAAATACGAGCCACACCTTTCATGCCTACCGGTTATGCAGACTTTAGTTTTGCCAGGATAAAACACTCTTCTCTACTAGGGTGTATGTGGTGTAATTTCACAACCTCGCTCATGGTGAAGACATTATCGATCAGAAAGTCGTCGTCATGGACGCGTCTGTGTTTATGAGGCTCAAAACTCAGACTGGACAAGCCTTCAAATCGGGGTATAAATCAATGGTCGCCCGCCATTGAAGTTAATTGACTGTGAACTTCTCCATACCTCAGAAGTCAGTCTTTCTCAAACTCATCTTAAGTGGCAATAACTTTTTTTTCCTTTCCGCATCACTACTTACGGCTTGACAGTTTCACGTGTCGAGCTCATATGCGATTGACCACATTTTTGTATCAACAGACATTCAGATCTCCATTATAACATCTTCATTTGCGTCCTTCTCAGCCGCAGCCTTCCCTTCCCCTCTGCCTTGAGAGCTCTTTATCTTTGATTCATTGTACAAGACTCTAGAGTCGCTTTTCAAAAGATATGGCTGCCTTCAATTCTATTCCCCAAGGTTCGCCCATGGGTCAACATCCAAATCACGGCAATGATCCCACCAACAGAAAGGCAAATGAGACACGGGCAAGACATTCTGATCATGATGCCCCCGACATGCAATCGCATTTGTATGAACTTTGGCAACTTATTCCAAAGGAGAAGAAAGATGGAGGAAAAAACTGGACAATAGCATCAAGGAAACTCATTCCAAGCGATCAAGATACGCTAGATGACATGGTGAAAACCATGGAGGAAGCATTCCCAGCGAAGGAGCAATACAAATGTCTATCCCAAAACAAACGGGAACGTATCAAGGAGCTCCTGAATGAACACAACCAGCGTGATAGCCGCTATATATGGAGATGCGTTTATATAGACACAGATACGACCAGAGTGAAAGTCCTCGGTACCTATCAGGATATTACTGCCAAGATGGATGTTATCTTATTGCGAGAACTTCAACACCAGCCTACACCGGCTGGTCATTCTCCCAAAGCCAGTTCAGCAGGTCGTGCTGTTTCCCAGGATTCTGGAATTCCGAGTAATCAATCGGGCATCCAACCTACTCTAAACGACATGATCAGGCAAGCAAATTATGCACAGGTCGTCGGCAATGGCCCTGGGGCATATAAGGCAGCACAGAACAGGGGCATACCAGTTGATGACGGTATACCCTCAGTGCATCCACAAGTGCATCCCCAGGTACAATCATCACCGTTTATATATAGGCAGCCGTCACCCCATCCGCAAGCGAACCCTCAGGTTCATATGCAGGGGCAGAGGCCTGCTCAACCCGGTCCTCAAAAACAGGGGCACCCCCAAGCATACCAGCATGTGCAGAACTCGATGCCGCCCGAAGCAACTTATGCTGTGCCGCAAGGTGTCCGATATCATGGGCAACCAGACCATGGAATGCAGAAAGAACAGGCGACTGACACCTTTCCCCAGAAAGTGTCACAGCTGCCTATTAATGCTCCGCACGGGAGCGGCGGCTTTAATCCTGGACCAGGTCCATTTGCCAGGAACGGCGACGAAGCAAGACATCCTGCTCATCATCCTTCGATGCCTATATATACACGCAACGCCCCCGAAATGCAGACACAGAACGCGCGTTTCGCAGCTGGAGATCTTCCTCAACCTGCGCGGAAAGCGAAAGCTACTGCACCCCCTCCCAAAGTCGTCCAGCAAGACCGGAGAGTGAGTCAAATGCAAGATGATAGCAGCTTCATGACCGATGACGAGTCCCTTTTCGAAGAGGAGGACGGATATAGTTCTGCTACAAGTAGCGTCAGCTCACTTGCAAAAGGGAGTCTACATCGGGAAAAGAGATATATGCGCCGCGACACAGGCGAGCACAAACACCGGATTCATTACCGGAAGCAAAATCGAAAGGGCTACAGTCATGGTGGTTACCCGTCCGGAAATGTCGACATCTACCCGTCTGCAAGCAGCCATCGCCCGCGAGAAAGCAGAAGGTCTAGAGAAATGAGTCGCGCAAGCAATCGCCCAGTCACAATACACGAAAGAGACCTCGACATTCGGGCGCCCGGTCTTGCAGAGCTGAATCTGAGCGCAAACGAGGCCTCGTACAGACTGATGAAGATGGAGGAAACGCAGCGAACCATGCTTGACAAGATGGATCGTCTCAGCATGGGCTTGCAAAAGCCCGAGAGTCGCGATTATGTTGAAAGGGCAGTGGTAACCCGTGGCATCGAGCCTGAGATACGAAATGCAGTACCACAGCGGCCGATCTACTTAATGGAGGCCCCTATGTATTCTCCCAGACGTTATGTACCTCGAGAGATGCCGACTTATATGCCTCAACCCTACCCGTATGACTACCTGTGATTTTGCGACCTTCATACTTCTTTTCTCATCCGCGTTCAGTTTGTTCTATCTGTCCTATAACACATATACCCCTTTGTCCCGTACAGAGATGCTTGTTCTTTAGTTTCGGACCTGCTCATAATTCAATGATCTTCAGTGCATGTTGCTTTGACCTACAACGTTTGTATCTATATGAAGAAGGAAACAATACGAAATACAGTCTGCATTCATAGAAATAATATGAAAACCAACTTTCTTTAACATGGGCAATCGAGTATACAAGTAGAAGTAGGAATAAATGGAGCTCTCCGACGGACGATATCGGGTTTCGGTGTGAGCTCGGGTTGAGGGGCAGCCATTACGTCTTTACTCCTCTCCATTTTTCTACTTCCATACTCCATACTTCCGTATTGCGCTTTACAACTTTCAATTCTTTATCTCTGACACTCATCGTTATTCCTATACCAAATACTTTCTAAAACAGCCCAAAATGCCTCGCCAATTCTTCGTCGGAGGAAACTTCAAGATGTGAGTACCCCGCACTCAAGCTTTCAACCCTTCACTCCAACAGTGGACTATGGGTAGACACGCAGTGAAACAAGACATTGATTGACACTTGAATAGGAACGGAGTCACCGACTCCATCAAGTCTATTGTCTCCAACATCAACAACTCCAAGCGCGACCCCTCCACTCAAGTCGTCATCGCCCCTCCCGCCATCTACCTCACACTCACCCGCGAGCTCGCCGACTCTTCAGTCTCCGTTTCTGCCCAGAACGTCTACGACAAGCCCAGCGGTGCTTACACTGGTGAATTGAGCGTAGAGCAGCTCAAGGATACCAAGATTGACTGGACTATTGTGGGACACAGTGAGCGCCGTGTTTTGTTGAGGGAGGATGATGATGTATGCGCTTCCCCGCAACTAGGTTCTCTCCATTGATGCTGACCTTTTTTTTTATAGTTCGTTGCGCGCAAGACGAAGGCTGCTATTGATGGTGGATTGAGCGTTATTCTCTGCATCGGCGAGAGCTTGGAGGTACGTACACCAAACACGGTTCTACAATCAGAACAGAGCTAATATTATACAGGAGCGCGAAGCCGGAAAGACTATCGAAGTCGTCACCAGACAGCTCGGTGCCGTCGCCAAGGTCTTGAGCAAGGAGGAATGGTCCAAGGTCGTCATTGCCTACGAGCCTATCTGGTACGCCCCCCTTCTGTTCCCGCTGTCTCCTTGGTCATGACTTGGATCTAACATTTTCTCTCTACAGGGCCATCGGAACCGGCAAAGTCGCCACAACCACTCAAGCCCAAGAAGTCCACGCCGCTATTCGCAAGTGGCTCAGCGAGACCATCTCCGCCGAAGTCGCCGACAACACCCGCATCATCTACGGTGGTAGTGTCAGCGAGAAGAACTGCCGCGACTTGGCCAAGGAGAAGGATATCGATGGTTTCCTTGTTGGTGGTGCTAGCTTGAAGCCTGCCTGTAAGTCCCCCTTTCTTTAATGCGCGATAATCGGATAGATGCTGATGTGAACGCGTGACAGTCGTTGATATCATCAACTCCCGTTTGTAAGTCAGCCGCGAAAGCACTGAGCAACTTGATAGTTGTATCGGAGAACATCTGATGGCAAACGTTGGAAACTTTCGGTAGTCATGTCAGGTACTTAGAAAAGCAAAAGTGGATAATATCATAGATTCAGAAAATAAGTACAAAACACGAACCATGCTACGAACAGCAGCATAGTCCCATGGTATCATCGTAACTATATGTACAAGTTCATCATTTTTTTCAGCCGCGGTATGAGTCTTTCACGATGAATATAAGATCGAGACACCGACGCCCTGCCAGTATGATGGTCTCGAGGTAGGTGGTCCTCCTCCGCCACTACTTTGACTGGACCCTGTCCCAGCCGCTGCTACAGGCGCAGAAGACGATGTTGGCGATGAAGGGCCGGTCGACAACGCTGTGAACGTGCCTGGACCGAGTGACACGCCCGCCGTTACAAGCAGGGACTTGACTCGCCCTTCCCATAGTAATCGAACGTTCCACGACTGATCAACTCGAACTTTGATAACGGAGTCTCCTTCGTTTTCTTCTAATGCTTGCGAGGTACTCGAAGAAGTTAGAGATGAGATCCTCTCTGACGCCAAATCCTTGACAATACCCATCTTCCGCCGTGCCCAATCAAGACCGTCATCCGCTTCAATCGGTTCTGTGCGCGGACTCTTGCGCCATATTTCGCATCCAGCCACCATTTCGCTTTCCCAGCTGTATACGTTGAACCCAAAACGGGAGCTAAATGCGAGGTTGGGCGATGCCCGGGCCGAGTATGTTGTCGATAGAGAGCCAGTTAGAGGCGTAAGTGTGAGTGTAAGAGTGTAAGGAAAGCTTGATATGGGGTTTGGGGTACTGCCAGGAGAGGAGGAGGATAGTGTTCGGGCGGCAGCTGGCAGTGTACTGAATTTAAGGCCTGTCGAGAGTCCGACGAGCGAAGAAATAGGAGAGTAATAGGCTTCTGCACCGGCGGAAAGTAGTGACACTTTGTCTGTGGACGCTTTGCCTGGAATTGGCTCAAGGCCTATATTCCACAAACCGCGCCAGCCGAAGAGTGCATTGTCTGTGCTGAATAGATACTCGTTGCTAAATGTTCCCGTATCATGGGAAATCTGGGCGAGTAGGGCTGCAGATGGTGCCGATTTGATCAATGGTGGAGCCTGCGTTGAGACCAAAGCGGCTGTGATTTGTGTCGTGGGAGAGATGCGCCGTAGGAACAGCGCATTTAATGTCGAAGGAGGCGGTAGATGTAGCGTCGCGTGTAGTAATGTTGCTTTTCGAACGACATCATCGCTAACCCCTAGGCTGTCTACATTCTCCAAAGAGCTGTGCGATGGTATCGAATCCCAGCCCCAATTCCGAATCGGCGGAACAGGAGCTTCAATCTGTCTGTAGCCACGGACTAATCGTCGTAGAGGAATAAGCCCACTTTGTGATGGAGTGTTATTAAGTGGAACCGTGCTGAACAGGTATGAGACCGAGCCATCAATCAGTCCGACTGTTCCCAACGTATACGAAGTCGCGAAATGGGGGGTGGAGAGCGACGAGAGATGGACTTGTAGTCGTTCGGGAACGTGGAAATCGAGGAGGGCTAATACTAATATTAGTATACTCCAGGAATATTGAGATGTTCCAACGTACATTCAGCAGTGGCAGTCAATGCAGAGTAGGAGTTGTCTTGGTTCCAGCGTGTCGCTTCGGCGAACGCCAGTTGGACGTAGTCCATGAATTCCAGCATTGTCACGGTCCCAGATCTATAAGTGTATCATCAGACACCTTCAAATATGCCAGGCGCCATTGAAGACTATACAACAACTGCCGTGGATTGGACTCAGTCCAATGGCAGTAAACATTAATCAGTGGTTGCTGTCAACGGTGACTTGAGCAAAGGGCGACCTCGGGATGATGATTCTCCATATTGCCAATCAAGATTAGCTTAATTCCACAGCTCTACTCCCCAAACGGCTAGCGCCACTCGGATAAGGCCCGCATCAGATTGCGCTGTCCACCAATAGATAAAAACAAAAAAAAAGTCAGAAAAAAAAGACCTCACGACTGTTGCGCTATACACATTACCCGATATTTGCCATCGAGACTGTTTGACAATTGCCAGATTGATCCGAGTGCTCTTCTTTGGTCATAACCATTGATATATCAACACCCGAGAAGTTTTACAGCAAACCACACGTCAACAAACCCCGCAACATCGGCCAAAATGCCTGTCTCCAAGCGTGCCCGTCTCGTCCATGAATCCAAGACAAGCAAAAAGAATCACAAAGAGCAAACCCGACGCTTGTTCGCCAATATCCGTGAATCTGTCGAGCAATATGACCATCTCTTCGTCTTCTCCGTCGACAACATGCGCAACACTTATCTAAAGGATGTGCGCACAGAGTTCTCCGATGGCCGGTGTGTACTCTCCGTTTATTTCTTATGAAGATTCACTAACAGGATTGCTTGATGCAAAGACTCTTCTTCGGTAAAACCAAAGTCATGGCTGTCGCCCTCGGCAACACTCCCGAGACCGCATTCGCTCAGAATCTCGAAAAACTCAACCGCTTCCTCACTGGCGCCGTGGGCTTACTCTTCACTTCCCGCTCCCCAGAAGAAGTCATCACATATCTCGAATCCTTCCGCCCATCTGATTTTGCTCGTGCCGGCAACGTCGCGACTCGCTCATTCACTATTCCCAACGGCATTGTGTATTCTCGTGCAGGCGAGATTCCGACTTCCCAGGACGATCCGATCAGCCACACTATTGAGCCTGCGCTGCGCAAACTCGGTGTTCCGACGAGGCTTGTCAAGGGTCAGGTTGTGTTGGAGCTGCTGGATGGTGAGAAGGGGTATGTGGTGTGCAGGGAAGGGGAGACGCTGGATTCGAGGCAGACTACGTTGCTGAAAATGTTTGGTGTTACTACCTCTGAGTTCAAGGTCGATATCAAAGCTCAATGGGATCGGGAGACGGGTGAGGTCAAGATCTTAGAGAAGCCCGAGGGTGCTATGGACGTGGAGTAATTCCATGCCCTTTGTTGATGGCTTTTTATGCATTTCATGGCGTATTTGGCGCTTTTGGGTTATGATGGGCTTGATTTTGATCTAGTTTCAGGAAAAGTGACACCGAGTTTTATGATTGCGAGCTCTGAAGTGCTCGAGAGATTCTATGTATAGACATTCATTTGAGGGGGAGACCCTATGCTATAAGAGTATATGTCAATCGTCATTGAATACAATTGATCTACATAATTATCTATTTGACTAGGATAATTAATCCTTATAGATGGGAGAAGGACAAAGCTATGTCTTAGGATTCACTATAAATATTCCATAGTCACAACCGAGCTTCGCTTACCTAACGTATAATGCACCATACCTTCCTTTTCTCTTGATAGTCCAGTTAAAATACAGATACTTACCACACATGTAATCCAAAGTAAAAAGACAAGAATAGAAAAGAAACAAAACGTATAATGAGGGAATGCACACTGTTTTGAAGATCCATAGACTGTAGAGGGATAAGCTCACTCTTCATCATGTATGTCGGCTTGAGATAGTTGAGAAGTCGGCTAGGTCGTCGCTGATAAACTCATAAGGTCCGTATCATCGATCCTTAATGTGAGTCGACCTTACCCATGACTGCATATTGAAGAAATGAAAGGGTAAGGCAATACTTTCAAGGATACCCACCAAGGCTCCCGTACCAATAACGGGGTCAATGGCACTTGAAGTCTCAATACCTTCTCTTCGCGCGAGGGTCGTCATAGCCATCACCCTCATGATACCGCTTGCGGGATTGATCATCTCTTCCTCCTCCATGGCGGTTTCGGTCGCGGTCCCAAGCGCTGTCACGGTCACGATCACGTCGGTCGCCGTCTCTATCGTGGCGGTCACGATCTCTATCACGGTCCCTGTCCCTGTCACGGCGATCCCGATCACCGCCCCGATCACCACCCCGATCACCACCACTATACGCTTCACGCGGCCTTACCGGTTCGTTATTGCTACCAGTTGTCCTTCGAGGATCACGATCAAACCTGCCATCACCTCTTCTGTCACCGCCGCCACGACCACCTCCTGGACCTGAGGGAGCATTGGGTGGAGCTTGTCCTCCGAATCCGTTCCGCCCCTGGAACCCCACGCCTCCTCTAGGATTGCCGAATCCGCGATCCCGGAATCCTCCACGGAAGCCTCCTCCTCGTCCACCAAACCCACCTCTGAAGCCACCCGGGCCTGATGGCGCATTGAAGCCGCCGGGACCCATCGGACGGGCTGGTGCAGCCTTTGTGTAACCACGCCCGCCAAGACCTCCTCCAAAGCGACGCGGTTTCCATCCTTTGACTGTACGGCCGCGTTCGACGTCAACCAAAACTCGTCGGTCCTTTAAACGAAGACCGTCGGTTTCTTTGTAGGCAGCTACCAAGAATACGGTTAGTCAAGCTAGGAGGTAAGATCAAGCAGTAATACATACCTTTCATGTCTTTCTCGCGCTCATAAACAATAAATGCGTATCCTCGATGTGGTTTCTTTGGATTTGGTTTCTCTGAATCTTTGACGATGCGAATCTAGGCAAGAATTAGTACATGCTATAGACCGAGATTTCAATGAACAAACCCTCTCAATAGGACCAAACCGTCCAAACTCGCGCTCCAGATCCGACTCTTTGACGTCGTAGCTGAGACGCGCGACAAAAAGTGTCCTGAACGGGTCTCCACGAATCTGCGCGTCGGTCGCAGGATCATCTGTAAAATATTAGCATATTACCCTATAGAATCTTTCGTAGTTGTCGGTAATTTAGAAGCGCATACATTTCTCGACTCCTTCTGTAATCAACCGCTCTATGCGTTCCTTTTTCTCAATCTTTTGACGCGCGCGACGCTGTAGCCAGCTCTCGGTAGCATTATAGGGCACTTCCTCGCCATAATTTTTCAATTCGCCAAGTAGAGCAGCAACACCGCTGATGGTGCTTTTCTTACAATCCTCGGGCGCGCGGTCACTGGGAGGGATGTAGCGGAGTGGAGGACGCGGTGCGAAGAGGGCAAGGAGGTTAGGGGGGAGCTTGTCGGTCATCTTGCCTCGATTTGAATATCACCCGTGTAGAATGATAATCAAAATGAAGGCTTGTATGTTTGAAAAGCTAGTGAGCTTGATCGTAGCCGAACACTAGCAGATGTCGAGATGCCTCAATGAATCCAAGGAAGGAATGGGTCGCAGCTCGGGAAGGCAGCCAAAGTCCCAGGACTGCATAAATTTAGACGCCGTTGGCCGCCCGGCAAATTGGCCAATCAGGGCGATGCGGTGTCTTAGCCGCCGTCTAGTTGTCGACGGCTTCTTTTTTGGATGCAGCCATCTCTCTCCGCAAGAAAACTATCAATTTCATACAAGCACAATGGTGGTACGAGGAGTCAAGGCTGTGGCTCAGGCCAGGGTGAGTCTCAATCAAAGAATAATCGCTTTTTCTACAATCTCTAATTGGTGGCGTTCCGCAGAATGGTGTCGGTGCATTCATCCTACAATGCAAACGATTGGACTTTAGTTATTGCGACTGGGCAGGCAGCTCCAAAGGCATGCTGTACGTATCAACTCTATCTTACCAAAAACATATTACTGATTATTTTCCAGCGCCTTCCTCAAAGAAGAACTCCCAGCCTTTGCCCGCGCAAACCCGCAGATCGAAATTCGCGTTTTCCCGCGACCAGCGAAACACCCCTTCGTCAGAGGCCACTTCATAAATGGCAATGAAAAAGCAATATCCGTTCGAAATTTCAAGCCGGACGAAATCATGGAAAAGGTCAATTTGCTCAAACAGGCCAGTGGTGAAAAGTCGAAGAGACAGAAGAAACCGGTCACGAGTCTGAATGAAAGTGTTAGAGGTATCTGGTCACCGTATCACGGTGATCTTAAGATGGTCTGAGAAGCCGAGTGTGGGATTATACTTGTCTTGGTATTTATAACAGCGCAGATTTGGAGTTTTCTTTGCTATTGGGATTGGATTATTTTCCGTGTACTATATTTGCATATCCGACATACTTATACTGGTCATTCTTTCACAGTCAATGTGAGGGTTTCAAGCATCTTGAATGAACCATGGTACACAAGTCTGTTACACATTCAAAATTCGCAAGCGACTACTGTCTTCAAGGACTGAAAATCACATAACATTGTATTAAAAAAAATATCAAAACTGGGTATCTATGATAAATCTCGTAAATATAGCGTACATGCACTTTGAACGCAGAGATTGGAACTAAAAATGAGCCTGACTCTGACCATGCGTGCTCCATCCCACGCCCAACTAAAGAAAATACCCAAAACGCCCAACGGAATGAGATTACAGATATACCTGAATCATCGACTTTGGCGCACTGACTGGCTTCTCACAACCAGCGACTTTGCATTTTGAAAAGGGTTTTGTCATTTTGAGAGTTGTTGATAGAGTTGCGGTTTTCTTTTTGGAGGACATTGCACGGTTGGTTGTACATTCACCACAGTACACCTATAGAACGTTAGCTACGAGACTGGAAAGTCAATTTGTTTCGCAAATTTGCATAGAAAGCATACATGTCCACACTGTTTGGCGACCCAAATCTGTTGACGGGGACCGTCGCCAATGCCTAACTCTCGATCACAGTTTGGACATACAACGACGTCATCTTCGCTGACTGTTCGTGTGAAGCCTTCTGGCGGTGGACTGGGAGGTTTATATGAAGGCGGCGGCGTAGGTTGTGATTCATGAATTGTAAAACCAGGAGCTTGATAGTCCAAGTCAATTGGAACATCAATATTTCGATTTCCATCGCTGGAAATGAAGATTTCGTCCATGTTTGGTCTGGTGGATGGATATCGACCCATGCGGCGGGTTTGCAAAGCAATCTCCTGCCTGAAAGCCTCTTGTGTAGACAGGAACCCTTGTTGTGCATGAAAGTTGATTACGTCTAGTAGATGACTTGGAGCAGGAAACATGGGCGGGCGGCGGGCAGGACGTGCTGTCTCTCGAACAAACTGGACCTCTGGACTGCTGGGGGGATCCAGGTTGATTACTTCCGTTTGCCCATCTTCGCCGTCATCTTCGTCCTCTTCTTCCTCCAGGTCAATGACATCTGCCATTATATTCCTTCCAAACCGCGGCGGCCTGTGACGATGCGCTGGTCTATTGCTACGGCGCGAACGAAGAGGAGGTGAATCTGGCTCATTTGTGAGGTCAACAACGTCTTCAGACCTTGAGGGTGTAGCTGAAGACATTATAGGGCGGCGAAAATCATATCCATGGCCTGGATACCTCAGTTGCGGCACTGGTAGACTGAGTGGATGATTATGGTGATGTGAGCTGGAAGAGGTACTAGGGTCGCCGCTGTGAGGCCATTCTGAGCGACTTCGGGGATATGACATTGCGATATGAGGTCTCTAGCATCCAGTACCATGTTAGATAATGATTGAAAAAGCTGTGAAAGATAGGAACAGCCCCGCGGTGAGGTTCAAGATACCTTGCGGGACCTGGTGGCCAGGATCTCCACTTGATGTTCGTTATTCATGGGAACACCCTCTCCTTTGACCGAATTCGGTCGAGACCATCCCAGAGACTGCCAACAGCGTAGTCGATGAGCAGAAAGTGAGATGGTAAGAGGCGAAAAAAAAGTTCGCCGAATCCGCTGGTTGTTGGTAGTTGGTTAAGTCCGGCGGGCAAGCAGGCTTGGGCCGGGAAGTGGCGTATTGTCCGTGGTTTTGCTAGTTTTTTGACAGCAAATAATCAGCACTCATATGAGAGATGATAAACAACAAAGTAGCAAATAATAAAAGCTGAGCCGACATCAGATGAATCGTTTCATTCTGCAGTTCACGTGATAGTCGCCCTTTAAAGGTGTATTTTCTGTGGACTAGCGGATATAAGATAGATTGATTTCCTTGCAAATACATCAAACACCAATTTGTTTAAGGTACAGCACGAAGTATAAATTGATTCATGCTTTTCTTGTATTCTTCAGAACAGAGCAGCCATGGCAAAAAAAATAAAAGTACAACCCCCGAACAATTCAATAAAGGTATCATGACTGGTTCAATACATTAAGAACTCCTTCCGCATTGATCGTTAAGACACTTTGAGCCAACGGTCCCCATGCGACGCCTACCGCTGGCACAGCGCTGCGCAGAGACTCTGACCACTCCTTGGTAGATTTCGTATATTGTTGAACAGTGATACCGTTAGGTCCGCCGCTTAGGAGGAACTGGCCAGTGTAATCCCAAGCAAGAGTGCTGATCCTGGTTCCAGTTTCAAGCACCTTGTGTAGCTTGGACTTTCGCAAGTCCCAGATTGAAATGTCTGTGGAGTTTTCCGTGACTGCGGCCATGAAGTAACCGTTTTCGGAGAATTCGAGGTTTGTGACAGGCGCCTGCATCGGGAAACTAGCAGCAACAGCTCCAGACTTCACGTCGTATACATGGATCTGTCCGTCCGCGCCGCCGACAGCGAGCAAGTGGCCGTCAGGGTGAAATTTGGCAGATAACAGACCTAGATAACATGAGTAAGATTATATCTACAGTTTACCGAAAGGCAGTACTTACCAGCATTGCCATATATCTGAGTGACAACGGATGATGTCGCTAGGTCGTATATGGCGTAGCTCTTATCCACACCAACCGATGCAACGATATCACCAGCTGGATGTACAACAACTGCAGTAGTTTCACCAGCATGCGCGTCAAAGCTAGCCGTTTCAGCTCCATTATCGAAGAATTTGACTGATCCAGATGAAGAAGCCACGACAGCCGTGGAGCCCGCAAAAACAGCATCAGTTACTGGCGCACCGACTTTCAAAGTTTGGACAATCTGTTGCTTCGAGACTGAGTAAACACCGGCAATACCATCAACACCACCGATCAATGCCAAATCGCCAGTCGAGTCTACTGAAAGTGATTTGCCTCCAGGATACAGAGGCTCGGAGCTGACTGTTGGCTTATATGACTGAATTGCATCGCTCGTGGCCCAGCCTTCTGGGATAGGGCGCTTGCTTCTGGACTTGGACAATCTACTCAAGTTAGTACTAGAACATAAGAGAAATCATGCAATGTACTTACTTGGCGTGTGTTTCTTCGATCTTGGCAACCACAGATTCGGGCAGTTTTGCGCTGTCGACCTGCATAGCATCGCCGCCTGCAGGAGCACGCGCAGTTCCCACTGATATCTTGGAAAGAGTGTCGCGAGCCTCATCTCTCTCTTTAGTCAAACGCGCAATTACTCGCACTGCGGCGTCATGCTGGTATAGAGCTGTGCTGAGTTCTTGTCTGGTCTGAACCAAAGCCTGGCGTAAAGTATATGTTTCCAACGCCAAAGCATCCCATTCTTCTTGGAAAACGCCGAGGAGTGACGGAATCGAGGTGAGTGTGGGTGGGCGAGGTCGGACAACACGTGCGGTCTTCAACTCGACCAAATCTTCTGCAGAAGCCTCTTCGCCTGTGATGGGATCCTTTCCATTCTCGGCGATATATGCCTCTATCAGTCTTTTCTCGAAGACATTGCCTAGACAAGTCAGCATTAACAAATGATTATGTTGCTGGGGTGGTCGGCGCAGGATGGACATACCACTTTTCGTAGAGACGACAGGCACCTGTGGTGCTTCTCCGGAAACTTTTCAGATTACAATTAGTAACGAACTCATCAAACCATACACAAGATCAAACTTACTGGCACAAAGCATGGTAGAGGATCAGTGGAGGGGATGGTGAATTTCTTTGCGGCTTTGGAGATGCTGGAGGTTTGGAGCTCGACTTTTAGATGGGTCACGCCAGCGCGCTTTCTGATTCGACAGCCTTGCCGCCTTCCTTGTTCGTGCTTCTCTTCAATCTTGTTCACTTGCTCTCTTGCTCTATTGCTCTCTTGCTCTCGATGTACTGTTCTATTTTTCGATTTTTGCATGTTATCGGTTTATCTACATCCTCCTCACTTGCATAACAACTGAGCTCAAGTCAATGCTTTGTATTTAGTGGTTAGTCTCGGAAGTTTCCCTGCAACCATTGCCACGCGAGCAATACGGCCAAGCATAATCTTCGCACCCACATTGCAAGAATGGCTTTCAATGCGAAAAATCTTAACTATGGTCTGTCGTTCGCTACCTCCCTCTACTACACCTGACAGTTTATATAGACCGAAGCGAGCCAGCGTTCCTGCGAAAACTGCGAAATCAGTACGGCGGATCTGATAATGTACGCCACGAACACCCCGTACCACGTCCGCGCAAACCAAAGGACAACGATGACGACGATGCGCCTGTCTACGTAGATGAGGACACAAATGAGACTATATCAAAAGAGGATTACGAACAACTTGTGAACGGCACTGAAGGCAAGGACGATAGTACCGACAAGGACAAAGAAGGATTAGAGGAATCGGTAGATTCCTCAAAATCAAAATCTGCAGAGGCTGCCGGTGATGAAGTGAAAACTCAACAGAACCTAGCCGAGATCGGTACTCAGAAGAAACGAAGAAAAGCTAAAATCATCCAAGACGATGAAGTTACGGAGGACGGATCGCGGAGCAAGGACAGTTCAGTGACGTCGAAACCCAGTGCCAAATCGAATGCGAAAAGGAAGAAGATCAAATTGTCCTTTGATGAGCCAGAATAAGAGGAAAACATGCCTTTGTTGTCGGGGAGAGCAAGTTCTGCTGGCTGGTCATCCGCGGTCTAAAATGAGTCGTAGTACTTTTGGGTATGTGTATGATGTAATTGCTCGTAGAAATATTTTGATGCTTTATTACACTCTATCGAAAGTATCTGGACAGGCGATGAGCTTATGGAATGCAGAGCATAGCTCAAAGACCATAATCCATCGATTTTATGAACGGCGACGAAGCGACATTGATTACTGCATAAGAGTCATAATTGCTCTTCCTTGCCTTCTCGAAGCGCCTAACGATATAAAAAATTTCCCCGCTATTTATTTCCTCCAGGCGCCCCGCCAAAAAGTTTAGAGGCGCGACGACGACGTCTTGAGCACAATATCTACAGATTAAGCAATAGAGCTTGCTTATCAGGTATCAAGACTGGACAAAATGCCAGTGGTCAACGTCGAGGATCTGGTGCGCCTGCAGCGCAAAGCAGATGATATCCGGAATGTACGAACTTCCTTCCGCAAGTTACAAAGCATGCACTTTTTTGCTACAACGCCCAATGATTATAGACTAACTTGTGTTTGATTGACTAGATATGTATTCTGGCACACGTCGTGAGTTCTATCTAACCGATATACCGAGTCGTTGACGTTCATATAGCTGATCCTCCTTAGGATCATGGCAAAACATCCCTCACAGACAGCCTCATCGCGACGAACGGCATCATCTCCCCGAAACTGGCGGGCAAGATCCGCTACCTTGACTCACGGCCAGATGAACAGCTGCGTGGTATTACTATGGAGTCATCAGCCATTTCACTATACTTCTCGATGCTACGAAGATCAGCCCCAGACGCCGCACCCGAGACGAAGGAATACCTGATAAACTTGATTGATTCGCCGGGCCACATCGATTTCAGCAGTGAAGTCTCTACCGCATCGAGACTATGTGATGGTGCACTCGTATTGGTGGACGCCGTGGAGGGAGTGTGCAGTCAGACAGTTACCGTTTTGCGCCAGACATGGGTGGAGAAATTGAAGCCGTTGCTCGTTATCAATAAGATGGACCGACTTATAACGGAACTTCAGATGAGCCCCGCAGAGGCTTATTCGCACTTGAGCAAACTCCTTGAGCAAGTCAATGCTGTTATCGGTAGTTTCTATCAAGGAGAGCGTATGGAAGAGGATCTTCTCTGGAGGGAACGCATGGAAGAACGTGTTAATGCAGCTGCCGCGAAGGACAAAGACCAAGCAAAGAAGCTTGCTACTGACGATGCAGACGGCACAAGTTCTCACGCTGGTACAGACTTGGACGAATTCGAGGAGAAAGACGATGAAGATTTATACTTTGCACCCGAGAAGAACAACGTTATATTCTGCAGTGCCACAGATGGGTGGGCCTTCACGGTCAGGCAGTTTGCAGGGCTGTATGAAAAGAAGCTCGGAATCAAACGGTCGTCACTTGAAAAGGTGCTTTGGGGGGACTTTTACCTAGACCCGAAAACGAAGCGAGTCTTGGGCTCAAAGCATCTCAAAGGACGGGCTCTTAAGCCCATGTTTGTTCAGCTGGTACTGGATAGTGTTTGGGCGGCATATGAGGCTACCACTGGCGGTGCCAAAGGAAAGGGGTAAGTCCACAAGAAATCCATGGTCAATTGGTCCATACTAACTAATTTAGCGATCCTGTCATGCTTGAGAAGATTATAAAGTCGTTGAATATCACAATACCACCTTATGTCCTCAGGTCTAGAGAGTCTAGGAACATACTGCTGGCCCTCTTCTCATCATGGCTGCCACTATCTACAGCCGTGCTGGTATCTGTGATGGAATACCTTCCCAGTCCTCGAACCGCACAGGCTGACAGACTTCCTGAATTGATAAAAAACTCACCAGCCTCTGATTTGGTCGACCAGAAGATCAAAGATGCCATGATTGATTTCAACACCGGCCCTGATGCCCCTGTCGTAGCCTATGTCAGCAAAATGGTCGCGATACCGGAAAGCGAGATGCCGCAGAACACTAAACGAGCAGGTGCAACACTAACAGCTGACGAAGCTCGAGAGTTGGCGCGGAAGAAGCGAGATGAAATAGCAAAGATGCAGGCAGAGGCTACTGAGCAGGGCGATGACTTTAGTCGAGTCACATCGGCACTTGCGAGCGCAAGCCTGGACGACCAAGAAGACAAGACGGAAGAAAAGGTGGACAAAGAGCATCTCATCGGGTTTGCCAGATTGTATTCGGGAACATTGAATGTTGGCGATTCGCTATATGTTCTGGCTCCCAAGTTCTCGCCAGCGAACCCACACGCGAGCCCAGAGCCTAAGAAGGTCACCATCACAAACTTGTATCTCCTCATGGGGCGGAGTCTAGAACCTCTCAAGTCGGTTCCTGCAGGTGTAGTCTTTGGAATCGAGGGACTATCCGGACATATCCTCAAGACTGGCACATTATGTAGCCAGTTGGAGGGCAGTATTAACTTGGCTGGTGTATCCATGTCAAGCCCACCGATTGTCCGAGTTGCCCTTGAACCAGCCAACCCAGCAGACCTCAACAAAATGATCAATGGGTTGAAACTACTTGAACAAAGTGATCCATGCGCGCAATACGAAGTTCTGCCGAATGGTGAACATGTGATATTGACAGCCGGCGAATTGCACCTGGAGCGATGTCTGAAAGATCTTCGAGAGCGATTTGCGAAATGTGAAATCCAATCTGGTGAGATGATTGTGCCGTTCCGCGAGAGCATCGTTAGTACCACTGAAATGGCACCTCCCAAGAATCCAGACTTGGGACGTGGAACTGTATCGACTATTTCGCCTTCGAAGCAACTAAGCATCAGATTGCGTGTACTTCCTCTCCCATCGGAAGTCACTGAGTTCCTGACAAAGCATGCGGGAACCATCAAACGACTACAATCCGAGAAGAGGGCAAAAGTAGACCAGAAGGCTATAGAAGCAGAGGAAGCAAGTGAGGGGATCGAAAACCGGGAGGTGGAAGAAGCAGAATCTCTCGAAACGAATGTTCTCTCGGTAGCTGAATTCAAGCAAGAATTACGCAAGTTGTTGGCAACATCGAAATATGAGCATATCAATGCAGATACGGTGGAGAAGATTATATCTTTTGGTCCACGACGGATAGGGCCGAATGTGTTGATTGATGCTACTACCGCCAATGCTAGTGATAAGTTGTATGTACATCTTCCGTCTATGCGAGGAACAGCCTGCTAACTGTGTTTCAAGTCTATCCGAGGACCAAAGGAGCACTCACAATGGTCAACTCAGTCGACAAACAATCACCATTCGCGATCTTTCCGATAAGATCGTCTACGCATTCCAACTCGCTACTGGACAAGGCCCTCTCTGTCACGAACCCGTTCAGGGTATTGCCGTCGTTCTTGAGGATATTGCTCTTCATGTCGAGAGCGAAGATGCAATTGACTTTGGCCGCTTGACGGGTGAAGCGATTCGCATCGTGCGTGACTCCGTATCACAGGGATTCCTGGACTGGAGTCCCCGTATCCTACTCGCAATGTACAGTTGCGAGATTCAAGCATCCAGTGAGCTCCCTTTCCGCCTCTTTGACATCAGGTCATTAGACTAAAGACTAACAATTTAAACAGCCGAAGTCCTAGGCCGAGTCTACGGCGTCATAACCCGACGCCGCGGCCGCATCCTCTCCGAAACCATGAAAGAAGGAACCCCCTTCTTCACCATTTTGTCGCTGTTACCCGTCGCCGAATCATTCGGGTTTTCAGACGAAATCCGAAAACGAACGTCTGGCGCCGCATCACCTCAACTCATCTTCGCCGGGTTTGAGGCTCTGGATGAAGATCCGTTTTGGGTCCCCGCGACGGAAGAAGAGCTAGAAGATTTGGGTGAGTTGGCTGACCGCGAGAATGTAGCGAAGCGGTATATGGATGCTGTCAGGACGAGGAAGGGGTTGTTTGTGGCGGGGAAGAAGTTGATTAAGGATGCGGAGAAGCAGAAGACACTCAAGCGGTAGAAACGTGTAAAACCCGGCATGGAATAGAGGTTGCATTGATACATAAAAGGGTATGGAAAGATAAAAATTGGAGTACTATGGATGTTTATAGTGTGTGCATTAGTGGAGAATCTATTGGCATGGATTAATTAGTATAAGAATGTTCCCTCTTACATGATCCCTCATTTCCATACTGACTAGAGACTTGGGAAGGAATATCTATTCTCATAGACACCCCCTAAAGAGGACGATTGGATTCAATATCCCTCTAATGACAAACACAGACTGACACTGAAAGGTCGAGGCCATGTATACTGAAGAGGTTGCTCAAGAAAATAGTGGAGCTACGGAAAGGGACCCTAGGAAAATGTTTGTATTGGTTTATCTATACTTTGTGTGTGATAGATGTGGGTGAGCATGGCGGTTGCTCCATTGAGCGAGCAGGCTGCGTAGTCCTGCGCGAAGCTGGTGCGTTCTGCGACGTTCTTGTCCAAGTCTGATCACAATAATGGATGAGCTTGGCGATAGTTGCGAATCCAGCTTCGACTTGAAAGGGCGAGGGCCTGTCGTGTGTGCAGTAAAATCGATGCCCACAGTGAGATGTTGAGCATGATGTAAGCTGCCATTGGTTCTGCACGCCTAGCGTCCATACATTTCATGGGCTCAAAACGGCCTCAGCATGACCGGTTGATGGATAGGCGTATGAATATGACATCCGCAGTTTCCAAATCCATCGTAAATGAAGTCTCGACATGTAAAGTGCCGCCAGATCAGAACGGCCTTGCAACCTTCCTCGACTCCGGCACCCCCGTCACTGGATCCTTCATCTCCCTCCAACTAACCGGAAACATCATGTTCCCCGCCTCACTGCGCGCCATCACAACACCCAGATCGTTCCGCGCAGTCGTCAAATAATAAAAACTCTGATCACCCAACGATATAACACTGCCTCGCACAACGTCTCCCACACGAAACATCTCCTCTAACACAACGCGATCTTTCTCAACGGCGCGGACGTCTTCCTTGCGGATCAGGGCCTGGAAGCGTAGTTCGTCGGATGTGCTCTGATTCTCGGGGTTGGCGGCTGAGGTCAGGATGGCGGCGATATTGTCGTTGTCGGAGTATGAGGAGTCGTCTAGAACAACGAGAATAGACAAAGTGACCTGTCGCTTTTGGACGCGTGTGACGCGCGCAAGGACTACTGAGTCGACGGCGGGTAGAGTGTTGTATTTGGGTTTTTTGGTTCCTGCTACTGTCGTCGCTGTTGCTGTTGCCGTTGCCGGTGCTGGTGCGGCTGGKTTTTGCACCGTACCATTGGGTCCTATATTGCTGACGCCGGAGCGCAAGACACTCAGTATCGATTTTGTGACTTTTGATTTCGTCTGTCCTGAGAGTTGTTCGACGAATACCGGGCCTGAGATGGAGGCACAAATGATTCCATTCTGGACGTGGGTGCCTGCACCGGGGAGGTAAGTTGCTGTAGTGGCGAGTTGTTGTCCTGGGACGGCGAGAGCTGGTAGTGAATTCTCCATGACTGTATTCTTTGATATTTGGTGTTTCAAGAGTTTATTGAAGTCAAGAAGAAGAAAATAAAATAAGCTGCAAATGTGGGGCTCTTTGTATGTGGGTCTATGGCTCTGTCGGCCAACCACAGCCGAGATATCAACATCAAGCTACAAAAGTACATACAACATCATAAAAAGTCTTAATCTGACTTGAGGTATCATTATTACAACACTAGTAGCGCAGTTCTAATACAATGTAGTTCGTCCACAGGACAATGAAGGATGCATAGCAGGCGACGAGGCAAAAACAAGACTCAGTGCTCAGCCCAGCCAAAGACGCTATAAACAAGATGCAATATAGTCACCGTTTGAATGTTCATAAGACAAAAGGGAAAGTGGTAAAAGAAGAGAAAGAAAAAAAATACACATGACAATGCCCTAGAGGCAGTCGTGTCTATGATGAAGTCAAAGAGTAGTGGAGTTTGGTAGGTTGGAGTTTACCCTTCGACCAGCGTCTGCTTGGGCCCTTTGCCGAGGATCTCAAGACATCGTCGTGCTAGTGCGACGACTTCTACCTCTCCCTCATCAACCTCCTCGTCGTCAGAGTCGAGATTTCGGTCAGAGATTCGTTTCACTAGATTCATAATATCTCCTGAATTCGAAATGAGGTCGATGAGTTTGGAGTCTTCCGACTCTAATAGCTGTAACAATGTCCAGATGGCGATGTGCTGGAAAGTAGGGTCTCCGCTATCCAGGAATCGAATGAGATAGCCGTGGAATCCTCCTTCAGGGTCTTTCCAGTCACGAATAAAGATGGAGTAATCTCCAACTATATATTGATTAGCAAAGGATTTTCATGGATCCGTGATAGAGGTCTAACCTTTAGAGGACAAATTTCCTAACGCCGCAGCACTATTGCCCTGAACCTCAATACTATCACATGCGGTAAGAGGAATCAAAACATCAAAGACACCGAGATTAAGAAGTTGAGGCTTGAGTTCGTCACTGAGCGCAAGTACGGCGATGGCCGCAGTCATTTCTGACTGAACAATGACAGGGACATTAAGGACAAGATCCTTGCATTTCTGGACAGCGCCAGCTTGAAGAACAAGCTCTTTATTGCGATCAGAACTGGCTGCCAGGTTTCGTAGAGTCGATATAGCATGGCATTGAATTTCTTCGCTATCTTTGGAGCCCAGAAGGTCGACCAGAGGTTTCAAAAATCCGGCATCGATAATGGGCGATTCATTGAGAGGATGGATAGATATATTTCGGATGCAAGCGACTGCAGAAAGAATGAGCGGGAGGTATGACGATTGAAGGAGACGTAGGAGAGGAGGCAAGCCCTTTGCGCGGACTATTTCGAGCTGGTATTTCTCGTCGGATGCTAGGTTTCGCAGAGCAAGAGCTGCTTGGCACTGTACTTTTGGGGTCGACGAGTCCATCAATTGCACTAGAGATTGAACCAAGCGAGACTCGGTTTGCGCTAGTCGTTTTCTATTGGCAGCATCGACGGCGATGTTGCTGAGAGCGGTTGTGCAGTAATATTGTACATCAACGTCTTCTGATGAAAGTAGATGCACTAGAACGGGGATGGCGCCCGCGTTGACAAGTTGTTGGCGATTGTCATCTGCAATCATTAGCAAACCGATAACAATTCAAGCTCCATAGAATCGCCTACCAGAATGGGTCATGTTCAATAAGGCACCAGTGGCATTTCGTTGAACTCGCATGTCCTTGGACTTGGCCAACCTGGTCAAGGGCCCGAGAGCGCCAGACCTGGCGATCTTAGACTTATTCTCCTCGTGAGTGGCTAAATTCGTAATGCAGCCGACGGCATTGCACTGGACCTCGACATTGGGCGACTGCATTTGCTTGATTAGTGGTTGGAGACCGCCGAGATTTACGATAAGCGCCTTGTTTTCGGCTGCATTACTGTCAGTAAGCATTCACAATGTTTCGAACAATGTAGACGAATATCGTACTGTTCACGGCAAGGTTGCCTAACGCCGCGCTTGCGGCTCGTTGTACTTCGATGTCGGGGCTTTGAAGCAATGTGAGGATGGGCTCGAGGGTGTCTCGATTGACTTCTCGCACATCTATCATTCAAGAGATTAGCATCGCATGCCAATCGAACTCGGATAGAAAACACAAACCTTGTTCTGTGATTTCTGCAAAAGTCAAGCTAGCACTTCGTTGCAAATCAATATTATTCGATTCCACCAATGTAGTAAGAGCCCGGAGTGGTTCGCCAGAAAAGAAGTCTAGGTCGGATTCTCCTCGCTATAGACCACTTGTTAGTATAATCATCCCTCTCTCAAAAGCATATGCATGAGCGTACATTCTCCAGATACTGTAACAAATCGGCTACCGCCTCTCGTTCACTATCCTGCAAAATCGTTTCATAGATACCATCTCTCGAACGACCACCAAACGACCCTAAACAGGCGGATATATGACACCAGCGGTCGATGGCTGAAAAACAAGCAAAGCAGGCGTTCTCCATGGCGTCCTTAGGCAGTTCCTCCGGACCCTGACGAAGGGGTCCGTACAGGAGGAATGGCCGTCAAAAGGAGAGCTTAGGCAGCGACGGATGAGGTATCGCGAGACCCTGGTCGATGTGCGTGGATGTTATAGGATGGAAGAGCTCGTTTAGAGCGGAAGCATTACTGAGCGAATGTGGTGGTAGTGATTAGAGTAGGATCTAAGGAGATCGGAGTGATCGACGCAGGCTGTAAAGGACTGACTGAGGGCGGCGCGTGATTTGTAGTGATAAGACGGATGGAGTCGCTTATCGGAGCAAGAGCGACTCGGGAACGACGAATGATGAAATACTATTAGAGCAATCCAGGTAGATATCGACAGGGTGGTGGTGATGATGGTGGTGGAGATTGTGGTTGGTTCGGTGGAGGGAGATGTTCTTGTGATTCAAATGACTAAGGTTAGCTTGGTTAGCCCAGGTTTCATCCCGCCGAATGTCTAGCTAGGCAGTTGCCAATCTGATTCTATGCACCTATAAAACAATTACCTCTGTATTCTCTTCTTCTCCTTCTCCTCCTCCATTTGTAGAGTATCATTTCAGAAAGTCAAGGATCAAAACATGAAACTATATTGATGCGATTGCTGTCTACAACTCCCACATCGGAACCGGCATCGTCATAGCTCCAACCGACATCCCAAACATCTTCCTACATAGTACAAGCAAAGAAGGGCAGCTACACGGATGCAGTGATAGAACTCGGTTTGAGGAATACATGGTAAGTACATAGATAGAATCAGCCCAGCTGCAAAGCTGTCCGATCAAGAAACTCTTGATGCGTCAAAAGATATGCAGTCATCTGTCAGTCGCATTGTTTACTTGCGTCGTCCTGCCCGGCAACGCTACCTGTTAACGATACATTGTGTAGGTGATACAAGAATTATTGGGCGAAATGGCCATTGAATAAGCTCACCCTCTCTACTCGTGAAATTTACTATAGTAAATGGTAATTTTGACTCCGTAGACAAGCTCCCTAGGTAAGTGACAAGAGAGCTATCAGACTGCACGTGATGAACAGCTCTCCAATCGGGCAGCTCCGATTGGCGATGGCAATCTCTCCCGTGATTGGCTCATATGTTGTAAGTACTTAGCAAAATGGCCTGATGCTTGATACAATGATACATGACGCCGGAAATCACCCGATCGACATACTATGTATATTACTTTTTTATGTCTTGCTGCTAACATAGTAAATCAGGTGCACTGTTGTTCTGCACTTACTTCCTGAAAGGGTTCGGTGTCGGTTGTATACATAGTACATGCAATAGGAGTGGAACAGGTCAGTCTGGACTCAAGTCGGCGGGATGCTTGCCACTCTGTACGTACTACATGCTCTGTCTGTACATACGTGCGTCGTACAGTCTAAGAAAGTCAAAATTATGGTTCCTCCATATACTATGTAAGAACTTAAAAGAGCTTGCCGGTTTCATTGGACAGCACAACTTCGCAAGACGCTTGATCGCTTACAATGTCCGAGTACCTACCTTGGCTAACATAGCAAAATTGTCTCGTCCACGCGCAGTACATTCTACAATACTATGTACTACGTAGTACATTAGTATGTGTGCAGACAGCGAGCCTCCTATTGGCAAATTCGCCACCCCAGACTTTGACCCCGCAGAGTCCAAGACGGCACACGTGAATGCCCATCTCTGCATGGTGGTTGACAGATGAGGGGATCGCTGATACTCGTGATTCAGACGGCTTTTACCACTTGCCTAGGTAAATACTATTAAGACGTAGTAAGTAGTATTGTACGACACACTGGCCATATGGCATAAAGCTCAGAAAGACGTGGTATGCTGGGTACATGGCTTTGACTACGAAGTAATACCAATACACATGTATTCCCAGTACAGTACGCACGAGTTCCTTGTGGGGCTCATCGCATGATGCTTTCACTTGCTTTCAAGTTTTAGCTACTCCGTACACCATCGGCACCCTTTTAGTGTGCGTGCTTCGATAGCAGCCCGGTAATCTTTGGCCCCTTTACCATTTGCCTGGCCGTCCTCGTCATTGTCGATACACTCCAATCCCTTCGTTGTATTTTTGCTAGGAAAAAAAAAAAAAAAACAACCTTCGGAAGWAAAATGATTATTATCTATTCCGTACAATCTAGAAATCAGGCACTCCCGTGTGATCGTCGAGCTCTGTATTGCTGTATTGCTGTATTGCCGTATTTGATTTACCGTTACACAGATTCTTGGTCGTGTGTTCTGGTTCCCGTGACGTATGGTGGACAGCCAACCAGCCAATCAAGCGCGGCAGGAATGTTACTAGTGGTATCGCTGGCCGTTTGGATTTCGGTCTTTCTTTGGCCCTATTTATTAGGCCCGAGTTACGGTCCTATTTCCCTTCAACGGGCGACATTTCTTGACTTTTCGCGGGAATTGTCAAGCCACCCACTCACCGATATTTTTATATTCATATTTATAAACTGCGCCAATTCTCTTCCATTTTTATATTCGAGCACATCTTGTTTCGAAACTCATTCTGGGCTGCCCCAATGTCTACCACCACTATGGTTTCGGAGTCTCAGACTCCGTCTAACCGTGCGGGACGACTCCGCCGTCTTAGCCAACTGCGCGCCTATACGCAGAGTCATCTCATTCCATCCTCCTCGTCTTCCTCCACCGCTGCGACCTCGCCCCCATCCGCAGCTAACCAGCGGCGCCATCGCAACAGCCTCAGTCGCGTGGTATCTTTATCCTCCCCATTCCATATTTCTACTGCCGCCGACTCGATACAGCCGCTGGCGGCGTCTGAGTCTTCTCTCTCGCCCGAGCGCGAGGCTCACCAAACCGACAACAGTGTCAGTTCCGACTCGGATCCCCGAGAGCAATCGGCTTCGTCCGCCTCGTCACGATCGCTTCCATCATCGCACGAGGGATCTGCCCAGGCGGCTGGTTCTGGATCGCAGACTATGGCGGTGGATAACTGTGCCCCTCTTAACGGGCAGGATAGCAGTGCTCCTGCGGCAACAACAGATGTCGGTATCGTTAATGAGAACAATAACGGCAGTGCTGCCAACAAGAAACCAAAGATGAATAATACTATTCGATTTTTCGCCTATCAGGATACTCATCATTCGTCCCGTCCGTCTCTACAATTCTCTCCCATGACCCGCACCCTACCCTCCGAAGACTGCATCATCCGTGTCGGACGATACTCTGAGCGTGACGGCGTTCCCATCGCCAACCCATCAGAACCATCCGATGCCCCGATAGGATTCAAGTCAAAGGTCGTCAGTCGAAAACACTGCGAGTTTTCTATGGTGAACGGGCAGTGGCACATCAAAGATGTCGGTAGTTCATCAGGTACCTTCCTCAACCGGACTCGGCTGAGTCAGCCGAATATGGCCTCCAGATTATACGCTGTTCGAGATGGGGATATCGTACAACTGGGAATCGATTTTAGAGGTGGCGAGGAGATGATTTTCCGATGCGTACGGATACGGATTGAGTGCAATCGCACATGGCAGCAGAGGCCGAATGAGTTCAAGTGAGTTGTTCAAATCATCTAGCTAGATCCGGGAATCTAACATTGATGCAGTAAAAATACGGAGTCTTTGATCAATAACTTAGGAAAGGGAAAAGCGGCTTCGGATTTTGAAGGTTGTCGGGAATGTTCTATTTGCTTGGGCTCTGTTTTGGTAAGCTGACCGCAGCCGCTAGTACATTCGTTACTGACAACGTTATGAATAGCGACCCTACCAATGCCTGTTCATGGCAGCTTGCGCACACGTTTGGCACTACAAGTGCATTCGCCGGCTGATACACACCCCGGAATACCCGATGTTTCAATGTCCCAATTGCCGTGCATGGACCGATCTCAGTGCTGAAGTAGACGATTCAATGGAGTTCGACGAGGAATCAGCAAAGGAAGATGCCGACAGTACTGAGATCAAGCAGGACGCTGCTGGCGCAGTAACCGGCGATGCGACACATGATGCCAACGCTGATGCTCCTGGAGAGCAGGCAACTGTACACGCAAATGGTGAAAATGCAGCCAACGACCGGGAACTCGCCGCGATTGCCGAGAATTTGCATCTGGGAGAAGAGAGGAATACGCCCATGCAAGATGCCGAGAATCCTGATGGTGCGGATGTCACAACCCGGGGACCTGTTAGTAGTAACAGCCAGTCTGCCAACATACCAATCCCCAACGGATCTTCCTCACATGGAAATCAATCCAATTCTCGCTCGGACACGCCAGCCAATCACGAGACGTTTGAAGACGACCCAATGACCCCTCGAAATGATTCCGGTCCTCTTGCTCTCGACGGCCGAGCCGGCCATCTATAACCTGCATCATATTCTTAAGCTATATCGCCCGCATCGCTTTTAAAATCCTTGACTTTATCAGATATTTATATACCCCCCATCCATCCTTTGTTCTATTCTTTTATCTTGCTTTTTGGATTATCGACGAACTTGCATCGCACCTCGGCGTCTTGTGAGGGATGGGAGTTGCGAGATGTACGACATTTCATTTTTATCATCATTATTGTTGGTCCCAGACATGTTGGCTTAGGATGATGTGCTATCTAGCGAGATCATAGCTTAGTGATTGATTGTTTTCCGTTCCATTGAGATAGGATATTTCCCTTGTTGTCATGATGAGGTTCTGCTCAGGTATTCCCACAACGCCGTTTGACTCCTTGAACCATTTTAGCATATCCGACACAGCAGCCGTAAGCGGTGTCGAGTTAGGGCTACTGCCCGATTCGGTAGTATTCTACGGACAGGAGACAAGATGCTAGGATTGATCATACAGGATACATCAAACCTTGACAAACTGCATCTTTCCTCTAAGGCTTGTATCCATTTGATCACGTAGCCGAGTATTGGCCCAATCTTTTGATTCGTCTTTCACACTTTGTCTACTGGGGCAGGCAGTCTTGAACAGTCTACATCGCGAGATCAGCCACTAAGTTTGATACTTTTTCTCATTTATAAATTCTCTTAGCTAGATAGTCTACCCAGAAGCCTTTGAGATCCCCCATAGCTTCATTCTTATTGTGTACGCCGTATTTACATGTAATTGGTGTAAATAAATTCCAGATGTCGATTCGTGACGAGTAAAATGATTGTGTAGGATGTTGTAGGCTTAAACGAAGATAAAGTTGCCAAAAAAAAAAAGGATGAGCTTCGTATTTAAAAGTCTTATTATCGTAGAAAATCACTTGCAACTTTCTCTGCTGGAAGCCCTTGCATATTATACGCCTTCCTCGGTGTCTGTGATGACTTTGAGCTCCATGTCTGCAACGTGGTTCTTGTTCACCAAAAGCTATATACTCTTTCACGAAAGAGCGTAGCGCATTTCCTATGCCATCATGGTCCTCGGAAGGCACCTTGATAGAGTTAGAGGTGACCTTAGATAACTTAGTATCCTTTCTGTGTAGCTTATAAGTATCTCTACAATATGGTATATAATAAAGATTATAAAGTATCTGCTTCACATCTATCAATTGATTGATTAAGTATGTTGTTATTCACTCATTGGTGTGTGAGGAATGCATCTAAGTCCTAATTACCGCCGCTTTAGGGCTACAATATAAATCATCGACTTAGGTATACTGAGTGTCTGCCTGAAAATGCTCGTCTTAGCGAAGGTGTTACAATAAGCTACGTGCATTTCTTAAAGAAGCCAGCCTTGCTCACCCGCTATGCGTCTCTATTCCATCATTTCAAAACACACAGCTTCTTGCTGGCCCGTCTCAACATGATCATCTTCCCAATTTGTTCCCTGGGACCCCAAATCTTCATTTGAACACAGGCCAAATTCCAACACAAACGGGCTATCCTCCGTAATCTCATATTTCACAGTTTGATAAGCCCAATGCGTCAGGTCGATAAGATAGCTTTACAGTATGATCAGTACGAACTCAACTTGACAGTTATCTAGAGCTCACAGCTTATCGTTCCCCCGATCATATCGCAGAAAATTCAAATTGACCGTCCTCAAAATTCGGTTCTTGTCCGCCATGGCTTCAAGGATTTTGGCAGGCTGCGACCTGAGACTTTGCTTTTGCTGACGAGATAGTTCATAGCGAATCGCACCAACATTTTCTCCAGGAACACGTCTGAAAACTGTAAAGAATATGCGTCCCTCAGGATATGGCATCCATTCATTTTGTTTATCACGTTTGGTGACCATCATGACCTTTAGACCGTGGCCAATCTCATGGAGTAGATCGTATAGATCAGCTTCGAAAAGATAGTGCCGTCTTCCAATCTCTAGAGTCTCCTCAACGTCATCAATGAATGGAAAGTTCTTGGGATTCAACCTGTTGATATAAAATCAGCAAGTATGACAGATCATACAAAAAAAAAAGACATACTCGTATCTAATCTTTAGCATTACCGGGATGTCTTTGTTCACATAATGAGCCAGCGTCAAAACGTGTCTTTGCGCCAGGACGTCGTCAACCCACTTGCTGAGTTGCTTTTCAATTTTGAATTTGTGATTGCCGAATTCGAGTTCTTGACCCTCCCAATTAAAAGCATAGCCTCTGCTTCTGGGCATGGGCATCTCTGTCGTTATTGGGGAAGCACTTCCGGAGAGCTCAAAATCGCTGAAGGACAAATTATTGATTGAGTAATTGGGGAGGGCAACTGATTGCGTTCATAGCCATTTGAGTAATTTGATGCCTATTGCAGCCTTGAAAGCAGCGATACTTACCTGATGGAGGTCTACGTCACTGAACTCTAGGAAGAAGTGCTTATATATTTCAAACCTATAGGAGAAATAGACAACCAAATCTTCTTAGGCAAGTAGATAAAAACTACATAACAAATCTCGCCCTAATATAATGCTGTTTTAAAGCTAGAGTTCCAACGCTACCACAATGAACAAAATGCTATTTAGATCAGAAATCATATTGAGCTTTTTTCTATCTAAGATCACACGTACAGATGTTGTCCTTTAGCGAATAGGCAAGTCCCCCTTTGATCCCTGACTTGCAGTGTCCGTGACCAATTTTGATTCCTGCGAGGCCTCTCTCTCCTGAGGGGTAGCCAAGTCCTCTTCTGTCCACAAGCCGAACTCCAACACAAACGGACTATCCACTGTAATTTCATATTCCACGATTTGATAAGCCCTGTGGGTTACGTCAACCAGGTAGCTGTCCAGAGCTCAATTAGCATAATGGTGTCTATTTCAACTTGGTCAACGACAGAGAGAAGGGATGAAGCAGCTCACAGTTTGTCGTTTGCTCTGTCATACCGCAAAATACTGAGATCCGCTGTCCTCAAGACTCGATTTTTGTCCGCCATAGCTTCGAGAATCTTGGCTAGCTGTGATCTGATGCTTTGCCGCTGTCGAGATGACAGTTGATACCGGATCCTTTCAACGTTCTCTCCAGGCACGCGTGTCATGGCCACGTAGTAGATCCGACCACCTGGATATGGCATCCATTCGTTCTGCTTGCCCTTGGAAAAGATCAAAGTCTCTGGTCCGTGGCCAATACTATGGATTAACTTGATCAAAGTAACTTCGAAGCAAGCATGCCGCTCGGCAACTCGAAGGGTTTCCTCGACATTATCAATGAGAGGAAAGTGCTTGGGGTTGAGACTAAAATAGTTAGGTAAAGTTGAATTAAGCAAGCACGTCCATATCAGGGCAGCATACTCATATGTGATCTTCAGCATTATTGGTATGCCTCTATCCAAGTTCCGCGCCAGTGTCAAAACATGTCTTTGAGCCAAAACATCGTCAAGCCACTTGGTCAGTTGAGTCTCGATTTTCACCTTGCGGCCGCGTATGAGAAGCTCTCGACCTTCCCAATCGTAAGTCCAGCCGTTGTATTCTGTCATTTTTGATGAAGCAGAAAAAGGTTTGGGCTGGAGAGGATCTGTGTTGATATTGTCAGGTCAGGCAAAAGATAAATAAGCTAAGGAGGTTCTCCCAGCTGTCAAAAGTAACAAGTATGAAAGACAAAGACTGAAAGTTGAAAAGGGCAGGGCCTTGACTCTATTCATGTTGAGGAGTAGACGGGTGGGTGCCTTGAAGGCAGGTGCCTTATCAAGGTTTGCACATTAGGTAGATATCGTTGCCTCCAAGGCTGTTCAATTGCTACAAAGCCTTGTTTGAAATCAAATTGCCTGTATCAAAGAATCAACGGAGGCTCCGCTGTAGACATTGTCGGGCAAGCTGGGCAATGTCCATTTGGTAAATATGACTAGCTCATTGCCTGGAAGGATTTTTATGTTTAACAATGGGGCCTGCTGGTGGAGGTTGCCCGTCAAGACGCCCAGCCACCGCCCCTTTCCTTTGTTTGACTGAAGGCACGTATATATAAGCCTCTGATGCCCCCCCAGTACTCAACCTTTGAACTTTCCTCTTGCATCTTCAATCCACTCAGAAATTCGGGACTATTTACAAGTCTGCTGTTCACCTCAGTACTATGAAATAACTCAGGATTCTCTGCTCCTCTATACAGTATCATATGCTCCTTCATTATTCAATCAAAAGCCACCCTACTGTCCATGAAGAAGAATGACGGTCCATGATCTAAGAATATCATACGTACCCAGGTGTTGAATCTTGGGAGCGCGTTACCTCCTTTACAACCTTTCCAGAATGTCCGGCTAATCTGACATTGATGACCTTGTCTTGAGGATAGAAGAAGTCAAGACCTTTTGGACTTTCGTCAACAAAGTTGGACCTTGAGAGGACTTCTTGGCCACAAAATTCGGTAACAAAACTCGAAACCGCATACCTTTATCTTCATATTCAACGACTAACAAGGTGATGCAGGGCAACTTGCTGTCTACATGGACTTCTATAATTGTCGTTATGGCTTTTACACAACTTATAGAGACACCTGGGCCCTAAGAAGAACCGGGACTAACACCTTTCAATACTCACCGGCGGTGAGCAACCATGACATGATCTCAACAAACAGAGACTCCGTACGACAGACAAGGTTGTTTCTTGGCCCGGTTGCAGCGGATGCAAAGGAGTCGTTTTCCCCAGATAACAAGACAAAGCTGGTAAGAGGATGTTTGAATAGAGATACTTGGACATGTCGGCTAATCTCGTGACTTAGGAGCTGAGAGATCGACGGCCTCTTACGACCAATAACTCAGGTGATGGAAAGGGGACTAAGGGGAAGAGACAGAGGAGGGAGAAAGGTTAGCTGCATTGACTGTGCAGAGGGGCACTGCACGCTGATGTTTCTCTGGCGGTTGCTTTTATAGCTTATGAAAACCACCTAAGTATGCCGCATTAATCATTTGTTGGAGCAAATCTATGGCAATTCTACGCCACGCTCTATGATCATCGCATGCTATACCTAGGTCACTATACGAACCATATTTTCCCTGCCAGGTGGGGTTTTCCTTTTTCAGCTGCCGCTAGACCCCAGGTTACAGGTGTCCAGAATTGTGTGGGCACCCGAGCCGCCATCGTCGGCAATCGGCAACGGAGCGCGAAAGTGGAACGCGGAACATTCGGCTTTTACAGACCCTGAAAAGCTACGTACGTATCGAATCATTTCTTACGAGATACACAAGCTAGAGGTCGATAAAGTCGTCTTGTTCAGCATATAAGCTAGTACTGCGTAGCTGTCTATCATCAAATGACGTCATTTTCACAGATGCTGGTGGAAAAAGTCCAACACAGCCCGATATCCACGTTCATATTCCTTCTTGACCTCCGGATCTTCCAAATTACTTCTAGCCGCCATCCATCCATGGATCTGCGTGGGATAAGTATCAACAAACTTAACAACCTTTAGGTTAGCCTCATAACCCTTGATAGCAGCAGGATCCTCATCCTTTGATGCTAATAATGCACTTGGCACAGAGACATTTTTCGCATCATTAGGATCTAGCATAGCTGGATGGGCCTGCACACTAGCCTTGAATAGGGTATTCTTGCCTAAGGCGAGATTAGCAACTTTACCACCCCAGCAGTATCCTAGGATGCCCCAAGAAGTGAATCCACTGCCGCTGCTAGCTTCCTTGTTGGCATCTGTAATAATACCTGGGATCCGGGCGAGATGGCCTGGGGGGGCGGCACGGGTTTGGAAGAAATTTCCAAGTTTCTGTTTATATTCCTCGGTGGTGGGTGGGTACCAGGAGATATCAGCGGGTTCACCTTCGAAGAAATCGGGCATGTAGACGCGGTATTTCTGGTCCTGATCGGCGTTGGCGAGGATATCAGCGCCTTGGAGGGTTTGGGGGAAGAAGCCAAAGATATCTTCTATCGTTAGTTTATTGTTATAGTAGAGTAGAGTGAAGGAAAAGGGCATACCGTAGATGACAAATATGGCACGAGTAGCATCAGCGGGACCAGTGACATCTGCATATATTATTAGCAGTTGAGTTTATAATCAGCCCAACAGACAGCGTACAGGTCTTCAATCCACCAAAGGTCTTATATTCACCCTTGGCTTCATATCCCTTGGAAATAACAGGCGGGATACTGCATCATCATTATTAGTAGTCAACTCAACCAGAACATCAATAATCGGAGACTCACGAGCAACAAGCTTTACTAACACCAGCCATCGTGACAGAGGAGCAATGAATACGCCTCTTAAAAATAGATGTAGTAGAATTCGAAGAAGAAAAAGAGGAAGGGTTCAATTGCCAGCGCTGGAAAACGGATTAAGCAAGTTTTGGCAAGAGGCGATTAGTCGCTGCTTTAATATTATCAATTGGGACTGATTCACCTCGACCTCGACTTCTACAGCTCTATGGAATGCCCAGAGCATACTGACATGACGTAGCAGCGAGTCTCAACTTGTTCTCTATCACCGATCTATCGAAAATCTGCCAGTGGGTCGTGGCTGCTCGGGCGGGCCTGGGGTTCGGCATCCTGGGATGCTGAAATACTGGGCTGTTAGATCGTCTTGCTTGAACTTTTGAACGTTCTGCTTGTTCTAGATAGGGGCGTTTATGCCAATTCAGACTTCTGAGGATTCCATTGGTTGTGCCACATATCCACTACACCCTCGGTCGCGACAACTACTTTCACTCAGATATGCAGCTCGACCTTTACATGCAATACTAGCCAATTCCAGGAAGGAAATCAATAAACCTTACATATAAGTGCCCTAACCTAGTGTGAGCCCTCGCCGTTACTGGACTGGAAAGTGGAGAAATGGACCAACGCCAGATTGGAAGATCGGCGTTAGCCCATAACCAGGCCCCATTTTCATCGGCGTTAACCCAGAACCAGGCCCATTTTATCGGTGGTAACATAATAGAAATGGAGATAGCTCCGAAAATCTTGGATTTGATTGGCGATTTGTTGTTCTTTCTACGCACTACGTTATTTCCGTTATCAACACATAGAGTCAAAACCATTTAGGAGTAGTCCTAGTGATGACACAACAACGATGGCCGTACGGCTATATAAACGCGACTGCATTTGACTGTCTTGTACAATACCAAGGCTTCCTCTCGAACACCTCTCGAACAAGCTCCATCAATTGTGATCATCAATATTAGTTTCAACCAAACAGAATGCCTTTCCATGGTCAATACACCGTTGAAAAGGTCCAGTACCCGTCGCACGGGGAGACGATTACTGGAATCCTCTTCCGTCCAGCCAATATCGCAAAGCCGCCCGGTATTGTTATTACCGGCCCGTACTCCTTCATGAAAGAACAAGCGCCGCTGCAATATGCAACTCGACTTGCAGATGAAGGCTATGCAGCTTTGATTTTTGATCCCCGCACCGTCGGTGAAAGCACCGGCCTTCCCCGGCGACTAGAAAATCCTAAAATGAAAAACGAGGATATAGTTGCTGGTCTTGATTACCTCTCGGCACGCAGTGACATTAATGCGTCCCTGCTCTTCTTGGTTGGGATCTGTCAGGGCGGCCCTGAATCTCTGGATGTTGCGTCTTACGACGGCCGTGTTGCAGGCGTGGCCTCGGTCTCTGGATACTATCGCGATCATGAAACTGACATCTACATGATTTGCGCCGGGTGTGTTGCGTGGGAACCTGGGGCGGACATCGCAACGATGAAGATGCCCACCCCCGAACAGGGAGAAGCCCTCTACAAAGCACGCCTTGAGCGCGCTAAAGAAGCCCGCAAACTTTATGAAACGACCGGTGAAGTCGTGTACCAGCCGCTGGTCGACCCTAAGGCGGCTGACCCGAATACCGGTTCGTTGGCTGGGCTCCCGGGACCAGTCGTTTGGTCATGGTATGGGCCGTGGACGCTGAAGGGGTTTGATAATCGATATGCAGTAATGAGTGATGTTGATCATTTTGACTACACCACTGTCCCAGGTGTGGCGAAGCTGAAAAAGCCGGCGCTGCTGATTCATGGCGACAACTGCATGAATGCGGCTGCTGCTAAGCGCCACTACGAGTCCATCCCCGCAACTCAGAAAAAGTTGATTTGGAACAATGAGGTGTCCCACTTTCAGCACTATGACCAGCCAGAATGTGTCGACCGCAACGTGGGGGATATTGCGGCGTGGTTTGCAGAGATCAAATAATTTGGATTTAGTGACAGGTAGTTTTCAATACACACACACATACAATACACACCATAATCAATTGTCTGAGTAGAATTGCGTTGTCAGACGCTCTATTCTTGCCTATAATACTAACATACAAGATAACACATATTAAAAGTAATTATATATTGGCTCCAAGAAGACACAGCATATATATCAGAACATATATAGTGTAGATTAGTGATAGCTGCCCTTTCAGCTTGGCCACCGGGCGTTAATATATTATGTGTGTGTACTCCGGCTCGTTCATCAAACTCCAAAAACTGGCGTCGGAGAAGTTCCCTTCAAAGTTCCAACCACTTCCAATGTTCGTAGGTGAATCTAGTGACACTTCATGTAAAGTATTCATCATCGGAATTGATGTGCTGTAGAGATTGCCATAGAACAGGTCATACGTGGGCCGAGGAGGTAGAACATCATCAAGTGAAAGTTCTAATGGAGGTCCGATAGAGGTAGCAGATGTACGGTGGCTGTTGCTAGAACCTGTACTGGTACCCTCCACGGTTCCTGAGATGTTGACCTGATGGCTTAAACGGTGATACAAGCTCTGGACAACATCGTGTGCTGATTTAGCCATGGGGTTGAATTGGCCAATGGCATGAAGTATTTGCATCCCATTTTCAACAACTTTGAAGCACTCTCTTTGTAACTCGCAATGTTCGTTTGGAAAGACAAGACATATCGCCGCAATAAGAACAATCGCATCGAACGAAGCATAGACTGGGTTAAACACCTTGCACTGATGCGACTCCGCCAACAGGAACAGTCGTTCCTGTGCATAAAGTATGGCGATTCCAGCTTTTAGTGCTTCTGTGCGACTTTTGGCCATGGAGAAGATGTAAGGTCGATGAAGGGTGAGAAGAACGAGGTATATAAGGGAGGTGAGTCCTTCTCGGGCAGCAGGCAGCCATTGACATTCAGGCATTTGATCAAACTTCGGATTTGGATTTTCCACAAAGCACCAAGAAGGCAGGAGGCCCAAGTTTTTCTTGATCGCATCATGTATGCGTTCAACCACAGGATAATCTTCGATTTTGGCACCATTGAGCTCCAGCTGGTATATATCCTGGAAATATCGGTAAGCCACATTATAACCCGCCAGAATAACATCGAACGGTCGAGGAGGACTAGTCTCGGTCTTCCAATGCAAGAACAAATCCGCTCGCCTGTCCTCTTCCTCTATGCTGCGAGCGAGGCTATCTATTTGGAGACTGGTGGCAATCGGCCGACCGAGGACAACAGCCATGTGGACATCCCAGATATGTAAGACTATCCAAATTCTGTGGCAGACCGTACTGTTTGTTTGCCTGTCCAGTTCGGACTCAGTCGGAAATCGCTCGTATGAGACTCGTCCAGTGTGCAGACCAATCTCTTGAGCATCGCGGATTGTGGCTCCGAGCGTATGCCAGGCTTCAACAACTTTACCATTGCTTTTCAAAAAAGACGCTCGTAACAACCCTGCCTGCACGGTGCCTATTGTAATGTGCTCTTTCCCTAGAAGTTGAAGTATGTCGGCACCTGTAGCACTATACTCGGCCGCAAGGTCATGGAAGGTCATATCAGCCATAGTCATAAGGGAATCAATCAGTTTATCGTCAGGGGACTGAAAAAGAAGCGCGTGTCCAAGGACTTGAAAAAGTAAAGCCGGAAATACAAGTGTTGTTGGCGCTAATCTTTCGATGCCCGCCTGGAAGTCAGAATACGACACTGTCCTCCATTCCTTTAACTGTTCTCGAAACGGTGTCTCATCCAGCATAACATACTGCCAGTTGACCTTGGCGAAAAAAGTCTGAACCAGAGCATCGACGCAGGATTGTGAAGGCAGATGGAGGGCTAGTTTGCAGTACGAAGAATACGTATCACTTCGAATGGTCTGTTCTGTGTGGGAGACGTCACGCATAGTGGTAATCAGGCCGCCATAGAAGTTTGTTGTACGTAAAAGATTCATTGAATTGTAGTTGGATTGGTTGCTGTATCCAAAATCGAGGATCTTGTTCTCAATCTCACTGGCCGATTCCAAGCTTGGTCCAGGAGGCAGACAGAGTTGCATTATGCTGGTACTGCTGGTTACCGAGGGGTCGCCGTCACAGGAGCCTCTTTGCGTGGATCGGCGGCCCTTTGGCGAGACATCATACAGGCAAAGATCCTGCGCTCTTCAATTAGCCCAGTCTCGACAAAATGGCCGGTGATGTTTGTACCTGCTTTTCACGCTTGACGCAATTACCGCATGGATACTGGCGGTCGCACTTTTTGGTTCTTCCTCAGATTTCATTCTCCAGGGGTTCGATCTGAAAGTCCTTACCTTCTGCTTGCGCCGATGGCACTCAGTACAGGAGATGATGGTTCTCTTCCTTTTCTGAGAACTACGTGGTTCTAATGATGAGATGACCATTTCGGCAACTTTTTATATTTCACTTGCCACCTGCTTAGGTGAGGGTGTGAAGAGGGGTGTTTTGTGGGGGATCGCACCTAGCGCTCTGGGTACCTCGAGCTACAACCCCTCGCCTTTCGGGATACCGGATATACAATAGCGGAGTGATTCAATATAGGAAAATAAAAGTAGTCAGCTCAAAAACAAAGAAGGGGCATTGAATAGAAAAGAGCGCGCGCACGCGCAAAGTATATAGCAGCTGTTACCACGACGGCAAGAACCGCCACAGAACATTCCCGGACCGACAGATGACCCGATGATACCGTAGTTTTGGCCTGGAGAGTTGAAGCGGCATAATTCAGGGCGGCGAGCCACCAGTCGATAGGTGGCTATTTTCTCGAGCAATACCGTAGGCCTACGAACCAACCGGTCGAAGAATCCTGGAGCTCGATCTGGCGGCTCCAACCTCAGCCCAACGAAGGAAGCAGGCCATATCACGTCCTGGGTTTGCTTTTCTTTTGCATCAGGTGACTGTGCACCGAAACTGGAAGTGAAGGAAGGTCAGGAAAGGCTTGACAAGTGCATGGACAGAGAACAATGACTAGAGCCATATGTTAGGAAGCAACTGCGTGTACACGGAAGGAGGAAGCAATTCTGACCAGGGACGGCTTATATCAAGTCATTCAAGAACTCCTCAAATTTGGTCGAAAAAGTCCGATAGCAGATACATCGAATTCGACCAATCGTGCTCTTTCTAGTACCTTCATCCAATTGCAAAATAACTATCTAAGGCCGAGATACGAATCTCAATCCGATAAGGATCTTCCAAGATACACTTCCATCTTATATAAAAAGGACGTAAGACGAAATATGACTATAGATTAAACATTCCCAGTGCTGAGCCTAGAGCTCCCACAAATAAAAGCTACCATTTCCTTCAGCACTTTAGAAGCAACAAATATCGCTCAAAATAAGAAAATTGCTAGTCATATGGCTGCGAAGGAAATCTATGATAAACCAAACCCCATGGTTCGATCATCCTGACTAATTTAGAGCATTTAGCTGTTTATAGAGTCTTAGCCCTTCATTCAGGTTAAGAATCTAACGAAAGTAGACTTAGGTCTTTGTTACTGTAATAACCATGGTCTATTCACGATGGCTGGGAAGTCAACAATTGATTCCAGTATTTTATTTCTTCGTGGTGCTCTTCCTCGTCTATTAGTGTAATAATGTAACAATGGGCTTCAAAATATCGTATCTAGAATCCTAGCAGGCATGAAAGATACAAAATCGGAACAAATGCATTCCAATACACGCCCTACAACCCCAGAGCCGATGATTATTGATGGATTTTCCTCTTTCTAACGCACGAGATACTAGGCATTGAAATGGTTGTGTCGTGTCGACAAGATTTGTATGACGCACCTAAAGCCTCAGGTGAGAAGTTATCTCAACCAGAAAATTGTACTGAACTGCTTATTGAATCCGCAGAAACCCACATAGCAAATCGGTGGTGCAAGGGCTATCTCGAAGGAAGCCGAATACCGCTCCGTGACCGTCATGACCGTATTTTGGAGCCTGTGTTGAGGGGTCGTAACGCGGCACATGGGAAGGAGTGATCTGGTTTCCAACGGATGCCAAAGCTTCCACGCAGCTCTGATCATCCTTTACAATCAAGGCTCATTCCCTGATCTGCCCCGAGCCAGGCAATACTCATCTAGGTCCGCACTCGTTAAAGTTACAAACATGTAACGATCATTGTGAGGCTTACGCGCCACAACGGCTTTCGTAGATCGTACGCAGTAATACGGGTACTGTGGTAGATATATGAGTACTTGGTGCAGATTACGCAAAAGGAAATCCGACTACCACTTTGGTCAACTACACCCCTTGGCCGAGTAGCGCCAGGCCTTGGCCACATCGCACGTGTTAAAGGCAGTGGTCCCTTCGGTCTCGGTGATCTCTACCTTGGTGAGGGCGGTGTTCATGAAAAGGAACAGGATGTGCGATAATGGGGAGCCTTGTGGGAGGCCCGCGTGTGCGATTTCTATTTCCTCTGAGCAGGGTGAAATGACGAAGATTCTGGCCCACCGATGTGAGCAAAAGTACTGGATCCACTGGATGATGCATTCTGGGATTCGGCTCTGTCGCAGCCGCCATACTGGTGACCCTCATTTAGCGGCGATAAAGTGTGATATATCTTATTTCATTGGGCCATCGGCAATAAGATCTAGTTTTGGCCCACATTTATCGGCGATAAATTCACGAAACTGGAGACTGCTAGCAAACAATTATGGTCACCTACTTTGCTACTGCTTCTAACTTTCGGACATACATCAACAAGCACAGGCGGGGCGGCGATCTTTAGACAATTCCAGGAAGCTATAAAATGGAAACAGATTGGTGTAAATCTTATTATTCTAAATCCCAGTATATCTAATATAAAGAAAAATGTCGTTCAATCCCAATCAAGTGATTTTGGTTACCGGTGCTTCCGGCTTTGTCGCTACCACCGTTATTGGGATTTTCCTAGAACGCGGATACAAAGTTCGTGGCACTGTTCGCTCACCAGAAACTGCCGAGAAAGTCGCTCAGTTGCATGCTCGGTTTGAGCCGCAGTTGTCATTTGCGGTGGTCAAAGACATCGGCGCAGACGGTGCATTTGATGAAGCAGTGAAAGATGTGGATGGAGTAAGACTTTCCAAGCCACAGGTGGAATGATCTCTGACATCTCGACGTAGGTCATTCATATTGCGTCGCCTTTTCAGATAGCTGTCGAAGACTGTGAGCGCGATCTTCTTCTCCCAGCGATCCGGGGGACAACCTCAATTCTCCAGGCTGTCAAGGCAAATGCTCCAAATGTCCGCCGAGTAGTTATTACCTCATCCTTTGCGGCCATCGTGGACATGAACCATGGCGCTCGCCCCGGCTACGTTTACACCGAAGCCGACTGGAACCCCATAACATTTGAAAAGGCGAGCGCCGCAGACCCTGCCACAGCTTACTGCGCAAGTAAAGCGCTAGCAGAAAAAGCTGCCTTTGAATTTGTCTCCAACCAGCAGCCTCAATTTAGCATTACCACCATTTGCCCTCCAATGATCTACGGGCCACTCGGACACGCCGTAAACGATATGTCAAAGCTGAATACTAGCGCAGCAGACTTTTATCGCTTGATGAATGGAACTTCCCAAGAAGTTCCTTCAACAGGCACCTTTGCCTTCGTAGACGTTCGTGACGTCGCAGAGGCACATCTCCGCGCGTATGAGTCAGACGCTGCTGCGGGTCAACGATATTTAACCGCTGGGGGCAATTACACCTATCAAGAAATGACAGATATCCTTCGTGCAAAGTTCCCAAATCTAGTGGATCGCATTCCGAAGGCCAAAGAAGGTTCCATCGACCCCGATGCCTACAAAGTGTCATCTAAGAAAGCTGAAACTGAGCTTGGCATTCACTTCCGAGGACTTTCGCAGGTCACAATTGACACGGCCGAAAGTTTGCTGCAATTGGAGCGCAAGATTGGCGAAATTTGAAAAACAGCAAGCAAACCATGGGCGCGCGGCTGCGTATACTGATGCCTTCGCGATGTCTTCAGTCACTCGAATACAACAGTGAGAGTCAGCAAGGCATTCTAACTCGTACGGGCACCAGGCTGTACGGAGGATCCCTTCTATCTTGGTTACGTTTAAGCCTTCCAAGCACTAGTTCGACTATTGTTACTTTGTTTACTCAACCTACTCTACCGACTACGATTCAGGGAACCTTTGTGTGGTTCAATCAAGCGTACCGTATCTCGACACAACGCTGTTTACCTAATGTGGATCCTGGAAAACGGAGTCTCTTGCAATAACAAATAAATAGTGATCTCAAATATCTGTATGCATGGTTTATATCGGTGAATATAATGTAGATACTTAATAACTATATTTAAAGAATATATCATTCTCTTCTCTAGATTCTAAAAACCTTTTATACTCTTCTAATTCTTATTTGATTCTAGGTAGTTGAAGCAAAGTATGGTCTTGATTATACACAAAATGAAATCATCGATTATTTAGTAGCGATAGTCCCATGAAAAACCGCATAGGCGTTGTGAGGTCAGTATTTCTAAAGCGGCGTTAATTAGGGCTTCCCCAAATTAGGTCATCTATGTAACAAATGCTTCAAGACTTTTGAAATCTACTGGGAATAAACACATATAAACTTTACCAGTCTCCCTAGTTTTATTATTTCTTTGTGATCTTAAGAAAAAGATTATCGAATGCATTCTTGAGAGCATCGACGGCTTCCTCGCATATTTCTAGGAAACCATGATCAGTTGCTTTTCAACGTGAGGCAAAATGTAGCAGACTCACGATAATGAAACACTAAGCGAGGCCGTAGAATAGACAACCTTCTGGCTGCTGCTTCTTTTATGAGATCCTCCAAAGTGAAATCTAGTCCTTCAAAATCTAGCCAGACCATATTCGTCTCTGTAGGGAACTTCAATTTGCCTCCGTGTTTCTGCCATGTCGCTGCAATATCCCTTGCAATGAGATGCGTCTTTTCGAGAAAACCAGCAGAGAAGACCTCGTCAATAGCAACACGAGCAATGGCACACAACGGACCTGGTTGACGTATCCCTCCACCAATACTCTGTTTTATCCAACGCGCACGACGGACAACAGCTTCGCTACCAACAACAACAGCACCAGCAGGGGCCCCTAGGCCTTTAGCAAAGCACAAGGTCATTGTATCAAACAACGGACCGTAATCCGACAACGATCCTTCGCCGGAAGCAACGGCTTCCCAGAGCCGTGCTCCATCCAAATGCACCTGAATGCCATGTTGGTGCGCATAATTGCAAATCCGTCGGGTTTCAGCCAGCGGCGTGACCATGCCATGAAGTGTGTTTTCTAGTGATATCACCCGAGTCGGAGTTCTGTGTATCTGTTTGCCATCATCGAGTTGGATATGCGGTAATATATCTTCCAATGTCAGAAACCTCCCATTAGCGGGCTGCACAACTTGTGGTATGGCTCCGGTAAACGCAAATGCTCCCCCCGATTCGTTGTTCAGAATGTGGGAACGTGAATCACACAAAACTGCGTACGGAGGTTGTGTTAGAAGACTGCGCAGAGAAACGATGTTTCCCATTGTTCCAGATAGAACGAACAGACCGGCCGGTTTTGAGGTCAGTTTAGCCATATATTTTTGCAAGTCATCTGTAGTCGGATCAATTCCTGAGACATCATCTTCGAGGCTGGCTGTGGATAAGGCTTCCAGCATTGAAGCAGTTGGTCTTGTTCGCACATCTCCTGAGTAAAGCCATTAGGAAATAAGCTTGATATGTGCGTACACCATGGACTTACCACGAAAGTCAAATGCAGCTGTGTCGGGACACGACCATGTGTTGCCTTTTTCGCTCTTCTTGATAGACATTATCTCCGTAGATTGCAGCAGAATGGATTATAATGCTTGCAAAAGCTGTGATAATGGCATGTTTTACATATTTAAAGGCAGGGAGGATGAGAGCAGATGGATCGGACGGAATGTCACTTCCGCTGTTTCTTTAACCGGAGTTGATGGTCCGCGTAGGCACAATAGCAGCCTCTGGTTGACTTAATCAATTAGTGGAGATGTCGAGAATTGAAAGTGGCTAACCTATATCTAATTGAGATTAAATCCACTGGGTTACTAAGCGGAGTCCGTAGTAATGTAAGTTAACATTTTCTGGAAAACAATTTGACATCGTCACATTATCTCATCTCAATACACAAACTTGCGAATATCGTAGGGCTACCAGTACTTCTTCGACTACTCTTTCAAGTGCTGGTGGATATAGTATTATACGAATTCACTCCAAATACTGCTATAACGGAATGAAGAACCAGTTATATGACAAGGATAAATTCATCACGGCTTGATAGGCTATGGAGAAGGCCACAAAACGCATATCGTAAGGCGCATACCATCTTCGAAATCCAATCATGAGAAAATTCTACCTACTGACTACTATCACAGATGTCAGCGTTGCCGATTACGGAAAGTGAGTTTCGCATATTTACTCCCAGCGTCAAATACTTACATTAAATAAAAGGTTCGATGCAGTCGTGTTCACCCGTGTAGTACCTGCACGGCTGCTGGTGTTGAATGTATTTTCCGGGATGAAGAAACAAAACGCCGACCAGTGAGTCGCGAGTATGTGACTGCGCTTGAGAGAAAAGTTGGTTCATATGAGCAATTTGTCGCACAATTGCGAAGCGCTTCGGCGACTGAGCGAAATGAGCTTCTTGATCAGCATGAGCACGCTTTTCTCGGCCGTCAAACCAGCGATACACTTACCAAAACTGAGGATGGTGAATTTGACTATACAGGGTCTTCGCGACGGTCAACGATGTACATGCTTAACGAATCACCGGGTAAGATCACCATTTTCGAGAAGATGATTGAATCTAATTTTGTGATAGGCTCTTCCTCGTTCTATGGACCAACAAGTGTTTACCCAAAGGAAATCATGCCCCGTGAGTCCCTCCAGAACTCACCGGCCGCATCATATCGTACACTTGAAAGATGGCATGATGCTCGGCTGCATGAGAGCCTAAAGTTCAATCACGAGAACTTTCTGGCGGCACTTAAGTCATTTTTTGAATACCAGCACTCTCAATGCATGTTTATCGAAAGAAGCGCTTTCCTTCGTGACCACAATTCTCTCGATAATGACAGCAAGTACTGCTCCTTCCCACTGCTGTACGCAGCTTGTTCGTTAGGTGCAAGATCAGGCGACGCGCAACTAAACCAACACGCCGACTTTTTCTCACACGTCTCGCATGAAATGATAAGCAAAAACAGTATGGAAATTCCCCATCTGACCATCATTCAGACACTCTTGTGCTTGGCTCTTTCGGAACTTACTCAAGGTCATAACACTAAGGGGTGGATGTTGTCTGGTAAGCTTTGTCATCAATGCTGAGAAAAAGTGACTGCTAAGATACAGACAGGCATGGCATTTAGAATGACTCAGGATCTTGGACTGCATCAAGACCCGCGATTTATAGTGGATGACGACGTTACTGTTCAGAATGCCCAAGACCATGAGATTCGGAGACGAGTATATTGGGGCTGTTACACTATTGACAAGTGAGTGCGCCATGATTGAGTATGTATTGATTTTGTTTCCCTTCGCTAATAAGTAAACAGAGTTATCAGTCTCTTTTTCGGCCGGCCAATGTCCCTTCATGAAGAAGACGCTGCCGTGAATCTTGTTGATCCATCGATGTAACAATCGTTTCCATTGAACCATATCCTTTATCAACTAACAAGGTGCAACAGAAAACTCACCGAAGGCATTGAGATGAACGACTTCCTCAACTTAGAAACACGAGAAAAGATCAACGATCTGCTCTCTGTCTTACTGCTTCATTTTTCAGAACTGAGTAAAATTATTGAAAGTGTTCTATCACAGGTCTTCTCTACTAGAATGATAAAGAAGTCCCGTAAACAACTGGTGATGACACGACTGGAAAGACTAGAAGAGCTAAATCTGCGCCTGTTTCGATGGCAATCTGCCTTGCCAGAGGCTATCACGTGGAACAGATGGATGCAAAGAGCGGATGGTGTTGATATTAATATCCTCATTCTGCAGTAAGTTTTTCCATAAATGCTGAAGTGTCCATACTGACTTCCATTAGCATTTTGTATCATAGTACACTCATCTCCTTGAATCGCCACTTTATCCGTCCAACCCCTGGGTTTGCCCGCAAGAATCATTCGAGAGAGATTTGCATGACATCCGTGGATAGTATTATCGCTATTCTACGACATTATCGATTACACTGCTCACTTTCAAGAAGCCCAATTATACTTACGTACGGGGTAATAATGGCAGGGACTGCGCTTTGCTTTACACGAGAGATTCATACAAATGCAAATGACCCAGCTGGAGATGTTTCGACTTCTTTAGAGACCGAGATTGGCCACCAAGTCACTTCTATTGTGAAGATGTTGGAAGAGGCATCAGAGACATGCCCACCGGCTCGTGAAGCAAGTCTCAGGCTCAAGAAACGCTTTGGTATTTCCGATTCTCGACGGCAGGGTCAGCAATCGATATCACTCAGGCAGTTCCTAGGCAAACGGAAGAGGACACCCAACTCTTCCGGTACTCGGGACAATCACCCTAGCAAGCAAACGATAGATAACCCAGTTGATGATAACGATTGGTCCGGCGATACAATGGCATTAATGAGCTCAATGGATCCGGGGATATTAGAAATGATGCCAATGGACTGGCCAGACGTGGACAATGATGACTTTTGGAATTTACAAAATGTCGGAGAAGGACAGATATAGTCTAGATTATATCCATCGCTTTGAGAGTCTTGTTCTTTTTAGGTAGGAGCAAATACCAGGGTGTTCTGTAATGAGGAGTCTCGGAGTAGAAGTCGGAGCTTCTACTCCGACACTGTGCTATGTCGGAATTGCGACTCCGTGTTGTTTAGATAAAAGCCAAACCAACTTGTTCACTTTCATATAACATCTTTACAGACAATAACTAGAATAAGTGTCTAAATTAATCCGGCAAAATATGGCAAACAACACTAACGGTTCAGCTCATACTCACTCCTCAGCATTCAATGAGGGGTTCCTCAAAGTGAGCTCCATCCACAAATTACACTATGAACAGTATGGGAATGTAGATGGGAAGCCAGGTATGTTCAAGATGATTCAGCTCCTATCAAATAAATGACGAGATCTGACCCTGCGAAAGTGGTATTCCTCCACGGAGGACCCGGTGGAAGTACATCATTTTCAAATACCATCTACTTCAACCCCAATGTCTACCGCGTTGTCCTCTTCGACCAGCGAGGAGCCGGAAGATCAACTCCCTGCGCCGAGATCCAAGAAAACACTACTAAAGATCTCATCAACGACATCGAGTCCCTCCGCATACATCTCAAGATACCGAAATGGCACCTCGTCTTCGGCGGGTCGTGGGGCTCAACGCTCGCTCTACTTTATGCGCAAGCTCATCCGCACATGGTGGGCTCACTTGTCCTTCGAGGTATCTGTACGTGCCGCAAATTAGAGCGCGAATGGAATCGGGGCCCTGCTGGTGCTGCGCGGATTTATCCAGATGCTTATGAGCAATTTGTAAACTTTCTTCCGGAGGATGAGAGGCAGGATCCTATCAAGGGATACTATAAATTACTACTCTCTTCAAAGGCCGAGAAGAGACTTGCTGTAGCTCGGCAGTGGAATACGTGGGATATTACGATTGGCAGTCTGACACCTGATGAGAAAAGTTTTGAAAAGATTAATGATGATCAATGGTCGCTCAGCCATGCGTTGATTGAGACACATTACTTTGCGAATGGAGGGTGGATAGATGAGGATCAAATTATGAGAAAGGAGAACATTGACAAGATTCGACATATTCCTAGTAAGTATGAAAATGACGAAGTGTATCTTGATACTTTATGCTCACAAAAACCATAATAGCTACGCTAGTTCAGGGCCGATACGACATCATATGTGCTCCACAAACAGCTTGGGATCTACACAAGGCCTGGCCTGAAACAAATTTGATTTGGATTGCAGCTGCAGGACACAGTGTGAAGGTAAGAGTCCATATCTCGCTATCGGCCATTGTGAACATGAGCTAACATGATTCATATAGGAACCGTGTATCGAGAAGAAATTGATTGAGGTTTGTGATGAGTATGCGAGTCAGTCGTCTGAGTAAAACACAGAGTGCTACCAGCCGATCCATCGTTTGGGTAATGATATTGTCATGATAGAGCTATAATCCCTTGATATATGCATGTTACGCTATTTATATACAAAAGGCAAGGCCATTGCACTTGGTTGAGATGGCCTAGAGAGGAACCTCGACTTCTGAGATGACGGAATTGATGATCTGGTCAGGATCGACGCCTTTCAGTAGCATCGCTACGGAGCTCAAGTGACTTCCATATTGTAAACTCCTATCATCTTCGGGTTGAGCAACTACTATTCGATGACGGTAAACTTTCTTGGCAGCAAGGCACACGACAGACGGTGTGAGGTAGTCAATACCATGTAGTGAGGCGAGAGTCCTGTGCCTGTAAGTCAAGTGCTTTCGGTGTTTGACAGCTTGGTAATGAGAAACTCACTTCGCCACAGTCACGAAATATTTAGTAGCCTTAGCAGACATACCACCTGCGACAGCACGGTTGAGTCTTAAAAAGACTACAATGTTATGCAAGTAGCGGTTGACCTCGGCCGAGACAGATACAGTATCACTTAACAAGCGTAAATGCAGTATTATCTAACACTTACATTAGGAAGGGACCAGCTATCGGAGGTTCGTACGATAGACATAAGCTCACCTGTTCGGATATTTGTCTGTGGTCGGTACCAGCATTGTCGTTGTACGCTTGCGGTCTCCTCACAACTGAAGACAAAGATGCTTGGTCATCCGTGGGCCACCCATCATCTCCTTCAAGATTTGGTAAACCCGCGTCAATCTCGTGAAAATGGGAAAAAAGAAAGAAGTCATTCTGTTCCTCGTTAAAAAATCTCTATGAAAGTTGATATGATAATACCAACCAAATGCTTGTTCAAGCGGACGCCGCGTCCGGCAGCGTCATCATACCCAATAACAGGTATGAATAAGAATGTTTTTTGTGTTTTATGAATTGACGTTCTAGTGTATATGTGTTTAGAGCGAATTAACTACTCAGAGATCAGTATACAGAATTGAACGAGGTATTGGTTCGCATACCTCTAATGTCTGAATCTGAATTTCTGAAGAAACTTGGTCCAGATTTTTTGCAATGACTACATTGACAATTTTTCTTTCATCAAGATGCGGTCCAGTCTGAAATGAGGCGAGAGGCTAGAAATGTTAGCAAGCAGCCCACGAAAAGTCCGGTGAGTCATATTTACATTAGATGAAAGGCTTCTTTTTGCGTCAGAGACGAGAATGCCTTCGCTAAACTCGTCGATAGATGTCGCAGATGAGCAGTCGAGAACAGCATAAGATAAACCAAACTTATTTTGACATATCTGTACTGAGTTAGCATGTGCGATCGGCTGTTGGAAAAGAGATCGACGGTACCAAAGCGAGCTCTCCGGCAACATTATCAACATTAACTATAGGCGTCTCAACCACACAATGTTCTTGACAAATAAGAGCAAGTAAAATGGCAAGCTCGAGGTCGGTCAATTCAGATACCAGGTCTTGTATGGCGAATGAATCCATGGATGTATTATACCCCGTGGGTGTCGTAGGCACCACAAGAAAACAGAGCTATCAGTTTTCTCATTCAGCCCACATCATAAATCATGACTCTTCATACCACCATACCATGAAGATAGATGGGAAGTTATTGAGATGTTGAAATTGATGTTGATATAAGCGTTCCCACTGGACAACGCAGAAGCGGACAGATGTGGCTAAGCCATTCTGAGATTAGCGCAGTACTAGCGCAGGGATCCTAGGGCTTAGCGGCGGTCTGTATGTTGACGTAGCTCCTTTCCGTCCCCAAACATCCATCCATGCTTCCACGACGCCTGTGTAGCGTCTTGATGGCGCTGTAGTTGCTCTATCAGTCATGGCCCCTCCGAATCCGCGCGCTGATTGGGAGCGTCTGGGCGATCGATTCTACCAAAAGACCAGAATTTACGATGGCGTCTTTGATGAAGACCTAGATCTCGAGAACTATGTCGTTGCTGCAGCACCCTACGCTGGTGCGCTGGGTAAGCTCCTATGGTCGTATTCTTCTTCCAAGAGCAAAGATTAATAAGTTGCGAAGCACTCCATCGAAGTGAGAGTAAGGTGTATAGGTATCGGGATGCACAAACCGCCAAATCAAGCATAGACATTTACTCCTTTTCGGGACAATTGATCAGTCGACTCAATGTATGTTTTTTGTGTCCCAGAAGATCTCAAGTTTTTCTAACACATTTGCAGTGGGATAATGGAGCTATCAGAGGAATGGGCTGGTCTGACAACGAAGAGCTGCTGGTTGTCGACGAAGATGGTACTGTTCATCGCTACTTTGGTCTTCATGGCGACTTTGCACCTTTCTCATTAGGCAATGTACGTGTTATTTACCAGTGATGACTCAGCTTGCTAACCCTTCTGACAGGGAGCCGAGGAGTACGGCGTTCGCGCTTGCCGTTTCTGGTCGTCTGGTTTTGTTGCACTTTTGTCAAACAACCAGCTGATTGCTGTATCCAACTACAAAGAGCCTAGACCAAGACTACTAGCTGCCTCACCAGAAGGTGAAGTCTCATCGTGGAACCTGATTCCTCCAGCTCATACACTGTCTCGCACAGTGGAAGTGCTCCTGGCTGTCGACAAAACGTTATATGTGGTTGATGCGACAGAAGCAGAAGACCGAATGCTAGAAAGCGGCCCCTTCAAACATGTTGCTGCCTCGCCTTCAGGTAATGCAGTAGCACTATATACTAGTGACGGTAAAGTATGGATCGTGAGTAGTGATTTCCAGAACAAATACAGCGAGTACGACACAAAGTCCAAGACAGCTCCGATTACTCTGGAATGGTGTGGCGACGAGGCCGTCGTCCTTGGCTGGGAAGATGAAATACATCTTGTAGGAAGCAACGGAGCATCATCCAAGTAAGTACAGTTGGTGAGAGACTCAGATCGCGTTATATTGACTGGTTTAGGCATTACTATGATGAACGAGTGCATGTATTACCGGAATTCGATGGTGTTTGGTTATTAACGAACGAGTCATGCGAGTTTTTTCACAAGATTTCCGGTATGACTTATAACTCGTTTCATGATGCGAAATGCTGACTGAGTGAAGCTGTCACTGAGGATGTTTTTCGACTTGGTTCGACATCACCGGCATCCGTCTTGCTGGATTCAATCGATCTTTTGGAAAAGAAATCACCAAAGGTCGATGAGAACATGCAGCGTATCCGTCCTAGTCTACCGGAAGCTGTGGACACCTGTGTCAGAGCTGCCGGTCAAGAATATAACACAATCTGGCAAAAGCGACTTTTGAAAGCTGCATCTTTTGGAAAGTCTGTCTTGGAGCTCTACAATAGTGACGAATTTGTTGATATCACAGAAAGACTCAGGGTATTGAAAGCGGTTCGAGATTTCGAAATCGGCATGCCCATCTCTTCAGAACAGTATCTCCGTCTAACTCCTGAGAGATTGTTAGACCGTCTCATCAATCGTCACCATTACCTGCTGGCAATTCGCATTTCTGAGTATATACGCCTTCCTACCGACAAGATTTACGTTCATTGGGCAAGTCAAAAGGTCAAGGTGTCTACTGCCGATGACGACTCTGTGTGCAAGTTGATCGTGCAAAGATTGGAAGGAAAGTCGGGCATTTCTTTTGAAAGCATCGCTCAATCCGCTTATGATGAAGGTCGAGCTCATCTTGCTACACAACTTCTCAACTATGAGCCACGGGCAGGAAAGCAAGTGCCTTTGCTTCTCAATATGGAGGAGGATAGCATTGCTCTTGACAAGGCCATGGAAAGTGGAGACCCGGATCTGATCTACTATGTCCTGCTTCATCTGAGGAAGAAGCTTCCGCTGTCGACATTTTTCAGAACTATCAACGACAGGCCTGTCGCGGCTGCGTTGGTCGAAACATCAGCGCGGGACAGCGATGTGGAGCTGCTGAAGGATTTATATTACCAGGACGACAGACCTATTGATGGATCTAATATACTTATTTCAGAGGCGTTGTCACGGAACGATGTTCACACGAAGATAGACAAGTTGGGTTTGGCCTCTCGTGTTTTGACTGACGCAAAAGATGCCGCCACACAATTCCAACAGAAGTCTATCCTTGAGGCCACCCAGCTTCTTCGAGTGCAGGAGGGGCTCGATAAAGAATTATCTGATGGTCTTGAATTTGTCGGCCTCAGCCTCAATGAAACAGTCTACCGACTGATCAAGTCCGGCTTTGGGAAGAGAGCACAAAAGCTCTACAGCGATTTCAAAATGACCGAGGCAACATTCTGGTGGATTCGCTTGAGAGCTTTAGTTGCCAAGCGAGACTGGGGAGAATTAGAAGAGATATCAAAGATGAGGAAGTCACCTATTGGTTGGGAAGTAAGCTTAAACAAGAAATGTTCATTCTGCGCTATATACATAATTGCTAACGTCTAAATAGCCCTTCTATGCCGAAGCCTTGGGAGCAGGGAACACAAAAATTGCATCGACTTTTGTTCCTAAATGCACCAACTTGACCGTCGCTGAGAGAATCGAGATGTGGATGAAGTGTGGTATGATCGTCAAGGCAGGAGAAGAGGCCTTACGAGCCAAGGACTTTAACACGCTGGAAGTCCTAAGAACAAAGGCTTCTGGGGCTGCATTAGGCGAGATAGATCGCATGATTAATCAACTCCGGCCCAGGAAATAAGTCTAACCCAAATAACGCCGAATATATCCTCCTTTATTCTTTTTCTTCACTCTATGAGTAGGGCGATTTCAAGTAATGTTGTCATCATCATCGGCAGCGATAGGTTCGGTCGGCGGCAAGGAACTTGCGACGGGTGTCGTGACGGCAGGKTTGTTGAAGATAATGGGAGCAGCTGATGAGATTTTTTCGTCTTCTTCCATGCGCTCATCGTCGTTGTCTTGTGTTTGCTGAAGAATCTTCGCCGCCTTGGCCTGCTTGCCTTTCAAATCCTCCCATTGTACCTGTAATCAGAGAGCTGAGCAAGTATCCTAGAGTATCACATTGACGCCATCGACATACCTTGCGCGCAGTAACTACCTTCGTATAGGATGTTTTTGCCTTCTCAACCTTGGTTTCCAATCGATCGAAAAGCACCTCTCCTCTCTCGATTCCTTTCTGTTGGCGGAGACGTTGTGATCGGGTCAACTTTTTGTTGGCTTTCTTCTTCGAGATACCGGCGTTAGCGTGCGCCGCGAGAACGCCGGTTGCTTTTGTTGGTGCCTCTACTCGAGGCACTGATTCCAAGGATCTGTCGACATCGGAAGGAGAGGTGCCTCGGCGGGCAGCACGAGAGTGGACAGAGGTGGCTGTTCATTGATATTAGTTCAGCTGATAACAAGACGGATCCTGTTCGTATAGCTCTTACATTTCTTCTTGAGTTTGCCCGTTCGCGCCATAATGAATATAATGATATTGTTAAATGGTAGTGACGAGACTCGAAATCTGCAGTGTGGGGAAATTTCGAATTGTTTATCGATAAAAAAGTTTTTACGGCACAACAGAAAGACCAACAGTGCAGTTCCAACTTGCCGCAGCTTTCAATTGTTGCCATCTCCGCAGTCTTTGCTCTGCCACCACCGTCTCAACCTGGTATCATGACCTCTTTGTCCGTGCACCCTTTTCTAATTTTTGCGTTTCTGAAAAGCATGAGTCTTGACATACAATGAAGCTTTTCCGCAAATGATCGACTATATCCCCCTCGCTCCGAAGTTGTTTCTTCTCGCTTTGTTCTCGCCATGTGTGGTTATGGTTTCACTTTAGACTCATATCCACCTATGTTCCCCGACGTCTTTCAAAATGACTTCACATCGCAGAATCCGCAAGGCACATTATTTCTCGTCGGAGCCTCGATAATCTTACTGTATCTGATCGTCCCGCACCTGGGACCACTACCTAGTATCATCGCCTATCATCTATGGAACGCGTTCGTCTACATCATTCCATCTCGTATCGTTGCTGCGCTTGATGCAGAAAGCAAAGACCCTTCATCAGCTCGTGTTACGTCGGCATATTCGAGTCTTTACGAAAAGGGACAGGCCATGCGCCGGATAATAGGGTTTGATAAGGGCTCTTTGGATTCCATATTGCCGCGTGCGCGAAGGCTCTCGAGTATAGGACCGTCATGGCTCAGCGGCAAAGACTTGGTTCCGCCTGGTCTGGGAAACTGGGATAATAGCTGCTACCAGAACAGTGTTATACAGGGTTTGGCATCTCTCCGATCGTTTGCGAACTACCTGGATCGCAACATCCACAAACTAGACGTACGAGGCCGACTCTCGACTCACCATGCCCTTAAAGATATTTTGGAGCGGCTGAATGATCCAGGCAGTCATGGACAGAGACTCTGGATACCATCGGAACTTAAATCGATGAGCAGCTGGCAGCAACAGGACGCCCAGGAATACTTTTCTAAAATCGCGGATCAACTCGATGTAGAGGTCCGGGAAGCTTCAAAAATGCTTACGACTAACTTGGGGTTGAAAACAGCGGATCAACGAGAGAATTTTCTGGGTGTATCAAAGAATGATGACGAGAAAGTAGTGAAAGGAGGTATCGAGCAGCCAGATATCATGCATAATCCTTTGGAAGGACTTCTTGCACAGCGCGTTGGTTGTATTCGCTGTGGGTGGACCGAGGGTCTATCTTTGATTCCATTCAACTGCTTGACAGTTTCTCTGGGGAAAGGCAAAGAGTACGATATTCGAGACTGTCTTGACGACTACATGGCTTTGGAGACCATTGAGGGCGTGGAATGCGCAAAATGCACGCTATTACGTACGAAAGACCAGCTCCATCGTCTACTCGAACAGATCGAAGAAGATGACAATATCGTCAAAGGGCCTCAGGCGGCAACTGTGGCATCGACTTTGAAGAGTTCTGCTGAAACACGACTGCAAGCCGTTCAAGAGGCTTTGGATGAAGAGGACTTCACGGAAAAGGTTTTGTCCAAGAAATGCCACATCCCGTCAAAGAACAGAGTTTCAGTGACCAAGTCCCGTCAAACAGTCATCGCCAGAACGCCGAAGAATTTAGTCATTCACGTCAACCGAAGTGTCTTCGATGAAATAACTGGTGCTTTACGAAAGAATTCCGCCGCTGTCAGATTTCCTGCCTCTATCGACCTGGGTGAATGGTGTCTCGGTACGCGTGACGTTGGAAAGGAGGATTCTGTAGAGGCCTGGAACACAAACCCGCAAAATTCGATGCTTCCAAAAGCAGTGGAAATTTCTCCGCGAAAATATGAGTTACGCGCTGTCTTGACGCATTATGGCAGACACGAAAATGGGCATTATATTTGCTACCGGAAGTTCTCGACACGGCACTTCCCGGGTGGTGTTCCTGAAGATGTGGATGATGAGAAGAAGGTGACCCATCGTTGGTTCCGGCTCAGTGATGAAGACGTTCATATGGCTAGTGAACGCGAGGTATTCGACCAAGGCGGGGTTTTCATGTTGTTCTATGAGTGTGTTGATGAGACGCAATACACCTCTGAAGAGGTGCCTAAGAAGGACATTGGCGTGGAAAGTGAACAAATATCCGAAGAAACAATTCAAAGACCTGATCAAGATGATCTCAAACAATTTAGAGACGTCTGCGCTCCAGCCTTTGGCACAAATGGAACATCTTCTCCCGGCTCTGCAACCTCAGATATCAGCATGGATTCAGACTTCTCATCCGCCCGTCTAACCCAAAGCTCGTCGGACATATCGAACCCGATTCTTGAACTTGATGAGGTAAAACAGGAACTGCCTCATGATCATCTGACTGCAGCTTGATTATATATATTTTTGCTACTTGATACCCATTTTTTTGCCTTCAGAATACGCATGTTCTTTCCCGAACACTTTACTTTCATACAATGCTACTGTTACCGTTGACAAATCGGCGCTTTGGCTTCTACGATCCTTGACCATCTTGAATTGATAAAGTTCTAGGACTGCTTGATGCCATAATATCGTAGCCGTAAAATCAGCAGATTAGATAACCTCCTCCAACTCCCCGTCATATTCCGAAGCGATGCAAACACCATATCCTTTGAAACGCCGCATCCGTATAAAGCCATAGCAAATAACCACAAAATCAGAAAACTCCCGCTCTGGCCATCACATCCCGGAACTGCTCCAATGTCACTCCCTTCTGCAATCCATCCCCACCATTCGCCTCCCGAATCATATCTTTCAACAAATCATCTCCAACATTATCTTCTTTCAAGTCTCGCGCTATCCGTCGCAGGTGATGGAACGTGATGGGTCCATCGGAGCCCTGTGTGAAAAGACGGTATGCGGCATCAACCTCTGCATCGAGCGCATCGTCGCCGCGCATGTGCAGTTTTGCGGCTGCCACGGACACGAAAGCGTCGTAGGTCACGAAGCCCGTTGAAGTAGGATCGACGGCGGCGACAATAGAAGATAGTTCTGATGCTGAGTCGGGCGGGAGACCTAGCGCTCTGTTTTTCCCAGTCAGTCGTTCGTAGCTTTAATAAGTAGAGCATTTATAGGGCGATGGACATACACAAGAGCACGCCGCACATCCCTCGTTCGCATCACGCCTTCCTTCTCATCTTTGAATTCCTCATTCTTGTCCGCAAAGAGTCCAAAGGCTTCCTTTATCTCATTCTCTTCCTCGGCGGTAATGTTATTCTCCTTTGCGAGCTTGGATTGGCGGGCTTTTTTCTCTTTGGGAGCTGCGGGGGGGCCTCTTCGTTTGGGGGGCTGATCAGTAGAAAGATGGTTAGTAATAGTAATGTGTATCGAAAGAGAGAATGTTCTCGAAAGATGAGGAGAGCTGACCATGGTAATTCTGTGTGATGCGACTTAGTAGAGAATAGACATGGTGGATGAGTTCATGCCATGTGATGAGGGGCGGAGATAAAGAAGGAGAAACGCCGACGGACGGGCACCGGATGAGAATTAGCTCGATAGCTGCCTGCCACATTTAAGAAGCTCAGCATCAACTATCTTGAGCGCAAAATTAGACACGGTCTTGTCGTATCATCTTTGAGCTCTAAAGATGGATGTGGAACTCTATATTTATGATCTCTCCGGAGTAGGTACGTTCCAGCCATGCAGTTGTTTTGGATCATGCTAACCAAGGTTTCAGGGTCTGGCACGTATGGTAAGCCATCGGAGCGGTTGAAAATGTGGTCAAAGTCTGACTTGTCTAGTATTCCATGTCCTTGACTGGAATCCAGATTGATGCCATATATCACACTTCACTAGTTTTTGGAGGTGTAGAGTACTTCTTTGGACAGGGTCTTCACAGGACTGTGCCTGGGACGACGCATCATGGACAGCCCATGGAAAAGCTTCATATGGGACGGACGGAGTTGCCGATTGAAGTTATTCATGAGTATCTAGAGTCTTTAGCGCAGATTTATACTCCGGAGGTAGGTATTCGACCAGTACTCTATATAAATGATCTTGAAAGCTGACTTCTGACAGTCATATGACCTGTTTATGCACAACTGTAACAACTTCACACAAGATCTATCCATGTTCCTTCTTGGAAAGAGCATTCCTGAGCACATCAAGTCTCTGCCCAAAACATTCTTGAGTACCCCTCTTGGGCAAATGCTACGGCCGCAGATCGACAGAGCGATGCGTGGCATCACACAAGCAGACCCAGGCCAACAGATACCAGCCCCGGCTACACAGATGCCCCGGATACCTCAGCAGTCTGCAATATCCGCTGCATCTGGGACACCACAAATCAAAGGTTATGTTAGGAACGTCACCAACCTGAGAGAATTAGACGAACAGCTCTCTCTCGCCACAAACTCCTGTGCCTGTATTTTCTTCACTTCCTCAACTTGCGCTCCCTGCAAAATAGTATACCCAGCATATGACGAACTCGCAGAAGAAGCCGGTGACAAAGCCGTTCTCATCAAAGTCGATCTCAACAAAGCATTTGATGTCTCGTCACGATACCAAGTCCGCGTCACGCCGACATTTATGACTTTCCTCAAGGGCAAAAAGGAGCATGAATGGAAAGGAGCAAACCCGGCTGAGCTTAAGGGCAATATTCGGCTGTTAATACAATCTGCTTTTCCGCCTCATCCTCATACCGGGCTACGCCTGCCTAGTTTACAGAGACCGGTTACGAATTATGTGCTTTATACACGAGTGCCTCCAATGGAGAAGCTACTACAAAAGATCGGCTCATATCAGCATGATCCTACGATAACAGATCTGATTGAGTTTATCAAGACGAGGTCGACGGCACCTGCTGATACGCCCGTGCCGAATCTTGCTTTCCTGGCTCAGTTTATACAATCAACACTTCCGTCCATCCCCAAGGATAGCCTATTTGCGCTTGTTGACTTGATCCGAGTTGCATTTGTCGATCCTCGCGTAAGCGGCTACTTTGCGGAGGAGTCAGGCCACAAGACTCTGTTGGCTCTACTTTCTCCATTGTCTGACCTTGCCTCTTGCCCCTATAATTTGCGCATCGTCATGCTTCAGCTCGCATGCAACTTTTTCACCTCACCATTATTCCCACAGCAGATTACCATAAATGAGAAACTACGCGAGATGTGCCTTCGATTACTCACGGGCTGTCTCTTGGATAGCCACACGAATCTTCGAGTGGTTGCAGCATCATTTGCGCATAACCTAGCGGCGTATAACCACAACGAACGATTCGCGAATCGACCCGATAAACTGACCGAAGAAGATCAAGTCGAAATCGCAGCGTCGCTGGTTGAAGCAATCAACACTGAGGAAGAGAGCGTGGAGGCGCTGCACGGGTTCCTGTTCGCGCTGGGGTTGTTGCTGTATGAAGCCCCCGTTGACGGCGGGTTGATGGATCTCTGTCGGGCGATGGGCATAGCGGAGTCAATCACGGCGAAGAAGCAGATTGAGAAGATGAAGAACGAGCCTTTGCTGAAGGAAATTGGGCAGGAGCTGTTCGTCAAGGGATTGAAATAGTAGATTTTAACCTATAAATCAATAGAATGTTCAAGTAAGTTGAAGTAACCAAGTACTTATCTAGGCTTATCGCCGTAGCAACCGGAGTGGCCAGCTGGCTGCCGCTAACCAGATTCGGCAAAATCAAAACGATTTATGATCGAGCTATCACCACCGCCATTATCCTGGTTTTTATTGATGACGATAGCTGTTTATATATCTGAAATACTTTTTGTTGTTTATTTTATAATCTTGAGTTGTTGCTTAGAGAGAGTCAAGACGACATCGTCGATTAACACGTGCGGGGTTTCCTTGTGAGTAAACATTCCTTGTTTGACATCAACCGCTTACCCTCCAATTCTATAGACTTCAGTACCACCAGACGAGTGCTCTCCTCTCTACCTAGATAGAAGCCATCTCTGTCATTTTCATTACCCGAGGAAGCAAAGAACCCAGGATACCATCCAACACACTCTATCACGAGACAGAAAAGGTACCGTAATAATAGGGACTCCAACGTCGCATTTTTCTTTATCATCTTCTACCACCCCCTCTCTATAATACTGGAAGCCCAGACAATCTCTCATGTACCACTACTACATTATCCGTCAACGCGATACACTCGCTCTTGCCGTGCAATTATTGAAGGGATCCAACAGGGAAATCACAACCATGATGACGCACGAGGCGCGCCTATACAACACCGACAGCCGGCTCTCGGAGTACCAGCAATTCGCGCATTCGTCGACGAATTCGATTTCGGGTGTCTCGGAGATCAGCGGTAGTACGGCGGCGACGAGCATGTCGATGATGTCTTCTGCGATGATGATGATGCAGCAACAACAGCAAAAGTCTACGGCGTCGAGTCCATCGCTGAGGTCGAGGGAAAGTGTTATTGTGTCTACGCAGGGAATTCGGCCTGCCAGTCCTTCGCCGGGTGGAAATGTGAAGGTTGTGGTGAGGGTGAGGGGGTATTTACCACGAGGTGAGAAACTCCAATATACGCGTTCGAAATGAGTTGTCTAATATGTTTGTCCGGAGATAGAAATAGAAAAAGGGTCTGAATGTCTTATATCGATGAATCCATTCACAMAAGCCACTACACTCCACGCACCAGAAGTCGATTCATCCAAGCCCCGATCACAAGCACGAGGCAAAGTATACGAAGACAAAACATTTACCTTTGACCGATCTTTTTGGTCTCACAACGAATCTGACGAGCACTATGCAGACCAGGAAGAGGTATACAACTGTCTAGGTGAAGAGTTCCTGGACCACAACTTTGAGGGTTACCACACGTGTATATTCGCATATGGCCAGACTGGATCGGGTAAGAGTTATACTATGATGGGTACACCGGAACGGCCAGGGTTGATACCCAGGACATGTGAGGATCTCTTTCAAAGAATTGACGAGGCTCAATCCGTGGACACTACATATCATGTTCGGGTTTCGTATTTTGAGGTCTATAACGAGCATGTTCGCGATCTCCTCGTGCCACGAACAGAACCACCGCACTACCTCAAGATTCGCGAGTCGCCTACAGACGGGCCATACGTCAAGGATCTTACGGACGTCCCTGTGAGAAGCTTTGCGGATATAATGAAGCTAATGAGGAAAGGAGACATGTCCAGAACAGTTGCGAGCACCAAGATGAACGATACTTCGTCTCGATCACATGCTGTGTTCACCATCATACTCAAACAGATCCACCATGACTTGGCGACAGATGAGACAACCGAGCGAACGGCGAGAATACGACTTGTTGATTTGGCTGGATCTGAACGTGCCAAAGCAACCGAGGCGACAGGACAGAGACTCCGAGAGGGCTCGAATATCAACAAGTCGCTGACCACATTGGGACGCGTGATCGCCGCATTGGCTGACCCTAAGCAACAACGACCCGGTGGACGAAGAGTGAAAGAGGTTGTTCCTTACCGTGACTCAATTCTGACCTGGCTACTCAAAGACAGTCTTGGTGGAAACTCGAAAACTGCAATGATAGCTTGTGTTGCACCATCAGACTACGATGAGACTCTTTCTACCCTGCGATATGCCGACCAGGCCAAGCGAATTCGCACTAGAGCTGTTGTAAACCAGGATCATGTCTCCGCAGCAGAGCGAGATGCGCAAATTGCCGAAATGGCCGAGCAGATCCGCGTTCTTCAATTGACAGTCAGCCAAAATGCAGCAAGCAAACGCGAGAGCGAGGTTCAAAACGAGAAGCTAGAAGAGTACCAGCAACAAGTCGAAAAGATGCAGCGTTTGATGGAAGAAAACAAGATGGTCAGTGAATGCAAGATTCGGCAACTCCAGACTGAGAATGAGGCGCTCCGAAATCATTTGAGACTCGCACTGGATAGTCTGAAGAATCCAATTCCTGCTATTCCGCTGCGTAAACGCGAGACCAGTCTTGGTTCATTGCAAAGCGAGGAGCCTCCAATAGAAGTTGTTCCCCCAGAGCGAGACATGATCACACCACCGCCGCCGGAAGAAGAGGAAACCAGCGGAATCTGGGAAGACGAAGACAGCTCTGACGAACATGACGAGGAAGCGCATGAAGTGCAAGCCGATATGGAGAATCTGTTGAACGAACTCAGTATGTTTAGACGAAAGCTGAATGATGACTATGAGCGATTCGAGATCACCAAAATAAAAGACACTCGAAAGCGCTTTCCATTCGGCAAGCTGGTCAACAACGCCCATTGACGTCTATGAACTGGTCATGCATTGACTTTATCAGCAGCGGAGTCTTGTTTATTGTTTTGTTATTTTGATGCATTCTACAAGTAAATACCCTCCAAGGCGGTGATCATGCATCTTCACTAGATGCATGACGCTGTCCTTTTCTTTTCATTCCCCTTCTTGTTTTATTTTTCATGTTTATCATTCCTGTAAAGCGTACAAAGATTGAGCGTTTAGCAACGATGAATTTATTCCGGATTCCAGTATCGAGTTAGCTGCATCTTGTACGTCTTGTATGTAGATTAGGTTACCCGCGCTAAGCTTGGCGGGTTGTGCGGAGCCGCCATGGCGGGACACTCCTTTAAAAATAATTGAAGCATGAGTCACTTTCATCCCTCATTGCAACATCGTCTTCTCGCCAACACAAATCCAACTCCGCAAATTCAAACTAATACTGCTAAATATCATCGCAACATAAAATCGAGCATCGACCGAATATCAGGCATGAGCAGTCCTGGCCAGTCGCAGGCYCCGCCTGCCACTGCACCACAAAACCCTCCTGCAACAGCAGCGAACGGCGCATCGCAACCTCCCACAGAAGACGCCCAAAATGGCGCGAACATCAAATCCAAAGCACCCAGCAACAACCAGAAAGGAAAACAACCACAGAAACCGAAAACGAGCGACGCACCTGCTGCCGCCGATGGATCGTCGGAAAAACTGACACCTGCCGAGATGAAGAAGAAACAAAAGGCTGAGAAGGCTGCCCGTCGGGCGCGCGAAAAATTGGAGAGAGAAGTTGGTGGTGCTGGACCTAGTGGTGCTCAGCAGGCTGCTACACAGGGAGGTCCGGTCCAAACACCCAGAAAGCCTCAGCAGGGTGGCAGAGATGGGCCGGTCCCAACACCTAGAGGACTAAAATACCCCGGTGGCCCTCGTGCGGCAGTACCAGCGCCAACCGAAACGAAAAAGAAGGAAGACAAAAATGTCGCGGTCTTTGGACATTTGTACGGCATCCCCAGACGGTCGACTATTGCAGGTGCAGCGAAGGAGGTTCMCCCCGCCGTTTTGGCGTTGGGATTGCAAATTCGGGACTATGTTATTTGCGGTAGCAGCGCGCGATGTGTTGCAACTCTGATTGCATTCAAACGGGTATGTTAAATTCATAGTCTATCATGGATAAAACTAATCATCTAGGTTATTGAATCGTACACTACGCCAATCGGCACATCTCTCGCTCGCCATCTCACAACCCACCTTTCTCACCAGATTACCTATCTGTCCACCTGCCGTCCTCTCTCCATCAGCCAGGGAAATGCCATCCGCGCCCTCAAACTGTCCATCTCTTCCATCGACCCCTCTGTCCCCGAAGCGACCGCCAAAGCAGAGCTGTGCGAATTCATCAACAACTTTATCCGCGAAAAAATCACCGTCGCCGACCAAGTCATCGCCGCGAGCGCAACGCAAAAGATTCAAGATGGCGATGTCATTGTTACATTTGCGGGAAGCTCAATTGTGAAACAGACCTTGATCACAGCACACAAACAAGGGAAGAAATTTAGAGTGTCGATTGTCGACTCGCGGCCTCTTTTCGAAGGCAAGAACCTCGCTCGCGCATTGTCTAGTGCCGGGTTGGAAGTCCAGTATTCGCTTATACATGGCATAAGTCATGCCATGAAAGACGCTACTAAAGTATTCCTCGGCGCCCATGCCATGACTGGTAATGGACGTTTATACTCCCGCGTCGGCACCGCGCTGGTAGCCATGTCCGCCAAAGAACGATCTGGCGGTGCTGAAATCCCGGTCATAGTCTGCTGCGAAACAATCAAGTTCACGGACCGCGTAGCACTTGACAGTATCGTCGTCAATGAAATCGCGGACGCAGATGAATTAGTCACAACGCAGCCCTTGCAACAAGTCACCGGCCGTCCAGACCCACACAAAACCGTCGACGAGAAACCAGGAAAGAAAGGAGGAAATACTCAATCCGTGAACGATGGACTCGCAAGTCTGACCCTCGACCAGAACGCGCCATCACCCTTGAGCGGGTGGAAAGATACGCCGAACCTGCAACTCCTCAATATTATGCACGACGTTACACCGGCAGAGTATGTAGATATGGTAGTTACGGAGATGGGTAGCTTGCCGCCTAGCGCAGTCCCGATTGTGCATCGCATGAGCACTAATGCCTAGGCATATGACATCTGGGCGAGTTGTGTAGCTGTACTATGAATTCGAGGCGTTGGGACGGGGGTTTATTGTATTGATAGACAGCTATTCCTGGCAACTTTTTTCGGCTTGCATGTTTGATAGGCAGTATTCTCGAAATCAGCTACTTACTAGTCATGCAATTTACGTCTCAGATTGTAGATGATTTATTGATAGTAGATCGGACCGATAGATCTGATGTCACCCCGCATTAACGTCGATAGATAGGCGGCACTACGCGGCAGAATGAATGTTTTTATATCAATCTTCGAATGTCGTTTGATGACAATCTCTCAGTATCTGCATAAAGAAGAGTGTGCAACTATCGAGATACCCTACAAATTCTTCTTACACGGTATTCTGGAGCATAGAGTCCAGGGGAAATTATTCAAACCCAAAACGCCTTTAACAAACCGAACGTTTAGTGATCAGTTACTACTCGGCGTTTTAAAATGGTATTCACCACCTAATCCAGCACTCCATTCTCTACTAAATCAATACTATAGTCTAAAGACTCTTCCTCAACATACCTACACATGCACCACCCGCGTCTCGCCGATCAATTCGAAGACTTCACTCGCCCTCACACCTCCCTCATAACCGCCTCCAACGCATCCCTCAACGGCCCAACGACAACAACAGGCACAACCACAACTACCGGGCCCAACGGGACAACCGTAACGGTGACCTACGGCGCAACCACAACGCCCTCATCCACAATCCCGTCATACTTACCCATCGAAGAGGTATATCTCCCGCCTCATTACCAGCCCATAAACCCCGAGGATGAGGATGACGTCGTCCCCGATCAACATGCGGCGTTTGGGATTGCGAGGGCTATGGATGCCGCGGAGAGAAGGAGGGTGGAGCCCGTATGGAGGGATCTGGGGATGAGGGAGTTGGTGAGGGGGGAGACGTTGGCGGGCGGAGGKGCGCAGAGGATGGCGATTAGGACCGTGGGTAGGAGGGGCAATGGTACTGGGGCCTCGACGACTGGTGCGGGTGTGTCGTTGGGATCGGGTGCGGCGGCCGGGTTGGTGAGGCAATCGGGGAGTTTGATGGGTGGGAGGAGAGTTACGTGCCTGCGCTGATGCTGTATCCAGCTCCTCGAATCTAAATGATGCGGATGTTTTATGATTACATATTTAAGCGTGGAGTTTGGCGTTTGGGAAAGGCAGCCCATAGAAGGAATCATTACATATTGTTATTTCAAATATTCCAGCTTTGACTTTAAAGCTAATCCATGCAGCTCTCCAAATCCAGTCCATATATCGCAATCCCATAAACGCCATGCCTGTTGCACAAAAACGAGGACTGGAGAAATGACTATATGCGCACAATATCAACTCGAGCCCTCTCGAACACCTTATGACTAAGCTGCTTCTCTTGTCGCTCCTCCTCAGATATGCTTCGAGGATACAGAGCCATGTTGGCATAAGTGCCAGCTGCTCGACGCTTAGATAGAGTCCCTGGATTGATGACGAGGACACTTTCGACGACCTGACGAAAAAGTTACTAACAATGCAAAGCGGGTATCTTAGGGGTAAAACTAACCTTCACAAAAGGTGGAAGCATACTAGGTGTAATCAATATATCAGGACGGACGTTCAACCAATCTCCCAGTTTCAAATAGCTGACATCCATCATCCCGCCAATGGGAAGCATACTATCCGGGCCGCCGGACTTGGGCAGTGTATCTCGCGAAGAAGGGGGGAACATAGGCGCAAAGTGTCGTTGCTCAATGATGTACCTGGGCAATCGTGTCAATAGGTTCGCTTCTGCTGGTCGTCCGCCGAGAACTTCTTCTTTTCTCAAGTCATATAAGACGTCATGCGAGCACATCCCTATCACGCTCTCGTTGAGGGATAGTGTCACTGGGTTTGAAACGACGCGGGCTTGCTTGGGCAGACCGAGCTCCTTTTTTGGGAATTGCTCCTGCGGCCATGATACATGCTTGCTGACAGCATCACGTACGGACGGCATGAGCATGATTGTGATACTAGGAACAGCCGCGCATAGTTGGTGAAGCGGTTTTGAAATGCAGTGTCGGAACAGAGTCGTCAATGTAGCAGTTTCTGGATCCAATCCAGGAATATCAGGAAGATCAAAGTCACCTGTTGCGATGAGTGGGTGTTCCAAGTCTATAAAAGGACCTAGGAGTAGCAAAGCATCTGCATATTCTTCAGCAGCTTTTTTGCAAAGTTCTTGCAGTGGCTCAAAGTCCAGGTTATCGTCAGCGGTGTATGGACCAGCAGCATAGAAGATGTTGAGTGGTTGGTCAACGTCAACCCCTCCCAGTCTTTCATTGATGGTTTCCAGTGTGCTCGGGTATGAGGCTGCCGTAGGAAGGAGTGATAACGGCAAGACTTCTTTAACGGAAAAGTATTCTCCAGAGGCATTGATTCCACGTAGAGCAACGATCTGCCCCGGGAAGAACTGTACCGATGGCAAGGCATCGACCTTCAACGGCACCCGAAGACCGGCTCCCGTCCGCCTTGATGTCTCCAACACGAGCGATGCAACGTTGAGCTTTCCCTCGAGAGTGTCTGATGCGATCCGTCCAACTGCCACAATCTCACTTGTACTCTGCGTTGCTGCGCTGCCAAATGTCGCATCTGGATACTGCTTCTCAAATAGATCTGTGAATTCGTCTAGTCGATCGTCTAGAATCTCCGACGCCTCGTTCAAGCGCATCGACATTGGCTTATATCCGAATTTCTTCAGGTCAGTGTTTGCTGTTGGCCGAATTCGAGGTTCGGGGAATGGTGCCATCGGCGTTTTGGGCAAGTCCAAATGAGCATTGAGTGTTTCTATAAGTTGGCCGGGGTTTTGCCGTTCGGCGAATGCGACGCTTCTAGAAATTCTTAGCATATATACCACTACATTATAGGGTTTTTGACATACAGCATGCCATTGGTACTGGCTGAAGGTGTCTTGATCCCTGTAGGTGTCCCATTACCGTCAGTCCGGACTGTCTTGGGTCCAGATGGTGTCTCGAAGGTCGATTTTCGTTTGGCCGAGCCATTGATACGTGATTGAGGAGTCCCGGGTGTCAAATCGTCGAGCCTGAATAAGGCGGAAATTAGTAAGTAGAGCAAATCTCAAGCGGAGATCAAATAGATCATACATTCCAAAAACATCAGTCTTTCCAGCACGAGGGGTTGCCGTAACACCAGACTTTTTCTCGCTACCTCGGACTTGATGGTTCTTTCCTCGAGTCTCGCGCTCTAAGGAATCCTGAACGTCTCTTTTGAACGCGCGGACTGTATTGAGATCAAGTTTTGTGTCCTCTGAGCCCATCTTCATGCTGTATGACTCCCATTTGTAGAATAATTCTTGCGGCGTGATGCCATGCAACCGGAGCATGGATTGCAATTCAGTAAGGACATCTTGGGCGAGGCCATTCGGTGCTGAGCTTGCGAAGAGCTCGTGGAGCTCTTGTGTGATGTCGTCCATTGTGACCTCGACTGTTATTCTTCGATGGCGTTGATTGAGTAGACGAACAAAAATTGCGGGGAGAGTTAAATTGATTTTGGGAAGTCGCGGCAGACGCGTTGATGGACGCGTTTGCAGGGCTGATCGATTGATAAGATAAGAGTGCCCAGTCCACTAGCAACGTCAGCTCGGCTGTTCCTGAGACATCAACAAACCTAGAAAATTTCTGCTCTTGTTAAATCGAATCCAACGTCTTTGTGAGACTAGCCCTTGTTATCGACTCAATTACAGTATAGAGCTATACAGCACACACACCATGGCTACAACAGACGCCCCCCCGTCATATGCCGATGCGCAAGCGCAACCCGTCACAGAAACGACCACAAACCCAAACACAATAGAAAAAGACCTCGGTCTGCCTCTCTCCGCAGCTGAAGGACTAATCAAGAAACCATTCGGGCGGCCAGCAGAAGGCGTCAAAATCCCCTCGGCCGCCGACCTAACCGCCGATCAAACCAAAAAATACGATGAAGTACTCAAAATGGTGACGGCATTTACAGCAGTTCCCACAAGCCTCGCCAAAAACGCAAGCGAATCGCCCCTCACCGATGACGAGCGCATGTGGCTCACGCGCGAATGTCTCCTACGATTTCTACGAGCTACGAAATGGAATGTTGCGGACGCCATAAAGCGCATTCGCGCAACACTGGCCTGGCGCAGGGATTATATCGGCGATAAATTGACAGCAGATTATATCTCAATTGAGAACGAAACAGGCAAACAAATACTCATAGGCTTTGACGTGGACGGTCGACCGTGTCTATATTTGCTGCCTTCACGACAAAATACAGAAAAGAGTCCGCGACAAGTGGAGCACTTGGTCTTTATGCTGGAGCGGGTTATCGATTTGATGCCTGCTGGTCAGGAGAATCTGGCGCTGGTGGTGAACTTCAATGAGACAAAGTCTGGACAGAATGCAACGATAGGGCAGGCGAAGCAGACGTTGGATATCTTACAGAATCATTACCCGGAGAGGCTGGGTCGGGCTCTTGTTATCAATGGTATTTTCTCTCCTTGCCTTTTGCTTTGGAAATGTTCTAATCTAATGTCGGTAATAGTACCCTGGATCATCTGGGGCTTCTTCAAAATAATCACCCCCTTCATCGATCCCGTCACCGTGCAAAAACTCAAATTCAACGAAGATCTACGCAAACACGTCCCGCCCTCACAATTGCTCAAGTCCTGCGGCGGAGATGTTGAGTTTGAATACGAACATGCCATCTACTGGCCCACGCTGAACAAACTCGCGGATCAGCGTCGGGAGAAGATTCGTGAACGCTGGGTCTGGGCTGGTCAACATATCGGGGAGTCGGAATTTTATCTTCGCGGTGGCACGGAACAGAGCCAATATGCGGCATGAGTTGCATCTCAGTGCGCGCTGATAGACTACAAAGACTGGAGAACCGGTTTACGTCGAGCTTGATGTTCATCCTATTTCGGATTTCTGCATACCATTCTTGTACAATTACTTTGATCTTCCTATGATCTACACTTCATCATCAATATAGCCACCTTTTCTAGCACGGACTTTCTCCTCGGTCATCAAACAACGTCGTTTGATCGGCCGTGGGGCCTTGATGACACGGCGGGGKAGTCAATTGTAATCAGATAGCGATGAACACATACAAAATCAACACTTATTAATGAAGTACGTAGCACTAAATTTTGGCAGGGAGGATTCAGACCCATTCGGAATCTGCATATAAGAGCTGATGTCACTCAGCGACTGGAGTCGTCTGGAAACATCTTCCTTCTGCCTAGTCCACGAACACAACGGACATATCACATTGAGTCCAGCCCAGATCTCAATATCTCGCGGTTTATTTCGCTCGACTATTCAACCATTGAGGATGTCCTCAATTCCATGAAGCGGATTAATATGCCAGATTGTCTTTACGACGCGGTGTGCCGTGACAGTGTGTGCTGCTTGGTTAGTAGTCCAGCCTTTTATTCTCGAATTTCCACAACAAATGATAACGCCAAGTCGTACATTTTGCTGATCCATTAACTGTGAAGGCATATTTCCGTCCTTATTGTCGACAACAATTCGAGACACCTGAATCGTCCGACATCAAGAGTCGACGGAGAAATATCTGCGAGGGATACCCTTTCGGCCAGTCGGGGTCTACAGTCTGCAAGAAAGGCAACATCCGAATCGCTAGGATCAAAGGGTAAAGAAAAGAAACCAACCTCGCAAGGCGGGGATCCATTGTCAAAGCTGCGAAGAAGCTCCTTCCAGCTTCTTGAGATTACCAAGATCACTGTAAGCGTTAGCCAACCGCAGCGTCCGCTAGTATTATCCAGCTCGTGTGGCCACTAGCAAACAGCAATTTTATCCATCGACGAAACCGTCGAGCGGCGCAATCTTCGGTCATAGAGTCAGTCAAAAAGTGTGATTCACAGGTTATAGATTAAGTCGAGGCTCGAATTCTTTGGGCCCCGCCCTCACATGCGGCACTGAGCCTAAAGCGGCGTTCCCTTCTCCAGCAATTTAGGCACGGTAGGTTACGTACGGACCATGGCCGACGACATCGACCTCCCTCCCTCCCCCACGCATCACAATCTCCATCACGAGCAACACCACCATCACGAGCACGAGATCGGCCCTGCTGTCGCGTTGGACAACGTCAACACTAGCCGCGAATCCCTACGCAATAACGCCAATCTCGGAGAGAGCAGTAGTGGCCGGGTCGGCACTGGTCACGAGAGGGGTTTTGTGCAGCCGGCTTCGTACCTGCGACGACGCGGTCTCTCACATCCAATGGCACCGTCACAGCCCGAACGCGCGGTTGATGCGGAGGAGCAGATGGGATTGGTAAGTTGTAGTTGCTCAATTTGGTGATTTGATAGCTTTGATTTGTGCTTTTCTTTTTCCATGTCGGTGTGATTATTCGCGGGGTCGTGGGGGCAAGCGCATTACAGGCGATGTTATTATGCTTGCTCCAGCTTCCTACCCTTGTAAATGCCAACTTCGGTTCAGATTAAAGCAATAGTCAATTGAATCATACTGACTAATGGATTTGTAGCGTGCGATTCGAAATTTCCTCAAGGTCCGAACGAGTTACGATATTCTTCCGCTCAGCTTCCGCTTGATCGTCTTCGACACATCCCTGCTGGTCAAGGAGAGTCTGAATATTCTGATACAAAATGGTAGGCATCGTGGTCCAGGCTGAGATTCTACGGAGTCTGACTGATTCTTGCAGGTATTGTGTCGGCTCCGTTATGGGATTCGTCCACCTCCACTTTCGCTGGCTTGCTCACAACGTCCGACTATATCAACGTCATTCAATATTATTTCCAGAACCCTGCCACACTGGATAAGATTGATCAGTTCCGTCTAAACAGTCTTAGAGGTATGGAGTGAACCCTGCGCGCCGCCCGACCGCCGTGAAACTGGTGCTGACAGTCTCTGGCTTTAGAGGTAGAAAAAGCATTAGGAGTGGCGCCACCAGAGACGATAGCAATCGACCCGGAGAGGCCGCTCTACGAGGCTTGTCGCAAGATGCTGTCGTCTCGCGCTCGACGTATACCACTGGTCTCCAACGACAGTCAGACTGATCGGTCTCTCGTTGTCAGTGTTGTCACACAGTATCGCATACTCAAGTTCGTCGCGGTCAATGTCGCAGAGACACAGAATCTGCGTAAGCCTCTCAAGGAGATCCAGCTGGGGACGTACCACAATATTGTCACGGCGTCAATGGACACACCTGTCATGGAAGTCATTCACAAGTTAGTCGAACGTAGCATATCAAGTGTTCCGATCATCAATTCCGAAGGTAGGGCAACCAGAATTCTTGTGAAAATCTGAACTTAAGCTGACCGGTCATTTAAGGCATCGTGTACAACGTCTTTGAGGCGGTTGATGTGATTACATTAATCAAAGGAGGGACGTACGATGACCTGAGTCTCAGCGTTGGGGAAGCACTAAAGAAGCGGTCGCCGGTAACTTCCTTCCTGTCTTGATATTACATGCTACATCCAAGGAGACATACTGACAAGCCATAGGACTTTCCGGGCATCTACACCTGCTCAATCAACGACGGTCTGGACACCATCTTTGACACAATCCGCAAGTCACGGGTGCACCGACTGATAGTAGTGGATGACCATTTCCGACTGTTGGGGGTGTTGACACTGAGCGATATCCTACAATACATCCTACTTGAAGGCGAGCCTGAGGAATGGTGATGTATACATACGACTAACCTTTCTTGGTCTACTCTTGCATGGCACCGGCGTTATCACAGGCAGGAATTGTTTTGGAGGGAATCGGCTTTTCATATACTATGACGATACACCGGCGTGCTCTCCTCATTCCAAGACGACCTACTCCCTTCCTTATCTTCTTCATCCTCGGTGGTACGTGCGTGACCTGATACATGACCGACTACGCCTCCTGCCCTTTTCGGACGAACAACCAGAGTTCAACGTCTCGACGGCGATGTGAAGTGCCGGTCGCCGKTCTGTTCTATATGACAGGAGACCCACCGGTTCATGCCCGACATGCCCGACATGATGGACCCGTCCAGATCGTGGTAAGCCTGAGGTCGACATTGCGGCGAGAATCGCGAGATTACAGAGACTATGGTGTCCCTGAGGAGGAAGAAGGAGATGTCTGATGAAGATGATGATGACTGATCACGAAGATGACTTGATGACTTGTGTCTATTGATGATGTTAGCGTAGGGATGGATAGAGAAAGCAATGCAATCACTCTGTTATGTTGTTCATTTATATTCGGGTGCCTTCCTGAGAGACACCGAGATACTGAATCTCTACGTCACCCTCTAATTGTTCCCCTATGCACGCCTGAGGTCTCATCTTCGCTGCTTCCCTCGCTCCTTCCTCCTCTATCTCTCCCTCCTCCTCTTCCTCTTCTTCCTCCCTTCTCTCTTTCCTCCTTCATTCCGTCCTCATCTCATCTTGCTCCATTGTGCTTTCCATCAAACAACCACCATTCCTGCTTCAAAGACCACTGCTCCATCAATCATTCACACCAATCAAATCAATTCCTTGATATCTGACTCACTTTCCACTCGATTGGCCTCTTTCCTTCATCTGTTGCGCTCGCACCTTCCTCAAGATGGTTGGGCTATTCCGTGTCCTCAAGGACATCGCACGCACCCCAAGTCCATTTGACGGGGCCTCCGTTTCCTTTTCTCTCGGTTCAACTACTGTTGAAGAATTGACTTACTCTCTCCCTACTGAGGCTGTTCAATGGGAACAGCAAGAGCTCAAGGCCGAGCTCTACCAGAGCCTGTTCGCTGCGTTGGCTGAACATGGCGACCTCCCGCCCGACGAGCCTTCCTCTCCCGCTGAAGCGGTCCGGCTTCCAAGTAATACAACACTCACTCTCTCATCCTTGCTTTTGTTCTTTTGCTTTCTTCATCAGAGGGATAATACATTGTATATCGCTTCCATTTGCTGACATTCTTCTTAGACGGTTATTTTATTGCTCACAGCCAGCTCTACAGTCCTTCGGTCTATAGTGACCATGACATTGCCGAAGAGCACATCATCGAAGAACACATCGCTGAAGAGCGCGTTGTCGAACAGCCCATTGTTGAAGAGCAGCGCTACGCTAAAAATGTGACTTTTAAGGGTAATCTCTGAGTTGCCCTCCATACCTTGGGCCTTTGCTGACGCCGGCATTGCCCCAGATTATGCCCATCTCGTTGAAAATCTCCATGGGCTCCCAATGGATCAGGCATCGAGCTCTATTTCCTTGAAGGACGCTTCCATCGAAGCGGTTTCTATCAAGGAATTCTCTATCAAGGACACCGTTTCTATCAAAGACTACGCTTCTACTGCCCAGTCAAGGTATGGTCCAAGTGACTTCCTAGAATTGATAGCACAAGAGAGATCTAAAACTGCCTAGCACTTCTATCCCTCGTCGTGGCATCTTCCGATTAATTCGTGAGAAGAGCGCCCGCGCTATAAAAGCAATCAAGACTGCAATCCGTCGCCGTCGTGACAAACCCTACGATGACTGGCCGATCGGCGACTCCGACGGCACGACCAAGGCATCTGATCAACCTAGAAAGGCAAGCGACGCAACAGCCTCATCTGAAGAAACCAAGGATAGTGCTGCTACCGTTTATCATTGGTCATCGAAACATGTCAAACACCCTATACAAACCACGTCCTCGAGTGAAAGCCTTAGCGACCCTCGAACCTCTCGCAGTACCACTTTCGTCTATCAGCCTTCGAACTATGACCCTCCTGCTGTATCCTGTCTGCCTGAATATAGTCTACCTCATCGACTCTTTTCCGATCTTAGTTTACATGGCCGTCAAATGACTGCTTTCATCTCTTACAATGATCTCGCCCGCAAATTCGGGTTCTATACCCTGTGCCCGCCCGAGTATGATCCTATCAGTAAGTTCTTCCTTGAAGTTGTTCGGTAGATACTTATTGTCTATAGACTTCCAAATGTTTATACGCCTTCGTCCCTCAAAGAGAGAATTGATTCTTCGAAAAGTCCGGAGTCTCGGTTCACACATTCGTCCTCGTTCTCCTAACCGTCGTGTCCAGAATTTGCGACGCATGAGAACATTCGCCAACTTATCCCTGAAATACTACAAAATGGACTCTCTCAAAGGCAAGGACCTTGCGACCATGGGCCGCTTGTGCGGCTATGGCTCTCTCAAGTTACCCGGTGACTGTGCTCCCGCAGTAATGAGGCTTCCTGCTCCAATTGTCTCGCTTATTTCTTATTTGGTGACTCATGGTATACAATCCGCTTCTAGACAGAATGCATGATTACTAAAAGAGAGGATAGGCCCCAAAGCACGAAACGTCTTTGCCGAGCCCGGCGACCTAGTCGTCGCTTCCCTTATATATGATCACTTTGCAAACCAGATTCTCGCACCCGACGATGAGATCATTGGTAAAATGGCTGTCAGAAGGAGCCTCGACTTCTCAGATGAAGTCTTTGGAGTTCATTCTGAGAGCGAGACCTTTTTGCGCGGACGCTTCCACGTCCTCTCTGTCGCATGGGCCTTTAAATACATCCTGGCCTGTATTCCCGGCGGTTTTCTGGGCGCGCCCCGTCTATACAGCACACTTGTTGATATCTTACACCAAAAATTCCCCAACGAACCTGCCTTTCCAGAACGCGGCTTGAATGGAGCTCTGCCGGAAGTCTCTCCAACCAAAGCTCGTGCTATCTCACTAGCAATCCTTGCTCTTACGAACGACTTGCAACTCGATTTTCTCTGTGCTATATTCGGTCTTTGTTCATTTCTTGATCACGAAACCAGAACAATGCTTGACTTTTACCGATCCAAGAACATCCCTCTCATCAATCGGGCATGTTTATTGGATCGCAAACGAATCCTTCTGACCTTCGCTCCTCTACTTTGTGAAGAGACCAAGGATCTTAACGATGATGATTATGGCTGTGAAGCCTTTTGGGTTATGGCTATGATGTTGGACTATTGGCGCGTAGTGAGCCGCCAGTTGTGTGATGCTGAAATTTGATGCTATGAAAGATTGAACGATTCTGTCTTGACACTATGATTTATGATATATGGATACCCGGAAGCATACCTAGGAGTTATGTTTGTTCTTCTGTTGATATGTGTGATTGGCACTTGAGTTGTCTGTCTGTTGGTTCTCTCTTGTCACTTGTCTGTTTGTCTTGGTTCAAAGATTTTGTCTGTCTGTTCGTCTGCTAGGTTTCGAGTTGTCTGTCTGTTGGGTCTTGGATATCTGTCATTGGGCAGTCACTATTGTTACTCTACCGATTGATGTATTCTTAGCATTATTACATATGACATGCAGATAGTCAATAGACTACCATACTCTACACTTCTGACTCACATAATCGCGAGTAGTTGATTGTATTCTTGATAGATTTGTGATTCAGTTGCTGCGTCAAGCAGCGACGTTGGAATTCACCGGCGCGCAAATTATAGGGGCATTTCCATCCATGTATCTGACTAATCTCTCTAAGACGGTATTTGATCTGTGAGTAATCGCTGTCAAGTCTTCAAGACTCGAGTAAATGATCAATATTACAGAGAGATGTCCTGGGCTGTCCATGGGCAGGTGCCCAGCACTACTGCCTCGAGTGCAGCCCTTCGACGTAGAACTTGGCTGTGCTGCATATCGCAGACAATTCTGTTTCAATTTATTCCGAACTTCCTTCCTATCATATTCTCTTCATTTATATCAAGTTTACCTTCACTATTCGTTTTTGCCGCACTCTGAAAGTCGCCAGCACCCGTTGCACGATTACCCCTGAGCTCAGACTGTACTTCGACAAGAAGGCATTAGCCTTCGAGGCATTTACAATATGGCTGCAGCTGGAAACAGTAACGGCAATGCTATGCAAGGCCTTCTGCCGGAGTCTGACAACCTCATAACATCGGAGATAACGACGTTAGAGCAGACATCACTCCACCTACAATTGACGGAGGACTACCGCCCCGTCGCGGGCAAGGTCGGACTGGAAATTGATACAAGGAAGTGGGAGGTATTCGCATCGTTTGAGAACTATATTTCCACTCATGTTGGTACCTTGATTCTGCATTCATGACTTCGAATGATTCTCATATCTGATTTTGGCTCTCGCTTAGCATCGCTTTCACCACAAGCCCCTTTTCGGAGTCGAGACATCCTAGTCAAAATCCTGTTCGACCGTCTACGAGCCGTCCAAGTTGACCTCGCTGCAAGATCAATGCTAATACGTGAGACTCATTCGCTCGAAACACACATCCCAGGCACGGGTGAGATCGTATATGGCAACGCCGATTGTGAAAATAGCAGTAACTATGACAATGACAATGACTTCGATGACGACTACGAAGACGACTACAGTGATTGATGACTGCGACGATTACGTAGATGATGACTGAATACTCCAAGCCCTAAGATCAAACAACAAGGTCCAGTAAGTATACACCAAAGTTTGACGGAAGAAACTATCGAGCAGATACCGGCATTAAGATAACATTTGTGTGATTACGTCTGCTCATTCGACCAAGTACACAATCAATATAACCCATGTATCAATCGAATGATAATGCATATTCCCATATGTCTATCAAATATATACATCATGTAACACAAGCCCATTATTGGCCCTCGAGCAAGCATGCATCATAAAACTGGATCTCCCGACACTTAGGGCTGCAGCTCGGTTACACCAACTCATGTGCTTGGGAAATATGTAAATATAGATCAGCAGCTCATCTGCTCTGGATGATACAGTATGACATTTTCCCATGCAATGATCTGCAGATGTTGCCACACCCTTAAACTTCAACGGTTGAGGGTGGTATCAAATCATTGTCGATATAATTGTGCGGGCTCTTCGATTTTCTAGTTGTAAGTGCTCGAGGGCACGGTTTCGAGAGAATGACGGTCATATCTGGTCCTTGTCAATAGGCTTCTCTTGATAAGAAGGGTACATGTACATACTTTCTCCCCGTACCAGACGAAGAGCAATACCTGAATCAGTAACACAACATCCGGGTCGTGGAACAATGGTTCGGTATGGTCAATCAGGACAACAATAGTCTAGCTACAATAATCTAAAACATCGCGATCATATTAATAATGACAAAAAAAACAAATATTAGCGGAGAACATTTCCGCAGCCATGGAATTAGTAGTAGATGAAAAGAGACAAAAACATGGAAAGTAGTTCTCTAGTCGCTTTCGTACTACTACTACTACTTCGTATCATGTCCGAAAAGGGTGGTGTATCGAGATGGGTTACTGTTTTTGAGAGTGGTAGACCCTGCAAACGTTTACACGCTCGTATTTGGTAGAACTTTGGTAGAGCGGTTATACAGACTGTGTATCATGATAATAATGCCTGATACTTCCCAAACAAACACTCCAGAACAATGCCCGTTTGAAAATAAGATGAGGCTTGCAAAATAAGTGCTCACATAGTGTGATCTGTTTGGGGGAGTTTCTGTATATGATGTCACCTCGCGAGTCATTCAAGTACTATGTAGTATACAAGAGCCGAAAGGCGCGCAAATCAGATGGAACGTCTTGAGCAGGAACTACACCTCAGTTTCGGACGATTGGCTGGATGCGCAGGCCGGCTGGGCCGGAAGGATCTGAGCTTTGACCTCTGACTGACTTATCTGGTAATGTTATGTTCGGATGGGTTCCGCCAATGAGACCCGCCAATAAGAGCCCCAATTGATATATCTTCCCCTTTAAGCTCAGCCATCAGTGCTATGGGACCATAGTAGTTCGAGCATTATTCAGGACGCTGTGCTCGTGTGAGATACTGTGCTTGCTTCTCGAATCCGTGTTTCTGTAGAACGACGAGACGGGGAGATAAAATGGATTCCGTTTGCGGAAACCTGATTCTACCTTTCTACCTTTCTATCGATTTGATACCAACTGGCCGTTGCCAATGCATGTCGATCATTTCCTGTGGAGAATCCAGTGCTACCACGTCTCAGCTTCAGCTGTTTGTTCTCTACAAAAAAACCGAGTACAGCTCTCCTCTCATCCGGGAAAGAGAGAAGGCTTGACGGCGGCACGCTACCGTAGCGTGCAACCATACCTGTTTATCGGTTGAGGGTATACTCTTGATTGGGAACCAGTCATCTGTCAAAGTCCAGAACACAAGTACGAAAGAAGTGTCAGGGAGAAATCTCCGTCTCGGCATATCTCATGCCCCTCTTCTACCTCACGGAACATATATCCGCGCCAAAATACACTTCGTCGATGACTTCAGGTCAGTGTGTATGGTTCCCCTTGTGTTGGGGAAGATTTGCCACTTGATATTGATCCAGGGAACGCGTGCTGTCATGTAACTTATACATACACGAGTGTGTCAACGCGGACCCACCGATAGCGCTGTATGTTTTGGCTTGAGGTTAGTCTACAAGTTGGGAAATTTGAGATTGATACATTCGTACTTGACTGACGTGCAATGACCGTTAGTAGGGTCAGCTGTAAGCTGTGAGTGCAGGCATCACGGCCACCGGAGTGACATTCCACGAGATTCGTCTCAGAACAGTCGAGAAGCAACTGTGCCCCGCTCGTTCTTCTTAAAAAAAAAAAAAAAAAGGAAWAAAAAARAAWAAAAAARAAAAAAAAAAAAACAATCCCAGTGCGAGAGTCTAGAATACCATGTAGTATACCAACACAGGCAAAAAATACACACTAGTTATCGCGTACGGGAGCAGGGTAGCAGTGGTTGTGGAAAACACAGCCGTTCCCATCGATGGCAGCCTCAGCAATCAGGCAGCGGGCAGTGGATGATGTCAACAGGCGGGCCCAACGGGGCTAGCGCCAAACGAGAGCTTCTTCACCCCACCGTCTCGCCAGCTTCTTTTCCTGGATTTATACCTACTATGTAGTAGTATTACTACTACTCTGTACATCGTACTGACTGATCTTCTTCTAGTCCTTTCTAGGCACTCTATTTCCCCATCATCGGCTTTTCGACCAGACCAATAACGGCCCATAGAATCAATTTTTGTCAATTGTCGTTTTGCATTTCTCGACATCAGTCAGTCCATTGTCCAGTCCATCCCTTCCTAATCCGACAGGTCTCGCCATCGCATGGAATCGCTGTGGTCCACCCCCCATGCATGATATCATTTTCCTCCAACGTGCTGGTCTTCCTGAGCTTCTCGCTACCGTAGTGTTTGTAGACTCCATTCCGAAAGAGACAGCAAAGTGGATATAAGAGCCCCATGGATGGTGGTGGTGTGTACCGTCGTTGGCCATCATGCCACCCACACAGGTCCGCCGGAGGTGGTCTGCTTTATAAAAGAGTCCCTGTTTCAACCATCTTCATCTTACATTCCACACCATTGCCAACATAGCTCGTGTTGATTTATCACACTTTATTGCAAATACTTACATGTAAAGCAGCAATCTGCAAGCTAGCCACTGCAGAGTAATTGATTCCTTGTTTGGCAGGCCACCCTTGGCGCCTAACCTCCTCAAGGAAAGAAGGCCTGGCCAGCGCCTGCCCTGTTTTGCTGGGAGATCCCCTTCCGGAAGGCTCTTTCCCTCCGCCTATCCAGGGTTCTTGCCTTGTTCTTATTCTTGTTTGCTCGTGGTTGCCATTGCCTCCTCAACTGTCTTTCTTTCTACCTCTCTCTATTCTCTCTGTCTATTAATCTCTTTCTCCTTCTGTCTTCTCTTCTCTTCTCTTCTCTTCTACTACGCCATAATACATACACTCGGTCTTGTACTGCAAAGCATGCCGACATAAAACAGCTGGTGTCACATGTGTTACCCTCAACACCGGAACACCAAACCTTCTCTTAACTAACCACTCAATCGACAAGCTTCAATCTCTCTGATTCGACTTCCGCATCTCTAACCACGGTTTAGACACCTCACGAAATTGCGGATACTCTTCTGTCTTCCTTGTGTGTCCACCGAAACTCTGCCCTGAGATTTCTAGGTAACACAACATTCCGAATCAACTCGTCAACGACTCTGTCTGGACCTCAAACACCAAATCCAAGATCCAAGGGATAAAAGTCACGCCGCGAAAACATTCATCACTTCTACCAGAAATTTCGACAACAGAAAAAGGCGCAATGTCTGCCTACACCATGTTGGCCGATCAGTCACAGCTGGCTGCTCCGGCATTCACCACCGCGGATGCCGTGACACTAGATCCGTCATTTGACAACACCTTGTCGGGAGATTTTATGAGTTTTGGTCTCACTACCGAAGAAGAGCCCGTCTGGAATATGAGCCCGATATCACCATCCTTTGACGATTGGAACCCCAACAAGACTGCTTTTGTTTCGGCTGCTGCTTTAGAGCGAGACCTCAAACACGCCCAAGTCCGCAACGGCCAACCTACTCCGCCATTAGACGAAAAACAGCAGCAGACTCTGTCGGGAGATATCATGGCAGTCTTCGACAGCCGAAACTCTTGGGACGACACTCCGACTCCGCCAAGCAGTGAGGGCCGGAGTCGTAATAGCTCGGCCGACAACAACACCGCCGGGTTTGCCTATGCAGCTATGTCGAAGAGGCGCAGACTGCGTGAGCATAAGCCGTCAATAGCAACTACGATCAGCAGCGGAGCAGACTCAGAGGGTGAAGGTCAGGATCACGCCAAGCGGGAGAAATTCCTCGAACGGAACAGGCTAGCTGCCAGCAAATGCCGGCAAAAGAAGAAAGAGCACACCATGTTGCTCGAGTCCCGGTTCAAAGAACAGTCGGACAAGCGAGAGCGGCTCAACTCGGAGATCTCACGGCTGCGTGGGGAAGTCTTGGGATTGAAAAATGAGGTTCTACGACATGCTCAATGCGGTGACGAACCGATCAAACTTCACCTTGCTCAGATGGTCAAACAGATTGCGAGTAAAGATCGAGATGACCACACCGAAAGCAGTGAACAGCTGTCTGACACGACGCCCCCAATCCGCGGATCTGTCTCGTTTGGATTTGACGAGGCATCTTTACCAATGGACGGTTCTAGTGCACTCGAACAGCAGTTGCGACGAGAGTCGGAAGCATCGATTGCTCTGTCTGGCGAAGACGACTTTGAAGACTTGCTCAACGTCGGTTGATCGGCTACTCTTGCTCAATATTCGACATGTAGACAATCAGCTTCTTCTTTATTCCTATTCTATTATGGTAATCATCGTTACGGAGAGGTGATTTTAATTATAACGTTTCGCTTTCGCTGGTGGCGACATGAGGCTTACGACTGCTTGAATGCATGATGATATATGATAATGGCGTTAGGCGATTTTTTATGCCTTGTGGCTGGGGGGAGGACTGTTTCTTTCCAAGAGCTTAGGCTGGTGGTGTTTACTAGGTATTTCTCTTCGATTACATGAGCTGGTCTTGTCGATGGATTCCATCACCAAAATGTATGATAAGAGATGAACTGAAAATTCATTACAAAACTTTTTCATTCTTAATGTTACACACACGAAGCAATTCATCCATTTACTATCAAGTCTAATACTAAAACATAGAATTAATCTCCTCTAGTGTCTTATTGACCGTCTCCTTCAACGCAAACACCACGAACGCACATACTCCTACACACATGCTCCCAAACAGACAAAACGTACCCCAACCACCAATCTCAGCAAGAAGATAAGGCGTCGCAGAGCTCCATATCAGATTGAATAACCACTGAGATCCGACACCGCATGCCACCCCAGACTCGCGGATACGTGTAGGAAATATCTCCGAGGCGTACGGCCACGGTAAAGGTCCCCAGCTGAGGTTGAATACGATAATGGTAAAGTATATAAGCGCAATCGTCATTACAGCCTTTGACGAAACCGAGCCTGAAACCGTCCTTTCCGGTTGCGCAAGATTGATAGACCTCACCAAAGCAGCAGTCCCAAACATACCCAAAGCCATAAGCGCCGCTCCAACAAAGAGTAACCTCTTCCTACCAAATCTGTCTGATAAAAACACAATAAAGAATCCGCACGAAACCACTTTTATGAATCCAAAGATCCCCGTGAGTAAAAGCGTTTTGTCCCCCGGACCAACGATCAGAGCAAAGAATTGAGGACCGAAGTAGGCCAGTGCCGTTGCGCCGGTTGATTGTTGCGCGAGGAATATCCCCACTGCTAGTAAGATGCGGTGCGCATTTGACCATTCGAGGAGTTCGAGAAAGGAGAATCCAGCTTTGGCGGCGGCTTCTTCGTCGATGCCTTGTTTTATGTCGGAAAGTTCGTCTTGTATTATTTCGTCTCCATTATCGTCAGGGATAGCACGGATCCATTCGAGACTCTTCGAGGCGCGATGTAGGTCACCGTTTGCGACGAGCCAGCGCACGCTTTCGTGGAGCGTTAGTACACCTAGACCCATTAACCCTCCGGGCACGAGCTGAAGTGCAATGGGGATCTGCCATTGCGCTGTTTGCGGGGACATGAACCCGACGGCATAATCAATCCAGTACGACACGAAAATGCCGATTGTGAACATGAACTGGAAGCAACTCCCCAGCTGGCCGCGGATTTCCTTTGGTGCCATTTCAGACAGATAAATCGGAATAACGCTTGACGAACCTCCCACGCCCAGGCCGGCGATTACTCGACCCGCGTAGAACAAAGGGAGGGAGTGCCAGTTCAGTAGCTCTAAAACAACGCCGACACAAAACACGAGCGAGCACACGCCTATCGCCATCCGGCGGCCGTAGATGTTGTTGACAGGCCAGACTGCGAAACAGCCGACCAGAGCGCCGGTTTGTTGTGTTCCGACTGCGATGGCGCTGACTGTTGTTTCGCTTCGGGGCCCATAGGCGCCGAAGCGGAAGTCGGAGTGGAAGGATTGGAATGTTAGGACGCCGCCTGCTAGGTGTCAGTACTGGGGATTTTGGATATGTTGTGGTAAACGTACCGATGAGACCAGAGTCGTAGCCGAAGAGGAGTGCGCCGCAGCACAGGACGGCGGSGAGCCAGTAGAGGCGGACTTGCGCTTGCGGTGAGGATGTGGGGTTGACTTTTGATCCTCTTTCCTGGTCGTCGTGTTCATGGCTGTCCCTTAATAGAGGAACGGTGCTGGCATCTTCCAGTGACCGGGCCTCTGATGGAGCCATGGCTTCAGAGGCAATTCGATACTCCAGATACTTCTTATATCTCGAACACTGATCAGATATACATCGTCAGGAACAACAGCAGATGATATGATGCACTTGAACGGTACCTAGGTAGTCATCCAACGTCCGTTGTCCATGTCGACATATAGTACCCAAAGTGTCATGGCCGAAGCATCTCGAAAAGCATGACGTCCTTAATTATATGCTACGGCGCTTGTCATTGGCTTAGTCGGAGTGAGAGCGTCTGATTGGCCGATGATGGCGTAACTGTGCCTTAAAAATGCCGGCCAATAAGAGGCCCTTAAATGTGACTCCTGAGGCAGAAAGGCACGCACCAATTGAATACGCAATGATAAGATAAGATCTCTCTTCCCCAACATCAACAAAACATCAACATCCATATCGACATCACCTCTCTCTGAGACTGAGCTTGTGTCGATCTTCGGACTGATGTGGTCATGTCACTTGCCAACATCCCACTGCAATGCGGGGAACTGGAACAGACTGGGGTAATCAATGGCAGTGTATATCCACCACTCGTATGGTGGTACGTATATAGTACAACGTCGTGGTGCTAACAGGACACTATCAACACCGGTGCCATTCAGTGGGCCCTAAACCAATGCGTCGTCGTAATGAACTCGGTACAGTGAGGGGTACTTCGGTATACGCGTACTACGTAGTGCGGATAAAAGCTGATCTTTTTTGCATACCTTTTTCTTTCTTTCCAACTGTATCATATAGATTGCACTGCCTATCAGCAAGACGATACTAAGGATACCGAACAACATGGCTAAACGGCCAAATTTCCTTGTCATGGTCGCCGATGACCTGGGCTTCTCCGATGTGGGATGCTTCGGAAGCGAGATCAGGACTCCCAACATCGACAAGATTGCCGCAAATGGAGTCCGTTTCACCGACTTTCACGCCGCCGCTGCTTGCTCGTATGTATTGCCATTTCACTTAGATAGCAGGCGGGATGCTGACCACCCAGCCCAACTCGCGCCATGATCATGACAGGGACAGATCACCACATTGCCGGCTTGGGAAACCTGGTTGAATGGACCAATATCAGCGGCCAAAACGGGCCCAAGGGATCTCAAATGAGCACTGCACCGCAGCGCGGAATGCCTGGCTACGAAGGGTATCTCAACGAGCGAGTAGTTGCCCTCCCCGAGCTTCTGCGAGACGCCGGTTACCACACTCTTCTATCCGGGAAATGGCATTTGGGTCTTACCCCCGAACGTGCTCCGATCAAGCGAGGTTTCGAGAGATCGTTCGCCCATCTTCCGGCTTGCTCTAACCACTATGGCTTTGAACCGCAGCTGCAAGATCAAGATGAAACCCCCACATTCATTGAAGCCAGCTATATCGCCCTCCACATGGAAGACGACCACTATGTGAAGAAGCTTCCCGAAGGATGGTACTCGTCCGATGGCTACGGTGACAAGATGGTCAGCTACTTGAAGGATTGGCACAATTCTGAAAAGGACAGAGATCGTCCGTTCTTTGCTTATTTGCCATTTACTGCTCCACATTGGCCTCTGCAAGCGCCTAGGGAGTACATTGACCATTACCGCGGTGTATATGACGATGGCCCAGACGCCCTCCGAGAGAAACGTCTCCAGCGGTTGAAGGAGCTCGGCATGATCAAAGACGATGTCAAGCCTCATCCTGTCGTGGCCGAAGAAGTCAAGCAGTGGAAAGACTATACCGAGGATGAAAAGAAAAAATCGTGCACTGCGATGGAGGTATTTGCAGGAATGGTGGAGTGTATAGACGCGAACGTGGGCAAAGTGGTGGACTACCTCGAAAGCATCGGCGAGTTGGACAATACCTTTGTATGCTTCATGTCCGACAACGGTGCCGAGGGCGCTGCCTACGAGGCATACCCGCTCGTGAAGAGTGGTGTTTTGCCGCATTTGCAAAAATACTATGATAACAGTATTGAAAATCTCGGCAATTATAATTCTTTCATCTGGTATGGCCCCCGCTGGGCACAAGCTGCAACTGCACCATCTCGACTATACAAAGCATATACAACGGAGGGTGGCGTGCGAGTTCCCTTCACGGCCCGATTTCCTAAAGAGGTCAATGTAGCGGATACCGCGAAGGGAATTACAGATCAATTTGCAACTGTGATGGACCTCGCCCCGACTATTCTCGAGATGGCCGGCGTCAACCACCCAGCACCGACTTATCAAGGTCGCGAAATCGTTCCAATGCGCGGAAAGAGCTTCTATTCGTGGGCCACTGGAGATGCGGCTAGAATCCACGAAAAAGATTTTGTCCAAGGCTGGGAGACCTGCGGTCGTGCCGCGCTTCGTTTCGGAGACTGGAAGATCGTATACATTCCTAAACCGAAAGGTCCCGAGCGGTGGCAGCTGTATAACCTGGCCATTGATCCAGGCGAGGTTGATGATCTCGCAGAACTCGAGCCGGAACGCTTGAAGCAGCTGTTGAAATTATGGGATCAGTACGTGATCGAAACGGGAGTCATCCCTCTCGCTCCGGACCTGGGTGAATTTTTAGAAGCGACTGAAGCGCAGATGCCGGAGAATGCGTGGATGGAGTATGATTATTGGAAGCCGGGGGCGAGAGATGAGCCGGAGAAGTTTATGCGCAAACCTCCTCGCTTTCAGAGGACTGTGAAGCAGTTCTGATGATTCCATTCCGGGATATGTGTTTGTACGCTTGTAGCAGCTAGTTATGCGCAATAAATAAAAGTACCTAAGACTTTGTTGAATATAGCTGTTAACCCTAGACTCTTCTGTAGTGGCGGTACAACAAGCGGGGAAGGCACGATCATCATCAAGAGGCTTATCTATCAGCCCGCTCTTCATGGTTCCTATTTCTTTTCTATCACTCTCCAAGTCAATCATGGCGTTTCTACCAAAGAAAGGCATTCCAAATCAGTTCTATTTACCTCTTACTAAGGGTTACAGGAGAGAAGCAGATAGACAATCTAAATGGGCTGGGATACTCACTCTGGGTGGTATAGCATTGTGTCTGATTGCCCTAGCAAAACAAGTACAATTGTCGTACCCCTAAAAATACCATCAACTAACTCCACTAGAGCTTATTCGGCTTTTCATATCATCTGCAAAATGAGACTGCGAACTTACAAAAGTTCCAAGAATGCTCAATTCGAAATATGCTAGACACCAACCTGTACTTCCTTGAAGGCATTACACCACCAACAGTGCAGCATTTCGAGTCTCGAAGGGACAGATTGGCCCAAGCACTTGTTGCAGATGGCGCGGATGCATTTGTACTTGAGCCAGGTTATACTTTCCAGTATTATGCAAATATAAGCCAGCAGGATTGGGAGCCTTGGGAAGTGTGTATCTTGGCCTCCTCTACTACAAATCAAGAGCTGACTCTTCGGATGATAATAGCCTGAGGAGCGCCCTTTCTTGATGATCGTGCAGCCCTACCGCGATCCAGGGACTGGGGTCGTCACAGCAAAGACGAGCTTTCTTTGCCCTTCTTTCGAAGCAGAGAGAGCACGTCTACTTTCAATGCCCTTCAAGGAACCTATTGATATAGTCCCTTGGGAAGAGCATTGGAATCCTTATCAGACTCTACTTATTTCAGGAATATTCCCCACAGAAGCGTCAAACGGAACGCCACGGCTCATGGTAGATGAAGAGATGCGCGATTATATTCAGCGTGGTCTTGGAGAAAATGGCTTCGAGGTAGTCGGCTTGCAGACGAATGTTGAAAGGGTAAGGCAGATGAAGTCCGAGGAAGAGATTGATATACTGCGTGCCGTCAATACGGGAAGTGTGGAAGCTGTTCGGCAGATGAGGAAATGTAGGTCTACCAATCCCACGCTCAAGCATTATTCTGACCCATAGGCAGGTTTGTACCCAGGGCTCACGGAGACAGAGATTCAAGAAGTTCTTGATAATACGCTTCGTGCAGTGGGGCTAGAACCATTCTTTGATATAGTCTTGTTTGGTAAGTAGGCTCTGATCTTCCGGAAGTAGGAAATTAATCCTCTCACAGATGAGAATGCTTCAAACCCTCATGGTGGTACTGACGGGTCTAAACCCCTGACTGCTGAGACGTTTGTCCTCATTGATGTTGGGTAAGTTGATCAGTATTATTTGAATTTCCTAAATTTCCTGCTAATTAGGTCAATAGTGCTCATCTCTATGGATACTCTTCGGATATCACTCGAACATTCTTTCCTCCTTTCTTGGACAAGTCGCAGTCAGAGAAGAGCATCTCGCCAAGTTTGAAAAAAAAGCTCGAAGTAACTCTGTCCCATGATTGTGAATACTTCAGTCACACTAATGATAAACCAGGTCTGGGACATTGTCTTCGCAGCCCAGTCTCGATCATTCGAACAAATTCGCGTAAACGCAACTGCAGCTAGTGTCGACATTGCTGCAAGAGACGTAATTGAAAGAGCTGGATATGGACATGCATTCACACATCGAGTCGGTCATGGTATCGGCATCAAAGGTCAGTCGTCTGTCAATATTCAAAGTAGATGTGCGCAATGACTTACTTGCTACAGCACATGAAAGTCCATATATGAACAAGGGCAACCACAAATCTATTCTTCAACCGGGCATGACGTTCACGTCGGAGCCTGGAGTATATCTGATAGATGAGTTTGGGGTGCGTGTTGAAGATGTTGTGCTTGTGAATGGAGAGGATGAGGAGCCTACTCTGTTGACAGGGCAGCGAGCACAGGGACCATGGGATCCTTGAACAGTATCGCCTGTCTGGACTTAATACGTGAGATTGTACAGTTCAACGCCGCCGACTATGGCTGCATAAGATTTAATTAATATCCAATGGCTATTCACACGATCAATAAAAGTACAGTATGCTCTCGATCTACTCCTTATCCTCCTTACCCTCTTCTTCAATCCACCTCAGCCCCTTGTCCGTCTTCTCAGTGCGTCGGCCAAGCACCTCAGACACCTTAGCCTTGACGCCTTCCTTCTGACCCCAATTCTGGACGAATTCCTTCACAGCATCTGCTCCAGTCGTCCTGTTGCTGCGCACAAACGCCTCGATATCTGCTTCTGTGGGCAACGCATACTTGGCATGAGGGTACTGCTTGTAGTCGTTATCGTGGAATGTGCTCAAGGGCTCCCCCTCAATCTTGAAGAAAGCATCCACAGCCTGTGACGTGACGTCCTCTAGACGACTGGGTTGCCATTCGGGGGTTCGTGCAGGTTTGGAGATCAGACGCGCTGAGACTCCCTCGACGAAATCCGGGTGATTCATAAACACACTTGCGATGGCATGTTCGCGCTGGAACGTCTCCTTGATGCTCCAGTTCTTGCCGAGACGGAGTTGACGAAGTGTGACTTTGAGGGACGTTGGTGAGCGGCTGGTGAGTGTCTCGAGCGTCTTTTGTGCCCATTCCTTCTGGTCTTCTTCCTTCTCGAGCGCTTTGACGATTTCTTCGACGGTGTTGTACTTGAAGCATCGGTCAATAGCCTGGCGGAGCTTGTATCGGAGATGAATAGGCTCCTGTTCGATAGATGGCAGACCAGTCGCAAACTCGGCGATGGTCTTGTTGACGAGGTCATTGCGCTCTTGGAGATTGGCATAGTCCTTGAACACCAATTCCGCAAGTCGGTTTGTCAAGTTGCCGAGCACACTCGAGTCGACGTAGTGTGTTGCGATACCAGTGTAAAAGGCCTGCACACCATTGAGACGCTCCGAGGTAAGAGCGAGATAAGTACCGATTTCGCCGTCAAGTCGCGGAAGGAAGAACGAGCCGCCAACGTCGGGGAAGAATCCAATTGTGGTCTCGGGCATAGCGAAGAGGGTACGTTCGGTAGCGATACGGAAGGGGGCGTGAACACTCAATCCCACTCCGCCTCCCATTGTGATACCATCCATAACGGCCACGAAGGGCTTGCTATACGTCGCAATCAAGTGGTCGAGCTGGTATTCTTGAGCAAAGTAATCCTGTGATCGTTTAACGCCTTCAGGGCCTTCCTTGTTGTTTACTGCGAGAGCTGCGACGTCTCCGCCTGCACAGAGAGCTTTCTCGCCTCGCCCTGAGATCATAATTATGTTGGCTAGTTGTGAATTTTCCCATTCCTGTCCCAAATTTGTCTTAGCATTCTGACCACTAACGGAGATGCATATTATGTGTCATACCAGAAGTCGGGGAATAATCTGTTGGCACATCGAGCCATTGAGAGAATTCAATTTCTTGGGTCTGTTGAGTTCGATCAATCGCAATCCATAGGTAGAGTAAAAAAGGACATCGTCAGAGTCGACGGCAGGATTCGACGCAGCACTCGTGCTTTGAGACATCTAGACATTCGATTACAATCAGAAACTTATTCTTACAGCCAGAGAAAATTGCAGACTCAGTACCTTGGATGCGAAAGCTGGGTTGGTCACTTTCGCGCGTAGAGGCATAGCTGAAAAAGTAGACCGCGAGAGCCGGCTCAGCGGTGTTGAGGCTCTGTGGAAGGTAGGTCGTAATAACATCAATGGCAGCGAGGCACGATCTTCGTGCCAGAAAATTGAGGGGAAGGCTGCTGTCGATATGGGATTGAAGCTTATAATGAAGTAATCGTACTGGGGTCAATTCGGTTAAGCAAGCGGTTACTTTTTCATGTTTGCTCGCTTTGCCTCGGAGGGCGGAGCTCGGCCGGTTTGTCAACACCCGACCATGGCAGTCAGTTAAGCAAGGTATCAATGTTAAAAGAATAAACTATATTAAATCGCTATCTACTACTCGACTTTCCTACGTAAAAGAATGTTGGCTTGCCAAAGACAATAGTCTGGTTATTGTATTTGTGCTAGCTAGATTACACAAACGAGAAATACTCCAATCCTTCTGCTTCTACATGCAGACATAATATAATACAATCGCGTATCAATCAAGAAAAATACATTCCTTCAGGGTAGGTAGCCTTGGGCGGTGGCGTAGGTAGGTCTCTGGAGTGATCTCGCAGGATCTTGTCCAAGGCTTTCTTTTCAATGATCATCTTTCCGTTCTTCAAAATATCCTTCACATCCAGGTCCGGCCGATCAAGTATTCTGCTATGCTGGTGGAACTCGGCAATAGCGCTGAAAAGATCCTCATCCATACGATCCTTAACAAAGGTACATCCTCCATGGTGCTTGCCCCAGGGAGTAGCCTCAAAGAATCGTTTCCAGAACCATGGCGAGGAGTTTTCGGGCATGGCGATATTGTCGACAACCAATAGTGATCCACGAGTGTAGCGATAGCTCAGGGCAATCCTCCAAGCCTTGTCGTACATTTTTCTGGGTAAATCGGTCGAGAAGTCTCGCGGATGGGGACCGTGTGCAACACCACCGCCTCGTCGGATAGGAGACTTCTTATCGCCAACTCGCGCATGACCAGTACCCTTTTGGGGAGCAAGTTTTCGTCCACTTCCGTGCACATCGTCACGCCATTTTGTGCTCGCGGTACCCTGGCGAGTCTTGTCACCTTCGTAGACAACAGCGCGGTGGAGGAGATCCCTTCGAAGAGGTACGAGTAAATGATCTGGCGAGTATTCCTCGAAGCGGAGAGGTGTCATTGATGGAAAGGAGTGAATGGTGACGAGGGCAGGAGCAGGAGGTTGCCAGGGCGTTCTGCTGTCGGTTTGAGTTGATGTTTTAGATGATGCTTCTGAGACAGTAGCCATGAGCCGAGTCGATGAGCTTGCGCATCCTTGCTTTATAGTTGTCAGTAACCAATTCGAATCCTCTTATAATGCGAAGAGACCTACTATCACGGTTTGTGGCTGCTGAAGGGCACCATTAACGCTGCGAGTGAGCCACCTCAGCGTGCGCAAAGCTTCGCTGCTGGGCATTTTGACGGTTATCAATTGACTGTGATCAATAAATGAGTCGTCAAAGGTGCCGCCAGTCGATGAGGTTGAACAGCAAAGATTTCGGGAGAGAAGTCGGAACGCGGAGTTGGCGAAAAACGGCGCTAGTACGAAAAAAAATGTCCACCTCGCAAGTCGACTTCCGCCAAAGTCTCAAGCTCCGTAAACAACAGACAACTCCATTACACAACGTATTGAGGCACCATGTCTCATTGCGAGATGGCTTCAAAGCCGCTGCTACGGTATTTGCGCCAATCTTCAAACAGAATCTCGCTTTCCTCGCTGCAGTCGAAACGTTTATTCCAGACGACAGCCGTGTCGCACGATGAAGCCCCCGTCGAGAACCAACCACTACCTTTCCACAAAAACCCCGATCCTGCGTTAGTATCGAGCCCTCGCTTGGAAAGGAAGCTTATGAAGTCCGGTGTATCTCCAATTGGTTCTCGAAGACGTCGTGCTGCCCTTCAAGGATCGGAGAACATCCCCTTCGAACTTCTCCCGTATCAATGTTTCCAGGAAGCACGCAAGGTTCTTCAGTCGGATCGCGAGGATAAATTGAAAGATATTGCCAAAGAACAAGCGCGAATTGATCGATTACGGGCTCTTTCTGATGAGCAAGCCGGAGGTGCAAATGTGAAAAGATCCAAGCTTGGAGCCATGGAGAAACATTTGGAAAACTTGAAGGTCTGGGCCGATATTAACGATCCGGTGGTCAAGAGAAAATTCGAAGATGGACAAGGTAGGACTGCTGTTATTACATTAAGATCTTCTCAAAGAAATGAAGCTAATTTTACGACAGGTGACATGAACCTGCCTGTATACCGACATTTGGCAGACAAAAAGTGGAGGGAATACCGACGCCTAATTATCGTTCAGAGAATCACGCAGATGAATGTCATTCCTGACGTGCTCCCTGCTTGCGACCCGACCATTGATGTCAAGCTGTACTTTGATGGCAAAGCCATCTCTCCCGGATCGTTCGTTGATTCTAGGCTCAGCATGAGCGCGCCCAAGTTAAATGTGCAATCATTCGAGGCAGGCCAAAAGCTCGTTACAATCGCAGTTGTCAATCCCGATATCCCCAATGTCGAAACAAACGGTTTCGATTACCAGTGCCACTATCTCGCCGTCAACGTCCCCATCTCTCCCACAGACACACATGTTGATTTGGCCAATCTGCCAGAAACCGCTGAGACTTTGCTTTCCTGGCTCCCGCCCGCAGCTCAGAAAGGTGCTCCATACCACAGACTATCCTTCTTTGTGATGGAGCAAAAGAACAACCAGCCATTAGACGCCGCTGCCGTCAAGAACGGGCTCGAAAGATTTGACTTCCGTCTCCGAGCTTTACAATCAAAACACCAGTTGAAACCCGTTGGCGCGGCGCTTTTCCGTACACAGTGGGATGAGAATACCGATGCAGTCATGAAGGAATTGGGCATGGATGTTGCAGGTCTCGAATTGCGCAGGAAGAGAGTTGAGCCTCTACCATACAAGAGGAGAAACCCATCATCGTTCCGATAGATGGTGACTGTTTTAACTGATATATTTTCGGGGAGAGGCGCTTTCTTTTCTTTACTTTTAGTTTCAATATGTACTTTAGAAGTGTAAAATTATATATGTACATTCCTCTTCCAACGCCGTCCCAATGCTTGATTTCGTTGTACATTACCGTCTTTCATGACCAGTGCTTATTGTGCTGCTGGCTGTAAGTTATTCTCCACCCATTGCATTTTCGACCACGGCCATACTCTCGCAATGATTTTGCCATTAATCAGCCCCATCGGCACAGGCCCGTAATTTCGTGAATCCCTCGACCAAGGTAAATTATCCCCCGCAACAAAAACATGTCCTTCCGGCACCTTTTCCCGTCAGCCTCAATTCTTCATAGCCAAGTAGCAATAGAGACAAACCTGAATCATCTCATTATTCACGCCGACATCCGTGCTATACACCGGATCCTTACACACAAAATCCCCCGGCATCCCAATCACCCTCTTAGCACCATTAACGCCCAAAAACGACGGATGCGCGAACCGCACCACATCGCCCACTTTTATATTCTTGCCATGATCGTGTCGTCGTGATATCAAGAGCCAGTCGCCGCGGACGCTGAAGGTGGGGATCATAGAGGGACCCTCGCTGCGCTGGATGGTGTAGAAATGTTCGCGGATCAGGATGGCGGCGCAGAAGATGCCTAGACAGTCGACTGTCCAGCCGAGGACGAAGCGCGGGGTGGCTGTGCGGAGAAAGTTGCGGAACGAGGAGCTCATTTTAGCTGATTTGCGGTTGCATTGCAAGATTCATGGGTTGTTTGCTGAGCTGAAGTTTATACTGAGTCTCGCGTCACATGTTGAAAATGAGGTATGAAAAATTAGTCGATGTGATTGGCCAGTAGTAAAACCCAAGTCACGTGCATAATACTTAGCGCACAGGTACTTTGCCGAATATTTTCCACTTCTCAAGTTTCCTCTTCCATTTCACAACATCCAGAATTGAAGACATTGCCAGCCAACTCATGATGCTGAGTGACCTTGGCGATGTCGGTTCTACGATGACCAATATTCACTAACATGAATCAAACGACTTTTTCTCTATTTTTTATTTTCAATAAGCCCGCTTCTAAAATTGCTAGAGCTTGCCGTTTCCGAAATACGTTTCACCAGGACGAGCAAGTGTGGACAGAGAAGCAAGATTACACTTTGTGAATGACTTCGGTTGTTTGTTTTGCCCCGAACGATACTTGACTTTGACATTCATTTAAGTATGAATACTGGAAAGTCGAGGTGTAGTAGATGGGATACATCTATTTAGCAAACAATGCATGATTTTTTCTTGATTCACGAAGCTCATTCTCTCTTCAATTTACCAACTAGATGGCAATCACGATGCAACAGGCTTGCGCATCATAGCATCGGCGTCTGCTGCATGTTAGCCAGATCTTTTACTTCAGGCCGGGACAACTCACCAGGATGTATCTCAGGCTCCTCGATATCCCTCCTCGACTTCGCATTCGCCTCATAATCCGCCCCAAACCTTCCATCCCTATCCGTCAAAAGCCCCTTCTTCCCCTCCGGATGCACCTTCTCCAACATCTCATCATTTCCAAAACTACCCATCAACTGCGGCGTACCCAAGGGAACTGTATCGCCTCTATCTACCTGCCACAAATGATACGCTTTCCCATATAAAGGGATTATGTCCTTCATTTCAGAGTTTTCGGCCTTTTGCCAGACGGATTTTGGGACGCCGTTGGGTGTGGGCATGATTAGCATACCGCTTTTCACTTCGTAGACGTGAGAGTGCCATAGTTCGCGTTCGGGTTGCGGGAGGGTGTTGTAGATTTTCGGGGTGATCATGTATTCGATGCCTATGAGGCGGGCGTTGGGTTCGGGCGAGTCGTAGAGGAGGCATTGTCTGATATCTAATCTTTTCCTTCAGAGCACATCCACTGTTTCCTCTGGGTGTATCATACCTTCAGTGATGTGCGCGCAATAATGATTCGCTTCAACAGCTCTCGTTGGATCAGAGGCATATACGTGGAATGCATTTAGATGAGCGCAGATGCTTTTCACGGGCCGAAAGTCCTGGATTACTCCGGCGGCGGTCTCGAGGACGCGACTTTTGGTGGTGAGGGCGTCACCTGCTGCTCCTTCGTTTGCCATTGTAATGGATGGTCTAATTGCTAATTGCTGATATGTATGAAATTTGTCTTGAGAATATTGATCGTTCTACGAAGATTGTTGACCTGTTATTCATGGATGTTTGTTACTACGCTGACGTCACAGTGATGGTCTCTCATCGCTAGAGGTAAACATCCCTGAAGAAGATCTTGGCGTTTATTCAGCTTCATACAAAAAGACCTTCTATAGACTGTGCCATCGTCAATTACATAGCATTCTTCAACTCTCTCAGAGCAGCCATGACCTCCACAGGGTCTTTCTTTCCTGTCGCTTTGAGAACATCGGGATCCTATACAACCACTTTTAGCATCTTAATGTCTTGATATCGAGGGAATGTACTTACGCTGAGTCTCATAAAGACATTGTGGGCCTATAAGGGAGATTGAATCAGTGTCCATCATCACGGAACCATAAACTTGTAGAGTTCAGACCAACCTTTTCATCCCCAATAGTGAGAATACCCTGTGTCTGTTTATTGCTCTCTGCAAAAGCTTGAAGCTTCTTGATCGCATCGGAGTTTGATATAGTAAGGAGGAAATTCACATTCGACGTGGTGTATTCATGGCCGCTCTAAACCGAAGCATCGTTAGACAGTTTCTCCAAAGATCACTTGGACGCGAAAATCTTAGAAAAAAAAAGCTTACGTAGACCTTGGTGTCATCTGGCAAAGATGCAAGCGTCTCATTGAGAGCCTTGTTCATCTGAGCAGCATCACCTTCGAAGAAACGTCCACATCCTATCCACGTATCAAAACCCATTCAACACCATTGAAACTTGCCATGCATGGATAGAGGGAATTACCTCCAGTAAACAAAGTATCACCAGTAAAAACAGCACGCTGATCCCCATCCTCCAGGAAATAGCATATACTATCCTGCGTATGGCATGGAGTATGGAGAGCTTTCACGTTGATGCGCTCGCCAATCTTCCATGTTTCGCCGTGGGTGGGCGTTTTTGAGACTGATTGGCAGTTTGCGCCGCCGACGACTTGGAGATGAGGGAATTCTTTGAGCTGTTTCAAGTAGAGGTGAAATGTTAACATTCTTTCTTTGGCCTGGCACGGCAAACAAGTGGTTTCGTCTTACAATCCCATCATTGCCACCAGCATGGTCCCAATGGCTATCGATTGTTAGCGTGGCTCATTCAAGCAGAAGATTGGTACTTACTGATGAGTGTTGACAATCGCAGTCACCTTGGCCTTTCCAGCAGCCTCTTCAGACTTCAACACCGGAATCACTCTGTAATCAAACCATGATTAGTAGCTATTTAAACTTCATTGGTGGGGGTGAAAACGCACTCCTCAGGATGTGCCGGATCGATGATAACGGATTGTTTTGTAGGCTCATCAGTGACGAGGTAAGCATAATTATTGCTCTTCCCCGTCCCTACAAAATGTCAGAACTAAGCATTCGATGTATCCGGCAATTATCCGGAACTGATCTTCATCGAAAATTGGCTTACACATAGGAATAGTCTGGATATGCATGTTGCGGATTTGTCTTTGCTGGCTGGACAGTCTCTGGGCAGATGTATGAATAATTGATCGTAGAGAGTTCATGGAGAATTGATACAAACTCGAAACTCGAAACGAAAGTACGAGGTGGAATGGCATTGTTGACGTATCACAGCCAGACGAGGGGAACTTTATGTCAGCTTGATGCCTGAAAATACAGGCACCAACATAGCCCAGCTTTTATATCTCCGAAATACTTCACACCACTGATTTCAAATGCGAAAGAGGAAGAATTTCTAATATTATCTAAATATCGATCAGTCTAGATCCTCGAATAACACAGTCGCCTTCGCCCAAATGGTCCCTTGATCATAAGATTCCCCGTCATCATCTCCATAAGCCATGACCAGCGGAAACAACTATGAGCAAATGCTCTCTGTTATCAACCTGCAAAGGATTCGATTTTAGGAACTGTCGACATTGATTTCCCGCAAAACCCGACATTTAGCAGGTGCATGTACCTCACTCTTCCTTCTCGTAGTTGAGGGAGATCTAGATGGCTATTCGAATATAATTTGCCGCGGAGAAGGTTTCACCATAGTGAAGCAGATGTCAATGCAGTTGATTGAAGGTGTTTTCTTTACGCCAGTTTCATGATTTCAGATTACATGGCCACCGATAGAGTATCAAGCATAGAGAGATCTTTACATGAACAATGTACACCTCCACATACCTAACGTTATGTTATAATCATAGCCCAGATCTATAGCTAGCAGGTAAAAGACAAACTTGGTCTAATATTGATTTCTAAAACCCATCATACACACTCAACGACCGCCTCACCTCCTCAAACCCCGGCATAACAGGTTTCGGATTACACAGTTTTGTAAACGTCGACGCAATTTCAGCCACGGTATCGCCCGCCAAACACAAGTCAGAATGATGGGTAGCCAGAATCTTCAGGCCAGCTTGTATATGCATTTGCGCTTCTATCGATCGATGCTGAAGCTCATCGCATACAGCGAGTAGAACGCAAGCAATCAGTGTAATCGTAATCGACGGCTGAGATGCTTGGCTGAGGAGTTGTAGTGCTCTTCCGTGATGGAGCAGGAAGGAGACGTTTTTCTTCTCATGATTATATCCTGGACTCAACTCGGCGATTGTCGACGTCGATGCAGAAGTCGATGAAGAAGGAGACGGCGACATTGAGACAACAAGGGAAGAAGGGCCTCTCAAACTCGAAGCAGCTATCATCAAATGCTTGATACTCTCATCAGCAGCACTGGCCTGCAGCACAATCTCATTCCAGAACCCCGCCGTGCCATAATCCGAGAGTAAGGGGGTATACAAATCGACGAAGAGGTGATATGACATTCTCGACCGCGCTCCACATGCAGCGCGGCCTGAGGCAGAGATGCAGTTATTGTTTGGCATTATGGTGATGCCGATAGACATGTATGGTTTTGATAGCTGTTGTTGCTGGCGCTGTCGATAGCCATCGCAGCGACGGCCGGTTGAAGTGCAGCGCTTGCAGGCTGGGTGAGCCTCGTCACATTTCACGCGACGGATTCTACGATGATTAGGCTATTGTTTCATGCAGATTGGCGTCTTGTAAGAATCGATACATACCGACAAGTGATACAGCCATTGTTACTCCGTCTATGTACTGGACGCTTCTTTTCCGGTGCCGGTGGCGCCATTATAGGCATAGTCTGAACGAATTGATTGTCGGAAGGAGTGTTATGCAATAAAAATACTAGGCGAAACGATGTAACTACCTTATGAACTATTTGGCAGAGAGGAAAACGTGACAAGATTACTTTATCGCTATCCCGAATGTGGTGAGTATAGTAATATATCCGCACATCAATTCTTATTGGATATTGAGCTTCCCTTGATATAAGATATTGCTAAGAAACCCCCTTATTTAAACACAGTCCCCCATCTGTGGCTCAGCCACCCACCCCCGCTTTTCCGAGATGCATTTGAGTCTCCTTTCAATTGGTTAGAATGCATTTCCGAAGAAACATGTGTTTTTACGATGGCAAGAACTACCCCATGTCTCGACTAGTCACCTGAGCCTATGTGATAGAGACATCCGAACCTGTGTCTCTTTGAATGAAGCTCTCCCGCTGCCAGGACTCTGATCCTTTAGCCCGCCACTAAGAGGGCCAATCGACTTATGCATGTACTGTAACTGCATGCAGATGGTCAAGGTCGTTATGCATGTCCAAGCATAGGTTGATGCCCGAGGTACGGGCACCTTGATCACTTTAGGGAATTGTCATACAGACCATTTCCCGAGGGATTTCACCGGACTACTTCCAATTTTATCAGCGAGTAAGTCGCTTTTGTATTACCAATTGATCCCTAATGTACTCGCTGGTGTCTTCCACGGCCCGCTTTCAATGAACGTGGATAATCCACGGGAGCCTCTAACAGAAGTTCCAAGAGCAGTCGTACTGGATGGGAGAAAGTTTTGCTGAAAACCCATGCCAAAATGGTTCGCATTCTTGAGCTATAAGCGTACGACGAGAATAAAATAGAAGGCGCATGACGTGTCAAAACTGGCTGGCTGAAAGACCATGCAGTTTCGTTAGGACTCCGGGATCGTAAGGATGGATTCGACTCCCTGGGTATGTCTAAAAGGTGTGGTTGTATCGGATTCGTAATGCATATCGGACAACCTTGAGGCATTAAGTAGACAATCCCTCTAGTTATAAACAGAGGAGAATCGACCAGGACTAGAAAGTTCAAATAAGATCCCTCGCTATATCTTTCTGTGGATTTCAGCTCAAAGGTATCTACGGCTTCTTCATTATATCTATTCTCTGCAAAGTCTCTAGTTACCACGATGGATAGCACTCATTCTGATCTCTCCGACCCTCAATACCAATGCGACTTCGTCGTCTCTACCACCCAAGCCAGCATCAACGCTGATCTGTGGGATTTTCTAGGCGAAGACACCCAGGAACCCCAGTATCTATGCTTCCTGGTGTCAGACACCTCCGACGATCCTAGCGTGGAGATTACCTTGGAGGACTTGGTGAAGCAAACAGGCGTCAATCCCTTTGACATTCCCGAGGATACTCCCTACAAAAACAACAAAGATATCCAGAAGCTCACCAATGCAGGATTTGTCGTGGGTATTCGCATGCAGGTGGGAGTACCGCCGGGCTTCATGCCAAGGGACCTGTCTCCTGTGGTTAGTTTCAACAAAGGTATAGATAAAGTTGCTTTCAACCTCTACTGTTCAGATATCACGGTCATTCAAAATTCGCCACCGTCTGGCTTCCATGGCGAAGGTCATTGGAATGTTTACCACCAGCCTGAAGGCGACGATGCCTCTTCAAAGCCCTGGTTTGTCCAAACCTCAGTGGACCTGAAGATCGGGGACCTAGACACGGAGCTGAACAACTCTCCCTATCTTAACAGCCACCCAGACATCAAGAAACAATTAAAGGATTCCCTGGACAACATATCTAGTAGCGCTTTGAGTCTTCAACAACTTTTCTTTGACCTCGATAGTGCCATTCTGGAGTCCGACACCAGCTTCCAGGGCATCCCTCCAGGCTCCAGTGCCGAGTTTGTTTTACCAAAAGCCTTTATTAAACTCCACAGCAAGAATGCCAAAGAACAAGGCCTGCCGTTGATCTCGGTCTCCGCCATCCCGCAGGACCCAGATCCTTCCGCGCTGGCAATGACAGCTTTTGAGCGAATCGTGAGCCCGCTGAAAGACTCCAATGGGGACCCAGTAGAGAACCCTACGCCGAAGCAACAATCGGCAACAACATTAGATTATGTTTGTGTGATTCATGGTCAGAATGTGCCATCAATTTCAAAATTTGGGTGGAACTGGGTGCAGCCTGATGATGTTATCAACAAGAGTGGAGTTGTTTCCATCAACCGGAATGTCCTGGTGGACTTTATGCGAGAAAATATCCTGAGCCAAGTGAAGCCGTTCTGCTATTCTGTCACCTGGTCAAATGGTTCGTTGACTTTACCCCCGGCGGAACCCCGCATGATGAGACTGAATATCTTAATTGTGATCATGTACTCAGCCTGGAATGGAACAACAGCAATGAAGGTCAATTTATTTCGGGTGGGATTCTCTATGGCGTGGCAAAAGTTAGGTCGTCCTACAGCTGCGATATATATTTTGCCACTGGCTCAAATCGGGAAGTTGAAATTCACCAGGAACTACGGGCCCTCCTTAAGGCAGCGTCGAACTATGACGAACTTGATAATGATAATGACCAGAACGTAGTAGAAGCTACACCGGTTTACTGGGTTCTTGAAGATACATACCAACTTTCAATCGACCAGAATGGGGCCTTAGTGTTCTTACATACCGGTCACGACCTCGAGGACGCCTCTAAGTATGACGACCCTCTCCATAAAAACCCCGACAATGTAGACAAGATGGTTGCCGACTTGATGGAGCTAGCAAAAACAAAGGTCAAAGCTGAGCTCACTGGTCAACTTGATGAGATGAATCTTGATGTCCTGAGGCAATTCGTCTTCCCCGGTGCCAAGGTGTTCACGTACAGCAACCCGTTTTTTTCTACAGGTCGGGACCTTGTCTGTGATATCTCCTATGTTGATCCCATTGGAACCGAGTCAACTCAGCAAACCCTACACCAGGAAATAGTGGAGCCGCCCTCCGTTGCAAATGCACCTTCTGCCCAGCAGAAACAGAATGCGTCCGGAGGTAGGTTGACTGCCTCCACCGAGCTGATGCAGAACTATATCCACGGTGAGATTGTTTCTTCAACGGGCAATTTTGAAGCCCTCCAGAGCAGCGACGGTCACGCCCTCCTGTTTTCGATCGACTCGGCGGGGGKTTTCCATGTATTTGAAGAGCAGAGCGGGTCATCACACACAGGATGGCAGGTGCACGATCTCTCAACTGCCGTCATTAAAGCCCAGTTTCCTGGGCGCTCTGACGCCGTAGTGCGCACATTTGGTGTAGGCCAAAGTGCCAAAAACGGAAAGATAGGGCTGCTAATTGCTGTCACCGTGGATAGTAACGATCACCTGTTCATCTCCCTCGATAACTCTAATGATGACACGTCATGGTTTCGAAATCCCAACTGGACTCCAGTCCCTTTTGATGCTATCGATGAAGCGCCTCAGAATATTGTTGTTGCTGGTGTTCTCTTTGCCGAGATGCTGTATCATAGGCAGTACATTGTTGTTGACATTCAACGATCTTTCGGAGGCGGTGTTTCACATGTATCCCGCTACCATATCGATCCTACTAAAGAGGACGGGACGTACTGGGTCAAGCACGAGGTCAGCGTCGACATCGAATCTGCTAATTACCATAGTTGCGTGGGGCAGGTGAAAAGTGGGAAAGTTGATGGAATTTACACCGCGGGCTCTACAGGGGGCCACGGTCAGCTTGTATTTGAATTCATTGTTAATTGGGGCGATCCCAAGGCAAAACCACTCGTACGACGACTGCACCTACCGGGCAATGCAGTTCCCTCAGCCATCGCCACATCTCGCAATACTGACTTAACAACCGATCTTTTCGCCGTCAGTGGCTCCTCATTATACCTGTTCCCTGCCGATAAGCAAAGGGGGGATAAGGATGAGCCAATACTGATAGCCACCAATGACCTCTTTTCTACGACTGACACTTTGCACGCCATGACCCACGGGGGAGTGACAACTATATGGGGAAGGAATTCGAAGTATCAAGTTTACTACCTAGCAGCCCCAGCAGCCAAGGTAGGTCAGACAGAAGCTTGGTCCGTTGCCGTGCCAATTCTCTCGGGCATCGAACGTATTTCGCCCTACCTAAACCGCACGGATGGCGGAAATACCATCTTTGCGTCCGGCAATGGGAGGCTCCAAAAGTTAATTCAAAATTCCAATGACGCTGGAAGAATATGGCGTGCTCAAGAAATCATTCTATCTACACCACCTGAGCAGCCAGCCCGCAATTTCATGTCATACACAACATCCATCCACGTTACCCAGAGCGATACAGATTCACCAACACCAAATGCTGTAGTCAATCTTTCCGCCAACAGCCGTACACCGGTGCACATCAATGGGTTATACTATGTCCTATCCACCACCCCTATCCAAGTATCTGCCGATGCTGTGGGCTCACTCACAGTAGTCGAGGCGGCTGAAGGAATCAACGGGACTGTATTGACTATATCCCTTGACGATGAGAATACAGTCACCATCGACCCTATGGATAAGAGATTGGCTAAAATCACCGCACTTAACTCCTCTGACAAGGTGCGTGCCGCCCAAGTGACCAGGCCGACCGTCCCTGGCGGCATCGTTGGTTCACCACAATACACGCCTCTAGTGGCCGCATCAACGAGCGATGACGATGTGACTGGTATTGCAACGAGCCTAGATCTGATGAAGACGACCTATGAGAAGGTCAAGGACCCGCAGATATCGTCAGCTGTTCAAGTTTTCGCACGTCTTAATCATGGAATCATCCCATCATCTCTGTTTCGATCTGGGAAGATCCCAGTTTCTAAACTCGGGTTGTTTGATTGGATAGCCGCGGCGGCAGGTGATCTGTTCCAAACGCTGAAGGCTGTCGCCAATGATGCCATAAACACCGTAAAGCATGTGGCCGAAATAGTTTATGACGATGTAACCAAGAGCTTGCACTTCCTGGCAACAATTGGCGGGCAAGTCTTCCGCGCGGTGCTGGACACAGTCGATGCTGTCGTTGGCGCGGTGGAGTGGGTGTTCGACAAAATAAAAACTGGAATTGAGGATATCATCCATTTTGTCGAATTCCTATTCGAATGGGACGACATTCGGCGGACAAAGGACGTGATGCACAACGTCGCCAAGCTGTGGCTGCAGGATCAGGTAGACAATATCCCTCGAGCACAGCAGGCCATCGACGGAGTGATTACGGATGCTGAGAAAAAGGTCAACACGTGGGCTGGTATCACTGACTGGTCTCCGGCCCTAGGGGATGTGGCATCCAAGCCTGCCTTATCAAGTGGCTCTGATCCAGCCAAGAATCAGACATCCGGTTCTAAGTTTCTGGCTGATAAGTATAGAGACCATGCTTCTCAAGTGCAGATCACCGGGGACTCCCCGTCAGGAAATGCAGTTGGGGATCTCCTGAATGACTTGATAACAGCGATCTCCCAGGAAGAGACTTTACTAGGGGCAGTCCTGACTCAGCTGCAAAATCTAGCCAATGAGTTTTCATCACTAAGTGTTGAAAACGTTTTGAAGAAGTTGGCAGCTATCATTGTCGATGGAGTTCTATCTGGCATACAAGTGGTGGTAGATGTTCTACTCAAGATACTGTCCGAGCTAGCTCAGACCGCTTTGAACGTCCTGGACACAAAGATTCATATACCTGTCATTTCTGACATTCTCAACAAAATTGGTGTGCCAGACTTGTCTTTTATGGACCTGTTCTCCTGGATTGGTGCTGTTGCCATTACCCTTGTGTATAAAGTTATCGAAAACCACGCACCGTTCCCAGGCAACGACGATTCTGTAAAAGCCATCATCTCTGCAAGGAGCTGGGACGAGCTGGCAGGATTATTCGGACAGCAAGGAACGTCAGCATTGTTTTCATCTTCTCCTCATGCTGCCTCCGCTTCTGCCAAGGTGCCAGAGCTCATTTCCATGTCGCAATCCGTAAAGAAGGCTGTCTTCGAGAGCTGTACCTTGTTTGCTGGTATTCTTCTTATACTGGGTAATAACGTGATTGCCATAGAAGCAGAGGACCAATCTGGCAGCAAAATAATTAGCATTCCAGCGGGGGTTATTGGATTTCTATGCGCTGCAATCGGCGGCGCCGGCAGCTTCCTTGTTCCCTTAGATCCCGTTGACAATGCGATATTTAAGAAGCTTTCGCAGATCACCACAGCAGCTGTCATTGGCTTGAAGTTGGTGTTCTCCGGAATAGGTCAGTTTGCATTCAAAAAGATGAAGATTGGTAGCATGGTCTTTGAAGAATCCCGTGGCATTGGCGCAATGCTCAATTGTGTTTTAGTCATCCACGGCACAGTGGTGACCTTGTGGCACATCTACGAGTTTACAGAAAAGCCTGCGGGCAATACACGCTCGGCAGCCATCCTGGGTGAAGTAGCTAATTTATCCTCATACGTGTCGCGTCTGGCTTATGGGCTTGCTGTCAATGATGAGGAGCAGGATAGTCGTCTCATTGCTATCCTTACAATGGGTCTGGCCAATTATGCGGCAGGGGGTTTGCAAATAGCCCAGGCAGAAGTTGGTAAAGCGGCCTTGTCTTGAGGGTTCTTTCATATTGGAGGAACCCAATACATAACCACTTCTTCCATCCTTTCCTACGCGAGTATGCCTTTCCAAGGTCAAATAAAGATATCAATGAATTCCCTGAAATACATAATACCTATACCATATTTTGCTGTGCATCGCTGACCAGGTCTTCAAGGGAAATATTGCACAATTAGACACATGGTGGGCATGTCTTAGGGATACTGTAGCAACTTACCAATAGCGTGCATAACCGTGCCACCACCGTAACGAAACCGATGGGTAAAACAGATTCCACGCAAAGCTGGCGATCTCAACAAAAGTGTTGACCTGTTTTGAGAGTGTGACCTTGGTGATCGGTAGTTTGTGGTCCACTGGAATTGGCTTGTACGCGGCAGAATATGTAGTAGTGTCCCACCTCCGGTCTGAAGGTAAGCAGCATCTGCTGCCGCTCACCCTCGAGAAACAGTCGACGAATCTCGTTCATGGATCTGAGACTGGAGCTCGGAACGCTTCGTCCTGCAAGAGCATGCCTAGGAGGAACGAGTGCGGACTGAGCATTGAGGAAGGATCGTAAAAGTTCTCGGGAATCAAGGATGTTTCCCTATAGCAAGATTAGCAGTTGATCAATACCAACTCAGCAACGCATAAAGAAGTGCCATACGCCTGCGTGMCCCCCATGTACTTCTTGGCAAGCCTGTACTTGCTCTCAAACAAGATGCGCGGCGGTCCGCCACAAGGAACCCGCTGGAGAAAGCTTTGTAGATGTTTATATTGAAGGTTTTGCCTTGCATCAATCCGTTGACTGCGCAGCGCATATATCCACTCACCTGCTCTCATTCAACATCAAGCTTCCCTCGATATAAGATACTATTAAGAAACCCCCTTACTAAACTAGCGCGGAGAGATTTAAGCTATGTCATATACGGAACAGCCTATGCCAGATATTTCCTCTTTTCTAGTTAGACACACATTACAATACATTACACGTTCCCACTCGATTTCTCAAAAAGTGAGGTCAACCAAATGGGAGAGGTTCATCGGGTTTAACGGCGTTTGCAACCAAATCGGCGTCTCTGATTGGCACGCTCGCTAACTATGGACGCTAGTCTTGCTAGTGCTCTTATACTTGGATAGACATCCAATCATGTCGCCGCTTTTGTATAGAGATCTGTATATGGGTTCGAAAGACTTCATGTCATTAGAAATCAATCATCATGATCTTGAGGACATTGGGACATTGCAGCACTGATATATGGCTATAAATACAGGCCAAAAATCCCTCGATTCTCATGCAATATCATTGTCACAGACACAGCATCAATAACACCACATTCTAATTAATCATTTCTCTAGAATCTCAGACAAAAAATGGCATCCATGGTCCTCCCAACCTCCCTCCAAAAGAGCCTCGACGAAACCAAAGTTGACTACGTCAACCTCGGCTCTTCAGGACTCCAAATATCCGTCCCCATCCTCGGGGCAATGTCCTTTGGCTCCAAACAATGGAGTCCCTGGCTCCTCGAAGAGGAGGAAGCCATTAAGGTTCTCGCTGCTGCCTATGAGCGCGGAATCAACACCTGGGACACGGCGAATATGTATGGCAATGGCCAATCGGAAGAGATCCTTGGAAAGGCCATCAAAGCCCTGAAGATTCCGAGGCAAAAGGTTGTGATTATGACTAAATGTGCTATCTATGTTGGCGAAGATTTGACGGTTGTCGGGCCGGCGCATGGACAGTTCATGAAGAAGAGTAAGCAGTATGTTAATCAGGGAGGTAAGTCATCCAATTGATTCCTTGCAGCTGGTTCAGGATTAAGACTTGTATAGGCCTCTCGCGCGCATCAATCTTTAATCAAGTTGAAGCCTCGCTCGCTCGCTTGGACACTGATTACATCGACGTCCTTCAAATCCATCGCTATGATCCCTCCACACCCCCCGAGGAGACCATGAAAGCTCTTCACGATCTCGTTCAAGCAGGGAAAGTTCGCTATCTCGGCGCAAGTTCCATGTGGGCCTACCAGTTCGCAAACTTGCAGCACATAGCCGAGAAAAATGGCTGGACAAAGTTCATCTCAATGCAGAACTACTACAATCTCTGCTACCGTGAGGAAGAGCGTGAGATGACTCGGTTCTGTAAGGAGACGGGTGTCGGTATCATCCCCTGGTCACCGTTGTTTGGTGGCGTTTTGGCTCGACCTGTGGGTGTGAAGGAATCGATTCGATCCCAAACGCCGTCACCAATGGGTTCTGCGTTCACAGAGGCAGATGAGGAGGTTGTCAAGCGAGTGGAGCAGTTGGCAAAAGAGAAAGGTTGGAAGATGGTTCATGTAGCGTTGGTCTGGTTGAGAAGCAAAGGTGCTGTGCCGGTTGTTGGCGCTACTTCTGTTGAGAAGTTGGAAGATGCTGCTAATATTCGAGGGAAGTCGTTGACGGAGAAGGAGATTGAGTTTTTGGAGGAGCCATATGTTCCCAAGCGTATTGCTGGACATTTTTGATATTGTATCATGTTGTCTAGCTTTTGACTCAGTACGACCATCCAGAGGCTTGAAGATGGCCTGATGCAGGCTCAGTGTCGTCAATAGAAACCACAGATTGTGTAGATAGTGAATCGAAGATATGAGATGTTCCAGACTCTTGCTCAATAATCTTTGCAAGCATATCAGTCCAATTGTTGGGCCATTCATCGCATACGAACCGTAGATAAGCTGTCGAGCATAGGTATTGTATATGTTGTTTCCAGGTTTCCGAGGTGAGTATATGGTCCAGCCATATATATACACCTTCGAGGTGAACATTCTCCGTTGTCGCAGGCGTGTTTGGTTTGTTCGACAAGTCTTTGGCCAATTCTTCGGTGAGAATAGTCAGAAATATTTTGACAGAGTCTGCGATTGACTGCAGAACATAGTCCCATATTGAGAGTACAGTTTCCATTGAGCTTGCGATTCTGTTTCTGTCAGTCTGTGTCTGGTAATCTTGCATCGGAATACTCACTGCCTGCTTTCAGGTACAAGGAATCCATCCTCAACCAAAACCCTACATATAACCTTCGCTCCCTCGGCATCGCCCTTGCAAATCGAAACCAACGACTGCGAGACGGACGTAGCCAAAGACTTGACCCTTTTCCTTGAGTTGTCCGACTGTACCTGTTGCGAAAACTGCAGCAGTAACGATTTGACCCTCGCCCTCAACCCATCATCTTCTGCCGCTGAAACAGACACACCCTGATCAATCCTCGCCCAGTAGTAATCCCACAACCACTCCAAAGCGCGATTCGTATAATTCCTCAACAAGACCAACGATGGCAACTCTCGATGCGCCGCTTCGTGTCTCAACTCCACAAACGAGAGCGGCAACCCAATCATCGCGGCACGGTTGAACATCGTGCCTCCGCCGCCACCACTGCCCAACTTCGTGTCTACTAGGCCAGTGACAAACCGCGAAAAGGCGGCGGCATAGGTAGCTCTGATTGAGAAGACGGAGTTGTAGGTTGAGTTATCATGCAGGATAGCATCTGTCAGTAGAGCTGTGGCTTCGACAGCGTGCGGGAGATGGCCGCGGAGTTTCCATGCTTCGACCTGATGATTATCAGTCTTGTCTCGACAGCTGAGGAAGGGGGGAGCATACAATTCGACATGCATCTGGTCGCTGATCAGTCAACGACGTCGGGTTAAGAGATGACGAGGGATAGAATTTAGATCGCACATCCAGCAACTCTGATTCATCCCTCCAGGGGGTGACTATGATCTTCGGCATTTTATTCTATTGTTGACGACTCAATATTTATATCTCAGAACGCTCTCTCCAATCAAAAAATCCTCTGCTCGGCAAGCAGGAAAATCATTCCTCCGAGCACATAGAGCTACGTTGCCATAATTTCCAGGCAGAAAGTAGACCCAAAAGTCTAGAACGCAATAGACCCACTTGTGTACCAAAAGAGGAAAGACTAGAAAAGCTTTGACCTCGACCTCGAAATTGCGACCAATCATACTCATTCTTGGCGGATGCTGCAATTTTTCTAGAAGCTTGGCAGTTGAAGAAGAATCCATCGTATCTCAGGACTTAGAAAAGGCAATCTACTATGTAAGTAGTAAGTAAGAGGGGGTCTAAGCCTTGGGGAAGTGAGGTGGCTCGTGGCGTGTCCACTTTGTATGACCGATAGACCACTTTGAAAGAGAGAGAGCATGTGGTGGATACAAATGCTCGGCTTACATGCTCGGCATTACTTGCCGTTTGCTGATGTAAAAAGCACGTAACCAACGTTACTTGAATTTACATAGTAAGCTCATGTTATTACTCCAAGGACAGAATATGAAACCACAATATTGCTCTATTAAGTATGTAGGTAAAAACAAATAATCTAGACAGGGGTATCAAATTCCGTCCATCCGTCATGGTACGGGAATACATGCTCAAACTCCATGCTATGCTCATTATCCATATCGTGACAGTCATGTGAAAGAAAGGGGAAAGAAAAAAAAAGAAAGAGAGAGAGAGAGAGAGAACTAGTCATCATTCTCGGCATCTCCATCCTCGTCATCGTCCTCGGCAGGAGTAAAAGTCTCTTCCAATTTGAGACCCTTGCCGGTAGAATGGCAGGTATTATCACCACCACTCAACAGCGAAAATGAGAGCGATGAGGGCTCGTCGTAAAGACCAACAGCAACTAAATCGTCGCCACCATCTTCAAGATTGTCTTGCGTGGTGGAGATCAAAGCTGGTGGTTGCTGCTGATGGTTGTAGACCATGTCTGGTGTAGGTGGCGCGGTGAAGTCATCAGCTGAAGCGACGCTCTCATGGCCGTAGTCCAACATTGCAGGGTCTGTCGAAGAGACGAATCCACTACTGTGTTGCATCCATGGATACGTGGAAACGGGCGTGCCTTCCATACTGTATGTTGACCATTCCGATGGCTCGGAATACAACATATCTGATGGCTCGACGGGGGTGTATACCTGTGGTTCAGGAGGGCAAAAGTTGTAGAATTCGTCGTGAGTAGTGGCAAAGTAGTCATTGGTGGAGAGTAGGTCGCCGCTCATGGGGCATGTGATGGGCGTTGAGAGACCGTACATGGAGGTCATCCCCGACTGCTGCTGGGCGGCTATGGCGGGGRCAGAGACATCACCACGCAGCCATGAAGGGTGGCAATTAGGTACGTAGTATGGTTGCTGTTGCTGTTTCATAGACGGATGCCAGCTGGTAGGCCTTGAAGGTCGTTGCTGGGTGGTAGTGTTGGTGTTTTTATTCAAGTGGAAGAGGTTGCGGACAGGAAGGACCTGAGTAAAGCCGTTGTTGTTGTATGTGGTCATCGTGCGCCGTCTTGTCTGTGAGTGTGGACTGTTGCCAGCGCTGCTGGGCTTGGAAACTCTCGACAGGTTCTTGCGGTAGTTTCTAAAGGTGGCATCGTTCGCGAGAGAGTGCAGTTGCATACTCCAGTCGAGGGGAAGGTGGTACGGCTGTTGCCCGTAGTCACCCATTGTGTTGGTTGAGAATAGCTTAATGGTTGTTGTTTGTTATCGTAGCAAGAGATGGATGATAGATATGAGGACTCCAAGGGAGGGAGAAATTATTATACTATGTATGGCAAGGCTAGCCACAAAGGAGGCCAGGGCGTTCCTGACTCCCTTATGTCAAGTGGGATGGGATAGGATAAAATTGGCTCGGCCGTGGCCAGTAGTGATAATGGATGACGAGCGGGTTTCATGGTGGGCTGGACTGGGCGGCTTGTGAAGGGATCAAAATGATGGTACGTATTGATTAATATCGGGGAGTGGAAATTTTGGTTTGTTTGAGGTAGGATGGATGAGTGGGTTGGAGTATGGAGTATGGGATGGGGATGTATGGAACGCTGCAAAGGTTGGTTGGAAGTTTAGCCAGGATAGTACGGCTTCTAAGTCGGGAAGTAGCAAAAGAAGATTCACGCACGAGTAAGAGCCCTCAGTTTGGGACGAAAGGCTAAAAGCAAAAAGTCTCAAAGACAAGGCCCCCGCGCTTCGTTGACGGTTGAGCACTAAGCAGCACCGAACAGGAAGCACTTCCAGATCGGTGGAGCCTGCGAGGAGTTAGGAACCGAACTATGCTGGCATCCATGATCAAACGAAAGTCAAAGAGGCGGCTAAGCCAGCCATAAAGCGAGATGACGAATGGGGTGGTGGAACTACATGGGTGGCATAGCGTTGTGACTTACTATGTATTACTTACATGGTAGTACGTCCTTGTTAGTGCTAGCAGCAAAGGAACACGAGTCTGATGGAGAAAGCCATGACCCTTGTTTCGGGTCACTTTGTGTATTGTATTACTGAATTACTTACTGTATTGACGGTACTAATCTTACGGACGGGCCAACCATGGCAAAGCGGACCGCGCGGTCACAGCGCAGGTATTTTGGTATTTTGGCTGTATGACCAACATTTACTATGGAGTATGGGCAAGTTGTAGTAACAATACGCGTAACATGCAAAATCCGGTAACGCAAAAGCCACTCAGCCACTGACACTTCCGTATGCAGCTGTTAATTGTGCTTGTACGGAGCAAACATGGAAGTCGAAAAGGTAATTTTCACGGCTTTGCCTTTGCCACCGCCCATAGTATACACACACACACATTTATTATATGTAGTACGTACTCGTAGGAGTATGATCGATCCTACGTAGTGTGGTGCGTACGTCCTACACTCGGCGTCTAAGTCCAAGCGGATTAGCCTTCCCCATCCGGCCCAGCCCATGCCATGCACTACCAAAAGTAGGCGTTAGTGACTACTGATTCGTATCCTTACTGAATACTAGATGGCCGGCTGTACGGATATCCTGCTGATTGAGCGTCAACGAGTTTCATCTTTATACTTTTCAGAAACTTCGGCGGTAAGACGCGATCCAACGATCGGTGTTGTCTATCTTATTTGTTACTTCTATTTTGTCCATAGGCGCTAGGTAGTTGTTGCCTGTTACTCGATGACACATATCTGATGAATGTGCGTATCACATTCTTTTGACCAGTGTTACACGGAAGGAATCGGCACTGTGATGCTTCTCATTTGGATCTGAAAATGAATACGACTAATTAAACCAAGTCCAGTTAAATCAAGGTTGCAGTGACTAATCAGACTGCTTGCATATTGAATCATGACTTTTTCGCTCGAGAGATGTAGCGTGGCAGACGGAGATGGTCTGGTCTGGTGGAGCGGAGCCACCGAATACGAAACTCACATCCTCTCAGTCTTAGCAACTAACAAGTCTTTCAGTCAGTCTTTGTATGATCGGCCGAGTCAGATGACCAATAAAATGCCTGTTGCCGTGGGCAGATCTTTTCTGACCACTGAATAGGCCCGGATATTAAGCACTCGGCCCACCAACGCCCACCAACTCCTCCCTAACTAGCCCCAACCAGCCTCCAAGCCGTCGTTACTTTGTGCCCTTTTCACTGCCCTTTTCACTCTCTTTTCTTTTTCTGCTGTTCAGTGTCTACCAAGTTTAACCTAGTGCAGAACGGAGCCAAGCGGAAACCCTAATTGCCCTCACCCCATCATGACACCAATTGCTCTTTGCTTCCGAGGGTGTACCACCAACAGACTTCCAGAGCAAGCCACATATTAAATCCAGCGAAAGCCAGAATCTCCATTCCCGGTTTGGGTCGACTTTGCAGTTGACGAGAACCCACTCAGCTGATGATATACATGCCCATCAATCAAACTAGTATTCAAGGGAGCGAAAAAGCAATTACTCAATCAATATGAAATCCGCCGACTGATATTGTGGCTGCTGCATGCAGTAACACATTCTCCCATTCATCTACATACAGTATTATAAAAGGATGACCATCATCATCTGTGACAGGTTTCAAGCGTCGACACATGTCAGCGTCAAATTCAGTAGATCAAAGAAAGACTTTGTATCATTTCCACCGTTCGACCCGTTCGTCACACCTTTTCTTTATAGCGATAATCATTTTCGCTTGCCTGTTCCGAAGTAACATGGATTGGTAAAATAAACAAAGAAGTCACTGTCCCACCAAGAATAGATTACAACCACCAACCATCAATACGAAGATAGAGAGAATTAATCATGGAATATGCTAAAAGGTGTTCCAGAAGCACAAAGCTCCACTATCGTTTTCCGAAGCATCCATATTGGAAAAAAAAATTTTAAAATCCCATCATTTTTTCTTGAGGGTTACCACAGTGGGGCACCAGTATTGTCTTGGACTCTTGTTGAATGGCATGTTCCGTATAGATTCAGATTTTTTGCAGGCCGTCTATCCGTGCATCCTACCGTCTACGTACGTAATTAGGTCATGGGCCGCGGGTATCCGTACGGTAGATGGAATTCAAGAGCATAATTTTTTCCTTCTTAGTTGAAAAGTTGGATCATGTTATGGAAAATTCCTGCCGATCAGCTTGCGATCAGACTGTGACTGACTGAAGTAATACGTACTATCGTCAGGATCTTCCGATGATTAGTTAAGACTATCGGGTTTTGGTAACATCTCTCAGTTGAAAGTGGACAGCACGTTAGAGGTGCGTTCAATGTTCACTGTTAAGAGCCCCCACTGTTACTAGCCTCTTAGGCCTTAGCCAACTCTCGACATTTCAAGACCACGCGGTTCGGGTGTGACGAAACGGGTGTCTTAATAATAGGGCATAGGCCTTGACTCTTCTCCGTAGTTACTGAACGAGCTAACCATGTAACTAAGACAAATTTAGGAGCTTGGGGCAGGATTTGACCCCGACCGTGTGGCCAGTCTGCATTTAGTAGGTGCGTACTAAGTAGATTATTGCCTGTGTAATATGTATGGCGAAATGGAATGTGATGCAACATCCCTGTTCAAGAAGGTTGATGGTCGAGTTGATTATGCTGTCCACATGCAGGATGTGAGCGGCTATAGCATATCAGTTCTGACTCTTGAAGGAGTCTGCGAGAGGACAAGTCATAATTTTACGTACATTCCGACCTCAGGATGTATCAAGTTTTATCTAGCAGCTGCATGCAGTTAGTCAGGTGTGCATCGCAAGGACGTTGGTCAGATACTAGTACATGCTAAAGTTAGATATATTTCTTTTACCGACATGTACATGACTATATGTATATGTAATGTACCTGGACAGAGATCCGATGATTAGACAGACTTCCGTCCAGGCTGTCTGTGCCACTGTCAGACTGGAGCAATATGCGTAGGTGGCCTTGTCTCGTCCAGTCCTTCCTGTGTTCGGGGAATACTCCGGCTGCGACGCAGCAGGCAATAACCAAATAAATGATTTCGGGAGTCAGTCAGGGTAAGATTGAGTGGCAGGKCAAGTTACGAGTTTTACGACAGACTCCATATTGAGTCCATACATGTGGTTGGGTAGCAAAGAACACGCCAATCCTTTCGGAGTGGATATCATGTATCTACTATGATATATGTACAGGATGAAATGGCCAGGGCCGCCCTAGGGTTGCGGGCGGGCGGGCTTGCACAATGCACAATGCACGGTCAGTCGCAAACGTTGCGCAAGGCCTTTCCAGATCCAAGATCGTCGAGCCAGTCAGATTCAACTTCAGACATATGCTCATTACCGTCGCAAGCAGTACGGAGTGCATGCTTCGTGGGGTTGGATAAATCGGTGTTCCAGCATAAAGAAACCTCGGCGCTTAAGAGTGGATGTCATGGATGTTTCAATAGTAAAAAAAAAAATAACCAATAAGAAGCGAAATATACGTTGCATTCATATGTAATTACTACGGAGTACTAAGATATCAATTTGACCGCTTGATTGACTCACCGAATCCAGCATTTCAGCTGGGCCCCTGGGATATGGATAGGGACGATCTGAAACTTTGTTGGCGTATCTGAGAGCATTTACTAGTCAGCAGGATTGTGTATGGGCTGTACGAATCGTGCATTACACGTAATTATCAGTTAGCTTTGCGCCTATCACCGGTCTAATCCGGATTATTGTACGGTAATCGCAATACACAGCCATCGGAGACGAGTACTGACTCTTATCGGACGCCTAATTGGTTTTTTACATAGTATGTCGTGGAAAATCAAAAAATAGATTGAATGACATCACCAGTCGACTGTAATTCCACTTCAGATGCCGAAATCATAATGGGAATCAGCCAAACCTACCTCGCCTGGCAAAGTTGAACGAATGCCGATACGTACTCCGTGGCTATGCTTGTCTTTTGTCCTCGAATTTGAGGCCAATGAAATTCCGGAAAATGTACTCCGTAGTCTACGTAATAATCATTCTGCCTAAGTTAGTCCCGTTATCTTGAGACAAACATACGAAGGCTAATCAAATACGTAGTCTTTATGCTGTACGGGGTACACCGCACCAGTACGATCGCTGCGTGGAACCACCGTTTTGGGGGAACCCGCCCCCTGGAAAACTTAGCCCAGGCCCTAGCATAGCCCAAAACTAAAATACCCCAAGGACTAACGACTAAAAGTGCCAACACGAACAACAACAACCACTAAGAACCCCCTGACCGGACGGCACAACGCCCGATACCGTTGGCGGGTTATTGGCAAATCTGATTAAGGTACCATCACCGCTTGTTAAGGATTGACCGGAGGATACTCCGGAGTAAACGTACATGCTTCGTTTGTCATACACCCTATAATACTAAGTGTATTATTGAGGCTGTTAATTTGAATTATTCGATATTACTCCGTGCTTTACTAGGTATGCGAATAGTACTATTACTTTAAAGGGGAAATTTAGTCGCCGACCGTCTAACACGGCTGACTGTTGCAAAGCGCATGGATAGGGTTATAATCCAACAAGTTTAAGACACAAGTACGCGGTCAGGGCTCTTCATCGTTGAATAAGCTACACCGTACATGCTGTATTGTTGCGATCGACAGGGTAATCAGATGAATAATCCGTGGTCTGGACTCGAATCTGCATGTGTCAATGACCCAGTTGAATTTCCACATCACGTATTGTTACCTACTTCACTAACAATGCATCGCCCACCTACCTTCTGAGTCAAGGAGTGAAATCCCGACATTAGCAACTAAATGGCCGATTAGTCCATCGCTCTAATGAGATGGTCAGCAGATCCCCCCCCCTTCCTTTTATTGTGACGATAATAATGCAATATCGCCTCCGAGGCTGGGGGGATGGAACAAGGACCAGGAACGAGAACAGGGAAGAAGACTAACCCGGGCTACTCATCTCATTTTATTTTGCCTGCGTGACAACTTAACCTTCCTCGGTACCAGGATTGTGGTGGAGGCTCGCGAGTCGGGTCTCATGCATGACTGTTGCTATTGGTACGCCAGAACATACTCGGCGTTGTTCATATTGTGACGAGAACAGTGAACAAAAGAAAAGAACGTATTTTCAATCACCTGCAAAGCAAAGAAAAGAAAGAAAAGAAATAAGAAGCGAAGCAAATCACTACGTAGTAGTAGTAGTGAGGGGTCAGTGCTGGTGGACTCAAATCTCATAGAGGGGCAATCTATTGCTGTCCTACATGCTCCTTGATTGGCTTATCAGGAGGATCTAGGTAGGTAGACTAAAAGTCGTCTGAGTTCAGCTATCACATTTCAAATCGACAATCGAGCTCGTCAACACGACTGTTACGAACTGATGCATACAAAGGACATGCGTAGTAAAGCAATTTGGCAAACGACCGATTGTATAAATAGTCAGTCACACATACAATCGAGATTACCATTCCCTATCGGGAGACTACAACTTGCAAGCCACTTTTGTGTCTGCTTGCATAAGCCCCGTCATCCCTGGTTTGGATGTGGGCTGGTCACCAGCGGTGACCTGTTGAAAGTTGTCGTTTCTTGCTTCGTAGACTTGGTGAAGATGGCATCAATCAAGAATCAGTGAGCGCCACACGATTCAAAGAAGAAGGAGCTTACACTTTGTTCTTTTCGAGCTTGTAGATTGCTCATGTATTGTGCTGCCCACCGTGCATGCATGCTGAGGCTGCAGCTAGAACTTCCCATTCCCAACCTCCTCCGACCCGCTCAGCCCACTGAGTGCAACAATGCACATCGCTGACGATACCTGCAGTCTCAAGTAAGAAGGGAGGGCAGAAACTAATAAGTGTGCTTGCATGCCAAAGGGAGGTCTTCAATATACCTATGGATTATAATATATAGAATTGAGGCTTTCGGTCGGCTTGTCGAATTAGGAAGGCAATTTCCTTATCGGGTAATTTTCTGGCTGACGACGACTGTTGACAATTTAGACGAGATGATGCCTAATTACGAGGTGTGGGGAGTTTCATGAAGAGATTTGAAGTACTTAGGATTGTTATCGTGAGAATCGTGATGTCTTTATCGTGTTGATCCCTCCGGTCTGATACAACTCGCACACTCCAACCTTGAAATGTATGGATCATTAACTTAGTTGCAACGTTGGAATAGTCAAGGTCAAATGTGTTGGTCCTAGGTTCAAGGATCCCGTTTCGCCAGGTGTTCTGCCACTTTCCAGGTGCTGAATGTACTGATTTGGTACCTCTAATCCATGGCGCATCCTGAGCTAGGACAGTCATTTACTTAGAATATTACATGGAGCGTTAGCAATACATGCTACATAGCATTGAGGTTAATGGCAATCCCTTCTTTGCCGAAATCAAGTGAAAAATCTACATGTATATAGTTTGATCAATGCAATATACTCTGTGCGTGTTGAACGAACGTCCCCACGCGGATATATATATTCAACATGGAACTAGACGTACTTACCGATGACTTACACCACCTCATAACTTGCGATTTCTCAGAATCACCGAGGAGCGGAAAATAAAAGAGCAATAGTAGCCATCTGTAACATGATCATCAACAACGTCGATAGTGAAAAAGCTGCTCAAAAATGTGTATCCACTTATCGACACGTGATACGTCCGATAGTAAGAGGGACTGCTGACATCATCGCATCGTTTTCAACCTCATGCGACGTACATTCCTGGACACAACAATGGATGGATAATCGGTTATCAAATAAAACGAGAACTGTGCGGGCTTCAGCAACACGCAGAGCTTATAGCTCACAATGGTCAAGTCAGATGTCAACCCGCAAATAGCCATTGAAGATTTTGTATGTTTGATCCACCCCGCAATCCAGAGCTACGATACTGACAAACTTTGAAACAGGCACAGGGAGAAACAGGCAGTGAATCAGACAGTCACAATCACATAGAGGTGAGTTGGTTTTTGTCTATCGTTGAGTATCCACAGCCGTACTGACCTTTCTAGATCGTCTTCAGTCCCGACACTGAACACCGTCGCAAATCATCCCTCGTCGCAACCGATGATCCAAGGAAGTACCGCCATGGATCGGACTCCCATGACAAAAACACGGCTTGTTTTGTGCACTCCCTGCTCAACGGGGACTGGGCTGTCCCGTACGAATACCAAGAAGATGACAAAGCGGTGACCGACGAAAGGATTGGCAGGAAACCAATCGAGATAGAACCGGAGAACCAGGACAACGAATCGCGGGAGTATGACCGGGTTGCCGTCGTCGATTATGCGAGCCGTCTACCAGACCAGAGCGCGCCTGCCGTGGTGCATTCGCGACACTTGACAAAGGGGCAATTGTCGGATATGGCATGGAATGTGCGCAAATTATCCAAACGGTTGGGGAGTGTGAAGCTCAAACTCAAAGTTAAGACGGTATTTGTGGTGACAAAGGCGCATGATGAATCGTTGATCAAGTTAACGAGGGATCTCACGAAGTGGCTATTATCGAAGGACAGAGATACGCTATATACTGTCTACGTCCAGGACTCGTTCCAGAATCACCCAAACTTTGATGGCCCGCACCTGGTTGATGAAGTCGATGAGCCTTCAGCGCGTGATCGTTTGAGGTACTGGAACGTCCACATTGCGGCAGATCATCCGCAAACATTCGATTTCGTGATTACCCTTGGAGGAGATGGTACAGTTTTATACACGAGCTGGTTGTTTCAGAAGATTGTACCGCCTGTGTTATCGTTTTCTCTTGGATCACTTGGATTTTTGACAAAGTTCGATTTTTCGAATTATCAAGATACTATCACAAAGTCTTTTCGAGATGGGGTTGCTATTAGCCTGAGATTGAGGTTTGAGTGTACAGTGATGCGGAGCAATCCTCGACGAGAACCGGCTCTTGATGAACAGGGATATGTCATCAAGAAAGACCTTGTTGATGAATTGGTTGGTGAAGAGGTCGGAGATACATTGACACATGTACCGGACAGGGTATTTCAGATTTTGAATGATATTGTGGTTGACAGGGGGCCAAACCCAAGTATGTTCTCTCATCTCCATATTTTCAATTGTAGACAGGCTCTAATTTGATCTGGTGCAGCAATGTCGACAATTGAATTATTTGGAGACGACGAACACTTCACAACCGTTTTGGCAGACGGAGTGTGTATATCTACGCCTACAGGGTCAACTGCCTACAATCTTGCAGCTGGCGGAGCTCTTTCTCACCCAGAGAACCCTGTAATCTTGGTTACAGCAATCTGTGCACATACACTATCATTCCGACCCATCATCCTACCGGATACCATCGTCTTGAGAATGGGCGTGCCATACGACGCTCGCGCATCCTCGTGGGCCAGTTTCGATGGCCGAGAGAGGTAGGCTATTTTCATCTCTTCCATGACAACGATATTTACTGATGCATCTGATGTAGGATTGAGTTACATCCCGGTGACTACGTAACGGTGTCGGCCTCCCGTTACCCATTTGCGAATGTGATGCCTCCTGGACGGCGCAGCGAGGATTGGGTGCAGGGTATATCGAAGACGTTGAATTGGAATTCAAGACAGCGTCAAAAAGCGTTCACTAAATAGACCATGTATCAACAAATATAGAGATAGGGCAATTCTCGCCGATAGAGAAACAGCGCCATCACAAAATTTCGGCGTCATTCTTTGCATTGGGTTCGCAATTGATCTTGCACATCAAAAGTAGATATCCTATAAGTTGATTGACAATAATACTAGTCACATTGACCATATTATCTGGAACGTTCTGAGGTGGAGAACAGAAACCAAAAAAAAAAATATACTGCCGTCAATGCTGGCTAAGGCGGTCAGCCCCCAGACCGAGCTATAAAATGCTCTTTTCTGCCGCACTCAAATTTTTTCTTCTTCTTCTCATCACTCTTCCAACCACCAGAAAAACATATGTTTTCCAGCACCACTCCTTACAGTTCAATGCAATTGTATTGTGGTCAACACTCTTCTCGACAATGTCTCAAGAAATTTACTGCAACTAACCAGGTATGCTCTACACCGTTATTCTTTGCTATTCCAAAATCCCCGTCATGTCAACATGACAAGCCCTCTCTCATGATGAAAACATTTTCCACATTCGCAGTTTCCACGCTAGCCGTCGCCGTGAACCCAATTCCATAGACGTGCTCTGTGCGTACTACTTCCTTGGATGTCTGATTCTTTTTATACCATACCACATCTTCGTCTCATATACTGCGTGTTGAGAGTTGACTAACATTCTGAAGATCTAGGATTTTTTATACCATGGTGTATCAGTACGATTTAATTGATTATATCGCTGCGTGTTGAGAAATGCTATACCAAGTCTTTTGTCGATGATGATTTGAGTCTGGTCGGACGCAGGATCAAGGATAATTGTTCAGCCTCTACAATGAAAATACTTTTCAGAGTTGATATTTGTTTATTTCGTCACATACTGTAGCACTTGTAACTCATCGTAAGAACCATAAAGTATTTAGTATTTACTCCGTAGAGAACTTTTCTTTGCGGGAGCGGGTCTCTTGCTCCACCGTAAATGCAGTAGCCACTAAGAGACTCAACTCCTCCAAGCTGCTATAAGGTGTCCCGCGACATCGACAATTCGACTACACGACATCGCAGGTTAGGAACGGCTTTATACGAATCAAGAACTACTGCACCAGTATATGAATTGAAGACCACGTCTTATCTTGCCAGGTATCGTCGCGGTCCATGCCGACTGGAAGCGCCGCAGCCTGATCGCCGATACCTCAAGCCTACTCTGAATTAGCGGACAGTACAATTATCGATTGATCTTAAGGGATAGAGGAAGCAATGGCTGCCCCTCCAAGACGTCAATCGACAATGTCGATGAGCAGCACAGTCACTGAAAAAGCATCAACTCAATATGCAGACGGCCAACAACAGCAACAACAACATTCAATACGCCAAAGCCAACTCATCCAAACACCCACAGCTGGCGGTCTTCGAGTACCTTCAAACCGCAAAACGATATATGACCGACATCTAAATAGAAGCCAGAAAGCGGATCTCAGTCGGGCATCGTTTGCGTTCTTGTTCGGCGAGATGGTGACTTACGCGCAACGGAGGGTTACTGGTATTCAAGACCTTGAGAAGCGGTATCTTCTCCTTAACACTACCACAATATCAAATCAGATGGCTAATATGTAGACAGTCTGAATGAACAAGGCTACCCCCTCGGTCTCCGCCTACTGGATCTCCTCTTCTACCGCTCCGTCTCAAGCGCATCCTCCTCCGCCCTCTCATCATCATCCACATCCTCGTCTCCACCAAACCGTCCACTCCGAATTCTCCCTCTCCTCCATCTCATCCACGGACCACTCTGGCGCCTCCTCTTCCAACGACCCGCTGACGCCCTTGAACACTCCGTCTCCCCCGACACTCCCAACGAATACATGATCACCGACAACGACCCGCTCGTAAACACATACATTAGCGTGCCCAAGGAAATGAGTATGCTCAACTGTGCTGCTTTTGTCGCGGGGATAATTGAAGGTGTATGCGATGGATGTGGATTTGAGGCTAAAGTTTCGGCGCATAATCAGGGCACGGAGATGTGGCCTGGTAGAACGGTGTTTCTGGTACGGTTTGGTGAGACGGTTATGGAGCGGGAGAATGTGCTTGAGCGTGCGGGTGTTAAGTAATGAATTATCTGATAAGGGTCTGGCGTCATGAAGGTGTTTGCTGGCGAAAGAGTTGTTCTCAGCTGTTGCTATGGTATAATAGCCGACTATGCATATGTCCGTGAATGACTTGTAGTATCCCAAGTCGACTTTGAGCACTTCACGCTATGTTACGTATAGTTCCATTATTATTGATGGCTGTTATTTGATATACATGTCAATATGCAGAGCGTTTAACGCATCAAGGCGAAACTCTACTCTCAGTCCGACGACGTTTGTCTCGATCATCATAAGGCGAATGACTTCTCTTCCGCTGATCTTTCCTGTCTCGATCAGGTCGATCGTCCCTATACCGATCTCTATCCCTGCTTCTTTCTCGAGGATGGTCATCATTGCGTCTCTTGTAATCTCTTCTCTGTGGAGAATGCGAGCGTGACCGCGATCTACTGGATCTCCGTCTTGAGTATGACCGGCGACGGCGACGGTCCTCTCTAACGGTGCTGGAATTGGCCCCCGTGGCTGTCGCGTCTCTTCCTCGACCGTCATCACGACGATCCCTGTCCGGCAAGAATCGTTCATCGGTCACATTTTGCAACAATTTATCGTCATCACGAGTCCGTCGCGGGCGATTATCAAACCCTTCACCCCATCGTCCCGTATCTTCAGATCGTAGATCCTTGTATCTCGTTCGACCTTTCTTTCCCAATTTCGTCATATCGCGAATCTGCATGTATTCCGGTAGTACTTCACGATTCGTTTCATCTGCGAATCGGGCGCCCATAATATTTCTTTTATCCAATCCTTCGCGCTCAAGATCATCCCGAAAGAAAGCCCCCTTGTGAAAATATCGTTGCATAAACCCAGTCTGACCACGACCAGCTTCCTTTTCTTCCTTCTGTTTCTGTATGAATTCTTGATCTTCGCGTTCTCGCTCTTCTGGTGCTAGAGCCCGTCGTCGCTCAATTTCTTCACGTTCCTTTTCGGCTTCTTCGATTGCTTCGCGCTGTCGTTTGATGCGCTTCAGTTCTCGGAGTTTCCAAGCTGCATATTCAGCTTCGGGGTCTAGACCGTCGCGATCATCGAGGGCTTCTTCTTCGGCAGCAACGTTCTCGTCCTCATCCCATGCTTTCTTGCCCGCGAGCCGTGCCATGGCTTCTTTTTCGAGTTGGTCACGGACGAGGAAGTCTGCTTTTTCCTGCCGTTGCGCCCGACGAGCTTCTGCCTCTGCTGCGGTATCTGCGACCCCTGTTGCTAGGCTAGGTTGTGCGCTATTTTCTTCATTGCCTTTTCGCTTATCCTTTTTGATGAATGTCGGTCGAAGAAGAACTCTCCTCGGCGCCTCATCCTCTGAGCTTTCTTCTTCGGATGATTCCTCCTCTTCGGACTCTTCCTCTTCTTGTTCTTCTTCTGATTCCGCAGTAGCAGCGGGCGCTTGACCAACGATAGCCGGTCTCTGAGTAGTACTCGGCTTGGCTACCGCCGCCTCTTCCTCTTCTTCCTCCGTCACAAATCCTTCCTCATCTTCATCTTCCAACGTCACGTCCTTGACACCCTTTGTAACTTTGCCAGCCGCAGATGCCGGGAAAGAGGTTGCCTTTGGAGCTGGTCGTACTTGTTGTGATCTGCGACGTCGTTCCGCTTCTTCCTGTTTCCGTCTCTCTTCTTCTTGCGCAATCTCGTCCTCTTCTTCTTCCTCCTCTGATGACTGTTCTTCTGGAAGCGCTTTGCCAGGGCGATATCGTTTGACTGGTTTGAGTGGCTGGGCGGTCATACCGCGGTGATAGGAAGGGAATTGTGGTGGCATGTCGATGGTCAATGCCGCGACCAGCGCGGGCTGTTACAGTAGAGATGTCGTAATTGGAGTTCTGGAATTGTGTAAAAATCGAGTGAGTATCTTTATAGATACAGCGGCAATATCGAATGGTCTTCTGTTGTCATCCTCAGTTGGTGGCGTGTTGATTTATCGCTCTACTGAAATTTGATGGAGCTTTGCAGTTGAAGCTTGACCTTTTTCGCGCTAAGTTATCTTCTGCCTCAGGCACATAATTCAGGCTCCCCACCTAGTCCAGATGACGCTAAGCTTAATACGGATTAGCGCTATATCGGCTTCCCTACTTTTCTCCATCGCCAACATCTATGTCTCCTTGAACCTCATGCCTTGAGTGAGGCAATGTAGAACTTTGATTTTCGTTCCGATAGCTGCAACTTTGAACAGGTAATTGCAAACCTTCCGTATCGGCCTGCCATTCTCTACGTGGGCGGGATAGCAGTTGCGTCGAATACTTGTGGTGACGGCCCGCCTGAGGATGGGTTTCAATCTCATCAAGGAATTCTGAATCGTAATAAGTATCCAGTATATATATCTATAGATGCTATCACACAAACGAAACCCGCATAGTATCCCGATAGTCATGTCTTGCCCTGGACCTATCACCAATCTAGGGCCTATAAGATCACGTGTTTTCGCGTCTTCAGGAACGCGCCTAACCCCGCGACTGTTTCTTCTCCACCACCTTGAGCTTTTCTTGACCTCACATCGTCTCAACTCCGCTACCTTCTTCTCTTCTCGCTGTGAATTTCAAAAATTTTAGACTCGGGAAATTTGCCAAGTACAATACAAATCGCAAAGGATCGCCTAGCCCAAAGCCTCTCTTCTAGAAGCCGAAGCCCATCTGAAAACCCTCGATTACGATCTTAACTTGAACGCCCAAAATCTCACAGCCATGTCCATCCAAACCCCACGAATACTTCCCTCTCACCTCCAAGCCTTCCATAGTTCATCCGGTGTCAATCAGCACGTCAACACAGTCCGTATCCTAGGCATAGTCAGCGCGCTCCACGGCGAAACGGCAGTGATCAAATGCGGAAACCACGGTGATGTGACACTACTCCTTAAATCGGATTCGCATCTACAAATGGGGAAATTGGTTGAGGTTGTTGGGAAGGTTACTGAGTTGAGTGGTGGACAGGTATATTTATACATTGGAAGACACAAATTTGCCGTGATGCATGACTGACGTATTGGCTTTGATTGATATAGGGATTGGGGATCAATGTTCTTGCGACTACAGACTGGGACACTCCCTCGAATTTTGGTGAGTTGTGTCCCTTTGGGAAGGAAGTGTAGCTCTGGTTGGAGCTTTTCTGACAATGGTAATAGATTATAAGACCTATGAGCAAGTTGTGGAAGTGACGCATCGATACAAGGAGATTTTCTACGACGCTTGAGTAGACGAGACGAATGAACGAATGACATAGTCCTTGGATTTTTCAGTTGAGGAGTGGCTTGTAGATATATCCTATTCGGCGTACTTGGTCCCATTCAGTGCCGTCATCATACATCTTTATCCCCTGTCATGTCTCCGAAAGGATGTCTGGAAGCATGACATTTTCTGTTGGTAGCGTCATGAGGGAATTCAATGGGAAATCGCTACTCTCCAAATAAAGTCGTAAATGTCTGTTCCAAAACCTTCAAATAGATTCGGCCAAACTTTCTTGGAAATACTAGCCGACTGCGGCTGCTAATTCATTTCGGCCTACCCGACAACCCTTCCTTTCATCCATTTTTGTGGTCAACCTCGAGTCAGCCAGACTGAAGATGTCTTTCCAATTTGGTGGCCAGGTATCTATGACAGGTCCCAATATCCTGCCTGGGATTATAGACGCATTGCAAACCTCGATAAATGCAGTAAATGCTTTCAGGTTTCTTCATAAGCGAATATCACAACTCTGCCAGGATTCCATGAACAACGCTCAGGCGGCCGAAACATGTGCTGTGACTTCGATTGAAGATGAAAAAATGGCTGCACTGTTCACAAAAGTGGATTTCAGATTACACGACCCAGGATCATCTCTATAAGCTTGAACAGAATGATGACCATGAACAGACAGGCCATAATCAACTATCACAATGGGTTGGCCAGGAATTAAATGACGTACTCTCTGATAGAGGTTAATCGCTTGGTTTGATAGGTATTGCAACGAAGAAATTGCTTGCATCGCCATATATCCTACAGCGCAATTCAGAGCACAAGTAGCGTTTCATCATTGACGCGATGATCCTCGACCGACTTGACCACCTCGACAGCGCAGATTCGGAACGCCTCACCTGGTCCTAAGACGTGCCACTAGCTGTCTGGAGTGAGCTCAAAAGCCAGAGGATTCAAGGGAAGGGCTCCAAATTGCTTTATGTATGGGTAACAGAAGAACGACACACACAAGGCCTTGGTAGTCTTGTATGTAGTACATCTTTTTATACGATTGAACTGCTATACTAATCATGCCCCTATAGAGAAGCAAAAGAGCACGGCAAAGCAGCAGAGATTGCACAATTGATCACCTATCTCGCTGCAGTTCAGGACGCTCGCAGAAAAGCAAACAACAAGATCAATGTATCCGTTTTCGGAATCTCTACAAATGCGTATGGTTCGCAGTTTTTTCTTTCTCAACAGCGATCGCAAATTGTGTGTCGCCCGCTATCAATTGGTTATTTCAGAGCTCCCTCGTTATTCTTGGATTGATCAGATACTGCAAGATATTGTTCGAATTATCGCTTAACACTGGCAACTATGGCACCAGTAATGGACATGCCTGTAGTTGTTATACCAAGAAAGGGTCCAATCCGAGAAGCTGGTACAGGGGTTAGGAGATTTATTTTTGAGACATATAAAGGTTAACAAGTCATACTCTTTGGCATTTGTACTATAAACAGCAATAACAATAGCAGAATGTTCTATACCCTATATGATACTTAAACATGCCCAGATGATCCAAAACGAAAATAGCCGACTCGTGACTTTTGACCTTGAAGGAGGAATATGCAATGAGAATATGACAACGCACAGCAAACCGCAATACGGTAATCAAGACATCGTAAAAAGACAGACCCGAACGCCATCGCTTTGAGAGAAAAGGATTCTAAATGAAATGCATTGCAATCGTAAAATTCATGTAATTTCAACAATAGTGAAGTGTTCAGATGGAAGCAACAGCAGCCTGTGCTTCGCTTACTAGATCCTCGCCTTGTTGGTTATTTCCAGACTCAGGCATACTCATATCATTGGTAGTGCCATTCTCTGTGAAAGAGACACCCATATCAGCCGGTTTTCCAAGCTCTGATTCTGCGAGCACTGCGTTGATAAGATCTTCGTCATTGTTGAAATTGCTCGGAAATTGTAACATAGAGTTGTTATTATCAGCGCTTGGTGACCAATCAGAGAAAGGCATGTACATGTCCGATTGAGGGAGAGACTGCCACGGATCGAAAAGGCTATCCAAAACAATGTCGTCCACACTGGGAAACGCATTTCTGTTTTCAACAGTTCCATCCGATGAAGCGTCCTTATCAGAACTTGGGCGCATCTGTCTTGACCGAGGCGTGCTTGGTGACACGCCGGTTGCAGAATGTTTTGTTCTACTAGCACTAGGCGAGCAGAAAGGAAGCGATAGTCGTCGTTCGTTGGAGCGAGGCGTCCGTCGCTTAGGAGTGGGCGTAGTTCGCAAGTTGAAATCGAAGGATGGACTTTCGAAGAGATCATCCAAATTGCGATTAGTAGCAGCTGGAGTATTTTCTTTGTCTGCTACTATCTTCTCAGAACCTCGTGATGCCACGCGAGGACTTCGACGCGCACTATTCAAAAGAGACTCACCCAAAGTCTTTAAGGGTCCATCATGATTGCTATGCGGGAACAAAGCTCTCCTCACAGGTTTCGGCGTAACATTTACATCATGTGACTTCCGTACATGTGAATCAAGATTGCGTGCAGGACTCGATTGGATAGCCCTTTTCAGCGCTTCCACGGCGGCGTTCTCGTCCCACCGAGTCTGAAGTGTGTTGGATGTAGGTTCCGCACTGCTGGCACGAATGCGCTTATTTGGATGATCCTGTTCAACAAACTCGTTGGTTTCTTCGGTCTCGTTCTCATTCTCGTTATCATTCTCAACCGCAGGAGTGACTCTATCATCTCCACCTTGAGAGCCGTTGTCACCAGTTGGAGAGGACGTGTCTGTACGAGCCGGAGATGAACCAGGAGCCGAATTCATCTGAGATTTGCTCCGGCTTCTTGTAGATGTAGTTGCACCTCCTGTTAGGGGACCTTTGCGTGCACGAGATGACCGTTTGCGTTTGTCTTTTGCTGGTTGTTTGTTCCATTTGTTTTCTGGACGCATGCATTTGAATTTCTGAAGCCACAGACCACAGGCTAGTTTGCGTTAGTGAGAGATTTCAACAATTTATCATGTATATACTTACGATTGCAGAGAAGAATCTGATCGAAGTCTTTGTCTGCATCCACCAGTGTCTTCTTGTATAGTCGAAATTTGGTGATAGTCTCGTCATCGGCTCTGTCTGTAGCCTTCCAGAAGAGACACATAGGGTCCTTGAGATATTCATTGGCATCGTCTTCGGTACCGTCAAAGTGCTTTGACCACGCCCTCCTCCAGGTAGGTGTCTCGATAGCACCACAGTTGTTGCAATAGGGAGGGACTTGACCTTCTCGTATGCAGTTTTCAAGTCGAGCCTGGACTTGACGTACTCGCCGTGCGCCCGCTCCACTTCGTCCCTTCCCTCTCTCCTCAACAGGCTGGGGTAACGGAGTTTCAACAGATGGCAAGTCACTCATCGGACCGGACCATGTATTCGCATGGTGCATGTAGCCGGAAGGTGGTAAGACCGGGTCGCTTGCAGGGATCGAACTCATCAATTGCTCGATCTCACTTTGTGATAGTGGAGCAGGCGCCAATTTTTGGGCGGGCCTTATGCTCATTCGGGATGATGGTCGCGAAGCCGAGGAGCTGTGTTGAGGGGGAAGTGTTGGCGCCTCCCTAGAAGACATATCGTAAGGGCCGTCACTAGCCAGATAGTCGTCATTGTGCTGCCGAGAAACAGAACCCTGGCTGGCCAGAGAGTTTTGATGCCCTGTCACCTGATCTTGGCGGTTCTGTTTCGTAGGTTCGCAGTCGGTCATTCCTGCTGTGTTACTCTCATGAAAGTTTGCCCGGATACAGCCATCTTCATCCACCATGTCCTCCAGTGTCGCACTCATGAACCCAGAGTCAGGCTGTATGGGTAAAGGAGGGAGGACGGGGCTCGAGCGACTAAGTAGTCCTCCATCTATGATAGGTGGAGATGATGGCATGCTAAACTGTGATTCGAAGATGCCTTGATACCGGTGATCATCGGGTGAAGTATCTGGCAAATCAGTTGACGGTATCTCATCATATGCGGGATAGGGCGACCTGTAGCTTGTTGCGCTATTGATTGACGATTCACGAAGCAAACTCGGAGCGGGGCGCCCTCGTCGTGGACCTTCACTAGGGTTGCGAGAAATTGGTGTAGGTGGGCGAACAGGTTCTTCGAGAGAACTTGGGGCAGCCGATGACTGGATGGAGTTGATAGGCGTTGGACGATGAATTCGGACAGACGCAGCCGTGCTTGCAGCTACACGAAGTGAACCAGGTTGGCGCTCAATATTCAGGTCATCTTTACCGGTTACATCTGCCCTGAAAAGCTTAGCGCGCTTTCGTGGAGGGTGGTCCATCGCTTCGTCGCCACTCCCGTAGCCTGAATAGATTGATCCTCGGCGGGTCATTGTACCCGGGCGTTGGAAGTCTGACTCATGGACAGATGCTCGGGACAATGGACGAATAGACACTTCGCTTCCTCTTCGACCATGGCCTGCTGTAGATGGTTGCCTAGACATGTGTGTAGTCATCTGCATGCCAACTGGCGTCTCGCTTCGGCTTGGAGGATCCACTGGGGATGATGCCGTGGAATCCGGATGAGTCGCCGGGAACTCTCTGGGGGTAGAGCCTTCACTCAAGAGCTGATGGAACTTTTGTATACCAGAATGATCGATCGGCCCGTTCGCACTTTGTGTAGAGGATGGGCGCTGACTGGGCGCAAACATGTGAGGGTTTTGTTGAACAAATGAAGACCAGGCTTGAGCGTCAAATTCTTGCGGGATTATATTGCTCAGTTCTCGATAGCGTTGCATGCTTTCGAGATATTCGCTTTGCATTAGGGTGGGTACAGGTACAAGCCGTAGTTTCACCTCGAGTGTCTCCTGTGCGCCCTTCGAGAAAAGTCCAAGGACATTTTTGCTCACCCGCCCTGTAACGATAGTTTTTGATTGGTGTGCAGGTGCATTGGGCGTTGGTGATGCGGAGGCGAGCACCCAGGATAGCATACCTTGGCCAACCAGAGGGGTTTCATATTCCGAATAATCGTAAGCATAAACCGTATAGTCTTGACCAAATTTCGCCACCAGCTCCGGGCTGTAACACTATTAGTGACTAGGCTGGAAAGAGATTGATTGACTCGAATGAGGGTGGTGACTAACCTCGCGGACACAATAGCCTGTATACATGTCTTCAGCTCAATGACACCTATTTGTGTTTTTTCATCGAGGTATGCCGTTTGAATGTCAAGTAGATGAGGCCATCGAGCTAAGCAATTCGTCTTATTCTGGTCATCGAATGTGTAGAGAACTTTCACTGTCAATTGCACCAACCCATTAGCTGTCTGCCCAAAACCATCAAGGAAACAACCAAGTTCACGTACACCTCATGGGCCGGATGGTGATACCGTCCTGAACTTCCATCCCAGCCACAGTTATTATCTTCGACCATACGCAGTTTTCTGTCGAAACGACGACAAAAAAGTTGTGAAGAAGTGGGAAAGACTTGTAAACGTGCAAAGCAGCAGTGGAATTATCCCTCGATACTGTAGATCTCGCAGGAAGTCCTTCAAGTCTAACACCTTTGCGAGTCGTGAACGAGTAGTTGCGGTGAGTGTTGTGAGGGGATCTAAGGTTCCCTAGCGCTCTGTTTTATGCAAGGATTCGGTCCCCGTCGACTGGGAGAATGGAGAGTATGCACGATTTGCGGGTGAGGATAGCGAAACAAGCTGGTTCAAAGGACACTGGAATGTAAAGTGGGATCTTGGTTCATGCAGAATTCTCAACGCAAGGTGATGATTGGGTGAGTCCGGATGTTCGCGAGGGAGGATCAAGAGGTAGGATTATAAAAGAGAGAAAGAGGGAGGATGAAGGAAGAAAGAGAGGAAGAAAATGGGGGGAGGAGAAGATTATGTAGTGGAGGGAGGCTGGAGAGGAAGAAAGGCAGGCACGACGAGGTTGAGATTGGAAGACATGATGTCGTGAAGCAACAACCAGCTTTAGCTTGAAGAGAGAAGGGAGCGTGTTTCTTCCACGCGACGTGACGCAGCCAATCGCGGTCGCGGGAGCTGCCTTGCCCGATGTCATGTCACGTGTGTCGTGTTTTGTACTTACCTTTTCTGCACTAGTGCGCGTATCACATCATGTGACTTAACTTGACCTAACCTCGGTATTTCAGACAGTACAGCAAATAAATTTATGACAATAATGAGAAGATGTCTGTATTGAAGCTATTGTACTCATCCAGAATCTACGACCGCCGTTTTTCGTGTGTCTTTTCATGTCTTGTCATATCGTACTTTCTAGTGAATCGTCTCCCACATTCCGAACATGCCCACGGCTTTTCGCCTTTATGAGTCAACTTATGATCCTGCAGAATGAGATTTCTCACAAATGTCTTATGGCAGATGTCACATTCCCAACGTGCCTGACTCGTGGGCCCTCTGTTCAGGCGGGTAAAGGTCTCACTAAGATCACACTGGTCTGGATGAAACGTTCTGAGGTGCCTCCGGAGCGCAGACTCAGATGCTAGTCCTAGCCCTTCTGTAGTACAATTCTCAATCGTGCAGTGGAAAGGTCTCTCGTGGCGATTCACATGATTCTCACGCGCCTGCGCGGTCTTAAAGCCTTCGTGAAAGAAGAAGCAGAGTACTTTTGGACATCGAAAGATACAGTCTCCATACATGCTTAGATCCACATCTTCGGTCGCGCTCAGTTTTTCGACTAGTCGGCGATTTCGTCCCAATGCATCCCTGAGTTGATCAAGACTCACTGTGTTTCGGGCTACCAGATCCTTGCTTTGTTCCAAACGAATATGTTGCCAGATCTTAACAAGATCAGCGTGGAAAGGAAACTGCCAAAATGCCTGGCAATCTTGTTGCGTCTGTTGCTGAATATTATCGCCTGGAAAGCTTTTGTCATAGAACTGTATGAAGCGACCAAGCACATGACGTATTCTGATGAGTTGAAAGTTGATTTCGGGAGATCCTGAATTTCTGATCACAAGACTAAGGTTTGTATCCACCATTGACTTGACATGCATAAACCATGTAGATACAGCATAATCTTGAAACGCCAAGTCTCCTCTACGTGCATAGAAACGGAGGTCTTCGTCTGTTATCCTAGGCTCGAAGATGTTTAGCGTGAGATATTGTAGACATCGAAGAGTAAGATCGCATTCTGCTTCTGCTATATCTATGCCGCTTTTCTCAATGACGAATCTTGTTTGTGATTAGCATATCGGATGTTGCTTCAGAAAATTGTGGAATGAAATACCTTCTTGCAGTACTGTGAACAAGCTCGACCCTATCGCCTTGAAGTACCTGGACAAGAGATCCACATAGTTCGTGTACATCATCTCGTAACTTGATCTCCGTATTCATCAGATTCGAATTGTTCCATACATCAATTTCCACTGATGATGCTGATTGAACCTCCGTCCATTTCAGAGGCCTTTTGGAACAGACCAGCCATCCCAGCAACAACAGCGTGTACTTGAACTGCGCCGGCCCCAGATCTCGCTCGAGACGCTCCATGATTCGGGAATATCTGAGAATTTGTAAGCATTCATGAAGACTTTATAGTATGATTGACATATGAGCGTACGCTTGATCGATTTCATTCGGCAACCTTGCACTAGCGATTTCATTACGAAATAATGCAAGATTGGGCTGTTTTGCCAGGTTGTTCATGACCAATTTTGCAAATAGGAACATTCCTAGAAATGAGTTCAAAACATGGTAATGACAGATGTAGTGATCTACTTACCATCTGCTCTTGCACAAATGATATCCACGACATTCTTGATATCTTCATTGCTAAATTCGAACTTTTCCAATTCTCGCGTTCTGTGCTGACAGTATTTCCGAATATCGTTGACATTTAGCTCTGGAGTCAATGCAAGAGAATCGGCAGAGGCAAGTGAATTCCTGATTTCGGAGGTTGGTTGGGTGAAGAGGAGAATACGGAGCTTCCCGGGCGAATGATTATCGCACTTTTGAGTAAGGTTTTTCAAGGTATCTAGCAAGTTCTTTTGTTCCTCACTGGATTCGCATTCATCAACTGCGTCTATTATGACATATAGCTGTGGAATTCTCTCGCAAAAAACTCCTAGAATTTCTCTTGCTACTTTCAAAGACGACAGAATTGTGCTATCGGAGTTCCTCATCTTTTCGTGGCAGTATGGAGCCAAGTCGGGATGATGCCGTACCAACTGGTAAAGAATACCACGAACTGCTGCAATAGCAGTGGTTCTACCCTCTATCTTCTCACTGCAATAGAAGTAGGCAGTCACTCTCGAGATATCTCTAAAGCAAGCTTCAATCATGGTCGAAGCCAGATAAGTTTTGCCTACAAATGTAGAGATTTTGTCTGATTAGCATAATAAACAACATCTTGAATGGTGCTGAAAGCTTATAACACTACCTGTGCCTGGGCGACCATTTATCCATAAGATTGAATGACTCAAATGCTGGATATCTGGAGATAGCCATTTTTGGATCTTTTCGTGGCTTAAGATCCAGTCCCCGGTATCAGAATATTGTTCTCGGTCGTAGCAATACCTGCCATGTTCGCTTTCGACTTCGGCGTCCTCTGGCAAATTTCGTGAATATGAAAACCAGTCACGGACTTCGTCGTAAACGTCTCTCTGTCTCTCTCTTTCTTTTTTTTCAAATTCGAAATTCTTCTCCGCTATTTGTTGAATGTGATCTCGGATATGCTGTGAATCCGCGGACACGTCTATGAAGGGACCAGTTGATTTTCTCACCTCGTCTTCTATTAACGCTTTATGTGAACGGAGTTGACGGAGATTATGGTCAAGACGGTGATGGTAATCCTTCCAAAGCGATTTGAAAGTCTCCTTGAGTGCTGCATGAGTTCGTTTCATTAGCGATGCCCTTTAAACCGAGTGTTTCCTATTACTATACCTCTTGCACAGAATAGTTCAGCCATTCCAAGGTGGATCTCAAGAATATTGCAAAAAATCTCTGCAAGAACACGCTGTAGCCCAACATGATGTTTAAAGCTCTCATGTGACTCTTCAAATGTTGGTAGTGCTGCACCGATTTTCCCATATGCAGATAGATAAGCTTCGAGTAGGTCTGGATGACCTTTTGCAACCTAAATCGGAGATATCATTATTCCAATTCTATCATGAGAGCAATGGAAAATCAGAAGTCGTTACCTGAAGTAGAAGTTTGGGAGGGCCCCAGACATAGCACATGATATTTGGCATATTCAAGGCTTCTTCCATGAGTTTGTCTAAGTTTTCAACAGCCCCGAGAAAGTGCTCCATCCTTCTAAGATTCTGTACCGATTTCATTGCTTTCTGCTCATCCTGGATTCTCCTTAGTAGCCTTTTTAACGAGCCAGCACTTGTAGTCTTGAAGCCAAGCCAGTGTTCTTGATCGAAGCGGCTTTCAAAGCTGTTCAAGATATTATCGAATAAAGCTTGAGGAGAATGCGTGCCTTGAACGACTGACAGACTTTGTGAAATAATTGCCGAATTAGAAGGAATTGCGGGAGTGACTATATGTTCATCAGTGGTTTTGGAGGGAACCGAAAACAGATATTATGTGCTGAATTTTGACTCACCAGTTGATACTCCAGGTGGCGATTGTCTCTGTGAGGTTACATACTGTTCTAAGACCACCTTCATTGTGGAGGCTGCAACAGCAGCTGCGTAATTCTGCCATTTTTTGTTCTTATGGCTATCAGCATAGTCGCATACGCCTTTAATGACGAGACAGCTGAACTTGTCCCAAATGCCAGCACCTTCCATCTCGAATGCGATAACATTCTCAGTGTTTGCAATATCGTCTCGGTGTGTGGCTGACTTCATTACAGTGTCTCCGGTACCAATAGAACCGAAATGTATGAAAGGAGTTGGCGTCTCAGGATGCCGATTGAATGTATCAAGCAGCCGTTCACGATGAATGAGCATATTGACATCGCAATTAACGCTAGTGCATGAAGCTGCCAAAGCATTCTCGCAGGCAAATCCATGCAAGCAAGCTAAACAATCTGAATGATGCATATGAATATATTGCGATGGAAAGAGTTTGTCTTCCCAGGCGCCTGGATATTCTGTGTCCACTTGCGGATGCTTCAATAGAGCTGTCAAGTTATTCTTAGTTTCCTCCCTCAATTTTTCTAGAAGTAATGCAGTCTTCCAAGTGCGTAAAAGGCCCAGAATCTGCTCGTCGGGTCGACCATACACATCCAACAGCGTTGATTTTCTGTAGTAGCCGCCAGGTAATTGTCGGCCATGGCTCACATCAACAATCACTTCACTGATAATCACGTCGCCGAGTACAATCTCTGTTCCGTCTTTCTTGAAAGGAATCGCACCGCAGATACCGACGAGTAGAGCGAGCTTAATAGAATTGAAACTCATTTTGAGTGATTGAGCAGAACTAGCTGCATTCACTCTTCCTTCCCCAGCTAAGGTGACCACCACCACGTCATGTCTTCCACTCCTGCCAAAAAGGTAGGCATTGTTGTCACCTTCGCACTTTCCGTAGTCAGGGGGAGCATCATGCCAGATCTCATCTAAACAGCATAGAACGGCGTTTGTCTCTAGTGGCAAGGCACATATTATTGCAACCTGAAAATCGGCACGGTTCAAAGGACGACTTGTCATGATTATAGGAGTTAGTCATGCTGAGCTAGTTCACTTGAAGAGAGATGTTAAGAATTCGGGAAGAGAAGAAGAAGACAAAGTAAGCAACGCCTGTGCAACTCCACGATACGAAGTAGATCCGGCTAGTTTGTATACAAGGCTGTGGCTGGCGGATTTTTCCATAATCTGCCTTGCAACGACCGACTAATCAGCGTCGTCGCGTGATATGGACTCGGCCTTGCTCGCTTCTATTACCCCAACAAAAAACAAGCTTTCGACGAGAATATGATAGTCAATAATCATTTGACTGAAGAGTAAGTAATCGTAAAAATCTATGGTCCTACTATTGGCAATACGTCGCTGAAAAATCTGTGAGATCGAATAGCGATCTCCGATTGTTTACAATAGGATAGAGGTGGACATACCCTAATCTCTATAACCGCTCAGTACAGGTAGGGAGTGTGGCCCCATGCCTCGACTACGGTCGGACAATGTGTATCAGGCTACATCTTGGTCTTGACAAGCTTGAAACTTAGCGGTGTATGCTTGGCGGATTCGTAATCATGCAACCCTGTCCCGATTGTGCGTGGATGGTTGTGCTGCAGAAATTGGCCTAACTGTGGAAAAGGGTTTATCTACGATCTAGCTTTGCAGAAATTATCCTTCAAGTCGGATACGTGATATTAATAGTAGATCCTAGAGCCCTCCCATCTTTTATCAAATATCTGCCATGCTCCTTTGATTCACATATGCGCAAATGATCGTATATCCAAGAGTGCCTCCCATCACCTACCATACCGCTATGTCGAGCTTCTGCAACCGCGATTGTATGCTTGGAATGCAAATCTCATTGTTCGTACATATGTGAGTCGTCAAATATCGTTTCAAAAGTCCAAAAATACACCAGAAAGCTACTTCGGGAGCTCCACTACATTGCCATATCAGAACATGAATCCGGTGTAGCCTGGTCTGAAACAGATTCACTATCGACATCGGAAAGGCCGGCCGGTACAGTCAAGAAGTCCTTTCTGAAATCCATCTTGCTAATCTTCAGCTTTTGCATTTGTTGCTCGCACATATTCTATTGAAGATTAGCCACTCTTATTTTAGAATGTGATAAAGGATATCAGCTCACCTCCTCGATGCTGCCCTTTACGCGATATCGTATTACTAGTACCTGCTCTGTCTGCCCTAGACGGATTGCGCGTGCAATAGCCTGACTCTCAACAGCAGGGTTCCACTGAGGCTCTATTATGAAGACTCGATTTACCGATTTGAGGTTCAAACTGCATCTGTAATCAGTCTCTCATCCACCGTTGAAGAAGTGAATGTAAATTCTAAGACGCACCCAAGAGCTCCAGTACCGGTAGTCATTATCAGAACAGATATGTTCCTAGTGCGATCAAAATTATCGAGAGTCTTCTGACGCTGGGCCAGCGGTGTCTTGCCGTCAATACGAGCGTACTCTATGTTGGCGCTGCTCAAATGTTTTCCGATAAGGTCGAGTGTTCTTGTCCAACATGAAAATATGATACTGTAATCAAGTCAGACTTCAAATTCTATTAATACGCCTAGATTTTGGACTTACCTTTTAGTAGTATTTAGATCTTTCTGAACATCAGATACAAGCATAATCATCTTGGACGACAGACCATTTGACCGTAAGTAGCCATCACCGTCATTATCTGCTTCTGTCGAGTCTTGGGAGGGAGGCTGGCTATTTTGGCTGAAGGAAAAAGGCATGGCTTTTCGAGATTTGCATATCGGACAGCTGGGCCGCAAAGCCGGGTTTGACGAACGTTCTGTGACTGGCGAGCAGTCTTTACACAGAACATGCTTGCAATTTTCTGCGTACGCCGGCCTACTATCTCCAAAGATCAACGGCAAGGGCTCTCTGCACCCCACGCAACGAGCCAGACTATCACGTGTGATGGAACAGACAGGGTCCGCTTCCTCATCAAGCAGCATTTTTTTAGTCCATGAGAACGGGCGTTGATATGTCCCATGGTTACAAAAACTCCGAAGCTGTAGAAATATCTGGAACATGCCAAATGTTTTCTGTTTATTGTATTCTCCAACCTTTTGGATAATGAAGCGCTGCATTGCCTTCTTTGTCTCCTCGTACTGCTTGCGCTCAGCCGGCGTAAAGTCTATGGCATGTATCTCGTCTCGCTGGCCTGGGAGATCTACTCTCTCGATTGTGCGTCGTAGACATATACCTTCAAGTAGAAGAGCGAGTCTTTCTATAGCCCGGTGCCTTGTTGATATCGCTTCAAATGGATTGGAAATCCAGTGGCGGAAGATTCCCAGGTGATGGAAGGGTCTTGCTTGTATAAAAACGAGCAATGCTCCAAGATCGATTAAACTGTTCTGAATGGGAGTTCCGGACAAACACCAACGAGATTTGGCTGATAGGTCGCGCACTGCACGATGAAAGGTTGTGGCCTGGCGACGAATCATATGGGCTATTTGAGAGTCAGCATTTCCATTATTAGCTTTTCTCGTCGTTTGAGTTTAGTATTTACCTTCATCCAGAACCACACGATACCACTCCATATCATGTAGAGGACTTTGACCACCGCCATTGTTTCTGATTCCATGCTCCTTGGCAAGCGTATTATAGGTAGTAATAACAATTTCACAATGCTCTATATCACTCAGGTGCTTTTTTCGGTCCTTTCCGTGATACTTGAAGACCCGCAGGCTATTTTCCAAGTGACTGGCAATCACATATTAGCATCAGTTTGGAAATAGGATTAGGAAGTCACACTCTTCTACTTCTCTTGTCCACATATTGATTAGGACTTGAAGAAAGGTCAGCTCTGGAGCCAGCCACGGTGAGATACTGTATCAAACCACTTACCATGAGAAGGAACAATGACTAACGTAGCTCGACAATGCCGTTTAGCCAAAATGTCATCCGATTGAGTCTTATGTTCTTCTGCCCATTTGATTGCATCGCTCTGAGTCTTCTCGATCAATACCAGGGTGGTCAGGGATTTTCCCATTCCCATTTCATCGGCAAGAATACCCCCACCGCTTTCGTCAGGTAATTCGTTTTGCTGAGCTTTGGTGATAACGTGTCGATACCTGAAGGAGTTAGCTTTGGAGTTTGATAATAATGCACAGCCTAATACTTTTGTTCCCCATCTATTATTTCTGGCTGCCAAAGGCGATATTTGGCCGGTATATCGCCGGTCTCTCGCTGCAACATGAAGAATAAAGCCTCTTCTTGATGTCTTGGATAATGGAAATCAGTCCCTGATATACTTGTAATTTGAGCGCAGCAACTTACGGATACAAAGCTCTATTCAAGCCTTCGCTTCCCCTGACTCCACGGAGCTCTTCTGACCGGGTCAACGAGTTGAAGACTTCCGCTATCGTGTTTTGAAAATCTTCGTTCTGTTCTGAAGATATATTGGAAGAGCCAGCATCGTTATCAGAATTAGCATCCTCTGTGTCTGACTCCGGTAGACCGTCTAGTTGCAATATATGCGGATTATCATATCTTGCTCCCCTGCGCCGCTCGTTGGGAGGTTGTAAGAAAAGGCCCCTATCCGAGAGGTATGTTCCGACTCGGTCACGAGAAGCTTCTGGCCCATAAATATTCACATCTACACGAATTGCTGCTTCTGATTGTTTTTGAGCCCGTCGGATTGCATCACTGAGACTTTGTAGATTGACTACAGCATCGAGTTCAATGTTGGTCTCACTAACGAGATCCTTGAGCCCGCGCTCCATCTTCTCACTGAGATATCCCAGATCCCCATTATCGGCGAACTTGAGAAACAGTTGCAAATCAGCCGATGGTCGGACACGGAGGGTATAACTTCTGGGAAGGTATGAGCCGCCATTTTTAAGTTCTTGTACTCTTTTCTGCAGTTCTTCGCCCTGTCCCACAAGTTTGACCTTCTCATTGTAGAACTATACATCTGTGAATACAATTCTTCCTGATGAATGAGAAATAGTCTTAAGTCGGTACTAACCATTCCGTATAATACTAGCTCTTCTGTGACAAAATTCCCAACATCTGCAGTAAAAGCCTCTTCGAGAACCCCCGCCGAATCGATGGAGTTGATAGCAGGCGTAGAATCAATTGACATCACATTATCAGACTCGGGTTGAGAAAACCAACTTTGATCAAAGGGGACAAAAAGGCCATCCTGGCTTGAAAAGGCTGGTTCGGTTGAGAGATTGGGCAAGATATTATTGTCCGTGTAAAGATGATTTTGGAAGGACGGCTCTAGTAAGAGAGCATCACTTTCATAAGGATTCGGGTAACTTTTCTACATGAGTACAGAATGGTGCCATGCCGGTGGACGACTCTTACTAGGAGGATTCGGCTTCGGCATTCTCTAGCCTTGCTTCTTGCGAAAAGGAGCGATTTCGTGACCGCGCATCGTCCGCATCGGTTCCATCATCAGGATTAAGCAGGCGCTTGAGCGACATGGAAGATAGATTCTGCTTTGATTAAGACAGGTGACCAACAGACATTGTTCTGTCTTGGAATTCGACTATTTGGTAGTTCGGACAGAACAATTCATTTTTCTCACTGCTTGGTTTTACCGATCATCACATATCTTACACATTTTGCCTCGTCGTTTAGTTTCTTATCACGATACAATCAGGTATGTAACTTCTCAGAGAAACTAAAATTGCAGTGCAAAATAAGGAGGCTGGTAGCCTGATTGTACGTAGTTACAAGGCTGACTGGACCAGTTGTTGATACAAAGCCAACTTCTCCGAGACACTAAGGCTGCAGTGCAAGGCTGGCTGGCAGCACCGCGGCACACCTCGCTGGGTTGGCTAACTCGGGAAGTTGGGCCACAGCGCGGACACGTCAATCGCAGCTCGGTCACACAGACAGGCCTCGTTTTGAGGCTCGCCCMGTTTCCTTTTCTTTTGAGCCGCTTCCCAGCATAGACTCAAGTGCGTATGTTAACACCTCTATGAATCTAAAATTGCAGTGCATGAGGGCAAGGCTGCATATGCATACCTCTGAGGAACTAAAAATGCAGTGGCAACACTGCGTCGCTGCCACCGCATGATGTGATACGAGGTCAGTGCGGAGGTCTCGATCCATCATAATGACAGAGATGTGACATGGCTGGGTACACATGGATGTTGCAGCTAAAACAGGGATCTTAAGCTTGTTAAGAAACTAAAATTGCAGTACGCGACTGCTTCAACGAGGATAGATATTTGCTATGAAGCACGGTCTGAAAATTCCCTCGAGCTTTGGCCCTCCATAGTCCTCTATCTACCTATCTATGGTTTTATAAGCCTGGATATGAGTCAATTACATATCCTATAGACTATTTTGTTCATGGTTCCGAACATATGGAGCTTTAGTGAAGTAATTGAATGTAGCTTAATCAGAGTTCCAAGACGGAACCAATCTACAGGAATCCAGCGTCAGACACCCACGCCCTAGTAATCCCTCTAAGAAGATAAAAATGCAGTGCAATTGCGCCTGTTCTTGCCGATTGGAGGTCGGAGTCTCGAACTTGTGCTACAAACAGGACAAGGCTGATTCAAGGACTACGCCACAAACATTGATCATGAGGTATGCGTAGGCAACGCAATTGACAACCCTCCATGAATCTAAAACTGCATTGCAGCATTGTAAAGGCGCCAATAATCGCATTCCATATCCCCAACGATTCACTAAGAATAAGAGTACATTCTCGCTCATGGAAGTTTTGCTTAGCAAAAAAAATATATCAGTTAACGCAGTGTACTTCATTATGCTTATTCTTCAGAGGTTTATTTAGGGTTATTACTTCGTCACTTGCATTATTACATTGATTTATTTTCATAGATGGATTGAAATGATAAGAATATGTATGGAAGGGATGATATTCTTGGTAGAGCAAACAAATAGCTATGTACAAGGTCAACCTCGTAGTAACCTCCTTAGTGGTTCAAACTAGAGAGCAATCCGTTTTCTATTGACGTACATGCCCTCTAAGAAGCTAAATTTGCAGTGCATCACCTACCCGGTCGAGGATAGTCTTCACACAGAGCCAACTAGAAGACTCTCTGGAGATTATCTCATTGTCTCGGGAAGTCTTGACACTTAGATGCAAAGGCGGTGCTATCTTAAGGATCAAACCACCAAGGACCTTGGAAGTCAACGGGTCAATGTCTTGCAATTGTTCGTGATTGTAGCAAATTTTCGTGCTGTCTCTAATGACCAACAAAAACGAACGGGCATTCCGCCTCTTCAACCCAGTCACCAACGGGAGAATAAGTCGACTACTAGACATGAAACCATACAGACATCCAGAACAACAAACAGCATACCCATAAATATAGATGCAGGCTCGCGAAAAAACAAGCCTCCAAGCACTAGACCAACTAACCCAGCGGCACAAGCCCATGGCAGGTATGTTTGTTTCCATCGACCTTCCCAAAACAATTCTATCACGCAATATAAGTACCCTGCGATTAAAAAGGAGCTACCAAGTACGAAAGACTCGTAGGTAAGTAGAGGTCGAAGAATTTCAGGCAGATATCGCAGGTCCATTAAACTTCGATCACCGACCTAGACATCTTGTGTCAGCAAAGAGAGCGCAAATAGCATCGGGGAGCCATACCGAAAAGAACCCCGAAGTTCTTTCCTGGAGCATAAACCCCGTAGTTTGGAGAATAAAAAGAAAATGTAGCGATATCGCGAGAGTCACAATGTAAAAAGAGCGCCGAGGCAATTCTGCTTTGTCTTTTGTGAATTCATCCGCATCTTGCGTGTTGTCCGATGTACTGCTGTGCTCCGCCTTTTCATATTGGGACGACAAGATCTGATATGGCTTTATCGGATCGGTTTCGGCATCACGGCTCGTTGCGCGAGGTGGTCCCCTCATTTGCATTACCAAAGTGTATAGGTCCGCATCGATTGAACGGAGGGGAGGTAATTTTGCTATATGGCTATTAAGACCGGACGGATAGGACGGAAGGCAGCGAGATGTTGCTGAAGTATAAAACAGAGAACGGGTTTGCAACTTGAGCAACGATGAGGATCATTCTTTAGATGCAGGGCCTCGAAAATAAAACTGCCAGCCTGATCAGTCTGACCAACATGACCAACCACAGTCCAAGATAGACTGCTCAGCCACCTACGTTTAGCGCTGAGAAGGCAAATTGTCTACAAGAGGATTGCATCGGTCGGCTTTCTCTCACTCGACTCTTCCTATTTATTTCGCTTTTCTCCTCMCCTCCCCGCCGTTCTTGTCGATTTATATTTTTGCACTATTCCGTCCTTTCCAAAGCCGTTCTAGCCTGTTAGGCCAGTAAATATTTCTGGCATGCCCCTTTGAACCTCTTCGCTTGGCCATGTTCAGCAGGATCGCGCACAAACTACTGGTTCTAGTGCACTGTACATCCGCGGTACTGGTCTCATATTTCCAGAATCAAGACCAAGCCCAATTGTCTTGGATAGAATGGGCTGTAAAGACGTATGAGCAAATCCATTAGTATCAAAGCTGATATGTGAGCTAAGAAGCAGAATCATAGAGACCTTGGGGTATGGATAACGTCAGGCTTGCTGCTGGCATGGATTCATGCAGATTTCCTCATAGAGTACGTCTTGGTCTCACTTATGCCATTTTCCATCTACATTTGATCAATTTCATAATATAATTACTTGCTGACGCTTTTTCTTTAGGCAAGCCCCTATTACAGTCGTTGCGCCGTTGTCCCTTTACAGCACTTTGACTGGGCTCTCATTCCTCCACCAGTCACAACAAGCAGACCCTCTTTCCATATTTCCCCCTTCAATAACCTTTGCCATGATCAGCGTCAAGGGATGGAGCTTAAGAGAACGCCACAAGACAAGAGTTTCGGGGATGAAGACCAATCTCGATCAAACATTACCGGAGCCCGTCCCGGGACGGAGAACATCCAAGCAGAAAAGGAAATGGAAGAACCGTCAGACACAATCCCCGCCAGAAACCAAAGAGATGCGATGAAGATCTCGAGGACTGATGATATCAACCTGCAAGAAGCATTAATCTCTCAGCCCGAAACTCGACTCATTACCGAGGAGCAGCTGGTTGATGAAGTGAAAGCCATCTATGCTGGCTTAGTAATGGTTGAGAGAAAATGTGTGGAGATTGAAAAGCAGAGATTCGACGACGCTGAGAAGTTGACTGACCAACAATGGCAGGCGCTCATTGCACTGCATAGAACACTCTTGCATGAACATCACGATTTCTTCCTAGCTTGTGACCATCCGGTGCTGAAACGATTGGATGGTAAATACTCAATGCCCGCACGTATGTGGCGGTATGGCATACACTCGTTTCCAGAGCTACTCCGAAAGGGACCTCCTAATCCTTGGGATCACATGTTAATGTTTATCTATCTGGCATACTCGATGATGACTATGCTTCTAAAAGCTGTACCTGTCTTTGAAGGAATATGGATTGAATGCCTGGTGTACCTGTCCGCTCAGGGTTGGTATGATCAACTTAGGGTTGGAAGGAAGCAACATCACCTGGCTGTATTGGCTCGGCCTAACAGGCTTCAGTATCCTTTTTGTTACCTCAGGTCCCTGGTCAACATTCAGCCTTTTGTTGATACTTGGGATAGCATTCTTCTCCCTTCAAAGCACACTTTAATCCGACAAATATCCTGAAGAAGTACTACCCTCCACTTCTAATCGTTTTCTTCGAAATGAATGGACCTTTGATCTCAAGACACGGCAAAGCCACAATCATTCAAGACGCAAATCTATCCATCAGGCATGCTGGACAAGTCCAAACGATCACTAGACATGTCTGGCCATTCATCTGCAAGACATAAGCAGCGCCTTTCGGCTCCTTACCACCATATATACCGATATCTGACTTGCCGAGACATGTTCGGCACAAAAAAGGCTTGTGAGATCTGAACAATTCAGAGAAGCAGGAAAGCCAACGATGATATTATATCACGGGCGAACTACGCACATTTTACTAGCAACCTCATTTTCTGAGAAATATCCGGCATCCTTCAATTGATATAATGAATACTTAGCGCTAACTAACATTGCATGAGATACCTATGGATTAATACACATGTGATGCATATGATACTTTGCCAGAGTTGAAACTAAATAGCATGTTTTAAAGCGTAACATGAGGGATTTGGGCCATTCAAAGGGTATCGCAGCCAAAGAAATGTTGAAGAGATGCGCTTCTGAGTGGAATTCCACCAGTGTTATAGCTGCGCTGTCAACTCTCGATATCCGAAGAATATACAGGTACTCATCTTTTGGAAATATCCATCCTTCTGGACTCGCGAAACTTGTCAATATGTCGGAGTTGTTTTCCGGAAAACATGGCGCTGTGCATCGTAGGCCGCCGTCCATCTACACAAAACTCTTCCCTAAATACGGACCTCAGACTCAGCCTGTCCCGGTCTGCAAAACTGAGTCGACTCGATACCTTCCTACCGTTTAGTAAGGATACATCGTCCTGCCATGTGTATTTCTGTACATCTCTGGCAACGTAAACGCCATCTGATAACACCCGCCCCCGCCAAGTCATTGCTTCATGTGCTCGCTTTACGGCCATTTGGCAATGTGTCATGGAAATATTAGGCGGGATTTCTTGCGTAGTTCGCGTGTACCAATCGTCGAAAGATGTTTCGACTAAAACCTCTAATCGCTGACCATCAGGCATGGCACTAGCCACAATACATATTTTTTCGCACAGTGAGACTAATCTTTCACAGGGAACGGCGTGGGAGGATAATGCTTGACAATTGGTTGGCCCATCGTCCACTACGGAATTTTGATGGTGTTTGTAGATTTCGTAATTTTTGACAAGATTCGAATCTGACATAGTCGTTACCCCGAACTTTTCATTCGGAACAGATGATGATTCGGAGCCGAGAAGCTGATTTATCAAGTCAGCCAGCAGCGCAGATTGATTGAGCAGTGGAGAGGATCGTGTCATATACGCCAAAAGGATGTCGAAACATGTCACAGAAAACATAGCGGCGTAGTGCAACAATGATGTGCCATTGGGTAATGTTTCACTGTTCTCACAGTTTGATCCCGCATTAGAACCCAGCATCTGACCCAGTAGTTGCTCCGAATTTCGCAAGACTGCGATTTGAATCGGTGTCAGTCCCGCATGGGATTGCGCATCCGGATTTGCTCCGCTGGACAGAAGAAGAGTAACAGGGTCAGATCGAGATTTTTCTGTAGTGGAATGTCTTTTGACACAACTCAGACGAGCTGCGATATGAAGTGGCGTTTCGCCACGCTTATTCCGAGCATTAGCGTCAAGTTTGCATTCCAACAGACCGTATACCTCGTTTGCGTTCTCGCGGCGGACAGCCAGATGAAGCAGGGTATCCCGGCCAGGCTTGAAAGGTCTACATGCGAGCTTCATAAGCAAGGCTTTTGGACATTGGTTATCCCGTGCTGCTGTCAAAGCTGGCATGTCACCATCAGTGCTCACAGTATCGATATCACATCTCTTTACCACCAGGAAATCGGCTAATTCGAAATTTTCGGCGCGGAGGGCAATGTGCAAAGGCGTCATTTTATTCTTGTCCTTAGAACTGATATCAAATCCGAGTTGCACAAGCCATCTCGCAGTATCTATATCTGCTTGTCTTGCTTCTGATAGAATATGGAGGGGTGTGCGGTGGTCCGAATCTCGACTCTCTACCGATTGATCCTGGAAGACTCGCCGCATGGTTGGGGGAATAATACCTGATAGACACGCCCAATGTAGGCATGTTCGGCCATTCTTTGAGATGGCCGTTAATGTGGCTCCGTAATTAAGAAGTGGTTCGATTGCGCTAGGACAAAACTGGTATGCATAGTGAAGTACAGTCTGTCTCGTCGAAAGAATCGCGGCATTTGCGTCAGCTCCATGCTGCAATAGACCGGTCACAGTTTCCAAGTGTTTACTCGAAATGGCAACGTGAAGTGGACTCATATGGTACTTCTCTGTGGTGGTTGAGACACCAACATTCGGTTTGAATAAATGAGAAATTAGTGATTGATTCCCAAATGCTGCTGCATGGTGAATTGGCATTCTGCCTTGGTTGTCGTGAGCATAAATATCTGCACCGAGCTTGATGCACTCCTCCACAAAAGAAGAGTCTCCCGTAACAGCAGCTACATGTAGTGGTGTAAATCCATATGATGACTTGTTGTTCAGCATGGAGGGGGCTTTTCTGATGATCAACGAGGCCAACGCAGTTATTTTCCACAACGTCGCGACGTGCAAAGGTGTAAATTTCTCTGCTTCAAAAACTGGAGACGGCAATAGTCGCAACAGTTTCACAAACTCCAGAAGATTTTCAGATGCTGATATTGTCTCTGCAATCTGAAGTGCGACAGGCAACGCCGGTATTCCAACTTGCTTGACATGATAATCCCAATGTCTAAAGCAGTATTCGGTCAGACTGTACGTCTTCAAGATTGGTTGTACTTCGAACCAATAATTGTTCCTTATCTTGGAGGCAGGCTCTCTAAAAGGTTTGAAGCCTAGATAGGTGACTACAGTCGTCAAAATAGAGATATGAGGATTCTCAAAAAGCTCAACCTGATGTGTCTTTAGGTAATCGTGCAATGTTTCGTGGACAAGTCGAACATCATTGGCGTTCCGATCGAATGCAATCAACCCCCCGCAAGCTTCAATTACTGTTTCTATGGCAGTGAAGCCCGACTCATCCCGATCGGGGTCCCCAGGTCGTACAGCAAGAGCCTCGACAAGTTCGTCTGAGGTCAAAGGGCGATATGAAAATGTGGCCCATTTCAGAGCGTTCATAGCCAGTTTTGCACGTGTCGATGACTTGATGCGAGCCATGTATTTTTCATATTGTCCTTCAAGCTCCTCAGGTAGCTCATTAAGAATGTCTTCGATTTCTCGAATAGAGGTTGCCATTTCTAGTTGGCTTACCTGGAGGCTTGCGAGTAGAAACATGCCTCGTGAAGTTGCGATGATTTTGTCAATCACAAGCTTTTGAAGACGATTGGCCTTTTCCCCATCCGCTCTTTGAACTGTCACGCCGTGGATTTCATTGAATTTGAAATTCAAGAATTCTCGGAGGTCGTGGTCGCGAGCAGAGACATGGATCTCAAGGCGTGGCAGGCTACCTATGTTGAAGTTCGACCTCGACATAAGAAGCAGCTTTAATCCGGACCAGCCTGTCATCGAGGTTATCTTGTGCAGTAGCTCTCTTCGATGATTTTCTGGAAGTTCGTCGAGTCCGTCGAAACAAAGAACCAAGGTTTTACCAACTGTTGTCAATTTCTGGAACAAGTCCATGCAATCATTTATCGATGGATCCCTATCTTGTGATCCCTTGTATTGCAGCATTAGTTCCCTGAGCCAAAACTCAACATCATTATGAGTATCATATAATGACTCTGAAAATTGTCTAACCAACCCCAATAAGATCCGATCTACGTGATACAGTGATGTATTGTTGTGACTTAAGTAGACCGCTGCAACCGCAACATTTGAAATGTTCTGTCTGCTCCTCATGTAATCGACGACTCGGCTGAATATTACCGTCTTGCCAGCTCCTGGTGCTCCATGGCACCAGAGAGTGGAAGGTTTCATCGATTTATCCGAAGAGGTCTTATTTCGGGATGTCTGGAACCAGTTTCTGAATGAGTCGTCATCCAGGATCCACGAGCCCGTGTTTTCATGACGGATTTTGACAATATCGTTGTGTTTGTTGAAGAAGTTTGCTTCAGAAATGAAATCTAGAAGCTCTTTCTTCTCACGCTCCCTATCTATCTTTCCTCGACGTTCATCACTTTGTTTTCTTAAGTCTTCTTCGACAGTCAAAACTGCTCTGGTATCCACAGCCGCTCTTTTGCAAAAATCCATTGCTCCTTCGATAAGTTTCACATGATCTTTCCATTCTTCCACATTTGTTTTCATCTCCTTAATAGGTTCTATTACCTCAATTACTTGCTGGAGGTCTTTGCGAATGGCTTTCATCTCACTCATGGCTTCTTCGGATGACTTGGAAAGGAGGCCCCAGCCGCTAAGACTCAGACCGAGTTGAAATATACTCGTGTAGCGATTTATATCTTGAAGGGCTACACGATAGCGGTCCTTTGATCCCAAGACCCATATTGCTTTCGGTTTGGCCGCATCCACCTCGAATTTCTTCTTGAGTTCGGTAACATAGGTTTCGCATTGTTCGACAACGGATGTGATCGGCGAAGAAACGACAGACTTTAGTCGACTCGCTTTTGGTGACTGGTAGAAGCCTCGTACAGCAGAGACAATTGCTTCGAGGTTCTCTATCTCATCTCTGAGGTTTTTGATATCCTTCGGCGCATCGTTGATGTCGGAGATGTAACCAACGATTGCGGTGGAAGCACGTAATATCACATCGCAACCACCAAGAATACCGGTTAATAGTCCGATTGCTTCGGCCATACCTGGTTAAGAAACATCGAAGTGAATGAAGAAGTAAAGGTAGACCACATCATGTCAGAAGCGAATGAAGAAGAACCATGTGTCCCTTGAATAAATCAAGATTTGGGAAGGAATCGAGGTTGGGCTAGTACTGCCCCATGAGGCTGACATGCCACAAGGCTCCTGCGACTGCAAGATATAGCATCTGCGACAAAGGTGAGTGATATCGAATGAAAATTGGGTATGATACTCGAAGGTACACAAGAAATGCGCCTAAGGACGCAAAGAACTTCATTCAGCCTGACCAAAGACTTCCACATGATTGGTTTATATGTCAGTGGTTCAGCCTTCTTTTAAGCAGCTAGAGGGCTGCCTAGCCCATAGATTCTGGCACAGTGCAGAGCACTGCCCCTATTTTCTGTAGAAACTCAACTCCGCGCTACCCGATTTGGGTGGCTATGCTATAGTAAATAGCTCATATACCATACTATATTTTCCTTCTTAAAACCTATCTAAAATATTTGATTGCCTCAAAGTAGAAAGCAATCAGGGTTCGGGTTAGAGTTATTTTCTTATTAATAAAAATGTAGGGTTTTGTTGGAAACCGACGTCTGTCAAATGTCTAGATTAGAGTAAACTGAAAGGATAGTAAATCTAAGAGTTATTTCCTTTGATAGTCAATTAGGACATTTCTCTACCACTTACGCCCCCAACAATCTATGCAATGTCAACTTCGTGGGAATTGCTCTGTTGATCCTCCAAATAACTAGCTCTCTAGATGGGCTGCAGGTCCTCGAGTCAGAGGCGATTGGGTTTGGTGATGATGTCCCGGCTTGCTTTCCGTATACATCTATTCAGAGTAGGCTGTATGGGACTTTTAGACACTTCACAGTAAGCCCCTTTCATATCAACGGCTAGTTGAAAAACAAAGAATACGATTATATTCAGAACATTTGCTGTGCTCATCACATAACCACAACATTCAGCTCAGCAGTGTGTTTCCAAGATTACTCTGCTTATTGTATCTACCGAGGTAGCCATGCGGTCTGCTCCACTAAAATGTCTGTCTTTCGTAGAAATGTCATGCATTCATGATATACCAGGGGTTTGAACCTTTTTGTCTTTGGTCGTTATGCTGCATATTCAATCTTTAGGACCCAGCAATACATCTCTCCTTCCCAGGCGGACTCCGGAACATGAAATGTGAATCCGGAATCAGGGACCGACCCTCCATGTTTGCCTTGCCCTTCCTCCCACCTAATATGCGAATGGGAGTGATCTTGACCGACCACAGAAACGACATCGCCTTTCAACAATGGTAAAGGTGCATCAATATATATGCTGTTTGTTGTTGGCTCTTCCAAGAATAGAATATAAAATGCATCATTTGTCTGTGTGAATCGAACATTCTGGTCCCCAATTTCCGGCATAACGAACCAGTAGGTCGTATTGAAAATCGCTTCGGCATGGGAATGAATCCATTCTCCAGCCATGCGAAGATTGTCCGCTTCAGCTTTGACTATGGTACCGTCGGCACGGGGACCGATATCTAGCAAGAAATTCCCGTTCTTGCTGACCATGTCAACCAAGTCCTGTATAATGGTAGTAGCATTCATATAGGCACTACTGGCCGTTGCGCGATTATAGCCGTAGCTGTAAGGATCCATTCCTTCGTTAGACTCCCACTTGCGTCTTTGCGCCGTCGAAAAAGTTGCATATTCCGGCGTATCAAAATCTGCAACCTCGGCTAGTCCACAGCGAGAATTTATGGTGACCTGTCGGTCCTCTGCTCGTGCTTGATTCCACCATGAAGCCGCGAAGGGAGCGGTTCCATTAGCGGCACCACAGTCGCACCACAGGATATCAGTAGAGTAGTTATAGGCAAGAATCTCCATTTGTGGCACCATCAGATCAGTGATGAAGTCGCCAATGGGAAGCCGTCCCGTGTAGGGCTCATCAAGACCCGTATATGGATTACGTGCAATGATTCCCGGCCAGGTGGTAGAAGAATTCCCAGGCAATTGGGCAAAGCCATAAGGCCCAAAGTCGGGGTTGAACCACTCTGGGAGGGAAAAGTAAGTCCCGCGCTTTAGAGTTGGCTGATAGGTCTTCGCAGCATCGAAAAGATCTTGCACAAGATCTCGCTTGGGACCGTAGTGCAGCGTATTGCGATCAGTGGTGTCGGAAGTATTGAATAGCGCAAGGCCATCATGATGCTTGGTTGTCAAGACAAAATATTTTGCACCTGATGCGTAGATTAGATCGACCCAAGCTTTGGGATCCCAATTAGCTGCGGTGAAGTTGGCGAAACCATCATCGTAATTCCAGTCAGGACCGAAGGTGCGCAGTCGGTAGTCGTAGAAGTCGGACTTGTCGGCTGCTGTGTGGGTGGAATACCACCTACTGACTGTTAGTACATATTTTGATGATACCCCCTCGAAGTCCCTCAAGAAAGGAAACAGATGGGAACTGACCAAAACCACTCGGCATAGCTCTCATACGGAGTCGAATTACCCCAGCCGGGAACCGAATATGGACCCCAGTGGATGAAAATTCCAAATTTGGCGTCGTCATACCATTGAGGACTCTCGTGTTGAGCAAGATTTGATAAGTCTGATGTCCACTCAGTCAAGCCAATAGAAACATTTGCAACCTGCTGTTGTACAGCAAACCGGTCATGTTGTAGTATAATTTCAGCTGGACCAGTGGCTGTGCCATTCACGCCTACATCCACTCTTTTCTGATCACCGGGACACAACCTCTTGATATGACCAGGCTCCAAGGTCTGTACCCCAGGCATTGCAATTGAGACGCTCAGGCCCTCTCCGGAAATACAGTCAAGACCAGAATTGTTTATGGTGACCTCTATAACTTGGCTTCCGTCGGCTGTCCATTTCTGGGTTGGCCGCACAAATTGCACTTGGGCTGATGAGGATGCTGCATTCCACAGAGATATAGCAAATACGTGCAGTCTCCCAGTAGTAGCGTTGGTTGTATCTGGTAGTGTGATAGAGTTGAGAGTTTTGCTCGGGTCCAGAGCGGCCGTGTACTCAAAGATATGTGTTGTATTGAAATTCGTACTATTCGCCGTGAAGCGATAGGGGAAAATGATCTCGCCACGATTAATGGTCAGGAATGCCCACCAAGGCAGGCTACGCAGTTCGGATGTAAGAGTAGAGTTGTCTGAATAAGTGTAGGTTATGTTTCCAGAGACAGTAGAAAGCTCGACGTCTGATGAGACCAAGATCGAGGCCGAAAAATATCCTGAGCTGGGGACGGCGATTGTCTGTCCTTCGCAGATGACATTATCTGGAGCCGAAGCGAGCTGAAGACCAGGAAAATCATAGGTAACCCCAGTTGATTTTGATGTATAGGTCCCATTGATACCAATGATACTAGGATCCGGGTAGGAATCATTCAACGCATCAAAGGCGGCATAGCCGGGGCATGATCCAAAAGCCTTGTTATTGAAATAGGACCTGAGAGAAACAGGAGTTGACTGTATGCACTGTCAGTAGATTTACTAACTAGGTATCTTATCTAATAAATCATTATACGCACCTGACTGACTGCGTCTAGGGCTCCTTGGACTGCTGTTGCAAGAGCAAGCCCATAGACCAAGGAAGCTTTGGTATTTAGCTGCATTTTGCGATGTCTCCAGATCCCGAAGCCCCTATTGACTGCAAAGGCACTATTCCCACCATTCCAACCCGGGACTATATACCCATCCACATTGTTAACACCAGAGCAGCCGACGGGCGGTGTGACGAAATTCAATTGAGAGGTGGTTTAGTATACTGCTTCCTATCTGTTATCCCCACTACAGAGACGGTACAGTGACATTGCTATAGCGGGACATCTCCCAATTGTTACAATGATGAGCGGTTGAACCCACCGAGTCTTATCTTCATAGATTGAGCGCGGGCAGCAACTGCTATATGGTAAGGCTATGAGCTAGCTTATCGTTTAGTCTTCGGCATCTCGACCGAACTTTGCCGACAATTCAACACTAATTATTGGCCAGATTCTCATATCAACACGTCCGGCTCTCGAAATAGGGTTTGAGCCAGGCCATTTCTTGTTGTTCCTTTGTTACATTGATTGATTGATACCGACACCGAAGTTGTGGGACGGCGATCAACGGTTACATCCTTTAAAAATAGTGGTACGTAAGTGGCAATGTGCAGTGACTGCAACGGAATGTTGTGTTGATGGTGGACTGGTGCGGGGAAGTGAATGGAGCCGGGAGAGTGCTGGAAGGATGCATATAAAAGGCCCTGTAATAAAAAGTGGGATATCTCAAATTTCTGATAACTTGGTCACTTTGAACAAGCAACCAAAATGTGGGCCAAACCGATATTCTCCCTAGCTGTCGTTCTCGGGGGCGTGCCTCTTGCCCTTTGCTTCAACAATCCACCTGGAGTCAATATATGGTGCGGAAAGGCCTATGAAGCAAGGTATGAGGAGATCTCCGGGCCTTAAATAAGTACATAACGATCTGTAAGTCTGACAAGACATATGTTATAAAGCAATGACTCTTTCAACCCCGGCGGATGGTTCGAAGAGCCTTCCAAATCATCGATACCGCTTCTAGATCTGAAAGTCAGACCTCGAATGAACATCTATCTTGAGAGTGATTCTCAGGGAAGCTTATTGATCGACGCGGCTGTATCTTATCTGACAGGAGAGCCATTGCCAAGTGGCGCTGCCTCACCTCCGAATAGTGAACGATTCAGCCTGTCCCTAGTAATAACCTCAGGCGGTGCCTCCATAGTTTCCCACCAGCAGTCAGTGGCCATCGGCTCCAGTGACAATGAGATACCAATTGCTTTTGACAAGTTGCCTCCTCAAATGACGCCGTACAATATCTCCGTCGTAGGAACATTATCTCGTGGTAACAGCCAAACAAAATTTTCAGCCACCACCGAGCTCTACCGCCTTCCACAGCGAACAGATGGCGGAAGTGTCACTCGCTTGGATCACTTGTATGGTGGGCTTTCGGTAATAAAAGGAAGCCAAACTGAATGGAAACCTCTCTTCCCATATACCTACTATGGTGAGTTTTGGTATACCCGTGATATTCAATTGATCTCAATGAGCCCAACAGCTGAAGTTACTGTCAGTACAATGGTCCCTTTATTGGTATGCTAATATCTCAACGCTGGACGAATTTGCTGCAAAGGGCTACAATGTGATTCACATTGTACCCACCGGGGATCTAGGTGACACTCCTTTCCCCTGGGAGGAATTCGAGCCGTATCTGCAGCGAGCCGATGAACTTGGGCTCTTCTTCCAGTACGATGTACGATGGGATTATAGTAACTTGACAACAATGATCGACCAAGTCACGCGGCTGCGCTCCCATCCATCTATACTCTTGTGGTATACAGGCGACGAGCCCGATGGGAAAAGTAACCCGCTCAACTCGACAGCAATCGCATATGAGACCATTCGGGAATTGGATCTATACCATCCCGTATCTCTAGCTCTGAATTGTTACGACTTTTACTATCAGGACTATGCCTCTGGCGCTGATATCATTCTGTCCGATGTCTATCCGATTTCGACCAATACGAGCTGGTCTACTGTATACAACACCCCATGCAACGAGACATATGGCTGCTGCGGCTGTGACGACTGCAACGGTCGTTTTGAAGATATTTCAGATCGATTGGACAATTTTGCGTATTATGATGAGATCATCGGTTGGCCCAAGACTCACTGGGGCGCACCTCAAGCATTCGGTAATGAGACTTTTTGGACTCGTTATCCCACCGCTGCGGAGGAGGTAGTTATGACCATGATAAGCATTAACCACGCCGCCAAGGGAATCGTTATGTGGGATTTCCCTACATCCCCAGACATCCTGGGAGTGACCGATGCATTGGCCGCAGTGCTCACGACTGAAGAAGTTGCTGGATTCTTGATCGGGTCTCCAATCGCCCAGGATCTGAAAATAGCTGGCGGTGAACGGGTCGATGCGGCTGCATGGATTCAGAACAAGAAGTTGTTGCTCAGTATTCTGAATTTGAATTATGAGGAACTTACTGGAGAGATCAGCGTCAGTCTACCGGGAGAGATCTCAGCCAAGTCAATTAGCAGCACCTTGTGGGGAGACTCAGCATGGAAGATAAGTGGTAATAAATTAACGAGCAATGGACTTGCAGGTCTTGCAGTCTCTATTCTGGTAATAGAGCTTAGATAGCTTTCTTACCCAAGCTCACTGAGAAGCAATATCAGATAATAGATCAAATGGACTCATTGTAAAAACATGTTGGGACAGGATTTTTCCCAGGAACGTAAGTTTTTAGGAAGGGGATAGGTATTCTTATCGCCACGATGGATAACCCTAAACCCCATTTATAGTCTAGCCAAATTGGTGTTAGCACAGTGATATTTCACGTGACCAGGCACTATTCTGCCGGGCGGCATCAACCGCCTCAAAGCATAAACTCAGTGTTCGCAAAAGTGCAGATACTTGAAGGATCGATCTTGATACCCATATTCGCACTTGTCGCCTTTTTCAATCTCTATCCACTCAACATGTCTGATGCTAAGATTCAGTAAGTCATTTGCCTCGTTTGAGTATTGGTGTCTACCAGCTGTGACTGCGCGACATCAAGCAATTAGTTCGATAGCTGTTTGCTACTCATACGCTTCTATCAGCTGTGTCCAAAGCTACTTGCGCTAACCTCTTATTTTTGTCGCACAGGGACCTCTTAAACAAACCTCGCAGTGAGCTCACGTACGTCTTTATTTCCACTCAATTCCTTTCAAGCAACAACCATGACAGCCCACCATGGCCTCTATCAATCCAGCTACAAATCAAACCCACAGCATCAACACAAGGAAACATGTTAACCATCGTATCTGAACACAGTGAATACGAAGTCGGCCTCGTTGAAGAACACGAGCTCACAGCTGGACCTCTCTCGCTTCTCCAGACAGCCACTCGCACCCACACACAAGTCCTTATCTCATGCCGCAATAACCGCAAACTGCTCGCTCGTGTAAAAGCGTTTGATCGCCACTGCAATATGGTTTTGGAGAATGTCAAGGAGATGTGGACAGAGAAGCCTAAGGGTGGGAAGGGCCGTGGTGTTAATAAGGATCGATTTATCAGCAAGATGTTCGTTTATCTGATTTCTAAGATAATGGAACCAGTGTGCTAATTAAGATACAGGTTCTTGCGAGGTGACTCGGTGATTCTTGTCTTGCTCAGTTAAATGACTTTTTTCAACTTTTCGTTCGACTCAGTTCGGCCACTGTTCGTCATTCAATATCGACATAATGCTTGCGGTCGACATGTCTCGACGAGCGGGACATAACCGATATCACAAGGTCCACAATTTTGCCTTCCATATCTTATATTGCGACGGAAATGCGGTCGACCCTCAATCATCACCATCATCACAATCATCACAATCATCACATAATTGATTAAACCTTCCATGAGACGCAGCACATGCCAAGAATCGCGAATTGATAGACGAATCCTGAAAGGGAGAAAAATGAAAAAAGATTTTATACTGGCATACTGTGTTTACGGACCTACGGGATTAGGTGGATACTCTAAAAGCGAAATGCTGGCGTTTGGGGATTGTGTTCCTTCTTACTCGTTTTATGGACGAATGGAGTCTTGTTGTTCATGCAGTGTGTGATCAAATATACCAATGAGATAGACTTCTAGTCGATACATAGATTGTAGGAAGTGTGTAAAATGATGATATCACATGACCCACCAAGATAGTTAAGTTGTAAACGAGTAATGCAACTACAACCTCAATTTGAAAGCTCGTAAATGCTCAATTAATTAAACCCATATCGCTCAACCTAACAACCAGAAAAACAAAAACATGACGCATAAATCAGAAAATTTTGTTATCAACATAGCGATGTTCATGCATATTTACAAACCATCAGCAACACCAGTAAGGAACTCGGACAGACCATAAGCACCAGGGTCAGGAACCTTGCCCAACCACTCCTCTTCACTACCTACATACACGGATCGACCAAGACTAGCCTTGAGGTGCTTGGTAGCCTCCGTGCCTTCAGCGGCCGCTTTCGCAGCAGCCTTGATATCCTCGGTGCTGACTAAAGTATCGCAGAATGGCACAAGGGCATCAACAAGCGTACGATCACCGACCTGGGCGGGTGTATATTTGGATAAAGCGGTGACAGCAGATTTAAGCGCTTGACCCCAGATCTTGGCATCGACCTGTGTCGCGGACCCAGAGTCCTGGGCGCGGAGACCCTGGACGAGCGAGTTGAGGAAGATAGCATAGATAGCGCCCGAGGTGCCGTCCATGGTGGCTTCGACGGCGTTGACGAACTTGTTGACTGTGACCACGATGTCATCGCTGAGTTCGCCTTGGAGGACTTTGAGGATGGATTCGGCGCCGCGCTTGAGACCGGTACCGCAGTCGCCGTCGCCGATGATGGTGTCGTAGCGGGTCACTTCGGGTTCGGCGACAATCATGCGATTTAGGCCGGATGTGAGTGCTTTCTTGAGGGTGGCGGGGTTGACTAGTCGCGTTAGTTGGGAACCAAAGTGTTTAACGGGCAGGCGACGGAATACCTTTGAGGTTGCTGGGTTGATCTTGAACCAGATCGACCTTCTTAAATTCGACGGATGCGTCGGCAGAGTGTTTCTCCCAGGTCGAGGGCTGGATGGGAGCGGCCCAGCCAACGGCCTCGGTGGGAGCATCGAGAAGCTCAAGCAAAGACTTACCAGCGCCGAGACCGGTATCGACAAGCTTTAACAACGAGACGCTGAAACCAAGACCGTTCAAGCTGGTCAAGTATGTTCCCTGCAGAGTGCGGACAGGCTTGATATCGTATTCAGTGGCAAGTTGCTTCGTGACCTCGGCAGTGATACCGGACAATTCAAGGGTGCTGACACCACCCAAATTGTTAATCAAAAGCACAAACTTGTCACCAGCCTGACGAGTCATCCAGGCACGGTCAGGGTCGTTGTGGTCGAGGAGTTGGAGGAGCATGGTTTTGATCAAGGTAGGCAAAGTGGCGGACTTCATGCGATGGGAGCCGGGTTCGTTGTGAATACCCATGCCTACTTCGACCTCGCCGTTGGGCACGAATTCATTGTTTACTTCGCGACCGGGGACGTGGACGTGTTCGAGCGAAGAGCCGAGGGTAACGGTGTTTTCGGCGGAGAGCTGTGCAATGCGGTACACATCTTCCAACGAGGCGCTGCAACCGTCAGTAAGTGAGACACTCAAAATGAACGCAAAAAACATACCCAGTCTCGGCCAAAGCGCTGGCAATTTTCATGACTAAAATACCCCCGGCAAGACCACGACGACCGACCTTCCCACCGCGAGCACGTCCGACACCGACATCATCACCGATAGCATAAAACTCTGCCGGCCTTCCAGCGGCCTTTGTTTTCTCAGCAGCCATACCAAAATGCAGCACATCTCCCGTATAGTTCATGGGAATGATCAAAACACCCTTTTCGGTTTCAAGACGCTCAATCGTACATCTGCTAATCTGTTCCGCAGAAGGGGACGCAAAGATGGTTCCTGCAACAGCAGCAGTCAGAAATCCCTTTCCGACATAACCGGCAAAGGCAGGCTCGTGGCCGGAACCACCGCCGCTGATGACGGCGACATTGGATTTGTTGTATGTTTCGGGACGGCGGAAAATGATTTTGTTCTCTTCATCAAAGGCGAGAGAGGGGTTGGTGATGGTCAGGGCGCGGAGAGCCTCGATGACCAGGGAGAAGGCGTCGGAGAAGAAATGTTTTGCTATCAATTCTGATTAGCTTGCTAGTCTTTATTCATGCGCATGTAAGAATACTCACAAGACATGGTGGTATGTATCCGAATCGGGAAATATGTAAACCATGCAATAACCCAAAACAAAAATGTCGCAGTCACCAGTCACCAATGTAGACAAATATATATACGAAACCCAATACACTATATAAATAAAGAGGGGCAGTTGTCTATTCTCCTATTCTCCGCGCAGAATGAATTTCTGTATAGCCACGGCAAATAGGTCGGGGTGTTCGCCGACAGGGCCGTATCAACAATAAAGGCGGGGACTCCCCGAGTTCGTTGTGGACTTCCGGAAGTGGGGAAGCCTCTAGCTCTCGTAAGAAACTTAACAAAGTCGGGAATCTAGACAAGTACTATATCGGAGTGTCAGCGGGCTTTGTTGTTATTGTTGTTTGGATTGTTGCTTTCAGGATGCTTTAGGATGGCAAGAATTGAGTAACGTTGAAGAGAGAGAGGGGAAGACGGGGACGATCAGAGCCTTTGTGTCTGTGTATGACAGTCCAAGCAAAGAGCACATGCAAAGCCATCGCAAACCCCGCAGCTGTTTAGGTAACAGGCTCGTCCGGAGAAATATATCCCATCTCCTACGGGCGGCAAAATGAAGACGACGCGGCACCTTGGACACTCCTGGCGTGATTGTACAGTGTACTGCCACACAGCGTGGGGGAACTGGGCAACAATGTTGGTGAAATCGTTCAGTCTATACAGTGTACAAGATGCAATATAGCTGGAGGCACGTGGGGGACCAGACGTGGGGTGGCATGAAGACGACGCCTCAATTGAGATACATGAAGGTCGCAGCAGAGAGATGAGAAATAGAGATGACAGAAGATAGCGAGTGAGATTAACGTAGATATATGCGTGCTAAGTACGCATATATCGTAAGCAAATAGAACGTACCTGTTCCAAAGAAGGGAGAGTACCGAATTGGGAAACAAGAAACAATCTTTAAAACGACAAAAAGAAGAAAACAATTGATGAATCCAGAACAGTGAAACCAGGACAAACAACACGAGGGATGCAGCCTACTTATACACCAACATCCTGATCTGGTGTTGATCACAGTATATCATATTGATATCAACGATAATCAGGGGTGCTCCAAGCAAGCATACACCAGCATTGTACCAACAGACTGGAGCTCCGTTCTAGAAGCACTAGCATAGAGAAACTCGCATATTCTCCATATTTCTTTTTCTGATCTCAGGTTGTCAACATTTTCTGCTCACATGGACATGTTTAGATGCCAGGATTCTCCACATTGTGCTCCGCTCGTGGGGCTGGCCTGTACATAGTAGGTACTAGGTAGAGCCTTCTAAGCCTGGCAGTCCCGGGCTAGACCAGCTTGCGAGAGATTGGGTCGGCACGTGTCCTGTCCTAACAAAAAAGAAAGTGCATCAAGTGACTTGTAAATACTATGTAACTATGTCAGTTAAGAGAAGTAAGCAGATTGGCGGACCGCCTTCCACGGCTTTCCCGTTTCTGGATATTCCGCGGGGTCAACCTTTGTCTTCGGTAAGGGACCTTCTAGACTTTCCATATTAAATACAAGGTACGTAACTACGTACACGATGCTTCAATTGTATAACGTATGAAGACCTCGCGACGAGGCACATCAACAACAATCAAGACAATTGTCTATAAACTTCATACATTATAAGTATTCTAAATACACAATCTTACCGATCGACGGGCTGGGAAGCGCATTATTGGCCGTCCCTGACCCCAACAACCGGGGTAACCGTATCGATACATACACAAATTACACAATTCCTCCCGGCTAAGTTACTACGTAGACTATCACGGCATTCATTCCATGATCTACCGCGTAGAAATACCGGATAACTCATTCGGAGCCTTCCGTTCGTTGCTGCTGAAGAAAAGAATGAGCATTTAGTGCACGGAGGAGGTGGCCGATATGGCCATCGGAGTTGCTCCGCGGCTTCTTTTTAATCTGGCGAGTGGCTTTCCGGCCGAGAGGACATGGAGGGATGACCGATAGAGGTCCGATGGTTTGGTCGCATTCTGCTACGCTGAATGATCAATTGAGTGGATAAGAAACAATGACAATGCCTCTCTCATATCATATTCATGCAATTACTTTGTCGTCAACTGACTCATGTTTACTCGTATCAACGATGCCCAATTGCAATGCAATGCATCCATGTCTATGCCATATAGCTGTACCGATTCCCCTCCTCACGCTCCATGTATTCCTTCTCAATGAGTCTATCAAACGTTAGCATTTCCACATCTCTATTTTCTGTCGAGAGGGACTAAGGGCACGCACTTTTCGATGTTCTTCTTAATCTCCGTCTGCTCCAACACACCACGACTGCGAGTCGCCTTGATTACTTCCACAATCAACTCCGCATGTGTAATCGTCTTGCGACTCTTCATGATACGCACAATCGCCGCTTGCGTCTCGTAGTGTCGGTCCGCCGCCACTCGTTCGTGCGTCGTCTTGTTTTCCTCCTTGGTTTCTTTGAGCTGGATCTGATTGATTTTGATGCGCATCTTGGGGTCTTGGAAGGCGCCGTTGTACGCAAATTCGTCCGTATCGTTGACGTCTTTGCCTTTTGGTTTCTTGGTGAGTACTCGATACTTGGCGCATGCTAATGATTGCAGCGTTCGTTTGAGTTCGCGATCAGCTAGGGTTGTCAGTACTTTTCAGACAGAAGTAGGAACGGCAATAACTTTGGTATGACATACACAACCCTGTGGCTTCTTTGATCTGGTTGTAGCTCAAGGTCTCCCCCTCTGATACGTCATTGAACAACAGCAGCACAATGGCCTGGAACGAGCTGACAACAATCTCCTTGTTGCCCTTATCAAATCGTGACCGGAGCTGGCAATGCGCCAATTGATGCTTCCAACTCAACTTCCGTCCATTGTGTTTGGTATGATAGTATTGTTCAAAGTCCTTGATGGCTCGGGCAATATCCGGTGGAATCCGAACCGGGACGTCTGGATACGTAGGCCATGCAGCAGCCGACAGTACATTGACCGAAAGATCCAGGCTGAATCGGTCACGGCGTTGGGTCTTGTAAGTGTTGTAAGAACTCATCTCATCCCTGGCCAAATCCATATCTCGAAACATGGCCTCTAGATTGTGAGTAAAACTAGAACCGCATTCTACAATCCATTAGTACGAATCCTCCAGCATCGCCATGTACATACCCGTCTTTAGTCGAGATAACATGCTCTTTTCTGCATCATCACTGGCACTTCGACCCATAAGCAATCGCCGAGCGAGATCGTTTTTGTAAAAAGCTTCAAACACCGCCTTTCCATGCACAAATCGAAACAAGTCCAAAACCTTGTCCAACTGCTTGTTGATCTCCGTGTCTTCGTCTGCCAATTCAGCGTCCTCTGCTTGCTTCCCAATCACCTTCAGCCCACCTTTAAGCAAATTATCCACATATTTTGCAATCATTTCTCCAGTCTTGGAATTGTCTGTACCCCAGCTAGACTGCGTTTTCTTGGTCATGTTCATGAAATGCTCGAATGCTTCGCGAAGTGTATGGCCGAGTGCTTCGTCTTTGTGGAAGGCTTCTGCCCATGTATCATCCAGCTGTTGCTTGAAGTTAAGCAGTCGCATTACCATTTCAGACTCCCGCTCAGTATCAAAAACCACTGTCGCTCCTTGCTCTTCAATGTACTTGCTGAACGCCGGTTTCAATCCGTTACCCAGCTTGACGCGTTCCAGCAGTGAGTATACTCGCTCCAAGGCGTGTTTGTTCTCGGTCGTCATCAAACCCTTCAGATCGGACTCTGATAACAGTATATCCTCTTTGTCTCTAACTAAATACTCATCAAAGAGCGCCGACAGACTCTGCTGGGTATTTCGGTTCAATGCATATAGCTCACATCGAGTCAACTCCTGTTCTATAAGGCGGTGACTATTCTCTGCATATGTTCCAATGTACTGGCCCTCTGCTTCCTTATTCGACCATGATTTGAGGAAAGCCTCTGATTCAGAAAGGAAGAGAGGTTCAAAATGACGGGTATAAACACCAAGATCGTGAAACAAGGCAATCGCTTTCCGCAGAAGATCCGAATCAGCCTGCACCTTGTCTCCGATGCTCGTTCTGTCGGCGGCAAACAGATCGCAAGCGCCTTGTAGTATCTTTGGCTTTAGCGCTTCGTCAAGGAAGATATGGGTCTGGAATAGGTTCAATCCCATCTCATTGATGACGGGGTAGTCTTTCGAGTGCAGTAGAAACGACTGATCTAAGTAGTAGAATATCCATCGAATCGTAACCTCGTTCAAGTCAGCGTCACAATATATTCCAGTTGTCGACGATCATCTCTCACCAGCTTTGTATTCCATGCTGCCCACGCATCGACCACGGCCCGTAATGCATCGACGTTAGAGCCATCCTTTGTCCTAGCCACCATATTCTGCCGTAGAGTGTTGACTACATAAGTTTTGCACCGCTCCTGCAGCTTCTTTGCCAACATTGCCGCTCGACCTTGGCGACAAACATTCTCAGCGCCTTTATACAATTCCTCCAGCGAGGTCGCGGGCTTTCCTCCGTCGAATATCGTGTCCAATGCAGTCGATAATCGACTCCAGATACTATCAAAATATTCATCCTGATTCAGCCGTGGCCCCAAGCGAAGATTCTTGACAACCAGTCTTTTGGCACCTGTATGTGGCGTAAAGTTACTCGGCCGCGACACAACAGTAGGCCCGCCAATCTTCCTTGAGAACTTCTCAGCCGCCTTGGGAGACTCCGAACTCGTCGAAAAGTTATACATCTTATCTGCTGAACTCAGGTTCTTGCGACTCGGTCTGCTGGGGGAAATCGACGTTCGAAGGCGTTTCGCTGCTGACGACGACGACGAGTGTGGATTGTTGTTGCTGCTCGAGAAAAGCTCCGAGATATTCCTCTGCTGGAGGTCCTCGTTATGGACGGATTTTCTTTTTCCGACGGTCCCGCGCTTGCTGCTCTGGTGTCCGCTCGGATTTGGATTTTGCTGCATTTACCCTAGCTCGGTATCTCCTGCGGAGATGGAGATGGGTTAGGTATGAAGCAGATAGCGAACCTGCAGCTCAGGGTGGGACATGGAAGCAGTGGCCTCTGTTGTTGAACGGATAATCGAAGACAAAATGGTGCGTGAATCGTAGTCGATTGATGGTGGATGTGGATGGAATGAAGAAAGGAAGGAAGTGAGGGTTTGGATGGATGTAGTGACGGAGATAAGATAGACTAACTGACCGCTGCCCACCCGCCTTTTGATCCTACGTAATCCGGGAGATCAAACATAACAGACACCAGATTGAAGCACGGCACCGGGCATGATTAATATAATATGGAAACGAGAATAATTATTGTGCAATCAGCTCAAGCTCCTCAAGGTATCTCCTTTATCAACAAAATTGCTATCAAATCTACTTTACATCCGCAAGAAATCATCAACTGGCTACTATGCAAAGAAACTCCATCCAATGACTTTTGTTCTCGTGCGATACCCATGTCCCCCAACACCGTCAGATAACCGTGAAAACTCTGATATCTATGAAAAAACTTTTGCTTCTGGATTTTGTTGTAATTCCTGGTCCTCGAACTAAAGCAAACGCGTTAGTGCTTTGAATCAGCGAGACATCGGATAAAAGCATACCTCGACAAAGCCAGCAGCAGTGATCAATGCGACATAGGCTTTGACCAAATTCTGAATCACCTGACGATTATCTGAAGACACTTCGCCTCCAATCTTGGCAGAGCGCTTGAATATGCCAACCATACTCGACCTATTTTCCGCAAGGAAGGCCCGGGTCTGCTCCATAATCTGCTCATTATGGACACCGCGGGAGAAGACGGCCGAAACAATGACCCGCAGCATTGCAGCAAGGAGTTCGTAGTAGTTACGAAGAGCATCCGGATTATCCATGTCTGATCGTGTTAGTTCATGACATGCCTCACAATAAAGCGTGACTAACCTATGCCAATATCTGGATCGGCAGCGAAGAGCCGCGACTCTCGAATAGAAGCAAATAACCCTGTATTCAGTACGAGAGTTGCCCCAATCTTGGTTTGACACAGTTTTTGAAGCAGAGACAACAGTGCGTGGTAGTAAGATATCAACAGCGGAATGTCTAAATGATCGTTAGTCGATTGAAATTGAAATGCAGTAAATGTGCTTGACATACCATGAGCTTGAGCATCTCGAAATTCTGAAGACAACGTTCTGATAGAGTCTAAAAACATGCTCAGATAGTTGGACTGCGAGATGTTTTCCGCCAATAAATGGGAATTCTCCTGAGCATCTAGTTCGGCAAGCAGATTCAAAAGAAGGATAGCCGAGACTTTGCAGGTTTCTTGCCCAGCATAAGCATCGTCGCTGACAGCTTCTATTAGCGAAACACCAGAAGCTTTAACAGCCAGCTGGCATTGACGGCGCAGGTTTTGATGAATCGAGCCAGGTGTCGTCGTAATTCGAGAGATGTAATGAGCACATATATTATAAAATGATTCACGTAGTGAAACATCTCCGATCGCCAAGCAAATCCCTCGAATGCTAATCTGGAACAGTTGATAAAGTTTCTCATCGATTAAATCGCCTCCACGACCTTGATGATTTGCCGATACTGAACTGTCGAGTTTACCAATCAATGTCTCCGCTAATTGCGCCAGCTGAATCGCCTCAGCTACATTCTCAACCATAGCAACTTCAAGTTTCGGCGTGATTAAACTGATTGCTTGAAGGATAAATGTTCTCCTGCGTCCCTCTTCCATATCACAAGATATGACCATCGTTGTCAATAGCTCGCACCACGACCGGATCGCAAGGTACCGGTTGAGATGTATTTGTCTCTCCATATTGATTACACGAAGGAAGGTAAGCAGATGATCGGCTTCAAGCAGAAATTGCTCTTCCTCTTGTGCCCGTACTTGACTACCCCCTGCAATGTCTCTCCTTCTCAGTTTGATAAGCTCCTCAGCTGCATCGAGGTCATAGAGAACAGAACTATCCGGCTGCTCTTTAGCGCAGATATCAAAATCAACCCCAGCAAGGTAGTGCAGTTGAGGAAGTGAAAGACCATGGGATAATTTCATGTCCGCAATATCGAAGAGATCAAAGACTGTGGCGTGAGTCACTGTTTCTCCTTCCTCAACAAGAGACATCCCAAGTAAAGTTGATAGCACATCAAGTTGTAGTGACTGCGAGCCAAGCTTTGAAGCAGCTCTGACCTCAGTAGCTGCATATTCATACAGATGACTTCGATATGCTAAGAATTCACAGAGTCCGGTTGTTGCGGAGGCCGCAATCCAAAACTCTGGTACTGTAGATGGAAAATCGTCCCAGACTGTGTTGGAATTGACAATGGGCTGACTAGCCAACGAAACCATCAAGAAGCGATTCATGCGAAGCTCGGTTAGAACGAAGGCGGATGATAATTTGGACGACCAAAGGTGCTTAAGGACTTCAAAAGCCAAGCGTTTAGCGTGAACTGCCCATGACAAGATGCTTCCATCTATATCAGTAGGGTATGTTTGTACAAAGTTGATGACGGCATTAAGCAATGACATGCCCTTGGCCAGAAGGCCCCCTGAATCCACGTCCAGCGTGTTGCCCACGCAAGAAAATCCGAGCAATAAATGTGCGATATTAGGTCTATCCGTGATCGTCGCAAGACAACTGTTGAGTAAGCCTAATAAATTCTCGCGAATCAAGTAACCAGGCGCGGTATGACCATGATCAAGCTCTCTTGGCTCTGGCTCCATTTGATGAACCAATGGTCGAGAAACAATATCGGCATTTACTTCTGTACTAAGAACCTCCACAATTCGATTTGGTGATTTCCAGGTTATCAAGCCTGTTGCTGTGGATTTGTTGAGCTTTCGGGAGCTTGACAATTTCCGTAGGAGAGACATAGAACTAATAGTGAGTAGTTCATGCCCGGATCCACAATAAAGGCATAAAGCAGGTATGAGATACAGATTGTTCAAAATGCTATCCTCAAAGGAGGCGAGAGCCGAATTAGCGACAGTCACTTTGGTGGTAATTCCTTGGTTTCTCAGCAACGGTCGTACGATATTCAGATAAGTCGACTGAAGATCCAAAACCAAGTTCATGACATCAAGGCTCTTCACCAGTGACTGAACGAGGACCGAGTCAAAGTGGGATTTTGAAACCTCTGCTGAGTCCTGTCTGGCTGATACAAAAAGAGTCTTGAGCACATCCTCGTTGAAGAGCCACTCGAAGACCCGAGCAAACGGATGAAGGCGGATATAGTTGTTAAAATCTGAGGAATTGATGCTTGTTTCCGGGCCGGCTGAGGGTTGGTGTGCGAGGGCCACCAAATCCTCGTTGAATGTTGCCAGACAAGTCGCCATGAAATTAAGGCAGTTCAACGCAAGTAATCTCCCCTGCGCTTCGGTGACATCTGGGACCTTGCGGGCAAAAGCATGGCCTAGGATGAAATCGATGTACGGTTCAATGCCGGGCATTCGGTACGATGCTCCCAATGCCTCTGGAAACGGTAGAGCGAGTTGCTTGTCGGGGAGATCGGAAGTCGGCGTAATCAATGTGTGAACTAGATCGACAAAAGTATTGGTTTGATCAAAACTCTCACCGATCTTCTGAAATGCATGCCTTTCGTGCCACGCGGGCTGGTTTGAAAGAATCGGCGCCTTTGCAAGTCCAGAAGCATTTGCTGCAGCGCCAGAGATCCATTGGTCGAGGGCTAGCCACATATCGTTTCCGTGGCTTGAGGTGCGATCTGTCATTAATGCTTTGAGCGTTTTGAAAGCGCTTGCTCGAAGATGCGTGGGAACCGAGCCACTGCTTAGCGTTAACAGTGTGCTAATCACATTGAAGCTAGGATAATGAAGCATCCATTCTCGGATAGTGCTGCTCTGCTTCGACAGATGGCCGATGAGTTGAAGATAGCAAGTAAGCATTACGGGGCTTTCAGGTTCGTTCATCTCGATATTTTCTACTTTTCGTGTATGCAATATTTGGCTTGATGTTGACGGCTTCTCGGTAACCTTTGTCGCGTAAAGTTGAAGTTCGGCAAACATTTGAACCCAGTTCATTGATGGTGAGCGTCTGAACTTGACTGATGTGTGCTTATCTTCTTCGGAAAGGAACCTATGCGCTGCCACTGCATTATCCTCACCCTCTGATATGGAGCATAGCATTTCACAGAAGGCACTCACGCGTGGGACAGTTTGACGCTTCGAAGCCCATTGAAGAAAGCCGTACAAATTACCATCTGGGTCGGCCCAGAATTCCTGTGCGGGATCATGACGACCTTCGAAAGCAAATGCCATGATCACCAAGAAAGTTTCAAGATGGGTACGAGCTTCCAAGACGCCGCGGTGTAAACTCGAGCTGAGCCCATCCCGGAGTGCAGTAATTTGGTCAAGACGCTGGGCATCTTCATCTGTTTTCAACATTCGGACAGCATTTGGCATATTGGCAATGCATGACTCGGTGAACGTATCAAAGTGTTCCATAACAAGAGGTTTCACAAATTGTGAAATTGAGTCAGTCTCGAACACAGAGGCCTGACTGTCCTTCAACAACAGGCTCACTAGTTCATTTCGAGCCGGATGCCTCCATCCGTCAGTTTCAATACTAGCACAAATGGCTAGCATGAACTCGAGAGCACCGTCATCTAAGCACACTTTGAATAAAGCAGTGCGTTCTTCTGCTTCTTTATCGAAATCGACGCCTTGCAATGGCGATGCCGGACCTGAATCAAAGTACCACCCACTGTAAACCGTCAACCACCACGAGATGACAGCAGCGCGAAACGGAGCCAGAATCCATGCGTTGTTATCTTTCGTAGATGTAATGGCTGTATGAAGGCTTCGAGCCTCTCGTTGCGTACCCGATCCGCTTGGAGAACCATATTGCACAAGTGCGGCGATTATCGCGGGAACGTAATGCACTAGAAGCATATCGACCCGCTCAATCTTTCGCATGCGATCCAAAAGGAAGCGAAGGTCTTCCGATGACGTGAATGTTCCTTTAAAGAGGTAGCAGAGTGTGGCACCCAAAGATTCGTGTTGCTGCATCAAGCTCGTGCGTTGGTGTTCGAAGGCCTCTGTAATATCTGCATCCTCGGCCTGACCGACAATAGAGATCTTTTGTATCTGATCGGAAATGAGCGCCAGCCATTTCTCGATATCTTCCATTGACGCAAGACACTTCCGAGCGAAAAGAGACGCGTTGCGAAATGTTCCTTCCTTTGTCTGTAGAATATGAGCGACCGTATTTTGCATAAGCTCCTGTATTTCCTCTCGCTCGACATCGAAGGATTCTTGGAAAATTAGACGCAAGCATTCGAGCAAAAATTGTCGCCGTTGGTGAAATCGCATAATGGCCGCGATCAGCGGCGTTCTATCAAGCTGTTGCGCGCCTTCCTGCGCCTCCATAAACAGCGCGGCTGCTTCGACTTCGTCCACGTTTAATGCATCGGCAAGCTGCAAAGTACCTTGCTGGAAATCGGTGTTGATCGCATATTCGACGTCGTCGATTGTCAATTTGCCTGGCGAGGATGACAGTAAATTAGCATGTAATCACAACATGACTACAGAATTTGAAAACCTGGAAAGAGTGGCCTCACCTGTAAGCACTGATTTTCGACTATTGTCATTCTTTGATGGCTTATCCAGAAGGGTGCGAAAGTCTTTCAGGTGAGTTTCTAACTCAACGCAGAGACGGTCAATGTTGACGATTGAAGACTCTGTAATACCTGAGAGGTCTTGATACAGGCCGCGCAGGCCGCCCAGGGAATCGACGCCATCCATATCCCAGGAAGAATTCCGAGACAAGGAACTGGACGACGGAGAGGCGAAAAGGTGAGCCTAGCTGGCTGGTCGGGCTTGGGGTAAGCTGTTTGGTGGTATTTATTGAAGGTGAAGTTGTTGGTAGTAACGATTTACCGTAGTTGACGCGGGCAAAAAGTGTTCCCGGTAGGCTACTGGGTGGAGAAGAAGCTGGCCCAAGCTCTGTGGTGGGTGTGGACCTTCCCTTTGTGGCTCAGGCACCATATCTCTTCTTAATCTCAAGCTCCAATAAAATTTCAAGGTCCTTTTCGCAGTTTTCATAACTATAAGTAACTGTAGGGTCAACCAGTTACATACACAATCTTTTACAGCAAGTTATAACTGGGCGGAGCGGAGCGAGGCACGTCTATCGTCTGATATCTCTCTACTGTGAGACGGTCTTCAGATTGCTATAATCCCCAATCAGCTTACCTACATAAGCATACGATACCCCTCCCAGATACTTATGATGGGAGAGGAGAATGGCAGACTCGACTCTGAGTGAGACCGTCGCACGTCTCGCCTCTGACAAGCAAAGGGACCGTACAGAGGCTTTGAACGATTTGCGACGAATCTTGAATAAAAAGAGGCAGACTCTTGACACCCTCAATGACAAGGCGTACCATAAGATTCTGGAGGCGCTCTTTCGGTGTGTTGCTCTCGAGAAATCAGCCCACAGTCGTTCCAGGGGCGCTTCAGCACCACGCCTTGCATTATGTGCTTCAGCTTTTCGAACTACTGTGGAGGTCTCCGTTGCAGTGTTACGAACGAAAACAGTACATGCAATTATCGATCATATTGTCCAAACTTTGATACAACCAGGCGGGCTCTGGGACCTTATTGCGATTGACTATATCAAAAGCCTTAGGTTGTTATTCGAATACCAAGCACATGTGGAGCACCTTACAGGAGGTGATTGGGCTGACGCAATCAGCTTTTGTCTATCATGCCTGAGCTATAATGGAGACGAAGCAGCGCATCTCAGCATTCGTACCAGCCACCGGTCTCTATCTGAGGCTATAGCAGATGATGAGGGTGACCGGAGGACGCCCGCTCGAAATGCCCCATTATCCAGCTCGCAAAAGAACAGAGGTATAGCAGACGAAGCTGTTGTTTGCATTCAACTGCTTACTTCCACCCCAACTGCTCCCCTGCATGATCGTGTTAGACAGCTTATGAGCGCACTCTTGATATACCTCTCCTCTGCGATGCCTGCAAACGCGGGCCAAGCCCTGAAGGCCATCAACAACCTCCTCGAAAGAGTGATATGTGATCAATGCGCTTTAGTCAAGGACTTTATTCCGGATATCATACCTGTTATTCGGCGTCTCTGGTCGGCAAAGTCACCAGCTGTGAAAGATGAAGTCCTAGTCACAATGATACTTTGCATGGATCTCTTGCGCAATAGCCCACAATCGTTGTTCCCCCAGGCTTCACTTCAGCCTCTTGAAGATCTGCTAGAGACTCTAGAAACCGAATATACCAGGCGTCCAGAGAAAGAACAGATCCAGATTGAGGATCTGGTTTTTTACCAAAATGATCTTAGCTCCCAGCACTTGTATCTCTTCGGACCTCGTCTCGGCAGCTCTCGGTCAGAGCATAACTGGACTTTGATTTGGACGATATCATCCCTGATCGGTATTCTGGACAAGGCATCAGGTCATAACTCTAGTTCCGCAGAGAATGAGCTTGCATCAAATAAAAGACCCCGTTTGTCATCACGAACGGATGATGTCTCACGGGAGTGCTTCACGTCAACTGGACCTAGAAAAGGATACTGCTTGCAGTTGCTATCATTCCTAGGAGGACGAATGTCTGTTGAGGAAAAGGCTACCCTTTTGAGTCGCTTGGCCGCTAGCATTGTGGATGACAATCCGTCGACATCAAACTGGACCTTACTAGTTATATCCAAGTAAGTGGCCCATGCAATGGGATGATACAAAGGCACACTATAACTAATTATACTAGTATCGCCATTGCTAGTTCCTCAAAGTCTCAGCTGCTGAAACCTTTTTGGAGACAGATTTGGGACCTGTCATTTCGAGCATGCGCCTTCCAAGTGAATACGAGGGCGGCGTGCGCTCTACTAGAGACTATAGTACGCTTGGAACTTGTCGACTTTGCAGGTTTAACAGATAACATACGGTCGATGCTATCAAGCATGGAACTCAACGGCCCCTCAGCCTTATGTGACACTTCTTTGAAGCTTTTAACCACTTTATTCGACAAAAGACTACATACAGCAGCTGGCATTGGTGTAGATTCTGTGAAAGGTGTCTGCAATTGGCTGCGAAGTACTTGGACTTTTGGTAATCTTCTATCTCTAGATATGTTCATTGGAAATTCAACACACTAATCACAAAGCACTAGGCGCCGGAGTGGATAAGTTGCAAATGGCACAGGTCGCCTTATTCGCTTCCCCGGCAAATTTCCTCGTTCTACTACTGACCCTTACCAACAGGCCAGCACCACTTTGCCATGCAGAGTATCAAGGTACAACAGCCACTATTTCCAGCGCTTGGTTTCGTCAGCGCGAAAAAAGTACTCTTAAGGAGTACCTCTTCTCATTTGACAACGAAATTACTCAGGACCTTTGGTGCGTTGAGGAAACGATCTTGTCCATAGAGCCTTCAGTCAGAAGCGACCCAAATGACCATTTCGTGATAGAGTTACTGCAGACAAAGATGGACACCTTCTCACAAGCGTGGAAAATAATGTTTGAAGAGAAATCACAACATCTTACAGCAGATGTATTCAAGATCATGGTCTCTGCATGTATCGTTGTTGCATTGTTCATTGAGTCACTTCCCCAATCCGATAACACTCGCGCGGCAGACCTACGCAGAACTAATCTCGGCTTTTGGACCAACATCTGTGACTACATTGCCTCGAGGGATGATCTCATGCAGGCATGTCTGAGCATTTTGTCACCCGTGGTTGCATCTGCCCCGATTATACTGGATGGTGTAATTCCTATTTCCAGGGCTTTGTTTGATCTGGCCTCCCCTCTTGTTGTCAAGCTGAAAAGCCGCGAATCAACTCAGAACGACATCTTTTTGGATGATCCTGATGCCATGGACTTTGATGGGATCTCCTCGCCTCCGCCGGACGAACTAGCACGGGGTATAATCCTACAGAATAACCGGCACAATGTCAATGCATTTCCAGATTCAAATACCTTCCAAAGGTGTCTATCAATACGATTAGATATTTTTCTTTCTGGTAACGACACATCTGATGCCGACCTTTTTACTCAATCATCGCTAGTAAAGTCCTTGAAAGCCTTGGATGATGTGGATGTCTTGTCAACCCGCAATTTTCTACCCCATCTTTTCCAACAGTCCAACCGTTTTTCCCGTAACGATATCTTGGAATTAGTGGAGCATTTCGGAGAAACCTGTTTGCAGGGGTATCAATTAGAGCGATGTGAAAGCGCGCAATGCTTCTCTATTTCTATGATGGAGTGTTTCGTTGACTCGTGGATTAGAAACGAAGATGACGACCTTAGCACCTCTGCTGCTGACCTGTACGGTTGGTTCATACAGGTTTTTCTACAAAAGAGAAAAGGGTCGTCTCATGTTCTGATTGCTCTTTCTCGGCTTTTGGAGAGAATTATCAGTTTGAATCCTACTTTCAGCGTGGATGGCTCTGCATCACCGCGGACAAGCTTATTCAGCATTCTTCGTGATGGTGATACTGTCGTGAAATTCACAATTGCAAGCTGTATCTCGAACATTTTCAGTCGTTTTCTGCTCGAAGACCACGAAAAAATTTTTGATGATGTTGTGGAGAGCTTGCCAACTGACCCAGATTGGAACGAAGGCATCGCCTTGCGGCTCTACATTCTTGGACAATTAGCTTCTCGATGGTCAACCCTTCTTCGTCGAAGTATTTACCACATCTTTGAGACTCCGGCTCAAGTACCCGAATCGACTCGATACGCTGAGAAGTGTCTATTAGAAGTATCACGTTCGTTGAGACTTGAAGAGCCCAAGGACATTTTTCGACTTTTCATGCCTCAAATTCTCTACACTTGGACTGAAACACAACCCATTAAATCAATGCCTTTTAGTATTTTCCGTTACTCAAGTCTTAAGGAGATGCTACAGGACGCACAGGATGAGCTGGTCGGGCAGATTATGATGAGGGCTAGTGAACAGGATGCCGAGGAGGTAGCAATCTATCTCGAAAGGCCTTTCACTATACTATTACAGGAATCGTTCTACAAGGCCGAAGCATACACTGTGGCCCGCGATATCAGTCTACCGCCCTCTCAGGACAGTCAGCCGAAAGGGGTGGAAAGTCGTGTGAAAAAGACATTAGGTACAGACCAATTTGCACGGTCAATCGAGAACAAGTTTCCCGAAGTTGTTAGCGCTCTCTTCAAATCTCTTTCCCAGGAGGAACAGATCGAGCGGGCATTTTCGAAACGACCTGAGTTTAGCTATGCTTCTAAGATTCTCAATCGCATCACAGAGAAGAGCGCCTCTACCACCCTTCTGCCAGGCAATCAACAACCATCATTCAGAGCTCGTTATCTACTTGATGAGCTTGAGTATCTTTGCAAACGAGCTGGATACGACCTCAAAACTATGTGGACACCGACATTAGTATCATTCGTATGTCGAACACTTCTTGACTCTATGGATCCTGCCCTTGGCTCTTTGCATGCTTGCGCGGCATTGAGAAAGATTCGTATTTTGGTCTGCATTTCTGGGTCGATTATATGCCAAGACTATCCTTTAGAGCAGCTTCTGTTTTCATTACGACCCTATCTGACGGACTTTCACTGCTCCGAAGACGCCCTGGGTCTATTTTGGTATCTTCTTGAAGAGGGCAAATCATATCTTACTCATCAGCCGGGCTTCCTCGCAGGCATCGCAGTGTCAACACTCGTCTCGCTTAGAAAGTTTCTCCAATCGAGTCCGGAAAGCACTACCCAGGACAGTCAATTCAATGCAGTCATATCCAGGTCCCAAGCCTTCCGGGAGTGGTTCGGTAAATTCTTAGAGGATTACCGCCCATCAGATCTGGATCAATCTACAAAAGACTTATTTCATCGGATGGTAACATCGTCGAAGCAGATAAGTAATGCGGGAAACTCCGAAAAAGGGACATATGAGAGCGAACTTCTGCTTGACCTACTTCAGGACAGAACTTCTCGCAAGAGTCTCCTTAGTAAATCAGTTTCCGATATTATTCTTTCACTACTTTGCGTTGATTTTAAGATATCCTCTGACATATTTAATGACGTTCTCGGTGATGACGATGACTCTTCAAACTACAATGTTGCCGTCTGGCAGAGCATACAAAGCGGTGTTACTGATACAGGATATCGGCTCTGGGCTGCTCGAGTGCTAGGGCGAGCATTTGCAGCAACTGGACAAGTCAGCGAGGAATTGCTTCGAGAACAAAATTTGGAAGCAATTCCATCGCAGTCACAGCATCTAAAACATACCGAGCCTTTCCTTGTGTCAAAGGCTGCTATCCTACAGGTGCTCTGTGAAGCTCTCTCCAATAGTGACCGAGCCAATATAGGGCTTGTGGAACAAACCCTGCAACTTGTCATGAGTAAGATTTCAAATTTTCCCAATCTTGAACAATGTGAAAGCATAGTGCCGCAACCTCTCATGAAGGCTCTTATTTGGGAACCGTATGATTGCCCGGGGATTCGAGCTCGCATCCCCGCGACCAAAGTCGACAATTTGTGGCCAACACTGGATCCTGAATCACCAATGACTTCGACTCAGTGGGCAAGAGACTTGGCATTAGCTCTGGTGACTTCTGCTGAGAATGACCCTGTTATTGGGCCTCTAAGGGATGTTCTCTATGTCATTCCGGATTTATCGGTGCGTCTCTTGCAGTTCGTTCTACACGATGTACTTATCTTGGAGAGCGAGAAAGACCAAGTTTGTCGAGAAATGGTCTCGAAAATTTTCAACGACGTTCTTCGGTCAACGGCCGAAACAACCATTGCCCATGCTCAAATTGTCTTGCATGCAATTTTGTACCTTCGTCAGCAGCAGAGACCCCAAGAGTCGACGATTGTGGAACGAGATGAGTGGCTGGCAATCGATTACGCCTTGGCAGCATCCGCAGCAGTCAAATGTAGGATGTACAAGAGCGCTCTCTTGTTCATCGAAATCCAAGCGTCTAAATCTGTCGGCACTAGTCGGCGATCTTCCATCAAATATCTCCCTCCCACAGATCTGCTTCATGACATCTACAGGAAAATCGGAGATCCCGATCTTTTTTACGGGATACAGCAAGATGCCACATTGACATCGGTTTTAGAGAAGCTCGACTATGAGTCTGTGGGCTTCAAGAACTTGGTTTTTCAAAGCGCTCACTATGACAGTGACTTGCGACTCGATGGCAAGGGGAATACGCATGGACTGTTCAAAGCTCTTAACGCAACCAATCTTCATGGTGTTGCTAATGCCATGCTTTCTGTCCCTAACAATACAGAAGGAGGATCTATAGATTCTGACCATTTGTTGTCAACCGCTATCAGCTTACAGCAATGGGATATTCCTGCGTTGCCATCACAAGGATCAGCAATGACTGTTTTGTTCAAAGCTTTTCAGAACTTGAACACCGTGGATACAATGAAAGATGTTCTAAAGTTCAACGACAATTGCTTTTTGGACATTCTCGGACAAGCTCAAGACACAAATCGTTCCGTGACAGCACTGCGCGATTCAATGCGAGCTCTCGGCCTCTTGACAGAAGTAGATGATGTCTTGCGCTCAAAATCATCGGCACAGGTAGAAGAATTGTGGGATAGAATCACATTAAGGACCTCTTGGTTCCAAGCTGAGAAGTATTTTGAGCCCTTCAAGTCCCTCAGTTTGCTGAAAACTAATGTTAATCTAGCTTCGAAGATATTGCGCACATTCTTTTCTGCCGTGGATCCCTCTTCTCTTCTATTAACAAGAGACCCTATCTGAAGTCGGCAATGAAATTAACTTCACGAACATCACAACTTCTCGAAGTAAAAGCCCTTCGGGAATCTTTCAAGATTAGCAGGGATTTAGAAGGCTCCCAAGAAGCGTTGACGTCTGCAATTTCGTTGTCAAAATTGGTACAACCATGCACCGCACTTGGATTGAGTATAGATAATGCAGCCAAGTATGACATGGCAAATGTCCTCTGGGATCAGGGGGAAATGACTACATCAATCCGCATGCTACAACAGTTGAACGAACAGGGCGACTTACAGAAACAGGCACTGGTAGTTAGTCGAGCAGAAGTCCTTGCAAGTTTGGTGTGTCTTCTTTCCCTTTCCCTTTTTTACAACTTCACACTTTAATACTTCTTCTAGGGGCACCACGTAGCAGCAGCGCGCTTAGAAAAGCCTGATGCAATTATTCAGGAGTATCTAGTTCCCGCAGTAAAGGAGCTTCGGGGCAATGCCGAAGGTGAAGAAGCCGGTGGCGTCTACCATCGTTTTGCATTGTTCTGTGACCAGCAACTTTTGAACCAAGATAGCTTAGAAGACTTCCAGCGTATTGAGCAGCTCCGTGACCGCAAAGAGCAAGAAGTCCTTGCGCTCAAACAAATGATGTCGGTAGCTGAGGGCAAAGAAAAGAACCAGTTGAAGATGCATTATACCAAGGCAAAAGTTTGGTTCGACTTGGATGACCGTGAGTATCAGAGACTGAACAGCAGCCGCGAAGCTTTTTTGCAACAGTGTCTTGAGAATTACCTACTCTCGCTCAAAGCATGCGACAATTATAAGAACGACGCATTGAGATTTTGCGCTCTTTGGCTCGATAAGTCGGGCGATCCGAAAGCCAATGAATCTGTCAGCAGATACCTCAGCATGGTTCCAACTCGAAAGTTTGCTCCATTGATCAATCAACTGTCTTCTCGTCTCCTGGATGAATCCAACTCATTTCAAACACTCTTATCTCGACTTGTTTTTCGTATATGTGTTGATCATCCATTCCACGGCATGTATCAAATATTCGCTCACAGCAAGACACGAGGCAACCGAGACCAGGCGGCACTATCTCGTTTCCAAGCCGCGACCAATGTTGTCGATAAGTTGATGAATGACAGACATGCCAGCTCAACATGGATGTCCTTACACAACAATAATATCTGCTATGTGAGATTTGCCACGGAGAAATTGGACGACAAAATCAAGAGCGGTGCAAAGGTGCCTCTCAGGAAGTCTCCTACAGGTTTGAAACTGGAGCAAGATGTCAGCAATCAGAAGCTTCCGCCGCATAGCATGAAAATCGAACTGCGAGTGGATTGCAACTACAGCGATGTACCAAAGGTAGTCAAATTTCACCCTGAATTTGCCGTGGCCTCTGGTATCAGCGCGCCGAAGATTGTGACTGTTATTGCTAGTAATGGATTGCGCTACAAAATGCTGGTAAGTCGCTTCTTTGCATGGGCCTCGCGATATCATAGTTGACAAATCCGGTGTATAGGTTAAAGGAGGCAACGATGACCTGCGTCAGGACGCTATTATGGAACAAGTCTTTGAACAAGTCAGCAACGTGCTACGAGATCATCGATCAACCAGACAGCGCAATCTGCATATCCGGACATATAAAGTGCTGCCACTCACTTCCAATGCAGGGATCATTGAATTCGTTCAAAACACCATCCCACTCCATGATTACTTGCTGCCAGCACATGCGAAGTATTATCCCAAGGACATGAAACCTAGCGCATGCCGCAAGCATATCAGTGACGTGCAGACTCGGACTCTTGACCAACGAGTGAGAACCTACCGCCAAGTAACAGATCACTTTCATCCGGTTATGCGGTTTTTCTTCATGGAAAAGTTCAACAACCCAGACGATTGGTTCAGCAAACGGTTAGCGTATACCCGCAGTACGGCCGCAATTTCGATACTAGGGCATGTACTTGGTCTTGGTGATCGCCATGGGCACAATATCCTCCTGGACGAGACAACTGGCGAAGTTGTTCATATCGATCTGGGAGTCGCCTTCGAACAAGGCCGAGTTCTGCCCGTGCCTGAGGTGGTTCCCTTCCGGTTGACGCGCGATCTCGTTGACGGAATGGGTATTACCAAAACCGAAGGGGTCTTCCGCCGATGCTGTGAATTCACTCTAGAGGCCCTCCGTCGCGAATCATATAGTATAATGACAATCCTTGACGTATTGCGTTATGATCCATTATACATGTGGACTGTTTCGCCACTACGAATGAGACGAATGCAAGACGAGCAAGACGTGGAAGAGCCTCCGTCAGTCCTCTCCAGTAGCGCTGAGAGGGCCAAGGTCAACACTAGGAATCCGAAGGAGCCCAGCGAAGCAGACAGGGCATTGACGGTTGTCGCTAAGAAGTTGAGCAAAACACTCAGTGTTACGGCGACGGTAAATGAGCTCATACAACAAGCTACGGATGAGCGTAATCTAGCCGTTTTGTATTGCGGTATGTCTTATCTGATTTTTTTACCATAAGATGTTTGTCGGCAACTAACTCGATCTTTAGGATGGGCTGCCTACGCCTAATGTTGCTGGTACAATATCACGTCTTTGGTGGACACAAACTAGTCAGCGGGACAATATACATCTCAAAAATACATTATACATAGATAGACACCTTATGTACATATCATCAAGTCCTTAGTCCACATGTCTGAACATTTCGGAAATTTATTACACGGACATACTACCCCTACACCCAAGCATACAAACCTAAATCGACTGATATAGGCTAAATTCTCCGAGTCATTTCTGCCTCTGTGTACAGTGCACCATGACATAAAAAGCATAAAATCTCGTCAAGCACTTTACAGATATCAATGGCTGTCTTCAATTGACCCGGCTAAAGGTCATGATCTTTAGGGAAGAAAAGTGGACGCATGCCTATTCAGGAAAGTGGACGTGTAAGATTTTCCATAGTTTCGCTACGTCCACTTCAGTCACTCCCCGCAAAGCACGACTACCAAGGCTCTTTCTTACCCCGGAACAAACGAGCGTCTGGGAGTCATGTTTAGCATTGTATATATAACTAACTATGGAGCCAGCTGAGCGGCCTTCATGATGGCACAGCTAATCAATTTACCTACTTTCACCCATTCACAATTTTTTAATCTCCTATTGAAATTTATCATTCACCGTTTCTTAATCGACAATGCCGCCTCACACAACAGAAGACGATGCGGTCAAGCAGGACATCAAGTACCTCGAAAACCTCTCTTCAGGGCCCGACGCCCAGGAACTTCAGCCTCTGGGTCAGGCAATGTGGGAATCCCGCAAAATACTCATGTACTCCTTATGTTGCTGTATTGGATCAATGCTGTGGGGATTTGACATCGGTGAGTAAATTGTGCCTGGTCTGTCAAAGTCAGTATGCTAATTTACGGTCAAAGGTGTGAATACCATATCAATTGCTCTCCCTGCGTTCAAAATGACGTTCGGATATGTGTACCAAGGAGAATTGGTCATTGATGCAACATGGAACGCTCTCTGGGGAGCCATGACATCCGTCGGTATGATTTTTGGGGGCGTGATTTGTGGCCAGTTGTCCGATCTCTGGGGAAGGAAAATGAGCATTTTTCTGGGAGCGGCGCTCTCGATGGTTGGTGTTGGAGTGGAATACACTGCGGCGACTGTGGGCGTGCTTCTCGCTGGAAAAATCGTAAGTTTTGAACTATTTATCCCTGCTCATACCTTGTGGGTGCTTCTCTCTGACAAACGACTCATGCAGATCAATGGCTTCGCGATGGGCTTCTTTCTCAGCATTGGTCCGATCTATGTCTCGGAAGTCTCACCGATCAGAATCAGATCTGCCCTGATTGCGACCATCAGCTTCTTCATCTCAGCAGGTCAAATGACCGCCATCGCCATCGGAAACACACGATATGCAATTATAAGCCCATCCGCGTACAAAGTTCTCTTTGCAGCACAGTGGGCTTTCCCGGAGCGGTCATGTTGTTTTTGATTGTTCTTCCTGAGAGTCCACGATATCTAGTTCGCAGGAATAAGATCGAGGCGGCTGAAAAGAGTCTGCAGGCTCTTCACACTTCAAGCTATGATATCCCACTTGCATTGGCGTCTCTTCGTCAGGAGGTCATTGCTGAGGAAGACTCTAATGCCGAACAGGCTGGACAATCATATCTGGACTGTTTCCGGGGAACGAACTGGCGCCGCACTCGCATTGCGTGCGGCATGTTCCTTATTCAACAGTTCAGTGGCATTGCGTTCTATTCCCAATCTCTATATTTTCTCGGCATCAGTGGCTTCAGCATAGCGCTCTCTTTCCAGCTAGCCCTAGGAGGATTTGGAGCCGGTCTCTTGGGCAATGTTCTCGCCTGGATCGCAATGGGATATACCGGTCGTCGGTCAATGCTATTCAACGGGACACTGATTAACCTAGCAGTCCTCCTCTCAGTCGGTTTCGCGGGCATATTCAGCAACGACCACAAATCTGCAATGCTGTACATTGCCATTGTAGTCAATTTTATCCAGCTAATTTACGCATCTACCATTGGCGCAGTCTCCTGGAGCCTCAGCGGCGAGATGAGCTCTACAGCACTGAGAGCAAAAACGCAGGGTCTCTGCACGTTGACCAATGCCGCTGCCAATTGGGTCTTTAGTTTTGTCACTCCGTATTTGATTAATACTGACCAGGCCAATCTCGGCGGCAAGGCGGCTTTCTTCTGGGCTGGATTAACGGCAATTAGTGCACTCTGGGTATGGTTTGAGGTGCCTGAAATCAAGGACTTGTCTTTTGCTGAGTTGGACCTTGCGTTCAACAGCAAGACGCCCACTCGTCGTTTTCCTAAGGCTGGGGGAGAGCAGCGCCAGTCAGCTTAATCATTCTATTAGGGGGACCCGAAATATGATCCGCAATTGAGAAGGGTAGTTTTGTCAGATAGATGGGTGGTCTACGAAACCGCTCTAGAAAGCATGGTCAGAATGTTAAGTTATCCTTTGAACCATGTTCAGGCTATTAAACGGATAATCTTCTGGGACAAAGCAGCTAGATTATATTTTCTGAAATAGCGCGGAATAATGTATTTAACCAGTGGACATCATAATAGCACATTTTCTTTGCTTTAAACCTATCTAACATGATGGTCTCATCCGTCCACATCCCCATACTAGTGGACAACATCCCGGCTGTTCTGCGGCGTCCACCTTCATGTTGGGGTAGTGGAGTCAAATGGGTAAACGAAATTCATTAAACTGACATTTTAATCTTCTGGTAAATCGATATATCAATCAAGTTAGCCAACCTTGAAAAGTGAGAACCGTCCTAAACTAACCTCCCACACAACTGCATATCAACACAACCATGACCACCACCTACACAAATCCCATCCTCCCCGGCTTCAACCCAGATCCCTCCATCTGCCGAGTTGGGAGCGACTACTTCCTCGTAACCTCGACATTCGAATACTTTCCCGGACTCCCCATCTACCATAGCAAAGATCTGCTGAACTGGACTCTCATTGGCCATGTTCTCACACGAAGGTCACAGCTCGATATGAGAACGACGGAGCCATCGGGTGGGATTTGGGCGCCGACGATTCGATACCATAAGGGGACATTCTATGTTTCGACGGGCTGCACGCAGAGGTTCAGGCCGAAGGAATGGGTAACTTTTTACAGTTTGCTAATAAGGGGGATATCACGATGCTGATTGAAGCTAGGACATTGTTATCCCTCGCGGCTTTTATGTAACTACAACGGACATCTGGACTGTGGGTTCATGGTCTGATCCGATCCACTTTGACGTCCCAGGCATCGACCAGGATGTTAGTCCATTGACTCCCCTTCCTTTCACAAAAAAGAAGCTATGCTGACGAGCATACAAAGCTCTTCTTCGACGACGACGGCAAAGTCTACTTCTCAGCCGTAAACCAAATTACCGACCCTTCCATCACCAAACACGCTCTTGGTCTCGCCACATTCACAGCAGAAATCGACATCAAGACAGGCCGTTGTTTGTCAGCCGCTAAATGGAACTGCATCTCAGATTTCGGTATTGGTATCGCTGAGGGACCACACATCTTCAAGCATGGCGGGKATTATTACCTCAGCACTGCGGAGGGCGGCACAGATGAAGGACATCAGCAATGGATTCGAAGGAGTAAAGTTGGCCCTTACGGGCTGTGGGAAAAAGGACCCCAAGACACTATCAATCCGGTTATTTACAACGGTGATGATGCTCAAGTACGGAATACGGGTCATTTAGATTTTATCGAGCGCGAGGATGGAAGTTGGTTTGCGGTTTTTCTGGGCGTGAGACCGCAGGGGGAAGATTCGAGTCTTCTTTCGTCTATAGGGAGAGAGACGTTTTTGGCACCTGTTGAGTGGGTGGATGGGTGGCCGATAGTCAATAGTCGGAAAAGAATCGGTTTGCAGATGCCGATGGATGGTTTACAGTCGGAGCAGAGGCTTGTGAGATCGTGGCGCGATGATTTTCAATCTACTCAACTCCAGCTTGGTTGGTATCATTTACGAACACCGTTGAAAAAAGAGTACTCCCTGGAAGATAACCCCGCCTCGTTGAGCCTATACGGAGGCGCTTATCGAATCTTTGACTCAGAATGTCCGTCTATGCTATTGAGAAAACAGACGCAGTTCTCAGTGGATTGGCGTGTTGGTCTCAGGTTCTCTCCAGAGAACATCAATGAAGAAGCTGGGACGGCGATATGGTGGTCTCAGTATGCGTATGCTTCGATTGGGATTCGGAGAGGAAAAAGTGGTTTTGAGATCGCATTTCGTGGTTATGATGAACATTCGGATGATTTTCAGGTAAGGGCATCACCCTTTGACCCCTAGGCTGAATCATGAAGCATCATGCTAATCTTGTAAAAGGAGAACACTTCCACAATCTTTCAATCTGTTGAAGAAATTCAGCTCTTAATCCGAGCTCGCCCGACAAAATACGAGCTCCTCTTCTCACTTACTTCATCCACCGATGCCAGCACAGGAAATGAATATACAAAATTAGGCGAAATCACCAGCTCCGCCTTGACAGTGCGACGATCCGGCAAAGAGTCTCCCAATACTGGATCTCATTTTGCCATTTATGCTCAAGGAGGGTTTGGGAAGCCGTGTCTCAAGCCTGCTGTTTTTACGTTTGCGGAGTGGAAGTGTGTTGAATGATCTAGAAAGTCTGGGCGTGAGATATCTGAATAGAACAAGATACTACGAGTATATATAGAGAGGGGTTACGCAAAGTGATATACTTATGAAATGCTATCGTAGTCGAATGATCAAAGAATGGATATTAAGTGCATGTAGCAAATCTATATGGTTCTAACCCAAACCATTCCCCCGAAGAGATACACATAATCAAAACGCTAAAACCATCCAAGACAAAGATAGCTGCCAATAACAAGGCACTTCGTAAACAGATCAGAAGATCCTGTTGTTAAACGACAAACGAGTTTATTTCTGGCTCTTATCCAAATTCATGACCAGGTCATGCAACCTACCATTCCTAACAGCTAGGTAAATCTCACTCACCAGTGAGCCGAGATTCTTGTCAGGTCCCAGGTCCCTATCACCATTCATCAAACTGGGATCATGTATGGTTGGATGATCAGCAAGACCGCGATGGAAAGGAACCTTGAGCTCTTTGCGGACAAAGTGGTATAACTTTGCAGATGCTGGGCTTATGTGGGAAGCGGTGGTCTGGTGGTTGAAAAAAACCTCACGAGTGGTACTGTAAGTCGACCCCAAAGTCTCGGCTGCTGCTTGATGATATCTCTCGATATCACCCAGGATGTCTGGTTTTCTGCGCAATTCTGAAAAATCTGAAATACAGGCAGATGTCAAGTCTGCCAGTGACTCCTTTATTGTAGCTTTACAGCGGGATTCGAGATCAAGATGCGACAGATTCAACCACTTTTCTAGGAGAAACTTCAGAGTTCGATTAGAGAACTCGTTGAAAGACTCTTCAATCATGCTTGAGCCGAAATATTTGTGTAGGAGCCCGGTAATTTTAGGTCGCGCAACTTTGACGAATTCAAGATGGAGACACCGCAAGTCAAGTGCTTGACACAATATGTAAATATACGTTGCTGTCATCATAGACACAATTTCCACTGCCTCCAGAGTGTAACGTGCTGCTATCAAAGCGAGCGAGTTGACGGCTTGGTTGTGCATTTCCGCAGACTGTACATGGGAGCTGACCGAGTGAGCAAGGTAGGCAAGTTCGGACATGTATGCAGCCATATTGATATCAAGCCCTTTGCAGGTGTAGGACACGCTCGGATCGTCAGCGCAAAGATTCGGGGGAAGGCCCCTATTCATCTGGCTGTTGACGAGCTCCGTGCATTGGGCGAACAGTAGTTTACCAATCATCTGCAGGGACGAACGAGTTTTCTCCATTGAAGAGGTAATACACACAGCTTGGAAATTTCCTCCATGATGTACCAAGCCATTCTTTGCATCGATAAGTGGGTTGTCAGTCGTTGAATTGACTTCGGCTTGGACTTGACGATGTGCCAGGGTGAGGTCTTCCAGTTGAGGTCCAATCCATTGAGGGGCGGTGCGAAGAGAATAGCGGTCTTGAGCAAGGCCAATTGTCTCGGGATGTTTGCCAGGCGCAAGACTGGAACCTGAGATGTAGGCACTAATATTTGCAGCAGCCTCAATCTGACCCACATGCGGGCGAGTCTCGGAGATAAATGGATGATAATTATGAGCAGTACCAAGCATAGCCTCTGTGCCGGTAGCGGTGAGTAGCTGAGCCAGGACAGCGAGTTGCTGTGCTTCATAAATGGCGAGACAACCTGCTGCGCAACTAGTAGCTGTGCCATTGACCATACCTAGACCTTCTTTGGCCTGTAAGGAGATTGGTTGAAGACCTGTTGCCTCGAGAGCTTTGTAGGCCGGGAGGAAAGTCGGGTTTTGTTCGTCGCCGACATGAATATAAATATCAGGACTGCCTTCGAGCATGCCAACAATGTACGAAAGAGGCATGAGGTCGCCAGATGCCGAAATGCTACCACGAAGAGGTACAACGGGCGACATATCGTGGTTCAAGAGAGTCAATGTATTCTTGACCAGTGCTAGACGAACACCAGAATGGCCTCGAATGAGAGAATTGCAGCGAATAAGCATCATAGCTTTCACGATGGGAACAGGTAGTGCATGTCCTCTAAGGCCATTGGCCTGTGCCGCCGTGTCGCTGGGCAGGCCTTTGTCGGATGGGAGCAAGATTCCACTATTCTGGTGCTGTTGCAAGGCGACCTGCAAACTCTTCACCTTATCGGTGCGAGTGTCGGCGCTGCCTCCAAAGCCAGTAGTCACGCCATAGACGGTATGACCTCTGTCCAGCTGTGTTTCCAGAAACTGGACACTCTCATTTACGCGGTCAAGGACGGCGGCATCATCAGTGAGGGCTGCTTTTTTACCATGTCTTTGTTGGTTAGTATCAATAGCTGAATTAAGATTAAGGCATATAAACCCACAATGCGATTGCTACAACGCCAGCGATCGTCAAGCTCTGTCCATCAATGACAACGGGGTCGTCAGACTTGAGGATATTGCGGAGATCAGCCCATTCCGCATAGGTCAGCTCGAAGTGAGGAAAAGTCATGTTGACGACAGATAATCAATCTTCAAGAAAAGGAGAGAGAAGAAGAAGAGAAGAAGAGAAGAAGAGAATGAAGAGAATGAAGAGAAAAGCTGCAGGGATGAGATAGAGTTTGTCTGCATGTGCCGAGGAGCCCGGAAACAGAAACCCTATCTAGCTAATCGATCAGTCTTTGCTTTTTCTGGCGTTCGATCATGCAGAAGCTCCGAAATCACGAATGTGACCCGATGAGTAGATGCTCGATCTGAAGAAGATCAGCGGTGCAGCAGGCAGAATGATCAATCATATATGTATTCGCAGGCATCGAAGCGGGCTCGAGATTCTGTCCTCGTATTAGGCGCCGCCACAATTGCTACAACTTGGAAATTCCGGACTGCTGTTCGATTGCCTTGTTTCCAAACAAATCGATGTGATTTTGATTCTGAATAGGCCTATTCTATGTTTCGTCCTTTGTCAGTATATCTGCCCGTTTTCTTTGTAATCTGACAATGCAATAGAACCACTTAATTGAGGCTGTTGAGTAAACGTTGGAACTCTTTGTTCTCTTTGACATGCAATCTATCTCCGGCCCCGAGTTCATCCTATGAATTCGACTTAATCTACGACAATATCTTTAGTGTATAGACTTATTATACACTTGGATATCAAACGAAATGCGAGTCTAGACCATAGGTTTTTATACTTGTTTGGACCTTCGATTGAAAACTCTTGTCCTCAGCCCACCTTTTTCATAAACCTAACCATCAATAATATAACAAATAAATAAACTCTGCTTGTTTGCAATAACCACGCCCGCCGACCTCCTTCATCCCATCTGATATAGATATTAATCCGTTGCAGCAACACTAGCATCAACAAGACCCTGCAACCAACCCCCCTCATCCATACCATCAACAAGAATCACCTTCCTCGCAAACAGCCACCTCCCATCCTCCGTCTGCACAACGTCAGCATCCCACCTCCCCCAATGATCCGGCATCTTGAGATGCGTTCCCGCAATTATATACGTCTGACACCTGGCCTGCTTTTTCGAGTCAAATTGTACGTCAACCGTCGTAACATGATGTCTTAGCAATTCTGGCGGGTTGCTTTCTGTGATCTTCCCGATTTCGGACGGCGAGAGGACGCGACCGTCAGGCAGCGAGATTGTAGCTTTGGGGAGGAAGAGAGATGCGATTTCTTGATTGACCTGAGGATCAGGGATGCCGCGCGCGAGGGACGCGTAGCGGTTTATCAGGGCGAGGATGAGGCTGCGTGCTGTGACTTCTTCGGTGGGCGTCATGCCGACTCTGGGCCCGCGTGAGAGGGGATTTTTTGTTGACATTTGAATTATGTTGCTCGGTGAGTACTCTGATTAACGCAAAATATAGGACAGCTTCTCGGTGATATGATTTATTGCAATGTTTAGTACAAGGTAGCTCTCATGTTTCTCAAGCATGTCATCAGGTACGACGATCCTCCTCTTCAATTTATACACCAATCTATACAAACAACAACGCATGTTATGGTTACTGACTAATCTTCATCAGCCTCGCGAAGACATAGAGCCGAGCTTGACTTTTTGGCTTATCAAACGATCTAGAAATCGTCAATGTCAAGTGACACGCGGAATTAAGCACTCGCAAACCCCGTCGGACGAATGCTTCTTTTGTTCTCCGGCCATATGCTCCTCATACTTACTAGCGCAAGTCATGTCATGAATGATAGGAACTATATTTGCAGTCAAAAGAACACATGTATCTACATACTGCTGGCTACATACAGTTGCGGGGTAGAAATGAAAAAGGGTTAGATAAATAGGTACATAAAGGACCGTGGATGAATCATCCCGGTCAATCTTGATTTCCAATCAATCACTGACTTCTCTTTGAATGCTCCTGACAAAAATGAACAAGACAGACAAGTCCAAGGGCTAAGCTCGATATGAAAGGAATTATGTAGATTAGAGAATTAGAATCGAAAACCCAGCCCATTCTTTACTAGAAGGGAAAAGAGAAAGTAAAGAGTGGGAAATGAAAGAAATAAGACCGCGTTTGCGTATGAAGAAGATTGTAAAAATGTTTGCAGAGACCGCATAGCGGTCATCGCTAAATGGGTATAAGAAATGGCCGAGACAACGACATGAAAGAGATGCGAGATATCAGATGACGGGAGACGAATAAGCAGGAGCATGTTGAACATCGGTCAAATGATGTCCAAGGACGCTTCTAGGCATGAGTAGTCGGACAGCAATTCGAACAAACTGAATATGTGAATCTTGGACCAGTTTAAATCGACACCTTTGAACGCCGTAAAGAAGAAAAAGGCGGAAAGATAACGCAATCGTCAAGGCATAATGTTGCATAGAACGTTTCAGAAATTGAGAAGCGCAATCGCAGGTCAAGGAGTTCCCGCCTGGACTGCATCGCCATCGATAATTTTCCTCCAATGCTGCGGCAGACACACACAGACAAGAGGGAATGCTTTGATCTCACCTCGCGGCTGAGGCGATGAGTTGCGTCTTGCCTGAGAACCATTCGATACTCCACTGTCACGTTGAACGTTGTGCTCATCTTCAAAGTCCTCTGCTCGTTCATTGATGCGTACACCGGTTGCCCAACCATCATCCCAAATACCAACAATCTTTATCATATCCCCCCGATCCAAATCAAACTCATCCGCTGCACGTGGTTGGTACGCCCATAGCACAGAAACCTTGTCGTTAGGATGGATGTCATCTTGCGAATAGTAATCGCGGAAATAAGGCAACTGCTCTGACTGTCCACTCGCAACACCTTCAGGAGACGAAAATTGACCTGCTGTGCCCGATAGAGGTGAGCTGTCGGTATCCATGCCCAACACAGAGGTACTGGAGAGTGAACCCTGGCGTCTGCCGGCAACAGGGGCTCTTCGTCGAGAACGGGATTCAGGGCTGGAAACCAATCCTTCCGAGTCGGATGTATCGCTGTACTTTCCTGCTGCCGCAAACATACCTCTGCTAGCACTGCGATCGGAGTCATCTACCTCGGCTTGTAGTGCTGACATTCTTGCTACACGGCCGCCTGGTACAGGCTCCGTGCTGCGTTGTGCGCCAACCACAGGAGCCATTTGCATCGGCTGGTTGCTTCTCTTGGGTGTGGGTTGGTTGAAGACATCGTTGTTTACCGAGTTGCGGCGCTTGCGCAGACAGAACAATAGAAAAAATATGAGGCCTGCAAGAATGGCAACACCTGCAACAGAACCCACTACGACACCTGCAATTGCGCCACCTGAAAGATGAGAGCTACTTGAGTTACCTGCCGAAGTAGGTGTTGTAGTAGCTGTCGCGGTAACGGTGAATAGAGGCGGAATCGAAGAAGTAGAGGGAATGTCGACATTGGAGCATCGGGTGGATGCGTTGGAGTTGATACAACAAGAGTCGGTCGCGTTTGGTGAGCTTGATGCACAATAGGTACACAAGCCCGGCAGATTCGAGCTGTAGCCGCAGTTATCGGGTTCGTTCATCTCGCCCGTAATACATGAACCAGTAAGAGAGTCAGCGGGCATTGAGCAGTCAATGAAGTCAGCACGAATTTGATCCATGTAAGTCGAGAGTGTCGTAGCACATAATTTATTATTGATTGCAACTTCTTCTTCACTTGTTGCGTACGAAGCCTAAATGTTATCAGCTACTGTCTGCATAAATTGGAACACATCACAGAAGATTCAAGGTCAACTTACGCATGTAGTTGCACAGAGAGGCGGGGACTGGGAATTGGTCAGGCCGCAAGGAGTCTTTGAATTTTGCACGATACCATTGCAAATGACACTAATCGTGTAGCGAGCATAGTAGTCACTGGTGTCTGTTAGGTTGACTGCAGTACAGCCTATGCGAGAGGTATATCTAAATTTCGAGTCAGCTCGAGATAGACAGAGTCAAAGATGGCACAAAAGCTCAGAACATACTGCTGCTGGACATAGGCATCATTGGCGTAAGCAGTCAATTGCTTGTCGAATTCATCCACATTGCTGACGTTTTTGAGGAACGGGCTACAGTCTGGTCAGCCACGATATCTCTCAGTACCTGTTTAGGCAAGTTGCAGGTAAAATGCATACTAGTATCCGACCACGGTAGTATCGGTTGTCGATATAGAAGAGACGTTAAAGGCGGAACAGGTGGTTGAATTCTGAAGGGAAATGCAAGTCATGATGGGCGATAGCTCAACGCTGAGCTGTCGCAATCACTGCCGATTTCTGGGTCTGTGCAATCCGAAAATTATTGACGTCCGGGACAAATTTTCAATGGTTTCCAATAATCTGTGCTTTATTTTCCTTTTTCCCAACTAACATCAAGTCCTCTGCATATCGTCGAGTGCTGAAAGAGTGGCGGGCGAGAGAAGTCGAAATAAAAATTCGGACGAAGAGCTGAGGTTGGAGCGGAAAGCTGCAAGATATTCGACGAAACGAGTGTAATGGGGAAAGAAAGGAACGGAAGAAGAAGTAAAATAAGAAGCAATTGATGGTGGAAGAGAAGGAACGACCGACTGGTGGCCAAGACCACAATTGACAAGCTGGTGATGTTGGGGGAAGACTGAGACCGACACGCTCTTTCACTCACGCCGTCGAGCAGAGAAGGAGGAGAGGAGAAAGCGAGACACGCAGACAGAGGAAGGAAGAACACGGCCTGGCCCAGTGCGCACTTTCTCGCTCGCAGTGGAGACTCATACAAATTAGCATGCAAATCAGCTCTCCCCAGCCGCTCTCGACAGCCAGGAACAGGTAAGCCTGCAACAAAAACTAACGCAGTCGGGGCAAGCGGGCTGGCAGTTGAGGCTAAAGCCACGACGGCGCGTAATAATGGAGAGGCTAGGCTAGTCAGGGGGTCTGGCTGTCAGGGACAAACACCGAAGATCTTGCTCGACCTTGCAGATGTCGCATCTGAAACAGAACAATTTCTTCCGAGCTGGAGCAGCGAGAAATCTATCTACATAGTACAGTTAAATGCACTGAACAAGTCGATGTGCATAGGAATGGCGATAAATTGATACCTGATCAGCGGTGGAGTATGGACAACTCATCATAGTATGTCGAGATGTGATACGTAGACTGACATGGTCGCAACTACTACGTACATAGTGCAAATACGACTCGATAGATCAGTTGCGACTAAACATAGTAAGTAAGTACGTAGTCACTGCTACTCAGTGCTTGACGGTCAGTGGCTCCGTAGACTTTGTAGATTTAGGCGAGATGTTTATTCTCCTCGAAAGATCGAGTGGCACCACACTAAGCTAAGACACATTCCTACTGGCTGTCCTCTCAATTCGCAGATGACTTCAATCGAGTAAGTACTGCTGCATAGACATTGAGTGGCAGGAGGGCAATGGTCAAGCAAATCTGAAAACTTGAAAGGCGATCACAATTATTATTCTGGCTGCAAGGCTTCGCGGGGTGAAGCACAGAAGCAAACAAACAATACAAACTAAACTCCACGTGACCTGTTCCTGGCCATACGACACTGTCATTGGTCGTTTGGCTGACTAATTGAAAAGACCGAAATACGACGTCATGTGCTTGCTTCTGAGCCAGGCTTCCGTATTCTTTCTTTCAATATCATCATCTCAGCTACGCTCAATAACACTATAAATCATTCAAAAATTACACTCTCTCAGTCTGCAGAGCCACCTTCATCATGTGTGGTGCAGATATTTTCCTGGCTATTCTTGCAGTCTTCTTTCCGCCCATTGCTGGTACGTATTGCCCGTTAAAGCGGAGTTACTTGCTGTCCATGGGAACCTTCTTCTCGCTGAATTTTACTAACTCTCTACTACCAGTATGGATTAAGGTTGGCCTATGCACTGCGGACTCGATAATCAACATTGCTCTATGTTGTCTCGGATATGTACCCGGACTCCTTCACGCCTGGTACATCATTATGAAATACCCAGACCCCGAAGAATACGCAGAAGGCTACGAGCGAGTCGACGCGGAAGGTAGGGACGTCGAGAACGGCCGTCGCGTAACGTACTACTACGTTAGCCATCAGGCGCCGGCTCCTCCCCAGTCGGAAAGACGATATGGCGCGACAGACAACACTTCGGCTCCTCAGGTTCCATCACACACCAGACCCGGAAACAGCAGTGCTGCACCAAACGAGTCTTCTAGTGCCCATCCGCCTACTTATGCCGAGGCTGTTAAAGGCGACCACAAAGTGCAGACCCAAGATTAAGCGGTGGCTGCTCGGATGTAACGTGGAGATCATACAAGAGGTGGACATATGGTCCTGTAAACACCTGACTTGATTATGACCATGTCGCTTCCAGTGTGCCAGATATGTTGGCGCCCTGTGGTTGAGCAAGATGACGAATGCTGTCAGTACGGTGTGTAATGAACATGAACGGATGGAACTGGGTTTTGGCGTAAATATGGTTAGCGAGAGAGGTTTATGGTTTAACTTGATGTTCTTCAACATAATACAATGATCGATTGCACTCACTAAGTCTGAGAGGAAATTATGCGTACGTAGTAGAATGTACTATGTAGATGAACAGATGTCAAACCATCCAATCGCAAGCCGATTCTGAACGCTCGGGCCATTGACAGCTCCGACGGCTGTGTTCTCCGCAGCTTCAACTTTTTGTCTTGAACAAACCACACATAAATAGGTAACATACTCGTAAGTTGCCGTCGACTGTCATCAGCGCAATGCATGCAATGCAATTKCTGCTCAGACAGCCTCTTCGCAACGGCCTCGCCACCGTACGACCTTCTTGTCAGCGTTCCTTTGTCTCATCCGTACCTCCGAAGAAGCTCTCTCTTTCCGCCCAGAGCCCCGCGTCACGACAGGGTTCAATATGCCTTCAATGCCGATTTAGAACGCAAACACGGAAATTCTCATCTCCTCCAAGGCCGGAAGATAAATTGTCACCATCAAAGCCTACACCGGACCTCGAGAACCTGCACGCTACTCCCGACGCCGGTAGAGACTCAATCTCAGCGACGGTCAATAATGAAGAACAACAAACCACCGGGTCGGTACGCTTGGAGCAGAAACAAGACTCGAAGACATTAGAAGAAGATACTCTTCCTTCGGATGCGGAGAGGCGCCGATCTCAATTGTCTAAGAAGTTTACAGATCTAATGGACAATATACAGGGAAATGTGTTTATTGCGGGTCAAAAGTTGAACGATCTTACAGGATATTCGGGAATCGAGAAATTGAAACGAGACATTGAAACACAAGGTATTTGTCACACGTTCCCTTGTGAAGATCTATCTAATCCCAAACAGAGAATGAGGTCCTGGAAGGGCGCTCTCTTGTTCGACAAGCCAAAGAAGCATACTCAGCAGCTATCAACCGTCGCTCCGCCTCACAACGCGAAGTCAATGAACTCCTCCAAAGAAAACACGCCTGGTCTGCCGCAGACCTTGAACGCTTCACATCTCTTTACCGTTCCGACCATGCCAACGAAGTTGCCGAAACCGAAGCGCAGGAGCTTCTCACAAAAGCGGAACACGAGCTAGAAGAAGCCACGGCGAGACTCAACCGCAGCATTCTTTCCCGCTATCACGAAGAACAAATCTGGTCCGATAAGATCCGAAGGATGAGTACATGGGGTACATGGGGATTGATGGGAGTGAATGTTTTGTTGTTTCTCATCTTTCAGATCCTTGTCGAGCCGTGGCGACGACGCAGGTTGGTGAAAGGGTTTGAAGAAAAGGTCAAAGAAGCTATCGAGACCGAGGCGGTGGCAAGTAGGACTATTGTTGCTGGTCTGACTCGGGCTGTTGAAGCCGGCGCGGCTACTGCTGCGGAAGCTGCTACGGCTGCAGAACCGGTCGCTGAAATGGCAGTCTCAGAAGGTATCCTGGAAGACGTTGTACCAAAGGTCGAACCTGGTTCAGTACCTGCCGCAACTCCCGGTGATATGGCCCCTGTCGACGCCGTTCTTGAGGAGGTTTCTGGAGAGAGAACGTTAGCCGAACAGCTGTCCACATATGCTTCAACTGAATACTGGAGTGAGGTTATCCAAGACGTATTCAGCGACCGCAATGTTGTCCTCACGCAGCGTGAGCTAACGAAAATCGCTCTACAAAGTGCTACAGTTGGTGCAACGATAATTGGCCTTACGATCGCGGTTTTCCGAGCGAATTGACGGAGTCTTCGGGGTCGTTGTATATTTGTATTGTACTATCATATTAGCATGCAGCAGCCTGTGTGTACATAGAGACGCTTACTTGGACGGATCTACGTTAGTTGTAAATAGAAATCTCTTGATACTGCACCTTGTTGACAACTTTGAGTCACTATTCAATCTCTACAAAGATTCCAAGCTGGGAGACGGTGAACACCTACCAATTCATCCAACTCAAATTCAATTGCTGTTTAGGAAGTCAGAGAAGCCTCACATGGCCTTGACCCAGGTACGTATTTCGTGAGTGATTCCCCAATCATTTTGTGTATACGTCTTTCCTTCATACCTCTCGACTCTCTTCTCTTCTGGTTTTCTGCTCCAGTCCCAGAGATACCTATAACAGTACGTTTTCCTCCTTTCTCACCACATTTCTCCTCGTCGACTTCCCTTCTACCTCTATCTCTCCCCTTTTCCTTCCTCCTTTCAAACCTTCTTCCTTCCTCTACTTATCTCACTACTTTACCTGTCTCGTCCCGGTCTCCTCTTTCCCCAACCACTCACCACAAGGTAAGTCCCTCTCTCACTTTACAGGCCCCTCCCCATCCTCCTTTTCCTTACTTTCTTCTTCTTCTTCCCGGACTTCCTTATCACCATTCAACCCTTGTTTCTCTTCACTTTCGGGCTAGAATTGGTTCTGTCTAACTAGTAAGTGAATCTCACTTCCAATCTAACCAAGCTAGATTTCTCCTTCGTTTATTGTACTATTCGAGCCTGGCATGGGTCTCACTTTTACATTTTCTCTTTCACTACCTTCTCCTTGACTCTTTATCACTTTCATTCCTTCAAATTTACTTCAGTCAAGCTAACCAGTATCCAGAACTCACATCATACTACGTAGCGACCTTCAAAATCATATTTCAACATGAAGGCAACGCGCGACAATGCTGTGGAAGGGACTCCGACATCAGATGTGATGCAAATCGACGAAACCCCGGCATCAGATCCCTTTCCTACTCAAGGAACTCCCGAAATCGATATCGTTCACAACCAGCAATTTCCAGCAACAAATCCTATTCCTAGCGAGGGGACTCCCCAGAACGATATTGTTACCAAGTCAGATGACGTTGAAATGCAGCTGGAGAACCTCCCCCAGTCAAATCCTGAGCAGCAGCATACAATTCCCGAGCAAACTCCCGATGCAGACAATGAAGAGCTCTTTATCGTCCACGGCCCTCCCCAGAGACGAATTGAACGCACTCCCCGTTTGACACATGCTGAGATTCGCGAAAGTGTCAAGATCGGTCTGGATGATAGCGGTGCCGGAAAAATCCCAAGAGCAAGTGTTCTAGGGGCCTCCTTGAAACCAAATATCAATAACAACAACAAGGATAAAGGTCGAAAGAGATCGAGTGCCAATGATGTTGACGTTTCGACCCTGGGGGGCACCGATCTCATTGCGGATGCACAGGCAAACGCTGGAAAAGATCCCATTCCGGTGTCCAATCTGGGCAACAAAGAAAATGCCCTACGTGAGATGGTTGCTAGTCTACCCCCGGAGGCTCGAAACGACGCGATCCCTGATGTGAAATTGGTGAAAGATGCCACGAAAAAATTCACAAAGAAACCCAGAGTTGACAAAAAGGGCGCGTGGAAGCACAACAATCTCAAATCCAGTCTGTATCATCATCAGGTTCTAGGAGCAGCATTTATGCGTGAGAGGGAGAAGTCCAAGGAGCAGCCGACAGGCGGTATGCTGTGCGACGTAATGGGTCTGGGAAAGACCATACAAACACTGGGTAAGTCTATTCCTCTTGAATAACAAAAGTATAAAGAGCTCGATTTGACAATCTCTAGCCAATATCGTTGATGACTATGAAGAACTGGAGGATCACGCCAACACCACATTGATTGTGGCTCCTAGAGGCTTGATTGATCAATGGGAAGCTACATAATGTGATGATCGGTTCTGGCACATTGGCTGACAGACAACAGGCTAACACAAATTGATAAACACGTCCAACGCGACGTCTTGAAGCCTATTCTTCATTATGTTAGTTCCCAAAACGGTTCGGATGATCTCGAACTCTTGATGCGCTGCAAGGTCATGTATGTCTCTCCATCCATTACTACTTCTTTTGTGGTCATTACTGATTAGGGCAGTCTCACAAGTTATGAAGCAATCCGAATGTCCTATCCTATCAAACCAAGAGAAAAACCAGACAATATGTCACCTGAAGAACTGGTTCGCTGGGGAATGAAAGTTTTCATGGAATCTGCCGGGCCACTGCATCAGTTTCGCTTCCGACGCATCATATTAGATGAAGGACAGCATATTCGTAACCCAGAAGCTCAGACGTCGATTGCAGTCAGAGCACTTCATGGGCATTACAAATGGATATTGACCGGGACGCCTCTTCTCAAGTAAGTGATATCAGGGAAACAAGATTTGTATTGGGTGACTTCCTCAGAAGCTAATTTCTTTACAGTCATAGTGCTGAGTTCTGGGCCTATTTTAAGTTCCTGGGGGTCCCCAATATTGGACGCTTTTCAAGTTTCGTCTCGAACTTTTGTAATGTGAGTGCCTTTCTGAGATGGATTTTTCGCAAAGACTTACACCTTGTTCAACCTTCCCACAACAGGGAAGCGATGTATCGAACCAACGCCTTGTGAATATCGTCCAGAAAATCGTCTTTAGGCGCACTCATCGCTCAAGACTCTTTTCATGTCCTATCGTAACACTCCCGAATCTGAACGAAAAGACGGAGTTCGTGAAGCCATTCGCAATCGAACAGGCTCTCTACAAAATGCTTGTCGCTTCTTTCATTAACCAGTTGAATAGCCTGGCAGGCCAGGAAGAAGAGCAGAGCAGAAGTTTCCTTACTATGATCCTCAAACTGCGAATGCTCAACAGTCACATACTCTGTGTCCAGGACAGATTGAAGATGATTTTGGACGATGAACAAAATCTGGCAAATCTTCAGAGCGCTGTCGCAGATTCTACTAGTAATGAGGCTGACATCAACCGTGGCATCTACGTGCGACTCGAGGAGCTCATGCACGCCACGAGACAAGCCAAAAAGGCCGAAAAGAGCATCACCTCGGCCGAGGGTATGCTTAGAAATTTTGAGAGAGCTCTCGCTGCAGCGGAGGATTATGGCAATGATGTGACCGACTGGATGGCAGCTGCAGGCCACGACATGCCCAGCTCAAAGGTTTTAAAGACACGAGATGTAATTCGAGAGTGGTTCAGGAATGCCCCTGATACCAAACTTGTGATCTTTACGCAATTCCGTGCCATGACGAAAATATTCTGGCACATGTGTAAAACAGAGGGATGGGTAGTTACAATGGTAGGTCCGCTCCTTTCGATGCTGATCTACACTCAGCAGTCTAACATACGTGCTGTCTACAGTTGACAGGAGACATGAAACCTGATTGCCGCACGCAAAGTCTCAGAGATTTTCAGACCAAGCCGGAAATAAAAGTCCTGATCGCCTCCCTCAAAGCTGGTGGCACGGATCTCGATATCACGGCTGCAAATAAGTGTATTCTGGTTGAGCCATGGTGGAATGATGCAATCCAGCAACAAGCCTTCTGTCGCCTGTTCCGCATCGGACAGGAACGCGACGTCGAGATCGTCAAATTGGTGGCGCAGAATACCATTGACGATTTTATGATGGACCTGCAGAAGCTGAAACTGAAAGATATCGAAGGCGCAATTGGAGACGCGAGGCTCCCCTCAGTTGGAATTCAAGGTCATTTGGTTGATCACTTCGGCGTTGCTGAACGCTCTGCTGATGGGACGGTCAGAATTCGACTCCATGAAGAGAATTGATGACTGATGATTAATGACTATTGACTAACGACTTATGATTTGCTGGGCATATGACTTTTGGGAGGACACCAGGTGGTTATTATTTAGGGATATTTCAGAGTGCATACAATGGTTTATGATCCACGGGAGGTCACCAGATTGTTATCAAATTTTCAAAAATAGTTTCAAAATGCATGTAATTAATCAAGAAGACTCGGGGGAGCTCCTCGTAAGAAGATTTAGAACAAGAATGATCATCATATTGGGAATCATAAAAAATGACTAATTTTCATACATCAAAAACAAATGCAAGAACATGCAAAAAACCCCCTTAACAGAAATGCAGGCACCCAACCACCGCTTTGAACCCGTAATAAACCATAATCGCCCATCATCATTATTCAATTGAGATAAATAATAAAGTCAAAGTATTAATCTAAATCTATATCCTCGATCGCGCAGTTGGGATGCAGCACGTAGACGAGTTGGGGCTGCGCGGCGTCTTCGGGTCGCTGATCCTCTTGGGTTTCGTCCATGAGGCCTTGGCCCCTGATGGGCATGAGGATGTTATCCTACACAGTGAGCGTTAGTTTTTGGTGTGATAGATTGAAGAAAGGAAAGGGGGATGGGACATACCTTGACCATACGCTTGAGCACTTTCTTGGCCAAGCCACGCTCTCGTTGAAGATCTTCCTCACTCTCGAGTTCGGATTCGATTTGTTCGAGGTACCAGGTCAGCAATTCCTCTTGCTCGACGCCGCTGCCGGACGCGGCTTCGTCTTCCATGACGCGGCGGACGAGGAGGTTGAGTGTCTTTGTGTATTTCTCGTATGTGATCTTGGTCGTTCGGGGACGAGAGGATTGTTGTTCTTGCTGTGGTTCGGCTGGKGCTTCGCCGTCCTCGGCCATTGGGCTGTCGCCGTCCCGGTCACGAGTTTCGTCCATCATATCATCTGCGTCCGCTTGCGCAGCTTGCTGGTTCTCTTCGTCCTCGTCGACTTCGATATCGTCCTTTTCGACAGTGACGATACTCTGTCGGAGAAGGTTGTATGCTTCTCGGACGAATTTGGGGAGGATCTCTTCGACACAGTTGGCTCGGGCAACTGCCTCCGACAAGCGAATCAAAGACTCCAATTGACGAACAGTGATACGGTAGGATGATCTGCCAATGCCACCTTGGGCATCGTTTGCTCTTAGTTCCTTGTATTTCTCCACCAACACCGCCTTTGCCTCTTCAGTAAAGACGGGCTTGAATGTTCGTGCTAGTCGGATATAGCGTTGGAGTAGCTCAGTGCTTATCTCAGGCTCAACGGCTTCATCTCGATTCATGTGGACGTTGACAATATGAGTGGCCAAGTTGCGGTCAACTTGCTCATTGGGTTCATCTCTAACCACAAAGAACAAATCGAATCGACTCATGATGGGTGCGCTGAGATTAAGATTGGAGCGAAGAGTGGCTTTAGGGTTGTATCGGCCACCAATGGGATTGGCAGCAGCGAGAATGGATGCTCGTGCGTTGAGGGTTGTGTGGATACCAGCTTTGGCGATCGAGATTGTTTGCTGTTCCATGGCTTCGTGAATAGCGACCTGATCTACAACATCCATCTTGTCGAATTCGTCAATGGCGCAAATTCCTCCTCCGTTCTGCGTTCATTAGTCAAGTCTGCATCAGAAGTAAACTTAAGATGAACTTACAGCCAACATGAGAGCACCGGCCTCGATGGTAAACTCGCCAGTCTCTGGGTCTTTGACAACAGAAGCCGTCAAACCAGCAGCAGATGAAGCTTTACCAGAGGTATAGACAGCTCGTGGATGCAGCGAGCAGATATATCTAAAATGCGTAAGTACAAGCTTATCAAAAGGAGCAATGAAATCCTACTTCAAAAATTGACTCTTACTGGTCGAAGGATCGCCGACAATGCAAATGTTGATATCACCTCGCAGCTGCATCCCCTCTTGTTCCGTACTCTTGCTCACACCGCCGATCAACTGCAGCAAAAGCCCCTTTTTGATCGACTGATGGCCGTAAATCATAGGAGCAATTGAGTTAACTAGTCGCTGGTAAACGTGTTCACTTTCGACCAAAGACTTCAACTCCTGAACTTCGGCCGGAGTAAAGGTCTGTAGGAGGGCTTCTTGTGCAAACTCGGCGTCTTCTGAAATTTGTTCATTCTGGTTCAATGATGCTAGAATGTTCTGGGATTGGCCGGTGAGTTGCTGAGTCGTAGGCTGACCGGGAGTGGTCAAATCTGGGGTGATCATACAAGCCAAGAATGCGAGACGATAAGTGAGATCTCTCACACCAAGGGACTTGAGACCGGAAACACCTCCACCCCCGATATCACTACCACGGAAAGCTCCGTTGTCACGATTTGCTTCAGGGCGCATACCAGGCAAGCCCAGTTGGCTAACATCAGGGACGACAATCAATGTTCCTGTGAAGATACACTTCTCTCCAGCCTTGGCTCTATCGACCTGTTCTCCTCTGACAATGATATCCATGGTACGCGGCATACTTCCAGTCGGGATTTCGTGTGATGACTCCTGAAGCTTGATCTTTTGCCAATCAACAAATGTACTCTTCCCAATGTCAAGGCGCCAACCCGTTCGGTTACCGCAGGTGGGATTCGGGCACTGAGAGGGCTCAGTGTATTTGAATGTCTGCTCGATATTGGTACAGGGAGTTCGGCATCCCTCGCAAATGAATGTTCCGAGCGAAAGCTCAGGTCGGATTTCAGATGTCCGGGTGACTGTTCCCGAAATGGACAGTAGCTTGCCAATGTGTGACGTTCGCAGTTGGCGTAGTCGAGACACTAACGGCAAGTTGTAGAAAGCCAAAGAGAACACTCGATCCGTCTGCTGGTGACGTGTCTTCCTATTCATTAAGAAAGTTTCTTCTTGAGAAACGTCATTGGCACTGGCATTTGCTGCCACAGTTCCCTGTGAGGAGTTGCTATTTGGCTGGCGATGGGAGACGAAATAGCTGGGCTCGTATTTGAGAAGGAGGTTGTGCAGAGCTCGGATGAGGAAAGGCTGGAAACGATAATATTGGCTTGCAATAGCCCCGGCCAAAGCATCGTCTTCGCTCGCTGCGAGATGGTTATAATCGACATAGAGTGTAGAAAGGTCGAATGATTTCATGCCGTGAATTTGTTGAATGTAGTATTTGTCACTATATTGTTGTGCCGACGAAGGAGGGGGCGCAACGTGATTTGTAGGATCTTCTTGGAAAGTCTCTAGAAACCTCTCAAAAGCCTGTTGCACTTTTTCGGCGGTTGAATCGCGGACTGGAGTGGGTGCAGTTGCATATGGATTTCGCAGACGGTTGACGGCGCCATTTGCAGCGCCAACGATTTCATCATCTGGGAGTGCCTGCATATCGCTCATGGGCGCATTGCTCTCTGATGGCAATTGCGGGCGAGCGCTGGACACTTGATCGGATTGAGGCCATTGTCCACCGTTGACTGATCCCGCCTCGGATCGCAGGACGGCTTCGAACAGGGAGGACATTGTGAAGGCCACCGAGCGGTGGTGAGACGCTTGTTGAATTCAGATAGGAGGATCGGTTTGTGAAAGTATTATTCGATTCTGGATGAGCACTGGGTTCTGTTTGTGTGTTTGTGATTGTGTTGATGTGTTGAAGCAAACTTGGCTGTGTTTTTTTGGTGAACGCTCTGAGAATAATTAGACGAGGAACACGAACAAGACGCGACGCGTGCCGGAGTTTGGTTGTTCCGGTCTGTGACGCGTAAAGTGGTTTTTCTCTGTGTACATATTTGCACTGTTTGCATCACTCTGTATTGTTCCCCTGTTTGCAAAAAAACAGGATTCGAAAGCCATGTAATTTTTCTTGCTAGCCACACGCTAGGCTTCATTCGGAGATTAGTACGGACATACATTACAGGTAACCAATCATACGGGATATTACACAGAAAACGTACAATACAGACAGCGCTTTCCTTACCAGCTGCCAATTTAGGACATTTCAGCCGAATCCGAGAAGACTTGATGACAGGCGTTTGTGCTACTGCTGGCCACCGATCTCCTTATTCTCAATATGGAAAGTGGTCGGATACTCCTGTCCTTAGAATCGATATTATCATTGCCAGTGCTAGGTATTCTGGTGGTGTGTGACTGTGTATCATCGCGAGTATGCAATAGCCCGTACAAGTTCTATCCCGGTCCGCCAATTTTAGCCGTCTTATTGACGATGCTATTCASGAGCCACAACGTATCAGAATGCAGCAGCATGATACTGGGAAGTTTTGGGACTCTTTAACTTCCACCTACTTCCTAATCTGTCCTAAGGTGCCCAGCAGGTCAGTGAGCTAAACTTCGGCGTTCCGTGCCAGCCTCCACCCAAACCGCCGCAAACCAACACCATACGGCGCTCTCACTGGCTCATCCATACAACACAGTCCTCTTCTCACCACGCGGCGCCATCCATAGTAGATTCGATATTCCCACTGGAGTATCTATTACGTCCGTTTCATCGACGTCCACCGTGGCTCGGGATTTTGCCCTACTCCACCATATTATTCACCTTAATACGTTTGATGGGTCCGTTGAAGGACGCCCGGGCGAATGGCCTTCACGGCGGCGCCCAGGGTTTGTTCTTGATTCTGCGGAAACTGCCCAAGTTATGGACAATATAGTCTGGTCTTCTATTCGTTCTTGTCTTGTGATACATGCCCGTTAGTGCTGTCAGATCCATCCCAAAGCCCAGCCTTGAATTGCCGATTAGTGAGAGGGCTCTGACCGTGGCACCTGCCTAACAAGGAAGTTCCCCATCTTTCCTCTTCATTGCCTTGTATGCTGGGACTAGATCAACGCCTTCCCCAAACCTGCTCTGGCAAAGTCTAAATATTAAACACTTGCACGAGCACATATCCTTGCATCTTCGTTTTGAAAACTCCCAGTCCGTTAGCAACGCTATCGGGGACTGCTCGTGCGGAGGGGTGCAAAGTACAGAAAACGATTACACTATTCAAGATGTCGTCCCCAGGTAAGAGACACTTGAGCCTTGACCGTCATTCAGATCAAGCTCTTGCTGATACTTTCTGGCAAAAGAGGCAACAGTTGAAGTCAACCCAGCCAGAGTGAAGAAACGGTCGACTGCTACTGCGGCAGCGAGCCAGAATGGGCCACAACAAAGTCAATCGTTCTTCTTTGTTGACCCTGCTTCCTCGACCCGGGAGAAACGTGCACATGTGATGCGGCATCATATCCAGGCAAAGAGAAAGCAAAATATGCTAGCAAGTCACGCAGACCGGCACTCTCGTCGCGAACCTCGAGTGTATCCTTGGATGAAGAAGTCGAACGCCAATAGTGGTGCGAATGAGTCAAAGCCTTTACGTGGGGTGATTACAACGGTAAGATGACGGTTTTTCAAGGTTATATGATCAAGAGGTTGATGTCTAGCAGAAGTCTACATTCTACAAAACCGAAGAGATCAGTAACGCAGTCGCTCCTCTTACAGATTCATTGACTGGACTCCGAAATGACCCCTTCGCAACACTGGCGTTTGATGCCAGCGTACCGTGGGCCGAAGAACACTTGACCGACATGTGGATTTCTCGACTCACATATTGGTCTGGCCAAAATTCACATATGAAGAACAGAATATTTCAGGAAGCGATGCGCAATCGGACTACATTTGAGGCAGTGGTTTTGGGCTACTGTGCTCGTTTAGAATTTAAACTAGCTCCTGCACGAGAGGACGGATACAAGGATAGCTCGAGGGTTCATTTCTACGAATCCCGAGTTCGACAGGCGTTGACAACCAAGCGACCATACCGCAGTACCGAACCTTTTGACGAAGAAAGTCTTTCTCTGACGCTGACTGGACTGGCGCTCCAAGAGGAAAGGTTTGGTGACAAGGAGAGGGCATGCGAATATGCCCAACAAGCCAAAGAATTGCAACTGTATCACCAACGGCAGTCTATCAACGCTGTGAATGCAGCCAACGCAGCCTCTCGACCCTTTCTCCTCTACGTTCTCGGCACGATGGATCCACGCTCATCGACAGTTACATCAGATGAGATGGCCCAAATGGTGGATTTCTTGCAGGTGGCGCATCAGGCAATGACGGCAGACAATGATGAGAATTACTTGAAGGAAGTGCCTAAACGGTCGGCAACCTTCCAGTTTGACAGTCCTCTATTTCAGATACTGTCGAGCGGACCTCGACCCAGCCAAGTCCCTCTCGAGAATCGAGACTTTGTCGTGAATGTGAACAGACCAACAACCGAGTGGGCTCGCACTGCGGCGCTTATCTACATTGTACTGGCATTGAGTGAATTCCGACAACAAAAGAGTAAAGTGGTGCGCTTTCTTGATCACTTGCTTCGAATCATCGCAGACTACAGCTTGGATCGCAACCCGGCATGCGAATCATTCATGTACTTCCTGCTCGAAGAGAGCTTTGATTCCGATTTGAGGCAACCCGATCGAGCCTGGCGGACCAACGACCTGCTGCAGATTCACAAGCGGCTACCATTTGAGCTGCAATTTCGGTTTAATGAGATGCTTCTGGGATATTTGATGTTGTTACCCCCGGTTACGACGGTGGAGGCGTTTGAAAAGGGTTTACAGGAGATGAAGCATAAAGCTCGCTAACTAGCGGGATACTGTCGATACCATCAAAGCACACTACTCGTTTCCTTCAGGAGAGGGCACCTCCAACTGCAATCACGCATCGACGAGCTTTGGAGAAGCGTCCATCCACAACGTTTGAATTGCACACGAGTGCATACCTCGCGACAGCCGAATATATACCTGTACCGAGCCAGAAAGTTTCGCTGGTCACCACGTACCGACCGGCTGGCTGAACATCGCCACGCCACGACTCCACGCATCCAGGACCCGTCTCAAAGACTCTTTCCACTACCCGTGCAGAGAATCAGGGCGCGAACTGATTACCGGCTCCAACACAAACGGCCATAAGACCACAATCAAATTTCGATAGTCCACCATCTATTGTATTTGTTTAATACCCTCATATTCAGAGTTTCAAGCAAGCGAATCACATTGTCCTAAAATTGTGATTTTGGTCAGATTTACGTGTACATACTCAAATTCAATCCAAAACCTACCATACTTCTATATAAATTGAGGCGTCGCCAAATAGCCGACCGGCTCGTAGTCTAGACCCAACTACCGAGGGACAATATTTCCGCACTAACCCGGATTGAGCGCCGAGTGCAAACTTACGAAGTTACGAGATTCGCGTAACTGTGTCGATCTCCAGGCTAGATGCAAAAAGCATCAATAGTCCGAAGTTTCAGAGGACTATTGACTCTGGATCAGAGTCAGTCGAAAGTACAATTACGTAGCGTCATTGTCAATGCGCATTGTTGTCAATTTGTCGATCGACATGCCTCGCTCTGATCGTCCCGATAAGACTGTCCATTGAGCCCTACAAGACATACGTAATCCCTCTCCATGCAAAGTTCCCTTTCTTCGATTGAAAGCAAACAAATGTCTTTTCCGCCAGTTCTGGCGCCACTACTGGCAGAATATAAGAGGCGTTGTAAGACTAGTAGCAGCGTCAGTGGCTTACAGGGTAATAACTTCGACAAAATATGGCATGGATCAGAATTCGGGTAACCTCAATCTGTCTAGAAATAGCACATGCGAAACGCCGAGCGAAAACGAGAAAAGACAGGGATGGCGCGAGTGATTCGGTTGAGGCGTGGGGTGTGGCTGGKGCGTGGTGTGGCTTGCATTCGGTGTGGCCGAGGATGCGTTGGCGCCTAACTACATAAACAGTCCGTACAGACTCGGCGAAATGATGCAGCATTCCTTTGTTGTCGAGGTGATGCAATTTCGCGCTTCTTTTTGCAGGAACATTCCTGTTTGCTGCGATCATGAATGGCCGCCCAAGGAATGAGGAGATCTCAAAAGTCATGATATCAAGATCTGGCGATCGTCCAATAATTCCTCGCAGCTGCGAGTGGGATGATGACATGGCGAGCACACAGCCAATCACGTGCTGCCACACCGAGACCGGCGCCGCTTGGCGTCGAGCTTATTGCGAGCAGGACGGCACACCATTGGCCATCCAGAGTCCTGTGGCTGTAGATCGATCGACTAGAGCTGGTTATGGCCTAGCGCGAATAAACAAGGTCAACAAAGCCGACCCCTTTCCTTCCCTCCAGATCGATACCACAGAGTACATACTTATCGACGAGTAGGCATCCTCGGACAGACCGTACCTCGCTGTTTGCATTGCCTACATCAATTGGCATTGCTCCCATCGGTGAAACAATCGAAATCACATCCCTACGCGATTAAACTTCGAGCTAAGTGGCACAAAGCTACGTAGTGTCGCTAGCTTGCAGCTAGCTCGTTTCCCACTTTGGGCCCATCTCGCCTGCCTTCTCCCATTTTTCGTCTCACCTCGTGTTGCGGGACTGCCATTTTTTTCTTCTTTTTCGTCTTACTTTTATATTTAATCTGAACCTTTATACACGATATCTATTTCATTTGTTCGATTACTGACTATTTACTTCAATTCAACTCTCTTAACGCGCCATTGATCGCGGCATGGCGTGGCTCAAAGATGGCCTGTCAGGCCTGCGCTCCGTCGCCAAAAGAGCTGTAAGTCTCGAGCCTTGTGTGTTTCTGAACAATTATAGAGCTGATAAAACAGGATGATACATCTGCCGCTCCCACGAGTCTTTCGGGCTTCCTCTCAACTCTCGTCCCAGCGCTGATAATCGCCGGTGCCATGGTCCTGGCCTTTATCATCCTCCGCAGAATCTACCGCCGTAACTACATGCCTCGTACCTTTCTACCGACCCTACGCGACTATGAACGAACTCCAAGCTCTCCCACCGGTCTGTGGAACTGGATCATCGCCATGTACAAAATACCCGACACATATGTGCTCCAGCACCACTCTTTGGACGCCTATCTTCTGCTACGTTACATGAAATTGCTCGTGGTCATGACTTTTGTCGGCTGCTGCATTACTTGGCCTATCCTATTCCCGATCAATGCGACTGGAGGTGTCGGCAACTCTCAGTTCGACGTTCTTTCCATGTCTAATGTGAAGAACAAAGCGAGATATTTCGCCCACGCTTTCGTCGGTTGGATCTTTTTTGGCTTCGTGTTCTTCTTGGTGACCCGCGAGAGTATCTTTTACATCAATCTGCGCCAGGCTTATGCTTTCTCTCCGGCCTATGCCAATCGTCTTTCCTCCCGAACCGTCATGTTTGCGTCTGTTCCTCAGGACTATCTAGATGAGAAGAAGCTGCGTCGCATGTTTGGCACCGATCGTGTGAAGAACGTTTGGATCGCCACCGATACCAGCAAACTGGAGGAGAAGGTCAAGGACCGAGACGCAGCTGCTATGAAACTGGAAGGCGCTGAAACTTCGTTGATTAAACAAGCCAACGTCAACCGTACCAAGGCGTTGAAGAAGAACGCCAACGCAGACGCGCAATTGGAAGCCACAGGTGACCACACCGAGTCGGGATCTGTCGCAGCCCGCTGGGTCAAGCCCAAGGACCGTCCTACTCATCGCTTGAAATTTTTGATTGGAAAGAAGGTTGACACTATTGACTGGGCCCGCGCTGAAATTGAACGCCTCAGCCCTGAGATTAAGGAGGAACAAGACAAGCACCGCGTTGCTGACGCGAAAAAGGTCTCTGCCGTGTTTGTGGAATTCTACAACCAGAACGATGCTCAATCCGCATATCAATCTGTCGCGCACAACCAGCCCTTGCACATGGCTCCCCGATACATTGGTGTTGATCCCACTCAAGTTATCTGGTCTAACCTCCGTATCATGTGGTGGGAGCGCGTCGTTCGTAACTTTGCTACCGTCGCTTTCATCTGCGCTCTGGTTGTCTTCTGGGCTATTCCCGTCGCCTTTGTTGGTGCCATCTCGAATATCGATAGCTTGATTGCCAAACTCCCATGGCTCGGCTTCATCAACAGTGTTCCCACCTTCATCCGTGGTGTCATTACTGGTCTTTTGCCTTCGGTTCTGTTGTCTGTTCTTATGGCTTTGTTGCCTATCATCATTCGCTGTACGTATACTTCCTCGTTCGTCTAGTAGATCAAGCTAATATTTTAGTGTGCGCGAAACTTGGTGGTGCCCCAACAGCAGCTGCAGTTGAGCTGTGGACTCAGAACGCCTACTTTGGTTTCCAGGTCGTGCAAGTCTTTTTGGTCACGACACTTTCTTCTGCGGCATCCGCCGTGGTCGAGGAGATTATCCAGAAACCCACCGACGCCGCAAGCTTGTTGGCTGCCCATCTTCCTCAGGCCGCCAACTTTTACGTTTCTTATATCGTCCTCCAAGGCTTGACCTTTACTTCTGGTGCTTTGCTTGGCATTGTCGGCCTCATTCTCGGAAAGGTGCTCGGAAAGTTCCTCGACAAGACTCCTCGTAAAATGTACAAGCGCTGGATGAGCCTGGCTGGTTTGAGCTGGGGAACTGTCCTCCCACCCATGTCTCTTTTGGGTGTTATTGCTATTACCTATTCGATCATCGCTCCTTTGGTCATGGGTTTCGCTACCGTCGGTCTTTACCTTTTCTACTTTGCTTTCCGTTACAATTTGCTTTACGTGTCGAATGCACAAATCGATACCCAAGGACGTATTTACGCTCGTGCACTTCAACATCTACTCGTTGGTGTGTACATTGCAGTGGTCTGTCTGATTGGTTTGTTCGCCATTGCTGCTGCTGACCAACCCATCGGCACCGGACCTCTTGTTTTGATGATCATCTTCTTGATCTTTGCAATTCTATATCATGTATCTCTCAACGCAGCATTGGGTCCTCTCCTCAACTACCTCCCCAAGAACTTGGAAGCTGAGGAAGAGTCTCTATTGGCTGAAGCTCGCGACAAGATCACACCCACCGCTTCAGACAGCATTGATGTTCCTGTTGAAAGTGCATCCAAGGAGCACAATGGCTACCACGATGGTGTTGACACTGCTGAAAAGGGCACCGCTGTCCCTCACCCGTCAGTACTGCCTGCTCCCCACAAGAAGCCCAATTTCTTCACCAAGTTCCTTCGTCCGGATATCTATGCCGACTATCCCACTATGCGCCGACTTGTCCCTACCCACATCGAGATCCCCGAATACCCAACTGAAGTCGAGCGCGACGCCTACTTCCATCCTTCCATCACCTCGAAAGTTCCATTGTTGTGGGTTCCCCGCGACGAGCTGGGTGTCAGCAAGCAGGAAGTTGAGCACACGTCTCGCGTCATTGACATCACGGACGAAGACGCCTTTATTGACGAAAAGGGTAATGTGCAATGGAACAGCGACACCGTTCCTCCTATCTACGAGGAGAAGATCTACTACTAGTCTTTTTTTTCTGCTTATTTCTAATTTTCTAATCTGTTGCGGTAATGATGTGTGCGATATATATGGAGCTCATGTGATTGCTTGATACCCTATACCTTATACCTTATATACATTGTTATACCTCGGTCTGACGTTGGTTGAATATACCATACGATAATAAGTTCCCTGCACTTGAAGCTATCAACATGATAATCGTCTTTTGTACTATCCAAGTCTCGGAACGGTATATTAGCTAACAATCCCTTTTTTTTTCGGCTTTCTATTTATTGTCTATACCTGATGTTTATATCCACGAATATGAAGACTCGTCTCTTTTGGCCTGATAAATATATACATCAATATGTACCTCGCCGTATTGTACCATACGAAACAGGAAACCCAAAACTGCATATTGCATACCTGTTCAGGCAAGTACAATTGACGTATCGGCGCTACTCGGTCTGTATTAAGTACAAAGCTATAATAGCAGACAGTGGTATCACTGACTCATCGCCGTGTCAGCTAACTTAGTTAACTAACTCGGTAGCTTGGTTAGTCAAGCAAGCTTCCGTATCGACCTTAAATACGTACATATATGTAGGCTCATTTTTTAAATGAATTACGGAGTTCTCCGTAGACGTCCGTCTTACTTATGGCATGAGGTTGTGTCATCGGTGCACGCGTATCCAGACGAACTGCTATATCACTGTTTTATTATTGAATACCGTAGGAGATAGGCGTTATATGTGGAGGATGTACTGCTGTATTGGGAAGGACTTTTGTCTGTGTTTGATGTGAGGACGGAGTACGTACATTCGTGTACTCCGGCCCATGTACATAGTAGGTACTACCTACGGAGATACGTGTGTAGATACGGTTTACTATTTGCCAAAAGAGGATGTAAGGGTACTCGATGTAGTCTAGATACGACTGTATACGACGTTGGTGCGATACGACCCTCTCTCTMCCTGCCGTTTTTTTTTTTCGTAGTTCGTATCTCGCAATTTTTGAGTCTTCATCAACTCGGCTCCATCACATCGAGATGAGGTGATCGATAAAAAGGGAAAAGGCCCTTATTTCCAATTCGAGACGCTGTCCAGAACTTCGACGGAGATGTGTAGAGTAAGCCCTAACCGCAAGACCGAAAGCTGCCTGGTGTGGTTGTGTAGTTCCTATCCACCGGAGCATTATACCCGCTTAGGCAAGTAATGCGAAGAGTGTCTGATCCTCCCCTCGCCATACCGTTACTGTTATCAAAAGCACGTAGGATGTTGGTCCTGGGCTCGGGCGCTATGTATATCCTGTTCTGGAAATAAATTCCATAAATAGTTAGTAGGTAAAACGATGTTGGCCCGTAGCGTCAATGCTCAACGCTCAAGCTTAACCTATTGCTGATGTTTAAGTTAGTTCATATTATAGGCAAAGTGATTATCCTGCGGCAATTCGTTTTGCCATGCTTACTTGAATGTGCCAAGAATAGGACTTACGTACCCCCTGCTCGATCCTCTGAGATGGGAAGTGTGCTGCCGGTAAGTCTGTAACGGTTGGATGACTGACATGTGTGCAAGTACGTACAGACTAGTCAGTACGCAGGATGAAACGAACGATGCGCTGACATGCCTCGCCCTGAAAAAAGCGGAATACGTGCCGGTGTTGGCCTACAGGCTACAGGGAAAGAGTACGAATTGGATGGTTATATACGAAGGCTTACGAGTCCTTCTTAAAATCCCATATCAAGGGCAGCACGTACTGTGTAAGTACTACGTCCTGGATTCTGTAACAACAAGCATCTCAATCATTGTCCTCATTCAGTAATTTGCCTAAAACGATCTAGTCTCCGCCCTCTGACTCGGTTAGTATGGGGTAACAGAAACAGAAAATTCGGAATTCTCGGAATTGTTCAATCCTTACAACTTCATTGGCGGTACGATACGGCGTTGTTACGGGTCTGTCGTGGTATTTCGTTTACAGGGTAGGGTGTATTGATACAGGTGAAAATAAAAAGAATTGCAAACTTGAAATTAAAGAGTGTATTTTCGATACGGGCTCAATTAGCGCGTTTTACTCATTTGGGATTGTTGTTCGTATTCTTCGTAACACTCGTAATCGTACATCATAAAAGCTGATCAACATGCAGATAAAAGAAGTATTGATACATAACACGTCATGTCTCGACACAGCATAACAGATGAAAAAGGAAACTGAAAGCTGACAAGAGATTGCACAAGTGTCGACAGAAGTCAGTACCAATGGCTGACGATTGTAAGCCCTTCATAGACTCACAAAGCAAAAAGAAGACAAGAAAGGAAGACGTTCACCGCCGGAATTACATTCACTTGGATATGCTTCAGTTTCGCTGAAGCTCGCCGAGAATGGTACGGGGGAACTGACGCGACCACACATACAGGTCATAATCCTCGGATTCCGAAACATCGTCTACTACCTGCGCGGCCACATCGAACTCAGGAGGGTCGTTCTCCTTGTCTTCATCGTCGTGCTCAGGAACCCTGTCTTCGGACAGAGGAACCCAGGGCCCCGCATGACCTGCCATGCTGTCATTGTCGGTTGCTGCATCCTCGTCCTCCCAAATCTTGAACTTCCAGGATTTTGGAATGGTGGGCGCTTCGTCTGAAATACTGCCTATATCAGGCAAGGGTTCTTTGCTTTGAGGAGAAGACGGAGACAACGACTCCGTGATGCCTGGGTACGAAGACCCGTATAGCAAAGCGTCCCAGATCGAATAATCGTCCTGACCCAGGGTCACGGTATCGTCGTCTTCAGGTTCTGTCTTCTGCTTCTTCGCAGGAGACGCAACGGTCGACTCGGTCTCTGGGTCGGGGCTTTCTCGAACACGCTTAGGGCCTTTGCTGTCGTCGGAAGGTTTGTCGTCGTTTGACCGGGACTCTCCCATCTCTTTTGCCTGTTTCAAACTGTCAGCATATTGGACTGTCTTCAGCAGGAAGAGACGTCTTACCCATTTTTCGAGCTCTGTATGGAATTCGAAACTTTGACTACGCTGGTGCCCAGCCCCTGGCTGTCCGGATTTGACAGGTGTACGCCCAAGCAGCTATATTCGTGGGTCAGTACGATACTGTGCACGACTTGGTAAATCTTGGGAGTGGACAACTTACACCCCGCATGTTTGAGTAGTTCATGATGGCTTGCAGCCCCGAGTCATGTGCTGTAAAGCGTGACATCTTAGAAGATGCTGTGGAGTTGGGTAAGAAACGAAATAGCATCAACGAAGGAAAGAGTTGAAAACGAGTATGGAGGGGTAGTGAGGAAAGAGGAAGAAGAATTTGGACTCGACCTCAAGTCGTTTAAATAGTCATTGGGGCATCGTGAAGGTATCTCAGCTTGAGTCACCGGGCACACTCTTTTCTAGCTGGAGAAATGAGCCTCATCAAATGATGGCGAATCACACAGTTTAGAGAGATTGCAAGGTTTCACGGAGTGCCCAGGTGACAAAGCCGTTTGACTCTAAAGTTGACAATGAAAGATTATCAAATGTGAGTATCTCATCAGGAGAAAGAGAAATAAGGTGGTGCAGATAGGTAGTGCTGAGAGGTTTTGCTTGTCATGAATAAAGCCAACTACCACTCACAGATTTAAAAAGTCAAAGACGGGCGGTGTCGACTCGAGAATTGAGGGGATTGTCAGAGATTTGATATTGAGAGAGTTGGAGCTGTTGGTCGAGGTGGAAATTACGTTCGCTGACCGGTGACCTGCTCCTTCCGTTCTGGACACACGCCACTACCTCAGGCCTAAACTTCTATCAGTCAAACGCAAATCCCAATCTATTATCTTTGATATTTACAGCAATACTAAACGTCGATTATATCCGGTCTACCATTTATCAAGTCATGGCAGAAAAGGTCGGCAGCTGCGAATCGACATATTGGGCGAATCTCTTCATAGCATGACTCAAGCTTCGACTGATGATACTCGTTAATGTCAAACATACTAGCAAACTTAGACAGAGTAGGATATGGTCACTCAGTCTATTGTGTAGGTGAGCAAGTGAATGGCCACGACAGAATCAATGTAATCGTCGAGTAGCGACTAGCCAAAAGCTCACCCAAAGCTTGTAAACATTAGCTGAAAGGATAAATGTACATTCTTACATTAAATAATCAACCTTCAACCAAGATTACGAAAGTGTGATAATATCTAAAGAGTGTTTTTCACAGCTTCACAGTAAAGTGAGGTTGACATAAACGTTGGAGTTAGGGCTAACACGATAAAATTACTTAGTTAGGTAATTCTTACGTGGCATTGTCATTCGTTCTTTCTTCTCTGGTCACTGCCACATCTCCGTCTCTACAGTACGTCTAAACTCTTGCAATGCTTATAAATTCATTCTCTCTGATGCACTCTAGATGTAAATCCGTCAATTACTTACGCCACACGCTCGATGTGGTTTGTCAAGCTGATCCAAAAGTTCAACTCGGTCTTGAGTTAAATTCGAATATTCACCATCAACGACAAAAGCTATCCATCACTTACATAACTTAGGTTGAGATAGCCCACTATTATATTGCGTACAGAGATTACTCCATCATACTTAGGTCTTTTTACATTCAACAGGTCATCATAAGAGAACAAGGAAAAGGATTCAATCCATGCACAGGACTCGTATAGACCTACACACACATATTTCCTTAGTAATCAATTAAACAGACGAAGAACTAAACTATCAATGCTCAGCTGGTCTATGCTGTGCGGAAGATGCAGAAATATGTGCCCGCAGACGGCACGGGCTGCACTCACTGCGTATGCAAATGCAATGCAACTCCAGCCAACGCTCGTCCCATTTTATGTTTTAAAATCTTCCGGCCGATCACAGGAAGTAACTAAAAGGCTAGTTTCAAGGATTTTTAGCTGGTACGTGCGTATCCTGATTAACTCAATAGCGCCATGTTCGACAAACAAAGAAACCCTCTCCCTTTGACATAGACTCTTCGGCGACATCCGACCCGATATTGACATATCAAGGAATTGTCAAAGCTATACGAGCTTTGGCCACGCGTGGACGACTTTCTTTTGTCTGACGTTCTTAGTACCCCTCGGTCGGTCGGTCTACTTACATCGGTTAGGGCAAGCCGAGATATATCAATTTGATATCATCAAACAAAGAATCTGCGGTCCTGCATTCCAGCTCCATACCTAGCTTGCAGTATCGCTTTACAGAACTTGTATTAATAAGAAGAACTTGGTCAGGAGAGAGCAAGTTCCTGTTTTGGAGGTTTGGCCGATGTAGTTGTGTAACTTGCTACGGTATCTACAAGAGGTGGAAGTTGGAGTAGTGCGTGTGCATATTTAGCACGGAGGAGAGACGGGTAGAGAGAGAGAGAGAGAGACGTAAAGGTACTCGATCGGATAACGTATCCGCCACATACAACCTTAACAAGGGAGACAAAAGGAAGAAAGAGGGCAATGCATGTAATACGTACTGCCGGCCTCATCGGATCGAGCTGCAGAAATGTTCACGGTCAAGTGACTGTCGTTGTCTACGAGCCTCGGCTGCCACGTCAGATACTCCCAACGGCCTAATAACATAACCAGCACTGAAGATTCTCGGCACCTCATATAATTCAATACATTGAAAAGTCTCAATACATTTCGCTAAGCATAGCATACACCTAGAGTCAGATGCAGTCCGCCAATCTAGTAGGCAAGGTTACGTACCCCTCTTACCCACTGGCTGGCTACCTGCGTAACGTATCTGACCTGTCACTTGTTCAGTCCAGTTTCAAAAGCGCTGATCGTCGCTGCAACTGCCCTCTTCTCTTTCCGAGCACAAAAGTTTCTGCCTGATATCTGAAAAATCCGGGTTGTACAGCGTGCTACTGGGAAGGAAGCAAGTTTGTCGATTGGCCAGTATCCGATTCGTTTCTGTGACAGACTGCTGTCACAGACATACTGTGTACAATGTACAATGTGTAGTACCTACTGTTTGAGGAAAGTCAAAAGAAGTCAAAACGGAGATTGACATACTTTAGGGTTCCAGGTGGATCTAACGGCGTCTCGCGTAGAAAGGTTAATGATCATCTCAATTTTGAGGAGAGTTTTCGATCCACTTCGCAGTGTGTCAAAGCATACTCAGGATTCAAAGTTCATGATTCAAATTCAATCAAGCATACAGTGTGTAMAAGCCACTACGCATGTCATAAAATATTGAAGATCAGAGCCGATCTACGTGGGTTTAGGCCAATAGATTGTATTGTTTGAATAACTTGTTTCATGATTTCCCAGATAAAACGGGTTCCCAACGCCATACCCGTCAGAGTATATGTATGTATGTAAGCAAGAAGGATGGATGAGGGCATGTATGTACTGAAGCTGAACGTGATCGCTCCAAGACAGAGAAGAAAAATGAATGATGAATCGCCAAATAAAAATGATTGTGCTCGCTAAAATGTATGCCAAATATGAACGATGATGATGCAAAGATGCGTGCTGAGATGAGTAGATTAATGCAAAAAAGGAATGAATGATGTAAAGCGAGGATGTAGATCACATCCGGAATCGATTCGATCGGAATGCCGTTATATCGATCGAAATAGAAGAATCTGATACCGCATCATCAACCTCGATAGTCGCCGAACCCGGCTCAGGCGGCTTATCGTCCTCTACCGTGTGAAGCTGCTTGAATCCAGAAGAAATTTTCGGAGAACCATCCATCTGCTCCTGCGCTGCTTGTCGCTCCTTCTCTTCGCGTAGTCGAGTCGCTTCCTGCGTAGCTGTTTGAAGTACAATCTTGAACTTGGCGAGCATATCCTCTAGTTCCTTTGCACAATCTCCCGTGCGAAGGAATTGATGAGCGGCAGTCTCACACAGGCTCTGTGCAATATCTAACTGTTTATCGGCAAATTCAAATGCAGAATCGTTCTGATTGTTGTTGTTGTTGGTGGTGGTGGTGATGGTTGGTGCTCCGTTAGTTCTCCTTCGAAACCCTTCCAGAGGGGGCAGCTGCAATCCGCGAAGCGATTCGCGCGATCGGCTAGTAGCAGCAAACATGTCCAGTCCATTGGTCGATTTTCGCATCAGCTGCGACATCTTGCCTTTACGGAGACAATTGCGGGCATTTCCTATATCGCGCACCGTCTGCTCGAGCTGGGCTTGTGTATGGCTGTCGTAGTATATGATCAATTGACGACGCATGCGGACCATAAGACTTGTGTTGTCCCCGGACACATTAGACGCAGCATCGAGGGCCGCCCCAGATGGTTTCAATAGCAAATCAGAGCCCGGTCTGATCGAATGTACAGAGCTATTCTTTTGTCGTCGTTGTGTTGTTGATAATTGACTGTGTGTTGTAGCGAGACGTTTGAATTCTTCGGAAAATTCGGCCTGTTTCCGTGAGGTGTGCGCTGCCAATTCCGTGACTCGAGTGATCCAGGACGGTACGCTGTCGCTGATGGAGGTGAAGCATTGCAGGGCGTCCATGGGGTTGGCAGCCATATTTTCTGCAAGCACCCTCTTTTTTTAAAAGAAGAAAAAAAGGTCTTCCTGTCAAGCCGGTAATTGGTAAGTTTGGTAGTCGGGTCGGGTCGCGGGAAAGGCGTGACAGGGGAAGGGCCCAAGACACAACGAAGTGCTGGGCAGAGTGTATTATATTTCAAAGACTCTGCGGTCTCGATGAGATGATTTATGAATATCACCTCATACGAGAAAACAATTCAAAACACTGGTTGAGGTGGAGTCCAAGGCTTGATAAAGAAAAAAGAAAGAAGGGTAAAGGAAGAAAGAAAGATCGATCGGAGTTCTTGAGAAAGAGACGGCTTAGCCTAGTCGATGCCAATTAACTTAGAGGGGGCCGAATGTCAGTATGGAGTAGTGCGTGGAGGTAGCTCTTAATAGAATAGATGAGTTATAGCAGTACCCTTATTCTGTTTGTTATTGACCTGGGTTGTGTGCTCATCTATTTTGACTTGCTGCGAATCCATGACCATAATATGTATTGTGAGGAGACAGGAGCAACGAAGGGCAGTCTACAGTGTACAGAAGAATATGAAAAGGTCAAGATGAAATCAAGAAGTATGTAGTACACATCTGCTCAACGATAACTCATCAAACAGCAGCCCAGACCAACTGACTCGAACAATGGCCCTCAAACGAATCGCAAACCAGGATTAAAACTAGCGTCCTGCCAATCCGACGAGTGAGAGAAAGGAGGAAACCACATCCCAACAAGTCCGGCGCATTTGCAACGCGGCTGGCTTGGCCTTAGCTTGCTTTTTCCCTTGCTCCTTGACCTCGCCAGCTCTGAGATGTGATTCGGAGGCTGTACGCGGGCTTGTGAGGCTAGATGCTACTTACGTACGATGTACACTGGGTTGATGCATCTAATCATGCATCTCATTGAATTCGGAGATGACAGTGGCACCCCTCGTCTATCTCCTCGGAGAATTGAATGGAGCGAGTTGTTCGGTTATCTCGGCGTTGTTTGTTCACTTCTTGGGAGCACGCACTGGAACATTAGGGATTTTGTTCCTGACATGATCGAGAGAAGGCAGGGACGATAATCAAGCGGTGAGTACAGATCCATGACCTTACACAGACAACTATACATATCTTGGGGTAGTATTATATGCATTGCGGAATGGATAGCGTGCAGTCTGGTTGACGCAACATACATACATAGAACGTAGGTATAGTACTATGTAGTACGTATCCATCAACGAGTCTAGAAGCATGGACGTAAAACTGAATCGAGACGGCAAGAAAAGAAAAGGAAAAGGAAAAGGTTCGGCTGTTCCCGACTCCCGGAAAGTGGGGATATCGCCATCCGCGCCAATGATCAATTTACTCTAACTTGATTACCAACAATGGTCTTTGTCTAACTCATGGTATGCTACTACGTACTACGTAGTATAGTAAAATGGAATACATGGTCCCCATTTCCTGGTTTTGAACATGCATGCACGTAATTCAATCCCTCGGCGACAGTATGATGTTATCGATCAGACGCACCGCAATCTTATCGTCGCCAACCCCTAGCTTCTCACCTGTTTGGGCTTCTTCAATCGGCAACATCTTCACTGCGCCACTCAAAATAGCTCCCCGACGAGCATCAATCGTATCAACCTCATCAAGCGATTCCGGATCCGCAAGGGAGATGTAGTCCACTTCAAACAGCGCCCGCTCCGATGGCTTCAATCCCTTTTGTTCTAATAGTTTGTTATTTGCAACTTCCGTCGCAGCCCCTAGTATATCCTGCCGGAAAACTTTGCCGTCCCTAAAAGCTTTCTCTGCAGCGCGCAATGCCTGGGATAGTACGAGGCCAACGTTTCTTCGACGGCTGCCGAGATATACATTCCGCGAACTCATTGCCAGTCCATCCGGTTGGCGAACGGTGGGTCCAATCCGTACATCGGTATCAATGTGAAAATCCTTGACCATTCGCTTGATGATAACACATTGTTGCACATCCTTCTGGCCAAAGTACACTCGGTCCGGCTTGACAATGTTGAATAATTTGGTGCAGACTGTCGCAACACCCCTAAAGAAAACAGGTCGAGATGCTCCCTCTAGCTTGGTAGCAAGCGGTGTGATTGTGACAAAGGATCCATGACCATTGATTTCTGAGGACGGTGGCAGTGTTGGGTACATGACTTTACCCGTGGGCGCAAAAATCGCGGTGATAGTACCCCCTCCTGAGCCACTGGCCGAACTTCCTCCCTTTAGTTCAGTGTTGAGCCTCTCCAATTTCTCCAAGTCTGCCTCCCAAGTTCGCGGATAACTGCCCAAGTCCTCGTTCACTCCGAATTGAGTCGGATTGACATAGATGCTCACAAAAATATCCGAGTTTTCGGCAGCCGCTTGTCGAATCAGAGACATGTGACCGTCATGCAAGGCGCCCATCGTAGGAACTAAACCGACTGTACGCATTGGTTTTTGCAGCTGGCGCCGGTGGTCGCGCAGAGAGGAGACATCGCGGAATATCTCAAAGGAGGACGTTTGTACTAGTCGTTTCGCACCGCCATGGAGGCAGATGGTGGCGGCGGCAGCTTCTGAGTGTCAGTGTCTATAGCAAGTGCATATGCAAGATGACGGGCAATTTACTCACTTTTCCATGCCGCCCGCGTAGAAMTTAGCATGCTTCCGTTCGCAGTTTATAGACTGGTAACGCTCATGCGAGAGAAATGACGTTGTAGTTGTCAGCTTGCGCGGGGCAGACGATATGGCCCTCTGAGAGCACACTTCGCGGGGATATAATTTAGAAATGAAAAAGAAATAAGAGACAAGCAAGCTTCATAACCATCATGCCATGGTTATTTATAGCCGATTGACCGTTCATCGACTGACTCACAGTCACGATATACTTTGCACTGAGTCCGTTTGAGGCAACCACCAAAAGAAGCAAAGAAAGAAGAAAATCACAGCTTCGGACAGCTTCGGAGCTTCAGCCAATGGCCTGCCCGGCGGTCAGTCACGTGACGCCATTCGCCGCGCCGAGGTCCAGCGCTCTCCGCATAATGTCGGGCGATCAGCCGGGGTCGATTGTCAACATTGGTTCAACCGCCTCAACGAAAGCTAAACTACAAAGTCGGCATGTCGTCCGTCAATTCTCTCGGTCGAATTCCATCCTGACCGGGTACTGATGTGACCTGTTCCTGACCGTTTGTTTACCTGCTGCAGTCTACATGGATATATCGTTGGGCTTCCCTCACCGACTACTCTGACTTCACCGACCTACCAATCACTCCAATCGCACCAAACATGTCCTCCAAAAAGGACGCCATTGACGCCGGCCAGACAGCGCCCGATCTAGAAATCGTCGGAGACCAGGTGACAATCCATCCGTCCGGATTCACTGGTGGCTCCGACAGCCAAGAAGATGATGCCATCACCGAGCGCAATCTGGTACAACACATGGCACGATTCCGCGAAAACCCGTTCGATTTCTTACGTGAAGTCAGTCTATTCGTGTCGGGGACTGGATGGCGTGCATACGATTCGGTGATCGGTCAACCGATTTACTACCCCGGGTATTCGGATAACATTAAGCGTTTGATCGTGGAAAGCCCTTTACTACGGAACAAGGTGACAGAACTGGCGGAGGCGAGGCTACAGGTTGAACAATCCGAGGGCTGGTATGGTGAAACACCAGATGCAGTGCAGAAAGCGAGATCGCGCCGGAAGACCGAGATTATACAGAGCTTGCGGGATGTGGTGGACAAAATGATGGATAATATGATTTGCAAAATGGATAGCAATGCGTTCATCCGTAGCGCATATTATATTGCCACCCAGCTCCTGACCCGAGCATACCACCAAGGTGAGCGGTCTACCTGTGTAATCATTGAATACGTACTAACTTGGACAAAGGCATTCACGTGTCCAGCGAGGAAGTCCTCCGGTTACGGTCTGTTGCACAAGCTGCAGCGGAAAAGAAACAATCAATTGTCTTTCTGCCCAACCACAAGTCCCACGTCGACTACGTGTCCTTGCAAGTGATTTGCTATCGACTCGGAATAGCCTTGCCGATTGTTGTCGCGGGAGACAACCTCAATATTCCCGCTGTCGGAGCGTTTCTGCAACATGCAGGTGAGAATAAAACTTCAGTTACGCTAGTTTCAAATTACGGTGTACTAACAGTCGGCTGACCAGGTGCGATGTGGATTCGCCGCAGCTTTGGTGACGATCAACTGTATACCACTTTGGTGCAGACGTATATTGATGTCTTGTTGCAGCAAGGCTACAATTTTGAATGCTTCATTGAGGGTGGTCGTTCACGTACAGGCAAATTGCTTTCTCCAAAGTTCGGTATCTTGAGCTTCATCCTTGATAGTCTGTTGTCTGGCCGCGTCAAGGACACTATTATATGTCCTGTCAGCACACAATACGACAAGGTGATCGAAACAGAGTACGTGCTATGTTCGATTTCAAAGAAATACGTACTGACCAGCTGCAGATCATATATCAGCGAGCTTTTAGGCCAGCCCAAGCAAAAAGAGAATCTGGCAAACTTTCTCTCACAGTCGTCTGTTCTGTCGTTGAAGCTGGGCCGAGTTGACGTCCGCTTCCACGAACCATGGAGCCTCAAAGAGTTTCTAGTACAACAATTACAACGCATTCAAGTGTCTCAAGCCCTGGGATCTAGCATTACATTGAGTTACTCTGACAGAGGACGCGTTCTACGGGCGTTGGGCTACAGAGTCTTATCAGACATTAACGAAGTTTCCGTGATGATGCCTACTGCATTGGTTGGTACAGTTCTACTTACCCTACGAGGAAGAGGTGTTGGTAAAACAGAGTTAGTCCGCAGGGTCGAATGGCTCAGCGAACGAGTTCGCGTAAAGGGTGGTCGTGTAGCGCACTTTTATCGTGCGCCCACCTCCCAAGTCGTTGATCGCGCACTGGACGTTCTAGGCCCCAAGCTAGTTGGCGAAGTCACTGGTTTGGCAGAACCGACCTACTATGCGGTTGATCGATTCCAACTCTCGTTCTATCGCAATATGACGATCCACTTATTCATACCCGAAGCTCTGGTTTCAGCCGCAATGTATACAAAGGTGAAGCAGGGAGGTGGTCCAGCGAATCAGGATATCACATATGAGGCTCTACTAGACCAGGTCACATTCCTTTCCCAGGTAAGTTCTATTGGTCATCAGCAATTAAAGATTCATCTAACGTGAATAGCTCTTCCGAGGCGAATTCATCTTCCCGCCAGAAGGTCTGATTGCTAATCTGGAAAAATCTCTTTTTGGACTTGAAAAGGACGACGTCATCAAAATCACCAGAGACTCCTCTGGCACTATTACAGCAGTCGGTCTCAGCGATGCTGAGCGGCAATGCGGAAGAGAAAATTTCGATTTCTACTGCTTCTTGATTTGGCCATTCATTGAAGCTACATGGCTCGGTGCTGTTTCGTTAATGGGTCTCACACCTCCATTAGACGGGCCGTCGGATATTTGGGTGGATTTGAACAAAGCTCAGGATAGTGCGCAGCGGGTAAGCTCCGAGAACACCGCATGGAAGATCCAGATTGACTAACTTCACAGCTTGGCAAAACCCTCTACCACCAAGGCGACCTCTCATACTTCGAAGCCGTAAACAAGGAGTCATTGAAAAATGCCTATCAAAGATTCGCAGAAGAGGGCATCATTCTAGTGGCGCGGAGCAAGGATCAACCCAGGACTCCTGCCACCATTAGACTGGCCGCAGAGTGGACGCCAAATCGCTGTCCAAAGACGGGGAAATTATCTGATCGTGGCCGACTATGGGATTTCACAGAGAAGATTGCTCAATCGAGGCGCGAGGGGTGAGTCACTCCCTTCGAACATTGTTCCATCTTGTACTAATGTTAACTTCATCCAGCAAAAACCGTCGAGACGGAGCAACGGTCTCTTCCCGTGTCCTCTTCATGACCGACATTGTCGGCCGACAACTATTCCAAAGCGCAACCCGCTCCGGCGAGACAGAAGTCAATGTGTCGACACGTAAACCCCGAAGAACCGCTATTGCAGAGAAAGCGAGCTTGTAAAAGAATATCCAGGACAAGAAGTAGGAAGGTATCGTTATATGCAAGATTTTCCAATCTCGGTTCCGCTGCTTTCTGACGAAAAGCCTCCACATTAGGGATGGCTATTATTACTGCGAATACCCATAGTCTACTTTTATATTGTACGTATTATTGTTGAATTGACCCTTGTATTTTAGTTTAAGCTTCAAGTTCGTATATTTTACCCTACACGCGGAGTCCTTAGTCTATACACTTGATTAGGGCGGGATTAAGCATTGGTGCCATGTGGTCAGCTTGTCTTGCTACGCCCTTACCTAAGTTGTTTAGCCTACGTGTTCTTCAGACTTAGCCGCGCAGTCTAGTAGCAAAGCAGAAATGCAAAAGGATTTTCTTCAGACGTGCAGGCTGATAGTCGTGGTATTTAATTTATGTCTGGTGGGTGACTACGACTCCGATCTGGGGGCCAAGTGCGGACACCGCGGAGCATCCTGGCCGGCGTAAATACCCTTGAAGCCCTAAGAGTGGTCACTTTAATTCTTCACTAATGTCGCTAAATCCTGCTAGTTTCGAGTTTCGGGGTGTGCGGCGCCGCTCGTATTAACTTGGTTCTATGTGTCGATATCCGAGGGCATGGCATGTTATCGATGGAGCGGTTCGTACCGAATTGTGCGATATTCGAAGATTCTGGAGAATCAAGCTCGATATACCTCAGGGAAGATGCTAAAGTAGATGCAAATCATGCTTCTCTCGGGAGACCCGAAACTCAGGTCCCTGCGTATATACGCTGTAGCCTATAGATACATCTGCGAACTACTCCATCCCCTTAATAGGCCCTGATAATGATCCATCCAGATGGATCAGATCCCGCTCTATCATCCAAAATTTTCCGATTTTATTACAAGATTTCGAGAAATACGATTTGGATTAGACCCCTTTTCAAATTGATCAGTCTCTGTTTAGTTCGTATGGATTGACATGGACCTTGATCCGGCTTCGTCTGATGATGGGTGACTTGGCAACATCGAATCTGCACCTAGGTATGTAGCTACTTGAGTTAACGAACTTCTGTGGAAGTTTGGGCGCATTGATCGATACGGTCAAGCCATCGATGATACACGTAGTATGTAAATGTTCGTGGTGTCTAGCGTTCTTCATACACCTGCATTATACATCTGATACACGGTCCATTTCGTCTCTTCAGTGCGTACTGAGATAATAATAGATCCCCAAGCATGTACACTGTACGTAGAAAATTCGACCCCAATACTAGGATCCATCACTGCCACGTTGTATTAGCTCATATCATCAATCCCGGCCATAGTTCGCAGGAATTGGAAACCAACTATCGGACGGAGTATAAATTACCCTTACAGAGTAGTATTAACAGGGATATTGACTATATTACGAACATGCATAGTTAGTCTCACATTAGCTAAATGTTTAATTCGGCACAAGACAAGAATACAGGACAATCAAGGCGAAGACAGGCTGAGGGCTGACACCTGACAGCTGGAATTCGGCATCCGTGAGTCTGTGCTGGTGGGCTAGGTTTTGGAAAATAAAGTATATCATCTAGCCTAGTAGTATCAAATTGCTGTCTAGTTCTGTATATTGACACATTGCAACTCGGACAGGTTTCTCTCAATCCAAGGCTGCTGCTGTTGTCGTCGCCATGTTGCCAGTCATCGCGGCTGTCCTCGTAGGAGCCCTACTTTCCTACTTTCTCATCTTCCGCAGAAACTCTGGACCCCCTCTGCCTCCTGGTCCCAAACCTTTGCCTCTCGTCGGCAATGTCTTGGACCTTCCTCCGAAGGGTGTGCCAGAATACCAGCACTGGCTCACATTCAAGGACAAATATGGCCCCCTTAGCTCAATAACCATCCTTGGGCAGACCCTCATCATTATCCAAGACAGCAAGATTGCGCATGATCTTCTCGAGAAGAATTCGCAAAAGACTTCTGGACGACCTTACTTGCTATTTGCGAGTAAACTATGCGGGTTTGAGATGCTTTTGCCGGGGAAACAGTACAATACTGTGTTTAGGTTGCATCGGAAATTGATCCATCAGCAGATTGGCACCAGGGCTGTTACCGAAAGGTTCCGCGATATTGAGGATGTAGAGTCAAAGCGCATTCTTTTGAGGACTTTGGCTGCCCCTAACGATGTATTTGAGCATATCAAGACGTGAGTTCCTATCAACGTCGATTTGTTGACTAAGTATCAGGTACTAATCAGACTCTAATAGCGAGGCGAGCGCTATCATCCTAAAACTCACATATGGATACACGATCGAAAAAGATATTGAAGACCCCCTGGTCAGCTTGATCGAGCACATGATGGACAACTTTACCAAAGCATTTATCCCCATGAAATGGTCTGTGGACATCTTCCCGTTCCTACGATACCTCCCTGAAGTATTCCCCGGCATGTCATGGAAAGCCACAGCCCGTAAATGGCATGCAATCAACCGCATGGTCATAAACACCCCGTACGAATTCGTCTTAAACCAGATGGCCAAGGGCACAAATCAACCATCTTTCGTGTCGGCGCATGTCGCAGAATACCAAGAAAAGGGCGAGCAGATTGCGAAATCGGAACAAGACCACGAAACTGCTATTAGAGAAGCGGCTGCAGCCGTGTATGCCGGTGGTGCCGATACCACAGTCACGGCCTTAATTGTCTTTTTGCTAGCAATGATGAAGTTCCCCCACGTCCAGAAGAAGGCCCAAGCCGAAATCGACGCTGCGATTGGCGGTTATCGATTCCCTACCTTTGAAGACCGCGACAAACTTCCCTACGTCAGTGCCCTAATCAAAGAATTGTTACGTTGGTCCCCCGTTGTACCGGTCTGCGTTACCCACGTCACTACCGACGAGATTGTCTATGATGGTTATCGCATCCCCAAGGGTTCGTACGTCCTTCCCTCTATCTGGTGGTTTGCGCACGACCCCAAGACATATTCCGACCCCCTGACCTTTGACCCGGACCGATACTTTGCCCCTCGCAACGAACCCGACCCATCAAGCGACGTTTTTGGCTTCGGTCGCCGAATTTGTCCTGGTCGCTACATTGCGGATGAGAGTCTATTCATGACTGTGTCTCGTCTTTTGACCGTTTTTGATGTCAACAAGGTCCTCGATGATCAGGGCAAGGAGATTGAGCCTGAATGGGTGACTACACCTGGATTGATTAGTCGGCCGCACGATTTCCCGTATAGCATTGTGCCGCGCAGTGACAGGCATAGGCAGATGATTGTCGATATTGAGGCGGAGCATCCGTGGGAGAAGAGCGATGCCGACCTTCTCAAGGGACTTGAGATTGAGCATTAATCCAATATAGCAAGCTCATATACAGAGTACATTGATTAGGTTTCCGGGCGTTTTACACGGTGGGAGGCATTCCGATATGGATTAGAGTTGAAAATTAGTCATTTCTGCGATTTGTTCTTCCTTGTCTGTTTCAAATTTGTTGCCTGTTTTTTTTCTTTTGATTTTAGGTTTATATTAGCCACACGAACCAATTATTACATCCTTGCCATATTCATCGATATCTTAACCCCTACTAAAAGCACTTAACCTTGAAACCCTAAGGTCGGGGATGATAAGCCAACCAGCTACACCCAAATAGGAAATAATTTCCCAACGCGATAACTGATAAGAAACCCAAGATCCCCATATACTCGACATGTTTCCTAACTCTATGAATATGACTCAATAGAACTTGGGGATAGGCGAGTCTCTTATCAGGCCAAGACAAGTGGGCTTGTGGTTCAATGGATTTGATGGACGCTGGTGGAGAGAATGGGTTCTAGCTTTAGGTCATGGCTCTGTTGCCAAGAGAGCTAAGTGTGATAACGAACGTTTGACATATGGGTTTGATGGATGCAGATAAAGCTGTATGGAGCTACTGAGGTTTGTTTGCTGGGTGATTATATAGGTGATGCTCCCCAGGTCCACTCTATTCGAAAACTTGGAGTTCGTACCCGTACCAAGGCATCTAGCCAGTGACTTTATCTGGTGGACAGTAACAATCAAACATGTCAGCTGTACGCTTCTACCATACCTTTGAGATAATTGCTGCATACTAACCTCAGCAGCCGGCATACAACTCCTCCGCTCCCAACGGCGGAAACCCGCTAGAAGTAGACGTCAACGCCCAATATGCCGGCTACGAATTTAACTACACTTATATCGTGTTTTGCGGCTTCATTGTCTGGCTCATCATTCCGGGCATTGGGCTGCTCTACGGGGGTCTGGCGCGAAGAAAGTCTGCTCTAGCGCTTCTGTTTCAGTCGTTGATGGTTGTGGCTGTGTATTTCTCTTTTGCTCTAGTTGGTTAAGAGACAAGCTGATGAGTCTAGGACAACGTTTCAATGGATGTTCTGGGGATATTCACTCGCTTTTAGTCGAGATGCTGGTCCCTTCATCGGTAGTCTCAGCGCCTTTGGAATGAAGAATGTCCTCGCTGCGCCCTCGCCGAGCTCAAATGTGCTTCCGGAAATTGTTTACTGTCTTTACCAGCTGCTGTTCTGCGCTTGCACGGTATGTCGTACTTATCTTTGAAGATGAATTTCATGTTAAATGAATAATTGTCAGGTCATGATCGTCGTCGGCGGCGCCTTCGAACGAGGAAATATCATCCCCTCCCTCATATTCAGCTTCTTCTGGGCGACCATTGTCTACTGCCCCATTGCCTGTTGGACCTGGAACGCTAATGGTTGGCTCTACAACCTCCCATCTTTAGACTTCGCTGGTGGTGGTCCGGTGCACATATCCTCTGGCTGGGCGGCGCTTGCGTATGCCTTTGTCTTGGGGAAGCGCAAGCACCATGGAGAACATACGCATGGGAAGCCGCATAATACGACATTGGTGTTTTTGGGAACGGTGTTGATCTGGTTTGGATGGTTTGGATTCAACGTAAGCCTCTATCTCTTGATGGTAAGAAGATGGTTGATGCTAATCTGATACAGGGAGGCTCTGCTCTTAACGCATCTGTCCGAGCCATGGTCGCAGCCTTCAATACTAACACCGCCGCCTGCACCGGCGTCATCGGCTGGGTTCTCGTTGACTACATCCGCAACAAAGGCAAGTTCTCGGTCGTTGGTGCATGCGAAGGCGCGATTGCAGGTCTCGTCGGCATTACGCCCGCAGCCGGCTATGTCTCTGTCTGGCTCGCAGCAGTCATCGGATTCATTACAGCTGTTATCTGCGCATCGCTACAAAACATCAATGAATGGATGCACATCGATGACGGAATGGAAGTATTCAAATTGCACGGTATCGGCGGCATTTGCGGTGCTTTTATGACGGGCATATTCGCTACGTCCTCCATTTCTGCGCTGGACGGTGTCTCGGTCTACCCAGGTGGCATAGATGGGAACGGAAAACAGGTGTATCTGCAACTTGCGGAGATTGCGGCTATTTCTGCGTATTCATTCACCGTCTCATGCATCTTGCTTTATATTCTCAAGCTGATTCCCGGGATGAACTTGCGGGTTGAGGAAGAGGCTGAGATGATTGGGCTGGATAAGGCGCAGTTCGTGGATGAGCAAATTGGGGATTGGAGTATGTTTGATACGGTGCCGGGGGTGATGGGGAAGAGTAATGAGTCGTCGGGAGCGACATCAATGGTCATGCCAATGCCGAAGAATGAGTCTACTGAGACGGCTTGATTGTGTCTTTTAGATGGGTATGTCGGTCAACTTAGATAGGATAGATTTCTTTCATTTAATGTACCTGCATTTCTCTGAAAACTTGGCTCCTGTATTTGAATCAATTAATCTACAAATTTGCCCGGTTCTCAAACCCAGCAGCAAAAGCTCCAGTCCTGATCACAGGAGGTCCAGCGAGAAACGCCGCAGCCTTCTTTCCAAAGGCCTGGAAATGCGCCGTGGTATGATGGACCTTGTGCACATCTTCATCGGCATATCTATTCAATTGTTAGTCAATGCAAAGCGTGTTGATGGCTATGAATATACTTTTCAACAAAAACAATTTGGTCTTGACCCTCTTCGTTCTTGGTCGTAAAAGCAAAGTAGCGCAAGAGACCCGGCTCGTTCTTCTGAGCTTCCTCGGTAAGGGTTTTGATTGCGTCGAGGGCCTGGCTCATTTGATCAGGTTTCATTCTACAATAATGGAAGCTTCGTCTTACGTCTTGAAGTTTGCCGTCTTGCACGGTGGCGGTAGCTACCAAATGGAGGGGTGCCATGTTGATATAGTTCTGTGGATATTTTGGATAACTATTGTAACTTGATCATGTATAAAATAATTGACTAAACGAAGTCTGATTCCACTCTTCTTATATACCCAGGAAATGACGAATACGGAGTTCCGGTGACGATACTTTAGTAAGCAGATTCTCGGTTATTCCTTGCTGACTGTAGACCATGTACCTAGGCATTTGCAGCTCCGATGATCCACCACTTACACGGTTGACGTTCCGGGATCTACCAGAAATGTCATCGCGGGGTTTGTACTGACGTAGATCGATACATAATCGGACGCGATTTCCTACAATTGGTGTTCAACTTCGAACTCGTGAATTTGGACGTTGCATTCTTGATTGCTTGATTGCTTTTGCGTTTTGCGTTTTGAACAAAGTTTGCCAGGACTTTGGACGTTGTCAAATGGACAAAGTCGAACGAGGCGATGTACGAAAGTTGACTCTGAGAAGCAGGTAACGTCTTTGTGGGGATGGTAATATTGGCATTTCACTCACACCATATATATCATAAAAAGCTTCGTATACAACAGATAGTGAACCTTGTTTCAGGAACACAATTCCAGGAGCATCACAGCGCGCTTTATAGATCTTCGGCCTTCACACAATGTGCCTCTAATAGCACAGTGATATCATTATAAGGAGCCTCCTTTCGACGAGGCATAATGTAGCCAATTATCGAAGATGGTTCAGCGCACAAGGTGGCACGAAGTACATGACAATTGCAGCTGGCGTCTAGTATATGAGTAAAATTGAAGGACATACTCTCCAAGGCATTTTCGATCTTAAACGCGTATTGCCGTCTCGAATCAAACCCTAGACTTATCCTATGTTGGCTGCTTTCCACTTCCCAGTTCAGCCAGTTTGAGAGCTCGTTTGAGACCGACTCAGCGGAATGGAAGTATGCACTGAAGATCATGTTCTTCATCGACACATAAACGTTTTGAGAGAGAGCAGTGAATATGGAATCGGCTGTGGGCGCTCCTACATGTAAAAAGTGTATGCACGCCAGTAGAAACGTTGTAGAGTACTTGAAGACTTGGAGTTGATTATATAGCCTTGGAAATTAGTGGTAATTCTGAACTCTCTTCTATTATTGGCTACAACTCTCTCCATAGCCAATCAAAGCAAAGAGATTAGAATTACCACTTCGTGTTCTATACATAAATTACCAGAAAGTCCGACTAAGGTGTCCCTTTTTGGTAAGGCGGTAATATTTGAGTCAACACTTTGTCGCGCTGCACCTTCCTCTCCTTTCTTTGAATTATACTATGTATATTGACATTTTGACACGCATACAATGACACGACTGCAGTTGGGGGCAAAGCGTCGTTCAGGCTTATCTTGCCTACCAAGCTATTTCTTCTTCGACCTCATTCAGTCTATTCGTCCTCGACCCGTAAGTATGACGCATTTTGTCAACCCACGCAGTTACATTGGCGCATCCCCCCATAAACATATGATGAGTTCGTTCTCTAGAAGTAAAAGAATCTCTGGAAACACTCTTACACAGGTATAGATCTTGACCCGCATAATTATACCGATGGGAGATGGCTTCGTAATGACCAGAACGAGAGAGCTATGCGTTATATTGGTTTCAACTTCGATGCCCTTTGCGTGAGGATCCTTGAGCTATCCCCAGGAGCCAGCTCAATCTCAACTTGCAAAAAGATAGAAGGAGGATTTAATCGTGTTTTTATTTTCACCCTCGATAATTCCAAACGCATCGTGGCCAGGCTTCCCTTTACAATAGCTGGGCCATCAAAACTTGCCACTTCATCTGAAGTTGCGACGATAAAATACTGTGAGCTAGGATCATATGACCTTCGGATATCTGGGTGATGACTGATCCACACAGAGTACAATCTAAGACGAGTGTCCCGATCCCAACAATACTCGACTGGAGTAATGAGTCTTCAAATTCCATAGGAAGTAAATATATCATCATGGGACAAGTCGAAGGCATTCAGCTACACCAAAAATGGCCACAAATGGCTGGCGACGAACGGGTAAGGTGTATAGATGCAATCTACCGGAAGCTTAAAGAGGTAGTAGACTTGAAATTCCCTGATTTTGGCAGCGTGAATTTTCAAGCGAACCTGCGATACGACTGCAAAGGAATCTCTCTGGGCGGTGGATACTGTGTCGGACCACATGTTGGAACCAGATATTGGGATTGCAATGCCGGTGAACCGAGATATTATCATAATACCCAGCCAAATCAGGGACCATGTAGGTTGCCTAGGACATTACTTGCTTAACTTTAACAAGATTTCTTATATAACGCAGGGACTACTCTCGATCAATATTGCGATGGCCTTATTGATGCCGGCCTTTCTAGAATCCCTCTTAAGGATTCATCACCGGAAAAGCGGCCATCTTACCATGGCTCTGTTCAAGCACATTTGGACATTCTTGAGCGCTGCCGGTCTGTAATCAAGAAAATGTGCGCAGACCCTAGGATTCAAGCAGCAGCAACATCAACCTTGTTCCATCCCGATCTACACAAACGAAACTTATTCGTGTCGGAAAACGATCCGTCAAAAATAACAGGCTTTATTGATTGGCAGCCGACCTGCATCGAACCGGCGTTCTGGTACGCGGACGACGTGTCGGATTTTTCAATCTCGGGTGACACTGATTATAACCTGTGCGCAAAAGCATTTGAAGCCTGCACTCGATTCTTCACCCCACAACTTTCTGGCCCTAGATTGATGGACGATAACCTTTTCCGACCATTTCTCTATAGCTATAGAACGTGGAAAGACGGCGCTGCTGCTCTACGGCATGAGCTGATTGAGACCACCAGGAAATGGAACGAATTAGGGTTTACCGGCCAGAGTCCGTATTCCCTTTCATCACCAAACGGACTAGTGGAACATGAAAGGGAGTACAAGTTATTTGTAGCGGCGCAAGAATTGAAACAGGACCTAGCGAGCCTGCTTAATACCGCGACGGATGGATGGGTTCCCATGGAAAATTGGGAAGCGACTGAGGTAGCCCACAGGGAGATTTTTGAAGGCATGCTGACTGCCGTTTTAACGAATAAAGACCCGGAGAATCAGGAGCCGGTGAAGAATGAAGCAGTCCTGAGATCGATATGGCCATTTGACCTTGCGTTTGAGGCCAGTTAGGGATTTATTGGGACTCGCTCACAATTTAGTACTGTACTATATCAAATTATGAAGTTGTAGCCTTTGAGGTGGAACTTCTCGTATTGTATGAACAGTGAAGCACGGGTCAGCCCATTCAAACCCAAATCCTCAGCCGCTCCTGGAAAATCCACTATTCCCCAACATCAAATCTAAAACTGTTTGAATTGATGTTTAAATATAATTTAAGTGCCAACGCTGAGCCAGAATGGGCACTAATGCGAACCAATGAAATGCTCACAACTCTTGATAGTGGGGGCGTCGAGTTCAGCTCTGTCGACTGCCATGATAGACGTTTGGATCTCGCTCGTGATAGTTCTAATTCAGCTGACGATATGTGCCTGAAATTATATAAGTAGCGGTAATTCCTTGGAGGTTGCGCGAAGAAATTGGTCAGTGTTGAAAAAGAGGCGCGGGGAGCCAAATATACAACATGCTGCTCTATATCATTTCTCTCCCACTCGTTCTCTTCGCGACTGTTCGTACCTATAATCTCATCAAAAACTACAACTCTGCGCGCAAATACGGGCTGCCCATCATCCTTCTACCAGTCTCATTCGAAGATGTATGGTGGATAATCATCCGCCCCCTTTTCGCCTGGGTCGAACGTCTACCCCTGGGTCTCGGCGATTGGTATGTCTACACCGAAATGGGCTGGCCAACAGTCGACGGCGACCGGACAACCAAGCGATTAGGCGAGAATTTTGTTCTCTGTTCTCCATACAGCAATCACATCATCACCTGTTACCCTCCCGGAGCCGAGACCATCTATAGAAATCACAGTAAATGGCATTTCCCACCAGCGCAGTCTCAGATATTTGCGTTTTACGGACAGAACGTTTCGTCGACGACAGGCGCAGATTGGCAGAGACATCGGAAGATTACCACAGCGGCATTTAATGAACATTTCATGCACGAGGTGTGGAGCGAATCGACTAAAAAGGCTGCGCTTCTCAATCTGTCGGAGGAAAAAGATCGAAGACTCGACCGGGTTCGCTCCACGTTTGATGTGCTTGCGATGAATGTGTTGGCAGTTGTCGGCTTCGGTCAAGAACGGCTAATGAATACGGCGACCGCTGGCCATAAGCAGTCTTTGATGGAATGTTTGGGCTTTATACTTCAGCATATTCTACTCACAGCTATTTTCAACAGCCTCAAAGCTCCCGATTTCTTACTACCCGGTGTGCTTCAGCATTTGAAGCAGTCTGTTGGTGAGTTCAAGCTGTACATGGAGGAATTGGTGCTTCATCAGATGCAGCAGTCCTCGTCTGCCAGCAAGAACAAGGCTTCACCGCCAACTCTTCTCGAGGCAATGGTCAATGCCAACGAGGCTGAGAAACAGCAATTGCAAAAGATGGCCGGACGCCCTTCGTACTTGACTGAGTCGGAGCTTTATGGTAATCTCTTCGTGTTCAATCTGGCTGGTTATGAAACCACGGCATCGACCATGACATTTGCCTTGTCATTTTTGGCGACGAATGCGGAAGTTCAGAGTTGGATCGCAGAAGAGATTGACCTCTATTATACCTCGCAGAGTGATGAGAAGCGGGAATACGCAACTACATATCCCAAACTCGTCCGGTGCATGGCATTGATGTACGAAACTCTTCGTCTCGCCAGCCCAGCGCCATTACTTGTACGAGGCCCGTCATCCCCACAAGAACTCCCCATCATCCTACCAAACGGCGAAGAGGAAATCATCACCGTCAACCCCGGCACCCTTGTCGGTGGACATTTCTACGGCGGTCATCTGTCTTCCCGCTGGGGACCAGACGCACATGTCTTTAGACCGAAACGGTTCATCTCCAAGTCCGCTGTTACCGGCGAGGAAGAATTGGTTGTACCCTCCAACACACTGTTTATTCCGTGGTTGGCTGGGCCGCGTGTCTGCCCCGGCAAGAAATTCAGTCAGGTGGAATTTGTGGCGATTGTCGCACAGATCTTCTCAGAGTTTCGCGTTGAGATACTACAGGAAAACAAGGAGAGTGAGGCGGATGCTAAAGCTCGATTTGAGGGGGTGGTAGGTGAAAAGTATTTCAATGTAAGTACGCACTTGAAGAAGCCTGCAGACGGAGCGGTTCGCTTTGTACGACGGTAATTCGGGATTTGATTGGTTGGATCTAGACGAGTCACGTGGCGTCCCTGGCATATGATTGTCCGTGGAGTAGCTACATTCCTACGTATACGTATTTTCTTGCTGACACATTTCAATACAATCTAATAAATTCAATAAAATCTTGACTGCTTTTTGCCCTCCTAGCCCTCATCAAGATCAAAATGATCTACAGTCGCACAGTCCCTGAAACAGATGCTGACGGCGGAGAGATTTCTGTTGCAAAGTCGTACTAATTTATAAGTAACAGCAGACGTCATCGATGAGACGTCCAGTGCAACCCTTGTGGCGCCTCTAGTGTTTTTTTTAGTTTAATTAGTCTAATTAGTCTATCAATTGGCTGTCTTTCATCACGCGTGTGTCGCACCGTGTAGAGGGTTGCAGCGACGAGAAGAGCGTGGATCACAGAGGAACTTAAGCATGAGTGCTATAGATGTAGTCTCTTGTGAAAGAAGAAGAGGGAAGCAGACAGTGTACTACATACAATGTAGTACGCATAATGAGAGATGTATCTGTAAGTAAAATACGGTAATATTACAAATAGGTAAGCCCCGTTTGCGGACGTTGAGTCCCAGGCCAATCAGCCACGACTGTCTCAGTCTCCCTCCTTCCTCTATCTCGATCCCTCACCACTTGGACTTAATTTTCCTCAAACCAGTCCCTCACCGGCTGTCGTCATTTAATCTACATAGTATTAATTTGTGCTTCTATTAACAACTTACCACCGGTTGAAACAGCCTAGACCCTCTTCTCGATCCAGTCGTTTCCTCTCGCCGTCGCTCTCGCTTGCTCTATCGACTCGCTATCTATAACTCCGTACTTTGTTTCGATCCACCGAAATCAGCACTATTACTCCCCGCAACATTCGTTTCCTCTATCGTTCTTGACGACGCCTTTGCAATCGTTCCTTCTCTTCAGCAGGTCCTGTAGAGGAGCCCTATCTCGAAGACAAAGTGAAACCAACAAAGGAGATCATATCACTCGCTCAGCCTGCTATCGTCTCTCCCTCCGCCACCCAGTGACTCTCACGCCATCTATATCATGCTGTTCAGATGAACAGTCTATTTTAATACTCTAAACACCACCAAATGGGAAAATGTATGTTGCCTTGCATATTTGACTGAATCATTACTGACCTGTTCTCAGGGCGATATGGCGTGATCCTGGACGCTGGTTCGTCTGTATGTTGACACCCAAAGCGACTGCTCGACTATTCGACCCAGCTAACATCCATAGGGGACGCGTGTGCATATCTATCGATGGTTGAATAATTTCAAGGCGCGCCAGAGCGATGACCCGCATAAGTTGACATCGCTCCCCGAAATAACTACCAAGGAGGACTGGACGAAGAAGATTCAACCTGGTACGACTTTTTCATCGAGCTTGGTACTTACACATCTGTATTAACCGCTTTCAGGTATATCGACTTTCGCCGACAAACCGGAACTCGTCGGACCTGACCATCTGAACGACTTACTTCAACATGCTCTCGACGTTGTGCCGGAAGCTGCTGTCAAAGACACCCCCGTTTTTCTATTGGCCACCGCTGGCATGCGACTATTGAGCGACGTGCAGCGAAACCAGATTTTGAATAACGTGTGTTCGTTCTTCCGCTCCAACTCGAAATTCCTACTCCCCGAATGCGATATACATATACAAGTCATACCTGGTGAGACAGAAGGTCTTTACGGATGGATTGCTGCAAACTACCTGCTGGGAAGTTTCGACTCGCCAGAAGATCACGCCCACGGAAAAGAGCATCATACCTATGGCTTTCTCGACATGGGAGGTGCATCCGCCCAGATTGCCTTCGTGCCGAATGCCACAGAAACCGAAAAACATGCCAATGATCTTAAATTACTGAGGTTGCGAAATGTGGATGGCTCTACTCAGGAGTTCAAGCTGTTCGTCACGTCGTGGTTGGAGTATGGTGTTCGCGAGGCGCGTCGTCGTTTCGTTGCAGCTATACAAGAATCGGTTGGCTCGCCTGATGTCAAAGAATACCCGGATCCTTGTCTCCCAGCCGGATTGCGAACGACGCTCGATGGTAAATTAGCGGAAGATGCGCCTGAGGAACCGCTCTTGCTAGGCACAGGACGCTTCGATGAGTGTATACGCCAGACATACCCATTGCTTGACAAAGACGCACCCTGCGCGGATGAGCCTTGTCTGTTACATGGCATTCACGTCCCCGCCATCGACTTTGATGTCAATCATTTCGTCGGCATCAGCGAATATTGGCATACTACACACGAAATTTTCGAAATGGGATACAAGGACAAAGCCTACGACTTTAATACCTATCAACAAAGAGTTAGCGAATTCTGTTCCCAAGATTGGGATTCTATTAGCCTGGGTATAGGCGAGTCACGATGGGGTTCTAAAGTCACCGCTATCAAAGCACAAGAGGTTTGCTTCAAAGCTTCTTGGATCATCAACATGCTCCATAGTGGTATTGGCATTCCGCGAGTCGGCATTGAAGATACGGGTTCTTCTACCCATAATGGCACAAAAGAAGTATTACAGCACGGCAAAGAAAAAGGATATCTTGACCCGTTCCAAGCTGTCAACAAGATTGACTCTACCGAAGTCAGCTGGACGCTCGGCAAAGTCGTGCTGTATGCTTCATCTCAGGTTCCTGCTGTCGAAGTCAATGCTCTTCCTGTCGGATTCGGAAGCAATGAACCAGGCATCCCAAGTGACTTTCAATATCCTAGTGTTGAGCTTGTCCCCGGCCCTGGACCGGTGGCAGAAGAGAGCGAGAGTTGGCACGATACCTTATTTGGTGGAGAATCTCCTCGACGGGTTCCAGGCTTGCTTTTGTTCGTGCTCATCATCGTGATTGCATTGTTCTTCCTCTGTGGTCGTACCCGTCGTTCAAGGCTCTACATTAAAATACAAAACATGTTCAAACGCGGTGGAGTGCGAATGCGCCGTAAATATCCCGGAAAACTTTCATTCATCGGACGCAATGGCCCGGCATATGAACGAGTTTTGGAGGATGGTGCAGCTCAGTTTGAGCTTGCTGGCGCAGACACCGACAGTGATGACGATGGATATGCAGCAGACTCTGATGGTATAAGCCCGTCCCACTCCAAGCGCAACTCATACAAAGGCTCAGCAACGGGGCTACAAACACCTGGCCTCAAATTTGAATTCGACAATGTGTCTTCCAGCAGTATCGGCCTAGGAATCAACACAGCAAATGTCTTGGATCGACAAGGCCTCGTCGTGAGGACCGAGAGCCGAGAGCACCTAGTTCCCACAGCTACTCAAGGCAGTCGGTCTCGCACTGTGAGTCCGACAAGAGGGCGAAAGTCTCCGATGCTAAAGCCGGTGGCAGATGATGAGTGATGGAGATATCTACGTGCTTGCACATAGTAGCTGTCTATGATAATACAATGAGCGGTTTCGTTTCCTGGCGTTTTAAGGGAGTCTTACTGGGATGACCGTACTAGCAATTCTCGAGCCATGTCTCCGCGAGGTTGTGCTTTAGTTCTTGTAAAAATAGATACTTTGACCTATATATATCTGGAGATGTTTTATTGATAGACAATAAATTATTTACCGTTGCGCTATGTTGAAGTGTTTGAAGTATTGTAGTTTGAGGCTACTCGTATCACGTGTTATAAAAAAGTTCGGAGCACGTGATCTCTGCTTCTGGAGAGCTTCTCATTTTCATCGCGAGGACTTCCTGACTCGACGATATAAGTATTTTAACTGCACACATACACACTTTGTTCTCGCAAATCCAATTCGATCACTTACACACTTCAAACACCGTCATCACCTTCCGCTTCAAAAATTACCGTCTCCAACACCCGTCACAATGCGCTTAACAGTCGAACTCATAAATAATTCACTGTCCTATATCAATCCGCTAAAAGAGCGAGAGCTAGATCTTAGAGGTAGGTTCAGATCGTTACCACATACCTCCTGAAAAGAACAGATACTGCACAACTTTCTTTTCTCCCCTTTGGATTTTCTGAGAGTTATTCAATATTTTATACGTGAGAACACCATTGATATATCGGCCTCTTTGCGCTCTTTTTTGAGACGTTGTATAGGACACAAAATACCTTCTATTGAGAATTTGGGTATTGCCAAAGTTAGTCTTCCACGTCTCTCACGTTGTCATGTCAGCAAACTGACCATGTGGTTCTGGATAGGATCAAGATGCAATCGACTTTACGGATAACGACATCTCCTCCCTCGCAAACTTCCCTCACTTCCCCCGTCTACGAACGTTACTGCTCGCGCGCAATCGTGTAAATCACATCCAGCCGTCGTTGGCGTCCTCGATACCAAACTTGGAGAACCTGGTGCTTACGGCAAATAATATGGGTGAATTGGCGGATTTGGACCCCCTGCGCGGGTTTGCGAGGCTTACGCATGTGGTTTTGATGGAGAATCCGGTTACGAGGAAGGAGGTTCGTATCCCTCCCCACTTGTTCTTCAAGTAGCTTGAATAAGGAGGGGGCTGATGATGGTATAGCATTACCGGTACTGGGTCATTTGGAGAAACCCTCACATCCGATTCCTGGATTACCAGAAAGTGCGAGATGCTGAACGCGCCAGAGCTACAGAGCTGTTTGGCACATTCGATGAACCCTCTGCGCTCGCATCGAAGATTATGGGTATCAAGTCTCGAACATTCGATGTCACGTCTACAGCAGCTGGTGCCAGCACCGGTGCCGGTGTGGCCGACAGGGCTATTCGCGTCAAGCTGACGGACGCTGAGCGCAAGCGTGTTGAGAAGATGATTCGCGAAGCCAAGAGTTTGCAGGAAATTGCTCGTCTAGAGAAGGAGTTGAACGAAGGACGGATTCCGGGTGGTGCACTGGATGGACTTGAGGATGAGGATCAGATGCAAATGTAGCCGCTACAATCTACGAAAGCTCTTCGATGTCTGAGATGTTATTTATGGATGTCTTGTGTACTTTATTGGGCGGCCTGTCTAGGGGAAGGCGTTCGGAGTTGAGCAGAATAATCAAAAGTTTTTACTGCCCCGTCTACGAAATCGGAAATCACTTTTGAGACACAGCTCCCAATGACATCAACCCTAAATTTACTGAATAAGCCAAATGAGGTCACATCAAGAACCCCTCAGACCCTTGAAAATATCCTTCTCACGAACCCTGACGCGAGCGCCATTGTCTTCCTCGACCTTGCAGATCACACAAACATACTCTCAGTCACCGTATACAAAGTAAGAAGGAACAGAAGGGAGGTATAGTACCAAATAAGATCCATTGTCAATACTTCCATTCCCGTTTGGAACGACGCTTATGACGATTCCGTGGTGATTTGGTACTAGGTCTGGACAATCAGGATGAGATGGTTATGATGTTGGAAAAAGGGGATTTACCATTGCCGTAGCTGAATTGGATGACGTCTCCTAGTTCATACATTCTTCTCCTTAATCTAGTATAAGTATCACGAATTGGATTATATTTGGATCATGTGCTTTCGTAGGTATGCACATAAAATTAGGTAGGATGGACGTTAAGGAGTCTATTTGATCTCGATTGTTAGGATTTGCCTGAACCTTGGAGCCAGAACCTAATCTGCCGGAACTCAGCACCGAATAGAAGCCCCAACATACGCAATTTCGACATTTGTTTTACTTGGTTTGCCCATATATGTCGTGTATTCCATCTTGTGAAACCCATCCAAGTTCCTCGTGCTCCTAGCTAGTAGCCTTTACTCATGTATAAGCAGTCACAATATCACTCTCGTGAACCTCAACTGGACCCCAATCTCGATCCTCAACCTAGAGCATTTCAGTAATTAACAGACATGTTTCAATTTATTGCGTCAATGTATGGAATTCTCTACCAAGAAAGTTGAACTCACCAGGTAAACCCCTGTAGGCACACCCTTATCATCTTTCATGACTTGGACGATGTATCCTCTATGATCGATGTTGGGATCTATTTCGGGTCGAGAAAACGATTAACAAGCTCGCCCTACATTTCGGGGAAAAATTTGTGGACTCACCATGTTGAGGCTTGAATTTGATGTGTTCTCCCGGGCGGTATTCAACCATTTTCGCGACTCTGCTCTTGTAAACAGCAACTTCAGGAATTGTTAGGCACGAGCGTTGTTTACTAGAAGGATTATTGAAATGAAAATTAGAGAGAAGCCATTGGACTTGTATTCCACGCCTCCTCATGGAGATGATGAAATAGCTATCTCACTGTTGTCGGTAGTTGTGATTCGCGGAGTGGGAATCCGAGAGAATACCATGTACATGGTCATGGAGCTGATATATGGCAATAGTTCCAGTATAACTTGGTATTAGGAATATCTTTAAACATGAATATCTAAAAGTAAGCCGATGATAATGTCGCTGCGCTATCCATAACTAGTATTCAAAGGCACCTTCTTGTGTGATCATGACTCGTGTACATTGAAGAATTGGCGTATGTTCAGAAAACATATTTTATTTTCATTAATAAAGAATAGATCGAGATCACATCATGAACGGCTCCAAAGACATGATAATATCCTCCTCGCGGACGAGGTGCTCCATTCGCCTCGTACGATTCCCATTCTGAACCTATACACGATGCAGTTAGTAACAAGTACCTAGGTAGAACAAACTTTGAGTTACTGGGTATTGAATAGATACATACCACATATGCCCCTGTAAAAGTATTCGTAGTATCAACGATAGGATCCAATATTCGTCCCTGGTTTTGTGGCTTGCTTGTATGGGCTGCGCCGTGGTAAGGAACGTATTGGATCAATTGTCCTTTGTTGAATTTGACCATGGTCACGACCAAATCTTTGGATCAAAGTCTAATCTAAATTTCTGGGGTAGGAGAAAGGAAAAGATTTATTCTGCTTCCAAGTTTGACTTTGTGTTTGTATGATCGATAGCTTCAGATTCGAGGATCATATACTTGCAGATGGAGGATGGAGTCTATTCATATTTATATTACTCTACTGGTTAGTCGATCTTCACATCATAAGACATTCATGACTTACAGACAAGGCAAATTATCATGTCAAAGAGCCACATAGAACCACCACCACCACCATCATCACATTACCACGCCAGAATTGCACAAAGTGACCAATAGTGTGCGCTCGCTTAAGCATGCGAGTTCTTGCCCTAATCCTGATCTTCCACATGAAAGGTATTAGATGCAGATTAAAAAGCCCAGCTTGTGCATGTATTAAAGAATATTTGTTCTTCGCCCAAAACGCGAGGAGTTAGGGCTATGTTGGTGGGCGATGCGTGGATGGCTGAGTCAGCAATGCATGTGTGGATCGCATCATGAGACGTCATCTCTTGAATCTTGTATTTGTTCACATCGTACCGCTTTTATATGTTGGACTATTTAGTATTTGAAAGACCCGATCATTGTGCCATCAGAAAGTAGTGAGAGGCATTGACTTGCGATCAAAGAAACATATCAAACTGGCTCTCGCAGCTACAGGACGAACCTGTGGTCGCCGACTGCAGCAGCATATTAGCCATCTCTCAATCCAAGACGGGAAAATGGCAGCTTCATCCGGTATACCCTCCGCTCCATGGCGGAGCTTGTTTCTCGAACACATCTCAAAACTGGATGACCCCTACATGTCAGTATCAACAGTAGCATTCGATCCCCAAACTGGATCACCAATTCCGCGAGTCCGTACTTGCGGGTTTCGTGGCTTTTTCGGTGAACTCAAACTCCATCATTCAGCCGAGAAACAGCTCAGGGATGAAGGGGAAATGAATCCTGCGATCTACGAGTCAGATATGCTTGCGTTTACTACTGACGTGCGGATGGAAAAGGTTGAGCAACTCAAGGAGACGCATGGAGCGATTGAGGTTATGTTTTGGGTTAAGGAGACGATGGGTCAATGGAGGTTGAGAGGGAAGGCTTTCATTATTGGGGATGATGACAATGAAGCTCTTGAGAGGACTGCGAGGTCAGAGATTGCGAAGGGATTGAGAAAGAAGTCGGAAAATGTCACGGATGGAGAGTGGTCTTGGGAAAAGGAAGTCACTGCCTATTTTGCGAATCATAGTCCATTGATGAGAGGTATGTCTTATTGGCTTATTATCTCATTGTTGAATGATAATGGTATTGACCCTTTCAGGCTCTTTCAAAGGTCCACACCCCGGGACACCACTCAGCCAAAAACCTGAGGACCCAAATCTCAGCTTAGGCCAGAAGGTCGATGATCTTCATGATTCGACCGCAAGAAGGAATTTCCGTGTCGTAGTCATCCGTGTTGAAGAGGTCGATAGACTAGACCTGAATGACCCAGCAGAAGCGAAGCGATGGAGGACGACATTAGATAACACTGGCCATCAACGATGGGAAGAAGTAGAATTATGGCCTTGATTGACAGTCAATTGAATGAATAAGCCGGAGCGACTTTGGAAGGGACAATTGATAATGTTGTATTGTCCGCCATTCAGTTCACGTCATTCACTATTGCCGGCATTTACCACCCTTCTTCCTGTTCACCACCAATAACCATGCCCTATTCTTTGTCCTTTGTGAATCAACATAATCAAACATTCTCACAAGCCTATTCTCGCTTATCTCCCTCTATTGTATGAACTTTTCTCACATTCTCCCACTCATCCTCCGGGCGTCGACTTAAAATCCATCTTTATTTCTCTCTTTCCAACTCATCTATTTATTCCACACCATCAGCCGTTGACTCAACATCCGTCTCGTTTTTGATTCTCGTATTTTTCATTACTCTTGATATCTCGTACCGGCGTTCATCGTCTCTCAACTCATCCTTACGAAACAAGCCTCGATCGAAACGACATGACTCAGACCGAAGCAACAATGTTGACGTCGCAGGAAACCATTCCTTCGAATCCTCATTCTGTGCAGAAAAAACCTGTCAAGCGGACAGAAGTAAGCAGATCCTGACACAGCGTATCAATGGCCTCATATTGACATTCTCCTCAGGTTAAAATTAACGGGGCAGGACAGAATCTGTACTACCTCGACCCTGTTTGCCCTTATTGCAGAGCAAAGAAAATCGCTTGTCATCATCGGGCAATGTACGACGATTTCGGTAACCTCGTCAGAGCAGCCGAAGAGCCCCCGAAGCTCGATGATCCCAAGTCGGCTTCCAGCCAGCTGAAGAAGACCTTGAAATTCATAACACCCCTCGTGCCTGTCGGGACTGAGGGCGAGGTCGCAGCCAAAACGGAATCAGCCTCACAGCGTCCTCGTCGATCCAACGCTGGCAAGCGCAAGCTTGATGATACCTCGCTCGAGCATACAGCACCGACCGATTCGAAGCGTCAGAAACCAGACGGGAGGAAGCCAGCTCGCAAGCCTCGCGAAAAGACGCCAATTCCGATCGTAGTTGTCGAAGACACTGAAGCCGGGACGGTTTCAGTATCTTCTCCTGGCACTGAACTTTCCAATCCTCCTCCTGCCAATTTCCCTCCTACTGCGACCCAGCATGGTGGAAACATCAATCCTTCCATCGACATGGCCTGGCACAGGGGCATGACCAATCTTCTCGAGAAGCACATCAGCGAAACCATGCAGAAATGGGAGATGCTGCAAAGCACCATCATAGAGGCCGAGAAGCAATGGGAAGAAGTTCAAAAATCAATGCAGGCTACAAAGAGCTTTATGAATGAATGGACTTCGCGCTGGACAATGAGCGATGCTTTTACGTTGTAGGCATTGACTTTATTGTCATCTCTATTGCCATCTGAAGAGAGAAGAGATGAATGATCCGGACTAGTCTTTTCACGCAAGTCATCTCTTTCACTACTGTCTATTCGTTCCTAGACCGTGATGACATGACATCGCCAGTTCCTTTGAGGTTGGCTTTGGGTTGCATTGTTGGGATCATCAGCACTTCATTAATTGTTGAAGATACATGAAGGGCGTTCTTGTTATTTTCATCAGCTTTTTATTTTGTATATTCTTTGCGTACGGATATCAAAAAGACGAAAAACATCAGAAAAAAAGGGCAGAGCGTGGGTTCATGCCCTTTTCTATTGCAGGTTTTGAGTTTTGTGTTCCGTTTCTTGAAGCATCATAGGTAGCTGGTCTATCATATGAAATTAATTTCTTTTCCAATGAAATACTTAGATCATATATTGCAAACATGATATGAGCCCCGTATTAGTCGAGTTGATACAAGGGAGTAAAACGCCAAGACTGATATCAATATCTAAGGCGGTGAGGATGTTCCTCGAAAATCCGACAAAATCGAAAATAATTTCCTCACCGCCCACTCTCCATGAAATTTGCATCAATCAGCAACAGTTTCATTCGTCTTCCATATTGACCATCCTGATCTCAGGATAGATTTCAAAATGGCTGACGATGGCATGCTCCTCAACTTTACGATATCCGACACTGTCCTCAAGCCCGAAGCCAAATTAAAAGGCGGATCATGGCGTGATCGACTATCAGCGAAAAAACTCGCTCAAGGCAAACGGGCTCCTCGAACGAGAGTCCTGAGAGCACCTGGCACCGGCCCCTCCGGCGATAATCCGAATAATGTGCGAATTGGTGAGAGGAGGGAACCGTCTTCGCATCCGAATAAGAGGCCGCGAACGGATGGTGCGGATTTTCGTCCTGCTACATCGGCTGATGGGAAGCCCCGCGGTGGAGGAAGAGGAGGACATCGAGGACCGAAGCCGAAACAGATTATTTCGTCGTTATTCTCGTATAATCCAGAATCGAAAGAGACCGAGGAGGACACCGATAAGAAAGTTGAAGCCGAAGCAGATGAGGTCGAAGTGAAGCCGTCGAATGCACCATTGATCGACGGAATTGAAGACTTCACGAACCTCGGTCTTGCTCCGACGCTGGCTGCACATCTATTGACAAAAATGGAATTGAAGGCACCTACCGCAATCCAGAAAGCGTCTATACCGCAATTGGTGAAAGAAGATAGTGATGCTTTTATTCAGGCGCAAACGGGTTCCGGAAAGACGTTGGCATATCTCTTGCCGCTTGTTCAGAGAATTATAAATCTTAAAGATAGTGGTGCTATATCGAAGAGCACTGCGAAAGGGAATGAGGATTCGATTCATCGTGATGCTGGGCTGTTTGCGATCATTTTGGCGCCGACGAGAGAATTGTGTAAGCAGATCTCGATCGTACTGGAGAATCTGCTACGATGCGCTCATTGGATTGTCGGGGGTACGGTCATTGGTGGAGAGAAGAAGAAGTCGGAAAAGGCCAGGCTCAGGAAAGGATTGAACATTCTTGTCGCTACACCGGGTCGACTTGCGGATCATCTGGATAATACTCAAGTTTTGGATGTGAGCAATGTACGGTGGTTAATATTGGACGAGGGCGATAGATTGATGGATCTGGGTTTTGAGGAGGAGATACATGGGATTATGAAGAAGCTCGATGCGAGACAACGACCAAGCTCGATCACTGGTCTACCGTCTAAAAGAACGACAGTGCTCTGCTCTGCCACCTTGAAGATGAATGTGCAACGACTAGGAGAGATCAGTTTGAAGGATGCAGTGCATATCAAGGCAGACCCTACCGAAGCGGGCGGGGAGGATGAAGACGTCGATGGCGAGAAGGATGCATTTACAGTACCGGCGCAGCTTCAACAGTCATATATCGTCGCAGCATCGAAGTTGCGTCTGGTTACCCTTACAGCTTTGATGAAGCGTACATTCATGCGCAAAGGCTCGGTTATGAAAGCAATCATCTTCGTCTCATGTGCTGATTCTGTTGAGTTTCATTTTGAGCTATTTACACGAAAAGACGAGAATGCTCCTACAGAGCCACAACCGGCGCAATCATCCGACGAAAGCGACACAGAGGAAAGCGATGGACAGGAAAAAGCTAAAACTATAGCTGCAGCTAAAGCAGCTGAACATGGTACCATTGGTCGCGCAACAGCATTTTCAAACGCATCTAACCCAGTTACCATACATAAACTCCACGGTTCGTTACCACAAAACGTTCGTACAGCTACACTTGGCGCATTCGCTCAAAGCAAAGAAGCTGGCGTTCTCATATGTACTGACGTTGCGTCTCGTGGTCTCGATTTGCCAAATATCGACCTTGTCGTTGAGTACGACCCGGCCTTTAGCTCCGACGAGCATCTCCACCGAATTGGTCGTACGGCACGTCTCGGTCGTGATGGCCGAGCGATAGTATTCCTCCTCCCAGGCAGCGAGGAAGGTTATGTCGACATACTCAAACGCAGCTACCGCGACGGAGGCAAAGCACTTACTCGACAGAATGCAAACGACGTATTGAAACGTGGCTTTGGCGGAAACACCGATGCCACTAGCCAGAATTGGGAGGAAAAGGCTACAGATTGGCAGTTAGATGTTGAAAGATGGGCGCTGGAGAATCCGCAGTCCTTGGAACTTGCGCGACGAGCATTCCAGTCACATATTCGTGCATATGCGACCCACGTCGCTGCTGAACGAAACATGTTTAATATCAAGGAGCTTCATTTGGGCCATTTGGCGAAAGCGTTCGCACTCCGTGATCGGCCCTCAAAGATCAACGTTCCAGGCTTGAGACAATCCAAGGATGATACGAAGAAGGAGTTCAAAGCCGATAGGCGAGGATCTGGTAAACCTTCTGGCGGCAACGCAGTTGAAATAAAGAAGCGCAAGGCTGCTGGTGGCGACGACGATGTCCCACGCGAGACGAACAACGAAGATGCAGCTCGCAGAATGCGCGCCAAGATGCGATCATTGACTGGAGCGGGCGCAGACGAGTTCAACTTGGCTTGAGCTCTTTCTGCATGTCCATAAAAAGTTTTTGCACATAGGCGTTATATTCAATAGATATCCCATAATGATATTTTACCATCTTTGGAACCTGCTGCTAGCCAATGCGTTTGCTGCGCTTTCTGATTCCTTTCTTGCCGTACGATTTCGAGTGGTGAGTTTTGTGGTTGTATGGCGGAATCGTCGCCTTCCTGTGTAGATCGGCCTTCTGTAGTTGTAGATGAAATAATTTCGGCAAAGGCGACGGTATAGCATCCCTCGCTGTGCCACTTGAGAACAGCAAGTTCTTTCATAGTCTTGCAGGAATAGACTCGTATCCGTGCATCCCAACCAGCCGTGGCAAATATTTTCTGGTCTCCACGTACGGAGAGACCCTGCTGGCCGGAGTGTTTTGTGTTGAGTACTTTCGATGGCGTGTTTCCGACATGCGATGGCATTTGCACAGATGTAGACGAAATGGGATGTTTGACGATAAGTGCATCGGCGGACGAAGTATAGAAGAAGCTAGGCAGTTTGTTCGTTTCCGCTTGCACACTGTCTAGTGACAGGATCGGCTGACTGTGAGGTCGCGAGACGTATAACTTAGCCCATTTCCAAGCTTTGGACGACTCGGGAGGTGGTCGCGAGACATGGACCATGACGTGACCATCTTCATAGCCTGAAAGCATGTATACACAAGGATCTTGAGAGTGGGTGTTATCTATGAGTATCTTGACAGCCATGACCATGCCTGTTTGAACCGATGTATCTGCAGGTATAGTCGACACGCGCCTTTCAGAGGGTAGATGGAAAACGTCAATCGCACCAGAGTTCAATGCATTAGGAACGGCAAAATATGCCTCATCCTCAGCATCATCAACATTCTCATTCGATGACAAAGCTGGAATAAAACAAAGGGTAAATGCGCAGAAGTTAAGCGCATTCACAGGCAGAGAATGCAACAACCACGGCTCTGGGGCCGGTGCTTGATTTTCTGCTTCTTTGCTACTTCGTTCAACAGGCAGAACACGGCTCAACAGCTCCTCTTCATTTGTTGACGTCACTTTCCACACTCTCAGTGTATGATCTCGTCCATGTCTGCAAATCCGTGAGTCTATGACTACTTTTCTTAGAAAAAGGAACATACGTATAAATCCTCATACCCTGCCTCGTCGTGTAACCCTTCACTTCTAAAACGGCGCCCTCATGAGCCTTCCAGACTGCTCGAGCCCGTTTTGTGGCTACATCCCATATAACGATCCAACCATCTGCATCTGCTGAAATTAGGCGTGTGTTTTTCGCGAAGAAATGGAGTGCTTGGATTGCAGATGCATGGCCGCGAAGGATGTAGCGCGGGGTAGCTGGAGGCAGGTTTTGTTGTTGTATTGTGGTTGAAGTTGTCATGTTGAGAATGTCGGTGACATGATAATTGTATATCCGTTTCAGGGCGTTTCTCTATTTGTTCGCTGCGATTTTGTCGATGTTGAGAATGGTTGGTGTTGAGTCAAAGTTTTAGTGGATTGAATCAAGACGGATATTGATGCCTTGGTGCCTTACCGTACGTCAGGTCCCATTGCCTATTTCGGCGACCTTAAATTTGTGGATGTTAGGCTTGTTTCTTGGATAGGGCTATGTGATTTCAATATCTACCGGACTATCAAATCTACCACATTATAACTTCCTGCATCTGTACAGTAACCGGCCTGGTAGCGCTCGCCTGCCGCTCATATCGCAACTGAATTGTCCGCGCTTCCATATCCAACTGATGCTGTATATTGAAAATGCGTCGCCAATGCGGTACGTCTTGACACGACTGCACAACAAGACCATCTTCCTCAATCTCGATCACTCGCTCTATAATCATTAACGCCATCTCACTATCCCACATTCCTTCCCTTCTATGATAACTGCGCATGACATCGACTGCCTTTCTACGAATCCATGGATCACGACAGCGCCGCGCAAGCTCAAAAATGGGCCCTATAGTCACCAGATCCAGCGAAAATGCCGAGTTCCGGCTGCTTGAATTACTGCCGGGTCCATCGGCGGCCAATATCGCGTTCGCGAGGTCGATAATCTGGTCGTACACGGGGCAATAATCGTCCCAAAACATCTGGTCTTCGGCGGACATGTGGCGGGKGCTCACTTCTACAGAGACTTGATTGTGCAGTTGATGCATACGCAAAATGCGTATTGTACGCATTTCGGCGTCTGTAAATGAGCCGGCTCGACTTTCAAGAAACGCGTCAAAGGCACTTGTCCATTGCTTCACTATATTGATATACCTTTCAGCAAACGCTTCTCGAATATCTTCAGAGTGTTTTGCCGCCGCATTGCCTGTTGTCTCGTTTGACTGCATGTCTAGTATTTCAGTATCACTGGCGTCTACAGTCATGCGATAGAGTTGTCCATAGTATTCCATGGTACTCTGTGCTTCGGACAGTGAAGAAAACACTGGAGGGATTGCCATGAGTGTTTTACTAGGTAGCGAGGGAGGTATAGAAGAGTATGCCTTGTTGCCAAACAGCTAGGAACGATGAATTAGTTATATTTTTAATCAAGTGGTTGAATTTCTTACCTCTGATGCTTGTAGCTCAATCTGACGGAACCGGCGCTCCAAAAATTCTAGAAGCATTTTTGAAGTCTGGTTGCTCTCACGCAAGCCATGTAGCAGACCTATAACTTTCTGCGCTAGGAACAAAGCTGAGGTGTAGTTGGCCCGCAACATCTTTATACGATATTAGATTGAGGCTCGACGCACACTTAAGTATAGCGGAACGTTACCTCTATAGTCACAAAAACAATGCATGGTAAATAAGCCTCCGGTTCTGGAGGGGTATTATTGCCGCTCTTCGCAAGATTCATCTGCTCTTTTATAGCTAGATTGTACTGCTTCAGGCCGAATTGCTCTTTTGAGCCGACATTGTCGATCGCGCCGCGCTCGAAATTTTCATGGAAAGATGCAAGTGCAATAATGGCATGACGAACCCCGGCATCGACTTGCGCACGTTGGAGGATGAGTCTCTCCCAGAATTCTTGGTCTTGGATGCCAGCGAGATGGGCACTTGTTCGCGCGCGGTAGTACTCAAAAGCGTGCTGTTCGGCGTCGGTGATGGTAAACGGTGCTAAAATATTATTCATATTAAGGGGGAAAAGGCTAGTTTGACTTTGGCTTTGGCTTTGACTTTTTCGAAGTGATTCGGCTTGCAGATCGTCATTGTACCCTAAGCACTCTCGACCAGCCGCAGTGCAGTTATGGCATGTCGGTTTAGCTTCGTCACATTTTACACGACGGACTGCATACGAAAATCAGCACTGTGACCCTGATCCTAACGTCTAGGCTAAACCTACGTCTGCAGCAACATGATTAGCAATCGGCAACTCTCTCTCTTTTAAACTGTTGGGTAAGGGCACAAACTTGCACGTCCCGCATCCCGTACGAGTTTTGGGCCTGTACGCACGCCGTCGCTCACCCGGTTTCACGCGAGGCATTAGATTGCGTTTTGATGCTGTTCGAAGTGTCCATACGAGAAGATGGATTATGAGGCGTAGGCGACGACGTTATCGGTTCGGTAAGTTTGGTATTAAATACAAGCGCCAACTCTCGTTCTAGACCCCGATTAGTTGGATTGGCATGTATTGCTAGTGCAATACGCGCCGTTTCAGCTGTCCCTACGAAGGCACTGGCATTTGTCGTATGGACATCCACCTAAGATCCTTTTCGCAGACTCTATATAGCAGCTGCAGGGGCCGCCAGTCATACATAGTCTTTAGCAAGCTATATTCGGGTCGAGCTGAGCGAGATCTGACAGCTTGTCTCGTACGTACATCCAACATGTCTACAACTCGTATGTACTATCAGCACAGCAAAAGAACGCTCAATAGTGGCATCAATATTTTGAACGTAGTCTCGCAAAAATGAAGCAGCCTGGAGATTTATGTGTTTATTTATTAGATACGAGTATCCTCAAAGTACCAATGCCATCAAATTATAACAGAGGAGTAAACATTGTACAGTTTCAGGAGAATAGAAAATGACAGAAACGTGCACAGGTAAATCTACCTTTCCGAATCTGACAATACCAATTCACTAATTTGAAGCTTGATACAGCCGTCATCACCCCAGGGACATACTGGAGCTTCTGTCCCTCGTTAGGAGCTGCAATCGCGTTCCTAGTCTTCTTCCTCCTGACTTTCGTGGCACATGTGGCTCAAGGAATCTATTATCGGAAAGTCTACACATGGGTGATCTCAATGGTTAATCTCCCAACTCCTTCTCCAAGAAATTTCCGATATTGACTGAGGAGTAGTCAGCCCTATGGCAGTCAATCACCTACATACTCCGCATAATCAGCATCAAGAACCCGACTAGTCTGGGCGACTACGCCGGCTGGTTCGTTCTCATATTGGTATGAATTTTCTCTTCCCTCGGATGTCTGATTGCCTGCTAATGACTGCAGATATCGCCGTTATGGACAAACGCGTTTGTGTACATGGTCTTTGGCCGGATGGTCTGGAACTATATTCCTGACGCTACTCTGTGGCGTGTTCCCGCGTGGAGGTTTGGGTATTACTTTGTAATTCTGGATATAATGTCAGCTTATCCCCTCTCATGTATACGTCAAATACTGATGGTTGTGTTCTTGACCAGCGCGTTCATCGTCCAAGTCTACGGCGCCGCTTCAGCCGAAAGCAATAGTAACACCATCGCCCAAACCCTGCAAGGAATTCACGTCTACATGGGCGGCGTCGCAATCCAGCAATTCTTCATCTTCTGCTTCTGCGCGTTCGCGTACAAGTTCTGGCGTAGGTTGCTTGCACAGAAGACGACCGTCGTCGACGAGAACCCTGCCTCCGCGGACTTGAGTCTCAAGTCGGGATTTACGCTCCTCTATGCCATGATAGCTGTGTTGATGCTGATTTCAGTAAATTTCCTTCACCCTTCTTGTCCCGAACATCTTCTTGTGTCTAATAATCCGCATAGTTGCGAATCTTCTTCCGTCTCGCCGAATACTCAAAAGGTCTGCAATCCACGATCCCTAACCATGAGGCCTTTCAGTATTGTCTTGACTCGTTGCCGATGTTGCTGGCATTGATTATACTGAGTGTCGTTCATCCCGGTGCTATTATGAGAGGACCTTCGTGCGAGATTCCGGGGAGAAAAAAGAGGAGAGCGGAGGGAATGAGGAATAAAGGGGATGTTGCTCGGATACCCTTGTAGAACCCTCCAGATGTCTCTGATTAAAACGTGATTTGCATCGATGCTGCGTATATTAGACTAGGTAGTGCTTTAGATTTTGAATGCTATGCATTATATATCCAACAACGTATTATCCGTATATACACATTACAGACCCCAAGTCTATATCCAGAAGTATTAAATTATTACTACAATCAGGCTCAATAATGTGTATACGAATACCCATCCAACCCATCCTGGGGCGCAACATAATGATCCTGATACGGATGATTGGCCATCGAGAAGTCCGCCGTGGCCATAAGCGGATTTATAATTCCAGACGGAAATCTGGAGCGCGCAGCACTAGCAGCAGCGGGAGGTGGAGGGGTTCCACTCGGCGCAGTGGTAGGTATAGTTGCTGTAGGAATCGGGGAAGGTAGAGTACCATTATCGATGGATAATGGGGCAGGCGTGGTATTATTTAGAGTAGTAGCGGTAGTGGTCGTGATCGTCATATTATTAGTATTAGTAGTATTCTGAGCGGACGTATTCCAGCCCCATTTCGCTTGCAGCTCCTGTTTGAGGAATGCGATACGCCAACCGGTCTCTTTGATGATTTTGTCGATGATTTGCAGAACTTCGTCTTGTGCTTCGCGGGCCTCGAGGCATTCGGCTGCGATTGCAAGGCAGCGGATTGAGATTGTTGCGACGCCACTGTCATAAGCTGTGTTAGTATGAGAAGTTGGATGTGAGGGGGACAGACGTACCGATCCTTGACGTGGGCTATGATACCGCACGTGTCATAGGCATGTCTTTGTTGCATTTCTCGCAGGTTTGGGCTGAATTCTGACTCCAAAGGGTGCGTCTTGGCTAGCAGGACGCAGGTAAGGTGGTAGAAAAGACGACCGACAATGGCGGGKCGTTTCAAGAGCCTACATATCGCCTCTGTAAGTTTTGTCATGTATAAGGAATGGCAAGAGCCTTACCAGACTTCAGGAAAGGCAGATTTCGACGTCTGCCACGGCTGAACATAGCATATGGGATTTATCGATCGCGGTATACATCTCGCCCATTCATCGCACCACCTCTTATACGTATCCCATTCATGACATCGCTGCTGCAAACGCAACTGATGGGCCTGCGGATCAAGGCCCTGAAACTGAGGAATCGTCGCTCGAAAATTTGCAACTTTGGCACAAATATAAACCATGCGATGTGTCCAAACATCCTCATTCCCAGACAGTCCCTCTGAAGGGACAAGTTCCGTCTCCATATCCATGTGCCAAGTATCTGGATCCCAGGCCAACTGCCAATTAAAATGGAGACAACTGAGGAGCTCCATGCCTACATTGACCCAAAAACATGCGCCGCCGATGCCTGGTGATTTGCCGTTCCAGCGGCATTCTTTAATTAGCGCTCTCGCGCCTGCTATATGATTCATACGCTGCATTGCGCTCTCGCACATGACTTCGTACACGTTCAGAATGACGGCGGCGGTGGCGCATAGAACGGGGTCCCGATGAGGGTTCTGTAGATGCGATAGTAGGTATTGTGAGGCCGTGTTGTAATAGTGAACCGCTCTATCATCGCCGTACGAGGAGTTCACGAGATGCAGATGTCGAGCACCGCATGCCCATATCGCATTGAGTAACATGGGTTCATTGAGTGCATGGAGGGGTATAATCTCTGAGAACTATAGTCGATTGAACCGTTAGACCTGATACAGACAGCCCGAAAGTTGACTCACATGTTTATCGGCTTCCATAGAATCCATCCATACAGCAACCTCCTCTACAAAAACCTGCATCAACAATACTTCCTCGGGCGTAGTGATACATGAGCGATCATTCGGAGTATGCATCGGAATTTTTGATAAGAACGCATTCTGCTCTTGAAGTGCATGGTTCGCGGTATACTGCGGCTCAGTGAGCAGAGACTCCTGAATTTCGGGATGTGGCGCCTCTGGAAACGACAACAGCCCAGCAGAGACATTTATAGGTGGTCGATGCATAGCATTGTTTGTAAAGTCGAATTGAGCCGGCGCCTCATTGCTCATTTGTGTGTTCAGCTGATTCGATGGTGGATATCTCTCAAACCCTCCCACATATTCAGACGCAATCTCCCTCGACTCATCTTGAAAATTCAGCCGGATACCGAGCGGAGGTATCAGTGTATATGGTGGAGCTGACACTTGTGTGTCGATAAAATTGAGTCGAATGCCTCGCTTGCATATTCGTCCGGACTTGGAACAGTTTAGACATTTTGGTAGAGTCTCGTCGCATTTCAGATGTCGCTCTCTGCAGGTGAGGCAGCCGGTTCGCACTCGTCTAGACTTGGGCCCCTGTGCTGCATTTGCAGCTTTCTGAATTCGTGGATCCATACTTTGGGATGGCGCGTGGCGCGAATCCGTCTCGAGAGTAGAGGAGTGTGGATGACTGTTGTGCTGGGTCGCGCATTCCAGTATTCTTCAGTTACCTATATTTCAAAGCAATATATTGCTCCTAAAAAGCATAGACCGGACTAAGTCTTTCCTAAGTGCGATCCATGACACCGGATATCTTGAACAGCATAAACAAGCTCGAAGCCCACGGCAGACGTGCGGCAGAGACTCAACACTCTGCAAAACTACGCTATCTCTCCATGAGCACTCAATTATCAGGAATATTATCGTCTGGGTCTTTAGAGAAACGTCTGCGACTGCTGGACTCGTGGGACAACGGCGAGGGTCGCGATTGCGATTGCTCTCTGGAGACTTGGCTCAGGCACGAGGTCTGTGCGATCATACGAAAAGATCAGTAATTGAGTCAGGAAAAAAGCTACCATAGCTTGTATCAGATTCATCGATGGCTGGTCTCACCAGGGCTGGAGGGTCTACTGTTCGACGTACGTAGATGTTTCAGAGAATATCTCCACTGGTTCTCCAAGAGTCAATTCCGAAACAACAATTGCGCGAGAATTTGCGGCGGCCGTCTGGCACGAGATTGAACTCTATAATTCAAGCGACTCGCGCATGATGGTGTGATGAATATATAAAAATGCAAAGTACAAAGAGCTCGAAGGTGAAGATGCGTACTCGAAAGGAGGAGAGCAAGTAGAAAATAAAAGAGAAAGGCTTCGCTATCTGATAAGCATCTCAGGGCAAGTCGAAGCGAGGTGTTGTAGTGTCTTAGCTAAGCATGCCGGCTCCCGAGGCATCTAGTTTGTGCCTGAGGCATTCAATCTCTCTTCGAACTAAAAAAAGCAATACAATATCAATTTCTACTTTTGTGTATGAACGTTATCAGTATCCAGAAATATGAAGCATTCTAGTCTAGACACCATCAATCCGCCTCATCTTCCTCTAGTTCTTTCTCGGTTCGTCTCAGTCTCGGAAGTTTTACCATAAATGTGAGTAGTAACATGATCGATCCCCAGATTGTTGCTGACAGAAAAGTGATTCGAAGAGAAGTGTTGTACGCTTGGATCACTACGCATAATAATTTAGTGAGAGGCGGCGGCAAATAAGATACAAGGGATAGTTTCTTACCTTGTCCGCGATGCATCGGATCGAGATTGACTATATCCTCCACAGATTTGCGAGCGATCTCAATGACCCTCTGCTTATTGGGCTCAGTCACCACCTGGTCAAGACGGATTCGAAGAGCATTCTGTAAAATCAAACTACTGACAGCGGTGCCCATGACGTATCCGAGATTTCTCCACAGAGACAGGGTTGTGACGGAGCTCGCCTGGTCTTCTTGCTTATTGACCGCAAGAATGGAGACGGTGTATGTTGGGAAGGCGAAACCCTGGCCCACACTAGCTAGTGCGAGGAATGCTATTGTAATCGCATACGGAAGGTCGACAAACGTTAGAGCGGTAGTAGTGAAACCTCCGAGAAACATCAATGTAGCGCCAAGCAATGCAAAGGGCTTCAATCTGTTGAAATAAGTGATCAGAAACCCATTGGCGACGCTGGTAAAAGTGATGCCAAAAGATGCGAAAAGGAGATGAAGTCCAGATTCCGTAGCTGATTCGGACTTGACAGCCTGGAAAAACAGAGGAACGTTGAACATGATGCTGTTGACTGCCAAACCTCCAAAGAAATTGCTGAAGATGATATAGGCGTGCGGCGCTTTAGTGAGAAGTCTGATTGGTAAGACGGGACGATCTACTTTGCTTTCGTAAATTGGGATGATAACAGCCATGACTGCCGCAAGAACGAGAGAAGATACGACAAGTGGGTGACGCCATGAGAAAACATTCCCTCCGAGGTTGAGGCCAACAAGAAGAGCTGCGAGGCCCACAGTAAGCAGGAAAGAACCAGTCAAGTCAATGCGCTTGAGTAACTGCCTCAAACTCCTATTCTCATCCTTCGGGTCAATACGACCTAGATCACTGGGTGTCGTCCAGAGTGCAATGAGCAGGTAGACGAAGATGAAGGGCAGCTGGATAAAAAAAGCCCCGCGCCAGCCTAGACGATCGCAAAGAAATCCTCCCCCAGCGTAGCCGAGCGCACCGCCGACGCCTAATGTCATATTGATCACGGATTGGTAGATACCACGGTACTCTAAGCGTACAGTGTCACTGCTGATGATCATGCCCATTGAGAAGACGCCACCAGCACCGAGTCCGCAGAAAGCCCGGGCAAGAATGAAGCTGGCCATACTTTGAGCTAGGCCACACCAGGCGGTCGTGATGAAGAAGACAATAATGGAGAATATGTACACTGGTTTTCTGCCGATAGTATCCGAGATGCGGCCAGATAGTGGCAGAAGCGCTGTTGAAGTGAGCAAAAACGCAGTTGTAAGCCATGATGCCGAGTTGGAAGCGTGGAATTCGGAAGTAATAACTGGGTGACTTGAGGCCAAGAAGGTAGAGTCAAAGAATCCTATAAAATAGCCAATCTGAACACCACCAAATATCCAGGCAAACTGGATTGGGGTCACATTGATAAAATGATTTGCAAACATGGACCTTGACGCTAGGCCATCTTGCGACTCGACATTCTCGTCCGACACATGCACTGTGGCGGCCGACGATACTCTTTCGAGACCAGGGTCAATCGCAAGTCCGGTAGAGATCGAAGGCACTTTAACTAGATCGAGTTGGCAAGTCGGATCATCTTTTCGCAGGGTAGAGATCGATTCATCATCGTCAGTGTCCACTTCTAGCAAGTGCCTGCGTGTGGCATCTTCATGATCTTCGCGAGAGTTAGTTGATGAATAACTGCGGCTGCCGCTCACAATCAAAGGCGTGTTTTCATCAGCAGAGGTCACCATGATTGACCTTGGCAATCTTTGGCAAACAATGATCCTAGATTTACTTGTGGTTGGCAGAATATATACTCTTGAATACGAGCTCAGATCTGTAGCCCACTAGTTAAGCAGCTCACACCAGTCAGCAAGACTGTACAATGGTAACTCTGGACATTGCAGCAGGCGGACGGCAGTCAGGATTTGAATTTTTAGAGTGCTGAAGAGAACGAAGGTATCATAGCCTGACTCATTTTGCGGGTTTTTTTGCACTAAGCAGGCAGACCCGTCCGCGGTTAATGCTGCGGGTCCTATCAATCATTTCCCCTCACCCTCCATATCAATCAAACAACAAGAAGATATTCAAATTGAACGTTTGAAATCTTCGAATCGAATTGACCGTATTTATAACTCTCTGTCATCGGAAATTTAATAGCAGTTGTGTAGTAAATACAGCCATCAGCCATGTGTTTGTCGACCTGGCCGTCATCTTGTGAAACTCCCCACGGAAATGTCGTGATGGGATCAGGGTGGTGCCGCGCCGCTGCTCAAGCGTAGCGAGATTAGCAAGCTAGGCTAAGGCATATTTGCAGCTACTAGGCTAGAACATGCATGCATTGTTCCGCGAACATTGCTTGAAACGGCAACAATAAAGCATTCATCGATAATTGAAAGGGTCATGAGACCGTCGCTTGCAGGGATAGTGCATTGTCAAGTCGGTAGCAGCAAGCCCGTTGCGCTTGAGCCGGTGTATTGATAATCGGACTGGTGCTTGGACGTTATAGCGAGATTGTCTAGAGGCTCATTGAGGAAGGTAAACAACAACCTTCGCAATTAGTGTGCGCTGTCGTGTCGACTGTAGAGACTCTACTACTAGTAGTACTGCTAGTAGTACTACTATCGTCTGTAGAGAGTAAGAGCGATGGCGGGGCCGTGGTTAGTCAGGGTCCCTACTGCCTAGGGAAGGTAGCGGGGGCTGCCCACGGGAAAGATGCCGACTGTGCCGATAACGGGCCTGTCTTATCGGCAATGACAGATAGTCCCTGACACCTTCTTCATTCCTTGTATCCTTGCAAGAGGGACATACACATCTTTTCTCTTCCTTTCAGGATCAGTATACAATGCGCCCCCCATTGCGCATCGCCGTGCTCGAATGCGACACGCCCGTGGATAAAGTAAAAGCCAGATTCGGCACCTACGGGGACATCTTCAAATTACTCTTGGGAACCGGCGCATCGACCTTGGAAGGGCTCAATGCTCAAAGCCACTTGGAGATCACAAAATGGGATATTGTGAATGGAACAGACTACCCAAATCTGGAAGATATTGATGCTATTTTATTGACTGGGTCGAGTATGGCTTTTCTTTTCTCTGGCGATGAATAAGCTAGCTGACCGGGGCGGCTTAGAACATGACTCTTTTGCGGACGTGCCTTGGATTAATAAGTTGGTCGAATTTACTCAACAAGTCTATGCGCAGGATCGAGTGCGATTGATTGGGATATGTTTCGGTCATCAGATTATCGGCAGGGCTCTGGGTGTGCCCGTCGGACGAAGTGATATCGGTTGGGAGATTGCAGTGTGCGATGTCAACCTGACAGAAAAGGGTAAAGAGCTGTTCGGAAAGGAGAAACTCGTACGTTTCTGTCTCCCATTTGCGTTGTGAGTATTGCTAACATCTCTGTGCTTTTGCAGAGCATACAACAGATGCACAAAGACATCGTGGCTGCGTACCCCAAAGAAGTCACGCCACTCGGCTCGTCGCCTCGCTGCGCCGTACAAGGAATGTACATTGCACGAAAATTGATCACAGTCCAAGGACACCCCGAATTCAACGGCGAGATTATGACAGAGATTCTCACTCTGCGAAACCAACAAGGAATATTCTCGGACGAACAGTACAACGAAGCTTTAAAACGAGCAGATATTGCGCACGATGGTATTGCTATTGCAGCCGCATTTTTGAAATTCCTGCTCGAAGATTGATGTGACTACACCAGATACCCATAAAAATAGATAGAATAGACCAAGTATGATACATTACGCATGCTTTTCTAACGATACATCTGCTCGCAAAAATGCGATAAACCGGGTATATGCCGATTGCGCCGGGGAACCTCCACACTCTGTGACCATTATTGATTCGGATCTTCACGCTCCAAGAATGACGGATCCATATCAATCCGACGCTCGAATTTGGTCCACCAATCCCTAAAACTCTTCAAAGGAACGACATCTTCTCCTTTTCTGTTGGGATCGGACTCTGCAAAGCTCGCCAAAAAGTTAAACGCATTGCCAATGACCCGCTGAGCTAACAGTTTGGTCGTTATTTGTTTCTGTTGCGGTGGCAAGCGAACAAGATCTGTGGATGGCTGTGACTCTCGCGATGCATTGAGTGCCGCCATTTGCGCCGCGACGTTCTGTGCTGGTTCTATCGATATTCCGAGCGTGACTTGTCCGCTGACCATATTCGCACCTTCATCTACCATCTCATCATCCATGCCCGATTGTGCTTGTTGCGTCCCCGATCCGACTTTGAATATGGCGGAAGGCTTCTCATTTCCAATTGCGCCTAGAAACCTAAACTCGGGCCCATTGGGTGTTGGCTTTGATGTCGGTGTCTGTAGATAGATTGCAGCAGCAGTATCGGGAGGTAGCACGGTCCCGGGCAGGAAGAAGATGACAATGTGGTTGAATTTGGGTGCAGCGGGGAACGTGAATGCGAATTTGGTGGGCTGGATCCCGGGCTGTGCATCTACGGCGGTGATGTCGGTGAGGCATGGCCTGCCTGGTATAACGACTGAGAACATCCTGCAGAGTCAATTGTGAATATCCGCAGCGCGGCGCAGTGCGATGTTACCTGCGGGAGAAATGGCTGTGATGCGGGGCAGTAAATTGTGACTCAGAGGGATCTGCGTGTCGAGAAAGCTGTTTATGCTCTCAACCTTAGCAAAGATTGAGACAAATTGATAATCGTGTAATGTAGAAAGTCGTGCGCTGGGGATAATCAATAATTGTTGACTGCGTGAGCTAGACGTCAGAAGTGCTGCTCCCGGCCAAGCAAGAACAGCATCGAACATCCGGAGGGGCTCCGGTAAATGCCCTTATCGATAAGCTGGCAAGGCATACACTGAAGACTCCGCAGTTCGTCCCAGTAGAAATGATTGGATGCTTGTTTGCGAGGCTGATATGACACACCGTTCTCTCTTTGTTGTTAAATAAACCCTTTTCGCGTTTGAGTTCATATTAACTGAAAGTCTCGTGTTTGAACATATTTGAGATCTACATACGCAGAGAGAAGGAATCGTTATGGCTGGRAAGACAAATCTGCAATTGATTCAGGAGTGTGACAAGTAAGTACTCTACATCCTCTACACTTCTGCATGCTAATATACAATAGCTTCCCCTACTATGACGATGACCCAAAGTTCTACGAGCGTCAGCTCAATCAATATCATGCCTTCAAGGTGAACGGCTGCCATGCCGTCTTGGGGTATATCCCCAACACCGTCGTCAAAGAATTCAATTGGACAGAAAACGAGTGGGAAGTCGACGAGCGTAATCGCACCGTCACACTCATGGCAGCACCAGACGCTGAACCTGCAGTACGCAATGAAATCATGTCTCGCTTGCTAGCTGACGCCGTGCGTCGCGAGACCTTTGAAGTTCTGAAAGGTTGGCGTGCAGAGATGTATGCCATCCACGCTCCCGGCGGAAAATTCCTGATGGAAATGGAGCGATGCGCAAGTCCGTTGTTCGGCATTATCACTTACGGCGTACATATGACGGGATACGTCGAAGACCCAAAAGAAGGGTTGAAGTTGTGGGTTGCGCGACGATCAAAAACTAAACAGACGTATCCGAATATGCTGGATAACACTGCTGCGGGCGGTATGAGTACCGGTGAACACCCCTATGGATGCGCTATTCGTGAGGCTGCGGAAGAAGCATCCATCCCGGCAGAAGTCTTTGAGCAACGCGCCAGACCAGCGGGCGTATTGACGTACTTTTACGTGCGGGATGCGCGCGCAGGCGGCGAGACGGGTCTGTTACAGCCGGAAATTGAATACATTTACGACATCAGATTGGACGCGAGTCATGCAGTGAAGCCCTGCGATAGCGAAGTTGAGGATTTCCGTCTTTGGACCGTGGATGAAGTGAGGCAATCACTGAGGGAAGGGGACTGGAAGCCTAATTGTGCTGTTGTGGTTATCGACTTTCTGATCAGACATGGGATTCTGACGCCGGAGAATGAGCCTGACTATTTGGAGATTATGGCAAGGATACATCGGCGCTTGCCTTTTCCTACGGTGAGGTTTGATATGAAATAGAGGCAGCATCTGATTACAGACTCTCATCTAGGTATGAATCCAAAAGCCCTTTAAACTAGAATTCAAGAGATAGATCCCTCAATATCTGAATTGAGGACTGGTTAGTATTTCCTCACCAGACGATAAAGTGTCATAGTTTTTAGAATAGCAATTATGTGAGTAACAAGAAGATAGTTAACAAATTTCATATCTAGGCGACTAAGTAGGCTAAACCTGGTACAAAGCACACAATAAGACAATATGCCTAACAGCGATGCGCAGGCCCTCACTTTCGATTCTTAAAGTCTACCCAAACCAGAACGCCAACGCTGATGCAAATTCCGGGTTACCTGAAGGGACCTTGGCAGGCTTATTTCTTGAGCAACAAATAAACATAGTCGATTCTCAAGGGGACGAGCTTATTGTATGGGCCGTCCATGTACAACAAAAGACCTCCAAAGGAAACAAAGACGGACCTGAAGATGACAACGTTAGTTAATGCAATGCAATACGAAAAAAAGGACTGGTCGCATACATATTTCCCTGAGTCGAACCTTCCTCGAAACGATAGACCTTGCCATGGCAAACATAGTCATACTCATTTGCAAGGGTGTGTTCACCCATTCCGACATCTCTCCAACCACCTCGACCCGCGGCGGCATCTTCATCTTTTCCATCGAGAGACAAGGTCGACGCTAGAGCCAGGGAAAGCGATTCGCCGACTGCGCAGGGGTACAGCTCGGTGTTCACATCGAGGGTGAACGTGGTTTGGTTGTCGGTTGATGTGCAGCTGATGCGAGAGACGCGATCGTATTTTTGCGAGTTTATTGAGGTAATTGTGAATGTGTCTTCGAAGAGTTGAGCGTCCGACATTTTGTCTTCTTGTAGCGAGCTAGAGGGGCAAGCGCAATGAGACGACTGTTGTGCTGTATATTTATGGGTCTGGTAGATATGAACGATAACGTCGCTAAAGAGCAGAAATAATCGAAGGGTTGGATTGGCGCAAACTAGGTGGTCAACGATGAAGTTGTCTCCGAAGTTTGAAGCTTTTTTCTCCCGGCCCAAAAAGCGTTAGCGCGGCAATGGAGCTGCCCCGCATCATCATTGGTTGCTGCATATAAAAGTTTCAAAAGTTCAACATCGAGCATATTAGCACTCAGAATACGACACATTTACTAGCAAAATGTCGTTTCGCAAGCGGAATGTTGGGATCTCCACAGGCGTGAACGGTACTGCATCGCCGACAATACCTGCCTCGCAGCCTGTCGCTGCACAAGCAAACGAGACACTTTCCGGAGTGCGACCATCCCCAGATGATGGACGACCAACGACGTCAACGGGCTCGCGTTCTTTGGACAATCTGTTGGCCGGTCATGCAGGTCTACCACTTGGGAAAATCCTTCTGGTAGAAGAAAACGGGACTACAGATTTTGCAGGCGCATTGTTGCGTTATTATGCAGCTGAAGGGGTGGTCCAAGAGCACAAAGTACATGTCGTTGGTCTAGCGGAGCAATGGGGCAGAACTCTTCCAGGGCTTATAGGGTCTGCAGACTCTCTGGATGAGAAGGTCGACAGAAGGAAAGAAGAGAAGATGAAGATTGCTTGGAGATATGAGCGGTTGGGAGAGTTTGGGACAGGAGTTGCAGGCTCAAGAGGTATTATTGCTCTGAAGAACTTAATGTCTAACTTTACTGACTCTAATTTGTTATAGCACCGGCTCCTGCTACGAGTAATACAACTTCTGCACCACTCAGCGCGAAACAAGAAGCTTTCTGCCATGCTTTTGATTTGACCAAAAGACTTACGCATCCATCCCTGGCTACTGTCAACTATATACCTCTTGCACCTCAAAGAGGTTCACCCTTATCTTCGATAATGCAGAACCTACAGACCAGCATTGCAAACAGTCCACCGAATACTGTACATCGAATTGTGATTCCTTCGCTTCTCAACCCTGCCATCTACCCGCCCGAGACAAGTCAGCCTGAATATCTGCTCCGATTCATCCACTGTCTTCGAGCACTCCTATCGCATAATGCCTATAACATAACTGCCATGATCACAATTCCACTATCGCTTTATCCAAGATCAACTGGCCTTATCCGGTGGGTTGAGATCCTATGCGACGGCGTGGTTGAGTTGTGCCCTTTCCCACATTCATCGGATGCAATAGCGACTTCGGGTGCAGCAACGGCACACGAGGAGCCGCCTCAAGGAATGCTCAAGACACACAAATTGCCTGTACTTCACGAACGCGGCGGTGGTAGCGACCAGAACATCGGCGAAGATTGGGCTTTTACGTTGAGTCGACGCAGATTCGAGATCAAGCCATTCAGTCTTCCTCCGGCGGAAGGCGACAATGAAGCTCAGCAGGCACCTAGTGATAGTAAAATGCCCAAGAAGGCCGACCTTGAATTCTGAAATCGAAACGTGATTGGTTTCTATCGCGCGCGGTCGGATTCGTATTGTTCTTCGCGGTACATGTCGTCTAGCTCGATCTGCTCGGACATTGCAGGGCCGGTAAAGGTCATTGTGCGCAGGTATTCTGGGCCGTATGAGCCCCTGCCGTTGCTTCGAACACCTCGAATGCGGTTCCTGAGTCCATCGCCTAGGCAAGACGAGAGCGCAAGCCAGGCTATATAAGGTAAGAACATGATCGCAGCTTGTCGCACGGATTAGACTGACCTAACATAGCCACCAGTGGCAGTACAAACAAGAATATCACAACCCAAATAATATCCATGTTCGAGTTTGTCGCGTCGATGCTAAGGAGCAACAATTCAAGTTCTTGTTGAAATGATGATTGATGATGAGAAGCTCCGCAGGCCCGAAGAGGTTAAGCGCAACTTTGAAATTTGGGCTTTCCTTCAGTTCTCCGCTTCCGCTAATTTTTTTTCCCCTTCACACCTCAACAATTCGAACAAAATTATTATCCCTGACTTTGCTGGTCAAAGCAGGGATCTCTTCACTACACAGTAAGTATATCTTCCTCCTGCTACTTTTTTCCTGTCATATGATTATTACCATACCAATCTGTCAATCCCCTGAAGCTCATTCTATCTCATTTTAAGAGCATTATGTGACTGAGAAACGTATTTTGAAATGATTTGACTGCTTTCTTCTCTTGTAACTGAACCATCACCTATTTGACAACCTGCTAACGAGCTGAAAAGTAGATCGTTGTATTCACAATGGCTGCAGAAGTTCCGCTTCCGATCCCCATCTCCCTCGTGTCAGGCCGCTACCTAATTTTCTCGGCTGATGCTGCCACGTATTTAAGAAAAGAATATAATATATGTGGTGTTTTGATGGGCACATTACCCCAAGTCCCGCAACAAAATGTTTTCCTTGGTATTCCCGTGCAACTCATGCCCGAGGAAGCAAGACTCTTGGTAGAGAAGAAAGTAGCACGCATTATTGATGGCCGAAGATATCACAATGATAGTATGCGATCACTCGCGGAAGCAGACAAAATCAAATATTTGCAATCCCTCCAGAAAGAGGGGCGAAATGTGTCCCAAGCCAAGTCGAATAGGAAGGAGCAGCAGCGTGAGGAATCCTTGAGAAAGGCAACGCAGAAGAGGAAAGCCAAACTCGCTGTGTCGGCCGAGAAAGAAGAGACAGAAAATACCGACAATGTGCTCTTTGAACCTCCCGCACGTCCGGCTAGTTCCATGTCGAACGCCAGCTCTACTACTCAGCTATCGACAATAAGCATTACACCGGCAACCACGTACCCTCTTATCCCCTACCAACCTGCCGAAGAATACGAGATGCCTCTGCCGGAAGTACCTGCTTCTTATCCCGTATACGCTCATTTGCATTCACATGGGTATTTCCTCTCTCCGGGGTTGAGGTTCGGATGTCAATACATGGCCTACCCTGGCGACCCACTGCGTTTTCATTCACACTTTTTAGTGTATGGATTTCATAGAGATGAGGAACTGAGTCTTATGGAGATTGTATCGGGTGGTCGACTCGGTACTGGAGTCAAGAAAGGCTTTCTTTTGGGCCACGCAGTGGACCCGGATGATGCTGCTTCGGAGGTTCGCACGTTTAGCATTGAATGGGCTGGGATGTGATCTCCGTCACTAGGAACTGAGAAATATCATGTTCACTGGCTCTACACGAGCTTGAATTATGCATGGACTACAAGAGTCGTCGACCTGACCCGACAGCTTTCCCTCACGGTATCCCTAAGGATCACGGGACTATTATTTGCACAAGGCAAGTGCAACTGTCGTGTTGGTACACCCTGCACAACGACAAATTGGCTGTCTACCAAGAATGATGCCGAGACAAACTGTCGTCACAACCGGTGTACCCATTACGCAAGTAGAGTACTTCGGGGTAGAGTGCAATGCTCGACTTGAGCCTACTTCAGGATTGATCGAATCAGACGGTCATTGATTCTGCACACGAAATGACGCAGTCTTCAAGTCATGAAGACCAAAAGTCAGGACTAGCTACATATCTGCAATCCAATCAAGAACGTCCCTTCTAGCGGACATGTATATCAGTCTTCATCAAACGTTTTAGTCCAGTCAAAGATAGTTTTTATACTGCCCCAACGCCCCTGTCCGTGGAAAGTAGTTGATGTCCTATCGCAACGATCACTCTACTCACAATTGTAGTCCGTGACCAACTTGAGAGTTGATGTGCTGTGTGTCGAGTTTGGCTATCCTTGAAAGGCTGTGAGAGTGTGGTAACCACGTGTGTCGCTTTCTGTCGTAGCGGGCGTTGTATACGACTTATCTTCAAAACGGTTCAAAGAGCTGGTGTGTATGGGCCCGAAATTGCATGCACGCAAGCGCTCTTCTCGTTTGTGATCCCAGCTGACTGCTTTCGTACTGGCAATATACCAGAAGAACCGTGGTTTATCATACTTAATTCCTGTAGTGTCGACCTGTTTGGGGCCTCAAACATAGTCGATATTCCTCCATTTGAACTTCTTATTCGCGCGATCCACAGGCCGATTCTCAAATTGACTTCCGTGCAGCTCGAAGACGAAATCTTTCGGCTTCTCCCCCTCCAGCCTCTCCTTACTAGTCGTGTCGTCAGTCGATTGTTGTACCGGTGTAGACGGAATAGTGAATCGAAAGACTGTATGCTCTTTGGGTATCGCTAAACCGAATATCAATATAACCATACAGGACACAAGCGAGGGGAACGCGAAACTCACTCTTAACAACATCCTTCTCCGTCACAATAACAAACGTAAACTTCGTATCCCTGATCACAATCCCCTTCACGCCAACCCTGCCCGCGCACCGACTGCGCACAACCTCAACCTCCGCACCATGATAATCCGCGCTGACGAGCTTACTCCCATGAGCCGGCCCACTTATCGTCAACGGCCTACCGTTATTCGTCGCATTCGTACTCTTCTCTATCCCCAGTACCTCCTGCATATACTGCACCCACATCCCATGCAACCCCTTGAAGACTTCATACTTGCATTCCTCCTTCGAAATGTCGTACAATCCCGACACACGTTTTTGTCGCGCTGAGAGCGGTTGAGGTCGTTGTTTCCGGTAGAAGTATTCTTTCTTGCGGAGTCGTTGAAGTCGACGACGTGACCGTTTGTCGGCTGGTGTAGGCGATGTTGGGCGCAGGTAGAGTGGTTTTTGTTTTATGCGTTCGGTGAAGAGTTGCTCAGCTGTGTCAGGGGAGTGGGCACGCGAGAGGAGGTCTTGGGCTATGTGGGGTTTTGAAGTGGACATTTTGTTGATTGATTTATGAAGGATAGTGGTGAGCGGAACTGACTTAAATGAGATTGTGTCGTGGCATTGCAATCGTGCAGAATGGCAGAGTTGTCGAGTTGTCGAGTCACAGGCGGTTGGATGAGGTGAATTTTGTAGCTCTGGGGTTGATAAGCTTATCGCCAAAACTTACTCGTGCTTATCTTATCGCTTGTCCTTAACAAACTATGCTATACACCACCTGGGCACGACAACAAGTAAAAGATTGCCAGATCCATCAAAAGAGTCATACGCCGAGTCTCGAACCTTGAGGGCATAGCAATGTAACCGAAAGAGCCCCGTGCCATTCAAGGACCCAACGGAATGATCAATTGCCTCGGACAAAGACCCGAACCCCGCATGAACCTTCATACGATGATCTTTAAATTCAAGATGGATGGTCCTTCTAGTAGCGAATGCGCATTCACTTTTGCAATACTTTGAAATCAGCCATTCGACTTGGATATTACGATATGGCTCACGAAAATTTTGAATCCTTGCCCCTCTTTCCAGATGACATTCCAACCATGCCCTTGGATCGGCTATCCTTGGTCAAACTTCTCCAACACGATAGCGACGAGGTTCAGAAATTTTGTCGTGCATGTGAGGACATTGGATTCTTTTACCTGGATCTCCGTGACCAGGAATTGGGTGACTCAATTCTCTCAGCCGCCGATGAACTATTCAAAATCAGCGAGCAGCTATTTGCGCTAGATGTTCAAGAAAAGTCCAAGTATGATCATAGCAAAAAGAGGTCTTACTTCGGATACAAACCTCTTGGGGCTGGTCAGGTAGATGAAAAGGGGAACCTCGACAGTGTCGAGTTTTACAACGTAAGTCTATCATTCTACTTCTCAAAGTGCAAGTAGTCTGACATGGCCAGATTGCCAAGGATGATCTATTCGGGGTAATGGAGCCGCTTCCTCAACCTGATATCATTCAGAACAACAAGAGCAAACTCAAGTCCTTTGTTTCCGATTCTCACGCCATCGTAACACTTGTTCTTGACCTACTGAATGAACATCTACGGCTGCCTCCGTCTACTCTCGCAAATATGCATCGTATCGACCATCACAGCGGCGATCAGATTCGAATGACTAGATCGCCGCCACAGCCTATGACTGGCGAAGTGCCACGACTTGCTGGACATACTGATTTCGGCAGTGTCACTGTCCTTTTCAATCGGCTTGGTGGTCTCCAAGTCCTTCCGCCAGGCCAAGACGCAGAGTGGAAATGGGTCAAGCCCCTCCCTGGACATTGCATCATCAACCTAGGTGACTCTTTAGTCAAATTCACGAATGGTCTCCTCCGCTCGAATATCCACAGGGTTATATCCTCACCAGGTGCTCAGGCAGCATCGACGCGGTACAGCTTGGTCTATTTTTCTCGACCGGAGGACGATGTTCTGTTGAAGAGATTGCAAGGGTCGACTATTATTCCTCCGTTGCCTGAAGGTGTATTGGAGGAAGATGTGAGTAGCAAGGACTGGATAATACGGCGTGCTTTGGCAAATCGTACGAACCTCCATGATAAGGTAGATTTGGAGAGTGCCAGGGGGACGGAGCAGATTAGTCGACGGATCAAAGTGTAGCTATCTTCAGAGGACTTCGACTCGTCGTAATTCCACTATCAAGCTAATCAGAATCCATGTTCATTTCAGCACGGAGGGTCTCCCTGACTAAAAAAGGATTCCGAGCGTAGTCCGACTTGAGGCCTTTCCCTTTTGTTTCAGATAGCTGGACAGATATTCTTACAAACGATCTGCTATCATTGGCTCATGGCATGTGATTTGACCAATCAGGCAGCAGTCTACTTGCCTTCCCTTTTGGGACGTTTGACGGACTTCCACCTACGCTCCTTTCTCTTTTTGCCTGTTTGCTCGAGACAGATCAAGAAATCACATGATCCTATTTGGTAATCGACTATCTATATTCACATGCCTATCTTCATCCTCTTCATCCCAAGTCTCAGCTACAGCCTGCAGCAACCTAAGCTTATCTCAACTTCGATCTGCGAGGTCCCCGCGCTATTGGATGTTCGTTTGACTTTTCCCCAGATTTCTTGTTTATTCTTGTCTTAGGTCTCCTGTGCGGGCATGTGATTGAACCAGCGTTTGCTAGATCTGGTTCTGAAAGCTTGTACCATCTGATATCAAAGGTACGTCCCTTTTAATCTACAGATTTTACTTGATACCTAGTAAATGAAAGTTCGGCTTTTATGGAATGCAACCCTGATTGGTCTGCAGAGTGCTCGATCATACTTATCTCCCCGTCGACTTCACCATCTTTGCGCCAATGAAGCTCCTCGATACCAGACGAGGGACAAAATGCAACCATTCCCCAAGCGATGTACCTCACTTTTGGGGCGAAACTTGACCAAGTCCAGACTGTGAACCAGATAGTCAACTCTACTTTCACATGCAAATTGATCTCTCCTTCTTCACAATGTCTCTTTATAGTCTCATCTCAAACGTCAATCCGGGCACCAATAACGCGCTCAAGATCTATCTCAATATGGAACATTTTTGTCTCACATTACTACCTAACCTCAAGTATCATAAACTTCTTCGCTGTTTGCCAGGGGGAAATGATGCCGTTTGTTTGATTTGAGATATGGCGTGATCTCTGGAGAATGGGGATCAGAGCTCGTCTCAGATCTATAAGAATCGGTCCTTCTCTTGGTCCTGATTCTTCATCATCTCTCATGTCAGGTCGATTTCTCTTGTCATCTACAGTCTACACAACACCAAACCTCCGTGATTCTACTCCTTCTTGGAGTCTCAACAGATCGACTTTTCTTTTCGACTTCTTTCAACATCATCACCAAGGCAGTTTTGAATACCCGCCTGGTATCTGTGCAATTGGAGGGAATCTCAAGGTTGATACGGTGGACGTATCAAGATGACTGCAAAGAGTATGTTTTCAACCTCTTCAGAAAGAACTTTTGTTAGGCGAACTAACAGTTTGAAGATACAACGATGCAGGAACGTTATACTCCTTTCGTGCTTGCACATAGACCACAGATTCTCCCTCTTCTAGGAGATGAAGATATCGCTGAGATTCTTGAGGAGGAATCCAGCGATGGGGTTGTTTACCAGTACGAAGAGATCAAGAGTCAACCAGTAGGGTATGTGCCAGAAGTTTGTCTCGATACACGAATATGGTTGCTAATATCTGAACAGCATACGAGTCATCCTAAAGCCTCATCAACTCGATGGAGTTTCTTTTCTTTTTTATCTTCGAAAGAATTCTGCCCACTGCATCCTAGGAGATGAGATGGGCCTCGGTAAAACATTACAAACACTATCATTCTTTCAACATATCAAGAACGTGGAAGGAGGTGGTCGCCGGCCCTTTCTCGTTGTATGTCCGATGAGTGTCCTCGCAAATTGGCAGACGGAAATAGAAAATTGGACCACTCTCAAGGCAGTACAATGGTATGGCAATGGTGAAAAAAGAAAATGTACCGCACAGATGGTCAAAGATCAAGGTATGGCAGGKCTCTGATTCTTTKCATTTTTCCGTCATTATGAAGCTAATATGTTTGATTTCTCGACTACAGATTTTGATGTTGTCCTTACCACTTATGAGACTGTGGTTGCAGATCGTTTCAGACTCTCGCGTATTGGGCTTTGGGAATGTATAGTGTTAGATGAAGGCCATCGAATCAAGAATTTCACGACAAAATTGTCCACAAGTGTGAAAACTTTGAAGACTAGACAGCGAATCATTCTAACGGGGTAAGTACAGCCATTATAATTTGAGAACCAAATAACTTGATTTAACGCTGACTTCTCAAAGTACGCCTATTCAGAATGATCTCTCAGAAGTTTGGTCTATGTGCAACTGGTTATACCCGGAAATTTTCGTTAAGGAGACGCAGCAACATTGGAAGGAAGCTTTTTCACTTTCGAGCGGGAAAGTCGACTCTACATTTCTCGAAAATGTCAGGGATTTCCTCAGAGTCATCATGCTTCGGCGAGTCAAGCAATCAAAATCACAAGGATTAGGACTTCCAGTGAAGACAGAGGTAGTCCTACATCTACCGCTAACTCAAGAGCAGAAGCGACTTTATCTGGAAGTAATCACCGGACAAAGTGATTTTATCAAGTTTTGTACCAATGAAGATAGCAGCCATTTACCTCAGACACCACCACCGAGTCCGGGCAGTGAGGACTCTATACACTCCCACTCCACGAATCAGGACATACGAGAGAAGGCATCAAGCCGTTCCGTGACAAACGCGCTTATGGAGCTTAGAAAAGTGAGTCCATTAGGAGACCATTTGAAATTCAGGCACTAACTTCAGATTAGATTTGTGTCCATCCTCTGCTCGTTGACAACATGGGCATGGGAGATGTCTTCGCTGAGCCAATGCCCAGGGAATTAGTGCAGAGTTCCTCCAAATTCATTGCACTCGAGAGACTCCTTTATCACGAAGTTACCGAAAACAACAAGAAGATGTTGATATTTTCAGGTTTCGATTATGCTTTGGATTGCTGTGAGTCTCTTCTAAACGCCATGAGCATCCCCCATCTTCGACTCGACGGCAGTACCCCCTACGCTATCCGCAAATATAATGTTCATCGTTTTCAAAACCAAGATCTACATCGGGTCTTTGTCATCGCAACCAGGGCTGGTGGAGAGGGAATCACTCTCACTTCAGCTGAAGTTGTTGTTTTCATGGATTTGGATTGGAACCCACAGATTATGGCCCAAGCGGAGGCAAGAGCCCACCGCATCGGTCAGGAGAAGCCTGTGACTGTTGTGAAGATGTGCACTCGAGGTACAGTTGAACATCAGATGATAAACCGCGTGAACAAGAAGCTTTACTTAGCTTCAAGGGTTATCCACGATGCTGCAACTGCAAGTTCTGAATTGTCCATGGCGGATTCTTTCCAAACGGATGCCACATTCATTCGTCGGTTGATATCACACAGTCTTACCTCAGTAACTGTGGACCCATTCAGGGCTGATGATTTGAAAGATATGGACTGGGAGACAATTGTGAAATCTTGCCAAAATACGTATGATGCAGAAGAATACACACCTACATCATCGATAACCACCCCGCCTTCACCCAGTGTAGATTCTTTTGATGAACAGGAAAAACACTGGTTGTCGCAGAGTACTAGCATAAAAACTGGTCTCTTCAACGGCACAGTATTTCAACGTCGTCGGGTCCAATTGAAAGATGCACTTCCAGAAAGCCTCGACCCATACCAAAGGCGGCTCAACAAAAATCGGACAGTATACGACAAGGATATCGATTATTATGTCGACAAAGAGTCGACTTTGTGTCGGGATGGCGAAGCTGTGCCTACGCTGACAAAAGGCAAAACTTCAAAGCTTAAGGTGGTCGGAGGAATCGGGTTTCAGCACTTCAAGGTAAGTCCAGTAGTATGTATGTGCATTGCCGCTGAGCAAGTGGGCTTGCATTTACATGATTGATCTCATCATATTGGCTAAATATGCAAACAGACTTGTTTAATTTGTGGCAAGGGACATAATTTAGAAAAATGCACATACTGTCCACAAGTGTATCACGAAGAATGCATGAATCAGGAAGAGATTACTTCGAAAAAGAACCCTTTCGGCAACAAAACCTGTCCTCACCATCATTGCGTCAACTGTGGTTTGACAGCTATTAATGCTGGTGGCCTGCTTCTGGTCTGCAACAAGTGTCAGTTCTCGACTTGCATCGACTGTGTTGACTTGGATGCAATCAAGTCAATAGGCGACAATATTCCCGAATTCGAAGCAATAGGGTACGAATCGCCACGACACTTCCAGTACATCACATGCGAAGTTTGCTTGAAAAAGTCACATGAGAGAGAACAGAAACGAACCATGACTCGCACTGACAGTCAACATCTGCGAAACGTCAAACGGGTTTGCCGGTTTGGTTTTGAGTACTAATCGACATGTGAGAATCCCATGGACTATCGTATCAAACTCAACTCAGAAATCTATTTACATCTTCGTGATTGGGATGTTTCGGTAGAAATTTCAAAATACTGCCAGGAAAAATATTTCGCAATACTTTTGTTATGATTAATAAATGTGTCGATGGATGATGTGAAAGGTCATGTATTTATGGAGAAGAGTGAGTGTTTACAAATGCAGGAGATCCATGTCATATTAACAAGTCGGGATATTACCAGTCTGAGATTCAAATACAGAGGAGGTTTGATACGAATTCTAGTTTTACATTTTAGCATAATCATCTCCATGCGTTGTGTCATTACCCCCTGTTCTCGCTATCCATACCGACTAGTTGCGTATACATACACCCGGTCGTGTACATCTGGAAACGGGAAAGTATCGAAACTAGTCCTCAAAATCATAGCTCGCCCCAACTACGAAATTCTACTGAGACTTATCTTCAGCTTGATGCGTAGCGAAGTCGTAGTTCCAGTGTCGGTTGCTTCGTGTTCATTTGCAGTGTAGTCAAGTCAGTTAAGGCTTCGGCATACACGGACCTGTACTACCAAGTCGATCAATTAGCGATTCTATTCTCACCCATGCCTTCTGATTCTGGAAAGCCTTATATGATTTAGACTTCATACTCCACATACTCGTAAGTTGTAACCGTAACTAGGTATTTAAAAGAAACATGAAGAAAAAAACTACATACGAAGCTACCTGACTCTGTTGTCCTGGATCCCTCGAGTCAGCGTAAATACTCTACTCCGTATAATACGTCGCCATAATCTCGGAACCAGTTTAGAAAGTATCCTACTCGTTACCAGATTGTCGGTATCCAATACATTGGGGCTTTTAAGATGCTAGGATACGAGGGTGCTGTTGGGGGATTGCAATGATATTGGGGGCGGTCCAGTTTAGCACGCAAAGTCCAGTCTACAAGTCTGACTGACAGTCAGAATTTAGTGATCGGCCAGCCAAATAAATTTTTTCGAGGAATTCTCCGGCGCCGTCGTCTGAAGCATTAAGTGCGTAATTAAGTCCTAAGAATCCTTCCGTTGATCTTAAGACTTACGCTGAATCCTTCAAGATCCACAGCCCGTTCGAGAGTTGCCCGGTCGAGACGTTTGGGTGCAACTATACCACGGAATCTAGTACTTATTTGGACATGAATGCCTAGTGTAGTTATGGAAATTTTGTTATGTTTAACGGAATATCTTATAGTTCGACATTTTAGACAGTGCAGTAGTGTAAAGAACGATCTTGAAAAATACAAACGTACCAATATCGCAACAAATTATTACTGTCACTCTTGGGCCAAATTGTAGAAATTAGGCTTCGGAAGAAAAGATCAAAACGAGGTTTTGCAAGGATACTGATCCAATAGTCAAGTTATGCGTCCTCCCTGATATGGAGCAAAAGGCTCACCAAATCAAGTGCTTACTTCCTAACCTTCTTCAGCATCTCAACAGCGAGTTGATATGTCTCATTTTTTGCTGCCACAGAGAATTCGCTGGTGAGTTTCTTATCAAATGCATGCCCGCAGCCCTTCATCCTGCGAATGATGACTTCTCTACCAGTAGCATGCCCTTCATTTTTTGCTCTCTCAGCTAACTCTTCTGCCTCTACTGCTGATTGATCCAACTCGCCTGTAACGACCAGCATATTTGCCGGAAGATTTGAAGTACCCGCAAACGCGGGTGAGATTCTTGGATCGCGAGGATCCATTCCCCTGAGATATGATTCTCGGAAGATCCTAGTCCAGAAGGGCGACCGGTCCTTCCTACCTGGTACGGGAGCCCTTCTCAAACTCGGGTCTTGGAAAAGATTTGTCGCAGGATAGAATGCTATAAGCGACTGAAACGTTCCGCGTGGAAGAGTCGTTAAGGCAGCGGCAAGCGCGAGAGTGCCGCCAGACGAAAACCCAGAGATGGAGATGTGAGAGGCGTCATACTCGTTCGGGTGATCAACAACATATTTTACAGCATCCTCAACATCGTTAAGAGCTGCAGGGAATGGGTACTCGGGAGCCAGGCAATAGTTGACATCAAGCACAACATAGCCGGTTGCGTCGGCGACAAATCGGCAAAAGTCATCATCCATACCATGAAGAGGTATCGCAAGGCCAGAGCCATATAGATTTATGAGAATCGGAGCTGCATTAGAGCTTTCAGTATCTGCGGTATGTGGCTTGTAGACATGGACTTTGATAGTGCGACGCTTGTCGCGAGATGCTATTTGTATAACGTCGTCGGGTCTCGGCCGCGACGGCGAGCCAAGTAGTTTAATGAGGACGCGTGAAAAGGTAACGAGAACCTTTAAGTACAAATAACGCAAGAAACTAGACATTTTTGCTCGTAAAGACAGTCGGGTGAGTTCGGTTGAAATTGTCTAATGAAAGTCTCTATATAATGCTTTTAAACGGTAACGTTCAGTTTTGCGATGACTCAGATCTGGGGATGGTGTTGCCTAGATACGAGACAACCACAGCCTTGCCAATTAGGGCTTTCATGAGTATGCCCTACTCCTACTTCATCGCCATCAATCGATGGCCTATATTGTCAGTATTCAGGTCTACTCATAGTGTATTCTTTGACCGGTTTTACGAGCAGAAATCTGGTTGGAATAGAGCCAATCTCACTCGTCGACAATAATCATTTACGCAGTGCCGCTACATTGAGCCGGTTTTAGCCTATTATCATATTCGCCCATACAAGCAGCTTATACCTCCATTACTGTCAATATCTTCATCGCACACCACATAAATTATCAACTGGCTGTATATCTCCAAATCAAGAAACCATGAACCCGATTATTCCAGGATTCGCCCCCGATCCTTCTGCGGTCCGCGTCGGGGATACTTACTTTCTGGTCAACTCCAGCTTTCATATATTCCCTGGCCTACCTATATATGCGAGTAGAGATCTCGTCTCATGGAAACATATCGGTGAGCGAATTACGCATAGTCTCCTGCCTTCAATGTATATGTATTGATACCAGATCTAGGAAATGCCATAAATACGCAGAGTCAGCTCAGTCTCGCATTGACTCACACAAAATTGAATTTGGAAGAAGGAGGCAACTTCATGTGCGCAGCTGGTGGACTCTATGCTCCCACAATAAGACATCATGCTGGCAGATTCTACGTGATCTGTACGAATGTGATTCATACCGGCGAACAAGAAGGCACACACCAAAACTTTATCGTCTCGACAGCAGATATCTGGGGTTCCCAGTGGAGCGATCCTGTCTTCTTTGACTTTGATGGGATTGATACTAGTGTTTTGTGGGATGATGATGGTCGCTCATATATGCATGGGTCTGCCGCACCAGGACCAATGACTACCATTAAGCTGTTCGAAATCGATCTTGCCACGGGAAAGAAGCTATCGGATGAGAAAACCATCTGGAGAGGTACCGGGGGCATCTGGCCTGAGGGCCCTCACATTTATAAAAAAGATGATGGATGGTACTATCTATTCATCTCCGAGGGGGGCACATTTGAAGATCATATGATCACGGTTGCGCGGTCAAAATCTGTCTGGGGCCCGTATGAGGCAAATCCTCATAATCCAATTCTTACAGCTCGCGGCACAGATGAATATGTACAGCATACCGGTCATAGCGACATCTTCCAGGATTCGCAAGGCAACTGGTGGGTGGTGTGTCTTGGTGTTCGAAAGGACCGGTCCAAACGCTATGTCATGGGACGGGAAACATTTCTTACCTCGATGGAGTGGCCGGCAGGAAGCTGGCCAAGAGTAAACCAGGTCAAAATAGGCTTGCCATCAGACCTCACAACTACTTCGCCAGGCACCGTATCGAGCCTGAGCACAAACCCTGATGTGGACTGGTGCTACATTCGAGATGCAGACCTGACCATGCACAAAATTGTTGAGAATGGCAGGGAAATCGTCCTCACAGCGGCTGAATACGATTTAAGTCAGGCCAGACCTGAAAGCCGGGTCACGTTCGTGGGTAAGCGCCAGCGCCAGCTCGAAGGCCATTCTCAAGTCGCTGTTCAAAACGTCTCACCAGGCACACAAGTCAATGCAGGTCTATGTGTCTACAAGGACGAACACAGATTCGCGCGAATATATGTTGAGTATGAAACGTCAGCTATCGTGCTCGAATTTGTTAACAAAGCGAAGTCGATCGACAAGAGCAAGAAAATAGCTGTCAACCTTAAAGATGCCGCCGCTACGTGGTTTAGAATAGAGTACCTTGAATCACATTATAGATTCTCATATCGTCTCGAGGAAGATTCTTCATGGGTTGATTTCGGGGATCTTGACACGCTAGAGTTGACGGGCCATGACTTTGTTGGCCCTATCGTGGGCATCTTCGCTTTCACGAAGCCTATGAATGGGCGTACAGATATCAAATTCGAGATGCTTGAAATTGATTGAGCACTGGGCATCATAATGTGAGCCACCTAGGTATTAATGGGAAGATATTCATAAGTCAAAGCCTACTTATATATGTAGATTTCAATGTTTCAATGCTGTAGTATACATATACTTGACCCGAACAAAAGTCTATTCCAAGGCTGTGCATCTATCTATGTAGGTATCTTATTTCATACAAACATTCTGAAGAGCTTCCAAGTATGAGTATAAAGATAACGTTTAATCGTTTATGGCCTATCAAGGCAACGAATACTCAAATTGAGCTATACGACCACGCAAGCTATGCATAGTTTTCTGGGATAATGATGGCACCAATTTCAGCCTATATAGGATAAAATTACACCTGGCATTTTCATTGTTTGATGTCGCGATTCGTGAACCACTCAACCATGTGGAAAGTTTAACATATAAATATGTTGGAAATCTATCCAATAGTTGCGCGTTCTGCGCTGGAAAGGCGTTGGTTGCGCTGCGTGTCGTTTCGACCTAAACTAAGAAAGGAGATCCGGCGGCAGAATGATAAGACAACGTTAGACTTTAATGGAACCGGGGTCATGTGGAGAGACGGTGAAGCTCGCGGGCGAGATCAACTGGGGTAATTGTACGGGGAAAGAGAAATACCGGGGGGAATCTTCGTTTGAACAAAAGCTGGAACAAGCTTTGATATTCGATATCTTACGTTGATTCTGGTGTACGGAAGCATGTATCATAAGTGAAGAAAATGAAGACATCGTAAGACGTTATTGATACCCCTATTATAGGAAGCTAGCCAGACAGCTCAACAAGCAATCACCGACCCCTTCCAAATGGCAGCTGCAAGCCAACTATGTGTTGCTCTTAAAGGGCATTAATTTAAATATGCAAGTTTACATTCAGGCTATTTCTACAAGCTTGCCTCACAAAGAAATCTATAGCCTAAAGCTGCACCCCGCGTCCCGGCGGAGAGGAGCTATACATTCCATTCAGAATTTCAAGACTAACCTATACAATCAATCATTGTAATCTGTGAGTTAGATCAAAGAACTATATAAAGACCATAAAGTCTGCCATGCGCTAATCTCATAACCAGCTCTCGGACCGTTGGACATTGTCGCATATTCTATTTCGACTTCGACTAGCTCGAGCTTTCTCAATTGGAGCCTACACCGCAATGCCTGACAGCCCTGCACAAATGAAACCGCCCGCAGGCCATTTTTATCTGGCTGGGCGATTGTTTCCCCGGAAGAAATGGTGGAGAGATAAGAACATGCGCACTTTATATTTCTTCATCCTCGTTCTGATCTTCACAAACACTGCGAATGGATTCGATAACTCTATGATGTGAGCACATGAGCTTCTTTTTGTATTCAATGAAATAGCTACAGAAGAGAACCGTTGCTAACCTCGGTACACCTGGGCAGGAATGGTCTCCAGGCCATAACCTACTGGCAGGATTACTTCGGACACCCTCGCGGCTCGACTCTCGGCCTTTTCAACTGCGTCATGAGTGCAGGTGCTCTAAGCGGCTTGATTCCCATGCCATTCATTCTAGATCGCCTGGGACGAAAACCTTGTTTAGTAATAGGGGCCTTCTTTATGTTACTGGGTATTGCATTGCAGTCGGCTGCGGTCAACTTTGCCATGTTCATCGCGGCGAGATGGATCCTGGGCTTTGGTGATATTCTGGTGATCTGTACCGCGCCGCTGTTAATTGCAGAGATTGCTCCTGTTCAAGATCGTGCGATTCTCGTGACTATCGCGGGCGCAAACTACCAATCCGGGGCATTCATCGCGGCTTGGGCCACATACGGCACTCTGCAGATTCAGGTGAGTCATCCGTTTGCTTCTCATACGTTCGCTTGACTTATGTTTGGACATAAAAATAGAGTAACTGGGCTTGGAGAGCTCCCAGTCTTATTCAAGGTCTCTTCACCATACTTATGATCGCCGTTGTGCCATGGATCCCTGAGAGTCCTCGGTTCTACATAGCCAAAGATCAACCGGAGAAGGCCTTGAAAATCCTTGCACACTACCACGCAAATGGAGACGAGCAAGATGAAGTCGTGCAGCTCGAATATACCGAGATCACCACGGCACTCGCGATGGAAAAGAGTGCACAAAAGTCCTTTTCATTCATTGACTTTCTCAGAACCCCCGGCAATCGGAAGCGATTGGTCATGATTGTGTCAATCGGTCTCTTTTCTCAATGGTCTGGAAATGGTCTTGTCTCATACTATTTAACGACAATCATGGACAATATCGGAATCAAAGATTCTCAGACACAGCTGGGTATTAATGGGGGATTGACTACTTTCGCTCTCGTTACGAATATCTTCTTCAGTTTCTTCGTTGATAAATGGGGGCGTCGACCAATCAACCTGATAAGTACAATTGGCATGCTGATTAGCTTCGTCATTTGGACTATCCTCTCCGCTATCGATGCTCAGCAGGGCAACGCGAATCCGGCTTATGGAAAGGCGGTTGTCTTCATGATTTTCTTCTACAACCTGTGGTATAATTTGAAGTAAGTTTGTCCGGTTGAAGTGTAAGAAGTCAATAAGATCCAATACTGACCCCTTCAATCTTAGGTCTGGTTTGATTGCTAGCTATACAACAGAGATTCTACCTTACCATATGCGTGCAAAAGGTTACACCGTAATGTGAGTATTTGAGTTCATTATGAATTTTTATACATCGTTAGCAGAAGCTGATCGATTATTTCCTGATAGGGAATGGGCTCTTTACGGTGCGCTCTTCTTCAACCAGTTCGTCAATGCTACTGTAAGTAATACCTCCCTTGAAACAGCCCACCAAAAACAAGAAGATAAATCCTTACCAATATTCCAAAAAGGCACTTGACAACATTGGTTGGAAGTACTACATCTTCTACTGTTGCTTCCTGGGCTTCGAACTCATCATCGTCTACTTTTTCTACGTGGAAACTCGCTACGTACCTTTGGAAGAAATCGTCAAGTACTTTGACGGTGACGATGTTGCGGCAGTCACAAACGAAGAGTTTGAGCAAGATGCGAAGCGCGCAGTCATACATGTTGATGATACCAAGGCTGCATAGAGTATGTTTTGCCTTCGACTTCTCAACTTTCTTGGAATGAGCAATGTCTTGTCATCATTCGAAATTTCGGTCAGATTACAGGTCATCAAGGGTGCAATCAGAAAACATGATTAGTTAGCTCTTTTGCTTGAATCATCATAAACAGACAATATCTCCAGCCGACTAGATGCTGGTTTGTAAGCCCAGACTCTACTGATGAACAAAGATGAAGATATACTATGTCCAGGTAACCTTATAGATCGCACTCAGGTATTTTACGTATATCCAAGTCAACTGGTTTCACCCCATGATAATTTACACAAAAAATCAATTCAGCTGCGTTTTATCACTACGTGACCACATCATCCACCCCTTTCCGGTTGCAAACATGGTAAGTAGCCAATATACATGCGAGATGAAGCTTCTACCTAACTAAATTGCTCCTAAGCAGCTGTAAGTGTCTCGTATGGGTCGTATCAGCTGTTATAAGTTCCCGTCCTGTTCTAAAGTACCGAAATTACTTCAATGTCAATCCTCCCCAAAAACGACGCGGATTAGGGTTTCGGGAAGGAAGGATCTAAACGAACTTCTGCAAGGACGGAGCACCTAAAATAGTACGTATACTTATCGACGTAGTATCCATCATTTCGAGCTCTTAAGCTCTTCCCAGTTTTCAACAGTTGGACGGAGTAAGGAGGATTTTCATGAGTGACAGAACTGACCCATATGTGCCGCGTGCTTGACAGGGATGACCCCGGCTTTACTGGTAACCCCTCCCCCGGAGTGCCCGTCAAAACTTCAGCACAAACAAGGAGGATCCTTACAAGCTCGATCCTTGATTTCGGGAATCCGGATAAGCTTTTTGGTAACCTCGACTCCATAGCGGCGACGGTAGACGTTTGAATCGATATCTGCCGTGGATACGTATATATTCATCTCATCGGTGGGGTTTCATCGTTCGTTTTAGAGGTATTTTTCGCCGAGTCATTTGATTGCAAGGCACATACCTTGGTACCTAAGTAGAGTTCTGAAACCCCTCACAGCAACTCTGACCACAACGCTCGGTCAGTCAAAGCGAAACATTCAGACATGACATGTACATCCATACATAAACTCTATCAGAACACAAGTATCATACGACGACCGAGTTTCGGCCGTCGCGTAAAAAGATCAGGCAAAAATAACCAGAATAGATCCAGACTGCCAGCCCGACCCAGAAAACCAAAAATTCGGAACTGGGAACGAAACGGTCCGACCCGTTCGTCTAACCAGAATGGTGCGTCGCACATACGGAATTTGTGTGTATGAGCTCCGAATGGATGGATAGATACGCAGCGGATGGGCATTGGTACCTGATATCATGCCTCACTTTGGCATGGCATAGCATAGCATACCTATGTAGCTACATAAGTCGATCGAGGATGATACAGTAAGTGTATTGACGATATTGGGTAAGTAGATAATCTCGATCCAAGAAAAAGTAACTATTCGAATCTGCATGTACCTGTATTTAGGGTAATGCGACGCAACAGCACCGACATAGTGCTCAATCTACACGAAGAGCTTCCTATTCTGTTGATTCTAAATTACAGTGACTGGCAATAAGCAACGAGCATGACCCCAATTCTAGAAATATGTATCGGACCGTAGCGCAGCGCACTGCCTGACATGACTCGGTACCGCGGGCTCTCTTGTAAGGAAGCTAATCGAAGCTCAGTGCCGAATACCGACGTAATACAGATCAACGGTAGTGTTGCAATTGACATGTAACTCATTCTCGAGCATAGATTACGTACTAATACAGGCACAAAATTAAGTGCTCTCAACGGTCTATAAAGAAGAAAAAGAAAAGTGGCAGATAACCACACTACTTTCCTATTCCAGAAGTCCGTTAGCATCTATATTCTTACCAATATCAGACAACGACATCATCGTTCATAATGACTCAGGATATTACATGTACCAAGGGGAATATTATTCGTGCTATTTAATAATGCTCGCGGATTATACTTACGCTACTAACACTAGCGAAACCGGGGACATATGCTAGTCTTATCTTGAGTATTATTGACAAAATTGGCCTTCTTCCAAGGGTCTGGTCGATTGAATTGGGGGAAGTCCATTTTTCAACCAAGGATGTGTAATATAGGTACAACCATCCCTTCACCCACAAAAACACCTGCTAACTAAAATTCATCGGCCGTAATGTCGCAAAAAAAAACAAAATATCGATAGCTCCTGTTCCACATAGTCATACAAACCGTTGATATTACTGCCTCTTTTGGCGTAGTTACACAATCTGGGCTGTGTACGTATACATCTAGACCGAATCGAGTAGTACTATCTATCTGACTATCATGGTTCTTGATATTCAATGGTCAGTCAGCTTCCAAGGTTTATTGAGAGTTTGTCGGATTATTAGATGTGATGTTCTTCGTAATGGGAGGTGCAACGTGCGTAACTCGCGCGCTCGGTGTAAGAATTAATATCCAGATTATGAAGGGCAGCCACAGCAGGTAATCCGTAGATGGGTGGTTGGTATGATAGGGGTTCCCCAAGTAGTAACGGAATGGTTGAAATAGTATCAATGTATTCTGAAACACGTTGACTAGGTACTCTATCTCACAGCTTCCTCCGGTTCTCATCAAAGACTTTTGTAATAACTACTCTCCACAAGTCGATCCATCCTCTGGCGTCACGTAAATCTTGTTGTAACAAAAAGAATGCTATGCTGGTATATTGTAAATGCAATAATGGGTGGGAAAAACGGTACGCTTGATCAATCAAAGGCTGCAAGCTTATCGGTCTGATGCAAGTTGGAATTGTTCAAGTCGTTCTCGGACTCGTTTCAGGAGTTCCTCGTCTATGGGAGGCTTTTCTTTCTTTTTTGGTCTGTATAGTTCATTAGTAAGAAGTCTTCTTAGGAATGATGAATGAACGTACGGGTCTCGTCGTGAGTTTGGTCCCTTTTCTTCTCCGCAAGTCGTACAGATATTTTCGCCAGGTACGTAGAATGTATCGCACTTGTGACAAAAGTATCGCACTCTCATTCGTGGTTTCTTCCAAACTCGCTGTGGTCGCTCATCTGGCGGTTCTGCGTCGCCGGGATATCCGTCTGGATATTTGTCTAGTTTTGCACTGCAGGAATCATTAGCAAGCGATAAATTGGGGACATCTGGCGACGACGTACGGTTCGCGAGGACAACTCTTGCATCTGATGTGACCACAACTCTCGCACACGGTCGAATGAACTTTGAATATAGTCTGACATTGGTGACATGTTCGACGAACACGCTGTTTGATCTCCTTGTATATCACGTCTTGGCCTCCGGTCCGAGACTCCATGGTAAGAGGCGTACGTTCTATCTTCTGAGTGCTGTCTGGTTCAATAGAAGCAACGGCGGCAGGAGCATCTGAAGTTTTTTCTGGTTGCTTGCCCTTGGCTTTTGCAAGAGTACGGGCTTCTTTTTCTTCCTTTGTGCGGGCTGGGGGATAGCGAGGGCACGCTTTGCAACGAATGTGCTGACAGTTAGGGCACACTTTGTCCGACCCAAAGGTTGTCTGACAGCGATGGCAGGTGCGGCGAACCCTCATTCTGATCGGCTTCTCGACCCGCTTGACTTCACCGTTGCGTGGTGACATCCATTCTTGCGGTTCCAAAGTAAGACCGTACTTGGCGAACAAAGCCCGGGCTCTCTCCTGCTGTATGTCGCTCCATAGTATGGCCTGCGCAGTATCCCGTGTCGGAGCGGTGACGCCAGCAGCGGTACTTGTTTGGGATGGCTGTGGAGCGGCAGGAGGAATAGTCGTACCAATGGCTGTGGTAGTATTACCTGCAGCTGCAGACACAGGTGTAGATCTATCAGAGGGTTAGGCAACGCGTTAAACAAACAAAGAAACTCGCGCCACGCTGTGACCTGAAACTTACGTCGCTACCGGTCCCCTGGATTCTTCTATTTGTTGCGCCGAAACTGTTGACCTTGTTCGCCGGGACGCTCGGCGGAAAACGGAACCCACACGACTCAGTAGACGAGAGCTGAGGTCGTCTCTTTTTTGTCTCTGATTCCGTTCCATAATTGACGATGTGTAATCTCGATCCCTTCCTCAATTGTTCGACTCAGCCATGTAGCGTACCCTTTTTTTTTTCTTAATGATGCGACTTGTTGAGAGACATTAATGATGTAGTAAATGTACGAATTGGCTTGTTATGTTGTTTCCTGTTCCGTTCCGGGTGGTTTGCGCAGCGGCTGAGATATCGCTGGCAATAATTTGACTGACTAGTAAATGCGGCGAGATGTTATATATGCCGAAATTGAAGCCTTGTCGTAGGGCAAGCAGTCAAGACATCCATGAATTTTTTTTCTTTGAGATGGTCGGGCTGACACCGAACCTGGCGGTTGACTGAATAATTATCGGTCCCCTCTATATCGTGGCCAATCCGGAATTTGCGTGAACATTGAAATAACTGATGCAAATGGCTGTCCTCCTTTCGTACACGTCTGAGGTATACACTGGTCTGGTCCTCGCTCAAGAAGTTGTCGAAAAGTTGGTGGTGGTGGCGGTATTGGTGTGTGAGGAAGGAGACGGATTAAATCGCGAGGAAAGAGCAAACCGAAAGAGTAATGTCGAAAGCGCCAATAGCACTAGGTACTAGTTAACTACTATGTAGCTTAGTTAATTCAAGTACTCTAAGGTTGTCGGCACGGCGCTCCCGGCTGATACCTTACCACCATGATATAACCAAGTGAATGCTCAAAAGTAAAGTGTATTAAGTTAACGGGGACCAACGTACGACGCAGTGACTTACATGGGCTTGGACTCTTAGTCCGCTGCGTTAAGGCCTGTCTACACGCACGTTTGTCATTCGATGCAGAGTCTGCAGGGAGTGGTACATGTGTTCGGTGCTGATGCACTCCGGAGAACATCCCAGCGACCAGGCCGGTGGGGAGAGGACTCGTGGGTAAAGAATGGTGACCAGTCTTACCGACACAGAGGATCATTATTTGTCACCGTTATACTCCATTCACCTGCATTGTGTGGGCTTAGCAGACGGATTATTGTTCCAATGTTCAATGCGACGTGGTGTAGCGTACCGGCGTACGGGCTCAATGCTCAGCCGGTATTCCATACCCTTCGTACGGAGCGCGTACTCCGTAACGGACGAACACTAAGCAGCCGATTTCACAATCCAGACCCTCGACTTGGGTCAACTTAATCCAATTTAATGAACTTAATGAAGTTAATGTACAATTATTGAACTCAAATAGCCAATCTAAAGAAATACTAAATCCGCGGCCCACTTGACGGCGGAAGGAGACCCCAGTTGGGCCACTGTACCGAAGGATTTGCTGAATACACGGGAGCAGACCGATCTTCAATTCTTCACAACGACCCGAAGCTGGGATTTTGGTTGTTGTTCAGAGCACCAGCCAACAGGTCTAACACGACACTTTAATTGACTTTGTGCTACGAACCTAATATTGAGACTCGGTCAAGTCATCCCTTGCTCTGCAGCTACAAGGTTTCGCATTGACGTGCTATGGCTCTTTTCATCGCGATCTGTGAAGAAGATCAATTGCATACACGGAGTGCAGAGTCGAGTGTGAAGATACATGACTCAAGACACAATGTATGTAACTACCGTGTATCCCAGGACAGTCACGGTCAGACAGGGTAGCTTTAGACGAGCAGAATGAGTGCTGCGCCCGCCCCACCAATACCTCAATACCTCTCTGCAGTTCCACGGTTTGGGAAGAGGGTCACTTCCCTTCCAGGCTAGCTCTGCAGGCCTGTGCGGCACATAAGTGGAGACTGAGACAGCGTATGTTCCTTGATTGGGTCAAGTGGCAAACCTTGTTACCACCACTCTGATTGGCTCAGACGAAGCTGGCTGCATCTGCTTTCCCTGCTTTACTTCTAATGGATTGGTCTCCGTGCCCTATTCTTCTGCTTTGGCGTTACGGCTTGTATGTATTGGATGAATACAGAGTATAACTACAGACCGAGTCGCTCACGCACCACCGTTTAATCCCCGTTAAACGTCGTCGAGAGACATTTCGATTTGACTGATTCGCGCGCATACATAGTAATTAAGATTCGGACTATATCTTGAGTGTGCAGCTTCCCCGATACCAAATGCCAGCGGATGTACAGAGTACGCACCTAAATACTCAGTGGGCCCAACCCTAACGCTGGAACTTGGGACGGGCCGCTGCCGTTTACTATTCGACGCCTTTATGGGGTGCCGTACACTTCGATCATGATTCATACATACTCCACCAACAGACTCAAGTCTCATTGATTGATATCAATACATTTGCACTCAATCTATGATTAGGACCATGTAATTTGTAACAGGATGGCGAGAAGCCGCACTGCGAAATTGTGGCCAATTTGTCGGCGGATTCCATCCATGTAAGTAGTATCCAACTGTACCACCATCTGGATACATACTTCCTGATTTGCACATCCCGTTATAGCTATTGGACCCTGATACTCTCTACCCTTGTCCGGAAATACACTGGCAGACAGCAACCGTTGGCCGTTGTTTCGGAGTACTTGAGACTTCTCCAGATGCACACCCTCCCATACCCTGGTCAGTACCGTGACACACTTCATCCTACCTTCCTACATAGTACAATGTCTTACAAGAGACAGCACCCAAAGGCAAATCTAAAAAATTCCAGAGGCAAATATGTTATACAGGATTGATCGTTATCACTCACAACCTGCAAGTATTTGCTGACCGACGCGCGCCGTCAGATTAATCAATGCCGCATTGAGGGGCAAAATCCAAACCAAAATCCCCCGGCGCAAAGTACCTATAGGAGAATACATGATCGACAGGGTTCTCAACTAGTCCAGTCTACCAATTTAAACAGCGCCTATCAGATGGCAAATAAATACATTGCTTACAGGATTACCACAACACAATACAAACTAGGAAGGACCTCTTTGTCATTTGCAACGGAATTTTTGATTTTATAAGGATGTGCACTGCAACCTCTATTCGGAGTTAATGGACTACGCCCGTGTCAACGTTTAATGTCACCTGCTCGAATTGAATGCTTGCATGCAGCCTGTGGTTATACATTGTGAAGCCCATGACACGGTAAAGCGCCAGATTGGGTGTGCTCATKGTCATGGTATACTTCCGGTCTGCGTCATGGTTGTCAATCCTGTGTATGTCTTGCTTGGCTATTTGGCCACGATTGATTTGTGACACAATAGTTATACGTACTGCTCTCGAATTAGCCACCCGTCGGGGTCCGAGATGTCGAGGTAGTGGACTCGAATAAAAACATATTAGACAGTTCCATCATAGCCTCGAGTAAGCGTGATGATCTACTATGCCAAGATAAGTATGATTGTGTGGTAGAACACATCATTAGGCAAAAATGATGACATTGGCGTTTTTCACTCGGATTTGTGTCTCCTAAAGTGATTCTGTTTGCATTTACAAGGGTGACATGTTTGAGTAGTCAGCAAACACACTTTCGAGTCTCACGTCAAGAGTTTAATAGAGGTGAAATATTGTATCTCATGCAGCCCTTCAACATCCAAATCGTTGTATTAACACATGGTCTGTAACCGGAATACCATCCGGCTGTGCTGACGCTTGGAAGAAGTTATATTGTAGGTCTCAGAGACCATACTGACATTGATTTAATTGGTACTAGTGTAACTAGGTGTGCCTCTAATAGCACACTGATGTTCATATCGACGCTTACATTTTTCTGAAGGGCCTCTTGCCTGTCATTATTCACAGTTGAACTATTAGGTAGCTCTCAGAAATCAACAGCTTACTCTACCATGATATCCTGGTCTTGAATAGCTTTCTCAAATCTTCCAATCCAGAACGCCAACTTGCATACACATACCGGTGTCCCGTCAACCCAGAACGGATCACCAATATTGGACCAGTGCTGAGTATCATTTCTAACAGCGTGTTGTCCGTTGAAATGGCATTTCTGCCTGGAAAGCGATGCTTTGGTTATATCAACACCTATAGCAAGCACATGCCGAATTAATGGATTGAACGATGCCTTCGATTCGACTACCTTGAGCATCTGCAATGCGCATACGAGAGCTTCTTTTTTATGTTTGGAAGTCTCCCAGAGATTTGAATGTGAAACAACACCCTTCCCAGGCCCAGCAATGTCAAAGACATACTGGGTCAACCTCAGGTGATAGTAAAGAATCATCCCGTCTTGAACGAGAGAATTAATCCGTTCTAGTGATGCCGTCATGGAGTCATTTTCACCGCGATAAGCCAGCAATAGATATCTCGCGGGACTTCCAGGCAGGTTTCCGGAGTCGGCTAACTTGCTGATCTTATCCAGCTCGTGTCTCCAATCATCCAGTGTCTGAACAAGCAGTGCTTTCTGGAAAGTATGACTGGGATTCTCTTTCTGACTCGACGGAAGAGCCTGCAAAAAAGCCCATATCGACTGCAAAACACTACATAAACTTAGAAGCACGTCTTCCACAAGAATTCCCGAGGATGTAACTGAATCTGAGCGGCCTATCATCTCAGATATCCGGACTTTAGAACGCTCATGCGGCTCTTCTAGTTCCCGCAAGGCGAATACGTCCAGCCCATATGCATTCCACAATGCAAAGGTACTCGTGAGCCCTACACCAATTTCTTGAAGATGAAGTAGTGGTGGTTGCCTATAAATGAGAGCAAAAAAAGCGTCAAATTGAAAAGTCAGAACAAGCAGCCGCTTGAGCTTTTCACGCATAGCCAGCGTATACGGTGTATATGTGCCTGTATAATGTGTCTTTAGATGAGCGGTAAATTTCTCCCCGTCGAGAACGCCTAGGTCTCGGAGAAGGGTTATGAACGTGCTTCGAAGAAGTTTGGCTCTAGACAAAGCACGCTTGTCGGTGCGATAAAGCGAGAATACCAGAGTCAAAAGAACTGTTTGGAAAAGTTCAATTGGCCATGCTTTCTCTCCGGACGTCAATTCGGGCTCGATCTATGAGCGAAGTCAGTACAGAAACTTCGAGCGAATAAAAATGACGAACCAGGCTGTGTAGCAATCGCTCGAGGAGGACTTCATGCATCCTTAGAGAATAAAATCTCTCAGTCCAGTCTGCACTGTTCTGAAACCATGCTCCTATAAGACATGCCGCTGCAGCAAGAGATAATGGCATTGTCCCTATCTCATTATCAAGCGTCGGAGCGTGAAGGACAGGCCACCGAAGGTGGAAGCTCTTGATATAAGTGTCGATATACTCACGGACACGGGCTTTTGATTCTTCGCAGTCCTGAAGTGCTTCTTCAAATGATGGTTTGTCCGCAAGTAACAGCTCATATAATCCCCCCATGCTGTGGCTTGAGAGCGGGAAATTTGATGTTCCCGACTGGGACGGGACAACAGTGAGGTTTTGGAGGAACTTGACGTTTCTTTGAAGAAGGTCTGGGTTTAGCGAGGTTTCTGGTCGTGACATTTTAGATGTCGCTGCTGTATCATTGCCGTCATCATCACCGTCATCCCCGCTGTCAAGAGGACCATTATTCTGATCCTGATCAATTTCTCCGTTAACGGACGCAGTCGCAGCAGTCCCAGGAGCCAGTTTGGACGGACGAGAGTTGCCTCGATATACGCATTCGATATTTCGTCGCTTACATAAACCGCATCGGGTGCCCCCGGAGCACTTTGTTTTGTTAGAACGACAAGCGTCGCAAGACACGACTTTGCGTATGTAGGTTGTTTCATGTAAGACCGAATGGCGACGGAGTAAGTCTCTTTGCGCGATTGTTAGCTTTGATCCATAATTCGCCAGAGATTCTCCAGATAGGTATAAACTCTGCAGGGAAATTGGGCGTACTTTCGAGTAAAGTGCCGCTGGCAAACACTACAAACATATCCCGGTTTGTCGTGGGTGGCTTGATGCCGGGTTAAATGTTCTTTGCGGATGAAGCTTCTCCCACAGTGGCAAGTATGCCGTGTCATCGAGCCTTAAAAATTGCGTCAATTATCTAGTATTATAGGATAGGAGTCTCTCCGAGGCGTATGTCTAAGAATATTTCACTCACCTGGTTCCAAGTCCATAGTAACAAACAAGGCTTGCCAACCCTACATGCCTCACTTGCCAGTAATTTGATCACATCGCAACTTGGTGAGCACCATTCCCCATCATTACAAATTCGACTCTATCTCCGATGTCATACTTCCGAGCAAGGAACTGATGATTGAGAGTAGATGAATTCAAGATGAAGTTGCCTAAGGACTGCAGACGGATTCAGCTAGCGTCGGACCTTCGGATGGGATGGGCTTACCGGTGTCTAATAACCCTAACGTCGCTCCGGTGGGATGGATTAGGAATCTTCGTGTTTTGAATGAGAATATTGGGATATTATCAATCAAGTCGAAACATGCCATTATTCCGGTGCTCATCGGACATTCTGTTTGTTTCTGTCACCGACGTAGGAATGAGTCCACAATTATGCTGAGCGAAATGGTGGCTATGTACATAAATAGCCCCTTCCCTCTGGCTGTCCGATTCATAACCATCAGAAACATTCAGATCTTCGACCTCATTATCACATTCTCATTCATCTTGAATATCTAATATAAGTTCAGTATACTCGCTTTATTCAAAACATTTACCAACATGTCAGCTATTAAGAACGTCACCCTTGTCGGAGGATCCGGTCTTTTGGGCCGCTTCGTCTTGGAGAAACTTCTAGCTTCCAACAAGTTCAACATTCAAGTTCTTCAGCGAACCGGCTCGTCATCTACCTACGCTGCGACCGTCAAAGTGGTTGAGGCCGATTTCGAGGACCTCCAGTCCCTGACGGCCGCCCTCGAAGGTCAAGATGCTGTAGTATCAACTGTCGGCGAAAAAGGCATCATTGTTCAAAAACTACTGATTGATGCCGCCATCACCGCCGGCGTCAAACGTTTTCTTCCCTCCAACTTTGGTTCTAATATGAGCAACCCGAACTCCCGCAAGCTGCCCGTATTCAAAGGCAAGGTGATCATCGAGGACTACCTGGTCGAGAAATCCAAAACCACCGACCTGACATACACCCTTGTCTATAACGGAGGCTTCACAGACTTCGCGATCAAGAACAAGGTCATAATGAACTTCTCCGAGTACAAACCCACAATCTTCAACGGCGGAGACTCCAAGTTCAGCTGCACCAGTCTACCAACTGTCGGAGACGCCGTGGTCGGCGTCCTTTCTCATCCAGCCGAGACTGAGAACCGTGCCGTATACGTCTCCGAGAGCTTCATTTCACAGAACCAGCTTCTGTCACTAGCCAAAAGTATCGCCCCCAACAAGCCATGGGCACCTGTAGACGCGGACTTGAATGTGGTATTTGCTGGTGCGCTTGAGCGTCTTGCCCAGGGACAACACGATATGCCGACTGTGATTCCTATCTTGCTCAAATCGATTTTGGATAATGAGTATGGGTCGAATTTTGCGGAGAATGATAATGAGTTGTTGGGTATTAAGGAGAAGGGAGATGAATTCTTGATTGAGCTTTTGACTCCAGTGGTCAATTAGAGATACTCATAAGGTATCATATTACCTAGAGAAGACCTTAAATCGGAAATTGCCAATTAGCCTAGAAAGTTATCAGACAATGTCATTAATCAAGTTTACCCGACCTGCGCATGGTATCAAAAGCCTTGACACTGCCCAATGCTCGGATAATCACCACTTCTATGGTTCAAATTTGTTAAGGTCTGGTGAAAGGTAGTCTTGATCAATGTAACTTTCTATGTATGGTCTCTCGGTCGCGTATGATCACTCAATTTTCACGACACGAGATAGAAATAACTAGTTGAATAGACCTTGATCAAAAATCATATACAATATTGGGAGTGCTTCAGATTTAACTTAGGTACCGGTAAATGGGGACATGAAAGTATTTATTAAGACAATTCTATCACTACCCTCCCTTCGATCACCCCAGCGTCCATTCTATTGAAGATCTGTAAGGAAGTTAAAATCAACATTTTGTTGTGCAGGTATGTCCTAGATGAGCGGGAAAACCTACTTTTTCTAAATTTTCCATTTTCTCCACTGTATAGTGACATTTCACAAGCCCTCTAGCCACAAATCTGAGTGCCTCAATAGCCTCTCGTCGACTGCCAATTGCAGAACCTAAAAGAGAACACCAAGTCAGTGAATCCACTCGCTCGGAATCGGTAGAATTGAGCCATACTGACCGACAATTCGGAACTGCTGATTTGTAATTCTAGCAGGATATGCGCTCTGGATGGGAATAGGCTGTCCTTCAGGCATTCCCACGCACACCAAAGTTCCCATAGGCTTGAGGAAAAGTAAAGCCGATTCGTAAGCCTTATTGGCTGCGTTTACTACTAGAACAGCATGAGCACCACGTCCGTTGTTGGCGCCCTGCTTCACAGCCGCTGCGAGTTCTGCATCGGCATATTTGGTGAAGTCAAAGAAGATTTCAGCGCCGCAACTTTCGGCTAGGTCTTTCTTTGAACCATGATCTATAGCGATTACTCGAAGTCCCATGACGCGAGATGCATACTGTACTGCTAGGTGACCGAGTCCTCCTCCAGCACCACTGATCACAATCCAGTTCCCGGGCGAAGTATTCGACTTCAAAAGCGCAGAGTACACAGTAAGCCCTGCGCATAATATTGGTGCAGCCTCAGCTGACTGGACCTCGTCAGGGATTGGAGTGGCGTATTTAGCTGAGGTCACGACGTATTGTTGAAATGTACCGGGAGTGTAGTATCCAGAGATCTTTTGATAGGCGCAGGTGTTATCATCTCCTTCCAGGCACGCATCTAATTGTAACCGTTCAGTGAGGAGGAGAATTTCCGTTGGGTTAAAAAATGGTCCTCAGCATCTTCGAGTGAGAACTAAAGACCGTCAGCTTTAACTTACCACAAGAACCGCATACATCAGCAAGCCATTTGATTCCGACACGAGTTCCTATCGGAGGCGATGAGACGTCCCTCCCATGAGCTACAACTACACCAACTCCTTCGTGGCCACCGACCTGGCCTTCAAAGACTCCCTGTCAATACGCAACCCACTACTTTAAAACGAGAGAGACACGTCTACCTTGGAGAGTCGGAAATGGCAAAATCGACCATGATTGCATACAGACTGCCAGATCTGAATGACACACGCCCGAATGAGTCCTTCAAAAGGTTGTCAGCACTACCGAAACGAAGAGCTATATAGTCTTACAATTTCACTAATATTTGCCCTTGCTCAGGACCTGGCACTGGGAGATCTTCGATAGAAATCTTCGCCGTACCCGGCTGGATGTATACGGCAGCTTTATTATGAAGTTCCATTCTGTTCAGTATGATCGATCAATGTATGGTCTTGCCACCAGGTGCCGAATTCAAAGTTAAGTATCAATAACTTGATGCGTGAGATTTGGTGGGACTAGAATTGACTCTCTATCATGGACTATTGCGGGGAAGTAAGGGGGAACCCTGGATCATCAAATGACTTCTGGAATGCCTTTTGGAAATGGGAGAAGGAAATGGGGAGGTTCTGCAAGAATAATTACGATTCCGACAGACCACGGACTTCAACTTTCGTTCCGCGAGATCATTCCGTATGGAAATATTCAAGATCCTAGGGGAAGAGTGACGATTCCCGCAATACATGCGAGTTGAACGGAACTCACTCCCCTTCACACTCGGTACCAGCGGAAAGATCCATTCCGCGTGTCTCGTAGCAGTGCCAGCTACAATTCACACACTAAATCTACGAACAATATACCACCTTTCTCTTCGACCTGCTTCCTCCTATTACCTTCATCCGGGAACGATCAATTATACATCACCATTGAGCTGGAGCCTGGAATAAAATCTAGCAGCCATAGGCACCATGACCTTTATGTCCTTTGCTGAGGGATTGATCCGTTGGCTTTGACTCCTATGTGTCCGCAATTGATGGGAATATTCGATGTTGATCTCGCTAGTGTCGTCCGATTCACGAGTGTTTGTGTTCTTGCAAGAATGTCGATTTTGAAACACGCTTTATTTTGCCTGCTACTTTGGCACTCTAATGGATAGGTAGATTCTCCTTCGTGAGATTAATTAAGAACACTAGATAACTCGATGGGTCGGCATGGCTGAACATGAGATAAGGGGCACCACAAAACACCACATGTGCTAGACATATTTCAATAATTCTTACATTGACGGGCGTTTCTAAGTTGTGGTCTGCCAGTTGAATTGATACTTAGGGCGCGGGAACGTTTGACAACGACACCGCAGCAGTATCCGAAAAAGAGGTTCCGACTAAATTACACTGAAGTTGAGCTCAAAAAAGCATTCCAAGGGGTGAGGTTAAGGTATACTCGTGCTGCAGATGAATACTATACACATAGAACAAGTAAAGACGAATTGTGCCCGGTACCACACAGGAAAGTATATGGAATGATATTACTATCTACTGAAGCCTAACAATCCAAAACCCTTATCCAATAATATGCCATCAACGAGAACAAACCACAAGAACTCCCAAAGAAGACTCAATTAGCATTACTCAATTTCTTCTCGATATCAAGCACATCCCCTTCATTCTCCACCTCGATGACACGCTGCACCTCAGCAGTGTTTCGGAACAGTTCCACGGCACCAGCATACATCATCCGAGAAGAAGGGTTACAGTTCTCGGGGAGATAGTAGAGAAGAACGTAAGGGACGGAGAGACGCCCAGATGCCTGGAAATTGTTAGTAGAGGGAACAGAAATAGAGAGGAGAGACAGACCAATGTATAAGGATAACTCAAGAGTACGAATCGTGGCGAGGAGTCCGGGAGTTCGTCGGCGATATCTTCTAGTTTTGAGTATGTGTCGTTGCTGTCTGCGCGGATTTCTTTGGTTTTGACGTCGATGATGTCTGTGTCTTTAGCAAGATAATTGACAGGGGCGTACATCAAGATACGCACATATTCTAGCTTGAGGGTCCTTTGCTCGAGAAGTTCCAAGACGGAACTTTCTCAGCTCCTCTCTTGTCTCTGGCGAGAATGTGTAGAGACGGTTGTCGGCCTTGAGCAGTCAGTATACTTCTGGTATCGGTAACGGGCTGTAACCTACCATTATGAACTCTTTCGCTAGCGTATGGCTAATTAAATATTAAAAATGTACTAACGATACACAGAGAGACCTGGTGTACTGGCTCGTTGCAGGAAGAAAGTATGTGTAGGCAGCCCCGCAATGCGAAAGTTGAGTTGGTTCCTGAGGAATCCACCCTAGTCCCTCCGAAGGGTGACTCTGCTTTTAATCCTTCTCAACTCCAGACTCCTGTCAATCTACACAAGTACATCTCATGTTTTCGCGGTTCAATCAACTGGCCCGCCATCTGTCTCGCCCATTCCCTAACTACGCCCACACATCCGCCGCTGCACTCGCGTCTCGCGTGCAACCTCTGACTAGCATGACATCATCCGCAACGTTCCACAAGAACAAATCCAAGACGATACACACGGCGGCATGCCTGATAATTGGTGATGAAGTCCTCGGAGGAAAGGTGCCTACAACTCCTCTGATCATCACAGCATTTGACGAAACCCTCCTGACATCGCAAATAAACTGAACAGACAGTTGACACAAACTCCGCCTACTTCGCCCGCTGGTGCTTCTCGCTCGGCATCGCGCTCAAACGCATTGAAGTAATCGCTGACGACGAGGACGAGATCATCGAAGGCGTCCGGCGCATGAGCTCCAAGTATGACTTTGTCGTTACCAGTGGCGGCATCGGCCCTACGCACGACGACATCACCTACGCCTCCATTGCAAAGGCATTCAACCTGCCTCTAAAACTGTACGAACCAGCCTTTGAGCGCATGAAGAAACTCTCGAGACCCAACCAACTGCAGCCGGGATTCAGTTGGGACGAGCCGTCGCCGGCGCTGACGGCGAGGTTACGAATGGTTGAAGTGCCGTACGACGAGAGCGTCGATGAGGATAAGCAGAATGTGTTTGTGGCGGATGATTCGTGGGTGCCGATTGCGACTGTGAACGGGAATGTGCATATCCTGCCTGGTGTACCAAGGCTCTTTGAGAAGTTACTCGATGGGCTCAAGCCGGTCGTTACGCCGCGGTTGGCAGACCCCGAGGGAAACGGTTCGTACAGAGTGATGATTAGCACACCGCTCCCCGAAAGCTCGGTTGCGGCGTACTTGACCGATCTGGCACTCAAAGTCATGCCGCATGGTGTCAAGGTGGGAAGTTATCCGCGATGGGGGAAGAAGAGGAACACGGTGACGCTGGTGGGTGCTAATAAGGAGTATATTGATTCTTTGGTGCCGGAGGTTGAGAAGAATGTAGAGGGACGACGTGTTCAGAGGGAGGATGAAGACGATCCAGCTGATGCTTAATCTCGATCGGTGTCGACATGTGTATAGAGATAGATATCCTGTAGCATCTACGTATACCAGTTCCTGAAAATGTTCAAGGTACATGTACAGTTCAACTAGATTTTGCTTTTAATTCGACTAACCGATAAGTATTCCATAGATCAAAGAAATCGAAATTGCTCAAAGATTCTAAAGTATACCCAATATATGTATCCAACCAAGGGCACCATACGCAAACAAGTAAGAGCAAGCACACAAAAGAAACAGGGTGAGGGAAAACGAAGAGAGAATTCGTGCCAATGACAAGTCCCCGAGGGTCCAACAGATAAAACATGTCTAAGGGGGAAAGAAAAAAGAGGTATCTTATGCTATCACATCCACCCTTCTTTCCTGCCTTTCCGTTGTATATGGCGAAGAACACCACATATAGTTTGTCGAATGGTGTGTCGACATGTCACAAACAACAAATGTGATGTAGCCATAACTGAAACAAATTCATCGAGTTCAAAAAAGTAAAAAATGGGGAAGGAGGGATATCGAAAAGGAAGAAAGAAACTAAGTGACAGTAGAAAAGAAACAAGACAAAATTGTGCAAAGCGATATACCTATAAGAGCGCTCACCCTGTGAGAAGAATGTAGGGTGTTGCAAAAAAGCGAGCCAATGGTGAAAAATCGCAACCAGAAAGATCTCCCAGAGAGAAATGCAAATCACTAGCCAGAGCCGTTCGTCCCTGTAGCTCCAGATGGCCCCAGAATAAAAGCAGAAATCGTAATGGTGGAAAAGCTAGATGTAGGGTTCCAGAATGATTTTTGATGCGAGTCCGATCGAGAGGAATCGGTAGAATCGATAGAAGTCGTGGATGGTGTAGAATATGATTAGATTAGTTGAGTGAGCGATGACAGATCGGTATTGTGTCTGCCTTCAGAATCGGGTCTGTCGCCCGTCAAGGATGATTTGAGATAAGTGGTTGTCTCCAGCTTGAGGGCTTGCCGTATTTATTCCTCAACGGCTCGAGACTTTTCCGCGGTGTCTTTACATAATGACACACTTCGCACAGCATCCGGCATCCTCGCCTGGCTCGGACACGTCCATCTTGCCATGAGGAGCGCCACCAGAAAATGCACCGCTCGCTGATGGGTACGATGACATCTCTTTGTTGTAGCGGCGAATTTCTCGGACAAGGTCGTAGAAGGCGTTTTCGACATTGATGCGGGATTTTGCAGAGGTCTCGATGAATTTGCAACCGAATTGACGTGCCAAAGCCTCACCCTCTGCAAGTTGAAATGTTAGTCGCCTGGTGCAATCCAATAGCGTAATCTGGATGCAGTCATACCTTGTTGAGTAACAGCCCGCTCCTTCTCCAAGTCGCACTTGTTGCCAACAACAATGATGGGAAAGTAGTCCTTGTCTTTCACGCGGAGGATTTGTTGTTGGTATGTCATGATTTCCTCGAACGATTGGCGGGAGGKGATGGAATAGACAAGCAAGAATCCTTCTCCTGTGCGCATGTACTGTTCTCGCATGGCTGAGTATTCCTCCTGACCCGCCGTGTCCAACACATCCAACAAAGCGACCTCATCGTCGATAACGCATTGCTTTCGGTACGAGTCTAACACGCGAACGTGAGCTTTTATAAGTAGTCGGCTGGTATCTGATCCTACCTTCAATTGTCGGGTCGTATTCGTCGACGAAGTGGCTCTGGATTAATTGAATAGTCAAGCATGACTTTCCGACACCACCGCCACCGACCACCACCAGTTTATATTCTCGGAGGAACTATGAGCGAAAATGTCAGCAAATTACGCACTCTCGAATCGACGAATCTCCCATCTAAGATGTTTGCACTCTTTCCGCCCTTGTGTTGCTGATGATTTCCATCGGTGAGATGATTGGAACCAGCGCGATTCTTTGATCCAAAGAGCCAACAAGAAGCGACGTCTCAGTGGCAGCGGTTGGAGGGCGAAAATACCTTGTTAGTCGAAGCCATTGAGGCTGTGTGAAAAATAAGCCTTGGGCAATAAATACGAAAAAGGAGCACAGGATAATCCAGCAATCTCCAGGATGCGGTGACTGAAATAAGACGAATACGGAATCGGAGGACTCAAAGGGAGCGGCAGGKCTGCGAGCGAGTCTGCGGCAAAGGAGTAGGTTCAGTGGTTTGAAGTGTAAACCGTAAGTGACAGAGTGAGTTTGGGTAGGTAGGATTGTAGTATGAGGCAGGGGAATAATCAGTACGACCGTACCAAAACAAAATCGGGTAAGGGGTGGAAAGTGAACCAGGAAAACACGCTTTACCGATTTGGTCTGTGCACTTCCTAGATAACGAAACAGAAAAAGCTCCGCGGCGTTAGCTCGTTCCACTTGCTAATTGAATGTGGCTGGCCGCGATTCAGCATACTACTATGTAGGTAGATGAAATGCCGTAGGGGGGGGAGTCCAGAGAGCAGGGACCTAGGGATAAGAACTGGAGCAGCGATGGCGATCACAGCGATTGCTCGTATTCTGCTGCAGAAGACCTACGTAGCACTGCGAAAAGCGATCGAGACGTTAGCGAATCACTCGCATGTTGTTTCAGACGGTTCTCAAGGCTAAAGAAGAGGGGAGAGGGGCGCGATGTGATAGCGTGGATTTTGTGGAAGGGAGAGCGAGTAGAAAAACGGGGAGCACGGGTCAACAGCCACTCAGGAGGCCGTTCAGCGCTTTAGGTCCCTTAGAATCTTTAGCAATTCTGGAGACAACCGAGGAAGCTTGCAGCGAATAAGAAGGGGCATGGACAGCAATGTGCTGACTCTTGCTGAGCAGTCACAAAAACGATGTGTAGTCTGGCAGTCTGAGATGTAACGGGCCAACGAACAATGAACATTCAAGACACACTGTCATACGCACATTGTGGCTGCAGACGAGATCGGAATTGGACAATCGTGGCAGCTCGGTGTTCCTGAATGCTGACAACAGTTTGCAATGCAAGTACGTACGAAGTGTGCAGTGACTTATTGAATTCGACTCGGTGGAGAGAGACGAAGTGTCTTGGATTGCTCCAGCCACCAGGAAGGAAGGGAGCTAAGGTGAAGATCGAATCTGAAGGAGCTTCAAACTCGTCCCCGGACAGGGTCTGGTAGTGTAGGTTCGAACGGTAGTAGTTCTGTGATGAGACCAATCGATATAGGGTCAAATCAACGATGATCAATTGCTGTTTCTCTTCGAACGCGACTGTTGACAACACAGTAAACCTTGAGGAAGGCGCGATGCAGGGTTACGTACGGTAAGGTACACCAATACAACAGAGGTCGGCACATTCTCCCCGGATTGCGTTTGATTACGTGTATCGCGCATACCATACCAGAACAGACATGCTTTGTATGCGCAATTACTCTCGTACATAACTATTGTACGTAGTAGTAAAATAACTTACTGCGTCCTGCTGAGGCTCTGACTTGACTTGACTCCGACTACATGATATGGAGTAGTCCAGCAGCATTGGCGATCTCTGCTGCAGCACTTATTTACCTCGATATTGCAACCTCATCAATCCCATTGGACGCCGTACTGCGATCATGCGAACGTATCTGGATTCTAGAAAAGAGATTGGTCAGGCCTATCTTCAGCTATGTTGCTCAACGCCCTCTTATGTAGACATTCCACCGCCCTGCTTCCCCTCTGCGGATGAGAATCTGGATGGACTCTTCTCCTTTTGGGACGATCGGTCTCATTTTTGTGTCGCTCACATCCAAAGCACTTGCACTTTTACCTAAGTGATCATGGCCAATGTACATAGTAGAAGCATTCACGGCTTAGTTTGAGCTCCAGTCAGTTGGTGGGTGGGTTTCTCCGATGGCGCAATGAACTCGCAGAGAAAGCCGCCCCGCAGGCATACCCCGATAACCGACCATAACACGATAACCACTCTGGACGACACGCATAAATTACAACAACTCCTCGTTTCTGTCTTTTCAACTTCAAGTCGATCAAGTACCCCGGATGAATTATCTCCATACGACCGGTAGATCTTTAACTCGCCACTTTCGTATCGCATCCAGACTCTTTTCCACAGCTCCTTGTCAATCCGGCGGAGTATTTCGACCTCCCCGCATCGCGCACTCTCAACTGTTCAGCAATCGCAACTTCAACCGTACAATGGCCTCCGCCGTAGCCAAGCGCCTAGAAGGCAAGACCGTGGTGATCACCGGTGCCTCGTCTGGAATTGGATATTCGACTGCTAAGGAGTTTGCGCGCACTTCGCCCGCGAACCTCAAGATTGTTGTTACAGCTCGACGGGTCGACAAGCTCGAGCAATTGGCCAAGGAGATCAAGGAGGAAGTTGGCGATGGCGTTAAGGTGTTGCCTGTCGCTTTGGATGTGTCCAATCCTCAGCAGGTGAAGGACTTCATCCCTTCGTTGCCGGCCGAGTTTCAAGAAATTGATGTTTTGGTCAACAATGCGTGAGTCATACGAAATAGCCTTGACGTACTACAGAGTCTGACCAACGCAGTGGTCTCGTCAAGGGTGTTGCACAAGCACCCAATATCGACCCGGAAGACATCAATGTCATGATCGCTACCAACGTTACCGGTTTGATCAACATGACCCAGGCGGTCTTGTCCGTCTACAAGAAGAGAGATCAAGGTGGCCGGGGAGACATCATCAACATAGGAAGTATTGCTGGCCGTGAACCTTATTCTGGTGGAAGCATCTACTGTGCTACCAAGGCTGCAGTGAGAAGTTTTACCGACTCATTGAGGAAAGAGCTCATTTCTACTCGCATCCGAGTGATTGAGATTGACCCTGGTCAAGTTGAGACGGTAAACACCGCTCCTTCTGACATATATTCAAGAAAAATATTCTAATCTGCTATTATGAGTAGGAGTTCTCCGTTGTCCGCTTCTACGGCGACAAAGCCAAGGCAGACGCCGTCTATGCGTATGATCTCGTCCTCCTCCTTCCCTGCTTCTTACTGACTAGCATTATGTCCAGTGGTGTCGAACCTCTTACCCCAGAAGATATTGCCGAAGTTATTGTCTTTACAGCAGGACGCAGAGAGAATGTCGTTATTGCCGACACTCTCATCTATCCCAGCCACCAGGTAGGCCCTCCATGAGCGCACTATTGAATTGACATGCTGACGCTTTTACAGGGTGGTGCCGGTGCCATTCACCGCAAGTCTTGAAGATTGCCGACGTTAGCCCTCTGAACATAGCATACCAATAGATACAGAAATAAACAAGCATATTAACCTTCTCTTCTTCCTCTTCTCCATACTATGTTGTACTTGAAGAAAGCCTGAGGCCGATGATGAAAAGGCTGAGGTAAACAGCTGGTCCATGCTCCTGATTGGCCGTTGATCCACCAGGAGCGGGTCTGGATGGGTCTATTGTACCAATCATGGGCCATTCCAGGTGGCCGGCTGCGTAACGCCAAGACTGCCTCCTGAAGCTCCAGCTCAAGCGAATCTTCAATGCGCTCGTCTATCGTCACCTCTCACCACCAAGGTTTTCTCGTTATCCACTGTCTCTAGCTTTATATAGCTTCTGTCGACAGATACAGTCCGAAAAGTCTCGTTGCTTGGAACAGTACGTGTGATCCCACTCGTTCGAATCGAATTCTCCCTCCGCGCATCGTGCACCTACCTACACCTTAGGCTGCGACGTTCTTTTCTCTCGTGCCTTGCGCCAACAGTTCTCTGATCTCTTCTAACACCTTTCGCTCTAGCTAACGAGACCCAAAATACACATCGCTCGCTCGACTTCTTCAGTCTCGCAGTCGCATCATTCAATCGCGCCGTCAACATGGATCTGTCTAACATTTTGTACGTATCGTCCGCCGTCCAACGCGCGTTCAACGACTTGGCTTGGTCAATTGGAACAATGCCCCTACTGACTCGCTATGCTTAGCCGTCTCGTCAACATCGCCGTCGGCGTGATTATGATATTGGGCGGTATCAGTCAATTCTTCCCCTTTGGAGTTGGCTCGCTCGTCGTCGGAATCTATGTCATCATTTTCGGTCTCAGTACGGATTCTCCTCTGCCTACATGAACTGTCAATGCATACTAATCGCTTCTATAGTTGTGGGCGGTCTCGAATTTCTTCCTCAAATCCCGGATTATGTCTACCGTTACGCTTCATTCCTCTTCTCGTTCCTTGGACGTGGTGGCTGTAAGTCTCTCACACCCAGCATTCAAATGCGCTCTTTTTGTGTAAGTACTAATAGATTTATAAGTCTACGTCTTCATCGGATCCCTCCTGCTTCATGACCACGTCCTCCGCATCATTGCCGGTTCGATCGTCGGCATCATTGGCCTCGGATACATCGCCTTGGAATTCGTGCCCTCCATCGAACCCCCCACAAACATGCGGGAAGCGGACCCCAGCTGGGGCGCTGAGCAGGTTTAAGAATTGACTCATGATAATGTGCCAATTGTGATGACAGGACGGCGCATAAAGGGTTGCGCCATGTTGTAGCCCCATTTTCCTTGGGTTATGATCGATTCGGAGGGTGTTTGACGATGGTTATGATTCTACTCACATAGAACGTGTATTGAAGTGTGGCTGTATTACAGCTTCTGTTTCGGATATGGATTATTTCCTGGTACATGTTTCCGTCATGAGCGGCTGGGATTAGTATTGATGCTTGTGATTTACGTTTTCGTCTTATTCTATTTGTGTTTCTAAATTTTGTTTTTTGCACGAAGTTCGGTTTTGGATTGTCGTGTATGTCTTTACTGTGTCATATATGAAATTATGGACATTATTTCATTCAAAGAAAGTTCATACTCTGCTATTTCAAGAGGGTGCTTACCGAAGTTCGGCATACCTTGATATCCAATTTGTGGACGTACTGCTACCACTAACTAGACTATGATGACGACGACGGCGACGGCGACGAAGAAGAAGACGATATAATCCGGGCTGACCTCAGCTGAAACTCAAAAATCTGTTCCTCGCTCGAACTCGAAATCTGTGGTGATCTCCGCTCATTCCTCGCGACTACCGTGATCCTTGAGTTTTCTCGTCTCTGCGTCCCGCTCGTACCAGTTTTTTGGGTATTGGTCTGAGTGGGAGGCGAATGTGCTGCTTGCTGTCGTTCACCTACGGCACTCGGGCTGAAACCGCCGTTATCAGCGTGGTTTTGGATAACTGGGTCACTGTACGGTGGTGGCTGTTGTCGTTGACTGTATGCCTCCTGCTGCCGTCTTTGAAGACCATCATGCTCTCCTGGCTGAGTATACCTTCCCCGCTCAGAACGATGCCTCTTACACAAGAGCAAAATAAGAACACCCAATCCAACAAGCCCACCTACCGCACCACAGATAATAGTTATCGTGTCCGATGAAATACCTCCACCTGAATCATCAGACCCTGGAAACGGATTATCATCCGTATTGTTCACATCCGAATTATTCAACGGAGTCCAATGCCCCATCCAGGTCTCTTCCTAGCTCTGCGCAAACGAACCGATAATTGTCTCCTTCGTATCAAAGATACTAACCACGTTCAACTCGGAATCCCCTCGCAAGTATCCCGGTCCCGGCGCTTGAGCCAGAAACCAATTCCCCTGTTCCTGTCCCTTCGTGGCCCAATTCACGCCAACAAAGGCAGCTTGGAGGAACGCTCGACCCAGCACGTTCAGCCCTCCATTAGCAGTACCCATACACGGAAAATATGCCGTCGACTCATCGACCAGTGGGGACTCAAGTTTGAGATCTAATAACACAAACGGTACTTTGATCGTCATAGTATCATTCATCTTCGCGTCCGAGGTAGATGAAGCATTGGCGGCGAAAGTGAGGGATATGTAGCTCGGCGATCTGACAATCTTTGTGTACTGCGTGGTCTTGGTGTTCCACAAGTAAAGCCCCAGGCTGGCGTTGTAGCTTACGGGGAGATGGGTGGCTATAGCATCGCAAGTGCTCTGGGGGAGGTAGAGATATGGGTCTGTACCGGTTACAAGAACCTGAGTGCTTGCGTCTTGTTGCTGCAAGGACGAGTTTGCAGCTGTGAGAAGGTTGGTGATACTGGACGAATTCCACGGTGAGTCACCAGTCGCCACGCCAATACCGATATCCAACAACTGTATGGGAAACCTAGTCCCATTGTACGTCTGACTCGACACATCCCCAATCACACGCGCGACATCATATCCACCAAGAATCAACGAGCCTGAAATTTCTTTTGCTGCAGAACCAATGTGCATACCATACGAGTATGAAGGAATATTTCCAGACTTGTATAACCAGCCCGTGACGAAATTGGCTTCGACGATATGGGTTTCGTTGACGCTGAATGATTGATTTAGCGCATCGACTCCGAGAGAGAGGACGCCGACTTCAAGGGATTGGATTCGGCCACCAGGATAGGTCTGATAGCCCTGCGAGATTCCGATTAGGCTTACGTGAGGAACAGTAATCCCACCTCGTAGTGTTATAAATTCGTGCATATGGTTGGTAGCAAAATTGTAGATTCCCAGTTGCCGCCGGGATAGAGGGCAATAGATTGTTTCTCAGTGCCGAGTTCAACGGTGATAGCGTTCCAGGGTCCGTCCGGTCCGTAGGTGTCGCTTGACCAGGTCATGGCATATGGCGTTTGGGACATGGCGGAATGTATACAGAAGGTTACGATGATGGTTGTAAAGAGCCAAAGATCCCGAGGGTGATGCATTGCGAGAAACAGTCTGCGTCCGTCAAGAATTCCAGAAGATAAAAGGGTTCGAGACATCTAGAGAAAGAGATATACAATGGGGCATGAATATTGCTCCTTATATGTCTGATACCTCAGCCTTAGCGGTGTTCATCCTTCTAAATAGTATTGAAGCTAGGTGGCTTACAACTATCTGGCTAATCTTTTGCCAGATAGAGTCTGTCGAAGCGTTGCACCAGAGCGGAGAAACGCATGACAGCCCATTGTGTTGTACGCTGTGATCTCCAATACCGAGCTTAAGTGGTCGAAACTTAAGGCTGAGCACAAAAGATGTTGCACCTTAATCTACAGACAAGGTCTATTTTGGCAGATTCGTGGTATGCCCCTTTTCTGCGCGCGAGGACAATGGAGATATGAGTAACCATATCTTCGGAGTATACACCGAAAAGAGATGGTTCTCGGAGATAGCCATGATTTGAATATTTTAACATGGATAGTTCTTAACACCTGAATCTTTTGCTTGCTCACTTATTATAAAGGGTTCATGATTCCCAGAAGGCTTGGTTATCAAGCCGTGGAGACAATCTTCAAAGTCATTTAGGGCTGTCCCATATTAGGGTTGATTGCCCTAACCGTTGCCAGCTCGTAGAAGCTGAGATTGCAGTGCAGGAGAATAAGGCTCTGTTAACCATTTATAACAAATCACTTGTTTTTTTCATACTTTGTATTGTATGATTGGCCAAGACTTGAATCTTCGTTGAATAGACCCGAGTCATCTGTAGACTGACAATTGTACACAACTTCTTGCTCCTGATTGACACCAATCCCATTTCAATACCTGGTTTTTGCTGTCTGACATATCAGATGGATTCCTTAACTTACATTTGATAAACTATGCTTACTTCAAATTACACTCTGTTGTCACTGTTAGCGCCCCCAAAACGAGATAAATTGCACAAATTAGGTGGGCGCTAATCCCAGCCCATTTTGACCAATGAAATTCGCACTGCTTGTTGACATGCATACCTAGGTAATCTCGGCGACTAAATAAACTCTTGACAAGCCCTAAAAGGTATGGCACGGCGCTACTTTGCATGACAGAATCCAATAGGACAATGTAATAGTGCCTTGACTAGGATCTGTGTTTCAGGTGGAGGGCCTTACATGTCCATATCTACAGAAGCCTCCAACTGGATGCAGGTACGCATATACAATGCTCAAGCTCCCATGTGTCAAAGCAATTTTCACGACGTGATACTTTCTTTCTCCTCCTTCAAAATCTTAAGAAGTGTTCAGTGTATATATTATGCGATGAGATCGTGGAGATTCATACTTATCGGACTGTCAGGTCTGGTGCGCCATGTACTATGCACTCAAGGTGACCTTTGTTATGTGCTTGGGGCAAAAAGTATTCAAATTCCTTCAAAATAGGGACTGTCTAGAGAAAATACTGACTGATTTGAAGCCTCCCTGGTGGATAATCAACTGTTCTTTATGAGCGGTAACTACAGCAGCGTCTCTTTCGATAGTCAAGAGATTGCACCTGGTAAAAAGGTCCCCATTGCCCTTGGTTTTGCAGTAATTGACATTCGAATTTAGATCCATCACTGTTTTCGCTAAATCTAACGACTCAATTCCCCGTCGAAAGATCAATTCCTCAAGCCCTCTTAAACAACGACACTATCAATTCTGATATCAGTATTGCATACCAGAGCACAGTCCGTATAAGCAACGGCGATGCAACTGGAGCACTCTGGAATATCAATGATACTATATACGTTTTTGGTGGCGGCTTCAAAGAACCTATAAACACTTTGTCAGCCTACAACACCACAACAAACCAGTGGAAAGAAGTGAATGTGACTGGCGGAAACTTCAACTTTGGTAACCGAACTTCGTCTCAGTATGTCAGTGTACCTGATTCGGGTCTCGGGTTTATATATGGCGGAACGGATTACATGGGAGGAATGATACGCTTGAACGCGTCTGATCCGGATAATCTTTCGTGGACCAACGAAACTTTAGGCAATGGTTCGCATGGAATTGAGGTGCCGAACTTGGAGTCTGGTGCCATGGTTTATATACCGGCGGGAGATGAAGGCATGCTCATCACATTCGGAGGAGGAAATGTATGTGGTTTCTCTATAAGCCAAAACCTGTCATGGGAGTTTCTAATTGTTTGTGTGTTCTGACAGGTCACCTCAGGCATAAGTCCCGACTCAGGCTGGCCGTATGATTCGGATTGGCTCACCGTGTATGTCTACGACATTGCCTCTCACACCTGGTGGGCACAGAGAGCATCCGGCGATGCACCATCACACAGAACCGGTTTTTGCGCCGTGGTCACGGAGTCCCCCGATGGTAGCGCGTTTCATATCACGACCTACGGTGGGTGGAGCCTGCTTTACCAGCGGTCATTTGAGGATGTTCAAATCCTTAGTATTCCTTCGTTCACTTGGATCAATGCCACAGGCCTGTCGAGCAATACAAATAAAGAGCAACAGGTAAACTCGACAGTTGGACGTGACAGTCTTACTGGTGCTTGCCAGGCATATCGTGGCGCGCAGATGATCGTCCTTGGTGGTGAGATCCGTGCTGGCGCCTATTCGCTTACGAATGGCGCATGCAGCAATACGTTTGAGCCTGTTCGTGTTTTGGATTTGTCTACGTATGAATGGAAGAATGAGTTAAATACCAGCGCTAGCTATGAGGTGCCGTCAATTATCTACAACAAGATAGGTGGAAAGTGAGTAGTCTAACATCCTCAATTCAGCAAATAGACTACTGACAGCATCTTTTACTCAGTGCAACCGGTGGTGCTATATCTACTGTTCCTGCTGCCGGGTTCGCAGACCCAACTTTGGCCTCCTTGTTGCAAAAACATGTCGGGGGTGCGACCGTCACATCTTCAATAACTCCTTCCACTACACCAAGCGACGTAGCACAGTCTAGCTCCGTGAATTCCGGCGCCATTGCGGGCGGAGTCGTTGGCGGTATAGTTGCACTTGCACTTGTTGCAGGCATGGCATGGTTTCTGATACGGCGTAAGCGACAAGATCAGGCTGCTGAGATAACGATTCCTCAACAAAAATGGGAGCCACCAGTACCACCACAAGAAATGGAGGCAACATATGGCCGGCTACCAGAGGCAGGGGGGGTGCCGATCCATGAGGTTGCTGCAGGATCTCATGTTGTCGAGATTGGAGTCGGCTATCCTAGGCATATGCCAACTAACCCTACCGAATAAATTTCTATATATAGATGAATGTTTTATATATGAGCCAATTATACTAGATAATTTTGATTTTGATTCAAAATTTCCTACGGTGTCCAGTCACGCGTTTCAGGCGTAATGTGGAGAGAAGTGCGTAGTTCAAGATGTCATGACTTTCGTCTACGTCATTGATAGCTAGTATCTGCATTGTTAAAACAAGCTGACCATACGCCACGCAATATTTTGCATATGATAGGGCAATGCTTATGTGTCATCCCAGTGGAACTAGATGTCGACTTAACTGCAATCTGAAAAGGAGACCGCATTACGCATCCTCAAGCTCTCCGGACTTCTCAGCACAAAACTGGCGTAAGTATTCCGGGGGCGAAAAGAACTGCCCTTACTTGCTTTCCTAGAGTTGCTGTGCAGGCGTGATGGAATAGTTTCAAATCATGTTGTTCATCATCCGCCAACCGTATCCATATACTGAGCCATATGGTTGTAAACTTCCATGTATCAGATCATATCAATCATACAGGAACTCATATTCATGCAATTTGATGTCTACTTTTCAACTGTTCCAACATTCGAACCGGTCTCAAAGTGCAACAGTAAGCGTTCACTTGTAGGACTCGGTAGAAGTGAGTATACGGGTGTAACACGCCTAGATCTACTACTTCCTAGTCCATCTCAAATCATTATCTTTCTACCTAAAATCTAAGCTAAGGGGTGTTTTGTACCCCAATGACATCTGTAAGTTCTCGTGAATTACCAAAAGCTACTTTGCCTTCTATCTAGTTAAAAACAAACCTAGATACTCAAACTAGAGCTGTAGACCGCTTCGGTCACTGTCTTCTAGGTATCTGCAAACTCGTGAGAGACTAAGGATGCCTCATCGTCCCCTTTTTCGTCAGTGGAGATTATGCTGCCTTTATCACTTTCCCCTTCATTAACGATGGTGACTAATAAGTCCTCATCATTCCCTTGTCCTTCAGCAGTATTCGTGTTACCTCCATCATCTGCTACTTGGCTATCGATGGTGACCACAGCGGCCCATTCTTTCTTGCCGAGGTCAGATGTTACTTTCAATGAAGGCAGAATCTGACGGATTCTTTCCTTCCGTAAAGAAACTGGCGAGTAGTAGTTCCATAGCTCCACGACTTCCTCCAGCGTGTAAGAAACCAACGGCGGCTCGTAAAGTGCCTTAGCATTAAAGGCGCATTTATCCCTTATTTTCGCTCCCGGACTGCCGTCTCCATCCATGTATCCGAAAAAGCCATCAATCTTTCTCAACTTAGGATGAATGCGAATCTTGCCCTTTGTGATGAGCTCGTTGCAGTAGAAAATGTTTGGTTTAAGTGCTTGAACTCCACGCCATGTAAATGATAACTCCTGACTGCCGCCCTCATCGTACAGTGATGGGTTGACCCCAGGATCAACTAGAAACACACCCTCCGTATTACCCAATTCGAATCGTCCCAAAGTCGATCATGATCCCATAGAAGTCAGATACGCCACGGATACCCAAAGATAGGGTATTGATCCAATTGGAGAGCATAGGCGTTTTGAACACCTCGTAAGTCGTTAAGGTCGACCTCGTCGAGACCAAGGCCGTTGAGCCAGGAAATCTGATCCCGGCTTTTCCATGAATGTATCATCCTCAAGTCAACGGCGACGTCTTGTGTTATGGCTGTGAACAGTCGACTAGTCTTGAGATTTTGGTTGTATCAAATAACGTTTGTTCTGGTTCTAAGTTTTCTCTCACCACCAAAGCTTTTATGTTTCTTGGCCGTAGGCTACAGCTTCGGATACCTAGGTATGAGATATACATACCTGGAAAATCTCAACTGACAATCATGACGATGTCAAAATTACGCTTTAGACAACGCCGGATTGAACTTCTTCGCTATGCATTATACCTTGGTAAGATGAAGTGCTATCCAAAATTTGACTCCTGATGGTGGAATGATATAGAATATAACGACTTTTCTGTTGCACTCGATTCAAAGATATTGCTAAGAAAACACACAGATACCTATTTACTAGATACCTGAAGCGCATCATGAAATCTGACATTGAAAATATTCGTATCTTTTAATCTCCTTTCAAGATTACCGGTCCGGCACGGGTTTGATACCCTGTTTACAGGGTCTGGTCTCATCTTCAGGCAAATCCTTCATCTTCTGATGCCTAGTCTCCGTTATAAACCCATGATTCTCCTATCCTTACACATACGACCATAGGGTGTGGAAAACAGGGCTTCCCGTCCGCTCAGCCGTACTTAAGCCACACGCCGGCTGGTCAGTAATTTGGTGGGTGACCACAAGTGAATCCCAGCTGTCGTATGTTTATTTTATTACTTTTTTGCTGGAAGAGAAAGATCATACGATAACGCTCTATTTCGAGCTTTGTCAGAAAAATTTCACCAACCGGATTACTCCCGTGGCAATCGGCCAAACTTCTCCATGCCTACATGGTATTTCCCCTCAAGTCCGCAAATCAGTCAATGCTCACATGCAGTCCCCAAAAAACAGCATGGGACCCTTCAACATCCTCATCCTGCTAAAGTCTTGGAAAACTTATCGTACATACGACTATTGGGAAAATCCAATGCCACCGGTGGTCTAGATTCTTGCTTTAAATTCGCTTCCCCGCATAAAACGGCTATCATCTGGGGGTGGCTTCCCGCATATTCTTATACTACGTATAAGATATAGAACAGGCTATATTTCAGCCCTAGTTGTCCAATTTGATAGAGGTGATTTCTACCAATCACTATCTATTTGTATGGTTTCACATGCAGTGAATAGCTCGCGTACATCCAGAGTGAAGTCATCGAACAAAGAATAAAAGTATTGCTACGTCAAATTGTCTCGGACATCATATCCAATGTCACAGCATAGATTATCCTCGCCAGCGACATCCTCCTATACTGGAGCATCTAGTAGGCGCGTAGTTTTTGGTCTACTTGGGATGCTCAACAGATTACATTGAATGACATACTTGACGTGTCTCCGCTTGTTTTCACATGTGCAGAAGTCTGCTACTCAGCCACTTGAAGCTGGGACTCATGACTTCTGTCCTCTGCATTCTGCATAATGATAGTCCATTAATGATGTCTCACAATAATGATGTCTCACAATGGGCCACTTCTATATTCGGACTCAATGAGTGGCAGTCTTGTTTTGCGCAGTATGAGATATTTTCTTTCCACCGTGCTCAGGTATGCAAATCATGCCCGCTGATCAATGTTTAATGGGTGGAGAGAATTGGCATATATAGTAACGTTGAACTCCCCGATGAACAATATTTCTACAACAACAGACTTTTTCCTGACAGTACAAATTATTTATTGACTCAAACCTTCATAATGGCTGCTCTAGAGGAAGTAGACGTCATAATCTGTGGTGGAGGTAGCACTGGCTGCGTGCCAGCTGGTCGACTGGCCAACCTAGATCACAAGCTTCAGGTCATGCTCATTGAAGCAGGCGAGGACAATCTAGATAACCCATGGTAGATTGCACCCTTCCATTGTGCTCGCAGATACTAATAAGGAATTAGGGTATATCGACCGGGTATCTACCCTCGCAACATGAAGCTTGACTCCAAGACTGCTTCTTTCTACTATTCACGGCCTTCGGAGTGCCTGGATGGACGTCGTGCGATTGTCCCTTGTGCAAACATTCTTGGAGGCGGAAGTTCTATTGACTTTATGGTGACATACCTTATATCAGTCTCTTTAAGACACAAACTAATAATATCCAACTATATAGATGTACACTAGAGCAGCAGCATCCGACTACGATGATTTCCAGGCCAAAGGCTGGACTACCAAAGACCTTCTACCACTCATGAAAAAATGTGAGACATATCAGCAAGCATGTAACGATCCTGATGTCCACGGATTCGAGGGTCCCATCAAAGTCTCTTTTGGGAACTATACGTATCCGATTGCGCAGGATTTCCTTCGCGCGGCTGAATCGCAGGGTATTCCTGTAATGGATGATATGCAGGATCTTAAAACTGGGTGAGTCATATACACGCCTGTGAGATATAAGCAATGTTAATGGATAACAAGACATGGTGCTGAGCATTGGCGCAAATGGATCAATGAAGACACTGGTATGTATAATCACATTTTTCTGCTTTCTAAAGGCTAATCGAAACGCCGTTAAACAGGTCGTCGAAGCGACGCTGCGCATGCATATGTGCACAGTACTCGAGCAAAACACAGTAATCTGCATCTGAAATGCAACACAAAGGTCGACAAGATCATCATTGAGAATGGCAGAGCAGTAGGCGTCGTGACTGTACCATCAAAATGGATGGGAGACGACAAGCCTCCACGTAAAATGTACCGTGCCCGCAAACAAATAATCATCTGCGGGGGTGCCCTGAGCTCTCCGCTAATCCTGCAGCGGTCTGGAGTTGGTGACCCGGAAAAGTTGCGTCAAGCGGGTATCAAGCCAATGGTTGATCTGCCAGGCGTTGGTCTGAATTTCCAAGACCATTATCTGACCTTTTCTGTCTATCGGGCGAAGCCCGATACCGAGTCGTTTGATGACTTCATGCGTGGTGATCCACAGACCCAGAAGAAGGTTTTCGAAGAGTGGAATATCAAGGGGACCGGTCCTCTGGCTTCAAATGGTATCGATGCTGGGGTGAAAGTTCGTCCAACTGAAAAGGAATTAGAAATGATGCGTAGCTGGCCTACCCCTGATTTCCAACGGGGATGGGACAGTTACTTCAAGAATAAGTCCGATAAACCAGTCATGCAATACTCTGTTATTGCTGGGTAAGAATGCAGATTCGACTTTGTGTCAACCTTTTCGCTAAATATTTGCAGATGTTTCGGTGATCATATGATGATGCCACCAGGAAAGTTCTTTACCATGTTTCATTTCCTGGTTAGTGCCACGTTATCGAACATTGGGATGAAATTTAAATTTCATAAAATACTGACCCTCATTTTAGGAATACCCATTTTCTCGCGGTTGGATACACGTAAAGTCTGCAAACCCTTACGAAATGCCGGACTTTGATGCCGGATTCATGAACGACAAAAGGGACATGGCGCCCATGGTCTGGGGCTATATGAAATCTCGTGAGACTGCACGACGAATGGCTGCATACGCCGGTGAAGTGACGGGTATGCACCCTCATTTTGCGTTCGATTCGCCGGCTCGAGCCTGTGATATGGACCTGGAAACGATCAAAGCGTATGCAGGTCCTGACCACCTCAGTGCCGGTATCCAACTTGGTAAGTAATTGTCGCTTCGGTATGGTCGCTTTTAGACGGGAGTATAACGTTGTCCATAGGTTCATGGTCGAGCCCTCTCGAACCGACCAAATCATCAGCAGAAAACTATATGAACTCAGATAAACACGGAATGCATCCTGATATTCAGTATAGTAAAGAAGACATCAAGCACATCGAAAAATGGGGTGAGTAATTATCTCTCTCGAGGGAGACCGATGCTGATTAACTAATGAAAACGCAGTTCAACGACACGTAGAGGCAACATGTAATTCCCTGGGCACGTGCTGTATGGCACCCAAGGAAGGAAACTCAATGGTCAAGTGCGGAGTCGTTGATGAACGTCTCAATGTTCATGGTGTCAAGGGACTGAAGGTAGCCGATCTATCTATTTGTCCAAGTAACGTCAGTTGCAACACCTACAGCGTAAGTCAATAAAATCGTCGTCTAATTGCGCTTTTTAAATGAGAGATGGTTGAGCTAACCCGTGAACTTAACAATAGACTGCTCTCATGATCGGAGAAAAGGTTGCTATGCTGACGGCTGAAGATCTTGGTTACTCTGGATCAGCACTGGACATGAAGGTGCCTACCTACCGTTCACCAGGGGAGAATGTAAACCTTGTGCGGATGTGAGACGAGTTGATCCGATCCTTACGAGTCATGATTTTCTTTTGTTCTTCTATTCGAACATTGATTATGTAGCTTGAAATCCAGATTGACAAGACTTAGCACAAATGAGAATGTCTTCAAAGGAGGTTCGCTGAATGTAGTATGACTGCCCTACCTGCTATCTGTCTTAAATGAATAGTTAGCATCAAAATGGAGCTTTATAATCCTTTGTCACTACTTGGGGCTATTAGGCCCACCAGTCACTTAAGCGATCATACCCGACAGGTACATTCAAGGGTTGCGATCGCCAGCCAGTGCATTGAGTGGGCACCTAGGTTGTGCCGAAATTGCTTTTCTAATTAGGCAACATAATCACTTCGTTCGTTCCGATGAATGGGGCAAATTGACATCCCTGTAGATATTCGACTTTGTCCTTGGACTGTTGCACTTATCATATACTAGCTTAATAATCTCTCAAATAGAGAACGACTGATTTAGAATGAGTGGGCGTTCTACTGACAAGAAACAGCTTCAGTTACACCTTCAGGACGGTCCGCCCGGAAGGGCATCCGGGTAACGACCTGGTCCAGGCTAGGCTGATGCTCGCTGTATGATAATGAAAGGACATTCAAAGATCTCTGGTATGTTGACAGGTTAGAATCGCAATTTGGCATTGACGTGGTGCCGTTCCCCATGGAAGAGACCCTGCACAAAGCCAACATAAASGAGCCACTGGCAGCAAGCACTGGGCCACAACAATTACAGGTATCCCCAGCAATTCCTTTATTTGTATAGGTATAATACTGAAGATTCCCCGCTCGAGGTTTCACTGAGGTTGACTTGGCTTCTCTATCAGAACTATCCGAATTACCTGAGATATTCGTCTAGTTTTGACCGTTAGCGTAAATAAACCTGCATTTTAATACTTACGCATCGGAGCTGCAACCGTTTCCATGGATTACACTCCTAATATAGTACCTTCTAGACATTAATAGAGCCATTACGCCTCCTGCGCTACTTCTTCACTAGAGGACGCCTTGCATATATTTCAGCTACATCTGGAGAGTCCAGTCACCACGTGAACCTCTCACTGCCAACACCGCCACGACTGTTTTTGTCGGTAAAAAATAGGCTTGTAGCCTAACAATAGTAAGAAAGAATAGGTTATTATTGTCGTTCATCTTATCTTCCCAGCCCTTGTCACGTAAACAAGGGCTATTGTCCATTGGTTAGAACATCTCCCGCCAGAATGACGGATTACGAATTGCCTACAAAATTCCACCTAAATTAGAATCCTTGACCTTCCTTTTTCCCTTTGACTTCTGCTTTGGCTCATTTGAGAATTGCGAGTATAAGGACAATCATTAACTGGCCCCTCCATATATTGTTGATTAACTACTTGGCATCTATATGCAATCAGATCATTTCGGCGTGTGTGTTTCTAACCTCTCTTTCATAAATCTGGAAACAGAAAATTGAATGCGTCTTATCACAGATGTTTATCTTACGGGCTACCCATAGCTAGACATCTTTCATATCGTTTGAGCCGTTGGCACATCAGACCTTAGTGTAATACATACAATGAACACCACGAATGAAATCAAATACCCGAGTCAGTCTGCTCCATATCATCATCTGACGCATAACTATCCCATGAAGTACACGTTGAGTTTAACGTGGAGGAATCGAGAAGAGCTGATATCTCAGACCCGCGTTCCAGAATTTGAATTGCCAAACCTTCGGTCGTGTGCCAGGCAATGTGGCAATGCATCAGCCACACCTGTACAAAAGACCAGTTAGCCATGATCATTGAAAACACTCTAGGGGAAGGCTATGTATAAGACCAAAAAATTTACTCACACCTGGATTGTCAGTGTAGAATGCAATAACAACATAACCATCAGCAGGGAGCATAACGACGTCGCGCCGCGGCGGGTTAGTGTATGACAGGTCAGCTGTTGTTGCGTCAAAAGTACCATCGCCCTGACCCAAGACAAAGAAGTCATGACCATGCATGTGCATGGGATGTGGCTGTTGGTTGCTGGTCTGAATTACCATATACGCCCACTCGTTGGCTTCCGGGTATGCATAGACGTTCTGCGATGTACCCCATGTATTGTTTCCCTGGTCGATTTGCATAAGCGAAGGGTAGTCCCACTGATTGACAAAGGATGTAGCGCCCATATCCCAGAGGCCAATGCCACCTGACTGGTAGAGAGCCACAGTAAAGTCGGTCGTGTTCGTGGGATCCTCCGCCGCGTCAAGGGCCACGTACGGCACTAGGTTGGACATGTCCTCATCTGCGCAAGTGGCATCCGCAGCTAGGGCACCTGACCATGCTGTAGACGTAGGGTCGACGGTCGATGTACTATCATATCGAACAATTCCTAGAACGTTGTCTGGGCTATCGTTCTCGCTACAGGCCTGCACTATGGTGGCTCGCATCCAGTAGTTGTCGGTTGTAGCGTTGGCTGTAACAATAACATCGTATCGCTGGCCCATACTGATGTCCACGTACTCCGTTGCATAAGGCACAATGGGTACGAAATCGGCAGAAATGACCTCGAGTGTATGGTTGTCGATACTGAATCTGAAGTGAGAGTCGGCCGCTCCACTTACAAGACGGATGCGGTATCGGGTGTCAGCAACAAATGTCGTCTCAAAACGAGATCCAGTAACAGTGCCCGTGGTTGTGTCGTTGTACTGGTTAGTGCCATTGATAAGACCACCATTGAGGGTGGGGGGACCGTTGAGCTCAGCGGAAATGACTTCTTGGTCGGCAGTCTCGTGCATCCAGTCACTGAGGAAGAGCACGCCCAGGTCCTCGTCGAAGTCACCTGTGGCTGGGCCATTGATCAGAATACCGCCAGCTACCCCGTCCCATGCTTGCACATAGTAGTGTGAATGATACCATGAGGAACCATACTGTGTAGCTTTCCAGGTATATGTGTAGGACTCGCCGGGGGCTATAGGGCATTGAGTTATGCTGGGTACGCCGTCGTTTTGATTGGTATAGTTTTGACGGATACCATGAAAATGGATACCCGTGCCATTGTTCTCTAGCTTGTTGGTAACATGTACCACTATAATTGTTTTAGCAAATGGTCATAGAGTATTGCCTAGGTCATCTTACCAACTGTATCACCCCAGTCTGCAATGATGGTTGGACCAGGCACGGAGCCATTCACTGACAGGATAATGCGTTCAATGCCATCCGGTGCTGCGGTGGTGTTTACGATTTCCCACCAATACTCGCGGACGACGCCTGTATCTGGGCTTTCGTCGTAGTAATTAGTCGAGATATCATAATCTCCCCAGCATGAGCGATCATCAGCGCTATTTGTGCACCGCTTGTGCAGAGACGAAACAGGATTAAAAGGTGTGGATGCGGTCAGACTAGCTAGAAACATAGAGGACAGTAATTTGAAGAAAAGCATGTTGATGAATAACAAAAGGAACGGTAAAGATCGATGAAAAGGATATGGAATCTCAGGTAGCTAGCAGTTATCAGGGTAAAAAGAAGACTTGGCACCGTACAGATTGAATTAAAGGACATGTAGACCTTTATTATATAGACAACTTCTCGAGAGATAGCATACGCTTTGATGCCACGATAGAACCCTCCTACTCCAGCCAGGGATGTCTCGTTCAGCTCGACTACATCCACAAATCCTCTCATCCAGTCTAAGTAGACGACGATCACTTTGAAAGGATTACGCATTGCCTCCTGGATCATTGGGTCCTAATGCACGTCCAGATTGAAACATGCTCGTATCATCGCCGTAATTTGTATTCTCTCCGGCTGCAGACGCAATGTGGCTCGGTATAAGGACCATTCCCTTGATGCCATGGGGTGGGCCTGTATTTTGATATTGAATAGGCTATAGACGCGTTTTGACAGGTCATGTACTGATAAACTGTTACGATAGAGATGTTGTTTGGTTCTAGATACCAGTATACTGGGTCGCATGTTTTTCGGTGTAGGGTTTCAGGAGCCACCTGACCTACTAACTACATGTGTAGATATGTGGGGATATGTCCTTATTATATACCATTTATACTCTACTAGCCACATGTGTAAGTAAAACAGTCCATTTCTGATTCTCAAACGGAAGGCTATGCTGAAAGAATAAAAGCCTTATAAACTCTGTGCCGAATACAGCATCACCGCCGATTTTTTTGGGACTAGTCCAGTGCTAAATGTTCACTTTTTCATGCAAACATTCGTCACCTAGCTATCCATATTTTGAGAACATAATAATAACAACAGCGATATGGGTAAATACGCGCGTCCTTCTGCAGGAACCCTGACATAGTTCTACCAACACATAGCTCTACTCGGATCCAGCCGACATGTTTGGATAGCCCTACATCTACTCATGCCAATAGCATAGTCGAAACATCTTAGTTGTCAGCGATCCTCGATTTGTGGCTCATAGAGGGTTACGTGTTCTGCCTCGCACAGGTATACGTATCACCGGAAAGACTTCAGCTGTTGAATACAGTGAAACATGATACGAAATGCATGACACGAAAAGAACAATCACAAGGGTAGATCTTATGTTTAAGGAATTTCCTCCATAAATTCCCTCTGTTCTCCTGAACTCGAAGTACTTAGACAAACATCATCTTCTTCGTCCATTTTTGCTAATTCTCGCCATCTGGCTCTCGTCTAGCAAATCGAGCATATCATTTCATCTCTGCTTCAACTATGTGGTTCAAGCTTCCTTTATACCTACTTGCACTGCCCGGCTTTGGCTTTGCAGCTGTTATGGCTCSAGTCGCCGAGCAGACCGGAGCCATGCAGGTTTATGCTTACGGTACCAACATCTCTGGACTGTCTGTCTACGCCGGACAGGACGGTATTTCGCCCTTTTTTTCTCTATTCATACCTTTCTTCTGCTAAGAAGACCCAGGATTGGCTTATATCTCTGAGTCATCAGACAATCTCATTGCGATTGACTGTAAGGATATCATTCAATATTTATCTCCATTGTCCATAAAGGTCTAAACATTTTCAGGGTATATTGACTCTACCGGCGGGCTCCCATGGAACGTGACTGGKAACTTCAGCACGACGGCCAAGCGAGAATTCTATATCGTCACTACTAGCGGAGCATACGAACAAGCCGGTTTTGTCGAAGCCAATTCGAGCCTTCCATCTGGTGCTGTGAAAACTGGGTTCATGACGTACGGAGCATACATCATGTACCTAGACAACGATACAATGTTGTCCGAGTTCTGGGCCCAGAAAACAAATACTACCGGTCTTTGGGCGCTCAAGTGGAACGAAGATGGTTCATCTCAGGCGGATAGTGTTCCTGTCGCGTTGAAGACCCTGGCGCCTACTCGTGCTAGTAGTGACGCTACCAGTAACGACGCTTGAATCCCGACTACATGATACGTTATGAAGTGGCAGTCTGTGAGCGATAGATCTAGGTAGTAGCAGAGGATATTGGCTTCTTATGGATGTATACAACAACAGACCGACAAGTTGGTTTGATTAGTGATACATAACATGGAATGAGAATTATGGTATTACTGAATTCTGTAAGCGAGTTCTGCTCGTCTATAATCCGACTTTTATCAAGTTCTGTATATAATTCTACCATGAAAGTTGCATCTACCCTGACTTTTAGAAAAGATATTTCGTGAAACGAAGCTGCCAGGTCTAACTGGCCAGTTTCCGAAATAGGCAATTTCAAACGTATCGTCCTATCTTGCGAGTACGAACACGAATCAGACTTATGTTTAGCTCGTAAACCCATTCTCTCAACAGATTATAGCCCAAATTTTGCCGGTTGGAGAGGCTATTCAAATGTGGTTTGCTCGCATGCGCGTTGTACCTTGTAATGTTGGCTGCAATACTACCAATTTTGCATAACCTTACGTTTATAAAATCGGGAGGCATCAAGACTACACCGGACAGATTTTGGAACAAGATTGAACCATTTCAACAAAAAAGTTGCTGTTGCTATTGCAGAAAATGACTTGAATCTCAACAAATGCACCTCCAATAACTTCCGAGAGACTGAGTCGGCCTGCTCGGGTACAGATCACTGGTGGAATGGCCATACGTGTCCGTGTGCAATGGATAATTCAACAATGCGCCTTGCAAGAGTATGGATGGCCTGAGATGCTGTCCTCAGTGGTCTTACAATGACATGGATCAATGTCCTATATCTAATTAATACAGTCTATGATTAATAATACAAACTTTTTTTCACACACTTTTTCCCCTCATATATCATCCACTCAATGAATAGGGGCCTTGGCACCTTCATGGTGAGCTGCATGAGGGTGAAGCAAAAGCCCCTCGCTAATTCTGGTCGTAAGCACATTGACCTTTTCGAGATGAGTGTCTGGGTCATTCAGGGACTGCCAAGGAATGCAACCATTGCAATAGCGTAATTCTTTATCCAGAATATATAGCCCCAGTCCATGCTGCTTTGAAACTCGAGCCACTTGCTCTAACAGATCACCGAGGTTCTTCAAGTGCTTCGCATGCTTGCGTAAATAGCGATTCTCCAAGGCTGTTACAAAGGCCGTGTCTTGATGCTTCTCAGCCAAAGTGCACAAGCGTTGTAGGTCGTCAAAAAGCTTTCTCTGGACTTTCATAGCCTCTCGGCATGGTCTGACGGGTTCAATAGGTGACTCTGGCCACTCGAACTTCGGCGCCTCAATGTTTGTGGGCTTCGAACGTCCCCCGCGAGTAATGAGATATTTTTCGAGCCAGTTCATATCTTTCAAGCACTCCCAAGCACTTCTTTCCCAAAGCCTTGTTATCGCACCTCGTGATTAGTACTTCACACTAGATTTTGATATGGCAATAGATCGGTAGACATACATGGCAAATCCATGAAGGGAGATATTGCTCCGTGAGCAATCTGCGGCGAGCTTTCGGTAAAATAACCAGCTGCTCAGTTCTTGATGGATATGGCCTCTGATAGACTGCATAAGAGCGTTAGCTGGGTTTTTAAATATGAAAAAAGGTTCCAGAACAGGATAAGACTTTACCTCTTCAAGCTCGTTTGTGAAGGTAGACGTGCGGAGCCATTTATCAAGGTCGTCGTGTGAAATCTCGGAGATACGATCCCTTGCTTCGCTCATCTTGACTAAGATCTGAAAAAACGATTTTATTTATGGCGTTAATGAAAGGATAAGCGTCTCGCAGACTTTAAGACTTCTGTTATTTGTACGGCAGGAAATTGGAAGCATTGTCCAATTTATACCGGGATTTATTTTCGTTCTCGGGACTGCAGCTCCGGCTCGTTGATATTAGATGGACTAAGTATCATCACCAATTTTCAATAATGTAGCCACTTACCAAATATGGACGTCAATGAGCACAAGGAAACGAATCCCGAAATTCCGGTCTCGGAATAACGCTACTGATTCAACGTTAGGGCTTGATAAACCTTCAGCCAACCAACCCAATTTTATGTAGTCGCCATCAAGGGAATTCGAGAGAAGCATATGGTCTAGAAGCTACTATGTAATATATTGTCAAATATTCCCGTCTTCCGATCAGCAAAAGCATTGGTAATAATTACCTGGTACGTCCGGTCACAGAAGACTTCCAAGGTTAAGACCCGGTTAATGTTCGTTGTCTACTCTCCTTGTAAAGTCTTTGGAAGGTTATGGGAATTTTTCATAAGACAAATAATACTTGCTATGATATCGAGGCCGAAGCCTGAGCCAAAATCGGCCGTGGATCACCTTCCTAAAGAGGAAACTTCATATACTCAAAAGTTACACTGATGATCTAAAAATAACCCAAGTAACTTTGTACCTAGACTGATATATAAACATCCAGTCTTAGTCAAAATTAACTGATTTCAAGTGTATCGCCAGATTGATAATATCTTCCAATTTCTCCATCTTCAGTCCCAGTAAGTCATTGGCAAACTTTTCCTCCTTGGTATAATCAGATCCCAACCCCTCCTTGGCAGCGTACATGCTCGCTCTACCCATGGTATAGAAACCACCAAAATCACCTTTGTTGATGCTTTCGGTGGCTTCACGGAGCTGCTCTTCTGTAGTGGTATGTAGTACTTCCCATGTGCTAGCTGTAGCCTTTTCCAGTGCGGCGAGAATCTCGTTTTGGGTTGTAACCAGTGAAGCGACGAGGATATACTGATTGGCGGCCTTTTCTGGTTGTTGAAGGATTGAGATTACAGCCCTTCCCATTTGTTTGGCTGTGATCATGGTGAACGGCTTGTTGCCGTCGTCCCAGATTGTTGCAGTATGAGTGTCAATATAGTATCCGCCGATTCCGCTAGCAAGAGACTACAAAATCAGACGCCTCAGTAATATGTTTTGTCAAAATTGTAAACAGTATGAGAATATGTTTACCCAGTCAAGTAAGATTGATGTTCCGAGTGCCGTCCAACTGAAATCCTTCGACTCCTTGGTCTTAAGATACTCATAAACATCTCTCTTTCCTTGAAAAATGGAAAGCAGCTCCAGGACAGCATCATTTGACGCATTTGCACCGAATTCAGATGGCATGAAATGTTTCACCCCAACTTTCACAGCGATATCAATGTATCTCTTTTGGTCAGTCAAGGCCGCCATGCCCACCACTGAAATGACAACATCCTGGCCGGTAAAAGCGGATTCAAGTTCGTGGTCTGAAAAGTCGGACTTGCGGACTCGAACCGTTGGGGGGTATGTGACAGTCTTCGAGCCTGTTGTGAGTACTGTAACGTTGAACAGTCCGGATTCGACGAGAGAGTCGAGAATTATTCTGCCAATGTCACCGGATGCCTATGACAGCAGTTAGTGTTAAAATTCTGTCGAATATCAAGGCATAATAGCGACATACCCCGATGAGGACAACGTTTTTCAATAGAGAAGCCATTTGCAACTTATGCTTTGCAAGTTAAACGAATCGAATAGTATATTTCTGAAGCTCTGTCTCTACTCATGACGAAAACAGCACAAACCAGCAGATGACATGAGCCCTTATATACATGTGGCTAGGTTTAGAAGGATTTAAATCCTTGAATTTTATGTCTAAATTGAAGATGATGGCTAATCGTCTTCTTCCATTCTTATGGTATAATTCAAATACGAGGAGACTTCATTGGCCACTGCGGACGATGCGCACCTATTGCACCATCCACAATTGGTAGGATTCGTATAAACTGATTGTACTCCCTACTCATTACATCTGAGGATATAGGACATATAAGCAAGAAATTATAGAAATATTGGTAATCGTTGTTTATCATCATGTGCTTATGTAAGATGCTGCACAAAATCTACGCGGACCGCCCGCTCCATCCAACCAGGATCCGTTCATCCATTTACACTATCGATTAGCTTATTGGTAAACTTACCTGGACTCTTCTCAATGCCTCCCAGAGTTCTAGGTCTCGGTCCATCGTGCAATGAATGTCGTCGCCGAAAAATAAAATGTGATCGGTCTATCCCTTGCTCATATTGCGCGAGGACGCGGATTCAATGCGTCTATCCAGAATCCGCTGTGGAGACTGGCCATGAGGGGATTATAGATCGCATAGAAGGTGTTGAGAATAGGTTACAGTCATTAGAGCAGGGGATATCTGAGATTAAATCACTTTTGGAGATGAGCCTCGTGGGTCAGCATAGTGCAAAAAATGTTGAAATTTCTGGACTATCGTCTACGAATGATCGGCCAGTGGCTGCTGACAGAACTCGGGATGTTGAGATGCCATTAGTGCCGCAGGTAACTGCTACTCTACCGGACCTTAAGCAACCAGCCTTTTTCTCTTCAATCTCATTGCCAGCGATGGGCTCTCTTCACCCACCCCCGGCAACCGTCATTATCATATGGCAAAGGTTCATCGACAACATCGATCCGCTTCTAAAACTATTCCACATCCCGTCTCTCCAAAGGCAGATAGTGAACGCGATTAGAGCATTAGATCGTGTGGAGCCTTACGCAGAATGTCAAATGTTTGCAATCTACTATTGCACTATTGTCGAAATGTCTCAAGATGACTGTCAATACATCTTGGGCGAGCAGAAGAAAGCACTTCTTGATAGGTACGAGCTTTGAACTCGCACTTAAAAATTTCCGAAGCTAATTATCACAGGTACCGGGCTGGCGTTGAAGCTGCTTTGGCACGTGTAGATCTTTTAAACTCACCCAACATCGCGAGTCTACAAGCATTCGTTTTGTATCTCTCATGTGCGTCGCGAGACGATCAAGGCCCGGATGCACATACCCTTATTGGCGTGGCGATACGAAATGCAATCCGACTCAAACTCCATCATCACGGAACCGCTCTCAGCCGCTCACCCTTCGACGCAGAAATGCGCCGGCGGCTATGGTGGCATCTATGCGTCATAGATGTCTGCATGGCAGCGGAGCATGGCACGGAACCCATCATCCTGGAAAAATCTTTCAACACTCCCTTTCCATCTAATGTGAATGACTCGATGCTGGACCCGGATGGGAAAGAACTTCCTGCCAGTCTGACTGGGAAGAGCGAGATTTTCTTCACTCTGCTCCGATTCGAGATCTGTTATTTTGCACGCCAGATGATTTTTTCGGAGGAGTTTTGTCGGTATAACTCGTATGCCATACTGTCGAAGATCGAACAATGCGAAGCTATTGATGCTTTTCGATCGAGAATTGAGTCGCAATATTTGGCTCGTTTTAACACTATTACTGCTTTCGATGATAAGGTCATTATTGCTGTAAGGAGTACTTTGGACAGTATCAAACGACTGGCTGGTGATTCAAGTGCTGCAATACCGCTTGCTGGCGTCAAGCTTGATCTGCGAGAGGTTTTTTGCGATATTCGGTATCAGGAAAGTTGATTCCATTCAGCTGCTGAAAACAATCTCCAATTCTCAACTCGAAATGCAACAAGTTTATGGAAAGTTTCAAGTTTGACCTGCTTCGGCAGAGCTCTGAAGGCACAAGTATCCAGTCAACACCAGTCTCGCCTGTTTTTCCTAAACAGTAAGAGTTTCGAAGAGATCCGTCAGACCGTAGTTGGGCGCTTCTATGTAACGGAACTCCTACCCATGAGGTAATGCATGACTGAGTGAGACTACTACACAGAGAAGGACGGTCAGTTGCCGATTGAGAGATCTGGTAGCCAAGCTCTCCAAAAGACGAACGAGATTGTAGTTCAATGCGATTCTCTGACGACGTGTTGGGGCTTAGTATCGTTTGTGTAAATGGCGAGGAGCTTGGATGCCTATCAGGGTCAAAAATGATGTCAGAAATAGATTCCTTGATGCATTGAACAGTTTCATTTTCAGATAGCTCCAGTTAGACTTGCATCGAGCAAGCCATCTGTGAACCCTGTGTATCGGCGACGAAAGTATGTACGGAATGACGAGTGTTGAAGCATATTTCATGATAGAAGGAGTACCGGCTGGATTAGCTCGGTCTCACGAAGCAATAGAGTTCTCTATTGAAACAGGTTCTCATTCTGCAGGTCACAAAACTGGGATTTGCGCAATTCCTGGCGGCGTAGTGTTGATCAGCAAGGCCTAGGGAGCAGTGATCTGTAGGCATGAAACGTATGGTGTATAAACGTAGACAGTGATTTAGCTTGCATGCTCATGTATAGGCAAGGGATTATAAGATGGGAAGGGACCAGGAGCATGAACGAGTACTGCCACATGAAGATTGGTTGAGTGTGTTACTGCAACAGGCAAAGATTAGCAAGATGGGAGTCATCTTGCAGATGAAACAGGCCGCGCAAGATGGGTTCAAGCCAACGCTGCGCCACGAGACATTCCAATATGAAGCTGTGAAGCTATATCATGCGGACAAGAAAGGAAGGAAGGAAAGCAGGAAGGCCGGAGTAGTTGGCTGCTCCGATGTTACGGTATGGGAGATACACTAGCGGTAAGACATTTCACCAATAGGAATTGTCCCAGTTGTGCTGACGAGAGGATGTTGCTTGTTGAGAGAATAAAATACCGCTAGAAGGAACAGATAGTGTATTGCGGCACATATATGCCGCTAGTCCCGATGTGGAAGCTCGAGACCCCGAGAAGTGGATCCGCAGTCGTGCGGTCTAACCCAATCAGCACGCATATATTACCAACGCTCAGTCTGTGGATGGCGCGAGTGACATCGACGCGACCGCCAATTGGTAAATGGGTTGATCGCTGCCTGCTTGCCTCAATGCTTGTTCTGTGCTACTCTCTAACAGGCTCAACGACATCCAGAGCCAATCCAGCGCCCTGGTCGCTGAAAATTCTGTTGTATTCCATCATTTTACGAATAATCTGAGGATATTCAAGCCCTTTCTTTCGTCATTTCCCCACAGCCCTGGCTGATTCTGCTCCTTATCCCCAGGCAGATTGATTGTTTTGCTGGCATTCCCTTGCACCGCCTTTCTGGTCTCGATCTCTGTGCATTTGACCCTTGACCCGCTTGGCATTCCTGACTGTTCTTCGGAGTAAATGCGTGGAGTCATCTAATCAGATATAAACATCTGTTGTCTGGCTCGGCTCTTTTGACCCGTCATCAAAGTTCAAACTTTGTGCTGTCTTCCACAGCCCACGGCGTCAACGGTTCTTTTTTGCTATCAACACATTGTCACAAACTACCACCTCCTGCAGCTCTTGTGATAAGGCAACTGATCTGTCAAGTCGACCAGGAGATCTCGGCGAATTTACGGATTCCACGAGGTCGCCGTACAACGTACCACATCCAGCTGTCCTGGACCTGGATTACGCCACCCACCAGCACTCCTCCTTCCAACCTTATCTGTGACCCTCACCTCTTCATTTCTCTCGTGTTATTCTACTACTATTCATTTATTTTGTACTTGGCCCATCTAGACGATATTTGCACGACCTTCGTGATAGTTGTTGGTCGGTTCTGATCTCTTGTCGTTGCACGGTGTTGGCGGTTAGCTTTTCGACTGCCTTGTTTTTCTCGGTCTCATTGGATTCACAGCGAGCACGACTTCACTCAGCAAATGGCTTGACAAGTTAAGTAGTGATTATTGCTGCCTTGTGAGTTTCGAGTCATTGGTTACTACCATTTAAACCCGTTCGACTGTTCAAACGTTCGGGTACTGTACTATTCTACTGGACTACCACCATCCGCAAATCTGGCTTGCCAACAGATGGAAACTGCGCCGTCCCTCAGTTTGGAACGAAAACTTGACACCACAGCCGTGCGATCCGCCGAAGATCTCGACGCAGCACAGCAGCTCATTTCATCTGCCAGAGGATTGCGTCCGATTCTAGCTTTCCCGCAACAGGACAGAGTGTTTTCAGGCAATGAAGATTGGCAAAGCGCCAACAAGCCCAGCATGTCGGATGAAATGGATATGACGCCGGATCAAGCAAACTCGGAGGTTGACCATACCATGTCTAGAGGACCACAGCGATCACCAAAAATACCATCGGGGCGCGACACTGCCTTTCTAGGACATTCATGCAGGTGAGATGACTTTATCCTTGATAGAAGCAAAGGATCAATGCTAATGGGTATCAGCAACTGCGGCACTAAGAGTACACCTTTATGGCGGAGATCTCCAACAGGTGCGACAATATGCAATGCTTGCGGGCTCTACTTGAAAGCTAGGAATGTTCACAGGCCGACAAAACGGAATCGGAACCGTCCGCAATCAACTACTGGGCCAAACCCCGACTCACCAAGTACATCACCAGCTCCAATGACAGCCGTGCCCGAAAGTGGTTGTGGCTCTACGGGGTCATGTCCGGGTGGTGGAAATTGCAATGGTACAGGTGGTGCAGAGGGGTGTGACGGTTGTCCCGCTTACAACAATCGTGTTTTCAAAACTACTACTCGTGTATCTAGCGGCCAGCCTGTACCCCAGCCTGCTGAAGAGCAACCACCAAATCCGGCAGTCGATTCCAATATGCCCAACGCAGAAGGTGGTGGAGAGTTGCTTGTCGCATGTCAAAACTGTGGCACTACGGTAACGCCATTGTGGAGACGAGACGAGAATGGCCATCCGATTTGCAATGCTTGTGGTGAGCTTGAAGAGTCCACCTTGAACAATTGAAGTATGCTAATTCTGTCAGGTCTGTATTACAAACTACATGGATGCTACCGACCAACAACGATGAAGAAATCGATCATCAAACGGCGTAAACGAGTGGTCCCCGCAATGCGCGATCACTCACCAGGTGCTGGAACGCAATCGTCAGCGGAATCTTCCGCGTCCCCGGAAGCTCATCCAGCACGACTTGCGCATGGCCTTGATAGGCCAATGTTGGCACCACCACCTGTTGACTTTACCGGTTACAACATGAATGCCGCCACTACCATACCTCACCATCCTGGTCCCCGCCTACCAGAAATACAGTCTACTTTCCAACGCCAATCACATTCCCCTGGCGCAACATCCAACAGAGACGGCGACACTCTCCCACCGATGGAATCATCCAATCAACTTCCGCCAATAATGTCTCAAACGTACCCTACCCCTCCAGCCCGGCTTAGCCCTATTTCTTCAATATTGAATCCCGGCGCAAATCCGGCAGATACCACCAAGATGCCTGTAGGTGGTGGCTACCGTCACTCACAATCCCCGCCCATCCCGTCTCCAGGGCAATCGGACGCTTACAAATACGAGCGACGAGTGCAGCTTCAACGAGAAGCCGAGTTAATGCGAGAAGCATTGAAGGCAAAGGAACGCGAATTAGCCGAGCTGGAGTAGACGGTACACCAGTTACGAGTTTTATTATTGATGAATATCATGTTAGATTATACCCATGGGCATAGCCCATTGCCACTGTTTTAGTGAGCAAAAGTCTCAGTCTGAAACAAAGTATCATATACATTTCAAGATTTCGATGTGTTTGGAAATTCATACTATTTAAATTTGATTGCCACAGATTAGGGTTTACGTATGTCACTATGAAGTGGCCACACACCACACTCATCGCCCATGTAATTCAGCCTCGCAGGTCGACAGAAACAACATCAACGCCGCAACCACCCTTGTAAAACCACCCTTGTACTTCGTCAGACACAGCTAGAATGGCCAGCAAAGAATATGCCCTCAACTTTACCGGCGATGTCATGCTCGGCCGTCTCATCGATCAACTCTACCCAAACCACGTCCCCTCTCCCGACGACGAGCGACACATCCGCGTCTTCCAAGCCCAACACGCATCCCTCCTAGGTCTCCGAAACTACACCTTCGAAAGCCCTTGGGGCACCGTCTTGCCTCTACTCGCAACCGAGGGAGATTTGAACATCATCAATCTCGAGACATCCGTAACGACGCACCCGATCCCCTGGCCTGATAAGGTGTTTAATTATCGAATGCATCCGGCCAACGCAATGCCGATTCTGGAAGCGGCCAAGATCGATTTTGTTTGTCTGGCGAATAACCATACTCTTGATTTTGGGACCGAGGGGCTTGTTGAGACCATTTGGACGTTGAAGCAGCACTCTGCCACACCTGCTGCTACCCCTGGTGCTGGGAAGTATCGGGTAGCCTTTGCGGGAGCCGGGGAAACGACGCAGGAAGCCTTTGCGCCTGCTATCCTCGACCTACCCCGACAAAGCCAGGTGCAGGAGCAACATGCGACAATGACGCACGGCGACAAACCAAGTGCGCTATCAGCCCCAACCCTGGACTCCGCAACCCGCACCCATGAAGTCCACATATACGCCGCGACAGACCATCCGCACGTCTGGTGCGACATACCCACCTTCCACTTCGTCGACTACACGCCCAAATCCCGCGAACACCTCAAACGACTAATATGGAAACACTCCACTGCACCGGAAATACGCTCATCCGAGTCATCGCCTGCGCTAAAGATTTTCTCATTCCACTGGGGCCCGAATTATACCTGGCACCCATCTCCCGAAATCCGGCAAATGGCGCATTTCCTCCTCTTTGAGTGCGGGATTGACATCGTGCATGGCCATTCATCGCATCATGTGCAGGGCATCGAGTGTCCTGCTCCGGGAAAAGTGATCATCTATGGTTGTGGCGATTTTGTGGATGATTATGCTTTGAATAAAGAGTTTAGGAATGATTTGGGTGCGCTGTATAGGGTTGTTGTGCAAGAGCAGACACATTCAGAGTCACAAGGCGGAGAAGGGTTGAGACCAGTTAGGTTGGAGATTTTTCCGACGAGGATTAAGCATTTTCAGGCGCATTTGTTGCAGCATTACAAATTTGGGAGCGGGGATGGGGATCATGATTGGGTTGTTGATACGATCTCGAGATTGACGCGCGATTTGATGGAACAGGAGTGTGGGTGTGGATACGCACATGATGATATGACAGGAAAGAATATTGTCAGGCCGGAGTTGGGGGATAGGGGCCAGCTTATGATTGACTTGACTTAGTATCTTGACAGCCGTTACATCGGACCTGTCTCTCTCGATTGAGGATAAACCTCCTGAAATGTGCTATGTACACTGTGCTTCATCATCATGCAAACCACCAAAGAACTCGACTATGTAATGAGTAACAACGACTAAACGCCAAACACCTTGCCATGTATCATGCTCGTCATTTCATCTCATGTCAACTCATTTCTCCCCTGAAAATGCCCAAAAAACTCCAAAGATGCTCATGTCGTCGTTTGGCTACTATCTCACTAGATGTAACGCATGCAATGCCCGTGCTTGTGCCGATGCAATGGCAAATAAATGCTTCAAAATTGATAACGCAGACAACGCTCGAATAAAGACGAATCATTCCTCCACTTTGATGACGGGCGAATCGCTAGAATTTGTACAAGTGGAAGCTTCGCTATCAACACTTGTTCTTGCTTTGCGTGGTCGTAGTTTGCGGCCCTCGACTGATTTAGGATTTGTTTTTGGTTGCTCCGGTTGTTCCAATGGTGAAGGGGTGGGACTGGTTTGCTCAGCCATAGCATCAGAGTTCACTCGCAACCGCAAGGAGACCAAATCCGGCTTTTCCTGGTCGCCAAAGTTAATTCCCACGGTGACTTTGGGTAGGATACGTCGTTTTTGCTCCCTTCCACGTTGCCGAACAGCAGGGATTGGATCCTCACCGTCGCTGTCGTCTGCAGATCGTTTGCTGGCTGTACTGTGGCGAGAAGAGGACCGAGACGATATCAGACGAGGCTTAAAATTCGCCATGAGTGCTGAACTGTGCCCGTGCGGTTGACTGTTGTGTTGTTTCAATGTGCTGGCTGTTGTTGCCGCTGAGGTCTGAGACGACGCAGCAGAATTCGCTGAGGAGACAAATGATGAAGCTGATGAGGACTCTTCGTCTAACAAGTTGGCAAATGCGCGGTCAATATCTCCTCGGCAGCGACGCAGCATTTCCACAATCGCATCATGATCGTATTGACCTCCGAGTCCTTCTTGGATGCACGAGATCTTCCAAGGCTGGGCCGTCTCGAGGTCGAGAACCACCGGACTGGTTGGCTCTTTCGCTTTGACGTTCGGCATTCCTTCGTGTGGGCCGTCAACGTTGCGTACTGATGAGTAGTGAACATTGTTCTAGACATATTAGCAAGGACCAATTCATTGACAAGGCGGGGTAAGGAGATGGGCTTACAATATATGCAAGATGTAAAAAGTCCCGAAGCTCGCCATCTGGAGCATTCCAAGCTCGAAAATCCTGCACATGATCCTCACTGTATACCCGAATGTCTCGTTTGTAGTATTGACAACAGGCCTGAAGCTCCTCGGCACCACCCCAGATGTAGTTGGTTGCAGTACGCGAGACCATATCCTGAAACGCGTCTTCGATTTCGGTCGGTGTGGGCGACGGGCTTGCCAATGGAGTGCGTACTCTTCGTGGTGCAGCTGCAGCTCGCTTGGATCGTCTTTCTCCCCCTTGGGCCACGGCAAAGCCTGCAAAGTATTCCCGGTTTGCTTCCATGTGGCCGGATAAATTGTCGCGTATTTCGGTCGCGTGATCCCAATCACCGTACATTTGGTCGGATAGAGCGTAGTAAAGACAATTACCTAGACATTATGAGAAATCTTATTCTTCATTGCAATAATTAATTGACCATACCGTCACCCTTGGTATCGAACACGTAGAGCCCCCGGGCTTCCAGTGTCTTCAGATTGACATTGACATCGTCCAAACCGAGCGCTTTGGTCTGAGAACGCGTAGTTCTGCCGGATGGATCGGCCGGTCTGGGAACAGCAGTGAATTTTCTGGTTGTCGACCTCGGTTTGGGTGCTGGTTTTGCTGTGGCTGCTATCGCTGGAGCTGTTGTCGAGGGAGCGTCGTTGTGGTCGGCCATGATGGGCACGATCCTACTTCGATTAGCCGGCGAGTCAGCCATGATTGCAGGAGCTCTCTGCCGGACGAATTGCCCTCATTTGGCGAGACCATGCAACGGGGGGGGTGTAAGAGATGCAGAAAATGAATATGAGAAGTGAATACAAAGAGGCAGACGATCAGCCGGTAAAAGGGGAACGGAGCACCAAGTAGGAAGACCAGGGGTGGAGTGGATTTTCACGGAGATACGGATCAGTGGCTTAAGAATTGATGCAAGGAGGAGAAAAAGACGGGGTAATGACAAGACCCGAATGATAAAGAAGGAATGGAGGAATGAAGCAATTAATTGAATTGGGTCTCCGTCAACATGAGGTGAGCTATCCACGAATATCATCCGAGAACCTGGTGCAGTACTAGCAACAGAAAACAAGAAGAAGACGAGCTAGTTGATTAGGCGGGCTTACCGTAGATGGCCTAAGAAAAATGGCAAAAAAAGAGTTTTTGGTTGATGTCACCGACTCGGCCAAGGCGGTGGCAGAATCGCGCTTATTTAGGCAAACACGTCGTTCCAGGCAGGTACTTTCTTCCTCTTGCAATTCGAGATGACGGATTTGTGAACACGAGAAGATGAGAAGTTGAGAGGATGAGAGATTGAGGCGAGATTTGGAGATTCAAGGGTAAAAGATGGCCGACTCGAGAGAGTTTATACTCGAGGATCGACCGTGAAGCTATCTCCAGATTCAATGCGGAATGAACTGGATAGATTGAAGACACAGACATTTCAGTATTGTTGGGTGCCTGAAGTCAATGATACAGCCTATTGTATTTCAATTGACGCCTGCCTATTACTCTACAATGTCACGATCAACTCTGCATCATTCGACGGGGGTTGCTTAGACCTCACGTGTCACTGAAGTGTGTTCTCAATGGAACAATACAGTTGTTTGCTCAACAATTACATATCTCAATAGACACTTCATTTGAGGTGTTTCAGGTTTGAGTGCTTAGGATTTGAGGTAGACAAAGCAGACACGCTTTGACAAAAGCCGCCCGATCACCAAGGATATATGCTGACAGTCGGAGTGACTCATATTTTCTGGATTATCGGGGCTATTGAGGCTTTTATATCTTATTGGCACATGCCTAAATCGGCAGTTAGGCCTCCATTCACTAGGTACCTATGGTTGCCTGCAACGTGGAACTCCTATATAAATGAGGCTCTTGGTTATACAATATGTTTATTTTGCTTCCTTCCCCTTTTACATTCAGGTATACATTACGGTGATATATATTCAAATGCTCTCGATAAATTCTCGTTATTTCACAAAATGACTTCTTGCTCTGCCCCACGCTATCGGCGCAGGCAACGCCGACAGTCCCGAGAAGTAAACGAGAAGCTCCCCATCGAAACATACCTCTACCGCTGTGACCCATACCGCTCATCGACCGTCCAAGATCCCTGGCCGTATGGGATCAAAGTACTCGCCCACCCTGCTATACAAGCGCTCATCTTGACATACAAAGGTGACATCCGAGACACATTCATCGAACATGGGTTTCCCGCAGACGGCTCAGGGGTGAAGCTGAACTTTGCTGTGAGGCGAGTGTACCCTTCTGGTCAACGACCTAGCACAATTCTGAGCATAGGGATCGAGCAAGACCCTGTACAGGATCGTGATCTCAGCGAAGTACGAGACGCAGTCTGCGATCTCTTGAAGAGGAGGAAGTTAAAGTTTGTGCACGTGGACATTTACGACTGTGACAGACGATTCTTCCCTAAAAGATTTGCTATCTCTTCAGATCACCCCGCTTCGATTAAGTACAGAGAGGTCAAAGGGGATATTGTGAGGCTACTCCGAAACAAAGTCGATCTGCCCTGGCATTCTGTCTGTCTGTATCAGGTGGGGAGAAGTTTGAGTAAAGCGGTGCCATGCATCGTCGTCACAGTGCCTCCAGAGGCAACTTACAACTGGGCTTCTTTAAGGCTCCAGATATTGAGACTGTTAAGGTCTAGCGACGTCGATATCGATATTGAATTTTTTCCAGAGGTTATAATCAAGGAGAAATCAACGGAGAGCGTTGTGCCGTAGCTTATTTTCCTTGAGAAATCAGGTCATTTGCTTTCCTGCTGTTGTACGATTAGAACGAGTTTGAAATAGCATAGCTTAAACATATTTTGCATATTTTGCTCAATTTCCTGGAAAAAGTGTAGAGATTGGTAATACCTTAGCCCTGATTGGCGGGAACTCCCCTCGGCGATCAGGAGATCCCAGTCTATGCCCTAATGGTCCTCGATCGTTGTACCTTATTTGTCGTATTGGTTTCACAAAAAAACATGTTGAATGCAAAGATTGGAAATCAAGATTATGTGATTGGTACGTCCGTGGCGCTCCCACGTCACCTTCCAGGCTCGTTGGTATAGAGGAGGATCCGAGCGCGCTATGCCCTGATCTCATGTTAGGGTTATAAGAAACGAATTATTATGAATATTTTGGTAGCGAAGAGTGTGAAGATTACAAGTCAAAAACTTCTAGAAAGTCGATCCTTTTCCATTCAAGCGAAATATCTCATTGAAGCAATATACATTTCATTCAATCAATATTCGCCTCATCCGAGCAAATATACATCATGTCAATCGAGCCCAGCATAGAAACCCTCTCCCCTCAAGACGCCCACGTTGCCAATGAATCGCACTCCGACCACGGCGACGTCGTCCGAGACATCATCATCGGCTTCGCCGATGGCCTCACAGTTCCATTCGCCCTAACGGCTGGATTATCAAGTCTCGGCAGTTCAAAACTCGTCATCGTCGGTGGCCTTGCAGAACTATTCAGTGGAGCAATATCGATGGGACTGGGTGCGTATCTAGCTGCTGTTACTGATAGAGAGCACTTCAAAAATGAGGCCGCGCGTGAAAGAAGGGAGGTTGCAGAGAAACCGGGGGCGGAGAAGGAGGAGATTTTTGATATTTTTGCGGAGTATGGAATTAGTAGGGAGGCGAGCCAGGGGGTGGTGGATTCTTTGGTCACGAATGAGGACAATTGGATTAGGGTATGCTATCATTCTTATTATACCTTGCTTAGGTTCTCGGGGTGGTTTTTGAATTGTGCTTACAGTCATGATAGTTCATGATGGCGTTTGAACTCAGACTCGAAGAGCCGAATGTCTCTCGAGCATGGATCTCGGCTGCAACAATGGGATTATCCTACTTTATCGGTACGATCTATCACTCTCTCGCAATTCATAAACCTACCACAGACTAATTGTAATTCCACAGGCGGCCTCCTTCCAATGATCCCTTACTTCGCAATGACCAACGTAACCCACGCCCTCTTCGTTTCCATCGGAATCACATTCGTCATACTTGTCGCTTTCGGCTTTACCAAGAACTACATCATGATCAAGACTACTCGCTCGGGGCTATGGGGCGCTGTGCAGACGTTGATTGTTGGGACGTTGGCTGCAGGAACGAGTTATGGTATTGTTTATGGTATTGATCATAGCAATATTGCTTGATATTTGATTGCAGACTGTGTGCAAAGACTTTTAGATTAATTTGTGTGGAGTTTATTGGCAATGGGCTTTCTGCGTAATTCGACAACTACGATGTTTTGAGCTCGCTTGGATACGCGTGCTGCAAACATGCAAATATGGTGATATATCACGATCGGAAAGCACTCTATTCCCGTTTTAGTTTTTGAACAGGAATTAATTACAAGTATGATATTCATGGCTTAGATCTCATGTTGTTMCCAGCCACAAAATACGAATCATGCCTATATTTTTCGATGGAAGTACCGAATAGGCAATACTCGAAATTAGGGCTTAGGTGGGGCCGAACAGCGATTCGAAGCTATTAACCAATCATGAAACTTTATTCGGGATATTATAGAATGCCCTCCACTGTACTTCATATTATTCATATCATGGTTGTAGGAATAAGGATTGGATTTCAATCGTTGCCAAAATACTACGGATTAAGCTAGTACATTAGTTGGAATCAATAGATAGAAGAGCATCTCTCACACGGGCTCGTCTTCCCCCAGATACAGACTTTGGTCATTTTCGTAATCCACAAAGAAAGACATAAACAAATCAAATTCAGATCACTCTTGCGCTCGCTTCAAAGTCTGTCTAAAAGCCCGTGGAGTAATACTCGTAGCATTCCCACCACAACTATCAATCTCAAACACAAAATCATCAAAGGCCCGAAGCCCATAAACCACGTTGTCGATAACTGACCAGCTCTGGCATGCCGATTGCAAAATGAAAAGCTGCTCATCATAAAACGAGACATCTGATGGGGCAACAGTGTCATATACTGCGCGCCAGGCGGTAGAATCTTTGCTCTGTAACCCGGTTGGAAAGAGTCGAACCGATAAGTATTGCGCGACGACGCCCGGTGCTGCAGCTCCTTCCGGTCCGAAGGAAGCAATAATCGGGTATGTCTCGAGAATGTTTTTACCGTTCATGATAAAACTGGTCACATTAAGCCCAGACTGATCATCGACAGCTACTGTGATGCTGCTGTTGGTTGCAGTATTGGCATAAGTTCCGGCATATGAAACATTTGCCTCAGCTTTGCCGGCAGCTTCAAAGGCTCGGACTGCAGGTTCAAGAACTTGTGTCGCGAGTCCAAGCTGCGTCGACAGCATTGATTGAGGTCCGGCGGAGACGATCGACAAGACCAGCCCGTAGTCTGGGATCAGGACGAAAAAGGCATTGTAATCGGTCAGACCTCCGTTTTTGCTGTATACATCGATTATGCGACCATCAACGGTGAGGTTATTTGCCCGACCAATTTCCCATGGTGCGCCAACTGATATTCCTAGGGATGAGGTATGTGCGCGAGGTTTAATCCATTCGCGGGTGGTAACTTCGGGGAGGAGTTTATGGTTCAAGATTCCCTGGCCGAATTTCAGGAGGTCATTTGCCGATGAGTAGAAGCCGCCGTCACTAGAAGACTGATTGGTACGTAAAATGGAAAGGTAAATCGAGAAACATACGCTTGCAAAAAACCGTAAGAGGTACTCCAGAAGTTTGCTTCTGCAGAGATGAAGCCAATACTATCGTCATCCGGTTTGGTCACAAAGGTCCGAGTCATGTTGAGCGGTGACAGGATCTTGCGCTGGATGTAATTTCCATAGGTCTCGTTCGAGACACGCTCAATAACCAGACCCAGAATGTCGTAGCTAACATCACTATATGCTGGTGTTGTGAAGGGTCCGTAAGTTGGAGACCGCTTGCCAAAATCGCTCCAGAAATCTGCTCATAACTTAGTTAGTCTGCAGTCTAGTATTGATATGGTTTGATTATACTGTACATACCATCCCAGATGCAAGGTCTCGATGAAGGTAGGTCACCGCAATTACTGTGCTCATCTGCGGTCAACTCCGGAAGACCATAGTCAGTACCATTGAAATATGGGTTGTTGCCAAAGTCATTGCCCACTAAGCGCATCTCGATTAGTATTTCAACCGCTGATACCATGAAGGATACTCACAATCATACGGAACTCCCGCAAATTGAGAAGCTAAAGCGTCAAGTGTGACACGGTCCCAATCGACTGCCGTAACTGCATTTTTGCGTCTCTCCCTTCAGTCGGGTAAGTTCAGGAACATACTTAGTAATAGGGTCTGCCATGCTAATTTTGTCGCCTAGCAGAAGCAGTCCCATCACGGTAAACACTTTTGAAACACTTCCGATTCTGAAGACAGTATCTCCACCGACCGTATGCGTGCCTGTAGTATTATACACCAAGGGAGTGTAAGACACGCCAAGGAGAGGCTCSTCTTCGTAGATAGATCCGATGGCAACTGATACACCTGTCGCATTCCCGAAGTTCTGAGCGATCACCCCTTGAAAATAATCGGCCTGAGAAACGAGAGCCTGGACATTAGGATTGGCAGATGGAGACTTTGGCGGAGGAAGGACTGCTCCAAGGGGAGGGCAGTTGCTGACTGCTGTGTCAAAGGTGACGATGTCTTCAGCGAGGCCATGTTGCGATAATACGAGGGCTAGAGTCAAGTTCTCAATAGGATGAAGCTTCATTCTGGATGATTATACTCTAATGAGGAAAGAAGAGGAGAGAGAAGCAGGACAGTCTGGTTGAACTTTTGAATGTATTTGCTCTTGGATTTTGGTGTGTACCCATTTATTTATATACTTATCTCCGGGGAGCTTCGAGATCTAAAACATCCAACCGGAGAAATGACCCTAACTCATCGACAGAATAAAGCAAAGTCAGCCGCGAATACTAGTCCATTGTGCTGTCTGCCAAGTTCTGCCCTGAGCTCGCCAAAAATGTCGGTATTCGTACGCCTTGTCCAACCAAAACAACACGAGTACTCTTGTATCCATAGGCTTATTACAAATTGGAGCCAAAATGATGATATGGAATTCATTCAGCGTTCAGTAGTTCTATAACTATAATATACCCTATAGTATAAGTGGCTATACTAACATAATTTATGCGGACCCCACGATATTCCCACGAATCTGTGATTGGCCAACGCGTAAAGATGCGCCACTTTAGGCACTTCCAAACGACAATCTGAACGCCCTCATCGCTCACCTGCAGATCGCTTCAGCCGCAAGTATGATAATTCTTCTCATTCGTCACTGCGTACCGCCGTGAAGAGGTTGCAAGCTGTCACTGGCTTTTGCGTAATCGGCCTGGGCATAGCTCCATTGCAGGACGTTTAAAACCACCAAGTAACCCTTCAACTCGATTTTCAATTTAGCTTTCCAGGCTTTCCAGGAGCGCACGGGCATGAAACATTGACAATATAAACATGCCAGACACAGCAAGCGGAAAGGTCAAAGCGAGCAGGGCAAGTGCCCCTAAGAGAAGAACCGGATGCGGGACTTGCAAGTGAGTTTGGACTTCATGTTTCACAAGATCTGCGAGCATTATCAATGTAGGATAACACTATTGAATGTTCTGACATTTGTGGACCCGCGTAGGATCCGGCACAAACGATGTGACGAAGCTAAGCCTATCTGCCAGAACTGCAGCAAGACTGGACGGGTTTGTGATGGATACATTGACGGCGTAACCGGGCAGCAGTATGGCGGCCATCCGACTCGTACTTCGAGGTCCGTTTCGCCTCTCCCTAGGTTCTCTTCGCCCGGTCTTTTTAACGACCAACAAGAAGCTCAGGGGTTCCGCTTCTTCATTGATGGAACTGGTCCCCAGCTCGGAGTAAGTATGGGAAATAAGAATTGGTCCACACCTCTGCTCCAGCTTGGGCAACAAAATTCGGCAATCCGTCATGCAGCTATTGCTGTGGGGATCATGAGCAAGAGATTCGAAGCCAATGAACTATCCGTAACAGCAGACGCACACGCAAAGGACCTCAGTAGCCTTGCATTGACACAGTACTCTAAGGCTATTGGTCAATTGCGGCTACTACTTGACACTAGTCCTGGCGACAAATCCGTCTTGCCCCATAATGCTCTCGCGTGTTGTATTCTGCTCATGTTGTTCGAGTTCCTGCAGGGTAATGCAGATGGGGTCCGACTCCATCTGGCTAATGCCGTGAAGCTCACGGGGCCCGCTCATACCAGCCCTCTGGGCCAGCATCTACTCTCCCTTTTGGTTTCCTTGGACATGGCCAGTGTTTTGTGGTTGAATCTAGACCGTGCCCATACCGATGCTTCGCTCCCATTCCCCCAGCTTCAGACTTGTGCAGTGCCCTTACAGCCGCATGCCAATCTGGAAACACTATGTTACGAACTTGCCGGTATTGGAAATGATATAATGGCCTTTAGCCACAACGTCGTACGCACACGACAACGAACACCAGGCTCTGGTCGTGAAGATTTGCTTCAGATCCAGAAAACTATTCAATCACAGTTAGATCTGTGGTATCAATCTTTTTCGAATACCCGGCCCACCGTCAATGATGTGATGGAGAGTCGTCATTTCTTGCTTCGGGCGAATTATCTATTTCTTACGTTGAAACTCGATATCATCAACATACACAACAGATCCTCTGCAGTCGCGGCTCGAAAGAAAGTCCCTCACGAATCGAGAAATTTGAAGCTTACTCAGTTCTCTGAAATCCTAGACTTGGCTGAAGCGGCTCTGGAGACTAAATATCCATCAACTCGCTACGATGCTTTTACCGGCGAGAAAGCGCTAGAGCCTACCGGCCTCTTACCGCTCTTTTCGTTTCGAACCAGCTTCATTTTGCCCATCTTTTTTGTCGCGCAGAATGGTCCTGATACGAATTTACGCTGGCGCGCTGTTAGGATACTATCTGAAAGACCTTGGCGTGAAGGGGCATGGGATTCAGCCGCTATGGCGGCGATTGCGGAACGTTCACTGAGGGCTCAAACTCCTATCGATCCTTAGTTTGCTGTGCATAGCCTACCTTCACGACACAGGAAGCTACCGAGCTCCATCCATCTATCACAGACCGGTGAAATGGTGGGTAGACTCTTTTCCCCGCAATCAGTCAACTCAAATTTCCCCAGATTCCCCACGATTTGATGTATTTGCTTCGTGGGGAAATACGTAGCGCTGTTTACTTATCATTCAAGCTACAAGCTTGATTGATTATGTTTTTCAATTGTACTAGAACTATTGGTCTTTCAGTCAGGATGTATGCCAGACTGTCAACGTGGTTTGCGACCATCGCCATTCTCGCGCAGATTGCAAATAGCCAAACAGTCATAATCACCAATGGCACCATTCACGGAGTAAACGACCCGGTAAAAAACGTACAGCGCTTTCTTGGTATTCCATACGCCCAGCCTCCAGTCAGAAATCTCCGGTTACAGCAATCAATTCCTCTCGACTCTTCGTTTGGCACCTTGAACGCGACTGCTTTTGGTCCGGCTTGCTACGGAAAAAATAATCCTAACCCTAGCGAAGATTGCCTCACGTTGAATATTTGGAGACCATCAAATGTTGCCAATGCGGCTAAAGACACTTTACTCCCTGTTTTAGTATGGTTCTATGGCGGTGGATTGTCTGCAGGGTACACTGTAAATTCACATCGTGAAGTGCGGACAAACAATTTTCTGATGTGAAGCACAATTTAGTCGGACCCGCGGTTCGAAGGCACGAATCTCATTCGAACATCGACCGAGATCGACAAGCCTATTCTTCTCGTTTCAGTGGTATGTCTTGCTTTTCTGGTCGGATGAAGAATTCCCTGATAAGCTTCTAGAACTACCGTCTCGGACCTCTTGGATTTCTCAACGGGAGGCAAATGTCAGACTTGGGACTACTCAACTTGGGTATGTTGGATCAGCGTCTGGCTCTGCACTGGATTCAGGAAAATATCAAGGCCTTTGGAGGTGACCCGAAGAAAGGTATGTTGGTAGAAGCGGATTAATATCAAAGATGACTAACAAAGATACAGTGACCCTTGCAGGAGAATCGTAAGTACCCTGAAAAACTTATGAGGGTTTTCAGAATGATACCTAATTATTAAATGACAGAGCCGGCGCTGTATCAATATACTCTCACATGATGGCCTACGGCGGCCGCGATGACGACCTCTTTCGAGGCGTCATTATGGAAAGTGGAGGAGCTTTCCCATTGACAGGACCAGACACATCTGCTTTCCAAGCGACGTTTGACTCTCTTATTCGCAACACAACCTGCAGCTCTGTAGCCAATGCATCCGCCGCTGCACAATTGGATTGTATTAGAGGCCTCCCGATTTCCGTGTTTATGAGCAGTGTTGGGTCTAGCACCGGACAGTCGATTGATGGGTCGTTCACGCAGACGTCCATACAGTTTGCCTTGTCTGCAGGCAAATATGTCAAGGTTGCGACTATTGTTGGATGTATGAAGCCCTTCACTTGAATGTATGATGGATTTCTGCTAATACGCAAGTGATGTAGCGAATACCGATGAGGGCACGACATCTGCACCAACGGCTATCAATACAACCGAGCAATTATGGGGGCCTGTGTGTATGTTTCTTTATACCATTCTATTGCTAATAGAAAAGGTTGCTGATAGCTTTGCAGCGCAAGGGTATTTCCGCCCGAAAACTCTCCCCAACTCAACCGTCGAAACACTCTTAAAGCTCTATCCCACCGATCCTAGACTGGGCTGTCCGTACAACACCGGCAACGTAAAGCTCACTTCCGGGTCTCTAGACAAGCAAGCATGCTCAATCTTTGGCGATATCGTGCAGGTAGGACCAGCACGGATGATTACACAGGAAATCGCTAAGCACAATGGCAATGTTCCCGTCTATCGGTATCGGTTTGACCAGCTGCCTCACAACACAAGTAGCTTGGCCAAGGGAATCACAACTGGGTTGGAACAGAATTACGTGTTTTCAAATCTTGTGGCCGATTTTCCCTGGGATCAGGCGCTGGCAAGAGAAATGACGAGTGCCTGGGTGTCTTTTGCGTATAGTCTCGATCCTAATCCCGGACAAGGTACGACCACTAGCAAGCCTAAATGAAGAATCTAATTGGAACTGACATATTTTAGATTCAACGCTGCCGTACTGGCCAGAGTATATGCATGGAGCACAAAGTATTGTGTTCAATGCGTTTGGCTCGACTATTGAGACGGACGATTATAGAAAGGAAGGGATTAATTACATTATCAAAAATGTCTTGCCGTATGGTGCGCAGTAGCAGTTAGTATGAAATTGTCGTGTCATGAGATCGAGTAGGGATTAGCTAGAATAATTACAATATGCTTTCTATGACGCCATACGCTCAACACGAAGCTGCAACTCCTTGACCAGGTCTATCCCAGCCTTCGTAGCCTCATCCAAATTCTCACTCGGTAACTCAAGATGATCATTCTGGACCCTCTCCGAGAAATCGCTAGCCTCACCCGGATAAAACGCCCTTGCGTATAGCAACTTGCCAAAGCCAGCCATGTTGCCCGCTTTAACTTGCGCTAGGCCATCCTCATATCGCTTCCTGGTGTCCTCATGAGTTATAGTCCAATCTGCATCAGTTGTACCAGTGACACGCTTAACGCTCTGAAACATGTCATTTTGGCTGACAACAAAGCTTTTGATGTACACTCCTTTGTTGAGGAAGGCCGAGAAGGTAAGGCTTTTATCATTCTCATCCTGAGGCAGCTCTTTCAGGCTCAGAACCTTAGCCACAGCCCGCCCAACCTGCGACAGCGTTGAAGTAGAGATCTTGGTATTGCCATCATCGTAAATCGTCAAGGAACGCTTGTCAAAGTCGAACCCAAAACGGGCCTCGCCGCCAGCTAAACTGTAGTCGTACCAAAACCCACAGCAGACTGTGATCCACTGCATACCTAGCCGCTCAATCTCATCCCTGTTGGCTTTGGCTACGGGCCCTAAGAGTGTGTCCTCGCCGAGTTTGACGTTATCAATATCGGAGCCGTACCCGTTAGGCATGATGTACGGGACACCAGCTTTAGCAGCCGCCTGGACGAGCTTGCTGTGCGTGTCCCGAGGTGCAGTAGGGGCCATGGTTATGATAAGAAATTGCTGGCCCACGAGGGCGGCAACAATGGTGGCCTCGTCCTCGTAGTCAATGTGAGCCACGATGATGCCCTCAGGCAAAGTGTTGCCGCTGTCTTTGCGGGAAAGGGCCGTGATTGTGTGTTTACCGGTTTCTAGAAGGGCATTGGCAATATGTGATCCAATTGTCCCTCCAGCCTATGCATTTCTGTTAGTGTTGAGATCTAAGTTTATGGTGGTCGATGATAATGCTTMCCCCGACTATAGCAACCCTTTCAATGGCGTTGTTGAAGCCGATAGGCTGATCTTTGGCGTACTTGGACATCTTGGTATAGTTGATTATCAGAAATGAAATGTGGGAAAATGAGGCGATGGGGGCGGGGAAGTGGTTATCGACTGTCTAATTCTCGCTGAAACAGAGAATTCAAGTCTATTTATACACATATTCCAGCATCTTGGGTCTACTATGAATTTCCGGATTTCTTTAAAAGAACGAAAGTGGGAAGTCAACAAGCCCGCAGCTGTCCGCCGCAGAAGCCGCCGGCGGTGATGTTTGATGAGGGCTTTTGTGCGGCGTTGGATCAGTAATCCCGCACTAGCCGCACGTAAAGCCGCACAAAACGCCTGGAATTTTTCAGGTACGGACTGTCGGCTTGTGCAGCTTCCGGAATTGTAAGCTGGGAATAACATATAGAATATAAGCCGAATGAGAATATCGATGATCAACAAGCCTGAGAGACTATAAATTAAAGTCCTGACCAAGGACCGATAGATATGGCTCAATAAAGATCTGGTCCCAGTCCATCCCCCAATCCACATCTGGAATGGAAATATTGGTCTCAGATGCCGAGTGCGTTGGAAAGAACTGGTAAGTACCCTCGATAGCTTCTAGCTGAGCAACTTCTTTACGTTTCTTGGCTATATTAAGACTGAGTAGATGCCGCGCCATCGACAATGCCTCGCGCGTCAGCACCGTATCGGCAGCTTTGACAACATTTTCCAAGCCCTTGAAGGTAGCTGCAATGTGAAGAGAGGCGGCTGGCGTGTCGATGGCTAACAGGATGCAGGCGTATTGAAAGACGCTGCCGATGACGTTCCAGAACAAGCGACCCTGTTCAGCTTGCTGCTCCGCTGCTTCTGTTGCGGCATTGCCGCTATGAACAATGAGCTTAATATATTCATCTGGTATGCAGGTTTTGAGCTGGTATAGGCGACGATAGAAACAGAACGCGATTTCTGCCTTGGTTACTACTAGGAACGGATGCGTGGTCTGAAACCCAGCCAATACCTTGAGACGTTGGAATAACTCCTCACTCGGGGTTGAAGACTGTCGTTCAAGTTGGAAAGGAGAGTTAGGTGACGGAATTAGCTGTACTAATTGGACGAATTGGTCGGCAACAGACCCTAATACCGAAATAATAGGCTGGCAAGTCACGGCTCGAAAGTGTACGGGCGAACGATCGTACTCATAGGACAGCATGTTGTGCCCAGCCCAGGAGACCCAAAAGATTCTTCTTAGCCGATCCGCATCATGTCCAAGGGCCGCAGCGCCGGCGATGGACGCCATTTTTTTTATATTCTCTTCCTCGTGCAGCCCTATTGCTTCACATAAGTGCATTTGTGTACACGAAGCAATCCAGGCATTGCTAGGGCGGGTTGTAGCTCTAAGGTATAACACTCGCATGCCCCAGGCGACAATATGGTCGATACCATGCAATCGCATAGAAGCCGGATCATCGAGAATAGCTTTGGCGTACTGTACCAGATCAGATTCCCGCGGGTGTCTGCTTGGGGATAAGAACGATCCGAGCGCAGCCACACCAGCAGCCATAGCGGCAAAGGCAATCGCGTTGCTACCACAGCTTCGGTAATATTCCCGACATCGTTGGGCATAGATTCTTGGGTCTATCACATCGCCGATGGGACCCAACAATGAAAAGTAAACTTCTGAGAAGGAGGCAAGGTCTTCTTCTGAGATGAGATCCCCCAGAAAGCAATGGGAGCTGGATGCCTCTTCAGGACGAATGCCAAAGTTGTAGGCAAAGGACCGCATTCTTGGAGGATCGTTGGAACCAAGAGCCTTACCCAATATGTGTGGGAATGCCATGGCTGCCGATGCCCCGGAATGTCTGAATTTCTGCTCATCAAAGATGCCTGGAGAGTCACCAGCCACGACGGCGGGATTATTTGTTAATAAGGCATCCCCATCACGGGCGATATGCCCCATGTGAGGCTCGTTCCCTGAACTGCGCGTCGTAGGGTGATTTTCACTATCGAGAATGACGCGCTTGGCTGCGCCACCACCCGTAGTATTAGGGCTGTCATCCTCAGCGTATCTGCAATTATATCCGTAAGTCGTACACAAGCCACAGGGATACGACGTGTCACATTTTCGCTTGCGCTGATGGCATGGGATACAAGCTTTTCTGGCGCGTTTCCGCTTGTGGATTAGGGTCGACATGATTGGCAATGATTATGAGCTTAAACCCAACTAGGTCTGAGTAGAGATGATACCCAGACCTACCATTTTGGAGATGGGTTGAAGAAATTATGATATCTGTATTTCATTATAATTCTTATCGAATGGGTAGATTCATGTCGAGCTGGACAGTGGAAGGTGGTGKCCTGTTCTAACTCGATGCGGCTAGCCACAATGATTAGGGTTACTTAGAATTATTTTGATACGTGAGAGGAAAAATGTATATCCTTTAGACAATTCTGATTTCTCACTTCGTAACGTCAATTTGTAAATTCGCCAAGCTTTAAGAGTTCATTCTTAGTCCGCATAGAACTTACGGACAGAAGTCTCTCCACACTTCATCAATTTCTCCGCAATCTTGAAAGCGAAATCGCGGTGGGGAAATTTGGAGCTCTTTACTTAGGCAGTCGTACACCCACACTCGACTACAGAGCTGTCATCTGTGCAGGAAGGAGGTGCATCACCGGTAGCGATCTAGGCTGTTACGATGCTTTCATTGGCTGTGCATTTAGAGATCTTAATCTGTAATGTGAATAAAGCAAATCGGCAGAGACGGGCGTCATTGTATTATACCATATCATTAGGCCTAGAAACGGATGTGTAGAGTGTAAAAATAGGGCGAATTATATAGTAACAATAGTCTGAAATCAATAAGCCATAAAAGTAAGAATTAGACAACAACATTGCGAACCTTTATATACCTTAAAACTTTTCAACCAGGCTAAAGCCCGGAAGACGTATCTAAACGCTTAAAAAAAAAACAAAAAAAACACATATATACAAGTATTTCATCCCAAAATGAGTTTCTCCAGCTTGTCCTTCTCGCCACTCTCCCCAACCATACCCCTGAAAATACCGTTCTGCAGTTGCATCAATTCTTTCGGAGTCCCGAACTCAGCGACTCTTCCATCGTCCATGACGAGAATTTTATCAAAATCACTGATCGTGCTCAAACGATGCGCAATGACGAGAAGGGTGCTGTCGCCGAACTCTTCGCGAATACTTCTCTGGATCAGTGCATCGGTCGCCATGTCAACTGCACTTGTGGCTTCGTCTAGAACCACGATCTTGGGACGGGAGACGATAGCTCGGGCGAGACAGAGAAGTTGTCTTTGACCCTGAGAGAGGTTTAGTCCTCCCTCGCTGACGGGTGAGTTAAGAGACGTAAAGGGATTGATGTTTTGATTTTCTGATGGGGTTACTGTTCCACTGTTGGCGCTTGATCCGGATAATTCGTTATTTGAAGTGCTCAGTTCAGATTCTGTAACGAGGTGCACGCGAACTAGTGCATCACGTAGTTCAGAGTCGGAGTGCTCATCGAACGCATCCAAATTTGATCTGACAGTTCCCGAAAACAAGACTGGGTCCTGAGGAATAATCGCTAGACGTGAACGGAGCGAATGCAGTTTGATCTTTGAAATGTCGAGACCGTCAATGTGGATACTTCCCTGGCTTGCTTCCAGAAAACGGAATAGTGCTAATGTGAGGGACGATTTCCCAGCTCCCGTACGACCAACAACGCCAATACGTTCACTGCGCTCGACGCGGAAAGTGAGACCCTTGAGAACAGGCGGGAGATCAGGTGCGTATGAGACAACAAGATCATTAACTTCGAGACGACCTTCACTTGGCCATGCAGCTGGTGGATCAGCCCCATCCTGGGACTCGGTCTTGAGATTGGAGTACTCCGTAATCCGTTCGACAGCGTTCATCTGCAACTCCAGATTTGCGTAATGTCTGATGATCCAAATGACGGTTTGTCCGTAATTCAGGGCAAAAGATAACGCAAATCCTGCTAGTGATGCATCCACAGTTGGTATGAGCAGAATGATGGCTGCAACGATCGTAGAGAACAAACTGCCAACTAATGCCATACGTAAACCCATCCATCGATTGAAAGCCCACAGGTGCCAGTAAGTGGTGCTGTAATCATCAAGCTTGGCAAACATGCGTTCAATGTATGTGTCGGTTTTGGAGAAGGCTCTTATAGTGCCGACACCGGTGAGCGCGGACCCAAATTGCTCGAATATTGGTGACTTGGCATTGGATTCGAGACGTTTTACCTCACGGGCGCCGTGGAGATAAATTTTCGCAATCCAAACACAAGCTAAAAGTAAGAAAGTTGCAAGCAAGATGACGTATGGTGAGACGAAGATGCTGCAAGAATAGAATTAGAATAATCAAAATATGACATGAATCAAGATCACTTACCCGGCAACAATAACACCGAAAAGTTGAAAGACATCGTGCAATTCACCTGAAAAGTCACGAGATAAACGAGCGTCGACGGTCTCAAAGTCTGCTGTGAATCGATTCAGAATTCTACCCAAAGGCACCGTGTCCACCCACCGCAACGGTGTTCGTAACACAGTGTAGCATAATTTGTTGAACAGAGTCCGAGATGCGCGAATCGAGCCGATGTAGATGTAGAAGTATCTGAATGTGCCCAAGATAGCCGCCACAACGGAGAGGATGATGTAGATTCCTAAGTAGAAGCCAAGGGAGTATCCGGGACCAGAGTCTGATAGCGAGCCAACACTGGGTGCCGATGTATTGTATGACATCAAAGGCGTCTGTGATTGGAGGAAATAGGTGACTGTCTGGCCCTTGGCTTCGGTACTAGCACTGCCAGTCCAGACTTTGAGCCACCAGGATCGACCTAAATTATCATCAGTCGTTGATGCATGTGGTTGGACGGGAGATAAATGACTAACCTGTTGTGATGCATTGCATAGTTAAAAATGCAATCAAAACGACAGTCCAATAAGGGAATCCACCACCGGCCTTGAGATATGCTTTATAAACAGCACCCTTGACTCGTCCGTGTTCTCTCGCCTCATCCTCTACGAACTTCTTCGGGGCTTGTTTAGAATTAACCTTCTTCAGCTGCTCCATCGCCTCGTTATCAGATGGTTCCTCGGAATTAACAGCCGTGGAATCTTCATCTTCTTGAATTTCGCGCTCGGTTTCTTGATGACTGACAATCCTATCCAGGGTACCGGCTTCTTCCAAATCATCGACCAATCCACAATTCTCGACTGTACCGTCGCCTAGTTCCACCACGTATTTAGTCTTTGACTTGACGAGAGCAACGTGGTGTGTAACTAAGATTCGGGTTCTGCCAACACCAAGTTCTCCAGTGAGACCTTTCTCAAAAAGGAATCGTCCGACGTGAGCATCAACGGCACTGAATATGTCATCCAAAATCAAAATACCAGCTCGGGAATACAGTGCTCTAGCAAAGGTGACTCTCCACCGTTGACCACCACTCAAGTTGATACCATTGGCGCCGATCTCAGTGTTCTCTCCATCAGTGAGCATATCTAGATCTTTCCGTAAAGCGCATACTTCAATGACCTTGTTATATCGTTGCTCATCAAAGGGGAGACCGAAGAGAATGTTGTCCTTGATACTAGCGTTCTCGATCCAGGGAATCTGCGCCACAAACGCAACAGAGGTAGGTAAAATCCAATTGTCTCTTGTAGCCAAATGATCATGTCGTTCCTGGGTAGTAGGTGGACGTGGAACACTGATCTTTCCGGAAAGGACGTCGACTTCGCCGAGGATTGCCGCTAGCAGGAGACTTTTACCCGTTCCTGTCTTGCCACTCACAACACTGAGCTCCCCTTGAGGAAATGACAGATCCAGATTCCTTAGGACATATCTCTGGTCATCGGCTTCCTTCTTTTCATCTGACGGCCAAGCAATGGATGCGTTATCGAACGAGATATCGGGTGTATCGATACTGTTTTTGGAAATTTCTGGCGATTCAAGGTATCTCTCGATTCGGCTGATGGAGATGTACGCATCGATAAGGTCTGTCGTCAGTTCTGGGATGACGGACAGAGTTACTTCGAGGTTGGCAAAGATGCCAATCGCGGTGAATGCTATAGATGGGGTCAGACTGCCGTGTATCACGGCGTAGGTAGCGAGCGAGGCTGCGGAAAGCAGGATTGGGCTCGAAATCCAGCAGCTGTTATAACTTAGTGATAGGTTCAACCGGAAATGTAAAGTGCGACTTACAAGAGTAGGACTGTATCAGCACTGTATCATGTTAGCGATGCACTGCGAAATTTATCTTTGGATATGAACTTACAGGAACACACTCCATTGCTCGTCTAGTTCTTTTCCGCGGAACTTCCCTATCTTTTGATACCAATTTGTTTCCAGAGCCGAAAATTTGATTTGGCGGATTCCTAAGATGAGTCAGCTTTGCACGTTAGAAAGATTTACCACATATCTCACCTTGCAGAGCTTCGGTAACCACAGCCATCTTGGCATCTCTTGCTTTCATAAGTCTGTCCTGAGCATCCGAGTACCGCTTGCTGGAGTAGATATTGATTGGTATGGTAAGAGCCATCGCAAGAAAGCCTGCCAACAAGGACTCCCATCCGATGATGGACCACAGGAAAACAAACGACACGATCAGCTCAAAGAAGCTTCCTGGGAAAATGTTGTTGAAAGAGCAAAACTCTGAGACTCGTTTTGTATCGACTCCGATGAGGTTGACTGTTGACTGTTTGCTCTTTGGGTCGCTCTCTTCATCTTCCTCGTCATCTTCTGGCAATGTCTCTGCCGCGTTTTCCACATTGCCCTTGATAGCATCTTTTGAAGCGCCTTTAACGTCCTTGCGTCTCATGGCTTTCTGAAAGATGAGCGCTGAGAGCTGAGCGCGGACTGGAATGGCAAGCTCAGACCAACATATCCAATACAACCAGGACTCAACCCAGGAGCTGCCGATACTAGTGATTGTAAGCACAATAACCCATATCCATGCTTCGGGGGGAGCTCTTTGTCCGACTGCGTTATCTTCCAGCATTTTCAGGATGAAATACGTGGCAAGCTGAGGTGCGAAAGTGCCGATTGATTGACCGAATGTAAGAATCCACTGGACAGTCAAAGCTCGCTTGTGTGCGAGAGCAACTTCAACCCAGAGCTTTCTCGAGTGTTTTTTATTTGCCCAGGAATCACTGAGATCCTTTGCGCGGGCGTTATGGCTCATCTTCGGCAGGTCCTTGAGATCCAAATGTCTCCTCTTCCTGGCAATCATGAGTATGGGCTCGATCCAAGCGAATGTGAATTTTTCCAGGGCTGATTGGGTATCCATGTTGTCGACCACATGGTTTTTATAGAAAACCTCTGGTCTCCGAGGCAAGGATACACCAGCCAGTGCTGATAGAAGCGATGCGACTACCTGCGCGGAGTAGATGTAAAGATGCACGGTATACATCCATCGTGTGTTTTTGCCGGATTTGTTTTGTATCAGCATCGAAGTCTGGAAGAAGAGGACCGCAAACAAGAATATGCTCGAAAGTGCACTATATAATCCAAGTGAGAATAATTTCGAGTGATCCCTAACAATGCTGATTGAAACTGTCTGGATGAGAATAATAGTCTAAATGTACAGTATTAGCGTCAAATGGACCGTTTTTTTTTTTGTCTAGTGTTTATTTACCCATTGAGCGAAATTGAGCCAGTTATGAATGAAAAGACCATTCTCATTTTGATTTAAAGTAGTTATAACAGCTAAAGACGTAGCGATCGCAAAGCCAGCAATTGTGAAGATGGTCAGCACGATTTTTGGAGTCGTGGCTGAATACGCAGCCATTGACTCCTCGGTTGCGACCCCATCCTTGTCTTCGTAGAGTCTCGGCTTCGATTTTTTGTGCCGAAAATGGGACTGTATAGCAAGCACCGAGGGCACGGTGAGGAAGGAAATTAAGACCAGGACGGTGACATTTGCAGAAAAAGCTCGCGCCTTCTGATCTGCAACTTGTGTCCCGAACTGACTGTAATCAGAGGGCGACATTGCCGGTGAAAGCACTCGTTCTTGAGATTGAGAGGAATACTTTCCAGAACACAACTTCTATCGAGGAGAGCGTTATGTGCCATTAGTTTAAAAAGGTCGAGCCCCGTGAGTCAGACCCGCAATGGAAGCCTTGGACTATACTTAGAGAGGTTACAGCGTCGGCATGGCTTGTAGCAGCGTTGCAAATGAATCGATGTGACTAAGAGTTAGTCACGAAATTCTGCAAGCAGATCGTCTAATCGCCCCGCTCCAACCTTGCCGCACTGACCGCGATTTGTTGATGCGAACTACTTTAACATCATGTTGGCATCACTGCTTTTTCGAGTCGTTTTGTGGATCTAGTCTATGAGTCACTAACAACCTTGGAAGGGGTGTATATTCTCGCTTTTCTCCCACTTGAACACCCCAAGTACACGCAGAATTCTCGACTTTTGTTTCTTTGTCGAGTCCGTTATCTACTGGGCCCACCCAAAAAAGATAAGACGTCGGGAACCATTCCGGGAATAGCGTCACAACCATCCTCGTACACGGTTCGCGAGCTATTGATCTGTCTTGACACTCCAGCGATATGCCAAATGTAGTATTATCACTTGTCCGCCGATTCGTCTAGCTCTGCACTCCATACACCTCCCTCGCCATAGGCTAGTGATCTGCACAATCTAGTATGTATGCCTACATACATAGTAGAATCACTCCCTGTTATGGATCGTCAGAATGGTCGGTGAGTCATAGAATCAATTCGCTTCGGCAGGATGATAGAAAGGTTTCTACATTGAGCCCGATCTACTTTCCGTGCCTTAGGCACCCACCCGAGCAACGCAAAATTGAATCCTGCACATCTAAATCTTGATATCTGTCCGGCTTTTGATTACAACGCAAGATAACTCTGTTCAAAGTACAGTCACATGTTTGGCAACCGGCAAGGTGTAAAGGTATATATATTTATATATACAGTCGTGGTACATGTAGGTAAGGTTTAACCATGATTCCGAGCCGTGGATCTATGGAATAAGCTTATCTTGCAATGCCCAGCCTCCTGCTATTGCGTAGCATAAAAAGCACCAGAGAATACGTACTTATTATTTGATGATTATGAAATTATGAGCTGGCTATTTATAACTACTGGATCTCCTAACTAAAGACAGAACGCGGGACCAGAGGTCTAGCACTACACACATAATGAGCACATGTTCAAGACCCAGACTTTTAGTCAACCCCCACCTCGAGGATCCTTAATAGTTCGACAAATCCTGAAGATCATAACTTTCAGTCTCATTCCACCCTGCCTTTTCAGCGCCTCCCTCAGTGAAGAATTTGCTCGCCGTTTTGTTGTCCTTGAAAATCCATGTCAACCAATTGACAGCTGCAACGCCAAAGGCGCCGCCATTGACCTCGGAATATGTGCCACTATGTCCGACAGGGTAGTTGCCAATCCACTTGGGCACGCCGGTGAGGTTGTGGTAGTCCGCCTCGCCCTAGGATTGTTAGCTTCATGGGGATTAATCAGTGCAATTTGAACGTACCTGTGGGTATGCAACGTCTGTGGGACCCCCTAAGAAATAAAATACAGGCTTGTGCACTTGCGTAATAGTACTAGGAGGTTCAACGACAATGTTGGTAGGAAGGGCGCCGGCGGGGACGTTCGATAAGAAGCCCGAGTTGAAGATGCCCAGATACGAAACGCGCGAGTCATTGCGCATCGTATACGCCTCAAGACCACCGCAACTCTGACCGGCAGCTGCAATCTTGCTTGCATCCACATTTTTATACTTACCGCAAGTACCGGCTTTGGCACTAATCCACAGAACCGAGTCTCGTAAGTACTGAGGATTCTCAACGTCAGAGCCACCACCGTTGATTGGACCATTGGCTACCACAACGAAGCCGTAGGAGGCGATATTGCTCAGGAAGTTGGCAAATTGCGTTCCATTGTTATCGCAACCTCCTTCAGCCCACACAAGTACAGGTAGTGATAGGTCTCTTGCTGGATTTTTGGGCATATAGATTGTGTGGTTTTCAAGAGTGGGCTCGGAAAAGTAGTACTACGGAGGTCAGCCCCGACAACAAATGTAAGTCCGCTCTTAAATTTGGAAACCTACTGCTGGATAGGGGCCGCTGCCCTCTCCATCATGAGAATTGCTGGCAGTGGGTATAGCCGATACAATCGGCCAGACTACGAGGCCAGCGGACACAACGTTGAACCACTTCATCTTGTTAGGCACTATGACCGAGAAAACAACCTGTTTCTTTACAATCTCATTTCGTTCTTGAAACATGTTTCTTCTTATAGAATCAGCATTTATTTGACAGCTGCCGACTTTGTTTACCGGTTCTCAAATCCTACCCCAGATTGCCCATGCATCATCCCCAGATTCCCCACGTTTCCCCATGATCTTCATTCCCCGTTGATATTTCCCCACTAGAATTGCGGTGGATGAGCATCACTATTCCTCATTTAATTCTTGGTTGGAATTCAGGATCATTATTGAGACTTATACAATGCTTGTGCTCCGTGTGCTGGACAAAGTACTCGACTTAAGTCCGGCTCAGGTATCTCGGCGAATGGCCCACAAGAAGCTCTCGTGGGGTCATTCGCCAGTCTTTGATTGCATTGTATCACAGACATGTAATATGGATGCCTTCTGAGAATAATGACCTTGTTAATGACCTTGTTGTTGACTCCCGAGGTCGCTGCATAAAAGCCTTGTTGGGCCTCATGGCTAGGCACAACGTAAGACTCAAATATCCACCAGATGATTGTTCAGGAATTGAGTCTGCCCATCCATGATGGGCAGAAGTCTAGATTATGTGCAACATAGCAAATCTATGAAAATGTTTCAAAAGACAACCGCACTTTAAAGCTGAGTATCAAATTTGGTTATGATGCGTGCAAGGGAGCTGCGTCGCTTACGCCGCGAGGATCTTTGTGCGAACAACTTTCGCTCAGTTTCCAAAGATTATTGTGGCTCTAGTATCGAAATTGATAAATGCCAGATACGACCTTAGAAGTTTTTAAGATCGAAGGAAGGATGAAAAGGTCAGAGTCCATCGGACAATTATGTACCTACAGTATCTTATCTTGTCCGACGCTTATCTTATCGCGTTAACTGGGCCAGTCAACCCCTCTTTCAACACATACTAGATGTCTTCTTTCTGATTCCACCCTACCTAGTAAATAAATGATTCTGTGCTCAATTTAGGCGAACGAAAAAGTCAATTATACTCGCAATGGCATCAAACAACATCGTGGTCCTCGGGTATGTTCTCCAACAATTGACACGTCTCATGATGCACTTCAGTAATCGGTGCAATCACTAACGCTCTCCCGTCACTGTAGTGCAGGAGTCATCGGCCTCACCACAGCAATGCTACTTTCGCAAGACTCCAATAATAAGATCACAGTCGCCGCAAAGCATATGCCTGGAGACTACGATATTGAGTACACTTCACCATGGGCTGGTGCCAATTATCTCCCGTATGTCGCTCACCTCGTCTAGCAATATGAGAACCTTTTCGTTGACATAGACACATTCAGGGTCGGGCAGGAAGACCACAAGATTGGACAATGGGAAAAGGCGACATGGCCGCACCTTCAAGAATTGGCTCAAAATTGCCCAGAGGCGGGGATTCATTTCCAGGGTAACTTTGCCGGGCTCTATCGTCGTGCACTCATGGCTTACTCTGAAACACAGATACGATTTGCTACAATCGCAAGAAAGACCAAGATTCAACAACGGGCAAATGGTTCGCAGAACTAATTAAGCCGAATCCATGGTACAACAAAGTCGTTCCTAACGTAAGTGTCTCCAAAGGATGTCCCCCAATTTGACTGATAGCTCACATAATGCCAGTATCGTGAAATACCTGCAAACGAGCTCGCAGACGGCATCGACAACGCCAACAGCTTCACTTCCGTCTGCATCAACACAGCCCTCTACCTACCCTGGCTCGTTGGACAGTGCCGGAAGAATGGAGTCATATTCAAACGAGCGATCGTTGGCCACATCTCTGAGGCAGCGGCTCTTCATCATTCCAAGAAGAAGGCAGACATTGTCGTTAATTGTACGGGTTTATCTTCTCGTACTTTGGGTGGCGTCAAGGATACTACTCTGCTACCAGCCAGAGGCCAGATTGTCCTCGTGCGAAATGATCCGGGGTTGATGGCTACTATCTCTGGGACTGATGATGGAGAGGATGAGGCTACGTATATCATGACCCGGGCTGTTGGTACGTTTCCCGTTCCCTTCTATTGATTGCACTTTCAGTTCTTCAATCACTGACGGGATATATGCAACAGGAGGGGGCACAATCCTTGGCGGATCCTATCAAAAGAATAACTGGGATCCGAACCCAGACCCAAATCTAGCCATTCGAATCATGAAACGATGCATCGAGCTCTGTCCAAGTCTGGTAGGTGTAGGGCAAGGAATCGAAGGATTGAGCATCATTCGACACGGCGTTGGGCTTCGACCACTGCGCGAGGATGGCCCGCGGATCGAAAGGGAAAAATTCCAGGATTTTTGGGTTGTGCATAACTATGGACATGCGGGATACGGGTATCAGACTTCGTTTGGTAGTGCGACAGAGGCAGTTGAGTTGGTGAAGCAGGCTTTGCAAAATGGAAAGAGGGCGAAGCTGTAATAGGGATCTATATATATGTGAAGTATGTATGTCGAGTCAATTAAGGGAAATATTCTAGAAGTTGTCTAGAATTTCTAGAATCTCGCACCGATCGTTTGCGGCATGGATCGATAGTATCATCACGACGTCATACCATTGAACCTCAAATGTCATGTGATCGTGTCTAACAGACATAATCCAGTCCGAACACAATAATTTATAATTGTAAGATATAATAACTATTGATAGTATTAAACTACGTGCAAAATGGTCCAAACACGTTCCGGTCAAGCCTCGACGGGTAGTGAATCCAAACCACAGGCTAAACACTCCAAAGCGGCCAAGGAAGCTGCTACCGATGATGTGAAGAAAGGAGATGAAAAGAAACCAGTGGATGAAGTAAAAGCGAAAGTAGACCCTGAAACAGTGCTTGAAAAGCGCAAGAGAGACGACGAACCAGGAGAAGATGTCACTCAAGACCAAGAACCGCCGTCCAAGGAAGAGCAGCCTCCTCCTAGCAAGGCCGTAAAAGAAAACGAAGAAGAGACAGCTGGTACCACAACTGAGAACAATGGACACGAAGAAAATGAGGGGGAAATTTCATCTACCATTGCACACAAAATCCACAAAACGATTGATAAATACGGTACTCAGCCCTTGGAAGGACTCGGAGTCGACAAGCCATTGGAGCCCACTCCAGAAATTCTACTAGCCATCGTCATTGACTCGATGTTTAAATCAACTCGAATCTCGCACCTCCTCGCGCAAAAGGCTTCGATTGCTGTTTTCAAAGCTGGCTATCACGACATCAATGTTTTGAGCAACACGACGTGGGACGAGAGGGTTCAAGTATTATCTGATGGCGGTTATAACCGGTATCGAGAGACGACTGCCACCAAGCTTGGGGACTTGGCACAGTTGGTGAACGAGAAATACAGTTCGTTGCATACCTGATATCAAATAAATAAACAAGTCATCTAACAACTATTCCAGATGGTGACCTCAACAACCTTTTGAGAAAAGCAGGAGATGATCCATCCCAGGTCCGGCATTTGATCCGAGAAATCAAAGGATTTGGAGATGTAGCTACAGATCTCTTCTGTGATGATGCGCAGGCAGTCTGGCATGTTCTGGCGCCGACAATTGATCATCGCAGTCTCGACACTGCCAAAGAAGTCGGCATTGGGACAGATATTGAAGCTATATATGCCGCATTACATCACGACCCTGTAAAAATGAGCAAGCTTGCAAGAGGTCTTTCCGCGGTGAGGTTGTCGAAGCATCAGGAGGATATTGAAAACGAGGAGTAACACTCTATCAAAGCAACTTGCTCATTGAAGAGATTTCTGTAGGAAGTCGGGGAAAGATGTTAAAGGTTGCCTCGATCAATGGACTGGGCTCAGTCTGTGAAGCTTCCATTTCGACTGCTATATGAAGCACGAATTAGTTTAATTGACAATACCACGAGATGGAATGGAGGAAAGTTGAAGTTTGAAAATTACCCAGGTAGACTTTGATAAAAGGCAACAGAAGCAAGGCATGGGCCGTTTCTAGTGCGTTGTTGTTAGTTGACGATTTCCACGAATAATGTCAAGACCTACACTGCCCTCCCTCTACACACTACGCATAGCTATATAGAAATTGTGGGGATCATAGCCTGATATTCTTAGCCTCAAAGACCGCAGTTGATGGGAAATATAGACAGTTCTGATCAAATTTGTTTGTATGTATATTTGATCATGTAGATTATGGCATTGATAGAAGATAAATAGATATGATTACATGAATTTGTGTCGCCCAGTCGAAAAGACTTCATGTTCGTACTGTATGTGCAGTGTCTTTACGAAAATCGAACTCTAGAAAACTGCTAAGAAATTTACCCAACGACTTCCTGAAACCTCTCGGCAACATCCTCTTTTATCATTGTCCAGCTATTCTCGACCAAGGAACGGTAGGAGCCTCGGGCATTTTCGCCTAGAAGCAACCGGCGCAGACGTCGTTGGCATAAGAAGCACCAACGGAGCCGAAGCATGCAAGATCAGCCAAGGGGTCTTTTTTTTGAAAGTCTCCATGTTAGCAATTGTTGGATATTTTCTGATCCCAGGGAATCAACATACCAAGACCGACCTCAGCAGCGGCAGCACCGCAAGCAGCAGTGTCAGCAGCAAGAGAAGCCACACATTCTTTCCAGTCTAGTCAGTATCTCTCTACTTCGAAGTCACATACGTGGGTACGGTTGAGTACTTACTGACGGTCTGACAACCAGAATCCTCAAGAGTACTAAGGTCAGATTGGTATTCCTCAGTGGAAGCAGTAGCAGCAAAGGCTCCAGAGACGAAGAGAGTAAGAGCGACAAAAGTGAACTGCATTTTGATGGTTTGGTTGAGTTCTTATGACTGGAGAATGATTTTGAATGAATTGGACTGATGATTTGGTTGTTTGATTGATCATATAAATGCCTGACAATAGAGAAGAAAGACCGAGGACAGAGGACATGATGGTGGGTTTATATAGATGACTCTGTGATCAAATCTGGCATTATTGAACAGCCAAATTCGTTGATATGACGTTTGAGAAAGCAGAGAAGTGTCAGCAATGAGGCATTTGAGTGCCCCATCCATGATCCTGATGGTGATCCTTTCCTAGACTTTTCAAGGATGAGACTTTACGATCAAGTCGCGCAACATCATAGGTTAATGTCTTCGTTATGGATCTTTGCAGTTTGCTTCGTCACAAGTCAGCTCACATTTTGTTACGTACCCTTCCATGCCATATGTTGATCCTGGTGTCTTTGCTTCGTCAATGAGACCCATCAAATTGAGAAGTCCGCCCCTGCTATGATGCTATATCAAGTTTTCGAGGATAAAGGAGCCCTTGCCCGCAAATATCAGATTCATCTGGCCCCGGATTGGCAGATTCAACCTCTTTTCTCGGAATGATAGTTCCTTTGATGTAACCATAAATCCTTTCAAACTATCCGCTGAGATTAAGAACGTCAACGTCTCGGATTCTGGAAGATTTTGGACCCCAGCCCTTGTGGATTTGATTCTGTGGGGTAGATAAACGGTGATATCAACGGAGAAGATCTATGAGGATCACAGCTCTGATACTCGTCATCTGAACTTACATCTTGTGAGATCGCATAGGGTCCTTAATATTGATATGAGTATGATACAGTCATATGGAGCCAATGCTGGCACGCTGCTAATAAATCTGATTATATACATACCTAGGTATAAGAGAAGATTTATGGCCTGGGGAAGGGCTCCCAGCGATCGTCATGGATCCCTAAAGTTTAAGCTCCTCATACACTAAAAACATAGTTTAGTTTAGATCGAGCTATAACTATTCGAGTAATGTAGTTGCGACAGGCCCCCATCACTGGCAGCGCTCAGTAGCAACGTAATTGTAAGCCGCTCCTTTGGCATAATTGTACACATTGTATCAAAAAGGTCTAATGACTGGCCATGTACATCAATCCTCTCCATATTCCTACAGTCATGTTAAAGATTGCCCAGGCACACAAGCAACATATAAGATATTATCAACTAAAACTATAAAACTGGTCCTCATAAAAGAATCATATCATACAATGAGCTCATTCTGTCCCAAGCTAAGAAAAACAAATAACCTTTTACAATGTTTCTTCTCCCGGGTCCTCTTTATCTTCAACAACAGCTGCTCGCAAGCCATACGCAGGTTCATACAGTACTTTGCACTTCCAGAGTAACAACAGAAAGTCTTTTCTCTTTCCTCTGGCTGATCTTCCAGTAAAATCATGGATTATTCGACTCTGTGACAACATCCCATACAATCGTGAGTTTTTAATAGGTTGCGCGGAGTGTTTCCGTTGTACCAGTACCTGTGCTTATCGCGGATCTGTGGGGGCCAAGAGGGGGGTCTCCCCGCAAGGGCGGGATTACCCAGTTTAACCGCGATACACCGAGGGCCGAGAACGAACTATCCGAACAACGCATCCATATCATTGTGACCTTGACTGGAGCTTTTCAGGATTTCTTGACTTCATTTCCCGAAGTTGTGTCACACAGTGTGAGTGCAACAAGAATGGCCGCTCTAGTAGATACACCCCGCAAGCTCTGGGAGCATCCCAGCCCCCAATCAACTCGAATGGGAATCTTCAAATCCAAGCTCGAAAAGTCCAAGGGTGTCAAATTTGCTGTATGGCCGCCCCGCCAATGCGATCGCTGACAGAACTAATGGTTTTTTAGAACTACGATGCTCTCTATCAATGGTCGATTCAGAATCGCTCTGAATTCTGGAGCAACATCTGGGAAGAACTTCCTCTGATTCACGAAGGACAGTATACAAGTATTATTGATGAATCAACGCCCATTCAAAATAATCCAGACTGGTTCCCAGGTGTACGGATAAACTTTGCGGAGAATGTCTTGTTCAGCACACCAAGCTACGCAGATGCTAAGGCTGGCGTGCGCTCCATAGTCGGAAAGGAGGATTCCAAGATTGCCGTGCACGAGGCTGTCGAGAGCAACCTCCAACCAGCTAAAGATTATACATGGGGTGAACTCAGACGACAAGTTGGACTTTATACACAGGCACTCAAAGCCGCGGGAGTCAAACGTGGGGATCGAGTTGCCGTTGTGACTGGTAATAGCATCAATTGTTTGCTCATTTTTCTTGCGACGACTGCTCTGGGAGCTTTGGTATCGACTACTTCGTCAGATACGGGCACAAAAGGTATATTAGATCGTTTGACGCAGATTAAACCAATTCTAGTCTTCATGGACGATGCAGCCGTCTACAAGGGCGAGATAGTGGATCTGCGTGGCAAAATGACCGAGGTCGTAAATGGGATTCGTGGGACATCGGAATTCAAGGGAGCTATTTCAATACCCAGATTACGAGGTCAGCCCAGAGACATCAACGCTGTGCCACGTACCCAGGCCTTGGAAAATTTCCTGTCTAAAGCACCTTCCGACAACTTGGAGTTTGTTCGTGTAGGGTTCCGTGACCCGTTCTTGATTGTGTACTCCTCCGGCACTACTGGTCAACCCAAATGTATTGTTCACTCGACCGGAGGGGTGTTGATCAACATAGTCAAAGAGGCAATACTGCATCGAGACATGAACGCGAATAGCGTAATGCTGCAATATACAACAACCGGATGGATCATGTATCTGACTTCAGTGGCTTCTCTACTCACGGGATCGAAGATCGTCTTATATGATGGAAGTCCTTTCGCCCCAGATGCCGGATTTCTCGTCCGTCTTGCTGGAGAGCAAAGGTGAACACATTCCAGTGAACTCTCCGACAAAGCTTACTGACATTTCAATAGGGTAACACACTTTGGCATCTCGCCTCGCTATCTCCAAGAACTGCGCAAACAAAATATCCAGCCACGCAAAATCGCCGACTTGAGCAACCTATATATCGTTTCGAGTACCGGTATGGTTCTAGCTGATTCACTATTTGAGTGGTTCTACGACGAAGGGTTCCCAGCTCACGTACATCTCGGAAATATTTCTGGAGGAACTGACATTGCAGCTTGTTTTGCTATGGATAACCCTATTAGCCCGTTGTATGTAGGAGGATGCCAGGGCGGTGGATTGGGCGTTCCCATTGCAGTTTATGGTCAAGTGGATGAAGGCTTGGAAGGTGTCGATGGCAAAGCTCTACCCGACGGTGAGTCTGGTGAATTGGTTGCTACGGCTGCATTCCCCAGTACTCCTGTGACTTTTTGGGGTGAGGATGGGCCGAAGAAGTACTTTAACGCATATTATGCCAGATTCAACAGTAAGTTGCACCTCAATCTTGTTAATCGGGTCGCTAATCTTTGTAACAGATGTTTGGACACACGGAGATTTCATCACCATTCACCCCGTCACCAAACAAGTCATATTCTCCGGCCGGTCAGACGGTGTCCTCAACCCATCCGGAATTCGCTTTGGCTCCGCAGAGATATACAATGTCCTCGAGACACAATTTACGTCTGATATTCTGGAGTCCGTCTGCGTGGGACAGCGACGACCACAAGACCTCGACGAATCGGTCTTCCTCTTCGTCCAGATGCAACCAAACCGAATTTTCACCGAGGCTCTGGTGCAGCGAATTCGAGACGCAATTCGTAAATCGCTTAGTCCGCGACATGTGCCCAAGTATATCTTTGAGACGCCTGGAATTCCGGTACGTTCCCTCCTTGTCTTACAACGTAATCAGTTGCTAACATGCGCAGGCGACTATCACCGGTAAAAAAGTCGAACTTCCAGTCAAACACATCATATCTGGAAAACGGATCAAACCATCAGGTACACTGGCTAATCCTCAGAGTCTGGATTTCTACTACCAATTCGCTGAAGTAGAGAAGTTGGGCAAGGTGCGCGCCAAGTTGTAATCGGATTGCAAGAGTCGGTTGGGTATATCTAGGCGCATAGCCATGTATTTACAATAGAAAGGCAATAAACATGTTCTATGAATAGCAACTCCGATCAGTCCCACTTCAACATCATTCCCAACGAATGTGGCGCCGTATACACAAACCCATTTCTCTCATACAACTTCCTCCCCGGCTCATCAGCGAGCAGATTCACATAGGGCTTTGGACCGCCCGACTTCAGTACACCCGCCACCACAGGCGACGATCTGATTTTCTCTATAAGCGCTTTGAGTACGTAATCTCCTAGCCCCTTTCGCTGATGGGATGGGGAAACAGCCATGTCGGCGATGACAAAGTACCAGCCTCCGTCACCGATTATGCGACCCATAGCGACGATTTCGGTCTGTTTTTCTGATGCATTTTCGTTTTGTTGGTCGGTTGATGTTGTTGGAGGAGGAGTGTAACTAATCATATAGCCATGCCAGCTTCCGCTCGACACGGCTTGGGCTTGCTCAAGACTGCGAACTGATAATCCTGCGTTTTTGCGTAGATTGCAATACGTCTCGGCGGGGGGGKAGCCTTCATGCAGACTGTAGCCGGGAGGGAGTTGTCGTGCCATTTTTACCCCCTTCTATTTGCTTTGATTCGTACCGTTTTCAAACTGGAAAGAATGGATTTTTTGACCGCTGCTTTGGTGGAAAGAGTCATATGCAAAAAATGTCGACGCTTTATACATCCACTAGCCTAGAATCTAGTGACTACTCCGTGAGTCCGTAGCGTCGGAATACCCAGGACATTCCGACGAGAGCGGAATGGATCTATACAAGGTTCTATTGGCCTCTGTTATGATGTGATCTAATCTTCTGATAGTGACATTTCATTCAGATGGCGATAGAGTCAATTGTCACTTTTGATTCCTTTCTAAAATGAGCTATTGTGTCTCTGATTCAGGACACGTGCAACTACAAACCCTAATATGATCGATCCCTCACGCCACCCACAGGCTGTTATCATATCCAAATCAATATGACAAGTCTGATATTATGACTCATTTTGTATATCAGCACGAAGCTATCCCTCTTTTGACCCCCGACTTTAAGCACGATTTAGCGCTCGACTCCGCATTGTTATTAAGCAAGTCGGAGTTCGGCGTGCCAAAAGTGGAGATGAAAATTGTCGACCGCAACTTTTTTTATAAGCGAGTGGATCTAGACTTTCTAGACTTCCTTCTTATCTTCCAAATGTTCCTCTCTATGTCTTGTTCAATTTGACGATTGAGTGTTTATATGGTATGCTTGGATTAGTGTGCTTCATTTCTAAAGGTATTTTGCCCACGGTCAGATAAAAGTGCGCAGTGTGGCTTGTGAGTAGCCAAAACTCAATCTTACGAGATCTTGCTGGAAGTTTATTCCAGAATAAGAACGAAACTCTAGAAAAGGGCTTAAACTGCTCTCAAAAAAGAGGTTGAGGACTCAAGATGGCCTCATCCGAATCACCTCAAAATGAGTCATCCGCAAAGCGAGACACCACCATCACCATGGATGAATCATCACCACCAAGTCAGCTACAAAAGACAGCCTCCAACAGACTCGACACACCAAACATAACAATGGACGACATCCAACTCGCCCATCTAACCTCTACTGTCTCCGGCGCCGCCGCCGCAGCAGCAGCAACCACCACACAAGAAGCATACCAACCCGCACCCTCAGACGACAATAACGACCCCGAAACCGACACAACACCCAAAGCCCGCCTCCAAATCGCGGCTACTCTCCTCGCCCTGGGTCTAGCCCTCTTCGTTGCAGCCCTAGACCAAACCATCGTAGCCACGATCATCCCCACGGTTGTCGCAGACCTACACTCTGCAGCAGGCTACGTCTGGATCGGGGGCGCCTACCTCCTCGCCAACGCCGCCGCGGCAAACATATGGGCCAATCTATCCGATATCTGGGGCCGAAAACTCATGTTGCTTACCGCCACAGCCGTGTTTCTGGGCTCGTCAATCATTTGCGCCGAGTCCGTGGATATGACCATGATGATCGTCGGACGCTCAATCCAGGGTATCGCGGGCGCCGGGCTAATGCAGATGGTCACCATCACCGTCTCAGATCTGTTCAGCGTCCGACATCGAAGTCTCTACTTTGGCATACTGGAATGTATCTGGGCCATTGCGGGCGCCGTGGGACCGTTGATGGGCGGCGCGTTCACGGAAACCATTTCCTGGCGCTGGGTGTACTGGATCAATTTGCCCGTCAGCGGCACGGCGTTTGTGTTGTTATTTTTCTTTCTGGATGTGCATAATCCGCGCACACCGTTCTGGGACGGGATCAAGGCTGTGGATTGGTTTGGCAGTTTATCAATCCTTGCACTAACGCTCATGCTGTTGTTGGGGCTGAACTTTGGCGGTGATGCATTCGCCTGGAACTCGCCGCAGGTTATCTGTCTAATCGTTTTTGGGTGCTTAATGTCTCTCGTATTCATCTACTGCGAGAAACGACTCGCTAAATACCCACTTATGCCTATGAACATATTCCGCGAAAAGTCGAATATTGCCTGTTTCGTGGTGACTTTCTGTCAGGGTATGGTCTACCTCGGCGGCGAGTATTACTTGCCACTGTACTTTCAATCGGCCAAGGATGCCTCCCCCTTGAAGTCCGGTATTTTGGTGCTGCCTATCGTGTTGACGGAATCGATCACGAGCGCATTTACGGGTATTATGATGCATCAAACCGGCCGGTTTCTGGAAATCATCATCTTCGGCGCTGTGCTTTGCGCGGTTGGTACGGGATTGTACATTGATCTCAAGACGGATACGTCTCTCGTCAAGATCATCCTGTATCAAATCGTGACCGGTCTGGGGACCGGATGTCTGTTCTCCTCGCCCATCATCGCGCTACAGGTCAATGTCAGTCAGGCCGACACAGCCAGCGCAACTGCCACGCTAGGATTCATACGCAATATGGCGACAGCAGTGAGTATTGTACTAGGTGGAGTCATATTCCAGAATAGCATGAATTTGCAAAAACCGATCCTGAGAGCAGCGGGACTATCCGCAAATCAGACAGAACTATTTGCCGGCGAAAGCGCGTCGGCCAGCGTGTTTCTGCTGGATAGTGTGATTTCAGACCCCGTGCAGAGACGTGCGGTCAGGGACGCGTGGTCGTGGAGTATACGCAACATTTGGATATTGTATACCTGCGTGGCTGGTGTCGGGGTTGTGGCAAGTTTGTTTGTGCGGAATGTGCATTTGAGTCAGCATGAAGACCATGTCGAGACCAAGACGGGGATTGGGGAGAAGGCTACGCGGAGGAATAGTCATGAAGACTAAATTACAAGTACGATAGGAAAGTTTTACGATGCAATTATTTCAATGCAATTATTTCATTTCAGATCAGAACAAACCACTGGACGTGGTAGCTGTAACATACAAACAATACAAATCTCTCATTAGTCAGAGGATTAAAAACACAACCCCGAATTGTAGGCAGCTTATTTGTTGTTCTTGATAGCAGCCTCCAAAGCAGGCGGGTTCACACCCACAACCTCAGTGATCTTCTGTCCGTTCTTGAAGAACAGGAAAGTAGGCATGGCGCGGATACCGAGTTCCTGCGCGACGTCGGGGCTCTCGTCGACGTCAAACTTGACAAAGTCGACATCGGTGTATTCTTCGCTCCAAGAGTGGACTTTGGGGGCAATGGCTTTGCAGGGGCCGCACCATTCGGCGAAGGCGTCGACGACGACGAGTTTGTCGGTGCCGTTGATGGCGGCGTCGAATTCGTTCTTACTGTGAAGATATTAGTGACAAATTTCGTTTTCATTCATTGACTTCAAATGGAGACGTACTTGGCGAGCTGCTTGACACCCATTGTGACTGGCGACGAGTGGAATCTGGTCAAAGACGTTGATGTAAATGTGCGACGAGCAGAAGCTGAAGAGGCGATGCGAGCAGTCGTGAAGAAGGATGCCAGACTGGATGGTGTTCTTGGTAAGTGGATGTTCTGTGGGTAATGTAGAGAGAAAGAATTGAGAGAGGGGCGGAGGTTATATATGATGTAGGGCCAGAGAGGGGCGAATATTGCCGTGATGTGACGTCCTATTAGTCAGGGCGACCTCCGACTCTCCGAGGCGGATAAAATCTGCAACACTCCTTGCCAATAGGATGATTACTGTTTGCAGCTTCGAAGTGCCGCGATACTTCTTGAGGAACTTACTGAAGAAGTAATAAGGGAATGGAATTGTGTAGATGATGATGATTAATTCAGATATCCTACCTCATTGTTTCTGGTCTGCGTCAATTGACTGTCGGGCTGGCGTGACTACGGCTAGATGCAACTAGAACCACGCATGGACATCAGTACACATTACCAATCTCAGGCAGATTCCTTACACTTTGGTATGCGAACTAACGATCAATGATCAATGGCGTACAGGTCAGCGGCAGTCTGGATGCTGCTAAGCCCTGACGACAAGCTGGAGAGTTTTGACAGTCTGAGCAACGGAAGGCGGTGAGGAGATGGCGTGCTCGCCTGACTCAGCGCTGCTTATCAATCTTGGCCAATCTAGACTTCTGCCACGCTAGCCTCATTGGGGGATCCATTAATCCATTAACCCTTGAAGAAGATGATGATTTATATACGTAGTATACAAACAATTATACAAACACTTACAATTTAAATTACACGTTGAGGAAACTGTCTCTACTGACTAGACAACAGGTAGCACACCTAGGTAAAAGAATAAAATTGGGGAATACATGGGGTATCTGATACAACAACTTTCAACGAAACTAGATAAAACATCATTCAAAGTACATGGTCATTCACGTCTGCCAGTCGCTTGTCGGTTGGTCGGTACGTCGCTGAGAGAAAAATTCGAGTTGTCGAGTCGAGTTGGTTGGTTTTCAATTGAAATATTTGTTGGTATAAAATAGATGTGGCCGTGGTTGATGCTTTTGTGTTGTTTTCACATTTTTTTGCTTGACTTTTCTTGAGATTTCAAATTTTTTGGTTCCTTTGCTGAGATGTTTTCACTTTTTTTCCGTCGGCGCATCAAATCACTTTTTCAATTTTCGACTTTTTTTCGATTTTGTTTCCATGGTATAAAAGTTGTAAAGAGCGTAATGCGACCTTCCGACTCGATGTTTCTCTCGTTCGACGTATCCGACAACTAAACCTATATCAATAGCAAAAAATTACTCTCTCGAGTCCAGAGACGCGCGGGGCGGGATATCAAGCAATTTAGCACTTCCAGCACTGATTTGGCGAGCATGCTTGTGCTCACGACCGTAGTCAACGCTTGTCGCACGGTTGATCTCCGCCTCTTGGCTAACGGGACTGATAGGGCTTGTTTCCTCATCCACTGATGCAGTATCCAACATGGCGACATCACCGAAAATCACTTCTTTCGACATTGCACGGACACGGCCAGACTCGCGACGTACCACTGTTGGTCTCCGCTCAAGTCCTTGGTGCCAGGTTTCCATGCCGTCGTTGGATGATCGTCTGCTGTCTTCGCTCTCAGCTTCGGCGATATCCAGCCCGATAGCTGTGCTGCTCGGTCGACGCATACCAGCGACGGAATTAGACATTTGCTCTGGAGATTCCTCGGCTAGGCGATTGAGATACTCGTCATTGGCGACGTCGTCTTCATTTTCTTCGGTCTCGTCGTACTTATCGAGCTTATTCATTCCACCGCTATTGCGCCATGATGTAAAGTTGGGGTTCTTTTGCGAAMCCCGCCGTAGATAACTGCCCGACATCCATGATCCTTCCGAATCGATTGACGCCAAAGACTGCGAGAGTACCCCGCTCTTCTCGTCCCATGACATTGGGCGGCTGGGCTCCTCATTTCCGAAGTTATAGTCGTCACCTTCGGTGAACGACTGACGAGGACTAGGTTCGACAGAATTCAAATCATCCACTGGCATATCATGAACCGTTTCAAGGGGCACCGGCAGTGGAGACTGCATGCGGGAGTCAGGCGGGGAGATGGGATAATTATCAATATGTTCAACAAACTTCGACTGAGATCGGAAAGTGCCAGCACGTCGAAAATTTCGCTCCGGTATGGGAATTGGCATGGAGGGACCGGCGCCTTGCTGCGCCTTCATAAATGAATCTCGAGATGTGTTGGAAAACTCCGAAGGAGGCGCATCAATTTCTTTCGACCTTCTCCTTCGCAAGCTGTTCCTCCTGAAAAATGCCACCCAAGACAACATACGTCTACTGCTGCTGTCTGAAAGACGTTTTTCAGAGTTCTCCGTTCGCGAAAGGTCTGAAATTGATTCTTGAGCGATACTACTCATACGCGCTGAGCTGGTGTTAGCAACAGCCTGGAACAGCGGTGATCGATGTCTGGAAATGTCTTCTTCCGACATTGCATTCACATCATGACCCTGTTTGCCGGCACGAACTGACCGATCGTCGATGTTGCCGATAACATGTGCTGATATATCAGAAAAGCGCTTTTCTCGTTGCTGACTGTTATTAGAAGGTTCGCGTAGCCATGAGCTCGGCTCCGGCGAAAAGATGCTCTCTTCTGTTTGTTGTGTTTGTTCTTCGTCAATTGTACTTTCTGGACGAATTCGTCGAGATGACGTGGCGGGAGAAGGCGTCTTATCTCGGCCGCGCAAATCATCGATATCTATTTCTCCGACTTTAATGTCTTCAACTTTGTTGGCTGCGTGGTCAGACTCATGTTGTTCGCGTTCGAGTCTGCGCTGTAACCGGCGCTGTCTTCTTTCTTGATCCTCCAGCCGCTTCTTCTCTCTCCGTCGGCGGTCTCGCTCTAGTAATTCTCTCAAAGCAGCAGCGTCTAAATCATCAGCAAGCTCGGCGACTCTCTTCTGTGATTTCCAGTCCTCTTCGTCACCCAGGTTGATTTCCTTGCGCATCGAGTTCGAGGAGGGATTGGTGCTTCGCGGAGGAAGGTGTTTGTTGTGATTTTCCGAGTAGCGAATAATAGGTCGGGGAGCCAAAACAGCGAAAGCATTGACTTTGTAGGTATATAGATCGGAGACGTCAGATGAGGATGACTGAGAGCCCATCGGCAGACTCTGGTTGGATGTCTGGTGGTCGCCATAACGACTAAGAACGCTGGGTCCACGACGAACATCCGACGCGTGATAGCCCCAGGCATTAGCGAGTCGGGGATTGCCTGAAGGAGGCGACGAACTCAGGGCTTTGATTTCTCGTTCGCGTTGCAGTTCGCGCGCAGAACGCTTGCTCAGTCTCTTTTTCAAAGTATTGCCCTTGCCCGCAGATTCCCTCTTTTGTAGCGTCGGCGTGGCACGGGAAACAGCAAAATTGTCCTGACCGATACTCGAAAGCGATGTGTGATTGTCGTCTAGGTTATAGGCAAAAGTTGATGTCGGGCCAACGGGCTCACCCGCAGCAGCACGAGGGGAAGACTGATGACGCAAGGAAGGAGCGCTTCGATGTTTCTCACGTTTCGATCGCTTCCGCGACGGTTTCCTACCCACGAGCGCATGTTCAGCGGCGGCAGACTTGTCGGTCCCGTCTTCGAAAGATAATCTTCGGTCGGCGGCGTCGGAGGCCTTCATCTGACTCCTGGGCCGCTTGCCCTTGCGACCAAAGGGCCATATTGCCATGGCCGCAGCCTAAGAATCACTGGAGGTGATCGTTGCCAGTTTGTAGATGTAGGACGTCGGTCTATGATATAGTTGATCAAAGGTACAGATCACAGGACTCGAATGGACCTGTGTATCGTGGCTGAACCTTGCAATAGGCGGTACTGGGACGGTCAGATAAAGCGACAGGCGCCCAGATCGCGGTCAATGACAGAAGGGCGAAGTAGATACATGAGTGTGTTGTATGTCGTCTTTCGGTTTTAGTATCGAAAAAGACAATAGTTCGGTCAAAGCAGACTGTGTTGACCGAAAAATGAGGAAGAATGTGGAGAGAAAGTAAAAGGCACAAATGACTCCTCTCGCCCGAAGAAAGTCTACAATAAGACAAGAGACACAGCGTTGGGCTGGACTGCGTGGCAATTACCCGGCGCACTAAGCACACGCTAAACAACGCTAAAAAGACTAGCCGTAAGTTATTACAGCGTTGTGACCTGTCCCATGGAACAGTCCAGATCTTATTCTTGAAGTCGAAAAGGCAACGCCCGCCCCTGTGTTCGACGTGCGTATTTGACGTATGGAAAAACGTTATTCTCCGTGCGCCGCAGCTTTTCTGTATGATGCTGCGTCCTGTATGCATCCTGTATGCATTCTGTAACCTGTATGGCAGCTGTAATTACGATAGACGTAGAAGATCGCTAGCACAGCCGCTTACGATGATCTTTTTTAATTTAGAACACTGAGACATACGTCACTGGATAGGTACAGTGTCGATGCTAGGGACTTACTGGAAGAGGAATTGTCTTCATTTTGGCATTGATAGAGTTTGCGAATTGATATACTATGTGGTAGGTCACGAGGGCCCACGAAGGTGGACTTTTCAAAAATCAAGCATTACTCCGTAAAGGCTGAAGCATAATTAAGCATGTCGGGCGAGCCAATCACCAGCCCCGTATTATCTTTACCTTTGTTTTTCGTGTTGTTTTTTTGTGACCCATCATTATGATCCAGATTCAAGAATTCGATGAACTGCATTTTTTGACGAGATTGAGATCTTCCCGCAGCCGAGCGCAATTGTGGAATTGCCCGGTCGTATGGCTATTAAGTAGTAACTAGTACCATTGGCAGAAAGTCATTCAATCAGAGACATATATCATTTGCGGTCTGAGACATTCTAACTATGTTCTCACTGCAGGCTTCTATGTATTTTACAGACAGTCGAGGCTCCGGCTTCCAGTCAGTACTTCAGCGGGAAATTCATGCATGCTTCAAACTCAATGCTGATAATAGTGCAGTGCAGTGCCAGTGAAACACCCTGGTAGCATACGTGGAACAGCGGAGTGCAGCATTTTGCTCGACTTTCGTACTAAGAGATGTTTCACCGTTGCGGACCAGCTGAGACATTCCAGCCGACCTGCAGTAGTCTGCTCGGGGTGCCCACGGCTGTGACCCGGTTCCTGCGTTTCCATGTCGTACTTAAATGGTAATAATGAACAGGCAGTGAAACCCCAGCAGCCTGAGACGATCCCGGCTGATAAGAGAGGACTATCGGTGTGGATAGGCAGCTGCTTTGGTGGTTGACTTTTGCATGCCGACTTTAACCCCGCCGAAAATAATCACCCCTGGGCCCGCCGCCTCCCACCTATCCTCATCTACTAGCCACAGCAATGAGAACTATACCCTGTACACATTAATGTTTAATACGATGAACCTGTCATACAATATCATCTGATCACCAGCCGACCTACTTCCAAAGCGCATACATCATGTCCGCCATCAACCCCGCAACAGGGGAGCCGCTCCCCGCGGATGCCCTCCAACGAGTCCTCTTCGTCACTCCGCTCGTCCACGTCTACTCAGTTCCTCCTTTGACCTCAATGAAGGGCTACTCCGCCGCCGAATGGACAGTCCCAAATCCTCAAACGGGACAAACCCGTCAGATCTTTTCCGCTCGACTGCGAATTTTGGAGACTGCCATTCACGATAAAGTCAGCGCCGATATCTTGTTGGAGGATCAGCAGAATGGGACTCTATTTGCTGCTGCGCCGCTGACGGATACAAATTCGGTGGACTATGTGACTGATTCGTCGCGGTTTTTTGTCCTGCGTGTTGTCGGAGAAGGGAGGAAGGCGTTGTTGGGCATTGGGTTTGAGGAACGGAGTGATGCGTTCGATTTTGGCGTTGCGTTGCAGGAAGCGAAGAAAATATTGGGTATAAGGGATGCAAATTCAACGGAACAGCAGAAACCGACACAGTCGTCATGGCAGGGAAACAATTCAATATCGTCTTCATCGCAATCCGAGGATAATGCCGCGACTACGACCCCCAAAGATTATAGCTTGAAACCCGGCCAAACCATAAGCATCAGCAGCTCCCGACGACGTCCAGCGCCCACGACAGCATCCAACCTAGAATCCGCCAGAGATGAAGAGCAGGCTCTATTCTCTATCGCGCCACCTCCACCCCCAGGTGCAGCCACATCTTTTGTAAACACAACGCCCCCAACAGACCAACCGGGTCGACGGAAAAGACCTACATCGGCGATAATAGCGGCAGATAGTAAACCGTTTCTTGGCTTTGATGATTCTGCTACGTTTGATTGAGCAATGACAAGCTACCGAAAAGGAGTCTGATAGAATGGCTGGCTACATTGGCTTCCACGTGTTTGGTTTGAGGACTAGACGGAATATAATATACTAATTCGCTGCTAGTAATTTGCGTATCATTGTGTACTTTAGAATGAAACAGATAAGTATCGCCGTAAATATGAACCTTAACGCCATGTTATCGCATGGATGTGACCTGGATGGTATCCGCCAGCGAATATGACCACCTCATCCAGAAAATGCAACCCACAAATCCAGACACATCGTAACTTATTTAGCGTGATGCACCGAACCGATAGGTCTAGTATAGCCCTATGCATTCCATGCTAAGAAGCAGCAACAGCAGTAAGAGACTTCTTCCTCAACCTCCTCGGCTCCCTCCTTTCTAGCGTACGATACTTCTGACTCGGCCTCCGACTCAAAAACTTCTTGAGTGAAGACCAAGACTCGTGTCCCGACGACGACGCCAAAGTAAACCGATTCTCGTTCTCTGCTCCCGTGTATGTATAACCCGATTCGCCGATTAGCAGGCTTGAGGAGCGGTGGGATGTGTGGGATGTGAATATCGTTGCTGTTTCTGCGTCCATAGTCTCTTGCTTTATTTTTCTTCTTCTTCAATTTGGTTGGAGATATGATAGAGTGCAGAAGACGATGTGATACGTGTCCCGCCTTGCAAGGGTGTTTGTAGTTTTAGGTTCGGATGAGTGGTGCCAGCGAAGCTGATGAAAGCAGCCGTTTAGGTCTTGGAGGTAGATAAATTCGCGTCTAGTTTGACTTGATGTATTGATATATCGTATTGCGGTTTAAAGTACGATGCACATAGGCTTGTGCAATATCCACGGAGAAAAAATATTAAAATCAAAAAATTAAGACTGCTAAACTGCTCGTCTAAAAAATGAAGCTGGATTGGTCAGTGGTCACTGGATCTCAGCATTCTAATCGACCAACCAACCACTCTCGTTCATCACTTCACGAGTCAGGCACGGATGTCAGCGGATCGACATGGATGTAACTCACCCTATCATCGCGTTCAGATTTACCATATCGAAGATTTGGAGAGCAAGATGGCGAAAAAGGTACAAAGGATGTCCGATTGTCGGCTGAGAAATGCGGGGAATCGACAGTTATTCGTTATCGTTATCGTCGTGGATGTTTCACCGCTAGAGATGAAGAGGGCATGATTTTCATAAGAGGTCACATATTGATAGCATACATTTACAATGTACGTACACGATTTACAGAAAGAAGAGTTAATCAACCTTGATGACGATCTTTGTCGCACTAACACCAGCCTTGACAATGTCCAAAGCCTCCTGCGCCGCTGCGATCCCACCATCTACGATCTGCACCTTCGGCGCGGGGACGATTTTCCTTTCTTCGATTGCTTTAGGCAGGTACTCATTAAACACCCACCTTCCCATCTCAACATGATGCACAAACGCGAAGGCAGCTATCGTCATGGAAATATCGACGCCGGCAGGCTTCTCGTTGTCTGTAGGCCACGGTCCGGTTAACGATAGCTTACTGCCTTGGCCACCAGATGCGAGCAGCGCGTTCGCAGAAAGTAGAGGACTGGTCCCTTCACTAATAGCATCAAACCCGAGCCGCAGAGGTGTGCCAGCCTCCTTTGCGAGTTGAGCTAGTTTCGAGACAGCCTCAGGATCACGATAGTCGACCACCGCATATGCACCTAGAGACTTTACATACTCATGATTTTTAGGGCTCGCAGTTGCAAAGACCTTGAACCCAAGCTCCTTCGCTAACTGCACAGCCGCCGTCCCCGTAGATGACGACGCGCCCCAAACCAACATTCCAGACTGTTGAGCCGCATCAACACTAGGGTTGACAGAAACAGGACGCGCAATACCAAGCCTCTCAAAGTACGCAACAGCAACAGTCGCAAACGCCATCGGAAACGTAGCTCCATCCTCGAACGAGACAAACTCCGGTATCCTCAACGTCGCACTCTCCTGTAAAAGCGTGTATGTCTGCCATGCTCCATGCTCCCGTTTCCCATTCGCAATCACCAGCGCGAAACCAGCGACGCGATCGCCGACTTTGAATTTTGTGACGTTCGGCCCGATAGCGGATACGATGCCACAGACATCGCTCCCCAGCACGGTAGGGAAGTTGGCGAGATGGCTAGGGAAGTCACGGATTTTGTAGTCTGCGGGGTTGGCGGCGATGGCATGGTTGCGGATCAGGAGTTCGTTGTCACCTGGAGAGGGGACGGGTAAGGTGACGGGTTTGAGGGCGGTGCCGACTGATTCGAGGACGGCGGCGAGGTTTTCTGACATCTTGAGTTCCGGAACAGATGAGAATATGCTGTCGAAGTAGATCTGATGAGTGAAAACGTTCTAGAGGCATGCCTTTATACGTGTGCCTATGCATGTGAAGAGATCCTGAATACGAGCTCTCGGGGATAGGAGATAACAAGTCAACAGCCTAGTTAGCAATTATGACCAACTATGAGCAATTTATCTATTCAAATAAGACTTGGGAGCGTTTAAAATGTAGATGCCTGAAGCTGACGATTCTGAATAACATATGCAGATCGTTATGCGACGACACATGAAGGGCAATAGATGTCTCACTTTGAAGGCGCGGGTAATGTCCCGAACCCGAGATTTGGTATTGGGTATTTATGCTATGTACATATCGACCCTGAACTTCACAGTAGGAATTTCCAGAGTGTGTGTTGTGTTTTAGGACTTCGCGGAAATCGTGTAGATTATAATCGCGACTTGGACGGTAAGACAAGATCACGGAGGGGCGGTGGACGTCCTGCTTGGATACTCGCCGAGTTTATTTATGAAGATAACCATGAGGCCTTCATTGTGGTAGGCGATATGCGTGACCAATTACTCGCCGAAACCATCGAATGGAGGATAAATGCAATTGAAAAGCATCAGCAATGCTTTAATCAATGGATACCAACAATTCGACATCGACCGGCCCGCCCAGTCGAAACCCGCGTATTTTGAGCTGGCGCATATTCGTATCGAGATGACTTGTGAGGAGATCGCTCAGAACCAGATCTTGATTAGTTCTTCACTGACCGCACTTGGCGTAAGCACACCACCTTCTGTAATCAACGCCGTGATAAGATGCGGCGGCGTGTAATCTACGGCATCACGGCGCATGGTGTTGCCATCAGGTTTATTTGCCGGTGCACCGTTCAAGAGAGCAGCCATGTGCTTGGCCTTTTCTTCTGACGACGCTGCGACTTCTGAAACTGTCCCTTTGGATGCTGCGGTAGAACGGCTAGCTTCTTCTGCCGCCACATCTTCTTCTGTCTTGAAATTGATCACATGCTGCTCAATCGGGAGATCGTACTGTCCGAGAGGATATAGGCGAACAAACTTGTGGCTCTCAGCGACAACATAGAACGGCTTTCCCATAGCTTTTGCTAGCAATCCAATCTGATAAGTTCCCATACGGGAGACAATACCGCCATTCTCCACGACGCCTTCAGCACCCACAATCACGGTGTCCACCTTACCAAGTGAGTAAGCGACTGCAGACTCGGGTATCGTAGCAACAGGCACGCCTCGCGCCCTGAGTGCGCGGACGGTCTCTAAACCCTCTGGTTCGACTGAAAGATTGTCCGCGTCGTTGATACCGTGTAGAACATAGATAACCCGGAATCTGACGGCAGATGGTCCATTCTTCTCATCTGCCGCTTTTTGCAGCAGAGCTGACACTACCCTAGAGCCACCGTTTGTCAAAATGGTACTTCCATCGCGGACGAATCCTTTTCCAAATGCAGCAACGTTGTTTCTACTCTCTTTAGCTCGCTTGATGAAAAGTCGTCCGTTTGATAGTAAATGTGCCCTGATAGCGTTGAAATCTCCAGCGGGCCCTAACTGGCCCGGCCGTTGTAGGGTCGTGATGAGATATCGTTGAAACAGATCCGTACCGGCGGAGAGGGCGATAGGGTTCGCGATAGCACTTTTCAGTATAGCAGTATGTTTGGCTAGAAGATCAAGTGTCTCTGAAATTGTGGAAGATGGCGAGTGTGTTAGAAGAAGGACTAAAGCTTCAATTGCCGCTATGGGCATGGTAATGTCGGGGTCGGATTTGAGGAGGTCATTGTACGTCGACACGATGCTAAGTCCTTGTTAGTATAAGGAGACACACGAGCTGGTGCAACATACTCAAATGGGGCAGATTCTGGGGCCATCTTTAGCAAGTGTGCTCTTGTCTGAGTATCGAAGATTTTGAATGCAACAAGGCTTATGACATTATCAAAGACCAAAAAATGCAAGGGTTCCCGTGCGAGTCATACAAATGTTTGCACTGTTTGTCCGGCCACCCCTCAATACATGTCAGAATCCCGCACTAAGCTCTTTTCGGCGTTGCAACTTGCGGGAGTAAACAAAACAACGAATGAACTTTCTGCCATCAACAATTGCAACTCAACGTCAATTCAGACCGGCAGACTCGTATTCGACTTCATTACAAAGTTAGGGATATTCCAAAATGGCGTATAATCATAGAGCCAGTCAGCAATTCTATGGCAGCCAACAACAACAGCAACAGGGTCGAGGCCGCAAGAAGGAAGATGATAGCGATGCTCTGATGCGCCTGGTATGCCAAAATATCGCAGCTTCTGCAGTGACCGCGCTGACAATAAGATTAGCCAGACAAGGAAATTGCTGGTTGCATAAACGACATAGGGGTCCCCTTTACCGCCGCTGATCTTCTCAAACCGAATCCGCAACAGATCCAAATGGTGCTAGAATGGTTCGCCGAGCTGCTGATGAATACGACGAGAGAGACGATTGATCCTGCTATGCGCGCGGCTGCTCAGGACATTTGTGGCGACTATCCGGACATCGTGCCGAATGAGACACGCAACCTGATGGGTTTTTTTCTAAATCTCCGACGACTTATGATTGAGGTAGGTTTGACCGACAGTCGGCTTACCAGAGATATATAGTTGACATTCATAGTGTGGCGTAAACGACTTTACATTCTCCGACCTTACGCGACCGACCCATGACCGACTTGTGAAGATTTTTTCTTACTTGATCAACTTTGTCCGATTCCGAGAATCGCAAACCGCAGTAATCGACGAGCACTTCAACAAAGCCGAGCGCACCAAAGCGCGTATCGAAACCCTCTATGCAGAAAATCAAGAGATCGAAGAACGAGTAAATGAGATGCGCGCCAACCAAAAGGCGCTCGAAGCTCAAGTCAAGGAGAAGACAGCGCGCAATGATGCGCTCATCGGCGTGCTATTAGCGCTGAATCGGAATCAAGAAAAAATCGCAGAGGAACTGGAAAGGGTAAAGACTGACAAGGCTAAGAAACAAGCCACACTTGAAGAAAAGGTAGAGAAAGCGATCCGAACGCGTCGGGAGATCGAAAAGCTTCGACCATACGTACAACAGAGTTATGCAAGTTTACAAGCTTCTCTTACCGAGTTATCAGAGAGCTTAGCACGCGAAAAAGCACAAGTGGACACGATGGAAAGGCGTCTAAGGGCACTTCAAACATCTACCGATACATTCAACGTTGTCGGAAATGAGGTCCAAGCCTGCGTTAAAGTTCTCGAGGATATCTCTGTCGAATTACAAAAAGAGGAAGAAGAGGACGCAAGAGCAGCAAGAAACAAAGACGCAATTTCTGAGCGAGGCAATAACGTACGTGAAGTGGCACAAACGGAGAAATTGTTGCAACGGCAACTGGCAAGATGGAACGAAAGAATCGACACACTCCGCAAAAATAGCCAGGAGAAACAAGAAATTGCACAAGCTCGAATGGAAGAGCTTCGCAATACTCAGAGACAGCTGAGAGACGAGAGGGCCGAGAAGCAAAAGGCTATGGAAATCAAGAGGGTACGAATCGAACAGACAGAGAAGAAGGTAAGATTATCATGTTCGAAGATTATCCTTGCAGCCAACTGACTATGATAGATGGCGGATCTCAAAGAAAACATCGAAAACGAAATCCACAGAGCACACGACGAGTATTTGAAGATGGAGTCGCACATAAAGCTTTATATCACCGAGATGGAAAAGTGTCTATGATTTAGACCTATGGGAAGTTACGAGACTGGAGTTCTGTCGGCTTTTTACGATTATTACGGTTATACCCAGAGGCACTGTATTGTATATTTGGTTTTGTGAAATAATATAAGGTTTCTGTATGCATCTGGTTTTTAAATCGATTATTCCTCAAACTTGAACCATCTTTGAGCTACTCGTCGGACAAGAACATGCCTGCCAGACCAGGATGAGGATGCTCTTTCATTATCAGATCGAATCGTCCCGCCATTCAAAAGAGGTATATGTAAATCCCATAATCTCGGGCCATGGTCTCGATCTCCTGGATTGACTGCATCATTGCATTCACACAACAGAATAGTCGAGTCAGTCCGTGCTACAGTTTCTATAGCCAAAGCCAGTGTCCGCGATAACCCCTGCGCCGAGAATTGGGTGCTCATATAGTGAACAGCAAGGGAGTCCAGGATCGCCATGGTCGATTTTTCGGGTATGTCATCTTGCTTTTTAGGATCGATGTTACCATGCGATGGACGCAACTGAAAAGTTGATAGATATGCGCGTAGATGTGCAAGTGATGGGCAGAATGCTAGTTTGACTCTTTGAGAACTAGCAATGCTGCCGATTGTGTTTGATAGTAAGGCTTGCGCAGACGTCGGAAGCGTGAGCAGGGAAGGTTGGTCAACTTCGAGGAGTGTCGATGGCTCGTTTTCGGGGACTTGTTGATGCTCATCTTCTTGAAGCTGTGACTGTACACTGGCAATCAATTGCTCGAGAAACCTTTCGCGAGTTGAGCACACCACCACAGTAGTGAAACTGTTGGTTTGGTACAATATATGGTTGACAAAATCTGCAACGGAGGCAATAGATAGAACTTGTGCGTCGATCATGAGATAGGATTTGATGACCACAAAGCTGTTTCTAAAGCTCTACTTAGCGGACTGTAGCTTTGCATTATTTTCGCATAATCAAGTTGACATATTCATATATTCTTCTGTTGTCGTGGTGCTGTTGAAGATTGGCGGGTGCCGGCAGCTGCCTGAGGCCGAAACGATGACGCTAGAATCTCCCCGCCAAACATTCACTCCTCCAACTCCAAGCTTGATTCTCCCCGGATATACACCACTTAGAGGTTAGGTCGCAGTGACCTTAGAGCTCCTCTGGTAATCATGGAGACGATATCTAGGATATCCTCCATGCTAGAGGCTGGTACGTCCTGATTACAGTCTGTTTTCTCAAACGCTGATTCTGACATTTCATCGTGATAGCTCGTGACCTCACGCTCGAAGCAGCACAATCTGCTGGTACTAGTCGCAGTCTTCGCTCGACAGAAACATCGCGAGTCCCTTCTTCGGCACAAATCAAAAAGTTATTGGACAGCCGCAATGATCGAGAAATTCTGGACGGACTGCGCAAAGTCATTTCGGTATGAAGTTGGACACTCCGACGGCGGTCTTCCTTGCTAACTTCTTGTCATGCAGTTGATGTACCAGTCCGATACGTGCCTACAATATTTCTCCGCCGTCGTCAAGAACGCTGCCAGTTCCAATACTGAGGTCAAAAAGCTTGTCTACATCTACCTCCTACACCATGCCGAAGCCGAGCCAGACCTCGCCCTGCTATCGATCAATGCGATCCAAAAGTCACTTACAGACACAAACCCGCAGGTCCGGGTTATGGCATTACGGACCATGTCCGGAATCAGGGTCCCTGTTATTAGCCAGATTGTTTCTCTGGCGATCAAGCGTGGAGTCGGAGACATGAGCCCGCACGTCCGAAGAGCTGCAGCACTGGCTATTCCGAAATGTTATCGGCTTGATCCGAATACGATACCGCAACTTAGTGAATGCCTTTTTACTTTGCTTGGTGATAATCAATACTTTGTGGTTGGACCTGCTGTCTCGGCTTTTCTGGATGTGTGTCCTGATCGACTGGATTTGATACACAAACATTATCGGAGTCTGGTGAGGAAACTAGTTGATATGGATGAATGGAGTCAATTATCCACACTGCGTCTTTTGACGATTTACGCCAGAAAATGTTTCCCGCGCAAGACGCAGAAGGCGAAGAAGAATGAAGCCAACGGTTTCTATGACGATGACGATCACGAGGGATCTCATGAAGCGACCAATGGTGATACGGAAGAAGAAGTCCCAGTCCTTGATCCTGATCTTGAGCTCTTTTTGCGCGCATGTAAGCCCTTACTACAAAGCCGGACGTCCGCTATTATAGTGAGCATCGTTCGCTGTTATCTCTATCTCGGCACACAGGAATACCTTGAAAGTGCGATTGGCCCACTAGTCGCGCTTGTTCGATGTCCACAGGATATTCAATATGTCGCTCTATACAACATCGTTGCTGTGACTTTCCAAGTACCGAAGTTGTTCGTTAAATATGCATCTCATTTCCTCGTTCGCGCCGTCGATCCACCCCATATATGGAGACTCAAGCTTGAGGTGCTTACGATACTTTTCCCTCACCTGGGAATGCATTATAGGGGTATCATACTTAGCGAGCTCGAACAATTCTCACAAGGAACAGATCCAGACCTAGTCCGAGAAAGTGTGCGCGCCATTGGTCGCTGTGCACAGACTGATTCCAAGACCTCAAGCTATTGCTTACGGTTGCTTCTATCCAGAATATCCAGCATCGATGACAACGTTGTTTCAGAGTCTCTGACTATCATTCGGCATCTCATTCAGCAGAACCCGGGTGCTCACAAATCGACCATAGTCCGCCTGGCGGGCTACCTTGAAACGACCTCGAATCCAGGAGCCAGAGCTTCGATCATCTGGCTTGTGGGAGAATATGCTGCTGCAGATTTAGAAAATAGCATTGCTCCGGATGTGCTGCGCATTCTTGCCAAGGGTTTCGCAGATGAGACTGAAGAAGTTAAGCAGCAGATTGTGTTACTAGCTGCCAAAGTCTATCTTCATCATCTACTTCAAAACCCACCTCCTGAACATTCGTCTCAGCCGGAGAAGAATGATGAGGTCCGGACTGATAGCCAAAACAGTGCATGGGGTACAGGCGAGACTCAAAATGGGTATGAGACGGCCCAAAATGCAATCGAAACGGAGCAGCAAGGCGAACCGTCAGGCGATGACCGTATAACACTGCTATGGAGATACATCCTTCTTCTCACGAGGTACGACACGTCATATGATCTCCGAGATCGCGCACGCATGTACAGAGGACTTTTATCCGACCCCAAAAACACACAGATGGCAAGTTTGCTACTTTTAGCCCCGAAATCAGTCCCACATGCACCGAGTCCGTCCGAGACACGGCGAGACCTTGTTGTCGGTACGTCGACGCTTGTCGTGGGGCCCGAATCTGGGCYTTTAGGTTTGAATGGCTACGAGCCACTACCGGATTGGGTCCCGGCTGGACAAGAACCTGACAGATCCCTCCGCGAGGACGGCGTAGCTATCGAATCTGCGACAAGCCGAAATTCGCCGGCGTTGACGGCCGGACAACGTCTCGATAAAGCGCTACAAGAGCATGAGACGACTACAGCAGGGAGTGGAGCTGCAAGAAAGGGACGAGTCGGAGCTCCAGCTGGTAGTAGCATGGGTAATAAGAGTTTGAATGACTGGTTAGACGAGGAGGAGGAGGAGGAGGAGGAAGAAGAAGAAGAGGAGACATCTGAAGAAGAGTCAGGTTCTACGGAATACGAGACTGATTCAGACGAAGAGACCGACTCTGCTGAAGATGATGACGACGATGAAGATGATGACGACGATGAAGAAGACGAAGGAGAAGAAGAATCCGATTCGGAAGCCGCTCAAAAGAGAGGGCTGCTAAATAGATAATGATCTCACCTTTGAGATCTATAAAAATGCCATATATTGAGCATAAATCGATATATTGAAAGCAAACGCGAAATAAATGCAAAACAAACAAAGAATATATGATCACAATGCAACCTGTAACACTTCGCCTGTCCTATGTAACGTCTTCCTACGCCAACGCTCCTCACACCACCTAGAGAAAAAAAGGTCGAAATGCAAAAAATGTCCATCCCATGCACTCTCGAAACTTCCAATAATGCGATGATCTAATGTCTTCGACTGCAGGAAGCGAATTAGGATCAAGCTTCCATCAAGATCAAGATGGAAGATACCTGTAAGAAACCCCCTGACCAACCCCTGCTCCAACTTTACGTCTATGCGGATAATCACCTTCCTCATGATCCTCCTCTGCAGCACTCCTAGATCTCTTAAAACCACTTCTTCCTCCGTTCAGTAGTTGTGTGTGAATGCGTGGACTGTCGGTGTCCGTTAGGGAAGAGGTTCGAGTATGATGGTTTCTCTCCTTTGCTTGTGATCTTTTGCGGGAGTGGGGAACGCTCTTGGGTCTGAAATTGGGTTTGTATTGTTCGCGTTGTTGTTCTTGGTTTGATGAATCTCTTGCTTGGTTGGGAGGAGTAGTTGTTTTGGGCCGCGAGAATGGTAAGCTTTTTTCCTCCGGATCGGTTTGAGTGCCTTGCTCCTTCATGATGGCTTGACGAGGTGGTGGTGGTGGTGCATGGTTTTGCAATATCTGATCTCGTCGTTGTTTCAAATCTGTAATGGATATAGTTTCGTTTCCCGTTGAGAGGTCGGAGAATATAGGGTCGTGCTTTAATTGTGTCCAGTATTGGGAGTTCCGGATTGATTGGACGGAGGAGTCCTCTTCATCCTTGGGAGAGACATAGCGAGACACACTGGTAGGAGTCTCCTCGATGGATGAAGCCTTGTCTTCTTCGCCGTCGTCAAGGCTTGCTGGTAGTGCATGGTTGACCAAGCGAGGCATCTCAGTCGGGCTCATAGCATTATTGCACTGCGTTACTGGTTCATCGATCCTCTTCTTCCCGGTATTTGAAACCTTCCTTTCAATGATTTGATTAGGTCCTGGGAGGGAGTACTTCTTCGCAGGATGAAGGAATCCATTCCGTGGAGCCACGCGGCGCTGGCTAATGTGTGAATCATATTTCCGGCCCTTTGGGACGTATTTTCTGCTACTCTGTGATCGTGACTGAGGCCATTTCAAATCCCTGGTTTGCCAATTGGGGGACGAGAAGGGGCCAATATTTGGACTTGATTCTAACCTATAGGAGTTAGGAAGACCGGCAGCACTAGCCAAAGGACGAAAGTCGTCAGGACTTGAGAACCTTCCCGGCAGAGCTGGGGTTGGGGACGAATGGTAAGCTCGAAGATCCTGGGATGTCAGTGGCAATGTACTCGAGGTGTACTCAGAAGAAGGCGAGCGGTAATGAGTGGCTGTTTGAGATCTATATGGCAATGGAAAAGAGCTCAACGTTGTCGTCGATGATGTTGATGTTGTAGTGTTTGATGGAGTGCTGGGAAGCTCAGGTGAGCTTAATATAATTCCGCTGGTACTATGTATAGTCAATCATGAGAAATGATCATCAACAAGCTCCTGCGGCATGCTTCACTCACGACGGACTCGGCTGAGTTTGTAGACGGCCTCGAGCCCGCGCTACTTGGAACTCATGGCCGTGCAACGACCTTCCAGACGCTGGCGGATATGATAATGAATGATGAAGTGGCCGGGTTCTTGGAGATGAATCGATATAGCCTATATCGTTAGTACGGTCGGTATCTGGGGAGATATCGATCCTGCGTTCCGATGGACAAGGGGGGTTCTGATATGGGGGTTGATGATTTTGATAATAAGATGCTTCCATTTGAAAATTAGTTTCATTGGGTCGCCTAGTATTCTGATTAATTTCACAGTATATGTTCGAACGTGGATCTTTGCAGGAAAGGATCCGATAACAGTTATCAATCGTGGGGGTTCCAGCATGAAGGATAAGCTCGATCTTGGGACGAAGAATCACTACCAAATAAGCATGTTATAGGAAACATGTAAAGTAACCAAATTCCAAAGTCCGGTTTGTAGCGGCCATGAGGGACCCAAGAAGAAACCTGATCTGGCGGCTTAACGAAAGAGGTGTCTCCAGGATTGCTTGCTGACTGTCTGATGGATATGGAACCTGCCACCCACTAGCCAAAGCACACCGGCGAAAGCTGTTTGGTATCTCAAAACAAAGTACAAGTAGCATGTAAAGACTGGGATATATCACCCCGCAAAGAACTGGTCAAGGTTGTAAAAACACACATCAGGGAAGATGAGCTCGAAGAATGCTTTTGGTACCTCGGAGCTGCGACACCTGGGTACCACTGGAGTCTCCATGGTGTTAGGGAGGCCAGCTTTCATTAATAATGAGAATGCATAGTCAAGCAATGCTATGGACCATGTCGAGGTGTTGCAGCCCAATGTTGTTGCCAAACAGAAGGCGCGATGCTTCATTCGTCTTGCTTGCAGGTCACGTGAGACTAGGGCAGCCAGCTGCTGCACATCGCCAGGAACAGGCACGGACTCGCCTGATCGGGTAAGTGAGTCACGCTCAGGCATTCCATGCGGCATCTAGACCCGCTAGTCCCGAAAAGGCTAGGCGCCTCACCATAGCTTCGACAATTACTAAGAACCGTAAGCTGGCGGTTAACTTAACAATACTCGATCAATGACCACGCCGCCGAGTGACTGGACACTTTCCTTTGATGATATACCTCGCATATGAGTGAATAATTACTTTTGGTTGTTACGCTTTTAGACCGGACCAGAATGCTAGTTGTTGCGGAAAGAAGTCGATCAGATTATCCATTTTCGCCCCTTCTCCGTTAAGTGCTCACACGACAGCTCACCAGCTTGTTGCCAGCTCGCCCGCTGCCAGGACACTCGCAGAAGAACGATAGACAGGCAGCAGTTTATCTGTTGTTGCCAATTCACCATGCCTGGTCTCCCATGTGAGTCTCTCACCGTATTCCATCTGGCCAGTCGAATTTGCCAGACTGACTCGGTGCCCACACAGCCAGCATCGACTTGGACGAATGTATAGAGCGCCTGTATAAAAAACAACTCCTCGCGGATTCAGTTATCGAGGCGATATGCGCAAAAGCCAAAGAGCTCCTTATGAAGGAAAGCAATGTGGTGCATATTGCGGCTCCGGTTACCGTTGTGGGAGACATACATGGTCAGTTCTTCGACATGATAGAGATTTTTAAGATAGGAGGATTCTGTCCGAATACAAATTACCTGTTTTTAGGTATGTGGTTGCGTTAGTGCAGAGCAGAGCTATGAGGATATGAGCTAATATGTGTCAGGCGATTATGTGGACCGTGGTCTGTTCAGCGTCGAGACAATCTCTCTCCTAGTCTGCCTCAAACTACGATATCCATCGCGCGTGCATCTTATCCGAGGAAACCACGAGTCTCGAGGTGTCACCCAATCGTACGGCTTTTATACAGAGTGTGCTAGGAAATACGGCAATGCCAATGTCTGGCATTATTTCACCGACATGTTTGACTTCCTCACTCTAAGTGTAGTCATCAACGACCAAATCTTCTGTGTCCATGGCGGACTATCACCCTCCATCCACTCTATAGATCAGATCAAAATTATCGACCGGTTCCGCGAGATTCCACATGAGGGCCCCATGGCGGATCTGGTATGGTCGGACCCGGATATCGAACACGATGAATTCTCTCTGTCGCCGCGTGGCGCAGGATATACATTTGGCGCACAAGTTGTGCGCAAATTTCTCGAAGTTAACAACATGTCACACATTTTACGTGCCCATCAACTGTGTCAGGAAGGGTATCAAGTTTTATATGATGATCGACTAAGCACGGTATGGAGCGCGCCGAATTACTGTTATCGATGCGGAAATTTAGCGAGCGTTTTGGAAGTGAGTGACACCGGAGAGAGGTTCTTCAATATATTTGGTGCAGCGCCTGAGAACGATGAGCACCGAAACGAGCAACAGACGCAACCGAACAAAGACGGCCAGAACCCGGTCATTGAATACTTCTTGTGATGTTGATAAATGATATGATATGATACCCTTGGATATGCAAAAATACGGAGTTTTCGTTTTTTATATGGATTTTTGTATGACTCGACATTTGTTTGATGTGAAGTCATTTTCGAGATAAGAGTCAACGTACGCCACGGCTTGTTTAGATTTAGCATTTCCTCATTATGAAGACACTCAAACTGTTTCGAATGTTTCAGTCAGTGCGGCTGATAGACCATAGACCACCTGCTGGTCCTGACATACCTTCGATGTTTTTTGTCCGTTGTTTGAAAGAGTTACACAGATTCAAGCAGCAAAGGTGCCTGAGCCCTGAGGCACCAGTTACTAAGCACCCGTTTGTGGAGTAGACCAACCGCAAAACAGCTGATCATCGTACACATTCACCAGTTCATGCACGATAGATGCATCGACATTGTTCGTGTGTAGGCAATTATTCGGCGTCGAGCTTAATGATATAACCAGTCAGATCGTGCAAATACGAGTAAGCTGTAGCAATGCTAAATAATCAATAAGTTCAGCTCAATCTAGACTGATCCGCACTGTTTCGGGTTCCCCTCCTTCCACCGCCTTTCTTACCCCACTGCATCAACATTTCAGGAGTACATCAACAGATACTTATTTTCCTTCCTCAATCCAGTGCTGCTGTATTAAGTTATACTGGTGAGTGGCATTTACGAGTTTATCGGGCTACAGTGTCTCTATGCACGTCAATCGCTCTCCCTAATTACTTTACTAACCTTGACCTGTGTTGAAGATCTAGTTCGTACCTGATATCCAAACGATACATACACATATCAAGCCACAACCAAAATGGGTGAACACGACGACGAGCTCTCCACCAGCAAGACCGAGGGTTTCAAGGTCGGCGAGAAGAAGACCATTGCAGAATACACAAACCTTGGTAAAACCAATTTACCTACTGTCCCTAGCCACGGGCGTACCATATCTGACTTCTTTCAGACCAGAACGACGAATCTCTCAACAGATGGAAGGCCTCCCTCGGCTTGAACACCGGTGAACCCATCGGCAACCCTAGCGACCCAAGGACATGTATCATCCAATCGCTCGCCATTGAGACACCCGGAAGGCCCGATATCACGCTTGACCTGACTGGTGCCAACGCTCTTGAAACGCTCAAAGACAAACCATTCACAATCAAGGAGGGTTCCAAGTTCTTCACCAAGGTTGTCTTCCAGGTGCACCGCGATGTGCTGAGTGGGTTGAAATATGTCCATGTGGTTAAGCGCAAGGGTATCACAGTCACCAAGGATGAAGAGATGCTCGTATGTTCACCTCTTCCTGTCTGCTGCATGAATTTCGGCGTGCATTTGTTGATTGCTTTATAGGGAAGTTATGCGCCAAATACCACCGACAAACCATCATACGAGAAACGATGTAAGTTCAGAGATCTCAACAGCCGCCCTGGGCAACTGCATGAGCTAATCATCTCGATTTGCTGTAGTCCACGAAGAAGAGGCTCCTTCTGGCATGCTTGCCCGAGGACATTATAATGTCAAATCACGATTTGTGGATGACGACGGTCAAGTCCACCTCGAATTCCAATGGTCTTTCGACATTGCCAAAGACTGGGCGCACTAGATGACCCTGTCCTCGTCTGCAACACAGCTTTTGATTTTTGACAATATGCCAGTTCGCATTGCAATGAAAATTTGTTATTCGTATTAGCACGTTTGATCCTATTACCTAGCACAATTGTTCCAACATTGTTGCTTCACATATCCATACTTTGTCATTTTTTTTTGTTGATAGCAGTAAGCTTGACCTGGCGAGTTGCACCAAAATTATATAGATTGACCGCGCATCTAAAAAGGTGCCAATGAACATAATCATGCTGTAAATATTATATTCAGTGTAGAGCTGTGAGGCGCTATCAAGCCATGTAGTTAATCAAGAGAGCTGACAGCCGCAACAGTAATTGCTGGGGATTATGTTATCCGGGGGGGGCCCGATAGTGTTTTAGAGATACGAGGTATGTGACAGTGTAACGGTATGTTACCGTTGCCGTAAGGCAGCTTGCGTAAGTAAGACCTATAATTGGTAAATGCAGCCGCGGCGGGACCTGCTCATTGGTAATACCGTAACGATACTGTGAACTCCGTAAGCAACACGTATGACGCGAGCGTTCTCCCTCGAAATGCGTCTAGCACTAAAGAAGTTAAATCACTCTTACCCACTAGATCCTTTGCCCAATCGAGCTTTTGGCCCACCCCCTTTTATGTTGACGCTCTCTGAGTTGTTCCTCGCTGTGTATCCCACGAATTCAACACGATCCCTGTGCTGTGCCCAAAAATCAATGGTCACGGTTCGCATGAGATTGGCTCTCCTTTTATCGATACGTTCAACGCTGAGTTGTAGAATCTCCACTCGCTAGTACGCAACCGTGACTCGTGCCTCAGGCTGTCCCGCCTTGCCGTTCTGGGGATTACGGCACTACGGCGACCTACAGCGACGCGCTTGCAACGTGGCAGCCGCTACTATCCCTCTCCTCTTGCGCTTTCGTGATCTAATCGTTCCTCAAAAATACTTTCTTCTTCGTCCTATCTGTCTCGCTCGTGTCCATTCGCCCTTCTTCCCCGCCCCTCCTCCTCGATTTTATCAACATTTACTGCATCGCGCCGTCGTCACACGAGCACACAGACACCATGCGATCCCTTCCCAAGCAAATCAATCCTCTCATCCTCCCCGACGCATCCCCTTCTTGTAAGTCCTGCTATCCGTTCGTTGGCGCAAAACCCGCGCCGTCTTCCTCGTCGCGTGCGAAACGTCTACCGATCGCGAAGTCCACTGTTACGCCTTGAGACGAAAAACAAGTTCTCTTTTGTTCTACAGCCCACTAACGCCTTTTTGTGATTCAACCACAGTCCAGGATTTGCTCGCGTTGCGCCGGCTAGGAAAGACACATCTGACCGTCAAGCCCGGTCAGATCGGAACATCAAATGCCACCAAACCAGAGAACCTTGGACCTTTTGAATATGCGCACCTACGCGCTCCACTACCCAAGGATTTGTCTGGCTCTGAAATATTCCCGTCGCAAACCACGAAACAAGACACATATTTCTTGATGGTAAGTCTATCGCACAATGTGTGTCCGGTCTACATTCAGTTTCTTACATGATTCGTTTTAGCGACGGAGTAAGGATGGTTATATCAGCGCCACCGGCATGTTCAAGATTGCGTTTCCCTGGGCCAAAGCAGAGGAAGAAAAAGCCGAGAGGGAATATGTCAAGTCGAAAACAGAGACAAGCATCGATGAGACTGCCGGTAATCTTTGGATCTCGCCCTTACTAGGTATGTCATACATGAAATTGTTTCATTTTCCATATTCGCCAATATCTAACTATCGTAGCGTTGGAACTTGCCAAAGAGTATCAAATGTTGGACTGGGTCCGCGCCTTGTTGGACTCCACGGATATCATTCAGACCCCTGCCAGCTCGAAGAAACCCATTACACCACCACCCAAATTCGAGATGCCGCCCTTGGAGACCTTGACGGAACTCAACCCTACCTCGCGTACTCGAAGCCGGCGATCTGCTTCCCCTGCCAAGTCATCTCCCAGGAAGACCGTATCTCCACGCAAGTCCAGGGCTCCTCGCGCTACCAAAGAGAGTTCAGTGGCTGCTACAACAGCTGCCAGCGCTTCCCTACAAGCTGCACTAGATGGTGCTGCCGAGGCAACGGATGAGCCCAATGGCACGGTTGAAGACACCGATGCTGTTGTTACTGAAACCACCGAAATTAAGCCCAAGAAGTCTCGGTCGAAGAAACAAGCGGCTGTCGATGAGAAGGTTACAGTCAATGTTGAATCTACAACTGAGATCAAGGGTGACATCGAAACCACCCAGACAAATGTCACTGTTGAAATGCCAGTCACCCTGCCTGATCTTCCTCCTGCCGAAGACACCCAGGCAATGATTGCACAGGCACAAAAGATGGTTGAAGAGGCAAACAAATTACAAGACCAAGACGCCACAGCCGAGTCATCCTCGCCCAAGGCCGCCAAGAAGCGCAAGTCAGATGAGGTTGAGGAGGACGAAGACGAGACTGCTGATAAGCGCGCTCAACCCACTAAGAAGGCCAGAGTTTTAGAAGACAAACTCCGAAAGGAGCGGGTTCGCAACAGAGCTCTTGTCGGGGTGACTGCTGCCTTAACACTTGCGTAAGTTGTGTCCATTTACCTGTATAACTGAATCATACTGACTTTCCTCATCACACAGTGCTGCAATTCCTTATTTCTTTTAGTTCCCCACACTCATTTCCCACATAGCCCAGACTGAGTGTGAAGCACAGTCTCTCCTCTTTTAATAATCATATCCTGACCCCTGCCCTGTGCACCGGTATGCCAACAGATTTGGTATAAGATGTAAAAATACCCCCTACCTTTTGCTTACAGAATACCACCTTCTTTCCCCCCTTGTCGTTTTCTATTCACATTTCATTACTCTTTTTTCTCCTTTTTACAATAGGGCATCATGACTTGATTGGAGTTGTTGCGTGGAATTTTTTGTTATCATTATCTACACCTCCCATACATTTTCTGGCTCTGCAGGGTTGAAACAATTGTGGCTGAAATACTCAGCCAACAGAGGATGAGTTCGCTACGATTGATCCGTCTGTTAGAATGATAGGTTGCAATTTGTCGCACTGTATGAAGTGATGCAAGATTGCTTATCTGAATGAAGTGGTTGAATCAATAATAATAAACACTTTCTCTGATAGTAACATTATGTACCCGTAGATCTGGACCAGTCGCAAACAAGACAAACACGGAAGTGCTCCGCATCTCCCAACAAAGACCAGCCTGACAATCCAAGCTTCTTCACACGACAAAGCTCAGGAACAAATTTCACAATCCTTCATTCCAGCCTTCTGATTACAATAACAGGGCTTACAATAGGCTGTACCGAGGCTTGATTTTGTATAATAAAATACTAAGCGAATAAAAAAAATTCATTGTCTCAGGCCAAGTCCTGTTTTCTGGCAATGCCATGTCTCTTCCTGGATTAGAGCTAGCTGAAGCAGCAGTCGAAGCCCAATACGCTCTTCCACCGCCTACACAGGTTAATCTGCGTGCTGGATCTGAATGGAGGTTTGAGATTGCATTTGGTGCGACGGTTCGAGTCAAGGTTCGCTTGTGCAATTCCCATAGACATGTTTTAAAATAAGGGTATGCTGACAATGAGCTAGTTACTCACCGGCACCGCAGAGCTATTCGGAACTGAACTCGCGCCTTTACAAACATATACATTCAGCGGTACAAAAGCGGCAATATACACCTGGCACGGATGTGCGCTAGAAGTTACAGCTGGTGAGACGGTCAACACGTCGAGCAATGGATTTGCGCCAGGCGGATCTACGAGCGGAGGTGGAGGTGGTCAAACACAGGGATACGGCGCGGGAGGATGTTCAAGCGAATACGTCGCCGAGGATACGCCCATGGTAGAATATAGTAACGTCCATTTCGGTCTTGAGACAATGCGGCAAGAGGCCCAAACAGAAGGTGGGAAGGATGGGCCACGGGTGTTAATACTGGGACCCGAGAATGCGGGAAAGACGACATTGACGAAGATACTAACGGCGTATGCGACCAAAATGGATCGACAGCCGATAGTGGTGAATCTAAATCCAATGGAGGGCATGTTGAGTGTCCCAGGCACATTGACGGCGACGGCGTTTCGGTCGATGATTGATGTTGAGGACGGGTGGGGAAGTAGTCCGATGTCTGGGCCGAGTCCTATCCCAGTGAAGCTGCCGTTGGTCTACTTCTATCCTATGAAGAGTCCGTTGGAAGCGGATGGAAATGTCTTCAAGCCTATTGTCTCAAGGCTGGCGCTTTCAGTGACGGCGCGCATGGCCGAGGATGACGATGCGCGGGAGGCGGGTATAATTGTTGATACGGATGGTAGTCTTGGTTCAGGCACACCGAAAGCGCTGGAGTTGATTCACCATATTGTCACAGAGTTCTCTAGTACGTTCACCTTCTCCTCTCTCACCTATCACAATTTCTAACGGAAAAACAGTCTCAACGATTCTAGTCATCGGCTCAGAACGCCTTTACAGCACCATGCTGAAAAACTACGATCAAAAACCAACCACCAGCGCATCCGCAACCCATTCCGACGAACGCATCACAGTCCTCAAACTCTCCAAATCCGGCGGCTGTGTCGACAGAGACGAAGCATTCATGAAAGCCATCAGCGAATCTCAAATACGATCCTACTTCTTTGGCACTACAGCGACGAGCACCGCCAGTACCGCGAATACAGGCGTTATAGGGTCGATATCCGGTGGTGGGGGGAGTAATAGTAACAAAATCACGCTGTCGCCTCATACGCAACAACTTGATTTTGCATCACTGGCTTTGTACAATTATACAATCACATCTACCACGACAGAAGAGGATGAGGATGAATACGACCCGTCGAATTTCGGCGCTGAATCATTCTCTACTCTCGCTGGCCAGCAAGAAAACACAACCACTACCTCTGCAAATGCAAACGCGCCCTACGACCCCTTGTCATCAACATACTCATCGTCCGGCGCAACAGATAACGAATTACCTCTGAAAAAATTCACGCAACCGCCAACCCTAGCCCTAGCAAACTCCTTGATTGCGATCACCCACGTCCCGCCCAATGCTCCAGTAAGCGATATCAGAGACTCAAGTATCATGGGCTTTGTATATGTCGCGGACGTAGATGCAGACAAGAAGAAGATTAGGGTTTTGGCGCCTGTGGGTGGACGGATGCCTGCGAAAGCGCTGGTTTGGGGGAAGAATTGGCCTGGGGAGGTTGTTGGGTTGGTTGGCTGATTTGTTTCTTATCTGCTTGGCTATAGATATAACAGAAAATACATCTTCAAGTCAAGGAATAGGATTCTTTTTCATAAGAACTGTGTCAAATTCGTAGGGTATCTAAACTAAACTTTTTTCTCATAAAATGCAAACAGAAAGATCCAAGATGAATGAAGACTTTCGGAAACAAAAAAGCAGATACAAAAGAAATAGCGTGTAGCCAGTATATATGAAACTCCATCCCCAAGCAAATACCTGTATTGATCATAGTCAATACTTCATAAAAAAATCATACTCCATACGAATACCGGTAACATGCTTCGTCAGTTCATAATGTCATTCGTAAAGTTTCCACATTTCAAGGTTGTGTCTCCATTCATCCTCCCAATGCCATCCCCTTTCCGTCTCCGGCACACGAAGTAACTGGTCCTCTTTGTTGTGAAATCGTAGCTCGGCATCAAATCTGTTCAATGCTTGAGATTCTAACATACGGAAGTCATTGTCCAAAACTGCGTCTTTGAATTTGGCTCGCATGCGAGGTGAGTATAGTTGACAACTTGCCTCGCGACATCGGTTCGGCCCAGATCCTGGTAGAAGCCGAGGAGGGTTGGCTAGTCGTCGGGCGATTGGCTTCTGTGCTGCTGCTAGAGGACGCACAACATCATCGTAGCAGTCTTCACACACAGTAAACTCGGGCAGTTCTGGAATGTAATGCCACGTTCCAAGGATAGGTCGTTGGCGTCGGCAGTCGCGTAGGTTGTACTTACGCTGAAAGTAGTCGACGAATTTACCATTGTCCGGATATTTGTATCGCTCGTACTCGCATTGAGTCGCTGCGGCGTCGAGAATATCAACATATTGCACAAATCGTGGGCTGTCGACGGCGAGATCGCAAAATTTCTCCTGAAGGCTGGGTTGACGTCGAAAAGTCGATTGTAAAGGAGGCATTAGAATTTCCAGATTGCGTACACATGCCGAGCAAGCTGCGAATTTGGGAACATTCAAACCAGTCTGACTATCGACCATCCGGTACCATGCTTGAGTTGACAATCTGCGCCCCGGGCAGGTCAAGCCTGATGGCCGGGTCACTTCATATAGTAAATCCAGATTGGCGTAGTTCTTTTTGATAGTCTGAATCCAGGCCAATCTTGTCCATACCTCGCTAAATGAGCAACTTATACGCGCCTGCGCGTTACTAACGCTGGGTTTGAAATAGTCATGAAACCTGGAGTTACCGATCTGGCTCATGCAAGAAGGGCAAATGTTTAAATGCTCCAGTCCAGACATTGTGTACCAGTCTTGATACCCGGAGACCGGATAGGTCCTTGGACAAGGACGCAAAGCGAGGTTTTGCGATGGGTCAGGTAGTTGAGTAGCGACACGTTTTATAGGACTAGCTGGAATAATTGTCCGAGTTGGCGAGATATCAGAGCTGTGACGGTTGAAGGTTGGTGTCGCAAAAGATTCTGGTACATGATATTGCGGGGTATCTTTGAAAGACACAGCTCGTCGTGGCCTCACAGTCTTATACTCTGTACCCTCATCAGAAGAATGTCGTGGAGATGGCGGCCGTCTTTGTCTAGAGGTGGTCGGGAAGTAAGAAATTCCTTCGCTAGGAGGCGTTGCTGAACCGACTGAAGGATAGTACTCATTCCAGTCCTGGGAATCGCTCGGTGATACTTCTCTGAGGGGACTAAGAGGCGAACTCGGCTGAGAGATGTATTGCACAGGACATATCTCGCTCAGTTTCTGCACAGGTGAAGGTGGAGCAGAGGCAATCACAGTGGTTGACTGTTGTAAGTCTTCGTTCCGTCTGCCGTCATATTGATAAAGATTCTTCTGCGACCTACTACGAAGCCGGAGCTTCTCTTCCAAAAGTTCTGCTACCGTGGGCCGACTGCGAGCCGTACCGGATTGATCTTTTCTGACCGTTAGTGTATCTCGAGAACGAACAGGAACTGATATCAGGCTTGGAGATGGTAGCGGCTGGTTCTGACGCCGAGGAGGATTTGGACGCTGTAGAGGCTCGTCGATGTGTGACTCTCGTTGCAGGGAGTTTTGGTATTGATGTTCAGCTGCACCGTAAGTAAAGTTACTAGCATGCCCTGATTGTTGATACGGATACGCATGTGAAAGACCGTAGTCATATTGCCGACGATGGTCTTGTTTAGTCCGTGGAACAAAGTCCACCGGTGGTGGTGTACGCGGCCCAGAGCTTTCCCGGGACGACTCGCTGACGAGAGAAGGCGGCTGCGAAGTCGAAATGTCGGTATCGGCGGTAGCTGATCGGGGAAGGTTCTCAATATCCAGAAGAATTGGCAGCTGATCTACCGTTCCACGCTCACATGCGCCTTCTACCCCAGGCTTTTCCCCCAACAGAGATAAGCCTCCGAGTTCATGAGAGAGAGACTCGAACTCGTCCTCCACAAAAGGCCTTGGGAGCCTCCTGGGCTGGGGTCGCCAGATAGATGGCATTGTTGTCGAAGAAAGTAGAAATATCGAAAAGCGAAGTCGCAGACGAGAGAAAGAAAACGGTTCGATCAAAGGCTTCAATTGCCTTTTCCTTGGCCTGTTAGCCTGTTGCAGTCGATGAACAGAAATGAAACAAATGTTGTTTTGGCGAGGTAAACATAGCAATCAGTTTGAGCTGATTTGAGGATGACTATTCGAGGATGTCGAAAGGCGAAGTTGTTCTGGAGTAAGCTTTGTATCGGAAAGTTGATGGTGGGAAAAATAGCAGTTCTGACAGCGGGACAGAGAAGTATTTAAAGAGAACCAATGTGAAAAAAGCAAAGAAAGTTACCTGACAATAAAGAGAAAGCAAACAAAAGAAGAAGCAGAGATTGGGTGCATCGGGCAGCTGAGACGAGGAGGTTTGTCGTTGTTTGCGGGCAGGGCAGGAGCTGGTTGGGCTTCAACCCTAACAACACACCACCACAAACAAACCAGCCAGACAGGTCTACACCTTAGAGAATAAAGGCAGAATTTGAAACAAGACCAAGTCCCACCCGGGCGGATCTGATGATTATATATAAATTCATGTGTACAAGTCTAGTGGAAGAAGCTATTTGTAACCATCACTCGGAACGAGACATCGGTATGGGGCTTGAAATTACATATGTAAAGACTATTCGATAGGACGAAGCGGCTATTTGAATCTGCAGAATGTGGCTTCGTAATCTACATCGTGCAGTACTCGTGCATCATCGTACAGTAGTAGAGCAACAATTCGGATAGTGATTGCCGGATCAGAGACTGCCAATCGTGCGTAATCGAGATTAGAGTATAGATAACAAAGCTTCGAAGATCAAAGCCGAGCAGCACTACTCCTGTATCATTCAATAAAAGCTCGTCGTTAGACTTGTGAAGCGACAAGATGGATACGCTCCACTCGCCTCATTTTTGTTTTGACTTGTAAAGCGGATGTTTTGTGAAGTTATTTGCCACATGAGTTATCCCTGAATGGCGCCGAGCTAGGGTAGTCAATTTCCTTGTTGACAGATGCACGATGCGACTACTGAGGAGATCCAAAGGTCCAATCGGTGACTTGCATAAAGCAAATAGGTAGAAGGATGTATAGACGGGCAGAGCCTTGCCTCGAAAATATGACTAATCGCTATGCCTTTGTAACTTTTCACGGTTGTGCATGTACAGGAGCTGGACCACTCATTACAGACACGATAAATTATCCAATTATCCGGTATATCAACGGGTCGTAACTAGGTAACAAGCGTTGGCTGGAGATAGGTTAATACTGTCGTTGACACTTTTCACCAATGATTTTTTTAAAAATGGAGTTGCCTAGAAATCAGGACTTTAAGCGATGTTTGCTACTTTGCACAATTTTCTCACCATTCATTTAATAGTTCCAATAGGCTGTACATGCAAAGGGGAAGCGTGACTGTCACGGCCACGTCGCAAGTCAAGTCCTGTGTGACTCCAGGATTGCAATTAGGGCTAGCATTAGCGTGGATTGGTCTTCAGCAGCGGCGGCAAACTTCGTGATCACTGCAATGTATGGCAAACACGGAACTGAAAAAGGTAAGTTTTTGTAGTGTAGATTGTACTATAATTTTAAATCAATATTGTGCTGTGCAGATCCATATTTTTTTGTATGAGTTTGGGCATCATTCGATCTGATTTGACCATGCAGCCCTGTCGACTCGTGCCTGAACCGTGCCTAAAGCCACCCACACGGTGGATTTTACCTAGATATGGAACACATGAGAGACATGAGTGATCTCAAGGGTGCTGCTGCTAATGAGGGAGTGAGGGCATTCTGCTTGTCGTCCCCTTTTCACCTCTTCTATTTCGATGGATCTTAAATAATTCATTTTTGTAAGGAGTATAACCTCCATCATAGCATATATTCCCCTGCAAAGTCTTCTTGCGCGGTGATGTGTCAAGTAAATAGTGTATTATACCTGAGCTTGCATGTCATTGAACTAGACATTTGGTTGTGGGCATGATTCAAGTCGGCGAGTTCATGAAAGGATCTCTGGTATTTCCGGGTTCATAGCATACAGATGGGTATACTTTCGCGCATTCTGGCAATACAAATCATAATCCTGGAGATATGTTTCTGCAATCTCAGGAACCAACGGCTCTTCAACATCTTGAGTAGTTGGATGTGCCAACAGCGAGATTATGGAAAGTAAAACTTGCTCCAGTTTGTAAACGGGGTGCCATTCGCTCGGCTCCAAAAAATCCACGCAAATTGCTCCACGAGAATCAATATTCGGATGATAAACTCTGGTTACAAATCGCATTTTCGGGGGCGCAAATGGGTATTTTTCGGGGATTTGCATATCAATCCAAAAAATCCCATCTTCATAAGGTGTATCTGGGGGGCCTTCAATACACGCTCTAAGATGATAAATACTGTCATTGATAGGTGAAACGCTGAACCCTTCCGTGCCATCGTGAATAGTCCTATGAAGATCCTTTAACAAGCGTCTTCGACGCCAATCTGTCGAATTATCGATATCGGCTTCGAGTGCTCTGATATTGGCCGGCATTGAGAATTGTTTCATGCAGAGGGCTTCATTCACGTCTTTAATTGACTCCAGCTTGGACCCGTACTGCGCCGTTTTGCTGTTAGCTCTCCATTGCGGTGAGACGGGAGTGGCCAATTCCCCGGCGTTCCTATTTGTGTGCTGTGTGTCGTTCGCCAACGATAGAGAGTTCAAGTTTTCGGCGCTCGTTTTAATCGCCAGGTCTTGGAACTCGCATTCAAGTTCTTGAGAATTTGTTTGATTAAATGGTAGCTGAGTATGCGCCGTTCGGAAGGAAGGGTCATGCGATAGAATTGACGGATTGATATCGGAGTGACCCAGAAGTCTTTTAAGTCTTATACTTGCCGCGTCGGACACAGTATCGCTCAAAACAGATCTAGCAGTCTCGAGCCGCTCGAGAATAGATATATCTGAGATTGACTCGATCTCTTGCTCGATGTTGCGCTGTTGCCGGTCTGCAATTGCAGGGCTTGTGTTTGTTACGGATTCCACATCATTCACAGAATTGCTCAATTCCCCAATGATCTCACCGAGTCCCTCCCTGGTATCAGTGTTTATGGAAGAGTAAGTTGTGTGGGTGTCTGTTCTTCTGGTTGAACCTTTAAAAAAGCCCCGAATTCTTTGTTGTATGGCAGAGTTGGTGGATGGTAGCATCACAGGTGAATCTTGACTTCGACTTCCTTGCAGTTTTTCTGTGTTAGTTAAAAGCTCTATGATCCGCATCATTGCAATTTCAACAGTCACACGTAAATTGGGATCGTCAAGCTCTTGGACTCTAGATTGTGGGTCATCGAGACCACAAGCCTCGCCCCATGCTTTGAAGCGAATCAAGAGCATAAATAGCCTAATTTCATCATACAATTGGTAGTGCTCATTGCTCATCTTGTTGAGGCACACTGAGAAGAGCAAACAAAGATTCCTAATTATATCCATCATTACATAAACAATAGATGCTCAAGTGAGCCGCATGGGGGTAACCAACTGCGCTAATTCTTGGATACGAAGTTCATGTTCGACGATCGCCTCTCTTTCGTCCAATCGTAGTACCTCCTGGATCAAAATATCTTTAACCGTTGTGTAAGACGCATTATCCCGGCTTGCGAATTTACAAATAGTGAGGTGGTTTTCATTAAGTCCAATGACTTCCTCGTTCCTATGTCCAAGCCTCGCCGAACCTTGATGTACGATCTGTCTGAGTTAGCACGTTTGCCTTGGAAAAAGCTTAAGGCGATTTAATACACACAGTGACTCTCTTGGTCTCTTTCCGCTCCCAGAAACTTGTCTTTGAGAAGTGGTCTGCAATAGATGCGAAGTCTTGGGTTATCGCAAGTAATTCGGGCGACCATAGCTTCAATTCTTGGGCAACACGATTTTTATTGCCGGAGATCACTGACCCTAGATTGTTCAAGAAGTCTGCACCGGGAGCGAAAAGCGAGCCCTGGTGTGGAGTTCCAAAAAACATGAGGTGCCAGGTGCTTTCTAGGATATCCTTGTACATGGGTGATCTTATTTTGGCAGTGATCAGTGCCTGGATGATACGGCAAATTAGCTTGTCTATTACTCACTCAATCCACAAACACACTAGATGTTACCTGTTTTATGACAATACCTCCCAGACTATGTCCCAAGAGAATGAGTGGCCGGCGTTTCTATACCCTGTTAGCTCATAGAGTCTTAAGATAACAAATTTGGATACAAAATACCGCTTCCCCAGGACGCTTGCGTCTAAGAGCTGCCAACAAATTCTCGGCGAAACTATAGGTATTACCTGCAGCCTTGTTGCGAAGAATGTTCGCATTGTAGCCGAAAGTCATAATTCTAACGTTCTCGATATCCTTGTGCAAGAAGGTTCGAAGCCAGAGCTCCTTTGTGCTCTCTTCGGTCCATGTTCTGAAAGAATCGCCTCCTAAGCCGTGGACTGCGACAATGCTGAAAACGATTTAAATCTCTTAGTAAGAAAATGTCCAATTTTTTAATGTTTTTGAACTCACTCTGCCTTTATATCTCCCGACTGACCTTCAGGTGGCCAAAGTTCGTGGATTTCCAACGTGTCTTCCTGCATCAGCTGCCATGAGCTTGAATGATACTGTTTTGTTCTGCTATGAGATAACACACTTACCGGAACAGTATAAACCTCGCCAGACCTCGAGGTAATTGTCTGAGAGACCATTCTGCGGGTTTCGTAGGCAAATTCACTGTCAGCAACTGAGCTGAAATCACGTCAACTGGTCCTACGAGGCTGTATTTAGAACCCCGCACAACCCCTGCTTCACACCAACTACACCGCCATACTTTCTACCGGCAGAAAGTCCAGCATCTTGTTTTCGTTGATAAGCAGGTTGATTCAAGCTATAGATTGCTATGTCAGTGAAATATAGCCCCCTTGTCGGCGAGTTCCCGAAGGAAATATGAGTTTATAGGGCTTGATATGTCTGGATCGGGAGGGCGGCGTGGGGAGGTTGATTGGTGATCAACAAACAAGCCAACCGACTATAACTAGTATGCCAGTCTGGTAATAGTACTACTCTTGTTGTCAATCCTTGAAATATATTGGCATAGAATTTCTATTTATCTGTTGCGCGAATAGAGCACTCCGAAGAAGTTGATCTCCCTGAGCTTTCAATCTCCCGACCAGAAAAAAGCCTGGCTTATCATTTTAGAATAAAAATGTTTTGCCTTCACAGATATCAACAATAGAAATACAACGGGACCGACCATCAGCGCCAATAGGAATCGAACCTATACTGAAATAACAGACTGGAAAGGAGATAGCGTCTGGATGGCTGCCCGAATAAGAAATGTTTTCGGTTTTAGGTAGATGAATAAACAAGCAGAAACAATTTTGGCCCATTCAGGTTGGTCGTATGCTTTGCACTTCTCCAAGGAATTCGACATTGAAAGTCCAAGCCGGATTCCGTTTTGCTTTTGTCGCATCAACAGATCAACCACAGCATGAATTTAATGAAAGACATACTGAGCAGCCCTCGAGTCTGACCAGGTCAAGAACGGTTTCAGCGACCAGCGGGTTTTCTCTCCATATAATTCAAATTTAGGCCTCCTAGTCAGCTTGAGGGTTTGCATGCGGCCGTCGATTATTGGATACTTTATTGCTTATGCTCATAGTAAGAGACTTAAGAGTAAGACGCGGAAGCTCGCCGAATCTCCGATATCTCCCCGCATCTTCCAATCGCAACTTCTCCGTGCTGGCTATTCGTTGCGACAAGACCAGAGATAGGATCCTCTATGGCTGTAGATCAACAATAGCATATATAGGTCACCACTAGTTAGTTAATTATCTATAGCATGCTTACAAATATACTCGGGTTCATTCAGCCGTAGGAATCGACGTAGTCGGCTATATCCGGCAATATAACCCGCACACTGGTAAACAGACGATTGAGCATCGACTGTCCCATTCTTTCCAATACCTCTTCACTTTGCTGTTCTTACCAAACACTTGCGTTTTAGTTTTACAGGAAAGAATATATTAAACGCAATTGTGCAGCTCGCCAAAGTTTGCGACTAAATGTATCTTAACCGAGCAATTGCGTCATCAGCAAGAAGACTCCTCAATCCCCGCACGACAAGCGCATCCAGACTATCAGCACTCCAATCGCATTTCTTACCTCCTACTCAACCCACCAATTCAAGCTTCCTCAACACTCAGTTTCGCACAATGGCGTCCATCCCCACGACCCAAAACGCCGTCGTAATCGAAACAACCGGCGGGCCTGAAGTCCTCCAATTCCGCACCGAACATCCCGTCCCTCAACCCAAGGAAGGCGAAATCCTCGTGAAAAACAACATTTCAGGCCTCAACTTCATCGATACCTATTTCCGTACGGGACTTTATACATCGCCCAAACCGGAGATTCTGGGCCGAGAAGCGGCCGGTACGATCGTTGCGCTGGGCCCTGGTGCAGACAACCAGTATGGATTACAGGTCGGTGATCGAGTGATATGGATGCACAATTCAGGATATGCGCAATACACAGCTGTGCCGGCAAAGACAGCCATCAAAATTCCTGACGGTGTGAAGGATGAGGATATCGTTGCTTCGTTTTTGAGTGGGTTGACGGTTCTTACGTTGGTCAAGGAGACGTATGCCGTGCAAAAAGGGGATGTGGTGCTCGTGCATGCTGCGGCAGGTGGTGCTGGATTTCTGATGGTGCAGATTCTCAAGTCGCTTGGTGCGGTTGTCATAGGCACTGCGGGCGGACCGGAAAAAGTTGCACTTGTCAAGGGGCTGGGCGCTGATCATGTTATTGATTATCGGAGCGAGGAAGGGAAGGATTGGGTTAAGATTGTCAAGGAGATTACAAATGGGCGCGGTGTCGATGTGGTCTATGACTCGGTAGGTAAAGATACGTGGGAGGGAAGTTTGGAGGTTGTGAAGAGAAAGGGCTTTGTGACTTGGTTTGGAAATGCCAGTGGTCCTGTTCCGGCTTTTCCTATTGCGTAAGTGCCTAAAAATGTTTTGGTGTGGTGTATTAACCGCTAATATGCGACAGACGTCTTGCCCCGAAATGTATCAAGATTGCTCGTCCCATGGTGAATGGATACCTTGTGGAGCGAGAAGAATACGAGTACTGGGCTAATCAGTTGTTTGATCTTTTGAAATCGGGCGAGCTGAAGACCAAGATTAACAAGATATTTCCATTGGCAGAAGTACAGCAAGCACACAAGGTAAGAATTTTCACTCCTTTGCTTTATTCTAGGCCTATGGAAGTCTAATACGAGAACAGGATCTTGAGGGCAGAAAGACCACAGGAAAGACACTGCTCAGACCTTAGAGAGTCTAACAGATCCGTAAACGAGTCCAAAGCTCATATGATAGCATGTAAAGAATTGAATTTTTGGTTCTCACTGCGTTTGGTGCAAGGCAAAGCATTGCCAGCTCAAGAGTATTTCTCGATGCTACTAGTCATAGTCATCAAGGAGGTCTTCGGTAGTCTCGTTTTCCGGACTGCTTTCCCCTTCTTGATTTGCCTTCTTGGTGAGGTCGCGCGGAGCTTTCCAGCCTATCATCAAGTCGTTCAAAGACTGGGTGTAGAACGAGCAGTAAGCGTTCAGAATTTCATCGAAAAAGAATACTTCACAGTTCAACTCCCACACAGTTGTCACAACCTTCATTCCCAGGTAACAGTACTGAAGGAGTGTTTCCTCGATGAAGAATTCGAATTCCAGTCCGTGGATGTTCGGCAACGTCTCCCCTGGTGCCAGGTCAATCTGCGAAACGTTTGGGTTACGCCACGCCTTTACGCGCACCTTTCCAACGACATTAAGATCAGGTGCGTAGGTTTCGTAGAAGCCGCGAATTCCGTCATGAGGCATGAGGATGTCAACGATTTCAAACCCGTCAATGTCTTGGATGGCATGTGCCGACAGTTCCCCTCTCATTGCAAGATCACTAAATGCCGCAGATTGTTCATCTGTGCCACTAGCAGCAAGAGCAAACATCACCACTTTCTGGGCAACTGATGGTGTCATTGGAGCCCGGTTTCGTGATAAATTTTCGTCCGTCCATGCCCGAGACTGCTCCGATTGTGTCCCTTTGTCGTAGTAGTAGCCGCCAAAGAGAAATGAGTTGGCCTTATTGAAGTCTCCAGGCCCATTTACAAGCAGACGCTGGTTGTCCCAGAGCTGCTTCTCTGCAAAGTTGCAGTACCCGCGAGCTCCCTTGATGTTGTCGGTATATTCGGGAACGACGTCGTGGTAGAGTAGGTAATTGAGCCAATTTCTGATTGTATCGGTTGCCAACCTGATGGCGTGAATACCCTCTGGTCTGCAGTAATCGGGCAAGTAGAATGATCTAGAACAAAATCGTCAGTTTGATTTCAAAAGGATATCTGACTCTTGCATGGTTGCTTACAGAAATGACTTGGCAACATGCTCGAAATCGATATCCAGTTTCATTTTTTCAATGCCGATGTCGGTTTGTGAGCGAGCAACAACAACTTCTTCTTTTTCCATCGCCTTCAATTCCATTTCCGACACTCCTCCGAACATCCTTGCGCCGACTTCGACACCACCATATCTCAGATACTGAGCAAACACCTGCATGCGCTCCTCTAGGAGACGGCGCTTTTGCTGGTACCTGTTGAGTGCCTCTTGGATGCGACTTTTGTCATTAGTATTCAAAATTTATTTGATCTCAGGCGACTCACAAGATAGCAGGACGGTCACTATATCTCGTAAGTTCTATTATCATGCAAACAGACAGCTCTGATCACTCACCTATGGTAGATGCTTCTCTCGTGTAGGTGCTCCTCAGGGGTCACGGGTGCTTCGGTGAATGATTCCTCGAAACCTGTGGGTTTTGGCTGCCAGGGAGTAAGTATTTCCTGCTTACATTGCATAACATCTTTTCAAAGTTGTAAAGCTTACCTGGCCATGGCTCTTGCTTTTTGGCATGTTCCTGTACTTTTCTTTCTTTCGAAGCTTTTCCTTTTGCTTCGCCGTCAACACCTTTGGCTCCTCTGTCATTTCTTGCTGCATTTTTTCTGCTCGCTTGACTCCATCTTCTTTGGAGGTTTCTTCATCTACAGCAGTAGCAGAAGTGGGTTCCCATTCATCCAGTATGGCTGCTGTCTGCGCGGCTCTATCTGGCTCGCGATGGAAAAGCTCGTCTTCCGTGAGGACATTTGAGTAATCAGTTTCTTCAACCGACTCCATCGTGTGGCCCAGCGAATGAAGGGATTGTTTCGTATCAGGATGGATAGCAACGGAAGATTCTGTGATGTAGGCGACGGGAGCTGGTGACTGATTCAGGTGTAAGTCCGGAAAGAAGTAAGGCGCAAATAAGAGATGGAGAATCGAGGAAGGAAAGTGAACAAAAAGAGAAGGTGAGGCAGGTCACCTGATATCATATAATTTCGTTTGTAGCTGTTGCCCGGCAATAAGACAGCCGCTTTGCTTTGAGAAGCCTCAGACAAAGGATACGCTCTCAAGAGTAGAGACATTGGCGCTTTGACAGCATAATGAAGCTGAAGATAGTACATGAAAGATTTGATACATGGTAGACTCTACGTTGCCTGCTATCTTGTAACTCACTCTACGTAACTAGTACAGCAGGCGATGCTTGACTCAGCGTGGCGTGGCTAATCGATTCGACATATTCAGCTCGGTTTCATCATGGCTCACATGATGGCCAAGCTATGGCCTCTTGTTTTAAGAGAATTTCATGTAAATACATCTGCAACATGCTCAAAAGAGCCAGATGCTATGGAATCTCTCTCCAGTAATGGTGATGTTACTGGTGTTGACTTTCCAATTGGGAGTACATAGTGGATTGTACATCCCACTATTCCAAAACAGGCTAGTGGAATTCACTCCAAAGTGGTATAGCGGAAGAGAGCTACGTCATTGGCAGGCGGTCAGAGGCAGCGCGGTCCGGCCTAATGGATGCTGCTGATTGGCCAGTTGCCTCAGCAAACTTATTAATCCTTGATCCCGGATGACCTGCCTGCTTCGTTGCTTCTCAACAAGATATACGATAGCGTGTACGACCTCATCTGCTGCTATTCCTACGATTCTTGCTCATTCCTCTCCCTCGTGACGCGAAAGCCTTCTGTGTCATCCTGACATCTTCCGGCTCGGGCAAAAGGGCGCAGTGCCCACCTCCCTGGCGTTGACTCAATTCCAATTCCCGCTCCTTATATCCGTGGAAAAGTTGAAACATCCTCAACTTTGTTTCTGATCATACGTCTCGGACTTCCTGTGATCACTCCAATGGCCGATCTGCAGATCCATATTTCGTAATGCATTAACTTGCGATTATGGATTGAGCTGATATGGAACATTCCTATCCCCTGACTGTTCCTTTCTTTGTCCACGATTTACGAATGACTATATCTCTACTTCAACATCTGCCTTACATTATTCCTACCCGCTGCGCGGTGAGCCGCGGTATGCGCAATTGAAAGATACTGCTCTGCGAGACGACAAGACATGCTTTCTTCATCATTCAAATCAGATAGCTTCAAGGGCCAAAGCCTTGATAGCGACAGCTTCAACACCAACTTTGACCATGCTGCTGCTGGACAGTGAGTCCAACCATGTGCCCATAGTATGCTACGTATACTGACCTTGTGTAGTGACGGACTCCGGTGTCACTTATCCGGCTCCCTAATCGCCAAACCCTGCACGCACGAAGAAGTCGCATTCTACGAATCGAGTGTACACCACCGTAATTTCCACGCTTTCATGCCCCAGTATCTGGGAACTTTGACAGCTTCGGACAAACAACCGTCGCTTTCCATTGTTCCGGGTGCGCAGAACCATAGCAGATCGGTACTTTCGTCGCTGGTAACACCGTCCAACGGCTTCACGGAGAAGAATTCGACATCTGCTCACTATCACCGACATCATCATCACAAGATCACCCCAGAAAAGGCATGGACGCCATCGGGAGGGCGCAAGTTGGATACTGGTATTTCGATTGTGCTGGAAAATGTTGCCGAAGGGTTTAAACGTCCGAATGTATTAGACGTTAAGCTCGGGTCTCGGTTATGGGCAGACGATGCTCCTCCAGCAAAACGCGCAAAGTTGGATGCCGTGTCAAGAGAGACGACCAGCTCTAGCTTGGGATACCGAATTGCGGGTATGAAAGTTTGGGTTGGCTACGACGACCAGAATGGATTGGCGGCAGATGCTATAGAGGCGGAATTTACGGATCCATACATGACCAAATACGAAGGCTCAGAGGCGCCAAAAGGAGAGGTAGTTGAAAAGAACGGATATAAACGTTACGACAAATGGTACGGGCGTGCTTTTACTGCCGACAATGTGAAGCAAGGATTCGAAACTTTTCTAGCGGGCGCCAAAGCCGGCAAAGTGGACCGCTCGAAACTTATTGCATCGCGAATTCTGCAGGAACTTCGAGCTCTCCAGTTTGCGTTAGAATCGGAAGAGAGCAGAATGTACTCGTCTAGCATTTTAGTGATCTACGAGGGAGACCCGGATGCCCTTGAAGAGGCGCTGAAATTCGAGGAGGCCCAAAAAGATTTAGACTCTCGATCGTCTTCGGATACTGGAACTGAGCCTTTGGATGATATTGAAGAGTTTGATATTACTGAGCTTGGTTCGTTGCAACCGATGAACATTGCCAACGGCATTCCGACTGGTGCCGCCAATGGTAGCGGTGAAGCACACGATATCTCTGGAGCATTGAATATTCAGAGCATTCAAGATATCCAGAGTATTCAAAACATCCAAATAGACCCAGAATCACTCGCAAATATGGAAGGCAGCGACGCCTCCAGTGAAGACGAGGTTTCTATCAAAGTGCATGACTTCCGCTTAATCGACTTTGCGCATGCAAGCTGGACGCCGGGCCAAGGCCCCGATGAAAACACATTGATAGGAATCAGAAATCTTATCAAAATCATGGAAGAACTCGCCGGTGAAAATGAATCATAGAGATGGTTTCACATACGACATGTTGAGCAACAAAATTACACCGTCGCGAATTCTTGCGTGGTTGGATTGCATTTTAAGGGGATGATTGCTGGCAATCACACCTTTTTTTCTTCTTTTGTATTGTATGCGTAATGTCCTTTTACGTTTTCCGTTCGCATTGCTGGCGGCTATTTGACAGAAAATTCATCATTCATCATATTATTGCATAGCAAATATAGTTATTTTGTATCTGCCTGACTGGCTGGTGATAAAAAAGTAGAGAACCGCTTATGTAATCCATCCATCTCCGAACCTCCGAACTTGAAGCTTCACTTAGCCGCAATCCATCTTTTTCGTACATACGACCCATATCAATCGCATACACGATGATTCCGACAAGAAGTCTGCTGGCGCGGTCAGTTTGGAAGGGTATGTCTACACTATTCCTCAGCCTCAATTAGAAGTAGAATGATGACTGACACATTATCCATTGACACAGGCCCAAATCTCGTCCCGTACGTCGTTGTCCCTACAAAACCTTTCGCACTCTTTTAAAACCATACCTATTCGATTCAAGAAATACCCCAGAACCTCATGAATCAGTCTAATCATTTGGATGAAACGATATAGTCTCCCTCTGCCCCGCCAACTCCCTCCTCCACCGGGCACACCACCCATCAAAACACAAGCCCGGAGCGCAACGATATTACCCAATTTCGTCGGGTTACGGTTCTCAGTGCACAATGGCAAGATATATCAGGATGTGCTGATTACGGAGGATATGGTTGGTCGGAAATTGGGAGAGTTCGTGCCGTGAGTTCTTCTTTCTATATATTCGATATGAATTGAGGTTTTTCTGGGTGGTTGATGGGCTGATGATTGATGAATTTGGGAGATAGGACTCGGAAACGATTCACGTATAAGCAGTCGAAGAACAAGTAGGCGATTCTGCTCTTTCTCTATTCGACATTCTCTTCGATATTGGTGTATTTGGCTTGGGGTTTGCCTTTTCGATCATATGGCCGGGATAACCTTTTTTTCGTGGATGTGTATTGATATATTAGCGTTATTATATTTCCAGGCACTTGGTCGTGTCGGATTGTACAATATACTTGTTGCGAGTTTGTGTCCATTTTACCTGAAGAGGCGATTACTTGTAAACATTATTCCATGGCTAGATCTGTATGACTATCCTGAAGTTTTGTAATGTAACAAACTCAACGAGGGTTTAACCCGAAGTTTCTGCAAAATGTGCCAACCCGATAGCCATCCCAAACGCCGTAAAACCAAAACGCCGTATCCTGTCCGTGTCCATGAGCACCGTAATGAAGCCAAATGATGTTGTTCTTTTGTCCAAATAGAGTGCCAGTAAACGCCTGCTAGCCTGTCGATCTATTTCCCCAGGACCGAAAAAAGAGCAAGATGAAGTTATCGATAAAACTCCCCCCTCTTCACACTAACCCCATACTCCGAAACAGCCATGCCCAAATCCTCCATCGTAAGCACAGTGCGTCCCTGTCCCGAACCGCCCTGTCCACCACCACCAAAACCAGGTCTCTGAATTCCTAAATGCGTATTGGCCGCAGCGCCCTTCTTCCCTGCATCTCCGCCTACACCTCCCGCACCACCGGCACCGGCACCGCCGCCCGCGGCTGCGGGACCGCCCAGACCGGCGGCAGCATTCAGGCCGCCCATGGGATTGTTTGCGCTTGAACTATTGGAGGCGCGGATGCGTGAGTATTGGTATGCATCGGCTGCAATGTCAGCGACGAATTTCTGCGTTGCGAGGGCCAGGAGGCGTGCGAGGTGTGGTGGAGTTTGGTTTGGGCCATTGCCTGGGGGTGGTAGGCCGGCGACTGTGAGGTAGTGAGCTGTTACGGCATCGGGGATCTGCAAATATCAATTAGTAAGGTGACCTCAGACCACAAAGCGACTTTAAGAAAACGGAGAAGCAAATGAGCATCCCAAAGAGGTGAGGATAAATTGAGGATGAGGTGAGAACATACAATAGGCGCATAATCATCCATCTTGCCCAAAAAGTCTCGTAAACTGCTCTCCTTCTTTGAAGCCGGTGCAGAAGCATTCGTAAGTGCGGCAACAGGGTTTGTAGGCGCGCCTGCATCGTTTGTTCCGTTGGCGGCAGGCATGTCTTCAGCGTTGTTCATATTAATATCGTTGTCAATAGCATCATCTATCGGATCGGCAATATCACGGTCGGCCGAGCCCGCTGCTGCGTTTGTTGGGTCGGTCTGTAGATTGTTCGATGCAGTCACTGTCTCTGCCGATGATGGAGGAGCTTCTGTCGATTGTGTCGTGGGCTGTGTACTAGGAGGCGGAAGCTGAGAGCCAGCTGCAGACTGCTGGGATGCGGTGGTTGAGTCGGCCATTATGTAGGGCTGGCTACCTATCGGACGAATAAAGAGATGTGTCGTGGAACAATGAACATGCACTGACGGGGGGCTTGTTCTCGGTGGCTTTGTCACGTCACCCGATCACATCAAATTCTTAGTAAGATACCTTGAGCTGAGGTACATTAAGTAACTAGGTGGTACTTAACGTTGACGATGTCGTGTTACGCTGGGAAAAGAAGTGATGCTACCGCAAGCTTGTGACTTGTCTCGCCGGCCAGACCGCCCTAGCCTTGGTCTTGGCATTTTGCTTGTATCAACCCTAACGTCGTTTCCACTACTTTGTTGAACGTATTTCGCATAACTGAATTGATAATATTGACCAAATAACTAGCATAAGAGTACATATTGAAGATCCTTCAATTGCTCCCAGATAACCAACTCCTTTTCCATCACGCCGATTGACCTCCCTCGTGTCGCCTGAACAATAATACATTAAAAACATTCAAGTGGGATAAACTTTAGTAGTACAAATCAAATTTGTAGAGCATGGCTACTGAGCAGGAGTATGCATATCTGCTGGTGTAGTATCCATGGCTTCAATGTGCTGAGGATCGTGCTGGGCACTATGCTGCGGGTTGTGCTGGACGTCGTGTTGAGCATTGTGTTGAGCGACCTGAAGCAGCCCCTCGGGAACTTCTTGACCCAGACTCTGAATCAATTTCTGCTCTTCTGTTTGATCAACCATAGACTCATTCTGAGAATCTTGGTGCTCGGCTTCTGCGAAAATCGCTGGAGACGCCGACATGCTATCTGGACCTTGACCAGGTGACATGTGGGCACCAGCAAGAGCCATCATGCCTTCAATACCCTCTACATGAGCTTTGTCCTCTTCACCACGCTTCTTTTCGCGTTCGCGTGCCTCATTCTTTGCAGCTTGTGCGGGTGCTCGAGTCTTGAGTTCACCAGTCACAAACTTCAAATAATATGGCACTTCGATGCCACTCTTCAGGAAGAACAGTTTTAAATTTCGAGCTTTGTCTTTGAGCTGTACTTGGTTTCGATCCTTTAGTGCTTCGTTGATCGTGCCACCCGGGCCAAACATTGCCAGAATCTGGCTCCAGTGTGGGCCCTTGACACGATCCAATCCAGCCATCAAAGCATTCTCCTCTTCGGTAGTCCAGGGACGACGTTGACTGGGAAGTCCAGCTCGGCGACTGTTGGATGACGACTTGGCTGTTGCCGCCATCCGCGCTCGCTCATAAAGCACCTGAGTGGGTTGGGATTGCGAGTAGTGAGGAACACCTGGCATATAACCATAATTGGCTACCGCGTCGTTCGCTCGCATGTTGCTGGATCCGTTTTGCGGAGGTGTATATTGTTGGAAGCTCTGTGCTGGGATTGTGTTATGCTGAAATGTCAACTGCTGATACCCCGGTGGGGTAGGGCTATGCTGGTAACCTTGGTTGGCATTTTGCTGGGTACTTTGGGGAATAGACTGAGGGGCCGGTGTGCTTTGAGCGGATTGCGACGCCTGTTGTGGCGTTTGGGCTTGTTGGGGTTGGGGCTGCTGTGTTTGTGGCTGCGACTGCTGTTGCTGATTTTGCGATTGTTGCTGGGATTTCCTCAGGCCATGGCCTTGCAAAGCAATCTGTGCAGCTCGTGCAGCTCGTGCGACAAGGTCACCATGCAGGTTACGATCCGCAGTAACCTCTGCAGGCTGGGTAGCGACGGTGAATTGACTTTCTAGAGGTGCACTGCTTGGAGCATCCTGACTCTCTCCAGAAATTGACTGACGGCCTTTGACAAGTTTGCGAGACTGCTTTACATTGTTAGCGCAAGACAAGGAACGAAGTAGCTGATTACTGACCTGCTGGCTATTGATAGCCTCAAAGTTCTTGCTTATGTAGGAGCTAAGATCCCTCAGAAAGTCTTCCCAATGATACTTATCCGGCAATGCTTTCATTGCCTCTTCGTTATTGATGTCTGCAAAAATGATATCTCGTCTGGATCGTGCTCGCTTAACAAAGTCTGCCTCACTCGGCGCAAGCTGACGTGTGCCCAATCGCTTTGAGAGAAGACGTTGCTCCAAATCATCCGGGAACAACTCAAAAAGAATTTCCGTTCTGGTGCGCTCTTCATTGTTCAGTGATGCAATAAATGCTTGTGTCTTGAGCTCCAAGAAAAGTGCACCTTGAACCTTGAGCAAGCCTCTTCCTTCGGGTACGAAAACGTCAATAAAGTGGTCGTTAAGTTCGGCGAAACTTATTTCTTGTGATCCGAATATGCTCGAGACATACGAAGCAAGGTTAGCTTTGCGTATGATATCGACTTGGGTAGGCTCGGTCAAGTCCAAGTCGGTTGGCGACAGGAAGGCATGTTTTGTAGTATAGACTCTTTTTGTATGATCGAATAACGACCGCATAGTGGCATATGCCTGACCATTTTCTGAATCGGGCTCGGAGACAAATGACGTGATGTCTTGATATGAGGACTTGGCCAAGAGGGAAAGTATTTGTGTAGACTAAGGATTATCATCAGCATCGAGCGTTGTCTACAGGTACCGTGTATACATACGAGATTGTCGAGGATAGGCAGACTCTGTATCTTCAACGACAAACTAGCCTTGACGAATGTCACACTTTTATTCGACGACTGCTCGCTACTCTCTGCGGGCAATTGATCTAGTGCATATTGCTCCTCCAAGCGTTCGGCGCGATCAATTATACTTCCGTAGACGGCAGCCACCTCAGGATCAGGCGCTTCGGCCGATTCTGAACTACTCTTCTCAGCATTATTCTCGGTATTGCTCTCGACAGGTTGATCTTCTATCGGCTCTGATACGGCTTCAACAGGAGGGGAAACAAGGGCAGCGACAAGCGTTTGTTCGATTGGGTCTTCCGGGACGATATCCGTTTCCTCTTTGACATCAGGTGAGTCGCCAAAGCCGGAGTCCGTACGACGTTTCTTATTCGGATGCGGTGAGCCAGGCTCGTCTTCTAGCTCATGAGTGGTCTTCTCAAAAGTCACTACTATGTATTAGCGCAAATCAGATATGTTCGGGTTGAAACAATGGTTGAGGGTTGCTGGGTAGTTGCAGCATGGGCGGCCATGCGGATGACGGGCAAGCAAGAAACAACAGTCTGGCATGTTGAGCGACAAGGACAGCGCACGTACCATTACTTCCCGGTTCAGGGAGTGCTGGTGAGAGTTCTGGTTCCATTGATATGCTTCAATTATGTTTCATGTCAAACATAATAGGGCCGGAAGCTGGAGTGATACTGGACCAGGTAGCAGTAGGATGTCCAGGAGAAGAAATGAGGGCTTAGGGATAGGGCGCAGGAGTAGGGCTTGCGGAAGGAAGGCGCTGAGAAATTTTCGACTGGAGAAMCCCAGCGCCGAGCCGTACGCTAGCCGGATGCGGTATGGGTAGCAATCGAGCGTCATTTCGTTTTATCGAGGTACTGCGCCATACATTAAGCGAACTATTGCTGTTGTAATTCGTGCCCCATATCACTACCATCAGTACGGAGGGTATTGGCTTCTTATTATTGTGTAAGATTCAATCTACAACATTGACTCGACGCTGTTATCAAACATGCTCGCGTGGTACTCTCTCGTTATGCGGTGTAGAGTTAGACGCCGTCATAATCTCAAACGTTGACGTCTGATGAACTTCCAGCACCCGGTATTCCCTTTCACCAGACAGTCGACCCTTGTTTAAATGCTCCTCACTGTTGCTTCTCTCATCCGATCCGCTATGAATCGTCGTTATAACACCTGCAACTTTATCGGGTCGCAAGTCACCCTGCTTCGCTTGACGATCAATCGAATTCAAGGCCACACCTCGGCTACCAGAGCTGTTCCAAATTCGATGAGGTCTGGAGCCGGAAGGACCTGAAAACATTCGAGAGGATAATGTTTCTGGTCCGCTGTTGGAGGAGCCGCGAATTTTGCGAAGGAGAGGGCGGAGAGTGGCAAGACTTGCGGCGGAGATGCCCAGGCCGTTTTCGATGCATGACCAGACTGCGAGGTCGACGGTGGCATCTGGTGAGGACATTATTAGTTGAAGCTCAATGGCAATGCATATAACGGCAAAGACTTACAAAGGAAGTCCGGATTCTTAAACGTTTTGACGAACGGCATACGAACGATAACAGCTAAACTGGCACTGAAGACATCAAACATGGTTAGCATCAAACTCATTATGTGATAGTAACGTTCAGAGGGAACATACACGCAAGCCATGCTCAAAATGCCCATAACAGCAAGCCTCGTCTCCTTGCGCATATTCAACTTTCTCACCAAGAAAAAGGGTAGGATGCCAACGGTGAAATCACAAAACGCCGCTAACGCGCTATAGACATAGGTCATGCTGATAATAGTGTCGATACTGATGCAATGGCCCTGATAGCTCGGATCCAAGGCAGTGCGAGTCCAGAAGTAGGAGATGGGCCTGCATTGTAGGAGCATCATCAACATGAGAATGAGTCCTCCGATCACTGTCAATAACATGACGGAGTATAGAAGATAGATGTGAGATCTGAGAATGGTAATGCGCATCAAAAAGAAGCAGACGGATATCTTGCAGAAGACGGATGAGAAGCAGTAGGCTATTTCGCAGAGCCACCAGTACTATGAATATGTTAGACATTTCATTCTTTCAGGTCTTCTCAGATAGGAATCGTCGTACCTCCATCGCAGTCATTCGTTGATACGCTGTCAAATCGGCGAACCTCCTCCCAGTACCATATACCGCCCCTCCAATCATGCATCCACAGAACATGATGTAGCACAGCTGAACAGAGTGTCAGTTATCCTATTCTTTCCAATATGTACAATCTCCCTACCATTGAGAACACCATAGCCCCATCATCCACCCCAAACGCCTTGACAACGAAAAGGCGAACATAGCAACGTAGTAGGACCGTCAGGAAAGCAATGGAACAAAAGATCGCAGGAATAACCTTGACGACCAAACTCCTATCGTCTGCCATTTGAGGTTGTTGCTCGTACTTCCGTTCCTTCTGGTAACAGCAACATTTCACAGGGAGGGGGGACTTTGGTAGCGATAGAAAAGGATGAGCGAATCCTCGAGTTCTTCAACTACAGACGCTCAAGGCTCGAGCAAGTCGGAAATCCTTTCCAAGCAAAATTTCATGCCAAGTGCTCTACCCGCTTTGACAGATTCAATGCCATTGCCATATGGGAGGCCTCCTGGTACCGACCTACGTTTCAGCGGTGCCTGCCCAATGAGGCCGGATTCTACGACCCCTGACCGATGATCTGGCCCTAGAATGGCCGTTGATCTGGTTTTCTTTAGGCAAGTCCAAGGGTTGATGAAGAAATTACGTTTACCTAAGACGAACCATTTTCGGGCTTTGCTCTGAAACTGGCAAGAGGACCGGGACGCCATGTGCGAGCCCAACAGGGCGAGAGTTTTTCAACAAACGTGCGGAGTCAACGTAAAATAGCCGAAAACGTCTCTTTTCCCCTAGCGTACCCTGGTCTCTGACCATTTTCTGTCGCATGTATTTCATGCAGGAGGCTTGGGTGCTTATTGATCCTCCTGTGGAGGTGGCCGCTATGGGAAAACTCTCACGTGTCGATCTTTGACTATCAATGGGAACGTGGAAGTCAAATAAATAGCGTGGATACGATGCTCTGGGCAGCAGTTGAAGGTGCCTTAGCCTGTGAGTGATTCCTTTCGGGTCTCAGATTCCCAACGATAATTGTTCAGAACTAAAACCCGAGGTCCGGCTCGAGACTCCAAAGTCTGGAACCAGGAACCTGCATGTGGTCTGAGCGGCGAACTCAGATGACATCCAAAACAAACACTGATAACAATACTATTAAGAACGCTCTCTATTGCCTACCTACTGTCGTATGTAGAATCTGTCAGAGATTGCCCACGCGCACCTGTAATCATTGATGCCTACAATCGGTGGATGTTATACGAGTCGCGGATATGTAGATGCATGCACGTGCGTACAACTTGAAACACCATGGTTGAAGATTGACATCTGAAAAGTCGATCAGTAATATAAGCGGGATGTAGTAATGAGAGCGTCTGAAATAAAGATGCACCGTGGAATTGGAGCGCAGACAGAAACTTGGCTAGGAAGTGACTGCGATTTTTGCAGCAAACAGACCCAAAAAAATAATAAAAGAAAACCTTGATATAACGAAAAAAACATACAACAGCTGGGATTCGCTGGTGGTCACCCACCCAACTACTAACCAGCCGGCGTGTGGCTTAAGTACGGCTGAGCGGACGAAGCCCTGTTTTCCACACCCTATGGTCGTATGTACTAGAAATGGCGAAGCAGTGGGTTATATTGAGCATAAATGGGTTATATCCGGCACGGATATATGTACTAGATATAGGCATCAGTAATGTCAAGCTAATTTTAAGCATATTAAGTAGTACTGCATGTTATGCGGAAATGTTATAAATATAACATAAATACGGACTTGGCGGCCCCCGAGGATCTCGCAAAACGCACCTTATTTGGCTTAATTATTGGTTGATATAGCCTAGGACGCCCGTGACTGGCTGGCTCGTCTAGTGGCCTCTTCCTTCCATCCCGGCACCTAATTTATGCATCACTCGACCTTTTATCTTCGTCTTCTCGAAAGTTACTTTCATCTTTGACAATGCCTTCTCAAACAATCGCATCAGAAGGAGTCAACATATCTTCAAGACATATCATCATTTGATACACTTGTACACAATATGAGAGCTCGCCAGGGCTGCCGGACCTGCAAGCGTACGTATTCTGGACCTTACGATAAGAAGTGGCGTGAAATAAGTCTCCATTGGTTGACACATATCCAGGTCGCAAGATCGGCTGTGATAAGCAATTTCCAGCGTGCAGCAACTGCCTTCGCACAGGGAGGCAATGCATGGGTTATGGCATGCAACTTCGATGGGAGGATGAGTACGACGGGAGACGCAAAGATAGCCATCTCAAAGCTCCAACAGACGCTGTCTATCTTCTGCCCGAACTCAAAGAGCTCTACGGACTCCAATTCCTCAACGTGACTTCTGAGGATTTGAAGCATTCGATACGATCCATTCCGTGGCCGCACTTCATTGCTAAAAGAGATCACACATATCCGTCTCCTCGCAGTCTGTCACCATGGCCTGATATTGTTTACGATGGCTCAGATCTTCTCGAATACTGTGAGTGATCTTCCATACCGTTTCCGTGTATACAATATGCTAATCCAGATATACTCTAGATGAACGGAAGATATCGAGCTTGATATGTACAATTGATATCAACAATGGCTTCCGTCTAGACTTATTACCACGTGCTCTTTCGCAAACATGCGACGCATCTGTCGCCCTACGCAATGCTATCTTTGCGGTGTCGTGTTTCCACCGCTTCGATGCGCAAAAGGCATTGCCATTCAAGACAAAGGCTCTTCGCTATCTTTCTTATTCTCTTGGAAGGGAAGAAGCATCGAGACATCCGGGAGTCGCAGAGACGCAGTTCGCCGCATCTCTGATGCTATGTGTTTATAGCGTGCGAAATTCTCTTCAATTTCCTTTTTGTATCTCTAGCCCCCCCGCTGATCGATTATAGGTATTTGACGAGACCGAAGGAAACTGGCACCTTCACCTGAACGGGGCCAAGAACATTCTACGGCGACTTGATACTTCCAAATCTGGCGGTTCGACGTCAAGTTTTCTTTATACGTGGTTTCTCTACCATGAAGTGCTCGGTGGTTGCAGCCAATATCGTAGCCGGCTTTTCGACGGATCGTCTTCAATGTCAGACTTCCTGCCTCCAAAATTCGATAAAAAGGAGGTGAGCCATTCTTCTACCCTATAATATACAAAGACACTGGTTTTAACAGGACAAAGATCATCGGATCACTGGGATTTTCTTTGGAGCTTCTTGACGCGATTCACAGAATAAATTTTTTGCGTGATAATTTGCCCAGTCGAACATACACAACGGAGTTTGATGATCTCGAATCTCAGTTGCTGCATTTGAGTCAACATGCAAACGTAGAGAATGCTGTCCAGATCCAGAACCAAATGACGCGGATCATGTCCACGGCCGAACTTTATCGCATAGCGGCATTGATTTACCTACTACGAGTCATTCCCGAATCCGAAAACGCTACTCGCAGATCTTCGTACGTCGACCAGGGATTTCGGGTCTTGAGATCCCTGCCAATCTGTACCAGTCCCTGGCCGCTGTTTGTGCTGGCTTGCGAGGCACCGTCGGACGAACATAGGATTGAAATTCTACACACCTTGGATCAGATGGATCAAAATCGGAAGATTGGTAACGTTTTCGTCATTAGAAATATCATTGAAACGTCATGGAATAAACAGGATCTTCAGGCTGATGTGGATAACAACTCGAAATTCAAATGGTGGGAGTTGGCGGCTCTCAACAATAGTACGCCTTGGTTTATCTGATCCATACAGCTTACATGAAACGCAATCTGGTCAAAACATTATCGGCACTGAGACTTGGTGTTCAATGACAGACAACATTTACCAACAATTTGCCGTTACTTCATTTTTTCATTGTTGTTACATGTGTATCTATAGTGGGGTTGACCAACAGGCTCAAGAGATCAGGTCGCGCATAGTGTCCTACGACATCGATAAACGCCTTAGGCTTATCAATGTCTCGGAGATCGATGTTAGCGGTCAAGATCGCCTCTGCCCCGGCATCCACAGGCTCACACAGTGGTTTGCCGTCCGGTCCAAAAATCATCGAGAAACCACCACCGGGCGTCTTTGTCACTGGGTTGCCTGACAAGTTATTCTTTTCCACGTTCGCCTCCGTCAAGATTTGCGATGCAACCAATACAAAAGCCTGACCCTCAATGGCAAAGAATTGACTGGCACGATATGACGCTTCACCTGTTTCATGGTACAGCCAGGCAATTTTTTTAGGGTCCGGCATCTCGAATTCGGCTGGCCAGCTAGCTACATGGATCTGTACTCCTTGAGAGTATTCATAGTATCGCAGTAGCGGTTGTAAATGCTCCCAGCAATTGAGTCCGCCGACTTTTCCAAATGGGGAATCAACAACACAAGTCAGTGATTCTGCCTGTCCTTCGCCCCAGATAGTTCGCTCGATGTGCGTCGGCTTGATCTTTCGGCGGTGATGTACGATCTCACCCGAAGGGTCAATAAACGATTGTGCCATGTATAGGCTTGCTCCATCGCGTTCACTATACCCTAGTACGACCATCATACCGGCTTTCTTGACCGCAGCCTGAATACGTTTCATTTGAGGCGAGTCTTTCTTCATCGAATTGTTCATGTAGTCGTGAATTATATGAGAATTGTTGATTACCGCCGATGTCCACATGCTCCTAGGCGGCGACAGCATCCGTCGTTAGTCGAGAGAACATTGATATTTTCGCGATATGGAGAGACTCAGCGTCATTACTTACCATGGATATCCGGGAATCCAAACTTCTGGAAAACCAAGCACATTGACACCATCTGCTGCAGCTTTCTCGATCAAAGAAATAGTCTTGTCGACACTGCCATCTAGATCCAGCCACACAGGCTCAGATTGAACCGCACCAACCCGGACGATTTTAGACATGATTCGCAACCGAAGATTGACGAGACTGATTGAGTATGGCTGAATGATGCGATGCTCCAGGATGACTTTGACGCTCTGGGTTCCTTCGGGGTCTATATATTTACGTCTGAGCGGTCTTACCAACAGTGCGGATGACCTACAATATGCCGCTTGGAACTTCCATATTCGTCCAAGGCTTACATACATATGCAACTGGCGAATCGGTAAGATTCAATAAGTGGCTCTTTTCTGCACGTTGCAGTCCATCAACTTATCTTGATGTTGTTGGTCGTGGATGCCCCACAGAAGATCGCAAACTCCTTCCGTGCCCCGAAAGGGTCCCTGACGCTACATCCACATACGGTTAACGTCTAACAATCGACTCATATCATTGCATACGTACTACTGGCCGAGCAGTACGCGGGAAAAAAACTGTTATTGAATTATCTTTCACCATGTCATCTTAGAGCTTAGATAAAGCTCTGAGCGAATTATTGCCTAAGAAGGCAACTAGATGCGAATTGGCTTCCAAGCCCTAATCCGTGGCTTCGTACCATACTGAGTCTCCATACTGTCGGGTCGTCGGTACATATACCGAAATTTCAATTCGTTCTTGACTTAAAGTTTCTCTTTGAGTAGAATATTCATTCCAGGGGTCAGATTGAAGGTCTCATGGAAACAGTTTGCGATCTTTCCCCGGAGATATTACACTCGCCTTGAGTAATACCATATGGTCAGAACTTGATAATGGATTGTTGGAATCTATGGCATGAACACAGAGCTTGGAACCATAAAGACTGTAGAATAGAACATATCCAAGATAATAGATAAATATACAAGGCCTGCAAGTTGATAAAATCGACAGTGTGCTCAGCATAAAACAAATATTCTTGAATCCGTTCGTCCAACGTAGCTGTGACCTTCATACCCTCATATAAAACCATGACAGCCGATTCAGAAGCCCAAGGGACCCTTGAGGTCCACCTGAAGCCGCGACTGTCGCGCCTAACAATGGTAGCCATGACTTTTGCCATTCTAAAGTAAGACTCTGCTAAGCAAAAATTCCAAGCATCAAACTCTACTGACCATAAAAAAGCACATGGATCGCCCTCGCCGGATCAATCGGTCTCGTTCTCCCATCCGGTGGTCCGGTCTCATTCTTGTATGGCTTCATATTCTGTGTAATTTGCAACTTTGCTTTAGCGGCGAGTTTGGGTGAGCTTGCTGCTATTTGGCCGACGGCTGGAGGACAGTATCATTTTGTATATGCTTTGGCGCCGGAGAAGTGGAGGAAGATTCTGGTATGTCGGAAATATTTATTATACTCGATTAAAAGTGGAGCAAAATTTTACGATACTGATTTTAACGAAGAGCTTTTGGGTTGGATGGACTAATATCGCGGGATGGTTGACATTGGTTACTACGGAGGGCTTTTTTGCCTGTCAGTATACCATTGATATGCGTGTCTATTCGTACCGGTCAGAGGCACATACTGACTTCAAGATAGCTCAATTCATCTCAGCTGCAGCCGTGATAGCTTCGAGCGGATCTTATGAAATCCAGGCATGGAAAACATACTTGATCTTCTTGGCCATATTGACCTTCACTACTGGTGCTAATGTCTGGGGCAACAGAATCCTTGGACGGTGGAATGACGCAGCTTGTAAGTCCCCCTCTACCATTCATGTTTAATCTCTAATATGAATAGTGTATTGGTCCCTTCTCGCCGTAGTGATTATTAGTATCGTCATCCTAGCCACCTCACCCAAGACAGATGCGAGCTATGTCTTCGCCAAATTCGAGAATGAGACTGGTTGGTCTGACGGGATGGCTTGGATTTTGGGTCTACTACAATCAGCCCTGAGTCTTATTGGATTCGATGCAGCTCTGCATATGACGGAGGAGATGCCTCGACCAGCTGAAGATGCGCCTCGCGCAATCCTGTATGCCGTTGCTGTGGGAGGAGTTACGTAGGTCCCCTGCTATCGTTCTGCGAGTGTGCATTTCAACTAACTAAACTGTTGATGTCAAGTGGAACAATATTTCTGATTGTAATTCTATTCTGCATGGTCGACCCAGAAACGATCCTTACAACGCCAACGAACATGCCAATCTCAGAACTCATCCTCCAAGCCACCGGCAGCCGCGCTGCAGCCACAATCCTGACACTCATGCTAGCTATATGCTTTATAAATGGAACATTCGGCTGCATCACAAGCGCCAGTCGACTTACATATGCCATGGCTCGAGACGATGGCATCATCTTCCCGCGCTTCTTCGCCCGCATATCGCCAAAGCTAGACGTTCCTGTACACACTATCGGACTCTGTTTCATATTCAACGTCCTGTTCGGATTGTTATATATGGGTCCCAGTGTGGCCTTCAGCGCATACTCTGCATCCTGCACTATCTTCTTGAACGTCTCCTATGCGATTCCGGTCATTGTACTAATTTTCAGGGGCCGGGATGTGCTCATTCCGTACCAAACAGAATCGACTTTTTTCAAGCTCGGGAAAAGAAGTGGTCTCGCTATAAATTGTGTTGCCGCTTCGTTTGTAGTCGTCACTTCCGTTGTAAGTAGACCTTTCCGTGGGTGATTGATCTGTATGGTTGATTTGGTGGTAGTTCTTTTGTTTTCCGACGTCATTGCCGGTCTCAGGCTCCGTTATGAGTAAGTCCTGCTCAACTGTTGAAGGAAATTGCAAATTATTAACAGCTTAGACTACGTATCTGTTGTTATTGGGATTTTTCTGGTTCTAATCACCTCATACTGGTTCGTCTATGGCAAGCGATTCCAGGGACCGGTAAGTGCCGTAACCACTTCCTATCGCAGTGTGAGAAGAAAAAGACTGATTTCTTTCGAACCTAGAAATTCGATGTTATTATGGGCCATCAACCTGGTTATACGGATGAAAAGACTGCAGTCGATGGGAAGTAATCTTATCATTGTGTCCAAGGCGTGGAGACCTCCAGATAATCCATAGGGTGCTTCTTATATTTGAACTCTGGATGGAAAAGAATATTGTACTAGAGATAAGGAGCAAAGATTGAAGCAAAAATGCCATGCATGGAATCTTTATTCCAAATAGCCATAATGGTTAGATAGCAGCGTCTTATTACGTTCTTCTCACAGCTAGATCTACCATGTACTATCAATCCAGTCAGCCCAAGTATCACCCCAAAGCTCTGTTTTTGTAACAGGCGCCGTGGCTGTAGTTTCTTCTACACGGTCTGTGGTACTGCTTCCATCGCCAGTATTGTCTTATTCTTCGAAGATTCTTTTAAGTAGTTGTTAGTATTCCTGACTGAGGCTTTCGCACGAGTGGTAGGGGAGAATACTTACGGAGTTGCTCCCGCATATAGTGTTGTCCATCCAGCAGGATTCACGACATTAGTCAAGTCCGAGTTTTGGAAAATTACACGTGCATACTGTCTCCATGGTCGACCTAGATATACCTTTTCGCTAAGGCTGTAACCGGAGGCTGCCGTGATCTATAATCCAAAATTAGAATCGATTGAGTTACTGCCAAAGATCGCAGCAGACAACAATTTAACGGTGCCAGCTTACCGTGCTAGAATCAATCACATACCAAGTAGCATCAGTCGTACTACTCCTCGAGTTGGCAGTAATCGCGCCACCACCATTACTAGCAATCGTGCATTCCCCAAACCACGCCGCCGCAGCTCCAAAGATGAAGTCTACTGCGCCCTCGATATAGCAGTTGGAATAATACTGCTTTCACGCTTTGGCATACAACGTGTCTTGATAGCCATAAAATCCGCATGCATAATAACCTTGCTGGTCGCCGTTGGCGGTCAATGCAACGGCTTGCGCGCCCTGACCATGTTTGTTTGAAAAGTTGATGTTGTAGGCCCTGAAGTTAGAGCTTACGACGTTTACTGCGGAGGAGTCGTCCAAATTACCGGCTTCGGTGGAGCTTTCGTTGCGGGTGATCGTAACGGTGTTGTATTTTTGCTCGCCATAACTTTCCATTTTTAGTCAGTGATCGTATAGTGACCGGGTGTGGGTGTTATACATACTCAATCGTGTAATGTACAATGTCAATGCTCCTCCATACGCAATTCGCAGAGCTTCGTTGTATGTGCCACTGTAGATGAAAATACAGGTATTGGCTGTGCTTGATCCGAGAGCGGTTACAGCTGCTGAAAGAGTGCTATATTCGCCGGATTGTGTACCGGATCCGCGTACGACGAGACATCCTGATGGAGGACTTGTGCGAGCTGTTCGTTTCTCGAGATTGGATGTTGGTAATGAGCTGGTTACCTGGGTTTGGAGGAGCCAGGTACAGGCAAAGGCGATTAGTGAAAAGTGATTCATGATGACAGGTAGTTAGATACACGACTTAATTTCTTCTTCACATTCAAAACAAGATTACTTACCAGAGAAACTTTAATAGTAAATTATTTATGCAATCTCTTTACCAGTGACGGGACCATTTTCTCCGCTTAAGGCATTTCTGAATATCATTCACACAAATGAACGGCAACCAGAGTGTTTATTTTCCACAAATTAAGGACTCGCATTTAACTCGACGACTGCTTCGGTTCATAATCAACCTATATCATGGCGGAGAACTGTGTGTTTCGAAACGGCAGGCGTCCGTAATTGAGGATAAAGGAAGGTTTCACCTCCATCATGAATAGCAAAGATCTTAAGAGCTGATATATTTACCCCGCTGTTTTACTTGCGTCTAATGAACTATAATGCATAAGGCTTCGATGAAGCGACCGAGGTTACGCGAAGAAGCAACACTTAAGCTGGCCGATTGACGCAATTGCATGAGTAGACCCTATGTCTGTCGGGTTATAAGTTGGTGTTTAGTCTGAGCTTGGAATGAATCGATTTTGCTGTTACCCGCACTAGCCTTATTCATTGAAGCGACAGGATATTTTTTATGTCATGAGCTTCTCTCTTTGTAGAAGCACCGTAGAAAGATCTTGTGGTTTGCTCGAGTACTTGTCATATCCATGGACGTGTCCGATTATCGATCAATCATGTTTTGGTCTGCGGGCAATTTTAGCCCTTCATGATTAAAAAAGCTAGATTCGTTATTATGCATTGTCAGAATTCTAAATAATCAGTACATCATAGATGATTGTTAAAATGGACTCAACTGATTGACCTCATATGCGGCATCTCGGGGCTCACAGCTAATAAAATTCGGCTTCCGGAGCTGCATTCTTATATATGCAAGAACAAAAACAAACATACCTTGTTGATCATATATTTGGAATTAGAATAAGAATAATCATTGGAATAATCTATCTAGGAAGTTGAGATTGAGCTATGTACCTCCATTGGACAGCATCTCCTAAGGCGGCCTTTCCCCGACTGATGCGTGGACCGGTCCAATACGAAACCCATCTTCAATGCTTCACAAAAATCCTGCCCCTTTTCCCAGTCCCGAAATCCTTGATCTTAAGATGCCTGTCTATCCTGCACCATCGAAGAGCTCTTCTGACTGGTCCAAGATTGTATGCCAATTTGGGGATAGCGCCAACAAATAAGCCCTAAGTCCGCGGTCTTTAGCGGAAGTACCCAGCTAAATTCCGACAGTCGACGCATTGGCTATTCGTGGTTGAAGCGATCTTTGAGTGGAGTAGATGACCAGAAAGAAACATCTAATTACGTCTGTCTACAATTCATACAACTAACTGCTGGAAATGCGATTGGGCCAGGATTGTTTGCCGTTTTGGAGATGGAGCCGAATACATGCTGAAGTATCTCCATGGTTCCTGGGATGGGAGAACTATAAAAATCAATTGATTCCATTTACTTTTCGTGATCAATTCTAGTGTGGAATGTTCTCTTCATATTTATTCGGAGCCAATACTTAACAACCATCCTACTCTTAATACTAAATCTCCAATTTGCCTCTTAATACGCGTCCCAGAATGCATTCGCAACAGCAGAAAAGGCAAAGTAAGACATCGGAGTCTAATTCAGTTACTTCCAAAGATATGCCCGCTTTGCCGGAAAACTTTGGACCTGTATTCTTCAAAAACCAATTTCGAACCAAAATCAGCCTTCCCTCAAAAGAAAAATACCCAACCATTGCAGAGAAAGGCTCATGTGCAATCATCACGGGTGCCAACATTGGCTTGGGGTTTGAGGCAGCTAAGCAACTCTTATCTCTTGGTCTATCCCACCTAGTGATGGCTGTACGGTCGATCGGAAAGGGAGATGCAGCCGCGAAGCAACTTCGTGCTGCTACTGGGGCTGTCAATGCTTCCGCCAAGATAGATGTCTGGCAGCTCGACATGGAGTCTTATGACTCCATCCAGGCATTTGTTCAAACTTGTCAGGAGAACCTGACTCGGATCGATTTTGTCATTTTGAATGCCGGTCTGGGAGCGATGACATTTTCGACTGTCCCTTCAACTGGTCATGAGAAGACAATACAGGTCAATCACATAAGCACGGCATTACTTGCGATCCTTCTTCTTCCCGTCCTCAAAAACAAGTCGATGGGAAGAGATAGGCCGGCACGACTTACTGTCGTCAACTCAGTTACTGCTCATTTGTGCAAAATCCCCAACAAGGAGAAAAGACCGTTCTTGTCTTCTTTTGACAACACAGCAATTACACCTTGGGACGCGGAAGAGAGATACGGAGTTTCCAAGTTACTCTGTCAGCTTTTTATCGTCAAGTTGGCGGAGCATGTCGACCCCGATCAAGTCATCATCAACATGGTTGATCCGGGACTTACAAAGGGTACTAGCCTTTCTCGTGATGCTAAAGGTGCTACTGCTGTTGCTGCAAAGATGTTCTTCTCTATTGCTGGAAGGCCCGTGGATAGAGGAGCAGCGACATATATTGATGCTGTTGTGGGACATGGTAAAAATTCTCATGGTTGTTTCTTGATGAATTGTCAAATTGCTCCGTAAGTCACGTCTAACTTTTAAATGACAATATATTCGATTGACGACTGACAAATTTAGACTCTCTCGTTGGTTCTATACTCATGGCGATGTTTTGAATGACATTGTTTGGACCGAGACCCTTAGAGAGCTACAATTTGCGAATGCCGAACAGATCATTTCTTCGATACATCGTGATATCTAAGCCATGCTTGGGTTTGGTCTTTCAACCCTGAACGTTGGTTTCCACTTCCTTTTGCATGTTTGTCCGTGAACCTCAAAATTTTTCATGGGAGTTCTGCAAAGTATTAATTCAATTGTTGCGCTGATGGATTATTGTGTCAATAATTCTGATTGAAATTGGTATGAAATCATGGGTCTAGCTTTGTATCTGGATGATCATTAGGCAATTTCTGTATAAATTTTCAGTTCCAAAATGTTAATAAGTAAGAGACTGTCAGTTTCTCTTTGAATTAACAACAAAAGAATATACGCCATCATTCAATCTACAAAATAAATCGCGACCATCTTGTTTGTCAGGGTTACGTTAGTCTAGTGACTGCCCTTCCTGATATGGTAAAGTGATTTCTGCGCCATTTGGTCACTTTGATCCAACCAGAAACTTTCACAATTTTCATCGATCATCTCTAGACAGATGGAAAAAATGAATGCTTCTTATGGACGTGTCCTTTCCATTTTTCACGCAAACCAGTGCCGCTGCTCATACACAGACCAATGTGCTTCGGCGACTGCCGACTGGATTGATTCCACTGATATGCTCAAACTTATTATGTGTTGACATTGTTTGCTTAGCATTATCTTGTCACGCATCATTGTTCAAGATGACTAGGGCTTTGCTACTCTATCCAAAGTTCAGGGAGAGTGGCGAGAGAAATCAGCCAATTTTGGAAAGGGAACAGATGTCCAGAATGCCCCTTAAATACATCTCACGAGGAAAACAGAACTTTGAAAGTCCCGAAGAAAGAAAGAATGAAGAAAAGGCAATGCTTAACCCGCGAAAACTGAAGGGAGATTTCAATTACATCTGCTGAACCGCAGTTGCTTCAGGATTCCAACCTTGCAACGGCCCTTTTTTGGATCAATGAAGCAAAGATCCGACTCATCATGGACGCTATGGAATCAACACAAATGCAATATAAACACTAAGCATCATAGGGATTTAGGAATATATACAGCAATAAAGGCTTTGGGCCTGCAAAAAAATGAGTCATCGACGATTTTCGCAGAGACTATCAAGCAAAGTTCAATGTCTCAGAACAAAAATCCGAGTCAATAGAGATCTCGAGAAAATAGCCATGTTGCAAGATGAAAAAGCATAAACCTACAGGGTCTGGAAATCATCTTTCCTTCTTCTCTACTGATAAGATCCCAGCATGCACCAGTTGACAATTGAAAACACGTCGCTAAAGAGAGTGACGGAGAAATTCAGCAGATGAACCATCGTTAACCACGGAGTTGAAGTATCTTTTGCCAAGACGATCGTGCAGCAGATCGATCCACATGATTGAGTGCAAAATATCTCTCGCCTGATCCCAGCTATCGAGACAGCACGAATTTATGATGCACAATAATTGTGGTTTAAGCCACTGGTCATCGTGTTCACCGAAGATTGAAATGGCTCCAGTAATCAGAAGCCACAGCTGGAGGCGCTCCGACAATATATTTGACAAGTAAGAGGCAGTCATACTGTCTCTGTAGGCAGATGCGATGTAATGGTATGACATCCTTGTATCTTTCCACTGTAGAAAGACACTTGACGAGTATGCTAATAATCCGAGGCGTACACACTCGTCAAGAGAACCGTGTCTGTAGCTCATGTGAATCAGACGGTACATTATGGAAGCAGTTGCGTCTACCAAAAGCTCTTTCGGTAATTTGCTTTTAGTTTCACGGGCAAGGTTGATGTGTGCGCTGAAATGCTTCACGATACTGTAGGCTTTAGCCAAGTCATTATCGAGTTCAGCGACAAGGTTATCTTGATTGCCTTGCATGCCACTTTTATCGAGCCGCAAAGCACATGATAGATATTTCTCAGGATATGGCGCAAATGGTTCTGCTGAAGGGTCGGTGAAGAAAAATGTTGTCGAGCCAGTGTTGAGAGCTCGGCCTATATCGCATCTGAAATGAGATTGATATATTAGCCAAGTGGGAACGACTAGAGAGCTGGGAGCCACGTACCTGAAAAGTTCGAGAAGAAGTTTTCCACTTTGCCAGAACGCGCTTAAGCCACCTCTAAAGTCTATTATGGTGCGTAGAGCAGAAAGATGGTATTCCGCGGCCTCACGCTCCCCAGTCAGGGAGGCGTAGACGGCCAGACCAAGAACTGTAGATAAAGTAATGTCTGAGAACCTCATCTCGTCGTTGTCAAGTATTAATCTTTTACGTAACAGTCTAAGTGCTTGAGTGAAGTGTAACGACAATTGCGTGTCTCTAGATGCGGGGCTTTCGCAGCGTCGGAGCGAGTCATGGTAGCCGAGAGTGGTGAATATCATTGTATGGAGGAAAATAGGGTCGAATGCCATGAGTTCAATCCATTGTCTCCCTTCTTGTTTGTCGAATAGAATGCATGACTCTAAAGGGAATAACGTTTGTTTGGCAGCGGCCGAAACTAGATCCAATAGAAGAGACTTTCAGTTCGAGGCACACAAAACTTTTCGCTAATGGAAGAAGGTAGTACTCACATCGCAGAACAAGCGACGCTGTAGAGGGCTCTACTACATCGGCAAGTTGTACAAGAGACACATCCGTACCAACCCTTTGAGGGATGGAAGGAGGATGACCTGAGGGTAATGGGTTCGGGGAGGTGTGAATAGCTTCGTTAGGATCCGGAGCGATGGCGAGAGGGATCAATACTGGCGGAGGTCTTCTCGGCCTTCCCTTGTTGTTTCGGCGTTCTCTGGAGTCTTTTCCAGTATTCTTGCCTAACATGACATGCTTACGAATAAACTTTCGCGTATCTTGGTTGGCCTTGTGCAAGCCTGTTTCTACGATGAATGGTATCGTGCCTAGAATAGGTTAGTGATCAAATATAGATGTGGAAAACACTAAGATGCAACCAACCTGTTTCCGTCGAGGCTGACATGTCATTGGACATATTAAATGGTATCCTAATGGGGTAGGCGTAAGGACAATGAGCGAAAAGTTGTACTGCGCAGCCAAGGCTAACGAATGGCGATGCTCAGTGTGCATTGAGACTGGGGCATTTCTGAAGTCACAAAACATAGTAGAACAGAAGAATCGGAAAATTCAGTTGTGATGATAATTGACATTGTCCCTCGAGAGAAGTAGTGATTGAGATTAAGTTGAAACTCAGGCAAGTGGAGAGGATATACAACCGCAGGGTCTCTAGTCCTAAAGAGGACTAGGGTCATGCACCTTGCACGATTGTATTCCTTTTAGGGACTAGTGTGTATTAGGGCTTGGATTTTTTAGAAGGGGAAAACCAGAGTCTTCTTCAGTGATACTGTTGGAATGTGACTAGCTTCATGGGACAAAGAACCAGGAAATAAATTAATCCCGAGGATTTCCTGGAACGGACCATACCTACACATAGAGCAATCATTGACCTACTTAGGTCTGTTTACCAGCTTGTGGCTGAACAGGATTCTCAACCCCTCCATTTGCAGCCCACCAGGGAGCAGGGTCGAGTATGCACTGAGTCCAATTGTAAGGCAAGAGATTATGACATTGCTAATGTTGTTTCGGAGAAAGAACTTGGCAATTGGGTCAGTAGTGCTGGCTTCGATTGCCAATGCGTAATCATAGCATTTAGTTTGATTGCATTTGTTTGTGAGTGTTCTTTATACGGGTATACGGTATCCGCTTTGTAAATGAGGTCCTGGATAGGGTTTTTCATCGGATGGCATGGGCCTTGGAATCCGCCTGAGTCGTATGGAGCCTCGTCAATTTCTAGTTTACATCGTAACAGAAACTTCTCGCTGATGAAAGAATTCCGAATCAAACTTGTTAGAAGTCACTAATATCATTCGGTGGTCATAGAAATCATAAGCCTAACCTAGTTTGGAGGTGCGATAGAGTATAGGTACAGGATATTGAATGATATTGTTAGCACTAGGTAAGAGTGACATCAAGTCAAAGATAGTACGACCTATCATTCCTTTTCGGGGTAGGCATTAATAGGAACCGGTGCCTATGTAGAAAACAGTTGAAAACTCTTTCTCTGTTTGACCTACAACTCGACTCAAGTCATCGAGACATTTTCGGAGCATTCAAACAATAACACTTTTCGTGTAATATTAACTACAGCACAGAACCGGACCTTGGAATACAAAAGTTACAAATAGTGAGGGGCTGTTCATCTGATATAAATCAGGGCGTGTTTAATCTCCCACTAAATAGTAGCATAGTGAAAGTGAACAAAGAAATCAATCATTTGGCTGTTTGTTCACTTCTATTTGCTTTATGGGCAACTGGCATTATGATTCAGGGTTACTCCAATCCGTGGATGTAAATGACGGATGCAAGGTAAAAAACTTCAGGCAAACAAACTCCCGAAATTTGACTCTAGGCTGGCATCTTACTGCCTCGCTGCCTAAGCTAGAATTCGAATATATGACTGAGTCTGTCATCTTCTTCGCGTTCTTTTCTTTCACTTTTCCCACTTCCGCTTGCCTCATTAATCTTCACATCACCTTCTACATTACTTCCCACACTATTTTCTATACTACTTCTAGCATTGCTTTTTGCAGGCAACCCAGCATTTTGTTACCATCCATCGGTCCTCGAAACAATGCCGAATCAAAGCACCTTCAGTCAGCTTCAAATCCTAATTGAAAAGGAATGTTCCAAGGCTTCATTCGCATGCGGTGGTAGTATTACCATCAAGGAAGACTCCACTGCCAAAACCAAAGCCACGGCCCAGTCCTCGGTGCCTATCAACCTGTTCTGGGCATCTCCCAAGGACGAAGAAATCCATAGACTGACTTTCCCTGCACAGTCGACAGAGTCATCGGTCAGCCAACTGGCGAATGATTGCACAGTAGCCTCATTTGGCCGCGGTGATCAGGATGTGGTCGATACAGACTATCGTCGAGCAGGAAAATTGGATACAACACACTTCGCGAGCAACTTTCACCCTACTGAATTTGGCATCTTGGAAAACATTGAACAGATTTTGCTTCCGGCGATGGGTGACAAAGCAAACGATGAAAGTCATTCCAGAAAACTCATTGCGGATCTATACAAGCTCAACGTATGTTCTATATCTGCATTGCTTATCAAAATTTGATCTTCAATGTACTGACTTCGCGATTCGCGATAGGTCTACTCAGAGCCTTCCGGCCATTTTTGCAACCATGTTGATACCCCAAGAGATACGACCCAGATAGGTTCGCTTGTTGTGTGTCTGCCTTCTAAATTCGAAGGTGGGAACCTCCTAGTTCGCCATGGCGGCCAAGAGATCAATTTCGATTGGTCGTCTAAAAGTGCGTCAACCGTACAGTGGGCTGCCTTTTACAGTGACTGCGAGCATGAGATCAAGACTGTTACAAAGGGGCACAGAATCACTCTTACCTACAATCTGCATCTCGTAGATATGATGGGCGGTGCAATTTTGTCACCGAGACGAATTGTCGACCCAGACACGCTTCCTCCATATAAACTTATCAAGTCCATGGTAGGAAAGAAAGATTTTATGACCGAAGGTTTGTACTTTGACTCCCCTTTGACTGTTCGTTTGTGTTTCATTTTCATAATTGAGCTAACAGAACTCAGGTGGTATACTTGGCTTTTTCTGCTCTCATGCGTATGCACACACCTCTGGTGACGCAGCACGCCGTCTTCCCAAGAATCTAAAGGGTGCCGACATTATCATCTACAGTATTTTTCAAAGTCTCAGATATGAAGTTTCAATTCGCCCCGTACTCGACGAACAAGTTGAGTTCACCTACTACAAGGGCAGATTGGTGGATGCACAAATGGTATCAAACATGCCTCGTGACATGAGTGGTGCGAATGGGAATAGAAAGAGATGGGAAAATCTTAGAGGAAGGAAAAGCACCAAGCGACAACAGAGGATTGCCGATCTTGTTGGGACCGAACTACACAAGGAGATTGTTGCTAGCGCTTCTCAAGTGGAAACAGATTTAGAAGAATTGCTAATGGTATGAATCTCGTTACTCATGCTGATATTACTTCCTCTAACATTTTTAAATATTAGATTGAGGAAGATTGGCCAAATGAACCAATTGAGGATATTCACTGGCTAACTTCGGCGAAACATTATGACACTGCTCTCACTTACACTGCCTATGGCAATGAACCCTCTGTTGGTTACAAGTACTCATACGCTGCTATTCTAGTGACGATTCCTGCATGGGAAAAGCGGCAGAGACAGTAAGCCACAGGCCGCTACTCGGGTTGCGGTCTTGTCTCGTAAATCCGAACACAAAGTGTAGCGAGACTGGCGCTCTGGTGATATTGAAGGGACAACATAGACTTGGATCAGATTGCTTTTTAAAAGTATTTGTTTGACCACGGTTATCAAGAGACGCTTCTCTTACTTTTGTGTGCTTTGAATCTCCTCTACTCCTCTTGTTAAATTTAGATCATCTTTTTCTCTGCTATAACTAGCTCTATATTTAGGCACCAATCAATACGTCCTTCCTCCAGCCAGTCCATCTCAACGCACCAATATAAGATTTTTCAAGAGCTCGACTTAGCTTCGCCATAATGGCTACTAGACTCCAGCACCACGGTGAGGTGCGAGCTCATTGCTGGAGACCTGGTGGGAACAGGTACCGCATATTTTAGCGGATTTCTTTCTGACTACGTCAGATCCCATCTACTGCCATATTTCAGCAGCCTTGTCTTCTATACTAAAAGCATAGATTGGCCCTATAGACCTCAACTGCGCCTAATTTCAGCGCAGGACGGATGAGGAGGAAAGGAGGGAGGCGGAAAGAAGGGGGAGGGGAATATGATTAGTCGGGAATTTTAGATTTCTCATCCTCATCCACTCGTTCTGGTAATTCACGCTCGTTCTGCTGCTGCTGCTGTCCGTTATCTTGGACACGAGAGGCGGCACGAGCGGCGGTACGACGACGACGACTCGGTCCGGGGCCGGCGCGGAGGGGCTGACCAGCCGAAGCTGGTTGCGGAAGATCCTGCATCAACCTGTCGACGATCTCGCGGAAAGCTATTTGGTAAGGACAGTCTTTCTGCAAATGGCCCGTCTTGTTACAGATGTAGCAACGTTTCTGGTCCTGAACTTGTCAGCACTATAGAGTGTATGAATTACTAGGAAAGGGCCATGAAGTCTACCTTTTTGACCCCCGAAGGGCCATTTCGAGGGGGCTTGCGGTCGTCCCTCTTGTCGTCCTTACGGCGACCACTCTCAACACCTGCACTCACGTTAGAAACCTTGTTAGACATGGTTGAAACGTTGGAAACTGGGATATTCTCTGGCAGTGGATAGTATTGTAAGACCGATGTCGAAGTAGATCACGATGTTGATGAGGAAGAGAAGAGAAAAAAAGAAGAGGAGGAGGAGGAAGAAGAAGAAGGAGGGGGGGGGAACAGGTTGGGAAAGCGCCCCGTTGCCCGTTTGTTTGTGCTCCCAATTAGGAAAGAGCAGAAAGGCGCGCTTACTTTGGGTCTTAACCAAGCAAAAGGCCACACAGTACAAGCGGCCATACGAATGCGCCAACTGGGCACGACTCAGTGCTTACGACTATCTAGGCGTCAACTGGGCTTTTGCGGAATCAAGTCCATCCCTGAGCCAGAAAGGATCTGACACTTACCACATGTGATCTATGATTGAATATACAACTATATCCTCTTCACGAATGACACAGACTTCCTCCATCTTATACGGGGAATTGATCCAACTCATCGCCGCAATGCGAAACCGCGCACACCAGCGCGTGATGATCGAAAATGACGAAGAGGACGACGAGGTCGAAGAACCCCAGCCTCGCAACCCCCCTGAGTATTAATTTAAACACGAGCAGAGGTTTCCAGTATTTGACGGTTTCTTGTGTGGCTCCTTGTCATGCGCGAATACACTACGCATGTATGCATGCGTGGATGGTTCAGATGTGGTTATCAGGCAATCAAGGCTTTTCAACTTCGAGAAGGGCCGATCAGCTCCCTTCGACTTGTTTGCAAGACTCCTAGCAAGCAGACGCCTAGAAGAAGGTGAAGAGGAAGTATCAATTGAAACTGAAGAGAAGTAAGAAAATAAACGATACTTACTTCTCCGCCTACGCTTCCGAGCTAGTGCAAGTCCTGTTGCTGAAAGAAGCGACAGGAGCTTGAAGCCCGCTGGAAAATGCGGTACCTGGATCATCAGGTCTCCAGAAACGAGCTTGCACCTCATCGTGGTGCTGGAGTCTAGTAGCAATTATGGCGAAGCCAAGTAGAGCTCTTGTGATTTACATATCTTGAAGTCCAAGGGTGCTAGTTGATATGGGGTTACATGAGCGGTTCAGCCGATTAGCATCCTCGTCTTTAAAGTCTAATTGAAAAAATTMCSGAGCCGTAAGGTACTCATGACCCGTACAACAGTACAATACAATCTGAGGGAAATAAGTCAAGGATAAACGTGCACATGGCAATTGACAGTAACATTGACATGTCCAATCCTGGGTCTCCTCTGTGGTCTTACCAGGTAAAGTTATTTCAAATGCTACCATGATCGTACTGTATTTTTCACATATAGCGGTTATTGATTCTGGTCCAAGATATTAAACACATGAGACTTGAAACAATTCCATCCAGATGTCTTCTCGATATCATTGTACATTTGATGAAACCCCCTGCCCGAAATTGTCAGGAGCAACACGATTGCACGGAATACCAGAGCTGTTTTGATTGATAATGTTGGCACATTGATAAACCTCATCCTGTAATGTCGTATTCCACATTGGCAATCCAAGCGTGTGGTTCACCGATTGGAAGGTGACATTATCGAACTTGATTCCCGGACAAGGGACCAAATCTGAACAATACATCGAAGCGACAATGTTATATGCCGAAGTGCCTGTGATGTTGACCCAGGAGACATCCTCAATCTGGAGTTTGGACGTGTTGCATGCGCCGCTGGACTCGCTGTAGATGCATTGGGAGATCTGGATGGGCAGGTGGGTATTGACCATTTCAAAGTTACTGAAAGTGACGTTCTTGACCAGACCACCGCCGCCACCGCCAGAATCGCCGTTCGAATCATTATCGACCGGCGTTCCTTGCCATGTCTTGATATATGCACCCTCGGTACAGTTCACGCACCGCACGCTATCAAAGGTTATATTCTCGACATAATCTGGCCAGGCCGGATACTGTCCAATCGAACCGATAGTCATACCTGTCGAGCCGTAACAGGTGACATTTCGAACCAACAGATTCGTCGTATTACCCTTTGCAGCGATGCAGTCATCACCATTAGTGATAGTAGCATTTTCAATTAGGAGATTGCTACTTCGCCACGAATCATAACCATCTGTATTTGTCGTGTCCCATTGGTCGTCACTTGTAGCGTTGACGAAGAAGTTGGTCAGGGAGACATTGGTACTTTGCCAGACAAAGGTTGCCCAGAATTGTGGTTGGAGGATAGTGAGTCCATCCGCTAACAGATTTGTGGAATTGAAGAATGTGATACTGATAGGTCGACCGGGCTGATTGGCTTCGTTTTTGTTTTCGGTGTACCACGTCTGGCCATTGCCGTTGATCCAACCTCCTTCACCACGCAGGGTGACATTGGTACCACCAAATAACCAGGCTGTCGATTGATTTTGGTATATGACTGAAAAGACATGTGATTTCCAGTAAGGAATATTTGTGGAGAAGCGCAACTCTCCCCTAAGAGAGACGTCACAGTTGATCAGGTTGGTAGTATTGAGCACCGAATTGACGTTGAATGTGTTGTTGGTGAAGATCACAGTACCATTGATTCCGCAGAGGTCGAAAGCTTGGTGAATAGATGGTGCATCATCGACTGCCTTGCCATTATGTGTTAGGGCTTCCGGGTAGATTTCGCAAGTTGTGCCCTCGTTAACCACATAGCCCAATACCGCAGGGGCTAGCAGATTGAGAAGAGCGAGTACATGTATACGCATGCTGAATTGCTATGAAATATTTCACTGAGTATCTCTACCTCGCTTCCAGCAACGAGACATACATGTATCGTGAAAAGATAAACGAAGTATTTATACCTTCCATATTAATTATGATGCGATATGCCTCATAGTTCATCCTATTGCGTAGTACTGCATTGGTACGAACGTGAATGCTACATAGACACTCACTTCCTAAATAAGATACCCTAATATCCTCTTCTACATACTGGAAAAATTTCCGAAGTGAAACAAATCCTCGCGGCCGAAGATCGACAAAGCTATGACGCTCTATATCCCCGCGGGGTACATTTAAGCTTGTTTTCCTATCAATAGCCGTGCCGTGCGGACTAAACCCCGCGTGTCGGCCTTTGAATCCATCCAACTTTTCACGTACAAATACTTACCAATGTCCAATTACACCCCTGCTAGAAGGCATTCAATTGCCGGATGACTTGGATCTTCGTCTACTAGTACGCTTTTAAACGACGCTATATCGATTGTGTAAGGACGGCACAGCGGATTGATTCTGCGGATAGTGACATAGCCCTAATCGTGAGAAGCTACAAGAAATGTGCATGAGTCATTCGAATGTATGATCAAGGTCATTGCAAATTTGTTAAGAAGCTTATGTTATTCCCCTTCCGAGTGATCCGGAGTGCACTGCGAGGAAGTAGCCGAAGTGCCTTAATTCTGTGTCAAACGCTCTGCCTAAACCGGCGATCGACTACACCTTCCTAGAAAGGGAATTTTATTAACATACCTTGACAGCTCCGAGCTGTATCCGCTGTCGTATATTCTTCTACATGTAAAATTCTTACCAACAATGGGTTCTTCTCGATGCGTGGAAAAATCAGGTTAGTTTCCATATTATCCATGGATGCAGCCAAACCAGTGTAACTTCTTTTCACAGAGATCTCTTATCATATTAAGTTTGGATTTATTCATCTGAACCTCGACATATGTCATACACGGCACTTTCCATGCTTGTAGGGAGGGAGAGAGAGAGAGAGAGCTACATATCATTGAAACCCGGGCCTCTTGCTTTGAGCTGTTTTGGATCATGCTCTCATTGACTCTAGAATAATCCGAACACCCGCAAAGTCCAGCTCAGTCAGAGTCTCCTCCCACAGCCGCTGTCTTAAAATATCACCTTCCGTTGTGTACAACATGGCTGCAAACCTATGTATATGATTAGAGTAAAGACGGAGGAAGTTTAAAACTACGGGAACCTGTAAGTTAACTTACGGATGAATCTCCCAACTCATAAGAAAACCTCCATGGGATTCCTTCCCTTTGTTCACCATCGCATCGACCAAACATGATGCACCCACCTGTGGAGTTCTTCCAGCAATGGCGCCCCAAGCTCTCATGCCCATTCTCACCGGTACTGGGACCTCGCGTAGTAGACTGGTACCTTTCACAAAGGCAGGATCGGCGAGATTGACGATAACATCATCGGCGGAGACGTAGTCGACAAGATTCCAGAGAAATATATGAGCTAGTAGCTTGGTAATATTGTACTGTTGTACGGCGCTGAAGTTTTGAGGATTGTCAAGTGACTGAAATAGTGAGGTTTCACTCTTGTTGGAAAGTGTTACACCCAGACTGAGCATGGAGTTGACAATTGTCAAATGTGCAGGTGTAACGCTCGGTACACGCTTAGCTTTGAGAATGGGCAGAAGAAGAACTGTGAGCAGCATGGTGGACAGATAATTGACTTGTAGGTTTTCTTCATGGCCGGTGCTCTCGACAATGGTAAAATCAACTTTTCTCACGCCTGCGTTGAGAAGAACAAAGTCAATGCGCGATAGTGAAGCTTCCACTTGCCGTGCAAAAGTCTGAACTGAATTGTATGAGGACATATCCAACAGCAAAACTTCAATCTTGGCTTTTGTGAACCGTTCACAAAGTTTAGTAGCAGCCATCTGCCCCTTCTTCTGAGAACGCACTGCAAGGACTAGGTGTGACAACTTGAGGTTGAGAAGTTGGACGGCGGACTCATAACCAAGCCCAGAGTTGCCTCCGGTAATAATTGCTGTCTTGCCTGAGAGATCTGTGTCCGGTGAAGGCCATTGTGGTTTGGCTCGAAATTGATTGCGAAAGAAGATGTTGCGAAATGGGACAGTTGACGGCGGAAGATCCTTGGAGCCGACCATGTTGAAGCGCGAACGTTGGGAAATACAGGTTGCTGTATCGGTTGAGGGGAGACCGGGGGAATACACGGCCAGTTTTGTACTTCTTCTGTCCTTGACCTTCCCATTTCCCTGTTGTTCTGTTCTCAAGCACCTTTTCATATGATAGCCCTAGTACTGAACTAAACCAGAATGGGAATATAATCTCGGTGGGTCCTTCGATCTTGAGAGTGGAGACTGACGCCTTCTCGGCTTTCGATCGACTTCCAATCTCACGAAACTCCTCAATCCACTTCTGTATGGAGTCTATTAATACGGCTCGATGTAATGTAGATTTTGCAGATAGGCACTTATATTTTGGACTTATCACCGTCTTTTTCGTGCAATCTACTTACTCTATACGGCAAAAGACAAGTAAAACGTTTCTGAACCGCCTGGTATCATCTTGAAAAATGCCTTAGAAAGTCCACAGATTTCTAGGCTTTGGTAAAGGAAATACCACACAGCATGGGAACTCCGCTAGACCCAGGTAAGGCGTTTCTAGTCCCTTGCAAGGGGTGCATCATTCGACTCTGTGGGTCAGAATCTTACTATTGCACTACGGTGAACAGGCCTACGATTCGTGATATCAACAGGAACGGAGAAACCTGATCCAGAGCTACGAAAAGTGATCCGGAGCCATGTGATGCGGAAAAAGAATTTAGGGAGACTACTACCCCCACGGAAGAGAAAGGAAAGAAGGCCACAGGATGAAACGGATTCATATACCGACGCAGTACAAACTGTCGTAACTTCCAAAAACCCGATCCCGCGCAATTTTGGCTTTTTTGCATCTGCAGTAACCTTTGCCGACTCGATAGAACCCGAAGCCGTTGACGATTTTCTCAAGTGTGAGTTTTGGTCTACTTCTTATCTGATCTTGAATTCTGGTGGTCTCGGGTGGCTCATCAATTCTGAATCAGTTTCATACATTGCAAAGCAGGTTCTATTTCCGCTAGAATCGTGCATACTTTTTGAAGGTAGGGCAGAATCATGGATCGCCCCTCTCCAGTTTGATGCTGCTTTCCTTCACTGTATGATATTCAGCGCACATTTCTACTTCGATGCAATTGCTTCGCGCCAAATCCCGGGTGTCACGCCACACTTGACTCCGCAGACCTTGCCATACTATAAGAAGACCCTCGATCTTCTTCGGAAACGGCTCTTTGATCAAGATCTTAATGCACGGACTTCTTACACCACCCTGTCGATATTCAACATCCTTGCTTGCCATGCGTATGTGATGGGTAGTTGTGAGAATGCAAAACATTATGTAGAATGTCTGCATCGACTGGTCACGCTTAGAGAGGGAGTGGTCTCTTTCAGCGACAATCCGAAACTTCTGGCCGAGATACTAAAGTATGGTCCTTTATTTCTAATGAGGCTGTTTCTTGTCTCTTATAGCTGAAATTATACAGGTCCGATATAAGCATTTCACTTCATAGCGGTCTTGCACTCACGTTCTTCAAAGACCAGGAGTACATTCTACCGCACCCAGATCTCGCGTCCTTCCTTAGATCACGAGACCTCGCCGGAACAGACCCCAGGCCTTTGTTCAACATGGACGCTGAGCTCTCCAAAGTCTGGAAAAGAATGTCCGAGTTCTGCTCCGTTATCAACCTCGCTGCCGATTCCGGTCAGCTCATCACCACCCAGATATTTCTCCAATCCATGGCCTCAATAGTATACCCGCTCCTTCATATGAAATTTGAGCCTCACCCCAATGACGAAGCAATACGTCTAACTCTTCTCGCCTTATCGAGCAGCGTTTTCCTTCCGTGGAGACAGCTTGGATTATCTTATCCCTACCTCAGGTCTCAACTCAAGGCTTGCCTCTTACAAGTAGATACTCAGAAAGCTTCTCCAGCACAATCGATATGGCTTCTGATGGTCTCGGCAGTCTCTGTCTTTGACTTCAGGGATGGTCCTTGGTTACAGTCTTTGTTATCCGGCCACATTATAAGTTGCAATATTCACTCTTGGAGCGCAATGCGCAATCTTTTGAAATCATTCTTATGGATTGACCTCGTGAATGATGGACCAGGAAAAAGTATATTTGAGTCGACAATTAGGCATGAGCAGACTCAACCTGTCGTTTTATCGATATCCACGGCAGATGTCTTGGAAACTTCCGACCATGGCTCGGATGCAAAATACGAGCAGATTTCTTTACCTCAATCTTGACAGTACTTCAGTTGTATTTTCGATAATTTATTTCATTGATTGACGGTAATAGTGCTCTCTTTCTCATGACGGTCTTCACTGGGCGTATAGCCCTAGTTACATTTGTACTAAAACGGCCATCCGCCCTCCATTCCCGAAACGGTACTTTTGACCACAAAAACCATCATACATCTACATCACGATAATACATTAAAGATCCCTTGATTATCGATTACTCTGACTCTTTATTTCTTTGTTTAAGGCTCAAAATGGTGATTGAAAAGGTTAAGCCGTGGTTTACTATAATCCGAGTCAAGTTAGGGCTTCTCCCACAAACCTTCCGCATCCGGGACGGAAATGATGATGTTGTCATGACTTGGACTCGATGCAACTGTATATAGGTCATTACTCGTACTTTCTTCAATTTGATGAATTATGAGCATAGAGTCAATTATCAGTACTTCTATTTCATTCGTATAGTACGCAATTGCAATTCCAGATGCCAGATGGCTGTGTTTGTCAATTCGATCCATGAACTCACTTAGAAATAGGATTTCATGGAGGACTGGCGAATGACAGGTACAGCTTTTTAAGCCTCAAAAACCAGGATATATCGAGTTCAAAAGGCTGGTTCCAAGTAGGAAGCTAAGATGTTTCTGATAGTAAACAACATTGATCAAATCATCCGTTTCCGGCCCCTTGGAACCTTTGACTCTATATAGCTCATAGAGCAGCTTCGGATCATGACGGATAGATTAAGGTTGAACCAAAGTTTTGCTTAGTAGTAGCGAGATGCGTGACCTCTCTCTGACACAAGCGATGCGTGAAGGGTCATATATAGGGGTCCCTCTTCAAGTTTATTTCGCGGTAGAGTCTGTATCCCGAATTACGAGTGTTTGAAATCGTCTCCATTCACCATGCAAACTTTTCAGTGTTTCGCCCTTGCGCTACTACTCTCAGTTCACGTCTTAGCTCAGGACGCTGGAGTGACCGTGTGGGCAGTCTTCGGCTTCAACGTGCACGGCGATAGCACGCCTGGTGTCTTGTCGGAGCCCAAAACATTGACTCCATTTGGAGCACAAAACTTATACAATGTCGGATCTAATTTCCGTGCTCGCTATATCATCGGCGGCTCTGTCAAGGCACAAAACACTTGGGTACAGGACCTCAATCAGCACAAATTGGATCCTGAACAAGTGAGAATATACTCCACTTCTGAACAGTATAATGAAGCGTCCGCTCTTGCATTCATGCAGGGACTGTATCCTCCAACTGGCGATGCGGACCAGAACTATACCTACCTTGATGACACTTACATTCTATCGAACGGCACTATAGTCGGCTCTCCTTTGAACGATTACCAATACCCACGAATTTATGCTAGCAGTCTGGCAGACCCTGGCTCAATCCTTGTCGCTGGTCAAGCAGACTGCGACAAGCATCAAGTGCTGGAGCAAGAGTACCAGGCGAGCTCTGAATTTCAACGCATTGATTCGGAGAATGCCCAATTCTACTCTGACATGTATAATCTCGCTCTCGAGGGTGTATTGAATGAAGCCTCGGTAGGCTATGCCCGAGCCGCAGATGTATACGAGTATCTGCAATATAACTACCTGCACAATGAAAGTCTCATGACAGAACTATCATCGCAAGACTTACAGAGGGCGAGAGTGCTGGCAAACCAATATACGTATGCCACCAACGGAAATGTGACTGTTTCGGGCAATGACGATAGCGACCGGGTTCGTGCCATTGCCGGACGCACTTTATCTCGCCTCATTCTGCAGTCTCTCCTTATGAACATTGAGACTGAGGGAGCTGGATCAAAGATGACGTTAGTGTTTGGGGGTGTCGAACCGATCGTCGCTTTCGCTGGCCTCAGTCAGCTTGCGTCGACAATGAACAGCCAATTTTATGGTATGCCGGTTCTTGGATCTTCAATGATACTCGAATTATTCAGCATGAGTCCAACATCTTCGGACGTATATCCAAATACATCAGATCTATACGTCCGACTTCTCTTTCGCAACAGCTCTTCAAGTCATGAGGGGTTCACTCAATATCCCCTGTTTGGCTATAGCCCTAGCCAGATCGACCTTCCTTTCAACGAGTTCGCTGCCGCACTTGGCGAATTCATGCTTCCCTCGACAAAGGCATGGTGTGACGTGTGCGACAGTTCTCCGATGTTCTGCCTTGGAGCCGCAAATTTGGGTAAGAAGCAGAGCAAAAACCATCTCAGTCTCGCTGGTGCTGGGGCTATCGGTGCAGCCGTTACTCTTGCGGTAGTATTGGCAACTATGGGTATTGCGTGGCTCTGTGGTATGGGACTGTATCGACGACGCAAGTCACCGGGTCTCGGTGGTTTCAAGGGTGATAAGAAGATGGCTAGCGACCAGGATGTTAGTTTCGCGGATACACCGAACGGGGCGTTTCAAAAGATCGCACCTGGTGGAGGCGCAAAGGTCAAGAGTCATGAGCGTACCGGGAGCTGGGAAATGAGAAACAAGGATCGTGTGTCGCCATTAGATGACGAGGAGGACGACGATATAAGCGGCATTACAGAACCGGTCAAATGCCATCAGATTGTGTGATAGTCAGTAGCAGTCAATACAATCCTGTGTCATTGCGTACAAAAAGAGTTCAAAGTCGAGTAGAAAGCGTTAAGAAATAAGCACGTGAGCACTGAGTGTTGCCATCCGGCAAGTGCAAAGCGAGAACATCGTCACTCCTTCCTTCGCGCACCAAGGACTCGTTGCTGCCTGTTTGGGCAACCGAAAACGGAGGACTCAATGAATGTACTTCGTTGTTTCTCTCGGTGTACGACGGCTCTCATCCATCTTCCATTCCCATCTCCTGTCACACCATTCATACATCTTCTTGAGTGCTCCAGTCACTGAACCCCGGTCAAAATTCATTTTCTTTCTATCGTTTTACCGCAAAACATTTGAGTATCCGTCTCCAACAATGTCGAGGTATAGCATTACGGAGTTGTTGGCTTTACAAGACACCGCCTCTATTGATATCGGCCAATTTGCTATATATGCACTTGAGAGTTAGTTTCTTCCAGGACTAGTAAGAGACTCCTAAGCTTACAGACACAGACAACCTGCTACGCCGCCAGAAACCCGGATCGACCACCGACCGTGAGCCAACCTCGTCTGGATCGAGACGTGGCGATCGTTCTACGATGACCTCAGACAGTTCATTCCAGAAAGTGGCTTCCCGTTCGCAAAGCGAGACTCATGACAAAGATTCAGATGACAGTTCTGGCTTTGTCAACTTCCTAAAGCGACATACTTCACCAAAACATCAACGAGTCACTCCAGGCGGCAAAGTCGTTCACATTGACACAAAGGTACCCGCTCCGGAGTTCAAACCGCCGACGATCAAGAAGAGCGACGATTGTCCACCAAAGAACGGGAAGAACCCAACGAAGCCAGTCACATCGCAGAAAGTGAACGTAGAAAAGAAAACTGCTCAGAGTAGCGGGGACTCTTCCAACTCGAACAGTGTCAGGTTCGACATTTCAGCTGAACACGACAAGCCTGCTAGGGGGCCAGGAGGTGTTCGCATAGCTACTGGTAGTGAGGAAACCAATCCCCACGTTGGTGGTTTCTATCCTACATGGCCATCTTTGCAACAACTGCCAGCTCCATTATTGGCGTCTGATATCTATCGACAGCAACCATTACCATTGTCTCCAGGATTCGGGCCGATATTCCAGGTCATGCAGCCGAGTCAAGAGCATATTTCAGTGGCAGGATACCTCAACTATCCGTCATTGCTGCTGACAGATCCAGGAGCATGGTATCAAGCTGCTTCTCAGCCATACATTAATCAAGGTGCAATTCTCCAGAATCTATCGCAGCCACAAGCCGCTCCTCTGTTGACGACCCTTCTGCCAACGGTAGCAAACCAGAGTGCAGTCTTCCCTACAATCAGCCTACCCGATCCTCATATGAACGTACCGAGTACATATGCCTTGCTTGGTCCCAACAATTTGGCAGGCCAATTGTCCCAGCCAATTGCACCATATGCAGGAACACTTCCCACATACATGGCTGACCAGAACACGCAAAGATCGCTGCAGGATGCAGTGAAGGAATTTCAGAGTCTGTCGACACAACTGGCGAATCTCGATCGGTACATGGCTATTCATGTGTTCGAGATGGATGCAGAGACGAAACAAAGCCTAGTTGAGCAGCGACGCAACCTCGTCAAGGACCTAGACATGGCGAGACGGTACAAGGAGCATCTCGAGTCTACTCTCAAGATTCCATCCACGATTGCTGGAGCAACAGGAGCGTCGCCCATATTTTAGCGGACGCCATCCTCGCAAGACGTCGATCATCCCATGCTTCTTCCGTCCTACTGTGCAGCGTCCTTGATACCTGAATTCGAGCCAGCTTGGAGGCGTCTAATAACGATATTGTCGTATTCATCAGGCATACGGGCTCAGGCCAGCGTGTTAGACAGATAGTCAATATTTTGTATAGGCAAACGATGGAACATCTATATGCTTGAATTACCGGTGAACAAGTCGCGATCCATGTAGACATTGTACGTAGTACCAGTAGTACCAGCAGTACAAATGAGACTAGATCGTGTGGTGGGTGGCAAGGGTTGCATCCCGTGCAACGCATGGCAATATGCCTCCTGCATGGCGGCTACCGGCGTTCTCCCACCATCACATCCTCCATTGTATCGTAGTGTTCGTATGATACTGTGGCTGTGGTTTGACCCTGCCATCGAAACAGAAACCTCTGATTTGATTCGGCGACGAGTCTGACCGCGACCCGTTCCATACTTTCTCCTTGAGGTGGAGTCTAGTCATGCTCCATTAGAGATTAAGAATTAAGAATTATTTTAGCCGCGCTTTGCACTTTTTGAAACTTTACTGAGAACTTGTACCGTAAAATGCTTGCACAGAACTTTGAATCTCTTGCTTTACTCTGTACAATAGTACTCTGTAGGACTCGGTGTTATGCACATTGCAGTCAGTGGCTGGACAAAGCGTGGCAGCAGGAACAGGGCCTAGACACAAACACAGCCTGGCCTGGCCACCCGCTAGACCACTGTGCAATACCATTACAGGTGTGTTGTAACGCTCGCCTCGCTATTTCGGCACCAATAAGGTGCCAATTACCATACGTTACGGCGAGGTGTATCCACCACGGAGAGACTTATCGCTGGGAGGCGATAAGCGGAATGCCGCATCGAAGGTTTCATATTCGATGGCCAGAATGATATACCATTCTGAAAGATGCCCAATGATTTGTCCGGTAGTTGAAGTTTTTGATTACTATGTACTTCGATCTCAATCCTCTCTACATGTGTGATCGAATGTGTCCTGGATAACAAATAATGCTGGACAATAATACTGAGACAGCCCCAGGGAGACCCACCCTTACTTACGTCTGCGCTTACTCCACTGCCGCTCTTAGACCCGTCCGTTCCTCTCTCGCTCTCCCAGTCCGCTGCTCTCTCCTCCCCTCACTACCAACTCACTCGCCATCGATCTTCCTGCCAACAATCTTCCTTGTTGCTATACTCCACGACATTCTTTCGGCCTCCTCTCAAATTGAATCGCCTTTCGCTTCCATGCTCGCCTGCATTTACCTATAACTCGCCGCGCTCTGGCACGCTGGGACTCGGGTCCGTTGTACCAGTTCCTCGCCTAATCCGTGATATTATTTACTCGACATATATCAGCGTCAGCGGCTTATCAAGCAATTTTCCCGCCCACTCTATATTTTCCCCCAACTATCAGCGTCGAAGGGAAGAAATCCAATAAGCTGATAGTGACTCTTTTCGAATAATCCGCCGTTTCCTCCACAATGACGCAGTTATTCACCTCTTCACATCCCTCGCCTGTGCCGTCGGAGAAACGCAACTTCGCTGGCCTTTCGCTGTCCTCCAAGAAACATAACAACAATAACGTCAACAACAGCAGTAATAATACAGAATCCTCCTCGAATCATTTTCCTTCCAAGATCAAGAACTTTTTCCGCATCAACTCGTCAAGTAGCAATGTAGGGACGAACGGCAACAATTCGGACCGGGAAGCAAAGGACAGCAACGGTTCCAACACGAGTCTTCCAAAGAATGATTTGAAATCAAACTCCAGACAATCCCGGTTCTTGCCTGCTATCGGCCGCAATCGCTCGACTACCGTCGCAAGTGAAGGCAATCCGTTAGACGATAGTCTCTCCCCGACTGCTCTTGCCAACCCATACTTTGCTCACCAGGGCCATCCCGCCCTTCGACATCGCAATGACGGTTCGCTTCCCTCCACACCGCCCGATGTACCAGAATTACAAGTTCAGGGAATCCCTGCGGTCGATCAAGCGACTACAGCCGGCAAAGAAGAATTAGCACGCAAGCTTCGCCGAGTCGCCTCCGCACCAAATACCCAGGGGCTCTTTGCCGATGACAAATCTGGTGAGCGACCAAAAACAGCAGAACTAGGTAAAGAACCATTGGTAGCGCAGGGCGGAAATCAAGTTCAAGTCGGACTTCCGGATTCGTCGGATGAGGTACTCGCTGTTCCAGGCATTGGACCAGATGGAAAGATACCTCTACCGGGTCAGATCAGGGTAGCGTCTTCTGGCGCATTTCGAAGAACATACAGCTCGAACTCGATCAAGGTGCGCAATGTGGAGGTTGGTCCAGGCAGCTTTGACAAGATCAAATTGATTGGCAAAGGAGATGTCGGCAAGGTATATTTGGTCAGAGAGAAGAAATCTAATCGGCTATATGCCATGAAAGGTGCGTTGATTACGGCATTGACGAAGAGAAAATGCTGATTCTTGAACAGTTTTGAGCAAAAAAGAAATGATCAAACGTAACAAGATCAAACGAGCGCTTGCCGAACAGGAGATCCTAGCTACGAGCAACCATCCTTTCATTGTGACATTATATCACTCTTTCCAGTCAGAGGACTTTTTGTATCTGTGTATGGAGTATTGCAGCGGTGGGGAGTTTTTCAGAGCCTTGCAAACTCGTCCCGGAAAATGCATACCTGAAGATGATGCCCGATTTTATGCAGCGGAGGTAACGGCAGCCTTGGAATATTTGCATTTGATGGGTTTCATATACCGCGATCTGAAGCCTGAGAGTGAGTTGACTTTGCGGAACTGAAAAGGAATAAGCTTCAGTGACTGACAAACACACCAGATATTCTTCTACATCAATCCGGTCACATCATGTTGTCTGACTTCGACTTGTCAAAACAATCAGGACCAGGAGGAGCGCCAACGATGATTCTGGGACGCAATGGTAATGGTCCAGCGTCTTTTCCGACAATCGACACAAAATCATGTATCGCCGACTTCCGAACGAATTCGTTTGTCGGAACAGAAGAATACATTGCGCCTGAAGTGATTCAAGGGTGCGGCCACACCAGTGCCGTCGATTGGTGGACTCTGGGAATTCTGATATACGAGATGTTATATGGTACCACCCCGTTCAAAGGCAAGAATCGGACTGCAACCTTTTCCAATATTCTTCGAAATGAAGTGCCGTTCCCTGAACATGGTGGTGCACAACAAATCTCCAGGTACATTTCTTCTAAAGACAACATTTGTGTTACGCGACTAACAGCCTTCTAGTTTGTGCAAATCGCTTATCCGAAAACTACTCATCAAAGATGAAACGAAACGCCTTGGAGCAAGAGCAGGCGCCTCTGATGTCAAAACACATCCGTTTTTCCGAAACACATCTTGGGCTTTGATCCGACATATGAAACCTCCCATGATCCCTCACCAAGGACGCGGTATCGACACAGTCAACTTCCGCAACGTCAAAGAAAGTGCCAGTGTGGATATTGGAGGTTCGACGAATAAGATGCCAGGCGTTCCATTAGATTCGGGTCTGGCTACTCCTGGCGGCGAGATCGCTGATCCGTTCGAGGAATTCAACAGCGTCACTCTTCACCATGAGGGTGATGAATAAACGACTATGTCCACGCTTGATCTATTCGCTTGTTTATCTATCATAACGTCGATATATTTACAGAAAATTTCCTTGATGACTGCAACTATAACGACTACAATATCGGGTCTGTGCGTTTGAAGCTTATAGGGGTTTATGGTGTTACGGAGTTTTTATAAGTGGTCTGGATTGATCAAACGAGCTTGTCGTTCACTTGCATTGCATCTATCTATTTGACAATGTTTCCAATTAAGGATCTGTTCTATTTCACGAGACCTGTCTATCGAGCTTTGCCCTTTTGCATGTATTGGGGATATGCATTCCTTCGTATGATTTCCATGTATTGGTGATATCACACGCGCACACGAGAGTATTACAGGAATGAGGAATACATTGTTTCACCATTGGGTAGGGTATGCAGTATAACATCTGGAATCTCCATATGTCGACCGGGAGTAGGCAACATCCATGGATGTATATACTTTTCAGTCAACATTATGTGTATCAATGTGCATCAATATCTACCTAGGTAGGTACTATGAACCTAACCTCAAATGGTAATAAGAAAGTACATGAATCCAGGCTAAAGTTTCTGCGAATGGTGTGTTCGGTATGAAGCACTATCAATTTAGTGAAAGACTCGAGATTTGGCCGTCTCCAATTCAATGTTTTGTCCCCACCTCGACCGCGGGGATTCGCGTTTAAATTGGTAACACCTTCAGCACCATCACCACCAATCTTGAAAACAAAATCCTAACAACTGATCCTCAACAATCCTCAATTATAGGAACACATTAAGTCGATACTCACTAATTAGACGCCTATCCTGATTTCAAGCCCGAAGCAACCACGAACCGAACCCATCGACGAGTTGAGCGTTCAAGACCAATTTCAACCGCCAGAAAAAGTTTACAACAACAAAATGAGCCACCTCCGAAGCACAACTCCCTCCAGAGACACCAGCAACACCAGCGGCAACGAGAACAACCCCCTCCTCAGCTCCTCGGGCGGATTGGTCAGTGAACTCGAGCAGGAAGTCCTCGATGAATATGCCCGCTTACTCGAGAATGTGAATAAGGTACAACCGCCCAAAAACACCCATCAAAAGACTCCGAATTACTGACTTGTTTCGCTGGACTGTAGCTAGGCGATGCCCTCGCCAATCTCGCCGATAACCCCGCTTCGCTGACACTAGATGGCCTGCGCCTCCTCGAACGCAAAACGGCGACTGTGTACACGCTGTTGAAAGCCAGTGTTTATAGTATTGTGTTGCAGCAGCAGATTATTAATGATGGTGAAGCCGGTACTGCTGCTGGAACAGATGGAGGGTATGGGTATCAGCATGACGAGTCGGGGATGCAGGGAGGTGATGGGGATACGGTTATGCGATGAGCTTGAGTCAAAACACGGATTTGAGGTTTGGAAGGTCAAAGGATAAGACGAATTCAGCGAATCACTCCGTTCCGAATTCTACATTAGGAATTATTCGGATTGAATGTTCGAAACACCCTCCTCCACAGAGGAGCCGATGCGGACGTCCAAGCACGAGTCTACCTTCACTACGCTGCGAGTCGGCGTCGATGAGATTGCGCGAACCAGAAGATGGTTTGTTTAGTGTTGTATGGACTATCCGTTGACATCATACAACATAAGCTCGGTGACGGCTCGCCACATGTAGGAATCGGACACTTGACATGAAGGGCTGCTCGTCAAAGCCCAATAAGACATAATGATGAATGAGAATTTTATACGCAAATAATACAGCAATGAAACGAAATACAGTAGTCCAATAGTTATATATAATACATTTAAACTCTTCCAGCATAATACACCTTTCGCACATCGACAAGCTTCCTTCCACGAGCACGCGCAATCTCTTCGGGGTCTTTCTGCGTTGTCAACGCCTCATAGGTTGCTTTGACAGTGTTCATTGGGTTGCGAGATCGTTCGACACGAGCAGCTAGGTCATGGATMCCAGCTGCASGAGCCATTTCGTAGATGAGATGTTGGCAGCGGAGACCGAATCCTGTTAACAGTTAGTCGATATTCACTCGCTAGTCAAAACGAGACATACCTGGAGGACGATTCATGAGCTTCAACTCAACAGCTCCAACCTTGCCTTTGACATCACCAAAGATAGTTCGGTTCTCGTAGCGAAGGATGGGTTGCATGTTTCGAATGGCTCGGTATCTCGACTGCGTCATCGCGTCACTCGCTTCTTCGGATTTGGCTTCGCCAATACCCAACAGTCCATCACCATTGCCAGCCACCGAAAGACAGTACTGTCGACGCACTTTACCAAGACGAGTCTGATTGACGACTGCGTGCGAAACCAGAGTCTTAACCTTGAGACTTCTAATCTTGTCCAGAGAATATCCAGTAGACTGCATCAATCTCCTCAAAGCATCCGTAATCTCCTCGTTTGCTTTATTCCCATCACCCTTTTTCTTCCCCGATGTGGCTTCTGCATCCTTTGCAGCCCCCCTCGTAAGAGTCTCTCCTTCCTCGAAGATATCCGGCACAAGCGCGCTGCTGGGGCTCCGCTCATTCTCCTCTTTCCCTTTTGTCAAGCGCATATTCTCCGTGAATCGCACCCAGTCTGCAGCTGTAGGTTTTTCGGGCATCTCGTCGAAGAATTTGGCATAGTCCTCTACGAAATCATCTTCGGATTTGAGAGTGGCATGCCAATCAGAATTCGACTCCGGGGCGCGAATATGCTTGTCGACAACGGGCTCGATGGTGGAGAAGTCATCGAGATAATGCAGTTTGAAGGGATCCTTTCGAATGGCGAATTGTTCGGCGAGGTCTTTGGGGTCAATGGCTTTCTCGGCTGCGAGGATAGCAGCGAGTTGGTCCTCCGAGTATTCCTGGGAGAGGTGTTCGAGCTCCTTTTCCGTGTAAGGCTTGAAGTCGTCTGGCTTCACGCTGTTCTCGATTTCATTCACTGTCATCATTTGAGGCGCTTCGGCAGGCTTTGGCTTGGCCAAAGATGACTTTCGAGCATACAGGGCAGCTGCTGCATGAAATTGTCGTCGGACCACTGGCACGCGAGCGGCAGCTCTGATGGTGGGCGTAAAGCTGCAGAACAGGCATTTCGCCGGTTGTAAGACACTCATTGTGAGCTGCAGTCCCTTCGACCCGATTCCGAGCGAGTGGTGAAGGGTCTGCAATGGATTGTCGCGATTGCTCACAAGTTGTTTGTTCTGGAGACACTCTGCTGTACCTGTTCGGAAGAGAACAAATTCTCCTGACCGCCGGGGCTACATCGGCCAATCATGTGTCTCTTTTTCATGCTTAGTCTTTTATCTGCCGCAATTCCTAATTTTTTTCCTGGTACGATCAATTCCAAAACTTTACAGCCCTCTTTCTCTTTCTTGCTTCACGTTCGCGGCATCCAATGCCCTGAATCCAATGTTCAAGCCTCATCTCAGCGTGCTACAACGTTCACTACGACTCCAAACCCCTACTGCTTCTATTCGAGTTTACAGCGCTTACTATCGACCAGACGATGCGACTGTAGATCACAAGATAGGATCCTATTTACGAAACATAGTGCGAGAGAACAGAATGAAGCAAATCAATGCAGGCGGCAAGCGCCAGCAAAGGAAAAAGAGGAGGATTGCGCCCGAGAATCTATGGGAAGCGGGCGAACATGGAGAAAAGAACCTGCAATTGGATTGTCAGCAATTACTTGAACGAGAACGTCGAAGTAAGGGCGAAGATGAACAAACCTCAGAGGACAAACCGACTACGAAGAAACCCCTGCCAGAACCGTTTACCGAGATTGAACTTACTGTATCCGAGATATCTTCTGGAGGCGACGGACTGGCCGTATCGGAAGACGGGAATCACGTTTACGTTGTACCGTTTACAGTGCCGGGCGACAAAGCACTCGCTAAGGTCGTAAAACATAACCCACAGGCCGGATACTCGATAACAGACTTTGTGAAGGTCATCAAACCGGGCCCTCAAAGAGACGACAGCCAGATCAAATGCCAGTACTTTGGCAAGTGCTCTGGTTGCCAGCTCCAGATGCTCTCTTACAAGGACCAGCTAGAACACAAAAGGAGAATCGTGGAGAAGGCATATGCCAATTTTTCCGGCTTAATTCCTGAAGTCGTGCCCCAAATCGGCGACACATTTCCCTCGCCGCTTACATATAACTATCGCACAAAATTGACGCCGCATTTCGGAAAGGTTAGACGACCTAACAAGGAAGATGATTCCCCGACACAGGAAGTGGAAGTTCCCCCAATTGGCTTCAATATAAAGAATCAGTCCAAGACAATGGATATCGAAGACTGTCCGTTGGGTACCGACATTGTCCGGATAGGACTTAAAAAGGAGAGGAAACGAGTTGCGGATACTATTGCAGGATTTAGCCAAGGTGCCACGATCCTGTTGCGCGAAACGACGGCGCGCATACCCAAATCCGAATTTGACGAGAACAAATACGCAGATTCTGAGGACGTTATATTGAAGAAAGACCATCCAGACTACGTCGAAGAAAAGCGATACGTGAGAGAAAATAATGGCTTCGTGGCTGAGTGGGTAGACGACTATGAGCTCCGAACCAAGGCCGGCGCATTCTTCCAGAATAACAACTCCATTCTCTCCGGTTTTACAGAATTCATGCGCCAGAACGTCCATCCGAAGGAACCCAAACAAGGCGAAAAGCCCATTAAATACCTGATCGATGCATACTCCGGCTGTGGCTTGTTCACAGTAACGCTCTCCAAAATGTTCAAATCCTCTCTCGGCATCGACATTGATGTACACTCCATCGAAAACGCGCGCGAAAACGCAAAATTGAACAACCTCCCAAACACAGGGTTTGCAGCCGCTGACGCAGCCCTTCTCTTCCAAAAAGTCCCTTATCCACCTGACGAGACCTTGATCGTCATCGACCCCCCGCGAAAGGGCTGCAGCAAGGATTTCCTAAGGCAATTACTCGAATACGGCCCTCGCCGTATCGCCTACGTGAGCTGTAATGTGCATACACAGGCTCGCGACGTTGGTTATTTAGTGCAGAATGATTCGCCGAATGGTGTCCGATATGATATTGAGAGTATTAGGGGGTTTGATTTTTTTCCGCAGACGGGACATGTGGAGGGTTTGGCAATTTTGAATAAGGTGCAGAAGCCTGTTGATGCTAAAGTTCCTATGCCGCCTGCTGAGTCAAAGAGCGAGGATGCTGCTGCTCCTGCTGTGGCGGTTGAGAAGGAGGTTTGATATGTAGATTTCATCTAGGAAAATCAGGTCAAATTCTTCCATCCTTTTTGGCATAACAGTAGATTCTGGCTGTTGACACTTTGAAAAGGTGCATGGATTTGGACGAATCTACATGGAGCTCATTAAGAACTCTCAAGTCGAACGAAATCTCATTATTGAAACTGCTATATACAGCGCTCTAACTACAAGATCCATTGGTGATAACAACCCATCCCCTCTAGCACTCAATATCCCGAATTTTCGAAACAGCCGTTACATGCGAGTTGCGCCATCATGTCGTACACGCGAAACAGAACCGATGTCAAGCCAGTACATTAAGCGCCTCCAGGACCACCTAGCAGAGCAAATCTTCGCACGATACTGGGACCGATTTCATCGTACTCGGCCTTGGTGTGGCAGTAACTACGGAATTCTGGCGTTTGACCGAGCAGGCTTCCTCCGAACCAGGGACCGTGTCGTTGACGTTTGTGTGTCACGACTTGCACTTCCAATCCACCACTCTTGGCGCCGCCGCTGCGGGCTTCGGATGCGCGGATGCGGGCGTCTACTAGGTGTCGAATATCACGTTGCAGACGCCGGCCGAAATCCTTGTACAAAGTAGAACCACCGGAGAGAACAATGTTTTTGTACAGACCTCTCCTGACATCAATGGGGGAAGATTGAATCACACCGTCGACGACGGTCGGGAGAGGAGTGAGGAAGTCAGAGGAGTAAATTTCGGGGTTGAAGAAAATTTCAGGTGCGAGGAAACGTTCGTAGCCGACATCAATCTGGATGGAGCGTCCGTTGGGTGCGGTCACGGTGTGTTTGAGGAAACGGTCAGGCTCGCGGTCGTAACGAGCAAATTCCTTGACGATATCTGGGCAGACGTAGCAATATTCTTCCTTCACTTTCTCGGCAGTTTTCAGACTGCTGTCCGGCTCGCCGCGGTCTCGGAGCAAGCTCTGAACGAAATACGTGATATCTCTACCGGCAATTGGAATACTCTTGATCGAAGAGCCGATAACGTAACCTTCGGCAACGGGGATGACATGGGTAACACCATCACCAGAGTCGATAACAGTACCGGTAAGGGACCTATCGGTCACTTTCGATGACGTCCATGAGGCCGCTAGAGCTAGAACGGCTTGCACGGCGATATAAAGACCAGCACAGTTGAACGACTCGAACATAATCTCAGCGGTATTTTCACGGTTCTCGGGCGGGTTCAGGGGCTATCATCATATCATGTATTAGTAAACAGATCTTTGGACCACATGTTTGAGGTAGTACCGGTTCAGTAAGCAAGAAGTAGTGATCTTCAGGTTCCACGCGGAGATACTTGAATATTGAGTTCGACCAGAAACGTTCCATATGATCCCAGTTCTCGATTTGACCATGTCTGATAGGATAATGAATGCCGTATCCCGGTCCGTTGGCGGCGGAGAGCGCCTCATCTCCAATGAAGAAGTCCAAATCCTCTGTTCCACGCTTTCCTGCCAGATGACCACCTCCTCCGCTTCCTCCGCCTAAGAAGGAGGGTTTGTTCGCAACAGCCGGTCGTCCAGAAGCTGCTGCACCTCCACCGCCTGCAGCTTTTGTCGCAATTGCGGTAGGGAAAACAAACGAGGGAGAATCGTTGCCGGCGAAACCTGGCAGAGTGTCAGCATACAATCGATTTCAGTGATCAATGTGTTTATCCACCTATCTTGGAATATCCAGTTCCGCTAGAAGTGAACGACGTTAGAATGTATCAACATGGAGAGGACCGGATAGTGTGGAGCTGACGTACTTGTCCATGACAACGGCTGGTGTTTGGGAAGTCATATTGAGACGTGTGCCCCAGTCGGAGCAACTCAATGCCACGCAAAAGGACCGAAATAGAAGAAACGAAGTCGCAATTCAACGAAGAGCAAGTCTTTATGATGGAATTCAGCTACCTGGAACGATCACCAAGTAAGGCGCGGGGTCAACAAGCTTCCAGGCAGACAACGGAAGCACCACTAGGAAAGCCAACAACTTGAAGGCGGTCAGCCCTTCTTCCACGACAAGCAAAATCATCCAATGGGAGCTGGGGAGTCACATGACCGAAGTCCATCCACGCATGAGGTCACTGCTCTTCCCAGTGCATCCTGCATATTTCTTTGATTTGACTTATTCTAACGTTTATCAGATTCCGTCTGAAGAATTTCGCTTCAGTGTTTCTATATAGACTATGCTGAATGTTGTGTGCAATCTGGATATGCCAGTGTATCGGTGCCAAGCCATTGGTAGAATCTCACCCCAGCCAGTTGAGGTCTTCAGATTTTATACACAAAGTATGGGGTAGCAAGCTACCATCTGGAGTGATGGGGCTTTTCTGGTCAGACGTCTGAAATCAGCACAGACTTTCTAGTAGAAATCTTTGAATTGTCAAACTTTTGATGAGAGGCAGTGCAGAATGAGAACATTAAAGAGATATATTTTCACTGCGCCGTTGTCCTCCTGCCTCTTTGCTGGGCTGCTACAAACGGCATTGCGATAGGGAAGGAGCGTCATTCACCCACTGCCTGACTTCCTTTCCCACAATCCTACAGAGGCTCGTCTCATCTTTCCCTGGGATCTTTCCCAGTCGTCTCATCTCTTCTCCCATTACCTATCATCAGTGCATCCATCTCCTGTCTGACTGTCCAACCTGAGCAACCTCAGAAACAGACGAGGCTACCTAGTCTTACCCAGCTATTCTTATTCTACTTCGTTATCGTTTTTTTTTTTTTTTTTGTTTTTCACTAGATTCCTTTGGAGACTTGATACACTCTTTGCCTGCTTCACTTGGCAAAGCCGCACCTTGCTCATAATCGCGCTACGTCGGATTGGTATGCCTCTGTTGTCAAAAAAAGAACTGCTAGCGGCTCATAACATCGACTGACCCATGATATTACCTGTTGCTAGAGCCACACCCTCACACTACATCTATAGCTGTCGTCCCTGGGCCTGCGTTGATCAACTCGCGCGGTTATCGCCCCAGCAATATACCAGTTTGTCTCCAGGCATTTCAAACCCTAACACCACCCAGCAGACAACATGTCATCCCGTTCAAGAGAAGCAGGTGACATTTGTGCGATTTATGTACATGCAGGTGCGGGATTTCATTCCTACCAGAATGAGAATGTGCATCTCAAGGCCTGCAATGAGTAAGTACTCTTTGAGCAACATAGTCTATTCCATTCGTGACCTTGCTCTACCTCACCTACAAGACTATGAGCTGACTCAAACAGCGCTGCCAAAGTTGCAATGACCATGCTCAAGAATGGAGGGTCTGCTTTAGACGCAGTCGAGATAGCCCTCAGGTTGATGGAAGACCGAGAAATCACTAATGCTGGATATGGAAGCAACCTCACAGTCGAAGGCAATGTCGAATGTGATGCTACCATTGTTGACCATCTGGGGCGCAGCGGAGCAATTGGAGCTTGTTCTCGTAAGTCGATGGACCTTCCATGCATCATACGACTACGAGCTTGACACTGACCACGACAAAGATGTTCGAAATCCCATATCAGCAGCCCGCATTATCCTCGATGCCCAGGACAAGCGACTGTCTTTACAACGGGTACCACCAAACTTCCTGGTCGGCAAGGGAGCTACCGAATTCGCCTATCTACAGGGTCTACAAATAGTAGAAAATGATTCGCTGGTTTCCCCAACTGCCAAGGCTCGATGGCTACGGTGGCAGCAAGAAGTTGAATCAGCCAGGCAGGAACAAGAAGCTCAAAGTGTTGCACAAACCACGGAGGAGATCGTACAAATAGAAACTACTACCAGCTCTGTCAGCTTCTCGACAACGGTCAATCCTGCAATGCTTATGACGCCGCCTTCAGATCTTCATGATATATCGACTTCGAAAGAGCAAGACACAACCGTCGTCCTCCCTGAACCTGCGTTAGTCCCGACGGATGGTACGCACCATATAAACGAGAGTATAACATTTGGACCCAAGCAGACAGGCCATGCCACAGAAGACAACGTCGACACTATTACTGATACCATAGGTGCTATTGCTGTTGACTCCTATGGTAGAATCGCAGCAGGCTCGTCATCTGGTGGGATTGGCATGAAACACTCTGGACGTGTGGGGCCAGCAGCCCTGGTAGGCATCGGTTCAGCAGTGATTCCTGAAGATCCACAAGATCCAGAGAAGACCAGCGTGGCTACAGTTACATCCGGAACAGGCGAGCATATTGCGACGACTTTGGCTGCGAGCACCTGTGCCAATCGAATCTACTATAGCGACCGTAGAGACGAATCCGGAATGACGGAACATGTCACCGAAGAGGAGGCAATCAAGGCCATGGTGGATGTAGACTTTATGGGTTGGTATGCTGTCTTCTAAGTTTCCACAGATGTTGACTGGCTATTAGGGCATCCAAGCGTGAAACACAGTCATTGCGAAGCTGCAATTGGCGTCATGGCGGTAAAGAAGACTACGGACGGAATATATTTGTTCTTCTGTCATAACACCGATTCCTTCGTACGTTATATCATGGCCTTCTTCGAGAACTGGTTTCTAACTGTGCCCAAATTGTAGGCACTTGCTTCGATGACATCGGAAGACAAAACTCCCCATTGTGTCATGTCCCGTCGTTCGAGACAGGGCAGTACAGCACAAGGCGGGCGGTTTTCAAGATATCGTCGGTAATTTTGGCACCGCGCGAATTGTGTGAAAACAGCTGAACAAGGTCGCAGGTCGAAAAGTCGAAGCTCCGCCGATGATTAGCCATAGGAATAGAGCAAGCACAAGCCCACAACAAGATCTCAGGAGGAGTGTGCTGAGGATATGAGTGCCTCTTAGCCAGGTGACCGATCATTCCGTACTTTGCCATGGAAATTCAGTGATGGCCTTTCTTGACGCGCTGCAGTAGTTTCTAGTCATGTTGCTACCACGTAGTAAATAAGGAACAGGAGAGATTGGTCTTCGCAGAAGCACACGACCAGTCATGTGTAGTTGCACGGGTTAGTCTGCAGGGTTATAGATCAGCAAATCAAGAGGGGTCAACAAATATCCGTATCGGACTTCACTGCGAACATAAACATACTCGAGTCAATAGATTCCATGGCATTATCGTCACTTGTTCTGATGTGATATTTGCCCTCCAAATATCGGAAAATGTAGGAGCACATTCTACGACGCACAAAAGCGTCGGGTAAGTCCTAACCCTGATTTCAGTCTCATCGGAACGTGTTTTCGGCATATCCACACCACATCCAGACTTTAGTAGCATGGTTTAGCAGCAGCTAGGGCTATGGCTGTGCTCGATTCAAGATTAATCTATCTATAACAGAACCACCGGTTTAAAGGCCGCGTTGAAACATGAGTGAGCGATTTGATTCCTGCGCATTTTCACCTATCATGCTTTGGGATTGTATCATTGCCTATCTAGGATATCTTCGTAAAGAACAAAAGAAGAACATCTTCCGACTTGACACGAAAACATGGAAAAGCGAATATGCTATCCGCAAAGTCCTCTCAATTTGCAATTTTTAGTTATCTAACAAACAAAAAACAAATGTATCGAAAATGTGATGCAAGAGCCTTATTGGGCAGTCAATTCTTTTCTAGTCTTCTAGGTCCTGTTAGTGTTGTGGGTTTACCCTAATAGCTGCATTGGGCTGGGCTCTGGTGCTAGCACTTACCGGGAAAAGTCGGAGGATCGTCGACTTTTCTGTATGTACAGTGTATTATCATTTGTATCAGGCGGGTATTTGCTATTGCGAAACGGCTTTTCTTGACGCCAGACGCAGGATGGGGACTTGGGGTTTGAAATTGTTGTGCTATTATTGGATTGGGGAAGTCGGGATAATTGGAATGCACGATTTATCGATAGCCAATGGGTGACAATATCGCGGGGCTGGTTGAAATTTCTACAGCACAACGTGACCTGGAGCTTGGACTTTAACCCCTGAATTTATGAGTCTTTTGGGTTGAGCTGTTCGTACTAGTATCACACGATCTTTCTTTGATAATACTCTGTAGTATGGCAGTAAATCGGCCAGGCCAGACTCGGGGTCAGTGGCGATGCTGGAAAAGGTGGGGGAGTTGGCTACAACTAGAGTACTCCGTAAATACGTAGTAGATACCCTCGGCTAGCCGTGTCTATCCAAGGTAGATTGGTAGTGTCTCTCCCCACGAAAACTAAAGTCAAAATGCAGAAGCACATACCAGTTCTTCTCCGCATCATGCAGTTCTCGAACAATTGGGATTCGGAACAATCCCCTTTTGTCTGTCTACATTGTACAATACGTGGTATGTATAGGGGCGGTACGTAATACCCCGTTTGCCGAGCCTTCAGCTCAAGTGGATGATGATGCCCCGTACGCTTCGGGTATGGGCCTTGCCACTTCGTGTGTACGCTTGTAGACTTTCATGTGCTTGCTACGTAGTGACTAGGATGAGGTCATTATACATCTTCGTGGCCAAACCGTTCGACCAGACGGCGCCTTGGTCGAGGGATCATCACCATGATATTACATAGTGGGCTGGTTGGTCAATTGCCTGGTGACAGTATATCGCAATACTATGTAGAAACAAGAACAGTGTACTACGTAGTAAGTCTTGAGAATATAAAGTAGGTTTGTACATGCCAAGTGACTTCCCCGTGGGCTTTTACTCACTTTCCGTCTGCCCATTCCGCCTTCGCCTCAACCTTACCTTGCACTTCCTTAAGAGTCATTCCGCCTCAAGCAATTCGACTTCTAACAGGCTACACTGTACGACCCGCTAGTCGAAACTACAATTCACGATCAGTCTGGATCAGAGTCGTCGGATCTTAGCGCAACCAGCGAGAAACTTCGGCTCACTTTAGAAACCCTCTTGCTGTATCCGCCTTTTCGGGTCATTTCGGACTCTGCTGCACAATCGCTTGCGCAGGAAATTCCTCGTCTTTTCAGAACACGCCTCCATACCCAAGTTACGTATCAGCTGTAATTCGTGCCTAAACCACTCAGGTTCGTCATCTCGTCTCCCCTCCGATATGCTCCGTCCAAACTGTGGGGATCCGCTCCCGAATATGGTAACTAACTGCCATCCCTGCCAGCTTCAGTCACGATGAATCCCGCTGCTCAGGTCGCTTCAACAGCTACTAATATACCCCTTGGTCGCCCGGTTTCTCCTGGTCCTCTGCATTCAGATTTCATCCGACAACAGGTCGCGAAGCAAAAGCAAAACAACTATCACTCCTCATCTCTCAAAATGATCACTCAATCCGTCAACAGAACTGCCCTCCACCCTGGTGGTGTCCAGTACGTTCTCACACTGTCGCTGTCTATTGATCGTACTGACTCGCTGTCCTAGGCCAGGCAAGGGTCACACCGAGCTGGAAGAAGAACTTCACGAGACTGCTCACATTGACTACGAGCGTGTTGCCATTGTACGTCTATCGATGCCGAATCACCTCTATGACCAAACTAATACATCCAGGTCGCCAACCCCTCTGTTGCTGCTCTTTACGAGGATGCTCTCGTCTACGAAACCGGTACCGCCATCACATCTTCCGGTGCTTTAACCGCATACTCTGGTGCCAAAACCGGCCGTTCACCCTCAGATAAGCGTGTTGTCAAGGAGCCTACATCGGAAAAAGATGTCTGGTGGGGACCCGTCAATAAGCCCATGAGCCCTGAGGTATGTCGATTGAATTTCATGAGCGATTTTATCTGTTTTTTTTTTTCCCTCGTTGTGTACACAATATACAGCATTCTGCAGTGTCGCGTGGGCAATTACCCTTGCAGGGCTCCACCCCTGCCGCCTATCGTGCCTTGCATACCTGGCCGATGCTTGTTTTGTTGCTCGCGCTACTCCCTACTGCGTGATACGGAATGCGCGATTTCCAATTTCTCGTTTTTTATATCCCTCAAAAAATCCCTCAATGTCTGCATTTTTCTCTTCGGGTGAGAGACATGTGTTGAGCCTCGCTGCTCTCGGCTGTTCGTCTGCCAAGCGTTTCCCCGCAAAATCCTTAGCCGATCTCTTCCTGCCTTCACATGACATGACATCACCACGCGATCTAGTACTAATCGGGCATCCATAATGTTATAGGTCTGGCGAATCAATCGTGAGCGTGCTGTCGACTACCTCAACACCAGGAATCGTATCTACGTCGTCGACGGTTTTGCCGGCTGGGATGAGCGCTACCGCATCAATGTCCGTGTCGTCTGCGCCCGTGCCTACCATGCTTTGTTCATGCGTAACATGTTGATCCGTCCCTCTCCCAAGGAGCTCGAGCACTTCCACCCCGACTATGTCATCTACAACGCCGGTTCTTTCCCGGCCAACCGCTTCACAGAGGGTATGACCTCGGCTACGTCCGTCGCCATCAACTTCGCCGAGAAGGAGATGGTCATTTTGGGTACCGAATACGCTGGTGAAATGAAGAAGGGTGTCTTCACCGTTCTCTTCTACGAGATGCCCGTCAAGCACAATGTCTTGACTCTCCACTCTTCTGCTAACGAGGGCCAGAACGGTGATGTCACTGTCTTCTTTGGTCTTTCGGGTACTGGCAAGACCACTCTTTCCGCTGACCCTAAGCGTGCTCTTATTGGTGATGATGAGCACTGCTGGACCGACAGAGGTGTCTTCAACATTGAGGGTGGATGCTACGCCAAGTGTATTGGTCTTTCGGCTGAGAAAGAACCCGATATTTTCAACGCTATAAAGTTCGGTTCCATCCTTGAGAACGTCGTCTTCGACCCCGCCACCCGTGTTGTCGACTACGATAATGCTACCTTGACCGAGAATACTCGTTGCGCCTACCCCATCGAGTACATTGAGAACGCCAAGATTCCTTGCCTCTCCGAAAACCACCCTACAAACATCATCCTGTTGACTTGCGATGCTCGTGGTGTCCTCCCTCCCATCTCCAAGCTCACCACTGAGCAGACCATGTTCCACTTCATCTCCGGTTACACCTCCAAGATGGCCGGTACCGAAGACGGTGTCACCGAGCCCCAGGCCACCTTCTCCTCTTGCTTCGCCCAGCCCTTCCTTGCTCTCCACCCCATGCGCTACGCACAAATGCTTGCAGACAAAATCTCCGAGCACAAGGCCAATGCCTGGTTGCTCAACACTGGTTGGGTCGGTGCTGGCGCTACCACTGGTGGTAAGCGTTGCCCATTGAAATACACTCGTGCCATTTTGGACGCCATCCACAATGGTGAACTCGCCAATGCCGAATACGAAGTCTACCCCATCTTCAACCTCAACGTCCCCAAGTCCTGCCCCGGCGTTCCTGACGAGCTCCTCAATCCCGAGAAGAGCTGGACTGCCTCTACTGGCTTTACCGACGAGGTCACCAAACTCGCCAAGCTCTTCAACGAGAACTTCCAAAAGTACGCTGACCAGGCTACTAAGGAAGTTATTGCTGCCGGTCCTGTTACCGAGTAAGCGTGTGACCCCCAAAATATAAGATCTCTTTGTTCGTTTTTGATGGCATGAATTCTCGGTGTTAATCTGCATTGTTTTGCTGCTTCTGGGTTTCCAGAAGTCTTTTGAACATGTTTGTTTTTTGTTATATTTAAATCATGCATTATTGATTCCCTGCCCGGCATTTGTCATGTGTAATGATCAAGCTTGTTGTTTTCTTTCTTTTCCTTCTTCTTGGATGTTTAACTGCTGTCTTGATATAAGATATATGGTCGTATATCGAAGAGTGATCCAATGGAACTTATATATTTATCTATTAATTTACCATGTCTCCATTGTAGACAGCTGTAGTTCCATGCTCATAAACCAAAATATTTTCGAAGAACAACCCTATGTATCTCTTCGGATGAGTTTTTTCACTCAACGACTAGAACTGTCGCGACGTGCAAAGAGGCCTGGCTTCTGACGGGTGATATAGTTTTTAAGATACCAAGTTCTGATTCGGAATTCTGGTTACCTTTACAGACTGGGTATCTCGACCTCACTATCTCTGTCTGACCCAGCTTGTACTTCGGTCTAGGCAATAGCCGTGGTGAAAGTCATGTAGGATCTGATGCGTCTTTACACCATTCAGAAGTACCCTTTTCATCATCGATGCTGTCGAGTATACATGTAAAGTAGAGAGTTGGGAACCGTCTTGGTTACTGTCGAGTAGTGTGTCTGAAGATGCTCTATCCAGGGATGTACTTAACATGACTCACCTAAAAATAAACTGCATTGATCTGATTGGCCTTAACAGGATCTAATTACATGTTGATGTCAATTGGCACAAGCCGGATACATGTTGCTTCACGATGGAATTATTCCAAAGTCCTGTGAAAGCATTTTGGGATGATAACTCATGCTCTGCTCGAGGACAGTCTCTGAATCACTTGTATCGCCGTTGATGTTTTTAAATGTATGATTTCGTCGTCTTGAGCCCCACGAATGAATACTTCCTCTTTTCGGAATTAGGGCTAATCGCTTCCTCTTTGAAGGTGGTCCCGGAACATCTATTCGGCACATCTCAAGCCAACACAGCGACATCTCATCAATAGTTCTATTGATTTACTCCTTCAAGGAAACGTGGTCAGTACCTTATCCGAAAGGATCTCAAAAATCGGCAAATGGGGGGGGTCAGAGACACCTCATATATTAGTTATAAGTTGCCTACTCAACGAAAAGTAGAGGCAGTGAGAGACGGCACTTTTGCCATCGGCTACCCCCATAGGTTGCTGAATCGGACTTCTAGAGCAGTGGGGTCTGATTAGGGCTTTATCTACCGTATGTCTATACCGATTCTCTCTAATGATTTGTTGAGTGACGGCTGGCCAAGCTTATCGGCCTTGACCGATGGCATTGACTTATCCGTGGATGTTATTGGTGGTATATTTGTTTTTCTATGGCTTTTCCCCCGGAGAAACTATGCAACGCACCGTGTTATGCTACGTGGTACTACGTATGTACGAAGGTACTAGATGGTAAGCGGCGATGATGTTGTCTACCGAGTATTCCAGGGTCCAGCAATTTTCGTACGTTCGACGGAGGAGGAGGAGTACTCCGTAAGATGGTACGGAGGAAGAGTCCTCCGGAGAAGATAGTATAAACCTACTCCGTGCCGTAGTAACGACGGCACAAGGTAGTCCGTAGTCAATTCTCTCCATTAATATGTACTATTCAAGGCGGAAAACTTTGTATACGTGCCTGACCCGAGGGTTTCTCTGGTCAATGCCGATTGTAGGCGCTGGGAAGTGGTGCTGACTGTATTGCTGACTATCAGTATGGACACTTGGCTATTCCGGAAGAGGAATTGTTGAGAGTACACAAGCTCATTTATGGAGAGAAAGCGATGATTCGTTGAACGAAGCTTTATAGCTTTAGTTTCGTATAATCTATTGAACTTTGAGAGGCGACCGCCTTTATGCCTTCTCACAGTAGAGAAGGCCCCACGGTCAGGTCTGCTCATAGCTCAACCTCGTGGGGGTGCCGCAATCTTCAAATGAAGCAAAATGATAGGGGCTACACCGTAGTCTTCAGTATACGTACATAGCTAGTGCTTCCAGCTACAGGGGTAGTTCTTCCGACATTAGAACAATCACCGGAAAAAGTTCATCCCGATGATATATCCGTGACATTTCCCCAATCCTGGGGTTTTCCGTGTGTTCCTAACACTATAGAGTCCTGGGTGTAGTAGATTCGACGAAAAAATGTGGTGTCAACTCAATTGATGCCGATAATCGAAAGCAAAAGTAGCGACATCGCCAATTTCACTTATAGATGCCCCGTTCCTGACGTGGAGAATTCCTCTGGGCCGGAGAACCTCGCAGCGCGCAAAGGAGTTGGAGGATTTCCGGGCGAATAGGAGTCGACATGATACCGAATAAGAGTGCCGATGGGGAAGTATTCAGGACGCCAAGTTGATGGCCGCCGATAACCGCCTCTCAATCAGCTTGATGCTTGTTAGCTTGCTACGTATTCATATTGTGGATGACTTTGACTGGCATCCGATGTAGGGCCGCGATGGCTGCTGTTATACCAGGAGATAATTGGTCGAGAGAGGCCTGAAACGTCTAGAGGGAGTTTAGCGAGGCACAGGCCGGGCGAAAGGTACGTAGAGTGTTTACAGCCGAGTACCTGCCGAGTCTATGTGATAAAATCTCTTCATCACGATACAAACCCGGGTTGCCGATCGCTGGCGATGTTTAAAGTGTGTCTCTTTGTTCATTGCGATCGTATTATCTCCAATCCTTGGACGTCTCACACAATCCGTTGTACTTCGAACTCAACGGCTGTATTCCGCGACTATATCAAGCGGGTGGAATCGGGAAGGAGAGCTCGTTCCGCGACGATTCCTCCGATGCCGTAAGTTTCCGGTGCCGGCAAGCCGGGACCACGCGCCAGACCAGAACAGGAATAGCGAAGTGCTAAGAGTTAAGGTCGTGGGGCTGGCAGCGTCCAAGTGGGGAGCTTCATCTGTACTATGTAGTAGAATCAATGACTAGTAAGCTAATAGCAATACGTGATCGATAGCAATCAGCAGGAGACATCGGAGTACTCTTCTCCTTGCCGTTGCACGGTACCTGTACACAGTGTACAGGCTGGACAGACACAACACCAATAATGACGGGCTGTGGGCTGTTCCATCATGGACTGGCCCAGTGACGCAAAGCACGATGCATACCCCGCATTCATCGTCTGGTGTGAGTTCAGGCTGGTCAACGACAAGAATCGACCATGGACGAGCACTCCCGTCTCACATCGCTTTGTCCCATTCTTCCTATTCGTGGTATTCCCCTGATGCTTGTCTTCGTAACATGGGCTGGACGGGTTGAATAATCGCATTGGTCACCATTCCCGGTCCCGGCTGCCATTGTCGAGCTGTAGTCGTCGTAGCAGCAGACTAACCCTGTACATGACTTGTGTCAATCTAGTCCCTGAGCTAGACGCCAAGTCTGCCACTGACCACTGACCCTGACACTGACAATTAGCAATTGTATTACTCGATAGATGACCATCCCCATTGATTGCCTCGGATAGCTGCCCACCTATTTCCGTCATTCGCTCCCGATGGGCAGTGTCAGAGAGCTTGGACACCATCTCGTTGGACAGATTGACTTTCCGAGTTGGATGCGCATATGATATAAGACCTGCTCGTTCCCTGTTTCTTCTCGCCTCCTCTTTCGTTGTGTAGTCGTGCAAGTACAAGTCCAAGTCGAGGTATATTAAGAGAAACATCTCAGATCCGAAAACAATCAGATCAGTCACTCAATTAATCGACCAACTAAGCTTCCCATCGCTCCTTCCTCCCGAAGATACACCTGATCCACGGTCGTGCCTTCCTCGTCACCCCACCCCCGAGCGCTCCTTCCTCCCATACTTTCCGCGACCGAACTAGACCCAGTTGGGCTGTATACCCTATAGGTCCTGCCTGTTGCGTCTCTTCTTCTCTTCCTTTTCTCTTCTCGTCAGACGAAAGCAATACTGTCCATACTTTCGTCTTCCTCTCTACACTACACCACGAGAACGACTCTTACTACCTCACTGCTATCGATCGTCCTGACTCTATACCCTGCTGACGACTGACCGTGTAATACGACATCTATTGATCTGATCTCCTATATATTAGCTATCGGACAACATCCAATTGTTCATTGCTCGATTCATTCATCTGCGTCACAGTTGACCACCTCCTGACACTCTTGGTCAGTATCCCTCTGATGGCTACTATCTTTTAATAGAATCGTCTACTACCTTTACTCGCTCCCTCCGTAACTACGGACTGCTAACATCAATATATTGGCACAGTTGTAGACAAATCAATCGATATCTATAACGAAATGGCATCCAGGTCCATCACCGAAACTGCCACCTCGGCCACCAAGTCGGCCAGGGAAACAACCAAAGCCGCCATCGAGAACCCTTCAGCCGCAGCAACCACCTTTCTGCGCCATCCTTACATGAAAGCTGCCCTTCCCTTCATCAACGGTGGTTTGGCCGGTATGACAGCCACCGTTGTGATCCAGCCCGTCGATATGATCAAGGTGCGTTTGCAATTGGCTGGAGAGGGCCAAAAGACTGGACCCAAGCCCACCGCATTAGGCATCACCAAAAACATAATTGCTTCTGGCAAAGTTCTCGATCTGTACACCGGTCTAAGTGCCGGACTTCTCAGACAAGCAGTCTACACTACAGCCCGGCTCGGATTCTTTGATACGTTTATCTCCGTTGCCAAGACCCGCGCTACAGAACAGGGGCGGAATGTCAGCTTCGGTGAACGAGCCCTGGCAGGCCTTACCGCTGGAGGATTGGCTGCTATGATAGGCAATCCAGCGGATCTCGCGCTCATTCGTATGCAATCCGACGGACTGAAGCCCGTAGAAGCTCGCGCCAACTACCGCTCTGTGATCGATGCTCTTTCTCGAATTTCCAAAGCCGAGGGCGTCGGCGCCTTATGGGCCGGTGCGACCCCAACCGTTGTTCGAGCCATGGCCTTGAATTCGGGTCAACTTGCTTTTTTCTCGGAGTCGAAGACTCAACTGAAAACTCACACCAACTGGTCTCCTCAGACCCAAACTTTTGCGGCTTCTGCTATTGCGGGATTCTTTGCCAGTTTCTTATCTTTGCCATTCGACTTTGTCAAGACTCGTCTCCAGAAACAGCAAAAGAACCCCGCGACTGGCGAGCTTCCATACAAGGGACTTTTGGACTGTGCCCGCAAGGTCATCAGAGATGAGGGCTGGCTTCGATTCTACCGAGGTTTCGGAACCTACTATGTCCGCATTGCGCCTCATGCAATGGTGACTCTTATTGTGGCTGATTACTTGAATCTCATTACCAAGTAAGCCCTACAACGGGTAACTACTCACTCAAACATTGTTTGGGCGAGGTTCGTTTGTCTCGTGGGCAAATACGAGAATCACGAACAACTGAATATCCTACATGACAAGTGATAGAGCTCTAGCGATATCTAAATGTCATTAGATCAGTCTGCGCGCGGTGCGACTAACCTAACCTCAATGATATACTGACAAGATATCTTACCTACATTGGGAGCATTTCGTATGCGAGGGCACATCGGCTGATCAGACCGATCATCGTGGAGACGAATTCGACAAGAATCGCATACAGACCTCCTTCGGACTTACAGTATGATACGTGCACTATATACATCAGATTCTATCTTTTATGATTCGATACCTCTTATGTGCGATGGCAAATGTTGGGCACTTGCCCAACCAAAAGAGATGCAAGGACAGCTTGTGATCCGGTCTCATGACGTTCGTTTTCAGCGTTCGTTGTTTTCTTACAATTATGTTGTTTGCGTATTTTATTCTTTGGCTGTCGATGATACATACATTCAATACCAAGTATAATTAATTAGGCTAGAAATGAACCAAGCTAGTCAGATTCAAAGTTGACCTGGTAACATTTAATTAAAAAAGGTTAATCATCATCTTCATCCTCTTCTGATACCTCAGCATCTTCATCGTCGTCATCGTCCTCATTGACATTCCTCATTTCCTCATTCTCATCCTCATACTCCCTCGCAACCGTCGGCGCCCTAGACGACAACCTCGACTTCTCCCTCTTAATCCGTGCCTCTTCATCCCTCTGCTGCCGCCTTTCATGAGCATCAGCCTCGTCATCGTCATTGTCATCTTCACCATCAGAATCAATTGTAACCTCATTTCGACCCTGACGTCCACCACCAAGCTCAGCCTCTTCCTGCTCTCTGAGTTCCTCCGCACGCATCCTCCGCACGCGTCTGACTAGCACCAAATTCGGCTCCAGATCATTTAGCGACATGGGCACCGAACATATCGGACAAGGTACAGCCCTAACCCGACGAGCACGTGCATTCCGTCCCCCACCAGCTTGAAAATCATTCTCACCGGCCGGTATCGTCATAGAACTAGCTCGGATCATATCCTCAATTGCCTTACGCTCAAAACTGTGTATACATTTGGTGCTTTTCACGGGATCTTCGAACACGACTAGCGTTAGGGGGCATTTGAGCGAGATGCGTTCTCGCTCGATTTCGATGTCGGCGTCTTCCTCGTCTTCATCTATGTCTTGTGAGGGGTTGTTGGAGGTTGTAGTAGCGGATTGTTGACGGGATTTTGCCGTTCTCCTGCTGTTCGGTTCGAGGTGGTTGAACCATGTTGATGCTGGGGGGACTGGTGGTACTTCGCCAGTTGGGTATTTGGCTTCGTGGACGATGCGGTAGAAACCAATATAGGTGTTGTTAGTAGTGTATCTGTGGCACGTTAGCAACGTATCGCATGACTTTGTCGTTATAGACAGTATTACCTCTGAGTCAAGGATTGTTGCTCCCATTGACTCTCGTGTCCGGTAAGTCTCTCCTTGATAATCTGAGTCGGCACGACAGTCGGCGCCGCATCTTCTTCCTCTTCATCATCCTCATTCTCATCCATATCTTCATCACCATCAGCATCAACAGCGGCACCCCTCTCCCTCAACCTCGCTCTCCTCCGCGACGTACTAAGCGCCGCTCCAGCTGTCTCCGCATCCGTAGCGATCTCCTGAATCGCAACCTGTAACCCACTCACTTTATGCTCTGCATCCACAACACTGCGCATTCTCTCCTCGAGTTGTGACGTAGTCGATTTCACTTTCGCTTCGAGATTATCCAGTCTTTGCATTTCTGCTCTTCTTTTTTCGTCGTCTTCCTCCTCCCCTTCCTCGTCTTCTTCGTCGTCCTCTTCGTCCTCATTTTCATCATTGTCGTCGTCGTCATCATCTTCTATCTCATCCCCCTCAGCCTTATTCTTCTTACTCTTCTTCTTTGCCGCCGCAGAAGCAGCCCTCTTCCGACTCGTCATATTCTCAAACCTGTGCCTTGCATCCGACATACGCTCATTAGCCTCGCCCGCTGTCTCGGTTAACTTGTCCCCCGCCTGGCGGATATGTTCTTTGAGTTGCCTGAAATGTGTCGCAGAATGTAGCGATGCGAGCGCGCGTTGTGCTTTGGCATTCAAGGGAGTGGCGAGGGGCTCGTAGTCGGGAGTTTGTGGTCGGTTGCGAGAAGAAGTTGCGACAGTAGGTGCGGGCGTGGCTTCGGTATCGTCTAGTCTGCGAGAGCGACGAGAGGAGGATAGGAGAGGTGCCATTTTAGTTCTTCGTTTCTTAGCTGTTGTCAAACGCCTATCAACTTTTCCTAGGCTGAGGTATATGAGCGCAGAATATTGATGCCATATGCGTACAGGAGTTTCCGTCAAGCTTCTGTGATTACTGAAAGAGATAAGACGTCCAGTTTGGCATCATATAATTTTATGCAGTCGACAAATATAAAAATTGTAGAAATCCGACTCCCCGATAAGATATCAAGTTGTTGAACGCGTCAAACCGTGTCGTTGTACGCTAGTCCGTAAACGGATATATGCGATTTCTACCAAAATGACAGAAAGTCCTCTACTATCAACCTTTGAGCCAAAATTGCTGTAAATTCTACGTAGAATACAGATTGCATACAGCTAGAATATACATGCATTCCGAGAAAGGAAAAGTTTGTTGGTACATGCTACGCCACCGCCAGCACATGAGATCCTAAACCTTTTGAAAAACGAAAGCATGATAGAAGCCTGGATTGTGTTAGACTCTAAAACTCCAGCAGAGCGATAGAAGTACTTACTAGCTGCATCGAGCTCCTCATCGCTGACAAGTAGTTCGCCTCCGCCACGAGCACGGACACCCATCCGTTCACTCAAAGGGCCAAGTTCAGGGTCATCTTTCTCTTCATGCCAAATTTCCAAGAATGGTTTGCGGTATACGAGTTCAAGATTGTATTCTGTAGTGAGGCTGTGAAGAAGTAAACAATTAGTAAAAGTAACATAAAGAGGGTAGGAGATCATACTATCGGAAAGCTTCCCAAGGCACAACGTATTCCGGAATCTCTTCGACGGCTTCTTCCATGAAATAACTGTATTTCCAACCAAATGGAGGACGGAACACCCCATCCTCGGGAGTAGCACCTGGGAATCGCACTCGATAGATGCTGTTCCCCCATTCCAACTTCTTTTCTTCTGCTACCTCACCATCCTCCGCAGCGACTTCGTCTTTCGGCTCAGCCTCCTTTTCGACTTTATGCTCTTTGTGGTATTGCGCAACCTTAGCACTAATCACATCTGAATTTGGTCCAACGCCGATAAATCGCCCGCCCTTTTTTAAGGMACCGGCTACATTCTGTAGCATCTGTCGCGCTTTTTGTTCTGATTCAAAGGCATAGTGCATCGTGAACATACTGACAACGACGTCGAACCCACCGCCACCCCATCGGGCGTTCATAAGGTTAGCGTCAGGACCGACATTAGCGTCGATGCCAACTTCCTGTATAATGCGAAGGTCTCCCAACCATTCACCGAAGCAGTCCTTGGGATGGAACTCAGCATGGAAAAGAGCATTGCCGCGTCTGTTTCGTTGGTTCCGTTGATTCCTCATCGTGTTATACCGGTCCCGAGCTTGATCGATGGAAATTTCGGCAGGATCGAGTCCGACGTAGAGATCAACCGGCTGAGGAGCCTGTTGCCATTTACCAAGATCTCCTCCCTTACCACAGCCTAGGTCAACTACCAAGAGCTTCTTTCGCTCCACAGGCGGACTTCCAGCTTCGGCAGCCCATTCCTTGGTTCCGGTCTTGCTTGCTAGAAATTCCTCATCTGGTGAGAACTTTTGTATAACCGTACTTTTGATCCAGTTGTTGAAGCTCCGTAGTCCCTTGATCTTACTATCTGTCTTTCTCCATTCCCGTCCTCGCTCCGGCACAGCATTGTAGTGTTGGCGAACGACATCGTGAACACCACGATCCCGTAAATCTCTTTCGACATCACGTTGTTGAGCTTGTTCTCGTTCTTCCTGACGACGTCGAAGAAGATCCTTCCCAGCGGTCCCCAATCGCGCTCCGCCACCAGGTCTCTTCCTCTGCCGAGCTTCAGCTTCAGGTGTAACAGATCTTTGACGGGGGAATGGCGAACGAGATCGTCGAAAATCAGTTCCTCGTCGGCTAGGTGATACCGAGCGAGAATCTCGTAAATCGCGAGTGCGGCCTTGTGGAGAACGGTCTCGTCGAGAATAGGCTGAAGGACCTTCACGTCGGGGCGCTCTCTGGGGTCGTTCTTCACGGCGTCTGCGCTTCGAAGTTTGCTGTCTACCACCCTGGTTGGAAGTATCTACCGCCGAGGACTGCGCTTCAGCTCCATTTTCGTCTTGTCTTGTTGATTGATTATTACCCGTCGAATCAGCCATCGGTGTTCGTGATTGTGGCAATTTCGACGAAAAAGTTGAGGTATTGATGGAAGGGCTTTGGTGATGTGCGGTTTGTGGCGATGAAGTCCTCTCAATTGTAGAAGAACGAATGTTATCCTGACGCAAAGCTTCACCTGGCTTGGAAGTAAGTTTCACTTCAGGCTTGGTATGAACGGTTGAGGGTGGAGCGTAGGTCGTGGTCTGCATGTGCTTATAGTTTAGTCCCATCCAGGTCAGTAAGGTCTTATGGAGCAAAAGGCATCCTGCCGAGATCCACACTCAGAAAAAGCCCGCAAATCATAGATCACCTGTCCAGGTTTGGCACCGGGGATTACTTACAGGAGGGCGCTCATAATGTGAGCCTGGAACAGCCTGTGAGATAGCCGTTGACGTAGGAACAGTAGCAGCTGTTTCCCCTTCATGGCTAGCAGAAGTATCGTGTGTTGTACCGCGTTCTGCGGACCCGTCGTCTTTCTGCTCTTTTGCAAATATGTCCCGAGCTGGATCGTACATTGACGGTCGCCGACCGTCAACCATCTCCTCCGCCATAGTGCGCGCTTGCAGGCTCAATATTCAGAGGTCTAGCATCTAGAGAAGAAGTCCTTGAGGAACTTCGCGGCTGACGATCCTGGGACAGATGCTCTCATCATGCTGACCTAATTGGGTATAGCGCCGGCTGTTTCCCTGCCGCATGAGGAAATCGGCATCAATTTGCTCTACTCATCTCAGCTGTTTACTAATAGGCTAAACAATCTCGTTCAGAATGGATTCAAATGACTCAGGGGGGTTATGTATTCGAATATGTCAGATTAATCACTCGCTAGAACAGTGAATGCATAATAGTGATGCTATACTAGCCCTAAATTCATCGCAGATAATCACCCCAACGCCTTGCTCGATTGAATGATGGATATTACCGATGTCATAAGATGAAATGCAATATTACTTCCTTTCTGGAATGCTCTTCTTTGGCCCCTTCACATGCAACGCTTCTCGTACTCGTCGTAGCTTTGACCACCATTCCTTATCCTTCGCCCTCTGAGTAGCTTCATCTGTTGCCGTTGAGCCCAGAGACAAAGTATCGGAGTCCACAGGTGTAACTTCACGCGGGGATATTGCTGTTGCCTTTACCCGTCGGCGATGCTTTGTGCGAATGCCTTGGGCTAGGATCTGCCAACCACTTAACAGACCTTTCGGCTTATCTGCTGCAGTACCGGTAGCACTCTGCGCCGTTCCATTTATCCACGGGCAATAATCCATATGTTCAGTATGAACCGGTAACTTGTCGTAGACAGGATCTTTTCCTTCTTCTTTTGGTTTGTACAGCCATAAACCCAGACGTCTGAAGCAAGCACGGCACTCGAGCAGTCCGCTAGAGCCATCTTTGACGACGTCCCAACCGAGAAATGCAAAGACGAACGATCTATAGTCGATATCTTTTTCTGATGAGTCGCCTTGCTGAGTAGAATCCTCTTCTGACGGTTCGACAAAGTCTGGGGGTAGTAGGCTTATAATTTCTTCTATAGACAGTTGTTCAGGTAACTCGATTGTTTCTTTCGACGGCAGCTGGTCTCGCATTTTTGATATCTTCAAGTAGCGTTCTCGTAAAGCATTAATGGCAGCATCGGGATTTGTAAGCGGTAAGCGATGAATAGTGGCTAAAATAAGAAGTCAGTATTAGTATGTTGTGGGTGATGTGAAGCTCATACCGTCGCATGACTTGGTCCGCCATAAACAAGTCTCCTTGTGCCCTTGGCATAATAACTTTTGATACTCCTCGACCACCTTTTGTCCTGTATGTTCGTTCAGTACTGATATATGCCGAAATCAGGTGAGTATAGCACTCACGGACGTCTTTCCTCTCTTGCACCTTCTCGCTATCCAAGTCCTCAAAGTTATCCACTTCCTCGGGCAATTTCACCACAATTGAAGCACCACAGCCACCAACGCAGGAAACACGCATATAGTCAGTACAGGACCATCCCCTCTTCGCCCACTCAACCTCATTTATTGGAGCTGGCTGTGAAGTCCATCGAGTCACAGGTCGGAATGTCTCTAATCTCTCGAGAAAACGATCCCGATCCCAAGGAACAAAGTTCGGGCGAAGGTTTGCGGAGCTCGAAGTGGTTCGTAAGATTCGAGAAACGGTCGTCTTGGTCGTCAGATTGTCGCCATTCCCCTCTCCAACACGAACTCTCTTGATCGAAGGTGCATGTGTCGCATCCGCTAAACGCTGTCGGGCAGCCATTAAAGGATCCTTAGCGGGTTTTGCTCCGCCATCACCGGGTGCCAAAGGTTTCGACAGTGATTCCAGAACCCTGGTAAATTTTCGCTTCTTGGTCTCTAGCGCATAAGACATCTCTGTTGCTGAGGCGACATTCAAGTTGAGATGAGAATCGTTCTGGCTTAGACCAAGTCAGCAAGCTTAGCTTAGCTTAGTTGAGCTGCTTAAATCCGCTTGCTAAGCGGGTCCCACCCTAGAAGAAAGGCCGAGCTTTCCGTCTTGCAATATCTCCTCCATGATTGGCCAATTATCCGCTGACTCGGCAGCACGAATTATCATTCGATCTCTTTTACTTCAATTTTTCGACAACTTCACGAAATCGTACAGCTGATAGAAAGGGACCGCCAGAAATTACTTATGGCAGCTCTGGGCATGTCGGCATTTCCTCTGAGAGGATTCGGCGCCCGCGTCGCCTCTGCAGAGTTGTTCACCTGCCGACAATGTCTTCGGCAGCGCAATCAAATGACGAGGCCCTTTAGTAGCCGAACTATCCCGCGAACGCCATCTCAGAAATCACCTCGTGTCGGTTCCTATCTCGGTGCTTTACGGAAGAATTTCAAAGCCTTTACGATTACTCGCTCGGCTTCCTTGTCTACGGCCACCGTAGCACAACAGGCTCTAGAGCAAGGGGCCACGGCTACAAAATCTCACTTTCCGGATGTGAGTAGCAAGGCTGTCGCATACTGGCTTTTGGGGAGCGCTGCGAGCGTTTTTGGGATTGTCATCTTTGGAGGATTGACAAGGTTGACTGAGTCCGGGTAAGCCTACTATAGCCATTGTCCAGAAGTTTAGACGTTGCTAACTTCTAACAGTCTGAGTATCACAGAATGGAGACCTGTAACTGGCTCATTGCCGCCGATGAACAACGATGATTGGGAGGCAGAGTTTGCGAAATACAAAAACTCCCCCGAATACAAAATTCTAAATCCGAACATGAACCTCTCCGAATTCAAATCAATCTACTACATGGAATGGATCCATCGACTCTGGGGTAGATTTGTAGGATTGTCCTTCGTTATCCCCGCCGTCTACTTTGTCGCTAGAAGAAAGGTCTCCAAACCAATGGCTTTGCGTTTGGCTGGTATTTCAGGTCTTATTGGGTTCCAGGGTGTCATTGGATGGTGGATGGTGAAGTCTGGCTTGAAGGATGATCTTTTTGCTCCTGGCAGTCATCCTAGAGTCAGTCAGTATCGTCTGACTGCCCATTTAGCTGCTGCTTTTACCTGTTATGTCGCCATGCTCTGGAATGGTCTTGCTATTCTACGATCTCACAGACTTCTCAAAGACCCACAGGCCGGTACTGAATCACTGAATGCTCTGCGAAACCCCAAGCTTGCAGTATTCCGTCGCTCGGTTGCCGGGTTGGCTCTCTTGGTGTTCACTACAGCAATGTCCGGAGGCCTCGTCGCTGGTCTCGATGCCGGTCTGATCTACAACGAATTTCCGTACATGGGCAACGGGTTGACACCGCCCAAGGCCGAACTGTTTGACGAAAAGTACTCGCGTCACTCAGATCGATCCGATCTATGGTGGAGAAACATGCTCGAGAACCCATCCCTAGTCCAACTCGACCACCGTGCTCTCGCCATGACCACATTCTCCGCCGTCATGGCTCTATGGGCATACTCCAAATCCTCATCCATGAAAAAACTACTACCTCGCAGCGCTCAAAAGGGTGTTCATGGTGTCGTCGCTTTCACGTTTGTGCAGGTGACCCTTGGTATCTCGACTCTACTATATCTTGTCCCCACGCATCTTGCATCGACTCACCAGGCTGGAAGTTTGTTCCTGTTGACTTGGGTTCTTGTGCTCGGCAGTAGGATCTGGCATCCTTCGAGGACGGCTAAGTTGTTGCAGATGGCTGCAAAGGCTAGAGGTCAGCCGGTAGCTGCGTCTACGGCTAATGCGGTGAATGCATTGAAGAAGTAGATTATCTCTGCCTTGATACTTATCTTTGTATGAATATGTACCATACTCCTCTCATGTATATTAGCTCTTGTCAGATCTCCTGAAGAATTAGAGCAGTAGTCGAATGACAACAAGTTGTACTTTCACACCGAGTTTCTACTATCACCAGCCTATAATTTTAGCGTTTGATCGAGTAATACCTTAGAGGATGAAAATTTGCAATGGTGAAATCTGAAACAATATTCATTCGTTCAAGCAGGACACATAATTCATGGACACATTGTCCCGATTTCTCATACCGAAACCTCAAACACCGCATGCCATTTGAAGACTCATTCTGCTCTGTCTTTTTCGTCATCTACCCTCTTATGAGCCGTATTTTTGCAAATCTATTTGTGAGGAATACCCTCTTCCGGCTGAGGAGTAATACCAACAACCTCAGCAGCAGTAGGCTTCTTCTCCGCTGTAGTATCATCCTTCATGAACGGGAAAGTGAGAACCTCCCTGATCGTATGATTGTCCGTCAAGAACATAACAAGACGATCAATACCCATTCCCCAACCACCGGTTGGGGGCAAACCGTATTCAAGACTAGTGCAGAAGTTCTCATCGATGAGCTGCGCTTCATCGTCACCCTGGGACTTTTGGCGGGCTTGTTCTTCGAAACGCAAGCGTTGGTCAAAGGGGTCGTTCAACTCGGTGTAGGCGTTGACAATCTCCTTCTTGCAGACGAAGGCTTCGAAACGTTCGCAGAGACCGACGTTTTGGCGGTGATATTTGGCGAGAGGGGACATCATTTGAGGGTGGCCCATAATGAAAGTCGGGTTGACGCAGGTTTCTTCAATGAACTCGCCAACAAGCTTATCGAGCATACGGGCGTTGGTCAAGGGGGATGAGCATTCGACGCCGGTCTTTTTGAGGACCTTCTTCAAGAATTCATTGGTCTCTTCGGTGTGAAGTTGGTCACCAGGAGGGAACTTCTCGCCTGTCGCTTCTTCGAGGGCAGGGATCATTTCTACACGTCTCCAGGGAGCCTTCCAGTTGACGTTGTATACTTCACCGGATTGGGTGTGGAAAGTTGTCTCGTAGCCACCGGTGACATGCTTGACCATACCCGAAACAAGCTCCTCGGTAAGGTTCATGACATCGTAGACATCGGCATATGCCCAATAAAATTCGCAGGTGGTGAACTCAGGGTTGTGAGTAAGATCGGCGCCTTCGTTACGGAATTGACGGCCAAGTTCGTAGACACGCTCCAAACCACCGACGATCAACATCTTCAAGTACAACTCAGGAGCAACACGCATGAAAAGATTTGTGTTGTACTCATTGTGATGCGTAATGAAGGGCTTTGCTGTGGCGCCACCAGCGATAGCGTTCATCATGGGTGTCTCGACCTCAGTAAAGTCACGCTCGTCAAAGAAGTTGCGGACATATCTAACAATCTTGGCACGTGTAGTGAAGACTTTACGCGACGACTCATTCATGATCAAATCAAGGTATCGCTGACGGAAGCGTGTCTCGGAGTCCTGGAGACCACGAGGCAGAGCATGAAGACAAGGAGCGAGAAGCTTGACCTGTGTGGCGAAGATCGACAATTCGCCCTCATCTCGAGTCTTCGGGTTACTGCGACCCGGGAAACCGGTGATACCGATGATATCTCCTCGTCGTAATTGTTCATGTTGATCAGCGAACGCGACATCGCCCGTGGCGTACTGGGCCTGGCACAGGATCTGGAGCTTGATGCCCTCGGCGCGGAGATCGTAGAAGAACAGCTTAGTACCGGCTGAGCGCTTGTTTTCGATACGTCCCGCGACCTGCACGATGGTATCCTGCTTCAACTCGCCCTTTCCTAGCGATGCGTATTCGGTCAAGAAGTTGCGCGCGTCGATGGTGACTTGGAATTTGTGTGGGTAGGGATCGGGGTTCTTGGTTTCGCGGAGCTTGTTGATCTTTGAGCTACGGATTTCGAAGTATTGCTAGAATACCAGCCATGTTAGATCAACGACTTGATTGACGGCTCGATTGGCAAGTACGAGATAGAGGAAACATACGTTAGGAGTCAAATTCGACTCTTCATCCTCAGCAGACTTCTGCTTCTCCTGCTTGGGCTTGGCTGGAGCAGCAGCTTCCTTCTCCTTCTTCTTTGCCTCCTTCTCTCTGTTCTTCTGGCGTCTCTTGAGCTCAGACTTAGACACCTTCTCGCCGGTGACCTCGTCCAAGAGCAAATTGGCGACGCCGGCCTCGGCTTCCTGAACACCGGAGTCGGCCATGGTGTGTTGTGCGAGAAATTTAATGTGTGTAGTATCTTATTGACAGTGCACTTCTCACGGAAAGTCTGTCAATCCCTCTGTCCACAATGTAAAGAGGTTTCTTGTTGTCAGATAAGGCAAGAAGGGAGAAAAAAAAGTCAAAGATGTGCGGGGAGCGGGCGGAGTTGACTCAACCCGCCGAAGATTGGGACGACGAATGATATGCTTCTGATCGATCACAGCAGCAGTCCCCAGCGATTGAAGGCAATGCATTTGATGACATATTAATGGTATATAGTTATTCTACAAAATAGGACGATCAATATTTATTATTGTTGGTGAAAAGTGCTACTCTCTCTACGTCATGAAGCCCTTTAACCCCTCCATATACTCATATCCGGATAGTAGGGTTTAGGGTTTAGGGCATCAATGAGGGGCATCGAAAAAGACAACTTTTAACCTCTCTCAGATTCTCAATTCTATAACTTTTGATTCTCTTGCCGACAAAGTCTCTCAAAGAAGTTTCTAGTCCTCCAATCTACTTGCAGGTATGACGTTATGGCAATCAGAAGTAGATCCGCGCACATATCATCATCAACCGTACAGTAATGAACCAAAGAACAACACAAGATCAAGCAAGTAAATTCGCATCCTTGGAGTACAGCTTCCGCAAGAAAGGATGGAGATAGTCAAGAGTTGGCCAACATGTAACTATCTTTTCCAAAGAAGAGTCCTTCTGGAAAACTCTCTTTACTCAATCATCCTCCGCAGTCTTGATGTAAGTTTCCTGGTCCTGGCTCATCTCAACATCCTCATCACTAGGACCATTGTACGCTACAGCCGATCCCAACCATTTCAGAGCAAGTTCCAACTTCTCTTGTTCTTTAAGGAGGAATTCTCGGCGTTGTAGTCGCTCGGAGTCATCGGCCATTAGCTGCAAACAGCGATATGATGCTAAAATAAGCACATTAGCATCAGCCAAAAAAAAAAAAAAACTGAAGGCTTACCATCCGCTTCACATATTCCGAGTCCCTTCTCAATCTCCTTGAACAAACTCTTCTTGCACTCTGTAAACATATTGGAACGTATAACCATACAGATTTGGTCGACAAAGCGGCAAGACGCGACTTTGTAATGAGCATGCGCAGCCTATAAAATATATTAGGGTCACGGCAGGGATGTATTTGAGTGGTGCTTAGAACATACAGCCATCAACTTGAGCTCGTTAGTAAACGGATCACAGCCAAAGTCCAATGCCTCGATCGCCTTCTCGTATTTAGCTCGGTCTGTGGAAACCTGAACTCCACGACTTCGGAAGTGATTTATAGCCTTCTTCTCCTTGCGAGTCTTTTTTAATTCACTGTAGTACACCGCTCCATCTTTTTGAAGTGCTTCACGATCATTTGCAATAAATTCTGTGCTTTCGAGGGTGTAGAGTTTGCCTGCCTCCATGTGAACATTCTCTTTCATCTGTTCGAGGAACTTGTCTGAAATATCCGAGACTTGACGATATAGTTCAGTCTCCTGATGGGCAACCAGTACCAATTTGACTTGGGCCAAGACTGCTTTTCTGACCTGTTTGAAAGTGACATCAACGAAAGTCCGCATCGGAAGTTCCCAGTGTGAGACGCTCAATCGGTGCACTCTCTCAACGGCTTTGGGATGTACATGAGCAGTTGGTCCACTGGAACAATCTTCATTGATGCTGCGTATCTCTTCGAGTTCGAATGTTCTCTCTGGCTCTAAAATTATTGTTAGATATCTCTCTATGTGTACATTTAGACATGTAGTAGCATACTGGTAAAATCCTGGAAATGCTGCGTGTAATCGCAACCGAGAGTCTTCGTTGATGCAGCATCGATACCCTCTTGCGACGAAAGTTTTCTTTTTGGTGTTTGTTTCACGGCTTTTGCATCCGTAATCTCGCAGTCAGATTCGTCATCAATTTTGAAATCCTCCTCGTCTGTTAGCAAGCGTAGATCAGGTTTCGTACGCTGGATTGCTGAAGCAAAGTCTTTAGCGATTCGGTTCCATAATTTCAACGCTGGCATGTCCTTTGAACCACCTTCCAGACAAGCCGCAATACCGCTTTTCAATTCCTGTAACTTTGTACACAAGACGTAGAATGAATTTTGGTTGACCGGTTCGGGGAGTTCTCGAAGCTCTTCATCGATTCTCAAAGCCTTCTCACGAATCCGCAATTGAACCTCGGGAAGGCAGTCCTTGATTTGGTCAATCAGTAGCCTGGACAGGGCGTTCTGGAGATTATGTGTTCCGAGTCTAGGCTGGAAGGGGGCCAGCGCTGTGGTCCACGGGTGACTCGAGAAAAATTGTGTTTCCTCAATACGAGCCTGGCGGTGTCCAACGTTGGGATTTGGATTATTACGGACGACATAATATCCATGCCCGAGTTGAAATTTGTGGCCAGTCAAAAGGTCGGCCCATTGAGCAATATCTTCCACACGATCGGGCTTGGTGAGGACCCCTAAGGTACGATCGGTCGCCTTGATCTCACGTACGATGCGGGCTGCGCTCGAGTTCGTGGCGTCGTCCGTCATTGGCAACGTAAGCAGGATGATGCAATTTCGTTGAGCCACATAATGTTTGACGAGGTTCTCAACGAGAGTGACCAGGTAAGCTTCCTCGTCGTGTTCAGCTTGGCTAATGACCCCTGGTAGGTCATAAAATGCGAGATTGGGAAAATGGGGAGCTGATATGTCGAGGCGAACAACATTTGGAGAGAATTTGACAGGTGTCGAGGCATCATCGATATTCATTGAAGATGATGGCAGAAACTCCACTGGATTCTTATGGGGATTGAGGATGGCTAGCTGTGCTCGCTTGATGGCATCCTGAACCTGATCCTTGGAGTTCAATGTAAGGAAGGGTATATCCTCAGCTTCGGTCATTTGGTACCAAGGTCCCAACTTGTTTGCCTTCGTAATCTTTCGCAAACCATTTTTCGTCGAGTACGTGTAGGAGCAACTCAACTTCACCTCACATTTCCAGGGCTGGTCGCTATCGGAGAGATTGATCTCCATAGGACAACGAGTGCAGGTCCCTGCACTACGAGGCACTTGGATCTCTGACATACCCTCGATCAGGGACGATTTGCCAGTCGACTGATCACCAACGACACAAATTTTGGGAAGCGCGATTTTGCTGTCTTCGATTCCAAGATGACGAAGATCCTGGATCTTTTTGACCAGTGCTCGCATGTCCTTTGTCATGAGATTGATACTTTCTACGCCGGGCATTGGGTCCAGGTGAGTCGTAGCGGGAGATGCATCACGATGAGGCAGGCTAGAAACATGTACCAAATCTTGGAGGTCGGCTTTTAATGTTAGTTAAGTTACTCAAAATATTGATAGAAGAGAATGTACCTGCTGACTCCCAAGTGCTAGATTGCGCTGAGGCATAGGGATTTGCCACATGAAAAGCCATTCGAGCGTTTGTAAATCAGACTTGCCGTGGTTGTCTGATGATGCCTGAATTTTTGAGAAAAGAAGTGGGTATGGAGAGCGCAATACAACTTGAGATTGCTACCTAGGCTTTGCGAGACTAAGATGAGAGGGAGGTTGAACAAGAAGTGAGATGAAAACCAAGAAAGAGGATGCGAAGAGAAACAGGGCAGAAAGAAGAATGAAGAGAAGAGTGAAGTGTAAAGAGAGAATGGAAGGCTAAATGAATAGGAGGGAGAGAGAGAGAGAGAGAGAGAGAGAGAGAGAGACAAAGTTGACGGAAAAGAGCGAGGGTTTTGGAGAGCGCGTCAAACGAAAGATGCTCGATTAGGAAAGAGCCTCAGCGCCCCCCTCTAAGCCTGAGGCAACAAAAGACGCCATTTCCTGAGACTGCTACTTGATGCTCGAATTTCTCCTGGTCATAAGCATCGAGTGCTGGGCTGCGATACAGGAGAGCTTGGCTAGACCTAGTAAGTGAACTGAAGGCCTCGTTCTCCTCTTATATGGGAACAGAGAGCACTTTGGTATACCAGCATCTTGAAGTATTCATGGATGATAATCAGCAGTTCACTTCATTGCTGGCTCGACATTAGCAGAGGACATAGTTATAGATTGGGGCAGGTCTTCTGTACACCTCAGGTTGCTCGATGAAGCATGTTGGAACACAAGAGTGCATGAGGCATGTTGGCACTCTTTTATTCCAATATATATCTACAAATATCAACATGAATAGGCTAGCTCATTGATATACAGTAGAAGAGAGAAATTATCAATATCATCGAATTCCACGACGTGCGGTGCTGGCGGATGTGATTGGCGGGGCAGCGTAGTAGCCACGCAAACAAAGTGACGCAGCTTCAACTGACCGCTTGGCGTACTGGAGAGAGCTACTCCTCTCTCGACCGACCTGCGACTAGACACTTATTTTTGTGCTAATTGCAGTGCTCATTCCTATAACAATTGCTCTGCCTAAACTGCGACTCATCATCTTTCTATTCCATTGAACAGAGGTTCTCCTTGCATTCTCATCTATGCTTCAAGTCCCGCTTCGGGAGTCGCCCAACAACAACAACATGGCGTCCACTAAGGCTGTGATTCTGGTAAGCGAAGCTCGAAATCGATCTCCTCTTTTGGGTTACAGCTTCTCACGATGTGATTGTACAGGTCGGTGGTCCATCTCGAGGTACCCGCTTCAGACCATTGTCTCTCGACGTTCCCAAGGTAAGCCGCTTCCCCTCACCACATATATCGCTTGACGTTAATTGAAACCACCTTGTTGGATAGCCACTATTCGAAGTCGCCGGCCACCCGATCATTTCCCACTCCCTCAAAGCCGTCGCCAAAGTCCCCGATCTCCGCGAGGTCATTCTAGTTGGCTACTATGACGAATCCGTCTTCCGAGACTTCATCAAGGATGCGGGCAAGGAGTTTCCACACTTGCGCATCCAGTATCTGCGCGAATATCAGGCATTGGGTACCGCTGGCGGTCTCTACCATTTCCGCGACGCAATCCTTAAGAACAAACCGGAGCGATTCTTCGTTTTGAACTCTGATGTCTGCTGCTCTTTCCCTTTGGGGGAGATGTTGAAGTTGTTTGAGGAGAAGGATGCCGAGGCTGTGATTCTGGGAACACGAGTCAGTAACGACGCTGCGACAAATTTTGGTTGTATTGTATCGGATGCGCATACGAAGCGTGTCCTGCACTACGTCGAGAAGCCCGAATCGCATATTTCGAACCTGATCAATTGCGGTGTATACTTGTTCGCGACTGAATGCATCTTCCCTTCGATCCGCAGTGTGATCAAGCGCCGTGCCACCCGTCCGCGACTACTCTCCTACCCCTCATCAGAGAACCTTGACTCTTCGTTCATTGCCGAAGACGATGATGGCGAAAAGCCCGAGATCCTCCGCTTAGAGCAGGATATTCTGTCTGATCTTGCCGACAGCAACCGCTTCTTCGTCCACGAGACCAAGGATTTCTGGCGGCAGATCAAAACTGCTGGCTCTGCTGTGCCAGCCAACGCCTTGTACCTTCAAAAAGCCTGGCAGGCTCAGTCCGACGAACTCACTCCTCCCTCTGCTTTCATTGTGCCGCCCGTTTACATCCACCCTACAGCTGAAGTCGACCCAACCGCGAAGCTGGGTCCCAATGTCTCTGTCGGCCCACGTGCCGTGATCGGTGCTGGTGCTCGTGTCAAGGAATCTATCATCTTGGAAGATGCCGAGATCAAGCATGATGCTTGCGTTTTGTACTCTATCATCGGCTGGGGTAGCCGTGTCGGTGCCTGGGCGCGTGTAGAGGGTACACCGACMCCGGCCGGTAGCCACTCCACAAGCATCATCAAGAATGGAGTCAAGGTGCAGAGTATTACGATATTGGGCAAGGAGTGCGGCGTGGGCGATGAAGTACGAGTACAGAACTGTGTCTGTCTGCCGTATAAAGAGTTGAAGCGGGTACGTTTCTTCCTTCAAGGAATACAATCCATCACTAACGAATTCACAGGATGTCACGAACGAGGTCATTATGTAGGACGTATTATGGGCTGATCTTATGGCACTCTGATTTGAGCGATTGTTTGCTTAAAAGTAATACCTAGTTCAATATAATTATCTCATCATACATGGAACACAAGTCAACTTTTTATCACATTTCCGCTATATAAAAAAACAAAACCCGACATTTGACGCCGTTAAATGCAAAAGAACGCCAATCTTGATGTACCGAGCCCGATGTAAAAATTTCTGAGACCCATGAGACGAAGTTTATCCCCTGTATCCATATCCACCCTCATCATACGGAGTCCGATGCGGCCTAAATGCCTCATAACCCGTCTGCTGTTCATCAAACCTCGTATGTAACGGCGAGTACGGGGTCTGTCTCGTCGCCGCCGCCGAAGCCCATCTCACCCCATTCGCAGGGGGGACATCCGGGACACCATCGTAATATTCCACATCATGGCCGCCCTGAGGCTGAAACTGCTGATGGTATTGTTGCTGCTGCGCCGTATCATCATGCCGCACCGTCCCAAGCGCATTGTAGACATCCGCACGGGTAGCATTGGGGTCTGGACGGCTCTCGTCGTGAACGGGGACGGCGGGGACAGCAGCAAGAGGGACGGCACTTTCACCTCGGGCATGTAACTTGTAATCCTGCCCGCCGTAACTAGCATTATTATTCATCGAGTCATACGCCGCCAGCACAGCCAGATTTCGTTGGTCTTTCCTCGCGACTCCATCGATGATGGTATGTACGAAGGTAAATACGGTCGCAACAACAATGAACGAGAAAAGCGTCTTGTATACCCTGCACACCATCACCCCGGTGGATGTTCCCCACGAATCGACGTTGCAGGTCGTCATTAATGTGCCGCGCATGCTGTACCCCAGAAAGGCGAGGGAGATGATCCAGAGGATGAGGAGGATTACGTTTGCGGATAGGGAGAAGACGGGTCGGAGACTGTTGCGGGCGTAGAGAAGAGTGGTGAGGAGCAGGTTGATGAGGGTTAGGAGGCATGTTATTAGGATCTATTCCAATTAGTCGGTGTTGATTGATTTATCGGGAGTTTGGGTGAGGCTTACGATGAGAAATGCGTATGGAACTTTGAAGCCGTCCGAGTGTAGATGCACGACGAAATAGATCATGATACCGGTCACGATCAGGGTGGAGAGCCAGATGAAGGCTCTCGTGAAGTGGAATGCGCCCGGTCGATAGGGCGAAGGGGTGTTTCGATTTCTCATCTTGGCTGTATGATGTGGTGAGGTTGATGCAAGTGTCGATGTTGAAGTCGATATCGATGTTGATGTTTGTTTATCCAGCGCCGTGCGTCATGTGGAATGATGCCTTAGCAACCGCCACCAGAACAACTCAGTATCGATCAATGTAATATTGATAGTAGATGGAGAGTCAATTCGAGCAGCAGAAAGAAGATGTTCAATATATTCCGGACAATGTTTGAAGAATGATCTGAAACAGAAGCGATACACAACGCGGCCATCCCCACAGTCAACCAAATGGCCCACGTCAGCTGCGGCTGTGCTCTCCTTGATAGGAGTTTGCCAGTCTGGGCTCTGGCACAGCCGCGAAACGCTGAGTACGTATGTATGTCCATAGCCGAAAATAGATTCAAATTTTTGGTTTAGATAAATATACAAAATCCGAGAAAAGTGGTTGGGTTCTTATTTGATGTTTACATGACAGGGATCCATCGAAATAAATTAAAAGAGCTCAAAGACAGGTCCCCACTCGGGACCCTGGACGACAAGGCACTAAGGCATCAAGGCATTAAGGCAGCCCCACTGATTTAGCCCTAACTACGACAATCATCTTTGCCTAAGTAAGTATTGCTGGCTCGCTGAGATGGATACGGACTGAACAACCATATTATGGACTTATTTACACCCGATATCAGTCTATTGCTCGTGATACCAGAGGATGTATAACGCAGCATGGAATTAGTCGACAACTGGTGAAGGAAGTTATCTATACAAAGATACAGGTGATATCACTTTTGGAAAAGTAATGACAACTTCAGCATTGTAGGGTAGCTAGGCGACACCAAGCTTATACCTGACCAAAGCACACGGAATCAATCTTGCATGTCCATGAGCTGAATCCAATGAGTTCCGTTTACCCCAAACATCAGAAATACAAAGAGCCATGTTGTACAGCATTGAGGACAAATAATCTGGTCCTCGGACACCTGCAATTCTTGAATCATGATAAGCATCATATTTTGAATTATAAGAGCACTATGTAAACTGCAGAGATAACAAATCCACTCCCTTCTTTGTTATAATTGATCTCAGATGCTCAGGCTAGTGCTTACTCCGTAACTCCGTACTCAGCTGGGTTACATCAAATTATTGGGCTGGAAAAGTATCTAAGTACATCTTTTTGAGTTTAAGGGAATTAGAAGACATAATAAAATACATATTGCTTACTCCGTTACTCCGTAGAATGTGAAGAGCACCTGCATGTGGGCAGCTCGGATACATAGAAAAACTCAGGCAGAGAGATAAATTAGATTACCTAGGTAGTTTCAGCATGTTGGCGGTATTAAAGACTCCAGCAACAATAGCCTCCTCTTGTGCCTGACTTGCACATATAAATTTAGAGTTTGCTCAAGACCGAGACCTGGAGAGACTCATTAAGTCCATTATCCTACATCCCACTCGCCAATTCGAATACTTGTTTTTCTTCAATCCAACAAATATAAGAAACCATTTTGGTCCTTACTAGCATAGATATGGAAGCCCTCGTCGACTATGTCAAAAAATTGGCCAAGTCCGGCGATGCAAAGACGCGCAGGAAAATATTGGATCAACTACGATCCCTAAGTCACTCTATTGAGAGCCCCGACGACACTATTCAGAGAATCTCCTATCTCAACTTGCAACTTGCAGGCCTCCGCATCGGTGTCGATTTGAAGCTTTTTAGCACCCTCACTGAAAGTCCAGGCCCGCTCAGCATTGATCAAATCCGCGCAAAGACGAAAGTAGATCCTGTTCTTCTAGGTATATACAAGATCCATGGTATGTTTAACATACTAGACTGATGTACCATTTAGGTCGTGTCCTGCGGTACCTTGCTTCTATCGATGCCATCCAGGAGGTAGATAAAGATACTTTTACCGCAAATAACATGTCCAAGACTTTTGCTACAACTGGTGCAGAAGCAGCGATTCATCACTAGTTCGTATGCCGTCTTCATTTCTATTAGTGTCTGCAAACTAATATGCGTAACTTCCTGTAGCTTTGATGCAATGGGCCCTGGATTTCAGGAGCTGCCTGACTTACTAAAGGATACTCAATACGCTGATCCCGAGGACAGTACCAATACTGGAATACAACGAGCATGGAAAACAGACCTGCCTCTTTTCCTCTGGTTCCAAGAACAACCAGAGAAATTGTCTTATTTTCAGCACTATTTGTTGACCATGAATCGTTCCGGAAGGGCGAACTTCTTGGACGCTTACCCAGTACTCGAGAAAACGACAACAAATCTGGATCCCGAACGAGCCTTGTTTGTGGATGTTGGTGGCGGGTATGGAACGCAATCCATTGCTTTCCGGGAAAAGTACCCCGATCTGCCGGGAAAGGTGATCATGGAAGACCTTCCGGAGACCGTGAAGCAGCTTGCACGGCATCCAGGAGTGGAAGCTTTGGCACAAGACTTCTTCCAACCTCAAATCATCAAAGGTATCTTCTGCGCCACTCTTTTAGTCTTTGCTTATATTGATGTATTGGATTAGGTGCCAAGTTCTACTACATGCGCAACATCATGCACGACTGGCCCGATGACAAATGTCGGCTGATCCTCAAGCATTTGATCGATGCAATGGAGCCTGACTCCTATATTCTCCTTGACGAAATGGTTTTGCCAAACTCGGGCGTTCACTGGCAGCAGGCTCAGCTTGATATGCTAATGATGGCTGTTCTCGCGGCGCGGGAACGTACTCATGAGCAGTGGAGCAAACTTCTGGATAGCGTTGGGTTGAAGATCAATAATATCTACACTTACAACGACACTTTGCAGGACGGCATCATTGAGGCAGTGCGAGTGTAATCTATTATACCTGGATGGGAAAAATTGATTTATCATCCTTTGAAGAATGACGACAATCTAATGGCTTGTTCGCTGATTTTTTTTTTCATGGACCCGAATGTGCATTGCCGAAAATGGTATAGATATTGATTCAGGTCAAATTAGAGTTCAAACCTAACCCTTATGATTTTTTCTCGATTGTTGATAAAAGTTTTTTTGCATCTTCAGTACATGATGGACCAGTTGGCAGGTTGCGTCTGACCCAAATTTATCAATATACATACCAAATAAATATTGGCATAGATGTATACATCTGAATGTCGGGACAAATCAATTGAAGCCATTGGAACAGCCCTGAGTCTATACCAGTACACCAATCCCGAGCTATCATCAGTCTATGCTGCGTCTGTTTGTCAACCAGTCAAGCAGTCAATACGTTAATCATCAAGCATTGAGATGTCCATGGCCATAGATGATGGAACATTTCCCGCAAAACCCGCCTGACCCGGGTGCGTGATTAGTCAGAACGATTACAAATATAGCAATTTGTCAGCAAGTCATGACGTGCTGGCTGGCGGAACTGTATCTCCTGCCTGAGGGCTGAACACTCTTTTCAACCTACTTTCTACTGTTACTGCGTCTATATCAACAGATTATTGACTTTACAAGATCTCTCTATACACCTAATGATGCCCGCAGTCATAGAACAACGTACCCTCCCCTTCAACGAGGGCGAGGTAGCCCTCCATAACAAATTCCATGTCCCTCATCGAGATAACCCCACAAGTACATTTCTCAGTCAATATGGACAATTCATGGTCCCGCGTGCTCCATTAATCGGTTTAGGAGCATTGGATGATGACGGTAGACCATGGTCAACTGTATGGGGTGGAGAGACGGGTTTCTCCTCTGTCATTGATACTGATATCGTGGGCATGAGGGCATTGGTTGACAGAGTACATGACCCTGTCATCCAGAGTTTGTTTGAAAATGTAAAGGAGACCGATGGCTCTTCTGCCAGAATTAACGGCCAGGGTAAGATGATTTCGGGGGTAACTATCGATTTGGAGAATAGGAAAAGGGTTAAGTTATATGGGAAAGTCATCATGGGCACGTTGGAGGATCCTGAAGATGAAGGGAAATCAGGACTTGTAGGTAAACGCGGCCATGCTCAGTTGGTGGTCAAGATTGAAGAAAGTCTAGGTATGTTGATAGCTACTACATCTGATTGAATCATATACTAATACGAATAGGAAACTGTCCCAAATACCTCCACAAAAAGCACATCATCCCCGCCATCCCACAACCGAAACTCATCTCAATCTCTGCTCACCTGTCTCTTCAAGCTATAGGGCTCATCAACAAGGCAGACTGCTTCTTCATATCATCATACCACCAAAACACAGACATGGACACAAATTACCGTGGTGGACCTTCAGGATTCGTCCGATTAATATCAAACGAACCTGAAGGCGCCGTCCTCGTATATCCCGAATACTCTGGAAATCGCTTATATCAGTCTTTAGGAAACATGATGATGAACCACCGGGCTGGTCTCGTATTTCCGGATTTTGAAACCGGTGACGCGGTTTATATGACTGTCGAGACTGAGATTTTCATCGATGACGGGGCAGATGCAATTTTGCCAAGATCTAACCTTGCGGTGAAAATGACTGTTGTAGAGGCACGCTATGTCGAAAAAGCATTAGGCTTTAAGGGGATACCAATTGATATATCGCCTTATACACCTCCCGTCCGATACTTGCGGTCAGAAAAAGATCAGGCTCTCGAGACAATAGCAACTGAGGGACAGACCACGGCCCGGCTAGTATCGAGGAAAATGCTGAGTCCGTCTATCGCAAGATTCCGCTTCAAAATCTCTAGCAATCATGGCAAAATACCTACGTATAAACCCGGGCAGTACGCAGTCTTCTCATTCAAAGATGAACTCGACATGGGCTACAGTCATATGCGTGACGACGACCCACTGAGTCTCAATGACGACTACATCAGAACTTTTACCGTATCATCCTTTCCGGGAACGAAAGGGTTGCCAGATGATGAGTTCGAGATTACAGTCCGAAAGAATCGAAGCGTGACTACGCATCTGTTTCAGTAGAACCCGCGCACACAACTCGAAGTACCAATGTTGGGCTTTGGGGGAAGTTTCAAGATCGACACATCACACGCAAGCAATGAAGTCGTCCCTTTCATAGCTGGTGGAATAGGCATAACGCCCTTCTTAGGACAATTGCCTGGTCTTGATATGTCACGTCTTCGGTTGCTATGGTCAATTTCGGCAAGCGATATCAGCGCTGTTAAGGACATATTCCAGCAATTCCCCGACTTAGCGGACTCGACATCATTGTTCATTACTCAGGCGGGAAAGATAATTGACGCGAATGATAGAAGCTTAGAAGATCTGAAAGCTGCTGGAGCGGCAATCGAACGCCGTCGCATAAATGCGATGGATTTAAAGGATCTATCAGCGGATACATTCTACCTTTGTTCCAGTCATGCTTTGCAGACTTCGGTGCTAGAGTGGCTGAAGGGCAAGAATGTAGTTTATGAGGATTTTACTTACTAATATATAGTGATAGTTTGTGTATAAATGAAGCAGATTCAAATGAGTTAGGGTTAGCTGTTTATGTACATGGATAAGTGGGTCTTGGAGCTAGAACTATCTGAGTCTCCGCTCATCATTTCAAAAAGCTGCCGACAGCTTCATCTCTACCTTATCCAGGACCTCTCGTTCTAGATTCTTATCGCAGTTGAATAATCTCAAAAAAGAGAATAAATTATCAACATAACATAGTCAAAATTGCGATAGCGTTGCTCACTCTCCGCTGGCGAACCATCTCCGAATCACCCCGCACTGCATCAATACCGCATTCTACAAACCTGCGACAATGGCTTCATACGAGGGTACGCACTTGCTCCTTTCACGCAGATCAACCAATTCTAACATCATATGCAACAGTTGAACACAATACAGAAGATCTCAGCAGCACAACCCCCCAAGCCCGCCCTCGTCGTCCAGATCTATCAACCTTCTTCGCAACTCTCTCCGAAATCACACCCAACCCCTCCGAGGCCCGGACCCGCGAACACGCAGTTCCTGTACCGGGAGATGTCAGTGCTGCATTCCGATCACTCGCCGAAGCTTTCGACTACATCAGACGGGAACACGATATTGGCGATGCTGGTGCTGGTGCCGGCGCTGGTGGTGATGGCGAGCATCAACATGATTCAGCTCTGATAGATCAGATGATAGAGGCATTGTTACAAGGCGCCGACGCGCCGCCAAGGGAAGTCGAAGGTGTTAGCGAGGAGTTTTGTGCTAGTAAGCTTGCCCCCGTCAACACATTTTCAATAGTACAGAACTGACATGGAAATGTGTCAGCCCTCGACCGCGTCCCCCGCTCATCCCTCAAAGAATCCCAATCATGCCCCATATGCAGCAACCCATTCCTAGACGACCCCTACCCACTCGTCGTCCGTCTCCCTTGCCATCCTACGCATCTATTCGATTTGGAATGCCTGACTCCCTGGCTTCGATTAAGAGGGACATGTCCACTCGATCGTACAGATTTTGGGAAGAAGCAACGTGAGAAAGATGCGGAAAGAAGAAAACAAGCGGAAAAAAGGAGGGCGGCGTTGGCGGCGCCGGAGCCGAATGATGAGGAAGATGAGGAGTGGGATGGGATGTATGCTTAAGATTCACAATGTGAACATTATATGAAGATAGAATGAGTTTCTATATTGATGACTCCGAATATGCGATAGGCTTTTTTGTAGCTATGTACATTATACACCGATGAACTCCTTTTCATACCATCATGTCTATCATGCAATTCATAAGACCGTCCTACTCATCCAAAACCTCTTCAACCACATGCGAAGCCGTCGAAGAAGGCACCGCTTTTTGGATCGTCAACTTCCCAACACTATCAACAATGGCCTCATGGCCCGTCTTAGCCAATACACCACTTTCATCTCTAACAACTTCTCTAGCCTCGAGTTCCTCAACGATCTTCTGATTTTCCTTGTTATTCTCCAGTAGGAACTTCAAACACATCACGGCATGTTCCTTCATATATGGATTATGCGCATCAAAGCTGGTGCAAGACAATATAGCTTCGACACCGCCGTGTTTGCGGATCTGGTTCTGAACTTCAGGGCATCGCCATACGAGAGATGATAGAACTAGGACGATGAGTTTCTTGAGATTGCGCCATTCAAATTCGCATGGATCCTCGGTTATAGGTGGTGATTCGGCCCGAGAGCCAGTCTCGTCGATATTCTCATCCACGGGATCAACGTCTGTTGGGTCGTAGGGCCGCTCTACGGCGACTGGAGGGGCGGGKTGCTGCTGGCTGTCAGTGGCGGGATCGGTTGGGTTGTTGGTCGAGGCGGTCGTCGCGTTTGTCGACCCTGTTGGATTCGACGTGACCATAGCGCTAAGCGGGCCCTTGGGAATGTTTGCGTCCAATTCCTTGATCAGTGTGACGAGATCGTAGACAATTTCCCACTTTACAATCAAGTTCTTCCAGTCATTGTTTTCCGTCAATACTGCGAAGAACTCAAGGAACTGGTATACTCCCTCGTAAACCCTCTCCATATCCCATAGATTGAGAGGAAAGTCTTCCGGCAGCGCTCTGCCTGCACGGATTTGGCCTTGCAGGTAGATGAGACCGCACGTCTCTGGTATGATAGTGCCACGGAAAATGGAAAAGATATACCGTACTGTAAGCACATCCACTCGTGACAGTGGCGGCGGTTGTTTGGTTTCGGTAGATTGACCGTCGTTTGAAGAGGCTGGTGAGTACTTATTGCGGAAGATATGGGTCAAGATCTTGATCACTACAGCCTGTGCTGGCGATATGATGTCTTTTTGCTGACCGAAGTCTGCGTATGCATGAGACATCAAGCCGTTTTTCAGAATGGCCTCCATTATCTGAACCATGAACTGGAAATAGACTTCGTCGTCTGGCAAGTCCCAAGCGGCGATGAAAATAAGCAATTCTCGAAGCAAATTGCGACCGGTATCCTGTGTTAGCAATACGTGGCAACGAATCGCTTGCATATTGTTGATGACCTCACGCTCCGCGCTCTTTGTCGCCGCTGCATCTATGATTCCAGCCTTGATGATCATCGGAAGAGCTTCTATCTCGGCGGGGCCCAGGACGAGAGGAATATCTGTTAATAGTCCTCGTTGTTGATCACCTGGTCTTCCACGATAATCATCATCGTCGTCATCCTCTTCTTCTTCCTCGTCAAGACTGCCCTCGGCGCCGTCATCAAGGCTGTGGCCGTCATCTTCAGCATACCCATCATCGTGATCATAATGTTCATCATCCTCCCCCAGAACCTGGGATGCCTCCTGTGCGCGTGCCATTAGTTCTTCTTTTGCTATTTGCAACGCATCGGCACCCGATTGATAGGATCGCGGTATGCTGGTCTCTTCTTCGCTTAGAGGACCATCTGCTGTGATGGCCTTGAATCTTTCGAAGTCTGGAAAATCTGCCCAACACACGCGTGGATATCCTGTCGTAGCACCTCTATCAATACACAATATATGTTGTCGTCTTGTCTCCTCATCCTGCTCCGTAAAATCCTGGGTTCGTCCCGTCAAGGTCTTCATCTCGTCCGCTTTGTTACCAAGGATTGTGGTCAAGGCAGCCCGTATCTCTTTAGCTTGTTCCGGATCTTTATTCATTTCTTGAATCTCTTTCAAACTCCGACCAAGTATCTTCTCCATATGATCTTTGACTTGCGCAAGTAGTAGCATCGAAGCTTCTTGCTTCATATTTGCAGGTTCCAGGGGGAACCTAGAGAGAGCCTCAATCAACAGATCTTCAGCCGTTTGTTCACCTCTCAAAGATCCTATAAGTCGCTCGCCAGTTCGCACAACCGGTGCAACACCCTGTGGCATAGGGCTGGCTGGGTCCAAAGGTTCACCAGGCATAATAACCTTATAATCGCCATTCGAGTGATATCCGAAAAGGTCCAACCAGAGCACAAGTTTGCGTTGTTCGTTTTGCATGATGAAATTGTTCAAGAATTGTAGGCATATGATCAATAGGCTTTTGTATAAATTTACCACTTTCTGCCAGCGTTCTTCGTTTCTCGCATTTGATTCTCCATCGAAGCCTCGCGCCGTAACTCTGACGCATGTGTCGATTAATGCTAGTATCCGCTGGTCGAATCCTTTCTCTGCCGCTAGATTTTGCGCTCTATTCGTTGTTGCGAGGAGATTTCTAGCTATGGTACATAAATCACGTAATCGCTCAATGTCTTTGATCAGGCTGAAGTAGTTGTATGCTATAAGATTCGAAGACGATTGTTCGTAAGTCGAAGTGGGCGGACTTTTCCAAGCGAAAGACTGTGATTCGAGATGTGGAATGGCTTTGGTAAGGACATCAGTAAGACCTTGCCAAACGTCGGGTGAAACTGCTAAGCTCTGTCTTTAGTATGCAGTTAGCAATGATATCCTTGCAGCGATAGTCGCATAGACGAAAAATACCGAGTATCCATTTCATTCCGAGTTTTTGAAACAATCTTTTTCCCTGCAGCCAACATTTGTTCGAGCTGTTTGTCGTCAATCATGCCTCGAGTCTCGTAATGGCTCAGCGTACCGGCAAGGATAACTTTGAGCAGGAGCTCTGCCGGAGAGCATTTTTGCTCGTGCTCCACGGAGGGCTTTTCCGACGACATACTGAATACAGGTAAGTCGTAAGAAAGCTCGGCGCAAAGAGGGACAGGTATAAAATAGACAGATGAGATGCGGAGAAATTAATGAATGATAATTTGTTAGCGGCAAGATGGTGGGCAGTGGTGGGTTAGCGGTTTTTCCGCTCCGGCTTATCTTATCGCATACTTCAAGCAGTACTATATATGGCAGAGCTGTTGTTCTATTCATCGCATTCATATTTCATGATATGTAACAGTTGCTAAACGCTCAAATTCAGTGCATCACGCAAATTACCCCAAAATCCTAGATCATACAAATTTTCCACAGATTGAAGGCTCCGGACTGGGGTGAACCTCGGATCAACAGGAGCCTGTTCATCACCTGCTTGCAAAATTGAATTTGACTGTAATGAAACCGAAAAACCTATCCTCGGTGGTTCATTCGTCAAAATAAGCACCTGGTCAGTTGTCGCAGGCCAACACGCTTTCGGCTCAATCGATTCGTCTCGCGGCCTTGGTGTCTTGTAGACTTGGCTTCTCTTGGCCTTGTAAACAGCGCCATATGCAATATCTTCCTTCCAATCGTCCCACTTGGCTGTCTCGTTGGTGGTGGTGCCTGCCCATACGAGATAGATATGATAAACCAAAAACCCGAATGCTAATGGAGCCGTCATTGCCGCCAAAAGAAATACCATGCCGATTCGAATATCATCGGCTACTGCCAGGGCCCAAAAATTGAACCATGACATCCAAGACAGCGACTTGCCCCAGGGCACGCCTCCAGTTCCAAATGCCTTTTGCAAATTCTCTTCAAGCAACATGTGCCCTAGATACGTGCCGTAGGTGAGCATTACGGAAAGTGATAGAAGCAATGCCAGAAAGTAACGGTAATTCTGGCGACCCACGCAATTGGTCAGCCAGATGCAGTGATGGTCATGTCGGGACACGCAGGCATTGCAAGTGCTGCAGTGCTTACTACGTGCAGGCTTCAACAGTCGACACGTTGAACATTCTCTTCCAGGGTGAAAGAGTACTCTATCGAACGGATAATGTGCCAACTCCGCTTTTACATTGTTAGGCGTGATGAAGGATTTTATTGTGACACACGCATATATGAAAACATATGGCAGAGTGATTGCTATCGAAACAAGTGTTCGATGGGTTGCCCCTAATCTCGGCCATGCCCTCGGCACAAACGCCAATTCTGATATTGATAGTAGACCAACGAAGAATATCTAGCACACGATTAAAATGAGCAACATTGGTCGAGAAAAAGCACTTACCAACACCAACGGATGATTTTCATAGGCTATGTACCTGCCAAAACTTTGGCAGCATGGTACTAATCGACCGCCTAGCAAAAGTAAATCGAGACGAGCAAGGCCATGTGGAATGTGTATCCAAAGAAATCGGTGGAAGAAACCGATGGGGGTTTTCCTATTCATATTAGCAAATAACCGAGACACTCACAGCTGGAACCATATAACGTACCTAAACATAGGCAGTCGACCAAAAAGCGCAATAAAGACAAAGGCAGAAAGGCCCAGCACGCTTAGTGCTGCCGTGCGTAGACTGATCAGCGCCATATCTGGGTAACTTCAATAGTCTATTCAATCAGTCGAAGTGCATGTTGTGTAGGTATGTAGATCTTAGAGTGAGTTGTAACTCTGCTAAAAGTTATACCTTCAGCTCGAGAGAGCAAACACAAGGACGTCACGGAGTTATTATGTGACGCCGAGCCTAATACGAATGGGGCGGGAACCCTTATCCTTATGAGGATAATGTCACGTGATAGATGCTCCTTTTCCGAAGAACGGCATCTCTGATTGGTTCCTGTCCAAACTAATCATCAAAATAATGACAAAGGTGTCGCATCTTTGATTCTTATACACGTTCTTTGATTTAACGCTTATGAATTTACACTATATGCAGGGGTGATGCTATAATTTTGAGTTTGAGCTATTGAAATCATTCTTTTCATCGCGTTGGCTCTGTGGTCTTGCTTGAATTGAGCGGCCCTGCGGTCAACTCATACTGCCTTGAAATAGGCGCGACCACTGCCTATCAAGTCACACAACCTGAGAAAATGGCTACCGTAGTCTATACAAAACCTCCACAGGACGGCAGTGTCGGGACGCTCTTCGCGGGATATGCTTTTTGGGTATCGGCGACTGTTCCCCAACGAAACAGATTCAAGGAACTTATACAAGTGAGACTGTCATCTGCTGGCGTTCTCTATACACAAACCTTCAGCTAACGAATTTATCAGATAAATGGCGGTACGGTCGTGCTTTTGGAAAAGGATGCAGACATCAAACTCGTTGATCATGCAAAACGAGACATTCCACTCAACTCGTATGTCGTCTGTCTATGCTTTTGAATCAAACATTTGATCTAAGACGTGTTCAAAGACATTCATACACATTCATCGAAAAATCTGTCAGGAACGGAAAACTTGAAGATCTGGAAGATCACAGAGCTGGTCAAAGAAATCGCCCAGTTGGAGCAGTTGGGATACCTGCTCGAAGTTCCAGGACACCCTATACCCTTCAAGACGATCAAATACTTTGGGATTGGGTGCAGCCCTACGCAACGCGCGGCGATCAAATTGCAGGCAATCTTATCTATCAGCAACTTGCTGAGCAAGTACGTTGCGTCTTTGAGTGCAAGTAGATCGGGATATAGTGACAACCAAGCTAATCCCAATGTAGAATCCACGACACACCTTTCAATCTTGGCGGGATCGCTATTTGAAGAGACTTCGACACCTTGGTCATCGTCCAGGTGGACCAGCACATGAAGAAACAGCCGCCCCTCAGCCAAGAGCTCTTGCACCGAAGCCATACCCTCATGCAGGCCCATCAAATACAGAAGACAACAGACGTGCTACTCAAGACACGGCTGCAGMAAAGAAACGCAAACGAGCATCTTACGAAGATGCTCCAGCCGTTTTTAATACCGAGGGCGTCCAGGTGGCCCAGAATAAAAGAAGGATACCCCAAGATGATCCAGTAGAGAGCGACTCGCAAATAGAAACATCGGACGAATCTCAATCAGAAAAATACGAGACCGCGCCACAATTCCCAGTCCCGGAAGAGGGTCAACTAGACGATGACGACACCCTTGTACCTCTCACGCCCCATGAAGAATGCCACGAGGAAAACGGTAGCGCGGAAGACCTCGATGTTTGGATTCAGAGACGGGTACACTCCGGCCGGAAACTGGAGGACATCATTCAAGCTCTCAGTTGTACTTCCATGAACCCCGAGCTAGCAGATAAAGTCTTAGATGTGCTGTCCAAAGAAAAGAAAATCCCCAGCAATATGCAAGGAGTCTGGACAGAGGCAGATGATGAAGCTCTTACGGGTCAAGACGGTAGGGCGATGGAACGAGTGATGAAGAAGCATGGCTCAGAACTCTTTGATGAGCGATGGCAATATCTTGAACAAAGTGCCAGGGCGACACAACTAGTCGCGGAAGGTCAATGAGTAACCTTTCCTACACCGTTAGCGCCTTACAGTTAATTCGGATAAGATCAATTTTTCAATGTTGATATCAGTATTGTGGTTATGCACATATCGAGCCATTTAAGATATGCGCCTGTGCCACTCTGAAGAGAAGTAATCACTATTCCGAGAGTCAAAAAATACTGGCAGATTTAAAACTCCTTAAAATTACAGTAGCCAGAATCAGAAGAATCGCCCTTGTACCAAAATGGCAAATCGCCGTGGGAACCCTGTGGTCCTACTCCTTAGCGCAACATACCCTAATATGTAATACTGAGCGCAAGGAAATGAATATCAAAATTCAAAACAAACACCATTCGCAGCGCTAGATAACGTCAGGTAGCTTTAATGCCACAATCATATTTTGGGAAATGGTCGTTGAATTTGTATATCTGGTCGAAGATCGGTGTTTCAACCGTCCTGTGCCGTGTGAGAGTTTCTGGGATTGTCGGAATCAAGAGTTCCTCATTCCTCTTCGGTACCTTCACCCTTAAACACACTGTACAAATGTTAGCTGAATGTCGTTCCATGATTGCATATTGATCAACTTACAGATGTGCTTCGTAGAACTTGAGCATCTAAAATGAGATTCGATGTCAGTCTTCTGACAGAAAGTAGGAAACAATCCAGCTTACCAGTTGGGGTATCTTTTCATAACACAAGCCAAGCGAAACCTTTGTTGTCTTGCCATTGGTCCAAACCAAGAATGCGACCAGGTTCTGATCTTCATCCTGTGTAATTGTCTGCACCTTCGCGACATCCTCCTCCCAATGATCCTTATCACCAACCCAGTCTGGAATGCCTCGGGGGATGTCTGCGCCCAAATCTTCTGTGCCGTTGGTTTCTCGTTTCGAGGTTCTCTGTCTCTTAGTGGCCGTTCGTTCGGGTGTGTCCTTTGCGCTCGCGGTCACGGACTTTCGTTTGCCTCTTCCTGGCTTTGATGCTGGTTCTGGGCGGCCGCCAATCTTTGAGTAGTATTCTTTCACCAAATCCTCTGCGCCTTCCCTACACATTCAATCGCATAAGTCACTGTCCCGAGTGATATAATCGATTTGGGCAGTTTCGTACAGTAATCCTTTTTCCGGCTCTAATGTCTGGTCTGCGGGGTCGTCATATCCTTTCCATTTGACATGTAGCATGAGAGTCTATTTATCCGCGTCAGTAGACTGGTGGTAATTTTAGGGGTGTGTTGCGCTCGACGAACTTTTCCCTGAAACTCGTGGCCGACGATTGATTCAACTACGTAACTTCACAGCAATCAGTAGACGCTCCAATTATTCGCATGCGAACCAAAAACTTCAACGTACACGTCTTCTCCTTCCTCGCTTTCTTCCTCATTTCCACTATCGTCTGCGGCGTCGTTGGTCTTCTTGAAAGGGATTTCTTCACCGGTCGACTCGTTGTCAGAGGATTCATTGCTGTCTGATTTGAATTGAAGTCAGCCCCAGACTTCTAAGGCGTAGATAACGTAGGGCGCGAAAGGATAAGAAATCTCACTTACGAGGGGCCATAGTGGACTCTGTTTGTTGAAACAAGTTGTGGACGCGGCGTAAGAGATCCAATTTGAATTCGGCGGTGGCTTATAGTAAGCCGAATATCGGGAGGCGTTGAAGCAATCTGCACAGCTGCGAGCGAGCGACAGGATACGATGGTCGTTGACTTCTTGTCCAGTCTGCAGCTTTCTGGGCTCGTCGCGCTGAGTCGCGTGGAGAAAGAAGTTCACTTTGCGGCCGGGCTTGGCGGCGCCAAGCCTTTTCGGGCAAACAGCTCTCCACTAATCGTCCCTGCTGCAAAAAAGGATCCCGCACTCAGTTGGATATTGTTGATGAACAAGCACATCAGGAGTTCTTTGATCTCCATACTTTGATTTGCTGTTTGACATTCACATCTTGTTTTAATCTCTCTTTTTTCTCACTCTCACTTACGACAGGATTCTGTCCTCGCAGACACTGTCAACATGGCTATGCGTATGTCCGCGGTACCCCTCATTATGGAAAATTGTTGACTGACCCTTTTCAGAGCTTGACTTGTCACAGGGTACGCACTGCCGACGTGTTTCGAAAAAATGAACTAGAATCGGGTTATACTGATCTTGACAACAGCTTCGGTCATCAAGGATGAGCAGGGACGCCCTTTTATCGTTGTGCGAGAGTACGTTTCCCCGGACAATCGATTATCAAGCATCCCGAGCCTAATTTTGACGGATATATAGCCAAGGAAAGAAGAAGAGACAGCACGGTAATGAGGCGGTCAAATCACATATTGTTGCGGCAAAGACTGTTGCCAACATCGTCAAGACATCGTTGGTGCGTTCGATCACATTGGAGGACCACATTAAGGGGCAGGAGTCAAAATCTGACATGGTGTTAGGGACCACGAGGTCTAGACAAGATTCTCATTTCACCGGACGGAGATATCACAGTCACAAACGATGGAGCCACGATTTTGGGACAGATGGAAATTTCAAACAACGTTGCCAAACTCTTGGTCGAATTGTCGAAGTCTCAAGACGATGAAATTGGTGATGGAACAACCGGTGTTGTGGTTTTGGCTGCTGCGCTCTTGGAACAAGCATCTGAGTTGATCGACAAAGGAATCCATCCCATTCGAATTGCTGACGGCTACGACGAGGCTTGCGAAATTGCTATCGCAGAACTCGACAATATCAGTGATGAGATCACCTTTTCTACGAATAACACAGACAACTTGATGAAGGTTGCCAAGACAAGTCTGGGAAGCAAGATGTATGTAATTATGCATTCTGTATAGCCTGTGCATACTGACTATTGAATTAGTGTTTCTAAGTCTCACGAACAATTCGCCAAAATCGCCGTTGATGCCGTCCTTTCCGTCGCAGACCTCGAGCGCAAAGATGTCGATTTCGAGCTCATCAAGGTTGACGGCAAAGTCGGTGGTTCGCTCGAAGACTCCCTACTCGTCAAGGGTGTCATCGTCGACAAGGACTTTTCACACCCCCAGATGCCTGACGAGGTCCGGGATGCCAAATTGGCTATCCTTACCTGCCCGTTCGAGCCTCCCAAACCCAAGACGAAACACAAACTTGATATCACATCGGTGGAAGAATTCAAGCGCCTACAGGCATACGAGAAGGACAAATTCACAGAGATGATTCAACAACTGAAAGATTCGGGTGCCAACCTCGTCATTTGCCAATGGGGTTTCGACGACGAAGCCAATCACTTGCTCTTACAGAACAAACTCCCCGCTGTTCGATGGGTTGGAGGTCCTGAGATTGAATTGATTGCTATTGCAACCAATGGACGTATCGTTCCTCGATTCGAAGATTTGACGTCCGAGAAGCTGGGAACCGCAGGCTTGGTTAGGGAATTGACCTTTGGTACAACTCGTGAGAAGATGCTTGTGATTGAAGAGTGTGCAAACACCCGGGCTGTGACGGTCTTTGTACGAGGCAGTAACAAGATGGTATGCTCCCTTCTGTGGGTGATCGGTATGTCAATCTAATGGGTGGCAGATCATTGATGAAGCCAAACGATCACTCCATGATGCTCTCTGCGTTGTGCGCAACTTAGTTCGAGACAACCGTGTCGTTTACGGTGGTGGTGCTGCCGAAATTGCATGCTCTATTGCAGTCGAAGACGCTGCTGTCAAGGTTCGTTTGTCTTGCTTGATTTGATGAATAACTCGACTAACCGGTCTAAAGAGCCCCGGTATTGAACAATACGCCATGCGAGCGTTTGCTGATGCTCTCGACGCCGTTCCCCTCACATTGGCCGAAAACTCCGGCTTGAACCCTATTGAGACTCTTGCTTCCATCAAATCACGACAAGTGAAGGAGAAGAACAGCCGACTAGGTGTCGACTGCATGTTCACCGGCAACAACGGTTTGTCTATCATTCTTGTTGTGAAGTACAGTACGCTAATCTATCACAGATATGAGAGAACACTTTGTCATTGATCCTCTTATCGGAAAACGCCAACAACTCCTCCTTGCTACGCAATTATGCCGAATGGTCTTGAAGGTAAGCTGAGTTGAACTGCCTACGCGACGAGGGACAAGAACTAACAATTCGCAGATCAATAATGTCATCATCTCCGGCGACGACCAGAGTGAATTTTAAATAGCTCATGTTCCCAATGTACACCAGTAGATCAAAAGTTTAGTTTGTGGAGATGATACTATTACTTTGGGATATAGAACGCTTTAATCCTAGTATATATTCGAAATGTAGCATTGTAAGGGTATATATTATTATATCAATTGATATTCACACGTTCGACTCCTGCCTCTCTCTTCAATAAGTACTTCGCTCTCGAAAAATCTTCCCCAGAACCTCCGGCGCAAAAGCCACACTATCATGATTCTCCTCCACAATCGTGGCACTATCAAAATCCAGTACATCCTCGAAGCCCTTGAAACAGCTCTCGAAATATTTCTGCCCCGTCTTTCCAATCATAACATCACTTTCCGCAAAGTACGCTCTCATCCTTATCTTACCTGACGTAGCATCACCTCTTCTCCTTTCACTCTCAACGAGATTCTTCGCAAAATGCGTATAATCATCACATTCAAGCCACGGCGCGCCCTTTCTCACACACTGCAACGCCTCCTCATTAGCGCCTACAGTACTCTCCTTGAATATGAATTTAGCCGTCAACTTCTCCAACTCCACCTGCMCTTCTCTCTCCAAGCCGTATTCTTGCTCAATAAGCCTTCTTTTCCGTTCGGATATTGTGTTTTCGTCATCCCCACCGGGAAATTTATCTTTTATACTGGTGATAATTGCCCCGCTAGATGAAATCAAAGGGCTGGTTTGGAAGAATTGAGGGATCTGGTTCCAGATGGAAAATGCCTTTGTGGGGATGTAGCGCGCGAGTTGCCAGGTTGTCATGTGCGAGTGTGCCGGGTCAACCCATGGTGCTGTTCAATACATCAGTCTATACGCTTGGCATGTAGTTGATAGATTCGTACGCACCTAGACAGGCGATATAAGGATTTTCCGGGTCAAGAATGTCCCGGTGCGCAATCAATGTATTCAGCAGATAAATGATACCTGCGCTGTGCGAGATGAGCGATACATGGTCTATCGACAAGTGCTTCAAGAGAAGCGGTACCAGCTCAAGCCAGATTGTGACTCGCGACTCGCGCGGAACAGACGCTGAGCCGCCCATTCCGGGTCTGTGTCTGAATTAGTCTTTGCGTCTCATGAGACAAAATTGCAGGGTGGGGCGGTATCTTACCTGTCGACGATCAACACTCGCACACCTAGTTTCTCTGCGATCGCATGTATATATACAGCTATATATCGCGAGCCAAACATGCCGGGCATGAACAGGAAAGTCGGCACATTCCCTGTCGACGTCTCTGGACATTTCCCGATGTCTGCATATGTGATTGGGAGGTCCCCGTGAGTGGCCGTTTGGGGTAGAATGAAGCGTCTGTGGAAGTGTCGTTGAGATATGTATTCTGCCGCGATGGTGCGGGGGTCCTTTGCTAGTAGTGTGGATGGCATATTTACAGCTTCTTGTATCATTCTTATGGATGCAATATGGCAAACTGAGGCGCAATCTGAGGCATGTACATGGGTATTTGATGAAGCATATAAAGGTGTCGTGGTAGGCAGACAGAATAATTTTCTACCCATCGGCTCTAGCGTGGTTGCGCTACCACTAACAGCGACCGACTGTGGTCCTACATTTTTATGCTCTATATACGGAGTATGTATGAAGTTCTGTTGTCGTCGGTCAATGAGTAACTCTTGCAAATATGTCAAGATAGGGTTTTCCTTTGCACGTGAGTCGATACTGCCTAATTAGGTATCCTAATTACCCTCATTCAGCAGCCAATGAAGCCAATGCCATCGCCAGCAATTCAACTAGGCTCATTTTATAGTTAAAAAAGAATATCTCTTATCACATCTTTAATTATCACCGTCCGGACGAAGTCCACCTATCTCCAACCCCAGTTCCTGATAGTGACACTCACTTATCGCTATCCATCGGCGCCATCCGCCACGGCGAATGTAACATTGCGCATGTGGCAGCCCCATGATAGAGCGCTTATCGAAAAGACGCCGACTGCGACCTGTAACACTAGCTACAACACTAGCTACTAGACGTGCACATGGCGAAATTTTAATCAATTTAATTTTTCCCGCGGACCTTTAGGCTATTTTCGTTTATCATTTCTGGAGGGGATTTCGTCTTATCGTTGGGGCGTTGCATCATTTGATACACATGATTGTCAAAGTAATATATTTGAGTTGGATGTTATTCATTCATTTACCCACGTTGGTGCTAGGCGGAAAGGGACATAGGGTTACATTCGCGAGTATCAAGGTAGGGCTTGTTGTTGATTGAGATTGATGTCTATGTCCCCTGTGAAAGATCTCGGCGTTATACAGCATCAGATTGAATTGAAATTGTCGTGTGTATTGCTGCAACTACGTAGCTATGTAGTGACGAAATACTCAGGATATGGATGTATCTGAGGCAACCGTAGTACGCCGTACCTTTATCGACGAGATAAAACAAGGATAACATATCGCGACGATAGTTCTAGAACAATGTTATGGAGACTCTAGCTTATAGTGGGCCTATGGGAGAGCTTGAAGTGGTTGTGCCATGTGCTTGACCCCCCAGCCTCCGCAATTCTAGTGGTCCGCTATGTATCACTGTCGCTTCTGAGAGATTTAAGAGCTTCGAATACTCTGTACAGATGTATGAAGATAAAGAAACTTGCAAGGTATGGACACAATAATACGCAGAAAATATAGGTACGAAGCAGCCGGGAAGAATTTCGTAACATTTCAGGGTTGATCATGGCAGTTGAAGGATCTGGTGGCTGGCCTGCTTACTCTTGGAGCTACCCCTTTACCTAACCGACTATTCATGCTAGTAGCCTTGTAAGCAGGAACTATCGCTGCAGTGTTGGAATAGTTCGCCAATGGGGTTCTTGTTTTCTAGATTGGAATGAGTGTCAAATGTTCCAGAATTATTGCATCATCCTCTCTTTTTACCAGTTTGTCTCCTGACAGATTACCATATCCATGATTCGATTCTGGACTATTCTACCTTGTAAGTTATATTCGCGACGATGATCACAGGATATTTACAAAGGAAGCGGTGTAGCTCCTGGATCCTTTACGGCGCATCCCAGATGATCGGAGTTTTATTTAGTTTATTTAGGTTGATCGCGGGATTCATAAACAGCCACAATGCACAATGATATCACCACAACACGGTACACAGTCACTTGATATTTAAAACACAACAAACATAGGTCGATCTGGGAGTCTAGAAGCATTTCTTGGACTCAAAACTGTATCGCGGAGGTGATCATGGTTCATCGGGATCTGGCCAGTCCATCCGCCAGTTTGACTAGCTGTTAGCACCATGGTACTGGACGCAAGCTGGAACATGGATGATGGCTGTACCGAAAGAGGCAATCTTCCCCATGTTGACAGCCGAGTAAAGCGCAACTATCATAAAATACAGTCTGTCATCTGGGGTAAGGCGTCATTTACTTGCAGTCTGTGTATTGTAGTAACATACGCGCTTATGGAGCCTTGTATCGTCAACCCGGAAATCAAAACAGTTCAGATACGAATCGATCAGCGCAATACGAATCACAAGAAAGGTTTTCCGTGCCATCACATGATCGATTATTTGTCTAGACGGTCGGTATCACAATCATCACTTTCACGATCTTCAAAATTCGTAGTCAGGTATAATATCTTCAAGCTCACGTGCGTGTTACCTGGCTTGCCGAGGCAATTGAAGCTGCGTTGCGATTTCAATTATTTCAATAATTCCCAGAACATCATCGCTTGCATCCATGGATTTCGTGCCTGACGAGCTGCGCTAAATATTCAGGCACATTGCTCACACGTTGTACAGCCAAATTGCCAATCGGACAGAGTTCTAGACATTGAGTCGATCTGATGTCCATAGATAGGGTACTCGATTTGGAAAATATATCGTTGACATGACGAATAGAACTGAAATTAGGATGCGTGGTCATTTACTGGCAAGGATCAAACGAATATGACGCGACCAGTCGCAACCCATTAAGTAAATAGTCGCGTTGGGAGTGAGGGTTATAACCAACCTCGACTCGGCGATCGCAACTGCGGACGAAAGTCAGGGGTCACCAGCATCTTTTATTGAGTATTACCACAATTAACGCATCGTCTGCGGCTATCATACGTATACGTAGCCATGGATATGTACATAACAATATATGCTCTTCACGCAGGTACAGATAGTGGATCGATCCCGCCATGCATAATGTACACTCAGGTACCCAGAGTACTGGATAGGATCGATCGAATCTAGGGGTACGATTATATATATCAAATTCGTTATTTTCAGACACTTAGTCCTCGTTTTGTAGTATTGTTACATCATAGATTCCAAGAACTGACACTAACAGGCCTTTACGAATTTTTTTCCCCGAGCTCGACTAGCATATATGGCCCTACTTGATATGACGGGAGGGTGGCCGTCAAACACAAGCATATTTTGCACATACAAGCCTGTTTCATATACTCCCTTGCTAACTGAACCAGACCCTATGAGTAGGAAACACTTTTACTTTCAGAGAACTTCCAATACTACCATCACAGGGTTACCTTGAAATATAACTTGAAACGACTTCGCGCACCGTTCCCTTTACACATACTATGTAGTAGTTGCCTACGTACCTAAACAGCGAACCTTCGCAAAGTATCAGTCATCGATCCCTGAATTCAAGATCTACACGTAACATGCTTGATATAAATAAGTTATCCGCGGAACATCTCCCCCGTCTTCCGCCAGCCCCTTGCATTCATCTGAGAACCCCATAATCCGGGTTCTCGGGATCCCCCCTTTGCAATACACGTACATATCTTATTTTGATACCTTACCTGCCTTTTTTCATCTTTGTTGTTGAATATTGAGCTTCTTAGACGTATTTTTTTGACGAGATCTGTATTAAGTAAGTATTGTATTTCGCCTTACACAGGCGCTGAAACAAAGATCTGTATCGATATTGAGAGCTCGGGCGTTAAGGATGCTATTATTGATAGATCAAACACTCCAACTCTGATCCATCCTTACTCTTTATCTGTTATAGCATATGACCCCAAAGTAGATCAAATGAGAAGATCCCTGTTATGGTATCGGTAGCAGTTATGAACAAAGACTTTCTTCGCTCTGTTTGTCTGCTTAAAGCCGGGGGAGGATCATAGTAAACAAAGGATAGAATATTCGCACTAGACTGCCTTTATGGTAGAAGACATACAGTCTAGACCCTTTGTAGGGCAGAACGGTATAGACTATGTCGTCATTTGTTGGAATTCCTCAAGTATAAAGCACATGCCCTTTCAGACTGGATATTATGTATCGATCAGCCTTGCCAGGGAGTACTGTTTCGGTTGGAATGTGATTGATCAGATTTCAACGGTCCTTTTTTGAATTCATTCCTTGTCTGCCTACACAGGCGTGCCCATGAATAAGCCATTGAATGCCAGATGCCAAGCATGATTCATTCTTAGTGTTACTCTCGACTCTACTACTTACATACGCAGTGCTTAATCGGGACGATTAGGGCTGGGCCTTTGAGTTAATGCCTCAGGCAACATTCCGAACATCCTCATCAAATGACAATCAGGCAAGTCTACATTTCATGTAACTCCATTTTCCATGCTAAACCCCAATCTCTCGAACATACTCCGTGACAGAAAAGCGGTATACAACAGGGTTAAGCTAGTGACTTTGCTCGGATCACAGAGTTCCTAGGGCAAACGGCAAGGTCATATGATCTGGAAAGAAAACGGAGTCAACAAATTTCGCATCGCTCGGAGAATAAACTGTCAAATGGCGAACTGTAGTTGATGTATTGGATGTGATTGGTATCTGCTGCTGGTGATAAGTTCGATCCTTTAAGACGGTGTGTCGTCCAATACCATTCTTTTATCAGTATCACAGTCTCTGAGTCGCGTCTTCCCGCTGTGGATCTGACTATCAACTACAGGCTCAATCGCCACAGAATGGCTAAAGCCCATGGTTTCAGGTGATCGCGAGAATACTACTACTGTACTCCATAAGCATCGCCACTTTCCACTTTTCTATGTACTATTAGCACAGCTCAAAATGGTAAACTCCAGTATTCTGCAGAACGGAATACACCACACCGAGTACAATGCATACAATAAAGCCCCGTGATCTCGCCACAAAGCACGCTACGCCGCAAGTACATGCAAAACAATTGTCCCACAGACTGCCACGTATCTGATGTCTTGCTACAACTGCAGGTGTGTATGTATGTGTGCATGTACCTTGACATTTGACAGCCGTCACGAGGCGCAGAAATTCATATCTGATCTCCATCTACCCGATCAATATACCCGCTTAATAGCCTCGGCGTTGAACTACGAATTGAGCGAGGCCCAATTGCCGGCTGTATCTCGGCGAAACCCGAGGCAGACACTGACAGAAGATTTTGTACCAACGAGAGTGAGCATGGGATCGATGCGTTGTTAATCGACATGCCATGTGCTCGATGAGCAATATCGTACCTTCTGTTGTATGGCTTGTATTGATTCATTCTGTAGTGTTACTTTACATAGCATTTTATTACCAAGCAATAACAGAATCATGGCCAATTACTGCAATTACTGCGCATTGCCCGGGAAAAACGTATTCTGTGTACTGTACTCAGCCTTATTCGCCGCCATTCCAGACGTCTGATCAATGCTCGACTAAGCCATCGACGCCAACGGCCACCCCGGTATTGATCCAGATGTCGATCGCTGCAGTGATGGGGTTGTGATTAGCTGCAGCTCAAATCTGACACTTGCAACACGACCTGCTAGAACTATCACGCTGTACATTTGGCTGGCTGTCTGTGCTGCGATCAGAAGAGTTCGTACATATTGCTTGTATCTCTTGACACGAGCACTTGATATTTATTTGTGGAAAGATAGATCGGACCTCGTCGTTTCCTTGTACATCTCGGATAACATTCTAATCTAATCAGTCAATTAATCCAAGATCATGCGTTTAACTGTGCGTCGGTTACTTGACTCGTATTCGGTGCATTGTATTGTGCAAGCAGTCTCTTCAGGTCAGCTGGGTTCCCCGCATTGCATCCCTCGTTGCCGAATCGGGAAATGGGACGTCTAATTTCCTTTTTCGGTGCGGAAGACATTCTCTCTCCGCATTCGACTGTGTGTGTACGAAGCAGTCGTACAACAATCTACCGACATACTTGGTAGTAATTGTGGAAAAAATATATGTCTGTATGACCTGCATTGTAAGGCTGATATAATCAATTAAGCAAAGTAATGCCTCAGGAAGAATAAATGCACCAATCACGGCACAAGAAGTTGCGGTCAAAAATGACCCAAAGAGGAATAACCTCCTCAAAATATCAACTGCCGATTTATATCCCGTCTTTTCTGTATAGCAAATACAAGACCAGGGATCCATGGAAAGGCATAAACCTAATATACTACGTAGTGAACTGTACAAAATGGATAATTACTGTGCTCGCAAACGCCTCATTCTTTGCTCCTGGCTCGATTAGAAATGGTAGTGGACACTAGTCAATCGGGGAAGCGATTAGCGCAGCCGCCAGGATTGCATTGACGATACTCCGTAGTATTATTGATAGAGCAAGCCCTGCCAAGCCCACTGAATATCCCCGTCGTCCCTTGATGATCATGTGGTCTGTCGTTGATTGATGGATGTATTCGAGATGTGGTTGTTGTTGTACTGTTTAAATATGATCTTGAGATTGATGATGCTATTGATGGTCGTTAATATTGAATGTTTGATTGTGTATACTGGAGAGTATTAACAGATCGTCCCGACAACCTGGAATCAGCCGGCTCGATACGGAGACATTCCGCACTTCCCCGGCCAGCCACTCTCGAGTACGTCGACTGCTACCATTCATAGTAGTATGTAATTGAAAACATCCAAACCTTGAGCTTACTGTTCATTTCGCTTGGAAAAGAGGACAACTCCAGGTTTCAAGATACAATCTGGGGATTGACTCAGCTGTTACCCAGTACGGCCATTCTCCGCATATCATCAGCACATTAGCACAACATTCACACAGCTCCATAGTGGCAAACTGCCAGTGCAATCAGGCAGAACAAACGCCCGCTTCCGGGAAAACTCTCCCCGATGACACCGGGAAAAACCACAACAGGCGTAGTATACTTTTTCTGTCAATCTCGTGACTGGTCTAACACTAAAAGCAAAGGGCTCACCGGTGGCAAGGCAACGCAGGCTGACCACTGACCAGTAACATCGCCCGAGCAGCCACGGAAGGGTTCCCCGGCAAATATCTCGCTTGGGACTAGTAGCTATTGTATCGGTCACGGGACCGAACACAGTTTGTTCCCCCACGGAATGATGGGACTATCAGCAGTGTTTCGGTCTTTGACGTTGTGACATACGCCTGGTTGACACTGACACTGACATTGTCTGACAGCATCATGTTTCTTTTTCCTGACATTCGGCATATATCCGTATGTAGTAACCACTCTGTAAGCAAAGAGGAAGAGTGTCAAGTCAATACGTAAAGTTAGTAGTCAGACGAAGGATACAATACAGTACACGTATTGGCTTGTCACGTACACGAAATGGTTCCCGCTGCGTTCATCCATACGTATGTATGATACGCCACGTAAGTTACGAACCGGCCAGAAGCGTCCATGTGGCTCCACCGTCTCCTTTTCTTGTTCACACGCTTTTTTCGTTTTTCGCGCTCTCCGTTCCCTCGGTACAGTTAGTCACCCTTAGTGCGTGCCACGATGTCCCCATCTGCTTTCACTGATTACAGAGTGTAATGTCCTTCGGTACTGTCGCTGTGCCCACTAAGTACCACCGTTACGGTTGATTACTACTACGGAGTATTGTACTCTATCATATCAACTCCCGTCTCGCTCTTTCTTCCTCTTCGCTATCCCCGTACTCTCTCCCACCTCACCTCCCCCCATTCCCCATCCACAATCTCACATACCAGATCTGCTCCTCTCGTCGATCTCTTGCTCTATTCTCTCCTTCTGCCCAGCTTCTGCTACAGAACGAGAAACGAACAGAAAAAGAAACGAGCTCGTCAACGGCTTTTCCTTCCGGCTGAGAGCATCTCACATACTGTGCCGATCGCCTCACACTCGGGCCACCGCTAAATCACTTGTCAATTAGCAAAATACGACTTGCTAGACGGCGAGCAAGAGAAGGAACGAAGTACAGCTGGATTATTCAACTCGCCATCCACCAAAAGTGTCCAGTTCGCACACTTTTCACACGCCGTTCGAACACGCTTGGGGACCACGGCGACCCCATACTTCATGTCTAGCTTCCCGGATAGATTCAACCGTGTCGCCACGAACATGCCGAAATTGTCTACGCCCGTTCTTACGGTGGACGCGGCCAAAATCCACAAGGTCGACACGACCAATACCCAAAGTCTTCACGGCATGTGGCTCGGTAGGTCGCCTTTCAAGCACGAACCTACGTTTGAAAGATACTAACATACACAGTCTTTTCGAAATGTGCAGATTACATGGAAGAAGGACGGCGGTTAGAGAATCTTACATGGCGTCTATGGACGCGTGAAACATTTTGTGTCGCTCCCGCCAGTGAATCCGACACCTCTGCTATCCCGCTACTACGCGCCGAGTCTTCGGAGATGCCTCCCCTGTCAGCAAGTGTCGAGTCCGTTGCGTCGGTGGACGAAGACCAGATTGAATCCCACATCAAGCCTGGCCCAGTCGAGGTCAAGCCAACCGTGGTCGGTGAGGATGCTTTGATGCTCGGAAAGGAAAAACACATCACCCCTTCAGATCTCGAGCGAATGGTTCTGAACATCAAGGAAAGGAAGGCTTTAGAGCCCTTCCCACCCAATACCGTTGTCGATGTCACTCCCCGCGCTGCCTCGCCTCCTTCGACCACTCCTCAAGAACCCGAAACAATCACTGAGGAGCCCATGCGACGCCCGCACACTCTTCACTCCGCCGAGTCATGTTCCACAACTACCGCGCCTGAGAACAATGACAGCGACGCTGTAATCACTGAGGGCTCCGATACCAGCGTTTCGTCGTCGGGCGTGCTTCCCGGCAAGCCTATTCTCACCAAGACGCCAAGCATTGTGCGCGGCTTCTCTCCATCCCAGATTTCGTCCTCTTACCGATCAAGCACACGTCTTGCTGCTGCCGAACAAAACGTCGCAGCTAAAATGCAATTTCAGCAAAAGCTCATCCCTAATAAGCGTAAAGGCGGAATGTTCACTTTGGGAGGATCATCTGGCGACGACGAGAGCTCGTTTGAGGAGCGCATGACGCCTAATCATACGATTAACCCTCATCGCAGCTCGCTTTCCGAAGAACTTAGCCGTCGTCCAACATCAGATGTGATGAAGAACGGAGTGAATGGCATTAGCCCCGAGAAGAAGACTTCATTCCGTAACGACGTCGAGTCTACGATCAAACCTATTGAAGAGCGCGTCTACGAAGATGAAGACGCGATCGAAACCGATGACACTGAGGAGGAACCATCCGAAAGCGCGATCGAGGACGAAGACGAAGAGGATTGGGAGGACTCGGTGACGGAAAGTGGGCAGTCGAGCGTCGACGACAAGGAGTTGTTCCAACGGGTTGATTCACGACCAAATCTTGTATCGAGGCCGTCTCTTTTGACTATGATGATGCACCAGCCAGCGAAAATGGGCATGCCGACGCGATCGACACCAGTCTTGCAACGGTCTCGAGTGACGCCGCCTAATGGACCTTCGACAGGCGCATCTCCCGACGATGGCGAGAACTTGACTATGAAAGGTCGCGACGTGCCACGGTCGAAGCCGATCATCGTGAAGCCTACAGCTCAAGGATCGGGAGCGCATTCGCCACGCACCACACGACGGAATATGTTGGCGACCGAGTTGACCGAATCTCTTCGCCGACACCTATTGTGGGAGCGACAGCAAAAGAACACGACAGCGACGGCAGTTTTCAAGCGTCGTCACACTACACATGACATGGCCAACCTTAGGGAATACCCAGGACCAAAGGGCGCAGCAGTCGCAGGAGGTCAGCGAGGTACAACCGACGGCAGTGCCAAAGACACATCAAAGAACAGCTCATGGAACAACTACAACGACTACGGGCCATGGGAATACCACGTCAAGGGGTGGTAATTTTTCTTTATATCACGTTCAGGGGTGTACGAGTTTACAGCATACAACGGCGTTTTCTTTTTTCTAACATCCACCATGCATTGCGAGGGTCGGCTGTTTGCATTATTTTATCATGTCAAAGACCTGTATTTTTGCCTGTTTCCAGAAGAAAGAAAAGCCAAGCCTTGTTTACTCGTTTCCATACGACGGCTAGACATTGTTATCATGGTATGACATGACGATTCACGATATGGACACGGTTGATCATGTATTCTTTCTGCTACTGGGATGCTGGGGCTTATTTTTTATCGACTTKCGAACTGTTTTGATACCACTTATGTACTTGTTTTCGCGTCATACACTTTTATCATATCCAGGTATGGGGGATGTTATCGGAAAAGGAATAAAAGTGGATTTAATATATGCTATTCTATTGATTGAGTTTGTGTAGTTGTAATAGGAGATATGCGTAGGCCTAGAATCCTCGCGGAGCCTTGTTTCTCGCGAGTTCCAGATTGTCCGTCGACTTGTGTTCCTTGGAAGTCGAAGGAGCCGACCCTACCTACCTTCCTTCGTAGGGGACATAATTACCATAAGCGCTTATCGCGGACTCCCTCTACAACGCCAGAAATAGGGCTGGCCATGCTTCGCCGTTTTTATTAATAGTATAGGATAGCTAATGGTGTAGTCCAGACCCAGTGAACATCACAGTCCTTGTTTATATCCGCTGTCCAATATTATTGATTTTACTTTTACAGGGATGATAGCAGACACTACTCACTTAGACATCCCAGCAGATAAGCAGCCCTAACCTAGACAGGCAGGTCCCTGCCATCTTTACCCTAGGACATATGTGCGTGGTCAAGGACCCCAAAATTCTAAATTGATCATCTGAACACTCGTTGAGGGCCTAAACATAGTGCCGGCGAATACGTACGGAGGTATTGCGAATAAACTCTGAAACTGCCTAACCAAACTCACTGTCGGGTACTCCCGTGGTGCTTGTTTATTTGCTTTTTCGTGTAGGATTTCACTGAGTGATGATGGAATTGTTTTTTCTTTTCTTTTTTCGCTCTCTGACTTTCGGCCCTCTGTCATGCCGTGTTTCGCTTTTTGATATCGTTTGTGCTTATCACGCGCAACCGGCGAAATTGGCCGGATTTTTGAGATTGCCGAGTTTAGATTGCGAGACTACGCCCAAACCCTCTCACAATTGAAGATGATTGATATTTAAAAATTTGTCATTTGATGAATAGATACTGATGCGATACCGAGGTATAATTACCAATACTCGTGATGATAGAATGGTAGAAGCGGTGTAAATAATTCTTGTGAATATCATACATACCGCTTTCGGCTGCTTATACATGTGATTTGAAGGTTGTCGAGGATGCATCAAGAAGCACAAATCCTGCTCATACAGAGAGCCTCGATCTCTAAAAAATCCATGCTCGAGACTTGAGAGAAAATAGCACAACCGGTCTGCGGTCTAGGTCATGTATGTAGGTGTTGAGTATGCAATGCATACATGTGGCTGCAGGGAGGCACATATAGGCACGTAAACGAATGAGCTGTGTACGTACATAATTACATGTGCATGAGAAACATGCATTTGAGTCTGGGAAGGGTTATTTAGGGCTGTACTCTGTAGCTGTGTACTCATTGCAAGGATAGTGGTTGATGTATACTTTTGATTTGATCATCACATAGTAAACACTTTATGGACGTGAGTCTATACACTATGATGTCTTCTAAATGTATGTCTAGATATTCGACATGCAAAATGCGCTGAACGCGATCGATCATTCCCACGTCTAGCAGGAAATGCAGAAATTTGCCCAAACAGGAAATTTACCGACTTGCTTCTATGCTGCGCGAAGGATAAGGGTTCGGCGGAACAGGTGACTTCCCACGACAAATAGACACACCGTACATACGGTACGTGTACGGACGAATACGCCTGATTCGCCCTCCACAGCCCACCAATCCTCTGTACACTTACACTGTACGTAGTGAGTGTACTCCGTATCCATTCCTAAATGCAACATCGGCCCAGATCAAGAACAAAACAAAAACACGGCATACCGAAAATCCACTCGGCTGCCCGAAAACCAAGAAAAATTTGTTCTCTTGCTACTCCGTACATGGCCACAGTTGGCCACAGTTAGGCAGAAAAGATCCACTCGGCATCTCGAGATGAAGATCCAGGGGTCTCGCCGTCTCGGTGAGTCGGGAGGGATACTAGATTGAGCGATTTTATTGCTTTGCTTGTAAATGTCTGGTTGTGAAAATCTTGGAGAAATGCGCAGCTGGGGCACGAATGGATGGGATTGGACAGGGAGCGTTTTGGACTTGAGGGGCAAGGGAGGCCCCACTGGCACATGGATTTCAAAGCTTGGAGGGTTAGTTAGCTAATAGCTTCTAGGGTTACGACTGGTTCTACGTACGTGCGACGGAGAATGTAGTATTTGTGATCGATTAGGAAGTTGGAAGAGAATCGTCTGTTTGATAGAATACGTACATTACGAGTGTCTTTGCCACATGAGGGCATGGACACTTTTGACGGAGATTGTACAACTTGGGAATACGAACATCTGTACGGGTATCGTTGACGCTTTCGAGTACGAAGCAAAGCAAAGCACGTGTTGTATATGACAGACAGACTGGTTACACGCAGTGATAGATCGGGAATAATAATATTCAATGTTGATATGTATCAGCTTCCTGAATTAGCTGGGTCATCTGCATACGTACTCATCTAAATTATCTCAATCTAGCACTTGGCTTCTACATCAAAGCTCTAATACGTAGACTTTAAAGTATCATGCGACCTCCAACTTTTCTTTATGAGCAGATATACTCACCTGTAAAATAATTCTATCAACAAGACCGAGATATAGAAATTCTGCTATTGATTGGACAATTGACTGATTCTTAAAATAAATGATGTCAAAAGGAAATGTCTCTTGTCTTGTGACCGGTCTCATGCGGGGATTGGCTGACGTGTACAGACTGTACCTTGCCTTGTAGCACCGAGTAAGTATTTCATCCTTGTCAAGAGATTAATGATCATCTTAAAAAACGTCCTGATTGTTGAAAATGTCTACAGGATTGTTGTTTCTCTGTATTGGCAACTGTAGATTCTGTACTCGCATGTAATCATACAGCACCGTTAATAACAATACATTGTCCGTATTTTCTCTCGTATCGTGGTCGTACCACCAACATTGAACAATCGAATTCCCCCACCACCGCCAATCGGAAATTTGCAATTTGCAAAACTTTCCACAACCCATACAGAACTCTATTTCAGCCGATCTCATTCGTTGAAGATTCAATGGAAACTAAGCCTTTTTGGCACCAACGGTAAAACTCTGGGCCTTTGGGGAATACGCCGTTCCTAATACTTTTCGTGCCCCGGTCTTCGACGGCTCTGTCTGGCTTCTGGAATGTTGCATCGAGGTAAGGCTGTGCTTGTCGGTGCACTGTACCCCGAGAATCTGGTTGATGTTTGATGTCGGGATGTGGGGGATGCAGGCCATCTCCATACTCAGCTGTGCGTGTACAGATCTGGATACTTAGAGAGTCGGTGAGCCACATGTACGTACACACACAGAACGTGGAATATATGTAACGAAATAAACAGTACAATACATTACCACGCCTCGCGTGGCATACCGTTGTTAGCCACTGGGCCAGGTACCAAAGATGTATTCTTTACGTATGCTCGCCATGTCCTCCATGATCCCGGTCAACGTTTGGACTGCCTGGGTGGTGTAGCAAAAGGATTCAATGGGATATGGAATTCTGCTGGAATCCTCATCCAAGTCATTTCATTTGTCCACCGACAATTGATCATCGCGCGATGTTCATCTGGAGACTGGAGACTGGATTTCTTGTTTTTCTTTGTCTATTGATCATCGTTACATAGTATCATTTCATTTGAGGGTGGCATGAATCATAACCACGCAATTTGTTGAGACAAGCGGAGTGTAGGCTTAGGGTTGTGCTTTAGGGTTGGTCGAACGTTCGGCCTTGGAGCCTGAATTGTCAGGCAGTAATTTCAGCCAATCACAAAGCGTCTTGTCGACTCATCGTGAGTGATGGCTTTGCACCAATCAACTGCGTCACAAAGAGCATCTCAAATCTTCATCATTCCTTTCAATAGAAGAATAAGAGTATGAATATTAAGATGGTAAACAGAATGATCATTGTGAGTCACCGGTTGTCACTGTATCGCGAGCGCCACGTCAAGCTTTTTTGCAATTCTTAAATCAAATCATCCCGCCCAATCAACAAAAATCCTCCTCAGACAAATTTACAGCAACATCAAATCTCTACTCTAAATCTCATATTCGGGATTTGGGATATTTCACGTGGACGCGATTGCGGTCACCAGACTCTGTCCAGAAGATTGCTGCGTTGGCATTTCGCCATAGATCAGACATCCGCAACCTCGCCTTGCCAGGTTATCCTTGAATCATCCCGCCACCGCCAGTCATCACTCGAGCACTCGTATTGGCGAGTGACATCTCATCAAAGGTGACTACCACTCGGCACATATCGTAGATCGATTTGGTTCGATTTTGAAGCAGGCAGATTACTGATGACTACACTCCCCGCGTCGCAGATATCATCAGCACTGTCCACTTACTGGCTGTTAACCGTCCCCATGGCGGCTACAGGCCAGCCCCAGTCAAGTGACAGCCTGAGCTCTGCCCAGGCCAACGGTAAGCTCTTTTCTCCTCTCGGCGTCTATTTGTTTATTTCCTGGTTACTATTCGCCATTTCTCTGTGTCGGTCGGTCACTGCAGGTGTTTTGTGTCTGCTCTTCTGACTGATGCGCTGTACATTCGTCACCGTCAGTCGATCAAATGCTCGTATCATTTGTGATGGACGGCAGTCAGCTTGCTCAATGCTGATCATTGACGGATATGAGAAGTGACAGCGCCACTTGCTGCAGTTACATAGCCTGAACTATAAGCAGTACTAGGTATACTTGCAAAGCTTGCCAAACTTAGACATGCATATATCACGGCTTGATTAATCATTCTGATCACACGCTCATGGCTAACTCCGAGACTATCAATATAGGCAGCGCGCTTGATGAGTTGGCAAGCGCTCAGCATCAGAATGGTGCAGCCTCAATGCACCAGGAGAGATCCACCCATCCACATGGAAATCGCAAGCAGAAGACCTGTCGGTTTTTTGCGACGAAGAAGGGTACGTTTGTTTATTTTGTTCTGAAATGCATTGTGTTTTTCAATTACATGGTTTCTGTCGATACACCGTATTGTCAACTTACAGACTGACTGCTTGAAGGTTGTCGTAGCGGCGATGCTTGCCCCTACCTTCACGTAGCCCCCGATCAAGGGGTACCAGAATCATCAGCCCCGACTTCGACCCCGACTCAAGCCCCTACCCAAAAACAAAGTAGGACGAGAGAACGCCAGGCAGTTTCCAAACCCATTCCCAAAACTCAACAAGACTCACCCCGAGACTTCCAAATTGGGCAACTCAGACGCAGATTCCACCCGAAAGAGGAGCAGGATGATGCCGGCAATACGACGCTTACATTCAGTATGGTCCCTACGGACCCGGACTTTCCTTTTGATATGCCCAAGCTAGATTGTTCGCTGCGAATCCCTCATGATTGGCCAGAGACCGACAGACCTACAGTTAGGGTTACTAACCCTGACATGCCCAGGGGTTTTCAGATTAATGTCGAAAGAGGGTTTGATGGATTGATAGAGTCTGCTTTGAAGGATCAAAGACCTATTACGCTACTTGGGTTGATGAATAGTCTAGATAGAAATCTGGAGAGGTTTCTGACTGCTGAAAAGGCGCAAACTATCAAGATTGTGGTCAATAACAGCCGTAAGGTGAAGACGCCTGAACCGGTACCTACAAAGGATAAGACAGTCCAGAAGCAAGTCCCTGAAGAAACATCTATCAGACAAGAGCACATTGTTCCTGTACCAAAATTGGTGGTGTATACTCCTGAACAGCGTGAGGAGGCCGAAAGAAAACGGCAATCAGAGACAAGACAACTCGAAGCTCGCTTGAACCGAATACCTCTTTACAAAAAGCTCAACTATGGACAGTCGTACATTGTTCCTATCACCCCTACGAAACCGGAGCGACTTCCGGTTCATCTCCGGGCCGTGAAATCGGTGAAACTATCTGTGCCGCCACTCTATCCATTTCAAAAGAGTTCGATTGAGCTCCAAGCGGTGGATGCGATGGAAGCGCGTGCTGTAGAGATTGGCTTCAGAGAGTGGGTACGGAAAGGGCCTCATACGACATTGATGGCGCAGGTGAATTACCTCGCGCATAACATGCACCTTCTCATCAATACTCCAACGACAGAACCCAAACAGCCAGAGATTCAAGCGCCTGCAGTAGCTGAAGACCTCGGCAATGCTCCTACGGTAGTAGATGAAGATCAAGATAGTATCTCAGACTCTGATCGACCGCACATCAAATTCATCCCACGGCCGCCTGAATGGTCAATGCCAGCAGGTCCAGATGGCGAGGATAGCGACTCCCCATTCGAGGATAGCAGCGATTCGTACGAGCACGACTCTGCAGAAGAATCACAAGATGGCGGAGCACCAATCGGCGAAACGACTGGATCGTCGTCGGTCGTCAATCCGCCTGCACGGGGTACAGCCGTCAATCTTCCCGGTCTGGAATTGCATGGTATCGAACTACTTGAGACAAAAATGATTTCTGTCACTGTCAAATGCGATCGATGCAAAGAGCATACAGACATCAAAAATATCAAACCGATAGATGACCCCAGTCAGCCTTCTCCGGTGAAAGTGGAATCATGCAGGAAGTGCGCTAATACGTTCAATGTCGGTAAGTTAGCGTTATTTCTTTGGTAGCACACAGATGGATGTGAATGTTAACATGACATTAGCATTCCGACGACAGCTAATGCATCCCAACTCCCAGAGAGCTGGATACCTGGATCTTGAAGGATGCACAGCCTTTGACCTGCTACCAAGGTAAGAAGCAACGTTGCACAATACGTATTTCTCGTGTCGTGCAAACACACATCAATCGATGTCGCACGGCCACGCCCTACGAATCTCATTCCGTGTTGTAATAGATATTGTCTAAAGTACATGCTAATGGATTCAGTTACTTCCAACCAACATGCTCCGAATGTTCAACCCCTTTCCCAGCACCAGGCCTCCTTGCCGTCCGCGGCGACGCAGCAATGGCGAGTTGTCGCGAATGTCATCGCAAAATGAGTACGAAATCTCCTTCACCGCCGCGAACAATACATGCTGACAAATGGTACAGACTTTAAAATTTCCGAGGTCAAGTTCATGGTTGTCGGGGTCTCTGCATGTAAGTATCTTCAGCCACAATCATACGACGCGGTTTTTCTTCAATCACATGCCCGGAGAAGTGACTAATTCGTGTTCAGTATCACATCAACGAATCCTTGCGCCGAGAAAAAAGGTGAGTTTCATTGTCCGTTGATTTTACTACGTGCCTCATTCTAATCTTGTTCTGGTAGATACGCGAGAATCTGGGTATCGTCGCCGGTCAAGAACTCCCTCGCCGCGGACGATGTAAGCATTACGGCAAGAGTTATCGATGGTTCAGATTCAGCTGCTGCGCCAAAGTCTTTCCGTGTGACAAGTACGTCCCTGGTATCCTTGATTCTTGCTCAAATACTAAAGACTGGCATAGATGCCACGACGCTGAAACAGATCATCCAAACGAACATGGCAATAGAATGATATGGTACCCATCGCCACTCCCCCTCTTTCTATAACTATACTGACGTCAATGGTGATAGTGGCTTCTGTTCCCGCGAACAAACCTACCGCCCCGAATCATGCGGCGTATGTAAAAACGTCCTTGTCGGCAAAGCCGGCAGCGGGTTCTGGGAAGGTGGAAAGGGGACGAGAGATAAAGTCAAGATGAGTAGGAAGGATCCAAGGAAGTATAAGCGGCTTTCTTCATGAGCTGCATCCCACATACCTTGAGCATGGAGAAGAGATGGAATGTTATGTATGTTATGGTTTATGCATAAGATGGATGGATCGTGCATTTGCATAGGCGAGCGGAAACGAAATGGTGCATAGAATCAGGAGCATTTCTAAATGATCAATTACTTTCAATCAATGTTGAGTGGATAAGAAGTAATTGAAAGTAAATATAGCTAATGCGCTGGACAAGTGAGTAGGATGGTAAAATGGTAAATCCTATTTCGCCGAGGCCAAACCGCATCTACATAGTAGCTTAATTCCCCGTGGGGAAGCTTGAATTCTGGGGAAGATATGGGGCTATTTCCATTTATACCTTACTACGCATAGAGCTTGTATATTTTACTATGATTAGTTTCTTTACGTCTATCAAAGGATCTACCGCTTAGGTAAAAGTATGTGAAGCTTGAGTTTAGTTTTGGCTTCCGTATAGTCGCTCTTCCCTAACTGATTTATATCCAAGCAAGAACGACGTAGATAGCAAAATCCCTCTTAGGCACTATTTAATCACAGATACGCAACTAGAAAATAGCTTGTGTGGGGCCTGGAGAGATCTCATCTGTTTGTCCATCCAGCGACTACATATACACTCAAAAATGACTTGTAGAGACTCGTCCAAGAAGCCCCATCAAGTAAGGTTACTACGTAGTGATTGAAATCATGACTCGTGGATTCTGCAGAGTTAAGCAAGCCCCACTGTACAAGTCGTTCTTAATGATTTGATATCAGACGATAGTAAGCAGGCGACTTTCGTGACTGCATTGTCTGCCGTTCTCCACATACAAATGGATATCTCAAGACCGGCATAACCACCCACCTAGTTTGGTGCTAGAATTCACTGTTATCTGCGGGGTATCTGGATAGTAAAAGAGAATTGAGAGAGCTCTCTTTCTTCCAGGTTCTGTGCTTTGTAACCTGCATACAACCGGATAGTTCTGTACTTTGACTTTGACCTTTTGAAACACGGCCATGATATAGAAACAGCATAATGTTCGTCGACAAGCTAGGAGATGTCCTCGCGCTGATGCAGCTGCAACGCGCCCTTGCCGAGTTCGGCACAGGAAGTATCTTCACAGCTCTGGTCTTTGGCCTGACTGTTGTATTGGCGGTTGACTATGCTCGAATGCTATACTTGCATTTCAAAATGGTCAGTCCTCAACCGTGATACACCTACATGTAAGTATATAGGGAGCTAATTCGAGTAGCCACCCGGGCCCCTCCCCTGGCCCATCGTCGGAAACACATACTCCCTACCAGACAACAAACCCTGGATCTACTTTGAGGAGCTTGCCAAAAAGTATAATGCACCAATGATAACGTTCTGGATCGGTCGGAATCCCACGATATGGATCTGCGATGCTTGGGCTGCGAGTGAATTGCTCGATAAGCGGGCTGGTATCTATGCCTCGAGACCGCGGATGGTCGTGTTTGGAGAGCTGGGGACGGGGCAATCGAACCTTGTCACGATGTATTATGGCGATAGATGGAGGCTGCATCGCAAGCTGACTCATATGGGTGTTGGATTGCAGCAAGTGCGTGGTTATCGCGGGTTTCAGAAYGATGAGAGTAAGATCATTGCGTATGATTTGCTGCGCTCCCCGGAAGAATATGTTAAGCATTTTGAGAGGTATGCCACGAGTGTGGTATCAATTATTGGGTTTGGACGCCGGGTTGATAGTTTCATGGATCCGATAATCACAGAGGTTATTGCTGTTATGCATAAGGCTGCTGATTTGAATGTGCCGGGGAAAAAGTTTCCGATGTTATTGGAGACTTTTCCATGTAAGCTGCATCTTGCACAGCTCTGATAAAGATTCATGGCCTGCTGACACCTTGCGCTGAACTCAGTCCTGGCAAAATTTCCCAACCAGATCGCGCCTTGGAAACATGGCCTCGGTACTCGCAGCCGGGGGCGGCACTTTTTCTACGCACTAGCCAAAGAAGCCGCAGACAACCCAGAACAAGAACAGTGCTATTCTCGAAAGATCTTCGACGAGGCGCCCAAATACAATCTCAGCAAAGAAGAGATTTCGTCATTAGCTGGGAACTTATTTGGAGCGGGTAGCGATACTTCTAGCTCGACGTTGATTACATTTGTATTAGCTTGTTGTGTATTCCCTGAGGTACTACCAAAGGCATGGGAGGAACTGGATCGAGTGGTCGGCCCTCACCGGAGTCCAACGTTTGAGGATGAGGCAAATCTTCCGTATGTCAAGGCTTTTATGAAAGAGGTTCTACGTTGGCGATCAGTGGCCATCATTGGAGGGCAGCCTCATGCTCCAATCCAAGACGACTATTATAAGGTAAGTACACAGATCTAGGCTTTGGATAAGGTAGGAACCCTAACGGGTGTATAGGGCTGGCTCATACCAAAGAACACATGGGTCCAAGGAAATGTCTGGGCCATCCATCACCACGACCGCGAATTCCCCGAGCCAGACCGGTTCATTCCGGAACGGTATCTCAAAGATAGCGAATGGTATAGACCCTTCCCTGGCGAGCGAGGCTACATGACTTTCGGCTGGGGCCGTCGTGTGTGCAGTGGCCAGGGTCTGGCCGAGCAGGGAACTTTCATCACTGTTGCTCGTTTGTTATGGGGATTCCGATTCCAAAAGGGTCTCGACCAGAATGGAAATGAGATTCCTCTTGACATTTTCGATTATACGTAAGTGGTCAACCGCTGTTGAAGTATGCCTGCAGACAGTGTTTACTAATGGTGATAGGAATGGCCTGAACATGCGGCCAAATGAATTTAAATGCCGTATTACACCTCGCAGTGACGAGATTCGCGCAACAATTGAGCGAGAGGGTACGCAGGCATTGCAAGATCTGGCTCGTTACACAGGTGAGACCAAGTATCGTATGAGTCGCTTCTACCAGCGAGATACTTTGGAGGATTGACCAATTTGGTCGTAGTGGAGCATATCACTCGTGATACATGCATTGCATTTTTCAATCATTTTGATGACTGTCATCAAATCACGTACGGAATAGCCATGTAGGAATGTCAACATTTTAGCGTGCTGACTGAGGGCTGTTGCGCAAGGGCCATATGCACTTAATCGTGCAGCTGAGAATTATAAATTTCAATGAGTACCTATCCGTTCAAATGACGACTCTAATGAGCACTCGTCTGTGTCACTGGCGTAGAGCTCTCGGTGTACATTCGTCGGCTGTTGAGATCCACACAATTGCCGTAGTATGTGGGATCTCTCGTGAATTTACCCCAGTCCTTAAGCCGCGCCGTTTATTAGCCGGGGGTCAGCTCCGTCTGCCCTGAAAGCAAAAAGCAAGCAGATTGGCTGGTAGCCGTATGATTAATAGGGGTCCAGCAGATGGTTGTTGGAAGAAGAAGTTGGGGGAAAAAAGACTCGGCAGTTGTTCTTTGACAATTGCCCGTCTCCAGGCACCAAGGCACGCATTGACATACAAAGAAACAAAACAGGAAGGAGCGTGGGGAAATTGCTTCTTTCTCCCCGACAAGATTTCCTTATTTATTTATTTACTTCTCTCTTCCCTTGTCGCTAGTCATCATCGTTGACCATTCCGTTCTAAATACTGTACAATGAATACACAGCAAGAGCCGCAGGCCAGAGTGCCGCTTAATGCTATAGTTGTTGGGTAAGTTTGAATACATGCGAGTTCATACGCCGGTGACTAATTTATCTTTATAGAGGAGGTATATAATCAAAGAAGCGATCGGTTTAGACTAAGCTGACGCTTACAGGCATTGGTGGAATTGCAACTGCCCTAAGTCTGGGACGTCGAGGACACAATGTTACCATTCTCGAATCAGCTCCAAAGGTATTGCAATCCAGACACATCCTTGAGGTGATACTGACTGTCAATCAGTTGATGGAAGTGGGAGCAGGAATTCAAGTATCGCCGAATATGGGCAGATTGCTAGACCGTAAGTTATACTACTTCCTGGCTCGGATCTAGGCTGATCATTACAGGTTGGGGGGTATCATATAGAGAAAAGGCAACCCTATTAGAGCAAATCGACATCCGGAGGTGGCAAGATGGCAGTCTGCTTGCATGCATACCTTGTAATCCGGCTCATGGTGACCAGTTGACTATTCATCGCGCGGACCTGCACAACGCATTGATTGACAAGGCCCTCTCGTTGCCCAACGTCCAACTCCTCGTCAACTCGCATGTGGTAGATGTGAATTTTGACAAGACAGAGGTCATCCTGGCAGATGGCAGGGTTGTTCGTGGAGATGTGGTTTTAGCTGCAGACGGCATCAAGTCAAATATTCGACCAAAACTACTTGAAGACAATACGATCAAAGTCGAGGCCACAGGAGACGCCGCATATCGAATCATCCTGACCCGAGAAGAGATGCTTTCGCATCCTGTTCTGAAAGAAATAATCGATCAGTCACGCGCAACACGATGGATCGGACCAGGCCGGCATATAGTGGCATATCCGCTGAGGAATCACGAACTCTTCAATGTCGTCCTTCTCCACCCCGATCGTGGAACAGTTGACGATATGTGGACCATCAAAGGCTCCAAAAAGGACATGATTAATGATTATGCTGGCTGGGATAGCAGAGTCACGGAAATTATTGCAAATGTCCGAGATGACGAGATTATGGAATGGAAACTGAATTTGTACCCACCTCTCAAGACATGGGTCAAAGAATCAGTAGCCTTGCTCGGAGACGCATGTCATCCAATGCTGTAAGTGACCCTTGATATTCTATCGGACGCAAACTGACAGGTCCAGCCCATATGTCGCGCAAGGAGCTGCTCAAGCAGTCGAGGATGCCGGTGCTTTAGGAGCAATACTCTCAAAAATCTCTTCAAAAAAAGAGATTCCCGCTGCCCTTGAAGCATATCAGCTCTCAAGGAAAGCACGAGCCGAGCAAGTCCAACAATCCGGCAAAATGAACCGTGTCGCTCTACATCTTCCGGATGGGCCTGAACAGCGACAACGGGATGAGATGTTTCGGCTGGCGATGAAGGGCAGCTCAGAAAGCCCTGACCGATGGGTGGATGAGAAGACGCGTAAAATACTGTGGGAGCACGATGCCGAGGAGGCAGCCCTCAAGACATGGCAAGGTATGTTTTCGTAATTCTGAGGTCTGAAGTCCGACCTAGACTGATTGTGGACCAGACTACCAGAATAAACAACCACGAATTGCAAACCTTTAAATGATTGTACGAGTTGGGATGGCCCGGTCACAGCAACCTGCAGTGCGTGGTTCTGGGATGAAAAGGTGCAAGTCTCCGCCAGCCGCGAGAGCCGATTTGACGCCACCAACTTAGAGTATGGAGTGGGTTAGAGGGTCTGTTACATAGCGACTGAGCGATCAGCATTTGCCATTTGGCCGAATTGATTGAGTTTTTTCTTCAAATTTCGGAGACTTTCTGTAAGCAACTGAAGATATATACTGATTCGAAGCACAGGATTAGTCAGTAGCCAAAATGTGCCCGGCTTTACGCGAGCAAAGTCTGTCGCGATTCTCCGCCCGATAAGAAACTTACTATGTACCCGGTAGTTACTATCTAGGTTATCGTAATGCCATCATCCCATAGTACTCTTATTAAGACCCTCCGAAGACCTTATGAAGTCCCGAATTCGGGCCTCCAGACTTTCTGCCCATGCAAAGATGTGGCTACATGGAACTAACCTACTCACTTCATGTCATAGCGCAACTTTGCCCCTCAAAAAGCAGAAAAATTAGCTCGTTGATTTGTCATGCGGTGATTCCATGATGATCATAGAGTGGGGTGGTTTTGAAGCTTGGCGCTATCATATATTTTGCCTCGGTGCTCTATAGTATATAAATACCCTAGTCTCATCAATTGACTTGCATTGCTTCTATAACAACTATAACACATTGATTGTCTTTCTATTTTAGGTAATAACACAATGCCTCGTCGCGACAACCCCCCTGACCTCCCCAACACGCCCGCAAAAGGCATTTCTTACTTCTCGCCCGAGCAAGATCCCCCAGCAGGAACAGCTGCAAACCCTCAGTCAGATGGAAGCATCCCGCCCAAGCTTTTCCAGCCATTGACCATTCGCGGCGTCACATTCCACAGTCGCATTGGTGTATGTACCTCCTCCCTCTATCGTCTATCCTCTAGACTACTAACGCATACAGCTATCTCCCCTCTGCCAATACTCCGCCAAAGATGGCCACATGAACGACTGGCACATCGCGCACCTGGGCGGAATCGCCCAGCGCGGTCCTGGTTTCCTGATGACCGAAGCAACTTCCGTCACCCCAGAAGGCCGCATTACCCCCGAAGACTTGGGCCTGTGGCAAGACTCTCAAATCGAGCCTCTCCGACGAACCATTGAGTTCGTGCACAGCCAGAACCAAAAAATCGGCGTGCAAATAGCGCATGCAGGTCGCAAGGCGAGCACTGTTGCGCCGTGGCTATCAATGGGTGATATCGCGCTAGAGAAGAATGGCGGTTGGCCCAATGCTGTTGTTGGACCAAGCGATATCCCGTTCTCGGATAGTTTCCCGCTACCCAAGGCGATGACGAAGCAGGATATTGAGGATTTGAAAAAGGCGTGGGTTGCCGCAGTCAAGCGCGCTCTCAAGGCTGGTGCAGATTTTGTTGAGATTCATGCCGCGCATGGTTATCTTTTGTGCTCGTTCATGTCGCCTCTGTCCAACAACCGTACAGACGAGTATGGCGGCAGCTTTGAGAATCGTATTCGATTGACCCTTGAAATTGCGCAGTTGACGCGTGAGGTTGTCGGTCCCAACTACCCCGTCTTCCTCCGTATTTCAGCCACGGAATGGGTAGAGGAGAGCCTAGCCGGTCAACCTAGCTGGACAGTCGAGGAGTCCGTGAAATTGGCCAAGGCTCTCGTCGACCAAGGTGCCGTTGACTTGCTCGACGTCAGTTCCGGAGGCAACAATTCCGCACAAAAGATCAAGGGCGGCCCCGGCTTCCAATCACCCTTTGCAATCGAAATTAAAAAGGCCGTTGGTGATAAACTGCTGGTCGGAACTGTCGGCAGCATTAACACTGCAAAGCTGGCGAACAAGTTGCTGGAAGAGGACGGTCTGGATTTCGCGCTGGCTGGAAGATCGTTCCAGAAGAACCCTAGTCTGCCGTGGACGTGGGCGGAGGAGTTGGATTTGGAGGTTAGCGCCGCGAATCAGATTCGATGGGGCTTTTCGCATCGTGGTGCTACAAAATTCTTGAAGAAGCCATCTAGCAATCTGTGATGGACCACCTCGGTAGATGAATATAGATCGTGTAGATTGTTTGGTGTTATAGCGTCAACAATAAATAATCTATGATGAAGTCTAGCAAATGCACGGACATGCCCAGGTGATCAAGCTTCTGGCGGAAAATTCCAGTACAAGGATAATAATATATCAGGCGTGGTAGGCAGCTAAGATCTTTGATTCGACTTTGTCGCAAACACCTCGCAACCCTAGCCCAAACAGGAAAGGAGCGTACTTTTTCGACAGCCGACAGCCGAGATTAAGCCGATCTATCAAAAACGATCTTTAAAACCATCAACAATCCGACATCCATCAACTGCTGACTGAAGAGTATCATCAACTCTTTGCAGCTGAAAAGATGGTTTCGTGGACGCTCGTTGCAGCTATCGCTGCAATAGCCACTGTCAAAGTCGCACCGGAATACTCTCTCTATTCCTCATACTTCCTCCAGACAATTACATTCGTCCTCATAGCGTGGGTAGCCAGGCTTGTTTACACCGGGATTCTGTATCCAGCATATTTGACGCCACTGAAGCAAATTCCTACTCCATCAGTATGTGTCATCCACATCTTTACACGCGTCAAGACTAAAACTTTAACAGAATCGATCATGGTTATATGGCAACACGGAGTCAGTCGACTTACGCTTTCCAGTCGAAAAGGTGCGACAATGGAAAAAGACCATTCCAAACCCTGGTTTGCTTAGATACTATGTCATTGGTAACTCAGAGAGGATCGTGGTCTTGTCGCCCAAGGCCATCGCTGATCTCTTGGTGAATAAGAGTTATGATTTCATACGCCCGGAGATAGCGCGTGTGCAACTTAGCAAGGTGACTGGGGAGGGCTTGTTGGTTGCTGAGGGTGACGTGCATAAGGTATTACTCTCTAACCCTTGAAAAAATTATTTTAATATATGCTAATCACAATAGGCACAACGGAAAAGCTTAATGCCCTCATTCTCCTACCGGCACATCAAGGAATTATATCCCCTGTTCTGGACCAAGGCCATCCAAATGACCAACGAGATCGACAAGGGGATCAAAGCTAATAAAATCGGCCAAGATACGATCAAAACCAGCACCTGGGCAAGCAGAGCCATGCTCGATATCATCGGCCTAGCCGGATTCGACTACGATTTCAACACTCTCGCCAACGCCGACAATGAACTTGCGCGTCGCTATGAGAGCATGGTGATGCTTCCCACTGGGGTTCAGCGTTTCGTTGCGTTTGTATGTTTATTCTTCATTGGATTCAAATATTACTTCCGTATTCCGAGCCCTCAGAACAAGGTCGTGGATGATGCGATGAAGTATATCCGGAGTACAGCGCTTGAACATTTGACCATGAAGAAGAAGCGGTTGCAAGGAGAGGCCAAACACGTGGATGTGGATATCTTGTCGGTGGCGATGCGCGATGGCAGTTTTACAGATGACAATTTGGTGGATCAGATCATGACTTTTCTGGGTGCGGGCCATGAGACGACTGCGTCGGCGTTTCAGTGGGCTGTATATGTTCTATCAAAACATCCTGAAATCCAGACAAGGCTTCGAGAAGAACTTCGAAACTCTCTGCCACGTATTCCGTTTGAGGAAGTGAACGATATCAAAGAAATCAGGGACGAAAACGGTGATATCAAACACGCATTCTTGGAGTTGTTCGCCTCTATCGACGGCAACAACAACTCCAACATACCCTATCTATGGGCATTCACCAATGAAGTCCTCCGCTTCCATCCCTCTGCACCATTCACTTCCCGCGAATCAGTCCGCAACACAACCCTAGCCGGCCACTTCATCCCTAAGGGCACACACGTCCTCGTCGCCCCCGAAATAACAAACAAAGACACTGACCTCTGGGGCCCAGATGCAGAGACCTTCAACCCAGACCGCTGGCTTAACATTGACCCGGCCACCAACAAGCCGGTTAGCTACAACAACAGCGGTGGCGCGATTAGCAATTACGCGCATTTGACCTTTATTCATGGGCCCCGCGCTTGTATTGGGCAGGGATTTGCGAGGGCGGAGCTTGCCATCTTTGTGGCGGTGTTTGTGTATCGGTTTGAGTTTGAGCTGGAGGATCCGGAGAAGAAGCTAGAAGTAAGGAGGATGATTACGCAGGCGCCTACGGATGGGGTTGTCATCAAGGTTAGGAGGGCTGATTAACTACCAACATTTGCTGTTTTTTGATTGAAGGGTGGAGCTGTGACTTGTGGTTATTAATTATGAACTAGGTAGTTACCGCGATATGATTTCACAGACACAAAAATCTATCATCATGCTTACGTAAATACCGTAGAATAAAGCCATCGCATTCGGCGGCGAAGCCACAGTACACACTGTAATTGAGCGGCACGCTCGTAAAAAAGAACGTCCACCTATTCCTCCGTTTACACCTCAAGATCAAACAACTCTCCACTCGGGGTTCCCCAGCCCGCGAAAGGGATAGGATGGAGCTGCCATTCTCGTCTGCGGCAGCTATACCACTCGCTCATCAGCCATTTATGTCATAATTATGATAAAGGGACAGTAGGCACTTACGAATGCACTCCAAACCAGGGTTACCAGCCGCAATAACCGCAGATTGTCTTGCCCAGAGCCACCGAGCCTTAGACCCATCTTGCTTAAGACCGGGCCAGCTGTGACTGGCTTTCAGATTCTCCTTTACCATCGTAGACAGACTTATGTACTTTGGCACGTAACCTGTGCGTACAATGAGAATATCGCCAAATCGTGGCTCGATATTCTTAGCGGCCATGATCGTTTTGATATTACAGCGCTGTTAGCATGGCGGCCCATTGCATCGTATGAGACGTTCTGCTCGTTTATCCAGCTGGCGTAATCGATCAAAATTCCGCTTGTCGGATTGTCGGTTCAGTTCATGGCTCTGTTGTTCGTTCTGTGTATATCGACTTCAGTGACACTAAAGAATAATCAGAGAATATGATTTATATGATAGCGGGGGTTAGATTCTTACCTCTCATAAAAGCTACCCTGTTTTTGATCGGCAACATGTCTGAAGGAGTGGAACTGGGACCTTGTTTTGGTGTTGAATGTGATCTGCTTCGTTATCAGAACATTGTTTTATTTTACTGACCAGCGGCATACATCGTACCGCATCATCATTTAATTACTCGTAGCGATTTGTTGATAAGCTTCTGCTCGAAATCTGTACGATCGAGTAGAGCTGATTTGACTGCATCCAACGGTAGACTATAAGCTATTCAGTACAATGTGACTTCAAAAGAATGGGGATTGTTTTAAAGCATCCTGCAGTGTAACCCGTTCACCGAGCTGCAGTCCTTCTTTTGCTGCTCGTAGTATCACTTCATCGGTTGGAGGATTCAATGCACACAGCGTAGGATCCTTCCAAAAGACCCCATGCTAAGTGGTGCGGATCACCGGCTTGTAAAGGTAGGTTCATCGAAGACTGGGATGGGTTGGTGTAAAGCACACGACATAGTGAAATGGGCCCACCTGCCCCCAGTCTACCTTTATCATTTTCTTCATCATCTGGCACTCTGACATACTACTTAATTTATCGACTCGATTGGTACGGGACGAAAATACATGCCGAAGGTGCCTACGTATTCAGATGGTTGATACATTGCATTCTGAATCAAGGTAAGTACAAGACTAATCAGAAAACGGTGGAACTTGGAAGTCACGGTGTGACATTGTCAATTCAAAGTCACCGAAAACTCTCGTGCCAATACATTCCATACACTAATCAGACTTCACTTCAAAAGGTTTAACAAATGGATTGTTCATTGCCCAGGTAATGCCGTCGGCCATTACCAGGTCCCATCTCCGACTTGCCGATAATTTACTCCCGAACAGTGAAAATCCGTGAGGAAGACCACGAAAGACGTTGACATTAGTCGGCACACTTTCAAGTTGTTAAACTAGATCAAAAAAGCCAACGCATGATGAACTTACCCATTTTCGTTGAGGAGTTTTGCATAAAATAGGCCCTCGTCCCTTAGCGGATCGTACCCAGCAATACCGAAAGTTGTGGGAGGCAAATTGGCTACATCCTTCTTTGTTGCATTTCCTGGATTCAATCTGAGATCGTTGCCTGCAGCACGAACCTCATCACAACCAAGCAGTGACGCGAACAATTTAATGCGTTCAATCGGTAGGACCGGCGCATTAGCGCACTGTACTAAGCTCGAAACCTCGGGCGTACGCAACATCTCCTGTCGAGGGGCATAATGATCTAATTGGACAAGCCAGGGAATCATCAGGACCTGACCCTGGATGCTTGGACAGGCAGTCAAGGCTTTGTTGGCGCCGTTACTGCTATGTGCAAGGCACAAACTTGCAGCTAATTGAGCTCCCGCCGATATGCCGCCCACAAAGACTTGGTCACCGAGTCCACCAATCTGTGTGATATGCTCATGAACCCAAATAAAAGCATCTTCCGTGTCGTTCCAGGCAGTCGGAAAATGCCACTCTGGTGTATGCCGATAGTTCACATTAAATACAATGATGGGAGTATCTCGTTCGGTTAAAGCAGTTACGAGACGAGAGCAGGTGGCATCTTCGGAAGCGAGAGTCCCGAAAAGAAAGCCTCCACCATGAAAATGTACGTATATGGGAAGGGGCTGCGATGGAGGCAAGCGCGCAGGGCGGTAAGTTCGTGCCTCGAGAGTTTCACCGTCGCGAGCAATGATACTATAATCTCGAATCTGAACTCGAGAGACAAGATCTTGAAGCAGCGTCAACAGATTTATGATTAATGGAAGCTTGATTCAATGAAGGCTAGCAGCGCCCTTTGCATACATGTACACACCTTCATTGATCATAGCCTGGGTTGCGGCACTTTCACGCACGCCATTAGTCCACTTTTGGAGTTCCTCAATTGGTCGAGCAGGCTGTGGAGGCAACGTGGGCTCCAAAGCTAGCCATTCTGCACTTGGGCCTGTGAACTCGGAGAAGTCAGCCATTTATCCAAAATGCGGTCTTGGATAAACTCTAGAGCAAGTTCGAGAAATCTGGTCACAGTGGCCGGTACCTGTACATGTTAGTCGTCAAATTAGATGAACAGGAAAGCAACGTGATAGATAAACAGTTGATTCATAAGCAGTATGCGCTAAGTGTTGAGCAAGATGAGCCACGATCCTATGAACGTCATAAACTTTGATTCCCCGGGCTATTTTACTTTATCGATACAAATACAATTGAGACTTGTTCGTTCCTGTCGGAGATATAGATGGAGAAATCTAACTCCGTACTTTGTGAAATAGTCGAGGTTGGTACAAACCTATCTGATAATTCTACATGCGGGGTACAGATGTAGACTCAGAATACGTACAAGCTTTCAGTTACAAGGTTTCCCGCAGTATCAATCCAGTAAATGACAGCCCGTCCCAATGGTAACCTTACAGTGAGACTTCCATGGGAAGGGTGGAATTGAGTTATGTTCTTGGATAGTACAGTACTATGCATCTGGCAGTCTGGAGAAATCCAAGTGCCAGTTCTAGTCTCAAGATGGTAATCGAGATGTCGACCCACTTGTCGATGGCTGCTCGGCGATCATATCCATAACCTCACTTGACTCGCAAATAAAATGACGCACGTATACATAAGTGCAGGTCCAAAAATAAAAAGCCGAACTAATCTAAAGTCGAGCTAGTGATTCAGCCTTTTCCAGCTTCTAGTATCTATACCCACGTCCATCGCCAGGCTCAGTGAGGTATTCGAGGTGTGAACCAGCTTGTCATGTTTATTTTGGAGACTCTCAACAGATACTTCACTGTATTACAGGCAAAATGACGTAGATCCTGTATTTAGTTCGGGGCTGAAGAGTGTTGTTGAATCAAGCTTCCCTGTCAAATGGCTCCATATTTCCTGAAACTTCTCAGGGCAGCGCCGCCAAACTTCCGTATTTCTTCGGCAACCTCGATTTCGACTTCAATACGAGCTGCAACGCTACGCCTGCGGAGTACAGCCTCAGTAAGCAGATGAGGAAGTCGTGGACAGCAATGACCGAAAATGGTAATCCGTCACCCGACGACGTTGAGTGGCCCCAATTCGAAGTTACGGCGAATGGCTCATCGACTCCAGGTCTCGTCATTGGCAACTCAACTGTGCCTGGCTTGATCGACTACTCCATTTGTAAATCGTGGTCTGCGGTGAATGCAACAATACTAGCTAGCAATGCGACTGCTACAGGGACGCCAACTCCCTCGTCGACCTCTACTCCAACTAGCGGTACAGCAACTATCTCTGGCCACTGGGGCTTTTGCTGCATTAAGTGCGATGTTGATGGGATTGGTGGTGATTTTCTAATTTCCGGGGGACTCTTTATTGGATTTAACCACTTAGGTAACAGGAATTAGACCCGGCGTGTAAATTATAAGACCTAAAGGTTGACATTAGTCTAAGTTCGGCCTTCAATTACATATTTCATGACTAATTTGGAACGTTCCATTGCTCGCATCCATATATTTTGCGTTATTCAAATATATCTAGTAGTTTTGTGGTTTATTATCTAGGTACCTTTTGAAGGCTTTCATAATAGTAGCAGGCCCTCCGCGCATGCCAGGTTAGGGAATTCCACATCATCGGTGGGCTTATGTCCTTTTTAGAAGAACATCATGTCTATCAAATCAACATTTTTACTTAAAATTAAGCAGGTCAAATCTCAGCCAATAAGGGTTTCCTGGTGTAGTCTTTTTTTACGTCTTCTTGAACAATTATAGGAAGGTTTAACTGTTGATACTGTAAAGGTATTTATGCGTACATTCTTATCGAAAGAGGGGTGGGTTATTGTCGCATGTATATTGCTAAGATTTCTTTTCATGATTGAAATCCAAGCTTCCTTGACAAATCTTAGATGAATTTTCATGGAAGCACGTTTCGAAACATCCACTATTCATAAGGCCACACTGATAATCAAACTATACATGATTATTCATTAGATTGACCATTACCTCACCCTTAGCAATCTCTTTGTGTTCTTTCTCCTTCAAAGCCGACCAACCAAACGCCACACAGATAGCCATTGCCACAATCTCCTCTAGAACATCCATACAGAGATAGATAGTATCGTCGCCGTTCACAATAGAGAATCTCTGGTCGTCGCTGAAATCGGCCACTGCGGAGTATACCAGTCGCACGAGCAGAAAAGGCCAACCAAGAACAATGGCCATGAACAGCTTCTTCTGCCACTTATGCATCGCGTTCCCAAGTTGCATCGCAAGTATAAGCGTCAAGAAGATCATCACGACAAATAAGGCGAGGAAGATGGCTATGGCGGCCTTCATCTCGATGTTCGGTTTGAAAGGTTTATTGGTATCGATGATGCTGACGCCGGCAATGCCGATAATGAGACCAACGAAACCAGCTATGGTGGTCAGTCTTAGAAGTCGGGGGTTCAATTTCTGTTCCGTATCACTAGAAATTTCCGCAATTAGTTGATCTTCCTGCGACGAGTCACTTGCGTGAAAACTCACATTTGCCCAAGGAGTCCGACGTAGGTCAGAATCAAAGGTGCAATACCAATTAGCTCGCATACCGCCTCCGCAATGAAAATTCTCTCATTGGAGCTATTGTTGATTGTCAACAAAGCACAGATGCCCCCAGCTATTCGTAGCAGAGAGAGTGTGACGACGAATCGCCAGCTCCTTCCGCCCTCTCTCCAACCAATTCTGTGCCAGATACGCATTGCTATAACCAGTAGCACCGGGAAGATGATGAGTTGGAGGATGGCGATGCCATCGTGGTAGGTCACTTTACCCATTTTTTGGATTCGACGATAGTGTATGGTGCGATAGTAGTAGTGGTCGTGTGAGTGTGTAGTGTGCCGGTAATAAGATGAGGTCTGGATGCTAGAATAGTTTGATGACACAAAAGAGCAGTCGGTCCCTTTTATGCTGGTCAACCTCCTGATTCACTTATTGCTATCATACACGGGATACCGTCTATAATTAAGTTTCTTCTCTGTTATTGATTCGTGGAGCATCTCAAATGCCCGGATGGGAATAGCAATGGGGAACTGTTCAGCCATTTCCTCCATGTTCATTTAGCTCTAGTCACAGCAGGTGATGAGATTGTAAATCTTGATCATATCAGGAATCGCTGAGCGGTTTGGCCAATAAGATCAGTAATTTAAATGTCAACTTATATTTAGAAGGACGAGCTGACACGTGTGTAGTGGCAGAACGTGGGAACTGTTGGAAAAGTGAAGCTTATTTTCGGTTCTTCAAAAGGGATCGACAACAGTTAAGGTTGTGTACCCAGGTCTGGAGTACGTAGCTGAAAATATTCTGAGAAACTCCTCGTTAGTTTTGTTGGTTCATGATGGAGTTTCATTGGCCAAACATCTCGCATACCAATATAGGGTTAGCTCCTCCTTCAGCCCTGTTCCAAAGGGGGGAAGGTTGAAACCTAAACGCAACTACAGAATCTCTCGCCCTAACCACTTTTCGTAAGGATGGCCCCTCCCAACAACACAAATCTCTTCGAGGACGTCACCCAGCAGGGGGGCCCTGAGCGTTAAAGATGGAATCAACACGACTTAGATGGTGTTTAAAGATTGCCTGTTCAGGTAGTCCTTGCGTTCCTTTGAAGATTAAATGAGACAAGAAGTTCGTGATCGAATACATCCTTCCATAACGGATACGATTAAGCTATGACCGCGCACGATAAGCCTGGCCCAAGGGTATCTAGGAATTGTGGGAATTGCCGGTCTGTCAAGCGACGTGTGAGTGACTTCTACTGACTCGTGTTTGTTTCGTTCGTACTAATTCGACCATTTTGTGTTCAGTGTGATCGCCAACGACCGCATTGTGGACAATGCATCCGACTTCGTGAGAGATGCCCCGGATATCGAGATGAATGGGAGCTCGTATTCCGCAATGACACAGACAAAACTATCAAACGTGTCAAGGAGAAAAAAGCCAAAACCACCGCCACCCCTAATATAGCCCCGCCTACTTGCAGCTTGAGTCCGAGAGTGGACGATCTGGGCGTCAACTATTTTGTCCGCCACTTTGTCATCGGCGGCCGCGCTGATGCGCGTGGATGTCTCAACTATATTCCTTCCATCTATCATGCCGATGGTGAGCAATCAACGTTGGTGGCTAGCATGTCAGCTGTAGGCCTTGTTGCACTAGCCAATGCTAGTCAACACCCCGAACTAGCCAGCCATGCACGCGCTAAATACTTGGAGGCCATACGAAATGTCAATGCTGCTTTGGCATGTCCTGTCGAGTCCATCAAGGACAGCACTTTGATGTCAGTCATCTCATTAGGAATATTTGAGCATGTCTCTGCCTACGAGTCATGGGCTCGACATGTCCGGGGTGCGGCAGCGCTACTGGTTGCTCGAGGGAAGTCACAATTTTCTACACCCGTCGCAATACGCATGTTCAACCAAGTGCGCAAGGATTTGGTAATTGTCTGTTTCCGTAGTGACGAGGCATTTCCGGAGGAGATACTGGAACTGCAGGAAGAGGCTGCTAGATACACAGATACATCTACCTCTGCGTGGATCATGGGAGTACTAAGCACGCGGTGCGTAACGGTACTTACGAAGGTCAGAGAGAATATGTACAAGGTCGGATTTCCTTGGATTGGGATCTTAGACGAAGCCAGTTTGCTCGCTCGCGACTTTGAGGATCTTGCTGCCGTGCTTGCCGTACAAGAACCATATCTAGTCACGCGAATGCCTGACTTGGACTCAGACATGGTTCCCAATGGAGTATATGCTGTCTTTAAAGATGCCTGGGCAATCAGGCTCTGGTCGAATCAGCGAACTCTTCAAATGGTTGTGTATGAAATCATATACTGGATCTTGGTCAAGATTCTTTCCACGGACCTCGAAGCCGCTATCCGTGACCAAATGAAAGTAAAGCTTCACAGAACTATGCATACTCTGTCGAAATTGGGTGACGACATCTTAGCCATTGCTCCGCAGGCTATGGAACTTGTATGCTGCTCAGCGCCCAAATCCGGACCTCCTTTCGGTCTCTCCGTGCAAGGCAGCGTGTCAGGCGGGTATCTGATGACATGGGGTCTCTTTATGATAGCGAAGTCAGCAGCTCCAAAACCAGAGACCCGGAAGTGTGCTATCCGCCTTCTCCAGGACATAGGTAGAAACACAGGCATGTCAGTTGCCCTGCATTTGGTTCAGATAGCCATAGAAATCTGCCAAAAGATGGGATAAGCATGATTTGTGAAGGAAGAGTTGCCAAAGACAAATTTTAATGGTTGATGGATGGCTAAAGCCAAATGTATATAAGACTTCCTTAGGCTTCTTTTCATGATAAGATGTGGTTGACGGCCTTTTTGGTCTTCGAATCCTGGATCACACGGCTTCCGACGAGCACCATCCACGCTGTTTCATCTCTAATAAGCCAATCTCGCTGGATAATTCTGTATCATTATGAGACGATTGCCCTAAAAGCATGTAGCATGTCTCCCTAGGTGGAATATGAGGTATCTAAACATTTGAGCTCCCGATCGTGGTGCATACTTTGGGGGCCTGAGTATATTGTGGAAGACCAATCAGCCGCGTAGAATGATCAATCCGACCAGATAGTTGTGTCCTTTCAAAGTCTACATATACTGCAGAATTACGTTGTCTCAGCCATGAATGCACCAAACGTAAATTAGGGCAGATTGTCAATCTGCCGGGCTATTTGGCAGATTTCGAGCAGCTATGTATTCTTCACTGTGAAACCATTAGAAAATAACCCTTTCTTCTCTTGCCCAGTAACTACGTATGGTACTTCCATCATTTAGATTCGAAACAGAGCCAATTGTGGGTACATACGTTATCCCTATTGATCATTTATAGGAGCTATTACTGGACCGTCCGCCAATATTGAACCCAGCCGTGCCACATCTTAAGCCTGATTCCAAACCATTACGGGGGGATTGGTCGGTGGATGGGTTGGCGTTTGTCCATATGTTCACGCTTAGACAGTCTTCGCTGTAGTTGGTTGCGTGGTTCGTTGGGTATATGGGGGCCAAAGCATGTTGTGAGTAGGGTCTGGTTCCTAAGTTCGTGTGGTCCGGGCGGGTTCCAGCGATTTCATGCCTAAACCCATACCAGGGTAGTGAAGAGACGAGAGACAACTCCTGGTGGGCCGGGGACGGATTAGCGCTGGAGGATGTCATTGTTACTACATTCATTTGCCATTCAATTGCCGTGATGATATTTTTGGGTAGTCGGCCCATCCAGACTCGAACGATGAGGGTCTCGCGCACGGTGACGGGGTATGATACGTGTGGCAGTTATGGTGTGCTCGATCATTCTGAAGTGCCCACACGGTTACAGAAGAAATGCTGTGACATATAGATCTTGGCTTTACGGTGTGCAGAGCCACAAAGATAGGCCGAGATCACAAAAGTGAAACATGTTTTGATGCTATGTAATTTGTATATCTGGCTATTAGGTGATAAACATCGAATCTTATCCAATGCGCTAAGAAATCAGGTGAAATGAAAGATAAACAGAGGTCGCTAAACAAACTAAAACAACTCCACATATGCAAAACTCATGAGTGAGGAGATTGTACTCATCTATACATCCAATTATTCAAAAAGCCAGTCGCTATGCTGTAAACATCATTCGTAACCTGCTGGACCTTTTAGGTTCAGTCGTTTTTTTCTTCCTGGACTCGCTTGTTGTCGGCTCGCCTGCTCTTGATTTCGCACCGCCTGCTTTGGAACCGCTTGCTTTGTTACCACCGGCTTTGGAACCACCTGCCTTGCTAGATGTATGTCGTGAATGACGGGACTGCCGAGATTGCTTTGATCGTCTTGAAGATGTTGTTGATCCTTCCTCCACGTCCAGACCCCGATGTCGGAACACAGTAGGATCCGACAGGTCAAGACCTGACATCATGGCGGCCGTTGGCGTGATAAACTCGCCATCAACTGTTGATCCAACGCTACTTGCTTCGTAGTCGGCTACACCCCGTCGCCAGACCTCAACATGGCTAAGATGTTCACTCTGTAGCTCAAGCAATTCATCGATACTGGCGGATGGCGCTTTTGGTTGTTGAGGCTGAGATGTAAATTCGAATGGAGCTTCCATCCGCGGAATCGTGGGTGCTGCAGTGAGCTTTTTGATAATTTTGTAGCCGCCAAACATCACAATAGTCACACCAACACCGACACCGGCGGCAATGAGAAATTGTGGGCTAGCGAGAAGCGCAAACACGCCCGGAGCGCTGAGCTTTAAACTTGCCAAGATACTGGGAGCCATCTTCGAAGTCAAATTACTGATCTCAGCTAGAGTTAATGCAACGGCTGCCATGGCATCGGGGTTTTTCTGCAAGTGGGCCATTGTGGCGGTAGCCGTGTGCTGCACACAGTCTGCCTCCTCCAGCAAGCCCTTGGCTTTGGCAACAAGTCCATTTAGTTGATCCTCGTCCGCAGGTTTCGGTTCGTAGTGTTGTAAAGCCAATGGATGAGCTTCTCCATACGCCAGGTCCATATCAACATATCTGTTGGATTGCGATCTTGCGACTGCGGTAGCTGATTCTTTGGCAGTTATCTCCTGTGCAGTGTGACGGCGTCCCGTTTGTTGCAGCGACCTGGGTTCCTGGTACATCATCTGTCCATGGTGTAAATCCTGTTCGTAGTGAAAGCGCGAAGGTACATCGATCCGCTGTGACCGACTTGATGCATGCCGGTTCTGGGACGCCCGCGTTCGACCCGATTTCCTCGAAGACGCCACGGATCGCTTATCATCGAGAGCTAGATTTGCCATAATTCGGCGAGCTTCTTGTTCTGCAATTTGTGCTTGTTTCTCGGCGTCTTTGACCGCTCGAATTTCGGCTTTGCGTTCGCGATAGGCATTACGAGCTTCTTTAAAGACACCGAACAAATGTTTACTCTGCAGTGACACGGCATCATTAGTCACAATTACACATTAGAACAGTCATAGCTTGACTCACATTCGACACCATCTTCCCCGACTTGTCTATCACCGCTATTGTTTCTTTGATTGCCGCCATCTCTTCGTCTTCTGCTGCGCCGCAGGTCACAGGAAACCCAATAAATAAATTCCTTTTTGACTGTTCAGGACTTGTGTTCAACTATGTCTCATCGTATGGTTGAGATCATAGGATCGCTGTCAGTTTTTCGTAAGGATTCGGAAGGAACCGTCTGCTGGAATTGTTAAGGGAACATGTTTGCGGCAAGCAGCTATGAAACAGTTCATATGTGTCATTCACGGAGTCTTGATTCTTGTAAGGAAAAAGTGACGGATTATATGGCCGAAAAGCTGCCCGCCGCGCATAGTAGGTAGAAAATCGTTCCAGCATAGCATTAGGCACTGGGAGAGCTGCATGAGACGAGGCGCCCACGTTGAGGCGGCCAAACTGGTTGAAGATGGCTGGTGGGAGGTGAGTGGTTGGTGGAGAGCGCCAGAGGGGGACCTGCGTTGTCACATTATGATTGCTGGAGGCGACCACTAGCACGATGGCGTGTTGGGCGCCGATTAACTTGAGACTCTTTTAGTCTCTAGTCAGACGACCAACGAGCATAGCGCGCACTCCGATTGAGTCTAGTTTGTGACAGGCCAAAAACAAGTCCAGTCCGTCACTGCGAAGGAGTGAACTGGCGGTGTCTAGTTGTCTCTGGTTGGCGGATTACCTCGGAGAGCGCCACTCAATTGTGGCTGATGAGTGCTTGCAATGAACGTGTGGCGCAGTCATTGTTCACTTTTCTTTTCTTTTTTTCCCAACATTGTCCATGGCTAACTAAGACACTGGAATTGGCAGATAATAGATGTTTGACACATGGGAGGTTCTGGAGACCCCTAAGCGCAAATTGTGACCTCAATGTGGCTGCTCTATGCACGATGAGAGCGTAACATTAGGTACACATACAGCATGTATAGCCTCTCGATGTCATACTGCAGCAGCCATGGATCTCCTATTGCGATAGATCACTTCTCTAGATGTTTAATGATGACAGTGTACTCCTGCATGACAGAAACTTCAGCCATGTCTGAATAGTGCTCTTGTGCATCGACGGATTGCTATCTATTTTGGTTCTCACTGTGAAGCAACCCTAGCCCTAACCCTACCCGCCCTCCCTATTTTCTTGATAGCAGACTTATTGAAGAACAATACTTCTGATTCAAGCTTCTTGGCTGTCGTCGAAGAAACGTTCACTTTTTTCAACCTCTTTCACACTACTTTTGGTACTGTCTTCTTCATTGGACACTAGCAGCAAGCAAAATGCTAACCTGCTCCTAGCGACTGTAAAATTCCAGATGTGTTAGAAATGTCAGCACGAACTATGTTATTTTGACTCTTTAGGATCATCTTATAAAAACACTGGTAAGGGCATTATTGTACGCTATGATGATATTGTCTAAATGATGAGGGGGATTTTTTTAACCATTTCCCGCATATTTTAGTTTCCTGTATCAAGTAGTCTTTGTACTTGTTTAGGACCTAAAATGTGTCCTCGAAAGCAGTTTACTAAATAGATTATTTGTGAAGATAGAACCACTGATGCTCTGTATGACTGTACTGCCAAAGTACTGCGCGAAAGGAATAGTTGAAATGCTAAGTGGAAGGTGCCTGGGCCTTTCTTTAAGGACATGTTGAGCTATGAGAAGCAGTATCTGGGCTGAAAAACTATATTCTAAGCCCTGCAGTGCTTGAAAACTAATTTAATAGTCTAATGAGGCTGCGAATGCTGTGAAGATAGTATAGAGACCTATGGCGATGCAAAGGATTGCAAAGCTAGTGAAGAACCAAGGGTTGTAATACTTCATGACCTTGGCTGAGAGAAGTTTGGTTAGCCGTTCTAGGTTATAGCAATCTGAAAAAAAGCTAACTAAATGTCCTGGACAGAAGTGAGCGAGCAGTTTGGGTACAAATGGAAGGCAGAAGCATAACACTATTCCGAATAGAGCTTGCAGCCTGCACAATTTGAAAATACCCAGGAAATATATTGCTTCAGATAGCAATTATGCTTGTTGTGGACTTGAGGTTGGACAAAGACGATAATTTCAGAATGCAGGAGATAACATGAGATGGTGAAGAGATCGAACAGCCACAAGAAAACGATATACATCAAATGCCTGCTGGACAACGAGCGCTATTGGAATGTCATTCATTACTTCTGCTCCAAGTAAATTTATCCGCAGTCGAAAACTATTTACTTAACATATTTTCCTGTATATGAATTCAAAAGACTGACTAAAAGCTAAAGACTATCAATCTTTCGCTGTCAGTTGACCATGCGGCACAACAAATAGGATTGATCAATGTGGGAATCAATTAGCCCTAATGGCGGACTATCCCACTGATTCTGATCTCATAGCTTATCTCGATGTGCAATCACTGACTAGATGATACATTAGATGACTATATGAATTATAATCGCCTGTCGACCTATATCGACGATGCTCTGAACTGCTGATGACAGTTCCTTCTCTCAATTCACCCCTCCTGACACTAAACCATCTGCCGTTGACCGTAAACAACAGATTCTCTCACAGCGAGAAATCAAGGGATTAATCGCCGAGGATCGATACATTGTGATCTATGATGGAAGAGTATTAAAGATGTGTGGTCGCATTATCATCCTAGCGTCCAAACACCCTCAGGATTTCGACAAAGCTTTCAAGAAATGTATACTGGCATCCATACTCATTTAGTACTAGAATGAACGAATGAATTCGCGATGTATTATGGTAGGGTTTCAAACCTAAATAACACATACATAGTGTCTTACTGATTGTGGACTAAAATTCATGTTCTTTGCATAAGTCGTATCCTCAGAGTGTTATCATCGACGACCTACTCATGTCCTTGAGCTAAGGCTGTTAGTTACGGCTTTGATGAATTTTTGATGGAGTTACTATATTAATGTCCATGCAATCTGTTGCTGGTTAAAATTTTATAATACATAGAAGAGTATAATTTGTCGAAGTAGTATCCCAGACTTCAAACCACCTATTCCTGGAGCCTGCTGCTTCAATCAGACTTCAACAGTGTGGGAAACCTTTAAAAGCGCTTCCACAAATTCTTTAACAGTCGGTGTCTCTACGGCTCTCCAGGCTATGTAACCATCCGGTCTAACCAACACCAAGCCATGATGTCCGATACCAAAAGTCTCTGCAAAAGAAGCAGAGTCTAACTCTGGGCGATAGGAGCCGGTCGCGCCGATCCTGACGTATTTTATTCCTAAAGGTACCTTTAATGTGGCGAGAGACTCGGTTATAATCGTGTTCGACGTGGCCTCATCCTCCGACAGGACCACCCACCCACTTCCGAATAGGTCAAGAGTCGAAATTCTCTCGCCATCCTGACCAAGCAGCCATATGTGTGGTGCACGGCTCCCCGGACATCCACGCCAAACTTCCGGTCGCTTCGCAATCATGCCCGTCTCGAGTTCATCCGCTAATAGGGCCTGATCTGTCTCATCTAAGAGAACAGCATCAGATCTATAGATTTGTCCCAGCTCCATGGCAATGTCATCAAAGATGGGCCTTGGCGATTCTCGCCAAGGAGACTCGGCTGGGAGATATTGCTTGTAGTCGTCACGTAAGAAAGTTTGTTCATGACGCAGTAGTGCGATAGGGCGGCGTTCAGCATTGTATGTGTCCAGTAAAGATGGGTTTGCATGTCCCTCCAGCACAGCAGCAATCTTCCAGGCCAAATTGTGGGTATCAGCAATTCCTGTATTTGCACCATATCCACCCCGCGTAGGAGGCAGCGTGTGTGCGGCATCACCAGCAAGGAAGACACGGCCTTGTGAGAACTTTTCCGCTACCTCTGCACTGAGATCCCACTGGCCTGTGGTGATCAAGTCTATATCTTCATCGGAAAGCGGTAGATTTTCGCCAACGGCCAGGCGGATCATGCGGCGTTGAGTGTCAATATCCCAAGTGAGTTGGGACTGCCCGTCTTTTAGAAAAACCATCAGAGCCCACCTTCCATCACGATAGGTTGTCAGGAATCCATCCATGGTGTCGTTATGAATCATCCATTGAGATATACCAATATCAAGAAACTTGTTAATTACTGAACACCGAAAAAGAATACTACGCATAGTACGCAACTGCCCAACGCCCTTCATCTGAATGCCGAGATCATTACGAATCGAGCTACGTGATCCGTCGCAGGCGATCAAGTACCGTCCACGAATTTCAATCTTGTCGAAACCCGAACGATCCACTGCGGTGACGATAACACCGTCAGAGTCCTCTTTCCATTGAGTCATTTCCCATCCCATGCGTATATCAGCGCCAAGTTCAAGTGCTCGACTCCGAAGAACAGGCTCAAGAGCGTCCTGGGCAACAGCGCTTCCGTGGCATGGAGAGTATTCGGTCTCCCCAAAAAGATTTATATGTCCCCCGGCAGAGCCTTTTGACGGTGGCTCGGACTGTTGCTTCGCCTTTTCTTGTTTTCCTTCCCCCGAATTCGTAGGCTTTGTCCAAGCGACCTCCTCATTCCATTTTCCCGACAGGCTTTCAACATTCATACGGCGAGGTCTGCCGCTCTCCTTTACTGCAGCTTTTGGCATTCGTCGTTCCAAATCGACTTCACGGAAAGTTTCCAAAGTACGAACCGTGAAACCCATCGCACGAGGGTGAAGCGAGCTCCCAAGGTGACGCTCAATCAAAATGACAGGGACATTCTTTGTACGCAGAAAGATCGCGGAACAAAGTCCAACAAGGCTTCCTCCCACGATGATTGCAGCTGTTTGCGATGGTGAGGCGGCCATTTTTGTGCGAGATTGGTGATTAATATACTAGTACAATAACTTGATGCACTTTGCTGAGAGCGACGGGGTTAGGTTGAGGATGATAGTCAAATTTATGACAGAGGTTGGGATTGTCGGCTAAGAAAGGATAGGGAGATCGGCACCCTCTAAATGGATTCGCACGTTTCCACGAGTGCTGTGATCAACGAAAAGGGCTAAAAGGGGAGAAGAGGAATTCTGTTCGGGCCCGAAAGATTGAAACATTCCCGAAAAGTTTACAGTGCAAAATAACGGGTCCGAAGATATTTTCCTCTTCACTCTCTCCACGCTGACATCATTTCTATCATGGAACAAGAACTATCGGGTACTTGAAAGACCGAATCTCCGCCGGTGATGATTTATCACCCTTCGGAATGACGGCGAAGTCGGTGCCAGACTCTCAAAGTCGCCGTGGGACATGAATGGGTAGTTTCGTTTTCCTTATCAACTTACATACTCTAAGAACATGCGTAAATTGACTTGACTTGATGTTCACTAAATTTGTACTCTTCCCCTCCGATAACTACATCTAACCACAATATAACAAACCTTTTGCGATGGCATCTCCCTTTACGATCCATATTGGTCCTAGTGACACTGGATTGTGGAGGATTCAACAAACTGAAGCAGCAGCAAAGTGCACCTCGCGGCTGCTCCAGCACGATATTGATGTAAGCCTCTACCGTGACATATATGATTACACAACTGAAAAAGGCGTCATGTCTCTAGAACTATCATGTTTTCTTCAACGACGAAGGCTTTCATAACCAGTACGTCGAAGTCTATTCAAGTGCAACTGGAGGCGAAAGGCAACTGAATATTACAGTGCGTCCCACCTCATTCTGGCTTTGTACGGCACCGGGGCTGCAGAACAAACGATCGAACGAGCCGACGCCGAGTCGAATACGTACCGTATACCAGTGAAACGTCTCCGCGAGGACGTTGAAGATAAACTAGATGATTGGTGGCAAGCCAAGCGTTTTCTAGGAAAGCCCGTTTACTATTCAAACTGGTTACATTTCTACCAGAAGAAGATGGAAGAAATGGGCTGGAAAGCGGTGCTGCAAAAGTACCTATTCAATGACAACGAAAGAGGAATCGACTTGTCAACGAGGATGTATAGCAGTATGATCTCAAAACTCTTTTAACCTGACGACTTGAAAATTATGCTTCGAGCCCGCTGACTCACTTGACTTCCAGGCTTTGTCCATCCACTGATTCAGTTAATGTATGGCATCGAATGGGAGCAGCCTGCTCTCATAGCAATGGGTTTGGCCCAAGCGTCCGTCCACCCAGACGACCTGAAACCTATGCTCACTGCAGCCGATACCGAGGCTAATTCAGAACCAGACCCTTCATCACCGCTGCCCAGTATCCTTGATCTTGTGGAGGCGATACGAAATGATGAGCATCTGACCAATTTAGCACCTCCGGATTTAGTCGACGATATCAGTGAAAGATTGTTTCCGTTGGCTTGGGACCGCATTCTCTATTACCTCGCAAAAGTGCGAGTCAATCCAGAAGAAATTGGTGTGAAAACGGCAGAGATGTACAGTACTGTCGTCTACACGGCAGCTGCTGCGGCCATTCGACCACCAAAGGAACCTAGGTTTGACTTTGTATTCGTGTAAGTTTGGTTCACTTATTCAACACCTTCCTTACCGCTGTATCAAAAACATGATCGGGATAGTAAGAAATTGCTGATATGGCTCAAAATGCAGACATCACATCAATGCATCTCCAATGCAGGTATTCATAAATGAAAAGTTATGGATTCCAGATACCGTCAAGGGTCGGTGGCTGGAATGGAAGATTCGTCTTTTTCTCATTGAGTATATTGCTCGCGGGTGCCCACCACTTGCCAAAGATTATTTGGACCAGTACATGGCTACAAGCAGCAAACCAACTTCAAAAGGTCAGCCTCATTTCCTCATCTCTGCAAAGCCAAAATATCTGGTAAAAAGCGTTCAACTCCGATTTTACGACTCTGATTATGATGTAGAGTATCGAGTTCGCCATGCTCAAACCGCAAAGGACGATGGTCATATCATCAAACTAATTCGCGCCCTTCGTATTGGCCAAATGGCCTGTCGAGGCTACGAACAGAGGCCTGGTATACATATCAAGGGCGACGAAGCATGGGACCGCATTGAGCAACTTGTCATCGATTCAATCGGAACCGGTGGAGATTTCTCAAACAAGTGGGTATTGAACACTGGATTTGAGGAAGCTTGGAAGGTCAATCATATTCTATCTAGGCTCAATACCGAGCTGACCAATTTTCTAGACTATACCTGACCTTGGTACTTGAGCTACGATTGTAGAAATCTTTCTGGGCTAGAATGGGGGGGAGGGTCAATGGAGGAGAGCTCAATTAGGAAAGCATCTTGGAAAAAAATGAGTGCCAAGGTAAGCGTTGGAGCTCCACTACTCTGTTCTCTTCTCTACCCATCTATTATTGTTTAAACATTCACTTTGCAAAATCCTCTCCATATTCGTCTCTTGTATACTCAAGGTCTCGGTAATATCTATCGTTGGTTCACCGTGGACCAGAAGAAGATCCGCTAGAAGATCGGGACCAATGCGACCTCTGTCTACAAGTTTGTTTTGCAGGCGGAGTATCTAGATAGCTGCAGCAGGTAGAGCATTAATAATGTAGGAGAAATGCCCGATTTGACAAAGAGCTGTAGCTCATTGTGGGCCGCTAGTGGCTTCGGGGCCGGAACTTTCGCCTCGGGCCCGAAATAGTTCCCATGGCCGAATACAAGGAGCAAATAAGGCCAAACTCTGCTGCGGGTCAGTCAACGACATGATCGAATGAAGAAGTCTCCCTTCGTTGTTCCACAGTCTAGTGACCCATTATGTCCAGATCTATGGTGATGCCAAATGGGGGTACCTTCTTTAGGTAGGGCATAACAGTGTGCGCATGCGAATCATCCAATCCAGGTAGGAAAGTATAGCCCAACATGTAATGGAGGCGTCTGCCGGCAGAGAAATATTTGCCAATATGAATGATTCTTTCCACCAGACAGGATTACAGAGTTTGCACCACATCGCTAATCGCCACCGAAGACGGGCATGTTGACAATCGCGGTGATTTAGCTCATTCTGGGTAGATAAGGATAACTAAAACGTACTGAAAATGCGGTATATCTCTTGATGTTAAGCTCCGGAGACCACGGCGCGTCAGGGAGAATCAAGTACTTAAGTAACCTTGAAGATATACACAGTCATCCTTCGCCTTGCCATCCGGGCTATATTCCACCGAGGTAGGTGGTTGACTATAACATTGAAAGAATATAGAGAAACTTCGTTTGGTCCAAGAATAAATACCCCCAACATTCCAAAGTATATTTGCGCACTATAAGGAGGGGGAAGCTTAATACCCAGGTAATTTAGTGGGTCAATGACAGTAACCACACCCGGAACGGATATTCCGTGCCCTAAGAGGAAATTCAGAAGCGAGTTTCCGCTTCATGCGGACTGGCTGCATGGCTAATCTCGGGATACTGGCTAATTCCAAGATATGCCACATGCACCTTAATAGATAGTATACTATTGGCATGCTCTCATAGCACGGATCGCTGGTGTGCTTTGCATGCAACAAGCCTACATCGGGTGATGTTTCCCCACGCTCTATTGAAACATATGTCAAGAATGACATTTGTAGATCGCGACTGAACATTTACTTGAACAAGGATCAATTCCTTCTTTCAAGAAAGAAACTTAGACATGGCGCTCGTTTTCGACAAGATAATTCTCTTCGGAGACTCTATCACACAGCTGGCCTACAACCAGGAATTTGGTTTCTGTTTCGGGCCAGCAATGCAAGATGGTAAGCGAATCTACTTTCACATACACTGCACAGGCAAGACAGTTATCTTATCAACATCCGCAGCATATAATCGCAAATTAGATGTCATACAAAGAGGATTCGGCGGTTACACCTCAAGCCACGCCGCTATCATAATAGATCGTTTGATTGAGCAAGAATCAGCGGGCGCATCTAAGATCAAGCTTGTGGTACATATAATAAGACGGAGTCAGATCATTGTTAGTTGAAGTCTAACCTATGTATGAAAGGTCGTATTCTTTGGCACAAACGACTCTATCGTTCCCGAATCCGCATCCAACAACTCCGTGCCCGTGGAAAAGTTTCAAGATAATTTACGAAATATCGTTTCCGCAGCAGGAAAAGTAAGCGCAAAAGTGGTTCTCATCGGACCCGGCCCATTTAACCATCAACAATTCGATGATGCGCTAGGTCATCAGTTTGAGGTCGACAGGACGACCCATCGAGCTCGTGAATACTGCAATGCTACGGTAGATATTGGAAAGGAACTTGGTGTACCTACAGTGCCAATGTGGGATCTCATTATGGAAGAAGTGGGTTGGAAGGAGGGAGATCCAATTCATGGGTTGCCTGAGCTTCCCGCTGTCAATCCTTTGAATGACTACTTAACTGACGGTATGTGTGACGTTTATTGCGATCTTCTCCTTTGAATAATCTAGCTAATGAGTCGTTCCTAAAGGTCTACACTTCTCCGGCCCGGCTTACAAGGTACTTTTCACGAATGTGCTCAAAACAATTAAGCAGTCCTATCCGGAACTTGACCCTGAAAATCTTCCAGAGCATTTGCCGACGTGGGATCAGCTTACTACTTCACATGATGCCCTGAGAAAGGCCGTAGAATGATGTACATAGAACATAGATGGCGATACGACTTCGCCGAGTTTAGAATTGATTTATGGAAAGTAAATGTATTGTTTAGTAAGCCCAATATCGGGTTTAATTACGTAGTATTTCGGCGAGTAATGTCTTAGGCATAGGAGATCTTTAGGTATCGAGCCCAGACATGCCATAAGTCAAACCTTTGCTCGTGACCTAGGCTACCTAGGTACATATAAACAGGCTAACATTAAATACTACGAATACAGCTTGGTGCGGGGAGAAGTTCAATGTTGGCAAGTGATAGGTCAATTGCTGCTCATAGGCTTTAGGACATCCATGCACGGTATGCCACATGTTTTAAAGATGATATAAGATTCATTTTACCCAGATTACCCAGCGACATGCCATATCTGTACCCAACTATCGAGAAGTACTAAAAAAGCTTCATGGCCAATAATGGGCCTTTCATATGGGGCCAAGCGATGCTTTAAACGTAGGTGCCAACCCCGCGTTTTTAATTCTAGGGCATGCTTCCCGATTAGTGGAAAATTTAGACTTTCTTTGTTATTATCTTGTTCCTAGTCATTATTATGGTCATTCAGTGGCCACTCGGTGGAAAGGAACTCAAAAGTATAATTGAAAGATAAAGAAAATGTTGGTGTCTAACTGTTTTGGACACGGCGATGGTCGTTAGCAAACACCACATCTGGCATCGCATGGTAGTTAGCTCTCTATCATCCCGTAATGTCGATGGATGTAGCCGTTGTGAATGACAACTGGCTATGAGCAACAGGATGTTAAGACATGTACAAAAAACAAGTAAACCAAGAATTATAAAGACTCCTATTGATCTCACCACATTTAGTCATCTCCAACCGCATTGCGAACAGATTTGCGCGATTGATATTCTTTTGAAATTCCTGGTACTTTCACAATGGCATACTCTGAGAAGGAGCCGATTGATGGCGTTACTCACCTAGAGACGAAGAATGAACCACAAATATTCCATGGCAAGACCAACGAGGTCTACTCAGTGGCCTTGACAGATGCTGTTGTCAAGGACAATCAGTCGATGCTAAGCAGGAACATGATAAAGCTGTACTTTATCATGGTCCTAGTAACGTTGAGTAAGTAATGCCTTTGCAGCAAAATCTTTCGGAAAGCTGATATGGAACAGCAAGCTGTATGAACGGCTACGACGGCTCCGTCATGAGCTCTTTGAACGCCATGGAGCCTTTCCATACCTATTTTGGCATCTCCATGGAAGGATCGAGCATTGGAGCAGTCACTGCGCTATACAGTGTTGGAAATATTGTTGGCTGCATGTTTGCTAGTCCCGCCTCTGATCTTATGGGCCGTCGATTCGGAATGTCAAGTGGATGCACCGTTATTGTTATTGGAACGATCATCCAGGCCACTACCAAAACTATTGGTGGATTCATGGGCGGACGACTTTTGGTTGGATTGGGAGTCACTCTGGTCACCACATCAGCTCCTATATATCTCATCGAAATTGCTTACCCGACATGGCGAGGTATTGGTAGTGGTCTTTTCAACGTGTGCAGTTGGTACATCGGATCCATGACAGCCTCTTGGACCACGTATGGTACTGGTTTCATGACTTCGGATTGGAGTTGGCGTATCCCCGTTATCATCCAAGCCATTCCCGCAGCTATAGCAATGGGTTTGGTGTGGCTCATTCCCGAAAGTCCGCGTTGGCTGATTATGCGTCAACGCTCAGAAGAAGCACGAAATATATTAATAAAGTACCATGGCAATGGACGGGAGGACTCCGCCGTCGTTCAATTAGAGTACGACGAGATCCATGCTCAGATAGCATACACCCGGGAGTTGGCGAGCGGACAAAAGTGGTACGACTACCGCATTATCGTCAACTCCCATGAGGTTCGGTATCGTATGTTTCTCGTGCTACTGGTCACATTTTTCAGTCAATTTATTGGTGKCTCTATAAGCTATTATATGCCCGTTGTCTACGAAAATCTGGGAATAACTAGCTCCAGCAAGCAACTGCTATTAAATGCACTCAACACCGTTGTTGGTTTTGTCTTTGGTCTCGCTGGCTCCTGGACTGTGGAAAGCTTTGGTCGCCGTAACTTGTTTCTCTGGGGCACATTTATGACTGGGCTTTGCTATCTTGTGATGAACGTTTTTGCATCCTTGGCCAATGGCCATATCAGCAACTCCATGGGCTACGGTTTCATCTTTATGAGTTTCTTGTATGGAGCAATCTTCTCTTTTTGCTGGACACCACTACAGGCCTTGTATCCGACCGAAGTTCTCCGCAATGATGTCCGTGTGAAAGGTATGGCTGCTCAAGGTGTACTCTCCGGCCTCGGCTCGTTCATCAACATGTACGCGACTCCAGTGGCGCTGCAAAACATTGGCTGGAAGACTTACACTATTTTCCTGGTCATCCACTTTGTGGAATGGGCATTCATGTACTTCTTCCTTGTGGAAACAAAAGGCCGTTCGCTTGAGGAGCTAGATGAGATCTTTACTGACCCTAAGCCAGTCAAGCGGTCACTGCAGAAGAAGAAGGTCATTGTGGAGGGCGGAATAGGAGTTATGTCAAAAGCGGAGGACTGTTGAGCCTTGAAAATACCAGTTCGTCTATCTTCTTGAGTTCTTGAGGAGCGGCTATGATCTATCACTGCCTAGGTCACATGGTGCCTCTGAGAATCCTACAGTTGAATGTATGTAGCCCGTGCGCCAGCCTCACATGAAATAGCCCTTGTATTGGCATATACTAGCTAAATCGATACTTTCCCATTTCAAGAACCCCACACATCTAAATGTCTCAATAGACAGATCGCAAAGGAAAATCCATGATATGAAATCTTCTCTTAGCCAGATAGTTAAGCGGTAAGCGGCCGGCCACGGGTCCTCACTTATGTTCGCAAGAAGACGGGAATCCAGACCTCCCAGATGCGTCCTTAACCAAGGGAATAAGGCGCTATACATTGCAGAAATGCTTATATAGACTGTACATTTCGGTAAAAGCGTTACATTGTAAATCTCACGAAACATCCACCTTGCGGAAGATGAACTCCGCCGGCCTGTTCATTCTGAAAAGTGGTTTCGTTCAAGGGTTGATGGGCTCATCGATGAACGGTACGTACTGACGCGGGGCAGGCGATGTTTGCCAGCGGAAATACGTCTTAAGAATATCCTTGAACGTATGCATAATAACAGTTGGATCCTCTCTATGAGGTCTCAGGGTGCTGTATTCGATTGGAAGATGTCCTGTTTCTTATCCTAACAATGAACCAGATTAAGGACGACGCCAAAACTGCGAGCCAAGCCTGGAGGAGGAGACCGCAGAAATTGCCCCAAAGTGAAGGTTGGATTGCAGAACTTGCAAGTAAGTCTTACCTGCCATCACTCTTGTTGGACGAGTCAAACCCACTGGCAGCAACTAAAGAATACGGCGGGKCAAATGCGACCAGACCCAAAGTTCGTGCTTGAAGTGCCAGTCTACAGGACCGACTTGCGACGGCTATGATGTGGTTTCTCGGTGTGTCGAGGCTGGGGTGACGACGAGCCAGCATCATCCCACCCAGAACCATTGCAGCAGCAAGATGCGGCCTATTCGGCTCTTGTGCCAATATAAATGTCCAGCAAGCAACATCTCCATGTTTTCGGAACCCCCGCAACCTGACTATGCAAAATTTGAGGCCTTTCATGATTCTACCAATCATTGCTCGAACCTAGACGGAGGTCATGCTATTTTTCGAGCTAATTTCCGTCAAGCGTCTGTACAAATATTTTCCGAGCGAGTCATGGCGGAAAATGCTCATATTATTTTCCCAAACAGTTCCATAGGTACGACGCGCCGCTATTGCTCTTGCCCTGCTTCGCGGTAACTACCACAACGGCTGTTCCACGCTGCCAGAACAAGAACCCCTCTTACACTTGAATAAAGCCATGCAGCGCCTTCTGGCACTAAGGAGTAGCGATAGAACCGGAAAAATAGCAACAAAGCTGTTAGTATGTTATCTATTCACAAGTGTTGACAGCCTAGCGGGCAACTATCTCAGGGTTTTGACACATTTGCAAAGAGGTGTAGAGCTCTTGCGCAACATTCCCAGGACCATCTTGAGCGAGTGTAATGCTTCTGAAGTAAATATTTGTTCAAGAAGCCACATACTTCTTGTACATATCACGAGTCAAATACGGCGTCGATATGTAGGCTGTTGCATTCATGCCCCAGTGGATTCCGGCCGACATTCAAGAGACGGGAACCTCAAGACTTTTGTTCTCCAATGGCGCTTTTCAATTGCTCAACCAAGCCGCCGACTCCCTCCAGCATCTCACGGTTCGGTCCATGAGGCTACAATGGATGGCGCAAGAAGCATCTTTCACTGATGGGGTGCCGACGAAACCTTCCAAACAGCTTATTATCAGGCAGCTAGAAACGAGGTCGCGTCACTTCGAAGAGATTCTGGATCATTCCAATCACTGCACCACGTACATGGAGAGCTACCGTCTCATATTGTTGTTGCGACTACAAAATACCGTTCTATGGATCCTTGTCAGTAGCCGCGGCCTCGGTAGGGGGATGGAGTACGACAAATTTCTGCCCGAGTTTCAGCAATACATATCCATAGCAGACGAGGTCACGAAAGCGCGTAAAGTCTATTCAGGATCATCAAAACCGGCATTTACACCAGAGGTAGGAACTCTCCTGGAACTCTCATCATCGGAGCCAAATGTTGGGACCCCGCGGTTCGACGACGGGTGTTCCTGCTAGAGGCGGTATAGGACAAATCTTTGCTGCAAGGGCTGTTGAGCGTATATTTGAGATTGAAGAAAGCAAAGCTGGAGGGTTTAGGGCAAGGAGCATGAACGAAATTGCAGTGTGGCAGAGGATCGAATGTTTATCTTAGGAACAGGTGGTCAGCAGCCAGTCTGTGGCGCGCATGGATTTGGAGTATACATTTTGCAAAAAAGAGGCGACACACACTGAACCTATCGTGAGTTGGCGAATAAATCTCTGTTGGGAGAGTCGTGGCCAAGCATTGCGTGCTACGAACCTAGATGATCCCAAGACTCACCATACATGGAACAAAGATCGCCTGCTACGGAACAATGAAATGTTGAATATGTGGAGAGATACCGCCGGCAACTCTGCATCAAGCAAGAAACTACCAGGACATATCATATCATAGAGCAGCCGTTTCTCTGCGAACCTGTCCCCCTAGAACTAGGAATGTTAGGGTTACAAGGGTTAGGGCTACTGATAAATAGAGCGGTGAAGCCCTTCTACATCAGTCGCCAGACTGGCGATTCCTTTTTCTTGGTCACACACGTCGTACACGTTGCTTTCTCAGTCGTCAAGCACATGAAGATACAAGAATTCACTTATTACCTCTGGACTAACCAGACTCGTTGTGTTGACATCTCATCTCAAACCAAGCACTTAATACCTGATTTCTGAGGCATCAACAAAGCAGCCCCACATCGTCGCTTCTTATTGCTCGATTCTCGTTCTCGATCACATCATCCTCCCTTTGCTTTTGTACAACAAAAACATCAGCTTCACAGCACTAAACAACTGTCCCTTTCTACCACCCCCTGTCAATACCTCCTATTTGTCCCGGTAGATTACCCCTGTATGTTCGGCTAGGTGTCATCCACACACAGTTAATTGCAACCTATTTTCACCCCGATCTCCTCTTTTTTAGTGCATCCAAGCTGCTGGGTTAAAAAGTTACTGACACTTCACTTTCTCTATAAGCCAATAAGAAAGGTTAGAGACAACAATAGACGCAAATCTATATCTACTGAACCGAACTGCATTGATCTCCGCCCTGGCGGCTTCCGCCATTATGCCACGCTTTTCTCTTGATTCCGATGACCACTCGGAGAATGACTCACCAAGTTCGTTTTCGAGCAACGACAACCACCCAAGAGACTTTTCATCCAACCTGTCCATGCAAAACGACTGCGCCATTGGACATCGTGTTCAAGCGTCTCGGTCTGTGCTCGCTGTAGCGTTGGACGAAGAGTGCGTCTTTGCCGGGTTGCAAGGAGGTGACATTTTGGTATGTTATACCTTCCACAAATTGATATTCGTGTCTTACTAACAATCAGGCAATAGGCTTGGTCTTTGGACACCTATGAGCTGGTATTGTCTGTTCCAGCACACGGAGAAAGTGTTTTGAGTTTATTCATCTCTCCGGATGGACAATTACTGTTCTCTAGTGGTGGAGATTCGGTGGTCAATGTATGTTCCTCTACCGATATAATCATACTAAGGCGCATATATTAACTCTAAATACAGGTCTGGTCAACTTCTACTTTCGAAAGGCTATACTCAATATATTCCCATCATGACGTTGGTGATATTTTCACTGTCGTCTACTCACAGCAATTAAACACTGTATTTTGCGGCGGACAAAATACAAGTCTACAGGTATGCGAAACGTCCACATATATGCAGCACCGTTATTAATCCTTATAGTGGTGTAATCTGTCTACCGATGGAGAGGGCACTGTTGCCCGACATCCATCCCAACGGACACATCGATTCTTTGATTCCCGAGGGCCCGGTGGCAGCGTCAACCCTCGATCAGAAGATTCAGACGCCCACAGTTTGACCGATCACAGTGGGAAAACTTTGACCTTCAACCGCGACCAACATAGACTATTCTCCCATCATGGTTACATCTACTGCATGATTATCGTTCAAGGCTTGATAGAATCCGCTCCATCCGAAGAAGTATTGTTGACAGGATCCGGTGATGGGTCTGTCAAGTTGTGGCGATTAACACACGAGAAAAACGGAGCTCCGATTCCGTGGTTTGAATTAGAAAATGGAGACGATGCGGTGCTGTCACTCGCTATCGAAGGCTCCTTGTTATACTGTGGCTTGGCTGGKGGKGCTTTAAATATCTGGAACCTCGATTCACGGCAGCTTGTCAAGCAAATCACCGAACATCAAGGGGACCTGTGGGCTCTTGACATAATGGATGGTGTAGCAATTGCGGGTGACGCCGAGGGAGTCATCAAGGTAAGAGAATATACAAGGGTATCTGCATTGTGTGGGATCTTGCTGATGTGTCTAGAAATTCAATTCGAGTTTCGAAGAAATTGGCTGCTGGACAGCCCACGAAGGCACGATTCTGGCCTCCACCACTAGGGTTTCCAGCAATAGACGTATTTATGCTACTGGTGGAAATGACAATAGTGTCGCCCTTTGGGATTTGGCCGGGCACCTCCAACAAAAGGAAGTCCAGCCATTCGGCAATGGTATGTTTAGAAATACAGCATTGTAGTCGCGACACCCTGCTAACACATCTCAGATGACATGGTCAACACTCTATTCAAGTTCGTTTCATATCGGACAATTTCATCCAGTCCCAAATTCTCTGTTGAATGTAATCAAGGAGCGACATTCCTACGCCGCCATTGTGCATTTTTGGGAGCGACAACCAAACTACTGCAGACAGGCGCAGATACTAATCCAGTTGTATATGCAAGATTCTCGGCGTCCAACCCCGGACCGGATGTCAAGACTATATTATTTTACGGTCACTATGATGTCGTCGGTGCTGACAACAACCAACCTAAATGGCGAACAGACCCTTTTCAACTTGCTTCTGTCGACGGATATTTGTATGGCCGTGGTGTGTCTGACAACAAAGGGCCGATTCTGGCAGCTGTGTATGCAGCGGCGGATCTAGTCAGACGCAAAGCTCTTGGCTGTGATGTCGTATTCATGATTGAGGGCGAAGAAGAATCAGGCTCTCAAGGGTTCGAAAAAGCGGTTCGTGAAAACAAGGACTTGATCGGAAAGGTTGATTGGATACTTCTCGCGAATAGCTACTGGCTTGATGACCATATACCTTGTCTAACCTACGGTCTTCGTGGCGTGGTTCATGCGAACTTAATCGTGACCAGTGATCATCCTGATCTCCACAGTGGTATTGATGGAAGTTCGTTGCTTGACGAACCTTTGAAAGATCTCTCTTTACTGCTTGCAACCTTTATTGGGCGTAAAGGCCACATCAACTTTCCCAACTTCTACGATACAGTCGCAGAGTTGACCAAAGCAGAGGAACAGCGGTTTCAAGCAATAACAGAGGCCATGCTCCCATTACATCCTCAAATTGAAGACCGCGAAGCATTCCCTCATTTTTTGAGGTATCGATGGCGCGAACCGTCATTCACGGTTCACTCGATTGAAGTGCCAAGCAACAAAAATACGGGCACAACTATTTCCAGACGAGCGAAAGCTGCTTTGTCAGTGCGCATCGTACCTAACCAGAGTGCCGACGAGATTGCATCGGCACTTACTGCTTTTGCTCAGGAGCAGTTTGACTTGCTGGACTCCCAAAACGAGCTCACAATTGAGATTACTGGAAAGTCCGATCCTTGGCTAGGCGACCCTGATAACGAAATATTCGGTACCTTAGCTGAAGCTATCTCTGCAGCATGGACTCCAAACTTGGACGAAAAACGGTACAATTATCCTCAACCGCAATCCAAGACAATAATGCGACCATTTGGAGCAGAACTTAACCGCACCGACTCAAACGATAGTGTAGCATCTCATATCGATCGAATCATTTCGTCATCTACAACTTCGTCCAAGAAGAGATCACAAAGAAAACAGAGTGCATCCAATGCCACCGCAGTGCCGACCTCTTCAACCTTGACAGGTGCGAGGACAAATGGAGTCAAGCAGGGTGAAGACGTTGCTGAAGATTCACTATCGCCATCTCCTTCCCTTCTTTCTCTGCCCTCACACGGAAATGGAAACGGAATTGGTATTTCTCGCCATGACACCGCAGCCTCACCGCCATCTGCTTCTGCCTGGCCTACTCGAATCGCAACTCCCACGCCTGTACAACCAATCTATATTCGTGAGGGCGGTTCAATTCCCACAATCCGGTTCTTGGAAAGAGAATTCTCCGCGCCCGCAGCTAACTTGCCCTGTGGACAAGCCAGCGATCACGCACATCTGGATAATGAGCGACTGCGGGTGATGAATTTGTACAAGAGTCGAGAAATATTTGGCTGGGTGTTTGAGAAGCTGCCTCGGCGGGGTGGTAAATAAGGCTTAGTAATGTTTTATTAACAAACATTGAAATTTAGATTGTATTCGTTTTGCGGGGAAAAGTGGTTATGTATTGGGATCTTTAGACGGATAGGCAATTGTTCAGGGTTGATTAATTTCATTCTACTTCGGTGTTCTTTCCTCCATGTAGAACGCGTGCGAAGTAGACATAATTGTGACTACTCCGAAGCATGGGTAACAATGGGCTTAGCTCAGTCATAGATCAGTTACATTGTGTAGTAAAACTGAGAATGAGAAATTCGGACATCTACATCAACGACAATATCGGATTGCTCCTCGAAATATCCGAATTAGGGTATGTCCGGTTTCCGAAAAGTTAGGTACCGCACTGAAGAAGTCGATGTTGTGGCTGGCTAAATTTCCTGTGCCTATCTTAGGCACATGAGTTAACTAATCCGAGTCCTGTCAACCAAAGACTATCGATTTCTCGGTGCTACTAGTAGGTGTCTAGCCCTATGCAACGCTGTACCCGCATACGCACTTCTTCAGCTCGGTAACAGTTACTCGGAGAGATTTGAGTAGGGGAGTTCACACCAATGGATGTAGAGATGCTATGGATCTTTTAAAAAGGCAGTCTCAATTTGCTAGTTCATTCGCTAATATTCACTATATGGGCTGGCTGGGTGCTGATCTTGAGACGAATAAACGACTAAGGAAAAATAGAGGATTTTCGCAAAGGTGAAGTATAACCCGAGAACCTCCTATTTAGATTTTGACTTCATCTTGACTGGGTGGAAGAGGTCCTGTGACGTGTACCATCCCCTTGAAATGGCTATGTTCAATTCGTCGCCCTCTATATTCCAAAAGTCCTCTTTAGTCTTTCGAGGTTGCCTTTTAATAGTATACCTTGGTAAATTCGTCGGTCATCCCTTACCTACCACAGCTGATCTTCTAATACTTATTCAACTACAAGTTAGCATTGGTTCGTACCGTGTCGAAAGTATACTCATTCTATACTCATTCCAGGAACTTGGCAAAATGGGTGATCTGTCATCAGGAGAGTTCTATATGCTCACCCGGGATCGAGATGAGAGTCAGCGGTAGGCTCTATTCAACTTTCATTCTTATCTATCTCTACAGATGCGTTCGTTCCTGAGTCAAAATTTGACGCTTGATGCTTATGCTCCTAAGATTTTTGACTAATTATTCCCGATGATGAAGTCTCGATTCCCAACATTATTTTTTTCTTGAGCTATGCGGTCGCAAACTCATTCACGAATTCATCTCGACAGAGAATATTTTTTCTATAGCTGATGTAGCTACTGGTACTGGGTATGATCTCCATATCGGGATTTTGTATACCTAGGTATAACAACCGGAGTATGCAAGCCAGGGCAGCTGACAGATATTCCACAGAGTCTGGCTACGTGATGTTCAGAAGTATCTAGATACCACGTACCCCAGCGAAAAAAAGCGGTATTATCATGGCTTCGACATATCAGACATGCAGTTCCCCAAAGACCCTTCGGATGAGTCAATTCAATTTTCTCTTCAAAATTGCCTCGAGCCATTTCCATTGGAGCACCATGGTAGGTATGACCTTGTCCATGTGAGGTTGCTTGTAGCCGCTCTCAAAGAATCAGAATACAAGACCGCTGTGGCTAATATTGCGACTTTACTGAGTATGTCTCCATCTTTTGCTATGTCTTTCTTACATTTCATATTAATTGCATGGCTGCAGAGCCTGGAGGCCATCTCCAATGGGAAGACCTTGAGCACAAATACATGCTCACACACCCCGAAAAGCAACACCAAGCCCTTCCCAGCATGGACACGGTACGCCTCTGCATCCAAGGTCAGATTGACCATGGCACAAGCAGCAACGCACCCGAAAGTATTGTAACAGCTGCTGAATCCGCGGGATTTCGAAGAATCTCCAGAACGGACTACATGACTCGCGATAGACCCGACCTGTGGCCTATGACTAACGAGTGGATTGATAACGTGTTTGAGACGTTGTCAAGATTTATTCTGAGGGGGAAGAGAGATGTCGCTGTTGCTTTTAATGAGAATTTGTGGAGGAGTGATGAGGAAATTGAGGAAGAGATTAAGAGAAGGATGCAGGATCTTAAGGATGGGCATGAGAAGGGTTTTGTTGTGCATGCGAATGTGGGAATGGTGCTTGCGCAGAAGTCGCGACTGTCTACTTGTAGTTTGTAGTGACATCTATGGATACTTTGACTCTAGCTAGGAGACAGAAAAGAAATAGCATGATAAATAACCTTCTATCAGTAGAAAGTGAATACTCAAACTCCTAAATATGCAGTATGAACTTATAAACGAATATGTACTTCTACTACCAGATTCGCTTGGCCACCATTTCATATCGTTTCACTCCGTCAAGATTCAGTAATGTACCACTATCTTTAACAGATTGCTTGTCCTTTTGAGCACGCTCTTTTTCCTTGATCTTCCGCAAAGCATCAGGATCGTCTGCATAGATCCAACGTCTTTTGTCTTCATCTAGCTCGACAACACCCCAACCACCGACTCGACGGCCTCCCTCGACAGTGTAGTCCCGGACTGCGTTTGTGGTGGAAGAATGAGACGGCCTATGTTGCTCTGGTGCTTCCTGAGAGGCAGATGAAGAGATGCCATTGGGGTCATGCTGAGCCCCATAGTACAATTTCTGTTCGCGATCCTTCATTGCCTTGTAACGCGAGCGAGAGAATGATAGCAGAAGTATTCCTAGTGTAAGCTTCAAGATGAGCAGGATCAAATAACCCGTGACCACGAGGACTATAGTGAAAAACGTGACGGACTGTATCGGCGAAGGGATAGCGTTCTCCACTATGGTATTAAACACCCATGATAAGCGATCGAGAGAAGTGGACATGACTGACTGAACAGTGAACGGGATAGGCGGTGTTGACGGTTGGGGTAAGTTGGAGTAATGTTCATGCATCGCTGTCAATGAAGCGCTATGCTCGGTAGAGGACGCTTGCATCGGGAGTAACGCCTGTAAGAACATTTGATATGTCTGAACGGAGACTCGGAAGAATAGACAGGCCATGGGAATAACCGCTAGCCCCATTCGCTTTGTTAGATTCTGGTCGACAAATGCATTTGTGTAGTAATCTTTCGTAAGAACGTCAAGGAATCTTCCATATATAGCTGGTCGTGTGTTGTTAAATTTGGCAATGTATGCATGCTTGAGCCAGTCCACAAACATCTCAGAGCCCAGTACGATTAAGAACGGTCCTAAGACCTGAGCGAAATGTGGTAAAAGTGTATTTGCGCCGCCAGTCAGGGACGTGAAGATTGTCGACGGTAAGAATGTAAAAGATTGAGGAAGTATCGAAGTTGACGAACGCGGGGAAGTCGTAAGAGGAGTGCTATTAGTGACTGTCGATCGTACCTGGTTTACCACGGTTGATCCCACAGTAAACCAAGACGTAAGCGCTCCTGTCTCGACGATATTCCGGGATGCAATTATAGTAAGCATTAACCAGAGCTGAAACCTCTCAACAACATCCGCGCATGTCAGTTGAAAAAGGTTCTCCTTTTCAAACTTCTTGAAAACCGTCGACTTGATCTCAACGAATTGGTTGGACAGTAGGAGCGTGATTAGTGCGTTTGAGTAGGAATTAACAGCGACATTGAGTGTGATCACCTGGTAGAAAAGAGCCGTTGCATGCGTTGTTGTATATGTAAGAGCAAGTAAGAAGAGCCAGAATGGGCGCACAACTTTGCTACGGCCATCTTGGCCTCTGTCTAATGCTTCCTCTGAGAACAAACATTCAAGCACGTCCTGTCCAATGGCTGAAAGCAGACGATCACCGACCTCAAGCACATTATAAATGACGTAGAGCTTGATGGCGTTTTGTCCTCGAATCCAATGATACATTCGACTGGCATCAAGGGAACTCAGGATGATACAAGTGCAAATCATCAAGAAGCCTTTCAGTAGATCCGCTTTGTCATCTGGTTCCAAAGCAGACGGTGTTGATTTTTGCCTCCGATGTTTTGGCTGCGCTGATGTCTTTCTTTTTCTGGCATTACTTCGAGATTTTAACCTTGTATCTGTATTACCATTAGCGGACGAACCGTTGGTCTCAGCGTGTTCCTTCTGTTGGACACTATGCGTAGGATCAGATAGCATTTTTTCCGACGACCTTAGACGTCTTCGCCATACTCGACCAACCCCGTTGATGATGAACGTGCACACAAATTGAGCTTCTCGATAAAAATTTAGTATCCAGGAAGATACCAGTATATAAAGGGCTTTGGCGAAACGAAGTGGCAATATGGTAAACGAGTACAGCCATGAATCAATGCAGGCTAGTGCACCAAACCATAAAACTTGTTCCAAAGCTGGTGGAAGTAGAATAAAATTCAAAAGTCGCTCCAGCTTCACCTGCGACGACTCATATGGAAATTGACTTTTCGCCGAGCGGTGAATGTAAAGAGGTGACGGCCGTGACGAGGATAGCTCTAGTTCCAGGTACGCTGGGATAGATAACGGAGGTAGTGGTATAGACTGTGGCATGGGAGAGGGATTCGGATCCTCTGCCAGCGTCTTGCGCTCTGGCATATCAATATGAGTAGGGGCACCTTTATGTCTGGAACGTAGAGCCGGATTAGAGTTTAGTCGCTGCTCGTCGCTCACCGAGTTCCGTCTCGGAAAAGTCATAGGACTGGTCATCATTCGGGCAGCTTGAGGTCGCTGACTGATAGGTGCACTCAAAGGCGTATCTTCACTAGAAATAAGAAAGCTTGGAGGATCATCCAGATGATTCGAAAGCTTTGAGTTTCTTTTCTGGTAAAAGCTACCGCTAATGGACCTCAAAAACTCGGCTCTGTTTCTCGCCTTGGCCATGTCATCGATTGATGGTAACGGTTTTGGGATCGGTGTAGATTCATGGTCTCTTTCATGGTCCTCCGGTACTTTCTGCATGGGAATCGAATCCGGAGACGAAATGAGCTCCTTGATCTGCGTCGGTGACAATTTCAAGACCCTTTCTTTGTCTTGCTTCCGATCTTGAGGTGATGATGATCTGTGGCCATTGCCAAGACTGACAGTGACTTTGTCCTCTTCTCGATTCACATTCAAACCATCCAGCTGAATGCCGAGACCGTGTGAAGAAGACTGCCGCGTCCGTTCCTGTTCATCATGAGATTCTCCATTGCTGCTAGCTGTAACACCACTGCCTGTCGGTTGTACGTCAACCCCATGCTTCGATCCATTACTTCGAATATGCGAAGCTACCTGATCCCATTCGCGCTGCACCTCAGTCTCCTGGGCTTTCTTGGACGAGCTATTTCCGTTCGTTGGAAGGGAGCTGTTCGGGCCGGAACCGAGGTCAKCCAGCGCGGCTCTCGGTGGGACGGATATTTCTTGCAACGTTAATAGGTCGTTTTTGGACTCCTGATGAGTTTCTGGAGCTTCAATAGGCGCCATCATATCCTAGCCTGCGAGGATCACGAGACAGCTGGGATGGCGCATTATATCGAATTCGAGGCGGGACACGTCGGGTTCGCTTTTGAAGATACTGGGCTCCAATAGTCAGCAGTCAAAAAGAAGAGCCAATATTGCAGCCGTGTGATGCTTCGTTGTGGAAACGAAATCAGTGAAGTGATGATACGGAAGTAAGCACGACACTCGGTGCTTGCCGGCCGAGGAGCCACTTGGTTGTTTGCCTTGCTGCCTTAATGGTGCCTGTACATGTCGGAACCGGTATGACAAGGAGCTAGTCCTGATCTGGTCATAAGTATCAACCCTAACCCTGCCCTAACCCTGAGCGACAATAAGCGATTACAACACTGGCCCCACTGATGATTCAGGTCTGTGATTAGCTGCAGAGAAAGCGGCTTGTCATCCGCAGCGGCAAAGCGCGGTTATTATTTAGCCGTTAATTCCATCTCGTAGACTCATGCTTCAAGCTGAACATTGTTCTCTGAGTATCCACCTCCGGGGCCAGTATTTACTGTTTACACGGCAAATCTACGGCTAATTGCTATGGTGTCAGGCAATCACTCGCAATCAGCAATCATACTGGAAAGCCGTGACTTCAATCAATCACCATCTGATGGACGATATTCTTAGGCCTCCGGATAGACGAGCATCCGGTGGCCGGGACTTTCAGCGCGCTTACAAAGCCTGCCTCTCTTGTAGACAGAAGAAAGCCAAGTGTGATATTGGGGCGGCTCCACCATGCGCAAGATGTCGGCGCGAACAGAGGCGTTGCGTCTTCAGTGAGAAGCGGTCATGGGCCAGGAAGGGCAGGACTGGTAGAATGTTGCGCAGCATATACGTCGGACCGAGGGGCTAATGCATGTTTATAGATTCTTTATCTCCCAATCAGACTATGCAAACTACACCTCAGCATAGAGACTCATTAATTTCGCCTAATGCATCAATCCATGATCACTCTACCCCTAGAGAAACCGTTGACTTCCAGGGCTCCTCCGAGCCCAATCAACTGACAAACTCCTTGATGAGACACGTTGTATCAAGCGGCAATGATGCACTCAACCTTTTGTTTGAGGCAGCAGCTCACACTAGCTCTCGGAGTAATGACATGACTCCGGAAAGGCAACCTGGCGTTGGATCCGGCCATGGCATATCAAGAGCACTGTTTCACTCACTCCCGCAGGCTACTTATACCGGCACAAGTCCAGCAGCTCCACCGCCTATCGAGCTATCATTGACCGATGCTAGTTTAATAAGTGTATGGGAATCGTTCCGAGTGGTGAAACTGGGATGGTTGAATGCAAAGGAGGCGGTAACATTTGTTGATAAGTAAGTTGGCATTTTCATATGAAATCCCTGTAATTAAAGCATAGATCTGACCATATCAGGTTTTTCGACAATCTATCACCACTATCTCCCATCTTAACGGAATTCTACCGCAGACATGAGAATCATCATATTCTCGTGACCCACGAGTATTTCCTTTGCTGCACTATACTGATGATATCGTCACGCTATCATGTTCTCCCTGGAATAGGAGGAGCTTCAAGGAGTTTTTTCATACATAACAGGCTATGGACTCACTGTCAGAGCTTAATAATGCGACTAATGCTTGGTCAGGAGAGATCCTCACGCGGTAGTATACGGACACTAGGCACCATAGAGGCTCTGCTTTTGATATCTGAATGGCACCCTCGAGCACTACATTTTCCTCCAGAAAATGACGCATGGGATTCAGATATCGCATTCGGGGTTTCTGATGAACCAACCAGAAGTCAGCCCGAGTCATCCTCAAATCAATGGCTTCAAGATGTCATCGAGCCCGCAAGACGATCAGATCAAATGTCTTGGATGCTTCTTGGTTCCGCATTTTCCCTCGCGCACGAACTTGGCATATTTGAACCTGAGGATCGTGGCTCAATACCCACCAAACATTCTAATCCTGCTTTTGTCACCCACAACAGAATTCGCAAACAGCGCGTTCAACAACTTCTCTATGTTTACATCAACCAACTGGCTTCTCGAATAGGATGTATGTCCTTGATGCCCCAAAATCTCAACCGCGCCATCAGCAAAGTCCACAGCACTAGTTTATCCGAGACCAAGACCGAGTGGACGACGTTCATGGACTCATGGATGGATCTCACCAAACTCACGAGATCTGTCAATGATATGCTTTTCCCGTCTGCCTCATTTGCGAAACAGCAGCTTCACAGTGGACGTTACATAGGATTATTAGATCATTTCCGTCCCTTGCTGGCGCAATGGCGTGCTCGTCATCTCGATGCGCCGACGGGACTTAATACGAATTTTGTCAATATTCTTCATATCGAATACCACTACGTCCGCGTATACACGCATTCGTTCGGTATGCAAGCCGTCGTTGAGCGTGTCCTGGCCGACGCCCACTCTCACTCCAATTCCATCTCATCCAACAACAATAATGCCTACAACAGCAATGACGTCGACGCAAACACCAACCAACGTACCAACGCCGAAATCAACCTTGACCCCATCGACCACGAATTTATACAAGAAGTAATCGACGGGTCCTGCCAAATCCTCAAAAAGGTAATCGAACTTGCACAGGCCGACAAATTACGMTTTTCGCCAGTGCGTATATTTCTGCGGGTCACCAGTTCATCGATCTTCTTGCTCAAAGCGCTCAGTCTGGGTGTGCGACACACGAAGCTACAGGAATCTCTCGATGTACTTGAAAAGAGTATCCAAGCTCTTAGGTCTAATATTTTGGATGATGTGCATCTCGCATCTCGTTACGCGATTTTGTTGGAAGTTCATCTTTCCCGATTGAGAAGGAATTTGGTTGCCTCGTCTTCATCCGCAGCGATGAATAAGATCGGTACTGGAGCTGGGGCTGGAATTACAGTCATGCCATCTTCGTCTTCGACGACAAGGAATAGTACTCGCCCATCCTCTACACAGCCTTTTTTTAAGGGCGTAGAGATGGACCCGGGTACAAATCGCATGTATACCAGCAACCCGAATAGTGACAGCGCGTCTGATGATGTAGTAATGACTCAAACAATGCCGCAGTCTTCTTCATATGTGACGGGTAATGAGAACGCAGGGCCAGTTCATATGGCGGATGATAACGACTGGTTATTTTCGTTGCCGTTTGATCCATCTATGGCTCCTTTTGGGCCAAGTGGTGGGCAATTGTCTGGCTTTGATGGTGGGACGTTGGACTTTCTATGGAATTTACCTGAGTAAACCACTCCATCGGGATGAAATTACGTCAATGTCAACATGTCTTTATGAAGATCACGAATTGTTACCTGTATTGTGTACGTGTGACGAATAATGAATATATACACAAGGATATCTACCAATGAGTTAAAGTAGATATTGTCCTTCTCACTGCATATAAGGGTGAACTATCCCGCTTCTATGCTCAAGACTTGAGGAGCCCTGAGTCGATAGAGACGGAGGTAAATCCGCGGCATGAGTACCCCAAGAACTCTCATTGCGACCCAGTGTAAGAACAAGCTCCATTCCATCCGTGAAAAAGCTATGGTCAATCCAGTTCTTCGTGTATGGCTGGCCATTCAGGGTGGCGGATTGAATGTAGATGTTCTTATATTCTTTATCAAAGTTGACTGTCTTGATTGTCGAAGTCTTGTTGGTTGATGGCGAAGTGTACTGTACAGAGTCAAAGAAAGGTGGGATGATGAAGTAGACGTTCTGGGCTGGGTTGGGAAACAATCCCATCATTGACATGGCTACGAAAGCACCCATGGTTCCTGAGTCGTCATTGCCGGGTAGGCCACCAGGGGTCGTTCCAAAGTATTCGGGAATATAGTAGTGAGCACGACTAGCTGACTTACCTGGTCGGCCAGCGTAGTGGTACTGGTAGACAGTAAGGAATGCCGGTTCGTTGCCAATGTAAGTGATTTGGTTATCGTGCATGTAGTCAAGACGTTTGACGAAAGTAGATGGCCCACCGAGCAATGTGATCAGAGTTGCCATGTCATGAGGGACGAAACTACCAGGTGTTAGAATCTTGTCAGTATGCTGGTAAATCAGTCAGAACTTACAATTGATATTCCCAGATACTAGATTCAAAGGTCTCTCCAGCACTATTCTGTAGGGAGCAAATAGATCCACTGTTGTCAATATTTGAACACATAAGAGGATCCTATTATACGCATCGTGAGCAATATCCATACTTCTCATAGAGGAATGAACATACCTGGAAACCCCAAGTTTGATTCAGATACTTCGGTTGAAAGAAACCTGTAAATCCAGTGTCTGTTCCGTTGGAAAACGACGTCTGATCCGCCTTGAAAAGATTCTGCCAATACGCCGAGGTCTTTTCATACTTTTCAGCGTCCGACGTTTTGTTCATACCGCGGGCGATTTGTGAAATAGCAAAGTCGTTATAAGCGTACTCCAAAGTGCGCGAGATACTACGAGTCATTGTGCCAAAACCAACGTAGTCAAGGTCCTGAACTGGGATATAATTCAAGGACTTCCAACTCTGGAGTCCACCACGGCCTTCATTTGACCAATCATATGGTTCTTCCTCGGCATCCTTCTGAACAGCAGCGTATGCAGTATCCCAGTCAATACCGTCGGTAAGGCCCTTAACGTAGGCATCGGCGATGACATTGTCGGCATTGGATCCACCCTGAGTGTAGCCTTTGCAAAGGGACATACGGCAGTCAGGGAGCCACCCGAGATGCTGTTGTGTGTCAACCAATGATCGAACAATCTTAGTCACCGTCTCTGGGTCTATCAAAGTCAAGAATGGCATCTGTGAGCGGAAAAGATCCCAGATACTGTTTTCAAGTTAGCATGGTTCCCAAAGCCAGACAATGGTAAAGCAGTAGTTCTGACCAGTAGAAAGAATCAAAGTATGGCTCGGAGCTCTCCCACAGTGGGTTTTCTCCCGTATAGTCCTGAGGCTGTGTCATTGTCCGGTAGACACCACTGTAGAAGTTGGTGAGAAGCGTTTCATTGATGCCTTTACGAGATACGCGAATGGGACGAAGTTTATCGGTCCAGGCGCTCACTGCTGCCGAGTGAGTAGACTCAAAGTCAAAGTCGGGAATTTCTTTCTCTGCGTTGGAGCAAGCTTGATCTTCACTGATAAAGCTCAGACCGACACGTGCAAGAACCGACTCTGTTCCAGCGTTGAATCGAGCCCATGCACCGCCCTTCAAGTCACATTCAAAGTCAGTACATATCATACATGTGGAATTTTTACTCAATACATACAGGCAATGGATATCCATTAATGCTTCTAGAGATCTTCAGCGATTTGGCGTCCGCAGTAGCACGCGAGTTGACGAAAATGCCATTGTCACGAATTCCAGAGGCACTTTGGAAGTCGGCACAAAAGTAGGCTACATAAGTTCCTGAGCCAAAGCTGGGTAAGAATCGACCAGAACCAGTCATACGACCAGTCGATGCATCAACATCAACGGTTGCGTTATCTTGTCGTGAGTCAGACAGATCGGTCAAGTCCAATAAGATAAGCGGACTAGCAGAAGAGTCCCCTGTCGGAAATTGAAATCGGAAAAGAGATGTGTGCTGAGCAGTAGTCATATCAACTTTGATGCCGGAATCCAGGGTTACCGCAAAGTACCCTGGGGTCGCATTGACGGAAGAAGTATGAAATGACACAGGTCTCTCCTTTTTCGGGTATTTACAGCCGTCGATTGAATCATTCACACAACTTGCGTAAGGGAACAGAGGGAAGTTTCCCAAAGAGGGCGAACCGCCAGTACCAGAATCATGCAGCGATGAAAAGCCGGTGATGTTTGCACCATCCAAGGTGAAACCGCCCTGGCTAGACTCGGAGTTTGTATCGGCAACAGCTTTCGCCATGCCATGGGGCAATGTTGCACCAGGGAAAACATCACCTAAAATCAGGTTGTCATGAGTTTACCGGTACTGTGCATAGCATGGATATTAATCGAGGATATATGCATACCTCCGTTTGCAGTTCCGATCAGAGGATCGACATACTGGAGGACATCGTAATCAAACGAATTGTTGCTGGCAGAGATAGCACAGCCCAACAGAGAGCCCAGCGACAAAAGAGTGAGTGCGSGAGCCATGTTGATCATGGAGATGCAAGATATGAAGAGAGCGACGCGTTAAATGGATTTGGCAAACGTTAACATTCCTGACAGGACGCGGGGGAAAAGAGGTATTTAACCTTCATTTAAGAATTCAGGCACGCGATTATCAACGAGGGGCACATACAACAAGGTATGGTCATTTTTCCTGATTCAGTCAAAATGCCAGCACTAGCTGTACAACAATCTCTGCTAGTGTGCATATCAACGCATTATTTGAACGTGTATTCGTGCATCTGGACCTGTAGCATGGCGGAGAAACATGGTGCCTGTCGATCCTTGCATCTTAAGGACTAGGACTGACTGGGGAGGATACGCCTTTGATAGAGGGGAGTGATGATAACGTTGCATCGCGTGTTGACGACGCTATCTTATCATTGTACCAACGCAGCGTGGGAATGAACAAAAATCTGGCTATTGAGGAGTTATACAGGATAAAAAGAAGTCAATCATTTGACTCAATTGGTTGATCAGGTGATATTTTGTTCAAGGAAGGAGCGATCGGAAGAGAAATGTGAAGCAGGAAGGAGCGCCCCTGTCGATCCTTCCTTCTTTGTTTGTCAACTGACCTGACTCAAGTCTCCCACGGCCAACCTAGAACAACCTACATAACCACCAACAACTGACAAACTCACAAGCCGCATCTTCAGCGCAGTATCACTTACTATCTCATCTATGATATAGCTGCATGTTCCGATGATCCAATCCAAAGACTCGAACTACTAACCAGCACATTCCGATGGTCTAGCCGCAATTCCCAGCGTCGTATTCTCGACAAATCCTGGCATCGGTGTAGAATGGTCCGATTGTTGGTGCAATGCGGGGATATTTACATACACAATCAAGTGATATGGCCAGGGTGACATTTCGCTGAATTATATAGGTACGTGATAACCACTCACTTCATCTGCTAGAAGAAGCTAATGTCTGATACCTTGCCACTGATTCATTAACTTGATTCTTTTCCAGGTGAAATCGCTTGTGATGTCAAGATCAGCAGACTCCCACCCACGGCCGATAGAGACACCCTCCGAACAGTAACAGCCCCAGTCAGGAAAAGGTGATTTACCTTTCCCGCATCCACGGATCTTTTTAATTCTGCCTAAACTCCTCCGGCGTATCTGGCTGGTTCCTCCAGTGGGCTTTCTTAACTGCATCCTCATCTTCCATTCTAGCAACAACCCGTGCGATGGTGGGGTAGTTCTGAATGTCAATGCCAAACCGTGCTGCACTCCATGTGGCAGGGACGAGGCACACGTCCGCCAGCGTGACGTCATCACCAACACTGAAAGTTCCTGCTACCTTTGAAGCTAATGCTTCGTACGCAGCCAATCCGGCCTCTGTTGCCTTGCGACAATATGGAATCGGATCGGCCTCTAGTTCCTTAATCCATCTTTGGCATCGCAAGTTGGTGACAGGCTGTGTGTCCGACGCGATAATTGAGACAAGACTTCGGGTAATTGCGCGCAACCGTGGATCATTTGGGAGCAATGCTCGATTCTGTGGATTTGTTGATCGGATCATCTCCTCGAGATATTCGAGGGCAGCTATCGACTGAGGAATGACTATATCATCTTCTGAGGCGCGGTGAGCGACTAAAACAGGTACACTCAGCGAAGGATTGAGTGCCCGGTGCTGATCCGAGAATTGCTCATTCTTGAGTAAATGCACAAATATGGGGTTGTAGGGTATACCCCAGAGGTTGAGCGCAATGCGCAATCGTGCGGCGCAAGAGGATCTGAAGTAGGTGTGTAGATCGAAGGAAGGCAGGTCAGAAGCCATGTCTGTTGTTTCTTTGTTCACTGTTGATATGGCTGTCTCTACTATAGCACTTCAGAAGATTGTTCTTATGCAATTCACTTCCATGATATTTACACAAAAGACGTCAACAAACTCCAGCAGCGGATAGACCCCGCCGGCTATTTACGGAAAACCTTCCGCCTATTTGGAGTCGCGGAAATGCACAGACTGCAACATTCGCTACATGTTGACGCAGTCGAATTGAGCAGGGCAGTTCTTTCATGGCTTGATCAGACTGATTATCAATGGTAAACTACGCGTTACTGGTATATCAATAATCTGTAATCGAAAGATGGACACTACTATAACATTTAATCTGCGAAACAACATCAAAATTTGACTCGAGATTATGCGTTTGGCAATCTACTTTATACATATGCACTCATAATACTACGTGAACTTTTAAAAGTTGAAAGTAACAGCAGGCTCAATCCTGCCAACGCATTCACCGAACCCGACATACGCGCCATCAACATCCCCAGCAACAGCTCTCAAAATCACTTCGTCGCCATCCTCCAAAAATATCCGCTTCGTTTTCCCATCCGCCAAAGTAAGTGGCTCCTTTCCGCCATTAGTTTGCTCTAGCAAGCTACCCTGAGTCCCTGGCTCTTTGCCCGAGATCGTACCACTACCTAACAAATCTCCCGTACGCAAGTTGCAGCCTGTAATGGTGTGGTGGGTGAGCATTTGCGGGAACGAGTATAGCAAGTTCGTAGTATTCGAGTCAGAGACGTGAATCGGAGCGTCCTCCTTGCTGAGGCCATTGTGTCTGATGTCAAATTCTAGTTTGATATTATAAGCGTTATCTGGCCTCTTTTCTCGGAGGTACGGAAGGAGAGAGTCACGATTGCCCGGCTCAAGTCCTTGCGCTCTAAATGGCTCAAGCGCATCAATCAGCACAACCCAGGGACTGATGGTTGTCGCAAAATTCTTTGCATTGAACGGTCCCAACGGCACGTATTCCCAAGCCTGGATGTCCCGCGCAGACCAATCGTTCATCAACACCAGACCAAAAATGTGATCTTCGGCCTCTTCGATGGGCACCGGCTGACCGAGCTTGTTGCTCGTGCTCACAAAAGCGGCCATTTCTAGCTCGATGTCCAATCTCTTACAGGGTGAGAAAACGGGGACTTTGGGCGTAGCAGTTGGGTTTGCCAGTATTTGACCTGTCGGTCGGATGATAGGTGTTCCGGATACAACGATACTTGATGCTCGACCGTGGTAGCCGACGGGAAGATGGTTGTAATTTGGTTGTAGGGCGTTATCAGGTCCACGGAACAGAACGCCAACGTTGTATGCATGATTTCGTCCAGCGTAGAAGTCGGTATAGTCACCGATTTGTAGTGGGAGGTGGTTTGTTACGGTGTTGAGTGGTATGAGGGCTTCTTTTTGCAATTTCTCGTTGTTTTTGAGAACATCTGGGAAAGGCGTGTCTGCTTTGAATACTGCTTGCAGATACTCCCTCACTTGTCTATGAACGGGTCTACCGAGTGCCGCAAAGGCGTTCAAGGTCGACTGATGGAACACATCCGCTTGGAAGCTAGATAGATGAGTGAAGCCTTCATTCTTCGTGAATGCAGACAGATCGAGTGCATAATCACCTATAGCGATTGCTGGTACCGGCACATTTGACTTGGTTGTTGTGATGACGCCAAAGGGTATGTTGGCAAGGGAAAAGTGTGACTTTGCCGGAATTGAGAGCCAGGACGCCATGTTGCTAATTCTGCGCGGATTATATTCTGAGATGGAAGGAGAGTGTACAATGAGATTGACGGAGGTAGTAATGTTTCCTTCTTCTTTTTGTGTAGAACAGCGCGGATTTCACGTCAATGTTACTTTTTCTCTCGGAGAAGGACTGAAGGAAGCTCGATAATGATTCCGAAGGCCAGCTCTGAGATGCAGATGTTTACACAATGATGTGGGGGTTGTACTGCTCTGTTCAAATGCCAGAGATGGTGCCAGGGCGGAATGCTCTCCGCGCACGGATAGTACCGGGTATCTCGATCTCATCTTCAACTTCAACGGGTTTTTGATAGCGACGTTTTAGCCGTAAGAAGCCGGACTCACGTTGAAATAGTATCAGCTCACATGTTTCAAGATTTTTCGTGGTGAACTGTGATTATATTCTAGCTGAATCACTTTTTTTGTAGTTGTGTTGAATAGGTTTGTTAAGTACTTTTGTTATTAGCAACTCGCCGAATCCGAACAAAAACCGCCCTATCGAGGGTTTCTCTAAGACTTGATCAAGCACTTCAACTTAGCTGATTTGCACGCCAAAGCTTGAATGTTAAACCCATCAATCGCCGACAAAATCGTATCGCCTGAATTCAACTAATTTAGAGAGGAACAAAAGCGAGGTTATCAAGGACGAAACCGTCGAAATGGCCTCAGCCGCCACAATCACCTCCCCCAAAATCAACCTTAAGCTTACATCAAACGACTCCGCTGTTCTGCAGGCCCTTTTCGATAATGGCGAAGGCGCATTTCCAATTCCGTCCTCGACAGATTCGTCCGCTGAAAACACAGCCGCCGTTGACTCGCAAACCATCAATATCGACGACTCATTACCAGCATTTCCTCGATGTCATATAGGAGAGGCGGCGTTGAGGTCATTGAAAGATCGCGAACTAGCCATAGTCAGACGGATACAGGATAACGGGTCACTATCGAGCACATTTTCTACCCAACAAGCGTCGTCATCGTCATCAACGTCAACACACATTCTAGAGCAAGCTATTGATGATCTGTCATCACTAATAGCCGAATACCCCGACTATCCACCCTTATACGCAAACAGAGCGCAGGCATTACGAGTACTCATTCAGTTCAAACATTCGGACACAAATTCTACGGACAAAGATGCCGCTATATTCCATCCCAAAAACAAAGATCTAGCAACGAAACTCCTTTCGAATTTGAGCAAAGCCATATCATTAGCCAGCCCTACCCCCACCGACCCCAATCGAGACACCACCAGCGTCTCAGCTGCCCAATACCGTCTACTGTCAAATACGCACATGCATAGGGGTTATCTTCTACTCAAAGCGGGCAAGATCCGCAAGGAAGAGGAAGAGAACACAAACCAGACACAACAAACAGAACGAGGAGGACCGGAACAACTCCTTGCTATCTCTAGTAGAGATCAACTCGAAGAAATGGCTAGTCAGGATTTCTTTGAGGCAGGTCGGTATGGAAATGAAGTTGCGAAACAGTTGAGTGTGGGGACAAATCCATATGCAAAGATGTGTGGTGCTATTGTGAAGGAGGCTTTGAAGAAGGAGATTGAAGAGTTTCAGTCTTGATTTGTGCTTATTTATGTTACGATATTGCCGAAGATTTCGATCTTGTCAAATTATGAATACTGGTAATTTTCAACATGTCAATATCTCCGACATGACGGTACCTAGTATATTTGGTATTTCACGTAGGTTTCATCAGTGTGCTGTAACTCTATTGATAGCTCTGGTAATATCCCCCAAAGGCCTACGATCCATTCGCTTTGCAAGACTTGTCAAATCCAAGTCAGGGCATTTGTACCCACCAGCAAACGGATCAAACTCATCGACTGGCTTCCATGTGATCATCGGAATGATATAAACCTTCTGCATCCATGAAGGCTGGCCATGAGGTACTGCATATGCTACCCAGCGCCTGTAGACGACTTCATCTTCAGCCGCTCTAAAAACAATGCCATCTTCTCGACGAAAGAACCACTTGGAGATCACCTCCGAAACGATTTCACGAAGCGAGGGGTCATCAGAGAACTTCCCCAGTTCCATACATATACGAGTCACAGATCTAGGAAATATAGCTCTATCGACCCACTCTCCACTAAGTTTGTAGCCGTACATGTGTCTCATCCAGCTGTTCTTGTAATTCAAGGAAAATGTAACGCACTTTGGGCCAAAGTCTTTTGCTACATGTCTACTCCAAATTCCTAGCGGGAACGCAGGATTCGGATTAGTTGAATCGTAGTAGTATCGAATACGCTCAATTTGTGGTATGTGAAATGTCGGATTATGATTTTCGACATAGTCTTTCAAGACCGAAAGATACCCTTTTATCCTGGATAGGTTAATGAACTTGGATCTATCTTGTCGAATATCATCGTTTGAGCCAAAATTGCGCGGCCCAACGTAGAATATATGCTCAGCAAGAATGAATGGCATGAGCCATGTTTCAGAATAGATTCGTTGACAAGTGCGCAATAGCTGTGTAGAGGAACTTCTCCGCGGTCTATAGTCATGACGCATTTCGAGCTCCACACTACTATCGTTAGCTTCGTAAAAGTAGTCTGAAGATTCATAGTCAGTCAGCGTATACTCGAAAATAATGATGCGCACCTCCGCCGGTAATCGTGAAAATAGAGGGCACTGGTTTTGCGACTGCGTTTCCAGCTCAAAGGACGTAGGCGGGGACGCAAGAGGAGGTTCTTGTCGTCGTTGAGGCCAGTTAGACATCTCAGCTGCCATAGTGTCTAGAATTCGGTCTCTCACTATAATGTAATGTTTCTGTGAACTGCCAGTCTCTTTTCTAGAGCTCAGCAGCACATCGAAGAGATTATATAGGGTATGAAGAGACATATCGTGCTAACCGTATCCGGAAAGTTAGGGCTAACTGTTTTGTTGCCCATTTGGGAAATCAAGGATTTCGTTCAATAATTGAGTCGTCGCGACTTGAAAATCTGTTATAATGTATGAAAGTAAGCTAGAAGAATATAGCATAGTACAATGGCATTCTTCTACAGGCTTTCGCAACAAAGAAGGACGTAGAATATAGATACGTGGACAGAAGATCCCATTGAACACTGATTGTTTCAGATATCGTTGAGCAGTAGAAATCCGAGACTAGACCTAAAGATTACAACCTGGAATCTTTGATATGTTTGTCTTATGATCCCACTTGCCACATTTAAAGATTGTCATTGACCTAATCATCACTCGAATACAAACAATGTACGAGTTTGCAACAAGCGTCAGATGTAAAGAGTCGAAATCTAGGAATCTCTGTTATCAAACTAGCCCACATCTTTGCAGTGACAAAGAATTTCGGAGCTCTAGGAGAGAGGAACGTTTCCATGAAGGACTCAATCTTAGAAAGTCATGAAACGACCCATAACGTTGGAGGAGAACAACAAATGTTAATGAGCTGTCGATGCTCTGAGGATAGCAGCAGGCATACAAAGCCAATAAATTTGATCAATCTTCAGGGCTCTTCAAATGAAAGATATTGCGTTAATCTTAGCAGAGCGTATTGCAAAACCGATCTTCAATTCGAGAACTAATATGCTTATCTAGAGTTCTGACGTGCCCCGGAAGTCCTTCTCTGACTCAATCGATTCATGACCCTGGCCGTGTACTATTGAACGAGTATCTTCAACGCTATTTGCTATCCATCTCATTTCTCCGGCTATAGCTGATGAAAATACATCCTTATAGTACTTCAATCCCAAAGGGGCGCTCCAAGGTGTCAAAGTCTCTCGGAAACACGAAGCGGTGATTTCATAGATCAAGGTCGGGACACTCATAACCATTGATGAAAGGGTCAAAGCCTGGCACAGGCTTGTAGGTAATCGTGTTGATCAGCATACGATAGTTCCTTTCAGTTCTGAATACTGGTTCTGGTCCCCAAAAATCACGTTCCTTTCTTGCATCGTCGGCCCGGGCTAGATACCTGAGTGATCTTTCAATTGTGACTGGCTTCAAAACTACCCCATCTTCTCGACGGAAGAACCAGTTTTTGGCGACAAAATTTGCAATCAAGGCTAACATGTATTTGTTGATCCACAGTGCGCGAAATTCCATTTCGATGATTTTGACTGCTGATGAAAATCTGACCTCGTTCACCCACTTGGCTTCAATAAATTTCGGGGAGTCCTTAGCGTAGTCTATTGTGATTGTGATGATTTTTGGTCGATGTTCTTGCAAACAGATGATATCATCAATAACTTGCGGATATAATCCCATTCCAAGTGCTTCACTGAGTTCTGCCGATCCCAGAAAGAGCTGAAATCCGTCAATTTGTGGGAGATATGATCCAAGCCGACGAGATTCAGCAAAGTCTTTCACTGACGAGAGATATACTGCGATAGTTTCCCACTCAAAATTAATTTGGGGTTCCTCCCAGCAAAGGTAATTAAAGTATCCATCGACGAGTCCATGCTTAGCAAAAGCGAAAGGCATGAACCATGTTTCTTGGAATATACGCTTACAAGTGCGTAGAAATTCCGTATCGGTGCGTCTGGAATGCTCGTGAATGCAATGGTGGAAATACAGCTTCTTCTTCTTTCCGTCAGCACTAAGCATAGTCCTTTCGTAATCGGTAAGCACGAAAGTGAAGATCATTTTGCGAATCTCAGGGAGGAGGACCCCAAATAAAGGTGATTGTAGTTGCGGTTGAAGATCCTTTAGGGCAAAGACGTCCTCCGGATCTGTCAGAGAAAGTAAATTGAACTTCTTGTTATTTTCGTACATGGCTGCTTTTAGCTTTGAAGCCCCTCTCAAGCTCAGTTTCTGTATGAAAAGTGCCCAAATACTCTCGAAATTCAAGTTATTCTTGGCTTGTGTAATAAGGTGACTTTTGAATCTGAAACGAGCCAGGCAGGTCTCTATGTAATGCAAAATTTGGTCATAGAACAATTTTTTCGATAATCAGTCCTAAGCAAATACACAGAAGGCCTTCCGATTTCTGAATTTGATTTCTGAATATTTGTATTCCCATGAAGATTGAGAGCACTTTCAAGGCGATACCCTGTCAAAGCTTAGAATCAATACTGACTGGAGTCCTTTTGAGATTCATAAAATATCTCACCTCCGGGGCTGATATGTAGTCTCTTACCATGAATATTACCCCTGTTGAAATATTTCGGTTCCTGTGTCAGGCTTCATGGGTGTTGAAACATGCAGCAAAACGACCAGTATGAGCCCAAAGTCGATCTGACTTGACTTGTCGAAAATTCGGTTGTAAGTATTCAGTGTAGTCACTGTGGCGCGTTAATGATCGTTATGTGGTGAGATTGAATTTTCTGTGATAGTAAGAACGAGAACAAATCCAGTCGATAATTCACTTCGCAGGCTCCAATCTCAGTTGAAACTCACGAGGACCGTGGTCAGAGTGATTGTCGAATGAGATTTCTTTAAAAAGCTGCGTTGAGCTTGACCTCGTAGTGGATTGAAAGGACTTTGACGGAGATGCGAAAATGGTACGTGATATAAAAGTGAGAACTAAGATTTCGCTTGAGTTAAAACCTAGCGTACATGGAATATGTCGAACAAAAGTTTTCAGTATATGATAATTCATCTAATCGTTATCCACGATTCTTGGGCGCGTTAAATTGCCTAAGCCTTCTTGTTTGGATTAACGAAATGCCTCTTCAGGGGCTCCCAGCTCTCGGCGTTGTAATCCTCTTGTACCTTCTCACAAGTCTTGAGGCCCCATTCCGACACACCTACCATAAGAGTACTAAACCCAGTATTAGCATCCCGAAAATATCCAATTCATATGCGCAAAGACATACCTTTCAAACATAAACGCCATACTCCCCTCACCCACCTTCTGCGGCTTCAGTTCCACATTACTTGCCTTTTCATGCGCATTCGCATCGGGGCCATGCGCACTCATGATATTATGCAAACTGGCGCCCGCAGGTCTAAACCCACCACCAATTTTCGCATCATAATCACCCGCAATCAAACCCATAAACTCGGACATGACATTCCTATGATACCAGGGCGGTCTAAACGTGTCTTCCGCCACAAGCCAGCGGGGAGGGAAAATGACAAAATCCGCAATAGCTGTTCCCGGGTGGTCGGATTGAGCGGTTAGGACGGTGAAGATTGACGGGTCGGGATGGTCGTAAGAGATTGAGCCGATGGTGTTAAAGCGGCCCAGGTCGTATTTGAAGGGGTAATAGTTTCCGTGCCAGGATACGACATCGAAGGGGGTGTGATTGAGTTTTGCGGAAAAGAGGTTGTTGTTGAATTTGCTAATAACGGTGTATTCTGTTGCTTCTCCTTCGTCGTCGTCGAAGGCTGCGACGGGCGCTTGGAAGTCGCGGGCATTGGCTAGACCGTTTGAGCCGATGGGTCCTAGTTCGGGCAGTTCGTAGTGACCTTGGTAGAGTTCGCAGATGTATCCTCTGACCGGACCGGAGGGGAGTTTCACCCGGTATCTATCCGTCAGTCAGTACCATCAACCATACAGGGAGTTCAGAAAAACATACTTGACACCCCTCGGAATAACACAAATCTCATTTGGCCTCACAACAAACTTCCCCAACTCCGTCTGAATATCTAGAACACCATGCTGAGGCACAATTAAGAAATCGCCATCAGCCGAATAGAACACTTCGTTCCCCATATCCTTCCCAGCGGCATACAGCAATATGCCCAACCCGGACTTCATCGTTGGATCACCGGCGCCGGCGACAAGATGTAATCCATGAACCCAATCAACCTTCTCGTCAAGATCAAACGGGTTCCAGCGTAATTGGTTGGGAATGTGATGTAATTTATTCTGCACGTCATTGGCATTACTGAGCGATGTGTGATATGTATCCTCAGCGATGGGCTGGTAGTTTGCGTGCGCTGCAGAAGGAAGGATGCGATAAAGCCATGTTTGTTTGTTCTCGTGTCGCGGGGCAGTAAATGCTGTGCCCGAAAGCTTTTCGGCGTAGAGGCCGAAGGGTGGTTTTTGAGGTGAGTTTTGGGCGGTGGGAAGGGCGCCTTTCACGGCCTCGGATCTGCCATAGTCAATACAAGCATTCTTTATTGCGTTGTTAGGATGGACGAAGTACTCATGGTAGGAGTTGAAGCCATTCAAGTAGCTGTACGGATCGGGGGTAGAGAACTGAGTGACGGGCATATTCAATATGTCGCTTTTAAGTTATACAATATCTAGTGGTTGTACAGAAAGTAGACGTGATCAAAACAAATACGATAGTTGAAAGCAACAGTAGTATTATCTATACCCCTCAACAATCTGAGTCGTTACATTTTGACTGGCACGTGAAACGGGATACGTCAATTTCATTCCATCTTCCCCGGATTCAAAGCTCGGAATGAGCGGAACGCGGAATACTCCCCGCACTGGCCAAAATAGCCGGCAGTTGCCGGTGCTGGGTGTTCTGATTGGTCGATCTGTGTGATGCCCGGAGAGAAGCGAAATGCCTGAACTATCCGCGCTGGCCTTGTTTAGCCGTCTACAGTATCAAGTCAGAGGGCGTGGATGAGTTGCACGAAACCAGTTCTTGGGTATGGAGGGATGTTGGCGGATGGCGATGGGGTGGATATAATGATGAATTATCCGTGGGATGTGTCCGGTGATGAGGATATTATTTAGTAGTCATACTTTCAAGATTGAGAAGATATAAGATACAACTACATTGAATCACACATCCAAGTCAACCAGCAGGACAATCAAACTTGAATTTAATACTTAAGAACAAACCATCCAAATCCAGTGCTGAAAAGGAAACAAAATGGCACCATCAGCCATCTCAGACCTCCAATCCGACAATCTACCCACAACCCAATCCGCCCTCTCCTCCTACCGCGGCTATGACCATGTACATTGGTACGTCGGCAATGCCAAACAAGCTGCAACCTTCTACATCACGCGCATGGGCTTCTCGCGCGTCGCCTACCGCGGTCTCGAAACTGGTTCCCGCAGCATCTGCTCACACGTCGTGCGCAACGGAGGTATAACTTTTGTACTCACTTCGCCGCTTCGATCACCCTACAACAGCGAGAAGCTTGACCGACTCTTTCCCAGCGCAGAAGAGCAGGAGCATCTGAAAGAGATTCATGAGCATTTGGCGCGACATGGTGATGCGGTTAAAGATGTTGCGTTTGAGGTTGATTCCGTCGATGATGTGTTCACTGCAGCTGTGGGAAATGGCGCCGTTGCGGTTTCGCAACCCAAGACAATTGAGGATGAGAACGGGCAGGTCAGGGTTGCTACTATTCGGACGTATGGAGATACGACGCATACTTTGATTCAGCGTCGAGGGGTCGCAAAGCCCTATTCAGGAGTTTTCTTGCCTGGGTACAGGGATGAGACAACTTCCGGTGGCAGTGACCCTATTACCGCTTTCCTGCCAAAGGTTGATTTGAGGAGGATCGATCATTGCGTTGGAAATCAGGATTGGGATGAGATGGAGAAGGTTTGCGAGTAGTAAGTTGAAAGCCTCGTCTCTTTGACATCTTCAAATGTATACTGATAGGATTACAGCTACGAAAAAGTACTCGGATTCCACCGTTTTTGGTCCGTAGACGACAAAGACATCTGCACGTAGGTTTCTCTCTTCTCTACCATCGAATAAAAACATGCTGATCCACAAAATAGAGACTACTCCGCCTTAAAATCAATCGTCATGTCCTCCCCGAACGACATCGTCAAAATGCCCATTAACGAACCCGCCCATGGTAAAAAGCAGTCCCAAATCGAAGAATACGTTGACTTCTACGACGGCGCTGGCGTACAACACATCGCCCTGCTGACAGATGACATAATCAGCGCAATCACGAACCTGAAAGCTCGTGGAGTGGAGTTTATCAAGGTGCCACCGACGTATTACGATAATATGTGGATGCGTCTCAAGAGAGCAGGCATGATGCCCAAGGAGGCGTGGGAGGACATTAAGAGGTTGGATATTTTGATTGATTTTGATGAGGGGGGTTATTTGTTGCAGCTTTTTACAAAGGTATGTCTTTACTGCACTACTTCTGGTGGACGTTTTTCTGATGATAGGTAGCATCTCATGGATCGGCCGACTGTTTTCATTGAGATTATCCAGCGCAATAACTTCTCTGGATTTGGTGCGGGTAATTTCAAGTCATTGTTCGAAGCTATTGAGCGCGAGCAGGCTCTCAGAGGGAATCTGATTTAATATATTTGTTTATCACGCGCGATGGCCTTCAAATGTTTCTTTAGATGACTAGGTGTATATATCTTGCTGCTTGTTTCAAAAGTAATCAATATTTCTACTCGGACCTTTATATCACCCCCCAAAGATTGAACAAGAAAAAATAACGACGACCGAACCACTCCAGTTAACGATTGTAAAAAGACGGGTATATCAAAGTAAAAGAGAAAGGTATCATCCAAAGCTTCATCAATGCCAGTCATTGCGGTGCAAAAGATTCCAGCTCTTGCCGTCCAAATGGTCGTAAATAAAACACGGAAAAAACGATAGACAAAGTCTATTCCAATGTAAATGTCAAAATATTATTACATGATACAAGATTGTGTGAATATTTTCATCAAGTAACATGTCCGACCCGCGCGACTATTATCAACTCAAGTCAAAAGGTTCGAGAAGTACTTAATTGGCACTCCCATAATATGACAAGGGGTCATATTCATCGTCATCTTCTTCATCGTGCGCCGGATGCCGCTGTTGGAATTGAGCGAGCGGGCCGCGGCTGCGTCCGAACCCATTAGAAGGAGTTGTAGTTGCCGCTCGAATCATCCCTGGATGAGGATTGAAATTGGCATTGTGAGGCGGTGCCGTGGTGGAAGGTCGCGGAATTGGTTGCGAACCTGTAGTGATTGGTAACTGGCTGCGAGCAGAGGTATTGGTATCGTTTGTGGAAGATGCTAAAGGATTGAATGCAACATAGCCACCTTGATTCGGCGGACGAGGCGAAGCAGTGCGGTCAGCTGGAGTGAGACTGCGATTGACTGGATCCATTGATGAGGGATTGGGGAGGGGTGACGTGAATGCACGACTGGGAGGTGGTGGGTTGAACGCCGGAGACTCTGAACGCATGTCCCGCAGATTTGACTGAGGAGTGTGTTGTCGATCAAATGGTTTATATGCTGGTGACTCCGAGCGCATACCGCGCACGTTGTTTTGAGGAGTTCCTTGTCGGTCGAATGGCGGGKTTATACCGGGAGCATACGGTCGTTCATTTGACATGTTTGTTGCAGGGGAATATGAGCGCTCAGGCGGGAAATTTCGACCAAAACCCGGTGTTTGACGGCCCATCATCTGCGGCGGTGGCGTTTGCGAATAGCCTGGACCAGGTGTGGGTCTACCCATGCCATCCACTGGCATCGGACCTGGCCCACCAGCTCTACTCTGTGCAGTCGGTGGTCGGTTGATTGCTGGGGAATAAGGTCTTCCCTGATTAGGATTAAAAGGCCCGGGAGGCACAGGAGGCATGTCTGGCTGTGCATAATGATTGCTGTCAAGCGGGCTGTATCCCATGGGAGCTGCGTCCCCTGTGAGTGATGCCGAGTCCCCATAAGCCGAGTTTTGGGTATTTGTCTTGGTAAGCCATCCGCCATCAGAAAGGTCTGGCAACTTCGGCTGCGGGTAGGATTCGTCCTCGTGCGGCGTGTCAAACTGTCCAGGTTCTGAAGTGTACGGCGGCAGAGTGCTCTGAGTTGGCTGACGAGACAAAGGCGCAACAGTAACGATTGGCTTTTTGTCCTCTGGATATTCGGAAACAGAAGGCAGCGTCGGTGCTGCTCTGATGGGCTTCAGCTCTTCTCCCACGCTCAACGGCATTGTTGGGGTTCGCTCGTTCAATTGCAAACCACCTTTAGCCAGAGCTGTGGCCGTCTTCTTCCGCACGATACGTTCCAAACGAGTATTAATCTTGCGCCGACAGTATTGCTTGAGGGAGCCGTCCGCTGTAGGAATATGATGCCACAAAAAAATCAGGTAAAGAATGACGGAAAAAGCTAAGCTCAGAAACGCAATGACCCAGACAACAAGTGTGAATAACATGCCAAATAAAATGACAGCTTGCTGATAGTTCTTCTCGGCCAATGCTTTGATGTTGAGAAAGAATTGCACGACGGGGGATGTACCGTCAGGTGCTGCGTTGTGTCCGGTAGGAATGAGGTCCAATTCCATGACGGAATACAGTGTAATGGCATTGATAACTTGGCGAGGACCGTCGGCGAGCAGGATACGTAGCCAGGCTATTTATGTCAGATACCAGACGATCAAAATGGTTGTAAGCAACTCACCTTCGAACGAAAAGTAGGAAAACAGGGCGATATAATCAGCGCCCTTTTTACTCTTCGTCAATTCAGCGAATACCAAAAAGCGCCTGTAACCTTTGTGTTTGCCAATTCGCACACTTTGCACTCGAACAGCGAGCGGATCTAGATAACACTCAGCAATACCGCTCGTTCGCATGACGCGAATTGCACGAATCCATCGGTAAATGAGCAGCAGGAAGGAGGCGATGATAGCGCCCGCGAATATCCATCGTGAAATGCTAATTGGAATCTTGGGTTTGATCTGACTAGACCATTTGTTGAAGGCCAGTAAATTGATGGCTGTGAATGTGTCAACGCCGTAGACCGCGATGGAAATGGCGCCAAAGACCCAGACCATGAAGTAAGAGAAGCCGGTGAAACAGGAGCTGCTTTTGAAGTCATTGAGATTCTTACTAAATTAGTGATACTCTACTTATAAAGTCGTGCGACTTCAGGGCCAAGTACTCACGATGTAATCCCATGTCTGCTCCAGCTTCATCTGACCGATCTTCTCCCGATCTCCACAGCAAGGCATTTTGTCTGGACCGGCCAGATAGGGCTAAAAAGCCAAAAAACGAAAATGACGATGAAAATGATGGTTTTGTTGCCTCTTTAGAAAAGACGTAGAGTAGCTTGCTCCCGGACCTGCCGCGAACAAACCACGTCGTCAATGAGCGAAAGAGCGGATGGGCGCGATTCTTTGAATGAAAGCGCCGAAAAGAACAAGACAATGATTGCTATCACGATGACATTTCTTTGTATTTCTCTAACCCCAATCTTCAACCACACCCCTTGAGCCAAGCCAGATGTAAATTGGCTTCTACTGAGTCCCGTTTTCCGTCAACGTTCGAATGGCGGGKTGGCAAGACGACACATGAGTTGATATTGTTGAATCCGTCGATGCTGACAATAAGAATAGAGTCCGAATTGATGACTGAACAGCGACAGTCAATTCATGTGTCGGGGTGTATTTGACGCTGCAGTATGTAGCAGGAGGGGGTTGGCGGTTTCAGAATGTTGTGAGACGGTCGGGACGCAGGGAGGTAATGGACACAGGTATGTATGCCGATCAACACGAATCACGGCGGTAGAGAGCGAGAGAGCGAGAGAGAGAGCGACAGAGCACAGAGCACAGAGCAACGATTGAGCGAGTGTAATAGATGATGGTGCTGTGAGTGAATGAATGGATGGTTGACGAAGAGGAAGGAAAGAAGGGGCGGCAAGAGAGCTGCCGAGACGGGGAGAAAGCCCGCTGGGGACGGTGATTGGTGTTCCTGGTACACTTGTTAGTCTCACGCTAGTTACATAGTATGTAGTTACTAGTTGTTAGCAGATAAGAATTAGTACAGAGTAAGAATACAAAGCACATGGGCACCAGAGCACACATTTCTGAAGAACACCAATAATTCGTCACGATTCGGTAGGTCTGTTTCAGAATGGAGATTGTTTCACTCGAATACTACAGAGCATTTCACGACGTACATAATTGATCGTGGTAATCAACAATAAAGATAATCAACCCCGTGCCAAGCCAAATATATTATGGGGCGTTTCCATACAAAAAAGAGGGCTACATCGCAAGTTGAACCGCGGATAATAGGGTATCCACCCGCCCATCCAATTTCCACCGTATCACCTATATTGTTCTCATTTATAGGCGCATTACGGAACATTAGACTAAATAGTCGCAATATACATAGTACTACGCACTCAAAGACACGGAAGACAATTCGAAAATTGCACATCAATCAGAGACTCAGCCTGGCGCCCACAATCGAACTGTTGAACGGTAGAAATTGAAGCTATCCCCAAATGAGACGAATAGCCCCAATGCGCCGCCTACCTAATAAACTTGTATTCTAAGAAGAATATAAACAATTCGGATAATTACCCTCCTATCAGACTCAAGCTTACCCTCGATGTGCTCGTCGCAACCCGCGTGATTGCCCGCGGAAGGGATTTCCTGACCTCGAGCCGCCTTGTTGCGCCTCTAAATTCGAGATACGAATATCACGGTCTCGAATTGTTCTCTCCGCACGCGTAAGTTCATTTCTCAATCGCACCAATTCATCAGAATCAGCGCGAAAGGAGGGTGTCGTAGATGGTGACTGATGAGCAGGAGACATGGTTACTGCGGCGTTTAACCGTCTCTCCAGCCGGTTGATAGTCTCCTGGAGAATCTTGGTCTCCTCTTCAAGTACCGTATTCCGCGCTTGCGACTTTTCAAGCCGACGCCTTATTTGTCCTATTTCATTGTTTTTCCGCGGATCGTGGATTGTTTGCGTACTGTCCTTCAGAGTCGCGTCTAATTCAACGAGGCGCTTCTCTAGCAATTTGTTGCTCTCCTTGTAGGCATCAGCAGCCCGTGCCGCATCCTTCCACCTCATGGTTAAATTGAATCTGTTCTTTTGTCTGACATGGCGCGCGTTTCGCAATTGAACTTCTCTCCCTCTGACTACCATCCTCGTCTTCTCCTCACGAGCCAACGTATGCTCAAGCTCAATTTGTAAAGCGTGCGCCCTCTCTTCAGCTGCTTTTATTATTTCAGCTGAGTGAGCCTCCTGTGTACTCAGTCTGCCTTGGAGGTGTTGAACATGTGCCGCCATGGCGGTGTTTCTTGACCTAAGCTCAGTCTCGGCAGCTGCTCTCGCCCGGTCAAGGGCGCTCTGCTGCTCGGAAACTTCCTGAAAATTTTGCTGAAGCTCTGCATTCTGCTGTTCCAATCTCTCTACATCCTTGCGGAGAGCAGATCTTTCGATGACAGCGATTCTCCTCGCCGTCTCAGCTGCAGTGGCTCTTGCTTCAGCAGATGCTCTTGATTGTCGAACTACCTCCAGGTCCCGATTTAGTTTGTCTCTCTGCTGTTGGAGATTGGCGTTCTCGTTATTTGCCGAGACCAGTCGCGCGTTGAGCGCCTCCAGACTCGCCGTATGGGCTTGCACATCAGCACTCGTCCTTAGTCTGCTGAGCTCAGTCCGCAAGTTCGTATTTAGTCTGCGGAGGTCTATGTTTTCTCTCTTGTATGCATCAAGTCGTTGAGCTCGATCCGTCAGATTAGCCTGGAGGCTATCGGCTTTACCAGTAACATGTCGATATTGATTCATAAGTGTCATATTCCGCGCGATGATACTACGGATAACCTTCAAGTTTGTGACCATAAATTCCTTATAGGCGTCTGTCCTGCTCGACCACTTTCTCAGGTGTCCCTCAAATTCGTGTGTTATCGCGTTCTTGCATAGTGTCTCTTCAATGGCGTGCTCGACTTGCCTTAGCCGCTGGGACTTGTCCTCCCAGATCCAGTTGAAGCCAAGGAATATTATGATAAACATGACAGTGCCAGTAAGAGCTGGGTAGTGATGCATTTCATCGAGCACGTGCTGATTGTTGTACCAGTGTGCAAATCTTGCAGAACAGGATTGTAGAGAACGTCGTGTCAGATCAATTATCTTCCAGTCATACCCCGGCACATTTGGGTCTCCAAAGTGCCATGTTAAAACAGGGCCGTGGCGAGGGTTCCCCAAGGATACATTGCACAGCTCTGTCGTATTGAACTGATATCTTGGGCGAGCAGGAACTAAAAGATTTGCAGCCCACATTGCCAGTAGAATATCACCGAGGATCAGTCCTGTGGAGGTGATGGTAAGCCATAATGGATGGTTTGGAAGAACCCGGTATAGGCACCATTCAAGAAGCGACTCGCCGGTGGCGTATATATACCGGAAAATCCTAAAGGTGTTGCTGAATATAGTACCAATGAAGGTCCCCGCAGATCGAAACCATTGCAGGTATGGTACATTCCAAGAAGGAAGATGGCAAAGAATCATCAAACCGCACATCATGGACAGACCGATAAAACAACATATAAAGACCATGTAGATATGATGAATAGTCGCAAAGAGTGGAGCTATATAGTCCCAGTCGTCATCCATGTGGTTCTCTACGAGCTCGAACGCCGTGATGGGGTACCAATAGAGGGCCGCCATCTGATATTCGCCGGCCTCTATCATTGGCATTCTCGAGAATGCATTGAGGAACTGAAAGACGCAGTAGAAGACTGTCCCGTAGATAATATAGGCCATGACCTGAAACGAGAACAGGTCGGGCCTTGCGAAGATGGGGTGGAAGAGTGTGTCGAGAGAGAAACAGGTTGATTCTTCCAGCAGCAAAGATATGAGAATTTGGATTGATGCGCCGATTGCGACCTCATTCAGAAATGGTACAAAGCGTGCGAAGAAATGTTCCATGGTGCCCATTGTGTCACGAATTCCACGCCTGCAAAGAAATATTAGAAAGATCTGATGCAATATGAAGCTTTGAAGAAGTGATATTGTCGTTGACGTAGATGATACTGGTTCTTGTGATTAAAATTATGCTCAAGATTAAGAATTAATACCGCATAAATTTTCCATGATGAAGGGGGAAATCTAGAGAGAAAAAGAGGCGATAAGAAGGAAAGAGGAAAGAGCTGGAGCAGGGTGAGGAAGCCCTAAAAGACAACCAGCAGAAAGTAAACCTTCAGGAATTAACGGATGTGCCCGATGTAGACATGAATCGGCGAACATGAATGCTCGAATACAAAGACACTGTGGGAATCAGCCATAATTGTTGTTTGATTGATTCATTGTCAACTCCAAACTGTCAATTGATAAGAAACCTGGTTTGTTTGTAGGGCGCGCTTTGTTGCCCTAAATGGACATGCTCCCAAAGTGAGAAGGAAACATTCAGGGCAAGTTCAGAACCCTAGCAAAATCTAGGCATCATATGAGTAGTTACTTGACGATGGCTCGAATGCTACTCCGCTTGAAACATTCACACATAATTATGTAGTGTTGATTCGATATTCTGGTCTAAATGAAGATATTTCCCAAGCCAAGCGCTTTATTGACGTTTGGAAAGATTACAAGCCAATGTGGAAACAGGCATAGAAGATAGAAATTGTATATGTGTAGTATATCATTCGTCTATCATCATGAATTGGTTCACGAGGACTCACTAAACGCCGTATTCGTGCATGGCACAACAGCAGTACAGTAGCTCACTGAAACAGGAAAGAAATGTGGTAAAGTCCGCTCATATTACATTCGTAAAGTCAGTCATTAATAATCAAGAGTTTGTACAATAGCATCGTGGATTTCTGTTACTTGTTAGTGAATAACGCTCCCAATAAGGCAGAAAATGGATACTCACTCGCAACATCAGGCATGATAAAGCTTTCAAATGCCAGCCCAGTGTGTGTAGTCAAGCCAGCGACTCGCTTGACGGGCGCTTCCAACCGGAGAAAGGCGCCTTCTTGGATTGTCGCTGCAACCTCAGCTCCGACTCCGTAATTGACCATGCTCTCGTGGACTACAATGGCTCGTCCCGTTCGTTTGACGCTGTCCAAGACTGTCTGGCGATCCCATGGGTATATGGTTCGCAAGTCAATCAATTCGATGTTCACACCTTTTCGGGCTTGCTCCACTGCGGATATGGCTTGGGAGCATAGATAGAGCGGCTGTCCGTAGGAAATGATGGTCAGGTCAGAACCTGGTTTCACAATATCTGCTTTGCTGAGCGGCAGGGTATATGACTCGGTAGGAACGTGCTCGACAGCTGCGCGGTACAAGATCTTAGGCTCCATGAAGATTACTGGGTCGTTGCATTCCAGGATCGCCGATAGCAAGAGTCCCTTCGCCTGTGTGGGGGAACGTGGCATCACCACGCGCACACCGGGAATGTGGGAAAACAGCGACTCGGGAGATTGAGTATGATAACTATGACTGTTAGCACGGATAATGAAGTCGTTGGAATAAAATAACGTACAGTGCGCCATGTCCAACTGCGCCACAAGGCATTCGAAACACCAACCCTCCAGCATCAGCCCCAGTGGCTCCCTCGCGATATCTAAACTTGGCTGCCTCATTCACAATCTGATCAAAAGCAGGGTAGACGTAATCAGCGAATTGAATTTCAGCCACAGGCTTCAAGCCTTGAGCAGCAGCACCGATCGCAAACCCAGCAATTCCTTGTTCTGTCAGCGGAGTATTGAATACTCGGTGTTGGCCAAACTCCATTTGTAGATCCATCGAACAGCGAAATACACCGCCAAAAGCCACGTCTTCGCCAAAGAGGATGACTTTGTCGGAGGCCGACATGGCCGTACGAAGCGCCGAATTGATGGCTTGGTAGAGGTTCATTCGCTTTGTGTTGGCGGACTGGGGTAGCTCCTGTGAGTTCGATATCGACGATGGTGCATGGTGTAGTAGAGGAGTGGCTTTGTAGTCGATGGGTACATTCAGACGCGCAGACGATGTTGCAGAGGAGTAGAGTCGATGGCCAGGATTCCATGAGCGAGCAAGACGCCAACCAGCACGTGGAATGCTCATGTTTGCTAGATGACAATTCACAGTAGACAGTGTCGTCAACTAGTAACCATAAAACAAGTGCAAGATTATGAGTTTGTGAGTATATAAGTTTGTAGTAAAGAAAAAGAAAGAAGTTGTGTCAGGTCAGCGTTGATGTCGTTAATGTCGAACAGAAAACGGCGACGTGAGCCGCTGATAACCGAGCACAAACATCTCGAGTGGGGGTTGACACCTGAGCATTCTGGCACCCATCGCGGTACTTGTTCTGGCTGGCTTTTTGGCCAACTCTTAGCGCAGAATCTCTCCAGATCTAGTGAATATTGTTCATATCAGCTTGAAGCCAGATGACATTGTCAAGGAGGCCTATGAGCATTGAGGGTCGGCGCCAAGCGCATGAAACTTCTTCATTCAACCACATGAATATGAAGTTGAAGTTGACCACGTCTAAATCCTAGCGAGAAGAACCCTCCCATCGCAAGGCAATATCAATTTGACCTATACTGGCTTCTGTAGAAGCTTTGATTCTACAGAGGTTTATCGCAGAGCTGTTCGAGAAGATAATACTAAATAATAATGTATTGATGGACCGATCAGATTAGATAAGATAGATATGCAGCAAAGGCGGTGTGGCAACCGGCAGAAGGTGGAGGCAGCGAGAGTCGTCATTCGCAGAGAGAGACCGTGCGTCAGGGACCTTCTTCTTCAGCGACAAAACATTTCCCACGTTCTTCGCATTGCGCGTTCTCTCCCCGATTCTACCGAACCACTACGACTCAATTGAACAGTAAAACATGGAGCGCCATTAATGCGACGTCCTACTTCGATGAATCCGTACCTGGCCAGTCGGCCGGCCACGCTGGGTATAGCGAAGCTTCTCTTTCTGCTCCTAGCTCAACTCCCGGCATTGACTGCTGCCTCTCCCATTGCTTTGTCTGGTATTCTAGCGAGACAAGCCGACGAAGGAAAAGACCCTGAGGATCCGGAGTTATGGCTGTATCTGGGAATCTCGATTATACTGGTTCTGTCGGGTGGGGCATTTGCAGGATTGACTATCGCGCTCATGGGACAGGTGAGTCCCATTATTTCACTTCAAGGCATGGATGATTGCTCACTTATCCTCGGATGTAGGATGAAATCTACCTACAAGTGATCGCACACTCGGGTGAAGAATCAGAGAAAAAATACGCTGCCGCCGTGTTGAAGCTCTTGAAGAGGGGAAAACACTGGGTTCTTGTGACGTTACTTCTGAGTAACGTCATCACCAATGAAACACTTCCAATTGTCCTGGATCGCTCACTTGGAGGTGGATGGCCAGCTGTCGTGGGTAGTACTGTGTTGATTGGTAAGATCTGCTAGTTTCGTCTATCAAATCGTGCATGCTGACTAGGTGCAGTCATCTTCGGCGAGGTTGTCCCGCAATCCATCTGTGTTCGCTATGGCTTACCGATTGGAGCATGGATGGCACCATTTGTTCTGGTACTTATGTACGTCATGTCTCCAGTCGCGTGGCCTGTTGCCAAACTTTTGGACAGACTACTTGGTGAAGACCATGGAACTGTATACAAAAAGGCCGGCTTGAAGACATTGGTGACTCTACATAAATCCTTAGGCGCCGCTGGCGAACAACTCAATTCGGATGAAGTTACGATAATCAGTGCATGCTTGGACCTGAAGGAAAAGTCCGTTGGAACTATCATGACCCCAATGGAAGACGTCTTCACCATGTCTGCGGATACTGTTCTGGATGAAGAAATGATGGATCTCATTCTGTCGCAGGGCTACTCTCGTATTCCCATCCATGCGACCGACAATGAGCGAAACTTTGTCGGCATGCTACTCGTCAAAATGCTCATTACCTACGATCCTGAAGATTGCAAGATGGTTCGCGATTTTGCGCTTGCTACTCTGCCCGAAACACGCCCAGAAACTAGCTGCTTGGATATTGTCAATTTCTTTCAAGAAGGAAAGTCTCACATGGTTCTTGTATCAGACTATCCAGGCGAAGACCACGGGGCTCTTGGCGTCGTTACGCTTGAAGATGTTATTGAAGAGCTCATTGGCGAGTATGTTCTAACCCTCTCGTCTCGATCGTTTCGTTGATACTGACTCTTCCTAGGGAAATCATCGATGAGTCCGATGTATTCATTGACGTGCACAAGGCCATTAGACGAATGGCTCCTGCTCCAAAGGCACGAGTTCCGAAAGGTCGCATTGTTGAAGAGCCTCCTTCCCTGCCTGATAGTACGGTTGATGACCACAATGCCCATCTTGGCCTGTCAAAGATCCACAGTGCTGGTAGCGAACCTCGCAGACTCAGTTCAGGGGTGGTGCATCCCCTTGGGCCCAAGTTCACTCTTCGAAACAACTCAGGTGCCCCAGAACAACTGGTCGTAAAGCGAGGAACAGACGAAATCCGTGAGCATCTGAAACATCTCGGACCGTCTAACTTGGCCAGTCGGCCTCGACAAACACGGTATCAAAATGTCAAGATCAAAGCTCCAGGTACTTCGCCTACCCGATCAGGTATGACAGATTCAGAATCGGGAAGACCTGCGAGCACACATCGCAGACGTCCTTCCGAAGTTGTAAGTAACGGCAGTGGCGTAGGCTCCAAGCTTCTCCGATCATCTTCTTTCCAAGCTAAAGACGGCGTCTACGCTGTACAACAAGGCTATGGTACCATTGACGGGGCCGTCGGTTCGGTAATTTCTCCGTTGGATGCCAACCAAAAACAACAGACCCAAGATGTCATTACTGAATCTCAATTTGAGCGAGACAGCGGCATCTTGGCATCCTCTCCTGTTCGTACACCGAGAGGAAGTAAACCCAGTAGCATTTATTCCGTTGAACAGCGACGCGCGAACTCTTTCCGACACGGCCCCGCTCGAAGTGGAAGCATTACAGAACAAGTGATTGATGTCAACGGAGTCCGCAAAGTCGTTCTTCAAATGACCGGCAGCAGTTCATCCGGTGATGAAGACTCCACAAGTATCGACAGAACATCACCCACTTCACAACAGCCTTCTCCCTCTCAAGAAAGGGCAGAAACAATCTACGAACAAGCAATTGAGTCCGAGCACGACGGTGGGTCCGCTAATACATCCAAGAAGAAACGGCGAAGACGTAAGAAGAAGAAGCAAGGCAACGAGGATCTAGAGAGTGCGCCCTTGCTACCGAAGTGATCTGTATTTTGCTTTTTCATACTTGTATTTCAATGTGGGATATATGGAGTTTTCTGTGTGAATGTATGCTATCTGGCGAAACATAACATTGATATACTCAAAAGAAATATCGATGTGTTTACGGTCTCTTATCAGTTAGAAGCGAGGGAAAAGGGTTGTTTATTATCAGTGTCCCGAGGTCGCATGTGGCTAGCTGTGTGTAGCTAGGATCAATTGATTTCTACAGGGCAAATTCAGACATGGATGACATGTAGAGATCGCGTGGTAATAACTCTCTATCAATCCAAGAATTCAACACCATATGTACTGTGCTACATCGCTTTTCTTGTCCCATGAATAGATAATCATGCTTTCCAAACCGTTCTTCTCATCACTTTTCTTAGATCTTGCTTTGCATAACGAACTCCCTTGTATACCCTTTTCAGTTTCTTGACAAGATCGACGAGGTCGCGGGTGATTGGGTGTACAATCTTGGCTAATGAAAGAGGATCCACCATTGCCTGAACACTTTTGATAGTTGAGATATTGAGCAGCGAAGATAAAACCACTCTGAAGTTATTAGACAATGCTGGAAGAAAAGTATTTCAATGACAGAGTTGAAGTCACACAGGAGGAGGGGGGCTTATCATCTTAACCTGATATCAACGAAGCTGTGCCAACAACCCAAGAAGATCATCATGGAGAAGAAAAAAAAAATAAAAGAGATACCCAGTTCAGCCTCATCCTTGAATGATCTGTATGCATGAGATGCAAACGCTTAGCCTCAATTCTGCCAATGTCTCGCAGGCATCGCCGCGTTACTCATACACTTCATCCAATAGTGTCTGGCCACAGATAAAGGGACTGCAGACCAAGGTATATGTTATATACAAGCCCATGTAGCTCTTCTCTTCATTTCAAAAAATATTTTACGTAGGTTGAAACAGAAACAAAATTMCCCCGCCTCGTCTTCTCACACCTCAGAGACAAGGCTGACAATTCATACTTGCATGAACCAAATCCAGACACGAGAACGAACAAATCAACTTGACGGTCAGGTATATGCCGGAGCCTTGTCTTGAAAGCAGCCTTGACTGCATTTCTTTGGAGGACAGTGGCTGCGTCTGATACGTATAGCAGCCAAAACGTAGGTCAGAACTCAATATCATGACAATGCAGATTAGGGCTTGGGCTAACCATCTCCATCCTCTACCTAATGAATCTAGTGATTAAGTAGAGTTGAATTACTTGTAGCTTATTCCCACTCATATAGTATAATGAAAAACAGCCCCAATGATTCATCAATGTAGCACTTGAGAGCAGGCAGCTGCTATGTGATTCCTTGCAAGAAATAGATGGCTAAATTGCCCCGTAGCCCACCAAACACAAGGCTGGAAATCGAGTGGCTCTGACTTCTGGCGCTAAAATGGCGTTCATGATTGGAAGATCTCTTGCAGATGTTTATGTCCAATGCACGCGGAGTACCCTCCTCGTGCTCCTCGTTCAGAAAATCTTGTTCTTCCTCACCTGCGCATATATCAATGGGAGGCGGTGCCCTCCTTGTGCTCAGGTTTGGCAAGTACATTTACATTAGGTAGAAGTGCACTAGTGTTTCAAAAAGCATGAGTCACACCTCAATAGAAATGGAGATGCTACACCTCTCGGGTTCCCATTATGCTCCGGCCAGCACATGCCCAGAACAGTAATGGACTGTACAAAGGCCGTAGCAGTAGAAGGCACAGAGTGTTGAATGGTCTGGGAGCATGAGTCGGATATACATAATATAATATTGTGCAGGCTTTGGACGCTAGGCTTTATTGATTGGCAGTGATGGCTCCAATTTATGTTGGTGGCTGCGCAACGGCGCATACAGAGTCCGACGGTACAGCTGGCTGAACGCACCCCTTCCCAAACCAAAAGCCTCCAGGTTTGAACCAACTCGGGAACTATGCCTTACTTCCCGTTTATATGACCATGATGTCGACTAAGAGATCGTCAGGTACCTCTTTACTCTAATATACTTCTACACGAAATGGCTTTACCAAATGATAAACGCTTATGCAACGGAATTCCCATCGACCATCGCCTAGAGCGATTTCTGCCGAACGCGATGCAGAAGCATTCTGATGGAGTTGGAAAACACGCAGACATAGTTGAGGCCTTTGGCAATACCATGATCCGTGACGACGGGACTACTCCTAGTAAGCACGAAGCCGGTTTCGCCGCATGGCTTGCCAAACCAGACATGACAGGAGGTCTAGTCATTGCGCTGCAACAGCCAGCGAAATCACAGGTCTTCACTGCAGACGTTGAATGGGTCCGAGACGAATGTGATACACTGGCCTACCTGGACAAGTCGCTCACTTTTGTGAACGGCCCTGGAGGTCTGAGAACCACGAGCGTATTCGATGCGTTCCCCTTTATCACCGAACATATCTCTTCGAAAGAACTATCTGACGAAGCGACTCGTGCATATCACACATTTGAGTCCATGATAGCGGCAAAAAGGCCCCAGGTACTCTTTGCGTGCTGGCGAATACATGGCCGGAAGGATCTTTCCTTTTCTGGGAAAGGGGTTGGGAAGACCAAAGAGATACGTAGCTTGACGTTACCAAATGGTCATGTTGTTCGCGTTGTAAATGGGTTCCACCCTAGCTACATGGCCCATTACTGCCCGAACGAAAGCTGCTTCCGAAGACTCTTTGCTATAGAACTGTGCAAAGCGCTGTGCGATCTGCACTCAACTTGGAAGGAAGAGGACTGGATGGACGACCTTAGAAGAAGGTGCCAAAAGAGAACTTCTCAATTAATGAAAGGTTCGTATCACGATCACTCTCTGGTGGTATATACTAACAACTTCCTGCAGAGAATGGTAGAGATGGCGAGCAACTTAACACGGAACCGGGCCGCCAGCTTCGAAGTACATGTAGTAAGGCAAACAACACCGCTAAGAAATACGAAGCATATCGTCAATCCTTCGACAACGGCCTGAAGGTTCTCAAACAGATTTTTGACCATATGGTGTCCTCGGTGTACACTTATCAGAATTCATGGGACCTCTATAAATTCTTTGTCTTTGACCAGAATACATCCGAAGGCATCTGTGATGCACTGCTAGCCGTATCTGAGGCCATGGGGCAATTCGCACGCACTATTTCGATGCGGGAGTCTGCGGCTGTAGAACTAAGTAAGCATATCAGCCTGCAGTTGTTCAACTTCGTCAAAGACGACATCCCAGACCTAGTAAGGTATCCACGAGGGTTACATAAGAATCTATGGAAGAGCCGATATATGGAAAGTACATCTCAGGGATTGAAGCAGAGCATCGAGAGAATAACGATGCGGTTTTTTGAAGATCTAACGAAGTCGTTTTCGGAGCCGTCAACTGGATGGACGTATGATCCGACCATTTTGCAAGGAGCATTCACGGAACTTGTTGTTAGCTTCGAGGATGCTTTAGGCAGGGAGTATGATGACCATCAACAGACTGCAGCGGCATACACTGCGAATGATGAAGCTAATCTAAGCGCATCATTTAACATGCTATCCATCTCGAGCTCTCAACCAAGGACGCCAACGCCGCCAACAAACACAACCCCGTCATCGTATTCTTCCAGCGACAAGTGTTTTAAATGCGGTCAACAAGGTCATTGGTCCAGCTGGTGTCCATACCCCTCGAAAAAAGGCACTACGCCGTCCAAATTTTCTTCGAATAGGAGCTGCTACAACTGTGGTAACGGGGGTCATTGGGCGAGCAATTGCCCTACCCCCCAGAAAGGAAGAATCACACCACAAAGACCATCAATGTCGTCCCCGAGCTGGGACTGCTACACTTACGGCGAGCCAAGCCACTCGTCCAACAGCCTCCCCAGCCCAAATACCACACCTTCGAGGAAGCTTTCAAGTGATAAGTGCTTCAAGTGTGGCCAGATAGGTCATTGGTCTACTAATTGTCCATCGCGTCGACATGTTAGCGCAACACCGTCAAGTCTTACGTCCAGAGATAAATGCTTTGCTTGTGGCGCAGTGGGTCACTGGTCTGCCAATTGCCAGACGCGTAGAAATTGATAAAAGCCTTTTAGACGAAATAGATGTGTAGGTAAGAAAGGCAGTGTGTGCAGTGTGCAATAAAAGCTAGACTCAATTCATTGTCCAGTTCTAGCCGAAACAGAATCATGTCTCTGTCTTACTTTCTTATATGTGCTTAGAAATTACTCTTCAAGTCCGATTCTAGTACAGAATTGTGTCCCAACCCCTTACAGCTATAGATTCTAGATCAAAGATGTGTTGGACATTGGATAAAACTTGTAACTATCTAGCCTTGAAAAACATCTACATGGCCTAACGACTCAATTGATTGCGCTCTATCCACATTTTATTATCTAAAATTCTAGATAGCTAGAAAATATTCTTAATCTCTCTAAATAAGAACAATATTTTAAAAACTCTAATATAGTTATCTTGAAATTACTAGTAAGCTTATACATATCTAGACATATATTAATCATATTTCTAGTATCTTACCTGTTTTAAACATTATATTATATATATCTGATTTCCATGGACGTACATAGACTTGGGTTTTTTTTTCTTCTAATTTCCATGGGACTGGGACTGAAATTCTTTTAGTCCCATGGGATTTGCAGAGGTCTAATAGATCTATTCCAAACAAACCGTGAAAAAGCTAATGCATACCGAGGATGATTTTGTTCGAAGAATTTTTGGAAAACGAAAGAAATGTCATTCATCATATGCTATATATAAAAAGAAAAGAACCCATCCAATGCTACGCAGAAAGCACAAAAGCGATCGATCACTGAAGAAGGGGATCCTAAAATTAAAGTCAGCCATGGCCGTAATGTATATACCAAGACGAGAGTGACACATACCCTGAAATGCTTCTGGCTGTTCGCCTGTCTGTTAACCTTTGCATTGAATTTCCTCTCCTCGCGCTGGGCACGAGTCCGCTCCCTCCGCTCAATCGCCAAAGCCGCTGTTCTTTGCTCTGCAGAAGCGCCGGCGAGACCCAATCCGCCATTTGCGCGGGAAATAATGGCTTTGTGCTCGTTGCGTTTGATCGTCGTCTGTCCTTCATCCTCTTCATTCTCGTCTGCAGTTCCGTTCTCGATCGCTAGTTGGCGAGCAGCTGCCCTCTCCTCAGGGGTAGGGTAGCTGTGCAGATTCTGACGGTAGTATTTCGCCAGTGAACGATGACCAACACTACGGCCCGAAGGCAAATGGAGCTCATAATCCGTCTGATAGATAGGCTGAGAACCGCGGAAAGGTTTCCGCTCTGCACCGTCAGATCCACCGTCAACGGAGCTATCGTCTGTTTCCCAGCCGTCGGCGTCGGCGTCGGAGGACGTCACTGGAACACCGCCTGCATCGTCGGTCATGTCCTCATCCTCGTCCTCGTCATCGGAGTAAGTGCTTCTGAAGTCGTAGAATTGCCCGATTTCGACTTGCTCTTCCTCCGTCTCGAAGGCGATCATGCAGTGACTCTTGTCGCGCATGTGCGTGCGGATACCGGCGGCAGTGGTGCGGATGGCGTGGCAGAGGAGACATTCATGGTTGTCATTGATCTTCGCGTGCAGATATTTTATAAGACCATCAACGTCGGCCAAATAATCTTTCTCGGGCATGAACATTCCGTGGGTCTTGAACATGTGCTCAACGTTCGCTTGGACATCGGTGGCGTCTTCGAGGCAGAATAGACATTTTGTCGAGGCATATTCTTTGGCTGTCTCTTCTTCATCGTCTTCTTCCATCTCTTCATCTTCGTTAGCCGCCTCTTGGATAGCGGTATTCTTCAATTTCTCCGTAACATTCGACACCGTAGATTCATTATCGCCCGCCACGGACTTATCGATGGGATCACCCAGCGAGAATGTCGAGCCCACAACCGAAGAAGTATCGTCAGCAAGACCCTTCTTTTTCAACGCCTTTTCGCGAAGCTTGTGCTTGGAGCTCTGTAAATGGTTCTGGTACGAGTTCTCGCTATAAAACGACTTTTGGCAAGCGTCACATGTCTTTTCGAAGGAGGCTTTCGCAGCAGCGGCGGAGGTGGTTGCTCGTGCTGTCAGGACTTTCTCTGTGAAGACTTCCTGGGATACGGGGGGTAGAGAGGCGACTCGTCGTTTGACATTGTACAGACTTGAGAACGGATTGTTAGTGATAAGCTGAGCAAGMAGCGACCAGTCGTAGATAAACTTACTGCCAGTCTCTGCGCATGTGCTCTCTCTGAGCATCGCTAGTGCGAAATGCTACCAGGCACGCATTGCAAGTATAAGGAAGAGCGTCTCCCATTTTGTTGAAATATTCGACGTGATCGGACAAAAATGGAGGGGTCGGTCGACTCGCGAGTTTGCGCAGGTGGCTGTACCGGTATACCTCACGCAAATCGAAGAAAAAGTGCTATTACTTCAAGTTACAAATATATTGTAGCTAGTAAAATATGAACAGAGGCAAAATATATTCCTGTGTAGCAAGTTGCCCGCTTTGAAATCCGGCTCTGGGCTGGTCGATGACTAAGAATTGGCGATAATTTTCTTCTGTGGCTCTTCTGCGGGGTTCCGATAAGGCAGATCGCGATAAGGTCATGTGATACGTGTCACGATAAAATAAGATAAGACTTCGTTCTGTCCTCTTCTCTACTTGTTTTTTCATTTTTATATCAACCTAGTACTTCTTCTTCACTGACACTCCTCTCAAGGTAGCTGATCCCAAAATTGATCTCAGTTGGACTGTCTTCAGACAAAGTCTTTGGTGTCTAGGCCATTCTTTTTGTGGTTAAACAGGGTGTCGGCCATTTCTTCCACTGTGACTGACTTTCTGCCTAACAGCTTCTCCAGCATCGGATCTACATAATCAACCTCTCCTTGTGCCATTGCCACGTGCCAACTCGTCCAATTCGATAGGAATGTAGTCTGGTCAGGCGGTAGAGTACCACGGCTTGTGTGGTACTCGGCTGCTCGCTCAGCTCCGACTTCTTGAATATTTACTGTCCGGCCGCTATATGTCTGGTAAAGCTTGACCACGTCCTTGATTGTCAATAACTGCGGCCCCGTGAGAGTAATCGTTTTGCCCACGTATTCGCGCTTGTAAGCGTTAGCAGCTATCAGTATGGACATCATTACGTGCCAAAAAAGGCGACTTCACGCACCCAATCTTTGAGTATGTAGGCAGTGGCTTCGCCCAAATCCCGGCGACTAGCCCAGCTATTTGGCCCATCTGCAGGAATGACAGCATCAAAATCTTTCTCGTCTCCAAGTTGAAGAAAGCCAGCAAAGTTGTTCCATAAATGCGCATACGTCGCATAACGAATGATGGTCCATGAGACACCCGAAGACTTCAAATATTCAACAGTCTTAATATGGGCTTCCATCACCCCAGCAATACTATGGTCCCCATGTTCACCCCCAAAAGTCAAGGAGGTGTAGATAATATGCCTCACGCCAGCTTTCTTGGCAGCATCAATGGCATTGCGGTGAAGTTCGTATCTCTCCTCACCAACAGACGGGTAGGAAACAAGGAACACTGCCTCGGCACCATCAAAGGCACTCAACAAGGTGTCTGGTTCTCGCATATTGCCACGGCGTACCTCTACACCTGCTGCAATAGCCGCTTCAGAGTTTGTCTGACCACTAGCACTGGACAGACGAAACTCCTTTGGCGAAAGAAGCTTTTTTTGAAGGATTACTTCCAAGGCTACGCCAGCTAGGCCACCAGATGTGCCTGTTCGATTTTGGATCAGTACGTTTTGCTATTGGAAGTTCCGTTGAACGTCCGAGGGTACCATACCTGTTAGGACTATCATTTCGTTCAAGTGTCTTCTAAGATGATGAGCGGGACTGCGTTACACAGTGATCTGACCCAATTGTAAACATACAATTTGTGCGCATCCGATATTATTTATCCCCTCCAACGGAGAACACTTTGACATGCCCGCCTGACGCCGCCAGCATTTGAGATTACTCACCACATATTGCCAGAAAGAGGAAATGAAGCCACTGTATAGCTATCACTGGTGATTGATGTACTTCATGCTACGACAACTAGCTCAGCTCATCTGTATCAATTTATAGGTAAGTTACTCAGACGGGTCAGTGGCACCCACTGTCACTACGTTACACTAACAAGCATAAGAGCAAGAGCGAGTGTAAGACTGATTCCGACTTGAAAATAAATTAGATCTTACGCTATTTTATTCATTATCGACGTACGTACCGACGCACATTTGCTGCAACTTAGAGTAATAGAATTTTCGATACTGAAAACATCGCTTCTTACTATTAGCCATGTATCATGTCGCCGCGTAACTGCCATGGCGAGAGGGAAAGAATCAACAACATGGATGCATAAGCATGTACGCAACGCGCCGAAAAAGCCACATCGATGAATGCATCTCGGATTGAATGGCCATTACCAAGCTACTTTCAACGAGAATACTGAAGTGTATGCTACACAAATGCAGCGTTTAGACATCACAAATCAAAATCGTGGCTTGTCCGATTAAGCCTTTTTGAAAATTACCCGATTAGGCAAATGAAGTCATAATACCACGATTCGCCCCGGTACCATGTAATTTCCTAGGACGTCTTTATTTTGACGTAAATACAACCATCCCATAACACGTATGGTACGGAGCAAATATATAATACTTGATGGAAAATCTCTATATTATTAAGACTATCACTAGCAAGTTATTGGCTGCAAAAGTACGGCAGTTTACTGGATACCTGTACTACGCATGACAGTAAAATAAAAAAACGTACTACTGGTATGGAGTTGGAAGATTGGTAATCAGAGGATAAATTAACAATACTTCTATTTCCATCAATGTAGAGCCATTGCGGCGGCTTGGTGGCGTTTACTCAGTTGTCAACCTATATGTACGTACGCATCATCATCATAAGATGACAAAGTGCTTATTAGTAATAAGTGCGCCAGTTAACTAAGTATTTTGAAAGCTGGTTGCTATTCAAGAATTACCAGAATAGGCAAATGAAGCTATGACAGAAATGTATAGAAGCTCTTTATATACTGCTTGGTGTGATAATCTAGAAGATTTATAATCAGAGAACAGAATAACAAGGCTTCTATTCATGTCGCCGTGGAGTCATTGCGGTCCTTGACCTAGTATAAAGAGACCAGTTCTCGTCCATAGCAGGCTTAAGAGTTGTATAGGATATCAAATCTCACCGAAAATCAGCATTACACCACATTTCGCATTATCTCTTGCTTCATTTAAAAAAAAAAAAATTTCAAGCGCTGAAAGTTCTCTTAGCACTACAGGGACCATCAAAAGATGTCTAGTGGACTAGTCTTGATCACTGGTGGCTCTGGCCACATCGGATTCCAAGTTATCGTCAACGCATTGGAAGCTGGCTACAGAGTTCGCGCTGCAGTTCGCAGTCAGGCAAAAGCTGATAAAATCAAGTCAGCGCCGTCAATTCGAGCGATAAACCCACAGGACAGACTGTCCTTTGTGGAAGTCGCCGACCTTACGGCTCCCGGGGCATACGATCAGGCGGTGGAGGGTGTCGACTTCATTATTCACGTTGCTTCTCCTGTACCTTTTACCTATAAGGAAGGAGATGATCTTGCTGAACATTTTGTTGAGCCATCTGTCAAAGGCACCCTCGGGATCCTCACAGCAGCGCAGAAGACTTCGTCAGTCCAGCGCGTTGTGATTACATCCTCCGTCGTTGCAATCGTTCCTTTCGCTGATTTCACGTCCGGTAAAAGTGAAACCATATTTAACGAAACCAATAGAATTACAACGCCAACAAGTTTTGCGAACGTCTTCCATGCTTATGCCACGAGCAAAGTGGCATCTCTCAACCAAGCCGAAGAATGGATTAGCGAGAACAAGCCGGCATTTTCAATTATTCACCTGTTCCCTGGATACGTAATTGGGAAGGATGAATTGATCACGGACGTGAAGGGTGCGTTTTATGGGACAAATAAGGAGGTTTTGTTTCCTGTGACAGGCGGTGACAATGGCTTCACACCTGGTTCTTCCGTTCACTTGGCGGATGTAGCAAGAGCTCATGTGGCAGCGTTGAATCCACAGATCGTGGGCAATCAAGGTTTTATTCTTACTTCCGGTGGGTTGCGAGGGACTCATTGGGAGGAATCCCTTGATGTGGTTGCAAAGAACTTTCAAGATGCTGTCCAATCAGGCGTTTTGAGTAACGATGGCAAGGCAGGAACATTGCCGATCAAAGTTGATGCTAGTAATACTGAGAAGGCTCTGGGAATACGGTTTCGATCTTTTGAGGAGCAGGTGAAGAGCGTTGTGGGTCATTACTTGGAGCTCGTTGGAGCTCATTGAAGAGCTCATTCGACATGATGTGTACCTATGATATACTAGTAATATACGCATAGATGATGGATAATATTGAATGGGGTTTACTTCCAAATTATGGAGCTGTTATCTTTCCCCCGATCATTTGTATTCCACTTTGTATTGGCATTGACTACCACCGCGACTTTCAAGTATACAGTAGTTCAATTATCAACGTAACCGTGATATACGTTCTAATAAGCATGTAAAAATTACCATAGTTTAGATTAGCTGATATTGCTTACAATACAATACGACGAATCATGTCCCCAGTTTTTGGTGGCGTTCTGCATGCCTCGGTTCCCACAGGACTAATCGCTTTTGTAGACTATCCACCGCGAGCACCACAAAACTATGCGATTTGTAAGTCGTCACGCCCACTGATCTATCGTAATCTGCATCTTATGGCGGCTCCTGCAACCGGACTGATCATAAACTAACAACTAATCTGGCCAATCCATGTGCTCTGCACCTGACTGGTGCTTGTCTGTCCTGATGTTTTCCGAACACAAACCGGACGAACTACCGCTAGAGTTCATCACTGTAACGGATCAGACTATCGCTAATAAACCCAACCTAGCCTCTCGTCAGCTTGTACGAGCACAGGCACGGAAAGCGGGATATCGTAACAAGGGAAATGATACACAAGCGAGGTCAAAGCCTTCTGGTGGCAGAATAGGAGGGGCTAAGTCTAGATTTAAGCTCTCATCATGGAAAAGAAATGGTCCCAAGACTCCAAATGAAGAGCAGAGTACAGGCTTGGCGTTTAACGTATCGAACCAGGGAGACCATACTATTCCCAAAGACAACCGCATCGACTATACCACTTCACCAAGTACTCGGAAACTCACCGTCGAACTCGGTGCGATAAATATTCTACCTATTCCACTGAATACGATGACAGCGGAAATTTTATACTTCTGTATGACCCCCACCTGTATTCATCTATTCCGTGCTGAAGACTTAACACTGAATTAAGATCACTTTGAAATGCGCACCAACAGCTTTGCATTGAACCCCGATGGTGATTGGTACGACACGACTCGAAACGACGCCGCCGCTTTGCACGCGCTTTTATCCACGGTTGCATTACTTAGGCAACTTCAGCTAGGAATTGCAGATTCGATGCCAGTATTATATCATAGAAACGAGGCTGTACGCCTCATAAATGAGCAGCTTTCCCACCCGTCTCAAAGGCTCTCGGACTGCTTAGTAGCTGCAGTTGCCATTCTTGTCAACGCGGAGGTAAACTCATACTCTGTATTAACTTTCGAAGCGACCACGCGCTTCTAACAAAGTATTCCAATAGGCACTGGAGAGCAGCTTTGAGCGAGCATTGCTTCATATGCGAGGTCTCGTCACGATGGTTCAATTATGCGGTGGCCTCGAGAAATTTAACCATTTCCGGACCTTACAGAGAGTTATAACATGGTACGCTACATTCCCCTGACATGGAAATGAAATGGTTTTAAATAACATTTAATCAGGGCAGATTTTTGTTTCTCGTCCACGTGGTCTTCACCTCTCTCATTTCCCCTACTCGAAGCTCTCTCTCAGCCACTACTGCCAGTAAACCCGCAACCCACTCTGGGTGATGAGTTGCTAGTCATGGAAAAGAGTGTCTCAGGTCTGTATATATACGGACCTCGAGAGCCATTGTTACCAATTATCGACCTGCTACGATCAATCTCCCATGCTATCCTTCTCTATCCAAAATTCGGCGGTGACCGGACTGCTATCAGTAATTCTATTTATCTAGTGGAACATAAACTGCTTTGGCTGCAGGACACTCACTTCAAACAGCAGCACACACAAAACCAGGATCAAGTGGATATATCAGAGTGTGTAAGCTTAGCGGCTCTTCTGTACCTTCATCTTGCAATCCGTGAGTTGCCGCTGGAAGCAAATCGACATCGACGACTCAAGGAGAAGTTATTTCATTCTTTACCACATGCCTCCAATCTCTCCAGTGCTGTGGGCTCGGAGATCACGCTTACCCTATTTCTTTGGGCTGTTTTCATAAGTATGATTTCGGCTACTAGTCATGAATGGCGTGATATTCTTGCACAGCGTATGGGCGAGCTGAGCACCATATTGTGCCTCAAAAGCTACGAAGATCTTGTATCAGCCTTGAAGTCTGTTCTATGGTCAGATGCTCTTTTTGAGACCAAGGCTATTGATCTCTGGGGTCAAGTCTTCAAAACTATGCAGCTGTCCTCGTCCTAGAATATCACACATTGAATGGCCATGTATAAATTATTAAGTTCAAAAACATACTTATTATTAATGCTAATCAACAAGATCAAGAGAAAATCAAACTATTTATAATGTAACAATCAACTTCTGTCCGCTCACACCCCTGACTTGATCCATCACCTCAGGGATTTGCTCCAAGCCGTGTCCAACAACCTTGACCTCTGCTGGCAGTTTATAATTCCCACTTTCGATCAACTCTGTCAGAGCGGGGATAACTTGTTCACCACCAGGCATTCCAAGCAATGTCCAGCCACCAGTCTCGATCTTTGTGACTCCTTCTGGTACTGTGGCCGATTTACTTGTCACAAGTGCACCATATTTCTTGCTTCCATTGGGATCGAGAGTGTCGTAGATATCGGTTTGTGAAGCACCAGATCCTACAACATCAAAGATAATGTCGATACCGCGAGATTCGGGCGAGGCAGCTTTGATGTCTGATATCAAGGTAGGAGACTTGTAATCAAAGACTTCAGTGGCACCAAGAGAAAGTAGGCGATCATGATGTGCCGGAGAGCTTGTCGCGAAGATGGGTAGTGAAGGGTACGCGAGTCGCAAGAGCTGAATAGCACTGGCACCGACCACTGAGCTGCCGCCGAGGACGAGAATAGACTTTGGTTCAGGTTCGCTTTCTGCATTGGATGCACCCGCGAAGTTGGGAATGGCAATCTTGAGCTTCAAAGCAAATATGACGGAGATAGCAGCGTTGTAACAGATTCTGTGTAGATTTAGGGTTAGTATAAGGACTCACAATGATCGGTGGGAAAGATTACGGTAGAGATGCAGCTTCTTCTATGCTGATATTCTTGGGCTTCTTGGCGACGAACTTGGCTGGAACAACCACGTGCTCCTGGTAGGCACCACCGTGACCGGCTACAGACAATTCCCAGGCAAGGACTTCATCGCCAAGTTTGAGGTCTGTAACATCCGATCCAACAGCCTCAATGACACCAGCGCCTTCGACACCGAGAACATAGGGCCATGTCTGGATGTTCACACCAAGATCACGTTGTAGGGGGTCGAGACCGTTGAGGGCAATGGCGCGCTGGCGGACGAGGACTTGATCGGGGTTGATGCTGTGCTGGGGTACCTTTCGAACCTCGAATGGACCGCCTTTCTCCAAAAGGAGGAGCTGAGAAGTGGTATTGGTAGATGTAGACATTTCTGTTGATAGCTGATATCTGAGATGATATTAGAATGCGTGGAATTGTGTTTTGTTAGAGAGCTGTTTTGATTGAGTGTTGTTCTGTTCGAATGTTGTGTTGGGATGATGATAAAATAAACCCGATTCTCCTGGGTCAAATGCCCTCTTTTATACCTGAGATGCGACATTATTGTAGCTGACCTTCAACCTGATTTATCATCAACAGTTGGATGTTCTGGTCAAAAATATATTGCAGCTATACTACCAGACGTATACTTCACGAGCTTGTCTCTATCGGGTTGGCGGCGGCCGATGGGAGAACCACGGCTGTGATTGGATTCTGAGATCGTATTTAGGGTTTAATATGGGGTTTCGCGTGGGGCGTCTCAAAAGGGTAAGCGTCGGCCGCCTTCCAACGCTCACATAGTAATCTTCCTGATCCTGAGACCCCGCGATTATCTCCATCCATGCAGTCAAAATAGGCTGAACAGTGACAGGCGCTGATATTGATTGATAATTTGTCAGCTTCTTGGATGTTGATACGTTCTCTTAAACCAAATGGCCGAGACTGAGCGCGCTCACTTTGTCTGCCTCACGTGCAGCTCACGCAAGAAGGCTTGCGACAAAGCCCTACCTGCTTGTGGCCCTTGCGTAAAACGTGGCCTGTCATGCAAGTACGATCATTCTGGAAAGAAAGAGAAAAGCTCTCGTGCATACAATCCCGGTAAACATTTTGTGGCTTCCGATGCTTGGAGCACCCCGAGTAGTCAAGGTTCGGCCGCGCACAGCAGTCCGGATACTGTATCTTCGTCCGCTTCGATATCACAGTCGATTCATGATTCTCTGAATCAGCAGGTTCAAGATGTGATGAACTTTACAAATCTTACTGCAGACGATATTAGTCAACGTTATTTTCAGTCTTTCCACAGACTCTATCCTATAATCTCCCCCGAACTGTTCCAGCGAGTAGCGTCAAAGTATGCTCAGGGAGGCAATGTTGCGCCATCCACCGAATATTCTATCTTAATTCTAGCTATGTTTTTGGCAATCACTCTACCAGGCCATCACCGCCACTCGGCCTTCTCTTTAACTGGGCAGGAACAGCTCTACGTCAGAATCAAGTCTCTTCTAGCGCAAGTCCAGGCTGCTATATCCCCGTCATTGGCCTTTGTTCAGGTCATGTTTATTGTGACTATCTGGGAGTATACTCGTGCGCGCCCAGAAGCCGCATATTCTTCCATCAACACATGTGCTAGCTTGGCACGAATATTGGGAGTCGGCAATGAGTTGTTAGAGCAGCCAGGACATCCGTACAGCTATAAATTTGACTTGGTGGAGATTGAGAGACGAAATGTAGCATGGGCTATCGCATTATTAGAAAGGTATGTATGACGCGCTGAACTTAAAAGGTATACTAATCTATCTCAGAGTTATATTGGTCGAACTGAACAACAAGAATATACGCCCGCTCACACAATATCCTGATCTCGACTGTCAGCTGCCATCGGACTTGCTGCCATCAGATGCATATCCGAGCCCGTCAGTCGACTACCAGACCTCCATGTCAGCCACGCTATCTTATTTTGAGGCTGGAAATGTTAGCTGGTTTGGACGCCAAGCACAGGCAATATACCTTCTTGATCACGTTCTGGATATCGTCCGCTTTTTATCAAAAAATAAGAACATACAGGCTATACTTGGCGACGCCACGGAGCTAGAAATTAGGATCCGTACCTTCTTAGTGGTGATCTTGGAAGAGAGTCGCCGGGAAAACACTACATTGTGTAGTGCAGTAGCTTTCTCCATCAGGTACGGTTCCTCTCATAGATTGCGGATTATTAATTAAGTAATTGCGATTTATAGGGCACTCTTTCTGCTCCACTGGACTATTCTCGATTCCCTTCCAATGTCTTCAGACGTGGACAGCTATCAAATAAGAAACTTATCCTGGACCGCTCTCAACTCAGCCTGCAATATGACCATTGACGCCATAACCCACGCAGCGCAAGATCCTAGTGCTGCTGTCCCTATATGCAGTTTTTATATTCTCCAAGATTCCATTCGGTATCTGTCTGATCAGCAAAAGGTCATCGGAGATGAGGCAACTGTTAGCGATTTGACTATGCTGTCGCATGCCGACAAGGAGTATCGCAGTACATATGTATTTTGAGCAGCCTAATATCTTGTCTATGTTATATTTTAATGAACACATGATACTATATGTATGGTCATTGTAGGCTATGATTGGCTAGATCCGATAGAAGTCCGAAGCGGGTCGGACGCCTTACCCCATCCAGAGCGACGGCATCATCCATGGACGATGAGGCTGTACTCCTCGTCTCATTGTAAACACTCGCACTCCACGACCATCCATTTTATGCAGCACCCTCTGACCTATTCCATTCTCCAGACTTCTGACAACTACACACGCCATGCCTTTCGTCGGATAAAATGGCCAAAATGAGGGGAGGATCTTTGGATTCTAGGGATTCCTCTGCGGGCAGTCACATCCCTCGCCGCTCCAAGCTGCCATCACACTCTCCAGATATTATTATCAAGCATACCATCAGTGTGGACGATCCCGCCCAGATTCTCATCCAACACAAAGAAGAACGACGCAGAAATTTCAATACTTTGGTCCGCAGGTAAGTCCAGGTCCTGGCCTAATGCTATTAATCAGCCAGTGTTAAGGGATTGCTTTGGCAGGTACAAACACCAGATTCTATACGGTTGCGAAAACCCCAATTGCCGAACGCCGACCTGCTTGAATTATCAAAGACGAGTTTCAGAAGGACCGTTTCGACCGTATACCGAGCTCAGCGCGCGCACGTTAGCATGCTACTTGGCTAGTCAGGACAACCCGGAGAAGGCACTTTGTCGCAACCCACCACGGCCAACTGCAGACTTCTCGCCAACACGTCAACCACCCCATGTGGAATATAGGGCACATAGCGCAGGAAGCAAATCACAACGATTCGAACATACAGAAAATGAAGCGCATCCGGAGTCCGACCGGCATTCGTCAATTGCCAGCACAGCGCCTCCGCCGCCAGAAAACGTCAGACACTCTTCCCGAGATTCGCATCTATCTGGACTATCACGAACGAAAGACCCAAAGTCATTCACACAGAATCTCTTTGATACTTTGTCATTAAGAATGGTAGAATGGCTCCCCTTGCGCCAGACGACTACCGATACTCTAGATTGTGCAACTTCGACTTCCGTTCGTTCACACAAAAATCAAACACACCTAGGAGAATCCAAAGAACGCGAGAATGACGACAAGACACGACGAATACACACCCACATGACCAGCAATAGCATTTCCTCAACTGAACCAACAACCCCTTCGAACCGGCCAAAGCGGCGTTCAAACTCTAACCTCGACCGGAAGACTCCTTCACAAACGTTGAAGCGCGTCACACTAGAAGATACAGAGACATGGCGACCGGCGCCGCGGCATAGTACGGAATTCAAATCGCGGGACGGTCGTTCGACCACTCCAAGAGCCGTGCCATCGAGAACTTATTCTCAACACCATATTCCTACACCACCCCCTGCTCTTAAGCAGCGTGCAACAAAGACGAACAGAGTCACAAACGATCATACATCTAAAACACCGAAGCAAACCAGACGAGTTTCTTGGGACGGATCAAAGCTTTTGAGAGAATCGGCCGAACTCTCAGATGCAAACGATGAGACAGTAGAGAAAGCTACACCAGACTCTTTGTCGCCCGAGCTTCCGTATCTGAGGCCGCCTAGTATACAGAGTGTTCCGTACCAAGCGACATCAGTTGATACATTGAGCCACCTAAATGCGGAAATAGTGGACGGTTTGGCCCAGCTTTTAGCACACAATGAAGCAGACGCCCAGAAATGGAAAGAAGAGCTCGAATATATAAACACTCAAGGGAAGTTGGACAATCATAAATGGCGCTATGCGACGCTTCGCCAGCGCGAGGTATTCCCTTTCATTGCCCAATCGGTGTTTTACGGGTTGAATAGCAGTCGACAATTGAGAAAGTCCTTTCGGCGAAAACGCTCGCCGTCCAAAAACCCTCGAAAAACCACCGAGGGCATCACTGTCGATTTGCAGACTCTAGAGCCTACGCTACGAAAGTTGCAGGATATTTGTCCCAGCGATCTGGTTCTTAACAGTTTGTGGAACTCTCTAGAACAATTATTCATACCCCCTAGGGATATGCCTATAGCATTCAGAGCCAGTCGACGCCTATCTTACATTCAGCCAGACAGCCTATCACCCAGTGCATCACAAACCTCCACTCAAGACGAATCGCTTTCTGATACAGACGCAGCTCATATGCTTACAGTTGTATTCTTTGCACTCGTAACATTCCTGCCAAAAGTTGACGGACAAACTTGGCGCGGCATTCAACAAATACGCGAAGCAGGAACTGTATTGCCGGAGGCTCAGATGCAAAAGTTAGATGCTAAAAGTTCCGCTTTGGTTCTGTGTGTCACGGATAAGCTGGAGCACGATCTTGCTTTGCGACTTGTTCACCGCCTGGTGCGTGCTCTTACAGCTCGCCTAGCATTCCACGAGATATCCAAAGCCAAGACACTTCCCAGCCTGGAAGCCAAGAAAAAACGTGACAAGAGTGTCTTGGATCTCCTGTTTGACAATCTGCGTGAACATCACGAGTCTTTGAAGAAAGAGGCTGAAAGCGGTGGCCAGGCTGTCGCCCTCGATACGCCGGTTGCTGCAGCTATGATCGTTGAGTGGATTCGTACGTTGTTCTTCAAAGAATGGGATGGTAAGCCTGAAATTCCTAGATCGGAAGCAGCCGGTGGTGCAATTCAGATTCTCTCATCCATGTATAGAAATAGACAGCGACTTGGCCTTGAAGCAGAGGCTTTCTATACAAGTTTCCTGTCAGAAAGACTTGACGCAATGGAGATGCCTGTCGAATGGTTGAGTCGAGCTTCAAACAATCGAACCTTGCATCTCTTGTCATTCACATTTTTATTTCGACCTGCTGCGCTCGTCAAATACTTTCGTGCCATCAACTATGCGGCCATGTCAAAAGCATATGAAGCCGGGATGATTGCACAACGACAGGCAAGTCGGACAGCCTTTAATCGTACCATCCAGATTGCAGATGAGATCAATCTTCTAGCACGTCTACATACCTCCATGAATCAATATTTTGTCGTTTCAGTTCGTCGTGAGCATGTTCTGCAGGATGCATTCAATCAGATATGGCGCCGCGAACGTCGTGAGCTCCTGCGGCCTCTCAAAGTCAAGTTAGGAACGGAGCTAGGTGAAGAAGGAGTTGATCTTGGTGGTGTCCAACAAGAGTTCATGACGATGGCTTTTGCGGAGGCATTGAATCCTGAGCATGGCATGTTTAGCGTTGATCCTACTACTCGCATGGCATGGTTTCAGCCGTGTTCTCCTGAGAGCCTGGAGCATTTCGAACTTGTGGGGATATTGATGTCGTTGGCGGTATACAATGGTCTTACGATTCCCGTCACCTTTCCTCTTGCATTGTATCGCAAACTTCTCGATCTTAAAGTCAAGCGTACCGAGCATATCCAGGATGGCTGGCCCGACCTCGCCAAGGGATTGGAGAGTCTATTGGCTTGGAATGACGGTGATGTTGGGGACGTGTTTGTGAGAAGCTATGAGTTCAGCTTTGAAGCATTCGGTAGTGTGCAGACGGTGGACATGGAACGCACAGACAGGGATGTCGAGTGGCCCATGATTGAGCAAGTTCAGAGCCGAGAGCGAAGGCGCAGCAGTGTCTCCAACTATTCTATCGGGATTCAAGAAGAAAGAAACGCCAGTAACGAGACGTCCGAAGAACAAGCTGATAGCGATATCGGCTCTTTTCAGACCGGCATTCTTAAAGGCGCCGACTACAACACTTCTCTGAACACATTCACGCCACAGGAGGATACAGAAGAGTCAAGTCTCGTAACTAATGCAAACCGTGAGCAATATGTCAAAGATTACTTGTTCTGGTTGACCGATAAATCCGTTCGCCCGCAGTATGAAGCATTCGCTCGTGGATTCTTTACCTGCATAGACCGTTCATCCCTTGCCCTGTTCACACCAGAGATCCTTCAAACAGTGATCGAAGGTACACAAGAAATTGACATTGAAGAACTTCAACGCCATGCCACTTACGACGGAGGCTGGGACGGCAAACACCCTCTCATCATCGCATTCTGGAATATCGTCAAGAATTATTCTCGTGAGCAAAAGGCTCGATTACTCGAATTCGTCACTGCTACTGATAGGGTCCCGGTCAGCGGTATTTCCAGCATCAACTTCGTGATTCAGAGGAATGGTTCTGGGAATGATGTAAGTTTGTCCCTTTCGCCTTGTTAGATCAACGAGAGAACTGACAGATTATATAGCGTCTACCAACGAGTTATACGTGTTACGGTCGATTGCTTCTACCGGAGTATACGAATGCAACAGCTCTAGGGTTGAACCTGGACATGGCTTTGAAGAACTCCCGAGGATTCGGCAACTTTTAATCATGATGGACATTTCGGCATGGGTCTATTCGCAAGGCATTTTCTGAAGAGGTGGATCACTGCTATTGTAATATTAGACATGTTATCGAAAAATAATGTAAAATACCATTACAATCATTTATATACTAGAAGAATATTCAGGGATCTACTACCTACTGCTGTACAATGAGAGCCCCAGCCTCCTTAGTACGTCCGATTGTGAGTTTAGGGTTATGCGGGTTAGGGCATGCGGAGTTGACGCCGAAGTGGCCGGGGGACAGTTGGCCGACTGACTCACTCTTAGGGTTACTCCGCCTGGCCCACGGAGGCAAATATGGCGCGTTCGTTGGATGATCTCATACTCTGTTCCACCGTAATCAAAAAGAAGCTAGAAAAAGTTTTTGATGGAGTGTAACTTGAGGCATTTTGCTTTCGTTTTGAGTCATTGAAATTGTACATATAGAATTATCTTTTCTCAATCTGCTTCAATTCTTTCGACGTACATCGCCTCCGCTATTGTAATTAATCCCGCGATAACCCCGCGACTTCTATTGAAGAGCTTCATACTTTGCGACGCCATGGCTCCCATTGTTCATTTCGTGCGACATGCTCAGGTATGTTTCTAACCCTCATACAGTTCAGTGCAGTCGCCTAATCCAATGCTGATAGGGCTACCACAACCTCACAACCGCAAACCACGTCCTCCCCGATCCCGAACTCACACAGCTCGGCGAGCAACAATGCGCAAAACTCAAGGAGGCCTTCCCATACCACTCTCAAATCGAATTGGTAGCTGCCTCGCCATTGCGCCGAACTATTAATACCGCACTACTCAGCTTCCAGCCCGTTTTTGAGGCTCACAAGGACTTCAAGATCCTGTGTATCCCTGAAGCGCAAGAGACGAGTGACGAGCCTTGTGATACTGGCAGTGATCCGGCTGTGTTGCAAAAAGAATTTGTGGATCGTGGGTTACCGGTGGATATCTCGTTGGTTCATGATGGTTGGAACAGCAAGGTAATCTTTTTTGCCTCTGTATGAAATTGTAGATTCAGAATGCTGATATTCGAATGCAGAAGGGTAAATGGGCACCCACTATCTCTGCTCTTAGGAACAGAGCCCGTGAGGTTCGCAAATGGCTCAAATCGCGGCCCGAAAAGCAAATCGTCCTTGTCACTCATGGTGGCTTGCTTCACTATTTGACCGAAGACTGGGAGGATGGTAGCATGTACCAAGGTATATCACCGAAAAGTTTTCCATCGGGATATAAAGAGATAAAGATTGCTAATAGGTCTCCCAGGCACCGGTTGGGTAAACACAGAATATCGCACATACAAATTCTCCGACTCCATCGATACCGAGGACATCGAAGGCAACAAAGTGGAAGGAGGCGATGATTTCACAATCATTGAGACACCCGAATCCAGAGAGCGTCGTGGTAAGCCTGCCCAGGCACCTTCACGAGCAGAAGAGAAAGTTCTCTACCGCAAGGGTATTGAGGGCTGGGAGGCACAAGGATTGCAGCCCAGTTCGAAAGATCGCGAGGCTGGCAAGGTGTCGGGAGGAGAGGAGGTTAATGGTAGTCGCATTTAGATTTGCTGTTTCCGAGTTTGTTTGGATATAAATAGAATAGACTATGCGATGGGTGTTTATTAGACAGAATATTCAAATTAAATATATGAGGCGAAAGTTCGCCCAAGACTGATACCGCAGGCATTCATACCATTATTTTCCATATTAGGAAATAATTGATCAGATCGAAGATGACGATTCGATAAGATCACACAATGTTTCTGATACAAGTATGAACGATGGTTTAGTTAAAAAAATCTACATGATTGAGGCTCTATCATAATGCATATCAATACAGCTACCTGGCAGGATACCATCCAGGACTAGACACGTCCTCCCTTATATCCCACACTTTCTTTGCTTCCTCCAGAACACCATCCAGGTCCACATCGACGACATCTAGATGTTCCTTCCCATTCAACCTCCCAAAGATACCCTTGAAATGCATTATAACCTAGCTTGCGCCAGAATATTCATCCCCATATGTAGATATTGGTGTGTAAGCTCAAACGAACATTTGAATGAAAAGCTAGAAGGTTTTTGGAGACGCGACCATCACGTCTTGACCAGATTAACTTTTAGACAATATAAATGATAACAGACGTTATAGAACAACAAGAACTATGTATTCTTACAACAGAAACGGTAGTATTTCAACGTACGATGTCGTGAGCGTGTTAGAGCTATCCGCTCCCTAGCCCTAACAGGCCGTTTCTCGAACCTAAATACTGAAGCATGAAATCTTATTTTAATCCCCCATCCTATTCTATGGCCTTTGAGTAGTAATAGCAAATAGAAAGTAATCATAAATGAACAATGAATAGCGCTTTCTCAACCCCCCTATGTGGTCGGGAAAGATTATATGGCCTATCTAGAATCACCAGCTAGTCCAGACCACACATACTTGCAGTTGATTTGATGAAAAGTAAACTCGTTGTAAGATACGTGGTGTTCCTGGAGGTCTCTGAAATGACTCGCCTGATTTTCTCCTTCTGCGGGGAAATACGTGCGACGAGTTGAAGTTTGAAGATAACCATTCGGCATTTCGGATTCTTATCATGAACTCTATCACCCCATCTTTCCCTAACTAACCCCCACCCATAGTACCCTTTAGTTGTGAGTCGACACGACAGTATTAAGGGAGCTGAATAGGGTACTTGGAGGCACTGTCATGATATTGATATCATGGTTCTACGGCACAAAAACAAGCAGGAAGAATCCATTAGGGTTGCGGTACGAATAGCGATATAGCAACATAACGAAGCAAACCAACCGAAAAGAAGCAATGGCGATTGCAAGCGCTCCTCCAATTCTAGATTTCTCTGCATACTACGGTGATGACGAGATTGCAAGAGCAAAACTAGTAGAAGAAGTGCGAAAATGCTGTCTATACAATGGGTTCTTTCAAATCAAAGGCCACTCAGTTCCATTGGAATTGCAGCGCCGCGTAATGAAGTGCGCCAAACGTTTCTTTGATCTACCTGTGGAGGAGAAATTACAGATTGATAAAAGTATTACCATCCAACTTAGGTTGACAGATAGAATTGCTAACTAAACATCGCAGATCTTAATACCTTCAATCGAGGTTACGAACTTCTCCGCTCGCAGATGCTTGAAGCTGGAACCGGGCCCGAGCTCAAAGAAGGCCTGTATATCGGTGAAGAAATTCCAGAAGATCATCCCTACTACGTCCAGAAGAAGTTGAATAGTGGTCCAAACCAATGGCCTCAGACCATCGCCGACAAGGAAGAGTTTCAAAAAACAACGATGGAATACTATCACGCAGTGTATGAATTGGCAAAGGATGTACTGTCTGTAATTGCTCTGACACTAGGAGTGGATTCATCGTTCTTCAAACCTCTTACGGATGAGGCAGTTGCTACTATGCGCTATTTACACTATCCTGCTCAGCCGAAGGACCAGGATGAAAAGCTCAATCGTGGAATAGGGGCCCACACGGATTTCGGGTGTGTCACTCTTCTTCTTCAGGATGAAGTAGATGGTCTGCAGGTTCTGGACGCGCCCTCTGGGCAATGGTTAGATGTTCGTCTCCTTTTCAGAGAGTCTACGTGTTGAACAAAACAGCTAATGTTACAATATACAGGTTCAACCCGTTGAAGGAGCCTACGTAGTAAATCTAGGCGACTTATTTATGCGTATGGCCAACGATACATACAAGTCAAACATTCACCGAGTTATCAATAAGTCCGGCCGCGAGAGATATTCAATTCCGTTCTTTTTCAGCGGAAACCCGGACTACCTTTGCGAGTGTCTACCAAATTGTCGCGCTCCAGGGGAAGCAGCAAAGTATGCCCCGATTACAGTTCAAGATATGGTCACAGGTGCATACAAAGCAAGCTATGGTCGAGCGGAGCAGTACAAAAAGGAGATGGAGAAAAAGAATATGGCTTCCAGCTCAATTACAGCATAATCTATAAGCCCTCACAGAACTCGATATTCCGCTCGGATGCAATAGCATCTATTATACATATCATGTACAGATTAGAATGAAATAATATCTCGCTGTGGTAAATGACCTTCTATCTATTCATGACACCCAAAAGTGGGGAGATGATCCACATATTATCGTAACTTCTACACCCACCAGAAGAAATAGAGCTAACTATCGGCCGACTACATCAAGCCATACTAAGTCACTTTCCATACCATCAACGGGGACTTATTGATCTCAAAGCTGCTTTCCATCAGAGTTTCTCTATTCCGGCAATGGATAACCCTAGGACATGGGAGGAAATTGTCTCTCAGAAAATCAAGCTGCGAGATCAAGCTCTACAAGATTATTTGGTCAATGATACAGATCAGCGTATTCCTTCCATTGCCAATGTGGATAGACGATCTTGCCTTGCTGGCGAACCCATTGTTCAAGAAATAACGGATATCCGCAGTGTGCCAAATCTCTTGAGTTTGCTTCGCGAAAGGAAATACACGGCCGAGGATGTCGTTACAGCATACATCAGGAGGTAATCTAGAAAGTCTTGCCGGCAGTATTGCTTAACTGATCTTGCTGACACTTCACCTTGCATAGAGCCGTGGTAGCCCACCAACTCGTAAGTCATCACTTTGTATATTCCACAACAATACTGAGTCCCAAAAGACAAACAGTATTACGGAAGTGGTCTTCGAAGGCGCCTTGAAACAAGCCAGAGAATTAGATTCCAATTTCATGAAAACTGGAAAGCTGAAAGGCCCATTACATGGGATACCCATTACGCTCAAAGATCAGTTTGACATTAAGGGTGTAGATTCGACCTTGGGTTACGTTGGTCGTTGCTTCCAGCCGGCCACTGAAGATGCCGTTTTGGTACAGCTACTCAAGAATATGGGTGCTGTCATCATTGCAAAAACCAATTTGCCGCAAAGCATTATGGTTCGTATCCATACGCTGATATCTTCTGCGTCAAAGCTATTTACAATTATAAGGAACATGCTGACAACGGCTGCCAAATTTTTTAAAATGCATAGTGGGCAGAAACTGAAAATCCCCTCTGGGGACTCACAGTAAACCCACGAAATCCCGAATTTACTTCTGGCGGTTCGACTGGCGGCGAGGCTGCATTGCTAGCGTTACATGGCTCTATCCTTGGCTTTGGGACGGATATTGGAGGCAGTATCAGAATCCCTCAAGCTATAAATGGGTTGTATGGTTTCAAGCCTAGCGTACGTCTTTCAACTTCTACTTTCCGCTCAGGGAAATCTAATCGTCTCACAGAGTCATCGACTCCCGTACTACGGGGTTGCTGTGTCTACTGAAGGCCAAGAGCATGTTCCTTCCTCTATTGGCCCAATGGCCCGTGATCTTGAGACCATTTGTTACATCAGCCGCTCGCTTGCAGACAGCAAGCCTTGGGACCTTGATCCGAGATGTTCGCCACTTCCCTGGAATGAGAATGCTTTTGAAGAGATTCAATCTCGACCTATGGTAATTGGTTTAATAGTTGACGACGGGGTTGTAAAGATACATCCCCCAATTGAGCGAGCCCTTCTTGCCCTTGCGGACAAACTTCAGGCACAAGGTCATGAAATAGTCGAGTGGGATACGTCTGATCACTTGCAATATATGCAACTGATGGATCGTTACTACTCGGCGGATGGTTTCGAGGATGTTATACGTGATGTAACTCGTGCCGGGGAACCTTTTATACCCCATGTCAGATCCTTGATATCCCGTGGCAGTGCCATATCCGTCTACCAATATTGGCAACTTAATAAGGAAAAGTTTGAGCTTCAGAAGAAGTATTTGAGCAAATGGAACAGTATGCGTTCATCTTCCGGAAAGCTTGTTGATGTGCTTCTCTCGCCTGTGCTGCCGCACGCTGCGGTCCCTCACCGAGCGCTCCGATGGGTAGGATATACTAAGGTTTGGAATCTGCTGGACTATCCAGCTATCTCATTCCCTGTCGATGAAGTTAGGAAAGGTGTTGATAGTATGCCGGACGTTCCTTATTCGCCGAGGAACGCAAACGATGCATGGAATTGGAGTCAATTTGATATTAACAGTATGGATGGTCATCCTGTCAACTTGCAAGTCATTGGGAAGAGATTCGAAGAGGAAAAAGTGTTAGGAGCTACTACAATTATTGAGAAAATTTGGAAAACAGGGAATTAGGTTACGTTTGATGCCCCTCGGAAAGTTCCATGGGCTTTAATACGTAGACTTATCATTGAACCTAGTTCGAAAAATAGTTAACAGCAGGTTATATCAAAATAAAAGACAAGATGGATCAACTGCTACTATCAATAGCTTTTATAAGGTGTGCCTTTCAAAATGACTATCATGTTTCTACCTGATCGGTAACTATATGATGGGATTAACGGCGGGKAGTTTTGCGCCCTGAGGAGGKTCATTCTTCTTTTTGAATTCATCACACATCTGTTCAAATGTCACCCATTCCACGCCTTCATGTTTGTTGATGTACTCGATGATTCTACAAGTTGCATATTAGTCCTATACAGCCTCGGTTTTCGACGTAAATCGCTCACCTTTCGTGCATCAGAAGAACATGTGGTCGTCCAGACACATCCGGGTGAATTGTCATCGGAAAAACAAACTCGTCGTATTCTCGGTAGAAATAATCGAAATGATCCTAAAATGCATTACTTTTAGTGAAAAGCACATCTTACGAATGACTATGATTTTATCCTACCTTCCAAATGTCTTCAATATCACGTGGATTGACCCATCCATGACTGTTTGCAGAGTTCTTGATAAACATCATCGGTGGTAGATCGTCGATATACCAACTGCCTGGAATTTCCACCAGTCCGGTAGTCTCGCCCCGAACCAAAGGCTTCATCCACGTCTCCGCCTTTTCGTTGTAGTTGATCTTTGTCCACGAGTCTCCCGTTCTCAACCAGTACATCTGACAGTCCTCATGCGACATCGAGTGATCATACTCAATGCCATAAGCGAGCAAAAGTTCGACCATTTCCGCGCTAGACTCCCACCACGGAGCTACAACTCCTCTTGGAGGCTTTCCACAAAAATCCCGGATCATCTTATATGTCTTATCGAGGATGTCTTTTTGTTGCTCCTTTGTCATACTAGCTGGGTTCTCATGTGAGTAGCCATGTAGCCCGATTTCGTGGCCGGCATCGCGGACCTGCGCACATTCTTCGGGGAATGTCTCTAGGGAATGGCCGGGGATGAACCACGATGCCTTGATGTTGTATTTATCGAACAATTTGAGGAGTCTCGTTGTTCCGATGTGTCCGGCCCAAAGTCCGCGACTGATGTCGCTCACGCTATCCTCTCCACCGTACGAGCCTAACCAGCCCGCGACTGCATCAATATCGACACCGTAGCCGACGAGAACACGTTTTTTGCCCATTTCTGGATCGATTGAGTTTTTCTAGTTTGGAATTGCTGAAGTTGGTCGAAGGGGAGAGTCAAGACAGATTGTAAAACAAAAATTGGAGTATGGTCAAGCAAAGCCTTCTCCAACTTTAGGGGGGTATGGTGAGGGGTAAAGGGTTTCTTATCGGCAGATAGCCCCCATCATTGTAGAGTCTAGACGCAAAGATGGGGGTGATCCGGCCTAATTTTTAGTTCGGTAGATTTAGTGACCTTCGTCGGGGGCGTTCTTAATTTGACTGGGCCTGAGCTATGCTTGGAGTTTGCCAGCAGGTCTGAATCCTACCTCAGGAGGCGTCAAGGTCTCAAGGATGCTACTTTGAGTTCAAGTGGCCCATGTGTTACATTTGACTGTAACATGGTTTTACGTAAGGCCAAAGGAACGTCTTTTCTCTAGGATAACTTTCTGTTGGTAATGCTTCACAGAACAACCATAACCAGGAATTCTAACCCTAAGGAGATTTCAATCATTCAATTATTCATATCGCTGAAGGTTGACAGAAAACCCTCAAACAATTGACCTCGGCATCATAGTTTAGAACATGGTATACATTATTCAATCGACTAACAATATCTATAGTCGAGAATCTGCCAATATGATATCACTCTTCTGTCCAATACTCCAACGGCGATCCACCTAACTATTATTAGTTACTTCGACATAAAATTTGCAAAAAGAGACTCACATCTGCGATATGATCGTAGCCCAGTAGTTTTGGAGCTAATCCAGGATCGCGCCAGGCCAATGCCTCTCCCTCGGGCGTAGGTATCATTTGCATTTTGCGATCCCGTTCCTCTTGCTCCGGACCATCGTGGAGGTGGTACAAGTATTGTTGGATGTTCCCTCGTTCAACAACCATTTTTGTACGCTCCTTACGGCACTGCTGGAAGATGGATAGAGCATGCTTCTTTGCAGTCACGAATTCAGGTGATAACTTCGAGATATTAGGATGATTTGGAAGTAGTGAGAGACATTCACCGAGGACAGCGCCATCTTCGAAGGCCATACCAGCTCTATGTAGATTAGGATTTCAGCCAATGCTCGAAAATTGACCTTATAATAACTACAAAAATTGGGTGGAAAACATACCCTGAAGCCAGATATGGTAGAGTGGCATGCACAGCATCACCAAGCATAACCCAGGATCCAGATTCATGAGCCCAGTCGAATTCACCAAATCGAATACATAGCCTCCATTTCTGCACCGACTGACAAAGTTTGAGTAGCTTTTGAATACTTCCAACATAATTTAGCTTTTTTTAAATATCGGAGAGCCCAGTACAGCTTACCGTGGATCCCAGCCCTCGAACAAGGCACACATCTCCTCCACACTACCTTCTATGGTTGATGCTTGAGCTTCAGGAATGTCGTCTGGCACCAGCAAAACCATGTTGAATAAATCACCGCCACGAAGGACATAGTTGACTATTAAATTAATTACCTATTAGCGAAAGTGATCAGAAGAAAGATAGGAGGGAACGAACCTGCATGTGCATCAGGCCCAAGCCAGTAATTAACTTGCGGCTTATTAACGAAGTCTGCCAGCTCCGGATCTTTTTTCATTTCTTCAGTCGATAATAGGAGGCGATACGCCAAATCTCCCGTCTTGACTGGCGGATCGCTGCGTCCCAACAACTCCTCCGTTAACTTTCCAAATACCCCATCAGCGCCAATTACTAGATCACCGTCCCACTCCCTACCATCTGCTGCAACTGCAGTTGCTATTGTACCATCTTCGCTCACGCGAACCGTCCGTATGCGAGCACTGCACGTTATTTGTACTCCGAGCTCTACGGCTCTTTCCACAAGACAACGCTGAAGGTCGGCACGATGGAAGTCTCGATACCATGTTCCGGGATATTTGCTCTCGGACTCGTGAAAGTCCAAATGAGAGATCTTCTTACCCTTCCATCCAATAAAGTTGCAAACACTCGGATAGGTCATATAAGGGGTCAACGCTTTCTCTAAGCCCCAATGCTGAAGCACACGCGAACTGTTGGGAAGGACCTGAATACCAGCGCCGACTTCTTTTATCTCCGTTGTGCCTTCTAGAACATGAACTATGTGCCCAGACAGGGCGCAGCTGATCGCGGCACCCAGTCCAGCCAGACCGGCTCCAACAATAATAATGTGTAGCTGGCATGACGGAGAGCGTTCCTGTTGCTGTTTGATGTGAATTCGGGGCGCCATTCTAAAAACAGGTGAGTTGATATGTGAACGCTGTGCTGCTAATAATTGATTGTTCATTCATTAATTATATCTATGAAGCTATATAAGAATCATGAATTATGATAAAGACTTGCGTGTATACAAGAATGGGGGCGGGGTTGACTGATGCATACGATCTGGCCCTATCGCCACTATGCAACCTATATCTGATGGTGGTACAAACTATCGGTTTGAGCTTGTGTATGATCAAGAAAAAAGATTTCACACTTTCTATAGCAGTCTGAAACATGTCGAAAGTAAGTCTTCCCAACAACCCTTTATGGTCTGACTGACATTATAGTTTTCGCTCCATGGTCGAACCGCGCTGGTAACGGGAGGTGCTCGAGGATGTGGATTGGCATTTGCACGCGGATTGGCAGAAGCTGGAGCAAATGTCGCTATCTTCGACGTAATTGAACCAGACGCCGCATTCTATGAGATCGAGAAGGATCATAAAGTTCGCACAGCTCATTACAAGTTAGTACTCTACTTCCGTTTATCCAACATGCGTACTCACCACCAAAAAGGGTTGATGTGTCGTCCCCAGAATCCCTCGAAAAAGGCTTCGCCGACTTCCAACGCGATTTCGATAATGCCCTCGACATCTGCGTTCCATGCGCCGGAATCAACCGCCATCTCCCTTTCTTAGAATTCACTTTCAAAGAACACCACGATTTGGTCTCCGTGAACGTGTTAGGTCTATATTTTACTGCTCAGGCCGCGGCAAAACAGATGATTGCGAATGGAACAAAACATGGTAGCATCGTCTTGGTAGCAAGTATGGCAAGTCATATCGCTGTAAGGGATCAGTTGTGCAGCGCCTATTGCGGTACCAAAGGTGCTGTACGATCCATGTGTCCGGCAATTGCGAAAGAGCTAGCACAATATGTACGTTCATCGTCATGGTTGAATTGTAAATTTTTTTTTATCTGAGGCTAAGAGGCAATTAGGGCATCCGGGTCAACTCAGTCTCACCTGGATATGTGCGAACGGAGATGACAGCAGCCGTGAGTTGCTACGAAAAATATTTGTCTGATATTCAGGCTGACACATTTGCTAGTTTTCACATCTCCTTCCAAAATGGGAGTCGGAAGCCATGCTTAACCGCATCGCCGAGCCTGAGGATATTATGGGAGCATGTGTTTTTCTTGCCAGTGATGCAAGCTCCTACATGACCGGACAGGATATCATCGTAGATGGGGGAGTCACCCGATGGTAGATCAATAACAAGAGTGGGGGATTCGATGCAACTAGTGGTTATATGGGGGTCAGGTTCATGCTACATACTTCACACTTGCTCCGCCAGCTGCATGATGGCTATGTGTTTCATAACTATGTAGTGCTGGCCGCTTCGGTAACTTTTGTGCGAAAGAATAGAAAAATAGATCATCTTTTATCGAAAATGGCACCCGCTGCAGAGAACGAAGGATACAGTCTTAATGGCGCGATTGGTGCTTCGACGACAGTTGTTGTCGTCGGCGCCGGGCCTGCGGGCTTAATGCTAGCGTGTGTAAAAATCTATATGCTCGTCATGATATGTCTACTGATCATCAGTCTGCAGATGTAATCTCGTGCGATTCGGTATCGATGTGATTATCCTAGACGACCGACCCGAAAAGACTTCGGCTGGCAAGGCAGACGGCATACAACCTAAAACCATTGAGACCTTCAAGCAAATGCGGCTTGCTGACTCTTTATTGAAAAATGCCGCTCGTGTTTATGACATCTCTTTCTGGGTAAATCCATAACGCGTTTTCATGCGGTCGATACTGTAGCTGACTGCGTCCTGTCAGCAATCAAAGCCGGAAGCACCACTCAAAAGGACCGGGCGACAAATTCACTACCCCGATCATCTCGTTGGAGCCTCAGATCCGTACATTTTGCTCGCGCATCAAGGCATGGTCGAAGATCTCTTCATTGACGACATGAGCTCGAGAGGCGCTTTCGTGACAAGAAACAGTCGATTCATTTCTTGCTCACGGGTGGCAGGCACTAAGATGTTGGATGTGACATACGAAGATACCCTCAGCAAAACTATCAAGACTATCCGAACCGAGTATTTGGTTGGATGCGATGGTGCTCGGTCTAAAGTTAGAGAGTTTATCCCGAACGCCCAATTGATTGGCGAGATGACCAACGCCTCATGGGGTGTACTCGATGGTAAGTATTCAATTAACAGTACTTTGATTTAGCGATGCTAAAATTAAGTAGGTGTCATTGATACGGACTTTCCTGACTTATGGAGCAAAGTTGCTGTGCGGTCTCATGTGGCCGGATCAATCTTATGGATTCCTCGAGAACGCAACTTGACTCGATTATACGTCCAACTCAGCGAGACCGATGGCGAACGAGTCGATAGACTGAAAGCCACACCAGAATACGTTATGCAACGTGCCAGAGATGCAATGTATCCGTTTCGGCTTGAGTGGAAGACAATTGAATGGTTTGGAAATTATGTCGTAGGCCAACGAGTAGCAAATCATTTTATGGATTCAGATGCTAGGATATTCATTGCTGGTGATGTATGCTTTTCAATCATACCCAACACTAAACCTGAGCCAGCAAGCTAACAATCAACAGGCTGGACATTGTCATTCCGCCCTTGCAGCCCAAGGAGCAAATACAAGTATGCACGACAGCTTGAATTTGGCATGGAAACTCAACGCTGTTATTCGTGGTATAAGCAAGCCCTCGCTTCTAGCTACCTATGAAGAGGAACGACAAAAGATTGCATATGATCTCATAAACTTCGATGCAGAACACTGCAAGGCTTTTGCTGCCGGTGATGCTGCTCTAGCCAAGAACTTCGATGATAACATTCGCTTCATCTCTGGAGTAGGTGCAGAGTATTCAGAGGGAATGCTTAACAGGAATAAGCATAGCATCCCAAACCGCCTACAGCCTGGGGCTCTTCAAGTCCCAGCAAAAGTGACTCGGTACATTGACGCCAACCCAGTGGACATTCAACTAGATATTCCCATGTTAGGGCAATTTCGGATATTCTTCTTCGCCCCAGATGCCCTAGCGGCTCTTCCATTCTTGCAATCCATTTGTGACGGAATTGATAATGGTAGTCCAATGGGAAGAATAGCATCACAAGCAAGCCAGTCTTACCTAAAGCAACCACGACGAGAAGCCCCATCAGATGCGTTTGCAAACCATTCGAGGTACACCGCTGTATCTGATGCCTTCACATTATCCTTGGTGACAAAGTCTCCCAAATCTCAATTTGAGATTGCGGACTTGCCGAAGCTACTCCAAGACAGTCGCTGGACATTGTACCTTGACGATGTTGATACATCAGGATGCACCGATAAGTGGTTCGGAGCTCTGCAAAGTACACAGTCTGGAATTGTCATTGTAAGGCCAGATGGGTATGTTGGGGCTATTGATACGTGGGAATTTTCAGCCAGTGTTGAGGCAAAACGATGGTTAGAGGAATATTTCGCATTTCTCGTGTGAATATAAACAGCCAAAGCATTAAGAAAGGATTTAGATATTTTCACAACTTCTATGAGAGGACTTCCTAGGGTGTTTCTTGCCACGTACATCTTCGAGACCTGTCAACATTGACGCGGATCATAAGCTGATTTAAAGGATTCGAAGAAAAGTCATAAATAAAAAGCGAGAGAGCATCGCATGAAGCATTTTATTGGCTATAATTTGTCAGTGATAGGGTGGGGGATCGATGTTTTTTCGTTGGCCTACATCGGCATTGTACTGTATGGTGGGGGTAGGGCTATGTTGGTGTACATCAAAGGTGAAGACTACTAACTTTTTAGCTCCACTGTCATCCCACCATGTTACATGGGTAGCTTCGCAAAAGTCAAAGTTTAATTGCGATTGGAAATTAGTTATATAACGGCATCAGGCCTGAAAACTTGCCTGGCAACAAACATCGTTCGAACATCAACTGCAATCTCTTCAAAATGGGTTCAATCGAGGTTTCTAGCTCACTTTTCCAGCCTCTCAAGCTAGGTGCAGTGACCTTGGGTCACCGAGTTGTGCAGGCTCCTTGCACTCGTATGAGAGCGACCAAAGAGTCAGATGGAGTCTATGTTCCGAACGATCTAAATGTTGAATACTACGGACAGCGTGCTTCCCAAGGGGGTCTCATGCTGACAGAGGCAACTCCAATCAGTAGAATTGTATGTATAAAGTTTACCATTTTGCGTCTTTTCATTGTGCTAACATCTCAGGCCGCTGGATACCCAGGCGTTCCCGGAATTTTCACAGCCTCACAAATCGCTGGGTGGAAGAAGGTGACCGATGCCGTCCACACCAAAGGTGGCTTCATATACTGTCAATTATGGCACGTCGGTCGCGCAACTGTTCCATCTTTTATTGAGGGAAAGGAAGTTCTCGGTGCAAGTGACATCCCAATCACCGGTAAAGCAATGGATGGTAATGACTACGCTGCAACTCCTCCCCGGCCTATGACGGTCGACGAAATACGAGAAACTACCGCCGAGTACGCAGCTGCGGCTAAAAGGTCAATTGAAGCAGGATTTGATGGTGTTGAAATTCACGGTACGAATTCTTTGTGTTTAGATTCTATATCGGGCTAATATTGGAGCTAATAGCTGCGAACGGTTACCTTCTCGACCAATTCCTCCACGACAACGTCAACAATCGAACAGACGACTACGGCGGCTCTGTTGAGAAACGCTCTCGCATTGTTTTGGAAGTGATTGAAGCAGTTTCAAAGGCCATTGGTGCGGAGCGAGTAGGCATCCGCCTATCGCCTTACAACTATTTCCAAGACACACGAGACTCGAACCCTAATGCCCACTGGCTCACGATCTGTGAACAGATCGCCAGCTTGCCCTCAGAGATTCGACCAGCATATGTGCACATGATCGAGCCTCGTTTTGATGAAGAGTTGGATGAAGCAGCTAAGATGAGCTCACTACCAGTTGAGAAGCCATCACTCAATGTCTTCCGTCCAGCTTTGAAGCAAGGCGGAATTGCATTTCTTGCTGCCGGCAACTTCAATTCCGAAAATGCAGCTGTCAAGTTGACAGACGATGAGGCCGATGCCATAGCATTTGGTCGTTTGTTCATTGCCAACCCAGATTTGCCGAGAAGATTGAAGGAGGGACTGCCCTTGAATCCATACGATCGATCAACTTTCTATGGTGCGAATCCTCCAGAGAAGGGATACACTGACTATGCATTCTATAGTAAATAGGAGTAAGATTGGAATCAAATTTAATTAAGTTCTTCCACTATCGGACAATGCTACAAGTACTTTCATCGCATCATGAACGATTGCCCATCGAACGGTAGCTAGCTGTTGCGCCATGACGACTACTAAAGGCTTTGAGTCGTATTTGCCGGACATTGCTGCTAGTTCCGTAGCACTAGAGCAATTTGTCATGGTCACAATTATTGACGATAGATCTGCTTTAATCCTATTTTCTGGCGAAGAAACATCCAAACCTCGGTGGAACACCCAGCAAGCCAACGTAGCCAAGTAGAGGCACCAATGAAAGTGGAAAGCGTCTTTCTGGTCCCACTCATTAAGGCCAAGCACCGCATCTTGTAGAAGATATGACGCATGGCGTACGGCAGTAGTTGATGCTCCAGAATTCTCATGTAACCACCGAGAGACATTGCGCCGAGATCTCGTTTCATCGGCAGGAGTTACTGTCCGTCCCAGGATTTGTGTTGCTCCCGCTACAATTTGTAAGTCCAGTATCTCCACGTTTAAAGCAAGGCAGGCAGCATGATAGAGAGCATGAGCGGCCGTTTTCAGAGCTATAAAATGACAAGGGTCTGCCGTCTGTGCCAGCTTCATTGCTAAGCAACTTGCATCAAAATCTACTTTCCACAAGTCGTAAGATCGAAGCATACGTGGAGTCCAAGCTCCCACACGTTCTGGCGTTTCTGACCGCAATGTGGTTTGATCTCGGCGTTTGAGATCTGCAGATATAGACATCAAGCCATGGAGGACGACGATACGACTCAGCACGTTCAGATCTCGTGGTCGAGAAACGGTTCCAGGCGTAATGTAGCCTTTAAGAACTGATAGAAATGGTCTGTTTGTTTCGTGAGCAGCCGTTTGGGCCCATTCTTGGGCAGAGAATGCCTCCCAGGAGGCCGCGCTGCATGGTAAGCAGGATCTGATCTCAAAGGCTGACATGCAGAGAGATTGAGAGAATAGAACGGCATGTTGGGTATCCCACATAAAACAATGCATGGCAAGTCTTTTCCTCTGTTCTGCATCCATAGCTTGTAGCCATGTTTGTTCCAAATTGTCAGACTGGGCTAGGTTTGAATAGCTTTGGATATTGCAACAGTTACTACGGCGAATGAGCTTGATTAGTACACAATGGAATAGCTGGGCTCGTTCCCGTTGCTTAGAGCCCGCTCTCATCTTTCCGAAGCAGTCTATGAGAAGTGCTGTTTGCAAAACCCAGAGGTCTGGCTGTGGCGAAAAAGCGTCGTGGCACAAAAGTCGAGCTTGAAGTTTGTCGTGGATGCCAACAGCAAGCCAATGAGCCTCACGAGTACTATATGTAGCTCCCATGAATAAGACGGACGCCAGAAAGACTGGATCAACTGCGTCTGGATTAAAAGTCGGCTGGTGGATAAGCGGGTATGTAACATTGAAGCGTGTAAAAAACAAATCACAATACCCTTGTAGAGCAGGCAATGTGAGTAGGGATGATTCCAAGCTAAGCGGCTGGCCATCCATAACCATGGGAGATATTTGAAGCACTAGCGATAATATACCTTGGCGAGATATCTCGGATATTTGTGGCAGGCGTGGTGATTGAGTCTGGCCTAGGAAGGAAGTTCCACACATCCACTCCATCTCAAGGATTCCTGACGACGCATCCGGGGCCGGTGTACGTTGCGAGGATTCTCCAGTCTGCATCATTGAGGCCACCTCCAAAAGAGCTGATGGACCATCATAGTTTCCCGTCGGCTGGTATGAAATGTCCATTTGTACATCGGGGCATGCCTCCGTATCGGAGCCAAGAGGAAAATCAAAATGATGAAAGGCATCGTCGAGATAGGCCACGTCAAACAGCCAATTATAGTTGCATGTTGCCGCAAAGGGCAGGTTGAAGTCGGTTGCTGTATCTGTTATCAGATAGGTTGAAAAGGTATTGACGACAGATGAAAATTCATACCGGTATCAAGGCCAAGCAAATCAGTCATTCCACCTAACCCAACACTGAAGGATCCGTCGGCTGCATCGAATTGTCCGGGAATCGGTTCCATAAAAGGTTCAAAAGGTCCGCCTGGCATCATTGGCGCCAACAATGGATCCGGTTCCTCGAGCGATAGCGATGCAAAGTCAGTTCCAGAAGTCGGCGGCGATATTGGACCTCCTTGAGCTGGAAACCCTTCTTCATCATAATCTTCCTCTCCTACCAGATCCAGACCCGAGCATGAGGTTGATGAATTGGAAGATGATTGAGCTGCTGACCGCATAGACTGAAGCTCTCGCTGTGATGGACGCACGATGATTGTACCATCATGGGCTCGACGAGTTCTTTTTCGCGTCTTCAGTACTCCCAGTCCCGGTCCGCCGGCTTCCTCGTCCCGCTTGTCATGACGACTGATATGTCGGGCTGAAATAATCAGTACTGAATCAAAAAAAATTAAGTGGGTTAACTCCTGTTCTCACCCAACAGATCTGAACGTTTGAAGTGCACTGAACAACGTTCACAAGTGAAACCACCTCGTGGCTGCTCATGATTGAGCGCATGCCGGCGCAGATGCTCGGCGCGAGTGAAGCTTTTGTTGCAACCAGGATGTTTACAGATGTGATCCTTCTTCATATTGGTATACCCGCTAAACACTTCAATTTGATTTCCACCACTTCAAAGGACACAGTAACTCAGAGAAAGCAGTAAACAGCTGCAAGAATGGAGGTGATAAGCATGTGGGGGAGTGATTGCTGGCACCGTTTAGTCGATGGGGTATTCTTATCAACGGCAAAGGAGCCAACCCCCATTTTTGATATTTGCCGGACTAGCTAAACATAAACCAGACGATAGACCCGGATTATGTAGAGCTTCAATCTCCTCGCCAGATGACCATTGTTTCTTAGTCTAGATTTTATAGTAAAAGCCCCCGTCCCTCAATTATCCATGGAAGCAGTATATAGAGGTGATACAAATCTTCACTGCTGCGGTAAGGTTTGTAAGATATATTTAGCACGATCAATCGTCGGACCTATTAGGCATGTTGCAGTATCTCGGCTTCTCGTCTAGTGATTCCAAGCCGGTGGAGAAAGAACCTCCCCGTAGCCTGCCTGCATCATGGTATCGCTCCGAGGCCATGTACCAACTAGAACGTCGGGCTATCTTCTCCAAGCGATGGATTCTGCTCACTCATTCTAGCCGTTTCGCCAAGCAAGGCGACTACCTTTCTTTCACAGTTGCCAACTTTTCATTTTTCTTGATTCGAGATCGCGAGGGAAACATTAATGCGTTCCATAATATATGCAGACATCGAGCATTTCCGGTTGTGCAAAGTCAATCCGGATGTACCTCGATTCTGAGCTGCAAATATCATGGATGGTCATACGGATTGAAGGGAAATTTGGCCAAAGCACCGCGTTTTGAGACCGTTCCCGAATTCGATAAAGATCAAAATGGGCTACTCCCCGTCCATGTCCACATCGACAAGGCGGGCTTCGTTTGGGTTAATCTTCAAGCTGGCGACCCCGATATAAAATGGGAAGACGAGTTTCGTAAGGTTGATGAGCAGCCCCGGATGCAAGACTTCGATTATGCAGGGGATTATAAATTTGATCATTACTGGGAAATGGACCTGGAAGCGAACTGGAAAGTGGTTATTGAAAATTACAACGAATGTTACCACTGTCCGACATCCCATCCGCTCATCAGTGCAGTATCCGATCTGCCTCGATACAGGGTCGAGCCAACAGCCGGATATATGGAGCATCATATCTACAACAAAGAGCAAAGTGAAGCCCATTTCAAGCGAGCCATCACATTTTTTTCACCAACGACATCGATTACTGTCACGTAAGTTGAATATGACCAATAGGTTGTCTATTAGGATTATTGCTGACCAGCAAGTAGAGAGAAATTCTTTTATATACAACGCATGATTCCCGTTTCTGCCACTAAAAGCAAAATCGAGAATGAAGTATATCGCCACAAAGATTCGACAAACAAGGAATTCGATGATATCAACGCTTTCTATCGGCAGGKGCTTGACGAAGACAAGGAGCTGTGTGAGGGGGCACAACGTAATCTTGGTGCTGGAGTGTTTGTCAATGGCGAGCTTCACCCAAATAAGGAAAATGTACGTATATTATTAGCAAATACTACATTGAATCTGCTAACAGGATGTAAAGGGCCCGATCTATTTTCAAAATAGCGTCAAGGCAATGGTGATGGAGCACCGGGAAAATGAAAAACAAAAAGACGGACGCGAGATATGGCCAGCCCTTCCTGCATTATCGAAGAGCATGACTAAGAAATTGGCGGATGAAGAGCAATTCTGCTCACAATTAGAGGCTTCCAGCTGCCTGCAGAGACCCGAACTCACTTGGTGATTTTGAACTATTGCATGAAGATCGAGGAAAACTGGATACCTCAGGCATTCCAGCACAAGATTTCCTAAATAGGAAAAATTGAGATACGACGACATCCGTCTGGACCAAGGTGTACAATGCATTCATTGGTGTGCTATAGATATCTCTTGATCCGTTCTCCGATTATACATAATACATATTGTCGATTTCATTCCTATGTTACGCGTTCGCAAATGACCAGTCTCTCTCAAGGCAACAGCATTTGACCGCCTGATTTAGAACGTCGATCCACCATAGCCCCATTCAACACACCCATGCCCAGCTTTTCAAGCGAGGAGTACGTTTCAAATTCATCAGTATGTAATTTATATAGGTTCAAATCACTGCTTAGGACGAAGAAAAGGACCTTTCGTTTTGGGTGCATATTGATCACGTGCAATTAGGGTTAGAAAATTGATGAATTCGCATTCCAGCAATCATAACGAATAATGCCAAAACAAACTTGGTACGCAGATTAGCGATCAACTGATCTTCAGGGATCGGTTCTCTCACTAGCAATATTCAGTCCAATAGCCGTGCATTTTGAATGTACATTGAACGACTAAAAATAGTGTGGCGGAGTCCGCAGAACGATGGCGCCTACAGAACTCCACTAAAAGAGTCCGAGTTTGAGGGTTAGCCAAGGCTCACTCCGCATTCACCCTCTGTACTTATAGGATCTACTTACTCAATGTCGTTCAACAATCAATCGCATGTCTTCAAGCCTCCAGATGATTGATCGTATCAATTAACTGGGCATTTCGAACAAAGGGTATATGATATTTCTATGAACTCTGCTCGTTCATCATGTTGGACGAAAATCTTCCCAGTACGTCTACGTCACCATCCCTGCCAGCCTTTCTAAGAAGCAGAGAACATATCTAACAGCAGCAGCCTTCTACCTCAGTAATGACAAGAAGAAACAATCCAACAACGTCCTTTTCACACAGCACGGCAACGAACCCGAACCGGCATACACATTACGCCGCCTTGATCCCTCCGAGCCGTCATCCCGAAACCGCTATGCCGTTGCTCTCTACGATCCTTATATCCCCGATGTGTTGTACGGAGAAGTTCTCATAATACCGGAGTGGACGCAGCCAACTCTATCCGCAGAAGCGATTCGTCAAAATGGAGGCGTACCTCCACCACCGGAGCCAATCATGCCATCGCAGTTCACCGTTCACCTATACAACCCGGACCAAGAGATTATAGTACGTCATAAGCCCAAGACGTGGAATTCGCAGCCGTCGTGGGAGTTCGAGATGCCCCAACAGTCTTTCAAACAACCTTCAAATTCTACCTTAGATCAGGTACAATCAGGCCCGGCCGCATCGGACGTGACGCCTAAGCTCAAGTTTGTATGGAGAAAGGATGGATCACTATCAAAGGATTTTGCATGTTACTTGTCTGGGAAGACTACCACTCCTGACGGTCGGAAGAAGAACAACAAGGAGCCAGATATTACTATTTCCATACTCAAAGGATTACGGGAGATCACCCTTTACGAGCCGAATCTATACCGGGTAGAAATGGAAGATTTCAAAGGTCTAGAGGTTGTATTGATGCTGGGTGCTGTCGTTATCCGAGATGTGTTTTTCGCTCCGCTCAAAGATGCATTCAATGTCTTCAATTCGCCTACCTCATCTGGGGTTAATTTGGCGACGGCAGAGGTACCTGTCATTCCAAACAATAATACTAGAAAACCTGCAGCAGCCGCGAGTGCAATCAGTATTCCACCTCGACAGCCCACTGCCACGATACCACTACGCGACACTAGGCCACTGCAAAGTCAACAAAATTTGGACCCTCGAACAAAGTGGGAGATGGACGCCGAAAACGCTCGGATCAAACAGCATGAGGACATTGCAAGAAGAGAAAGACGTCGCAAAGCCGAGGAAGAGGAACGCAGAACGAAAAAACTGCTCGAAGCCGAGCAAAAAGCACAACGCAAGAAACAAGCCGAAGTCGACAAAGAGACGGAACGATTAAAGAAAATGTATGGAAAGGAAGATGAGAAGAGTCGTCAGCAGAAACCGAATCAACCAAGCCATGCTCATCATCACTCTGCTGGTCCGGCTATTAGGGTATCTTCACATAATGGTTCGGCTCACCAGGCTCGCTATTCACATTATATGCCTGCTCCACCACAGCAGCCAGCACGGCCAGGCCCATACATGCAGCCATCGACGGCACATCACTCTTCCATCAGTTTGCGTCCATCGCAGCCGCATCCTCGACCTCAATCTTCAATGTCCTATCTCGGGGTCCCACAACCACGTCCAACAGCTTCAGCCCAAGAAATCCCACGATTGAGGGAGCGAAGAAGCATATTCAACTTTTTGAAGTCGTCAGATGGCGAATCGAATCGATTAAGTAAGAAGAAAAGTTCGGTTTTTTGATACAGAAAAGGCTTAAAAGGATTTACATAGAGTCTTTCGTCACGACTCAGGCGCATTGGATTTATACCCTGGTTTTTTATTTTTTACGGCCATGATATTTGCATTGCATGTTTTTGGTGTTTGGTGTGTAGTCGCCTTCATATGGGGCTGGTAGCTCATCTGTATCTTAGTTATGATGATGATAAAACAATACACGATCCATGCATTCTTAGCGGCTTTTTTAACGACATGGGTCACCTATAGTTACATTGATAGATTAGCCTTACTCAACCCCGCCTTTGCGAAGTCAATTCCACATTGACTTTTCCTCGGACACGTTCTATACATGGTTCAAGCTGCCTTGTTTCGTATGATGTGAGATATGCGCATCAAAATGGATGACTTCATTGCCCTCATCGTCAAAAATATTCAATCTCTCGACCATCTGAGACTACTACTATTGCTATGTACCAGTATTTTCGTCTACATCATAACAATCTGTATATACCGACTCTTTTTCCACCCCTTCGCCCACATCCCCGGCCCATTCTTTGCAAGGCTCACAGACGCCTACGGCCTCTACCACGCCTGGCGCCAGGATACTCATCTCGCCATTCACAGTCTCCATCTCACTTACGGCTCCGTTGTCCGCTATGGACCAAGCCGGATCCTCGTCAATGATGTCCAGGGCATGAAAGAGATATATGGCTATAATGCGAACTTTGCGAAAGGAAAAGCCTATGAAGTAATGAGATTCAATCCGGTGCAGAGCGTGTTTAACGCTACGGATAAGCACATGCATCGTAGGAAGAGGAGGCTTGTCGGGCAGGGGTTTTCGGAGGCGGCATTGAGGGCGAGTGAGGATTGTGTTTTGAGGCATGTTGATTTGTTTGTTGGGTGTTTACTTGATGCTGCTCCTTCTCAGGATGACAATTACGGGTGGGGGTCCGCCAAAGATGTGTCGATTAACGGTAAGTCTGCCTCATTGAACACTTCAGACTGGGAGGAAACTGACTAGCAGTATAGCAAACTATCTAGCTCTAGACATTATCACAGACCTCGTATTTGGCAAATCCACCGATGCCCTCAGCAAACCCGACAATCGAAAATACAGACCAATGCTAATATCAACCGGTCACCGAATGGCAATGGCCATTCAAATGCCCCAGGCCTTCCGCGCAGGTAAATCTGGGCAATGGCTTGATCTCGGGACGTGGATATTGAAAAATGCAGACGATAAACGAGCGCAATGGGCTGGTATGCTTCGAGGCTGGGTCATGGAACGAATCAAATCAGAAATGGCTGCTGCTGTGGAGGAGTCCGAACGGCGAGATATCATGTCCACCATTATTAATGCCACAGATCCAGATACGGGTGAAAAACTTTCTCCGCAAGAGATTGGTGCCGAAGCATTCACTCTGGTCTCTGCTGGAGCTGATACCACTGCAACAGCTATTTCAGCGACGGTGTGGTACCTATCTCGAAACCCGTCTGCGTACAACCGACTCGTCGCAGAAATCAGGTCACGATTCTCATCCGTGCAAGAAATTCGTGCGGGACCAACGCTCAATTCCTGTACGTATCTTCGTGCCTGTATTGATGAAGCTCTGCGGATATCTACCCCCGTAATAGCACCTTTGTACCGCGAAGCAGGGCGCGGCGGCGCGGTGGTCTACGGCGTCTATGTGCCAGAGGGATATGAAGCTGCCTGTCAAGGATATGCTCTACACCATAACGAGAAGTACTACCCAAACCCGTTTTCCTATTACCCAGAACGGTGGCTTGACCACGATAGCCCCGTGGCAGCAGATGCAAAGACAGCCTTCTTTGCGTTCTCATACGGCGTCAGAAACTGCGCCGGCATCAATCTGGCATATCTGGAAATCAATCTTGCAATTGCCAGGTTGATATGGTCTGCCGAATTTCGGGCCCCTTCTCACCCTTCTAATCTAGCTAAAGTTGGTGGCGGTGATCCAAATGCCAAGGAGCCTCTACGGAGGAGAGAAGATGAGTATCAGTTGTATGATATATTTGCGTCGGAAAAGGAAGGGCCGATGCTGGAATTCAGACGACGTTAGTCGTGAATCATTTCAAGCTATTTGGGTATCCCCATCTTCAACATTGAATGAAGTGGAGTGGATGTACACGTACTCCAAAAGACTAATTGATTGGCTCAATATGAGGGCTGAAATCTTTCCTAATACGGAAATATTTAGTAAAGCGTGCTAACTGCGCTCGGTTGCTAGCAGCAAAGATAGAATGTTGAGGAGCCTCTAAAGCCCGATAAAGGCTGATAAATATATAAATTTAGTTGTGGTAGAGGTTTCGAAGATATTTACTGCTAGAGTTATTCTTGTAGTTGGAAGAGAACATTGAAGCCATTAAGTAACCCGCCGAATTAGGGCTAACGGTACCTCTCACATAGGACATACAAACAGGCAACCTTGGAAGATAACAACCACCCCACAGGGTTACTCTAGTCGTAATAAACAACGCTAGATCTGCAAAATGAAGGCCCAAGAGCAACTAAATACCATTGAGTCCTTATCTGTGCGGGGACGACCCTTTGTCTTAGACTCTGGGCTTTAGATAGTAGAACAATTTGATTTGATCGTCTGTTGTGGGTGTAACTGTGTGATAGACCTGCCGGTTCTGGTATAGTAATCAAACTATCCCCATTCCCGACGCGATAACGAACGTTTTGTATGCTCGATGTTGCAATTACTAGTAATTAGTTTGTTGTATTATCTATATGATGTTGATAAGCAGATAAGGCTTTGCCCAGAGCATACCAATGTCAATTGGAAGGTAGAATTATATAATTATAAAAGTCTGTTCATTCGCCCATCTGGCAGAAGCCCTCTCTCGACAACCCTAAGGTCAACGACTGGATGTTTTGATCAGAATGGAGACTCCACCAAGTAAAGAAGCTCATCTAGAGTCTAAACCGGCCGTTTTGGACGACGCTGAGATAGGCCATAATCATGAGCCTCTCGCTGATCTAGAGGTTGACCTTGCGACGGTTTTGGAAGATGATAATGTTGAATACTCGTATGAATCGCATCGCTCTCCATTCGCAGAGGGTAATTTCTTTCCTCACGCCATTTCCCCTCCAAAATTTCAAGATATGTAGCTGATGCAGTAAAGTGAGAGCCGTGGTCCCTGAGGTTGACGACCCCGATATGCCCGTCAACACACTCCGAATGTGGTTCCTAGGCATCATCTTTACAATGATCGGCTCCGGAATCAATCAATTCTTCTCCCTGCGCTATCCATCCGTGCACATCGTAGCCCTAGTCGCCGAACTCCTCGCTTTCCCCTGCGGTGTCTTTCTCGCAAAAGTCCTGCCCGATTGGACCTTGAACTTTGGTCCTTTGGGGAAATGGAGTATCAATCCAGACGACAAATTCAACGTCAAAGAACATACTGTGATCGTGATTATGAGCAACGTCTCGTTCGGGTATTTCAGCGCGGACTCTACAAATATCATTCAAGCGGCATCAGCCAATTTCTACAATTTCGGTCTCAAGACTGGGTTTCAGGTCCTGGTGGTTCTTTGTGCGCAGTTATTGGGGTTTGGGGTTGCGGGTCTTTCGGCGCCGTGGATCGTTGAGCCAGCTAGTATTATATGGCCTGGAACGTTGTCCAATTGTGCTCTTTTGGAGAGCCTACATTCGAGGGCCAATGTGGCTGTCGGGAATTGGAAGGTTTCTCGTCTTCGGTTCTTTCTTTATGTGATGGTTGCGGCGTTTGTATGGTAAGCATTCCCCTTCTAAGCTACATGCCAGTACCATGTTAATGCGGCTCCTAGGTACTGGTTCCCAGGCCTCATCTTCACAGCCCTGAGCTACTTCACTTGGGTCTGCTGGATAGCTCCCAACAACAAAGTCGTCAACCACCTCTTCGGTATGCAGACCGGTCTGGGTCTAAGCCCTATTACGTTTGACTGGAGTCAAATCGCCTACAACACCAACCCGCTTCTGTCCCCCTCATGGGCAGCCATGAACGTCTTCGCAGGTTTCGCAATCTGCTTTTGGCTCATTACGCCAATTCTGTATTACACGAATACATGGTTTAGTGCTTATCTGCCTTTGATGACCGCTGATGTCTATGATCGGTATGGGAATGCGTATAACACGACTCGGGTCGTGAGTGCGGATTATACGCTCGACGTGGACGCGTACAGGGAGTATTCACCACCGTATCTACCAGTCACGTATGCTTTTGTGTATGGTCTGTCCTTCGCATCAATCACGGCCGTTATCACTCACACCTACCTCTGGCACTGGGACGACCTCATGGCCGCGTTCCGAGGCACCACACGACTAGACATCCACGCTCGACTCATGAAAGCCTACAAAAAGACACCTTGGTACTGGTACGCAAGCATGATCGTCGTTATCATGGCCATGTCGATCGCCATGGTCGAAGTGTACGATACCCAACTGCCGGTCTATGGCGTTTTTCTCGCCTTCATCATACCGGCAATCTATATGATCCCCTGTGGTCTGATCCAGGGTATAACGAACGTAGACGCTAACCAGCTCAATGTGCTTAGCGAATTTATCGGCGGGKACATGTTTTCCGGCAGACCGCTGGCGAACATGTGTTTTAAGATCCTGTCAACCGATGTTGTGGGTCAGGGAATCTTTTTTGCAATGGATATGAAATTGGGACATTACATGAAAGTTCCACCACGAACACTCTTCTTTGCGCAAGGCTTCGCTACAATCCTCGGCGCTCTGACCCAAGTCGGAGTTACGCTCTGGATGTTGGGTAACATCGACAATATCTGCAGCCTCGACCAAGCGGATGATTTCAGCTGTCCCAACGGCCGAACCGTGTACAGTAGCAGCGTAATCTGGGGATTGGTAGGGCCCAGTCGATTGTACTCTGCCGGCAAGATCTATTCCTCTTTGAATCATTTCTTCTGGATTGGTGCTATTACACCGATTATCACCTGGGCGCTGTGGAAGTACACGAAGAAGGATTACTGGAAGAAAGTGAATTGGCCGTTGTTTTGGGTTGGGACTTATAACGTGCCTCCTGGTAATACCCTTCCCTCCCTCCTCAACCCTGTTATAATTCTAACGGATGGTGATACAGCAACCGGAATAAACTACTCCAGCTGGGCAATCGTCAACTTCATCTTCAATCACTGGATCAAAAACAAATTTTTCGCCTGGTGGACCAAATACAACTACGTCCTGGCCGCTGCTCTCGACACAGGGATCGCCATCAGTGGTATCATCATCTTCTTTTGCGTCTCGTACCCCGGGGCAGTGTTTCCGGATTGGTGGGGGAATAACGTGTATTTGAATACTGCTGATGGGCAGGGTGTAGCTTGGTTGGATATTCCGGAGCAAGGGTATTTCGGGCCGGCGAATGGGACGTGGTCGTAGTCTTTCCTCACTCTTAGATCCAATGGTAAGGCTACTGCAATATGCAGTCTGGTATAGATAGACAGAGACGAGACGTTAGTACTGAGACATAAGAAGTCTTTGTAGCTGTGTAAATTCTTCGAATTGTCGTACAATCCACAGGCCCAAGTGGGCGACATGAGATGAATCATGAATTTTAATTCAATATAGTATACGCACGTGTAATAATAGTATGGTAGTAGTCTCACATAAATAACCCCGTTCATACCGGGAGCTTCCTGATACCATCCCCTCCAACGCCGTCTGTACGAGTGTTCCACAATCAAACTGAGTCAAGATAAGAAAAGACGTAAACCATATTATAGTTAGGGGGAAGAACGAAATTGCAGAATCGAAACAGAGAGTTGGACATGACGGAGGCTGATGTATGTCCGATACAAGAAACAAAACTCCCACTGCAAGACCCAAGCGATGCTCAATGTCCAATTAATGTGTTTGTGTATAATAACGTGTCATGTGTGAATGACGGTTGGTCTATACATGAAAAGAGAAAGAGAAAAGGAGTCACACTCAAGGGGAGGCCCAGCCGCCTGCAACTTCGACCCATTCTGCCAGGCAACTTCCTTGTTTCCCTTCGACGTCGACAATGTCTGTATCGCATCTGCATCGGCAACCCACTCCGTTCTCTTTGACGGGGTCGGGTGTGGCCCAGTAGTCGTCTTCTTCAATCCGTTTCTTTTCGTCTTCAGTCGTCTTTTCCAGAAACGGAATGCGAGGTAATTGCCGAGCTGGTGCGTTCGCTGGGCAGTGCTGAATCGTCGTGTGGCGGTAGCCAAAGTCTCGGAAGTAGTGGATGTCACGAGGTGCAAGTAGTGCACCAGCGGCCAAGGAATGAATTGGCGCATCACCCCACTGTGGTCAATCAGTATTTGATGTAAAAGCAAACGAATAAAATGACGTACCCGTTCCATCCAGAAGCCTCCACTGCGGTCCATCATCTCAAAGAAGTCTTCATACTCTTTGCTGCGGAAGAAGTCCAATCGAGCAATCTCGAAATTACTCCAAAAGTGACACATGTTATACTTTTCGCCCTCCATAGTCTCTTTATCGATCTCTGGAGGTTTGATATCGTCAAGCTCTTCAGGAATGGGTTCTTTCTTTTCGTCGTCCTTCTCTTCATCTTGTGGAGGTTTTTCAACGAACATCTCCCAAAGGCCTTTCGATTCTAGACCGTTGACACGTTTGTACGCCGATGCATAACGGAAAATATTCGGAACAGTCTCTCGAAGCTCCTTGACAGCGATCGTAAAACCATACGTTTTGTTGGCCTCTGCCATTTTCAGGAAAGGGTCACTGTATCACGGTTAATTAGGGAATTTGATTTTAGCAAACAAGTCGACTCACTATGTAATGTCACAGAAGTACTTGATCTCGGGCTCCAACCGCCAGTACCACTCGTACTTCAACAGTAGGGGGTGCTTGTAGAAGAAGCTGTATCCGTTTAGCAAATGCATATAGTTTTCAAAGAGTTACATACCCAGAGTAGAATCTGCACATATGGTGATAACTTTCCATACCACCATACATAATAGCGGCATCCCCTTGTTTCCTAATTCCCTCCTTGGCGACTTCATGGTCTACCCAGTCAGGATACCCCCACATGCTATCATCGATCTTGCCAAACTCAACGGGGGCGCTGGTGTAATTTTGAATGGTGTCTTTGAATTCGTTGTCGAAATCTCCATCGTTCAAAAAAACGTACGGATAATGCCACCATCTGTTGAAATGGCGTTCAATTGACTTGACAGACTGAATGACACCCTCGAGTTCTTTGTTACGTGCGAGTACGACGAATGCGGCATTGGCTCGAGGTGCGGCCGCGATTGCTTTTTCGTCGATATCCACACATCCTGTCGCAAAGACCTTGTCATGTTCTTCGCTGATTCGTCTGTACAATATCATCAGTAAGCGCAGATTGAGTGGAGCATTTTGTTCACAAACCTGATAGACGGAGGTGACCCAGCTGGGACGAGCACGCCCGAAGAGGACGGATGTCTTGCGAAAATAGTCACAATCAAAACAATTATAACACAAGGAAATATTAACACAACGCCCAGTGGTATCGAAACGCTCGAATTGCCTCGTAATCGGATTCGTCTTCGAAGAAAAGTCAAGGGCGACAATCTGCTACCCTTCTCGCGTGATACATCTTCTAGAGATGCCAGCGCCGGCGCAGACGGCAAACGCTTGACGATGCGTCGGACGATATTCATGGTGGCTATTCAGCCCCAAGGACTGATGAGAGGTCAATCAGTCAAGGGAGGGTTGAGATAGATGTCTTGTGAATATTGGAAGATGCTGTCTGCCTGAGACCGAGTCGACACGGTCAATTTCTCTTTCCTTCTCTTTTAACCAAACTCAATGTATTCATAAAGTTCGTCAAGAAAAATGCTGGAAAAGATGGATCCGTAACGAGCGGCTGGAGGAAAAGCCTCCGTTATCTCCCCAACGACCCTGCGAGGCCGACCACAAAAAGCGCACACGGCGATCGGCCAAGCTTTGCGCGCTGGCAATATGCTATGAGAAGATTGTCGTATTCGACCGGAGCAGTCCAGTCGACGAGGTCATCCGCGGAAAGGATGTGATGGCGAGACAGAGAAGGAAGGGTGGATGGTGGCAGATCGAAAGAGAAAGTAAAGTTGGCAGTGGCCGAAAAGGATGGAGAGATATGACAGGACGCAACTCAATTGGCGCGGTAAGGGCTGGCAGAAGAAGCCCGCCCGCCAAGACCCAAGGGGTAGATTACGCTGTTACAGCCGTTACGCGTTCCGTGCGGTTGCTTTACATGACGCGGCTCGGTTCTGGAGTAGGCGGGCGGTATTAGATACGGTCTGGTATATTCCAATACCATCTCTGCTCTTCGGGGTGGCGTTTTGCTTTCGTCTTTCCCCGTCAATACTCAATTGTCCATTACGACTACGACTACGTACACGTACGGACAAGTAGAATAGGAGACAGTCTCGACTCTCTCGTCCATCGGAGCATCATCGTCAGTCACGTTAACTCCCCGTACTCAAGGTAGTCTACTATAGTAGTAGGTTTAGTCCACAGGCTACCAGCGTCAAGGGCCAGAATTACAGTGGAAACCTTGATTGAAGGTCAAACATTTACTCATCATCTAATAGGCTGAGGTTATATTAAACGGCGTCATACTAGAATCTTGTTTTGCATGAACTTTACTTCTACCTACAGAGTACAACTACATACTATATATGATATAGATAAGGAAAATTTCCTTCTCGCGTACGTACGTATATAGGTACGTTAATCCTTAAGCACCCAGGTAGGATTGTATGCGCAGCTAGACTCCTGCTCCCTCGATTCTAAGGAGCTGTCGGATCAAGGGCGAAAACCAGTGAGTGCATCAGGCCTGGATCAGTCCATGTCCACTTTTCGGTGTCTGCAAGTGCTGAGTTTCTCCGTGTCACCACTCCAAGATGAACCAGACATTTGGTGATTGATGGTTGATGATCATGAGAATGACAAAAGTAGCCACGGCGAGGCAGTGCTTCCCACCATTCAACATTCAGCAAGCAGGTGTCGAATATCGCTGAGTGCAGATCACGCTTACATAACCCGATGTGGCTGTTCACCCTCCAGAAAGCGTCAATCAACAGCCAGAGTTTCATCTGCACGAGAGCATCGCCACTTCTCAACACTGCGCATCTATTATTCAATCATTCATCCTCAGATTAAAGCTTCTGCCTGGTGGCTTGTTTGACTACCTTAGTATAACGTTGTCTGCTGAAGTACACACTACGTACATAGTAGGATATACTATCGCCGCTTCCCGCTCGACGTCACGGACTACCGCTCCCAGCACGATAAGATAAACACTCTCAACTCCCTCGCCCAGAAAAAGTTCCAGAATTTAGACTTAGATGTTAGAACCCCTTTCTCCCTGCTCCACGCGACACCCTTTGGACCGCGCGCCGATCGATCGTGCCGACTCCTCTCTTCCAGTCAAGCAATTCGTTTTCGTCTTTGGTCGACCATTATTACATCGTTGTGATATAGCTTGCCGTTCCGTGGATCGTTAACCGTTAACTTTATATACTTGCCCTTTCTGGAGGCTGTCAAACCCTCCTGCTGTACGAACGCCATACATACTGATGAATATAACCAATTCGACCTGTTCTTCGTCTGTTTCCCTTCGTGTTCCCTAGATTCCGATACAACGACATGGCGCAAAGCCTCTCGGTCGTGCCGTCCTCGCAAACGGCAGCCAATTCCGAAACAAGACCAATCGATGTGCCTCCGTCCAAAATAGGCCCAATGAGCGTGGCCGGCCCCTCGCAGTCATCAGCAAGTTTTCGCACCGGTCATTTGAATCTCGACACGTTCTCGCCGGTCAATGAACATGGGAGCTTCGAGTTTGATCGCGTCTTGAAGCGGGGGAAAGTGTTTGGGAAGATCAAGAGTCGACATGTGAGTGTCAAGAAGAAAAACCTCTGATCCACGTTTTAATCTCGATCTGTTGTACAAAAATAGGCATTCAAAGCTTCCTGGAAACCATGCTACTTAGTCCTACGCCCGAATCTGCTCTCTGTCTATAAGGATGAAGACGAAGCCAGACTATTATTGTCCGTTACACTCTCCGATGTCGCCGCTGTCGCCCCAATTCATTCCGCGCGATCGCACCGCGAACATGTCTGGGGAATATTTTCGCCGTCGCAAAACTATCGCTTCCAGTCTATCTCTGAGCAGGATGCCAAGGTATGGATTGACCGAATCCGCGCCGAGGTGCACATAGACGAGGAAGAAGAAGCTATAGTCGCGCAGTCGAAATCTACCAAACACATTGGAGTGACTACGGGCTATACGAGCGAAGGCGAAGAGCACGCCGGAATAATAGCAAGCGAATATTCAGATATTGGCGAAACCGACCATACAATCCTGTCGAGCTCGCCGGAACTCATACGGACTGTGTCTTTGGGACATCGAGGCAAGAGCCTACCATTTGCGCAGGATTATTCCGGCAATGAGATGACGGAGTATTCGGATTTGTCGGATGGTCCTGGTGGTAGTTCACGACCATCGCAACCGCACAAGATTTCTCCCGAGAGAGAAGATTCCAGCGATCAACCTGCCAAACGTCCTTCTTTAGCCCGCGAGCCCACTGCGTCAGGGGTACTGGGTGATCCTGACCGCGTGATCTGCCATGGCTGGCTACAAGGCCTACATAGCAAGCGAGGCGTTCGACAATGGAAGAAACTCTGGGTTGTCCTTCGACCAGTCAGCTTAGCCCTATACAAAGATGAACGGGTTCGCGCCTTCCCTTCTTTCCTCTACACATCCACCATACTAATGTCCCCCAGGAATACTGCGCAATCCGCATCATCCCTATGTCCCAAGTCATCAACGCCGCCGAGATAGACCCCATCTCACGCTCCAAAAACTTCTGTCTCCAAATCATCACCGAAGACAGACCCATCTACCGCTTCTGTGCACCAGACGAAGAGTCCTTGGCAAAATGGCTAGGCGCGCTGAAGAGTATTGTAGTCGGACGCAAAAAGGCGATGGAGAGTAGGAAGGTTAGTACTAGTAGTCAAACTGGTGCTGTGCCTGGTCCTGCTCCTGCTGCTGCTGCTGTTGCTTCGGCGCCGACGATTATTGCTACGCCTGAACCATTTCAGCCTTTGAGGTGATTATTTAGGGTTACTGTTATTCTTTGCGCTGGCGATCGGGTCTATTGGAGCGGGGGTCTGAATTATGATATCCATCTGTGTATGATTTAGTTTAACTTGTTGTCTTTCTGTCTCTCTAATCCAAATATGCTCTATATATACATATATGCATCTATATATCTACTTAATCTTCATTCTCACCCCTCGACAGCAGCGCAGAACCCCTCAGATCTTCCCGCTGCAGCTGCTCCTGTTCCAATTCTTCATCCTCTTTACTCTCCTGATTCACAATCAGAAACGACGCAAACACAATCGTCGCGCCAATCCAATACAACACGCCAGCATATTGGCCCTGCAGGATGATTTGGCCGACAAGGGATAGCGGGATGGTCAGACTGAGACCAACTGTTACGACGAGCGGGGTTGTGAGAAGCATTGCGTAAGCCCAGCATATATCTGAAATGAGAGAAGAAATCGAGTTGATCTGCACATCGTTAGAAATCACAATAATGAGCGCGAAAGGGGAGACATACGAGGATAATAACCCAAATCCGATTCTCGCTCGGGAATGAGAATCTCTCAATATCCAGAACGTGCAGCAGAACAAATCCAGGCCAGAGCAAAAACACATTAAACAATCCCACCAACCCGAAAAAGAGTTGCATGTTGACGCGTGATTCGTCGCCGACTTGCTTTTTCATAACGATCGTGTAGATGCCGTACACAATCGCGCTTAGAGCGGCCATTGCATCGCCGAGAGCAATTTCAGCAGGCGTTTTGCTTGAGTAAGGGTCATCACCGCCATCAGACGGTGGGACATCATCTGGAGTAGTCGATGACGAAGACGATAAATCCACGCGCGAAATGAGAATGACTCCAATCAACGACGCCAAAACGCCCAATGCCTTGCGGAGGGTGAATCTCTCGACACGGATCAGAGCGCCGAAAATCAATGTCCACACCCCACTTGTCGAGGTTAATATCGTCGTGCTGCCCACGGTCGTGAATTGCAGACACGCAATGGCGAAGTAGTTTGCCAGAAACCAGAGCATACAGAACTGCGCGGCCAAGCGCGCAGTCTGGCCTAGCCCTAATTTCCCAGCTGATGATCTTTCTGTTGCTTCATTATTCAAAAAAGTAGGTGATGGCGGCGCCAGCTCGGGATCATGTGCGTAACTACTCAACAACCGCTCTCGTTGATTGTCCGCTTCGCTAAATTCGTCATTCTCGTCTTCGTCTAGCGTTGGTCCCGTCTCTCGCGCATAAGAAGGCGGCTCTTTCATCCCATGTAGATCGAGATATGTGAAGAAAGATTTGAACGACTTTACTTGTGACAATTTGCCTCTGCGCCACATGCGGAAAACTCGTCGTACAATCACAATTATCAGGAATACCACGAAGAAGGACGTGTTGATGTATGTGATGAAAAACGGGTGCGAGTAGCTGTCGTCTGCGAGGATATTCTATTCCGAATCTGTCAATTATCCATGCTGATAAGGGACAGGGACAAAACATACACTAGCCAGGAAGTTCGATGCTGTCCAGAGAAATACCACACACATCAACAGTATGATTCCCATTGTATGTCGGGCCATGCCCCATTTCCGGGGAGTCTGTACCTGTTGCTCGACGGCATAGTGCCGGGCGTCCGTGGGGTCCATTTTGTATGATGAAGTGCTCTTTTCTTTCCCGGTCTGATGTCCGACGAGTCTTGCTCACTCTCTATGATCACCGTGCCGGACGGCTCACCAACAAAGTTTCTAATCCAGTCGTTCCCATGGAAGATAAGCATCGACCTGAAGCAAAGCTCGACCGAAAGCTCGTAGATGCGAGAGGACAACCGGGTCCGTTGTCGTCGTCGCCGGCAACAAATGAGCAAGCAAAGAGCCTATCCTGATCAACAGGAGCTCGGAGGAAATAGCCGTTGGTGTCAAGCTTCAAAGGCCATGATGGGAAAGTAAGTGCTTCCGGCGTAACCGTGAGTCAAGAGGGAGTGCGTTATCCCGCCGTTATCATTCACTAGGCCGATCTAGGTTTAGCTGGGATGATAACATCGGACGGCATGAGTCAGTCTTTGCTCAACTTAGTAATTACATGCAACTAACTTAACTAGGGCAATAATACAAGGTACTAGATGATACATTCCTGCTACATACCGAGGTATCAAAATGTCCCATGCAGTCCTTAATCAAACACTCGTCACAGTAAGTATTATGTATTCGAGTTCGAGCATCGAAGATATGGCAATATATGGAGCAGAAGTAGGGTACATGAAAACGGGGAATATCCCAGACTCCTGAAGATGAAAATAAAGAGAAGAAAGTCTTGGGCCCAAACACGCAAAACATAGACAGACGAAATTGCGAATCAAGTAGCAAACAATAGACATGTCACACGCATAAAATAGATAGACAAAATCGAATAGCACTGGTGAAGATGGATGTAGTCTTTCGACCGTTGGTCGCTATAGACGGGTCTACAAGTAACGGAGCTCGCAGCACAGCGTAGCACTGCCATATGACTGACGTATATTTCGATTTCAAACACTTCCACACTCTAGCAAGCGCAGCCGTCACGATCACTGTCGAGTCGAATGTTGATTGGGTCGCCGAAATCTCCACCGCCGTACTCTTCCGATTCTTCTTGTGCAAGCGCGCTGCGGGCGATCACTGGGAAATAAAGCACGTTAGTATTAGTCTAGACACATTCCTCACATCTATCGGCTTACCCTCAAATGCCTGCTCGACGTTGAGTGCTTCTTTAGCACTGGTCTCGAAATAGGGAAGGTTGCCTTTGGACTGGCAGAATGTCATGGCTCGCTTCGATGATATCATCCTCTTATTCTCTTCCACGTCGATTTTATTACCAATCACAACCTGCCGACGTCAGATTTCAGCCCACAACCGGAATTTCCGTCATACTCACAAACGGAAAGCTCTCAGGGTCCCGTGGGCTTGCCTGGATCAGAAACTCGTCTCGCCAGCTATCGAGGGCTTCGAAACTCTTGGAGTTGTTGACGTCGTACACTAAAACACAGCAATCTGCTCCGCGATAGAATGCGACACCGAGGGACTGGAAACGCTCTTGACCGGCCGTGTCCCAGAGCTATTACAAGAGGCTCAGTCAGTAATACCATTCTCCCAAGCCGAACACACATAGAAAATCCGTAACATGCCTGCATTGTCACCAGTCGATCATCCACAAGTACCTCTTTTGTGAGAAAGTCGGCCCCGATTGTTGCCTTGTAACTAGCGCTGAATTTCTTGTTGACCTGTAGTCCGCACATACATGAGTATGCTGATAAGACGAGAGTTCGTTCTGATTCCGTTCGATAATACGCACATATTGGTTCATCAGACTGGTCTTTCCAACACCACTGTCTCCAAGGATAATAACCTACGCAAGCTATCAGCAGCTGCAACAATAGGACAACCCCTACTCAAATGCAGACGGAGCAGTGCTGTGACGACGGTTGCGTACCTTCAACAAGACCTTCTTTCGTGACGCCATAACTGCAGCGATTTAAATGCGGTTGCTCTTGAAAAACGAGAGAGTGACTGAATGCAACAATTGCACGGAAAATGGTAACAGGTGAACGATTGATGAGACTTGGAAGAGGAACGAGCCTCGTGACGTTGATAGCACGAGGGCGGTGGATGCGGCGGTAACAGGCTGAGGCCCAATCACAGTGTCCGCTCGCAGATTAAGGTACTTACCCAGAGCAGACTAGGCAGGGMCCCCGCCAGCCTGCCGCCTAAACAAATCCGTCCTACTCTGTTCCACGACGACAATCATACTAGGGGGGCATCTTTGTCTTCCGTACTACTACAACTTACTGGGCCTTTGCAGGATGCATGTGTGAAGAAGATCCGTCATGTCTAGGCTGACATACTAGCGATGGCCAACTGGCGAGAGGACTATTATGCGGGTCTAGTGGCTCGTGACGAACGCGAGCAAGCAAACAGCAGTCTCTACGATGCTTGTATGAATGCCCACGCCCGTCATCCAAGACAGCCATGATAATGACCAAGTCCAATAGACACTCGACTCGCCGACCGCATAGCTACCAACGCCGTACTTGTCAACAGGCAGCAAACTCAACTATCTCCGGAGGTAGCAGGCAACCCCGTTTCCCCGAAAAGAGCCTCCACTCCTTCCCAGCAACAACCACAAAACAGTAACACAGGTGCCGGCGCCGCGTCACAGAATGTCCTTCTAGCAGCTAGGGCAGACTTAGCCGCCGCCCAGCGATCCCGCTCTGAGCTTCAGGAACAACTTACCCGCACGACGACGGAGTTGGATAAATTGAGATCCAGGACGCAGCAAGATTCAAGAAGAATAGCGTCCTTAGAAGGCGAGCGGACGCATCTGACTCTTCGGTTGAAAGACCGCGATGAGGAGTTGCGTGGAAAGGCTAAGCTACTAGATGTTCGTGGCCACTCAACTTCATGGTTAAGAGGCATTTACTAACCGGAATATTGTGCAGAGTGTTCAAGATGAGCTAGCATCGCTCAACTTACAGCTCAACATGGCTGAGGATCGTTCCAGTAAATTACAGCGGGAGAATCAGGAATTGATTGATCGGTGGATGGCCCGTATGGGCAAAGAGGCGGACGCCATGAATGAGGCGTCCAAGTTCTAGCATCACTACATCTCTTAGACCAGAATAGACTATTGTTACAATATATGTTAGGTTGATCTTCTAATATATATATATTCAAAAGCGGGTCTAAAACTAGTGTACAAGACAGTCTCCAAAATATGAACATGAAAACCAATCAACACGACAAATCAAGTACTCAAATGTCCAAGAGCCCCAAGTTCCTAGGTAGAATAACATGCTGGCGCAGTGTCCAGCGTAATCATAAAGTGGTATCACAATACAAAAGACATCGTCGAGAAGGTATAAGAAAATGTAAAAAATAATGGACTCAGTATCCCTGACTATCAGCAAACGCTTTCAATCTGGAACTGTCCTTTTTGGCGATAAAATAGGTACCGCCCACATCCGTCCAACTCACAGAGTCGGACCAGTAATTTAGTTGCCGGACGTCCAGAAGATTGATAGGCGAGTTCAAATTTCGCGATGTAATCTTGTGGCCAGCGGGCACGAAGGATTTGAGCGAGACAATCTTGCAGCCTTCCTTCATATCCAAAAAGTGGTTGATTAACTCGTTGTTGAGTTGCGGGGTGAAAGCTTGGTTGTTGATGAGCACGACGTCGGCTCTTTTGAGAACCTCGATAATGCTTTGTTCTGTGAGAAAGTCGCCCTGGACAAGGCGAGTCTTTCCCGGCGTAATTCCCCACAGACGACATCGTGCCTTGAACTCGGCTTGTTGCAAGTCGGCCAAAGTGCAGGCATTGGGCATCATTTCGCACCCCCAGCTCTCGCATCCGATTTCGAGTGCTGCTTGTAGAACCACATTGCCAACTCCGGATCCCAGATCGACAAATACCTGACCGGACTTTAGATGCGTTTCTTTGAAGATGGTGCTAATAAACCGAGGCAAAAGCTCTCCATATACATTATCAGTTCCATTTTCATATTGACGTAGCGAGTCGACTCGGGGCGAAACCGTCCGGGAATAGATCTGCGTCAATATGCGCTCCACAAGAGGTAACTGCAATGCATGCGTTTCGTCTAGATGCTTTGCGATAGACCCGTCGGATACATATTTCTGTACAAGGCGATTGTAGTCGGATATCACTTCTCGAAATTCGTCTTCAGAGGTATGCGCAAAAGCTCGACGAATCCGCCTCTTAATCCCTGTGGACTCGTGGTTGAAGTCGTCAAGCATATCCTCGGGGATATAGTACTGAGAAACCATTTCGACCACCTGAACGATATCGTCGAGTGGCTTGAAATCGTCATTCTCCTTCGGGACTCCCAGTTGGTATCGCTCGCCTCTCAATATACTCGGGTACTGTAATCTAATTTCAGAAAAGTCCTTGTCGGCCCCTTTCTCAAATGCCGGCTTGTATTTCCCCACGGCCTTCGCGGCGGTGATATCTGCTGCATGGACCATCTTGAGGGCCTTGGGCCCATCCTTGGAAAATGCTTCCGCTGACCTTATGCGACGGGCCAAATCCGGTTCGACGCTGTCCCTCAATTTCGTGCGCTTGCGAACTTCGAAGGAGGTATCCGTATCATTTTCGTCGTCATCATCGTCATCGCTCTCGAGTCGCTGGATTGGCGACGGCCGCTTGAGGTTCCGGCGAGAAACCGTGGTTCGAAGTCGCTGCTTTGGGGAGACTTCGCTATTCCGATACGGGGTGCTCGAACTTCGGCTTTTCGCAATAGGCGTAGACCTGACTGGCGGCGATAGGTGAGAATCGGTGGTTCCGGCAGATGACGAGCGTGACTGTGACTGGGGAACGGGCTTTTTCTGGGTGACAACTTTGCGGATTTGAGGCTTTTTGGCTTGCAGCGAAAATCCGTTGCCTTTCTGTAAGTGGTCAAAGAAACCCATAACGTCGATAGCGATGTGCACAGATCAGRCGCGCTGTASGAGCCGGTCTCAGCTCGAGCACGTGGGAAGGGTGGATGAAAGAGTTTGGTAAATTATACTATGAATATGACAACACGGATGTAAAGAGAACGTGAGGAAATGATATACAATAACTGTACAGCGGGGATATAAACATAACTTGTCAAAAAAAAAGAGCGAGATGCAAAAGGAAGAGGCTGATCAGTGATGGCTGAGATCTGAAAAATAGTTCCCAGGGCCAGGGCCGGTGGCGGTTCGGCGGGGGATGGTTACTAGGCAAGTGCCGCAGCCAATCAACTGCGCTGCCCTCGAGATTGTTCCATGCCCTCGGTTTTTTGCTTTCAACGTTGTGCTACTTTACTCTCTAACCTCTAACAGAATATCATGGCATGTACATAGTATTATGCATTTATCCGTCTATATGTGTAGATCTACTTTTAACGCCCCTTCTGCGCCTTGGCCACCCGCTTCTGTGCCCGGATATCCTTCTTCATACGCGAGTCCACAATCTTATACTTGCCCTTGACACCACGGGGACGACCAGAGATACCCCTATTGGCACCCTTCGCAACAACCAGCTTGACTTGCTGCTTGGGCTTCTTCTTGGCTGCCTTGCTCATGAGCTTAGCAATAGCTTGTGCTTTGTCCTTCTCGCTAACACCCTCATCCTCGGCAAGTAGAGCAGACTTCTTGCGCAGCTTCTCCAGTCGCTGGGCAACCTTGAACTTCTTTCGTGCCTTGGCTTCGCGAACCTTCTTGATAGGTCGGGCATTGATCGCTCGCAGCTTCTCTTTGATGGCTGCCGCTGCAGCTTTTGTGACTGGTCGTTGGGGACGGCTATGTTTTCCCTCGTCGTCTAAGAACCATTCGGGCAAGCCGTCTTTATCCCGGAAGGTGAATTTATTGAATCCATCATCTGTCATATCCTGGGCAGTCTTTTCGCCTGTAGCTATTTGTTGCGCAAGAGCCATTGCCTCTGCAGTAATAATATCGATATCTGTACATCGTTAGCATTTTTTCCAAACCATAGAAGCAGTATTAGACAAACCTAATCGACCATCCTTTGTCCGAGGATCATCTGGCTTCTCTATTTCCTCATCCGAAGAACCCCAACCATCTACCTCTTGGTCTTCGCTAGTCGATGGCTCAGCCTTTGATTTGGCGGCAACTTCCTTGGTGGACTGACGTGCTGGCCGATCTTCCATATCAATAGCGCTGTCTTCGTCATCAAGCTCGTCAATATCCTCTAAACCTTCAAATACGTCCTGGTCAAAGAACAAAGATGCCTGCTTTGACAGATTGGCCGACTGAGGTAACTTCGTAGATGAAAGAGACATGTCATCGTCTTCGACATCCGAGCCCTCCTCTTTGTCACTGCCAGAAAAGCCTTCCCACTCCTCTGCTTCGTAATCCTTACGTGCTTTCTTTGCACGCAATTTGGAGTCGCGGTCTTGCTTTTGTTCCTGGTAGGTCTCGTATAGTGAATCGAGCTCTCGTTCAAGTTGATCCTCCTCGTCGTCGGTTTCTTCCTCACCGGAGGACGCTTCCGATTCCCCCTCGCTCTCCAAATCGGCCATCTTTCCCGAGGCGATTTTGTCCGCAGCGTTCTCGCGATTTACAGCTTTCATCGCGAACATAGTACTTTGCCCATCAATACCGGCTTGTTCCATTCCAATATCCGTAGGCGTGATCATATGCATCTGCATTCGTACAATTTCTTTCCGTTTCCTCTCATTCTCCTTGCGTCTCTCTTTCTTCCTTTGCGAATTTTCACTGTCGCGCAGACGTTGAAGCTCTTCTTGAATGGCCAATTCTTCATCCATAGGTGCAACCTCGGCGACTTCCTCAGCCTCTTCCTGGGTTTTCTTTTTCTTGACAACAAGACCAAACTTCTCTCGGACTTTCAGTCGCCATTTCAACAGGCTTCGAAATTCTTTCTTACCAAGTACTCGAAGATCCTCGCAGCATTTTCGAATCTCATCTGTAGTCTCCTCGAGTCTTTCAAGAGTAGCCAAAGCCAAATCCCCAGTAGGAGATTGCTGGAAACTCAGCGTATGATAAGTACCAAGAATGGCAATCGGATCGGTAGTGTTGATGAATTCCGTTACCGAGATTTCTTTATGTTGAGTATAGTCACCTTCTTCGTAACCTTCTCTCTTACGCTTCTTCTTCTCGGGCTCAAAAACCTTGGCTTCATTGTTGGGGGTTGGATCGGCCAATTCAGCAAACACGTGTCGAGGATCCAAGAATTTTGGGTCTAGACGTTTCGGCGCCTTATAGCCACGGCAAACGACGAAGATCTCGGCTGACACATTTCGGGATGACGGGGGTTTGGTGGCTTCGACCGATGTGAAGAGCTGTTTGAAGACCCACAGCAGAGGGTTGTAGTCTTTGGAACGGAAGACTTTGGTGACGAAGGTTCCTCCTTCTCTCAAGAACTCGGTCGCCAACTTCATGGATTGCAACACCAATTCGGCTTGAGTGAAAGCATCCTGTACCCAAGCTGTACCGACATTAGGCGCACCATCGTGGAGAACTGTATCTGCTTTCAAATGCTTGACGTGAGATCGAAGGGTCGAACGACATTTATCCGTGGTGATGTCGCTTTGGAAACTGATGACTCGGGGAATAGGCTTAATTGGAGCGAGATCGACACCGACAATAAGACTGCCGGCTGGCATACATTCTGCGGCGACTTGACACCATGACTAGGTAATTTTCGTTAGCATCGTAGCAACAACAAGCAAGGGGAAAAAAAAACTTACTCCCGGAGCCGCACAAAGATCGAGAAGAACTTTGCTCTTTTCAAGAAAGCCGTATTTTTTGTTAAGCTGGATTAACTTGAATGCAGCACGAGCTCGATAACCCTTTTCTTTCGCGAGTTTATACCATTTATCCAAACGACCTTTGCCGTGCTGATCAACAAGTCATTAGCGAAGATGTTCAGATGATTTGTGATACAAATGAGTTATGAGTGCGAACCTTCTTCTGGATCGCCATATTTACCACCCAATAATCGAATATAAGGCAGGCGCCACAGGGTTATGGGTTGAGGTCGTCAAGATGCCTCTTGCCAAACGATCAAAAAAAAAATCCTTATCGACCTGACTAGCTCCTCTCCACTTGCAAAGGAAAGCACACTTAATTCCAGGCTTGGCAATGCTAGCCTCTTTGGGAAATTGAATCACGTGCCATGGCTTGGCACTTGGAGCCTCGGTCGAAGCCGCAGCCTAGTGCCTGAGTGCTGAGGCAGAAACGGCTAGCACCGAACTTTTGGTTTTTGGTGGGAATCACGGGGGCCATGATCGGTGACATCAGCGCCTGGGCACAGGCTTGATTGGTTGGCTGGCTGCCTGGCTTGCTGGCACAACATACGCCTTTGACTCTTTCACAACTCGCCTCTACTATACGCCGTGACTTGAGCTACAAGCTACAGCATTTTCATATAATATAGATCGTTCTTCTAGTGATGTTTCTTTCGTCCTTAGATTCAGCTCCATGGGACCTCGAAAGCAGCTGAAGTCGACACCCGCGGCCACAGACCCGAGCACCCCAACGTCCAATTCGGAACCGACTCAACATAACGGCTTGACGTCGCCCAAGCGAGCCGGTAAATCGGTATACATTTTACCAATATCCATATTGCAGTGAGATTCTTCAGACTGACCCGGATCATCTTTAGGCCTGGACGACCAAGACTTGGCCGCATGGCAGGAAGGCCGCTGCTGTGACAGAAGTTGCTCGGGAGAGCATTTCTGCCGCTGGAAACATAGCCTCGGAATTGGTCTCTTCGACGACTTCTCTACCTCAACTCCGCAGCCCAAACCGGCCCGGTTCGATACAACTAATAAGAAAGACTGGCGTCTCGAACCGCTCTCTTCCAGCAGATGCTACAACGACGCGTATCAACATCGATTCGAATGGATCAGCCTCAAATTCAGCTGTGAACAAAGGCATAACACAGTCTGGCTTACCGGAAAGCGAGGATTCCAATAAATCGACCTTGAATCAAGATTTTACGCCGATCAAGGAGGACTCGAACGCAGAAGACCCGACTACCACAGATGATACCCAGACAACATCCACTCCTGAAAAAGAGTCAGAGTCTAATGAGAGACCTACATCTACCTGGTTCGGCTGGTTTGGCTTAGGTAGGACATCGACAGATAAGCCGAGCTCGGAAGAGGGCATCATGGGAAAGTCTCCTGATACAATTGGGCCGAGGCCAGCTATCGAGGTGCCTCAACCAGAACCGGAGGCTTCGAAATCTGGCGAGAATGAAACTGAAACAAATAATACGCTTGAAATTGGAATATCACCTAATGCGGATCCGCGAAAGCAAAATGATACAAATGTTCCGACACCACCAAAACGTTCATGGATGCAAATGTGGGGGACGAGCAATGTTAGTCAATCTAAAGACCCTCAAGAAGAGGCCTCAGTAAAGGAACCTCGCATCGAACAAGGCGAGCCTATGGAAGAGGAAACCGCGGCTACGAGTGATAATCAAAGCTCGCTACCTGACAAGGCTCAAGACAATTACTCATCGAAGCGAACATCAGGACCTAGCAAGTCAAGCGGATGGGCCTTTTGGTCAAGGGATGTTTCAAATACAGAGCAGAAACAAGGCTCTGAGAGTCAACAAGAACCTGGTGAATTGATAGTATCAGGACAGCCAAAAGTGCAGTCCAACTCTGAGGATGTTGTTGCTCAGGTTGATAATGCCCAAACACCGACATCAACAATCAAATCACAGCAGAAATCCCCAAGAAAGTCTATTAAATCAGTGGATTACAAGAATGCTAAATCTGCTGGAGTGGTGGAGGATACTACAAACACAACAACGACGGCCGCCCAAGCCTCTGCTGCACAATTATCCGCAAAAGCACAAACATCAGAAGTCACCGCTTCAACAAAGCTCGAAAGCGTGCTCACAAACCAACTGCTTCCTTCCTTCAAGGACACATTTGCTTTACAAGAGTCACCATCATGGCTGCAAACTCTGGGTCGTATGATATATTCTCCGAAAGATTCTGGAAATCGACAGGTCTTTGCACTTCGTGATCCGCCTCGTCCCAAAAAGGCACTAGCTATTGGCGTTCATGGTTATTTCCCTGCCCCATACTTGCGCACAGTACTCGGTCAGCCCACTGGGACGTCTCTCAAATTCTCGACTATGGCAGCCAAAGCAATTCATCAATGGGCCGACAGTCACGGATATCATTGTGATGTGGAAAAGATCGCTTTGGAGGGAGAGGGCCGCATCGCTGAAAGAGTCGACTTGCTATGGAAGCTTTTGCTAAGATGGATAGAAGAGATTCGAAAAGCTGAATTTATAATGTTTGCGTGTCATAGTCAAGGTGTTCCGGTTACAATTATGCTTGTTGCAAAGTTGATTGCCTTCGGATGCCTGGACGCCGCTCGTGTTGGGATATGTGCAATGGCTGGCGTGAATTTGGGGCCATTCCCGGACTATAAATCCAGATTTATTGGGGGATCTGCAGGAGAGCTTTTTGACTTTGCGCATCCGACAACAAAGGTCTCTAAAGATTATGAGGCAGCACTGAAGACGGCATTGGAGTTTGGTGTGCGTATCTCTTATGTTGGCAGCATAGACGATCAGTTGGTTTCTCTAGAGGTATGCTGTCAATTAAGTATATTGCTCTGGAACTTGCTAATCACCCTTCTAGTCTTCACTATTCGTTTCAGTAACTCATCCATATATTTATCGAGCTGTCTTTGTGGACGGACGAGTCCACGCGCCGAGTTTGTAAGTGCAATCCGTCCTTCTCTCGAAACTTGCTTCAACTAACTAAAGATTCTCCTACCAGTCTCTCTCATCTAGTGGGCTTCGCATTAAAACTACGAAATCTCGGCATCCAAGACCACGGTCTCATCCGCGAATTAAGCGCTCCTCTTGTCGGAAGTCTCGTTGGCGGCGAAGGCCACTCCCGCCTCCACGACGAAGAGAACATATACTAGTACATCTCCCATCCCTTTTTTTCAACCGACTTCCAAACTAACACCCGACTAGCACAGCAGTTCAATTCGCCCTCGAAACCTCGACCATCACCTCCCCACCTTCCCTGCACATCCATCGACACAACCTAACCGCCACACCAAATCCATACATCCTCCCCTTCGCACTACGCGGTCTTTTAGAGGAAGACTACGTACGTCACGAACTACACGAAGAAAGCCTTGAGCTCCTCCAACAATTCGATGAGTGGAAACCAGCGACTAAGGTGCTTAGAGACGTCAAGTTTCGGTTAGAAGGGATTCGGTCCAAGCTTTAAGAAATAGAATACTCTTTTTTACCCCCACCTTTTGTGATTGGAAAGATCGATAGCAAAGAAGTGACCCCTTGTTCTACGATTTATGGTTCTATCTTTTTATAGTCAGGAAGTGGAATGTTAATAATGTACATATGCAGTACTACTTCGGATGTCTTAAGTGTAAAAAAGTAGCTTTTGGCATCACTATGACATCAACGTCACATATACCATTTCATCCAATTCTCTTGTATCTAGGGTATTCGCGGAATATACTATGTACATACATAGTAAAGGTACCTGAGAAAAAAAACTCCATATCGTGCATAACCGGAAGGAAAAACAGGGTCACAATACTTTTGTGAAAGATTCGTCAGTATTTCGACAATTATTCAAACGCCCCAGACCATTTTGATGCAAGACTGTCCCGTCATGAAAATTTTAAACCCCTCCCCCCCTCCCTCCGTGTTATATTGGTGTATAAGTATACACAAAATAGATGTGCATGATGGTCGGTCAGTTCAAGGTTGGGAGAACGCCGTGTGGATCGCTCTTTCGATATTTTCTAGTCTAGATTAGCAGAAGGCTAAGAATATGCCGTGCAAGATAGTATGATTTACCTCTCATACCGCTCAGCGCCTCGAAGGCCCTCGAGAAGTTAGAGATAACCCCAACGATACGCTCCAATCCATTACTTAGGCCATCTAGCATCTGCTCTGCCGAGGCTTGGTGTCCTTCATCGTATAGAACGTTGGCGGCGGTGTCTTTTGACATTGCGACCCGTGTCTTATAAACAAGCATTGATAGTGCATAGCTACCTTGCATAGTGCAAACAGCATAATATGGCATAGTGCGTGGGAACTGTGTATGCGGATCCAGTAAACCAGGATCACCAAAAGGTGGATGTCTAGTGGAGTCTCGACGGTTGTCAGTTCGCAGTGATAGGGGATACGGCAAACTCCCAAGCATGTGCGAAATCATCAGAGCCGCTCGAAGGCATATATCTGAAGACTGCTGAGCGCTGAATGGGAACCCGGGACCTAGCCAGCAGTAGTGCGGATGAACGGGTCCAGTACCTGCCGCCGCTGAGGAATCAGATGCTGAACCGCTATATTCGGTGGGCAAGACGTTACCCATAGGGTGGAATTGATGGCATTGGCATTCCAGTGGGTTACCATCGCTGTTATTCGCTATGTGAAACGGATCGTTCACGTCGGAACCTGGATGTGCCAAATCAAAGTGCTTCTTGAAAAAGACAGGAAGGTCGGAGAAGGCTCGAAATTGGTGTATCCTAATCTGTGCACTACAATCATATCAAAAGTTAGTCAAAATCGTTCCCAAGCTATGTTCCCAGTATCGCATCATACCTAGCGAGCTTGATTCTCGACATGGCTCGAATACTTTCAGCTGTAACGAATTCGGAAGCCATGCTCATATCTCCCCCTGGCGGTGGAACGCTAGGTGGAGCATTGGCCTGTGTCATCAAAGACGAAGTCCACGCATCCAGTTGCTTCATCTGATCATATATCCACTGCATATTGGACCGCGCCTTGAGACACCTGTTGAGATCCACGGCAAACTGATTGGAGGCTACGAGAACTTGTTGTGCTTGGAGTAAAATCGACCATCCCTGTGACGTTGAACATTAGGCATATGAGTATTGGTGCGGAGGAAAAATCTGTGGTACCTCTGGATCTGATGCGAATTGAGGATAAGGCGTCGTGAATCGAGTATCGTTAATCATAACAGGAGAAGGCTTCCATAAGTTAGTATCTTCGCATAAACACACCAGTTTTGGAGCAAATACCGTAACGCTCGCGATGGATCCTTGAAGAACACAAAAGTACTGCATTCCACGAATCAGAAATCTGGTGAATAAACAAGGGCTCTTCAGGGTACAGTACAGTCATCCACCATGCTCTCCTCCTGGCTTCCATAAATTCATCCTGCTCAGGGCCGAGCGCATTGAGGCCTAGGTTCATAGCCAAAACCCATGCCTGGCCAGCGCGATACCGCATCTTCATCATATTTCCGCGTTGCGCATATTCGTAAACGGACAAAACAAGTAAAGCCAAAATACTTTCCAGCTCCACAGACGCTTGAGGATGAAACGGCGGTCTATTGATCGTTGGCTGAGTGTGGTTCAGCGCCTGGGACGGATCGGTTACTGAATCAATGAGCTCACCATCAGATTCAACCCTCATCGTCGCTAATCGAGCGTAGGTCTGTGAATATGATCTTCGCAACATGACACTGGCTGAGTCAGGGATGTTGGGAAGCGGAACCAAGGCAAGAATCGCGGATATTGCACAACTGAGGGGAGAAACTGGCCGGTAAGCAAGACTGACTTCGTCGGTTGGAGAGTTTGGATGTGAGCCTGCGTCTTCTAGCGGAAGATCCGGACCAGKCTGTGCAATGCTTGGAGGTAAGATCGGAAAATATGGGTGAATAAATTCGTAGTAAGCATTCAATCTATTTCCGATTCAGTGAGTACCCTGCTTGCTTCCGACCGCTTGTCCGCCAAACTTACATATCTTGCTCACTGCCATACACTCTCACAGTTGGCTGTTTGCCTCCTGCAGCCAATGGGACTTGCGACACAGGCACAGCTGGATGGTGGCCGTCTCCAGGATGGGCGAACATTCCAACAAACATGCCCTGTACCTCGGGGTTGAAGTCGAGATGCCTCAACCCGGCTCCTGGCAAGGCCATTGGTTCGATTTGACTAAACGCGCCATCTGCTAAACATGAAAATCAACTCTGTGCCGATCGTGAGAGCAACTTCTGGATGGGCTTACCTTCTTCGTAATGAGCATTCTGCACAATAGGAGGATCCCAAGGACTAGGTTGTCCCAGTTCATCAGGGTCAGACGGTGGAACACTGGACTTTTTCTTTCGAGGCCCTCCACGTTTGCTGGGTAGATACGAACATGCCCTTCCTTTGGCTGCGCACTGTTGGCGGAAGGAGGTAAATTTAGTACGCGCTCAAGTACGGATGATGAAAATGAGAATGAGATAAAGAAAGAGATGGAAAGACGCACGCTTGAGCAGGGCTCCTGCCCGTCGCATCGTGTGCGGGATGCACGGCTGTCAAGGCCAGGGTCAGATCGTCACTTCCTCAAATGCCGTGTGTTATGGGAAGCCCTTACCATGCCAAACACGCTACCTTGACCGGAGGTTTGGCAAATTTCCTTCGAACAACAGGGGCGTTTCCAGATGGCTGCGAGGTCTCTACCGGCAATTGGGGTTGTTCTTCAGCAAGAAAATGTTGCTCCTGGAGATCTCGCTGATATTGGTTATGCCCTAACACCATTGCGATTGGCACAGGGCTACCTTGATGTCGGGAGTTAATCCCGAAGTTCGGATTTCCAACCAAGGAGAAGCCAGTTCTTTTGACTTTAATGAGGTGTATGTTTGGGTAAAGGTATTGAGACCCCTAAGTCAAGGAGGAGGGGCCGAGTACCGAGCAAACGCCTTGATCGCACTCACGACTTCCATTGATCCGGGTCGAGGGGAGAAGGGAGCAAAAGGCAGCAGAGACGCATAATCGGCCCTCTCTGGCAGTCCCAGTATCAAGGACTGACTTGCTGTGTTCAGGGGGGAAGAACGAAGAGATAGATAGAATATTATGCAGCACCTCTGTTCTCGCCAGAGCTGGAAAGGAGCCAGTTGCAAAAGTTAATCATTGGCGGCATGGCTAAGAGTAAGAATTACAGATGGCTGCATAGCCAACAGAGCATTGGAGGGAAAAGCAAATCCCGATGATTGGGATTTGTTGTCATAATATCGGGATTTGCTTCAAGAGACCGAAAGGGATTAGCGGACACACTCGCCGCCATGATCCACGGTGACCCAGGGACTCCGTCAGCCGTCAGTTGCAAAAAGCTATGTAGGTCTTCTCCTGATTTCCTGCCACTCGTGGGTTCCAGAGGGGTGGGGAGCACAAAAGCATGATGGCCAATCTGTCATGGAGCTTACCGAGCCAGCCCTCTTCAAGGTTTTTTTGGGTTCCCGTGCTCTCGTCTGGCAAGCTGCAACCCAACCTTTTGTCATTGGAAAATCGCGCCCCGCCCTTCAGCCACAATACCCTTGTCTTGGGAGCATTCGCACTAGGGTTTTAGCTTTTTGATGATGAACATCATACGACGAAGAGACAGAAGATGCTTGGGCGGAGCCAATGGCACGCAGCTGCCAGTTCCAAGACAAATCAAAAGATAGATATTAAACCTGGGACACTACCGCTGAGATAAGCATGATGCATTCTAGGCCTTGACTCTTCCATGGGCGCGTGCCGCGCGGCTGTTGTAGTTGCAGAACCGTTTGTGATACATCATCAGCACGAATGGGTCTAAACCTAGGATCGAGGTACCACTGTACCGACGATCTCTGGGCCGATTGCGAGCATTCACGCAGCGAGGCAGCAGAAATCGAGGGGAGGCGTATCACCGACGGATGTAACGAGAAGTCGACTTACTAGTATGGCAGAGAGGGATGGAATAGGAAGTCCGAGCAGTGTGACTGCTTGGATGGAAACGGAAGGATGGGGGGCACTCCAGTGAGCGTGATTAGAGTGATCAGAGTGCTGGGGCGGCAGCTAGGCTCTTGGTCCAGCTAGCGGTCCAGGCCCCAGGCCACAAGGCCACAAGGCCCAAACAGGCCCTCGGGTGTCGCGCCTCAGGCATTCTCAACGGAGCCAGGCATCAAAAGACAGAGCCAGTCATGGGACGCCGTTACGGATTAGTCTCCGCTCGGCGAACTGTCGCCTCTTTGGTCTTTGGATCCCGAAACTCAATTCCTTCATCTTTCTTCTTTTGATCCCTGCCACCGTGCCACACAGTGCACGCACACGCTCCTATCGAGTCCCACAGGCCCTCGGTGAGTCTGCCCCCATTCCTGGTCCTGCGTTAACAGATCGCCCAATTGCCATTTAACAATGACAAGATTTTTCAGCTCACTGACTAATCCACTTCCAGGCTCTTCGCCCTCTCACTACGACCCTCACCATTCGCCTAATTCGTGCTCCATGCCGTTTGTCACCCAGGAACATTTTCTGTTGTGGAATCTGGATAACGGTCACGAGGCCCGAGCGTTGCGATAATCTCCGCTAGCCCCTTGGGGGTAGCTTTCGCCGTTGATCGCGTTGAAGAAACTTGTTACGGGTTGATTCCGAGCTGCTACGTGCGTATACTCTCCCAACCAGACTCTGTACATGGTATGTACGTAGTCTCACTAGACTGTACCTTCTGAAACAAAGTTAACGCTAAGCGGACTGCTTTAGGACGAGAGGGGAAGGTCAAAAGCCATGTGCCATCATTTGCTGCATATTCACGTCGCAGCTAGCTACTCGTTAGTGCTGATTATTTTAGCTGAGGCTTAGCAAGCGCTCCTCCAGCACATGGCTTCTGAAACAGACGGGGGGCGATCATAGTATCGTGGTATTTAGGTTATTGCTGCGTAGTACGTACTTTAATTTATAATGTTGCGTTTTTGCTCCCGCCAAGCAGTTTCGCGTCATTAACACTAACTTTCCCTTCGTAACCGGGAAGGTTCAAGCTCACCATGTCAGTAATATACGCATGGCTTTCCTATATAATTAGGATCAAGTAGGAAGAATGCTTCCATCTATCGCATCTATGTACAATATGTGGACAAAATATAGTTAGTTTATTAGTTATCGGCTGCCTCCGAATTCTTGAGGGATTTTTATTCCCGGTAGATGGCGGACGGAATCCCAGACGCTGTCTGGTACCTTGACAGGGATCTTGTGTCCTCTAAGAGTCTCGTCGATCAGCCATAGACCAACCACAAACTCTTCGCGTGATAGCATGCCGATCTCTGAGCGGTCGACTAGGTTCCATATCAACTCCAGAGTGTGAGCTGGTAAGCGACTGCGCGACCATATATCGCGCACTACAAGGTGCACTACCAGATCCGCCGAAACCAGAGTGTGTGCAACATTGGGAAAGATTCGGTGAATTACACTCTCTGGGGGGACCCACAGCCCCTTATTTGCAGCCCACACCCCTTCATATCGTTTGCGGGCTGCTTCGGTAACTTCTTGACGCCATCGCTTGCGATCACCTTCATGGTGCTTATGAGGATGGTGTCTTATCAGATGGCGTCGACCTGGACTTTTATTGTCCTCAACTTCGGGTTTAGGAGGATCCCTTAAAGTTTGTCGTAGCCCCTTAGGAGGACTGGGCGTCGTGCGATGGTCCTTCTTTAATATATCTCCAGGATGCAGAATTGAGCGCGATCGCGATCGGCGTGGTGGAGGCAGCGGTGGAAGTGCACTGTACGGCGACGGTGCACGCGATGAAGCTAATGAAGAAGCAATTATCGCATCCGCTAAGGCTTCCTTCGTCATACCCGACTGTCCATTTGCATTTCCAGTGTTTTGACGGCCGGGCGTAGTGTAGTGGCTACTGGAGCTTGCCACTTCATCAGCCACTGAATGAGCACGTGAACGGCTTATACTGGTAGTCTCTGACTGGTTCGTTTCGCGACTTGCTGTATTCCTGTTTCCAGAAGTCTGCGACTTCTTTGCTTGAGCATCATCACCTAGACGCGGAGGTTTTGTGGAAGGTTCAGGTTGCAAATATCTGTTATTGCTTGCTGGCTGTGTCAGCTTAGGTTTGGTAGCAGGCGGTTGTGGTTTAGATTTAGTTGTTTTGGGTTGAAGTGTCGGATCTCCTTCGATCGGTGAGAGAATGGCCTCGTCTGCATTAGGGCCTCGGTCCTTTGCCGGAATACCCGGTAACTCTGTTCTCCCAGATTGTAGACGTCCACTGGTTGAACTTGCTCTTTCTTCCTCCAAGCTACCCGCCAGGGGCCGCGCGACAATCGAACTTCTGCGGATAGGGACTGGTGCATGGACGGATCTGGAATTTTGGACCGACAAAAAGTCGGGCTTCGGTGCCGGCGAGATAGCTTTTTTTCTGGAAGCGGTGCTACCAGTCATTGCTCTTCTAACTGGAGAGACCGATGGATAAGCAGGAACAGCCTGCGGTGTTSGAGCCGATGATCTCAAAGCTGCCATTTGCGCAGCTTGCATCTGAGGGGTATCAGATCCAGGGGCATCAGCGCCGGCTCTATTCCGACTGAGTCGCGACACGGTACTTCCAGAGAAGACTTTTATCCTATCCATGACAAGACCAGCCTCCGGCATCTCCGATACGGGGTCGGGTTCGGATTCATTTGCACGTCGTGGAGAACGAGACGGATCGGATTTGGTAGGGTTGCGTAATACGTCTCTTGAGCTCTGAGCACTTAGAGAAGTTTCGCGATTTGGTGAGCGGGCATTGAAAGCCATGTTTGCACCCTGAAGGGCGGTGGAGTTCAACATCGCATTGCCAGTGGGTTGCCGAGACATCCGTCGACCGTCACGGACGACGGTCTGGATACCAGCGCTCATGGACGCATGCAGCCTTTTGTTTTATTTATTCCATATGTGCGCGTCTCCTGGTTCAAGGGAATTCTGATGTTCTTCACTGTTGGGCTTTTCGGAATTGTTGGGTAAGCAAGTGTCAGCTGAAAGACGATCGGTAACGGCACTGATTCTATCGACGAAGTTGTAGCTGACGATATTGCAAGGCATGCGTTTTCGTAGATATAGGTTCTGGCATATAGGCTCATAATTAGTCTATACCATGGTAATGAGAGTGATGTCGATAATGAATGTCGTAAAGAAGTTGTTGTCTGTCCGGAGTACGGACCACGCAGGTGGGTCATAGTCATCAACATTCAGCAGGAAGAGACTATCAGATCGCTCGCGCGGGAAGCACGTGTTCTGCTACTTCTTCCCGGCAGAACTTCCAGACTGATATTGTCTTATTTGAATTTTCAAATATTCTCTCCCATCATTGAAGCAGCAGCAGTCTCTTGGTTCTGGCTCTCATCGCGGACGTCATGACAAATGTGGATCATCGTCCATCTAGTAGCCCTAAAAATCAGGTGTCAAATAACGCTGCGGGAGTGGATTCGGCTAAAATCGTAAGAATGTTCCCTATAGTCGTATCTTGGTGAGCATCACCTGCTGATCTAAGGCATCTTGAAAAACTTCACAGCGATTTTGCGCCGGTGTCTACGAAAGCCTTAAATTGATCTTATTGCAGCCTCCATGCGATGGTCCGCATCTGCGTCCCAATGATACCCCTGGAGCTACAGCACCAACAGTACAAATCGACCCCAGGCGGTGGCATGCCGGCAAATAGGACGAGGAAAAGGCGCTTTTAACCGATGTGGAGTAACGGTCTCCCCTATCCACAAAGGTTTAGCCAATAGACACCTTGGTTAGCTGTACACCAATGCACCTTAATGATGGTAAAAAGGCAAGGGTGCTGTGTGATTGGCTTCTGATCTCACGGAGGACAGTCAATTTTACAACAGACAGACCATGCGTAGGCGGTGCGGAGAAGGGCAATCGGCAATTGTCTCGACGTCCAGAGTATATMCCTGCCGCTACCCCAGATTTTGTCCCCCGCGACTCCAAGTGTCGGTTAAGGCGTGAATCACGGCCTCAACATTTCTTGGATGTTTTGTATTTTTCAAAAGAAAGGATTGAATAAAATTATCCGCAAGTCTCCAGCTTGAAATGCTTCATTCAATGCTTGTACAACCTGACTAGGTTTTCACTCGCATGTATCGCGGCTTTTCAAGATCAAAAGTGATCACAACGTTCGCGACGAATCCGTTTAGAGCTCGACTGTCGGATGCAGGATAGTGCTTTATGGATGCTCAAGAGAGCTCCCAGCGCCGAAAGGCAATGTCTTCTCCATCGTCTTCGACCCCGAGATGTTCTATATGCGATGTAACATTCAGAAGACCAGAGMATCTGAAAAGGCACCTTCGTAGCCACACCAAAGAAAAGCCTTTTCGATGCGCCCAATGCAGCCGCTGCTTTTCAAGAAGGTACGATGCTTGTAAGTCGAGTTATTTTTAGCTGCTAATTATTCATAGTGATACCCTCTATCGACATGACCAAAGTCACCACGCACAGAGCATAGAAGGGGGACTTGACCGTGTCCATCGTATCACGGTCAAAACATTCCGGGCTTGTTCGCAATGCGCATCTGCTCGCGTCCGATGTAGCGGTGGTGAACCTTGTCACCGATGCCAGAGTCGTACGATCAGCTGCCAATACCCAACAGAGCGACGTTCAAAAAACAAAAGTTCCGCGGACTCGCCTGAAAAATCGGCCGGCGTCATTACTAAAGCTTGTCCAAGAGGGAAGAAGTCGGTCACACAGCAGTCTAACACGGATACACCCAAGCGGCAGGCCTCTACTAGCCTTCAAAGCCCTCGATCTCAATCGATCGACCAACAAATCCAATTCCGCTTCATCAATTATAATACAGCATCTCAGACACGGACATCAAGTAACGAAACAGAATCTAGAAGACGGAGCCTTGCGAATAGCCACGGAGATATTACGATACTTAATTTTCAAGATCAGCCTGAAAGTCCAAATGTGCAGGCTCAGAACAGTCCACAAATTTCCTATACGACAAGTCCGTCTGGAACAGGTCCTACGAATAGTACGGCCGTTTTTCCTTACAGTATGACGGATCATCTTCTGTCGGAAGAGAACCCTATGGATCAGTTAAAATCTCCCGCAACTACGATGCCTCTCGATCTTCCACAGCCGTCCACGTTAGACTTGCCGATAGCGCCAGAGCTGTTTGATCCAGTCGAGGATTTGGGCTTAAATTGGCTTCCAATCGATATCCTGAAAGATATGAATGCACCACTGCCGATGGACCCAAATACTACATACAACGCGATGAATGAATGGTGGCTGGATGGATTGAACGCCAAAAGTGACTGGATGCAGCCTGCCACAAGCGTGGGCGACATACAGTTACTTGGCGGGACAGAACAGCCTGGTTCAATTCCTTACGCGGCTATACCGAGACCTCACTCACTTGGCAATTCGTCGCAAGATAGATCCCCGTCCTCTTCGTCGAGTGACGATGCCGCATTAAGTTGTGGTCAATACTATGTGGATGGTGAAGGCGCCCGCCTGACAAAGCAAAAGCGACGAAAGAACGCGCATTCTGACCAAGTAGAAGAGTCAATTTCTTCTTTTTTACCCAAACAACGCCCAAGGTTGGTTTTTCCAGACATGCATGATAATCTAGTGCAGGAGATACATCAAAACGTATCTGCCACAAAGCAAATATCAACCAACAAATATGAAAGACTTATTGACATGTTCAACAAATTATGTCGCTCTGAGACCTTGTTCGCAGCTTTTGAAACCACTACTTTCCCAGGAGCAGATCTGCTAGCTTTTTTCGTTTCCAGCTATTTGGATGAATTTCAGCCAGTCTATCCAGTCTTTCACATGCCTACTTTCGATCTAGAGCAAAGTCATTGGATCTTGACGCTTACTATGGCAGCAATTGGATCCTGTCTTATCAACACACCGGAGACGGCAGACTATGCTTACCCTCTCCAAGAATTTGCACGTCGAGCCATACTTGTCGAAAAGGATAAATACAACACTGGAACAAAGCCTATTTGGCTCATTCAGGCAATGCTTTTGAATTGCATTGGCCTTTATCACGGCGTTGATAGTCAAGCCAAGGAATATGCTTCTGGTACTTTGAATGACCTGGTACGGTTTTCTCATCAAGAGAGACTTGTTTCAAGCGGACAATTGAACAGGACGATTGGTATTTCATGGAGAGACTGGATCAATATCGAAACAAGACGAAGAACTGGTTATCTAATTTGGCTTGTTGACAGTACTTTGGCTTACACTGCCATCAATTTTCGACCACTATTCAGTCTTCAAGATGCGCAAGCGCCCCTTCCTTCACACGAAAGCGTATGGGATGCAATGTCCGAGGAAGATTGGGAAGCCCAATACCATGGTGACAATGTTTCTCTTCATTCAGCCATTGAGGTTTTATTCATCGAAAAGAGATCGATTCCGAACATTTCTGAGTTTGGTCATACTTTGCTTCTTCACGCCCTGTATCAAAGACTATGGGAAGTGAGCGATTACTTCCAAAGCCCGCTTACATGTTGGAACCCCAATGCTGCAAGACAACCGCGCGAAGCAGCAATTCCTTCAAGCCCAGTATGGCTACCAGGAGTCCCAATGTATTCCAAGTGGCGTAACAGTGCTTGCGACTGTCTAGATACACTTCACTGGCATGCCAATGGAACAATAGCGAAGGCAGCTGGATTTGAGCATTCTACCGTCCTACATTTGCATGCGGCACGAGTTGTGCTTCTCGTACCATTTCGAGAAATCCGAGATTTGGCCACGGCATTGGCCAACGAAACGCTCCCGTGGGATAACAGACTCGAGCGCAACTCTGACTGGCAGCATGCCTGGCGTTGGGTGATGCATGATCAGTACAAAGCTCGGCTATCTATGATTCATGCAGGTTCAGTATTCTGGCATGTCCGTCGCTATTCAACGAATGCATTCCACGAACCAGTATCTGTATTTCTGGCAACTCTAGCTCTATGGGCGTACGGTATCTGTAGTTACAATCCATGCGCACGCCTCTCACAAACGACAGCCTTACCAGCAATAGCTGGACAAGACCAAGCCGAATACGACGCAACCCCAACATTTGTCCACCTCGACCGGCCCTGCGACGACGAAATTGTGCAACTCTTTGTCCGCGAAGGTCAAGCGATGAGAGGTAACATGACCGGTGTAGGAGATATATGTAGTCCTCAGGGACCATCGAGGGTTCTGAAGGAAGGCATTCGGATCCTGTCGGGCTTGGCTTCGACATGGGGGATTACGCATGAGTATATTGATATCTTGTCAAGATTGAGGGATCGCACGTCGCTGCCTATGACGGCTGTGACGGGGTGAATGTGTATTATGTGCTCAAAGTAACAGTCTTTGCTATTTTATACACGAGACGCAAAATTATGCAAAAGTATCATTCAAAATATCCTACTTTAACCCTGCTTCATGCCGAGAATTCTGAACAGATTGAGTCAGCTTGATATATTTCACAAGGGAGGTGATCGAAAATGGTGGGGAGAGTGGAACATACGATCCTCATCCAACAACGTCTTCTCCTTCCAGCTCTGTCTAATCCATTCCATACTAACGATATGCGGGACTTTCAAGCCGCGATCAGACATCTGTTGTTGCGCGATAGTCTTGCGTATGTTTGCGATATCGTCTTTCGCTGAATCCGAAGAAGCGACGATGATGTGTGTAGGGAAGTTAGCTGTTGATTGGTGACCGCGTCCCTTGGTGGTTTTACTAGAGTCGATTTCCCATTTGTCGACAATGTCGGCGCCTCCAAATTCAGTCATCTTTCGAGCGAGGAAGGTTCGGATCTGGTGTGAACTATCTGACGAGTCTACGGACTCATGGAAATGTATGGTTAATCCCTTGAAAAGCCAACCCGGCGGCGTGGTTCCTTCCTCATGACTTCGCTCAAAAACAGTTTCTGAAATCTCGTGAATCTTGTCATCATCTTCGGCCAATTGTTGCTTCCCAGGTTTCGCTGTATCTAAAATGGTTCTAAGCTCTTCAGGCGTAACGTCTCGCGCATAACTGTCATTATAAACATCGACGTTATTAGAAATCTCATCTCGTCTCTCCTCCGTCGTGAAGAACATATGCCGTGGCTCCAAGGGTAGAAGATACGACGATAAATGTCGATCAATCTCATTCTGCCTGATGCAGTCAAGCAGCCAGTTTGGTCGGATGATATCATCGCGCGCACTCTTTTGTAAAGATGCGACTTTGACTGTTCGACGATCTGCGATGCAGACTGTGCGAGGCGCAGCTGTGTTTGTTTGATAGATTTTTCCGCCGTTAGATTTGACTAATTGCTCTAATTCAGCTTTGGTCTTTTTCTTGGACCCGTTTGTGTCGGTCATGATGACTAGTGACTAGGTCAGCAAATATTAACCCAGAAATACTGGAATGGGGGAAAATACAAAAATTCATTTTATCAAACACGTTCCCAGATGAACCTGCATATTCTACCTTCGCATCCTCATCATAACCCGCGATAGTCAAAGGTTTTTTTGTAGATGTCTTAACCCGCTTTCGGCGCGAGTTGTCGACTGTAAACTCTTTCTCTTTCTGCTCTTTCTCCACGTTGGACTTTAGGTCCAAAAACTCTTGAACAGATAATGCGCTCTTCCAGTCTTTGTCCATCCGCAGCTTCTTGAATCGCGGAAATCGTAAAGTCAACCCAATACGAAATTCTTCACTGACCGAGACAGATGCAGCTTTCACGCAAACTACGACTGATTCATCCGGCCGAATCCATTCATCGGGTCTTTCTTTTTGAGAGGCCTCCCCACCCGCTAATTCGATAAATTCAGTTGGTGGCCTTTTCGGATTCCATGGCTTCCATTTTCCGTCTGTGTGATGGCGGATATTCGCATAATCGGCCGCAGTAAAGCCACCGCCAACTTTGCAGAATGAATAACATTTCATTGAATTCGATTCAGTGGGATCATCTACACGCAGGCCACATAGATAACTTGAAAGACCACCTCCACGTTTCCCAGACCCATAATAACCGCCAATGATAACGAGATCGAGAGCCTCTCCGAATTCAGTCATATACTCGGGTTTGACTTTCATCCAGTCATCGTGACGTTCGTTCAATCTATAAGGAGACCGTGGGTTCTTCAACACCAGTCCCTCAGAGGCTTCTTCGACCACTCGTCGAAGAATAGGTTCAATCTCAGCGGCGGTGGTAGCCTCTGTATATGGGTGTATCTCGAACCTTCGATGAACAGGTCTTATAGCCTTTTCGATGGCATTGCGACGGTCTCGTAGTGTATAGCGTGTCAACTCCCTGTCATTCAGATACAAAATATCAAAGACCCTAAGTAACGGGCGCGGTCCTTTTGCATTCGGATCTCGTTGTACGGCCAACGCTGCCGTTTTCAACGTGCCGAATGGGACTGGTGCATCTTGCTCGGGGTCCCACGTAACCATTTCACCGTCCAAAATGATATTATCGACCCCATCAACAAACGCATCTTTTAAGTGTCGAGTAAGAGAGCCATTGGGGTCAAAAAATCCGTTTCCATACAGATATGTATAATCCTTGGCCTTGCGTGACCAGAAGCAAAACTTCTTGCCTCCCTCGACTGAATTGTCTGTTTCCATGTGTAGCTGCATCCGCTCGCCATCGAGTTTCTCTTCAATCCAGAACGTGGGATCTTGCTCTGTTCCCCGCATTCGTTGTACCATCTTTTCGAAAGAATGCATCTGAAACTGCGCCAACTGAGGTTGGAAACATTGCATCAGTGATACGCCACGCTCATCCCCCTCTAGCCGAATATTCGGATCATGCAATTCCCAACAGACACGTCTCAAACTGCTCGAAATACTGAAAAGTTGCTCAGCGTCCGGATGCCACACGTCGAAAAATGTTCGCTCTGTAGCCCCAACCTTCATCTGTCGCAGGATGATACGGATCAGCCACATGAGCTCTTCTGGATTCATGCGCCGATAAAACTCAGCCAAGATTGGCAGCTGCTGGTCTTCTTTGGAAGCGGAAGACAGCTGATCCAGGCGTTCGTTGACCTCTTCGATACGCATATCGCCCACGTCGGTCCTCATCGGTCTTCGCGATAAGACTTCATAGCACCGACCGGCGAAATCGCCCGCCATACGACTGGTCGCACTTTGGCCGGGAAGTTTCCAGTTCAGTAGATTGAAGCCATCTTCGGAATTCTTGTCAATTTTCATGATTTTCACGAGCAGTTTTCCAATGACTTTTTCTTTCAGTCCGTACATGGCACGGTCACGGTCCTTGTCGGGCACAATAAGACGAAAGGCCGGGTAGATATCATCGCCGACATCTTTGCGCCAGCGAGAGATGAATCGCTGGATGATATCCCTTCTCCGCTCCTGCGGATTGAGACTGGAGGGTCCATGAGGTCCAACTTTTCTACGAGCTGGACCTGTGGCGGGCTTTTTCTTGTTGTCGTTTAATGGATTGAAAAGGTCAGTCAGAAGATGATGAAATAAAAGAGTGGGCGAATGATTGCGAGGTCGATTTGGGTATCTATATCGGTTGGTAAGTCAAAATCATTTAAGATGCTGTGCTTTGCTTACTTCTCGTCCAAGTCCTCGTCCAGCGGGCCCGCATCGGGGATCTGGGTATCGCCATCGAACTGACTCATTTTAAAACATGTACGTAGAATAGACAATGAAAGAATAAAGGCTGAATTTTACCTGAATGAAGGATTACAACTTCATGTTGACTGTGATTCATGATAGGATGAGGAGACGAAGAGCCTCATGGAGACTAAGCTGACGAAGCTCCCTGATTGGTCAGCTGCAAAGACTAGTCCAGGCAGCTGTAGACATGTGATCACCTGGGAATGTCATTGTGGCCTCAGGCAGAAATCTCCCCTTGCCCTAAGTCTTCAAAAAAAGGAAATATGTTTTCAAGTGACTTATGTCAAACAGCTTTGAAGAGAACAAAACATGTAGTAAATAAGTTCCATCAATGGTTGATATAGCTTTATACTTCAATAACTTCACACTGCATCTATCAAAGGCTTTAAAAGAACCTCTTTGTACGATATCACAGCATTCAAAAGAGTCTCACAGCAGCAGAGGATGAAACTTAGAGAATATCCTTGTCTTTGTAGGCCATTTTCAATAATACTAAATGAACAAGTAATTATATCTCTTCTTATCTTCTCAAAGGAAGAATCTAAACCACCTATATGTATATATTCTAAGACCGGCTCAAGCCTAAACACCCAAAGTCTCATTTTCAGCCACGCTTTAACGATCCTAAACTTCAGCGACGATATTCAAACATCCAGTCAACCCCTTGAAGAGATTTACAAGGACGAAGAGCCCGGGCTAAGAAGTCGCTGACTTTAGAACAATGACTTGGTGTATAAATCAAGTGCCGCGGCGAATGAAGATGGGCCGCCTCAAAAGAGGAGAAAAGTTGGAGTCGGGGAGGTGAAAAACTTCAAACGTATCACTCATTTCTCCTTAGAAGGTTACTGACACAGTACAAGGACCACGAAGAATGGTCTGCAGCTCTCTATAAAACCATGCCAATTTCCTTACCCCGTCAGCTTAGATCGAACCACACAGACAAGCGCGAGCTCGAAAATTTTTTCAAAACATTTTTCCTAGCAGACGAAATAATGATGAATCCAGAGTCGAGGCAAATCGGAAATCGCGAAGGCATAACTTAATTGAGCTTCTACAAGGCCTCCACGAAGAATTAGGGGAGTTGAAGGAGCAACACAAGAATCAACAGAGGGAAATAAACGAACACCAGAAATACCTTAAGGAACAACAGAGAAAAATCAACGGCCAAGACAAAAAGCTCAAGGACCAAGAGGATATTATCGAGGAGCAACAGAAGAGGCTTGGAGAGAATGACAACCTACTACTAGCCGTTTATGCAAATGAACTAGAATGGACGGCTGGAAAAGGTGATCCGGACTCCCGTTATACAAGAAATGCCATCATCCATGGCGGAAACATCAAATATGCTATCAGAGCCATTGAATTTCTCAGAGAGCATGGTGATTCTACCCGTGTGCGGAATGCATCTAAAGGGTTCGCGATCACTTACGGGATCTCAATAGCCCAGATACAACCTATCTTTGCAGCTACCCCGGAAGAGGTAGTCGACTTGCTGAACAAAAGAGGAGTTTTACAAAAGGTTTGGAAATGGGAAGAGGTGTATCCCACATACAAGAAGGAATGGATCCAAGACTGCGATCTAGTAATTCAAAAGTGGTTGCAGCTTGGAGGGAAATCAAATCTTGAGGACAATCTCAAGGAAGACTATATCAGACTGAGTAGATGGGTGGCTGATCGTGTTGATATTATCAAAAGTTATTAGCTGGCTACGGCTCCCTTATAAGATGTCCTACTTTTCTTTGTTTCTATTTTGTCTTTTGTTATTTAAAGATTGTTGTTGCTGTTGTTGTGTTGATACAGGAACCTCTCATCAAACTCAAATGTTACAAAGCCGCGCAGATCAAGTTCATCGACCTGTTCAATCATGACTCTCTCAAACTCAGGTCGACTTGCAGTAGTCATGACATGAAATCTCCAGGTGTTATCGGGATTTCCATCTTCTCCAAGATGGCGTCCTTGAGAACCAGTAGTCCGTACTTCCTGTAGCGGTCAGCGTATCTAAAATTGCGTTGACAGAGGTACGTAGTACTTACTACTCCCGGTCATTGCGAGATTTCAATCATCGCACACATATTGAAGGTTGTGCTGGCCTGAGCAGCAAGCGTGACAGCCGAACATCCTATCGGAAACTAAAAACGCTATCCTGCACATCGCCGCGTTCCGGGAATCAAAAGGCCAGGTTCTGCATTCATGCCAGTCTCGTGTAATCCTCCATTTAAATAGGCCTTCATCTATTTTATGCCAGTGTGTTGCAGTCCACCATTGTAGCTGAGATTGCCTTTACGCCACCTGGCCAGCGCGTAGTGCGCATGTCAGGCAGTTTCCTTCCTTCGTCATATATTGAAGTGTATCTAAAACCCTTACAAGCCCATGGGATGAGTCATGGTAGCCAGCTACGCGTTCCAACAACCTACTTATTTGTAACTCGGTGAGCTCATTAATGGTCGAATTTAAGACGGCTGGCGCTGTTTGCTATCCATGTGAAGATACCGCCCAAAGTCAATCCCTATAGACCTACCAAGCAACGACGTCATTTGCAAAGGAAGAGGTTACCATAGCCTACTCGAACATCAAAGGCTAATTTGCAAGTATTTATAATCATATACCTATTCGTTCAATCGCGCTTCAAAAATCCAAAGTAGTATTCCTTACATGTACGTAACTTTGGAAGTAGTGCCATGGTGGATATTCGGTAGACTTTCAGGGTTATTATTCAGCTTGATTCATTACATGCATTTCTTGCTCGAGTTCTGGTAATAGCAGTGAATAGCAATTTCATCGACTTGAAGTATGTAAGCTGTGTTTGTCAATTAGGGCTAAAGAGTGGTATAACGGCTTTGCTTCCCCTCCAAATCTGTCACTTTAAACCCGATTCCTGCGCCGATCCCAAAATACAAAAATCAGAAGAGGATTAACGATAATAAATACGAAATCTATTAGATCCAAGCCACTGCTTATATCATGTGTTAAGTGAGTACTTAGGAATTTTCTTATCAGCACTAACTGTGGTGTAGTCAGGTAGCATTACATAGTATAGGGATTTCCGCAATATAGTTTCCCAGAGTCTCTATCGTAATTTATCGAAAAGTTTTCACCACCCAAGATCGTTGAGGAATAGTGTTAGGTGGGGTGAAGAAAGTAGCAATTGTAACGTTGAATCTGTCGAGTCCAAGGAAGGATTTCTAGTGCGGGAAGAGCGGATAATTGAGAAAACTAAGAGTGGAGGATCTACAAGACTACAAGCCCCAAGGAGACCAAAGAAAAGAGATTATTTCTTACCATGGATTACAATATCATGCTGACAAAGGAACTTGTGTGGATGGGCTTAAGTAATTAAAATGGTAAGCCATTTAAGATATAAAATGATGAGCTATCAGAGTTGTTGTATGACAAACGCCGCGCTATGTATGCATGTCCTGATGAATATACCTGCTCCATGCCCAGATATGAATGCCCATGATGCAATGCTATGTACATAATTTAACGATAAAACAAAAGAAAGTGCTAAGTCTCGATGCACTCGATCGAGATTCCAATCCACCGTTGAGGAACGGCCGGACCTTCCTCGTAGTCTCCCGAAATCAGTCGCACGGCCTTGCGGGGTGGAAGCCATATTCTAGCGCGAGTGGGGACGTCATCGCGTAGTTTCCCACTGCGACGCATGTTCATTTCCAGTACCACCATCCGGAGAAAGTCGCTGTTTTCTCGTGGTTCTCGCTGCCGGGAAGAAGGGAGCTCGGGGTGATTCGTGCTCTTATTGTCCACTGATCCAGATTGGCTGTATGTTTGCATCTGGATAGAAACCGGACAGCTGTTGATCCCTGGAAGCATATCATGAGGATGGTCACTGTAGACGTGCATCTCAGCAGGAGACAACGTGATCGGGTTGAGATAGCGTCGAAGAGCAGGCGAAGGCGGTCCACTTAATGGAAGTGGGCGCCGATCATCTGTCAGTTCGGGAGTGATCGAAAAAAGAGAGCGTGTCAGGAAATCATCCGGTCGGACTGATGGTGTTGCGAAATTTGACACGGTCTGCGCTGCAGACTTGATTGCTCTAAGAGAAGCCGTGAGATTGGATTTAAAGGTGAATCCAAGGCGCGGAAAGCTCCGTAACGAACGATTCTCTGGAGATGTAACAGCAGGTGTACTTTCTTGCATTAAATAAGACGGATCGAACGTATTGATATCAATGTCGAGAAGTGGATGATCGGTCGCACATTCCTGTGGAGGAGACAGTTGCTTCCGTCTCTCGAATGCCCGTCTTTGAAGCGAAGGCGAAGTCGAATATGGAGTATTAGGGCCGGATGTAATGAATGAATTCAAATCGTGGTCCAACGAGGGCATAGAGTCTGTTGAGATAGTACGCCTGAATTGAGGTGATTCAATTTCAGCATTGCTGTTGCTCTCAGACACCGGGATGCTCCCAAAATGCTCGTCTGGGGGGCTCAGTAGAATGTCTAGTGGCGAACTGAATGCACCGATGATGTTGGCAAACTCGTCCCGCGTTTTGACTCCATCCATAAGTAATCGACTAAAATCTTCAACATGATTTCCACGAGGCAGTTTGCGCGCGCCTCTTATGCTTCTGCTCCGACGAGGGATGGATGTTGTCTCGAGGAGCGTGCTCAACGACGGTGGTAGGTTGCGGTCTTGAGTCTGAGTAGAGGATGATCGTCGTGAGGACGCAGAATCTCTGCGCACCGTCCGGACATTTCTATTGTCTCCATAAAGGCTGGTGTTATTTCGTTCTTTGCTCGCTTTCGGTGGGATGATGACGGGACTCGTGTGGGAAACTATAGTCGGAACCGTGTGAGACACGGTGGGAGCTACGACGGGGGTAGGAAGAGGTCGACTTGGTGTATGTCTTGATGTTCCGGATCTGGCTGTTATAGATTTTTTTTCGTTCTGGGTCGGATCTTTCTGGACACGTGCCGAAGAGAACATGAAGGCTCTAGGCACCATCATGTTGCATGCTCACGAGGATTTTCGTAGCATACTAACTCCCGAAGAGGCACTCTGGTCAAGAGTCTGTGCGAGAAACATAGGAAAAATGGTGAAGACGACAATCAACTCACACCCCACTGTGAGAGAGTAGTGGAAAGCTGATTGTGTGGACTTTGGTGCCTTGTTCGGTGATCGATGGATGTTGAGACAAGGGTTCGTTATCAGTGATGCCGATAATAGTAGATAGCACGCGACTCGTACAGGCCAGGCCGTCCACGAGCGAAGTTCTACCAGGGCTGATAGTGTGTAAGGATGGTCGAAAAGTCGAGGACAGAGTCGAAGGCTTTGTAAGTCGGTTGAAGCGAGAGGGAATCTGATGTAGAGTCGGTGGTTGAGATGAGAGGGAGAGTAGTGGTTGAGGAAATTGTAGGAAGCAGGCGATAGATAAGCCTCGTAGTCATCGTTTCATTCTCGGCGAACGAACGCCGGGGGGAGGCGTGACCGAACGTTACGCACGCCGTATGGGTCAGATCGCGGCCAACAACAGATTTCTCAGCGTTACGACGGATGATGGCGTAACAGGCTCGTATTGGTGTGTAATATGAACCGTCGTATTGGATCCGGCTGATAAACTAGGGCAATTTGGGCCAGTGGGGGATCCTTTCCGTTAGTACCGTTACGTCCGTTACCGTTTACGTGATAGCAATTCTAGTCTAATTTGATTACGGCGTACCTACTTAAGTTACTGTGTGTAAAATCGATTTTCGTTGACTTTCTTTTTTATTGACAGTTGTCAGGCAGCATTGTATCACTGTGTAGTGCCATATGATGTGTTGGCAGATCGTCTGTTATGGCAACCAATCAGTCGTATGACTTTGTTGCTAGTACACGACTATTTACTTAGTCAACTGATTGACTGACAATTGATGTAGTTAATCTATCACATAGAAAAGACATACGTACGAATGTTGAGATCTTCAAAATGGCGTCTAAACCGCATTGGGCAGTTGACAACGACCCGGCCATTAGTAAGACGGCGAGGTTGTAAGTTAACTATGGGGCTGTCTACGATCTTTCCGATTGTCCCGCTGCTGCAGAAGAAGATTCGGCGGTGGAGCATCGAAGAAAGTCAAACATTCTACTACGTACGGAGTATACAATGTGGTAGTAAGTACCAATTCCTTACAGTGCATGCGACACCTCGGCAAAGCAGTGAGGCAGCAAGGCAGGAACAGTCGGAGTAGTGCTCCGTCCCCTGCATGATGACTGAATTCCTAGCAGTCAACACTACCATTGTTATTATCTGCTGCAACCCGTGCAAAATATTGAAACAATTGACTGAAAAACCAGACATGACCGGAGAAGCTCGTAACTATTTTATATTTTTCTTAATTTTTCATTTCCCTTATCAAATAAGTATCCACTGTCACGTCGAGCCGTCTGAGCCGGTGGAACAACCCACAATCGGAAGATTTTCATCTACAAAATGGTAAACCGAGCACACGATGAAGAATTAGCGGTGTACTAATTAATCAATCCGAAAGGCAGAGGAAAAGAAAAGGTGAAAGGATGTCGTATTTGTAGTTGAAGCCCAATGTGCACTGTGAAGTGTACCTGCATCATAGTACATTAGGTTTATCAGGGTTGTGCCCTATATCCGTTGTTGCAAGCGAAACCTCATTTTGTATTCGAGAAGGCTCATACTTCAATACAGCATTTATCTCTTATTATGCGCTTAAAAATCTTTATCAAGATTGAGTCTCGTGCTCGTGTGAAAACGTTGAATTCATGTGGGGGCAATCAACGTTGTAGTTTCAAACAATATCATTTGATACCTTCTACCCTAAACCTTTCTTTTCCGCACGCTCTGTCAGGTATCTGTCAGGTATCTGCTCCTTGGCACCTTTCCATGTTGCTCTAAGTGCTCGAAAATTTCAAAGTTCTACTTCGTCAACTTCAGAAGGGGTGTCTCAAGATAATGAGGATCGGGTTCGGGACATTCACGAGGTGGAACTATATTTGGTTTTGCCAGGTACATGCATAGTGCTTCTCTTCAAACGTTGTCGGATATATTTTTACACCTGGCAGTGAATCTCCGTGTATAGCACCCAATTCATGCAAGCATGCTCTTATATATATTCTTCAGTAGTGGATCTCAAATTAGCATGCACAAAGTTCGGGAATTATCCTTTGGTTTGAGAGAATGTGCTTATTTCAGTTATTCTCATTATTGGAAGAGTGACAGGCCTGTCTGGTACATCAGAAAAACACAACTGGTTCAACTGAAGGGCAATTGGTCTCAAGACAAAATGAGTATGAGTATGGCTGCTTCCCAGTCTCGACCCCATAACTTCCTTATTGGGCAACCATGCAGGTTACCAAATATGGAAGGTTCCTGCAAAGGTTACGGCGCGCTGTTAGGGCTCACAAAGCCCGGAAAATTCCGTTTATACGAGCCTATGTAACCCAAGCCCGTTATTTTCATGTGATAAGTTGAATTACTCGCAATTAGATCTATAATTGAACAGTACTTCCAGACAGGCAAGATCTCCAAGACTTGGCCTGGACATGGTATATGAGCACCACGGGAGCTAAAAGGGCCCACCAGATGTTAGATATCCCTTATGATGTAACCGAGAAGAACTTCTGCCAATTACACGATGCGCAGGAAGAGATCTGGATTAAGGCCGATCTCACAGAAAAGCACACTTGGAGAGTTGCTTATCGAGTTGATCTCATTCGTTGCCCAACGCCTGTCTTGAGCAGTCAGTATCCGTCGCACATTGAGACTGCTTCAGCCCCGTGGCTGATGTATTTTCCAAGTCTGTCGCAGCTTAGGTGTAGACTTGTGACTTTATCCGGGACGGCTCTTGTCAGGTTCAAGACTCTTGAAGTTGTTTCACTGTCTTCCAGTACACAAACCAGCGTCTGCGATAAGCGTATATTCTCCAAGCTCTCCGTAGTTGTTCATGGGCACTACAATTCCTACTGAGATCTTGCAGTGGTATGGTTCGATTTGTCAGACTCTATAAGGCTCGTCCATCTCTCCTGGATCATCAATGAGTCAACTACTAAATTGGACTACGACATTCAAGGAGAAGAGCCTATATGCCGATATTCATGGTTAAAAAAAAGCACAAGCCAGTCGTGCTGATAGGCAGAGTCTACGAACATGGTGTCGTGGACTTGGCATCAAGGGTCTTCATGACGAATCAATCGGAAAAGTTTAATAGTTATAATGAGCCGACCATATTTGCCGCTAGAAATGATGCATGATATTCGGAGAGAAAATCTCTCCGGATACGTAGGAGACGAATTTATGCATGTGAAACATTATTGTTGAACGTACTCAAGTGCAAGAAGTCGTGGAATTAAGACTAAACCCTTGCCGAGATCGATCGACTCACATATCCTGTTTACCAACAGGATTTCGTATATTACATCCGAGCAATGCCAGCTTATCTCCCTCCACTCTCCAACCAATCGAGCCTGGTCAGTTGGTAAGAACGGAAAGACGACGGTGGAACATGGTTATGCAGTCTGGGATCAGGGTACACACAGCGTCCTACAGTTACTCGTCGAGACATCTGGAGATAGCGTGGCGTCTGGCCTATGCGGTGCAGTTGATAAACAAGAGACTGGAAAAAGAAAATAGGGTCAGTGTTGCTGACAAGGTTGACAGCCTATGAAGCATTTTTATATTTTGTCACCAACAAGCCAATCACAGTGCAGATAGTAATCAGTTCGCTGGTCAGCCAATCTGAGTGCTTCCACGGGTCGAGGCCTTGATATGTCAGCCATTGAGCGCATTCGACCATGTGGGCAAAGCCTTTGTATCCTATCTACTTCTGTCAAGGGTCAGTTACCGACACTGACACTCAATATATTGCGATACCACTCAATTGTCGAAGAATCGCAGTGGTCTTCAGCAAGCCGAGCCGAGATCGTAGCGGGGATTCGGATTTCTACTCCGTGAACGTCGTCTCGCTGATTCCGTCTCTACTCACCCTCGCGATTTCTTTATTTATTACTGCGGCCTCCTGCGAAATAGGGATATGGTTCTAACATCTTCGCGCCACGATAGCGGACCAAGAATCAAACGTCTATCAACGAAGCCCGGCCTGATCGCCGAGATCATATCGCGCGATGGATGAGAGGGCTGGGTTCGAGAATGACAGCACAACAAGTACCGATGAGGCTCCGGATCCAACGCCGTCCAGCAATGCGTCAGGCTCTCGTAAATCCAAGGCCAAACGGAATGATGATGGTCAAGCAGCCAAGCGCCGATGCGTGAGTTCGGCATGTATTGCCTGTCGTCGAAGGAAGTCAAAGGTATGGCTATGCGATATTATTATCCAAAACCCTACTGACATCCCAGTGCGATGGAAATCTCCCTAGTTGCGCCGCCTGTTCATCCGTATACCATACGCCATGTAAGCTTACCACTTCAACCTCACCCTTTAATCCAACCGCTCACATCGCGGACAGGCATCTACGATCCAAACTCCGATCATCGCAGGAAAGGGGTGTACAAGAAAGATATTGACAACCTTCGAACTCGGAACACAACCTTACAAACGCTCATACACGCGATCTTGAATTACGACGAAGACAGTGCATTCGATTTGGTTCGCCAAATTCGCCTATGCGACAGCTTGGAGGATGTAGCAGACGCTATCATAAACCAAGAACGAGGGCTATCGAATCCTCCCGTCACGAACCAGCGCGAACAAATTATCGAGGATAACACGGGAACAGACCAATTTGAATACGAGCTTGCAGGGAAGATGAGCGAGTTGATGCTTGATGGGTCCGTCAAGTTCATTGGTGGCACATCCAATCTGTTATTCCTCCCGCGGGATCTACAACAACAAGACGATGAGAATGCATCTCGCGATATGTTGAACTTGAAGCAGGGATCAAGGTTTTCGGTCGCCCAGTGGACAAGGGTCACGGATGATGAAGCGTTGGTCAAGCATTTGATGAACATGTACTTCACCTGGCATTATGCGTATTTCACTACGCTTTCCAAAAGTCTCTTTTACCGAGACTTCCGGCGTGGCCAGCCTAGCTCATACTGCTCGTCCTTTTTGGTGAACACAATGCTGGCCCTAGGTTGCCACTTCAGTTCATGGGCGGGTGCTTATGAACATCCAGAAGACACTGCGACCGCGGGTGATCACTTTTTCAGGGAAGCAAAACGGTTGTTATTGGAGCACGATGAACATGAAAAGGCCAGGCTTTGCACTGTGCAGGCACTAGCATTAATGTCTGTTCGGGAAGCAGGCTGTGGCCGGGAAGGTAAGGGCTGGGTTTACAGTGGCATGAGTTTTCGAATGGCCTATGATCTAGGGCTTAATTTTGGCGCCACGAACCTGGGTGCAAGCAAGTTGATTGAGGAAGATATTGATGCTCGAAGGATCACTTTCTGGGGCTGCTATCTGTTTGATAAGTATGACAAAACCTTCTTTTTTCTGAGCAATCAGTCTAACGTGGTGCTTTAGATGCTGGTCCAACTACCTAGGCCGTCAGCCACAGTTATCACTAGCCGATGCCACAGTCCCAAAGTTTGACGTCTATCCTGCAGAGGAAGCGGAGCCATGGGTACCATACACAGATACTGGCATTGGGCGAGAACGGTCACAACCTGCGCGAACTCGAGCAGTAGCCTTACAGATTTCAAAGCTTTGCGAGATCAGCAATGATCTTTTGGCCTTTTTCTACCATCCCATGCCTTCCGAAAAGCAGCCTTCACGCCAAGCCGAACTCTCCAAGCTCAGTGATCTCCACACCCGGCTCGAGGCTTGGAAGAAGGGCCTACCAGCGGAAATGGACCCTAAAGACGGTCAACTACCACCTGTATTGCTTATGCAGTATGTGTTATCCCGATGTCTCGTACGGAGTATGACTAACTTGTGGCAGTATGTTTTATCAACTTCTCTTCATCCATCTATATCGCCCTTTTCTCAAATATACCAAATCAACATCCCCCTTACCGCAACACGTCTCACCACGAAGACTATGCTCACAAGCTGCGGCCGCCATATCTAAACTTTTACGAATCTACAAGAAATCATACGGTTTACGACAAATTTGTAACATTGCAGTGTACATCGTTCATTCCGCTTGCACGATTCATCTCTTGAATCTGCCGGACCGCAATGCTAGAAGAGACCTCATCCACGGTGTGCGAAACTTGGAAGAAATAGGCGAAGGATGGCTCTGCGCTCGACGTACGCTAAGGATTCTTGACCTGTCTGCTGTCAAATGGCATATCGAAATACCGAACGAAGTCACTACAGTTTTTGACCGCACTCGTGTCAAATGGGGTTCTTGGGGCCATTGGGATCAAGTGACTTCGCCTAGTGTGTCCGACACATCGTCCATATCAGCAAGTGCTACTATGAGCGTACCTGTCACTCACCAAAAACACGATAATTTCTACACATCATCTACACTCCCACAACAGCAACCGGGATTGTCCCCAGTCAACCGACGAACAGCTTATCCTACAATTCCCACCATTCAGCATCCGATGGCCTCAGCTGCTCAACCCACACACTATCCCGACCAACTAGAAACTCTACCTTTTGTAACCTACCCTCCAGCTACGACTCAGACCTCACCACCTACTACCATGTCCCATCTTTATGCAAATCAAGGTATGGCTTATGCCCAGCCTAACGGTGGATACCAAACCCAACAGAACACAATGAGTATGAGCAGTCAAGATGTCTCCTGCAACAATTCCAACAGCAGCAACAGTCCAGTGGCAGTAAGCGGCACTCCACCAATGCCTGTCTTCAACGGATTGACCGAAAACATGATGGAGGAGAACCAAGACTGGTGGATGCGTGATCAAAGCGCCCTGGCCTTGGGACTAGAGAATTGGGGTGAAGGATGGGCAGGAAACCAGTTCATGAACCTCAACCTTCCTGCTCGTCCGCCTGCCACGTCTCATGTTTCTCGTTCTTCTGTTCATCCGGGCCATCAAAACCGTCATCCAGACGGCCGCAACGCAGTTGATATGCAGTCTCATACCAATGACGACGAAGTGCTAAACGACCTACAATTGACAGGTAACAACCCCCAAGACGGAGTCAGCCATGCTTATGGTTACCAAAACATGCTTCCATCGGGCTATCAATGAAGACCCCCTTACGACCAACGCACGCACTGAGATGAAAAGTGACGAATTTAGATTTATGAACATCATAGGAACATTGGGACAGGACATGCTCTGGATTTATTTATATATATAGATGGAGTCAGAGATCGGAATTTAGATATGGGAGGTTTACCTTGCAATGTGCTCATGTAACTAACGCGGCTATTATACTTATATACCTTTGTCTTTTGCTTTTTAGTTTATCAGGTTTATTCAGGATAGTAATTTGTACAAGTTTTATTCAATGACATTTATTCCTCGGTTGTCATTGATTCTTCTATACATGATGGTACCTATTGGTTGATAGACATGACTGGGTATGTCGGCAAGCATAGCCTTCAAGAGCTAGTCTAGTGCCCATGAGGCTTGACAAGGATTACTTGATTGATAGGTCAGGAGGCTCCAGATGCATTAATGAACTATTTTCTAACACTATCAGCCTGATTAGGGCCGGATCCGAGTCAACATTATTGCTTTATCTCCTCATACCTGCACATCCTGGTGCATACAAGTAGGTCATCTGGCGACTGGTATCCTTGGATATAAATTATTGTTGAGGACTGTTTCATGTTCCTCCATAGATATGAAAGACTAAACCACATAAACAACACAAAATGTCTACCGGAAGAACCGCCTCTGAGTACACGGTAGGCTGGATATGCGCTCTCCCCCTCGAAATGGCCGCCGCAAAGGCCATGCTCGACGAAATCCACCCCAAACTACCGCAAGCATCCAACGATCAAAACTCGTATTGCCTGGGCTCCATAAACGGACACAACATCGCCATTGCGTGTCTGCCATCTGGTGTTCACGGAACCACCTCTGCGGCAACCGTTGCGTCAAGTATGCTACACACTTTCCCATCTATTAGGTTTGGATTGATGGTTGGTATTGGTGGCGGTGTGCCTGGTAGGTATAGTGATAAGAACGATCCTATTCGACTGGGTGATATTGTCGTAAGCAAGCCGACGAATAGTTCCGGGGGTGTACTGCAATACGATCTGGGCAAGAGTATGGGTAATGGACTGTTTCAACGGACTGGATCGTTAAATAAACCGCCCCAGGTTCTCTTAACAGCCGTATCGGAGCTGCAGGCTGATCATTTGATGGGGCTGACTCAAATCCCTACTTTCCTGTCGCAGATTGCGCAAAAGTATCCTTCCATGAAGTCATTTTCCTTTCCGGGCCAGGCGTTTGATGAGCTGTTTGACGCGGATTATGAGCATGTCTCTACGGGATCTGCATGTCAGAATTGCGATAAACAGCGACTGGTCGCTCAACCGCAACGCAAAACAACAGAACCACGCGTGCACTACGGCATTATCGCATCGGGGAACCAGCTTATCAGAAACGCGAAGATGAGAGATATCCTTGCGCAGGAAGATCCGGGTATTCTCTGTTTTGAGATGGAGGCAGCCGGGTTAATGGATCAGTTCCCATGCCTGGTCATACGAGGTATAAGCGATTATACTGACTCACACAAGTCGGATGTGTGGCAACCCTACGCAGCCTCTGTGGCAGCCGCATACGCAAAGGAGTTGCTTTCCGTCATTTCGGCGCGACAGATTTGGAAAGCGACTCCTGCCCAGGAGACCATTTCGACGCAGCCGCCTCAGGCGCAACAGAATCCGTTGCTTCAGTTGGCGGGTATGAGTGTCTTGGGTCCTAGTACGCCTCTCCACGAGGCTATATCAAGAGGTCAGAAGGATCTTGTTAAAGATCTACTCGAAAAAGGGGTGCCAAACATTAATGCTCAAGACAGTAGAGGGTATACCCCGTTACATACAGCGATTGAGCAGGACGATCTAGAGTCTGCCAAAGCGCTCATTGACAAAGGCGCATCAACTTCGCGATCAAACGTCATGGTTCAACCCGTACTCAAATATGCTGTGGCTTTGGGAAACGAGGATATGGTCAGACTATTGCTCGATAATGGAGCGCATGTCGACGAGAGAGATGCGATAGGATATACACCTCTGGTCTCCGCTGCAGCAACCGGTAATGAGACACTCTTGAAGCTTCTTATCGAGCGGGGGGCGGACCTCAATGCCCGAGGCGCTACGAGGGGGTCCACGGCCATGCATCAAGCTGCGCAATCGGGACATGCGGGGATCGTGAGGTTGTTGTTGAGAGCTGGGGCAAAGCCTGATGTTCGTAATCTTAGCGGGCGGACGCCATTGCAGATTGCTACGGGACTGCGGAAGGAGAATGTGAAGAAGGTCTTTGCTGAGGAGGGTGTTGTTAGGTGAAGGCAGGAGATATGTGCAGGAGCATGACTACCTAGATAGCGGGATATTGAGCATCATCAATGGTGGATCACAATTTGCTTCTTAATTCAAATAGGCAGAAGGAATAATACATAGGATAAGGTATCTTTGAATGTATTCTAGAAAATGAAATCGGAAACCTCATGAAAAAAGTATCATTGCGGGAGAAAGTGAGAAAAGAAATCGTTAGGTAACATCACTGGATTAAGAATATTAGTACTAATCATTGATTGAGCGAAGAAAGAACTTACCAGAAAATAATCGGCAACAGGCTTCTTCGCTGGCATGCCTCTAGTATCCTGCGCCGCCGCCTCAAAAACCCTGTACCGTCGACCAGGACCCGGAACATGTTTCCCCATATCGCTGCGCAGTACGCCATTACTCCTTCCAACATCGCCGTTAGTACGTGCGATTGTACCGCCATTGCTGGCATCTTCTCCAAGTTCCAGGATAGCTGCAACGTTACCGCATCGATAGCAATAGTTCGGAGCTGACCAAACAGTAACAATGCCCCCATCAAACATCTCTTTATAGCCTTCCATGACAAGTTGATGTGCGCGAGCAATGAGCGAAAGATCATTCTTGTGGTTAAAGTGTTTGACAATGTCGCCGCCAAAAAGGAATCCAGCGCCTCGAGGACTCAACCCCCATCCTTCGATTTCATCAGGGTCAGACCAGAGAAGATCACACATGGCACCTTCGTGGGGCACTTCTTGTTTTCGGTCAAGTAGACGAATCTTATCAACGCTATCGACTAATGGCGACAACCCTCCGTGGACACATAGTACTGCTCCCGCTGTTGTGCCATAGCTTCCTGAGCTACTGCCAGATGCTCCTGTACCCGCTGGTCCAGTTCTAGACGGAGTATTGCCCGGCGCAGCCGATATATCTCTCGGAGGCGAAATGTCTCTTGTATCAATCGATGCATCTGATGACGATCGATACCGAGGCCGATAAGACATAGATGTAACTTCGCCATTCGCATTAAGCACCTCCGTCTCCAACTCGCCATCTATCTGTGAATTCTCAATCCGACTCGTCGGCTCAAGCTCTGAACTTGCACCGAGCACCAAAGCGCCCAAGGCTAGATAATCAAACACCTCACAACAATAACGCCACACATTCGCACTCCCGTATTTACGGATACATTCGTCGTAAAAGCCATAAACGGTCGTAATCTGTCTCGATTCGTGATTTCCTCGTATCAACGTGATGCGATCGGGGTATCGAACTTTGAGGCATAGCAGCAGCAGGAACGACTCAAGAGAGTAGAAGCCTCTGTCTACGAAATCGCCCATGAAAAGATAGTTTGTGTCGGGTACGTCACCTCCCACTCTGAAGAGTTCCATCAAGTCGTGAAACTGACCATGGATGTCACCGCATATTGTCACTGGCGCATCGACCGAGACTACGTTTCCTTCTTCAATGAGAAGCTCACGTGCCTTGTAGCAGAGCTCGCGGACCTGGGCTTCGGGGATCGGTCGACAAGCTCGTAGTTGTGCAATGGCTCTACTATAGTTAGTATAAGAATAGCATTTTCACAGTCGTGAGGACACACTTGTCTAGGTCACTCATGATGCCGCCTGCTATTGTAATATGCCGTCACTGCACGAGAAGATGCGCAAGCTGATCAAGCTTTGAGCAGCGAAAGTCCCCGCTACTGACGCTCACAGCCCCCGCATGCCTTTCTGTACCAGCAGATGGGCGAAAATTTTCCACGCGAACTAGAGATAAGGTCAGACAGAGTCGAAGAGTTTGAAGTGATATCGCAAACTCAGATGGCGCTTAAAATGAACAGTCACCAATGCTGACTGCAACGGGAATCAGACCAATCGAGCCAGCCTCCCCCCGATAAGCCTAAATTTTGCCTAATCACCACGCCCCACTCGGCCGGCCGTCGTCAAATCAGGTGATCTCAAAAGCCTCTGACAAAGTCAACGAAGACCACCCGCATCAGGTCAACACAACAGCAAGCAATAGAGCATCATGCTCACCAGCATATAGCTCAATGCAAGTCGGAGTGAACGGTAAAAAATTTTTATACCTGAGACATTGACTGAATGGCTTCGCTAACACACACCAGGATGAATGACATAACGGCATCACTTTACACCCAGCCCTTTTCGGATACATAAAGCTCATTCAATTCCTCTCATAACATAAACCACTACAATGCCGCCAATCCTCCATCCGCGCTCGCGGTCAACAAGCTCCCTCTTTGCTGCCACCATGGTAGCTTCTTTTGTCATCGTCGGCCTCCCTCACATATTCCCCTGTCCCGCTCCGCGCCGAACACTAGCCGATTCGCAAGTCGAGATGACAGCCGACGGTCAACAGATTATGAGACCGCGGAGGAGAAGGAAAACACCAGAAAGCACACTACAAGAAGATAATATGCAATATACTAAGGATGCTGCTGCAACGAAAGCAGTACCGACGCAATACGGAGAATCATCGGCTGACGAGGTAGCGACGTTCCTACAAATGGAGGCTGAAGCAGAGTCACTTGCGCGCATTGGTCGAGAATGTCCGGTACCCAAACCGCGAGGGATCGTTGGGCAGTTGCTTGGGTTTTCGAATAATAATAATGATACAACGGACAACCGGCAATCGCAACAATCGAAACCTAATATAGCGGTCCATGAGAATGGTAGCTAGCTACTACGGCAGCGAAAGTAATGAGTCTGAAGGAAAGTTATGGGAGTTTGAAAAAAGATTGGCTGTCAGCGATTGGCTGGCATTGAATTGAAGGGACGAAGTTACAATGTATATTTGTGTATACCCACAGACTAGATTTCTGTACATTAAAGAATTGCTACAAAACAAGCCTTACCTATCTATTCCAATACTCTCACCAAATTAGAAATAGCAAACGATTTATTGATGTAGTCAACTATCGTGCGATGTCACGGCTGGAAACGGCGCTAAGCAGCATGTTCCGCGGATAGCCATCAGGACAACAAATTCAGATCTCGTCTCGTTTTCCCATCTCATCAAAGCAAGGACACGAGCGTGTAATTCTTATAGAGATGGCGATCACAAATACAGTCGTCAGTATACTAACTAAACCAAAGCACTCGCTATGGATAGCGCCCCTATTCGTTTTGGCAGATGCGGTGCTTTCTGCACTTATCATCAGAAAAGTGCCCTGTACGTTGACCTTTTTGTTTCTTCAGGATACAGACTGACATGGATTTGACAGACACAGAAATTGACTGGACAACCTACATGCAACAGATCGTCCTCTACCAAGCCGGTGAACGTGACTATACCGCAATCAAAGGCGACACCGGCCCTCTCGTTTACCCCGCCGGCCACGTTTATATCTACTCCTTTTTATACGAGTTGACGAACAAGGGACAAGACATTGCGCTGGCACAATACATCTTCGCGGGAATATACATTGCGACCTTGATCGTTGTTCTGTCTTGTTACATCAAAGCCGGTGCGCCACCATACTTGCTTCCGTTGCTGGTGCTTTCCAAACGACTGCACAGCATTTACATGCTGAGATTGTTCAATGATGGAATTGCGACGCTGGCTATGTGGTTGGCTATCTTCTTCTTTCAGCGACGACAATTGACGATCGCGACTACTATATGGTCTTTGGGAGTGGGCGTGAAGATGTCTTTGTTATTGCTTGCTCCGGCAGTGGCTATTATAATAGCTTTATCGGGAGGGATTTGGGCGGCGGTACCACTTGCGCTGAACGCGATTTTAACACAGGTGAGCATTTGCCGAGACCAACTGAGTGTTTTTATGTACTAACTGTACAGGTGCTACTTGGCATACCATTTCTGCAGGAAAATGCCATTGGCTATGTATCACGCGCATTCGAGCTCACCAGACAATTCCTCTATGAATGGACCGTCAACTGGCGATTCATGGACGAGGAAGTCTTCGATTCGCCCGTCTTTGCCATCAATCTCCTCGTTCTACACGCCGTCCTCGTCATCGCTTTTCTCGCTACCCGCTGGATCCGTCCATCGGGCGAAGAAATCGATACATTCGCCCAGAAGTTCATCGAGGGCCGTTCGACAAAGGTCCCATTATCAAGTAAGTATATCACCACCACAATCCTCTCGTCAATGGCCATCGGCATGCTATGCGCAAGATCGCTGCATTATCAGTTTTATGCGTATCTCGCCTGGACTACGCCGTTCTTGCTATGGCAAGCGAAACTTCATCCCGTCTTGATATACGCTGTCTGGGCGGTGCAAGAGTGGGGATGGAATGTGTTCCCCAGCACCATTGCTAGCTCAGCTGCTGTTGTTGTCTGTTTGGGTTTCCAGGTCGTGATGCTTTTGGCGAGTGATAATTTCTCTCAGGGCCCGACAGACGAGGCGAAGAAGGCGACGGCAGAACAAAAGACAAAATGATGCACGTTTGTATTGTTGGGACTCCTGGCCTTGTAGACGTTTTGGGCCGTGTTGTGAATGTATGTATCATATGTTGTGTAATTTATTCATCGTCCTCCTCGTCAGATGAAGGCATCTTGCCCACTCTCGATTCTTCTTCGTCCTCCGAGTCCGAGGGAAGGTATGACTGCTTGACAAACTCTTTCGGCCTATCAAAACACGTAAGTCAACAACAACACTCTTCGATCGCAGAGCAACAAAGGGGAAAGGACGAACCAGAAAGCAGCTTTGCGCCATGCCTTCTCATCCCGCACGACATTCACAATCTCTCCTGCAAGTTTATTCTCACGATCCTCGAGCGCATTCGTATCAACGACGACGTAGGAACCCCTCTTCATCCAGATGGTAGATCTGAATCGGGCAGGAAGTTCGACCAGAGCGGTTTGTTTGGAGGGCCATTCTACCGAGTACAAATTGTTTCCTGTTGCTTTGATGATGCGAGCGATCTGATGCCCCTCTGGGAGTGTTGCGGGGGGATAGAGCCCTTCTTCTGCTGTTGCAAGGAGCTTGCGTTTGGGAGGGCCCATGCTTGACGAAGGCGAATTGACAGGGTCTCGGAGAGTCGGAATACTCGAATGCGATGGTTGTCAAATATCGTTGGGTAGAATTTCGCTCGAAAATTGAAGCTTAAACTTGCCCCCACTTTATTGGGTCGGTGCCTTAGACCTGCCTGATTGCGGGCGCTTCCTTTGGCTAATTCCCGCGGTCTCTCTAGCCTCTACTATGGGTAACTAGTCTTGCTTCTAGACTCTCCAAGAGTCTGCCAACACCAGATGACACTCACAGAGCGTCATGCTCGGTCAAGTCTCCGAAACTACAGCAGCTAGGAAAAATTCCGCTAATTACTAATTCATGAAGGAGTCTTTCATTAATCAGCTTGGATCAATGATGGCATAAGTTAGCTTTTTTGTAGTCTTCTTAAGATCAAACGTCGCCCCGAGACTCTCAAGCTGCTATCTATAGCACATTATATACACCCATGCGTTAAACAGAGTCACTCAAGATGGCATCGCATTTCGCCGCCTATTTCGAGGTAGAAAGCTCCCATCATGTCACAAGTCCAGCTGCCGTACTTCGTCGCGATGACCAAATTTCCACTGCAACTTCCAGCAACCATGAACTGGTAGAGCTGCAGTCAACTGGCTCAATCGTCCAGAGACCCGGGGCCTTTGCATCATCCCCAGGATTCGATGATGCAGGACTTGACAATGCATCACCACTTGATCCAGAAAGCCTCTCTCCAAGACCCGGATCTCCCAAAGGCGAGCCCGGCGTGTCAGCGTCACAGCTAGTTTCAACCGACATAGTGCCGAGCATCAATAACCCAGCAAGGAACAAATGGCGCATTGCTAGTGCCTGCTGCATGTTCTTATCCAATGGGATGAGTGACAGCGCACCTGGTGCTCTGATTCCATACATGGAGCAGGACTTTCACATCGGCTACGCTATCGTATCGCTCATCTTCGTTACCAATGCACTAGGCTTCATCCTCGCCGCACCCTTGACGCATTGGCTCGAATCTCGATTTGGTCGTTCCAGAACTATAATGATCTGCCAGGTTCCTTTATTTACCGGCTATTTGATTATGGTGTGCAAGGCACCATTTCCGGCCGTCGTATTCAGCTATTTCCTGATTGGACTTGGTGTCGCAGTCAACCTCGCGCTGAACAATGTCTTTATAGCAAATTTGGCGAACGCTACTGAGCTGCTGGGGATCAATCATGGGTTTTACGGTGTCGGAGGTACAATAGCGCCCTTAATTGCAACGGCCCTGGCGTCGAACGGAGTGCATTGGACGTTCTTCTATATCATAAATCTGACATTTGCCGCCATCAACCTCTTATTTGCGGGATGGGCGTTCAAAGGGTATGAGACTGACATGCCTGTTCAAGCCCTGGCTGGGCAGATTCAAGATGTCGAAGGATCTCCAAAGAAGAAAAACTTGATATGGAAAGCAGTCAAGACAAAGGCCACATTGTTGGGCGCACTCTTTATTTTCGCCTATCAGGGAGCAGAAGTTTCGATCTCTGGGTGGATTGTTTCCTTTTTGATAAATTACCGAAACGGAGACCCAGCTCATGTGGGATATGTTAGTGCGGGCTTCTGGGCGGGCATTACCGTAGGCCGTTTTGTGCTGTCCTATCCTGCGAGACGACTTGGGGAAAGGCTCGCAGTATTCTTCCTTGTGGGAGGTGCAATTGCTTTTCAGATCATGTGTTGGCTCATCCCAAATATCATTGGGGAGGCCGTCATCGTTGCAATTGTTGGCCTACTCCTAGGTCCGATTTATCCCTGTGCAACGGTCGTTTTGAACAGACTCCTGCCCAGAGACATTCAAACAACTTCTCTAGGACTCGTCAGTGCAATGGGAAGCAGTGGAGGTGCCATTGCACCGTTCGTTACTGGTATACTCGCCCAGAGCGTGGGAACCGTAGTCCTGCATCCTATCTGCTTGGGGTTATATGGTGCGATGATCCTCACGTGGATGCTCTTGCCTCGGACTTCAAGACGTGAGGATTAGGGCGATACTGCCGATGCCGTCCATAACATAGGTTCTATTATGTTTTATGCACCGAGGCACTCTGAATACTTCGTTGGTAAAGTCATTTTGGGGAATATTTCATAATCTAATGACTAGTCAAGTACACACTTCGCATCTCCTCAAGTAGCAACTGCTTATAGCATTCTATCCTCGCATCTAAGGGTGTATACGTGATTTTTCTAACAGATCTACGCAGATCAGATCTCGAGTATTTCTATGTGCGTCAAGAATGTGCATCCTCCAACCCCTAGAAAGAAAACCGTGTACAATTCAGAAACGCGTCGTATGGACCTCAGCCGCATCGAAAGATTCGGTTCTCAAAAGTGCGTAACGAATTCCAAAGGCGCCCCTGTAAGGATTGAGAAAGAATGAGACCGAATAGTGGCTGGTGTCTCCATAATGAATCATGATCCAGAGTGTAGAGCGTGGCTTAGTCGCCTTCCCCACTGCGTATTTTGTAGTAACTGCGGCTCCCGGTGTTTCCTGTCCTGACGGACGTCGTCTGCTCTTGCCTCTTCTTCTTCTTCTGTGTCTTAGGCTTCTCTTCTTTTCTCTCCTCCCAAAACACCACCTTCACCAAACTTCCCTCGTCCCTAGATCTCCCAAACCGCTCTCACATATCGTACTGTGCGCACACAACCCTGCCTGCTCGCCAATATCAAGCCTTCGAAACGGGCGCTATCATTGGTCGACTCCAGGCACTAACCTGACGAGTGACGACTCCTCCACCCCTCCGCCCCTCCAACCCTCCACGACTCGACAACTTGACGTCTGTACCGAAAGTGAAACCACTAGCATTATACCTCACGGTCGATCACACCCTCCTCTCCTGTCTGTTGAGCCCAATATATCTATTGATGACCTAATGCCATTACACGGTGCGACGTATCAGCACTAGCGAGCCCGAGGAAGGTCACATCATCATCATACTTGCCAGTACGTATTGTTTATTTTCGGTTTTCTCGTCTTGACACTGCGACAAGCCCACTGCACGCGACCTCATTTCGGCCTGCGATTGATGAGGCTTTCTGGAATCATTATTGAGAACGACAAATCAATTACATTGCAATTTTATTCCCTTTGAAAGATGATAAGCAGCCTAACATTTGCTTTCATAGTTCTCGCATTTTGACTCGAGTCCATATCGCTACTGCATTCGCCCTCACCTCGACTCGGAGCGGCGGTGGCTGTGCTTCCGTTCACCCCTTTCTCTACAGCGCGTCTAAGGACCGTGGAAGATTCACGAATACATAGATCGACTACTTCAATAATAGCGCTAGTCGCCTGTGATAATATAGCAGTTTTTAATCCAGCGACAGCCATCAAACATAAAAAATATCATCAACATGGCTGACGACGAGCTTATCGCCTCAGTCTACCACAAGATTGAACGAGAAAAAGCCCTCATAGCTGCCGCAACGAACCTCAGACAATCCACCGATAATCCAACGGTACAGCGACAAGCCGACGGGCAGATGCGCGAAGGCCGCAGGAATATTGCATACTTAGAAGACAAGCTTAGAGAATTGAAGTATCGCAAAGATGGTGCAGCGACATCCGGAGCACCTCAGTTACCACCATTAGGAGCTGCTGGTGATCAACGCCGGAATGGTGGATACGATGCTCCTGCGCCGCCTCCAAAGGATCCCAGGACGGGCTACCCGGGCGACACAGGTGACTATGGAGATCCAGGTCCAGGAGGGTATAGTCAAGGAGGCACTGGCATGATGCCTTCTCGTGCCCCATTTGCCGACCCTCGACCGGATGCCGCCATCCCTAAGGCGCGGCCAAACTACAGCAAACTCGGTATGATGATTTGACGTGTAAGCTGTTGTCGAGATACTGACTTGTACTAGATCTTATAAAATATGACACGCCTTATCTCGGTCCAAAGATTCAACTGATGTTGTCGCAACTCGAGTTCAAACTCAGTGTAGAAAAACAGTATAAAGCAGGTATTGAAAAGATGGTTCGTCTTTACCAAGATGAAGGTGACCGAAAAAGCCGCGCCGATGCTGAAGGACGTCGCATTGAGAGCAATCAAAAAATCCAGTTGCTAAAGCAGGCTTTGAAGAGATATGAAGACTTGCATATTGATATTGAAAGCTCAGCCGATAACGCGGACGGTATGCGTATACATTGCCATATGATTTAGATCATCTTGCTAATGCCATAGCCAGACGACAGTATCAATGCGCCTAATATGCGGAAGCCTCTGACTGGTCACTTAACATTACGCATACATTCAGTTCAAGATGTCGATCATGCCGCAACTTCACGATTTTCGAGAGGCCCCGAGACTTTTGTTGTAATCAAGGTTGAAGATGCCATCAAAGCACGCACCAAAGCCTCTCGAAACGATAGGTGGACAGACGAAACATTCAACATCGATATCGATAAGGCCAATGAGCTTGAGCTCACGGTTTATGACAAGTCGGGAGACAGGCCAACTCCTATCGGCATGCTTTGGATGCGCATATCAGATATCGCCGAGGAAATGCGACGGAAGAAGATTGAAACCGATCTAGCCTCGAACGGCTGGGTTTCTGCAGATAAAATGAGCCAAGGAGCATCGGGACGCTCGAACCCAAATGCGCCGTTGAGCCCTACTGGTGGTCACGGCCAACCTCAGCAACCTGGGAACGCACCTAGTGGCGCAGGCCCAGGAAATGCTGTTCTGATCGATTCGTGGTTCGCATTAGAGCCTGTGGGTAGAATTCATATGCAAGTCAGCTTTGGTAAGTTTGAAAATCTATTTCTTGTATATGTGACTGTCTAACTGGATTTAGCCAAACAATTGAAGGATCGCCGACCTTTTGATATTGGTCTGAATCGACAAGGTGCGGTTCGTCAAAGAAAAGAAGAAGTCCACGAGAAACAAGGACACAAATTCGTTACCCAGCAGTTCTATAATATCATGCGCTGTGCGCTCTGCGGAGAGTTCCTTAAGTATGCAGCCGGCATGCAATGTGAGGATTGTAAATACACGTGCCATCGCAAGTGCTATCCGAAAGTTGTTACAAAGTGTATCAGTAAAGCCAACTACGAAACCGATCCTGATGAGGAGAAAATCAATCATCGCATCCCGCATCGTTTCGAGAATTTTGCCAACATCTCGGCGAATTGGTGTTGTCATTGTGGTTCTCTTCTGCCTTTTGGTCGGAAAAATGCAAAGAAGTGCACAGGTATTACTCTTCCGCCGCTTTTAACCTACTTTTCATACTAACGAGCATAACAGAATGTGCTCTTACCTGCCATACTTCCTGCGCCCATCTGGTTCCAGACTTTTGTGGCATGTCTATGCAAACCGCGAATGAGATTATAGAAGCCCAGATACGGATGAAAAACCTCAATATGAATAAGACCTCCCCAGTCGGCTTATCAAATCGCAACCTACGGGACAATGCGCCTGCTCCTTTGGCCCCTATGAAACCCTCGGATTACGGAAGACCACCATCTTCACAAGCCATCAGTGCTGCGACCACCTCTTATCCATCACCTCAATCACCTACTACCTCATCTAGGCAAAATCTTCCTCCTAGAACATCCTCAATCGAAGCTCAGAAAGCCGCAGAGGCCGCAATTAGTGGCATGCGACCACCATCTCAGCCAAGCCAAGGTTCGTTTGTTTGCCTCATGTTGCAAATCTTCCTGCGTACTAACGAGTGACAGACCATCGGCTCSCACAGTCACAACAACCCCCTATTCGTCCCTACAATCCAGCGGCATACGGCGACGTTATGAGGCAAGAGCCTCCTGCAGGTCCCATGCCCACACAAAAAATTCCACCCTATCAAGCAGCGCCTCCTCAACAAATACCACCACCTCAGCCTCAACCCGTACCTCAACCTCAAACTCAGGCTCCTATCGTGGCTCAACAACCAGCTCCCTCAAAAGAACCTTCTACCCGAGGTCCAAGAATCGGACTGGATCACTTCAACTTCCTTGCTGTTCTTGGAAAGGGTAACTTCGGTAAAGTCATGCTTGCCGAGACGAAGACAACAAAGAAACTCTATGCTATCAAGGTTTTGAAGAAAGAGTTTATCATTGAAAACGATGAAGTTGAAAGTATGAAATCCGAGAAACGGGTTCTCCTTATCGCCAATAAGGAACGACACCCCTTCTTGTTGACGCTGAACGCTTGCTTCCAAACAGAGACGCGGGTTTACTTTGTCATGGAATATATTAGCGGTGGTGATTTGATGTTGCATATTCAAAGAGGACAGTTCGGTCTGAAGAGAGCGCAATTCTACGCTGCTGAAGTCTGTCTAGCGTTGAAGTATCTCCACGAAAATGGTGTCATTTACCGTGATCTGAAACTCGACAACATTCTTTTGACTTTGGACGGACATATCAAGATCGCCGATTATGGTCTATGTAAGGAGAATATGTGGTATGGAAGTACTACGAGTACATTCTGTGGTACACCAGAATTCATGGCTCCTGAGGTAATTCTATTTTGCAAATGAGCTTTGATAAGAGACTAACTCGAGTACAGATTCTACTCGATAAGAAATATGGACGAGCGGTTGACTGGTGGGCATTTGGTGTGCTGATCTACCAGATGTTGCTTCAACAATCTCCTTTCCGTGGTGAAGATGAAGATGAAATCTACGACGCTATTCTTGCAGATGAACCTCTCTACCCCATTCATATGCCACGCGATTCTGTCTCTATTCTTCAAAAATTGCTCACCCGTGAGCCTGAGCTTCGACTTGGATCAGGTCCCACTGATGCGCAGGAGATCATGTCGCATGCATTTTTCCGAAATATCAACTGGGATGATGTCTATCACAAGCGTATTCCTCCGCCATTTATGCCTACGATCACCAGCGCCACCGATACGAGCAACTTTGACCAGGAGTTCACCAGTGTCACTCCTGTCCTTACTCCCGTACAGTCTGGTAAGTTATCATTGATCTTGTTAAAAGTTAGTACCATTATTGACTGTATGTGCGTACAGTCCTTTCGCAAGCTATGCAAGAAGAGTTCCGGGGTTTCTCCTATACCGCAGACTTTGCTTAGTATTTTTGCCTCCATGACAATTAATACACTGAAGGGCGCGGTACAATGTTCATTCGTCCATTTGGCTCACTTTCATCTTATTAGCCTGTACGAAGATGCCTGAGAGACGACGATACTGTTCTTTTCCTTGCTCTTGCTTTTTCTTCCTTTTATCAGCTAATGGTTTTGTCTTGAAATATACGCCACATTTTGACGTTTACAATGGATGTATGTTTCCTTGAAAAGAGGATTTTAGATGACTTTTAATATATTACTTCGTTCCATTCTGAGAATCGAACACAGTCTATCTATGTACAGTCTGTTGTCTACCTAACAAACCTCTAAACACTTTTTATTAGCTCGCCTCGCAATTTCTCAACAACACCTTTCAACTCTTTCGGTGGCGCAGTCCAATCCTCATCTTTGACGATATCAGACTGTGTCGTCATAAACAATGAATCAGAGACCGCAATACGGATCTGTGCGCCATATTGATTAGTCTCGTCTCGTGCAAATGATGAGGTAGGGGATTAATATAAGATATACTTTTGGATAGGGATGTAACAACATCGCAGTAAGTTTCTTCAAAATGTCTGTCCTCAACTCAGGTGCGCGCGAGAGTGCTGCGTACACCTTGACAGCGCCTTCCAGTCGAGGGATGTTGGATGATTTGAAATGCGCTTTTTGCGCGAGGAGAAAGAGTTTTTTGAGGCTTTTCCCATCATGAAGGGTTAGCTCAAGATATAGCGATAAGGGAATTAAAGAGAAGTACTTGCCAGGCTTTATTCGCTTGAATTTCCGGTTTAGAGATGTACGTATCCACCAAAAAGGCGGAAATCTCCAATGCCGGGATAGTGTATCGATCATCGACCAGATTCGTCTCGAGGATAGTCACCAAGTCTTCGATGAGTCTGTTGGTCCATTCATGCTTTGTCTCGTCTTTGGCTTGTGTTTCGATAAAGTCGATTAATGCGAAGCGAGAAGATTGAATCAGACCCTCGGTTCCGGCGCTGGCGGACGTTATGAGACCCTGCACAAGGGGGCGGCGGAGGGTGTCGATGTGTAGGAGTTTGAGGAGTTGATGGAAGTAGTTGAAGGAGGAAACTTGGCTAAAGTGTTCGAATGTTCTGTTGTCGACCGAATCAGCAAGATGTGCCATGGTGTGAGTTTTTCTGTGAATCTACGTACCTCTCCATAGGTGGTAGGTGGGAGGCATGCCCCCAGTACTGCTGCAAACAAGTCCATGCTTGGAATCGCACTTTGTCTAGCTTTTCGGCTGCCAGTCTACAGAGACATCCGATAAATCGATCAATGTATGTGGCTGCTGCGTTGGGCGTGTCACTACTGGTTTTGGCCTGATCTAGAACAATCTGCACCGCTTGGATGGCTTCGATCCTGATAAAAGATCCGATATCTCCTCGACGGTCTGTCGTGTAATCGGTCAGGAATTCGACGATGTGGTCCGCTAAGTAGTCCGAAATTTCTGCTCAATTGTTAGCTTCTGATAATCAAAGAAAGGGGCCTGCCATAGACGCACGAATATTCGGCAAAACACCACTTGCTAGACACTGCACGGCCGAAACCCTCTTCTCGATAAACTCTTCATCCCTGGTACAATGGATCAACTCCTTGATGATAAATGAACGAATATTGCTACCGTCCGGCAATCGATGGAACACCGCACCCAACGCAGAGATTTGACCACGTCCACTTGCTGATTTCCAGCTGGCTTGAATATTGCTAAGCCAGCCGTATACGGTTTCTTCCTGTTTACCAGAGGGAAGGATACGGAATAGATGTGATGCAGCTGCAGATGATGCTTTGATTGCGAGGTCCTCGCCGCGGGATATGCACAATAACAGAGTTTCTAATGCTTTCTCGAGAAGGGGTCCAGGAACACTCTCTTCGAGCAAAAGTGTCCCTACAGCACAAGCAAGAGATGCGATTAGACATGATATGGCTTCGGCGGTGAGTTCTGGTCGTGCAGTCTGTTGCGTGAGATCGTCCTTTGTTGGACCATGTGATGAACTGAATATCTCCCATAGTCGCAAGACCATTTCCTTTACGGTTGCTGCATCCTCATGTTCTGTGTTAGATTGGTACACGGAAGTAAAAGAATCAACAACGGCAGCATAAGCCAAGAAACACCCGTGACGGGTTTCCACATCAGTCGGCGCAATAGTCAATAGCCGTGAGTTCAAGCGCTGCAGGACAGTATGAATCGATTTAAATGAATCCTGTTTGCACAATGCACCAAGAGCCGTCGCTGCAGTCCGGCGAGATTCAGCATCTGATGACCCTATTCCTCTCCAGAAGAGTAGGGAGTTAACCAGAGGACTCCAATATGCACTATCAATCAACGCAGCACCCTGCGCAACTTCAATCATGGCTTTTGAACGTCGTGCCACGGCGTGATAATCAACGACTTGTACAAGTGGAATACCTTCAAGGATAGTATCAGGATGGCGACCAATCAATTCTTGCAGGGCAGCAGAAGCACCGCGACGAATGTTACCCGATGGATCTACACAAGCAGCGCATACCAGTTCCACAGCCAACATCTGTAGAATAGTACGCTCTTCTTGCTCGGTGGGTGCTTTGACGGTACCAGTGCTCAAAGACAGCAGTTCCTTGGTGGTGTACTTGCGTGACACGGCCCATATACCGAAGCAAGATGCATCGCGTACACCAGTTCCGACGGAACTACCAGTAGCAGATCTTTGTTCAAAATCCAGACCCGAAACAAGAGCTTGCAGAATTTCAGGTAATTGACGAGGAGGGGGAGCTCTTCGGAAGAGAAGGTGGGCAAGAGTGAGAATCAACCCCTGCCAGCGTTGTGGATCAACGGCACTCAGATTGCGCTTCAAGGCTTTCATGTCCATGCTCTGGGCTGCGTATGCTGTAACCAGGCCCCCGTCGTTCTTTTGATACAGGATGTCTTCATTCAGTGAACCGGTTACTGCATCTACAACATCCGCACTCATATCCGCATCCAACTTTAGTGCTACCACAGCAAGGGCTTTGCTTGCAGCAAACCTGACAGGCATATCCTTGTCAGCCAGGGTCACTAAAAAGAAGTCGATTGATTCTTCCAGTATAAACGAAACTTTTTCCTCCGGTACGTGAGGATTGCCTTTTTCCGCTAGAGTTAAAGCCAGTGTTGCAGAAGTCCTTAGAATCTTGACGAGCATCTTTCGTGCTGAAGCAGAAGACCTGATATTTGTACAGATTGCCGAGTCCCCTTGCGCTATGCGAAGGGTCTTGTCAAACAGTTGGGTGACCAACGGAGCCAGGTCCTCTACCTGTCCGGATACCCCCAGTCTCGCAAGAAATGACAAGACACCTATGCATGTATATACCGGAGGAAGTGTTTCGCTCTCGGCGGGKGGTTGAATGACAGAGAAAGCCCAGTCAGTGAGGACATGTAACAGCCCAAGTCGTTGCATATCCGGCCGCAGAACCAGTCTAGCTAAGAGTAGCGTTGCTGCCTCTCGCTCTTTTCCGGCTGTGTCTACATAGCGAACAGCAATGGAGATGATTGCCTTGGCAAGTCGGGGCGAATTCGCTGGAATCGACTCCAAGATCTTGGTATCATCGTACGGTATCGGGATATCATCAGATGATATCGATGCTAGGTCAAAAGGAGCGAGCAGTAAATGAGAGAGCCATAGTAGCATGACATAGCGTTCCTCCCATTTGAGTGGCTGTACTGTGATGCCGGTTGCCGCTGGTCTAGGCTCTTCATCAGACTTTATAGAGTCCCACTCAATGAAGACACGCAGCATCAAGTCTAGATACTTGGGCTCGTTGTTGAGGAATCGGCTGATAACCTTGACGCCGCGCACTTTGCAAAAGGTGTACAACAGTCTGCATATTGATCTTGGCAAAGGAACAATTTGCGTTTGAGAAGGGGCTCTTCCTTTAGTTGACGCATAAAACTGGCGATATTTAGTCAAGTAGACCAAGAATGCATCAACAAGCTGGGACAGAAACGGCTGCAGCTTGGAGTCAAGCAACTGAGGCCATTCTTGAAATCTTTCCAGCTGTTGTCAAATCAATAAAAGCTGTGCCGGCGTTATTGGTAATCGATATTCACTCACCACCTCAGTCAACCGACTTTCTTTCGGGACCTGCGACCATCTATGCACAGTCTTCTGGGACTGTGCTGTATTTTGCTTCCATAAGAGCGGGGTCAGTTTGTCTTCGAACTCCTCCAATAAATCTCCAGATGCGCGTTGGAACTTGATATCTCTATCATCGGGTGCGTCCATTTGTCGGCTACTGTAGGGTTTTTGGACGTTTTCGAATGTTACAGTGGCCCGTGTGAAGGATCATGGGGATGAATCTGAGTTGGCAGATATATCTTCAATATAAACAGTCCAGACTCGAAAGGGGATAAGGTGCTGCGCCACGTGATTGATCGGCCACGATGAGTCTCTTCATGGATGGGAAAATGACTAACGTTTCTCGTGCGAAGGGCAAGAAACATTGAAATTGGAAAAAGAAATCGACGTCAATCATTGAATGAATTATTACCAATAAAAAATGCAAAAAGAAAGCGAATTCACATGCATCATCCGTGAATCGAACACGGGCCTCATCGATGGCAACGATGAATTCTACCACTAGACCAATGATGCTTGATGTTGGAATTCATATTTTTGGCAATATCAAGTTTGATTAATGTACATAACAGTGTCTCTCAGATACTCCGCAATTTCTCTGTCTACGGTGCAGTATCGCAAACTAAAGAGCTCCCATAATCAAGACTTTTGGAGAGATTCGCAATTTTTCACGAACACCATGGCAGCAGTAGCTGCGTCAGGATCTGGGAATCCCCCTAACCCCACGTACGTTTCATCACTCATTCACTAGTATGCCCTTTTGCTAACTTCTTTGTAGGGTTTATGTGAGTCCGAAGCTTCGCGAATTACCATGCTTGAATCTAACCGCCTCTCGTTCAGGTTCACAATTTAGAAGAGCGCGTTAAGATCGATGATTTGAAAGAAGCGCTTGCCGAAATCTTTTCCGAATATGGCACTATACTCGAGATCGTCGCAAAGAAGAATCTAAAAGCAAAGGGACAGGCATTCATCGTATTCGACAATGTTGAGTCCGCACAGCGAGCTATCGAGGAAGTCAACGGATTTGACTTACTTGGTAAACCCATGTCTCTCGATTTTGCGAAAACGAGAAGCGATGCTACGGTCCTGAGGGAAAGTGGCTCAGATGAGTTTGAAGCTCATAAGAGAAAGAGGTTGGCTGAGAAGGGTGAGCCAATTAGGCATTCTATTCTTTTATAGAATATCTGTCGCTGACACCTTTGTATCATTTTAGAACGAAAACAAGCCCAAGAAGCACTCGAAGCACAGAAGAAGTTGAAGCGGCCGGCGGGKGTAGTACCTGTACCGGCAGAGGCTGGGAGACCAGCAAAAGCAGCTCGTGGAACTGGACTCAAGCCTTCCACCGGGGCAGCTGCCGCAGTTATTCCCGACGAATACCTACCTCCAAACAAGATCCTCTTCTTACGAGAGTTGCCAGAAGATGCCGACTCTGATATACTTACCGGTATATTCGGTCGTTTCGAAGGTTTCCGTGAAGTTCGTCTGGTGCCTGGCCGCAAGGGTATCGCTTTCGTCGAATATGAAAATGAAACGGGGGCTATCAGTGCGAAAGAAGCGACATCTGGAATGCCAATGGGTCCGAATGGAAAGCCTATTCGTGTAACGTACCAGCGACAATGATGTTATTTTGTGCATGGTTTCAAGATTTGCGCGGCGTTCTCTGGTATATGTTATAGGAAGGCATTTTTATTATTCTTATTACTGGAAAAAGATCTTCTGCCATGGTGAATATGTGCCCTGAATATGATGAATACAAACTCGACGAACATCAAAACAATAGTAACCTAGTCAAGCGCCATGAATATGAATCCGATAAACAATGATTACATCAGCTCGATATAAGCTCTTTAAAAGATGACGTCCTCGTCTTCTTGTCCAAGCACATCGGTCGTCTCTGGCTCTTCCTTTGCTGTAACAGCGGCAGCACCCTTCGGCTCTTCAGCTTTCGACTTCTCGGCTTCTTGTTGGCGCTTTGCAAGGATCTCTGCATCTTGGGCAGCCGTGTCTCTTTGCTTCTTATTTGAGACTTTCTTAAGTCGGTAAAACTCTTCTCGATCAAGTTCGTCGAGTTCCGAGTTGATGTCTATATATAGTTAGCGTATGCCAGATAGAAACAAGGTAGAATTGACCGACATTTAATGGTGTTCTCCGTACGAGGGATGATGACGTGCTCGCTGCTATATGTTAGGCGAATCTGAGGTATATGCCAAAGGTTTGTGATATGTCTTACATAGCGTTTACTAGACAGAACGTTAGCAACGACTTATATTTTCATATAAGGAATGCACATACCTCTTCTGTTTACTACTTTGATCACTTCGTCCAAAATCACGAACGCAGTCTGTTGCAACGATTAGCCCCTGAAGCAACATGGATACCGTCTAGGACACTCACTTGCAAGCTAGCAAGCTCGACAAGAGTTTCTACTGCCCGCGCATATGTCTCTCGTGATCGCTGTACTTGCTGTCCTCCCTTGCCTAGACCGGTCAAGCCAAAGTCGTTTGTATTCTCTGAAATGACACTTTCAAATTGTGGAAGCAGGACACCGGATACGTTCTCCTGTTTCGTTCGGACGCGGAAGCGAGCTGATTTCGCTGACTCTTGGATTTGAAAGCCAATATCTCCACCAACCGCATATGTAACTTCAGCTAGAGAGAAAGCTGCAATCTGCATAACACGTCCCATTTTCCTCTTTGCTTCATCAATTCGTCTTGTGATCTCTATGTCCGGTTAGCGATTGCGGGGATATAGATGGCTTTAGCTTCAGCTTTTTTGAAGGCATACCGCGAAAGCGTCTGTGGAGAATTCAAAGTCAATAATGATAATAAAAATCCAAAGGGGAGGTCATGTACTTGGTTAAAGCTTCACTCTTTCTCTTCAGCAAACTGTGGCCTGTTTCAGCACCCTTGAGCTTACTCTTCATCAACCCGAGGGTCTGGCGGGTCGGAAAGACAGCTTCGCGACCCTGTTGAAATCAGCATGCAAGTCTGGAATACACGGGAAATAGGTATACTCACCACTGCGCCAGACATGGTTGCGGATCAATCAGTTATCTCTTTTCCAGTAGATCAAGCAGCAAGTTGATATTGATGCTGTCCGTATGATGACGGTGTTGGAGTCGACCGATTGCAAGAAGCTCGGGCCCTCCGCTCTGATTGGAGCATGTGCCCTAGGCATCATAAAGGCACCAAGGCCGAAAAGTGATGCCGTCCCGCTCGTATTTATCACGTGACCTCTAATCTCTCACGTCAAGAGTTACAGAGCCTGCCCGACGACAATCTTTTTGAGAAATCGACTCCGTCCAATCTCCATCCGTCCCTCGCTACATTGATCGCGTTGCGGTCCTGTCCGTGAGCCTGGCAAACATGCCAGGCGCCTTATTGCCTCCTAGATCGCAGCGACATCACGCACAGATGGAGCGAACGTCAGCAGCAGAGCCAGACCTCTACCTCATCGTGAGTATTTCTGTCGCGGCCGTATCCGGAAATTGACTAATGAAGTGTTTACAGTCGAGCGAGGATACCATTTATGAGCAGGATCTGCTGCGGGATCCTGGCAGTATAAAGCCATGGCTGTCCTACATCGAGTACAAGCGCCAGAATGGGACGCTTTATGAGCAGTCTTTTGTATGTTTTTCCCCGTCAATTTCGTGTTCACTACTAACATATGATATAGATCATGGAGCGCGCCTGCAAGCAACTTCCGCGATCCTATAAATTATGGAAGATGGTAAGTCTCTGACGGTCTTTACCAGCGATGGATTCAGGGTATATTAACCTTTTACCAGTATTTAGAATTCAGAATCAACCATCTCCGGGGGCGCAATCCTGCTATACATCGTGCTGAATATCAGAAAGTGAATACGCTATTCGAACGGGCCCTGGTCCTACTCAACAAGATGCCTCGGATTTGGGAGATGTTCCTTGCTTTCCTGCTGAAGCAACCAGTAGTTACATACACTCGTCGCTCATTCGATCGCGCACTTCGAGCACTGCCTATTACCCAGCACAGCCGTATCTGGAAGCTCTACAAGGCATTTGCCAATTCGGTCTCTGGGTTTACTGCGGTACAGATATGGCGGAGATACATGCAGGTTCGCCCTGAAAATGCGGAGGACTACATCGAACTGCTCGTGGAACTGGGACATTACACATCGGCTATAAAGAAGTACATGGAGATTCTTGATAATTCGAGCTTCCAGTCGAAGAAGGGCAAGAGCCAGTTCCAGCTGTGGAGTGAGATGGTTGAGCTTCTCGTAAACAAGGCCAAGCACATCGATACCACAATTAACGGAGGGATTGACGTTGATTCTATTATTCGAAGCGGTATCTCTCGGTTCTCTGATCAGCGCGGTAGACTCTGGGTCGGCTTGGCGACGTATTGGATCACAAAAGGCAACTTTGAGAAGGCTAGGGATAGTTTTGAAGAAGGAATTACTAGCGTCATGACAGTACGGGACTTCACCATGATCTTTGACTCATATGTCGAGTTTGAGGAGTCAATCATCGGAACACTCATGAGCCAAGCAGAATCTCGTTCGAAGAAAGGCAAGGTTGATGAGGATGCAGACTTTGATTTGGATCTGCGCATGTTGCGATTCGAGCAGCTGATGGATAGACGCCCGTTCCTTGTCAATGATGTTCTCCTGCGACAGAACCCGAACAACGTCGTGGAATGGGAGAAGCGAGTTGCACTGTGGGGAAATAATGTCAGCGAGGTCGTCAATACTTACACTGCTGCCATTGCTGCTATCAATCCCAAGAAGGCACATGGAAAGTTTCATGAATTGTGGGTTAACTACGCCAAATTCTACGAGAACGGAGGGAATATTGATACCGCACGAATCATTTTCGACAAAGCTGTCAAGGTTCCCTTCAAGACGGTAGCAGAGTTGGCGGAGACTTGGTGTGAATGGGCTGAGATGGAATTGCGTAGTGAGAATTTTGATCAGGCGGTTGCTATCATGGCCAAAGCGACTCAGGCTCCAAAACGCTCGACAGTGGACTATTTTGACGAGACTCTATCGCCTCAACAACGTGTGCACAAGAGCTGGAAGCTTTGGAGTTTTTACGTGGACCTCGTCGAGAGTGTCAGCACTCTTGACGAGACTAGAAAGATTTACGACAGGATCTTCGAGCTTCGAATTGCTACGCCACAGACCGTCGTCAATTACGCCAACCTTCTGGAAGAGAACAAGTATTTCGAAGAGTCGTATAAGGTCTACGAGCGTGGTTTAGACCTGTTCAGCTACCCCGTTGCATTCGAGCTGTGGAATTTGTACCTGACAAAAGCTGTTGATCGAAAAGTCAGTGTTGAGCGTCTTCGCGACCTTTTTGAGCAAGCACTCGATGGCTGTCCTCCCAAGTTCGCCAAGGTCTTGTACTTGATGTATGGCAATCTGGAAGAAGAGCGTGGCCTTGCTAGACACGCTATGCGTATCTACGAACGTGCCACACGAGCAGTATCCGACGAGGATCGACTCGAAATGTTCAATTTCTATATTACCAAATCCGCATCTAACTTTGGGCTCACATCAACCCGCCCAATATACGAACGCGCCATTGCTGCTTTACCGGACCACGAAGCCAAAGATATGTGCCTGAAGTTCGCTGAAATGGAACGCCGCCTTGGTGAAATCGATCGGGCACGCGCTATCTATGGCCATGCATCTCAATTCTGTGACCCGCGTACCAATGCCGGCTTCTGGCAGAAATGGGAAGCATTCGAAGTGCAACACGGTAACGAGGATACATTTAAGGAAATGTTGCGTATCAAGCGAAGCGTTCAAGCTCAATACAAGTAAGCTTATACCCTGCCCTTTCGTTTCTGATGTCATACTAACAAGCATTCACAGCACGGACGTCAACTTCATCGCCTCCCAAGCTATTGCACGTAGCCAACAACAGCGCGCCCAGAACGGAGAAGCAGATAAAGACGACGAAGAAGACCAAGAACGCGCAGACGCAATGGCAGCATTGGAACGCCAGGCTCGTGCCCCCGTCGGCTTCGTTGCTGCCAGCTCCGGCCCAGAAGGCGGAAATCGCCCTTCGGCAGCTGCGACTACCGCGCCTCCAGCGAACGTTAATCCAGATGCCATTGATCTTGGTGACGAGGATATGGAAGATTAGTCGAGCTATCTTGGCCGTGTAACACGCATTACCAGTCAACTCATCTAACCTTCTCCTTCCATTTTTACTTTGTACCTTGCTACTACTATTACAGTAACTCTTGCATACCAGAACCAGGCGTTAGATTTTCCTCTTATCGGCTTTTTACTCTATTTTCCAGAACGTCACGTTCCCTTTTGTGCTCGTTCCACTCTTTGTCATACTAGTTTCTAGTTCTCTTTTGTCTGATATCTGGCTAGCTAAATAGACCGTTGAGTTGAATGCGAAGTATTATTCGTGCTCAGCCACATATTGCAGATTACTATGTATATGAAAGAATTGTCTGAGAGGAATTTTAGAATACATAGTGGTTATGTGATGTCAACTGATGATCGCTCTGTCTGTTTCAAAACGTAAAGGAGAAGATTATGAGCGCGCCAACAGTTTTTGAGCGAGATGGTACAAGGACATGCAATGGTGTATCAAGTAAGCGACGAGACAGAAATGGTACAAGGACAGGAAAGGAAGGAAAGAAATTGAACGGAAATCGACATTTTGAGCAATTCATTCTAATTGCTTATGGTTCATTATATATAAAAATTTCGTTAGCCCCTGAAATTCAGTGAGGGAGTAGAAGCTTTCGTCCAGATAGCCGGTATGAGAGAGTAGTTCTTGTTCAGTCGATGTCGGCTGGACTCGGCGACGGTGAGGATTGTTCTTGCTGTTTTTCATTTGAGTCGTCGTGAACAGTGGCCTTTTCAGCGTGTTCTTCGCTGTCTTCATGGGAGGTGGTGGGAACATCTTTCAGGGGTTCAGAGACCGGGAATAATTCGCTGAACAGATTGGGCAGGAAACGGTCAAGACGTTTCTTGGTTTCAGTCCAAATCCTTTGTTTATTGGCGTCGCTGGTAGGTGGCGGGGTGAGATGACCACTGTCCGCCATAACGAGAAGTATATTCTTGATGCTTTCGGGGATTGCTTCCTCCTGTGTAAGGATTTCACTAATTAGTACCTGCCTCAGAAGGAGAAGAAAGGATAGTCCATACCAAAGCATCGCCTTGGCCACTATTCATCATCCTATCTAAGATGTCCAGTATCTTCAACCATAGGTCGAGCATGCCACCAGAGCTGGATAGCTGATCCAGATATCGAAGGAAGATCTTGCAGACGAGTGTGGCGGCCTGAACACGAGTCTCACTCATACCTATTGGATCTGAGTGGTATACTTCAGGCTTCAGCAGACGTAAGATGAGAGGGAACAGGACCTCGTCGAATATCGACGTCCATTTGTCATCATTCTCAGATGCAAACTCTAAGGACACGAGAGAGCGCTGAAGCGTAGAGATGGCTTGGTGTCGGATATCTCGGCAAGGATTGGTACATTGCATCGTCAAAGATTGGAAAATCGGAGACCAGTACGCAGCCCAAGCTGATGCACGTTAGTGAAATGTCGATATATGTGCCTGGAAAATAGACGCACCTTCACTCCTCTCTAGATGGGACTGTTTAATCAAGCTAGGTGTACGACTTGTCAATTGGTAGATGATACCAATCGCATGTATACCCCTCAAGACCGTGTCGTTCTCACTGATATTGTTAGTATCGACCACATTGATGCCGAACATCACGACTTACGTTGGCTTTTCAGGCTTGCCGCCTCTGGAACGACGCGCATTGGCATCTCGCCTACGCTCTTCAGCAGCTCCTATACTTCCGGCACTTGCAAAGTCATTTGCAAGTGCAACGGCTGATTCATAGTTATCTGACGAAATTGCTGGAGGGCTACTCTCGACGATGCCTTTGAGTATATCGAAGACAATGGGAGCAGACACAGCCTGCGGGCGCAAGCGTTGTAAGATGGACCAAAAGTCGGGCGATATGACTATTTCCCTTCTCAATAACTCTGACTCAGCAATGCATCGTGATAAACTGTTGAGAATTGGAGTTGCCGACATTTCCAATATATCTTGGTCAAAGCTGGAAATGGCATGCAAGATCACTGGAACTCGCATGAATGGTTGTTCCTAAGAAATGTGAGTGTGAGTTATATTTGACAGCGAGGTATCAACTTACATAGCTCAGACGGAGTAGATTTAGTAGGTAATATAAGACTCGAGAGACTATAAGGGGGTGAACGTTCCTAGCATCTCGGACGATACCTTGTAAAGACCCTGCTAGATTTTCGCCAACAGATTCTATGGTCTCCGCATCCCGAATTGCTAGAACAGTGGCCAACTCCAACGTATACAGCATACCAGGGTTGTAGCCAGGCGACGTCAAATCGGTCTTCGCGCTGGTAGGTCGTGGTCCAGCAGATGATGGGCGCTCGGTCTTAACCACAATAACAGCGGAGGCATTTTCTTCTGGAAGTTCCAATAGCAACGCATCAACAAGGTTGGATAATGAGGATTGAGGTAGTGATCTGTCAGCGTAGTTAGCATCTAGAAATAGTGATAGAGGTGTGAATGACGGCATACGTGAGATTATTCAGCATGTCGCTGATATTGCAAGCGTCTATACAGTCGATTGTGCAAAGAGTGTTATCAAGCTCTTCATCTGACGGCTCTGGTGGATCGTCGGCAGCGTAGCTTGACAGGTACGAGGTGAAGGCTGATAGTAGACCAGTTTCTCCTCGAGACTCACGCTCGACGACCTGTGACGGAGGCTGAAGCGGAATTGGTGTTATATCAAAATTGGAGATAAGACTATCCGCGAAGGGCGGAATGAGCGCATTAATGAATAAATTGTGAAGGATTCGAATTACGTATTTCCAACTTTGCCCGACAGTAGCCTCGTTTCCAGTCAAGACTCTGAATAGAACCACAGTGGCTAATTGAGCCCTGAAGTCTCGACCAAATTTGACAGCCAGCTCGCTGACCATGACGGCTTTCTTACCTACCTGCACCTCAGTATTGAGAGAAGTGCTCGGCGGATTTTCTGTCGCAAGTGTGCTGATTGATGCAAGACAATAGATGATACGGTCAAGTACTTCTGTCAAACCATACTTGGCTGCAATTTGGGCGCATTGGTCGAAACCTTGGACCACTCTTGAAAACACAGCATCATCGGATGCGGACATGAAGACGTATGAAAGTGTAGCAACGATGGGTCGCCAAGTGGCAGAAAACATCTCCGCGTCGTAAATATTAGTGTCACATATTACCAGCTCTCCGGCAGCTGGTGTCTTCATCAGCATCTCCCGCCAAGCAAAATCGAAAGCATGTTTGTTCTCGTGTTCATCAGGAAGAATAATCTCGTTATGCTTGATGGAATCATAGATGCTTTGTAATTCATCTTGGTCGAAATCCTTGCCGCCATTCACTCCTCTGAGATTTCTTGAGAAATCCACGCAAGTCATGCGGTCAGCATTCTTGACATTTGGATTGTAAAGATTAGTGTTCAGCATAATGATGCCGTAAATCAAAACAAAAAGAGCATCCTTGTCTGCAATTCCCTCAGGCTGTGCTTTCGCCATGTATATCTCGGAGAAAAATGTCACTATCCTTTCGATTAATGGCGATTCACCTGGTAGTCGAAACGAGCCAAGAAGTTCACGAAGAGCCTCAATAACAGATTTGCCAGCGAAGTCAAACAAGTTTATAAAGGCTGCCAATAGTTTTTCATTTTGTTTCTTAGCAATGAATTCACCAAGGATTTTCTTTGAGATACGGGTGGTGCCCTTCAAGAAGCGAGCAACAAGTTCAGGATCGTCGTTATTTTCAATAATACCTTGTGAAGTAAGATACGCAATTCCAGCTTTGGGGTCTTCGTTAAACTTGGTAGCGCCTCGCACAATGACTTTTTTCCTCTGTCGTTGGCTCTTGAGCTTTTCCGGGTCTGGATAGCCTTCGTATTGAGGTTCATCATCAAGCCTATCGGCGATAAATTGTATATAGCCTAGAAGAGAATCGAGGCACAAGGGTGGCACATTCGTAGTGCTCCAGGTAGCCGAGTCTGGAAACGCGTTTCGGGAAAGCAATCCTACCATGTCTTCACAAAGGTCCGMCCGATCTACTTCACTGTCGTAATTAATGAATAATTCCACCATAAAACCCGGCATACGAGCTAAAACACCAATGCTCTCAACCATTGCCTCTCGAGCTTCTGGCTTTCTGGAACCGCCCTCTAAGCCCAATCTTTGCCTATCTTGCACGGGAACAGGTGTCTGCGCGCGGCCATCGCCAGGTTGTCCTGGGAGCGGTTTGACGAGTTTCGGCGCTTGCGGAACACCCTCGTATAGCGATGGATTGATGCCGGGTTCCCTCGGAATATCAACTCGAGGATGAAGACAGGCAACGAGGTATGACAGATAAAGTTCTTGTTGCAGCTTCAAGACTGAACGGCACGTTGAGAGCAGCGTTCCAGCCACCCTCAGAGAAGCATTCAGAATTGCCATATTCTCCGAACGTACCAGCTGAAAGAGATGACGACACAAGTCATCTTCTGCAAGGGCTGCAAGAGTAGGATGTCGCGCAACAGAAGGACCCGAGACTTCGAGTGCAACGTCGATTATCCGCAGAGCCATGACCCGCATGGTATCAGTATGTTGTGAATTATGTGGATCTAAGAGATCTATTAAGACACGGAATAACTCTCGAATAGACAGTATGCCGTAAGGTAGTGCTTCAGCTGCTTCCGACTCCTCATTTTCCGTCGCTGTAGCTGTTGGTGTCTCGCCGTTTGTCGTAACTTTGGGTTCCTCGTTGCTTGTGCGTTCCTTCTCTTCCTTCTCAACTGCTATAGTATCAGAACCCATCGTCGACGGATGCTGAGGAATGACCGTATCTCCATTGACAGCAGGGTCCATTTTGAGGTTGGCCAAGTCATCCTCGATCTGACGCTGCTGATTTTGAGTATCGTCATGAAATTCCTCGATGTCGATTGCGGATAACCGGACAAATATCACCTGGCACATATTGATCATGGACATTTCGGCTGACCGGCGAAGCAATTCTGATAGACGGTTCTGACAGCACATACTCAATCCTGTTTCCATCATTTCACAGACACTCTCATCTCCGAGAAGCTCGCCTTCCGGTCGTGACAGCATTCCTTCCATCAGCTTGAGAATTCTCAACAGAACTACTTCGTCGGCAACGGTATCGCTGGCCTCAAAGCGACAGTGTGTGATTGCAGCTGATAGCAGTTGCATTGCTACAGAGATACGAGGAGAGTGACGGTTGACAATATCGTATGCGAGAAATTTGGTGACTGCCACCAAAGCCAGGGAGGTAATCGGCGCGGATGTAGACGACGATCGAATGACCTGTAGGAATGGATGTAACAACGCCGGGGCATCAAAAGCCCTGATGTCTCTGCATGACTTCAAATCACTCCGCAAGCGAGTAAATGCGGATATCAATGGGTTGTCTTGGATGCTCTTCCCTTTCTTACCCCTCAGCCCCCATCGATTGGCCAACGCAAAATCGCCATCGCTAGATATTTGTAATTTATCTGAAGAGCCCCTTTTGTTTCCAGAGACACCGCTTCTCGAGCTTGGAATGGGGGAGGTTGTGATGTCGCGGTCGCTACCTTTGGTTGAGCCGCTGCCGCCGAGAATGGCAGCCACGGAGGAGTGAGCCCAGCGGGCATGTTTCCGCATAGCCGAGGTGACGGTGATGCATTCTGTTGTCACCAGGGACACAGGGTCCACCGATATAGGGAGGGTGTAATCCGCCATCATGGACGGGGTCGGTGGATGGCGAAGCGAGGACAACATTTCTGATCTGGCCATCTGGCGGGATCTGTTATGGCTGTCGATATCTCGGCCAGGCTCCATAAGCTCCTTAGCTCCGCCGCCCGCGTGCCCGCATAGCTCCCGTTTGGGTTTAGCGTAGCTGACTATGTTCAATACGCTTCTTTCTCATCAGTCGTTTACTGTGATACTCACTTGTAGTGCTTGTATCTTAGTGAAGAGATCTAGCTGGCATGTCTCTACTTACGTGCTTCAGGGAGTGGAAGGTAGTCGACCAGAAGGCGGTTGCCATTCTGCCTACCTGGGTCGGGAGGAAGGTGCGATGGAGATGCACTGGACTCCAGGTAGCTCCTTCCTCCTTACATCATGAGACACTATCGTCTCAACATCTATCCTGCCTATGCCTAGGTACTTCTTTGAAGTCCATCAATAATTGGATCCCTTCTTTGGAGTATGAGAAGAGCGGTCAGCCCCATTCAGGAACCAGTCTCTGTTGGACCCAATGGCCGCCGTTCTTTTTGCATTCTTCGCTCCCAATATTCGCATCGCCTGGATTGGCCCAATTGTATTCCGATGGGGATCGACCAATAGGCAGTTATAGCACGGTGTGATATATGCCATCTGGTGGAGTCCAACGCTGTCAGGATGGATCAATGACTGATGCGCTGTCTCCCAATCGAACTCTGTACTTATTTTAATTAAAGAATCGAAGATTTAGAAAGAACAGTTATCAAATTTTGCTGTTGCGAGTTGCAACGAAGAGGATGTCCTCGGCTAGAGCTCCCCATTGTACGAGCTGAGTGACGCGCCCCGCCGCCGCGCCGCTGGTCAATAATATTAATARGGTTGTTTGTTTCCGCCCGCCGCAGATACATCAACAACACCGCAACAACATATCAGTGCATATTACTTTTTACCTCAATTCTCGAGATTTCTTCGCTTTCTGTTTCTCAGAGAGCGACCATGTGCTCCTGGTAATTGTGCGCTACTTTGGAGGACATCTACTGGTTGACCGTGGACAACATACATTGTTTGAGGTTGTTGTCGCATCTTGTTTATCTTATCTCCAGCCATATCGTAATGCGCGTTGAATGCGCTCGACTGTGGCGTTGCTTGGAAATGCGCTGGGAGACAAACAATAACACAGAAACAGTAAGAGAAAGCGCCAATTGAAAAGGCATCATCAATACTGGCCTGGCGACCGTGGGAATCAAGTCGATCAATGATTCTGGCTCCTGCCAGTTGGTATCGGTGTCGCAAAGGAAGCTACGACTGAGGCGGCATGGCGACCATCAACACTTCTCTGGCAGMCCTGCCTCTGGAGCAGCTGTCGCTTTACCACGTTGTTGATCCTTATCTGTCCTCTGTCCTCATATTCTACGGATCAGTTGCGACAACTAATTCCAGCACAAGCAGCACCAGAAACCAAGCGCACATCTTCAGTGCGGCCGGCCTCAGAAGCTATCCCCGCATCATCGCGTCGCCCGCTGCACCGCTCTACAGCGCAGTCCACCATCTTCCCCGTGAGAAACAAGGAGACGAGGTTTATCGTGGAGTAGCTGTCAGTGTTCTGAAATATTTCAAGGACATTCCGCAAGCGGTTCAGCAGTGCTTGAAACAAATTGCTAAGACCGGAAAACTGACCGGCCGATTCCCACGACTATTCGAAGAGACTCATGCCGCCGACCTCGCCAACAGGATGGTCAAAATAAGCAATACGGCCGAGATTGTACGGGATCTTAGACTCGCCCATGATGAGAGGAAGGCTCCGTGGATCGACATAGACGTTATACTGCCTTCGGGTTCGATTTTACCGCCCACGCCCCAAGACCAGGGTGAGACGTCAGCAGAGGAAGCATTGGACGATAATGCTGGTAGTGGTCAATATGGGAAGTATACTTCACTCATTGAAGCTTTTGGAAATCCAATTTTCCTTCCAACCTCCCGGCTTCGACGAGCGCCCTCCCAGCCCACAAACCTGAGCAAGTCTACATTGTTCACAAGGAGTCAAAAAGAGGCCTTGCGGCTGGCCATGTGTGAGGTAGTTGATACGGAAGAACGTTACGTGAGCAAAATTTATGACCTAGTGCACAATGTTGTTCAAGAGTTTCAACAGAAGGCCCGATCTAAAAGCACATCCAGTACCAGCCCTGACGAGACTGCCTTGGCTGAATTGTTTCCGCCATGTCTTGAGGAGATTCTACATGTCAACATGGAATTTTTGAAAGTGATGCAACAAATATTAGAGAGCACTGAGCAGGGAGCTATTACAAGTCTTACGGAGGATACAGATTTACGCACCTCTACGTCCGGTCGCATGGCCTCAGAACAAGATAGAGATATCATGGGTGCAATGTCCTTTGCGAATGCGCTCATGGAATGGTTTCCTCGGTTCTCCGAGCCATATGCCGCTTACATGAGAGCCCACAACGGGTTTACTCAGACCTTGAACTCCTTCTTGAAGGACGATCAATCAAGCTTTTCCCGCCGAGTTTACGAGACCGGCGAACAGAAACTGCGATCGCTATTAATGGAGCCCGTCCAGAGGTTGCCCAGGTACAGCCTCCTTATCGACGCCATGACAAGCAGCATACCGTCTATCCACCCTTCTGTTCGCGTTTTTCTCAAAGCACGAGATATCATAAAGGAAATCTGCTCCCTTGATACCCCAGCTAACACTGATCATAATAAGAGCCTCAAACGCGTGATGAAGCTTGTCGAGTATTGGCCGCCATCCATTACCCCACAAGGGCGCTTGATCAATGCTATTGATTCGACCGAGATTCTTCCACCGTATCACATACAAGAACAAAAAGAGACCCAAAATGTGACCACAATCATGCTCCTTTACAAGAATTGCCTTGTCTTACTGTCTCGATATCCAGGGAGTAACATGGCAGCTCGTGCGTTGCTATCAGATCTGGAAAATCTGCCGACTACTGCCAGCGAAAAGTCCCTGTCGCAGCCAAGTCCTCAATTCAGATTTTTGAGAGCATTTGATTTGAACAATCTGTTTTGTGCCCAGTCAAGTGGTGGTCACATTCTCTACCTAATGCCTGCTAGCACTATGCCGTTTAGCACCTCGCAAACGCCGCAAATGACACCACATGCGCTTCAATTATCAGGCATGTACGAGGGACGAGCGGGTCGCTTGATCGAAGAAATATTGAAAGCCAAAATGGAGGGACGCTTTTCGGAGCGGGAACGTGAAGGCGCTAAATGGACACTGCGCAGTCCCAGTGTTCCAGCTGGAGCTCTTGGGATCCTTGCTCCTGTCTTTGAAGAAGATGCCAATGGATCGATGCAACGGTCTGGATACTCGAGGATCAGGATCGTTTTTGACACGCCGAAGGCAATATGTACGAAGACCTTGGATAACGGATCAGTAGATGTGATCGTGTCTGTGACTCCAGCGGATGGCGATCTGTACAGATTGGAAGTGAGTACGAATAGTGGTTCAAACACAGTAGATACAGCTAGTGCCGATACATTCATATCGACACTCACAGCAAGACGTGAGTCTTTTATCAAATGCTGGAGGTCGCAGTCCGCTAACAATATCTAGTGTCTACTCTAATTCCAGCGGTATGCAGTATTCAGAATCGGACTTTAACAGAATCGTCAGTCTACTCAAATCTAGACATACTTCGTCAAATTGGCAGTCATATCATATCCCAAACAAAAGTCCCACGTGGTTTCCGGCCGCCGTCTCCTACAAAACTCATTTCAAATCTTTGGGGCAGTGGAAGCCAAGCTAAAGATATACCTTCCCTGTCAAAAGCATTCACACAGAACTTGGTTCTAGGCGATATTCCGAAAATGACGCCAAAAGCTGTTACACGACCAACCACGTCACCAGGAATGCTGGACGAAGCCCCCCCAAAGATCTCAGTGGTTGCTCCTCCCAGTTCAGGTCAGGACGATCAACTCACAAAACTGGAGCAGACCTTGACGGCTTATATTCTCGCTCTACGTTCGCGGAGTGGCAACATCGTAGGTCGCAGTCTGAGAACTAGAGTCAATGCAGACAAGTCTATGGTGAATGAGCTATACAATGTTCTACTAGAAGATCCTGCCAAACTTCAAGCGGCTGCAGAGGTCCCTGTTGATGTTCTGTTTGTGGCATTTGAGACATTTATGCATATCGCATGGAAAGATTTAATCGGCTCAATCGTCTCTCCTGACGTCCTCGGAGCCATTCAGCACAAATTTGATTCTTCATTCCCAAGGGACTTTGAGGACTTCTTCCGGAAGCTCCTTGGTGATTTTAGTCCGCAGAATCGGCGTGCCCTCACTGGCATAGTTCGGCTCCTTGCAGAGCTCCTAGATGCTTCTGGCAACGATGGCGACAGGGGTGCATTAACGGTGGCATTCGCCGAAATTCTCAGTGAGAATGAAGAACCTATGCAGTACATATCTCTGCTGGATCGTCTTGTTGAAGATTTCGAGAATCTATTTGAAGAATCGATGGGGGAACCGAAATCACACGAAACGACACCTAACAGGCCCCGTTCTTACACTGGGTCTGTAGGATCAAATGCTTCATCTTTCCGCAAGAGACTTGGCTTTGGTTTGCATCGTGAAAACTCATCTCGTTCTGACGGAGAGAGCAAAGTCAGCTCCCTTATCCGCACTTTGAGCAAGACCAAAAACAGTGGCGATTCAGACGTGAGATCACAATTATTCCGTTCAAAATCAACCGATACGGATTCTAGGCTTGCAGAACTTCTACGGCCGACAACGCGAGAACGGCCCACATTATACGGAGCTTTCTTGTCAGAGGATAATATACGCCGTCCTGGAAGCGCACATGACGATAGTTCTGTGCTGGGTGCTATTCGCGAAGCACCTACCACTCCACAAAGGGAACCAGTCCGTAGAAAGAAAAGACGGAGCTCCCTGTCTGATTTACCCGACCCAACTACTCCTCCACACCCTGTTGCGCTGTCACCAATTGAGATACGCAATCCATTGACTCCAGTGCCGAAACCCCGACCCCAATCGGAGGTCTTTTCTCGCATAGCCCAATTACAGGAGCCTGACAGTCCTGAACAAAAGTCGCAGACTCGCATACCACAGGTTTCCAAACCTTCCGTCCGAGCCACGTCTCCTAAACGACCAGGTTCTCCAGTACGGAGTCTTCTATCTCCAGTAGCTCTCAGGTCTCCTATGTCAAAGGAGAACAGTCTGCAGAGACCGAGATTGACGGAACGGCCTGTCAATAAAAAGACTGATGGGCCGGCGTCCCCCACATACACACGGAAAAAGCGATCTGATACTTTGACTAGTATCCCGCAGCCATCCAGGTATTCATTGCAATTCAAAGACCGACCCATGTCGTCACATGGAGTGGACTTTTCGGGAAGACGTGAGCGAGCATTGTCATCGCCGCAAAAGCCTCAAAGGGTACGCTTGCAAAGCCCTCAAAAGGTAAGATATCTTTGATTCGATTAAGTTGCCAGCTACTAATCTGATTCTCAGCTCCGCGATCGTCTTCAGAATACCGTACAGGCTCAGACTCATGCAGCGTCTGCCCTCCATTCGGAATTGCACTTAGTTGGACAGGAATTAGCTGCTCTAGCGTTGAGATCCTCGCCAACGGGAAATGACCAATCTTCCACGGTTGAGGCTTTGCAAGCTCGCATACGCCATCTGGAACAACAATTCTTAAATTTTAGTACCGACATTAGCAATCAAACAGCGAACATGAAGAAGGACGTAGATTCCTCATTGAGCGTGAGCGAGAAACGAGCAAAGAAGCTAGATGAGCTTTACCGCGAGGCTAGCGCAGAAAACGAGGCATTGTACGAGAGGTTCAACACTGAACTTGGCAAAGTCGTGAAAGAAGTTCGTGGAGGCAATGGTGTGGAAGTCATGAAGACGCAGTTGAAGAGCACGTTGGAGGAACTTAGTCGCGTGAAGAAGGAGAATCTGCGATTGAAACGCGAACTCGGCGGTCTTAAAGCAGTGAGAGCCGATCTCGAGGTGTCAGCTCCTACAAAGGAGGTTGTCGAAATAGCTGACGCATAGGCTTGTCCCGTCAACCCCATCCATTCTCATTTTTTTTCTTTAGTTTCCTCTATTATAGACTCCTTTTGTCTGGAAAACAGTGAACGGCATTTTATGGGCTCCATCATCATTGGTTTCTTGCTTCTTGGTGGGTTTTTGAGCGTGCTGGTCTGGACACTGAGTCATTTCCTTTCATTCTTGTATACCTTTATATCCTTTCCTTTCGAGATGTAGATATTACACTACACTGTCAAATATGTGCATTACCAACAGCATTCCCTTCTAACATTGAACAGATAATATCTCACAAGTCTATAAATGCAGTATAATGTACATCGCCTAATCATACACCTCCGCTTCCAAAAGCTAATAGTGGGCATGGTACCCATCAACATCCTTCTGGTCCTCCGCTGACCAACCCATCAACTTCAACGCCTCCGTATCAACATTTTTATACGTCCAGCGGCACTGGACCTTGAATCCTATCTCCTCATCCATATCCATATTCATGAAACCCAGCGTGGGGAGCCCCATATGCCGTTCTTGCGGAGCATCGCCTCGGATTCTTATCAAGCCCGTTCTCCTCGTTTTTCTGTTGTTTGTGTTCGTGTTTGTGTTTGGTACTCGGGAAGTTGTTGTGAGAATGGGTAATGTGAAGCGCGAGTTTCGAGGTGCCCACTGCGTGAAATCGTAGTTTTTCTGGATCTTTTTGAGGTAGCGGGTCACCTGGATCATGTCCTCTCTTTCGAGGGGGCGGATTGTTATGCGCGGGTTGAAGGATTGGAGTCTCGCAAGTTCTTCGTCGGCAGCAGAAAAAGAAGGCTCTTCAACGTCTGCAGAATTATGGTTTTCAGCATCAGTAGGATTGAGCTTTGAACTCGGACGGAATCTGAACTGGAACCAGAACCGATTATCCCACAGCACCGCCGGCGACCACTCATCACTCAGCTTGTCGACGTGAAGCACAGGCTCTGTGCCCGCCATAAATGGCGTTCGCGAAATATGCCAGATATTATCAAACACATCACCCGTCTTTTTTTGGGTTTTCACAGATTCCTGCAGACGAAAATGGACGCCCGCAACTGTAAAATCGCTTCTTTGCTGGCCCGTGAAGATGTCCTGCGCAAATCGCTCGTAGAGTCTGAGAGCTTGATTCTTTACTTCAGGCCGTGGAGTGAGCAGGCTCACTATACGACGCAGAGCAGCCGCCAAAATTCGATAGTTTTGCGCGTCTGGTGAATGCAGGGGTAGCGTGGGGAATATGACTTCCATGGTTGACGTGTTTGGGTAGAATTTCAATAGCTGACAGTCCTGAAGTAATTTGTCCGTCTCGCTCATGATATCGAGTAAAGAGACGCGATTATTCGCCAGAAACGCGCTCATCGAAGCAGGCCTGAGCGCACGCGGTAACCTGTCAGATGCCAGCAGACCTCTGATCGTATTCCTGATCGTGAGTGTAGGATCAGAATTCGTCGGGTCCGTTACGTATGGCACCTTGGCCTGCCGACACGTTTCCAAAATACTTGACTTGTGAAACGGTAGCAGCGGTCGACACAACAATACGCCCCCAGTAGCCATATTAAACGACCAATCCACCATGGAGAAATGAGTCGTTTTGCGCATTTTGGCATCCAATTCAAAGCTCCGTTGTCGACCGCGTATCATTTCAACGTTCCCGCTCTCAGATACGCCCCAAAGTCCATGACATTCGGGGATACGTGCTACGGGCGCTATGCCAGCTAACCCTTCGAGTTTTGCGTTGGGAGTCATCCTCAACAGGCCCGTTTCGACATTGTCGTCCAGATGGTGGCCGATGAGTAGCGTGTTGAGTCGGTTTTCGAGACATGCTATCCCCAGCGCCTGATAGCGTTTTGTGCGCGCAAGAGTTTCAAAGCCCATTTTCATCTTGGGGGATTCCCCCGGTAGCCAGTCCAAAGTCAAGACCTCTGATTGAATTTCTACATCGAATCAAGTTAGACATGTATTATCGATGTTTGGAAAGTGATAAGCCAGACGAACTCAAATTCGATAACCATTTTGCGACCTTATATGCTTCCTCTGTACTTTCTTCGCGGAACTTGTGATCAACCACGAACGCTTTCACCTCCAACTCGAGCTCTGGCCGAGTGACCTGCAACTGTCGACACAAATAGGCCAGGGCCATAGAATCAGGGCCTCCACTGACCGCAATTCCTACATACTACCATCAGCAGATTCATCCTTCAAAAGTAGACTTCTTCAGTAATACCTATTCGGCGCGGTATATGATTCGCCGGCGCGCGCTGATACCGAGGCAGGATATTCGTCCATGCTTCTCGGAAGCTCTTGAAAAATTGATGTGTCGTTACAGGCGTCGATAATCCATATTTGAAAGGCAAAGCCATCCTCAGTGGAGGGAGCCAATTGGCTTACATGTATTTATTCAGTGCATAAACGGTTAGTAGTAATTCTTCGTGGATCTTTTTGTTGATGGATAAATCGCATAAGAGATGAACATTTGAAGGATGTTAGCTTGAAGTTCTTCTTTGAAGGTGAAGAATTTGATTGGTCGGGATATTGCGGCCTGAGGCATAATCCCCTGAACGACGAGTTTTGCTACTTCACTATCCACGATATTACTCTAGATATAAGGTAGAATTTTGTTGGATCAGTCTTGGCTTTGATTGTTATGTAATTCCCAAAGTCTAGTTGACAATGGTGGTCTATTGATGTTGCGGAATATACCTGTAGCTGGACAGGTAGTTATGTATATACCACACATCTGGCCAAGTGAAAAAGAGGAACGCTTTGAACCTCAAAGTTGATGACTTTTATATCCAACGAACGTTACTAATGATAATCGTAGCCGATTCCATCTGGCATCCATGATACGCACACTTATATAAACACATACGCATTGAACGTCCGAGAACATAGGTATTACCGTGATGTACGCCGCGCAAAGAGACCAAGCAAAGACAAACGGTAGTTCATACAATCCAGAGAAAGCAGATAGAAAATGGCTTCAGCATCAGTCAGGGAAGTGCCCCAATCAAGGCGCCCCATCCGAGATAGAGTTCGAAGCATGAGAGCTGGACATATTGTCGTGCAAGTTATTGTCATCAACCGGCGGTGCGAAAGCATCTGTCGTCTCTTGCTCAGTAATTGGTGGTCGAATCACCTTCTTGCCGTTCGCTTTATAGAATAAGATCATGTCTCCGCCTGTTCGCCAGATGTGTGTCTTGATGGTGGCTAGGGTCATATTGATAGGGACCAGCTGCAAAATGTTAATGTCTACTGCACACGAGGAGAGAGATTACATACAGTGTTTTGGCAATATAGCTCTAGATATTCCTCTGGTTGCATCGGATTTGGATCTGGATCGGCTGGGKTGGCTGGGKCAATTCGCTCAGCAATGTAAGAGAGAACCTTCTTGGCTCGAAGCATGCGGTTCGCATTCAGCCTAGAGCTGCTACTGTCCATTCCTCTGTGCGCCAGTTAGCTTGAAGAAAATATTGATTCCAATACCGACATAGTGACATACCCTTCAAGCTTGCTCACTGGCGGCAACTGGTCGTCGTATGGCTTGAGGATGAAAGCCACCTTTACGACTTCCTTAGCCGGAGCTTGGTTCTGAAGGACACAGTTAGTAATCAAAGATACTCGATAGTGCGTCAAAAGGTGGTCGTACCTTCAATAACAGCTCTCCGAGCCAGTGCGGAACTGTTTTCTCAAGCTTATCAATTTCCTCGCGTATACTGCCAACCGACCCTCGATACAAGTCTGCAGCCACAGCCGTGTCACCGGTTTCTTCTTGTATCAAAATATCCGTGTCGGCAGGAATGTTCAGTGCGGGAGTTTCGCTTTTGGAGCTAGGAGTGATTCCTGAGCTCAATGGTGATCCAGGATGGCGCACAAGAAAATTTTCGTACTCGTGGCGTATGCGGTCAATAACCCCGTAAAGATTTGATTCAAAAGATTTCTCCTCCTTCTCAGACGATTTATCTGACTCTTCTGGTTTTTCCTCCGGCGCTGATGTTTTCGCTTCGGATGACGTCCGTCCTAGCTTCTTAGGAAACTCCATTCTGAACTTTTTCCCGAACAACGATGCTTTCTTCTTTTCCTCCTTTTCGGGTTCAGCTGGAGACTGGGGGATAGCTGTGGGTGTTTGCTCCTCTGGTTGAGGAGGCTTCTCCGCCTCGATATAGTGGCTGCTGGAGAAGTAGTCGTTTGATTTGTTAGATGATGGAGGCCGGGCTAATTCGTGGCTCAACCTTGTGCTTGAGCCTTCTTCTTCAGTTGGAGGAAGTGGGGAGGCGTATGATGTAACGCCTGGAGTTGCAAGGCCAATGTTGAGACCGGGTGTAATAGGATTATGCACTCCGTTTGTCACACGTGGCGTTACCGTCGAGCCATCTACGACAGCCTGAGATCCTGGCGTTCTTGGAGGTAAGTCAATTGAGCCTGGCGCATTGGCACGTAAAGCTTGATTTTCTGCTGCTTTTGCTGCAATTGTTTGTCTCTGAACTGCATCTCGCCTAATCTCCTCCTCTATTAGGTCATTGAAAAGCCAACGCAGAATCCATTTACCGAGGTTTACTGTACATATTGTTAGTATTTGCTTTGAAAAGAAAATCAAACTACTTACTCCTTTGGTCTGACGTATATTCTTCGCCGTTCGTGAGTTCAACTTCATCAGCGTAAACCTCAGCATCAAAGCAGCGATTCGGTTCTAAAATGACAGACAAACGACCTGTCCGGATATCGAGGGTACACCAATGTGCTATACTCTCCACTGTATTGATCTCTGACGCAACGTCGTCTATATGGCGCTTTCCAAAGCTTTGAATCGGAACGCACTGTATAATTGATCAGTACATAGAGAAACATTTGATAAAAATGACAAACTCACTTTTAATAGATCCCACAACAGCACTTCTCCAGCTGTATCCTGGGTCAACGTGCGCTTCCTATCATTCAACATCAAATGTTTGATAACTCCAAGTTGACCTTCGATAGTCTCCTGGGGAACAAAATAGACGGGCAACATTTCTCCGAGCTCCTCATTGGTAATTATCTCTGCTGGCTTTCGGCCACTCACGGATGAATAGATGGTGGCTCGCTCAGGATCGAGTTTTGGAAAGATTGACATGTTTGAAAGGAGAAGAATCGAATTTTGAGGGATCTTCTTCTTCGTCAGCTCTGCGGTGCTAGGAACAGTCTCCTTCCCAGGTGTCTCTGAGGGAGACTCCGCAGCCAGTCCAGTACTAGACCGTCGTGCTGCCGTGTTCGGATAGTCTATTTCTGCTGTGGTATCAACATCGTTCCACCTGTTGATGCTGGATTTTGGCGTCGCGGTCCAAATAGAGTCACAGGCTGCCACGACCTTGACTACGCCTTCATGTTCTTGAAGAGCGGCAATTGATGTTCCCTGGTCAATGTCCGATACGTTCCTGGTATCTGTCTTTGCGACGAGACCTGATCTGTCGCTAGAGTAAAAGACTGACAGCTGAGGGTGGTCCGAGTAGAGTGACCAGACGCTATCGTTATGCATAGTCAACGTATGCGAGCATCGACCTGCAGTCAACGACCAAACTTTGATCGTTTGATCGGAGGATGCCGTCATGATGGTGTCTCCATCTTTATTGATCAGAATGTCTCTGATGTTATCGGTATGTCCAACAAATTTGGTAATGAGCTTCCCTGATTTGGGATCCCACACGCGAACAACAGACTCCGGGCCGCCCGTTGCTAACACAGAGCCGCCCGTTCCCAGGGCATACACAGAGCCCTTCTCGGTAACCTCATCACCACAATTGTCAATCTTGAGTATTTCGCCTTTGCCCTCCAAGTCCCAGAGAAAGACTTTTTGATCGAGACCGCCGGATGCTACCCAGTTGGAGTGCTGATCGGGAAGCGCCAGGCACTTGACGTAGTCCGCATGTCGGCCGATGGAGATTGGGAGTTCTTTCGTCTCCGATAACGGTCGCCATACCCTTACGGTTGTGTCTGATGATGCCGAAACTAAAGCGGAATTATTTCGGGTGAGGACGATATCGTTGATCCAGTGACTGTGCGCCTGGACCTGGTCTCTACGGGTTGTCGCGGGAGTAGTCTTGGAGGGCGAGGTGTTGAAGTCCCAGGAGCAAATGACACCATCGCGACCTGCGGAGTATCTACGTAAACATGTGCGTTAGTTATAAGGAGCATAAATAGCTAATAATAGCGATACTTACAAGATGCGATGTTCGGAGTCGACCGCAAGACCGTTGACACCTAAGCGATGGCCGCCCGATGCATTTGGTAGAGGGAGAACTAATGGACGGTACGATTAGAGGAACAAATCCGGGGAAAGCAACAACCAGATCGGGTGGAATGACATACCATAGCTCACTCGCTGATGGGTGTACTTGCGGGCCATTCAGACGAACGCTTGACAGTCAAGACTGGTTTCATGGATTGGCTGGTTGGAGGTCGGAAGTGCAATGGAGCGTCGGGTCTAGAGCTGCAGCAGCGATTGCGGAGTAACAGCCGGGTGGGATGATGAGAGTGCGCTCTGCAGGGTCTATCACAAACGGCCTCTATCGTGATCGTTCGAGAAGATGTGCATCAAACAGCGGATCGATATCGTGTCGTTCACTCAGGCAAGCGGAAAGCCGATGGAAGAGGGGGAGTTCAAGGCTAATGGAATCGCATGGTCGGATGTAGCTAGCAAGGGTGCAAAGTACAAGCCAGCCAATGTGTGGAAGAGGATAGAAGTTAGAGCTTGTGTCCGTCCTCTGGCACAGGCGTTGGCGTACTATCTAGCTAATTAACTTAGGCATTGGCAGGCATTGGCAGGGGACAGCATTTAGCCATGTGGGGGAACAATCCACGAGGCAGACTGAGACGTCACGCCGGGAAGTAGCCCGGGGTTAATTACGCCCGCGATACTGCTGATTACGGACAAATACGCAGATACACAGCCATATCTCGTGCAAAACGGCTGGGTTACACGGACATAATCCTGTATTAATCACTGTCATGCCTTCTATTGGCCAGCACTCCTCACCTGATTGAAACTTTGTGTACGTACCTGGAAACTCGACAAATCAATACGCAGTAATACGAAACTTATGTTATAGCCTAACCCGGATATAGCCTAGTGTAGGCTACTCTGTCAGTGATCCAGCGCCGCCCTGTCCGAGCGGTGTATGGAAGCTTCATACAACGATCACTTGACATCGGCAAGAGAGACATATATATCCGTATACTTATCGAAGAGAAAGAGCTTGAATATACGAAATTCATAATCAATTTAAAATGGCTCATCAGCTACATGAGCCGCTGTCACATATCAAACCAAGCTTTGCGCCGACGCCTGTGGTCAACAATGACATTAATAATAGATCCGAACCGCCAACAGTGCAAAAAACCATCGATCTCTTGCGCATGCAAGCCCATATCGAGGGAGGATACTATGTGGAAACTGACCGTGACCCTCTGAACGTGGCAAATCCTTTCATCAACAACAAAGATCCTGGCACGTCTTATGCTGTTCCGGAGTCCGACGTGACGTCTGACATTCGGCTGAGTCCCGGCCAAGACCACTCTACTCGCTCCGCCAGTACTACAATCTATTATTATATCACCCCTGGCTCTCCCCTAGGATGTTTTCATCGTAATCGCGGACGAACCGTTCACACGTTGCATCGCGGTCGTGGTTGTTACGTGTTGATTCATGCAGACGAAGTCCTTCGCGGCGAGAGAACTGCCTACAAGAAGAAAGCCCGCATCGAGACCTTCGTTGTTGGCCACGACATCGAGAAAGGGGAGAAATTACAGTGGATTGTAGAAGGAGGAAAATATAAAGCGTCGTTTTTGCTCCCTGACACCGAAGGTGGAGATCAATCCGAAGGTTTGTTGATTAGCGAGGTAAGCTTCCTTCCTTGTTAAAGATCTTAATAGCCTAATGGCTAAAGTACATAGACCGTCGTCCCCGGATTCGAGTTCGCGGACCATGACTTTATGCGATCTGCGACGTTGGATGAACTTTTGAATCCAGAGGAAGTCGAGGAGCTCAAGTGGCTTTTGAGAGAGAAGTCAATTAGTGTATAGAATCCGTATAAGTGTAGTCGAGGTGCTCCAGTATATGATTAGAAGCTTGAATAGTTTCAAGCTCTTACATTGTGATTCGCTATAATAGACTCGTGGTATCATTAAGATGTATGGTGTATAAATCAATAGTCCAAGCCTGACGTTCCAAGTTTGTCATTGGTATCAAGTACACTATATAAAATGACATTAGCTATGAAGCAATTGAGGAGAGATGAGGTCAACTTACGAATATTGTTTGGTCAGTGTGCCCTCGCCGCCCTTGGATAGATCGATGTTGAACACATAGAAGTTGCCCTCACTGGTAACTACCATAACCTGCGGTGTGTTGCTGCTCATAGCTACAACACTCCTCACAGGTCCGGTGGCCTGACCTCCTGAGCCCTGCCCCGACTTCGGCAGTTTCATCCAGGCAAAGTCTCGTGTCGGCTCCCACATCTCGCTGACTCCTTTGGGCAGATACCCCCCCACAGTAGCGGCAAACGTATTCCCAACATTTTGGGATGTCCGTCGGAGCATGCCCATTAATGTGCCATTATGCTTCCTCGAGTTGAAATCAGATGCATCCATGCCAGACTCATCTTGTTCGTCCCGATAGTCGCCGGAACTAGGACTGATGGGTCGATCTAAAGTAGGCGATCTTGAGCTTCCGTCTTGGTTTTGTCCTTGACTGTTCAGTTTAAACACATGAATAGTGTCCGTAGCCGAGGAGACACAAAGAAGTGTGGACATGGTATTGAAAGACATGCTATATATGCGAGATGGGATGGAGCCGCGTCGGAATTGATAAAGCTTGTGACCATCAGGTACGGAGAATACCCGGATAATAGTACCTTTGTCAGAAGCGGTAGCCAAAAGAGTACCTTCGCTGTTCAGAGTGATGCAAGACAGAGGAGATCGATGAGCCTCGATAACGTTGATGGCTTCTAACTTTACAGCATCAAATATTAATACGTCACCAGTCGTAGGAGATATATGATTCGTAGTGCTAGGCGGAGCATGTGCAGGAGGTGCAAATGATGACGGTGGTGCTTTTTGTGGCAGTGGATAGGCCAGATAGCAGTTTTCCGAAGAAGGTGATAATGCACAGATTGCTGTGGTTGTAAGTATCAAACCCCTTCATTTGTAGAAGTTAAAAAAAACGGCAAGAGGTGACTGAACTTACCGTTTGGATTAGGCGACGTCTCAATTGTCGAAAGAAGTTTCATCGTCTGAATATCGTATAGATAGATGTAATCTTCGAGCACTAGCACCAGTCGTTTCCGATTCAACTTGACCGCTAGCACGGTCGTTGGAAAAGTCAACTCGCATATGGTGGATTGCCGCTACTTCCATCAGCACAGTCATACAATACCGGGATAAGCTTGCTCGATAGTACCTTGGTGTTTGTAATCTGAAGACGGCGGGGTGATAAGATGAGAGCCACTAGCGATGTTGAGAATAACATTTCCAGGATCGCTATGTTTCCATCTTTGGTTTCATAGCTCTTAGTGAAAGGGTCCGTTGTGAAGATCCGAAATCCCTTGGAAGTACCTATTGGCGATTAGCACTACAAGCTATACTCTGGAGCCGCATGGTGCAGCACATACCGACAGCTAGATAGCTGTAATCTTGGTTGAAAGTGACAAAGTTCATAGACATTCTGCCTACGATTGGAGCGCCCGGACGTAATTTTTATTGATATATTGGTTGGTCTTTGAATCTCGCTGGCAACACGATAATGTCGTGTGTACCAAAGCCTTTGATATCGCTACTCGACCTGGCACCCCGCACCAATCATACGGGAAGCTCCCGTCAACAAACGCTGGTTACAAGGACCGTAATCGTAATAAGTCGGGATAGATCACAAACAGTGCTGCTCTCTCGTGTAGTGACAGCAAAGAAGAAAAAAGAGTCTCAGGACAGAGAAGAGCGAGGTAGCAGGCAGAAGCAGTGTTCCGGTGACATGGTAATTGGCAGGTAGAGATGTTTTGGAGAACGATCAGTAGGGCAACCGCGGGTCTCCACACTAAGAAAACCGCCGCCAAGCTCGAATAGGAATAGCACTGAGGACCCTTCTGTTTCTGCCGTGTTTTGCCGCTTGCAAAATTCCAAAAAAGACGAGGGGCATTCCTCTTTCTCGAAATGTGTTGGACTACAAGATTGTGAAAATGGATTCCCCTTCAGCGCCATTGATAGTGTCGCATAATGGTGCTTTGGAAGCACCATCAAAGAAAAAGCCCGGTAAGCCCGTGGTGCCTACCAAAATGGAGAAAGAGGCGGATTTGGTGATGGGAGTAAGTCATTGTGATTAGCATTGTATGATTTTCGCCTACAAAAGCCCTAGCTCAATTGACTGACCTTGTGTTGTCTCAAGACAAATAACAGTAGTATCGTTTCAAAACGGAGCGTCGAGCTTCGATACCTCCCCCAATACCAATTCTTTCGTCCGTTCGTGAAGAAACCGCAGAGAAGGGCCCCATTAATCAATAGAGGGTACTGGCTTAGAATGCATGCCATTGCTGAAACAGTCCGTCAATTTCTACAAAGCCCAGATATGCGACCCAAGTTTGTCCTGAATCTTGGTTGTGGATAGTGAGTAAATAAGAGTAACCACAGACTCGCGGAGGTGTATTAAGATCTATGCGTAGTGACCCGTTGGCCTTTCAGCTCCTTGAGACCGAGAAATCGATATGTGATAATGCGACGTTTGTGGATATTGATTATGAGAAGTTGATGGGCATCAAGACGTCCGTCATCCAACAAACAGAAGAACTGAAGAGTACACTGGGAGATATAAAAGTCTTTCCGGCTCCAAGCCCTGTACTTCTACGAGCTTCGCATTACGTCGCCGTGGGCTGTGACTTAAAGAACTTGAAAAAACTCGAAGAGGCTTTGAAGGAAGTTCTAGGCCCTTCTCCGGTCTCAATTCTCTGTATAGCCGAAGTCTCGCTCACTTATATGGATGTTCAATCAGCAGATGCTCTCATCTCATGGTTCCCGACGTTAGGCAAAGGTATTCACCTTTATTTGAAGCTTTAAAATCTTTGCTTACAATGTCTAGATATACAATTCTGTGTTCTGGAGCAGTACTTTCCAGATGGGCCTAATCACCCCTTTGCGTCTACTATGATGAAACACTTCCACAAACTCCAAGCTCCTCTTCATTCGATCCACAAGTATCCGACCATGTCTTCGCAGGAACAACGATTTACTTCACAAGGCTGGCGTTATGCCTCTGCCAGGAGTTTGTGGGACATTTGGAAGGATGATGCATTTCTTAGCAGATCTCGACGAATAGGACTGGACTCTATAGAACCATTTGACGAGTGGGAGGAGTTTGCCTTATTCGCCTCGCATTACTCTGTTGTAACAGCATCCACTGTTGAGCGAGAATCTTCGCCCACAAGCACTAAGAATGGAGCTCAAAGCGACTTACCGATAGCTTCATTGAAGGTGATATCCCATCGCCCATCTTCCTTTAGAGGCCATCGGAGATTCGCTGCCGTGGTTCCAGATAGTGATCGATCCATAGGCGTCCACGGAGGGCTAGGAAGCCAATCTCGTCTTTTGTCTACAGATATTTATTATAGAGGCGAAGAGGGTATTCAGCCCAACGGCACTTTGCCGGCTTACCAGATTTCAGCACGCATGTGCCATACCATCACAGGCCTCCGTGATGGGGACTGTCTCTTAGTTGGAGGTCGTGCATCGCCTGACGCGGGGTTGAATGATTGCTGGATTCGAAAAGACAAAGTTTGGAAGCCGACGCACTCTTTGCTGTCTCCTCGCTTCCGCCATTCTGCAGTACGAGTCCAATTGGATGACGTTGAAGGTGTGTTGATACATGGCGGAAAGAATAGCAAGGGTGACATCTTGGAAGACTGGTTGCTCTGGAATGAGCAAAAAGGATGGCAGACCGTCAAAGTAGCAGGACATCCCGATATTGCTAGTCGATTTGGGGCTCAGATGGTAGCCGTTGGTACGTCGTCCGGTTATCTATTCGGAGGCATGTCCCGGGATGGAATGGTTTTCGACGACTTTTGGAAGTGGAGTCTAGAAATAGGCGAAGATGGTATCGCGATTATTCAGCTCGCGGATTTATCTGAAAAACTACGAAACGCGACAAATCTAGCAGACTATGCTGCCGGGAGATTCGGCGCAACGACGAATATTATCTCCAACAAGCTTCTAGTCATAGGTGGAATTGGCATTAGAGGTGTTCTTCCAGAGACAATGGAAATTCTATGTCTAGACATTGCAGAGCTTGGTCAAAACGAGTGGAGTTCCTCGATCTTACAAACTGTCGCTGCTCACTACGAGTCACCGGTATTACGGCCCCTTCTCGCCGGCCATATCTCAGGAACTGTCGATGATTCGGTGATTGTGGCTTCTGGTGGAGTGGTATGTTTTTCATTCGGAACGTTCTGGAACAATTACATCTGGCAAATCTGTGATACTTCCGTGAACGCTCGGGAAGATTGGAAGTACCTCCAAGTGGCTGAAAAGAGATCAACACAACCAGATGCATCTAATCAGAAAATTCCCATCAGACCGAGTAAGCCAAACGATATTAAAAGCATCCCGCGCATGACCGTCCAAACAGCCGCAGATTTCGAGTCTATTATGAATCAAGCAGAACCAGTTGTGATCACTGGACTGAAAATAGGAGCATGCACCGAGAAGTGGTCAAAAGAGTATCTGGTTGATACTCTTGGTTCTGACCGTAAGGTCGTGGTCCATGAGGCCCAGAGTGATCATATGAATTTTCAGAGGAAAAACTTCTCATACAAAACCAAAGAGTTTGGCACATTCATGGACGAGATCCACCATGGAAGCCGACAATATCTGAGATCGATTTCGAGCGATCAACCGGCAAAAAAGGCGGCAAGCTTTGAGCAAGATTTTCCTGAGATTAAGAGCGATTTTCTTCTTCCGGCCCAATTGAATTTTGTCAGTAATAATACTCACAGTTCTCCTTTACGTATTTCAGGGCCCGTTACGATGTGGTTACATTATGATGTAAGCATTCTCGACTTTCTTTCCTCAAGGATGAGCTAACAAGAGATGTAGGTCATGGCCAACGTGTACTGCCAGATTCGCGGGCAGAAAAAGCTGGTATTATATCCCCCATCAGACGTAGAGTACCTGCAGCTACCGCCCGGGGCATCAAGCTCCACACTTGACATCTTCGCCAACAACGGCAAGATCAAGACAGGACAAATAGTGTCCATACCACGTACATCCCCTCACAAAGCGACACTGGGCCCGGGGGAGATCTTGTTCATTCCGCCGCTATGGTTGCATGCTGCCACACCTGTGGACGGAGTTAGCATCGCAGTTAACGTGTTCTTTCGCAATTTGGAGAAGGGATATGCTATGGGGCGAGATGTTTATGCCAATAGGGATCTCGAGGCGTATGAGAAGGGGAGGAACGAGGTGGAGAAGATTGTGAGATCTTTTGATGGGGTTCCGCCTGGCATTGCTCGTTTCTATTTAGTGAGACTGGCGGATGAGCTGAGAGACAAGGCTCGTGTGTGATCACTACTTATACATCCAATACAAATACACTGAATAGAAAGCGTTAAGCAGATCATTTATGGATATAAAAAGAGTATGGGGAAGTTTCCGTGATTGGCTGTTTGTATACAGCATCGAACAATGAGTGGGACCAGCATTGAAGTGAGGGGACGATTCAAGCGGGTACATCTGTTGGCCCTTGTTTTTTTTTTTGAGAGTCCCTAAGTCCATCTATCTCTCTGCCTCTAGTTTGTGATGTGGATGGCGATATATTCTTATCTCGTGATAGGTATCTTTACAGCCATAGACCATGTTTTGATCTTGACCTGTAGCTTACTTCATCTAACATTGTCCGACACGCCGCATTCAGTAATAGCCTGGAAGTGAAATCAATCATCCGACATTCAGACAGTGGGGACCATGACGTCTACACAAATCAGATGCACCAGGCAATTCAGGTTTCCATGGATCGACAGTCGACTGCTTGATAAATTGATAATTATATCAGAGGATCATGGTGGGAGGGGCTTGGTTTCTGCATCTTTGACCAGGTGGTACTATGTTCTCTGCAAACGGTTGTTGTCAACGTGGTCGGGCCATATCGAAGGGATGAATTACATTTACTTACTGAAGATCGATACGCATGCGTTGCTATAGCTATGTACAACTATTGTATATATGTCTCGCCACTTGTGAGAGCACACAAACACAAACAGGTCAATTGACATAACGACTACATAGTTTGTATTCCATGACGCAGTAAACATTGGAACAAGACGTAGCGCATACGCTAGCTGTAAGAAACAAGCCAATATAAATACTTATATCTATCCAGCTGACAATTCCACTCGTCTCCGGCCGGTCTAGCCCACGGAATGCGCGGAGTTGATTGGGTATGATGTACCTCAGCGGGCCCGATTGCAGCTGTATTATCCGTATTGCCATTACGACTGGCTCTGAAAGCAGAAATATGCTTGTTTGTTTGTATTCAGTTTATCAACAGGAGAGCGCTGAATGCATAACAGACACTGATATTTTGGGAGAAGGAACGAACGGACTAGGTCAACCCATATATCGAGCGATAAGACTGTTATTTTCAGACTAAAAACGCCAGTGCTGCGAGTTCACCCACCCCGAATGTACAGATGGGCCAATGACGGCCCTCGTAATATTACCATCCTCTGAGTTTGTACGTAGTGGTAGGTTCGGACAAAAGTCAATTGTATGGCAGACCTGGTAATTGACAACGCTCAATACAACCATTGGTAGATGAGATATACAAGCATATGTGTTGTCGTAATGTGTTTGGTTTCAGCTTCTACAAAGCAACAAGATGAATTCCTCATGTCATCAGTCTTCTGAGAGTCTGCTTAGTTCTAACACGAGACTCAATATCCGTATCCTAGATAATAAGATACTACTGTGTACTAAGTACTAGCGCACACTTATCACGGCGTATATACGCTATGATTGGATCTTGCAACAATTGGGGCAGTTTCCTCGGGACGTGGGCCCGTCGTCCGTTCATTCTCTCCACCCCCGCCAGCATTATCTGAACTGACCACCATCTAAGTTATTTCTCTTTTTCTTACAGAGACAACTCAAGTGAGACATCAATCAGATATATCTCGTACTCAATTGCTCACTGCAATCGTCGCTTCTTCGTCCATCAGTCAGTTCGTCTGATTTGAAAGCGCGCCGTCCAGCCAATCCCGTTCTGTCGGGCACTGGAGCCACCCTTCATGTGGGACAACATCCTTTCCCCGCTTGAGCGACAGATCCATACTGCTTGAGATAGACTGACTGACGTCTCGCCGTACAGACCAGCCAACATCTTCTACACTTGTCTTTGACTGGCGCCTGCACAGAATTGGACTTTGCAGAACCAGCCTGCAGGTGAAAAGTTCTCAGGTACTGCTTCAGGTAGAGGATGCTCTTGAAAGACTGCCTGCTTGATATACGCGCTTGCGAAGATTGATACACGGCGCAATTTTATAAGAATATCGACACGTCGTATACTACAATGGCAACTGTTCTGGTCCAACAACAATCAATTCGACACTCCGTGACTCCTCCACCCGTCTCTCCAGCCCTCAGTCTCAATGTACGCCCTCGCACGCCCACGTCTATCCCCAACAAACACATCCCCGTATGCCCGCCCGGCTCGGCGCCATCCGCAATCTCACCAGTAGAACAAACCGGCGTCTCACTGACCTCGCTCCTCTACCCGCCTGATCGCTTCAAGAAGCTCACCAAATCTCCCCCGGTTTACTCCATCAATGGCGCCACACTTGTCGCTGCACTGGACCATTTAGCTACTCAACCCTTGCCGGACCCGAAACAGGTGTTTCCCTGGCTGCATGGTCTACACCCCTTCAATGGAGTGCAATCTGCTTTTTTTGTTAATCGGAAACGATCGCTCAGGCGTATACCGAGATGTTTCCGTTCTTTGACGCTGGTCAGTCTGGATGGCGATCTTACAAAGTCGCGTCTGCGAGGCGCCGTGTCTCTTGACGAGATTCTCGACACGAGCGGTACGGAGTTCATTGATGCCGATCCTATATATGGGTTCTCTGTTCGCAACTTTCATATTCAGACTGCCAAATTGGCGCCGCTATCGGATATTGTGATTTATGCGGAGAAAAGTGCCGACCCGTTCCAATTGCTTGATGCTGCGCAGAAGGTGGCAATTGCACAGCAGAACTGGCGGATGAAACACGATCCTGCCCAGGAGACCCCTCTGTTCAATACATTCATACTATCGGGTAAGTATACTGACTATGGATCAGACTTGTGCTGACAATCGGCAGATGCGTTCGAAGATTTCGAACAACGCTACCATGACTTGGTCGCAATAGATTCACAAGGACAAATCACAGGCAAAGTGATGGATTTTTGTGAGTGCTACCATGTCAGACTAGTGGATGAGTATTGACTGATTGATCTAGTCCAATGGGAACGCAATGAAATGTGCAGCATGTCCAAGACTTCTGAAATCTCGAAAAACGTCTGGCTAGGCCCTAGTCCCGATATACTCATGTCTTCAGACGACCAAGACGTAATGGACACAAATCAATTCGACTTGACTATTGAAGCAATTGATCTTGCTCCCATTCCTGGTCCTCGATATTTGGATGGCGTGAGCAAGAGTCTTGCGAGTGAAGAATGGGCTGAAGGCATTTCAATGCAGTTTCCTTCTTCGGGGAGTATTGTGCCGCAGCTTGAAGCGAATCGAGACGTAGAGGATTTTGTGAATACAGTCCGATGGCTATACTATCTTGCCAACCCAGAGGACAACGGATCGGACATTGAAGAGCTGGATGACATTCCAATGGAGGACTCGGCCAAATCATACAAAATATTGATTCATTGTGCAGATGGCTATACGGAAAGCTCACTGCTAGCAATTGCATATTTCATGTTTGCTGAAGGTCTGCCACTAGACCAAGCATGGATCAGACTCCATCGTGAAAAAGGCCGCAATTTCTTTGCATATCCATCAGATGTTGTGTTTCTACGGAGCATTCAGCAGCAACTTCTCGAACAAAGCCCCGCCGCCGCGAGACTGAATTTGGATTCTCTTTGCGAGCCAGCCTGGCTTCGGAAAATGGACGGTTCATTGCCCAGTCGCATACTTCCGTATATGTATCTTGGCAATCTGGCTCATGCGAACAATCCTGATCTTTTGCGGGAATTGGGCATCAAGCGAGTGCTTAGCATCGGGGAGCCGGTCTCTTGGTCCGAAAAGGAGATTGAGAGCTGGGGCGAGGACAATTTGATGTTTATCGGTCAGGTTCAGGATAACGGAATAGACCCATTGACGCAGGAGTTTGAGAATTGTCTTTCATTTATCGGTAAGTTGTATCATGTATGCACATGAGGTTTAGCGACTGACTTGATTCAACAGAAGCAGGCAAAGCCGATAGATCAGCTACATTAGTTCATTGCCGCGTCGGCGTTTCGAGATCTGCGACCATTTGCATAGCTGAAGTCATGTCCTCCTTGAAACTATCCTTTCCTCGTGCATAGTAAGTTTCTCCTCCCCCTATCTACTATGAGGCCAATAAACTGACGAGAAGAAGCTGCTTCGTCCGCGCCAGAAGACTAAACGTCATCATCCAACCCCACCTGCGCTTCGTCTACGAACTCCTCAAATGGGACGAACATCAGCAACAGAAACGCCGAGAACCGCTCCGCCGAGAATTGGAATGGACCAGTGTTGCGCGCGAGATCGCGTTGATGAATAAGCCGTATTCGCGCCAGCAATGATCCACCTCCCCACGATGACTTGATAAGATTGTTATTGGCGATGATGATGAATATAATGAATGAGAGGATACAAAAAAAGGAAGGAAAGAAAAAGCAATATATACACGATGAAATGACTCAATTACGAGAACTGAATGACACTGGAAACGACTATGGATAGGATCGGGACAGGACAGGTACACGGATATGGAAAGGCACAGGAGCGACGGATCAGGACCTGGGTCATGGAGTTTTTTCACAGGGCGTTCGATTTCTTCTCATCTTCAAATGCTTTGTGCTATTTCTTTTGACATGATACATTTTATGACTTGGTTTTGCTTCTTTATTTTGCGCTATTTATGATTCATGTCATTTCATGTCAGCTATTTGTCATTTTTTCCTAGTTTTACTTTTTTATTTCTTGTACGAGTGCGATTGATGGATTCTGGGTTTATGGGGTCATGTATGAAATGCGGGATTCTTTAATATGATTCTCTGATCTCTGCTGGATTCTCGTGGCAATTTTGAGACGTCAAATCTGTGATGAGTAGTAGATTGACTTGCTACAAATTGTAAGACATGCATATTTCATATCTACAAGGCAGATCAACACCGCTCAAATACGCGGTACAATCCCTTTAGATCAGCAACTTCGACAACGCCAGGTAATAGACCGTTGGTAGCTACCAATCTCGCTCGCACAGCGGGAAAGAGGACATGTTCCAGCATTCGTATGAGTTGCGTGCGGCGGGTTGTTATACTTTCGTCTTCTGTACTGGCTTKTGGTGATTCCTCATCTTCTACCTCCTCATCCTGGGATGCCGGCTTTTTAGCCGGTTGTGGCGGCAGTTGCTCAGGCGTATAAAAAGCAGCAAGTTCGCGAAGAAACCCGCGGAAACACTCCTCTTCACTCGTCCAGTCCACGTACGGACCTAGTCTGAGCAAGAATCGAGGTAGTTTTGCCAACGATGGTATATACCCCTTTAATAGGAGCGGGATTGTGAGTAATTCACCTTCCTCAGATATCTTCATGGAAAAATATTCGTCTAGCATGTCACGGCGCTCGATTATTGTGTTCGTCACGATTTCTGGTGCTCTTTGAAAGATATCTTCCATTTCGTCATTTGAGGAGGACGCAGCCCCCCCTTCAGCATTGGCTTGATGCTCACTGCGTTCAATTTCTGCGCCGAGTTGCATTAGGTCAATTAGTTTCGGCGGCGGGTCGAGTTTGATGATGCCGAAATTTCCAAAATCGGTGAGTCCGATCTGGTAGAAGAACTCGCTGCAGATCATGCCATAGTCGACTAGATATAACTTTACGCCAGATTGAAGTGCGACAATGCGTCGACGCTCGTCAACGAGGCCGACGTATGTATGCGTTGAGAAGAGTTCGGTGAGTCCGTTGTGCATCTCATTTCGTACTGTAGCACGAAGGTGTTTCACGGATGTAAGTCCTATACGAAGCGGTTCGCGATCTGTTGTCTCATAGTGCAGGCCATCGTCTGGGTTTTCTACTTCTTCGGCCTGATCTGTGTCTAATTGGGTGCTGGATGACGCGGTAAGAGATGGTAGCATAGATGTAATCTTTCGCATGCGCGAGTCTGTGCGAACAAGGTTATTCTCATAGGGCTTTTGTGACGAGGGTACTGCGCCCATTTTGCGAGCCTGAGAATCGCTTGGAGGCGTCTCTGGAACTCTGGGCACACCAGGCAACAGAGTCTGGGTCATGAACGTCCGACTCGAGTCCACCTGCGCTAGACGGGTGGTGATCTCGCTGCATATCGATTCTATAATCTCATCCTCGTTTAGAAAGTTCACTTCTCTTTTAGTCGGATGGACATTGACGTCAACCCGATTTGGTTCGATTTCGAGATCAAGGTAGATAAAGGGGTGTCCACCTTTGGGTAGAAATGTTGAGTATGTCTGTTCAATGGCTTTCTTAAGTGCCGAAGATTCGACTGATCGATGATTGATAAATAGCAAAATAGTCGTCCTCTTGACGTGATAATTAGCGTTGGTAACCAGCCCGGATGCCCTGAATCCCAGTCTCTTTGTGTCTTCAACATTGAAGTCAATCAGTTCATTTGCCACGGCACTTCCATGAATCTGGCGAATTCGATCAATAGTGGATGACTTAGCAGCAGTCGAGATGCTGGGGCCTGAATCGCCGTGCTTTTTACACGAAAAGGCAACATTCGCGCAATGAACTGCATATCGCCCTACGACGTCAAGTATCTTGGCATATTCCTCACTGGATGACCTAAAAGCACGTCGTCGGGTCGGAACATTATAGAAGAGATCTTCAACCTGTGCAACAGTCAGCTTAATCATTCATTCATGATCTAACATTGGCTCACAGTGATTTGAGTTCCCCCTCGTCCAGCCGTGGGCTTCGGTTTCACACTTTGACCGGGCTTTGCTGGTACAAGTTTACCATCACTATAATGTGCTCTCCAGGCACAGCTAGAACTGGCAGTTTTGGTAGTCACTGTCAGATGGGAAATATGGCTGATACTCGCCAAGGCTTCACCACGGAAGCCATAGGTGCCAATAGCTGTCAAATCCTCAAACTCTTTCAGCTTGGAGGTGGTGAATCTTTCGCATAGAATTGGTAGATCGTCCACCTACAAATCTAATTAGCTGATGAACATCCATGACGGGGCGCAACTCACGTTAATTCCATGGCCGTTATCGGTTATTTGGAGAAGCTTGAGCCCTCCATCTTTAACAAGAACCTCTATTGACGTGGATCCTGCATCTACAGAGTTCTCGATGAGTTCTTTTAGAGCATGCATTGGGGCGACGATGATCTCCCCAGCGGCGATTTTGTTGACCACATCAGGATCTAGCGCCTGACCTCGTGTCAGCATCGAATGCGCCAAGTAGCGACAACATAAGTACATACCCTGATACGGCGCTGCTCATTTGGTGCAAGCTCTGCATCATCAGCAGTGCGCTTGGTCCCTCGTGGTTCTAGAGTCTCGATATCCATCGCGTCGCCCATCGTAATGTACAGCACACTCCGTAATGACGACGGAATTCTTTTTCTAGCGAGCACCCGGTAAAACACTATCAGACCTTAAAGCTCCAGACATCAAGCATCTGAAAAAAGCCCTATATCATCAAGCCGCAGATATCGATCAAACTCGAGTGCTGATTGTTGATTGTTTGGAGCTTGCAGTATCGATGATTGAAGGTGGATCCGGCGGAGTCCAATCTGGCAGCTGCGATGGCCGTACCTTCCACCGTGTACCTCATATATGCCGATGATGATGAGATACTCGAGTTTCCCTACTATTTACAGCTCTCTTCTTTCTATAGAGGCGCAGTTACTCTCGACTTGACAGACAAGAGCAAAATGAGCATTGTTGTATGAGATCACGTGACTTGGTTAGATGCAAGAGGATGTAAACACAGCTCAACGACGAAGTCAAGACCACCGAATGGACATCAAATAATAGTAATGACAAGCAAATCATAGATATCAGATTACTTTATCCAAATTTTCCTTGAGATCGTCTTGAACAAATAATCAAGCAGTTGATGTTGACGCTTACGTGACCCTGTTTGTTTTGTTTGCATCTGCAGGGCAGTCACGACCGACGTAGCTCCACAGCGGCGAGACGATATCACGACGCAAGCTTGGAGTGCCTGCTTTCAACCCAAATCCAACTCCATCTCCATCACACCACACACCTCCATCCACCCACTTCGCAACTGTATAACCCTCGGAATCTACCAGGTGAAACCATCGGAAGCTTGATCTGGTGTTTCATCCCCTTGCTCTCGTGATTCTTCCTCTTTCTATACCATCGTCGAAGCTAGCCGCCCAGGCTCCATGGCGAAAGAAGGCCAGCGGTCAGCAGCTGCTGACAAGGGAAAAGGCAAAGCCGACGATGCTCGCGAGCTGAACGGACAGAAAAAAGACGCAAAGGATGATAAAACCAAGGTTGGAAAGAAGGAAGACAAAGATGATGAGCTACAAGAAGGTACGGTGACAAATCAGCCAATTCTGCTTATCCATTTCGCATCATCGGTTGCTTGAACTTGAAGGCTCGGTACTGATCATCATTGAATTCACAGAGGAACTTAACGAAGAAGACCAAAATCTCAAGAATGAGCTTGAGATGCTCGTGGAGCGACTCAAGGTACGTGCCCTTCAAGCTCCGGTAGCTACCATTCACTAATCCTCAATCAAAAACAGGAACCCGACACAACCCTGTATCGCCCCGCCTTAGATGCCATCAAGAACTTTATTAAAACATCTACGTCGTCGATGACAGCTGTTCCGAAACCCTTGAAGTTCCTTCGACCGCACTACGACGAGCTCACGGAAGTTTACGAGAGATGGCCAGCAGGTTCAGAAAAGGTAGGTTTCTATCTATGCATCAGAAGGAACATGCTCATTTCCTGTAGGACTCCCTTGCAGATACGCTGTCAGTCCTCGGAATGACCTACGGCGTTGAAGACAAGCTCGAAACACTCAAATATCGCCTTTTGTCGAAGTCTCCAGCCGAGGATCTAGCCTCATGGGGCCACGAATACGTTCGACACCTTGCATTAGAGATTGGACAAGAATACCAAAACCGATTAGCCGAGGACCAAGAGTTTGGTGATCTCACCGAACTGACTCTATCCCTCGTTCCATACTTCCTCACACACAACGCCGAAGCCGACGCCGTCGATTTACTGAGCGAGCTTGAGATGATCGAGGAGATCTCCAAGTTTGTGGATGAAAACACCTATCAAAGAGTGTGCCTCTACATGGTCAGCATGGTCAACCTGCTCACGTATCCGGAAGACCACCAATTTCTTCACACAGCGCACGAGATCTACGTCCGATACAAAAAGTTGACCCAAGCGATCGTTATCGCTATCCGTCTGAACGATGTTGAGCTTATCAAGTCCGATCTTGCTGCCACTGAAGATAAAGCTTTGAAAAAACAGATGGCTTTCTTGGTTGCTCGCCAGCAGATCTGGCTCGACCTACCTGAAGAGGAGGATGATCAGGAGCTGGCGGAGTGTCTCAACAACACTCAAATCCCTACACACTTCAAGGCCTTGGCTAAGGAATTGAATATCCTTGATCCCAAGATGCCCGAAGATATATACAAAACTCACTTGGAAAGCAGCAGAGGTGCAGGATTGACAAATGTCGATTCCGCTCGGCATAACCTGGCCAGCGCATTCGTAAACGCGTTCGCTAATGCTGGGTACGGAAGTGACAAAATGATGTTGGTTGAAGGTGACAAGGGACCTTGGGTGTGGAAGACAAAAGACGATGGAATGCTATCCACCACAGCTTCGCTCGGTATGCTGCTGCACAGAGATGTAGAAGGCGGTCTGGACAAAATCGACAAGTTTACATACGCCCAGGAGGATCAGATCAAGGCTGGTGCTTTGCTCGCCATTGGTATTCTTAATTCTGGTGTCCGTCTTGACTCCGATCCTGCAATGGCTCTCCTCAGCGACCCTGACAACATCGAAAACAAGAGCATCCCTATGCGCGTGGCATCTATTATGGGTCTTGGTCTGTCTTATGCTGGTTCCAACAAAGAAGAGCTTTTGGATGTCCTCCTCCCCATCGTTGAAGATGTCTCTTTAGATATGCAGCTCTCGGCTATGGCTGCTGTTTCTCTTGGGCTGATCTTTGTTGGCTCGTCAAATCATCAAGTCTCAGAAGCAATTGCTTACACATTAATGGATGAGGAGCGACAAAAACAACTCAAAGATAAGTGGACAAGGTTTATGGCACTGGGATTGGCTTTACTTTACTTCGGACGACAAGAAGAGGTAGACGTGATTCTAGATATTCTCAAGGCTGTTGATCATCCCATGGCTAAGCCCACAGCTGTACTAGCTTCCGTCTGCGCGTGGGCTGGCACTGGTACTGTCTTGAAGATTCAGGAACTTCTTCATACATGCAACGAGTTCATCGAAGACAAAGAAGAGAACAAAGGCGACGAACTCGTTCAGTCGTATGCTGTTCTGGGTTTATCTCTTATTGCTATGGGAGAAGATGTTGGCCAGGACATGATTCTACGACAATTCGGACACTTGATGCATTACGGTGCAAGTAACATTCGCAAGGCTGTACCACTTGCGATGGGACTCATCAGCCCCAGCAACCCGCAGATGAAAGTTTACGACACCTTGTCACGATACAGCCACGACAACGACAACGATGTCGCTATTAATGCCATCTTTGCCATGGGTTTGACCGGTGCCGGCACCAACAATGCTCGTCTGGCGCAACTACTCCGACAGCTTGCTAGCTACTACCACCGTGACCAGAATTCGCTGTTCATGGTCCGAATTGCCCAAGGCTTGTTGCACATGGGCAAGGGTACGGTCTCCGTCAATCCCTTCCACACAGATCGCCAAGTGCTTTCTCGAGTAGCTGCTGCAGGCCTCCTTACTGTCTTGGTCGCCATGATTGATGCCAAACAATTCATCCTTGCCGAGCATCACTACCTTCTCTATTTCCTCATCACAGCAATGCATCCCCGCTTCCTCATCACTCTTGACGAAGACTTGCAGCCTCTCACTGTGAACGTTCGTGTCGGTCAGGCTGTTGATGTTGTGGGCCAAGCTGGTCGACCAAAGACCATCACTGGATGGCAAACACAGAGCACACCCGTACTTCTCAGCTACGGCGAGCGGGCTGAGCTTGAAGATGAACAGTATATTCCTCTCAGTAGCACACTTGAAGGCTTAGTGATATTACGCAAGGTAAGTTTTTTTCCTATTTCTAGTCCACAGACACATGGCTAACCTAGGTAATAGAACCCCGAATGGGAAGCTTCAACTTAATGGTGTCGTGTATACTCATATCTCTGGTTTGGAATTTGGAATCACTATATGGCCTTTATGCGCTTGATTGGTGCGAAGGCCATACAAGAACATCATGTTTTAGTAGATGCTTCCGGCCCGTGCGGGCTTATTCCTGTGAAATATCTGCAATTAATAGACTCAAGTTTAAGATGCGTCTAAAAAGATCCAAGTAATCCAGAGTCTAAATATTATGCATACTACATTTTTTATACACTGAAGTCGTCCGTGTCTAAAGACAAGGACGCCTAATTGGGCTACAAGTTAGGGCTTAGGGCTGCGAACTTTTTTTCTAATTGCGGGGAGTGTCATGACTGCCCGACTTTTTCATGCATTGAAGGTCCTTGTCACTACACTTCTCATGCGATTTTTTATTGCTTCATAATACTCTGTGACAAGTTGAATCTGTCATCATGAAGCTCGACGCAAAAGCCATGCGGTATTTCACCGCAGAAGACTTTCGAGTTCTCGCTGCTGTATGTTCTTACCTCCGCTTCGCATTACCGGTGTTTTGTCGCGTTGAATTCAGTTTGACAGTTTTAACAAGGCATGACGCATAGGTTGAAGCCGGAAGTCGCAATCACGAAGTCGTTCCTACGCCGTTGATAGTCCAATTGTCTGGTTTAAGGGGTGGCAGTGGCGTTCACAGGAGTATCTCGAATTTAGCAAAGACGAATCTCATTGCGAAGGTGAAGAATGCTAAGTGTACGTTTCTGACTTAATCGTCAATCCCGAGACGCACACTCATTGACAAATCTTGGGCTGAATTACAGACGATGGATACCGATTAACTTACGGCGGTCTCGACTACCTAGCACTCAACACCCACCAAAAGCAAAAAAGCATATACTCAGTCGGAAACCAGGTCGGCGTCGGGAAAGAATCAGACATCATCGTCGTCGCCGCATCCGACGGATCGCAGCGCATCCTCAAGATCCACCGTCTCGGTCGTATCTCTTTTCGAACCGTCAAGACGAATCGCGATTATCTTCGCAACCGTAGCACAGGGTCATGGATGTACATGTCGCGACTGGCCGCTATCAAAGAGTTTACGTTTATGAAAGCTTTGCGAGAAAATGGATTCCCGGTCCCGGAGCCGATTGCACAGAACCGGCATACTATTGTTATGAGTTTAATCGACGCTTTCCCTCTACGACAGATTGCCAAGGTCGGAAATCCGTCTGTTCTTTATGCAGAGTTGATGGCTATGATTGTGGAACTTGCACGTTACGGATTGATCCATGGTGATTTCAATGAGTTCAATATCTTGATCAAAGAAGAGCCGATTACAAATGGAAAAGGCAAAGCCGCAGAGAACGCAGAACTTAATGATGAGGACATCCGGCTGGTACCGATACTCATCGATTTTCCGCAGATGGTGTCAGTGGATCATGTCAACGCAGAGATGTATTTTGACCGTGATGTGAATTGTATAAAGAGATATTTTAAGCGTCGATATGGGTTTACGAGTGACGATCCTGGTCCCTTCTTCAAGGATGCGATGAAACAGCTACGGAAGAATCCGGGGAAGAGGTTGGATGTTGAAGTTGAGGCGTCTGGGTTTTCGAGGAAGATGGCACGCGAGTTGGAGAAGTATATGAAGGACGTGGGTGTTGATGGCGATAATGGCACTGGCGAACGAAGTGACTTGGATGACGACAACGAGAACGACGATTCTGACGTGGATGACGATTCAGAGGAAGGCGAAGAAGATGAGGAGGAACAAGAAGGTGTTGATGGTACCGAAAGCCAACATGTCGAATCGACTGATCGCGATATAGAGTCAAATTCGCAAAGGATAGCCGATCTCAAAATTTCCGATTCTGGATGATAGTCCTGTCAAATTGATCAAATTGCTAAAACCATTTGAATATAAGACTAATGTCAAATTTTCCTTTTCTGTTTGTAACAACTAGAAGTAATGGAAGGCGATAAAGAGACTGTTTTAGACCAGAATGCCTGAGTGAAAATAAGTGATAAGAATTTACGGCACGCGACGCGGCCAAAAGCGCAGTTTTGTCAAGATACCGAACCCGACAAATCTTTAATCTGATCACGCATGCTGCCAAATTATTCGAGATACATACAACCACCGCCATCGACTCAAGTTGAAATAGGTCAATTGTGCTGTTTCATCTTGCTTTGGCTCTGATACGAACAACTACCGGCAAAATGACGAGGATCCGAAGACTCGCCAAAAAACCCGTCTACCTGTATGTGCATGACAAGACCGGCTGCAGCCTTCTCCTCCTCAAGGAGTACCAAAAAGCCTTCAAACAAGACAATTGACTAACTGAACGATAATCTAGACCCGAGTTCGTCATAAGTCTCGTCCGCACCCCTTTTCTTCCCCCCCGATATGCAACATTCTACGTCCCCCTCGAATTCAACAAACTCGATATGCGCGAGTACATGAAACAACTATACAACGTCGACATAATAAGCATACGAAGCTACGTGGAGCAACAGAAACCGACACGAGAGTTTCGAGATGGGAGACAAGGTCATGGACCATTGCGACGACCCAAATCGAAAAAGAGGATGACTATTGAGATGAAAGAGCCGTTTGTGTGGCCTGAGGTGCCGGAGGATAGATCTGCGTATGTGCCATTTTATCCAGTTCATGATGATCATTAGCTTTCTTGTCTGTATGCTAACGCGGTTGATATAGCTGGCAACCAGACCAATTCTTCCGCCATCGCCAATACAGCCAAAACTTTCAAGAGGCCTCACAACCCTCCGCGATGGCGAAACCCGTCGCAAACGAAGCCGACTCATACAAAGACCAGGCTAAAGAGCTCTTGGAAGGAAAAACAACCTGGAAACCGACGTGGCAGGCCTTGGGGTTGTCATATAACCGGCCGGCATTGGCCAAGTTGAATGGCGGAGCGCCGAAGGAGGTATCAAAAGAGAAGAAAGAAGGGACCAAGGAGAACCAGAGAGACGAGGGCATGGTATTGATAGATGATGTTGCTTCTCCTTCTGTGGTGGATAACACGTCGTCAGAGCAACCTAAAAATCCTTAGGGTTGGTAGTGATGAAACGTTTCTTTCACAGGTTTACATGTACTTTTGCAAAGGTGTACAATATTGCATTTTGTTCTTCTTACTTTCAAAATTTTGTGTAGTATATATATATCTCTTGAAGGTGCAGGGCTTAAACTTATGTGCTTGCTCAAAATACAAAAAAAAATGTATAAAACAAAAAACGAAAATTTACATTGTAGTCAGGAGTGAGCCTACCTTTGATTGCTTGAAGCAGACGAGTCCCTAACTTATAGTTAAAAGGTACCATATACACCGAGATAATGAGTGACGCTAATTGAAGCAATCAAGAACGATATGAAAGAGGGGAGAGATTATAGATGGCTTTCGAACATGTTGAGCTGCTGGCCGGGGAAATGAGCCTGTGGCCAAACAACACGCAGAGCTTCCCAAATATGCCTATTAAAATATGTTAGTATATTGTTGAAGCAAGACATATTCAGAAGGAGACATACTTGACATAGATAATCTCAAGACCGTCCTGGACCTCTTGCGGTACATCTTTGACGTCCTTGCGATTAGCATAGGGCAGCAATACCATTTTCACTCCTGCACGCATAGCGCCAATGAGTTTCTCTTTGATACCGCCCACCGGCATTACGCGGCCACGAAGAGAAATTTCTCCGGTCATTGCAATCTGAGGTGGCACCGATTTACCGGAAAACAGAGAGATGAGGGCAACAGTATGAGCTAAACCAGCAGACGGGCCGTCCTTAGGAATGGCACCAGAGGGGCAATGAACGTGGAGACTCCGATTCTTCATAATGTCTTCGTTGGGGTCATGTGAAAGACCCAAATCAAACGAATGTGCTTTGACCCAGGTCAATGCTACCTCGACGGACTCTTTGAGGACATCTCCTAGCTTTCCAGTAAGCTGCACGCGCCCGTTTCCAGGCATGTCAGCCACCTCAATGAACAAAATACTGCCTTGGCCACCGGTAGAGTACGCTACGAGACCAGTAACAATACCTGGACGGGAGGTTGTCTCTGCAATTTCCTCGTCGAAGCGTTCGATTCCAAGAATATCTTCAAGGTCCTCCATAGAGACACTCGGACTGTAGGATTCCATATGGTTCGTCTCCTTTGCGTCGGCATACTGTACAGCCTTGTAGCGACATACTGAACCTATCTCGCGTTCCAAATTACGGACACCAGACTCACGGGTATACGCGGTGATGACTTTCTCGAGAACCTCATCGGACAAGGATACCTCGTTGTCAGACAGGCCGTTGGTCCGGATCTGCTTCGGAAGAAGATGTCGTCGAGCGATATGTCGTTTCTCTACTGTTGTATAACCGGAAAGCTGAATTGTCTCCATGCGATCAAGCAAAGGCGCTGGAATGGTATCCAATGAGTTTGCTGTAGCGATGAAAAGAACTTTGCTCAAGTCGATAGGAATATTGATATAATGGTCTGAAAAACTATGGTTTTGTTCCGGGTCTAACACCTCGAGCATTGCAGCCGACGGATCGCCGTGGAAGTTCGATCCACCGACCTTGTCGATCTCATCAAGGAGAAACACAGGATTTGCGACACCAACTTTCTTCAAGCCGTTGACGATCAAACCAGGCATGGCTGCAACATAAGTGCGACGATGTCCCCTGATCTCAGCCTCATCTCGTACACCACCGAGGGATATACGGTGGAATTTTCGTCCGAGAGATGTAGCCACTGACTTAGCCAAGCTAGTTTTTCCCGTTCCCGGAGGTCCAACCAGCAGCAGAATGGGTGATTTATCGACTGTACGCTTGGACTTAAGGATATGAAGCTTCGTCTCGAGCACTTCCTTTTCCGGCTGAGAGAGGGAAGTACTTTCAACATCTTTCTCTTTCTCTGCTTCCTTGTCGGAAGTAGTGAGTTGTTCTGACACCTGAGCAATCTGACGTTCAATATCAACATTGACAGATTGTTTCAACTTGAGAACAGCAAGATACTCTAGCAAGCGCTTCTTGATCTTTTCCAATCCGTAGTGATCATCATCGAGCTGCTTCCTAGCTCGTTGTAGAGTATCACTGCCAAGTTGGTCTTCGGTTGTCTTCAGCCAAGGGATCTCCGCTATATTTTCGAGATAATTTCGGCAAACTCCGTACTCTGCATTGACAGGGTTCATTTTGCGCAATCGTTTAAGCTCACGATCAGCTACCTTGCGAGCTTCTGGGCTCAATTGTGCTTCATTCAGGCGCTGCTCTAGTTCATCAACCTCGTTTGGCTCCTTCTCATCTTCATTGCTACCGTTAGAACCATTCGGAGAGAATCCATTGAGMCCAGCCATGGCGCGACGAGCCAATCTCGGATCCAGCTGTGAAATGTCGATCGGCGAGTTATTGCTCGTGGTCGTAATTGAAGTAATTTTGACATTGCTCTTGATTCCTTGCACTTGTCTATTGAGCAATTCAATAACTCGTTGCAGCCGGTCCTTGATATCGAATGCTGCTAAGACCCGCAACTTCTCTTCGAGACTCGATTCAACAATATCGGCCATGAAATCCGCCAAGCTCCCTGCATGCGCATATTCTCTTCGAGAAATGAAAAGTTCGAATCGGCGAGCAACGGTGGGCGAGATACTTGTAGGGTTCGATGGGAAAAGCGATGCGAGTCGCAGCAGCGTCAGGAGCTCGCGAGCAAGTTGTTTCAAATGCTGGAAAGATTCGACCGTCTCGGTATCCTTGGGATTAGGAGCTACAGCACGTTAGCATATTCTCTCCCACATAAACCGAGATAGTGCTTACCAATTTCATCATGTAGCAACACCTCGGCTTCAAAGAAAGGCCGCTCCTTGAGAACCTTGACGACAGATAGTCGTTTGACACCCTCAACGAGTAGATATGGCTCCGAATAGACACGACGTTGGACTCCAACAACCTTTGCAAGTGCACCATACTTGAACAGATCTTCTTTGCGTGCCTGGCCAGCATCGACGCTTTCCTCTTCCTGATTCTCTGGCTCCGTTCCGTTCTCTATAAGCTGCAGCCCATCCTTGCTCAATCGAGGAGATGCAAGGGGGACACATGCGATAGTGATGGGGCTGTTATCTCTCCGGCTGCGATTCACGAGCGAAGAAAGTAAATTAGCGACATCGGGACGATTATTCAACGAGATGCGCAGAGTGACGCCTGGCAAGAGAACGGTGTCTTTGGCCAGGGGCACGAGCGGTAGCTTTGTGGTCTTGCCGTTGGTCGATCCCATTTTGGGGCTATGTTTTATAAGGAATCACAATCCACTCTGATGATAAGGAAGTGGATGGGAGTGCTGTAGATATAAGATGGGATAACACGGGGAAGATCGTGGAGTCATGGAGGGTACTAGAACCCAGAAGGAAGGAACATGGAGCCGAAGCCGAGGCTAGCTTAGCGACGTCACCTTATCTTATCTGCCGACGGAACGGGGAGGCGCGCTTGATAGTGGCCTGAGAAATATGGTGGAGAAATCCCGTGATCAAATCAATCTTCGGTCTGCATTCGATGCCTCTGATAGCAAATACCACGATCTACTTTCCAATTATTCTGGTCAATTGACCGATCTCTGATTCACTTTTCCCTTTCATTCGACAATCCGTACGCCCGATCGTGGCGGACTTGTACAACTTCTCACTATGTCGACTGCCCCGCTCGCCTCTTCGGAGAGAAAGTCGTTCAACATCGGCACTCGTAGGTCAAAGCTTGCGCTCGCTCAGACTGACCTTGTCGTGGAAGCACTGAAGAAGAATTATCCACAGTATGAATTCAAGATTGAAACAAAAGACACCGCCGGTGACCGCGACAAGATCACTGCCTTCAAGGACATGACATCCAAGAATTTGTGGACAGAGGAGTTGGAAGAATTATTGATTGCTGGCCAGCTAGATTTCATCATCCACTCTCTCAAGGGTATGCGCTCGAGTATTTGTCTTTCTCCAGATGAAGACAGACACTAACATATCTTGTGACAATAGATGTCCCTACAATACTACCCCCCACCTGTGCCCTAGGAGGCGTCCTTCCTCGTGAAGACCCGAGAGACGTGCTTATCGTCAAACCCGGTCTGCCGTATACCTCCCTCTCAGAACTCCCCGCCGGTTCCGTAGTTGGCACCTCATCGATCCGCCGTACGGCTCAATTAGCGATGAAATTTCCCCACTTGAAAGTGCAGAGCGTCCGTGGTAACATCGAAACTCGATTGGCGAAATTGGATGCAGAAAATGGCCCTTTCACGGCTATCATTTTAGCCGCAGCTGGATTATTACGAACTGAAATGGGAGGTAGAATTACCCAATATCTTGACTCGAAAAGTGGCAGTCTTTTATATGCCGTTGGTCAAGGCGCGATTGGTATTGAGGTCCGCTCGGATGATGTTCTTGTCTTGGACATGCTCAAAAATATCGGAGATCAAAAGACATTCAAGGAAGTTCTGGCTGAGCGCAGTCTACTCAGAACTATAGAAGGTGGATGCAGTGCGCCACTCGGCGTGGAATCAGAGTGGATTCAAGAAGCGGACGGAACGACAAAATTGCATGTTCGATCCATCATCGTTAGTGTAGATGGTTCACGTCATTCTACTGCTGAACTTGAAAAGGTCATTGAAAGTACCGTTGCTGCTGAGACTTTCGGAATAGAATTGGCTCAGGAGCTGGTGGCGAATGGTGCAGGTCCTATTCTTGAGGAGATCAAGGCAAACAAGGTTTCTTCATGATTGAATGTTTAGAAGTCTTACGGCTTTCATGTCACTTACTTCGGAGACGCTGGGCATCTCCTGGGTACATAAATGTATTGTAGAGGCCGGCGTGGGTTAAGAGTGGTACAAGGTCACCAGATTGACCTCGACCTGCAAAACCATATAGACGACATCTTTTCTATAGATTCTTTTAAAGTTTCAAGAAGAAATCCGAATGCATATATTTGTCTCTCGCCAGCAAGAGACAGACTTCGCTCAGCCCCTATTCAAGGTATTCCCCGAACCCCTGGGATTATCTTCCTTGAACTCATCCCAAGCACGTGCTTTCATAGTCTCTTCATCGGCTTTATCCAAATCATCCTCATCAGGTTCCGGCATTTCATTGCTTGTTCCTCCTTCCAAAATACCGCCACGCCTACGTTCCTCTTCCAAATACTCATCAATGCTCATGGTAGGCAGATTATGTCCTGATCTAAAAACGCCTTGTTGCAGCTCGGTACGCTTATTTGTGAGTGTGAATGGTTGTAAAGGTTTTCCGGATTTGCTGAGCAGTGGACCCGAGCGGCCGCCCTTGAAGAGTTGGCTGAGAGGACCATCTAGTCTTTCGGAATAGCTGTTTTTGTCCGTCTCTCTGCTTCTTGGATCATTCTGTAGAGTTGAGACGGGAGGCGCGTTTCGCATCTGAGATAACATTTCCAATTCTTGCGCAATCATATCGAGAGATTGAAAAGTCTGGTGTGTGTAAAGATTTATTTCCGCCAAATATAGTTTCCTTGTCGCTTCGTCATCGCTTTGGAGTCGACTTTCATTCTGCGTGAAATATTCTAATTTTTGTTTAAGCTCCTTTTCTTCCCGGAAGCGTGCGACTTTTACTTCACGTCTGTTGGCGGCATCGTTCTTGGAAGCGATCGAAAACCGCGCAGGGTTTTCCGTGTATTGTTCGAAGAGTTTTTTATCGCGGTCTGATAACAGTCTATAATCGTCAAGCCGCGTCAGGAACTTTTCGTAGTCTCCTAGGGCGCGGCGCAATACGGATTCTCGATCGGTCGACGAGGTACGCTGAACGACTTCAGCTAGGAGGTAATCGACTGTTAAGAACCTTGGAGTGATCGTTAGTGGTCGGAGGTATCGAGATGAGTTCTGGAATTTCATACTGTAAGTTGGAGGTTGACACGTCCTCTAAACCTTCGTTTGAACTGAAAAGCGACAGCTGACTGATCAATCTCTGACATTCTTGTAGCTTGTTGATAGTCTCGGACACTTCCTGACGGTACGCATCGCTGTTGGGCTCCGCGCTGTGCTCTATTGATTGTTTCTGTGCCTTTGCTGCTTGCAAGAGCTCTTTGAGACTCTGCGGTTGATCTGTCATAATGAGATAGTGCAAGAAGAGATCTTTTGAAACTGCTGCGATCACAGCTAAATCTAAAGTCTACCTGGAAATTATATTTGGCCGTGGAGGGGCGCTCCACCTATATCTTGGTTACATAAGCACTCTTGTGCTTCTTATTGGCCACAGCTGGTGCGGCTTTGATCCGCTTTGCTTTTGCAGATCATCGTTCGTCATCATCGGCGCCGTTCCGTCCATCAAACAAACATCCACTGGCGATTGATCCTTTCATTTTGTATCATGTAGCTCCTGATATCTTAGGAAACGGCCTGACATAGTGCTCTGTGGTGCGTTCAAGTAGGGGTGATATTTCAAAGCGCGGTCAAATCTTAGCTTTCAAGCTACCCTAGTGAGGAGAATGTATATTTGCCCAATTCCCGAGTGACAGACCCGAGTCACGTACACACTCATCGATATAACCCTGAAATCTATGTGCTTCTTCAATAGCTAGAACTCAGCTACCTATGTTACCTAGTTACAATTTACCACATGAATGGCCTCCAAGGCTTACAATGAAGTTTGGGCCAAGCCTGGATGGCGGCACGTGTCAATCTGCAAGACATCGACGTTCCCTTCCAAGCGAGACTGAAACCACTTCAGTGTTGACTTTCCTTTGATTATAGAGAAATATGACGGTATATCATATCAATTAACAATCAGGTCAACCTTGGAAGTGAGGTTGCCTCCACTTTATATGATAAGGCAGGCTGAAACAAAGAACCAAGTCGGCGTTGATTGTTGTATTTATACCACTCTCATCCAATCATAATGGACATGGTGCATACACTTCCTCAAACATTGCACCGGGCGCTGCGTTCTACTCTAGTGTCTCTTCTTTCGATCACCTTCCAGTAGCTCGTTCGCAATCATCAGTGGCAATCGCTCTAAAAGCATGACCCTGTCCATCTCGACCTAAGCAGTCCCTCACCAGTTTACTCAGTTCACCTCAGTATCGATCATGCAGGAAAATCTTATCTTTGAAGAAGAGCTTGCATCCGGCAGCGAGGGTGAGAACGAAGAACAATTCTTATCTCCCACTGCGCATTCAGCTCGTCGGGAACAAAATATCTTCTTCAAGAATCTGTTAGCATAGCCCTCATTCTCCTGGACAGTATTGCTAACTACCTCAAATAGACTCACAAAAGCTGCAAAGGACTTGACCAAGCAAGAACTAAATGGCGCCAATACAGCTGAGAATATAGGCTCTACTCGTTATCTTCTTACTACGCAAGAATTCGCTGCTACCATCGATGACCCTCGTGAGTACCAGATTGAGTTGTACGAAAGAGCCAAGGAGGAGAACACGATAGCGGTGCTTGCCACAGGTATTGGCCACACAGATACAATGTTAGAGATGATTGGATGAATGAGAAGCTAATTTATTCAAAGGATCTGGCAAAACCCTAATTGCTATTCTTCTCTTGAAACATATCATTCGAAATGAGCTGATTGATCGAGAACGGGGTCGTCGTCACCGCATTTCCTTTTTCTTGGTATGAAAGCCCGATAACAAGAGAAATTTGCCGTCAGCTAATACAATGATAGGTTGATAGCGTAACGCTTGTGTTCCAACAGACAGCAGTCTTGAAAAACAATCTTGACCAACCCGTCGCTTCGTTGTACGGCGACATGGGCTTGGACCTGTGGAACAAAAAGATCTGGATGGAATATTTCGCCAAGAATATGGTCATTGTGTGTACCGCAGACATCGTTGTGCAATGCCTTCTGCAGTCATATATCAGTATGGAAGACATAAATCTGTTGATTTTCGACGAGGCACATCATGCTAAAAAAGAACATGCTTACGCACGGTAATTTAATTTGACAGGATCCAAAAGTTTATTTCTTACTGACTTCTACTAGTATCATGAAGGAAGGCTATCTCAGAACCAAACCGGAGTGTCGCCCTCGCGTATTTGGTATGACTGCATCCCCCTTAGATGCTAAGCGTGACCCGGTGAAAGCTGCCCAGTAAGTCGGGCTAACCATAAGAATATTTTTATTTTCAATTAACAAAACGATAGGGAGCTAGAGATTCTCTTGCATAGCAAGATTGCAACGGCATCAAACCTTGCCCTTTTGCGGCAGGTTGTTAGTCGGCCTCAGGAGGAGCAATGGAAGTATCCGGCGCTCAAGAAGCCGTTTAAGACCACCCTTCATCAAATCCTGGAAAAAGGGTACGGTGATATGGAATGTCTCAAGCCTATATTCACTTTCTCCTTTGAAGCCAGCTCTTATCTGGGGCCCTGGTGTGCGGATCACGTCTGGTCAGGAGCTCTCTCCGAAAAGATGCTGCCGAGATTCCATGGGAAAATTACTAAAACATGGAAAAGGCTCGGGGGTGAAGCTGCAACTCAGAAGACTGAAACTGAGATGTCAAGGCTCAAGGAAATATCTGAGTTGATAGCAAACTATGAAATGCCGAGTGGTTCAAACATTTTGGAGCAGCTTAGCGACAAAGTGCGAATCCTTTATCAGCATTTGACTAAACGCTTCGAAGAAGCCCCAAACACGAAATGCATAGTATTCACAAAGCAAAGAAATACTGCAAAGTTGCTCGAAGCTGTTTTCAAACAGCTGTCTGTTCCAAATATGCGCCCAGGCGTTCTGGTGGGAATCAGGTCGGGAGACATAGGCGGAATGAACTCGACTTATCATCAGCAATTCAAGGCAACGATTGAGTTTAGAAAGGGAGAGTCGAATTGTTTGGTAAGTTCTTTGAGAAGCTTTTGGTCTTAGCCAGCTGGTTCTATGCTGATATTTGGGCTAGTTTGCAACATCTGTTGCGGAGGAGGGCCTTGATATCCCGGACTGCAATCTCGTTGTCAGGTATGCAATAATAAATCGAAACATGACATGAAGTATGAGACTCTGACTTAGCAGATTCGATCTCTATGAGACTCTTATCCAGTACGTCCAGAGCCGCGGCCGAGCAAGACGTGGCGATTCTATAGTAAGTAATCGTTGATTTTCCTTTTCATGAAATGAAACGAATGAGACAGACTCATCTGACGCTTATTCAGTATGCACACATGATAGAAATCGACAACATGGAGCATGAAACCAGACTTGATGAGGTGCATCAGGCAGAGGTATTTCGATCCCTTCAACTTATGTATAACTGTGATTGACCTGTTCTATTAGGAACTCATGCGCCGATTTTGTGATGCCCTTCCTAAAGACAGACTCCTCGGTGATGACACAGACACGCTGAGTGTCATCTTGGAAAAGGATAGTAGAAAAAGACAATATAAGATCGAAAAAACAGGAGCAACTCTAACCTATCATTCGGCCATAACGGTTATTGCACGCTACGCAAGCTCTCTGGTTAGTTCCTCTTTTGGTGCTTTGGTAAGAGCAGCTGACATTGATGCACATCGCAGCAATACGAAAACAATGAAACCGCTTTACATCCTCACTACGTCACGATTCAGACTAAAGGTATGTACGAGTGCGAGGTGATACTGCCAGAGGGATCTCCAATCAGAGGTCTCACGGGTAAGCCAGAGCCTCGGAAGTCGCTTGCCAAACAGTCTGCAGCTTTTGAGACATGTATTCTACTGCGAAAAAAAGGTTTGTTGGATGACCATTTTGTGTCCACTTATCAGCGCCGGCTTCCAGCGATGCGAAACGCAAAGTTGTCTATCACATCCAAAAAGACAACTCAATATTCGATGATAGTCAAACCTTCATTTTGGAAACAGGAGTGTGATGGTGTTCCATGTGAACTATATCTCACAGTGATTGTTTTCTCTTCTGCTGAGCCGCTACAGAGGGAGAGTCACAGCATGCTTTTGTTGACTCGCAAATCGCTACCACAGTTTCCCGAATTTCCCATATACTTAGATGATGACGTTGAGACTATTATCAGGACCATTCCCGTATCCAAAGCGTTATCTGTCTCGTCGAAGGAAATTGAGCTCTTGAGCAATTATACTCTTCGAATCTTCCAGGACTTGTATAACAAGATCTACGAAATGAATCAGGAAATAATGCCATACTGGTTGATTCCTACAGCAAGTGGCATTAGCGAGTATGGTGAGGGCCTTAATCCTTCAGACGTGATTGATTGGGAAGCGCTGCAATTTGCCAAGGATCACGAGCGCCTTAATAGTACTTCAATGTCGCCAGGGGATTTTAGTGATCATTTCGTCTACGACCCCTGGGATGGAAAGTATCGTTACTTTCTCAAAGGTGTTAATACTTCACTTCGCGCAAAAGATCCGCCACCGTCTTTTTTACCACATCGTCGACACATGAAGAATATCATGGAGTACGGACTTAGCTTATACAAGAGAAGTCGAATTCACTTTCTGGCCACGTGCGATTGGAATCAACCTGTTTATGACGCAGAGCTGGTACCTCTACGCCGAAACTTGCTTGACAAGATGTCAGACAGCGAGAAACAAGTGGAAAAGAGAATGGTGTTGTGCTTGGAGACTCAAGTAGTTTCCGCTGTAAGTGTACTTCTTTGCACTAGAATTGGGGACTAACTATGCTTCAGATACCTGCCACGGTTGCAACAAGTTGCTTTGCGTTTCCAGCAATTATCACCAGAATCGATTCGTACCTTGTTGCTCACGAATGTACCAACGAACTTGGTCTAAAGATAGACTTGGGATATGCCCTAGAAGCCGTGACAAAGGACTCTGACAACATGGAAGAGCATCGCTTAGAGCAGATCCAGTTTCAGCGAGGCATGGGGAGGAACTATGAGCGACTTGAGTTTCTTGGAGACTGCTTTCTCAAGATGGCCACGTCAATATCTCTATTTGCTGGAAGTCCGAATGATCAAGAATTTGACTTTCATGTCAATCGTATGACATTGATTTGCAACAGGAATTTGTTCAACACAGCAAAACAGCGAAAAATATATGAATACATCCGAAGCAAAGGCTTTTCTAGGTAAGGAAAAGACATGCCAATACTATTCAATAAGACTGGGCTGATACGAAAATACTATTGTAGGCGAAACTGGTATCCCGAAGGAATGAAGCTGCTTCGCGGCAAAGCGAATGAGGACAAAGCATCAACGCACACACATGGATTGGGCGAAAAAACAATTGCTGATGTTTGCGAGGCCCTCATTGGAGCCTCTCTTCTTTCTGGTGGTCCTGTCAATCGTTTCGATATGGCTGTCAAAGCTGTGACTATATTAGTCAATAGTGAGCTCCACGATGTCGAAAATTGGGCGGATTATTTCTCTCGTTATTCTTTACCACTTTATCAAATCAAAGAGGCCGATGGGTTTGAGAAAGATCTTGCCAAGCAAATTGACAAGAAATTGGGATATCGTTTCAACTATCCAAGATTGCTTCGCTCCGCATTCACTCATCCTTCGTTTCCTTCTGCCTGGTCGACAGTGCCATGCTATCAGCGGCTTGAATTTCTAGGCGATTCGCTTTTGGATATGGTCTGCGTTGAGGATCTGTATGAGCGTTTTCCAGACCGTGATCCTCAGTGGCTGACTGAGCACAAAGTAAGTTTTGAACCTATGCCATTTATGTTTAATTCTGCTGACATCACCACTTGTAGATGGCTATGGTGTCCAACAAATTCCTCGGTAGTCTGGCTGTCCGCCTCGACTTGCACACTCACCTACAGTACTTCAGCAACCAACTTCAGGCACAGATTGCTCAAGCAGTCGAGGATTCGAAGCTCGCTTATGAAAGTCATCAATCCGTGGATTTTTGGCTCATGACCGAAGATCCCCCCAAGGTTCGTACCCGGACCGTTATCATGCGAGCCTTCATGGATTGCAGCTAATTATTTGGCGTAGTGCCTTTCGGATATGGTAGAAGCTTACCTAGGCGCGATTTTTGTTGACTCTGGTTTTGATTTTGGGGTCATTGAGGGCTTCTATGCCAAGCACATCAAACCTTACTTTGAGGACATGTCCCTCTATGACACTTTTGCGAACAAGCATCCCACGGTGAGTTCACTACATAGAGTCCCGGCGAACAAGAGACTGACGGTGCTATTGCAGACATATCTTCACAGAAAATTGACGGACGATTTTGGTTGCACGCAATATACCTTGAAAGCAGCCGAAATCCCCTCCGTGGATGGTGCTCCCACGGTGGTCCTGGCAGCCGTGCTGGTTCATAATGTCGATCTAGCGCAGGCTACAGCATCATCGGGAAGGTATGCCAAAATCAAGGCTAGTGAGAGTGGGCTGAAGAACTTGGACGGCTTGAGTGTGGATGAGTTTCGAAACAAATATCATTGCAAATGCTCTCGAAGTGTATCTAATGGGGCGCCTTCTCCTTCACAGCAAGAGATAGGTTGTGCAATCTGAAGGGAAAGCCGTAGGTAGTTATATGATAAATGGGCAACAAGCTTTCTGCTCCCCCCAAAACCCGCTCCAACCCGCCCCATTGCCATGTCTAGTACCCACCAGTACAAATTGGGATTGATTCTCAATGGCTGATTTCCGTAGTACAAAAAGGTATAATTACTCCAGAGCATTTCCAGTTTGCCCCTCGATTGCTGCAATTTACTCGCCTAGTAGTATATGATGCAAGATTGAACGACCTAAACGAGGTCAGTGTCATTCATAACTCCTATCAATATACTAAAAAGTCGGGTAAGCTACAGAGATGCTATAAATAAGCAACTACTGAGACCAGTAAGCTGTATTCGTAGTTCCCATTAGTTCTTATTGCAACCCCTGAACCCCAATGTTGGCATAATGTATTTCTATTTCCTTCTGTAACAGCAAACAACTTCGGAGAAATTAAACGCATAAATAAGCATGATATCACTCCAATGTTCTTGCTGAGCACTGTCTTACACCTAGGTACCTTATGGTTAAAACTAAAACATCTGCGATATAGCCCCGTATAGTGGCAACAGTCCGGATAACTCGTTCAATCCATAAGAACTGATGGTAGTATTTCAAAATTGCTAGGAGAAGCAGTATCGCCCTCCAAGGTGGACTAGTAAACTGAATAAATATTCCCAATCGAGCAACTTTTTGACTTCAATCCCACCAACTCAATCCACGGACTTTTTCCGGGGGTCGTACGGTTTCCTTTGGCTCGGATGATTTCCGAGCACGAGTTGCCTTTCATACTCCCAACAACAAACCCCAGACTAAGTCTTAGTTACCCCATGGGGAATGGAAAGTACAGATTTATGCATCTTGGAGCAAATATAACTATGACCCCTGCTCATGCTCCATCTCGTTCCATCGCTGTCATCCTAGCTGTGGAAAACGGATCTGAGCTGATTTCAAAGTACCCGACAATGATTGAACTCGCGTTGGAGACCACTAAGGCAAATGCTATCTCACACCGAGAATAGTTCCTACAATCCTTATGGCATCCTCACCGATGAGGAGCTGCAGCTCATGCAGGCCTTTGAAGGCAAAAAGGAGAAAACCCTGACTCGAAAGGTTGGTCAATACGAATTGAGCACCTCCAAAGGGGAATTGCAACTACATCTCGCATTTGTTTCTGATCTCGTCCTCTCTAGATCGATTTTCGAATTCTACCCGTTTTTGCTTTTCTTTATCTCTTGTCCCATGTCGACCGTAGCAATCTCGGAAATGCAAAGATCGAAGGGATGAACGCTGACTTGGGCCTGGTCGGAAGTCAGTACAATGTTGCATCGACCCTGTTTTTTATCCCATATATCTTACTTGGTAAGATAATCTGGGAATCAAAATTCACATTATTTTCTCACACCCTTGGGCAGAAATTCCGTCAAACATGATGCTGAAGAGGGTCAGTCCTCATATTTGGCTCACGATTCTGATTCTTGGATGAGGTGTCGTCATGACTTTGATGTGTCTTGTCCAGAACTATTCAGGATTGATTGCTTGCCGTATATTTCTGGGGATTTTTGAGGTATGCTACCTCAGTCTCTACACTTGTTGACCTTTTCGGACGGTTATTGATTGACCCTTTGACTATGTTAGGCTGGCTTCTTTCCCGGGGCAGTATATATCGTCAGTTCCTGGTACATCCGTAGAGAACTCCAACAACGTATCGCCCTATTTTACACCGCCTCCGCCTTCTCCGGTGCTTTCGGTGGCCTTTTGGCCTTTGCAATTTCAAAACTAGACGGAGTTGGGAATATAGCTGGCTGGCGTTGGATCTTCTTGATTGAAGGATGCGTGACAGTAGCCGTTGGATTGGCAATGCCATTTGTCATTCCCAAGAATTCCGACAAGGCCGTTTGGCTTACTGACGAAGAAAAACGATTTATTGATTGTCGTCTCCGTCTTGCAGGAGTAAGAGCTACGAGCAAGGAAGTCGAGAGCGAAAATTTCTCGTGGCGTCATCTCTTAGCAGGCTTGTTGGACTGGAAAGTCAACCTGGGTGTGCTGATGGCATGGCCAATGCGGGGCCCTCGAGTGCTTTCTCGTTCACCATGCCGGAAATTCTGACCCAGCTAGGATACTCATCGACGATTGCACAGCTCATGACAATTCCACCTTATTTCTGCGGAGGCGTTTCGTCTTACGTAGTCGGACGCATTGCGGATCGGTTCTCATGGCGATATCCCTTCATCATCGGACCAATGTGTGTCCTTCTGACCGGGCTGTACATCATGTTTGGATTTGCAAGCAATATCCACGGTCATGTGCAGGTCATGTACTTTGGTACTGTTCTCGCACAGATTGGTATCTATCCTCTTCTCCCCGGTATATCGGCCTGGACGGGAAACAATGTTGCCCCAGATCAGAAACGGGCTGTCAGCATTGCGTGGCTTCTTGCCGGCGGGAATCTTGCAAGTGAGTTCTCATTTCTTCATGACTTCTAGCCCAAACAGGCGTCTAGCTAATGAATCCATCTATTAGGCTTGATTGGAACAAATGTGTTTCTTCAGAAAGAGGCTCCGCTGTACACCACTGGATACTCGACGTCCATTGCCCTAGTGCTCCTTGGAATGATAGCTGCTACAGCCAACGAGATTACTCTGATGCGTTGCAACCGAGCCCGTGCGCAAGTCTCCGAGGAAGATATACGGACACAGTTCACTCAGGAAGAATTGGATAAGCAGGGTGATAAAAGTCCTCTGTACAAGTACACATTATGATGCATAGGAGCATCGATGTCTGTCTTATTTTTACCTTGTAAATATCAACATGCAATCATTAAAGGACGGAAAGTTTGGCATTTTTGAGGAAATCATTCTTCTCTTCCTTCTTCATGGCTCTTCGGAATCTATCCGTGGCGCTTGACCGGAAATATGCCGGTCTGGAGACCCCGGATCCATTAAGAAGTTTGAGACTTCCCCACAGCTGACATTAAATACAGTCGAGTTGAAGATACTTAGCGATTAAATACATTGTTTTTATACGAATTCGATTATTATGTAGTATCTTCAAGCACTGTCTGCTAGTATGAACGCCCCTAGTCCTTTCCCGAAGTACGCAGACCTTCCATTGAGAAGAGATGGACCTCTTGGAAATGCTTGGGGAGCGTGGGGACCAGACGACCAAATAGGCACGCTCAATCATCTCACTCCGGAAGTCGTCGCCCGCGCAGCCAGAGAAGAGATCAGAATTGGTGAACGTGTTTCTCTCAAGTATATCTGACGAATCCTTCCCAGTATTCTTAGAAGATCGTTTGGCTAAGGATTTTTAGTTGGTCATTGGCTGGTCCTGTTCATCCCACGCTGGGTAGGAAGGGTCTTGAGGTGAAATTAATCAACAAAGAACCGATAAAAGTGGCCCATGACGAGGAAGTATGTAGGCCTTACTCACTTTAAGAACTAATACACAAATACGCTAATCGGTGAATGGCTTAGTTGTCATTCAACTCTCAATTAAGTTCACAATGGGATGGATTTCGGCATTATGGCTATCAGAAAGAAAAGGTATACACATTCCCCCCTCAAATGTTGGAGTCTATGACGGCTTCCAAGGCTTCCAAAGCTGAAATTTTCTGCTGACCAGAGATAAATCTAGTTATATTTCATGGGCCACACTGCCACTGAGTTTCAGAATTCAACTGTCAATGGTATACAAAGTGCGTGAAATGTTAAATCCATAGATTCGGAGTGTTTACCGGTTTCGCAACAGAAATACTGAAAGATTGGTAGGCATTGCTACCAAAGGAATTGCAGGTAGAGCCGTCTTCATAGACTGGTACGAATGGGCGCTTCAGCATCACCAAGAAACCGAAATCGATGCATTTACAGCTTACGGTGTCCCGTTTTCTTTACTTTTGCAAGCCGCAAAGGATCAATCCGGTATCACACCCGATGATTTTCGGCCGGGAGATATTCTATTTATTCAAAGTGGCTATATCCACCAATACGAAACGATGTCCCAGAGCAAACGTGATCTACTCCAGAAGCGCTACGCGACGACCAAACCAGAGAACATAGGCGTTGCCCCATCAGAAGACTTATTGCAATTTTTGTGGGACAAAGGAATTGCTGCTGTTGCGGGTGATTCGCGTTCATTTGAAGTTTGGCCATGCACAACGCCCGAATGGCATCTTCATGAGTGGCTGCTGGCTGGCTGGGGAATGCCTATTGGAGAACTATTCGATTTAGAGGAACTGAGTCGGGTGTGTGAAAATTTGGAGAGGTATACATTCTTTTTATCGAGTGAACCCTTAAATGTAAGAGACCTGTTCTTCCTCTTTGTCAAGATTTCTTAATGACTGATGCATGCTACAGGTCCCCGGTGGGATCGCGAGTCCTCCCAATGCGTTAGCTTTCTTCTAGAAATTGAAATCAATTTAGCTATATACCTATTAATCAAAATTATTATGAGTACCGTTGAAGCATTTTCAAAATCATACTTATGTAAGCAAATCATTACTGTTAACGTAGCTAAGCCCGGACTAGGGTTCCGATATTAATTCCACTTCATACTTCTTGAACTAAGAGTTTAACAGCGTATATCAGATGCGAATGTGGTAGAAACTTCGACTTAGTCCACATCAACTATAATTTGAAATTCCAACCTACGTGTTAGGTGAGTCAGTCAATATCACGCGTGCTGTTCCGAAGGCTATGTGGACGCCGGACATTCTCCGAAGCAGATCCCGCCTTACAAAACCAGTACTTCAGGATCGACACATCTGTCAAGTACTTAATATGACAAAAAACCTTCATTTCAAGTATTTATATTTTGAAATTATTGAAATCAGAAAATCTGCTTCAAGTGCTTGCGAACCTTATCTACAATGGCAGTATGTCTATCAAATCCCTTCCGTACGCGGATCCTCAATGGCGAAATTACGCCTCTACTATCAATCAAATTCTGTACGGGAAATGAGATGGCCATGATGTGCAAAATGGCTGGCATTCATGGAATGTTCATTGATATGGAGCACTCTTCTATGGATATGCGTGCCGTTGCCCAACTCATTCTTGCTTGCAACTATGTCGGCATCTCACCCGTTGTTCGCTCACCATCCAAATCCCACTGGCACATCAGCCGCATACTCGACGCCGGTGCTGCCGCTGTGGTCGTTCCTCATATTGAAAGTGTCCAAGAGGCCAAAGACCTTGTCAAATTCGCCAAATTCCCTCCTCATGGTGCGCGTGGATGTACCAATAATCAGACCATTTTGAACTTTCAGCATGTCTCCACCCTCGCACAAAATGAGCTACTCAATCGGGAAACAATGTTATTCCGATGATTGAGACACCCGCTGCAGTTGATATTGCAGAGGAAATCTTTGCGATTGATGGCGTTGATGGTATTTTGATCGGCTCAAATGATCTATGCACCGATCTAGGTATTCCGGAGCAGTACGACAGCCCTGTATATCAAGATGCTGTGACTAAGATCATAGAAGCTGCCAACAAAGCTGGAAAGCCGGTAGGAATTGGCGGTATTGGAGGAAGATTAGATCTGTTGGAGAAATGGTTTAAGATGGGAGCTACTTGGTCTTTGAGTGGACAGGATGCAGGCATCCTGMAAGCCGGGATGAAGCAGATCAGCAGGAACTATGCTCAAATCAAAGAAAACATACAGGGTGCCAACGGCTTATCAAATGAGAAAATCACACATGGCACCCACTAATGAATATTCATTCCTGCGATGTCTTCAATCTGTATTCTATTTGGTTACTTATGAATAAATTCAATTGTTTAGGAAGTCATCCATAAAAGCAGGAAAGAGAGGCGCAGTGGCATCTCCATAAGCATACTGACTGAGTCCAGCGTCCATGTTCCAGAAACTATTGTTGTTGAATATGTTCAACGCCAGAGAATTCTCTATTGTCGGAATAGGATGGTCACCATCAAAGTTGTCTGCTGTATCGTATAATGCGGGAAGCTGATGGTGAGCAGGCAATGGTGACGAAGAATGCAGGGGGTTCGCCACAGGCTCTTGCCTGTCGGATCTATTGGGTATATATGAGTGATGATATGGATGGAATTCACTGGTCCGCTCGGTCATCAAAGTCATGTGCTGTTGACCAGGTAGGTTGTTCGTAAACATGGAAGGTGCATATTCCAGCAAGCTCCTTGGCTTTGCGAGCATGTTTGCCCGTAATGCCTCAAAGACCGCTACATAAGGAACTGCATCAGGTAAATCATCAGTCATTCGTCTCAACACCATTTCAGCATGCTCCACGGCGTTGAGAGCCATTGCGATCATTTTCATATCGTGATCGTCCATCATGACTGAAATGCATAGCATCACAGACAAGCCGGACATGAATATGAACTGGAAATAGCTCCGCGTATATGTGACTTTTCCATGCGAGAACATGTCATAGAACTTCATGATACCTTGAGTCGCATATTGGAGACATATTGTAAGTAGATCATGCGGTGGGATTTGATTGTGCTTTGGGACAAGATCAATGGCCTTGCGCACAGCAAGTAGTTTTTCCCTGACAAGTAAGAGGTCATACCAGTCTTGCATCTGATAAAGACTCTGTGGATTTTGAAAAGTTGGTGCCGAATGGCGCCACTTGTCCAATTCAAGTAGTAGCTCATCTAGATTGCTCGAGATCGACTCAACCATTTCTAATGCTGAGAATTCGTCTATGACCCCTTTTGATCTTTGCAGATGAATCTGCGACTGTTGAAATGACGTGTAAATATTAGAGGTGATCTGTCGTAGTCGCACGCAATACAAGAACACGCTCATTTCTGTAGGGTCCGCCGAAGGATGTTGTAAAATAGCCTTACAAAAACTCTCAAGATCTGAAAAAGACCCGGATGCCTCTGCAGCGTCGATGTCCTCGTCATCGACGTCAGCTGGGAATTCAATCTGAATATCTTCCTCGGCAAGGGCGGGAGGTCGGTCCAGGGTTATGGAGCTGTAACGATAGCATTGCCAGAAGACCCTCCGATGCAGTTGTTCTTGGAGTAAGCCCACTCTTTTTGCTCCTGCATTCTTCTTCGTCGGAGGTTTCTGAAGACCCAACTCGACGCAAATTCGCATACATAGCTGCAAAAGTTCCCATATCGATGTACCTGCAAATTTGATAAATTTAGATGCGAAGCTACAAGCAGACACATGACGATCGGCAACTCACCAATGTGATGATAAATAGCAAACCGACTAACCAGCAACAGATCCTGAATAGAATTTACACCTCTTGAAAGGATATCTGGGCTAATATTCTTCATGGCTGAGAGAAAGTATCCATAGGGATGATGCCTGTGTTTGTTATTTCGGTATAACACAACTGAGCCTATGGCAAGAATCATGAAGGTACGGAAATGGTCGTGTTTCGATTGCCGAGTCTCATCCTCGTTTGTACGTCCAGGTGACGAGAAGACGGAATGGTATAAGGCCTTCACGTCTCGTCGAAGCAAGAAGGGATTTTGTACATGGGAGTGGTTAAGACTGCTAGTATTGGCATTTGAAAGATTCAATTGGATCAGTAAGTAGTGTCTCATACTAGTTGTTGAAAACACCGAGAGCTTCCCCTGGATCGGGTAATTGATTCGGCTCGACTGTCGTTTCCACAATTACTGATGACTTTGACAAGTCTTGAAGCAAGTTGGAGTTCTTCTCCCTCCAACCAGAGTCAGTGAAGAGAAGGCTCATGAAACTATCAATTATTTCATTAGCGAGGTAATAGATCCGGACGCCAATTTATCATATGTGAGATAAACGTACCTGACCCCAGCGCCGTCCGTAAGCATCGGAGATGGATCACGATTGATATCCTCCTTATCGTGTGCATTCATTTCATGTGTATTGACATGTTCGACTTCTGTAGGCGTCTGATTCACCAGGGACTCGAAAGACCCTAGATGCTGTTGATTGCCATCACTTTGTGCCTCAATGTCTTGATATTGTTTCTGCAGACGCTGGACATCCTGTTCCAGTTGGTATATAGTCCTAGTTTGATAAGTATTTCTGCATTTTCACAAAAGATTGTCCGATAAATGCACCAACGTACTCTCTTGAAAGTGGCTCACTGCCGCCGATGTTTACAACGAAGCAGTCCAAGCCATTCTTCATACAAGGAGTGCATTTTGGACGAGCATTATCGCACTAGCAGGAATCGTGAATGAAAAGGCCTGGCTACAAGAAGGGCAATTTCCGAGGCACATACCTTGGCTTTCTTTGCGTAGCATGATTGGCAGGCAGGAAGCCGTGCAAATTGCCCGTCGCTCCTCTTTTTTTCGTCATTCGTGCCCATCCTTTTGCTACATATTGTGTCGCGGGCTAGTGGCAACAAAAAGGACCTTGTTGTGCAGTCGGCCATGCATGAGGCTTGGATGATTCTTTGGAAACTACGGGGAGGACTCTGAGATATCTGATTGGGTACACATCTCTACATCACCATGTGATCAGGCTACCTTGTCCACTTAACTTTGTTAAGTTAGTCACCATGCTTATTATCTAATTCCTGTACTCTAACCCTAACAATGGCTCAAAACTTGCGAAGCAGCAGAGTCAGAGCCATTGAAGCCAACCGAGAGTGGCCATGTCAAAGAACTAAACTTTGTCAAGTGACCTCACGAGATTGCCTACGGGGCGCTCCCTAAGCATTCTGAGAAAGCCTGCGATCTTTCGGATATCCATCGGAAAAAGTCCGCATTATGTGACGAAGTTCCCCACAACCACATCCTCGATCTAAAACGTTACGTTGCCGAGATCCGGGATAGAATAACTGTATGAGTCTCCCTCGTATCATGTGAAGGCCACTTCGTATGTAAGAAAGTGGCGGAACAATCTTATTCCGCGCTCTTTCGCTCTTTCGCTCTTTCCTTGTATCCAGCGGGCCGATACCACCAGGCATCCCATGAAACTTCAACAACCAGCATACCGCCCCTTGATTGATAATTCAAGATCATAGAGAGATCCCTTCATTATGAAAAAAGGATCAACGCAAGGGCGCCGACTTCAAGCCTGTGAGAGATGTTGGGGGAGGAAGCAGAAAGTAAGAAAAAACATGACCTCTCATGTAATTGCACCATCAACACTTGGGGATTAGTCTGACATTGTTTTCAGTGTGATAAGCTGCTACCAGCTTGTAGCAACTGTATTGAAGCCAATAGCCAGTGCAGTGCACGGTCTATACACGTGGATTCATCTACAGATGAAGCAAGTGGGCTCTCCAATGCTGCTTTACCAGAGTGAGTGAGATGCCAACCCAGGTGTTTGGAAGGCTTGGTGTTTTCAGATTGAAACTAATGAGGCTCAATGCAAACTTGGTACAGATATGTAGAGTCGCTTAAGAGGAAAGCAGATGACTTGAATCATCATGTTCGACAACTACGTGCACGTCTGAGTAAAGAAGGGCCATCAGCGTCCCCTCTTTCTGGCAGCAGCCAACGGACCTTTCCTGTAGAGGGTGCAGCGGGTGCTGTTTACACTCCATCAGTCGCTACCAACCATTCGTTGACGGTGGCAGAGAACAGTATTCCAAAACAATCAGTCCAAGCCGCGATGGGTCAGATTGGATTCCTATCACGCAATGCTATGGCTGAGCCGCTTGACGATAATACAGGATCATTTCCCAAGGAATTGGCCATGGCTAATATATTGAAATCTGCTCTTCGTATCTCTGGCGACAATCCAACTCGGTCGGTATATCCGTCGATCTCTCGCCGAGGAGAGGGGCTGCTTACATTATTGGGTCATGCCGATATTTTCAACGAGGAGGCTGCAACGCCATATTTGGATCACTTTCGTCGACGACTAGCAATTATGTTTCCACATCTTGATTCGCATAGTCAGAATCTTGACGGAACTCCTGTACCCAATGATACCGGCGGACTGGACAACGATGCTGCATTCAAAGAATTCAACAATTATATGGAATTGGCTGTCGGGTTGACTTTGTCTGACGAATCCTCGATGGAGCTATTTTCCTCGAAACTACATACTCTTGCGGTGGACAAGCTCGATGTCATTCTGAAGAAGGGCGATGAGATCGAAATTATTCATTGCATTCTGTCTTTGATTATTCACTCCCTTTTTACTTCAGCCGGAGGTTCAAGCTGGCACCTAATCGGATACGCCATGGCAAAATGTATAACATTTCAATTTCATAAAGAACCGCAGCATGACGTGGCAGTGCCTCCAGGTCAAAGAAACCGCAGAAAGAGTCTCTTCTGGAGCCTTTATATACTTGATCGGTTCGTGATATCTGCCGTTGAACAGAGTATGATCAATTGCCTCACACAATTTACAGTACTGTATGCTCTGTCATGGGGAGACCTTTCAGTATACAAGACGACGATATATCAATCCAGGTAAGCCCGCCTTCAAAATCAAGAGTTGCAACATTGCTAATGCTTGGTGGAAGCCGTATACCGAGAACTTGAATACAGATTACAAGGACCAACTCGACCTACAAACATGCCTTCTCATCCATGCAAAACTAATGTCTAACATCCAAAGCTCCAAGCCCCGCCGCGCTATTTCCCATTACAGCAGCTTCTGTTATTGGCGTGATACCTCAAAATCACTGAGAACTATTAATAATATCAGTTCGACGATCCTGAAACAGCTTACCTGTAGAGCTCTGGTTCATATATTCCTTAAGGTCAATTACTCGACATCCGGTATTGATACGATGAAAGATCGGCAGAGAATTGAAAGCGACGTAGTTCGTAGTTGCACCGACTTCATTGAAGACGAATACCAAAATTACGAGCACGGAGACTTCTCGCGGTCTTTCATTGATGCGTTTGACCTATTTGTTGCTGGTGTTATACTGATTGTCTGTCTACGACGGACGCAGCAACCTTTGGTATCTGGAAAAACCGGTATTTTCAGCAGATGCGCCACTCTTCTAACAATTATTGGCGAGCGATTCGGGGCGCTAAGGGTGCTCCAAAGGATTATATCGGCTTTGTCGACGTTGGGTTTGGAGGGATTTTGCAATGATCAGGTATATCCGGAATCCGTCCGATTGACTTTGAAATCTGTGAGTACTGACCACATCGGGCAAAAACCGATACTGTAGGTTATCGATGAGTTACCGGATATTGTTCCTGCCTCTATTCGGGCCTTGATCATGGATTTTGTCCGGGAACAGCGGACGCCACACGCAGGAGGTCGACCGATATGTCGACAACCTCAGGTAAATGTTCGTCGGAGGTAGTCCGATATGAATGAGTCACCAACGCATGTGAAGTCATACATATTTTTGTCCATGGTACTTCCTTTTGAGATAATAAACTCTTAAATCTCAGGTACAAGTGTTTCTCAACAGAAAAATCCGTTCGTTATACAATCCTTTCGCAAATCAAAATCTCAAGACTTTACGAGAAAATGACGACCAAACCTACCGTTTACATACTGGACCAGTTCCATCCCGCAGCGGTTGAACACGCCAAAACACTTTTCAACGTCATACAAACAGAGGACGAAGAATTCAAAAACTGGCGACAGAATGCCAAGGCTCTGCTAGTCCGGGGGTCGTACGTTACCGCCGATGTTATCGCTAGTTGTCCGAACTTAGTCGCAATTGGCAAGCATGGAGTTGGCATTGATAAAATAGACCAAGAGGCATGTGCAAAGCGAGGAATCAAGATTCTAAATACCCCCGGAGCTAATGCACGCGACGTGGCCGAGCTGGCTGTTACACTGGCTTTGGCCCTGGCACGGTGTATTCGATCCATCACAGTTCGCCAAATGTCACAGCCGGTGCCAAAGGAGTCATGCAATGGACTTACGCTTTATCAAAGAACTGTTGGTATTATTGGAATGGGCAATATTGGAAGGCAAGTCGCCGAGATTTTTCAAGGTGGCTACGACACAGATATCATCGCGTTTGACGCCTTTCTACCCGAAGACCATGAATCGTGGCAGCATATCAGGCATACGAGAGCAAAGAGCTTTGAGGAAGTGCCTGTCAAAGCCGATGTTATCTCATTGCATATACCTTTGACTCCTGAGACGCGCGACTTGATCTCCTACGAGCAAATCAGGTCTATGAAGAAGGATGCGATCTTGATCAATGCGGCTCGTGGCGGTATAGTGAACGAAGAGGACCTAGCGAGGGCACTCTCTGAGGGTCATCTGTGGGGAGCTGGTCTTGACTGTCATGAGCAGGAACCACCAACAGCCGAGAAGTATGCAAAACTATGGGAGAACCTGAATGTCATCAGTACGCCGCATATCGGAGCGGCGACCTCAAGAGCACAATATGCAAGTGCTATGGGCGCTGTAAATAACCTGTACGAATATTTATCTAAATTATAAAATCGCATGTTGTATTGATATCAAACTTGAGAACGATATTGAATTCCACTAGATGTTCTTTGTTTTTACAGCTTTTGCTTTTGACACTCCCCTGCAACGCCATCTTACATACTGCACATTACCCTTGATACTATCCGTAATGAATAAAGTCTTGCCATCGTCACCACCAAAGGCACAATTAGTCAAATTCTTACCTCCCTCGGGAGCCGTCACGATCCTAGCCTTTGGTATCCCATCGGCATCGACGACAAACACTGAGCCCAAACTAGGATGGCAAATGAACAAGTTCCCTTCTTCATCCACAGCCAGACCATCGGGTCCAGCGCAGCCGAACGATTGGAAAAACAATCCCACTTTGGTAGTCGTTCCATCTGCATGGAGCGGAAGGCGCCACACAGAGTTTGATCGTGTCATGGCAACATACAGGAACCTCTCGTCAGGGGTAAGTGCCAAACCGTTTGGTGAGACTCCATTTGAGATGAGACAATCGAGTTTACCCGTAGGAGAGAGACGGTAAACACAGCCGGTCGGATCGCTCATGCCGGTCTGGCCTTGATCCGTAAAGTAGATGTCGTTTGTTGATGAGATTATCAGGTCATTGGGCCCTTTGAACCTTTCTAGGTTGCGACGAGTCAGGAGTGGTGATATTTTGCCAGTGGATGGGTCAAAGAGAAGGATTCCCTAGAATGAAGGTCAATTTACTTCTTTTCATTTCCTTTGACAAAATGAAATCCAGGAAAGAACCTTGGAACATACCTGCTTATAGTCCGCGATGATGATGCAGCCATCTTCCCGAACGGCAAGACCATTGGGTTCACCATCATAACGTACAATTTCCGTCCCTGTCTTATTGCTGTCTATCTTTAATATTCTGCCATATGGAACATCAACCACGTACAGATCTCCGTTGGAGACGTATGTTGGCCCCTCGAGAAAAATATTAGACGCTGGAACAGCGGATCCTCCCCTCCATTCTGTATCCTGACCGGTGCAACGAAGGGCATCTGGGATGCGAACGTAGACCTCAGCCTGGAAAGTCGGAGGTGCAGGGAAGAAATTCATTTTGCGGGAGAGATTCAAATTCTTATGTTGGAAGAAGTTAGAGAAATTGTCTTCAGTTAGCTGTCAACTGGTAATAATATCGTCCCCAGTACCTGCTACCTAGGAGTGAGAAACAGACATTTCGGTGTCTTCCGGACATTTTCCGACCCCGGTTTTTCTCCATTTCGGTACAAACTTCTCCCGGATTTTCTATCCTCTACCCATGCACTAACAATATGTCGGGGTCCGCAAGTATATAACTTGCCCCATCATTCCTAAAGATGCGGTTAAACGGTTCCAGGCACCTGAGGTTCTGTTTCTTGACTACAGGTTCCTCTCTCATATAGTTTTGAATAACATACCTACAGAAGCGGGACTTGTGGTCATGGGTTTAATCGCAGACACCAAGCGGGCTCTCAAGGAATCCCCTAGAGAGATTTTTAACTTGAACGTCCTTCTCTATACTTGGATCTTTTCTTTCCCAGGTATCTCGAAAGGGTTTGACGAAGGTGAGAGAGTCATCCCGATGCGTTAAAACATCCACGGATCCCCTCTGGGGTAATTCATCATAGTCTAGCCCTGACTAACTCTCGTTTATTAAACTTAACAGGGAACATTGGATCTATTGTAACTCAAACTCGCTTCAAGGTCAAGTTTGAGGTTGCAGATCAATCGGACAGTCAGTATGCCGACACAAAGGGTTGGATTGTCTCCATTGCGACTGCGGGTGCAGTCCTTGGCTGTCTCGGGGTAAGTTCATCGAATGTTCTACTACTCAAAGCGGTGGATGCTTATAGAATTTTCTCTGATACATAGTGTTTGCCATTGAACGACAGAATTGGTCGACGATGGACACTACGTCTTGCCACCCTTTTCTATATAGCGGGTATACTGGGACAAGGTCTATGCAATGGAAATCTATCTGGCTTGTATGCGTCAAGAGTCATTGCTGGTATGGGTATTGGAGCGACTACAATTGTGCCACCCGTGTATATTGCAGAGGTTTGTCATTCTGCACGGAGCCTTGAAGACGCTTCATTGAAGTATACTGAGCCAATGATATCTTAAATATATCTCTCCTAAAGCTATACGTGGCCTGCTTATTCTTCAGCATGCATCCTGTCAGATGCTCGGTGTCGTCCTCGGCTTCTTCATTAACTATGGCGTGACCAAATCCTACGCAGGAACCGACAAACAGTGGATGCTACCAACTCTTCTCCAACTCGTACCAGCAGTTGTCTGGGGTGTAGGAACATTCATCTGTCCCGAGTCTCCCAGATGGCTTTTTGCTACTGGCAGACGTGAACGTGCAATCGCCACGTTGTGCAAAATCAGAAAATTGCCGGCTGACCACCCTCTTATTGTCAGTGAAATCAATGCCATTGAGATCCAGATCCTCCATGAAGTCGAAGCCGTGAGCAACAGCAGCCTGTGGGATCAACTCAAGGAAACGCTCATTCCCGTCGAGAACAGACGTCGATTTTGCCTTACCTTCATGGCTACCTTATTTTCGCAGTGGTCTGGGGCCAATGCAATCACTCAATACTCGCCCACTATCTTTGGATATCTCGGCATCAATGGCATCGAATCAACCTTCCTCGCTACCGGAATATACGCAATTGTGAAGTTCGTCAGCACAATGCTGTTTGGTATCTTTGTAGTGGACTTCATCGGCCGTCGTCGCTCGCTCATGACCGGTATCTGTCTCCAAATTACCACACTCGCATTTGTAGGCGCATATCTGGGTGTCACAAAGGACATGACAGCAAACAATATCAACAACACCCCAAGTGCTTCACGCGCATCTACCGCCGCGATTGTGGCCATCTATCTTCACGCTGTTGCATGGAGTATCGGTTGGTTCAGTATCCCATACATCCTGGGACCCGAGATCTTTCCTATCCGGATTCGATCGTTGAATGTCTCGATCTCGATGGCGTTTCACTGGTTATTCTACTTTGCTTCTTCGCGAGCAATGCCTAGTTTGTTGGCTGCGACGGATAAATGGGGCGCTTTTGTGTTTTTTGGTTCCATATGTACGGTTTCGCTTGTCTATGTGTTTTTTGCTATGCCGGTACGTATATCAGTCCTCCCGGACCACACAATCGATGAAGGCTAATAATGAAATAGGATACTACGGGAAGATCGATTGAAGCCCTGGACAGTCTTTTTCAACGTCCTTGGTATACTGTCTGGCGAGTGGCATATCCGACTGCAAAGGAAAGGCAAGAGACGATAGATGATCCAAAATCAACTGCTGAACATGTTGAGAAGGTGTGAGGAGATATCTTCACGCAGTTCAGCAAGGATCTCATTAGTGAAAGGTCAAATGGCTTTGGCAAATATTCTACACGAACCCATATAGTCTCGTTGAAGAGTTGTCCCTACCTAGGCTCTGCTTGAATAACCCTGAGAGGTTCTTGGAGTCACTCAAATCCTACACACAGCAAGTCAAAGTAGTCCAAGCTACCACGGAATTCATTGATATCTTCTCGCTAGAGATCGCAAGCTTAGCCCTAATTTTGTCAAAGTAACAGATGTAACTGCACAAAGTAATAGAATGTAATATCCATTCTCCAACTATATGATTTCTCACAAATCCTACGCATATACTTACATATTGCAGAATGCGAGACATGTGGACCATAAAAGATGGACCACAGCAGGCGGTACTAACCGAATCAGGTTAAACACACACAAGCCCCTGAAGTACCCATGGAAAGAGCAGGTGGAGCCTCCCGCCCTGCTTGATGCGCTGTTAACGCCTGTGATTGGCCGAAACTCCTCGAGTCCCGTGACGTGCCAGAAACACGCCTGCCGCGTCCCCCAAACCGGCAACTGCCAAAATGGCGCTACAACAAAATAAACGTATGTTAGGGGACTGTTTAATTTCATCTCAACACTTATGACTTCTGAAAAGACGGACTGCTTCGTGTTCGACCTTGTGACCGAGTCTGTAATTTACTACACTCCTTTCGTTCGGATTCTACAGTACATAATCATAATAATAATCATTCCCCTTTCGATACTTTCGATTTGATTGCGACAATTACAATTATCTATCTACCTCGAACCTACATACCCGATACCGCCGTCCAAACCTCGTCGCGACGAAATTAGCGAAAATAAGCACAAAGCAAATCCATCGATGGTCTACATGCGTTGTTGATTTTGAATACTCGTCAAACATGGAGGTTGCTGCTCCAGGGGTCCCTACCAACGGCCTCGCCGCGGCGACAGCACCGGTGGCAGTAGCAGATCCAAATGCGGTAGTACGGTATCTCACAGATGTCCTCCAGGTAACTCTGGGGGCTAGTAAGAGAGATCTCGAAGCTGCGGGCAGTCTGCTCTCAAAAGCGAAATATTCGGAAACCGTGCAGAAATGTACGCGATTCGCTTCAGAGTCGCAGGTGGCGCTGTATGTGCAGCAGGATATCTTTAGTGCAGAGGAGCCTAATGGGACAGAGAGTGATGAAGGTATGGTACCACATAATTGGCTTTGAGAGGTGCTGTCTGGATCTTATCTAATTGCATGCAGTGGCAGAGACTCGGTATACCTACACGTTGGCCGCGGAGGTATCTTTCCTTTCGACGACCGTCGCTTCCGTCGCTTTCATCAAACGTCCAGGACCGATCGACCCCAGCCAACCTATCGCTACTCAAATACAAGTAACAAATTTCCCAGGTCTTTCGACCCTCAGCAATGCACAAGCCCAACAGGGTGCTTCGATTTCCGCATTCGAAATCCTACATTCCCTCGTTCACCATACCCTTGGTCCGTATTTCGAAGCGTACACACGAGGTCAAGAAGCTACAAACGGTATAAAGCAGAGAACGGAGACAGAAGCAAAGACTGGTGTTCCAGGAGCCAAGAAGCGCATTGCAGAGTTGGACCTTGCGTTTCTGCATCTTCAGCAGAATGTGGAAATTCCAACCTTGAATCTACCACTTCATGAAATCGTACAAGCTGCTCTCGATGAGGCCGAAACCCGCGGTGTCAAACCTTCCGTCGACCTGATCCCACCCGCTGCCCTCGAAAATAGCACTGTTCTCAACAGCATCCAGAACAATGTCAATGGCTGGATCAAGTCTATTCAAACCATCACAAAAATGTCCCGAGACGCAGACAGTGGCTCCGCTAACCAGGAAATCAACTTTTGGCTTTCCATGGAAACGGCTCTAGAAGGAATCGAGAAACAGCTGCGTGGTGATGGAGTACAGCTTACCATGGAAATTCTTCGGCATGCGAAACGTTATCAGGCAACTTTAAGTTTTGTGGCAGATACTGGTCTTCGTGAAGCAATGGATACGGTGCAGAAATACAACCAGTTGATGCGTGACTTTCCCTTGGACGAACTGTTGTCTGCAACGACGCTACAGAAAGTCCAGGAATCGCTCGGATTGATTTTCAATCATTTGAACAGAAAGCTGAAAATATCGCCGTACCCTATTAAGAGAGCTTTGGCGCTGGTGGAGGCTATTTCGGGCGACTTGGATTCCCAGATCCATGCTTTACTGCATGGCCGAACAATCATGCATCTTGACTACCGAGAGTTCCGTTCATTGATGAAGACTTGCGGCGCCATTTGGCGGACCTGGGATGAGAACGTCAAGGAGTTTACCAATGTTGGACGTGAAGCCTCTCGACGACGAAATGAAAAGTTCATTCCAATCAAAATCGTACCACGACACATGAAGACACAAGAACGTCTGAAATATATCAATACTTTCCGCGTCAATCACGAACAGCTGCAGCGGACGATTGTCAATGTGCTCGGTCCTAAATCTGCGGTCAATGCGAACGGAACCGATGGTGCGATTATCGTAGAAGAGATTGGCGACGTCGATGCTGTGGAGGAGGTCGCCCAAGCATACGCAGCTTTGAAAGATGTGGATGTGCTTGATGTGTCCGAAGAAGGCACACAACAGTGGATTCAAGCTGAAATCACTTACAATGAACGGACATCGCGTGTTGAGAACTCTATTATTGCTCGCTTGAGAGACCGTCTCGCAACTGCTAAAAATGCCAACGAGATGTTCCGCGTGTTTTCCAAGTTCAACGCCCTTCTTGTCCGACCAAAGATTCGTGGTGCTATTGGCGAGTACCAAACTACGCTTATCGACAACGTAAAACGGGACATCAATGCCTTACATGAACGTTTCAAGCAACAGTACGGTCACTCCGAAGCCCATGCTATGGCTCAATTACGCGACCTGCCGCCTGTCTCGGGCGCTATTGTTTGGGCTCGACAGATCGAACGCCAGCTCAACGGCTACATGCGTAAAGTCGAAGACGTGCTCGGTGAAGACTGGCACCTCCATTCTGAAGGTCAAAAGCTTCAAGCAGAGAGCAACTTGTTCCGTAAGAAGCTCGACACTCGGCCAGTTTTTGAATCATGGCTTCATGATGTTCAGCGAAGACATATTACTATCTCAGGACGCTTGTTCAACATCATCCGAAATAGGGCCGCTGGCAACTCCTTCGAGCTGACGGTCAATTTTGATGCTCAGATAATAGCTCTTTTCAAAGAAGTGAGAAACCTGATTTGGCTCAACTTTCAGGTACCTCATGCGGTGAGCAGCATTTCCAAGGAAGCCAAGCGTGTTTACCCCTATGCTATCAGTCTCATGGAAACAGTCCGCACACTGTTGCAGACCACTCGTACTATCGCTTCAATGACTGAGGTCGCAATTCTGTTGAGCGGTTATCAGAACGATGCACAGGCTATGATCACAAAGGGTATTCCTTTACGATGGGAGTCCTTTGTTCATTCATACGAGCTTCACGTGAAGCAGTCGACACTATCCAACGGTACTATTGATCCCTCCACTGCAGGACGAGGAGAGAGCAAGCACGTCCAATTTGTTCGCGAATTTGCCGTATCCGCCTCAGTCCTTCAATCCAAGACTGCAACTTTGGCCTCTATCAACGAAAGCATCCAAAAGACTATACTAGAGCTCAAGACTTGTCCATACGATGCTGCAATTTTCCGTCAGCGATTGGACTCGATTCAGATCTCTGTTGATAAGCTGAATCTCGAGAATTACGTCAACCTCGGACATTGGGTATCAAATCTCAATTTGAAAATTGAGTCTATCCTGCGCGAACGGTTACATCGAGCAATCAGAACCTGGATCGCGTCATTCAAGGAATCCAAGGATGAACAGTATGCAAAACATCTTTCAATCCAGGCGACCCATGAGAGGACGGCAAATGACACGCCTGAAGCCGAGGTTTACCACATCGAATTCCCTCTACTTGTTCACGAAGTTTCTATGCGGAATCAAGTCTTGCACCTCGATCCTCCTCTACAATATGCCCGAGCTAGTTGGTTGTCTCATTTCGGCCAATGGCTCGGAGTTATTTGCAATCTGGAGAAGATTAAGTCTTCGCGATATCAAATTTCCATTGAAGTAGAGAAAACGCAGTTGTCTGAAACTTCGTTTGTGAACCTTCCACAGCACTGCATTGATGAGTTGGCCGAAGTCCACGGGGCTGTTGAATCCCGTCTCTCGGAGATCTCAAGCTATGTTGACAAATGGCTTCAATTCCAGTCTCTTTGGGATTTGCAGGCTGACCAGGTGTATGACATTTTGGGCGACGATTTGTCTCAGTGGCTTCAATTGCTTCAAGAAATCCGTAAAAGCCGCGCCACTTTCGACACGTCTGAAGTCAGCCGTTCATTTGGCAACATCACAATCGACTACGAACAAGTTCAGACAAGAGTCAATGCCAAATACGACCAATGGCAGCACGAAATACTACAGAAATTTGGCTCTAAACTTGGTGGTCATATGCGTGAAGTGCATACTGAAATTGCTAGCGCACGCCGAGATCTCGAAGGCCAGACTCTAGAGGCTTCCTCAACTGCACATGCTGTGTCCTTTATCACGATTGTCCAGCAATGCAAACGCAAGGCTAGGGTGTGGGAGCCCCAGGTGGATCTTTTCAGACAAGGTCAAACTACCCTTGCACGTCAACGATACCAATTCCCCACGGACTGGCTTCACGTAGAAAACGTGGATGGCGAATGGGCTGCTCTCAATGAATTGCTTACTAGAAAGAGTAAGATCGTCCAGGACCAGACCGAAGCCTTGCGGGCCAAGATTACAGCCGAAGACAAGGTCATTGGCGACAAGATTAAGGAGATCATTGTTCAGTGGAATGACGAAAAACCTGTATCTGGCACCATTCCTCCGGAGGAGGCTTCCCGCACGCTCAGCTCATTCCAATCTCGCTTGGAAGGTCTCCAGTCAGAATTTGAAATGGTCTCAAAAGCCAAGGAGGCCTTGGATCTACCAGCTAGTGCCGAATCATCGTTACCTGCAATCTTGGAGGAGGTTCAAGATTTCATGTCAGTGTGGGCCGCTTTGTCGACAATCTGGAAGAGTTTGAACGATCTCCGCGATATGCTTTGGACGAGCGTTCAGACCAGAAAGCTTCGTCAATCGATTGACAATCTCATCAAGATGACTAAGGAGATGCCAAGCCGCATGCGACAATATGCCGCTTTTGAGCATATTCAGAATGTTCTTCGTCAGCATCTCAAGATCAATCCATTATTGTCTGATCTGAAATCCGAAGCAATCAAAGAGAGACACTGGCAAAAAATCTTCAAGGCCTTGAAGCCTGGTCAGCGCTTTTCGCAGGTCACTCTGACCTTAGGAGATGTCTGGGATTTGAAGCCCGCAGCTAGTGAGGTGGTAATCCGTGATATCATCACTCAAGCTCAAGGTGAAATGGCTTTGGAAGAGTTCTTGAAAATGGTCCGCGAAACTTGGCAGAATTATTCGCTCGATCTGGTCAATTATCAGAACAAGTGTCGGCTGATCCGTGGTTTTGATGACTTATTTGCAAAGTGTAGCGAAAACTTGAACTCTTTGCAAGCGATGAGACACTCTCCCTACTTTAAGGAGTTCGAAGAAGAAGCTTCGACATGGGAGGACAAATTGAACAGGGTTCATGTTTTGTTCGACGTATGGATTGATGTTCAACGGCAATGGGTCTATCTCGAAGGCGTTTTTACCGGAAATGCGGATATCAAGCACCTTCTTCCCCTAGAGTCTGCGCGTTTCCAGAACATAAACTCTGAGTTCTTTGCCGTGATGAAGAAAGTCTACAAATCACCATTTGTCCTTGATGTGCTTGCCATTAACGGTGTTCAAAAATCCCTGGAGAGGCTTKCGGAGCTTCTCAATAAAATCCAGAAAGCTCTCGGTGAATACCTTGAGCGCGAGCGTGTATCCTTCCCTCGTTTCTACTTCGTTGGTGATGAGGATCTCCTAGAGATTATCGGTAACAGCAACGACACGCTCCGAGTTGCTAAGCATTTCAAGAAGATGTTTGCTGGTCTCTCTGGCCTTGTGATGGATGATGATAATAACATTGTTGGATTCACATCCAAAGAAGGTGAAGAGGTTAGACTCAAGCGTGAGGTCAATCTTATCAAGACGCCACGAATCAACGATTGGCTATCAGCCCTGGACAATAATATGAAGCTGACGCTCGCTGAGTTGCTCGCCGAGGCAGTTGAGCAATTTGAAACCATCTATCACACAAGTGAAGTTGATCAAACGGCTTTCAGCGACTATCTCGCCAACTATCCGGCCCAAATTGTTGTGCTTGCTAGCCAGGTCGTATGGACTAATGCTGTTCAGAAGAGTCTAGAGAACGGTGGTGGTGATCTCCAGAGTCTTTTCGATGCTGAAGTGCGTATACTAGAATTGCTTGCTGCTACTGTACTTGGTGAACTTGATGGCATCACTAGAAAGAAGTGCGAACATATGATTACCGAATTTGTACACCAACGTGATGTTATTGCCAAACTCATGAAGTTCAATGCTTCAACCCCGACACATTATCTCTGGCTTCTACAGATGCGCTACGTTTACAAGGATGAGGGTGATTTCCTTCAGCGCCTCTACGTGCACATGGCCAACGCTAAGCTGGACTACGGTTTTGAGTACTTGGGAGTTCCGGAACGACTTGTCCGCACTCCATTGACAGATCGTTGTTTCCTTACATTGACACAAGCTCTCTGCCAAAGATTGGGAGGCTCTCCCTATGGGCCTGCTGGTACAGGTAAGACGGAGTCTGTCAAAGCCCTTGGTCTCCAGCTTGGTCGATTCACTTTGGTCTTTTGTTGTGACGACACTTTTGATTTCCAGGCAATGGGCCGTATCTTCTTGGGTATCTGTCAAGTTGGCGCTTGGGGTTGTTTTGACGAGTTCAACCGTTTGGAGGAGCGTATTCTCTCTGCCGTTTCTCAGCAGATTCAAAACATCCAAATCGGATTGCGCAAGGGTACCGATGATGACAAGGCCCAAATTGAACTTATCGGCCGACGTCTGCGTGTCAACCAGAATACTGGTATCTTCATCACGATGAACCCTGGATATGCTGGTCGTTCCAACCTTCCTGACAACTTGAAAAAGCTTTTCCGCAGCGTGGCAATGTCGAAGCCAGACAAAGAACTTATTGCAGAAGTCATGCTCTTCTCTCAAGGTTTCAAGCAAGCCAAGCCTTTATCCAAGCAAACAGTTCCCTTTTTCGATCATTGTGCAAGCAGACTTACAAAACAAGCTCATTACGATTTTGGTCTGCGAGCCTTGAAAAGTGTTCTTGTAAGCTCTGGAGGTTTGAAACGAGCTCGTCTCGCCAACTCGGAGGGACAGTTGGGTCCAGACGAAATCATCGAGCCTCAAATCATTGTTCAAAGTCTTCGGGAGACCATTGCACCCAAGCTGATTCGTGAGGATGTGGAAACCATGCTTGATATACAGATGGAAGACTTCCCTGGTGTTGACTACGTGCCTGCCAACTACGAACAACTCACTCAGGCTATCCGTGATATCGCCAAAGAAAATCACTTCGTTGCTACCGATACGTGGATTACCAAGACATTACAACTCTATCAAATTCAAAGTATTCACCACGGTGTCATGATGGTCGGTCGATCTGGTTCCGGTAAATCTGCTTCATGGAAGGTGCTGCTTCAAGCCCTGCAACGTGTCGAAGGCGTTGAAGGAGTATGCCATGTCATTGATTCTAAGGTCATGTCGAAAGAAGTTCTGTACGGTAATCTTGATAGTACAACCAGAGAGTGGACGGACGGCTTGTTCACTGGCATATTGAGAAAAGTTGTGGATAATTTGCGTGGCGAGGACTCGAAACGACACTGGATTGTCTTCGACGGTGATGTTGACCCCGAGTGGGTGGAGAACCTGAACAGTGTGTTGGATGACAACAAGCTTTTAACGTTGCCTAATGGTGAACGTCTGAACTTGCCACCAAATGTTCGTATCATGTTCGAAGTTGAGACTCTGAAGTATGCTACTCTGGCTACTGTTAGTCGATGTGGTATGGTCTGGTTCAGCGATGATACTGTAACCCCGGAGATGATGATTACGAACTACATTGAGTCATTGAAAACCAAGGTGTTTGAAGACTTGGATGACGACTCTGTACCTGCAGGTCAAGCGTCGGCCAAGACTCAAGCTGCTCAGGATATGGTTTCAGACTTCCTCAAGCAATTCATGCAGGGCGACGATCTCATTTACAAAGCGCTCGAAGAGGCTCGCAGATACAATCACATCATGGACTATACGATTATCCGTGCGTTGAATACCTTATTTAGTCTACTCAATAAAGCCTGCCGGAATGTGCTCGAGTACAACATTCAGCACATTGATTTTCCTCTGGACCCCGAGCAGGTCGAGTCATATATCTCCAAGAAGTTACTTCTTGCACTTGTTTGGTCACTCACTGGCGACTGTCCTCTGAGCGACCGTAAGCGCTTCGGAGAGTACCTAGCCGCTACCACGACCATCGACACTCCATTGCTTAGCGATTCGTCCTCTCTCATCGACTACGATGTATCATTGCCAAAGGTGGAATGGATCACATGGCAGTCACAGGTTCCTTCTGTCGAAATCAATACCCATTCAATCACTCAGACAGATGTCATTATTCCAACTTTGGACACCGTGCGTCATGAGGATGTGCTTTACTCGTGGCTCGCTGAGCACAAGCCTCTGCTCCTGTGCGGTCCTCCTGGATCCGGTAAAACCATGACTTTGTTTTCTGCTTTGCGAAAGCTGCCCAATATGGAGGTTGTTGGTCTCAACTTTTCTAGCGCGACCACTCCAGACCTTTTGGTCAAGACCTTCGAGCAGTACTGTGAGTATAAGAAGACTCTGAATGGCGTGGTGATGTCTCCAAACCAGATTGGGCGTTGGCTGGTCATTTTCTGCGATGAAATCAACCTMCCCGCCCCTGATCGTTACGGCACACAGCGTGCGATTTCGTTCTTGCGTCAACTTGTGGAGCAAAATGGTTTCTGGAGAACTTCTGACAAGACATGGGTTACTTTGGACCACATACAATTTGTTGGGGCCTGTAACCCGCCAACTGATGCTGGACGTACCCCAATGGGAGAACGATTTTTGCGTCATGCTCCTTTGATGATGGTCGACTACCCAGGCGAGCTCTCATTGACCCAGATCTATGGCACTTTCAACTCCGCCATTCTGAAGATCATCCCCACTTTGCGTGGTTACTCGGAAGCTCTCACGAAAGCAATGGTTCAGTTCTATCTAGAGTCTCAAGCACGATTTACACCAAAGATCCAGCCACATTACGTCTACTCTCCCCGTGAGCTTACAAGATGGGTACGTGGTGTCTACGAAGCCATCAAACCCTTAGAAAATCTTTCCGTTGAAGGTCTTGTACGAATTTGGGCCCACGAGGCTCTCCGCCTATTCCAAGATCGTCTCGTTGCGGAAGACGAGCGTAAATGGACTGATGAGTCCGTACGACGCATTGCTCTGGAACACTTCCCAACCATTGACGAGGAACAAGCATTGAAGGGACCTATTCTCTTCTCCAACTGGTTGTCAAAGAACTATGTACCAGTTGAGCAAGAGCAATTACGAGACTTTGTCAAGGCTCGTCTAAAGACGTTCTGTGAAGAAGAGGTGGATGTTCCATTGGTTCTCTTCAACGATGTCCTTGAACACGCTTTGCGTATCGATCGTGTCTTCCGACAGCCTCAAGGCCATTTGATTCTCATTGGTGTTAGCGGAAGTGGGAAAACCACACTTTCAAGATTCGTTGCTTGGATGAATGGTCTCAAGATCTTCCAGATCAAGGTCCATGGCAAGTATTCTTCGGAAGACTTTGATGAGGATTTGAGAACTGTTCTTCGACGAGCTGGATGCAAGGGTGAAAAGATTTGTTTCATCATGGATGAATCGAACGTGCTTGACTCTGGTTTCCTGGAGCGAATGAACACTTTGCTTGCTAACGCTGAAGTACCTGGCCTCTTCGAAGGTGATGAGTTTGCATCTTTGATGACAGCTTGTAAAGAAGGCGCCCAACGTCAGGGACTCCTTCTCGACTCTCAAGAAGAACTTTACAAGTGGTTTACACAACAAATTGTCAAGAATCTTCATGTTGTATTTACCATGAACCCTCCCGAAGACGGACTTTCGTCCAAGGCCGCAACCAGTCCTGCCTTGTTCAATCGTTGCGTACTCAACTGGATGGGCGATTGGTCTGATCAGGCTCTGTTCCAGGTTGGTTCGGAGCTTACGCAGTCTGTTGATCTTGACAAACCCAACTTCACTGCCCCTGACAGTATACCCGTTGCTTATCGCGACCTCAATCTCCCTGCCTCTCACCGTGAGACTGTTATCAATTCAATGGTCTATATCCATTACTCTTTGCAAAAGTTCAACCAGCGCCTGCAGAAACAACAGGGCAGAACTACATACCTCACGCCACGACACTACCTCGACTTCGTCGCTCAATATGTCAAACTATTTAACGAGAAGCGAGAGGATCTGGAAGAACAGCAGCGACACTTGAATGTTGGTCTGGAGAAACTCAGAGATACAGTCGACAAGGTTCGCGACCTCCGTGTCAGCCTTGCCGAGAAGAAGACACAATTGGAGGCGAAAGATGCAGAAGCCAATGAGAAGCTACAGCGAATGGTTGCCGACCAGCGAGAGGCTGAACAGAGAAAGACAGCATCGCTCGAAATCCAAGTCGCTCTGGAGAAGCAAGAGAAGGAAGTCGCCGAGCGAAAAGATGTTGTTTTGAACGATTTGGCCCGAGCAGAGCCTGCCGTTCTGGAAGCCCAGAAGAGTGTCAGTAGCATCAAGCGTCAACATCTTACTGAAGTCCGATCTATGGGTAATCCTCCGGCAAGCGTGCGTCTTGCTCTAGAGGCTGTTTGTACCTTGCTTGGTCATAAGGTTGAAGGCTGGAAGACCATCCAAGGTATTATTCGTAAAGACGATTTCATTGCCAGCATTGTGAATTACGACAATGAACGCCAGATGACCCGCAACCATAGGGTGAAGATGAAGAATGAATTCTTGTCCAAGGATGACTTTACCTACGAGCGAGTCAACCACGCCAGTAAAGCTTGTGGTCCTTTGGTACAATGGGTGGAAGCGCAGGTCAACTATTCCGAGATCCTAGATCGTGTCGGCCCTCTCCGCGAAGAAGTGGACCAACTAGAGGAACAAGCGCTTCAGACCAAAGCAGAAGCGCAAGCCATCGAGAATACTATCCAGAGTCTTGAAAGCAGTATCGCCACCTACAAGACAGAATATGCGGCCCTTATCAGCGAAACTCAAGCCATCAAGACTGAAATGAGTCGTGTACAATTCAAGGTTGATCGCAGTGTACGGCTTCTGGACAGTCTAGCTTCAGAGCGAGAACGATGGGAGGAGGGAAGCAAATCGTTCGAGACTCAAATCAGCACGCTCGTTGGTGATGTGCTTATTGCTGCTGCTTTCCTTGCGTACGCTGGTCTATATGACCAACAATTCCGTAAAGCGATGGCGGAAGATTGGGTCAACCAACTGGCGCAGTCAGGTATTACATTCAAGCCTCACAACCCCGTCACCGAGTACCTTTCGAATGCGGACGAACGCCTAGCCTGGCAGAGTAACTCGTTGCCTGTTGACGATCTATGCACTGAGAATGCGATTATTCTTAAGCGTTTCAACCGTTACCCATTGATTATCGACCCTTCAGGTCGTATTACGGAGTTCTTGCAGAAAGAGAGCAAAGAAAGGAAGCTTACAGTTACCAGCTTCTTGGATGATTCGTTTGTCAAGCAGCTGGAGAGTGCTTTGCGTTTCGGAAACCCAATCCTTATCCAAGATGCAGAGCATTTGGATCCTATTCTCAATCACGTCCTCAACAAGGAGTACCAAAAGACCGGTGGACGTGTTTTGATTCAACTGGGCAAGCAGGAAATTGATTTCTCGCCTTCGTTCAAGCTGTTCCTATCAACACGAGATCCATCAGCTACGTTCCCACCTGATATCTGCAGTCGAACCACGTTTGTCAATTTCACGGTTACTCAAAGCAGTTTGCAGACACAATCACTCAACGATGTTTTGAAGGTGGAGCGTCCTGATGTTGATGAACGACGAACCAATCTTATCAAGTTGCAAGGAGAGTTCAAGATCCATCTGCGCCAGCTTGAGAAACGTTTGCTGCAGGCACTCAACGAGTCACGGGGTAACATTCTGGACGACGATAATGTTATCGAAACATTGGAGACTCTGAAGAAGGAGGCTGCTGAGATTACTAAGAAGATGTCTGAGACAGAAGGAGTCATGACGGAAGTCGACAATATCACACTCCAGTACAACATCATTGCTCGATCATGCAGTGCTGTGTTTGCCGTGTTGGAACAACTTCATCATATCAACCATTTCTACCAGTTCTCGCTGCAGTACTTTGTGGACATCTTCAACTCGGTCCTGCATGGAAATAAGAAGCTTATTAATGAGAAGGACCATACTGCAAGAGTTCAGATCATTTTGAAAGACCTCTTTGTCACGGCTTATCAGCGTACAAGTCTGGGACTACTACAAAAGGATCGCATTACGCTGGCTATTTTGCTTGCTCAGGCTACTCCTTTCACTATGGACAGAAGCATCATCGATACCATTCTCGATGAGAGTGTGGAAGGAGTCGACATGTCAACAACTCCAGATCTTCGTGAACAGACGATAAGCAAGCTTTCTAACATGTCCTTATTCAAGTCTCATGTACCCAACATTTCGGAGGAAGCGTGGACTACTTTCTTCACGGAGGAATTGGCGGAGAATTTTGTGCCTACGGTATGGGAAGAAAATACGGAACGCCTTGATCAACAACTTCGTTCTCTCCTACTTGTCAAGCTTTGCCGTATGGATCGATTTGTGCCCGTTGCCGAACGTTTTGTTGCGGCAGTCTTTGGCCGTGAAATGTACGAAGATAGCGGCGATCTCAAGGAAGTTGTCGAACAGGTTACAGCAACTACACCCGTGGCACTCAGCTCCAGCCCTGGATTCGATGCAAGTTACAAGGTTGACGGATTGGTGGAGCGAATGCATGCGACATGTACGAACATTGCCATGGGTTCGAACGAAGGTCTCGAAAGCGCCGACAAAGCTATCAGCAACGCCGCTTCTGCGGGTACTTGGGTGTTGGTCAAGAACGTGCATCTCGCGCCATCTTGGTTGCAAAGTTTGGAGAAACGGCTCGACTCCCTCAAGCCACACAAGGATTTCCGACTTTTCTTATCGATGGAGACCAGTCTCAAGATTCCAGTCAATCTTCTCCGTGCATCGCGGGTGCTTATGTTTGAGCAGCCGGCCGGTGTACGCGCCAATATGAAAGATTCGCTGTCTTCTCTATCGCTACGTGCTACGAAGGCTCCTGTGGAGAAGGCGCGAGTGTACTTGTTGCTATCCTTCTTGCACGCTGTGGTTCAAGAACGTCTCCGTTACGCTCCCAATCTTGGTTGGAAGGGTTTCTGGGAATTTAATGATAGTGATGTGAGTTTACAAATCTATGATGCCGAGGTCTTCGACTAATGAATACAGTATGAATGCTCTGCATTTATCATCGACTCCTGGATCGACTCAGTCGCCCAAGGACGGTCCAATGTTGCCCCTCAAAAACTCCCCTGGGACATGATCCGCACCCTTGTCACCGAAACTTACGGCGGGAAAATTGACGACAGTGGAGATTTCATGCAACTCGAGAAGCTTGTCAACAGTTTCCTGACGCCGGCGGCATTCGAAGAAGAGCACAAACTAGTTTCTGGCGTTGAAAACGACGAATGCTTAGCGCTGCCGGGTACGACCAGCATGCGCGACTTTACTGAATGGGTTAACCGGCTGCCGGAGCGCGAGCCGCCCACGTACTTGGGTCTGCCGGCCAACGCCGAGAAGTTGCTGCTGGTTGGCCATGGCAAAGCCATGATTTCCGATCTCGCGCGGGTGACTACGTTGTTGGATGAGGGTGAGCAGTTGATGGTCGAAGCCTAGTTTTTTTTTTGTATATGATTACTTTGTTTATCATGTATTTTCTTCATGTTTATGTTTTACTTCGTGATACCAAATATATCGTTGTTGTCATCTTGCCCCACGGAGGCCTATCACAGCCTACATAGTGATTCGTATAGTAGTATATCAGCCATGCTATTATTTAATATATTAAAGGCAGTCTTATCGCGCATCAGCACCATCATCCGTGGTTGCGTGAAACCAACAATCAATGCGGCGTAGCGGCTTTGAAACGGCTTCAGTATCAAACAGATGAACCATACACACAGAAAATCAGCTTCTAGGTTTTCGCTCGAGGCTATCGTGATTTCAAGTGTTTGCTAACCGAGTTTCATTCTACGCCGCGAACTTTACACACAAGAAAGCCGTATGACCAGACTCCCAAGAAGTAAGTTTTAAGAGTAAGAGATAACTTATCATGCTCTAGTCGAGAATTAGCACTTCTTGGCGATTGGTGACTCGTCGGTTTCTGCTCGCGACGCAAGGTTGGCTGGCTATGCCGTGCTTTGTTCGACTGTCAGACGAAGAGAATTGGCTGGCGATAAGGCGGTTGCTACCAATCAGTGCCAATCGGTGACACGATTGCTAGTCAGGCGTGTGGACATAGTAGATACTACTAGTCTTATGTAGAGCACGTGAGTTGACATTGTTTTGTTTACGAGGAAGGCGAGATAACGATATTTTGTGCTTTATCTCGTCCTTCCTCCTTCTTTTACTCCAGATTCTTTCTCAAACTAGGCAACTTCATCGTCCTGGTGTTTGCCCCCGCCTTCACCCATCACCCATCTATTGCTGTCATTCCCCATTGCTTTTTCCGTCCGTGTTACGTACTCAGCTGTCGGTGGGACGTGCAGCATCGTTGGGGCGCTGACGACGACTTGCACGTACACGCCATTGTCATCGCCGACCGAGGACTGGACTCGTCTCTTACAGTCTGGCGCAAACTGATACGTAGCTGACCCCGCCGGCTAGTCTGGCATTGATTAAGGGTTCGTTCCAACAAGTGACAAAGACACAATTTGCAAGCCGGCCGAGGATCATCTCCAGCGCTAACGGTCCACTAACTGCGACTAACACGCCCGCTAAACCGCCTACAGCCACCTCAAACACGCAAGGACTCAACGAGAAGCACTCGAAACCCCCAAGGACCCCAAACAGCACGGTAATCGTCCCCACTGGCGGTTGTAACACCCACGGCCAGGGTCTGCCATTCGCTGAACTGAGGCCGTAGGGTTACTCGGATCACCATACGCTGGAGTATAGAATTTTTCTCTCCATGGATCTTCAAACATTACTGTTCCAATTATGCCAACTCAAAATCTGAACTTGACCATAAATATTCCGCGAGGTATGTTTCAGAGTCGTTTTTATTTTTTGCCTCGTCTTCCACTGCCCTCTTTTATGCTTCTATTTGATGTATACATAGACCTGTGGTCAATGTCTTTCCTCGCATTTTTTTTTCTGTTTGCCTCCCAAATATTTTGACTGTTTAATCATGGCATCTATCGGCTCAATGAAATCTTCTCTACACAGTCCGGTTACTGTTTTTAAGGGCCTCGATTGTAAGTCTGCGTTAGCCCATACTTATATAGATAGTTGCTGCAATTTCCGGTCTTGAATCATGTGATGGCTTCGTCCTGTGCAATTCTAACATATCGATAGCATTCCTATCTTCTCTACGAGCTAATCTGCAAATCTCGTATGAGGACCTCAATGCCACCCACCTAGAGGCCTTTCACTACTCTCCAGGTCACTATGACCTACGCATTTTACCATACTCTAGCGAGCTCACACCCTCGTCTGGGTTCGCTGACGATCTTGAAGATCCACCATCTCCAACAGACACTTCAACCACCTCTACCACTCAATCCTTCTCAGCACCTACAACATGGACCTACCATGCTACAACAGAGGATGATCGTCAGGCTGCTCTGCAATTAATTGCCGAGAGTATTCGCGAGCAACGTAGCCTTGCCATCCGCAGCATTCTTTTACATCCTGCCGTCCTAGCGGTGGCTTTTATAATACTCACCATAATAATTCGCTGCGCGTTGCATGCACCCCAGCAAAGGGCGCCGGTAGCATGCTGCATCGGAACAGGCATTCTGATCGCAGCACTAATAGCCGCCGAACGCGCAACCAAGAAGTACATCACTCTCGCATCAGCAGTAGGAGACTCAACCTGGCTGCGAGAGGGACTCTACCAACAACCACAGCAACAACGTAACAATAATAACGGACCCGCTGGCGGATCCAAACATCAACACTCTCATTCTCATTCCCGTCGCGATTCAATGCCGCTCGAAGATGAAATCCTCATCACCAAAGACCACGACCAAGTCGTCGGCGCCCTTTTCCTGCGCACCGCACGCACAAACGCACTTTCTTCAGGGGCACCTAGTGCGAACGGCATGCGCGCCCTACGCCACAGACATAGCAACAGCTCAACATCCGGCCGTTTGACGGGCGTCATTCGCGCCTGGACCGTGAAATCAACTCACCGCCGACGCGGTATGGGGCTTACTCTCCTTGAATCGGCAGTCTCCATCTGTCGGGTGCGCAGACTCGATGGTCCCATCTTCGCGGATGACCAGTTGCACAGTGCACATACCCCCGGCTTGAGGACGTTGTGCTGGCCCTTCAACGCTGGGTTTGAGATGGTCGAGGAACAGGCAAAGGATTGTCTGAAGGGAGTCATTGAGGGGAAGGAGAGGTGGAGGAAGTGATACCCCCTCGATTTCAGCTAGCTTAGCACATCTATTGATGTGTCTTATGATTTAATGATTGTGTGTTCTTTTTGTACTTGTGTCTGCTTGATGTATGACATTTATATACCCACAGTTAGATACTTTCTACACATGTATTTTTGGATAGTTTTGAGCTAGAGCAAGATCTCAATTATGACTCTTTCATATGAAAATCCCCCAATGACACCCCAATAAGCTACTTTACAAGCCAGTCATAACAAAAAAGCTCCAAGTTCTCCGGAACTGGACTCTTCAGAAATCATAACAACTAGGACGGTTTCTCTTTAACACTGGTGGAAACCATAGAGTGTGTGGCCCATCTATTTATCCCTGCTGCATTAGCCTCAATCTCCACTCCTGAAACAGTATCTCCAGCTTACGCGATTCAGAACGAAAACGACCTGATCCTCATCATAGCCCAAAAAGAGGGCGCGATTGTTAGTCCCAGTTCGTAATTCTTCAACGAAAAAGAGGTGCAAGCAAAGCAGTGTCCTTCGATCAGGAGGGAAGTCCAAACATACGTCGGTCGTTGTGACTGTCTGGGAGTAGAGGTAGTGGTTAGTTTCTCGTTTGGACATGCCAAGTTGAGTGAGGAGCAAAATTTACTTTGCGTTCATGACTTGGAGTCGAAGAACTTTCAAGTACAAGGACGAGGTTCTTAATGATCTGATTTGTGTCATGTCAAATTAGTATAGCTCAACCCTTTTCCCTTTGAGACTAGATATACGCACCTCTTCAAGGCGTTGCTTCAATACCAAACGCATCTCTGGGTAAATACTGGCAAACATGCGCTTGATACCTCCTCGACGGGCCAGGCGGCTACTTAATGGTAAGATTGAGATCTGGAAAGGGAGATGAGCATGGCTTGACGAACCGAATAGCTGGCTTGGCTGTCCATGAGAAAGAGACGTACGTCAGTCTTGGTCTTCGTACTCGGACAACAACAGAAGAGGGGGGTTGGACTTACTGACTCCCTGTATCGTGTCTCGAGTGAGGAATCTCCGACTGTATGAGTTGAGGAAACTGGTTAGTCGTTGTTTTCATAGCGTTTGTAGAGCAGATCTTAGCCAAAATGGTTAGGGAACATACCGACGGCTGGCATGCAGCCCGAGGCCGCGAGACGCTGCTGAAGGCATGAGAGTTTTTCAAGAGTGTTGGAAGAAATTGGATGATAATGATGTCGAGAAGAAAAAGGTGTGGTCTTCTGATTTGAAAAAGGGGGGTTCAATACGTGTGATCGAAAAACAGAGAAAAAGAGTGTGAAAATGATAAAGTAGAAGAGGGGCAGAAGGAAAAGGATGAGAGAGAAAGAGAGAACGTGAGATATGAAGAGAGGGGAAGACGAAGGTGCAAACAAGCTAGACAACAAGTAAGTGTCCGTTTGTATCCCCAGCCCTAGGMAAGCCAAGCCAAGAGTAAGAAAGTTGTGATTATACGATTATTATAGCTAAAAGTGTAGTAATAGTAGTATGGTAGGTCATGCTTCAACAACAAGCATCTCCCCCTGATTCCCACAAGACTCATCCAAAAGCATCCCACAAACGCCGATAAGCGAGTGAGTTTCGCCATGTTGTATAATCATCATATATATGGTCATAGTCCAAAGCTGGTTATAGATTGAGCCCATTTTTCATGAGATGAAGGTAGCCTCGGAGAACATGCTGCCTTGCTCCGAAACCTCGGTTTCGCCTTCCTTGACTTTGAGCGTGAGCTTGTCTTGGGGAGAGTACTGTCGTGCTGTTAGAGAAGTATAGATTAACAAGAGGGTGGATGTTTACTTGGTAGATATATGGCTTGGTGCCAGCAACACTGCCAACAAACGACTTGACAAATCCAGGAAGCTCATACATAACGTCTATCCTGTCGAGTCTCTTGCCAAGGGATCCTTCCAACTCAGCATGAAGCTCATTGCCTTCCTTGCCTTTTCCGTCCCATGTGAATTTGATGCTCTTAGGCTCGGGCCAGTCATTGTCAGAATCGGTATGCGTTTCCAAATGTGTTGCAGTGTTTGTCGATCCTGCGTACAGAATTTTGTCGTCTTTGACAACGCCTCCAACGCTAACGACAGTTGAGCCGTATGAAGGAGGGGTTGTGAATTCCATCAACCAAGCCGAGTATGAGGGGCCTTGGAAGTTGACAAAGTTCCATCGAGCGGCTGTATCTGTTAGCATTTCACTCGATATAGAAATAGAGCTTCGACACATACCAGCGTGGTGGGGCTTCATGCCCTGGAGTGCAAAGGAGTAGAAACCCAGCCCCTTCAAGTCAAAAGTCTTCTCCTTAGTAGTAATAGTACCCTCCACAGTGCAACGAGGCCAGAAAGCATGAGACATAGAACCCCAGGGGTTGGCATGGTCAGTTCCAAAGTATGAAGTACCGTTCTCGCCAATAACGACACCAGGAGCTTTGCGGGCGAAGGTCAGGTTGACCAGACTGTTCTCGTTGACAGCCGATTTAATTGTGTAGGCGTCGCCTGCTTCATTGAGTGTCAATGCGAGGTTATCCGCCCCGAAAGAGTACATGTCCGGGTCGAAAAGGTGGTTATAAAGAGTGTCGGAATGCCAGAGATGGGGCGCACTGCCGTCGAGCGAGTAGATTTTGGTGTTGAATTGGCAAGTTGTGTGAAGGCCACTATATAAACATATAAGTAACTATCAAACTCAGAATGCCTCGCAATCTGCAAGTTCAGTATGGAAGCCTACGCAATGTTATTGTAGATGACTTGCACCCAAGCTAGAGTACCATCATCGGCCATCATGTAGAAGGTCTGGGTCTCCACAGAGGTATACTGAGGAGCTCTCCATTTGAGATCCTCCTTCTTCAACTCGGTGTAGGGCGTTTTTTCTGCTTGCTTGCTGACGGGTTGAATAGCATCAGGACCATAGATGGGTTCCTGGGTTCCGGCAACATTGGCCAATCTGTGATGGGAAGCTTTTTATCAGCGACCGGATCGGGATTTGTTTTTGTGCAGACAGGAGCTTCAGGGGGAGATCGTACGTCTGCTTGAGCCAATTCATAATTGCGATATTGCGGTGCTATTGTATTGTTTTCGATGAGAGGACAGCAACAAATTCGGCTCGAATAATCACAGCGTTGCGTATTGTCAAAAGTAAAAGAGCTGAGTTTGTTGTGAGGGGTAGATGAGCGAGCACTGAGCAGCTTAAGAAATCCCAATCAAAAAGAGCGGGACGGACTAGCCGTGACGGAGCAGCCAATGCTTAGCCGCCTCGAGGATGATCGCTTTGACTTGATTGACCGCTCAAAAAGTCGAGTTTGTCAGTTCCTCAAGGTGAATTCGTTCTGAATGATAAGAGAGGTCGTCGAATTAAACAAGAAGAAGGGATGAATGACCTGAAAGAGAAGAAGAGAAGTACTATGTAGATGAGATCACGTTGTTCGATGACGTCGAGAGTTCTGCCCAATCAGAGCGAGTTATTTTGGCCCAATCTGGTTTAGCGGACTGCTTACTAGGCCAATCTTCTGCCTAGCATCATCACTTTTTTCAGCTCACTTGACCCTGATTGACTTAAAAGATATTGGTTCTCGAGAAGGTGTTACTTGAAAATGAGTTTGTAATAAAATATGTAATATCGGTTCAAATGGTGTTTTGACAGACAGTACTTTCTGTCCGTTGTATGGATAAATGACATCTCGGAAAATCTATCACCCGACCCCGTCGCGCCAAGACTTCGAATGACCTTCAAGAAAAGTTCCGAATGTTTTTGTGCTTGGCTCGCTAGTAAAGAGATATTAAATCACTCGCTAATCTCGTCTAGCCTTCTGTCGCCCGTTCAGCAGCAGCAGAAATCCTTACTCAGGCAGGAACAAATTCTCTCGAACTGCAAAAATGGCAAAGAAAGCTCTCGCCAAAGATCAATTCGTCAAACTTATCGTCGGCGCTGGCCAGGCGAGCCCGAGTCCTCCTGTCGGTCCAGCTTTGGGTAGTAAAGGTGTGAAGAGTATGGACTTTTGCAAGGTAAAAGACTTTTCAGAATTCTTAACGCTGGAGCATGCGTCATTTCTAACTGGAGACTTGCAGGAGTTCAACGCCCGAACCGCAAACTTCGAAACCGGTACCCCAATTCCAGCCTACATCACCATCCGCCCTGATCGCTCATTTGCCTTCGAACTGCGAACGCCCACTACCTCATGGCTCTTGTTGCAAGCATCCGGAGTACCCCCGCGCAAGGGTCGGCTTCGTGGAGCTCAAAACCCCGGTACAGAAGTGATTGGATCCGTGACTCTCAAACACGTCTATGAAATCGCCAAGATCAAGCACTCCGAATTGAGGCTGTCGGGATTGAGCCTGCAAGGGTTGTGCAAGAGTGTTATTGCTCAGGCTAAGTCGATCGGCCTCAAGGTTGTGAACTAAGGCTTGCCGATTCGGTGTAGCTTGTTTCTTCTCTCACATTGACTGCATATGCGCCGGCGTTCATGGGAGATATTTGTACATCTATGCGGATTTCTGTATTATATTTTTGGGGCTTCGAATCATGCCACACCTTGTTTCATACCAAGAATTGGCAATGTCGCTCTTTAACCATCATACCATGTATACTATTTGACCTCTCTTGTTTTCATTTGCCAAAAGAAGCATTGATTGTGTAACCATTACCGCCTTTAATTCACATTCCCCCATTAATCATGCTATTTTCAGGGATTGCATCTCCTGCTAACAAATGCCACATGGGGCGACTTTGATACTGGTCAAAGTGCTCGAGAAAAGAACATGGTGTCGAGTATCACACTCTATTCGATCATTCTAATTATGATTCCATCATTGCATAATCATGGCTCATAAAACGAGTTGCACTTTAAGCTTGCCCCCATCCACGATCTCCTGTTTCCGGCTCAAGAGCTCCTCCATATCCCAGTTAGCACTTATATATCGACCGTTCAACCACGCCTGTTTTTCCTGCGTCAACCACACTATCGTATCGGCCACTAAAGCTGGCTCATCAACCAATTTCTCCTTGGCAAACGGCGGCAAAATGGACGTGAGTTCCGTCGCTATACAGCCTGGATGAATTGCCCAAGCCACGAGGCCTTCATCTTCATATTCCGTGGCTGTGAATTCAGTTAAGCGTAAAAGTGCCAGTTTCCCTGTCTGATAAGCCGATCCACCAGGTCGCTGGATGAAAGCTGTGATGGAGGTCATATTGACAATGGTCTTTTCTCCACCTTCAAGCAGCAATGGTACAAATGCCCTGGTCATCAGGTACGTCCCCTTGAAATTCACCTCCCATGTATTCCACCAGGATTTCGGATCTGAATCGGCAATTCGCGCCGACTCTTCTAAACGTCCCGCATTATTAACGAGAATATCGAGGCCGCCAAAAACCTCCTTAGTTTTGTTAGCTGCATCCTCCACACTGGCTTCATCCGATACATCCAACTCCAATTTTAAAACTTGGGGCGCTGGATGGCCTGCCGCCTGCGCTGCGGCTATCAGGTCCTTTTCAACCTCATCGAGCGGGGTTCGGGCTCCTATTGCAATACCAGAGGCGCCTGCCTGTGCAAAAGCAATTGTGATCGATCGCCCGATACCTTTGGAGGCACCACTAATAAACACAGCACGACCCCGTTGCTTGCAATTTGCCGCGGTTATCGTCGGATATGTGTCATTGTATGTTTTGGACGTAAATGTAAATCCTGTGCTCGTCAGTCATCCATCGCATTTACGTGTTTGTGTAAGTCAAGGTTGAATCTACCCGCTGACGAAGGCCACGCCATTTCGACTGAAATACAAAAATGAATTTGTCAAGACTCGATACTGGTGAGGGAATTCAGAAAACCTCGCGCTAGGGTCGTTTTGCTCTTGGTATCGGCCTGGACTGTCCCCCATGTATACAAACCAGGTCTGTAATTATCGTGATGCCGATATTCATGTCTCTAGTTAGACAGAAAATCTGACAGAGTCTTACATCCCCGCCTTCATATACTTAACTTGCCGAATGCTTGATTTCTAATCTCCATCAAACGCACAATCCAATGTTATCCTTGTCTTGCCGGCTCGGTACATATATTAGAAGGCATTATTATCATGGGCAGTGGCGACCTTCACTGATTTTGTTGGCACTAACGATCTAGAACCACAAGGCATGTGGCAATGGCACGAAATACGAAGATGCTAGTATGCATGTATCAATATACAGGCATCGACAAGTAGGTTGAGTCTAACAATTCCCGCCTTACAAGAATACGGATCCTTCAAGAAATTGGACCGTAAGCCCTAAGGAGAAAGAATCCCGATTTCCGAACATTGCACTGCAGATTACCCGACCCGAGACGGTCGATTGACTAAATATGAGTAAAGAGATTTACTATTTGTATATACTCTTGTAATTTGGAAACGCGAATTGATCCAATTCCTATTATGATCATGTTGAAAAGCTGAGCCGAACAAGTCTTACCGACCCAACCGCCAGGACGGATCAGACATTAGACTAGGAACTCTCAATAGCGGAAATAATCTCCGGTAACAATGAGGCCGTGAAGTTCCAAAGAATCCCCGAGCTGTGCGAAAGAAAGGCCGCACCAGTATACCAAGTATTCTGCTGACCCTGCAACGCCTCCAACTTGCTATAGAACCCATCTTCTATAACATCGGCTGAGACAACTAGCTTAAAAGGCGTGTGACTGCGGAACTCCACAAAGGTCGGCGCGTGGGTAGTAGTCGAGTTTCCATTAGCTGTAACCTGTAGTCGCTGGACTACCTCTGATACCGCCGCTTCCACCTCGGCTTGGGTTTGCACATATGGACTCGCATACCAAACGTAGAAGAGACCTGTAACGCGTGATTCGGTAACTTGGTAGGGTGCTGGAAGCGTGGGGATGTTGAAGTCTGTCGTGAAATCGGCTACGGCATTAATGAAACGGTATCCGGCTGGTAAACCAGTATTGTTGATAAGCATGGTATAATATGCGCCGTAATCCCACTGCGAAAATAAATCGGACTCTTCTGTGCTCAGGTTGAATGGTTGCATGTTCTCAAGCAGTGGCGGAATACTGATGAGCAGTTGTGATGCTTGAATCAATTTGTTTCCTGTAGGAGTCTGTACCACGAGGCTCACACCGGTACCATTTGTTGAGCGCTGAGCAGAGACAACGGTCGATGAAAGAAGGACGTCCGAACCCAGTAGAGCCAAAGCTTTGGCAAATATTCCCCAATTGTTGTGGTCGGAAGTTACCACATCTCCGCCAGATAGGGCATCCAAAAAGGAGCCATCCACGTACTTGAAAACATTGACAGTCAATTGATTCAAGAAGTTGGTAGTTCCTTGAGCGTTAAAATAAACGCTATATGCAAGGTCTTGTTGGCTGTATTTCTCAACGAACTCTGAGAATGGAAGTAAGAGATCCGAAGGTACGGGGTTGGGGAGGTCCCAACTCCATTCTATGTATGGATATTTGTTGAGCTGTTCCACGTACACCGTATAATCCTCGCCAACGGAGATGTTTAAAGCATCTCCTCTCGTGAAGTCCGCATAGACGTTGGTGAGGTTATCAACTGTCCATACACTGACGGGAATGTCGAGATACTCGAAGTAATCGTGAGTAGTCGTGATGTTCCAGAACGTCTGCACCCCATAGTCAAGGCTCGTTCTAGTAGCGGGATCCGTATATGAATTGACGTGTCCGCCTAGGTAGGCCTCTTTCTCAACTAATACCACGCTCTTTCCTAGACGTTGAAGGTTGACTGCACCGTATGTACCTGAAGAGCCACCACCGATAACAGCCACATCCCGAACTATAACATCCTCGGTGGCGTAGCTTCTGGGGTCGAACTGGCTGCTGGCAGCTAGACCAAAGTAGAGGATTGAATAAGTAGGGACTCGCATGATTGCCAGTATTGTATATTGAAGTAGCAAGAACCAATGGAGGAAGTATGATTTACGAAGATCATCGGTTGCTTGACTGAGCTTATAATCCGCTTTTATCCTTCAATACAGTCGTGACCTTGCAGTGGGGCGCTATATATAATGTATATCAGCCCCAAAAGCCTAAAATGAACGCCTAACTGCAACTACCTTCTAATATAATTTCGGTGAATAGCCCGCTGATAGCTCATTCAGGTAAACTGACAAGCACCTCTTTGCGGCCAGAAATTGCCCGTACTTCCGGGGAAGTATCGCCCGATCTCACGGAACCCCGGTCAATTGAACTCGCTAGTATTCTGAAAATATAATGAAGCCTTAAACGACGTTCATCAATTTGGCGTCTTTTGTTTCCGCCCTCGTATCGAGCCAATCTCGTGGTCTAGGTCTGCCCTGGTTAAGGCGCTCGAAGGATTAGGCTTATGGGCAAGCGAACGACCGAATCAAAGCCGGAGAAAAGATTGCTGAAATTTGTTACTAATGATTTCTCGGACAATTTTATTCCGCATTGTATTTAGCACTAGATCCCCCCGTGCATCCACTAATGCGCTCAAATCGAAGGAAACAAGCCGACAGGATCCTCACTGCAGGCATTACTGGCTAACTTTACTGGCTGATTATGCCAGGATCATTGGGCTTCAGCTGACAGACACACTCAATTATTTTAGGAGGCCAAGCCAAGTCTGGGTACTGGGAAATTTGAGCAGCCCCCCCCCCCCCCCAGTCAAACTTGCATGGGCCCGTACACGGATGCATATGTAGCTGGATAAACATAAACAGATCGACAACTTTAATTTATTGAAAATCCGGGTTGGAAAGGCTGCAATATGTCTTAGTAAGAAAGTCGAACCAGTTTATAACTTATTTGGCATCTACCAGGACCTATCAAAGCATGGGATGTCTTACTAGATACTCTGAACCATGCAATTGAACTTTCGACATCAACCTCAACTGCTCAGCAGGAGTGGTACGTCCGGATAAACTAACTAGGCAGTAATTTAACTTTGACTATTTAGACGTGGACCTAGTAAGAAGTCCATGGTCCTCTTTTATCATATCTGCCGCTTTCTCTGCCACAGCGTAGACGGTGGCTAAGATGGCAGTGCTCAGCTGCATCGGCATAACGCTAGCATCTACAATACGAAGTCCATGAATTCCTTTAACACGTAGTCTAGAATCTACCACTTGACCCATAGCGCAGGTACCCAAGGCGTGGTGATAGCTCACGATACGCTCGCGCACAAACGCGCGAGCCTCCTCCAAATTATCCATGTTGACCGAGAGTGGGGGATCCACTCGTTTTATGACAGAATCCTTGATTCGATCAGACTTGAAGACTCGATCGGCAAATTTGATGCCAGCTGCGAGGACATCCACGTCGGCAGGGTGGGAAAGGAATCCGGGATCAATCAGCGGAGCATCAGAGACATTAGCAGAGCGAATATGTACATTGCCACGAGATAGAGGGTACATGTTGCTCAGAACTAAAGAGTAGCAGGCGTTATGGTCCGGTGGCGGCCCCGCCATCAATTTGCCAACATGATTATAGCCCTTTGCAATGTTGAAAAAAGCAGGAGAGCCCACTACCTGAGTGTCTGCGGCCTTCGGATTTCGCATACGGGCTACAATTGCTTCTTGCTGCTTTCTTTGAAATTCAGCATTTTGAGGGCGGAGCCCAGGATTTACCGTTGACGAAGCTTCAGTGATTTGTTGCAGTGTCTCCTCAAGCTGTTCCGAGCTGACTTGAGATGAAAAAGGAATATATCCGAATAGGTTGATAATTCCCGACAATGCTCCCGAATTGTGCTCGTTATAAAGGCGTTGATGTTCTTGGAAAACTTCAGGGTCTTTCAAAGAATCGAGTGAGATAAGTCCAGGAGCAAGCTCATAAACTACTGCTGACATTGTATGCTCTTGTAGATTGTTGCCCACGTCGGAATTTGGTACCAGGCAGGGTATATTAGCCTCTTGGAGAACTCTCGGGTCTCCAATTCCAGAAAGCTCGAGTAATTGAGGGCTTTGGAAAGTTCCGGCGCTGAGAATAATCTCTTTTTTGGCCTTCAAGACGTATGATTTTCCTTCATGTTGTACCTCTATACCACCAATCTGATAGGAACTACTAGTGGACCGTTTTAAGATAACCCGGTTTGCCACAGTATTAGTCAATACTTTCAAATTAGGGCGCCCAATATTCGGCGCCAAATAACCACTGCCTGCGTAGCTTCTAGTTGGTTTTGTGGTTCGGTCTATCGTAAAGATAGATCGAAAGAATCCTTGATGGCATCCACTGTTTGGGTCTGCTGGTCGAGCAATACCCGAAACCTCGTCCAAAGTGGGAAGAAGTGTCTTCTCAAAAGGCAGCTGCCATGGTGCCAAAGAGGTAATAATTGTTCCATCTACGCCATGGTAACTGGAGTTGAGAGGACTGTCTTCAAGGTTTTTTGATAAGTCCGATGTCAACCGCTCGCTTCGTTTGAAGTAGGGTAACAAGTCATCCCAAGACCATCCCGAGATCCCCAACTTCGAAGACCAGTCATCAATATCTTCTGCGCACGGCCGACCATAGGCCATGAAATTGATTGCACTAGAGCCTCCCAGCATCTTACCCCTTGGTAAATGATATGCCCTATCTTTGGTATTTTTCTGGGGAAAGTCTCATTAGTCATTGCTAGGACAAGACAAGCTAGTGACTTACCTGCGGTACACTTTGAAAGTCCCAATCATACTCGGGATCCTTTATCATCATCCCAACTCCAGAAGGCAAATCGACTTTCGGATCTCCTAATTTTGAACTACCCGCTTCTATCACCCCGACACGAACATGATCCTGTTCTGAAAGACGAGCGGCCAGCACTAGACCTGCGGTACCACCACCCACGATCAAAAAGTCGAATGACTCCTGCAAGAACGCACCAATTGTAATTTGCTCCATTATATTCAGAGTATAATTGAGAAGTAGTCACACACTTGAATGGGGTTTCTTACCTTGATGAAGAAGACATGTGGGAAATTTCTCATGCAAGTTTTACAGTGCAGTCATGTATAGCCCATCCTAATTAGGAAATATAGGAGTTGGGTGGGTTAATTGATATGTTGGAGAACCGCTCCGTACACTATGAACTTCGGTATTATCAAAGCTGAACATCATGACGAGTACCGCGAGAAAGTCACCTTGCAAGACCCATAAAAGTTGATTGATGATAAGAAACGTAATACGTATTGACTACTAACGACCCTACGACTACATGAGCATGTCTGAAGTGAGTATTACAATTTAAAATGGTGTCGGCTTTCGGCACACACTGAAAAAGGAATCGGACATGTCGCGGAGCGAAAGAACTTCGCGCTTGCCGCTTTCCTATTAGGAAAAGTATCGGGAAAATTTCCTAAAACGAAAATTAGCCCTAACATCAATCCTCTGACCTGCAATCTATCATCATTAGATCAATATAAATGAGCCGGTGAATGGATGTAATATCAAACTCTTTGTTATATATTATACATGGGATGAATAAGCTACTTAGCCAACCATGGTAAGTATCAGCGGGGAGCGGAGTTTAACTCATCCACCTGAAGCTGATATTTAACTTGCGAGAACCCGATTAGCGTGACAGTCTTCGGAGACGAAGCTACTATTGGCGCACCTTTCATGTAATATAGTGCCCTGATATTAATAGAAGTACATGAGGCAACAATTCTGGTACAATTTGGATCTGATAGCTTCAAGAAACTTCAACAGGTGGCAACGATAAGACGGGCCAGGCCGAGCCGCCGAGGGTGTCTCTGACTTCGTATCACTCGATGTTACTTACCTAAAGAGGTACTAGGTGTACCACAGCTGAAAATGGCACAGATAAAGCAATGAAAAACGACATTCGGGAGAACGTGATAAGCCTCATGTCGAATTAAGGTCTATAATATGTGCGGAGCAGTCAAACGCATTAAATGGGCCGGACGGAGTAGTGGGTAGACCAAACATCAAGGTGCTTAGGTGCCAGCTTTGGGTGGGATGCTAGTCCACGCGTCCCACAAGTTTTACGATCTCATACATCACGGAGTGATGGAGTGCTCCATGCAGTATTTTCTCTAGTACCTCGAATTATAGTCTCGCACCATAGACGTGTGCGCGCCAATGTACTTGGCCATTAATTGCTTTTGTGAGCAGACCGTAAGATTAGAAATTTTGGGTACATATAGATCTGCTCTATCAGATCTTGATATTTTCAAACTGCCTCCTGTCATCAGTCAGAAATCTAGTCGACAATGTTCCAGTGTGAGTTTAGTATCAAGTGAGAGTCAGATTCAGTATTAGGGCTCGTATTCACTCTTCAGGCCCCCCACTTGGGCTGGAGGAGCGTTAAAATTTTAGGACGCGGTAGCCCCCATGCACCAAATTAGTTTAAATTGACCCCTGTAGTTCGCTAACGGTACACACCAAGTCTCTGTGTTGCTTCAACGGGTTTGGGCCGTGCGCATCCTCCATTTTGGAATTCCCTTTAAGTTTTCGTTACATGTGGCAGAGCCTATTCATACGGGATTGAAAAGACAAGAAGTACCTCACGGGCATGGATCAAGCTTTGGCTTGCGCAGTGATATCGTGTATGTATATTCTAACTACCTACGGGGAGATTTTGAGCCTATAAGAAGCCTTAAGTTTTGTGTTTACATGCGGATCAAGGAGAGCCGTACACTGGTCACTCAGCCACTAATTGAATTCAACATTTATATTAATTCGATAAGGTTGAAATCGCGCTTGGGTATCTTAAAATGAAACTAGTGACCTAGTCAGCTGAATTACTCGCAATCTGTTACCCAACGACGTTTAGGTTTCAAACTTTGACCATGTTCTATCGACACGTTTTGTTCAAGGTGTGATTAGCTTATAGTTTTGGTTAATAATTAACCTCTAGTTGGCCCATAAGGTACAGCAGACAGCTCTAGTGCTAACCCTAGCACTCACAATAGATATTAAACTTAGCACAGTGGCTTACAGAAGGCCTCGAAGATGTGATTAGCTTATAGCCTAGGCCGATACAGTAACGAATCCTTGTCAGGCAGGGGGCCTTAGTGCAAATTCCGAGCTACTCCGGGCCAATAACCTTGAGCCATGACTCCGTTTAAATGTTGGTCACAGCCTTCACGACTAATGATAGTATGATATTCTTCATCTACTCTGCAAGGGCGGGGATGAAAGTCCGCATACCCGGCTTTGATTAGTAAATTGACTGAGTAGGGGTCGGATTCTGGATAACATTTGGTGTATAAGCGGCAAATATACATTGATTCACGTGGCTATTACATGAGCGGTAGTACCGAATCACGTTCCTAATCTTAGCTCCTAGACTATTATGGGAGCAGGCATACGGACCAACCTATTATATACCAAGATACGTGAGCTAAAAGAGTCTGGTATATCTCAGAGAGATTGCTCGCAACATCCACTAATTGTTAGTCATAGGGGTTTAAAGCTTATGTATGAAGTGAATTCATTAATATTTGATGTTCTTTAATTGAGAACGATCAGGTGGCGGTTCCGTGGAATTGGAAGACTCATTTGAGCTTGTACGATTTCACTAAAAACATAGACATAACATTCTTCATTCTGGTCCTCGCAATCAATAAAGATATTTGCGACATGAACGCGGACGCAGGTGACTCATCAACGGTACAGGCGCGACGAGGACGACAGCGTCCCGGTTCGGCATGTGAAGAATGTCGAAGGCGCAAGTTACGCTGCGACGGTCAATCATCACAGTGTGGAGTCTGTCGCGAGACTGGAGTAGAGTGTATCGTCAGTACAAATCGTCCTCGAGGACCAAAGAAGGGGTACTTGAAGGCGCTGAAAGATAGAGTTGGTATGGTACAAATTGCTGAAGACCGTGAACATCTGCACAACGCGTGCTAATGCGAAAGCTGCCCGTAGAGTTGTTAGAAAGTCGTTTAGCTGCTGCAAATCAGGCAGGACAGAATATCGAGCCGTTGGTGATACTGAGCGAATCGACTGATGGCACTGACATCGGCGAATTCGAGTTCAGCGAAACCTCACCTTCACAGACAAGGAATACGTCCATTTCCGATATAGACATTCCAACAGAATTGATCACGAAATCAATGGCGTATTCCTCTTCTCTCGCAGACAACATGATAGGAGTTACTTCGCGCTTGAGCGATGCGTCTCCAGCCACTTCCATTAGAGCCGAAAAGATATCCTTATCAGAACCGAAAACTTCATCACCGAACCAAATGCCAAAGTTAAACCCAATTCCCACCACAATGATTTCTAGTGGCACCCCTCCACTTCCCGATATAACACATGCAGAATTGTAAGTCCTCAACATTCTGAACTGCTGCTGAGGCCCAATCATATTTTCAAGCAAAGTACGGCGAATGAGATGATTTTATGACTGTATTATGCTAACAATGATGCTAGGGATCAACTCTACTTTGATCGAGTTCATGATTCAATTCCAATTTTGCATCAACGCCGATACTTATCCTGGTCTAAAGACAGTAATAAGAAACCATCCAGGGTCTGCCTGCAGTATGCAATGTGGACTCTGGCTACGCTTCTTTCTATCCAGTTTCGGTACCTTCAAGAATCTCTGTACCAGGACACAAAGCAGATTCTGGAATCCTTGAGTCTCAGTAGCCACGGCCAGAATTCCGTAGATACCGAACAGGTTCAAGCTTGGATTTTGATTGCTACATTTGAGTCTATGCGGACACTTCATCAAGAAGCATGGATGAGCGCTGGACGGGCATTTCGTCTGGTTCAAATAATGGGACTGCATGAAATAGACCTTCTAAACCAAGATGCATTTCCGAGGGCAAACAGTCACACGACAGATCTTATCGAAATTGAGGAACGACGTCGAATGTTTTGGATGGCCTATCTTCTTGATCACTTGCTCAGCATGCGCAATAGCTGGCCTGTCACGCTGACCGAGCACATGGTACATATCCTTGTCTCATTATGAACCTTTAACAAACGCTTACCTATTAATCTCATATAGATCTGCACTCGTCTTCCTGCTTCAGAGCTAGAGTTTCAGAGCGGCCAGCAGACATTGGGAGATTTTCTTTCCGAAGTCATACTAGAACACAGACCCCGGGTTAAGTCAGGCTTCAACGAGTGCATAGTTCTAGCAACCATTTGTGGACGAAGTAAAGCACATGGGCAACGGTATATCGTACGCCGTGCGTATGGAGATATTGCACCCGAATGGCCCAGTGAGCGGGAGTGGTTAGATACCATCCTTACCAGTCGCCTCCGAATATTGTCTCAAAATTACCTCTCGCTGGCGGATATGTACGACCCGTTGAACCTGTTTTCAAATATATTAGGTCAAGTCACAATCATCCATCTGTGTCAAGGTATGGAATCTGCCTTATGGGGTACGAGCGAATGGGCCAGACAGGTGGTGCCATATCAGCAACATGCCTTAGCTGCTGCTGAGCGGATCATCGCTCTTGCCGGTGCCCTTAAGGAATACCAACCCTTCAAGGTACGTTAGAGTTTGATTAGCTCAATAACGGTGTTTTACCACATTTCCCCTTTAACTTCGAAGTGGCTGACAGCCTTTCCAGGTCCACCCACTGATGCCAATTCCGCTTCTGTTATGCGCTGAGTACCTTTATAGCAACAGACTAAATCATGAATCTTTCGTTGCGCGACTGGAAGAACTATTAGATATATTTCGGCAATTGAAGAATGTGAATGACCCTACGAAAAGTTATATGCACCTCCTGAAGATGTCTAGTACTTCTATGTCCGCGTTTTTGACCGAAGAAAACCTATACTCGGTGTTATAAGCTGGTCTACGAAGTAAAGAGAGAAAGACAGGGATTACATACTTTGGGGTTATCTTTGCGTGGGATTCTGGTAGAATAGGCAATAGAACTATCCAAAAGACGACTTGGCATTTATAAGCCTTCTGCTAGGAATCGAGCAGAAACACGCTACTGTATTCACTTCTTCTTAAGCCCGTAGGTGGTGTTCCTGCGCTCCTCCATGTGTTCCTCCACCGTGAGCGCCTCATCTTCACTTTGAACCTTCGAGTCTAGCCGACGCAGTTTGTAATCGATATTACCATCAAAGAAAAAGACGATACTGTACCTATCATTACTGTTCCTGTTTATCACGCGATGAATGCTGCTCTTATAATGCCCATCTGTAATCCGGCTGATCATGTCCCCCATATTGATCACGTATGCGTCTTCTTTTGGTGGTACTGGGATCCACTCCCCGGTTTCTCGATCTTGTATCTCTAATCCGGCATGTTCATCCTGCAACAAAAGTGTTATTGCCCCAAAGTCTGTATGTGCACTACTGCCCAGTTGTCGCTTCTGTCCCTCGACCGGCTCTGGCGTAGGCGGGTAATGAAGGAGGCGGAACGGACAAGCCGGGTCATTGGCTTTCCATTCATCAAAGATATTTGGCCCATAAGGTAGAGTTGCTGCCACTAGATCCATTACAGTCCAGCAAAGTTTCATCATGGCCTCAAAGTATGTCTCGAGCGGTTGGCGGAAGTCTTCCTTCTTAAGTAAAGACTCAGGAGGCCACACATTCGGTCCCATAAAGAAGCGTCGATTGATGACTCGAAAATCGTTCTCCGACATGTCGGTTCCCATCATGAAACCTTCCTTGAGATCAGGGAGAACACCAGACTCATATGATTGCGACGCCATAGCATCGTAACCACGAAATCCTACATTACGTCGACAGTCCATGCCAAGCTTGACATCTGTTGGAAGGGCGAAAAATCTCTTTCCGGCGTCGAAGACAGATTGCTGCAATGTGCGAGGGATTCCATGACCCAACAATTGGAAAAATCCAGTTGATCTGCAAGCGGTACGAATATCGTCAATGACTTTTTGAGCTTCAGAACTGTCAGGATCTTGTAGATATGGCGTAATATTTACAGATGGTAAATAGAAAGAGGATTTAGTTGAAGAAGGCATTTTTCGTTTGTCTTCGGGTCACTGATTTTTGGTTTAAAAAGTGCTATGAATCTGGTATATACTGAGAATAGACCTGTCCAATACCTAAACATGTATTTATACTCAATATGAGACATTCATTGTGCATGACCATATATCTGACAGACTAGACGATAGATGATTGGTCATTACTAGGTACGGTCTTTCTTCTGGAGACCGCTGTTTGCATTCCCCGCGCATGCGGAATTGTTGTAGGTAGCTACTTTGTTCTCACCAGTATTGTCCACTCATAACTTTCCACTCTTGCACTATCCTCGTGTCTTCGCTCGTTCCCAGGACTAGGAAACGAACCCCTATCCTGACTGGAAGCCAGATGGACCGAACCGCCTCGTTCATGCAAGACCATGATTTGTCAATAGCAAGGTATCATGTAATATGTCGATCCCACTGTTGTCTTTCGTTATATCGTGACCTAGCCTCTAAGGATGTATCTCTTAGGGGGCTAGGGGCGTACCGGTTCGTAAATCCCCCGAGCCGAACGCGAGCGGGACCGAAGCTGTCCGCTCCAGAAACTTTAATCTAGCCCTAACTCCAACGTTTATTGAAAGCACATATTTCCCCATTGAGGCATGGCTCGAGAATGACAGCGGATTATTTGTGACAGTCGGAGTAAAGTACCTATTAGGAGATATACGAAGTACAATTGGCATGGATAACATATAGTTTAAGGCTACATATACGAGAAATCCAAGGCACATATGTACTTTGATCTAGGGTCTCGATTGTCGTGGGCCACGATAAGGTCACAAGTATCACACTCTAGTACATATGCAGCCATCTCCAGATATGTGAGACTTGCACGCTTTTAGCGACTGAGAATATATGATTATATAGTTATCTTATCCGCGGCTGACTAGACCAAAAGAAGAGTAGAGAAATCGACCCCAATTATCAAATCTCTTAAGCTCTTGCAAGGTATGCATACGTGGATAACGGAGATAGGCTCAAAATGCTTACTCATTTTCTGGAGCTCCTTGCTTTAGTTGTGAGAATCGTGCAATCTAATCACGCATTCACTCATATCCCTACATGGATTGTATAGCATCACGATTCAGAAAGCCGTCGAAAACGATATAATGGCACGGGAACAACCAGACTCAACTCTCCATCTTCCACGTATTCTCTGCCTTCATGGGGGAGGGACAAATGCCAAAATATTTCGAACACAATGTCGACGTATAATCAGTCAATTGAAAACAGAATTTCGCTTCGTGTTTGCAGATGCTCCATTCTCTTCGCAAGCTGGTCCAGATGTGCTATCAGTATATAGTCAATGGGGACCATTTCGGCGCTGGTTACGTTGGCGGCCAGAACAGCCAGAACTTACGGCTGAAGAAACAGTGAAGGCTCTTGACGACTGTTTAAATGAAGCGATGAGATTAGATGACCTTCAAGGCGCGACGGGTGAATGGGTGGCACTTTTGGGGTTCAGTCAAGGAGCGAAGGTCTGCGCCAGTCTACTATATCGCCAGCAACAAAGAGAACGACGTCAAAAACAACAGCTATCATCATATCCAAAATTTCATTTTGGCGTTTTGCTTGCTGGGCGTGCACCTCTAATTTCTTTGGAAACGAATCATAATGAGGATCGAAGCGCCGAACCGAGCCCTCCATTACCAGACGCCGCGCAGATGACAGACTTTGCCTACAATGACTCAATGCTTATGTTTTTCAAGGGGCATTTCCTGCGAATCCCCACAATACATGTCCACGGATTACGAGATCAGGGCTTGGAATTACATCGTAAACTCTATAAGGATTATTGCGAGCCTGGGAGTAAGTCACTAGTTCAATGGGATGGTGATCACCGTGTTCCTTTGAAACGAAATGATGTAGATATGGTTATTTTTGAGATTCGTGAGCTAGCCAAACAGACAGGAGTCAATTGAGCATACTGACAATAAGTTGATATGCGATGATATTGGCTATCGCTTCCTCACTACAACGTCAGCATGAGAATAGGGTAATCGTATGTTTGCAGGTCTCTCCGCGTATACGCCCTGAATAAGTCGGATTCAAGACTACACGACACACGATCTGGGCAAATAATTATGATGCATCTATCTATCATTGAAATGATATCTCGCAGACTATTTCCTATCCGAGTCTTTTGATCCTTCATTAATGTAGATCCACACAGCTAAATTTTTTGCCGAACAGTCAGATGTCAAAACATACCTTAGAATAGACGTATAATTAATAAGCTTCGTGGCCCCCAATACCGGACTTACATAATGTTATAGCCTTTCAATGCTATAGCATAAGTATAGGTTATCTTCGGATTATCTTTTTCGGCTCCGTGTACATCGAGACTGACTATCTTTGCAAGAGATCCATTCGTCTACTCCGTACTCGGTTCTGTTTATATCAGGAGCTGCGAGATGAAAGCGGATATTTCCTGCCGCCCTGACCGAGCTGGCTGGCGTAATCTGTATTGATCAGTATTAAAATACTTGGCCAATCACGAGAGAAACCATGACACACATGTCTTTCTATCTGTAGAGATTCTTCAGCAGCCAAGAGCCTAGGACTTCTTGATACAGTGTGTGCCTATTATACTAGTTTGAGCGAGCTAATATCGACCTAGCCAATTTCTACACGAATGGCATCTCTCCAAGATTCTTTGATCTATGGGAGACAAGTCGATACACGAAAGCTCGGGGGGAGATAAGAACAGTTTCAGGGTTACTGTATTCTAGTATAAATGTTATTCTACGGCTTCGTGGTCCCTGTCTTGATTATTTTGACTTTTTGAATTCGAAATTTATCTTCAAATCAATTTTATTTCAACCTTTTGGTCTTGGCCTATGACAAGCTTCAACGCTGGCTAGGCACATCTTGCTAAAAGGAGAACTTGGTCTTGACGGAGTCTCAATAAAAATTGACACTTTGTATCGACTATACATTTCTGATAATAATCACCATGGATGGGTCTACCTTATTTCATTCTCAGGAACAACATCCAACACTCCTGGTATTCGGTCCTCAAGCTCTCAACTTTGATATCGTAGCTTTCCAAAAGCTTCGGACTCAGCTACATGAGGAAGCTCAGCACCAATGGGCACTCGAAGTAGTTCATGAATTACCCAGTCATTGGGAGACGGTCTCCAAGAAGATCAGTCTTTTTCAATATATAGATGGCAAACAACAATTAGAAGAGCTCAGCGCAGCTTTAGACAATAGCGAACTACCATTATCCTCATTTCCGCTTTCGAACATCCTTCTCAGTCCCTTGGTGGTAATTGCTCAATTGACCCAATACAGGGACTTTTTGCACGCTGCTTTTCCAGAGCTGAAGGAAACTGACAGGTTTCCTGCATGCTTAGCGAGCAGCATAGAGACGCTGGGTTTGTGCACGGGCACTCTAGGCGCATTTGCAGTGGCTTGCTCGTCTACATTAGCGGAGCTTTACATTTATGGAAAGACAGCGGTTAGACTGGCGATGCTGCTCGGTGCCTTGGTGGATGCAGAAGAGTCGTCGCCAACGAGTGATGGGAAATCATCATCGTTTTCGGTCTCTTGGAACTCTGTCAAGTCGGATGAGGTGTTGACGAGCATTCTGCAAAAATTTGATGAGGTGAGAAGGACCCCGTATTATTCAGTTCAGACAGAATGTTGATGTAGAAGTGGCAGACCTACATTTCTGTATTCGTAGACGAGAAGCGAGCTACAGTGACAACATCCGAAAAAACAGCTTCTCTATTAATCCAGGAATTGAAGGCGGCTGGTCTTCACATTACACCAGTTGCGCTCCGTGGACGCTTCCACTGGCAAAAGCACGAGAAACTCGCGCAACAACTATTCCAGTTCTGCAACGTTCACCACAACTTCCAATTTCCGGAGACGTCAAAGTTGCATTTTTCGACTAGGTCAGCCGCAGGTGGGCAATATATCACCACAGGCGACCTGCATATTTTGGCCCTTCGAACAGTGCTTCTTGAACAAGCGCGGTGGTACAAGACTGTCAGTGTTACCTACTCATCTCAATTTGGTTCAAACGATTCTTCAGTGGTATGTTTCGGCTCAGAGCGTTGCGTTCCACCTAGTATCGCGCGAAAGCTTGGATCTCGTTTGATTTATGCCTCAGAGATCGATCTAAAGACCTCCTCAAAGCCCGCACAACTATTTGGCAATACTAAGACCAAAGACCCGAAAGATTTACCCGACGACCGTATTGCCGTCATTGGAATGGCTGCACAGGTCCCTGGCGCCGAGGACATCATAGATTTCTGGAAAGTCCTGACTGCAGGCAAATCTCAGCACAGAGAAATCCCCACACAACGGTTCGAGATGGAAACTGTATGGCGAGAATCTGATCCTAACCGCAAGTGGTATGGCAACTTTATCGATGCATATGACGCCTTTGATCATAAATTCTTCAAAAAGAGTCCCCGAGAAATGGCATCTACAGATCCCCAGCATCGATTGATGTTGCAAGTCGCCTATCAAGCCGTTGAGCAATCCGGGTATTTTGCGTCGGACTTTGACAAACATATCGGATGTTATATGGGAGTCGGTAATGGTGACTACGAGAGCAACATTGCGTGTCATCCTGCCAACGCATATTCAGCTACTGGTAATCTCAAAAGCTTCCTCGCGGGCAAAATTAGCCACTACTTTGGTTGGACGGGGCCCAGTCTCACTCTCGACACGGCCTGTTCGTCGTCGAGTGTAGCAATTCACCAAGCTTGTCGTGCTATTATCAACGGCGAATGCACTACTGCCCTTGCCGGTGGCGTCAATATGCTCACGGGTCCTGACTGGTATCACAACCTAGCTGGTGCGTCCTTCTTGAGCACTACGGGTCAATGCAAACCATTCGACGCCAAGGGTGACGGCTACTGCCGCGGTGAGGGTGTTGCCGCCGTGTATCTGAAGAAACTTTCCTCCGCGATAGCTGATGGCGATCACATCTACGGTGTGATCGCGGCCACGAAGGTCTACCAGAATCAGAATTGCACTGCAATCACAGTCCCAAATGCAATCTCGCTATCTCAACTATTTGGAGATGTGGTACGACAAGCCAGGCTCGACCCGAAAGAGGTCTCGGTCGTAGAGGCTCACGGGACTGGAACAGCAGTCGGTGATCCTGCAGAATACGACGGAATACGGAAAGTCTTTGGTGGGCCGGATCGTCCCAACATCCTATCTTTGTCATCTGTCAAAGGTTTGGTCGGTCATACCGAATCCGCTTCTGGAGTGGTTTCATTGATCAAAACGCTCCTCATGATACAAGAAGGAGTGATTCCCCCTCAAGCAAGTTTCACAACCATCAATCCATCGCTCAATGCTGTGCCTGAAGATAAGATCAATATCTTCACACAGGCTAAACCATGGGATGTTGACTTCCGAGCGGCTCTCATCAACAACTATGGTGCATCCGGTTCAAATGCTTCGATGGTTGTTACCGAGGCGCCCAGTGTCCATTCTTCAAAATCTGCCACGCCATCCGCAAAGAAGCACCCATTCTGGTTCTCTGGTTCCGAAGAGAGTCATGTTCGCGCCTATATCGCCAAACTCAAGGTATTCTTGCAGCAGAAAATTGCATCAGGAACAGAGCCTGCACTAGGTGATCTTTCCTATCAAATTTCCCGACAGTCAAATCGTTCTCTTCAACGAGGTTTGATTATCGATGCTAGCTCTTGTAGCGATTTGGTCACGAAAATCGATGGGAATCCAGCAACTACTCAAATTCAAAGTGCCAGGCCTGTGATTCTGGCCTTTGGCGGGCAGATCTCCACCTGTGTTGGCTTGGATAAGGAAATATATGAAGGCATCGCCGTCATCAGAAACTACTTGGATCAATGCGATGCGATGTGCAAATCACTCGGACTCGATTGTATCTTCCCTTCTATATTCCAACGATCACCCATCGAGAATATCTTGCAGCTTCAACTCGCACTGTTTTCCACGCAGTACTCTTGTGCCATGGCATGGATTGAAAGTGGAGTGAAAGTCGCTGCAGTGGTTGGCCACAGTTTTGGCGAGTTGACTGCTCTATGCGTCTCTGGCGTATTATCGTTAAAGGATGCTATCATTATGGTGGCTGGTCGAGCACAGCTCATCCAGAATACATGGGGTGCCGAAAAGGGCTCTATGATTGCTGTTGAGGGAAACTTTGCAGATATCACTACTTTATTGGACAAAGCTAAAGCTTCTATATCTGAGACCTTGTCCGGAAAGAAGTTAGAGCCATCGATCGCCTGTTACAATGGTACCAGGAGTTTTACACTCGCTGGAACCGCTAAGGCGATGGAAATCGTGAAAACCCTGGCTGATACCGATGCCACATTTTCAGAACTAAAAGTCAAGGCCCTCAATGTGACAAATGCTTTCCACTCAGATCTGGTCAATCCATTGGTAAACGACCTTGAAGCCCTGGGAAAGACTCTAACATTCAGACGGCCGTATATTCGACTGGAGAGGAGTACTGAGTTCAAGAGCACAAACGAGAGTCTGAGCGCCGAATTTGTCGCGAACCATATGAGACAGCCTGTGTTCTTCAACAATGCCGTACAACGACTAGCTACAGATTATCCAGAGGCCATTTGGCTTGAAGCTGGTTCCAACTCGACCATCACAAACATGGCCCGTCGCGCTCTGGGACAACCAACTTCATCACACTTTCAACCTATCAATGTCACCACCGATGGTTCTTATGATATGCTAGTCGATTCAACCATGAAGCTCTGGAAGGAAGGTCTAAATGTATCTTTCTGGGCACATCATCCCTCGCAAAAGTCAAAACACAAACCTATCATTCTCCCACCTTATCAATTTGAAAAGTCAAGGCATTGGATGGAATTGAAGAAGTCTATTCAACCAACGACTACGATAGTCCAAGAAGCTCCAGTACCCGAATTGCCAAAGGGTCTTACCACTCTTGTCGAATCACAGGACCACTCCCTTCGATTTAGAGTCAATACGGACTACGAAAAATTTGTCCATCTTGTTTCAAGCCATGTCCTCGTTGGTACCGCCGCAGTATGCCCCGGCATGTTTCAGATGGAAATTGTCTTGGATGCTCTGATGGGTCTCCGACCGGAATTTCAGAATCTAAGCTACGTGCCCGAGACGCAGACCATCAAGTATTTCAATCCCTTGGTTGTCGAACAATTCAAAACGGTATGGCTTGACGCTGATGCTCGGGACGCCGAAGGGCTTATCTGGGATTGGAAGTTGAGCGCTACAGAAATCACTGGTCGAGGCATGACTCAATATACAACCGGAACAATCCAGTTCCGACCAGCAAATGACATCCAAGCCAAGAATGACTTTGATAGACTCGAGCGTATGGTTGGGAGGAAGCGGTGCCTGCGTCTTCTGGAAAGCAACGATGCCGAAGAATTGCTCACCGGCCGCAATATCTACCGTGCTTTCTCAGAGGTAGTCAACTATAAAGAGGCCTACCGCTTCGTGACAAGAATTGTTGGCAGTGAGGATTTGTCGGCTGGGCGAGTAGTCAAGTTGCACGAAAAGGAAACATGGTTAGATAGCGTTTTGACGGACTGTTTCTGTCAAGTAGCGGGTATCTTTGTCAACTTGATGACTCAAAAGACTGCATTGACAGAAAATGGGATATTCGTGTGCGACAAGATTGACCGGTGGATGCGAGCGTCCAAAATTAATTCGAAGAAATTGTCTCTTTCTTCTTGGGAAGTTTTTGCTATACACGACAAAAAGTCAGAGACCAACTACGTTAGTGATGTTTTTGCTTTTGATTCCAGTGATGGATCTTTGATAGAGGTAGTTTCTGGAATTAACTACCAATGGGTACCTTTGGATGGTATACGGAAGGCTCTTTCAAGACTTTCATCAACTTCTGAATTGCAATTGCCTAGAGTCCAGGCTCCTGTGATGCCTACAAAGACCCAGGCATTAACCGCAGCTTCTGCTCCTACATTTGCTCCAATTAGCCAAAGCAACAGGGTTACCAAGAAGATAGTCGTCAAAAAACCGGCAAAGGCGCAAGGACCTGACATTTCAAAGGCGGCGCGCGAAATCCTCTGCAACCTCTCAGGGCTCGAGCCGGACGAGATAAAAGATGGTTCGGACTTGGTTGAGCTTGGTATCGATTCTCTCATGGGCATGGAACTAGCACGGGAGGTTTAAACCGCATTCAAGTGCACACTAGATAATGCACAACTGATGGATCTCACAGACTTTCAAAGTCTGGTAACATGTATTCGATCCACGCTGGGGATTGACGATGAAACTTCAGATGATGATTCGGACGAAGTTCAGACTCCCACCGAGGAAGACATGCCTGAAGTCAATGGAATTACTCCTCGTATTAATGGCACAAATGTCATTAGTGGTATCAACAGTGATAGTCAATCCGCAAAAAAGTCTCTCCTACCCGGATCGCTTGTGCTTGACGTTTTCCGCGAGGCCAAAGAAGCGACTGACACTTTTATCGCTAACGGTAACTTCGCCATGTATCATGACAAAGTCATGCCACGGTCAAAAGCACTTGTCATTGCACATGTTCTGAATGCATTTGAAGAGCTTGGCTGTCCAATCCGGTCTGCAGTGTCTGGTCAAAAGCTCGAACGTGTGCCCTATGTTCCCAAACATGAACAATTCATGAACTTGATCTATAACCTTGTGAGAGATGCTGGATTGATTGATATCAACGGCTCAGAGATCACACGGACTGCTGTTGCAGCACCACCTCCCGAGGCTGCGGACACCTTATTGGAAGAACTGTTACGCGACGGGCCGGTTCACGCAGCCGAACACAAGCTCACAGCTTTGATAGGACCTAAGTTAGCCGACTGTCTTATTGACAAAGCAGATGGCCTGAACTTGATCTTTGGAACTCCTGAAGGTCGCGAGGTCGTGTCAGAGATGTATGCTAAGTCGCCCATCAACTTGGTGTGGATTGAGCAAGCAAAATACTTCTTTGAGCAACTTGTCAGCCGCCTTCCTGCAGGAAACGAGCCCTTGCGTATTCTCGAGATGGGGGCAGGGACAGGCGGAACCACTTCGAATATCGTTCCACTGTTAGCTCGACTGGGTGTGCCCGTAGTATATACAGTGACCGACATCTCCTCTTCCCTAGTTGCAGCAGCCCGCAAGAGGTTCAAGAACTATCCATTCATGGAGTTCAAAGTGGTCAACATTGAAGCTACTCCAGATCCTAAGCTTCTGCACAGTCAGCATATTGTCTTGGCTACCAACTGCGTGCATGCCACGCGAGATCTGTCTGTCTCTACCAGAAATATCCACCAACTTCTGCGACCGGATGGATTTCTGTTGATGTTGGAGATGACCGTACAGGTGCCCTGGGTCGAGTTCACTTTCGGTCTCATAGAAGGGTGGTGGCTGTTTGAGGATGGTCGCACACACGCGCTATCCCCTGCAACGTACTGGGAGAAGGTTTTACGCTCTGTCGGATACGGCCACGTCGACTGGACGGAAGGAAAGCGGCCTGAATCTGGAATTCAGCGACTTATCATTGCCCATGCGTCAGATCCAAGGTATGATAATCGCGAACCCGAGTCGTTCCTTTCCCTGTCTCCGAGCACAGCATTAACAGACAGTTCAGGTCGCCAATCGGACATTGATCGCTATGTCCGGGAATACACGAAATTCTTTGATGCTGAGCTCGATACTAAACCAACATTTGGTCTCGCTTCGAGCGCAAGGTGCGTCTTGGTTACTGGTGCCACTGGGAGTCTAGGTGCCCACATCGTCGCCTACTTGACTCAACAGCGGCCCGATGTTGACAGTGTAATTTGTCTGAATCGACCCAGCACTACCGAAGCAAACACACGCCAGCGTCAGTCATTCGAAGCAAAAGGGATCTTTTTCGACCAGGAATCTCTGTCCAAGATTCGAGTCCTTGAAGCAGACACCAGTAAACCCTGTCTCGGACTACCCTTGGAGACATATCAAAATCTCGTCAGTAAGGTCACGCATGTGATTCACAACGCCTGGCCCATGAGCCTCACACGGACGATTCATGCCTATGAGACACAGTTCAAGGTGATGCGAAATCTCATCGAAATAGCGACACAAGCCACTGCCAATCGCTCATCCACATTTAGATTTGGATTTCAGTTCATTTCCTCGATCGGGGTAGTTGGCACACATCCTTTATTGACAAACCGGCCGCTGGTTCCTGAGGAACCTATGACGGCACGTTCAATCCTGCCGGTGGGATATTCAGAAGCAAAGCTAGTCTGCGAGCGTATGCTGGCTAAGACATTGAATTGCCATCCGCACCGATTCCGAGCAATGACGGTACGGATCGCACAGATCAGTGGATCCACCACAACTGGATACTGGAACCCAGTCGAGCACCTTGCCTTTTTGATCAAGTCGTCTCAGTCACTGAAGGCTCTCCCAGATTTAAAGGGCAATCTTTCATGGTGCCCTGTCGATGATGTAGCGGCTACACTAGGCGAGTTGCTCGTCTCTGAAACGAACCCGTATCCCATTTACCACATTGAGAATCCTTCACGCCAGCCATGGGCAGAAATGACGGCGATGCTGTCTGATACGCTGAAAGTCCCTCGCAATCAGATCATTCCGTTCAATGACTGGGTGGAGCGAGTTCGCAATCACAATGGTCCGATTGCTGAGAATCCTGCCAAGAACCTGGTCGAATTTTTTGATGAGCATTTCATTCGGATGTCGTGCGGTGGACTGGTCTTGGATACCATTCAGACTAGAGAGCACTCTACGGCTTTGCGTATGAGGGGCCCCGTGAGTCGTGAGCTTGTGTCGAAATACATCACCGCATGGAAACGGGCTGGGTTTCTGTCATGAGGTTAGACTGTCAGTTCCATGTTGGATAAATTCACGATGAGGCATATATCATGACTGTTATAAGGTATTGTAATAGATTTTGTTTATATATTCTTCGAGCTAATTAAGATCGATACGACTGCATCACAGTCTCCAAGATGTTAGTGTCTGATTGAGCGAGTGATATTGATAACAGAAGTGACGATGGATATCGGATCCGAAGGAAGGTGGGGCTGGCAGGCGGGCGGCACGTGCAACAACCGCGACAATCCGAGGGCTTGCGGTAAATTACGATTCGCAGTATCTTTCAACGTAATTTAATCTACATAGTAACAAATTGACTTTGACATGCCCGCTGCCTCAGGCTGTCACGTTACATACTGGGTACAAATCACAAAGTACAATGTGAGCCACTTGTGGATCTGATTCATTTGTTTCATCCATGCGATGCGTATGCGGAGAGAAGTCCAGTCTGCTATGTCGAGATCGTGTCTAACAAACGGCTATTGACTGATTGACTGACAGAGGGTTTGACTCATACCGCATGTGCTCAATCAATCAGGATAGAGCAATCGGCAAACCGGCAGTCAATGATTAATGTACGACTACTCCTCCGTACGTAACTACTGTATGTAGGTAATATTGAACTCGTGAGCATTGTGAAAACAGCTAGCGCTGATCAGCTCTCACTTACCGAGTTATCCCGCCAATTCGTCAATTACTACGTAGTATTGATGAGTAATGTTTCCTTGTAAAGCTGCAGTTTTGGCGGAGAAAAGTACAGTCGTCATAGATGGAAAGATGCATTGCTTGTGTATCTCCGGTGAAAAACTCGAGACTCTTTTGGGAGTACGATGGTATTGAGAATTCTAAGCCCATGATATTCATAGTCGTTCATCATATGTGGCCATTAATAGACCTTCCACATACGTACTTGGCTGTAACTGAACCATAACCGGACTACACGATGTATAGTTATACTACGTACGTACGGAGTAGGTAAGTGTATTGCGGATGCCAATACCGCGGCGATACCAGTATTTATATACATAGCGCCGGACTCGGCGTGCAAGCAATGGCAGCGTCAGACCCTGCCTGGTAACGTGACGATACGTACCGTACGGATGGATACACTAGGACCAATCCATACATCTTCCAACGCAAAAGCTGCTGGAAGCGGGTCACCTTCCCTCCCCACCTCCAAGGAAAGAATCTCTTGCCTCTTCCTCGTTCTGTGTCTTCTGCAAATATCTTCATGGTCGTCTTTGGGCTTCACCACATTCCGTGATCACAACCCTCGCCACGACCGTTCCCTCGTGGTTTGCCGACAGACGAGCAAAACACTGCTACCATTCTCGTCCGTGAACATCTTGGTACGAGGATAGGTCTGAGCCAACAAGAGAACGAGGGACGATCAGATAGTAACCACAGACGAAAATCACTCACCACACCGAAGCCTTGCTCGAATAGGAACATATAACTAATCTCTCTGGCTCTTTACACATACGTACACTGATCGATCGTCATTGGTATTTCGGAAGATTACTCGAAAGTCTGAAATATCGAATCGATAGCCGTCCCCGGATAAGTTCAGGCGAACATTCCATTCGACAGAAGCACCAGACAAAAGGCGGGGAGCTGCATGTGTATCGCATACCACAGCAGCACGCACAGCACCCGCACATAATTTGTGATCGCTCCGAAATAAGTATCTGGTCGACAAGCGAAATCAAGGCTCATGGCGAGTACTGAGCCTGCCGTTTCCGTTCCCCGCCGAGAGAACATGACGGCAACGTCAGGTATGTGTCAATGTCTGCATCCAGCCCGAGAATTTTCGAGTAAGGAAAAAAGAAAAAGAAAAAAGCCAAGTAAAAAAAAGTTGGCTTTACGCTAACTCCCCAAAAAAACAAAAAAAAATTTCATGCTAGCGGCAAACAGTATTTGGGCTAATGGGGAAATTATGTCTAGAAACGACCGCGTCAGAATCTCAACTAGGCCAGCAGCAACAATCATCCTCCTCCTCCACGCATGGCCTAAGCGAACAATCGAACCTCGAAGCGGGGCAGCCACATGCTGTCCGCTTTGCGTCGGTCAACCAAGAAATAGAACCGGATCGGTCGCTCCAATCCCCAAGTTCGGAGAAAGAGGCACCAACTGCCCCAGTTGCTGCCAATGGGGATGCCAATGCCAAAGACAACATTCGCTCGTTAGCTCTCAACCTACAAGATACTCGTCTGCAAGAGTCGCGGCTACGTCATTTCGCTTTCGAGCCTGTCTCTTTACCTGCATCAAGAGTATGTACCGCTCCCACTTCCCCCCACGCTGGCCTTGTTTGAAACGTTGGAGAGTCCAACCACGTCGCGGTGTTTTACTGCCGTGATTATGTCGCATTAGTTTCGAATTTCAAACAGAAACCTCGTGTTTGTTTGACTTTCTCGTCTGCTGACATGTTATATGATTAGGTCAATTCTCGGGATACCTCTAGTCTCGGTGCTTCTCAGGATAACACTGTCTCTGGCAACAATTCGCCGCGTATAACCCCTGCGGCGTCTCTCATGCAGTCGCCTCCGTTGACGCCTGCTGCCACGCACTCGCGGGAAAGCAGATCTAGCGACAACAGCGTTCCCACCTCAATTCAGACAGACAGTCACTCAAAGAAAAATGAAGCATCCGCAATCACTCCCCCGTCGTCAGAACCCGTGTCAAACTCGAATTCGGGCAACCCTCCTGCGTCGTCCACTGCTCCAACAAGCGCACCTTCATCACGTCCAACTTCCTCCGAGGCACATGCCGATCGAACCGCTCAGCCAGGAGCTTCCACGCGAGAGAAAGGACGAGCACAGTTCTTCCTTGCTTCTTCTGTAGACGGTAGTCCGCAAGATGAAAGTCCGCCAATGACCCCGAGACACGAGTACGGCTGGACTACACCTCCAGGCGGGGCCTCTGGAACAATGACTCCCATCGGTGAACCGAATGACCCATATGCCCGAAATAAGCGGCCTCTTCCGAACAGAAACCTTTCACAGTTGGACCAACGGTTCATCTTCAATGGACTCGACTCAAAACGCCGGTCCCATCATTCTACAAATTCGTACGGTACGACTGGTGGACAAAGCTCCGTTAGCAATAATGATTTGAAGTCGGCGGGCGAAAAGCGATCTTCTTTCTTTGGAGGGAACAAAAAAGATCATGGTCACCGCCACCAAGATAGTCTGGATGGGAAAAGTCATGGGTCAATGGTTGAGTTGAAGAGATTTTTCCGCATGGGACACAAAAGCAAACGTGGAGAGTCGCCGTCCGGGGCCTCCAAGAAATCGGCCAAGTCTTCATCCAGCGAAAAGAGCAACACTCATCAGATGGCACCGACAAGTGTTCCTTTCGCTGATGATCACGGCCTCCAGTCAAGGTATGGGAAACTGGGTCGGGTTCTCGGTTCGGGTGCTGGTGGCTCTGTGCGGCTATTGAAGAGGAGCAGCGATGGTGTTACATTTGCAGTAAAGCAGTTTCGAGATCGCCATACTTGGGAGACGGAGAAGGAATACTCTAAGAAAGTTACTGCCGAGTTCTGCATCGGCTCTACGTTACATCACGGAAATATCATCGAAACACTTGATATCATTCAAGAAGGAGGTCATTGGTACGAAGTCATGGAATACGCTCCATATGACTTGTTCGCAATTGTTATGACGGGCAAGATGAGCAAGGAGGAAATTGCCTGTTCTTTCAAGCAGATCGTGAGCGGTGTATCCTATTTGCATGCAATGGGACTAGCTCATCGAGATCTTAAACTGGACAATGTCGTTGTCAACGAGCACGGTATTATGAAGCTGATTGATTTTGGAAGTGCCGTTGTTTTCCGGTATCCTTTCGAAAACGATATTGTTCTAGCTTCAGGTAAGATGGTCTTTCCTTAATTATCATGTTGATTACAAACTAAGCAGAATTCAGGCATCGTTGGTTCCGATCCATACCTTGCACCAGAGGTATATGACGAGAAGAAGTACGATCCCAGACCTACAGACATCTGGTCTCTAGCCATCATTTTCTGTTGTATGACTCTTCGACGCTTTCCTTGGAAGCAACCTCGTGTGACAGACAACTCGTACAAGCTGTTTGTTTCACCACCAACTCCTGGTACCCCTGTCCCTGACTCACAACCACGACGCACCGAGCGTCCTAAATCAACCGCGGATCTCCCAGCTATGGCAACTGAGGCTGGCGCTGTTACTCCTCACTCTGATCATCACCGAAATCACCACCGTCATGGAAGCCACCATACCCATTTCGCAAAATCAGAACCTGTCACACGCGATGAACCGCCAGCAACCAGCTCAACCAAGACAAGCCCAACCCAGACACAGCAATCTCAACCGCAGGGAGCACATGAGGCCTCCTCCACACAAGCTCCTCCCCATGCACAGGCTACGAGTGATGTTGTCGAGAAGCCGAAATCTCGCGAGACCACTAGCAAGGAGGCACCACCATTACCGGCGGGCTCAAGCACTGGACAGCGTCAAGAGGTCATCAAGGGGCCGTGGCGGTTGCTGCGAATCCTACCTCGAGAATCTCGTTACATCATTGGTCGTATGCTGAAAGTGAATCCCAGAGAGCGAGCCACACTCGAGGAAGTCCTGACCGATGATTGGATCCAGCTCATCCAAGCCTGCCGACAGGATGATCTTGGCGCTGTCATCAAGGCAAAAAATCATACTCATGTATTAGAGCCACCATCATCCAGTGTCGCGGTGGCCAGCAAGGGCAAGTAGTCAACTACTACTCGGGAATGCTCCATATACCTTCCTCCGTGTACTCGGTCTTGGCGTTTACTTTTCTGCTTGGCGATATGCTCAACCATTGTCGTCTGAGCTGGTGGTGCAGCACGGCGTTCTACGTGATGATACATTTTCACTTTCAGTGGGATTCATTTCTTTCTCTTCATTTGTTTTTTCCCTTCTTATAGATTATTCGTTCTAGAATGCTATCTCCTGTCGGGTTGGCATCCTGTTTTCTGATATCCTTGTGCGACAATGCCTCGCATCCACCCTTGAAGCCCGTTTGCGTGACACCTTACCCTGTGAATAATAGATCATGATGAAATCATCCTAATTCGTTTCTTGTTAGTGTGACCAAGATAATGTCTTTACTCGTTTCGCCTCCTATTTCGAACTCTTGAAGACTGGCCCCTACCTACCTTACTCCATTCTTGTTCCCTATATTTTTGTCATCTACGACCTTATATCTCTATGTGCTTCCCCGTGATTCATTATTTGTTATGCGATTTGAGATTGATAGCTGCGAGTCAGCCGGATGGTGGGAAAAGAGCAGAAACCTGTACTTACTATATACTTCGATTGCCAGGTGGTATGACTTGAGCATCTTTACTTGGAGGTTACATGAATTACGCTTGTATACTCAAGACTAGACGACAGACAGATTGCTAATGAAATATCAACTTACGAGCTTACGTTAATTTAGACCGTGATTAAAGACCGTAAATATTAGAGAAGATGGATCGGATCTTAGCCGATGTAGCTTGATCTTCCGCATCGTCATTCTTTCCTTCCGAGCTTCGGACCTGCCCACAATTGCTCACACGACCTGAGCGCTTCTCAATTATCAATCTTCCTCTTCATTTATCACTTGASGAGCCGTTCTTAAAAGTTCATTACGCTTTTTTATCAGCAGAAAACACTAATTGGACATGACTCCGCGGTAGTCGTTGCGCTTCACTTTTTTTCTCCGTCCGCAAATAGACAAATGCATGGCGGACAATAAGAGCACACCAGAGCCATTGGTCTCCTCACCATGGAGGAGGTCCCTCTATGTATGGCCAATTTTAATTGAATACTTTGCCTCTGAGTGCTAATGAGACCACACTGAACCAGGCCGGCGCCGTCGCAGGCTTCACCGTTGATCTCTCCCTCTACCCTCTTGACACCATCAAAMCCCGCCTCCAAAAAGCGCGTCAGAGCGTCTCCTCCGCCGCCAAAGACACACCTCACAAGATCAACCCCTCGAGCACAAAACCACCCGCATTCCGACAGATAGTCCGAGGAATATACGCCGGTCTGCCCTCCGTACTATTCGGTTCCGCGCCCTCCGCCGCATTCTTTTTCATTACCTACGATGGTATAAAGCGGTATTTACTTCCGGTGGATATGCAGCAGGCGACCAAGGCACAGGCATTCATTGCGCATTCCACGGCGTCGACGTTTGGTGAGATTGCGGCTTGTATTATTCGCGTGCCGACGGAAGTTATCAAGCAGCGTGCGCAAGCAGGTCTATTCGGGGGATCTTCGTTGAGAGCATTGACCGATATTCTGGCCGTGAGACATGGCGGCAGCGCGGGATATTTGCAGATGATTCGCGAATTGTATAGAGGCACGGGGATTACGATTGCGCGGGAAATTCCCTTTACGATTTTGCAGTTTACGATGTGGGAGGCTATGAAGAATCGGTATGCGCGATGGACTAGCGAAGCAGCCATTGACAGCAAGAATGGCCATGCATCAGAGCGAACGGCGTCGGGTCATATATCAGCTGCGCCGAGCGCGGTGTTTGGAAGTATTGCTGGTGGTATTGCGGCTGGGTTGACAACGCCCTTGGACGTGATCAAGACGAGGGTTATGCTTGCTCGACGCGAGGAAGGTACTTCAAATCATATCCGCGTATTCGATGTTGTGCGTCGGATACTGAAGGAAGAAGGGCCTGGTGTTCTGTGGAGGGGAATCGGTCCCCGGACGACAGCCATTGCGCTCGGTGGTGCAATATTCCTGGGCAGTTACCAGTGGACTTCTAATACTCTCGAGGGCGGTTATAGAGAGCGTGAACAGCTATAAAAGCTCGGTCTGGTTCATTATACTATTTATTATAGAAGACTATAGACATTGGGGGTTGACTTAAAGAGTCAATAGATTAACATAATTTAGGTACTTCAAGTACGATGGTCAAAATTTACGTAATTTTCTGTTCTTTTTTTTTTGAATAGGACCTCTTTTGTCGACGAGATAAGCGGTCCTTTAACAACAAGTAGTTTAGTGCTCCCCAAAGCTGTTCGACATATCCATGAAATCCGCTGAGTTTCTTGACAGCACATGCTGACAAGCTGGAGTTGGTCACCGGATAATAGTAAAAATCAGAGTTACGAGACGGAGTTGGTGGTGACTTCTACCTCCAGCTTCCTATTACCCAGGTATACAAATAAGGAGATGCTGCATAGCAGGAGGTTAGGTTTCAGTGCATTGACACTCCATACCTTGTGTACTTCGAGGTTGGATTCAGTCATCCCTCCGAACAAAAGCATACATATCAACCGTAACGTTGGTACATAAATCATCGTTTGGTTTTACGCAAAGTAATGATGTGGCCTCAGCAAACGGTGCTATTTCTATTCACAGTATTGACTCCACAGCGAATAGGCTGAACGAGGCGCAGGAGTTGAACAATGCAGCCAATATCACCGACGACTTCCGGAAATAAGGAGATCTGGACATGCCCTGGTCACATCCAAACTTGAACGCTTTGAAACCTTTTTAATAGTATGCATCTGATCTCGTTAACAGCCCTCTGGCTTCTATACAGGGGACCTTATAGTAACCTCTGCGGCTATCGACGAAGCTCTGAATTCAGCAGGGTCGGTTCGTCTTCTCGGTTTTATATACTAGCTACTGGACTCTGCTAATTTCAAGTTGGGCCGGCTTTGACCCCATTCTGGGAACTTGAGAGCTATGACTTTGAAGACGCTCGTACAAGTGACAATTAAGGTCACCCGGTTCGTGTGTATCACCGCAGGATGGAAACGTATGTCTCGTTGCTCTTGGTGAATAAAATTTTCGGGGATATCGCGGAATACATACCTCTTCTAGATTCATTGAAGGAGGGACATCTAGATCATGGAAAGAGAGACCATCGTTCTTTGTGCTTGATTCTTGGTGCTAGGAAGGGTAGAAAGCAGGTGTTGGGCAGTACCCAAACCTCGGAAATAATTTCTGCTCTAAGTCTGTACTCCCTGAAGTACTCTTTCACTGATTGGGGCTCAGCGAGACCTGCGGTGTCCCGATGTACACATTTTGCTCTGTCCATGAGCTATTGTTTCTTCAACCTTTTTGTATACTCAGCATGTCTAAATTTGAAAACTCATTCAACGTTTCTTGTCTTATCCGGTGTGTGTGTGTGACAGAGAGAGAGAAGCTGAGTATAAAACTCTGCTGCTATGTCGATAGGCTTAAATCTTCAGACATCGCCCGATATAATTGGGGTCCACCATGCATCCACTGTGTTTGCTCTTCTCTCACTTTCATTCTTTGTCACATCTTTGAGGGTGTTTATACACCCCAAGATGACTCGCCAGAAGAGAACTCGTCCGGTATCAGGAGATGTCTCAGCGACATGGTACACATTCAGCCGTCATAGCCTTCCAAGGTTGCAGTTGAACAGATCATTTGTCATCGTGGCAGGCTGATGTCAAGATCTTATGTTCATCTACTAAATTTCCAGAGTATCAACAACCAAATCAGAAGATCTGAGTACAGCATTGTTGCTGTGTTTAACATTTCGCAGTCTGGATCGGAGTTTTTAGTGGGACAAAATGTGACAGGTCCTCGATACGGTAAGACAATTTGACAAAAAAGGGGGAACAAACAAAGGGAGTGGACGAAGAAAGGGAGGGAACAAAGAACGAAAAAACAATATCATCTGCATCTTGCCTAGAAACACTGACTAATATAGACCGATAGAACATGTGGCTCTTCTAATTCAGGCCAGAACATGGCCAATGACTATGGAATTTCAATGTGGGCTACTGTTCCTGTAGAAACCTTGAAAAACATGTGGACTCCTGATTACTTAAGAGTATTCGTATTCGAATCGTATTAACAATTTGACAACTACCAAAGATGATAGATCATGCACGCTTAGGCATCCAGCTAGAGAATAGTGGCTCGCGACGTGTACAAGCAAAACTACGGGATCGACAGATGAAATACGCCGGTATCTGAATTGAACCCAATCTAGGGGGTTCATAAGAAGAAGGTTTCCCCAAGGTTACTGGACTATGGAATTGCCCTTAGACATCGACACGACAACATGGCCGCGACAGCGACTCGCATCATGCGCCTCCTTGCGCTGAGTCTTTTCATCTGCGCAGTTCTAGCTGTACCCTCGCAGAAACGAGCTGCCAAACCTAGATCTTCTCAGTACGTATATGAACGAGCAGACTCATCGTCGACAACTTCGTGTGCGGCATCCATCGTTGCTCCGAAGCAAAATGTCTGGGATAGTCTAACAGATGATGAATCCGCATCCATAACCCAATGGCTCTTTGATCAGCAAGACCTGAATCTCACAAAAGCTAGCGAGGCTGGTGACTGGGACAATACAGTGTTTGTGGCTCCAACTTTATTCAGGAGTTTCGTTTGTCTTGGGGGCTAAATTTTTGTAGGCTCTTGGTCGAATTGATGGTTCCCAACAAGACAGATGTGCTGAGGTACATAGACCAAAATGAAACCGAACCAGTCAGATTTGCGCATGTTGTTATTGCGCATCGTTCTTCTCCTGATCCATACTATGGCGATTTGATTGTCGGACCTTTGCCAGTGCAAAATAAAACCACACGATGGAACTACCTCGAATACCCATACACCCGAAAAACGAGTGGGCAGGTGCGCAATCTAGATGCTGACGAACTTGCGCTGGAGGCATGGTTGTACAACATCACTGCATCTATCCAAGACATCACCCTTGCTCTATGGAATGGGTCGGCGCTTGGTCTCCCGAATGACACCATTAGTCTCAGTGGCATCAGTCCATACTGGCAGGATGATGGCCGTGTTGTGAGTTGGTACACACTGGTCAACCTGCCCACCGGAGAATATGATAGTGCCACGCTACTGCCTCTGGGGCTTTGTTTCGGAGCAGATGTTACAGGTAGAGATCCTTCCAAGTGGAAGCTTGGAGGCTGGTGGTACAACAATATCTTCTACAAAAACATCCACGACTTCAGAGCTGCCTTCAAATCCCCCGGTTTTGTGAGGCTTGGTGCCAATGTCGATGGAAGTTGGACGAGTTTTGGTCAGCAAGGGCCAATTATGCCCTATGATACGTCCTCACCCCCAATTTCTACTGCTGTTGGTGGTGCACGCTATTCACTCGATGCGGTGCAAAAGTATGTAACCTGGATGGATTTCAGCTTTTATATAGGATTTTCCCGAGATTTGGGCTTGACTCTATACGACATACGATTTAAAGGCGAAAGAATCATCTATGAATTAGGCCTCCAGGAGGCTTTAGCTCACTACGCAGGTAAGATAAACACCCCAACGACTATCCTAGCGGTCAATTGATCATTATGGTTACCCTTATAGGCATTGACCCCGTCACGTCTGGAACGGCATATTTGGATAGTTTCTCGGGAATGGGCGCGAACGCATTCGAGTTACTCAAAGGCTATGATTGTCCAGACTACGCGACCTATCTCAACTCGTCGCTTTATAATGAAGAAACAACCGCCACATATCTGGACAACATCTGTATGTTCGAGTTCGACGCAGGGTTCCCCATACAACGACACACAAATACAATATTCGCAAGCAGCACAAAAAACATTTACTTTACAGTGCGTTCTATATCGACCGTTGGAAATTATGACTATCTATTCAGGTAAGAATGCTCAGCTTTACCCTGTACTTCTGCTGACTATAATATGCCAGCTACTCCTTTTACCTCGACGGTTCGATCACTGTGGAGGTTCGAGCATCAGGGTATATCCATTCAGCATATTACACAGGCCACGAGGAATTCGGCTACCATATCCACGATTTCCTATCCGGTGCTATGCATGATCATGTCATAAATTTCAAAGCCGACTTTGATATCCGTGGGCAGGACAACACTGTGCAATTCGTTCGCACAGTCCCAGTGACTCAGTCTTTTGTCTGGTCTGGAAACAAAGATGTTAATACAATGAAGCTCCAACGTAGCTTCTTGGAGAACGAGGACTCAGCCCGCTTCAACTGGGGCGCTGACGAGGTGAAGCAGGTTATTGTCGTTAACAAAGACCAACCCAACGAATTCGGTGAATACCCCGGCTATCGCATTATGCCTTATTCAGGCGGGACATCGCGTCTTACAGTACAAAAGTCGAGCAACCTTGTAAACTCGGCGACGTGGGCCGGCTACGATCTTCAAGTGACCAAACAGCATGATACCGAGCCTCGATCTGCACACCCATATAACCTCGAAGATGTATATAMCCCGCCGATCAACTTCGATGACTTCTTCAATGGGGAGAATCTCACTCAGACCGATCTAGTGGTCTGGTTCAACTTGGGCATGCACCATCTTCCAGAGACAGGTGACTTGCCCAACACCGTGTTCACGCAAGCGCGCAGTGGAGTGCAGTTTGTTCCATCGAATTTCCTCCCTAGTGACCCAAGCCGACAAACTGTTCAACAGGAGCGGGTGAATTATACCTCTGGCTACAATGCAAGTATGATGCAGCCTCCGGGCCCAGACAGTTACCATTGTCCATCGAGCTTCTGAGCTTCTGGGCTTGTACGCCTGACCACATGAAGAGAAGCAGTTGGGGCTTCAATGAAAAGAGTCCGTGTATATACCGTGAGCAATAGTGACCTTGACGGTAAAATTCATAATTCGCATGAAGTACATTCATAAATATATTAATTATCTGTATATTAGCTGAAACGTTTGTTTGTAAAGTAAAGTCCACATCAGTTTACCAGTTCGACGTATCGTTAAAAGTAAAAATTTTGAATTGCGGCACTACTCGGTAAATTGTGGAAAAATGTATTTCATGCGAATTTCGTCGTTGAGGTCGGCCATCCTCGACTTCAACAGAGATGTCGCACCAAGGCCATTCTCAGTCAACCAGGCAAAGCTCAGGAATGCCGGTCAGGCATAATAAAAAGGATGGAAAAAGGAAGAAGGAAAAGAAAGAAGCTATAATGAACCCGCTTCAACAAGGCATCCAGCAATTCTTGCACGACCACAAACCCAGTGACCCCGACATATCCGGGCTCCCAAAACGATATACAGTCTACCAACCAATGCTGTTACTTTCTGGCAACGCATTCACAGTACCTCCGGAATGGTCAGAGCGCTATGCGTCTCTATCAGAAGCAGAGCGCCAGACACTATACGCATCAATCGTCAACGCCTTCAAAACCAAGGGCCAAACAATAACACACATCGCCATGAATGCACCTATCCAACTAAATAATTGTCAGGGTAATGAGAATCTAATGCGTAGTCCGAACGGACTGATGCCATTATACGGCGATTTCGGGGAATTGCTCGATTACGACCACAGCCCAACCGGGCAAGATCTCGAGAATGCGTTTTGGGTTCACACAGTTCAGAACGGAGGCATAGTCCAGTACTGGGCTCCGCTTTATACGATGTTCTCAAGAGGCAATATTACAGAAAAGGCTCGTATATTAGGTCTTGAGGGACACTTCGCGGGTCTGGATGAGTCTTCTCTCAAAGGGCAGAGGATAGAGGATGTCAGCGTCGTTGACCTCTATGCTGGGATTGGGTATTTTGTGTTTTCGTATTTGAAGAGAGGAGTTAAAAGGGTATGGGGCTGGGAACTCAATGCGTGGTCTGTTGAGGGGTTGAGGAGAGGGTGTATCGAGAATGGATGGGGATGTAAGGTTGTTTCTCTTACGCAGGGGGAGGATGGAGGCTTGCCTTCTGTGCTGGATGATGATAGTCTTGCGAATCTCTTGGACGAGCTTACGGATGAGGTTCGTGTCGTCATATTCCAAGGCGACAACCAATCCGCAACCGGGATCATGGAGAGAATACAGCCTGAGCTAGAGAAACGAGGGCAGTGGGCTGCTGTGCGACATGTCAATATGGGCTTGTTGCCTTCTGCTCGGCCTACGTGGGATACTTCGCTCAGACTTCTGGGTAGGAAATCCGGGGGTTGGGCTCATGTACACGAGAATGTGGATGTTGCTGAAATTGGGAGCTTGAGAGATGAGATTGTGGCCGAGTATACCAACCTAGCCAGACAGCTGGATGACGTCGACAAGGAAGAATTATCGATCCATTGTGACCATGTGGAAGAGGTCAAGACATATGCGCCTGGCGTCATGCATTGTGTTTTTGATATCCAGATCGACTTTGAAAAGAGATGAGCAACATGGTCTCCGCATTTTGAAACCCATATACATCGGCCATGGAAATGGTACGTCAGTGGATCAATCAAACAGCGACATCTATTCATCATACATGTACACATCCAATACGGCATCCGAATATCGTATATACAGTCGTCATCAGCTCAGCGAGATCACGGAGTCCGCAGGAATTTCCTGGGTATATTTCCCTCCACAATCTGCATGTTTTCCAGCTGCTCCAGTCTCTCCTGCGCCAACTCCATCTCATCATGCAACCTGAAATGCTCAATATCTTCCGGATGCGTCAAGTCCTCCTCCTTGGCATCCTCGCCATGAAATTTTTCAAAATGGTGAATCTCATATTCATATTCAATATCGCCGTGGTGACCCGGACCATACCCGAAGTCGGGCAGTCGAAAACCAGCCTGGGTTTGGCTCATCCATTCATCGCGCGTAACGGTTCCGTAGCCGGATGGATTGAACAGTTTTAATACTTCACGGACAACATTCTCTTTTTGGTCGGTGGTGAGGTGGGCGTTCGATGAGTCGAGGAGACCGTATGTTTTCATGATTTCATCGCCCGTCCAGTCTCCTGAATTGTCGTAATCGTGGAGGGCGAAGAATGAGCCGGCGTCGAAGTTGTCAATGTGGTGTTCCTCTAGGTTCGAATAACATTAGCTGAATGCAATGTAATTGGATAGTTAATGTACCTCGCATGTGCCTCGTTGCCCAATCTTTCTCTACCTCTGTGTTCTCATCATCGTGGTGTCCGTGGCCGCATGCAACGGTAGCCAGTGCTAGAGCTGCGACGAAAATGCCGCGCATGATGATCAGAAAGTGCCGGACAGTATATAGAGTATATTGCAAGTAAATATAGGTATCAATTGAGAATTGACACCATCCGGCGTGGTTTGTTCCTTTTTCAAAGATCTATGGCCAATCTGGTCTTCCAGATGCTTGTCCGAGCTATGTTTGCACTGTTTGCACCACGTCGGAAAGTCACCCAATTCCGGCCGCTAAATCTTTCAGTTGCATGACTTCAGACCTCATCACATCACGATACACCTCCATCCATACATCTACGGTGCCAAGTCGACTCAATTGATGAAGTTGCTGATGTCTCAGCACTGACTGGGAAAGTTTCAATCGATATATTCGGCGGCACTGGAACAATGAGATAATGCAGGGCTTCCTGTCGCGAGTGGCTCGGCTACCGTCCTCAAGCTGTCGATGCAGAACATGCTTGAGGACGTATGTCAATGGAGTCGCCACGCAGCCTTCGGCGGCTAGTCGTCGAGGACTCAAAACAGCAAATGCAGTCACTGCCTTATATGGAAGCATCTTTGCCGGTGCAGCCATCGCCGACGCCATGGCAAAACGAAAACGCCGGCAAGAATGGGACGATAAGATTGCGGCGGTTCAGGAAGAAATTGATGAATTGATGGATGAGGAGCGCCGATTATTGGAATCTCTGTCCACTCGAAAACCTCGACAGCTTTCTACCCCCACCGTTCAACCGCGCTCGTACCGCGCCGGAAATTCTATGGGGTCAATTGAGTCGAGAAATGCACAATTACTGGCAAATCGAGCCTTTAGTACCAAGACACTTGCTAAAGAAAAGGCACCAGCTGAGGAAAATGCTACAAATGAATATATGGACGAAGAAAATTGGGCTATCGCACAGGAAGCAGACATCGACAAGGCAGCTTCCGCCGAGAAAACACCATTTAATGAAACAAATCGGGAAAACCATATTAATGAGGAGGCCGTCGAAAAGGTCGACGAAGATGACTATGGAGACTTCGATGATGGATTCTCAACTATGAACACTGTAGTTCCGCGACCCGAGCCGGACTTTGTTTGGGAACAATCCAGCATAGTCCGCATCAAAGCTATACAAAAATTAGCTATTCAACAACTTACCTATAGGTTTCTGTTGCGACCGTCCGTCGCGCACGACTATTCAGGTCTGCCGGTAGAATATCGACTGGACGATTCCTCTGGCGCGCATACCAGCGTGTTATTAAGTCGTCTTCGAGGTATTCGACAGCGGTTATATTCTTTAAAATATATCAGGAATTCAGCGTACGATGATCTTATGTCGAATGTGCACCTCGAAGAACTAGATGAGCTACGCACTGAACGAGAACGATACGATCTACTTCTCAAACAGGACATAGACAAGTTCATGAAAAACAAAATACGCCTCCCACAGTTGTTGTCGCTTATATCCGAAAATCTGACAATCTGCGAGGACCCAGACCGTCCCGAGGCATTTTCAATCCTGATCACTTTTTTCAACAGATTACACCAGAATGACTTGTCTGACATGGTGATCAAATGCTTGGTACCAAATCTGTTCAAACTCAGCACACCTTTGATCGTCGCCATTGTCACACACTTCCGAAAGACCAAGAATTTGAAGGACTTTGACCTATTTCTTCAGATGTTGAGAGGCGAAGGCGGCTATCCTGTCAATCTCAAAACATTATGGGTGAAAAAGAATGTGAATGGCATTACAGTCACAGTGCCTCCCACAGGAAGCTTCAGCCCCCTTCTCATCACCAGTGTCATCACTGCGACACTTCGTTTCGATCAACCCGAGAAAGCGGAAGCTTATTTGCACGTAGCCCGAGTTCATGGATTTGTCGATAACATGGCTACCCTGACTGCGTTTCTGAGATTCTACGGCATCCGAAATGATTTCGAAAGTGGATCGTCTACTCTTGTCAATGCCTTGAATTTCTTGTCATCAACTTCAGAACATGAAGAAGATCGTGTCTCAAGACTTATTCTGTGCATGGCCGACTTCAGTGCTCGCTGTGGCCGACATTACCTGTCTGAGATGTTTCTTGATGCTGCAGTTCGCAGTGGATTCGACTGCCGTTTAGCTCACGTATCGGAACACTCAAGATCAGAGACCAATTATTTACTTGGAACCCTTAAGAAATGGAGGAGAGCGCAGATAAATTCTGCAGCAGAATTCTTACAACAGGATCTTACCCTGCACGAGAAATGCACCAAATTCGTGGACCTTACTGCAGCGAAGGTCATATATGACCAGCATAAAGTGACACAAAATAAAGAAGATTTCACACCTACTCCCGTCTCCTCGACTCCATCCGAAGAAACCCCGAACACTCAGCAATTACCATTACGATGGGTCAAATCAGAAACCTACCTCAATGAAAGGGTTCCTACGCGAACCTCCACAACGCGGCATCCTGTTGAAGATCCCGCAAAAATCAGGAAACTTCGCGCACAATTGGACTTTTTGCATCAACGAATAGATAAACTGAGTTTAGCCGGGGGCCGGGATGGTTCTAGGGAAGACGAGTGATACTCGTGATGGGCGTTGAAGGGCGACTTTTTTCTGGTTGATGATTGACCATGCCTGTGTATATCCATACTGTATTCATAATGATGACTCCATTTGTCCAGCCATTTGCGTGGCATGCACTAGAATCTTGAAAGGAAGTGTATCTATATTTTCAAGTTGCTGCTTGTTATTTAACTTTTCATTCCCTGAATTACCACAGAGTCGTAAACGACATGCTTCTGTCTATGCCATTCGAGTAAGAAATAAGTCTAATTGTTCTCCTTTAATCTCGGCTTGTCTACCGACCGCCTCGCATCCTCTCCTTGCGCGCAAGTCTCTCACTGGCCCGTAAGAGAGCCGAGCGGATATCTCCCTTGGGGAAACTCGAGATGTCGTAGTACATAGGTGAAATTTCCTAGAAAGATGGTTAGAGCTATTTCTTGAAGAAGAGGGAAAATGCACCTACCAGAAGCCACTCAGCTTTCACAGCTGTAATAGTACGAATATAATTCTTCGTCGTGAGCACAAATTCATTATAAAGCACCCATTCAGCATCATGGCCGAGAACCGTGCTGGGATGCAAAAGAACATGTTGATTGTCCTTGACAGTGGTGTACATGCTCTTGCCCGTACTTTCCTTCTTGGCGATCTGCATAAAGAATCCAGCCACAAGGGCGCGGCGGATATTCTCGTAGTATTTCTTATCCTCAAACGGCGTAGATACGAGGTCAATTTCTTCGCGTTCCATGATACGTTGCAGTTGCATTCGCACGTTATCCGCAGACTGAAGGGAGCGGAGAGAGAGGAAGTGGTCGTGACACCATTGTTTCGGGTCATTTTGGGCATCTGCGCTCTTGAAAGCGTGATACACGTTCAGGAGTGTGAGATGGTCACCGTCTGGATGTGCGAAGAGGTTCTTCATTTCGTCGGCGCGTTTTCTTTGTGCGTGTGGCCGTACAAATACTTGAGGCACAGACAGCAGGGCGGTTATAGATAGTATTTCGTTGGAGCAGTAGAACTCTGGGGATGTGACCAACATCACGGCAAGTGCTGGGTCAAGAGGGAATTCAGAGGCCAGACGACCCAGTTGGGTCAAATTAMCATCGTCATCGAGACAGGCTAAGTAATTGAGCTCTTCTAAAGCTCTCATCAGTGTCTCCGGCGCAGGAGGGTCCATGAGATCGAAATGCACCAAATCGTCGATCCCGAGCTTCTTAAGCTCAAGAACAGTGGAAGAAAGGTTAGACCGAAGAATTTCCGGGTATGTCTGGTCAATAAGCTCCTTCTTGAACGCAGCCTCCGTATACAAACGGAAGCATTTTCCAGGACGTGTACGACCGGCACGACCGGCTCTTTGCTGCGCGGACGCTTTGGAAATGGGCGATACCAGTAGAGACTCAACTCGAATACGGGGGTTGTAGACTTTTTGTTTGGAGAATCCCGGATCGACGACATAGACGATACCGTCGATAGTAAGAGATGTTTCAGCTATGTTGGTTGAAACAATAACCTTACGACCAGGGCGTCCGCCAGGTCTGCGCGGGCTAGGGGCCGGTTCAAAGATACGTTGTTGCATGTGCGGCGGTAAACTACCATACAGCGCATAAACCTTCATTGGACCTGCATCCGCTTCTCTCGTCATTTCGTCTGCTTCGAGAGAGATCTTCCTAACCGCATCTTCGATTTCTTCTTCACCCGTCAAAAACAACAGAATATCGCCTTCCGGTTCGGTAGCGTGAATTTGCAGCACTGTGCGAATGGCGGCTTCAACATAATCTTGTTCTGGCTCAGGTGTGTAGAAAATTTCGACTGGGTGAGTTCTTCCTGGAACTGCAAGCAATGGGGCATCATTGAAATACCGCTGAAACTTTTGGGCATCCAAAGTGGCGGACATGATGATGATTTTCAAATCCGGCCTCCGTACCACCACCTCCTTAAGCAAGCCCATCAATATATCGGTCGCCATGGTACGCTCGTGGGCCTCGTCAAGTATGATCGTACTGTAACGCTGGAGGTTGTGATCGTTCATTGCTTCTCGGAGAAGCATACCATCGGTCATGTACTTGAGGATTGTCTTCGGGCTAGTCATATCCTCAAAACGAATGCTATAACCGACCTCTTCGCCCAACTTGACATCCATTTCAGCGGCCACACGTTGCGCAACAGACATTGCGGCGACTCGACGTGGCTGGGTACATGCGACCATCTTGCGTTGCGTCTGTGGAAGGTCGTCAAAGAGGACGAACTGGGGGATCTGCGTGGTCTTTCCGGAACCGGTCTCACCCACGAAAACGAGGATTTGTGATTTCTGATAAAGCTGCAGGAATTCGTCTCTCTGCTGGTGGACAGGCAGGTTTCGCCGGGTTTTCAGAATGGAAAAGTAGGTACTTGAAAAAGGACGGTCGTTGAAAGGATTGCTATCTGCATCTTCGGCTTCCTGGGCGAGCGCAGCGGTAGTCTGGTGTCTTTTGAACTTTGCGAAAGCACCGCTATTTGAGCTTTCGTCGCCATTCTTCTCTGGGTACATATGAGCGAGGTATGGGTTGTTGCGGGGATCCATTTCAGCGGTATCCTTCTTCTGCCGCTTAGCGCGCGAACTGTCTGCTAAATCAGGACGTCTATCACCCATAATGATAGTCGCAGTAGTCTGAAGCGGAAAATACAAGACACGCACCGAAATTGCACAAGAGAAGATGGTGTGAGACCGGTCTTTCAATGAAGAAAAGAAGAGAAGAAAAAAAGTTGAGTTTGTTGCCGGATAAGGCTGAAGCTCTTATCGGAGTCACCGCCTGCCGTATCGGGGCAAATCGGCCAGGCACGCGGGACATCCCAGAAACAAAAGAAACAAAAAATATTGACCCCCTCCTTCACACAACAAGGAGTGCTGTCCGTTTGTCCTGGCCAAGGGAGTGACATCTCTTGCATCCCAGTCTGCAGCCGTCCACCTAGTCGATCTTCGACCCCCTTCATCCCTACCCGAATTCTGTCTATTGCCGGAACCTTGAAATCCCTCGGGCACCCTATCGAAAGGATTCTTCATAATGTCCACTGAATAGTCTCAATTTAAACTTATTCAAGCAATCTTTCAATTTTGTTCTCGAGGACTTCTTCAGGCCGCATACTGAGCAATTAAAATTTTGCATGACAATATTGTTCGGCCAGTTGAAAGCATTTACTTCGGCAGAAACGCTGCGCTGCCCCTCCCGGTAGACTGATATTCTTGATTTCCCAGCACTTCCCAGATTATATTAATACAGGTATCATGGAGACAGTTCCAGAAACTGAGGACATAGTCCATTCGTTCTGTATAGGCCAGCATGAATCCAACCGCCAAGTACCCTTGAATACACGGGCTATACAGTTTGCTCACGCAAGTAATGTAAGCTCTGGGAGTCTTATTGACAGAATGCTTACAGAAGACTGACCAATTCAGTATGACATGCTTACTACGCCAATAACGACTTCGCATTTTCATTCGCGCGTCTTATCTTTGCTGTCATCGCATTTGTCTTCAGTGGAACCACCATCTTTTGATGCAGTTGGCACTCGAGGAACCTCTTTCAACACAAGAGCCGTCACTGTTCCTCCTCTAGCACCGGCAGATACTCATTTGACACCAAATGAAGCAATCAGCCAGGTGGTTGGAATCACTTCTTCATGGATCGATCTATGTTCACCAGACCCTTTGATAGCGGAGATTTCTCGTCAAGTACTGATGTTAGAAGTTGCATACGCAGCATTCTGCGGCATTAGCTTTCTCATGATTCCAGGTCCTAAACTTCAGCATGGAAATCTTCATTCCGATGGACTGATCTACTACGCCAGAGCTATACAAGAGGCTCTGAACATTGCACCATATATTCAGTTCCACATTTGGCTGGGAATGATTGAGAGCTCGGAACTTGAAACTACTCAAATGGGTGACTTGTCTCCTTTTGCACGAACTGAGTTCCTTGACCCAAGCGAAGACCGAACGGCAAAGATTGATCTTTTTGGGACCTGGGATGCATGGGAAATCATTCGAACAACCTGCAAACACCACTCCAGGTTACTTGTCGGTAAGAACAAAAAAATGAAGCTTTGAGTATCCGACGTCTGATGAATATTTCCAGCTCTCGCACTTCCAAAACATCTTCCGATCCTGCAAGTCCAAACAAGGTGGTATTCTGAACCTGTCCACCTATTGACAATCGATGGAATGACTTTCATCAAGAATCAGAAAGGATATCCTGTCTTGTCTAAGGCCCATCAGGCCCTGATAGCAAAGTTCATGAGACTTCGTACGCCACCATGGATTCTGCTTTGTGATGTGGGCCCCATTCCTGGCCTTGAGATAGATGATGAACCCCAGTCGGGGGCTTCTCCAGCAGATAAAGCCGATTTCCCTACCATAGCGCAGACTATGTCTCAGGCGAAAAAGCATCAAGATCCTACACCTCATCTATCCTATATGAGAAACCTGCAACAGCGCCAACCCCCTCGCACTCCCATTGAACGATTCGGCACTGGATATCAAGATTATTTGCAAGCACCCCTGCAACCCTTGACAGTGAACTTGGAGAGTATTACCTACGAGGTGTTTGAAAAAGACCCTATCAAGTATGCATGGTATGAGCGAGCTGTCGCAAAAGCTCTGAATGACTGGATGGAGCAGAAGAAACCCACATCAGGCCCAGAAGGCAAAGTAGTTGTTGCTGTTGTGGGTGCGGGACGTGGCCCTCTAGTAACACGTGCTCTGCGTGCAAGTGCAGAAACCGGAGTGAAGATCGAGATGTGGGTTGTTGAGAAGAACCCGAATGCTTTTGTTCTACTCCAACGCCATAACGAGAATATCTGGGGCGGTGTTTGCAATTTGGTCAAATCGGATATGCGAAGCTGGAAGGGGCCTCATAGAGCCATCGAAAATTCACCAAATTCGGGTTCCGCAGCATCGGTCAGGCATACACCTATTGACATCCTCATATCCGAGCTGCTAGGCTCTTTTGGAGACAACGAGCTCTCGCCAGAATGCTTAGATGGAGTGACGCATCTACTCAACCCAGGTCACGGCATTTCTATCCCAGCATCATATTCGGCACATTTGACTCCTATTGCCGCGCCAAAGCTATACGCCGACATATGTGGCCAGCGGATATCCAACCCTGCCGCACCGGAAACGCCATATGTAGTCATGCTCCATGCCATTGATTACTTGTCTACGACATCACCACCTGGAGGATCCGCGACTGGCCACACAGCTCAACTCAGTAGCAGCGTTGGTAGTACACACAGCGCAGTCGGAGCCAGAAACTCAACGTCAACTCCACCTCCAATCTTTGAAGCTCCGACTCCTATCGTACTCCCAACGTGGTCCTTTTCGCACCACAATCCCAATATCCCTCCTCAGTCAACGACTTCATCTATGATTGCTAACGAGCATAACGTTCGTCAAACCCGTCTTGCGTTCCCGTGCCAGAATCGCGGCGTCTGTCACGGGTTGGCCGGGTACTTTGAGACTGTGCTTTATGGTGATATTGAGTTATCGACTAATCCAGTGACTATGGATGCCAAGAGTTCTGGGATGATTAGTTGGTTCCCCATATACTTTCCACTCAAGGTAGCTTCCCTCGAAAGGTTGTAGTGGCTTGAGATTTGTCTTGCTAATTTTGCGCTAAATAGACTCCCCTCTATGTCCCTGACAACGGCGAAGTCGTCGTAACAATGTACCGACAAACCGACAACCGCAAAGTCTGGTATGAATGGATGGTCGAAGTATTCCGTCTTGAGCGCACATCGTCCACACCAGCTGCAGCAAGTCCACAACGAAGCACTACGCCGATAATGATGAGCGGAGGGCTAAGAAATGTTCCTATGGCCGCTAACAAAACACAGAGTGGTTATAGGCGAATTCGTGTGGGCATGAGTGAGATGCATTCGAGTATCAAGGAGGGTTGTCTTATGTGATTCATTCAATTGAGTTGTGTAAGAAGGATGAAAAGTCAAGTAATAAATATTGTTATATTGTGATTTTTCTTACCGTCTGAATATACCTAATCTTCATTCCAATCAAGGTCCCCACTAAGTAGCGATCACCTAAATAGATAGTTCTGGCCTGGATAGACGCATTCATAACTCAGTCACGCCTCGTCTTAACCGACCGCCACTCAATCATCAAACTCCCAATCATCGTCGTACACGCCAATCCCACAACAAAATACCACGTCTGAATCAGACTCTCATCAATCGCCACAAGAACCTCTTTTGAGTTTGTAGGCGACAAGCCCGACACAATCTGCGTCAGTCCCATCTGCTCAATATCCGTTCCATTAACCCCCGGCACCAGACCCTTCAAATTCGTCTCGAGCTGATTCACAAAGAGCACCTGCGCAACAGCAATGGCCACAGAAGGGCCAAAGGACTGCCAGAAAAGCATAATCGATGTTCCCAGCGGAATATCATCTGTATCTAGCACCGTCTGCACCGCGTTCTGCGGGCCCTGGAAGCCGATGCCGTACGCCAGGCCGGAAAACCCAGTATAGATAATCAACTGCGTGAAACTAGTATTGATTCTGAGCGTGGTTATGAGGCCCGCGGCAATGGGCATTGTGATGGACGCAAAGAGCATGAAGGGCGCATAATACCCCATAGAGCTGGTTCCGATGCCATGCACAAGCGCGCCAATGGTGCCTGCGATGATGATGGGGAGCATCATGTATCCGCTTTTGGCGGGCGAGTATCCTCGGACGACTTGATAGTATGTAGGAAGATAGTATTCGAGCACAGTGCCCGTGCTGTTGACGCATGTAATAAAGATACATCCAGCGACAATACTGCGGCGTTTGAGAATGCGTAAGGGGATAGCAGCCGCGTCCCCTCGACGGATTTGATTGTAGATGAATACTGCTATGAGAACCGCGAAAGCTACAAGGGGGCCTACCACCGCGCCGCTGTCCCAGGGATATTTCGTCCCGGCCCAGGAGAAAGCGAGAAAGAGACATGTCAGCGCCGGGATGAAGAGCATGTTACTCACCAAGTCGAGTTGAGCAATTTTTTGAGTGAGTTTCATCTGCGCAACGTCGCTGGGTTTTTGTGTATCGGAAAAGAAGTATATTGTCAACAACAATGTAGCCACGCCCATGGGGACGTTGATATAGAAACACCACCTCCAGCCGAATGATTCCACGATGAGACCACCTAGCAGCGGCGCGGAGAGTGTAGCTATGCCTTCGACGGCGGCGAGGATGCCGATAAACATGGGTCGTTTGCGTCGTGGTAATGATAGCACAAGGATCACCCAACAGCCTGAGAGAAGACCGGCAAAGCCCAGCCCGGCCACGGCCCGGCCGACGATGAGCATGGGCGATGTAGTAGCTGCACCACAAAGGACAGAGCCAATTATAGAGATGAAGTTCGAAAACAAGAACACGCGCTTGATAGAAAAGAGTTTATATGCCCTGCCGAACATGAATTGGGATGCGCACTGGCACAGTCTGAAGACGGATGAGTACCAGCCCACATCGGCGACGGTGTGGAAGTAGTCTGTTATACTGGGAACAGCTGTGGCGACAATATTCTGATCAATACTGCCCAGGATCAGGACTGCACCTAGGTTGATGAATAGAAGCCATAGTTTGATGCCGGTTGGGTAGTCGGCTTCTCTGGCCGAGTGGACCGATTGTGAGTCGGATATTCCATCAAAGGCGGTCGCCGGCCTGTTTGACGGGGGATTATCATCTGTATTTGTTGTGCCGGCCATCGCATATCATTGATCTATTGACGTGTATAAGTGCGGAGTTTGGAAATGCTAGAAGGATGATCATCCCGGGAAACACCTCTAATGTTTAGCGCCAACGACAGTAATTGCGTGATGCATAACTAGTGGCGGTGCCTAATCTATATATCAGTTATCAACCAGTCACGCTAGGGTAATTATTGTTGGAATTCTACATAGTATCTTAGCAAAAGAAGAATATCACTAAGCAATCTCAATATCGATAGTGAAAGTATCTATCTATACGCTCGCCTGAATACATTTCTACTGTCCCATGTACAGCACCGTGATATCAATGCAAGTAAAGTCTATGAATTTGATTTATCGAGTGTGCTGATATCAGCAGGTGGCTGCAGTGTCTGGCTGGATGACGCTTGCGCAAAACTCAATGGTGAAACGGAACTTGACGGTGGAGATGTCGTCAATCCTTTACGGATAGCGAGAACTGAATCCACAATGACCGCATCAATGCCGTTCGTAACTTGAAGCTGTACAGAAGAAGTGTTAGTGGTGTGTCCAAACAGTAGAGGTAACCTTATCACCAGGAGGGACGTACCTTGGCGTTTTCAGGGTCATTGTTTTGTGTTCCATATGAAACACAGACGAGTCCTGATTCTTTGACAACGCGTACAAGTCGTGGGCAAAGGACAAAAGGTTCTGCGGTAGAAACAATACCCAGTAGATTCCAGCGAGATGCGAAACGAATGGCTTCCTGGAGACTGCTTGCACGGATATCACCAACCTCACTGCTACCGGCATCGGTCAAGAAGAGAACTGGTATCGAAGGCTGCTTGAAAGACAAAAGCAGGCATATGTCAGGGTTGAAGCTGGAGAAAATCATATTGCGGCCTTCGCCCAAGTCGTAGACTTTTTCGAGGACGGTGTCGACGAATGAGTTGACTTCGACTGCATAAGTGTCCATTTCCTCTGCCTCACTTTCGTATAACGAAGGATACTCTGAGAGACAATGTTAGAATACCTATATTTTTCCCAAAAGACGCAAGTAAAACTCACTCATCTCAATATTGAATCCAACGGACTTAGGGAGTTTCTTGAATAGTTCTTCCAGAGTAGCAAAGGGCGCTTGAATGTGGTTACCACGAGTGTTTCCCTTGAAACCTTTCGCCTTGAAGTCGCGAGTGTGTTTCATCTTTTCACTTAGGGCTGCTGGATCAATAAGTGCTTCACCAACAGACATTGCACGTGGACGCTGGGATGCATCTACGCCGACGGCCTCTAGTCGTGGTGATCGTGTATCGTTGAGATGAAGGAACTTGAAATCTGTCAGCTTGCCACTCAAATGTTGTTCAAAAGGAGACTCACTTGTTCTAAGGTAAGAGTGTGAACCGGTGCATCAATTCCGGTCTCACTGACCAGGAAGTCATGGTAAATGACAGGGACGTGATCTTTAGTGAGTTGGACGTCTTTCATTTGGATTAGTGTGGATGGAAATCAAGTTTCATTTGAAAAATAAGCTTACCAAACTGCGCAAGAGTCAGTACTGTTGTCAACAAAATTCGAAAAGAGACTATGTGCTTACCTCTACATATGATGCACCCAAATTTGCAGCAGCAATAAATGACTAGGCAAAATTAGTCGGATTTTTATACGAGCAAGCTGATATGTTTCATACCTGAACAGTGTTCTCTCCCAGCTGAAGAGACCTTCGGCTTGCAAAGTTCTTACCAAGACCTAAACACAAAATTAAAATGTCATTCTCAGAAGCGTTACAGGAAGCCTACCTCGGTGACCAATCACCATAGGTGCGGTGACTGTTTTCCAGTATGTCTGATCATGATTGAGGGACATCTTAGGATGGCTGAATGGGGTGACGACAAGGAAATTGAAGGTCAAAGTTCCAATCACTTCAAGTGTGTTGGCAGCTATGATGGGCACAGTTATATCGCCTTGCAGACTAATGCGATTAGACCCAATTGATGGCCTGATACTAGAAAGCAAGGCTACGCCTCGCCCCACGATCTGGTTTGTGGATCCTGCGTACGTGGGAACCAAGTCAAACAAGAGCCTGACGCTGGTGAAATCCTTCGAGTAAAAAGTAATTGGCTCAGTGACGATGCTATCTTGAACCGGAAGATCGATTATCTCTGGTTCCCCGTGGGCGCCGCTAGCAGATACGACGACAGATAGCGCGGTGTCCAGCTGAGTAGTATGCGCACTAGTAATAGGTATACGATCTAGACTCACAGGAGGGGAAGTCTTTCGCATATCCATAGTACCCAAACTGACCAGAATCATGCTTTCGTCGGTAAGGTACCTATGTCCGAAAGTCTTGAGGGGTTCCACAGATCGAGAACCATAATTTGACGAAGAAGTAGCATTGACATTGGATCTGCGATCGGTCAACGACCCTAAAGGAGGCGATGACGTGCGCGCCGGCACTGTTATAGTAACATCATTCTCTTCAACAGAGGGAGGTTTGGTAACTTCAGCCAAGCGTTTAGCTATCTCTAGATGACCTCGAAGCGCTGCATGTTCCTTGGCAGTCCATCCTGACGAGTCCGGCCGTTCCAGATCAGCACCCGCCTTGATAAGAAGTTCCGCAACAGCCAATGCACCATCCACGCATGCAATGAACAGTGGTGTCCATGAGTAGGTGGATTCTGCTAATTCCGTATTGGCTTTCTGGTTTGCAGTTCCATCTAATAGCAACTTTGCGCATTGACTATGGTTGAACCGAGCAGCAACATGTAGAGCTGTTTCACCCTGCTCATCTTGATAATTGATGTCGACGCCTGCTTCAACAAGCAACTGGACAATATCCACAAAGTTTGCCTTGACTGCCATTGCCAATACGGCGCTGGACTTTGAGATATGCTTCCTGATAGCGCTTCTTTCGCCGTCCTTTGGTGCTCCCTTGGATTCCTCCTCCGCTTGTAGGAGAGCTTTGGTTGTCAAGGGGTGTCCACCAACAACACTAAGATGTAAAGGAGCCCAGCCTTCCGAATCTTGCCAATTAGGGCCGTCTATACCTTCGGATACATCAAACATATCCCATTGTTTAAGGTGTTCAATGATAACTTCGCAAACAACTCTGAATCCGTACTGGGAACCATAATGAAGAGGAGTTCTGCCGGAAAGATCCTGGGCCAGCAGCCCGGATCTTTGATTTGGGCGTAGATGGTCCAGCAAGTACTGCAACAGTGAGACTGCCTCATCATCTCTAGTCAAGAGCTGCTTCTGTTGAGCTTCCTTTACAACATTCCGTGGTGGCAGTAAGCTGGGTGCGGCCGCAGGGGTAATATAGGTGGATTCCTCTGGATAATCCAAGGGGATTGTTCCAGCGGGATCTGAGTCCAAAGTACTCTGAGCTCTGCCAATAGAGATCACAAGTCGATGAATGCAGTTCCGCTTGTTGATGTCATCCTGTTCTTCTAGTGAATCAATTTCCCCTAGCAAGAGCTCGATGGAGGATCTAGCCCGACAAGCGATCGCACGTTGCAGGAGATTCTTTTGCAACATTGGATAGACAAGATCTCCTTGCTCTTTGGCAAAGACTTTCAAGCTTTCGAGTTGTTCTGACAAAGCCGAAGTATCGTCCTTTCGGAGCGCTGCGTCGACAGCTGAGAGCAAACTGGGAGGCACATTCAGGCTTGGCCGAGAGGGAACCTTTGTTAGAGTCAAAGACTTGACGGAGTCAGAGTCATCTGAAACCTTTCGGTCCCCAAAGATGGAAAGCCACTCATTGATCTTGGTGGTTGCTTGAGTGAGTTGAGCATTGGACGCGAACGGCGCAGGGTCCACCTTTGCCGCGAGATATCGCTTCTGTGCTTCAGCTCCAGGAATCTTCTTATCGAGCTTCTTGGTGATTTTGATGAAGCCGCGGCGATTGACCTCGCCGTACCATTGCAGCTTACGAAGCTGTCCTCGAAGCTCTAGGAGAGCAGTGACAAGGTCTCCAATGTCTTCTGCATCGAGAGCTTGTCCGGCAGCCAGGGAGTTTCCAAACCGATCTTCCAAGATTTTGAGGCGTCGCGTGAAGTCGGCCAACTTTTTGTTATAAAAGTGGTCTACATCCTCGAGATTTCGATCGAGCGAGTAGAAAAAGCCTATGACAAGAATATCAGTCTTTAATATCCACGGAAAATAGGATACCACGACTTACCAACAAGGTCAACATCGTCCTGTGCTTCTTGACTATCAGAAGCAGATTTAATGAGCTTTTTCAAAGCTTTGTAGTTGATGTATGAGGAGCTCCACTCCGGGACAACGTTTCGAGGAAGATTGCGACCGAACTTCATACTGTGCACACAAAGGCCCGATTGAACCCTTTGATTCCGATGACCTTTGTATACTTTTGTTCACGACGCAGCTCAGTTCAACACCGAGAAACAATGATCACGAATCGAATCGTATGCGGGGGATGAAGTCCTCGGATTAGGGCTTCGCGGAAGGAAGCGGGGGCGCGCAAGAGTCACAAAAAGCTCTGGAGATTCTCAAAAAATCGAAAAATCGGCACAAAGGAAAAAGGAAATATCGTTTGAAGGGAGGTGAAGATCCATTTGAGCTAAATGGCCTGCATTTTTCTCTTTTTCAATCGTCGAATTTTAAGAGGTTCAGACGGAAAGTGAAAGGAAAAAAGAAGAGATCAAAATTCGTCAAATGACTAATAGGCTTCTAGAGGAAATTGCGGTAAAGCGGTAGCTTTGGGCGAAGGAGCTAGAAAGTGAAAAGACAGTCAATCACGTGTATTTTCTAATTAGAACTTTGAAAGGAATGTGTAGCTTTGAGGGTACGTAGCTGATACACTAAAATTAGGTGCAACAAGCTAGACAATCAATAGCTCAAGCCATCCTTACCTGTTTCTGTCTCTGGAGTCGGTGTCTCCACGAGTTGAGCAGTGCACGGTTCAGAGTACGGGGGAGGCGGAAATAAGAAAGAAAAACTAGATCTCGTGAATGAGTCACTCGTGATTCAGGGCGATTAGGCTTCGGCACTGATCGCACGTAGTGAAGCAAGTAATAAGTATTGGCGAAGGTTTGAATGTAAGAAAATTCAGTGAGGGAGTAGGGGGAGTAGGGGGAGTAGGAAACGGACAATGACTCGGCAGGGGCTACCTCGTCACGCTTTTACAGGCAGGCATGGTGAATTGATTGACTGATGGCCATCTCCAGGGGTCCAGAATAATGACGAGGATCTTGATAGAGGGCCCAGACAGAGAGCTCGTAGAGAGATACGATGGAGCTGATGGATCTCCAGGCAGGCGGTGATTGACGCCAAAGCTTGGGTGTGCCCCACCATGGCGGGGACTAAACGCTACGTATTGCAAATACTTTAATTACTCAAATAAACATGCGTGGCTCAACACAAATCTTGTATTTCACTTACGAAAGAAAGTAGCCGGAATGTTCTGACACGAAAGCCGGAAAGCCAATGACGAGCAGCCCTCAATCACATGCTTCGAACCTGATGTTGACCGATTTTTACACTAGAGCGCTTACGGCAGTACGGTGGAGAATGTTACGAAACCAACTTGCATGATACTAGGCAGAATCTAGTACTATTAAAGGAAGACGTTTATTAAAGCAGCTAACACCACAACTAGTCATTTCTATAATTAGATACGTGGGCGGTCAGCTAAAAGATATAAACTTATAGTTAATATAAACAGGAAATATATAACTATATATACTTAAAAGAATAAAAAAATATAGAAAGATTATATATAGATAGAAAGAATAATTATTAGATATATACTAGTATCTATACTAGAGTGTAGAGGAAAATATAGAAAATATAATCTATATAAATATACTTATTTATTATATATTTAGTTATTTTTTATAGCTTTTTAATATAAGTTACTCAAATATAATAGTAAGAATTAATAAGATATTTATATTTATATAAGTACTAAACTATATAAGAGATCTCTTTTATTTTAATTATATTAAAACTTCTAGTATTGATTAACTATTATTACTTTATTCACTTAGCTTATTTTATTAATATTTAATCCTAAATCTTTATATAGTTTAATAAAGCCTAGTATACCTCAACATAACACTATTTAACTAAGATGGATCTAGATTTATAATAAAAGAGCTATTATCTTAACTCTAAAATACGCTAGAAGTAAAATACTATTAAATAAAAAAATGTTACTAAGTTAAATAAGTACTATTTAAAGAGAAAATAATCTAATATAATAAAAGAAATATTAATAAAAAGTATTATAAATAAYTAAAYTYTAATAGCTTARAAAATAAYARTAATATAARTTAGAATTATTAAATTAAAAGCTACTTAAGCTTCAAGATCTTAGCTTAAGATTAATAAACTAATACTATTTAAAGAAGATTAAAAAAGTTTATAATCTTTTTTAATATAAATATAGCTTTATTTTATAACTAATATCCAGCTATTTATAGGAAAAATAGATAAAATTCTAGCTATCTCTATCTTCTTAGAAGAAGAAGTAATGGATTAGTTTGAATTATATATATAAGTATAGTTTAAAGAAACTAAAAATAAATAAAATAATAAGATTAATAAAATATTTACTAACTATAGAATATTTATTAAAAAAATTAAGTTAATATTTAAAGAAATTAATAAATGAAACTCTATAGTTTAAAAAATATAGTAACTATAATAAATTATATTAGTATTAGATTATATCTTATAATTTTATTAAATTAGCTTCCATCTAGGATAGGATAATAAAGTTAAGATAAATTAGTTTTATTAAGGCCTAAAAGATAAAATTAAAGATAAAATTATAAAAATTCTAAAATAACCTAACACACTAATTAATATAATTAATATAGTGATTAAACTTAATAACTGATTATACAAGAGATGAATGGAAAAGTAGTAGAAAAAAGGATAGAGGAACTATAAAGGAAAAACCTACTATTAAGCTAACTAAGGCTATAAGCAAAATAACCCTTATAGATTAATACTAATAGAATTGGATGCAACAGCTAAGCCTAAAGAAATTAATAAGAAGCCCAAGAATAAAAGCAATATAAAATATTATAATTACTACAAGAAAGAACACTACATAAAGGAATATAGAAGTCCAAGAAAAGAAAGATAACTTAAAGCAACCTAATACAATAAAGAAAATTAGGAAAACTATACTAAATAGAAAAATAACTATAATATTAGTAACTACTAAGATAATAAGTGTTATAGCTTCAGTGAAATAGAAAGCAAAATAAATCTATATATAGAGATAATACACGCATTTGAACTTCATAGTTATAAGGACCAAAAGGTTACTAGTAAACCAAAAACTAAAGAAGAAGTTAGTGATATAATCTATAAAAGACTTAAGAGCTAGTATCACGACACTTAAAAAAGCTAAATTGAAGAAATCTCTACTAATAATAAATAGAAAGATATCAAATTAATACTAGGATTTAAGTATAAACTAGAGTGTTAAGAATTATATAATAACCCTAAATATCTAGATTATAGATCTATTATATAGGCCTTCTATACTAAAGACTAGTATAGTGTGTATCTAGATATAAAATAAGAAAGTAATTACTTCCTAAGAATTAAGAAAAAGAAGAAACCAAAAAACTATAAATAGCTAAAAAAAAAATAAAAGAAACTTATTAAAAAATTTATTATTATATCTAGAAAAGCAAAGCAGTAGATAAAGACTAGAAATATATAAAATATTTAAATAACTAATAGACTAGAATAAAGAACCAAGAATAAGATAATATTTAAAAATAAAAAAAAAATTTTAAAAAAAATAAATTTTAGAGAACTATTAAAAGATTTTATCAGTATATAATATATACTAAATAAAGATATAATATAAAAAAAAAATATTAGAAAAGTTCTTATAGAAATTAATAAAGCATTAAAATAATAAGACTAAGAACTCAAAGCTATTATATATAGAAAATACTTTAAAATCTAAGTTGATATACTAGGATTAAAAGTATAAATTATAATAGATTTAGAAGCTATAGGAAATTATATAGATCTAAAAATCTAAGAAAAACTATAAATATTAGAATAATAAAAAAGTAAACCAATCCCATTATTAGGACTTAACAGTAAGATACTATTAAAAATAAAACTTATAAAAAAAATAGAATAATTATTTATAACTATCAATAATTATATTAAAATGATTAACTTCAATATCATAAAATTAAGAAAAGATAATATTATACTAGAAGCTCTATAACTAAGAAAGTATAATCTAGAGATCTACTAGAAGACAGAATAGTTATAACTAATAAGATATAACTATAGAAGAACCTAGATTATTAAGGCTTCTAAGATAAAGGAAGACCTAGAGATCATTATTAAAAAAGTAATAAACACTTTCTTATAGGACAGAATCAAGGGTATAATTGTTACTAATATTATAGAAGAGATTATATTATAATAAGATTTTAATATGTTAGAAGAATAACTAGGTATTAAAATAGTAAAACACTAATTGAAGAGCAGTATAGATATAGTATTATTTATAGAATATAGAGAGTTCAGAGAATTGTTTAATAGAATATATAAAACCTTGCTAGAATATAGTGAGTAGGATTATACTATTTCTTTTAAAAAAGGCAAAGAATTAGTACCTTAGAAGATTTACTTAATTTTGGGAAATGAGGAAGAATCTCTGAAGAAATATCTTGAAGAGAATTTGAAAAAGGGATATATAAGACTATCAACATCACTGGCAGGATATCTAATATTATTTATTAAGAAAAAGGGAATAACAGAATTGAGACTATATATTGATTTTTGGTAATTTAATAATATCACAATAAAGGACAGTTATCTCTTATTCCTAATCATAAAGATACAGGATAAAGTCAGAAATAAGAAATAGTTTACTAAACTTAATATTACTGATGTGTATAATCGCCTTAAGATTAAGAGAGGTGAAGAATGGAAAATAGTATTTAAAATAAAATATGGTCATTTCGAATACTTGGTTATGCTATTTAGGCTCATCAATACACCAACAGTATTTTAATGATATATTAATAATGTGATGTCACCCTATCTATACGATTTTACTATCACATATTTAGACAACATCTTAATATTCTTAGACACATTAGAAGAACACATATAATATGTGAAAAAGGTACTAAGTAATCTATAAGAAGCTAAGCTATAAGTTAAATTAAAGAAATATGAATTTTATATGTAAGAAATAGATTTCTTAAGATACAGAATCATATAGATAAGAATTGAGATAGAAAAGGAAAAAGTTAAGACAATCTAAGATTAGCCTGAACCAAAAAATCTCAAAGAATTA